AATAACCTATACACCTACTAAGAGCCAGCTAGCTAATATATTGACTAAAAATCTTAGTCGAATAATATTTAAAGAACTGAAAAAACTAGCTAACTTAGCAGATATATAAAAATAATATATATACCTATATATCTATATCTTATATACTAATCTATATACCTATATATCTATATAGGTTATATAGATTAAGGGGGCATCTAAGATATAGGGCCTACAAGGGCCTACCTATAAGATATTTTTGATGTAGTCAAAACGGCTAGATATCTCGGCCAGATATCTCGGCTAGAAATCTTATTATAAATTTACCTCCTGCTACTACATAGCAGCCACCTATATCATAACTGACCAAATATCATACAGCTGATATTATATAGCTGTCAACTGATCAGCAGCCATCTATATCATAACGATATCATAACCATACAATAGCAACCAATACTATGCAACTAGTGACAACCAGTGGCAACCAGAATCAGACATAAATATCCATCAAATCCCTAGCCAAATAATAATTGAACTAAGCTTCCTTCACATCTTTTCTTCCCCCTCTGAGTATCTTCATTATATTATACCTACCTATATCAACTATCCTAATATAACTTCCTACGCAGCCTTACTGCTTGCTTACATATATCTTATATACTCTCTTAGTAAGTAGATATAGTATATAGTTATATAAGTAGCTAATACGCCTATTAATATAGATACTCGGTAATAGATTGTATATCTCTATTAGATAGCTAATATATATAGCGATTACTAACTCTATTATCTTACTAAGTATATTTAGTAGAGAGATCGGCTACTATACCTCCTGTATAGAGTAGTCTAGCTTCCCTAGCTTCTTAATAATAATTATAGTAGACTCTCTAAAGTATTATAGGTAGTATCTAATATATCTTTTTTTAACTATAAAACTATTAAAACTCCTACCCCTTCCCTATAATCTCTCTACTAAAGTAGTAAAATACTTAAATTTTAGTTAGTCTCTATATTTTAATAAATAAGGTTCTAATATTAAGCTTATTTTACCTACTTTATTAAGCTTATTTTTAGCTAACTAATTAGTTTATATAGCCTAAATAGGAAGGTCTTAGTAGGATTATAAAATTCTAGGGGACTATATAGGGGACTATATAGGACTAACTATAGGGACTATATTATAAAATATATATCCCTACTTAAGCGAGATTATATATCTTAGTATCTAATATACTAATCCCCTAGTAAAACCCCTATAATAACCCTATCTTCTATCTAGGTAGCCCTAAACTACCCTATTTCTAGGTAGTATACCTTAGTCTACTATATATTAATAATATAGAAAGATACTACTAATATTCTATACTAAAGTAGTTATTCTAGTATAAAAGTCCTATATTTTTCTATATTTCTCTAATTCTTTAAGAATTAGTTTTTATTCTAATCTAATTATACTAGTTCTTTTTTATCTAATTAATAGGTTTTTTATCCTATAAATAGATCTTATAATAATTATAAATTTTTTTTTTAATTATCTAAAGAATTATAGTACTAAGAAATTATTTTACTATTTTTATTAATAGTAAACTAAATCTTTTAGTATTTACTAATAATTTACTATATCTAATTTTAGAAGAAACTTTTTTAATTATAGATATAAAACTAGATTTAAATATCTAAGCTATCTAAAAAAAGATCTAAAAACTAGAAAAACTAAAAAGTTTATAAGATAAAATAGCTATTTTTAAAACTAAGTTTAATCTAAAAAATATACCTAAATCCTAATTATATTATTACTAATATATCTATTTATTTCTTAAGAAAAATAAGTCAAAAATTAAGTTTAAAAATATCTTATTTTTAAACTTAACTATATACTCTAAAAATAATAAAAATAGCTCTTAGATCTCTAATAATCTTTTAAAAAAATCTCTAAAAAATATAGAACTAAAAAAAAGAAGATTATCTATATAGTTAACTATATAAAAATAGTCTATTAATAGAGATAGTATAGATATATAGAAGAAAAGATATTAAATATTAATTAGGATCCTAAAAAAAAAAATTAATCTTATTTTAAAATATAGATCTTAATCTTATTTTAAAATATTACTAATCTTAAAATAGAAATAATAATCGAAATAGAATAAATTTATTAATATTTTAATAAAAACCTAAAAAAGATCTATATCTTAATATTTTAAAATAATATTTTCTATATTAAACTAAAAAAGAGTATATTTTTATCTTTTTTACTAAACTATAATTTAATCTTTAATTTTATATTTATTTATATATCTTTTATTTACTAGAAATAAAAAAAGATATAATTAGTATTATTTATTATTACTAAAAGATTTAATAATCTATTTATAAATAAAAGATTAATAATAAAAGATATAATTAGTATTATTTATTATTACTAAAAGATTTAATAATCTATTTATAAATAAAAGATTAATAATATTAGAAATAATTATTCTTAAAAATAGCTATATTACTAAAATAATAAAAATAGGATTTTAATTAGTAATAAATTATTAAAAAAAGGCCTAAATTCTATTAGAAAAAAAAAGATATATTTATAATATTTTAAATATAATAATAAGAGATATCTCTTTTCTAACTACCCTAAAACTATTATAATTATCTAGTTTACTATTTAAAAAGAAATATCTATATAAAAAAAAATAATTAAATTAGTATAAATCTTATAATATTAATTTTATATTTTATAGTAAGAATAAATATTTAGTTTTATATTCTAATAACTATATAAAATACTATTAAAATCTATATAAATCTAGATAATAATATAAAAATAGATATAATTAGCTATAATTTTATTAAGAAATACTATCTAAATTAGATAAAATTAATAGAATTTACTATATTTACTATTAACTAATAAGAAATCTCTATTTATAGTATCTAAGAAGTCCCTATTTAAATTATAGATTTATATAGAATAATATATATAATAATAAAACTCTATATAGCTATTAATAAAAATCTTTATCTAGAAAAAAGCCTAATTTTTCTCTTAATAACTATATTATATAATCTTTATATCTATTTTTCTATAGTAAATTAATACTAGTAATTTAAAACTACTATTATAGAAATCTTTATATTTTAGTAATTTATAAAAACTTATAAGAACTATATATGTATCTTTACTATAGTAAGAATACTTAAAAAAATTTAGATTCTTAAAAATAAAGAACTTATAGATTTTATCTAATTACTAAGTTATAAATATTCTAAGATATATTCTCTAGTAAAAATTTAAAACTCTTTTTATTATCTAAAATTACTAATTACTCTATTAATCTTTTTCTAGATAAATCTTTCTTATATAGTCCTATTTATCTTTTCTCTTAAAAAGAGTTTTAAGAGCTATAAAGATATATTAATAAAAATCTTACTAATAGCTAAATCTATCTATTAAAGAGTTCTATAAATATTCTAATTTTATTTATACTAAAAAAAAATAGTAATCTCTATTTTTATATAGAATATTAAGATCTTAATAAAATTTCTATAAAAAACTAATATTCTTTATTTTTTATCCTAGAGATATTTAACTAGTTTTTAAGAGCTATAGTATTTAGTAAGATTAATATCTAAAATATATATTATTAAATATATATTAAAGAAAAAGATAAATAGAAGACTATCTTCTAAATATACTATAGTTATTTTAAGTATATAATTATACTATTTAGACTAATTAATATATCTATAATCTTCTAAAATTATATATATATTATATTTTATAATATATTTAATATTTTTATAATAGTATATCTTAATAATATCCTAATCTTTTTAATAGATAAAAATTTATATATAAACTATTTTTATTAGATTTTAGGATAAATATATAAAATAAGTTTTTATACTAACTTTAGTAAATATATATTTTCTAAGACTAGATTAAATTTTTTAGATTTATTATCTCTTAAAAAGATATCTTAATAGATTTTTAATAAATAATTAATATTATTTTATAGACTATTCCTAAAACTTACTAAGATATATAGATATTCCTAGGCTTCTATAATTTCTATTAATAATTTATTTAGAATTATTTAAAAATTACTATATTATTTATATCTCTCTTAAAAAGAAATAAAAAAATAAAAAAACTAAAGATTTACTATTTTAATATAAAAAAAATAGTAATATTTTACTAGTTTATTACTATATTTTAATTAGCTCTTTTTTTTAATATTTTAATCTAATAAAATTATCTATCTAGAAATTAATATCAATCAATCAATATTCTTATTCCTGATCTAGCTTCCTATGCTTACAGGTGCTATGCAGGGATTTGCGCCTTCTGGTGTCCAGCCCAGTGCGCATGCGAAGCTGCCCGCAGCGTGATCAGATGGCTTACTACCACCGGACCAAAGAAAGTAGTGCAAACGCTGCAAACAAAATAAGACAAACAGGACAAACGAAATGGCAGAAAAGAGAGCCAGGGAGTCACCGCCCCCGCGATCCAACGTCCCCGCGGCCGTCCTCAGGCAGCGTTGGTAAGGAAAGCTCCAACGCTACGGTCAAAAAGCCTCATCAGCAGCGCCGCGCCATATGCACCCATGGCCTCAACAGATCAGTCTCCGGCTGTCTGACCTTCCGATATCTGACACCCTTCGGCCCGCACCACCCAGCCAATCTCTCTCTCCCCTTCCCCTGTCCGTCGGCATACACTCGAATCACCGAGTCCTGAATCACCAGATTGCCGTTTCGCCGCGCTGCACCGCTCGCTTCCGATTGGCAGGCCTGAATCACCAGGTTCTCGAATCACCGAGTGGGCCGATCTCCACATTCTCTGCACACATCCCCCGCACACACACGGCCTTCGCCGCTTTCGCTCGTGGTGGAAATCAAGGGGGCACACTGAGATCCTGGCAGTTTGCCCCTGGTTATGTGTCCCATCGGTCTCAAAGGACCACTGCCCTAGGCGCATTCGATTGATGTGGCGCTTTTGGATTAGGATGGGTCAAGGTGGATCAAGAGCCATCCTGTTCAACCACCCCCGTCGCTGCTGGGTCGACATGGCGGAACTGGTCGAGAAGCTTCGACGAGAACATGAACTGAGCGAGGACTAGCCTTGCTGGGAGCTGTTGCAAGAGTTCGTCGGTGCCGAGATGCATCGACACCCCTACCTCTGCTAGACTCTCTCTCATCGTCTGTCTTTCCTCTTGTAGCAGTGGGCATTCGAGCAAGATATGGGGGACTGTTTGGTTCCCTAGGTTGCATTCGCAGCTTGGTGAGTCTCGAGCGTTGATTTTTGACAGATAACCGGCTAAGCCGATCTTGCCAGTGCGTAGTTGGATCAAAACTGACGATGTGGCCTTCCGCAGATTCTCCCAATAGGCTAGATTCTTCTTGTGTGGCTGTTCGATCAGCCGTTTCGTCGAGCGAGCCCCCCTCTCTTTCCACCACGCAGCCTCCCAGGCCTGCTTCGCCCGCTGTCGGATACGTCGTTTCACCGCTGATGCAAGAATGATATAACGGTTGTCTTGGTTGGTTAGATCAGTGTCGGCCAGGGCGGCCTCCTTTGCGGTTACATCGGCTAGCTCGTTTCCTAGTGTCCCTTCGTGGGCCGGGATCCAGCGAAATTCGACCTGATGACCTTGGTCGTTTAGGCTTTGAAGATGCTGGATGGCCGAGACTAGGTAAATCTGGCCTGACGGCATCCGCGGTCGGCGAAGGGCCATCAGGCCGGCCTGGCTGTCGGTGAACACAACAATCTTGCGAGACTGGTCCGCTGGTGCTCGGGTTTTCGGCTGGGGGATTTCTGATTGGATAGCTGGCTGGATTGCCGGCTGGATTGGGAGCTCGCTGGCCGCTTCGGCCGCTTTCCACATTAGTGAGAGGACCATATCGATGGCGCGAAGCTCTGCGGCGTAGACCGTGGAGATTCCTTCCGTGCCCATCTGCGACCGAGCTTGGGTGATCTCATTTCCACTAACCACCGCACCAGCGCCCACTCGACCTTCGTAGCCACTGCCGTCTGTGTAGACAACTAAACTATCTTGCCTTGATAGTATCTCATCGTGCTGCTTCCTTGCTGTTTCCCGGTCGGAGATAATTACCGTTGGAGGCACACGCCAGGGCTCTCGGGCGTACGCAAGACGGCTCTCCCAGACTCCCGCCAAGAACTCAGGGGGAGCCGTTAAGCAACCACCCTTCTTCCAGGCCTGTGCCTCCATTGGAGACCATCCCGATCGGTCACGTTGGGCCTTCGGTCGTTGGTGTATCATGGATTTTGGCACTGCATAGGCAGGCCCTGTGCGAATTCGTAAGGCTGTCTCTTGTGCTATCCTCGTCATGAGGATTGGCATCGGCATTAGGCTTAGTTCCACACACAGCGCAGCCGCGGCCGTCGTTTTGAATGCACCTCCAACGACGCATGCTGCCTGGTGTTGGAGGTCCCCAAAGGGTCTAGCAGTTTGCATTTGCTTTGCTTTGGTCCACTGAGGTTCATACCAGGCTGCCAGACCATAGAGAATCTGTGGGATCACTATAGCCTGGTATAGCCGTCGCATCGAGAGTAAAGAGGCCCCCCAGGTCGATCCTGAGAGCGATTTGAGAGCTTTTAGGCTTGATTGGCCCTTGATAAGAAGCTTCTTGCGATGAATGTCGAATGTAAGTTTCTCGTCGAGCCAGAAGCCAAGATATCTCTCAGCTCCAGTAGACGCCTGGATCACCACGTCGCCAAGGCGAAGCGGAGTATAGCAAGGCTCTTGCTGAGGCCCCACGAAGTGAACCAGTGCATATTTCTTGATATCAAAGACAGATGCATGTCGCTTAGCCCATTGCTGGGCTAGACCACATAGCCGCTGGAGCTTTCTAGTAGTTTCGGCTTCCGTGCGGCCAATGGCCATCGCTCCAGCGTCGTCCACCCATCCGTGACCAAAGGTCTTTGGGCCGTTGAAGAGTTCGATGAGGTCGGAGTTATAGATAAGGTAGAGGATAGGGGATATTGGTGAGCCCTGTGGGATGCCAGTTGGTGTAGGAATTCGGTCGGATAGGCCCTCAGGCATGCGGATTTTTGTCGATCGGTCAGAGAGGAAGGCCTGCACCCACGGCACAAACCATCCAAGCCTACGCTTACGGAGGTTGTGGAGTAGCCGAAGATGTGCTACGTTGTCATAGGCGCCAGAGACGTCTAGGAAAAGCATAGACACGACCTGCTCGGCCAGAGAGCCTTTCCCCCAAGCGGTCCGAATGCGGTCGAGAATGATCTGAATGGCGTGGTCGGTCGATATACCCTTCCTACCACCAAGATGGCCAGGGGGCAATAGACCATATTGTTCAACAAGATATGAAATACGTTTGGCCATCACCGATTCCAATGCCTTTGCAATGGTGTTTAGCAGCGCTACAGGGCGATAGGATTTCGCAAGCTGGTAGTCTCGGTCACCTGCCTTGCGTAGCACTACCGTTATTGATCGCTGAAAATGCTTAGGGTTATAACCTGCGCTCGCACACGCGTTGAAGAGCGAAGTGAGGTATGCCAGAACCTGAGGGATCTTAATGATCTTGTGCCATAAACCGTTCGGGATAGTATCGTCGCCAGGCGCTCGTCTGGCCGGTGCGCGGAGGATAGCCTCTTCGATCTCGTGTGGCTGAATTGGTGGCATGTCGATTTGGTCAGGGTATTGGAACCCTTCGATGTCCGAGAGCTCCGCCGGTGGTGGTATTGGAAAGAAGGCTGTGCGGAAAGCCTCGGCTTTCTCGCTGACCGTCTCCGCAAGAGATTCTGTTCCAGTCTTCAACGATGGTGTAATGCCTCGCTCGTATGCGCCTTTGCGATTCCGCGCCCATTTGGCAAGCTGCCATAGGCCTCTCTCTCCCTGTTCGATCACGTGCTGTACGCGTCGACGATGTGCTCTGGAAAGCTTCGACTTGATGAGCCTCACTTTCTTGTTCCTGGCCATCGTATAGATGGCCCAGTCTTCCATATCCTGCGTGCGCGAGAATACGCGGCGGAGTCTGCGCGCCTCTTTAATAGCCTCACGGCATTCTTCATCGAATCCAGGATTCGACCAAGAGGATGGGTCAGCCCAGGGCGTAGAGAACTCCACCGCCGCATCCACCACGCGCATTAGCGCTGAGCAGGCCAGTTCGATCGTTTCTGGCCTAGTCAATGTATTGGGTGGTGGTGGCAGGTGTTGTTCGAGGTATTGTTTCAATTTCTCGTCATCGGTGGCTTCCCAATTCCGTCTTCTTGGCTGTGTGAACTGTGGCGTAGTTATATCGAGGACGGTGCGGATTGGAAGATGGTCGGACTGGCTATCTACGTCATTGGCGATCTCGCAGGTAGTCAGGCAGTCTAGCAAGCTACTAGATACGAATGTGAGGTCGATGACACTCTTCAACGGGCCCTGTTGCCATGTAGGCTTGCCTGGCTCTCCCACATAGGTTAGAGATAGGTCAGGGAGGATCGAATCCACCAAGATGTGAGCTTCTTGCTCGGTCTTTCGAACGGAAGGGCCACCCCACAGAGGATGATGGAGATTGAAGTCTCCTACCACGACGTGTTCCGCCTCCGGTCGTTTCGCAATTTCGCTGTATAAGCGTTGAAGTTGCTCTTTGTTGGTGTCATGCCGATATATATTGTGCACGAAGAGATCCGTCCAGCCATCGCGCTGATTCCGCCGGAGTTTTAGAATCTGGTAGTCGGCGTTGACTACCGTGTGGGACCATATAGAGGGGTCAATCCGCTTCGAAACGAACATACAGACCCTGGTTCTTTCCGCCTCACCCGACCTGGCATCCTTGACTACTGGGTATAGTAGCTGATGGGATGCTGTAGCCGGGTGATGCGTAGTGTCAAGCTGGTTGTTTTCCCATGGTTCCTGAATGGCCACGACTCCTGCGTCTCTTACGCCTCTCTCCCGCAGAAGTGTGGCCATCACGGGCCATTGTTTATGCGCGTTGTATTGGATGATTTGGAATGCTGATTTCATTGACGAGTCGGGTCGTAGTCGCTGTCCGATGATGCGTCGTGAAAGATCTCTTCCTCCTCCTCGGTCCATGAGTTCACGTAGGTTTCGTATCGAACCCCTTCGATGGGGGTGAAGGGAAAGTTCGTCACGACATCTTCCGGTGGAGGCAGGTCTTGTTCAGCAGTCTGTAGTAGCAATTGTGGTGGTGAGCTTAGTGGTGAATCTGGTATGGCTACCGAGGACCGCATCAACCGCTGGAAGGCCTGGATATCTTCGTCCTCTTCCTGGGCCTGGATATCCTCTAGCCCCACCAACGCGAGGGCCGCTGACGCAGTGTCCTGCATAGCGTGGTCCTCCTCCCCTCTATTATTGAAACGCGCTCGCTTGTGTGGGTTTGGGGCCTCAATGGTCTCGGTAGCTTCGATAGCCGTGTCCGTGCGTACCTCGGAGGCCGCCGCATTGGTGGACGATTTAGAACGGTTCTTGGAGCCTGGTGGTCGGCCTGGGCCTCGGCGTGCCGATTGGCTTAGTTGTTGTGTAGGTGGCTGTGATAACTGTGTGGACTGTTGTGCTGCCGGAGCGTGCTGGGACGCTTCGAGGCCCTGGCCCCGTCGGGATCGCGTGTTGTAATCCGACTGAATCATCACCCGAGGCTGTGGGGGTTTCTTCTGAGCCGACTGAACCGGCTGGACTGGCTGGACCTGTCGCTGAGGTTGCCGGGCTGCGGGTTGTTGAGCCGTGGCCTGCCTATAACGGGCAGGGATGCGGTGAAAAGGTGGCGCTTCGAGCAGACTACTTCTTGCCCTGGCTACCTCTCTCTCGTGAACCTCACATTCGCGGGCAGTAGACCGGTGTGGTCCTTTGCAGTTAGCGCACTTGATAGTTACTACGGCTCCGCGTATGGCCTCGCACTCCCAGGTAGGGTGCTCGGCCGCGCAGTAGCCGCACAGAAAGGTTTTGGAGGGACAGTGAGCCTGAACGTGCCCTGGTTTCTGGCACTTCCTGCAGAACTTCGATCTCCCTTCACGGCAGAAACGGGTGGTTTGGCAGATCCGATGGCCCCAGATAGTGCCAACAGCGATCGCCCGGTTGGCTACGACCGGCGACGACATCTCGATGACCAAGGAGCCCTCGTTCTTCCTCGGAGTAGGCTTAGTGAGCCAGCTCAGGTGGAGGATAATAGGCTCATCCTCACCCTCACTAGACCACTCCGGGTTCTGACGAAGTAGTTCATCCGCAGTCTTATTCATCTCCGCAGGGTCCGTCACGTCGAATAGAGGTAGCCCACGCGCAACTACCCCCCAGGTAGGCCTCTGGATTATTGCATTACCGAACGGTTTTAGCCAGTCTTTGAACTGGGCCTTCCGCATCACCTCCGCCGACGCAGCCGTGTCAGTAATGATCGCTATATCCCCTGAGGGTAGCTTCCGGGCCGCAACCACCCGAATGCCAGCGAGAGCACCACTATCCTTCTTTCTTGCCACGGCTATCCGACCCCGATCTGCCTGGAGGACGAGGTCGGTCTCTGATTTGGACCGGAGCGTTGCCCGTACCGCATCGTCACGAATCTTGACGATAATCTGCCGGTCTTCCTGTAGCTCGGCTTGAGGGACCCCGATCGATGACGTGCCATCCGAGCTTGGCCACGATGACGGGCCAGCCGCGAAGGGGCTGCTGCCGCGACCGACTGCCGCCACCCCTGGGCACGGAAGCCGCGCCACGCCGCCGCTGAGGATTCGTTGGAGATCGAAGATTGGATACTGCTTGTTGATTTGGAGATCTCCGTGGTTGATTTGGATATCTCACCAGTGGATTTCTCGAGCGTGTTCATCCGCTGGGTGAGGTGGTCGGTGGTGCGGGAGATTTTCTCCAGCGCCAGCAGAACTCTCTCCATCCCCTGCGTATCACCCCGTTGGGCGTTCTGGGCGTATCGATGCACCTGCTTCACGAAGCCATGGACGGCGCCAGTGGTTTCGTGGGCGGATTCATCAATATAGCGGAGTATCGATGCGGCTGCTCTCGCTATCTCCTCCATGCTTTCGAATTGGGCGTGGTTGGTTGGGCGAGTCTCTCGCTGGTTTGGCTGGTGTTGATTTTGCACACGTGGTCCGGTCGGAGGCAGAAAATTCTGTCTTGACGGGTGCACAAATGGCAAATTGGGCGCGCTCGCAACCGCCATCGCTGCTACCGATATCAAACCGGTATCAAACGATAGCGCTTGGGGTCAATTGAAATTTGAACTAGGTCTCAAGGTCCTAGGACCTCTAGTTGTCGAGATATCGCAAGAAATCGATTTCGCCAAGAGATAGTTGCTTTTCCTAGAAATTAATATATTATTATATATAATAGCTAATATTTTATTATAATCTAACTAAAATAAGATCTATTATTTAGTAATATTCTAATTAAGAAAATTCTTAAATATAGAAATCCTATATAGAATACTAGATTAAGAGCTATTTACTATTATATATTTATTTAAATACTAGTAATACTATCTAGAAAAAAATATATATACTATTAAAATATTATCTAATTATTTAAATCTCTAAATATTTATAAAATAACTAAAACTAAATAATTAATAAATTAGATAGTATATATTATTTATATTTTTTAATTTTATTATAAAATACTAAATTAGAAAGATAAATCTTACTAATAGTCTATTAAAATATTAAAAACTATAATTATTTAATAATAAAGAAATTAATCTCTTATTATTTTTATAATAATAGATTATTATTAATATATTAATATTAAACTAATAATCTACTATAGTAATCTAAAGAAATCTTATAAATATATAGAAATTAGATAAATAATCTACTATAATATAAATATTAACTATTAAGAATTTAATATTAGCTAAAATCCTTTTTAAAAAAAGAGATAATATAGCTATAATTCTTAAAAAAAAGAAATTTCTAAAAAAAAAGCTATAATCTTTATAAAAAAAAAATAAAAACTTCTAGAGATAGGAGTATCTTACTATAGTTTTTATAAAAAACTAATAAAGAAATAGAAAGAATTACTAATTAGAAAAAACTAGACTATATAAAACTAGTCTTTTTTATTAAAATTTAGGCTATATATATAGCTAAATAACTATATCTAGCTAAAACTAGTAATAATCTTAAAATATTTATTAGATATTTTTAGAAAAAAGATCTAAAGATTTAGTACTAAAAGATTATTATAGAACTATTAATACTAAGATCTAAAAACTAGAGTATTAATCTAGATAGTTTTATTTAATATAAAAACTATCTATATATTTTAATTAGAGATAATCTATAGTAAAAATTATTAAGTATTTACTATAATAATCTTTTTATTAGATATTTTAGATAATAAAAATTTCTAAATTAATTAAAAGAAAATATTACTAGATAAATCTTAATAGAGATATTACTAAATATATAGACTATTACTAAATTTATTAAAATATTATAATAAAAAAATATAAACTATATAATTAATTAGAATTATTACTAATATCTAAAAAACTATTTACTAAACTATTAATAGATTTTATTATAGATTTATTATCTATAATCTACTAAAATAAGATTATTAATATAATATTAATTATTATTAATTAATTTATAAAATAATTAATATTCCTATCTATTTTAGTAATAATTACTATAGAAAAACTTACTAAATTATTTTATATTAAATTAAACTATATTTTAGATTACTAAAAGATATTATATTAGATTAAAATTTACTATTTACTAATAAATTTTAGTCTTAATTTTACTATTTTTTATATTTATTTAAGATTATCTATAATATTTTATTTATAAACTAATAGCTAAATAAAGTAAATTAACTAAATCTTTTAAATATTATTTTTATTATTTTATTAATAAAAAATAAATTATATAGCTAAAATTACTAAAATTAGCTAAATTTACTTATAATAATATATTAAATATAATTACTAGCTATTTATTTTTCTAAATTTTACTAGGCTATTTATCTAGTTTTTATAGTTATCTAAAAATTAATATTATATAAAAAAAAATTCTAGCTATTATTGATTTTATTATTAGTCTAAAAATACTTAGCCTAATCTAATAGAAAATTTAGATTATTAATATTCCCTAAAATACTAAAAAAGATATATTTTATTAATAACTATTATCTAAAAAAAATATAGTAAAATCTATAGGAATATATATTAAATTCCTAATATAGTACTAGTAATATAAAATAGAGACTATAATATTTAGGATATAGTTAATCTCTATTAGCTAATTACTAGTTAGATTATACTAGTTAATTATAATATATAAATAATATATATATTATAATATTTTAGCCTAGATTAGTATATTAAAAATAGTATAGCTCTTAGTCTTAATTTTAGGAGATATAGTAAAAGAATATTATCTAGTAAAAAATAGATAGGAATATAGTAAATAGAAATAGGAGAGTAATAAAAAAAAAGATATTATAATTACTATAAAATAGGAGATAGAGAGATAGTAAAAAAAAAAGAAAACCTAGGAAGCCTAAGGAATTATACTAATTTAAGGACTATAACTCTTTTTTATTAATATATATAATCTTAGATATATAATCTTAGTTAAAAGATATAATCTTTAATATATATTAATACCTATAATCCTAGGTATATAATCTTAGTTACTAGGCCTAATCTTTAAAATATATTAATATATATAATCTCGGTTAAGTATCGCTACTTTTAATCTATAAGATCCTTATTAATACCTATAATCTTAATACCTAATAATAAAGGTAATCTTAGGTAATATAACCTCTAATATATCTAAGGATATATACTACTAAAGAAGGTATAAATATTATAAAATATATATCCCTACTCGAGCGAGATTACGTATCTCGGTATCTAATATACTAATCCCTTAGTAAAACCCCTATAATAACCCTATCTTCTACCTAGGTAGCCCTAAGCTACCCCGCTTCTAGAAGGTAGTATACCTCGGCCTACTATATATCGATAATATAGAGAGATACTACCGATACCCTATACTAAAGTAGTTACTCTAGTATAAAAGTCCTATATCTTCCTATACTCCTCTAATTCCTTAAGAATCAGTCTTTATTCTAATCTAACTATACTAGTTCCTCCTTACCTAATCGACAGGCCTTCTACCCTGCAAGTAGACCCCGTAACAGACTGGTAGCCTAGTCCTAACTACTTTAAAAAGCACTGAAGGACTAGATAGTCTAGTCCTAGTCCTAAGATTTAGGACCAGACCCAGTCTTTACTGAGGTCTAGGTCTTAGTAGAATTATAAATATATAGGGGACTATATAGGGGATTATAAAGGACTATAGGGGACTATGGTATAGTCCTAACTTGTTTGAAAAAGATTAAGGACCAGAGGGCCTAGTCCTAGTAGGACCAGACCTAGTCTTTACCAAGGTCTATCTTAGTAGTAAGAAAGAGAGTAGATAAAATTTGGTATTATTTATACCTAGTAAGTTATCAATAAGAAGAGTCTATTTAACAGAAAGATATTGAATCTAAGGAAGGAAAAAGAGAAGGAAAGAAAAAGAGAAGGAAAGAAAAAGAGAAGGAAAGAAAAAGAGAAGGAAAGAAAAAGAGAAGGAAAGAAAAAGAGATAGGCCCTCTCTTTCTACTATAGCCTATAGGCTAGAACCTTTCTATAATAGAAGCTCACATATCAGATGTGTGTTATGAGTACTACACAGTAAAGATATACATATTAGAGCTATGACTATACCAAGGCCGCAGCGACCTACAGTAGGTGGTGCTGAGTCTAGTTTTGGTGATAATATCCCAAATACCCACCAGAAGAAAATAAGTGCTTAACAGTTTCCAATTATTCCCGGTCAACTAACATCGCCTGTTTTGGCCAAACAGAGCCATTTATGTGCTATGTGCCAGGGCACATTTCACAATAATGTTATCGACTTGTTACATGTAAACAAGACCAATATGGCCTCAGAAAAACAAAGAAGCCCCACAAGGATGCTAGAGTCGGGCGAAGTTGAAAATGACCCAACATATTGCAGAGGAACACCCGAGCACGAGAAGGACCAGTGCGCCTATGGTAATCCAAGTGGGGCAAAAAACACAAGTCAGCGTAAGCCATTGGCCGTGTACCACTTCATGCTAGGGGCGCGGAAGGCCTGGCGTAACAATAGGGCCCAATCAACTAGCTGAAATGTATAGCACTAGAATGACAAGCGACATATTAGAGAAAGCATGGGAGACTCAAAAATAATAGCTTCAACGTACCATTATTCCCTCGGACAAAAGCGTCCCCGTAGCTACGCCGATGTTTTCCATTCACGAATTCCTCAGTCTTCTCGAGAGCGATGTTCATGTAGCCATCCACTGATTGGAGCTCACCTATGCGAGCGGATTAGCCAGGCTACCCCAGTAGGGTGATTTAATAAGGTTGATACCCTTGTACACCACACCGGAGTTCAGTTTCACAATCACCGGAGCGCCGATGATTTCGCTGAGGAAGGCCGAAGGGTCTTTTCCCTCCGAGGACGAACCGTTCTCCATCTTGATTTCTGGTCCACCTTCACGGGAAGAAAGAGCCTTAAGGTCCCGAAAGCCATTTGGAATTGATTAGCAAGATACTCCAGGACGTGGATTCCGCGAGGACATCAGGACATACCTGATGGAGCGTGGAGGTGAAGCGGGGAGGTTCGTGGGCGCTGAACGCGACACAGATAAGATTCCGAAGGCGGTAAGGCGCAACCAGGCGGGACTTTCCACTCCGCGTTCTCCATCCATTTTTCAACCTGTAAGATGCCCGTCCATCTCCGCGATGCGGTCTTTTTTTAACAAGCCCTCCGGGGTAACCAAGGGGGAGTCTCAGGAACTGAATTCTATCGCCGGTCTAAACAAACCTACTCCGACATCGTCGCCGCAAATCGCGATGCCCATAAGAAGCAAAAGTTGGCATCCGAATTCGCCGAGAACACAACGTCCGAACCCTCCGAAGAAAGCAGAGAACCCAAGCGACCTCGAATATCTGACGGGGAGGAGAAGACGAAGAAGAAGATGGAGAAACTTGAACTTGATGTGGCCAACACACCCCTACTCGTCGAACAAACCGAGCTAGGAGCACATCACAAGCGTCCTATTTCTCCTCGCGGCAGCCGGCCCGAGAGTGCTGAACTTGATGAAGATGGATTGCAGCCGTCGGTTAATTCATGCCCTTCCCATGGTCACTCGATTGGCGGTCCTTCCACCATTCACCCAAATGTTCCCTCCTCACCTAAGTCCCCCGACGACGCTTCTCAACAACGCCGGCAGAGAGTAGAGTCAACCGCCAGGGACACGATCAGAAACAGCCCTTCAAGATACTCAACCACAGTCACAACTCATCCGCCGGCGCATCCATTGTCCCCTCCTATGGATAACCCAATAGTACATATTCTCATAACATCCGAAATTCCAAACACCAAGCCACTGCTTGCTCAGCGCAAAATGTCTCAGGCACTGAAGGATGTTCGTTTAGCGTGGTGTGAGCGGCAAGGATTTACCCCCGAAGCAACGTCATCTGTCCACCTTACCTGGAGAGGTCGCAGGGTGTTTGATGTCACCACCTGTAGAAGTCTAGGCATCAAAATGGACAAGACGCCTGCGGCTATAGATGATGACCCTCTCACGGACCAGATTCAGTTGCAAATTCACATGGAGGCGGTCACCAATGACCCTCTTCTGTTGAATCGACCTGGCTCCTCTCTAGATGCAGGCGACCCTTCTCCTGCTCGACGGAGCCCCGGAGAGGAGCAGCACGACGAGCCGATGAAACTGATTTTGAGAAGCCCTGGACTGGATGACTTCAAGATCAAAGCTAGACCCAAGACTAGTGTGTCTAAACTGATATCGGCTTTTCGAGACAGACAGAATATCCGCATGGACCAAACCGTATCTCTTCTCTTTGATGGAGATCGACTGGATCCCAATACTTGCCTTGGCGACCACGATATTGCGGACCTTGACATGGTGGAAGTGTTGGTCAAATGATACACCAAGATGTGGGTGCTCCTGGCCCTCAAAAGCCTGGTTTGTCTTCCCGTAGCCAGCTCTCAAGGAATTCACTCTGCGCGCTATTTCTCTTACTTTTCTCCAAAAGGGCACCAAAAGGCCAATATATAATCAAACGTTGAACCAGCAGATGGCTCATGCTTTATGCAACCTGCGCGTACAATCAATGACAATGGTAGCCTCTACCACTGGCCTCAACGAGGTATCACCGCTCCTTTCATGTATACGTTACTAAACACTTGACTGTCTTCCCCAACATTTTTCGGAGGATTAGCGGCCGCCCTAGGAGCCTACTAGTGTAGATCATATATCTCCTAGAAGGATTTGCCTAGGGAGGCCTCAATATACCTGATCAGTACCTGCCTGATGAAGCCTTTTTATTAGTCTTTGGATCGCGTAGGTGTCCTGCTTATCGATAATATGATCACATGACATGGGGCTCCGCGGCTTTTTTCCCCCAAAAACGACTTTCTCCCATCGCATAGATGTGTGGACCACCCAGGACCATTCCTTGAAAATCACAACACCACGCCGGCACCAGGGCTGGCATGGGATCGGGCTGAAAATTTTATCTTTCCACCCAGACCAAGAGCTTCTGTTAAATAGCAAAGCAGACCCTAAAGCCGTCCCCGAACCACCATTTACGACCCACCATAGCCTTGAAGTCAAGCCGACAACGAGCCAGCATGAAAGTCATAACTGCCAATTTCGTGACGTGCGCGGTCAAAGAATGCAAGACATCACCATTGTCATTTCCTCTACACTTCCATGATGCCGAGCTTGAGCTGCAGGAGTTGGACTTCCAGCCCGAGTTCATCCGCAATGTGGTCCCCCGTATCGACTGGGACAGCCTTCGGGTCACCGCGAACGAGGTATCATAGCATAGTGCGGACTCCCACAGAAGAAGGACAAAGCTGATAATTGGATTGTAGCTAGGATTTCCCAGTCTTCCGGAGTCAAAACCAGAGGGCGAGGCGCTTGGCGACGAGCAGACATTGAAAGACCTACATCGGCTCCTGTTGGAGACTCAAGTCATGGAGGGAAAGTTAGTCTGTGGCAATTGTGGCCATCAGTATGTTATTAAGGAAGGAATTGCCAATTTCTTACTACCAAGCCATTTGGGTATATCTCTCCCCTCACGCACACTTACGTCACCAGCGACCAACTCACTAACTCAACTTATAACTGGTGCTGACATCTATATAGTCTGAAGGAAATAAATCCACCCTGACTAGCCGCCGTTCTTTGCTTCACTTCGTTCTATTATATCTCGTCCATATCCTCCAAGCCCCCTCCGCCGAAGCACCAACCAAGACTCCTCCAATGCCATCCACCACTGTGTACGATGCCTAATGCCCTACTTGAGCTGGCGAGACGGCAATGAATACCAGAGATACAATCGAGCTTCTTGATAGCGAAGGTGTGAGGATGATTGAAAATCTCACGATTGATACTATGGCTTATTTCGCCCCGCAACAAATTAGGTGGATTATGAGGCAGGCCTCAATGCTGGCGAGAAATTGTGGAATTTTGCATATTGTACATGAGGGCTGTAGCGCTTGAAATCATGATTCCCAATCATACGGGCCTTGGATGCTCCCGCCCTCCGAAACGCCCAATCAGGTCAACGCCCGCCTAGAAAAGGAAAAAGGAAAAGAAGAGCGATGAAGATGAAGGCTCCAGCTGAAAAAGATGTGTGGCGGCGGTAGTGGTAGTGGCTGCACCTAATTGAGGAAACCCTTGCAGCCGGTTGAGCCACAGAGACAGGGAATGCGATCGTCACTGTCCCATTCTCGTTCAAACTTGTAGTCGTACGTGAGTTCCTCATCTGTAGATTTGATATTGGTCAGCGTATATTCCATGGGAGTCTCGCGTGTGCCGCATTTTGACTCGTCTATTTCGATTGAATGCGTACCTCGTTCAATGTCCCTGAGCGCGTAAATCACGATGCGTTTGCTGCCATCGACCTTGATGATCTTAGCGGTGCAGTTGGGCGTGCAGCTATGGTTGATGAACCGCGCGATTCCGCCTCGTTTGGTAGCATCGATCACCGTGTTCTCATCAATTCGGAAGAGATAGCTACTGCCAATCCCGCTTTTGAGATATCGGCGTTCTCGCATATCTGCCACCTGCTGGCGCACTTTTTCGCCGACGTATTCGATGATCATGTCGTTAGCAGTGATGTTCTCTTCGGCATACAATCCCCAATTGTGAATGGCGGACCTAGCAAACCGAACAGGCTTCTTCCGTTTCTTGAGTTGATTGAACCGGAGCACATCACCCTCACCGCTGGACGTGGGCAGAGCTTGCTTCTGGGCATTGATATCGGCGATGAGCCGGCGGTTGTTGACGCGAGTTGATCGGGATGATGACTTAGAGATGACCTTGGCTGCCGCAATTCTGGCTGCCTCTGCCGCGGCGGCTTGAGGATCAGCTTTGGCCAAGGCTTCACGTTCCTCCCTGGCTTTCTGGACCTTGATGCGGTGTGGGAGATACTTCGATTTCTCGGCCTCAAGAATTCTCTTTCGGCCTTCTGTCCGCGCAGCACCGGTAGCATTGGGCACGTAGTACCCCGTGATACCAATAACATCGCGAGTGGGCCCCTTTGCGCTCAGATGATTGAGAGCCTTGATCTCCTTCTGGCGCCATGCCCAGGCGCGAAGGTCTCCAACACTGGAAGTCGACTGGTCGAGCAGGATCTCTCGGAGGAACCGCATGTCTTCTTTGTCTTTGATCAATTGTTGCCAACCATCTAGATCCAATATAGTGGTTTCATCGTCTTCCACTGTCGCGCGGGGTTCGTGCTTGGAAACTCCCCATTTGATCTCAGTCCTCGGTTTTTCAAGGACCTCTGTCTCCCATGGCTCACTGGCTGTAAGGTCATCTGGTACGGAGTCTTTGCCTGGGATGAGCTCGGATAACTGTTCTCTTGGCAATTGGTTTGGTAGGTGCAATTGGCCGCGAGACTCAACTGGCTCTGCTTTCCCTTGAACCAAATCAACATCAATACCGCTCGTGGTCTTTGGATGTTCGCCCTCCGCAGTTTCTTCTGAAGGCTCGACACCGAAGAGCTCGTCATCCTGTCGTTGCCGTTTGCGAGAATTCAGTTCTCCTGTCAACCGTTTCCTTTTCCGGGATCGAGGGGATAGTGATTCCCCTTCGGCCCCTTCGGGTGAAGCATCATCCGCAGCTGTAGCGCCGCTCTCATCAAAGGACTCCAATGTATCTGATTGATAGTCTTCATCCTGCCCGGAAGCTGACGTAACAGAACTCGCGCGGCTGGGCGGACGACTGCTTCTCTCCTCGGTATACCTCGTCAGAGGAGTCCGCTGATCATCATCTGAATCCTCATCGTCATGTAACTGCTGCAATCGATGATAGAGTGGGCGAACCTCCCTTGGCCGTAAAGGCTGCCGGCGCCGTTCGTCCACGAAGGCCGCACCTGCACGATCGAGACCATGGGCCTTTCGAATACGTGGAAGGGCCAGAATGCTAAGATTCGATGATCGGAGTGGATCACGGGCATTGGATAGTTCAGATCGAGAGTCCGGAGTGCCAGAGGCACTATCCACACCGATTCGGAAAGATGGTCGCTTGGTGCCTTCTGGACCGGGAATTCCCAATTTATCTCGTCTGGATGCATGTCTGCTGGGGTCGAGGTAATCGTATAAAGTCGGCGCGGCAATGCGAGATTTGACGTCTTCAAGTAGCTTGTCCCTCAGGTCCCGAATGATGACTGCTAGAACTTCTTGACAAGGGTCCAGGTCTATTGCACGCTGTTTCTTTTCTTCCTCCACATCCAGCTCAGCCTCCTTCCTTGCTCTCTCCTGGTGAGCCTTTTCCCGTTGTTCGGCGCGAAGGCGTTCGGGACTCGGACTGCGCACATAATTGGGGTTTCCGTAGGGCTGGCTTTCCATATTCATGATATAAGTGAACAGAGGCTTCATATGGCATAGCCGAAAGCAACGTTCTGTTTCCTCCTCACCTCCGCGGGAGTTCTGGAATATAATGTAGTAGCCGGTCTTGTCGCAACGAATGGTTTTGTAGTCAAAGAGCTTGAGTCTTTTCTTGAGGTGGGGAACGGTGGTACTGAGAACCGGGACATAGCAATGGGCAATGAAAATGTAAGGGTCGCGCTTGATTTGACTCAAGATCGGGGTTTCTTCCACTAGGGATTGCACCGATGGGGACCGAATACCCGCTCGCGGTCCTTCTGGTATGAGCAGCCCGGGGCGCAGGGTAGGTCGGCCGGCGGGGCCTTTGGGCGCCGTTGGAGGCGGTTCATTCTTCTTGGCCTGAAGCTCGGCAGATTTGGACTCGGCAGCAGCAGCAGCGGCAGCGGCGGAGGCGGTTTTGGAGGCCAACCGTTGTGACTCGATCGTTTTGGAGGCGATGCGTTCCGACACAATCCCATCTCGATCTAATTCGACCCGGATCCGACGAGTGCCAATGCGTTGCTCCTTCTTGCACTCAAAATACGCCCGCCGCGCCGCACTGGAGGCCAAGATAGCCTCTCCGCCGCGGAACGAGGCACTGTCTTTGTATTTGATCGAGCAGATCCCCAAAAACCGCCCGGTGATCGGGTCCGTCCGGTTATTGATCTCTGCGATGTCACCAAAGCTGGAAAAAAGTGCACTAATGGGAGCCATGGGCGTGAGAGGGTCAAAGCCCGTCACGACGACCTGCACCGGGGGGCCGGGTCCGATGCTTGTCGCAGCGTCATATGGCCACTGCTTCAGTGTGTATGGTGTCGGTCGATATTTGGTCTTTTGTTTGCAGCCTGACCCGCGAGTGTAGTTGGCAATTGCCAAGCGGGGATCGGGCGGGCCCGGTCCATGTGCAATGATCTCGACAAATTCAGGCTTGCGACGCTTCTCCTTGGACGGCCGCTTGTCCAGATCCGGATCATATATGGCTTTACAGCCTCTGACCACGATTTCATGGCGGGTTTGCGATTGGGGGGTTGGCGGGGTGTGAATGGGGGTCACGGATGACTTGCAAATATCTGCATTTGAATGGAGAGCAGAACCTGGAGAGTGTCGGTTCACAATCTTTTGAGGCGAGCCGGTCACTTTGCGCGGTGGAGATGACTCGGCGTTGGTGAGAGGGGGTTAGGGTGTCGATTTGGGATGGAGGATGAGAGTTGGTGCTGGTTGGCGGCAGCGCCCCATTGAGCTCTGTCGGGGCTGGTGGGACCGCTGAATCTGCTCCCCCAGCACCAAATGGAGGTCGAATGGCATTTCCTTGCCCAGCAGGATTATTGGATGCCCCACCCGTCACGGATGCGCTGGGCGCGGTTTGCATTGGGAGATCGGACGTCTGTGTCTCGCCATCCAACCCTTTGCCTCGCCGATCTCCGACCCGGACGCGCTTCTGTGAGAGAACCGACGGTGCTGTAGGGAAAAAGTCCGCGAAGCCGGCCGAGGCGCGTGACATGGTGTGAGATGTGGCTACACGCCCGAGACGGCCGCGCGACGACCAGGCAGCATCCTTGATCACGGTCTGATGGTGTGAACCCAAGAGACTGGGAGACAGACCCCAGCCCAGAACGGAAACGCAGGAGAAGGGTGAAGAGGGCGAAAGGAGACACGACTTGCAATAAAGGAAAGCGAAGGCGATTCGACCCAGGATCCCGCGGAAGGGACATTTCAACGCGAAAGCGAGTTTTGCAGGGGAACGACCTGACTGAAGCAGCAGGCGGTGAGGCGGGGAAGGGGAAGGCGGTGAGAGGAGTGGGGACTGGTTTTTTGTTCTTTACTTTCTGCTTGGCTTGGCGGTCTGGAGACTGTTTTGGAGACTCTTCAGCCGACGGCGTCGCAGAGGACACAAATTGAGGGTCACTGACACTCAATAAGGTCAGGATATTGCTTCTATGTGATTAGTGAGGAGGGAACTTATTGTCTTCTCTTCCCTAGTGTATCGGAAGGGGAGTGTTCAAGAAAGCCTCAAAAAGAGAGGACTGCAGTCCTGTTTTCTCTGTTCCGGTCCTTGTTCCCCAAAGAGAGGCCTATGCTGCCATCTATACTGTTGAGACCAATGTACATTTCTTTCCCTCTCATTAATATTAAAATAGGATGTATGATCGATGTAACGGCGCGACCATCTAGCACGAAGTGCCAGGCCCGACAGTGTATACCTCCCAGAAAGCGGTCAGGCCAGCCACCTGTCTGGCATCGGTCGCGCGGTCCGGGAGAGGCAAGGAAAAAAGATCGCGACACAAGTAAGGCTGAAGAACAGCCAGGGAATGCCGAGCGGCTGGCAAGTAGGGGCAAATGAGGGTTGTGGCTGAGCAGTCGCTGAAGCAAAAATAGCATCCGATAGTTTGGAAATGAAACTGTGGGAACGGGAACGGGGATCGAGACTCCACGGTAAAAATAAATCCTTGGCCTCCCCATTTTCAAGTTTCTGAACACTGTAGAGTCCTCGAAGAAAGGGGAAACGCGCGATGGATGTTGCCCCTTTAAGAATTGCATAGTCCCATAGTCCCATAGTCCCATAGTGCGGGATTCCCGAGACTCGGCAGCCTTCCACGGGGATCTGCCCAAATAAGAATGCTGGTTCACTAGAGCAGCTATCGGCACATCCTGCCTGCCTTAGCTTGTATGGGGATCTAGTATGAGAATTCTGGGTTCATTAGTCCTCCCGTAGTTAGTAGTTCGTATTCGAATTGTGGGAAGGCTGATCGCGGGGGATGGACAACGACGAGAGCTTAGCAGATAGTGACAGTGAGAGTGGTCAATTGAAGCATGCTGACTCCGTACAGAGTACAGGATCATCCATGGGCGATGGTCTTGTTATGGTGTTGATGATTTGTTATGAATAACATGTTGATTATTTTGATTTCCCGACAACCAGGCAGAGACCGGAAAGTGGGTACCTGAGGCCTCCTCCGTCCGCCACTCCTATTTGCCCGTGCCCTGCCAGGAAGCCCCTCCCCTTGGGCCATGTTGGGACCTCCAGCCATGGGAGGGGAGAAGAGGTGAGACATGATCGGTGACGGGGCTGACGCATTGGCCCGGCAGCTGCTCGGGTGGACACAGTGGGCCTGGGACCTGACAAGAGAGGCGAGAAAAAGGCTAAGAATAAACTGTGGTGTTAGTGGTAGAGTAATTCAGTTATTCGTAATTCAGTAATTCAGTAATGCAGTAATTCAGTCCCAGTCGCCCCTCCCTTCCCGCCAGCTCGTTCCCTTCTCGACCCTGTGTATAAATACGATTCGGCTTCGCGCTGCTTCGTGCATCTTCCCTTTCCTTCCTCTCCTCCCCTCTTTCTCCTTCTTCCCCTCGTTCCCTCCCCAGCCACCCCTTCACCCACTCTGCTTAATTTGGCCCTTCTCTTCTACGACTCCAATCGCTTGCATCTTCTCTGTTTCAACCGCCCATCATGTGGTACGTCGCTCCTTCTCCCCCTTCCCCCAATTGGTCGGGGCCCTCATATGCTCACTTTCTCTCTCTTAGTGGAATTTTTGGCTACATTAACTACCTCGTCGAGCGGGATCGCCAGTTCATCATTGACACTCTGCTCAATGGTAAGCTCTAGCACCATCCCTCCCTCTCTCTCTCTCTCTCGCCAGGGAACTGCTACTGACATGAAACGGCAGGCCTGTCGAGGCTGGAGTATCGTGGCTACGATTCGGCCGGTATGGCCGTGGACGGGGATAAGAAGAATGAGGTGCAGGCATTCAAGGAAGTGGGCAAGGTCGCCAAGTTGAGGGAGCTCATTGCTGAGAGCAAGCCCGACATGACCAAGACCTTCGAGTCCCACGCTGGTATTTCGCACACCCGCTGGGCAACCCACGGCACCCCCTCCCGTCAGAACTGCCACCCCCACCGGTACGTCCCATTTCCATTCTCGTTGCAGCGGGTTTTTCCATCCCTCGACTCATGCCTCCCTGGAAACACACCGGGAGAGTGAGATGCATAAGGATCATCTCGGGCTAATGCGTCTCCCTCGTTGACAGATCCGATCCCACTTGGGAGTTCGCCGTGGTTCACAATGGTATCATCACCAACTACAAGGAATTGAAGGCTCTGCTGGAGACCAAGGGCTTCCGCTTTGAGACAGAGACTGACACCGAGTGCATTGCCAAGCTGGCCAAGTACTTGTATGACCAACACCCCGACATTGAGTTCACTGTCCTGGCCAAGGCCGTGATCAAGGAATTGGAGGGTGCATTTGGTCTGTTGCTCAAGTCCGTCCACTACCCCCACGAGGTCATTGCGGCCCGCAAGGGTTCGCCCCTGGTCATTGGCGTGCGTACCTCCAAGAAGATGAAGGTGGACTTTGTCGATGTCGAATTCTCGGAAGATGGTGCTCTTCCCGCGGAGCAGGCCTCCCAGAATGTTGCCCTCAAGAAGTCGGCCACCAGCCTGCTGGCCCCACCGGACAAGTCGCTGCTGCACCGCTCCCAGTCGCGGGCCTTCCTGTCCGATGACGGCATCCCCCAACCGGCTGAGTTCTTCCTGTCCTCCGACCCCTCGGCCATCGTGGAGCACACCAAGAAGGTGCTTTACCTGGAGGATGATGATATTGCCCACATTCACGAGGGCCAGTTGAACATCCACCGTTTGACCAAGGATGACGGTACCTCCAATGTCCGTGCCATCCAGACCATTGAGCTGGAGCTGCAGGAAATCATGAAGGGTAAGTTCGACCACTTCATGCAGAAGGAGATTTTCGAGCAGCCCGAGTCCGTCGTCAACACCATGAGAGGTCGTCTGGATGCGGTCAACAAGAAGGTCACCCTGGGTGGTCTTCGCCAATACATCTCGACCATCCGCCGCTGCCGGCGTCTAATTTTCATCGCCTGCGGTACCAGCTACCACTCCTGCATGGCCGTGCGCGGTGTCTTCGAGGAGCTGACCGAGATCCCCATTGCTGTGGAGCTGGCCTCCGATTTCCTGGATCGTCAGGCCCCCGTGTTCCGTGACGACACCTGCGTGTTCGTGTCCCAGTCCGGCGAGACTGCTGACTCGCTCATGGCTCTTCGCTACTGTCTTGAGCGGGGTGCCCTGACTGTTGGTATTGTCAACGTGGTCGGCTCGTCCATTTCTCTCCTCACCCACTGCGGTGTCCACATCAACGCTGGTCCCGAGATTGGTGTTGCCTCCACCAAGGCCTACACCTCCCAGTTCGTAGCCATGGTCATGTTCGCTCTGTCCCTGAGTGAGGACCGTGCCTCGAAGCAGAAGCGTCGGGAGGAGATCGTAGAGGGTCTGGGCAAGGTCTCGGAGCAGTTCCGGGAGATTCTGAAGCTGAATGAGCCCATCAAGGAGATGTGTGCCAAGTTCTTCAAGGACCAGAAGAGTCTGCTCCTGCTCGGCCGTGGTGCCCAATTCCCCACTGCCCTCGAGGGTAAGCCCTTTTCTTTCCTTCTTTTTCTCTCGTCCCTGGCACGGACGATTCGCGACGAGTTGCTAATTGTTGTTCTCTCTGTGTAGGTGCTCTGAAGATTAAGGAGATCTCGTACCTTCACTGCGAGGCCGTCATGTCCGGTGAACTGAAGCACGGTGTCCTAGCTCTCGTGGACGAGAACCTACCCATCATCATGATCCTAACCCGTGACAAGCTGTTCACCAAGTCCCTCAACGCCTACCAGCAGGGTGAGTCGTTGCACCTCGATCATTCGATTGCCCCTTGTTTGTACAGCCACTAACTTAGCGCTAGTTATTGCCCGTGGTGGTCGCCCCATTGTTATCTGCAACCAAGACGACCCCGAGTTCTCCTCGGCCCAGACCGAGAAGATCGTCGTTCCCAAGACCGTGGATTGCCTCCAGGGCCTGTTGAACGTCATCCCGCTGCAGCTGATCTCGTACTGGCTCGCTGTTGGCGAGGGCTTGAACGTGGACTTCCCTCGTAACCTGGCCAAATCGGTCACGGTCGAGTAAACTGGGGGTTTCGAAGAAAGTATTCAAGTAGACGACTGCGATGATCTCTTTTCTATCTTTAGGTGTTATTGTCTCTTTTTCTTTCAGGTTATTCGGGAGAATGGAATCTTTAATTTTGGGTTAACCCCTTTGTTCCCTTCTTTTTTCCCCTTTCTATCGTAACGATTCTAAAGTCGTGCCGTTGCCGCTCTGCTCCGTACTGGATCTTGATTAGGGTTGGGCGCCCCACGAAGCTCTAGTGTGATTTTGCCGTATTCGGCGATCACATTCCGCCTTCCCCGCCCACGTCTCTCGATGCGGGACGGCGCTCCTCGATGTTTTTGTCCTCCACACGATTTCAAACAACTTCGCGGGCTGAATTGTGCTTAAACCTGTCTGCTCTTTCTTCATACCTTCATACCGGATCAGTTCCTCCCCAAAATGACATCTATTAAAGGCCCCGGAGCGGCCCAGACCCTTGATGGTGAGAAAACACCCCCCGCCCCTAGGAGACCGGAACCTCGAAGAGGCCACACCCCGACTGATTGCGAAGCACTACAGGCTCAGGACTGCGCATTGCAATTGTTCATGCCCGCTGGAACACAGCAATCATCGATAACTTGGTGGCAGGCGCGAAGAAGAGCTTGCTGGCATCTGGCGTGACCGAGGAGAACATCACCGTCCAAACGGTTCCCGGCAGCTACGAATTGCCCATCGGCGTGCAGCGGTAAGGCCATTCCCCTTCTAATTCTCTAATAAGCCTTCCGAACAGACCATTCTCGTCCTGGGGAACACGCATGGAGCTAATTAAAGCCTTTCGTCTCTAGACTATACGCCGCTTCCCAAGTCCAGGCGAGCTCCACCGGCGAGGGCATCAGTGCTACCGACCTGCTTTCATCATCGACCACCGACCTGAGCAAGTCGGGGACCTCAGCGACGCCTAAGAAGCCATTCGATGCCATTATCGCGATCGGCGTCCTCATCAAGGGCGCCACGATGCACTTCGAGTACATTGCCGACGCAGTCAGCCATGGGCTGATGCGGGTGCAATTGGATACGGGAGTCCCGGTCATCTTTGGCCTGTTGACTGTTTTGACGGAGGAGCAGGGACTAGAGAGGGCTGGGTTGGGCAAGAGCGGGATGCACAACCACGGCGAAGATTGGGGTAGCGCCGCCGTGGAGCTGGGCGTGAAGCGCCGAGATTGGTCGGAGGGACAGATTCTGTAGCTTTCCGGTTGATTTCCTAATTCGCCGGTCTCGCGTCCTGCACAAGTAATTGGAAACTGCAGGCCAGCTATTGTTGCGTGGGCTCTGAAAATTTCTACTGGAGCAAAATTGGCAGCAGCATCAAATTAATCTCGTAGACATTTCGTTCGCGGCTTGGTCCTTGTCTATTATGCGTCCACCTTCACTCTTCCATCTGCTCCCCTTGACCCTTGTCCTCCTCCTCCTCCTCCTCATCCAGAGCCCGCCGCGCAGCCTTCTCGGCTTCTTCCCGGATGTCCTGGGGCACTTCCTCATGCCGGCCCTTGGTGGGGCCATCGACCGAGCTGATCCACGTCATCTCCAATTCGAAATCCTTGTCCTTGCTATCTTCGTGCGCGACATAGATGATGCGAGCCGCCTCCTTCACTCCGTCGAGCAGAGACAGCTTCTCGGAGCTGAGATCCAATTTCTCCAGCTCGGCCTTGGCCGCCTGCCGTCCCTTACCGGTGGCAGCACCATAATATCCCTACGTTGCCCGTCAGTCAGCATGATCGGTCCCAGAACAGAAATTGGGAAAAGAAATTTCCTCTCGAATGTGCATACCCAGTAAAGCCCACTGGGCTCAATCATGTATAGACCGGGTCCCCCAGCCTTGGCACCCTCGACCTTTCCACCGGCGCCCGACTGGGGTCCCTGGCCGACCTGGCCATCGACCGCCAGCTCTGCCTCGCTATCCCATCCACCGACAATGGAGGTCACGCCGAATGGCCGGACGCTAGAGTAAAGAGTATATGCTTGTACGTACCCGCCGAGGCGATTGGCGAGTGCGGAGGTCGGGATGGGGCCCTTGTACACGCCTCTCCACGAGGAGGCTTCGTCGCGAGCTCGGGAAACAAAGTGACGGCCGTCAGGGACGAGACCGGCGGATACCTAGACCCAAGATGAGAACCAATTAGCCTTGGACTTGCCCGTCTCGCAGAGTGATAACATCAAAAGTAAGCACCACCCGATCCCTGGTTCGGGAAGAATGGAGGACGGAAGGGCGGGGAGGGCTCAGTCTCACAATGCCAACGTGGCGATCAACGGTCGCAATTCTCTTATTCGCCCCGGGTTTGAGGAGCTTGCTGGTGATGATTTTCTCCACGGCCAAGACGACGCCGTCCTTGCACCGAATGCCGATAGCTGTGCCGCCGTTTTCGACTGCCTTCACGGCATACTCAACCTATGGGGGTTCGGTCAGCTGCACGAAGCTTATACGGAGCCCACTGCTGCCGCAGCGTCATTCATGGAGCAGAGGGTACCTGGAAATTCCGGCCATCGGGCGAGAAGACCGAGTTGGAAAGATCATAGCCCGTGCCGATTGACGTCTAACCCAGGGTTCCATTAGCTTTCATCGAGCGGACTGGTGGACAGGGAGAAAGGACTTACCATGGTGATGGTGGATGTGTGAAGCAAGACGGGTCTTCCAGAATCCGGGACGTCAGAAGAATGAAGTTGTAGGTGAAGTAGACGCGATGGGGAGAGCTCCCCCGTCGGGGCTGAAGCTGCGTCACGGGGGCTGCCTGGGTCACCTGACCTGGCCGGGCATTGGCGTCAACCCGATGGCTCTCCATGATTCGGAGTCGGATTGCATAGTTCTCCGCTTTGTGTTTGACGGAGCCACAACTTGCGACTGGCGATCTCTCGTCTGCCTGGGCCTCGCTGGGACTGGACTATCCTCCTGGATGTCCCCTGACTAATTTCTCTGACTAACCTAGTTCGCGGTGCGGCCCAATCTATTTGAACCTCCTCCCTTGGGCATCGCGGGGTCCGGAGGAGGGGTCTCCCTTTCATCACATTGCGTCTTTGCTTTACCATACATCCCCTTTTTTTTTTTTTTTTTTTTTTCGCTCTCTCGATCCCCCACTACGCAGTACTGGCGTCGAGTCACGCTTTCAGATCCAGTGCTCGTGTTGTCTTTTGGCTCCCCGTGATTCCCCCGAAACGTGTTGATAGTGACCGTCCTCTCTGTCTTGATATCCCGTGGCCTCCGTTCTTCTCTCTCCTTCCTACTCTTTTTCTCCCTTTCTTTCCACTCAACTCTTTATCATCATGTCTTCTTCCATCCTACACCAGTGTCCCTTTTGCGGCCATGTCTCCGACATCGCCCTTGCCTTGGCTGCCTTTATCGAGAACCCGCACTGTGCCCAGGTAGTCTACGCGTGACCGCTTGACCTGATCCGAGATTGTGAGCCTGACCAGCAACATGTCTAGTGCGGATTATCCGTGTCGGAAGGCAACGGGAAGCTCCAAGACGAGCTATCCGCCCTGTTCGACCGGCAAATGACAATGGAGCAGCGCGCCCCCTCCCCATCCCAGCCCGACCTGGCCGCGTCGCAAGCCCCCATCTCCTACAGTATCACCCAGCACTACCATCACTCATCCCACGTAGCTCCTTCTCACCCCGTTACCACGGACCCCGCCATGGCCCTCCACGAGATCCTGGTGCAGCATGGACTCGACCCGAGCACTCTTTCTCCTGCCCAGCTCGATCTTGTGAGAAATGCGGATCCGGAGCAGCAGCAGCGTTTGATTCAAACGTGGCAGCTGTACGCGATGCACGGACAGACCCGGACACAAGACCTCGAAATGAACGACTCGGAGCATAAAGGGTTTGCGGAGCCCTATATGGTGTCTGGTTATGAGGCCACGACCCTGCCAAATGAGCCCTCGACCGGAGAGCCCTACGCTGCGTCTACAGACCCCGTGTACAAGAGTCAGAACTGGTGCGGGTCGTCGGCGGGACCCATGGAGTCACAGTACGGGCTATTCGAGGAGAGGCATCGGTATCAGACAGCATGTGCTGGGGTTCAACCGCCGCAGTGGCTGTGCCCGAACTAAGGTTTCTGTGCTCTCGAGAACGCCCTGCACTATGATGATGATGATCTGATGATGATATGAGCCAAGATAGTCGGCATATCTGTACACATAGATCAGAACAATGACTGCAGATATGCTCCTAGATCCCTATGTTACCCATCTCCTGTCCTATCAATTGACTGGGGCTCACATAGCCCTTTCTCCGCTATCTACCAGGAGTGATATCCAAATCCGTACGACCCTACACAGGCGAGGTTACAAGAGAGCCGAAATGGCCATGGCGGATCTATCTGGGCCGTATGCACGTTACCCGAGAGAGACTATGCTCCAAGAATTTATCTACGCAACACTGCGGTGTGGAGATCATACTCATGCGTTTCTTCAGACTGGATAAGTTTCTGATCTGTTCATCCCTTGGACCCTTCCTCGAAACAAGCAGACAGCAGAGGTCGTCATGGCCAATAAGACAAAGGAGTGTTCGCCATAGACAGGTCCCCAGAATTTCCAATGCCCACAGGGGCTTCCTCGGGTAATAATGATACCAGAATTCAGAGTCGAACAGAGAGTTCAACATAGTTATGCTGGGCATCAACAGTGGCGTTGACACGCTTGCATGTAATGCCACGAAGTTCCCGAGGGATTCCAAACGCATATGACACACTGCATCAATCGAATGGGTAAGACGAGCATAATGATCGGGAGTAGAGACTCATTGCTTACCTTTACTCCTCCTCATCCATGGCAGCCAGGGTCTCGGCAAGGGCATCAGCAGAGCGCTTGACCTCTTCGACGGCCTCGGCAGTACGCTTCACCTTGGCGCAGCCCTGGCCAGGGTGGGCGCACCACTTCTGGAGAGCGGCCGGGTGGGCCTCCGCCATGGCCTCAGCCAGGGCATCGGCGGAGCGCTTGACTTCAGTGGAGACGTCGGCGGTGCGCTTCATCATGTAGCAGCCTTGCCCGGGGTGGCCACACCATTTCTGCATGGTGCGGCCCGCTGCAGCCTGGGCGGTGGTCGCGGCCATCAGGGCAAGGACAATCGAGAGAACCTTCATGTTGACGGGGTGGAATGAAGGGATTGGGAAGAGGGTACGGGGAGGCTTTGTAGCTCGGTGGTGTCTGATGTGTATTCAAGAGTGTGAGGCGAAGATCGTTGGAAGTAGATCGTGGGGAGGAAAGGCATGGCTCCCAGCCGGACTTTATACACCTCTGGAGCGAAAGCAATGCCTTCCCCTCGTCTTCATGGCTGTTGTATCAGTCAAAGGCTTATTGAGATGTGATTGAGACCCGAATTGGGACATCGGCCGTCAAGTCTAATGGCGAAATATTTGATTGACCAGCTCAAGACCAGCCTGGCGGGCTGCTCCATTCTGCCGATGCCGTGCCTGGGGGCCATCCCTGCGGAGGTTCTGGCAGGAGACAAAGGCCTCGTGGTGATGTTGACGCAGAGGCAGAGTGGAGTCGTGGAGAAGGGAGGCCAATCATCTCGGAGATGGAGGATGTCCGCGATAGCCTAGCCTTTGTTCCAAGTCACCCCATCAGGAGTCGCGGCTGCAGCTCATTCCGAGAGGGTAGTTGAATAGGAAGCAAGGAACCAAATGTTTGGGAAGAGTGGAACAAAGGCCAGAAGAGAGAACGGGGAGGTAATGGCCGAAGAGAGGGCCATAGAAGGCGGAGAGGGAAAGGCGGGCAGATAAGATCGGGCCGCTGCAGCGCGGCGTCGGGCGATGTCCACTACGCCGAGCCCATCCGGGCCTTTTTTTTCCGGTTTCCCTTTTGTCTCCTCTGATCCTTCCCCCTCTCCAATCCCCGTTTCCTGGCACTCTACCTCCTCCTGTCGACCCATCTCACTCCTCCCCCGTGTCTAAGAACTCGAGTGATCCAAAATGTTCTCTCGCACGGCCCAGCCTGTCCGGGTACGTGATCATTGGGCTGCCTCCTCCTTGGCGCATTTCTCTTGTCTAACCGAGTTCAGACTCTGCTTCGCAGCGCCTCCGTGGCTCCCACCTTCGGTCGCTCCATTCCCGCGAGAAGTACGCCCATTGACCCTCGAGAATGCGCGTGTGTTTTTCAATTGGTCTTTTTGTGACTAACTGTTTTTCTCTTTTTTTTTTCTCGCGATCAGCCTTCGCCAGCGTGCAGTCTGACATCTTCAAGCCTACCAAGTATGGTGGCAAGTACACGGTCACTCTGATTCCCGGTATGCTATTCGTCGCGGATCCCCCGATCGGTCTCGGCTGTGGACCTTGGATCTTGCTGCATGCGACACGGACTGGGTTTGCTGATGTTCACTAGGTGACGGAATCGGTGCTGAGGTTGCGGAGTCGGTCAAGACCATCTTCAAGGCCGACAACGTGCCCATCGAGTGGGAGCAGGTCGACGTGAGCGGTGTGGACACGGGCAACAAGCACTCGGAGGAGCTGTTCAGGGAGTCGCTGGCCTCGCTCAAGCGCAACAAGCTCGGTCTGAAGGGTATCCTCCACACCCCTGTGGAGCGGTCGGGCCACCAGTCCTTCAACGTCGCTCTCCGCCAGGAGCTGGACATTTACGCCTCCATCTCGCTGATCAAGAACATCCCCGGTTACCAGACCCGCCACAAGGACGTCGACCTGTGCATCATCCGTGAGAATACCGAGGGTGAGTACTCCGGCCTCGAGCACCAATCGGTGCAGGGTGTCGTCGAGTCCCTTAAGATTATCACCCGCGCCAAGTCTGAGCGCATCGCCAAGTTTGCCTTCAGCTTCGCCCTCGCCAACAACCGCAAGAAGGTCACCTGCATCCACAAGGCCAACATCATGAAGCTGGCCGACGGTCTCTTCCGCAGCACCTTCCACAAGGTCGCCGAGGACTACCCCACCCTGGAGGTCAACGACATGATTGTCGACAACGCCTCCATGCAGGCCGTGTCGCGCCCCCAGCAGTTCGATGTCATGGTCATGCCCAACCTGTACGGTGGCATTCTTTCCAACGTCGGTGCTGCCCTTGTCGGCGGTCCGGGTGTCGTTCCCGGCTGCAACATGGGCCGTGACGTCGCCGTCTTCGAGCCTGGCTGCCGTCACGTCGGCCTCGACATCAAGGGCAAGGACCAGGCCAACCCCAGCGCCATGATCCTCTCCGGATCTATGCTGCTCCGCCACCTGGGTCTTGACGAGCACGCCAACCGCATCTCCAAGGCCGTCTACGATGTGATCGGCGAGGGGTAAGTTTCACGTTCCTCACCAGACCCTTCTCCCAACCACCCCAACGCGATCTTTGCCATGAACCCTCGGATTACTAACGTGTTGGTTACAGAACGACTCGCACCCGCGACATGGGTGGTCAGGCCACCACCCATGAGTTCACCCGGGCTGTTCTGGACAAGATGGAGGCGGCTCTGTAAATTTGAACCCCGTCGCCTTCCCTCCTCCTCCTCCTCCTCCTCACTGCTACGACGGGGGTTTGTCCCAATCGACTCACCTACGGTGGCTCCTGCAGCGTCTGGGTCGACTGGGGGAATTCCCAATTATGTATTATCTTTCTTTCTATTTAGCTCGCGATGTCCCTTGGCAAGTTATAGCAATAGACACCTTTTGAATACCAGAGTTCTGCACTCCTCCCTTTCCCTCTTCTGATTCGCGCTGCCCTGTATCAAGATGAGGTAAATCACATCCCTACATGGGCATTAGAAAAGTAACCGTGGTTAACAATATGCTATGGGCTTCAGGTAATTCATATGGGGGCTATATCAGCTCCAGGCTTATCTGTAGGATCCGAGAGGACAGACCTCCGGCGAGTGAAGGGAAGAAGTCGTGTTGTTTCAGAAAATGCGTAGGAGACTACTGATAGGGGCCATTGAGCCATGGAGGTCTTCTAGATAGTTCAAAATAAACAACCCTTGTGCCCACGAGGCAGCACCAGTACAGCAAACTTTTATGTTTTTTTGGTTTTTTTTTTTTTTGCGTAGACAGAGGGACCAGAAGGGGCTCTGACCTCGGACAAATCGCCGCTTCTTTGGTCTGAATTCGATGCGCTGGATGCGCTCGTAGGACCCTAGGCACAACGAGTGACCCTTCAGGATGAGAGAAGTCCATGGAGAGGATTGGGGATGTTCCAATGCGCGGCCGTCATCGCCCGGTTCCGCAGTAGACATGTTGAAGGTATCGGTATCAGCGGGAAAAAGGGTATCACAGGTATTTTGAATGGCCTGCAGGTGGGCATGGCCAACCGGGTGATCACGGTGTCGCCATCTATGTGGCGCTAAATTTGAGCACCCGGGGAGAATTCGTTTGCATCGACAGGTAAACAGTGATCAGAAGGCTATACGTCGCTTCCGGCCCGTATACTTGGAGTTCGACTTCACCACCTTCCCCTTCTTCTCCATTTGCTCCTTCTTCTTCATAATCCAAGCCTTATCGCCCTTTCGAGGCGGACCCCGGGCATTGTGCACCTCCATAGCCTTTCTCCGCGCATCCAAGACATTGACATCATCCATGCCGTTGACAACTCCAGTGATATCGCCCTGCAGGCCGCCACCGCCGACGGTGAGGACAAGGTAGAGTTTGCTGTTCTTAGTACCGGGGTCATCCTCCAGCATGCCAGCCCCGAAACCAGCCTTGATGGCCGCGCCGCTGATCATGCTTCGCTGAATATCGTTCTTGGGATAGAACTGGCAGACCGCCCGTCCACCGCGGCGTAGACTGGCGTAGAGACCTTCGAAAAATCGCTTGAGACGACCCTCGGGGCTGACGTCGCTGGATTCCGCATTGCACAGCCACTGGATAGCACTGATACTGATCGCGGCATCAAACGTGCCGGGCCGGAAAGGAACGCCTTGTCCAATGTCGGCGAGGAAGAGATCACCCTCGACTTCGCGTTGTAGTGCTACGTCCAGCATGCTGGGGGCGATGTCCATGCCCACCCAGGTGTGTGGCCCCCCGTCCTCGGGAGATACCTCAGACAGAATTTCGCCTGACAGGCCGGAGCCACATCCGACATCGAGAATCAGGGAGGGAGACTTCAGATCGAGGAGCTCGAGAGCGCGGTGGGTCATGTCGGCTTGGATATTCCGGATGCGCGACGATGTTGTATACTTGCGGGACTCATTGTCGTTGTAGAAGAGATCGGGCGGGCTGTGATCGCAAAATCAGTCAGATGGAAGCATGCGAGGGGTCTCACCGGGGAGGATCAACTTACAGAATATCTTCGGGGCGCGACATGGTGGCTTTGGGGGGAACAATGACCAAATGCGACAAGGAATTGAAAGCGGATGGCTGCGACTGTTAATTTTTTGGGCGGGGTGGCCGCCTGAAGGATCAGGCACCCAATACGAGAGCGTCATGACGGTTCGCGACAGACACCTTTCGCTTCCCTCCCCGGCCCTTCCCAAACCTTCGCACCGCCACCTCCACAGCTGCTCTTGACCGCTCTTCACCATGTGGATCCTACCGCTGGTAGGGTATTTGGGGGTGATTGTTGGATTCGCCTTCCTCACCCTCGCCATCGGTAAGCTAGCCAGCTAGCTCCGAGTCCCCCGGCTCAAGAGAACACAGAGACTCTAGGACTAACATCGATCCAGCATCGGGACTTTACTATCTATCCGAGCTCGTGGAAGAACACACTGTTCTTACACGCCGACTCCTGGGTCGCTTAATATACACCATCATCGGCATTCAGGTCCTCCTCGCGATATTCGACCGATTTCCCATCTCGCTCTCCCTCCTCAGCATCCTCTCCCACCTCATCTACGCCAGCAACCTACGCCGCTTCCCAATTGTCAAACTCACTGACCCCCTCTTCATTCTGTCCTGCGGGTTGGTCCTCCTCAACCATTGGCTATGGTTCCGCCACTTTTCGAAGCCGCTCCCTCCCTCCCGGCGCAACGAGACCAACTGGCGCCAGCCATACCAGGTCGACTATGACGACATGCCCTCCTTCTCCGAAGTGGCGTCGTATTTTGGACTATGCATCTGGCTGGTCCCATTCGCTCTCTTCGTTAGTCTGAGCGCGGGCGAGAATGTTCTGCCCAGCATGGGCTCCGAGTATGCCACCGGGGAGCATGTCCCATCCGGGCTGGGCCATAGCCGTGGGCCTTCAGAGGGCAAGACGAAGAACAAGGGAATGGCGAAGGCATTGGTGGACAACGTGCGGGACTGGGCTCGGGAAAACGGCGAGCTCATGGGTTTCTGGCGAGGCGAACGCACGCGGCGCTTTTAGAGGCGCCGGAGACGAGAATATTTACGGTATATAATGAACTGAGTTTGGTTATGCACAGCTCCTCAGGATCTGGACAGTTGGGAAGTAATATTATGAGATAGGACGTATACTGTATCAAGCACTCGGACATACAACCGCGCTATTGAGCGCCTGAAAATCAAGTCGCTGAAAGTCAAGCCCTCGGGCCAGTGGAAGAGTCGGTCAAAAAGAGCCAATGGGAAAGCAAAAGAAAGAGAAAGAAAGAGGTAAGAAAAAAGGTTATAAGAGCGAAAAAGAAAGAAGGGGTATAACGGTAGATCTGTGCAACGGTAGATCAGTGCCACGGTAGATCACAAAGAAAAAGAAGAAAGAAAAGTCATCAACGGGAGATAAATAGTTCCGAGGCCAGATATCAAACCTTGAAATATTGCAGCCTCATCCTGATTACCATTATCATTAAACATTCCCTCGCGATTTTGCTGATGCCAAGTGGATGGTGAAGTCGTTATTCCGCGTGCAAGTCATGACCTGTCAAAAGGTGGGTGGTGGGGCGTAGAGGGTTCTGAATTTGCAGCATGATTGTAAGGTGACAGAACAACACGGATAGGACTGAGCCTGCCAAGTGTTGCTCCAGGCGATTATTTATTGCCTTGGTGGACGGAGAAGTCTCCAGGTGCTGTTCGACGAAAATGAGCTCGGGTCCCCAAAGCGTTTTGGGCAATCATCACATACTGCTCTCCATGAAGAGCATTGAGCTCTCCCGCCTCTTCGACTTGGCTGAACGAGTGTCGTCCGAGCTGGGAATCAGCATCCCATTCAAGGAAGAGTATTGACCCGAGGCTCCTGGGTGTTGGTTGTAGGTTTCGTTCCTGTAACCAGCTTGTTCATAAGATGGCTGCATTGGAATGAAGCCTGTCTCGTGCGGAGCACGGGAGTTGTCAACATGACTGGCCGAACCATCTCCAGGGCCACGGAATGAGGTCTGGTTATAGGAGGGGGTCGGTATATCCGAGAACATCTGGTGGCGCGGAGAGCGAACATCATCGGGGGACAGACTGTGGTCTACAGTCAGCTCCACCGCGGACGAGCGGGAGCCGGCGTCGCCAAATATGCTATCAAAGTCGGTGAGGAACATCGAAAATACAGGCGCCGGAATGTTGAGGGTGGGAGCAAAGACAATGCCCACGTTACGGACGGTCATCTTGTTCACATCCGAATTGTTGACAATCTCAATCAAAAATAGAGACAGCGCACGCAAGAGTGAAAGGTTCGGCTTTGGCAACCGGTGAATCAGTGCGTTGAAAGCGACGACCTTCTTCTGTCGATCATCAAGTTCTGTTGAAAATTCACTAATTAGCTTTTTAAGGTTTGATGAATCGGAGGGGGAAGAGACAACGGAATGTGTTCCATACCAAGAACGCGAAGGAAATCCAGATGGAGTTCTCGAGTCAACACTGTTGTCGGGAGCTCGCGCAAGTACTGCTTGAAGAGAGATGCGACAGCGTGGACATCGTAATATTGATCCCCCGTCAGGAAGTTAACATCACCCTCATTGTTGAACCGTTCCTTCAACGCCTTGATCACAACATTGGAGCCGCTCAGGCGGAAAATTCCTTCTTCCAAGGCCGCGTCCTTAGCATGCAGGTATTCGATGCAACGGTAGACCACAGCAGGAAGGTCTGCTTCAACACCTTGAGGACCGCAATCCTGTACAGCCTCCGCCAGGGGAATACCAAATACAGGCTTGACAGGCTCTCGTCGCTCGGCTTGCGCATTGGTTCCTGTGGATGCCTCATTGGCCTGTGCAGCCAGATCAAAGGAGGACCTTGTGCGGAAGCCCCAGATGCTGCGCTTCTTCTCTTTAACGGACGTGGTTGTGGTCGTTGGCTTATTGCCCCAGGCCCCCACATCCTGGATGACTGTGCCGTTGGTGGGCCCCGAGATTATCTTCGGGGATTGCAGGCCTGGGTCCACACCGGATTGATTCAAGTCTCGGAAGTCAGTGGACAGAGCGGCCGGGATTCGTGGAGATCGAGGTGCATGATCGAGAGAGGAACCAAGAATAGGAGGCTCAGCTGCAACAGTATCATCAAAGCTGAACCCCTGGACAGAGCCACCTGCTTCTTGATCAGGGCTCTCAACCCCACGGCCAGATTGCTTGTTTCCGCTGTTGAACCCCTTAGGTTTGGATACAGCCGTCGATGAATGTTTGGCTTGGGCTTGTGATTGACCCTTCGACGATCCATTTCCCCGGCTCTCGCTATCCGAAGAAGGCGGCTCCACGTACTCCATCAGCGCATCGACCCACTTATCACGCTCCTCATCACTTTCAGCGCAAAGCACATGGCGGACAAGCGCTGATGAATCTTTCTTCTTCGGCTCCAGGACAAGGAACGCATGGCGATATTGATTCTCGGAGTCCTCTTCGGCGCCCGGGGGCGAATTGCTCTGACAGCTGGAATTTTGGGACTGTTTGCCAATCTGCGCATGATGAAGCCTGATAGTACCCATATGGGGTCCACCCGGGGACTCGAAATACTTCAACTCGGGCCCTTGCAGCACAAAGTAGCGAGCTTTCCAGCCGCCAAAGTTCTTGCCTCGCTTGGTCAGATAGCCTTCTTTTCTGGGTTTCCCGTCTGGTCCTCGGGGCATGTCAAGATTTGCTTGGCCGTGACCTTTCAGGAGGCTCGTCTCATCGTCACGAGGTTCAATGGCGTCGTTCGTGAGGAAGTAGCAAATGACCAATGCTGCTTTCTCATCCATGGGTGTATCCAGAAGACTGTCGAAGTATGCATTTAGTGCGGCGCGGCGCGCATCAACTTTGGCAGGGGAATGACCACTGAAAACGCTGCGATCAGGCAGTCTGCCAGCGAAAGTGGCCAATTGTCGTATCTGGTGATCCAACTGAGGCAGAGATGCAATGACCTTTTCCACTCGCCAGAGTTCTGCCATCTCGGATCTGGAGATGACACTCAAAGTGAAAACAGGTTCCTCGTCCAAAGGTTTGGATGCCATATAGCTATTTCTGGAGGGTCGTAGCCGCGAAGAGGACACTCGAACTTGAATGAGCGGAAGTGCATTCGGAGGAAGCAGGAGGCCAGGATATTCGTCTGAGACCAGTCCCTGGTAGATGGTATTATCAGGGAATCGGGGAGATCTCGGGCTGTCTATCTTGACGGCCGGATCGATCGATGGGATTGGACCGCCAGGTCTTCCACTTATCATCTGAGCGTCACCAGGTGCAAAATTGGAGGGGTAGTTCGCAGCTCTTGGAGAGATGGGCATGCCCGAGAGGTTATATCCTGCCTGAGATGACATATCTCGGGGCATCCGGGGGAGGGGAGAGCCGATGGGCCGGTCCTCTGGCCGTGGGCTCAGCGGCAAGCCGGGACTCTTCGGCATGGAAACGATAGAGCGTCCATTCGATGCCATAGGGTTGGAGCGAGAATTCAAGACCGACCCCAGGGACCCCGCTGCGCCAACGTTGGGTGGCGATCTTGTTGCTAGTTCACGAGGGACTGTCGCTGGGCTGGCAGAGGCGGCATCCCGAGAGCTGTGCTCGATCTCGAATTTAGCAGCACCCACAGAGCCGCGAGCGCCCATCTCTTTCTGTAGGACAGTCTCACGATCCCGATCATCTTCTTCACGTGTCTTTCTCCTTCCACGGTCCAAGCTCAATCTTCCATCCGCGTCCTGCACATCCCCGTAGTCGGAATCGGAATCAGGATCCGCTGATTCTTCGCGGCCATGGTCGCCTTGTCGCAGGTTCAGGGGCGCCGGTGGTGGCTTGCGACTGGGCTGCGGAAGCTTCTGTAAATCGCCTCCGACCGGGGATGAAAGGCTTGCCACTGAGCTAGGACTTGCCGGGCTTCCTCTGGGAGGAAGCCCGGATGTCGCAATAGGTGGAACCACCGTTCTTGGCTGTTCAATTTCTCGCTCTTCGCTCTTCCTCTCGCTACTCGGAACCGAGTTTGCCTGGTCGACAGGGGAGTTATCCGCGGCCAAGATTGTTCGCGGTACCGAAGTATCAACCCTTGGCAGTGGAGGGGCAGCGTCCTGGAGCTCTTTGAGTTTCTTTTTATATTTCTCCTTCTCTTTAAATGTGCGATCCAGGTCCTTGTTGAGACCCAGGATGAGAGTTCGTTGTTTGTCGACCAACTTCCACAGCTGTGAATTCTGCGAGGCGGCCTGGTGTTTCTCCCTCAGGAGGTGCACAATCACAGCCTCCGGGGAGCCAGCAGCACTTATCAGATTGCTAATGTCGGCCGGACTCAAGGAATTGGCGTCAAAAGTCGATCTCTGGGAGGCAGAGGACAGAGAAGAGATCGCGGAATCGATCGAGGAGGTGCGAGGCATGACGCGGTGGGTTGGACGTTCGCCGGGTGCCGACAGCACAGAGCTGACGGAGGACGACGCGGAGCGATCGGGCTCGGCCACGCCAGGCGGTTTGGCAATATTTCCATCGCCGCGTCTGACGGCGATAGCTGCCGGATCAACACTCGTCATATCTGGTGACTGGGAGAGAGGGTGGGCAGAGTTCGAGGGAGGCGCAGGGAACGGCACATTGGCTAGGCGCGAAATAGGCGACCGGTTCTGGGAAGGAGATGGGTTGGCGCTGGACCTCGGCGAGAGCGGGCTTTGAGAGACGGGCGAGTCTTCGTGTCGAAACGACTGAGGCAGCGTGGTGTGCAAAGGCGAAGGTGAAATATGGCGGGAACCAGGAGGCCCAGGGCGCGCACCCATGTCGGATCGCGCGCCTAGGTAATCCCGAGGGATGAGACCGCTGTTCAGAGGCGGGTATGCCGAAGGTTGAGGTTGGTTTCTGGAGGGGCCTGGCAGGTCCTCTTCACTGCCTCGCCGCGACATGGTTCAGGGATCAGCATCAGAGGAGGGGGGGTGTCGGGGGAAGCAAAGACCCAGGAGGGGGGCGTGGGAAGCGGGATGGCGGGTCCCTAGAGAGCTGAAGCTTGGGCAAAAAGAAAGGGGGCGTGTCTCAGCCAGAGAGCCGGGACTTTCTTTCCCGGTGGTGGGGAAAAAGAGGAGGTTGAAGGCAAAAAGGGGGTTCACTGAAGTTCCTTTGTGTTTAATTAATTGTCTGTTTAGTCGTGAATTCCGCGGTGGAGCCACGGCGATCCTTGGTGTCAGCTAAACCAGAAACGAGACATGAGGGCTTGGTGGTGATCCGCGTTGTTTCGGGTGTTCCAACCCGGGCGATTGAGATCAGAGACGGTTCCTCCAAGGCACATAAGACAGACAAGACCAAATCATAGAAAAGGCTGGCAGGATTCCTGGTGATTTGATACAGCCACAGTGAGACATCTCACGGGGTTTCTATGACGAGTGTATGAGGACAAGGGTGCCCCAGGCACATCACCAAAATCAAGAGTTAACTAGTGGAGGGGGTTACTGTGCCTAGTCTTGCTGGTAGCCAAATATTCAGCCAAGGGCAAAGCTGCTGCTGCAAGACCAGTGATAGGCAACAACACAGGGTGGTTTATATCGACTTTATGAAGAGCATCCAAGATGGTGGCAGTAAAGAAAGATGCGACCCCGCCGAGAATGCATTCGTCGACACATGAAGCTCTCCAACCCTCGATGATCAGCAGGAGTGGACGCGAGCGAGGCATATAATACAGACTGTGGGAAATAGAGAGGCAACAAGAGAGGAGCAAGGTCTCGCCCCCAGAAACAGAGAAGGATAGACCATGAAATGCACCCGACTCCACAAATGCAAAGGTGGCTATGATACAGAACCCTCCAACGCCAGCGAGATGGGCCCAGAGAAACATGCCGGAAAAGAGCCATGGGGGAGATATAAATGTACAAAATCAGGCGATGTTGCCCGCCATGCCCAAAAAGATAGCCTGGGCAGCCAGCTGAAGAGACCAGAATCCAACCTTCTTGAATCGCCGCTTGCGGGCTTGATCGTCCACAACATCTCGTGCGAACGCGTCATAGGTCTGCCAAAGTATGAGTATATATGATTGATATAGAAATGCGACGGGGAATGATCCAAGATACTTACCGCAGCGGACAGGTCGTCCATCAGGCCACTGTCAAAGATGGTCCAGCTTCCATCAAAGTCACTAGCGCGCTTGACAAGGCGGCAATTGATGGGGATAAAAGTACGTTTCGAGTTGATGTAGGCGACAATAGGTCGAATGAGAGCGTTGTTGATATAGGAAAGATCTCGGGTGAAAATCGGAACCGCAGCCCGGACGTTATTGAGGTTGACACGCAGGTCCATGGCAAGGAACCGCTTGTCGGCTTCCGACAAGGACTCTGGGTCCTCCCGAGATCGCTGGGACAAAGATTCGGAATACTGATTTGAGGTGACGGTGGCTTCCAGGCGGTCGTAGAAATCAACCATGACTTTGGCCAGGCTTTCATCGTTCTCAGCCGGTAACATGATGTCGGCGATAATATCTACGGTACCTTCGTGAATCCATGAGAACGGGCCCTGGACACCTCGATTGAGATGGTCAATGTTGAGCCCGTCGACCCGGATGCGGTTATGTTTTTTCCAGGGACTAAGCTTGCCATCTTCCTCCATCCCATCAGCCAGTCGGGCCCCCGTGAAGCCATGGGTTTGACGAGGGTGAATAGTAAACAGCGAGTTGTCAAAGGATCCGGACATCATATTGGCGGACAGAAAATCGTAGAAGAGCCATTGCTTTCGCAGCTGAGGAAGGTCGCAGGAGAAGATGCTGACAGAGAAGGGCCTAAAATTATCAGGCTGATAGATTGAAACCAATACATCGTGCATCTTGAAAGAGTCGATCTCAAAATCCCCAGGGTGATGCTCGTGGCGGTATGACAAGGGGTCCAAATCTTCCGCTGGCCAGTAGACATGACGGCGATCGACGACGCCGCGAATGCCCTTCACCTCGACATCCCGGAGGGGGCCTTTTCCGTTAAGCCACTTCGTGAACGACAAGGTAACGTTGACGGTTTCGATGGATAGGTCGAACTGGGTATAATTTGTATCTTCTTCCTCGGACGGAGCTGACGTATCCTCAAATTCGTGTTCGTGTTCGTGCTCACCACGAGCCGCAGCGGCGGCTGCAGCGGCGGCCGTCGTGGGAGAGCCCTTGCTGACATGCCCTGTTCCTTGCCCAGGCCGCCTCGACACAAAGACATTTTTGAAAGTAATCACTCCATTTCTCCATTTGGGAACGATGGCGGATTCAAAGACAACTTTCACTCCAGAAGACTTAGTAAGGTAGCTGCCCACCCATCCGGCAAGAGTTTCTGCACAATGATTAGCATCCATGCAAGTTTCGCCTGAATAGAGGTCGGACACACATACCTTGCGCAAACACCGTATTAATAGCAAGAATTAGGAGTGAAAAGAATGTGGTAGTTCCAACCACTACCCAAACCACATGGCCCAGAATAACCCATGAGAAAAGCGCTGTTATCTCATCCAGGTTGAAGGGTCGTACGCTTCGGATAGAAAACCACTTGAATCGCACCTTTAGGCGCGACCAGAACCCAGTTGCTGCAGCCAGAAGCTCTTCTTTTGTTGGTCGATGTAAATGCGGCATATGCGGCAGGCGATCCATCAGGTGGTGGCGATTTGTGGAGGGAGATGTTGATTGATGAGAATATTGAGAGGGTGTGGCGTTAGGGGTCTGCGAGGAATGTTCATCGGGCTTTTGGACCTTCGAAGAATGGTCGTCATCCTTTGGTGATCTAGAGCCATCAGAAGAGGCTCCTTCACGTGGACGGTCGGTTGGGGTATGCAAAGCTCGCTTCCAGATGTACTGAGCGGCGAGCTGTTTCGATGGGATAATGCAGGCGGCACTAGTTTCTGCTGCTGAAGAACTATGAGATACAAGGACAAGGAAACCCCCGGAGGCAAACCGCCGCGTCAGCTGCGTGGACTGTCCGGGGGGTGTTGATAACCGTCTATGGCTGGCGAAAAACGAGTCAAAGGCCTTCCTGGAGGCATCGGGGGCGGGAACGCGATTCGGCCGTATGCGGCCTATGAATGGATATGCCGATTCCCAAAGATGGGCATATAGCCGGCGTCCGAAGTTCGAGGACATCTTTGCCTTTACATCCTGGGGTTTGCTGGGGGAAGCAGGAGAGAGGCCGAATGCCTTGGCCGAAGCTCAGACGGGGGGAAGCATGAAATCATCGGGTGTTTGTCCTGTTTGCACCGAAAAATCCAGCCGCCCACACTTCTTTTTTCGGCGAGGGGGTCCGGCCACTGATAAATTCTGCGATAACAGATTATTTCTTATTTACGACTTTTCTTTCCCCCCCCCCCCCCCCTTTCGACAATCATGCCTGCCCCGACTGCCCTTCGACAGCCGGCCGAAGCCTCCACGCTTCAGCCGCCAGTTTCAGCTATGGGTATGTGCTGCCTCCCGAGTCGCCGGGTGCTGTTGCGCTAACAACTGCTAGACCAGGATGACGAGGTCTTGATTGATGCCCAGGGAGCGAACGAGCCAGATGCCACAAATCCCGTGGCAGACTCAACGGGAGATAATGAGATGCGCATCGATGAAGAAGGCCGCCCCGTTTTTACACCTGCAAAGGACACCAACACCGCTTATCGCATCGAGACTCGCAAGGTGCCTGTTCCACCTCATCGCATGACACCCCTCAAGGCCAACTGGACCAAGATCTGCCCTCCCATTGTTGAGCACCTCAAGCTCCAAGTGCGCATGAACATCAAGAGCCGGGCAGTGGAGCTCCGCACTTCCAAGTTTACGACGGATGTGGGTGCGCTCCAGAAAGGCGCCGACTTCGTCAAGGCTTTCACCCTCGGCTTCGACATCGACGATGCGATCGCTCTTCTCCGGTTGGATGACCTGTACATCCAGTCTTTCGAAATCAAGGATGTGAAGACTCTCAACGGGGAGCATCTTGGCCGTGCCATTGGTCGTATTGCGGGCAAGGATGGAAAGACCAAGTTCGCCATTGAGAACGCCAGCCGGACCCGAGTCGTGCTAGCAGACCAGAAGATTCACATTCTAGGTGGATTTAAGAACATTCACATTGCCCGAGAGGCAATTGTCAGCCTGATTTTGGGTAGCCCTCCGGTAAGTCGCCCTAGTGGAAAGATTTTTCCCCCCAGTTGTGTTTTTCTCTTCTGACACAGAACAGGGCAAGGTCTATGGCAACCTTCGAACCGTTGCTTCTCGCATGAAGGAGCGATTCTGATTTCTGCTCATCAATATCGATTCCCGGCATGGTATGGGCGTTCAGGAACATTTGGGCTTTTGTTTTTATTTTAAAGATATCTTCCACGCGTAACGACTTCAAGATATCAATCTTGAAAAAAATATCAAGTTTCTCTTTCAAGTATGTTTGAACAACGTGGTTTCCCCAAAAAAGGGATTTCCATTCCTTGTATTAGAAGACTATCGTAGACAAAAGGACCAGCTCTCTAATCCTTCTTCAGCGGGTGATACACCTCCTGGATCCCATCCTTGGTGATAATCATCATTTGCAAGTTATCGCCAACCTCGATGTGCCGCTCCACCGCACTTGTGAATGCATCCCGGACAAGGGCCTTGACTGTTTCTTGGGGCAGAGGCTCGGGCTTCTTCGCCTCCAGCGCATGTCCCTCTCCGCTGCCGGGAATGTATTGGTTCTTGAAGTTGACTTGGTTGTCCAGGAACGGCATGATCAGACTCGCGGCAGCACCGGCAGCACGGCATTGCTCCCTCTCGTATGAGCCCACGGGATCGTAGCTGTACAGAGCTCCCTTGCCCTCCTCGTCCAACCCGGCCAAAATGGCGTGTACATAATAGGGGAAGAATCGCTTCTGGTACAGAATGGTCGACAGGCGCTGGGCACAAGCAGAGACGGACATGGGTTTCCCGTGCTGATACTTGTACATCTTCACCACGGCATCCAGTCGTTCCTTGAGGGCATTGCCGTCCGCGGCGAATCCCACCACAGACAGGAGAATGTTCGCTCCCTCACCGGTCTCATCATCACCACCGATCTTGAAGACCTTAGGAACCATGCGAGAGTTGATATTGTAGCCTGATGTGGAACGGGTGTCGCCAGCAAGGATGGCGAAATCGGAGCCTGTGATGCCCAGAGTCGAGCCACCATTATCGGTGTAACTAGCCAAACGATGCCGTTAGTAAGATTCCATTTGGGATATTCCTGCACTGGGTGCTTCGTACGGGTAGAATCCATGCTGCTTGACGCCGGCAGCTGTGTGCTCAGAGAAGGAGTATCCGATGGTCTCACCGCGAGCTTGGTGATCCATGAGCGATGCCATTGTGGGAATGGTCAAGGATATCGAGGTTCGATGAAGGTTGAGATGGACTGAGAGAAGAGATGGAGGTGGTGGAAGAGGATAATGGGGAGGAGGATATTCGTTGGCGAGAAGTAGTTAGCAATAGCGGCTGTCTGTCTGACGCGATGCTGCAGCTGCCTCGCTTATGTAACGCCGCGGGTGGGAGCTGCGCCCTTTGCTTCCCAGCGGAGCTTCATTGGACTTCGTAATTGCAGCTTCTGCTTGACGAAGAAAAGTGAACAGGCAAGATTTGAGCTGAAAAGCTGCTAGCAGCTGTGGCCACCAAGATTTTCTATTCTCAGCTTGCGACGCTCCTCGGAAATCCCACCCGTGCGGATCGATATCATGCTCGGCCTCGGTGCATACGAGAGCAGTAGCGAGGACGAGGTAGTGACCAAGCCCTCTCTCCAGCCCCAGCCAACAGTAAGGAACTCATTTCCAGGCATGAGGAATCTACTGATCACTTGTCCAGCCGAGTGAGAAGAAGCCACCCGTTGCGTTGGAGCAACCCATGCAAGACCAAAGTGAGTAAGTTCCGGCCTGGTGCTCGGGGGCCTTGAAGCGGTCTGTTCCCCGCAGGCTAACACTGCGTTGTTCTTCTAAGAACCAGCTCCTATTCATCGTCAACTACCGCTACAGCCCAGTACGACTGCCAACGTAGCCCCCAGCGGCCCAGTCCTCGGTCCCGCATCCGGCCCCGCGCCTCTCCGCCAGACACAATCGCCCGGCCGTTCCAACAGCGGCCGTTCCTCTCCCTTCTCTACAACACGGGCTCTGTTGCACGATCTCACGCTCCCTCCAGTCCCCAATCTGGACATTCCACCGTCACCGCCCGGGTCTCCGGACCCGGCCGCCAATGCCAAGTTCGAGCATTTCCTCTCTCTGAAGAAACAGGGCGTTCATTTCAATTCAAAACTGGCCAGCTCGTCTTCACTGCGAAATCCCAGCTTGATGATGAAGATGATGGAGCATGCAGGTATTGATGAGCAGTCACAATACAATACATCGTTGCCGGTTGAGCTATGGGATACCAGCAACCTACCCAAATGGGCCTTCAAGGAAGAGCTTCTCAAGGCTCAACAAGAGACCCGACAGAAAGTGGAAGAGAAGAAGGCAGCAGGGCAGCGGTCCTCAATTGAATTTGTCTCTGGGTCGGAGGCAAAGAGGAAAGCCAATCCATGAGCAGCGAAAATGAGACTCTGTACGGACTCTCTCCAGCACACCCCTGCTCTGAAGGACCAAGAAGAATTCACAAGTGATTTCCGTCGGGATGAAGAGCTCATGAAACAGATGTGCTGACTTGGAACGCCTGGCAACCCATCACTGCTGCCCATCTGTGAAATGTTTAATGGCATTCCCCATACTGCGTGAAGTAGCATGGCCAGCTCTCTCGAGCTACGGCGGGCACGAAACATGTCTCTGCTCCCATCACCGTGCCGGGAGGCTCGGTGTGATGAGTCTACCATGAAAGCCACGAGAGATCTGGGATGGGGGCCGCATGAGGATGGTGCATCGGCATGTGGTAGAATAGCACATCGGACACTCGCCCAGATCCTTACTTTATTCCCCAGTCATTGGTGTTCCGCATCCACTGTTGCTCTCTGTATTATAGATATATATATACATATATATAATACGTATGTGGATTCGAGAATACAGTGGCACCTCGGAAGACTGAGACCAATAGCATGGAAAGAAATCCGGGATCTGATGTTTCAACTTCATCTCCTTGGAAATATTTTTCTGAATATCTTCTTGCCTCTTCTAGATATCCTCTGAATGAACTTTTATGGTGGTTCTGAGGGCGACTTAGTCATGGAAAATATCCAATTGAATCCTTTCGGGGGTTTCAAGCTTTTGAGGTGCTGCTGTATCATTTGTCAGTGTGGACGGGACCCGTTACACAATATGTATCGATGTGTTAACTCCGAGTTGGCCTTTTGAATGATTATTAAAACCTATTACAGACACTTGATCGTAGAGAACTCCCTAAGCCATCTCTAGATAATAATGTCAAGAAGGTGCGTCCGAACAAAACACGAACAGACATGCGTCCCTTCAACCTCCACCGCCACCACCCCCGGCGGCTGCATGATTGCGCCGTCTCGATCTTTCATACAGACTCAAGCCCGAAATCAAGGCCATTTTTTCAAACTCCTCCCCAAACTCCACCCGAATCTGGAGTGTGCCGCACTTGGTGAAGGACCTCTCGCGTGTGAAAACAGCCACCACCTGCTCAGTGCGCTCATCGATCATTTTAAAACAACGCATACTTAGCGACAGCGACTTCGTATCGTCTACTTTGACGCTATGCGTGCGCTTCCAGAGAAAGGCACGTCTCTCGCCATAGCCCGCGCCCTGCGTGCTTGGGATAGTCATCTCGAGCCGGTATTTCGAGTGGATGGCCGACTCTTTTGTCATGTCCTCCCATTGCGTGTTGGCCATGTCGTCGGGATCCCCGAGGGCCAGTTTGCTGTCGCCGGACAGCTTGAGAAATTTAGAGGCCGCCACCTTGGGCGCTTGGTTGTTTGTGCCAGCGTGGAGAGTGAGGTCCGGCTTGCCGTGGGTGAATGCGGAAATGTCTGCATAGTAGAGAGGCTGGTGATCTGCTGATTTGATCTCGTAGTGTCGGCGGAAGGCCGGCTTGTAGATGTGGAAAAGGCGCGATGCGCTAGCGTCGTCTAGCTCTGGGGGAGCGGACTCGATTGAATCGGATCGCGCTGAGGCAGGCGACATGGTGCCTGAATGACTAGATAGATTATAGATGATGGATTATAGTGAGAATTCAGGTGCGGTAGGTGGAGGAGAGGGCGTATTTAAGTGACTACGCGCTTGTACCATGTATATATGACCTTGGGTGTTCCAATGGGACCGACATGATCGCCGGCGGATACGAAAGTTGGGTCGGAGGCTGAGCACCGGGCAACATCCTATGAGAAGCGCGAGGTGGTTCCCGAGATACGAGCTGCCTGCAATGGGAAAGAGGACCGCCGGTCTTGAGTCGCTGTATATGACCCCACTGAGTTAGCGTCAGAAGAAGACCACAACTAGTTATTCCTACGACTACTGTCTTTACTCCGGCCGGGTACATAGTTGTGAAGCGCCACACGCGCGTGTAGAACGAGGTGCTGAGTCAGCCCAAGCTCCGTCAGCTCGCCTGCCTAAGCTCTCCAGTCGTGTGTATCGTCATCGCTCAACCTCAACGCTCGCCCTTCCTTTCTCTCCCCCTCAGTCCCGCCATCTCTCTGTCCTTCTTTGGCCTTCCTCGTGCTCAATTCACCATGAACCACTTTCCGGGAACCTGGGGCCGCGTCAGTCCAGCCCTCCCACCCCAGCTCCTCGCCCCATTGCCGTTGCTAACTTGGCCCACAGCCCAGGGACGATGTCTACGGAGCGTACAACCCTTCATATCTCCAGACCACGGGCCCCAAGACACATACCTCCTCACCGGCGGTGACAGGAACGTCGGTTGTGGGTGTGAAGTTTAATGGCGGTGTCGCTCTGGCCACCGACAACCTGGGTATGCGATGCCGTCACCTTTCTCCCCGTCCTGACCGTCCGAATGTCGTTCTGACCCGTTCTTATTAATCATCAGCCTCGTACGGATCCCTCGCCCGTTTCACCGACGTTAAGCGGCTGCGTATCTTTGGCGACAAGGCCGTCGTCGGGTTTGGCGGCGATGTGTCCGACATGCAATACATCGACCGTCTCCTCGAATCCATCGATATCCGCGAGAACTACTCGTCCCATGGCAACATGCTCAACGCTAAGAATCTGCACACCTACCTCGCCAAGGTCTTCTACAAGCGACGCTCCGAGTTCAACCCGCTCTGGAACCACATCCTGGTCGCCGGCTTCGACGGCGAGGGCAAGCCGTTCCTCAGCTCCGCCGATCTGTTGGGCACGACATTTTCGGCACCGCACCTGGCCACCGGATTCGGTGCCCACCTGGCGGTTCCCATCCTGCGCCGGCTGTTCCCTGACGAGATGCCAATTGAGAATGTCAGCCGGGAGGATGCGGTGAATGCCCTGAAGCAGTGTCTGAAGGTCCTGTACTACCGCGACGCCCGGAGTTTGGACAAGTACTCGATCGCGGTAATCACCGAGGAGGGGATCGATCTGAAGGAGGATGAACAACTCGAGAACCAGAGCTGGGCCTTCGCTGAGAGGATCAAGGGATACGGAGCCCAGACGGTCTAGATTTTTCGTAACGCTATACGTTTTTCACCCCCCTTCTATTTCCCTGCTAGTTACCTACATGAAAGAGCCCAATGGATTTTCTACCGAAAAGAACAACATGAATCAATCGTATTGGACACGAAACGTGGGTGAGAACACAATATATACAATGGCTGCCAGTGCAAAGGAGTGCGCTCCAACGACCGACGGGTATTCGTCGTTCCATCACAGCTTAGAGCTCGGCTTGTCAAAGACGACCCGGTTGACAATGGAGCCCACTCCCTCCAGCGACACCTTCACCTCGTCGCCGTCCTTCAGCCACAGAGCGGGCTTGCGGCCCATACCCACCCCCTGTGGCCTGTAGATGTTGATGCCAAGTTAGTCACGGACGGATCAGAAGCCCCGGATACAAGGATACAAGGAGACTCACGTTCCAGTAAAGATCAGATCACCGGGCAGCAACGTCGTGCCCTGGGACAAGAAGGCAATCGTCTTGGCCACGCCGAAGATCATATCCTTCGTCGAGGACGACTGCACCGTCTTGCCGTTCAATGTCGTCGAGATGTGCAGCGCATTCGGATCCGCAATCAGCTTGGACGAAACGATTCCTGGTCCCAACGGCGCCCAGCCATCAAAGCCCTTCCCCAATCCCCACTGGCCACCACCGCGCTTGATCTGCCAGTCGCGGTGGGAGACGTCGTTGCCGACCGCATAGCCGAGAACATAGTCCAGCGCCTTGCTCTCGGGCACATTCTTTGCCTCTTTGCCCATGACCACCACCAACTCACACTCATAGTCCAGGCCCTCGCTCTCCTGGGCAATCGGTGCGACCGGGATGTCATCGCTGGGGCCGGCGACGGCGGTGACCGGCTTGAAGAACAGCACGGGGAACTTCGGGATGGGCAGGTTGGACTCCTTGGCGTGTTGCTCGTAGTTCAGGCCCAGGCAGCGCACAGTGCCGATGTCCTCGCGGGCCAGCGGGGCAAGGAGCAGGCGCACGTCGGCGATCTGATCAGTGACGCGGTGCTGGCCGAAGATATCGCCCTGGATGACGCGGGCCTGGGTGGCCTGGGCCACATCGCTCACGCCGGCGGGGAGCACGGCATCGCCGTAGTAAATGTGGCCGTCTTTGGCCAGGAAGCGGACGAGGCGCTGGAGAGAAGTGTTAGTCCATGGTGTACGGTCAGGTTGAAAATGATCGATTATCAGGTCCTCGGAGGAGTAGACGCAGGAAAGGAACTATTTTGAGACCGGGTTCGCGGGTGAACTGGGAAGTACAACTCACTGAAAAGGTCGCCATTCTGGACATACTCGTCTCTGGGGAAGTGCAGATGGGTATCAGAGGAGAATGAGGGGATTTGGAGGAGTCGGAATCATCAGAATCATAAGAAGTGGAAGATAACCCGAGCATGGCGAGCTCCGCTCCTCCGCACGAGTCGCATTCGGCCGGGAAAAGGCGACGATCCGCCCCGGCGAAAAACGGAGCTCACGACGTGCCTCCGTGGTGACAACGCTTAGCTTAATTTCTGGTCCATGGCCCCATGATTTGCACCCCGTCCGCTGCTATTCGCTCGATTCACTCGATTCGCTCGATTCGCTCGACTCCCCCAGATTTCCCCCCCCCCCCCCCCCCCCCCGCCATGGCGCGGCTCTCCGGTCTGCAGCGGGAAGTCTTGTCCCTCTACCGGCAGTGCCTGCGCGAGGTCCGCAAGAAGCCTCTCGTATGTGGTTCCTGGTCTCGTCTCTCCCACCTTCTCGCTCTCTGCTGATGCTGCCGCCTCGGTTTCTCTCCAGGAATCACAAAGCAATTTCAAAAACTATGCCCGGTAGGTCGTCTACCCTTCAGACTCATTCCCGCCCATCGCAGTCCGGCTGATCCTTCGCGGCGTAGCGCGGAGTTCCAAAAGCATCGCTCGGTGAATAAGAAGGACTTTAGCGCCGTCGAGTATCTGCTGCGCAAAGGCCACCGCCAGCTGGAGATGTATGCGTCCCCGGGTATTCGCAATATCCGCTGAGGTGGTTCCCATCCCATCCTCCTCTGGCACCTCCTCCGCCCTTCTGTGGGTTTCTGGTGCCGCCTTCTGGTCCTTCCCGTCTCATTGGTGTGCTCCTGAGTATAGCATTGCCCTCTGGTTCCCCTTCCCCTTGGAAGAGCTACCCGATACCACCCGGCACGGCGCGATGTTGTGGTTGGGGTCGTGGGTCGTGGACCGTGTACGAATAGCTAAATCAAGGCAAGCTTGGTCCCGGCTTCATCTTGTTGATTTGCAAATATTATGTAACTATATCCATCCTTCGAGAGTCGGCGCAGTGTCCTGTGCGCATGATTTGCTGGCCGAATGTACCATTGAGAGCATCCCTCGTTGACGCCATACCCATGACAAAGCCCATCGCTTCCCTGTGGATCTAGTTATATCTTGCTCGATGGATAGCGTAAGCACGTCGGTGCTCTGTCATCATCATTTGCAATGGACATTGCAAGAGCAGCTTAGCATACTATGCAGAACATGCCGTACCGTGTTGGTGGCGGTTGAAGCTGCTGGACAGTGGGAGAAGCTGCCAGAAGCGACTTGCCGTTTCGGGAACCCAACCAGTCAGCTTCCGCCATCGCCATCCCGAAGTATATAACGAGCATCGCAAACAGTCGAACACAGCTCACCTCTCAAATCAAACCAATCCAGATCCTATCAATCTCCTTCACTTCCGAGCTCCTTCACACCCTCATCATCGCAATGGCCTTCCTGTCGTGCTCCGACTTCTCCCCGCTCTTCCGCCTGCTGGATGACTACGAGACCCACCGCTCGCGCCCCGCGCCATCCACAGCCCGAAGTCCATCCACCAGAACCACATCGGCCCCCACCCGCCGGTCATTCTTCACCCCGGCATTCGATGTGCGCGAGCTGAACGAGGCCTACTACCTGGACGGCGAGCTGCCAGGCGTAGACCAGAGCAACATCGACATCGAATTCAGCGACCCGCAGACCCTCGTCATCAAGGGCCGCACCGAACGCAACTACCAGTCGCAGTCCTCGCCGGCCGAGGCCCAGGTCACTCCTAGCTCCAGCCGCGCCACCTCTCCCCAATGGCGGCAGCCTACGGTCGAAGATGAGAACGAGGACGAGGACACGGACGTGTCTGACGCCCGCTCTACGTCGACGGCTGCATCCACGACCTCCACCGCGGCCGTGATGGTGCAGAAGCCCTCTGCAGCCCCGCCCTCAGCCGGCCACTACTGGGCGGCAGAGCGGTCAATCGGCGAGTTCCAGCGGACGTTCAGCTTCCCAGCGCGGGTGAACCAGGACGGGGTGCGCGCTTCGTTGAAGAACGGCATTCTCTCCGTGATCGTGCCCAAGGAAGCGGCGCCAAAAACGAAGAAGATCCGCATCTACTAGGCAGTTGTGTTTGGGCTTGTGCTTGTACTTATGCCTGTGCATGAACGCATTGGAATGGAATCGCATCGCATTGGGATCTCGGCGCGGAATGGCTCGATCACCCTTTTTTTTTTCTTGCTTCTTTTTTTGGGACGTGTATAATTAGATGTCAATTCCTATCGCTTCACTTATGATTTCAATGAACTCCTTGTCGTCTGATGACTAGTGCAAATTCTTCTATTTCCTATCCTCCCACTTTCCAGATGTGACATCTCAGATGATGGCGCTTGCAAACAGCAGAGATGACAGATTTAAGCCCGGGTCTGCATCTTCCTTGCGTCCCAGCCGCGCTAGGCAAACCCTAAGACCCTGCCTGCTCCACGCGGTGAAGAGAAAGTGGAAATGCCACATGGCAAGGCCCCCTCGCTGAAGATTGAAATTCGAACAGGGATGGGCGAGGGAGGTTGGGCGACAGTCCGATGTTACGGAGTGAACAACTCATCCAGCATACAGCACACAGAGTTAGTGCCGCCGTAGCTCGAAGCGGAAACTACAATCTGCAATTGGAAGAAGAACAAAAAAAGGATAATAAAATTCATAGACCCAAAATCAAAATCAAAATTCAAATAGATTCCACATGAACGCCCTCATTCATGGTTGTGGTTGGAGAAGCCCATGAAGCGCCTTTGTACAGCGCCCAGACAAAACAATTCGAAAGAGGGTATATATCGATATCGATCCATAGACTCCGCGTTTAATCAGAAAGCATACCGTAAATAAACCATAACCATAAGCCCGGCACATCAACGCCGAGAAAACTTTTGTTAAAAAAAAAAAAAAAAAAAAACATAAACCCCACCCAATCACAACCGGAATCAAGCCAGATCAAACTAAACATCACTAAGAAAAAGCAAAAGAACACCGTTATTGACAACCATTTTAATGAGGAGCATAAGCAGAAGTCATCATATGAACATCCGGTTGAGGATGCGTCTTGGTCAGCTTGCGACGGCGGTAGTCCTGACTCCGGCTCCGAGGCCGGCCACGGAGTGGTTCAGGGGCAGCGAAGTCGAGGCCCTGTTCTTCCCCAGCGTGGGGATGATCGGGGGACAAGATTGTGGGGAGCCGGGGGATCCCAATTCCAGGCTTCTGGCACCACAGCCGGCGGCCAAGGAGACTTTGGGATCGAGGTCGAGATCGATGGGTTAATAGGCCGTGTTGAGATTTTGAGTTGATATACCGCTCGGAGGCAGATCGGTAGACCTGGGCCCGCACATCTGTGATCACGATCTGCTGGTAGCTCGGCGGTGTATCGGTTTCTAGGGTTGACGACGCGCTCGAGCTGTGCGAGACATCGAATGCGCCGGTCGAGAAGCGGTCAGCGTAGAATGATCCCCGAGACGCGGGCTGGTCTTCCTGAACGGCCAATGCAGATTCTTCGCGGGCAGTAGCTTTGGTCTCAGAACCAGGCTTATTCTGCGCCGGGTACTCGGTGTATCGAGGAGCACAGAGGGTTGATCGGCGAGCTCGAAGCCCAGCAAGGGGCTGCTGGGTGGCCGGGCCGGTCGAGTCATACCAGCGGCCAAAATTGGGATGCAGTCGCGAGTAGTTCCCCGGCTTTGCCTTGGCCTCTTGCAGACTAAAATGGCGCTGGACGTGGTCGTTCAGGTGGCTGCAGGACTGATCACTTGTGACCCAGACGGTCTTCGCGCTGTCTGCGGTGCAGAACCCTGAATTTTGGGAGTCAAAGGATGCACGGGTGCGGCTGTGGTGGTAGGAGCGAACGGAGGCTGCAGAGCTGTAGCCGCTGTCGGACTTGTTCAGCGACCGAGAGGTGCTTCGATCTAGATCGGCCTCCACGGCGGCTTTATCCAGCTGGCCGTTACCCTCATCGCTCATGGCGATACCCTCATCTTCCGACTCTTCAGGGAAAATAGACTTTGTCCGCGATGGGACCGTGATGGTGGGAGACTTCTCAAACGAGAATGGACTTCCGGGCACATCATCGGAATTCTTCAAGTCGGGCACTGCGGGGATCACGAGGGTAGATCCTCTCGGGCCCATACTGTCGACATTGTCCAGGCCCAAGCCAGGGCCCGTCGTAAGCGGCCGGTCTAGAGGGGCGCGCTCGCTTGGGCAGGGGGAAGCAGCGCCATTCACGACTCGTAGAGACCCTAACTTCAGTGCCCCCAGCTGCGTATACCGACTGTCCGCCGGGCTGGTTGGCCGGACTATGGGCTCCACTGTAAGCGCTGGTCTCTGGCGAGGCGGCAAGGGCCACTGTAAGCCTTTGGACTCTGTCAGGTCATCGACTGGATCTCTGGGCTCTCCAATTGGTGAGGGTACACGTCGGACGGCACCCGTCGATCGTCGTGTTGCAACACCGGGCCGAGTTAGGAGAGAACGCCGGCGAGTCAGAGAAAATCGTTGATTGCCCACCAAGAAGTGGGTGTTGGATGATGTCGCATCTTCAATCGTATTCTCGTAGATCACACTGTTGTGTCTGGAGAGAGTAGTCCGGGTAGAGTTGGCCCTCCTTGGTTGTTCCGGAACGCGCGAAAGCTGCGAGGAACTACCATAGATTCCCGGTTGACAAGATGCTCTCCGGACAGAGCGGCTGGCGGATACAGAGCCTGAGAGTGGTGAAATAGGTTCTGAATTCGGATCCACTGGAGACTGAACTGGGGACTCAACCGCCGTCTTCTTGTTCGATGGACCTGGCTCGGCTTCAAACAAGGTCGGAGGAATCTCTCTCGCCTTCGGATGGCTGCTCCTGATATCGGTTGAGAGGCTGTATCCCACCCATGGGTTCTGCCAGCCGATCAACCCAGTGGCCAGCTCCGGGGTGTCCTTCTCCAGGCGAGGTAGTTGGGGAGAGCCTAGGGTGGCGAGCTTCTTGGTCAGTGGTTTCGACAGTCGATTGGCACGGCGCGTCTCATCCTTCGTTGGGCTTGATTGTGAGTTGCCCATGGCTTTTCGCAGAAAACGGCCCAACGCCAAGGTAAAAATTGCAGCTTGCCCTGGGCTCAAAGGTAGAGCATGCGCAGCATGAAGCAACGGGCCAGCGTAATATACTAAAAGCGAGCAACTTGGACCTCGGAGGCAAGAACAAGGCCGGAACGACCTGGTGCAGCTTCGCTTGTAGGGTCAGATTAGATCGGATCCCAACCAGTTGACGTCAAACCACGCCGTGATTGCTGAGCGATCGATCCGGGCCCCAGGCCTGTACACCCGGCGGGTTTGGAATTGGACGAGCGATTGGCGGGTGAAGGATTCCCGTGCGGAGATGATGGAGTAGAGCCGTGTTTCAGATTGGCGGAGGCCGTGGGCGTCGGTTGGACGGGGGCGACAACGTGCGAGGATATGGGGGTTGGGGAAAGGGAGAGTGACGTCCCAGAAACAAATGGGAGGTGAAGGGACAGATGCGGGTATTCACAGTATCACAGGGTCAATTAGGATGAAGTCATTTACTAGGTCCAACACACAAGCCTCCCGATGGCCCAGAACTCCTACTTCCCGAGTAGTAGACTGGTTGGCCGGTTGGGGGGGGACGGCGGGTGGGCAATTGGTAAATTGCCCAGGCCGATCTGAATGAAGACAAATCAGATGGATAGTCGGCAGTATGGACAGGTGGAAACGCGAAACAACAAAAAAACAAGGAAGGCACAGGGTGTGGGATATTCCCATGAAGGGAGAGGGCCAGGCAGGCAGGCCGGGAATACTCTACATAAAAGTCAAGTGGAGAGCTCACGGCAGGCTATGCATCAGCCCATGTCAACGAAAGAAACAGGATCCGCGGACGGATGCGTATTGTCGCCACGAGATGCCCCCGGCTAAGGGAACCCAGAAGCACTCCAGGATCGTTCCCGGGGAGGGAGGCAGCAGAGTAAATGGCGGATCCATGAGAGCTGATAGGATAGGAGCTGAACGCGCTGGCGCTGCAAGCGGAACAAGGAAGTGGAGGGGACAACAGGAACTAAGAGGAACAAGCAGAACAAAGAGCAGGTACTGGGGAACGGGAGTACAACAGAGATACTTGAGATAGTACAGACTTTGCGTAAGAAACAGAGGTAGCGATGAAGTACCTTCGGCAGTTCCCCACCGCCCTGACCCAGCCGCAAGCGGGCTGGGCCCAGCGCACGTGACAGACATTTCACTAATCATGTTCGTCTACTTGGTGGATCCACTCGGCCCGCGTACTTCTGGAGTGTCCAATACTCCACTCCCGTCGCCTACTACTTTAGTCTAAGGTATCAGAACCGCCTTTGCGTCCTTGGATCCGCTGGAAACCTGATGTGACAAGGCTGATCCCTCCCCAACAAACTCCATTGTACTTCCTCCCATATCCGGCCTCCGCCCCCCACCCTACCGATCGATTGGACCCACGCGTCTGGCCGCAACCATTTCCCCTCGGTCTGTTCTGATCTGATTGATATCTCCCAGAGCAACGCCGTGGAAAGACTTGGCGCCTCCGCAGGCGACGGTGGTCCTCGCTCCGCTAACATAACTCCATCCGCACTCCGCACTGACCACCCGCCCCTCCGCACCGTACCACGTCGCTGAGAGGCCGGAGCCCACTGCATCCGTCGACGTAAGTGACAGCACAATCGAAGGTGGGGCCCATGGCGTGCACCGTGCTGTCCGCCTTCCCATACCTCACGCCGGATGAGTTTGACTGCGCATGTCGAGCGCTCGTCGATCGAGCCGGCAGCTGCACAGCCGCCCAAACCGATGGGGGCTGGTCGACGTTACGACTGGTCTCACAGGTATTCCTGCCGACGTCCTGCATGGGCTTGATTTTTTGTCAATATTGAGAGATGTGCCACTGACGGAAGCTGGACTTTCCCCCCTCGCTCGACCATTTAGAATACTACCAGCCTAAAGATAACTCGATGCTTGGAGGTCCAGATTCCTGCACTGGACGCAGATCTACACGAACCACATACACATACACAGGCACAGGCACAAACACAAGCGCGAGGCCAAGCGCAAGCACTAGAAGATGAAGATGAAGATCCGGTCTGTAGCCCGTCATAGGGGGTATGAATTGCCAATTAAACAGTTCTAACATTTGTTGATCGCAGGAAGCCCTTGTCCGGTCCAATCTCAAACCCATTTTACAGATAGATTATGATATCGTGCTTTCCCCCACATATCAGGTCCCCGTCTTGTATTTCATGCTCCGGTGGCACAATCACCAGGGCCGCGTGGGGCTGGACGCAGTCTATCAGTACGTGGTACCGGAGCAATACAGAAAGCAATTGCAGAGCGTGGGTGTGATGGGTGGGATCAGCTTCGGCGTAGGTGCACAATTCTCTCTCGCAAAACGGGGCAGGACCGGGTATTGTTCCAAAGGGCTCATATGTCTCGTAGTATCATCCAGAGTCTGGCTCTCCAGCCTTTTTTGTTCACCCGTGCAACACCGTGGATGCCATGGCGCGGATTGCAGACGGACAAAGCGTCACGACCGGGACTTATCTTCTCATCTGGCTCGGTCTCGTCGGCCTTTCTGTGAACCTGCACGTCCCCCATGAGCTCGTTGCCCCAGATGGTCCCAGCCCATCTTGAAAGCACCTGGCACCTGGCACCTGGCACCTGGCACATCCTGGCACATCCTGGCGGGGAAATGCCAAGCGAAAAGCCCCCCGGAGCTTCGGTCCTTTCCCAGCGCGGGTCAACTGATGTGGACCCTTGCACACATTTAATCCTCGTCAGAGGAGGCTTCCATGGGCACATCGCTATCCTCTTCCATTGGGGCCTCTTCTTCATCACTCTCGTCCTGACGAGGCCGCTTCACACCCTGCGGCTCTCCGTTCGCCCCAGTCGCGTGTCGAGCGGGAATCGCGCCCGGTGGCCCACTGAAGATAGACTTCTGAAGATCTGTCGAAACTCCGCTCGGCCCAGCACCGCCGGCGGGAGCAGTGTACGTGCCGCGAAGCTTGGCTAAGATAGCTGATGTACCTTTAGCATAGACAATTTTCTAGAAAGCTGAGGATTAGTAAATCAATGACCACGTCTTCTCATCAGACGAGACTGGAAAACGCACCATCTCCTTGCCGAAAAAGTCGAAGCCCTGGAGAGCGCGCATGGCTTGTGTGCTGGCCTGCACGTCCTTGAAGACGATATGGGCCTGTCCGCGCATTTTACTCGTCTTCATGGCCACGACATCGAGAACGGTGCCGTAGGTGGAGAAGAGGGTGTAGAGCGACAATCGGAGGTCGAGCTTGCGAAGCTTATCTGGGAGGTTGGTGCAATACAGTCTGAGGGGCTGTTAGTACCTGATGCTAGACCAATTGCGATCAGAGGTTGAACTCACGTTTGGTTGGGAGCCCCGATCGCCTTGGTGTCAGCCCCTCGGAAGGCCGCCGCCTTGGAAGCCATGATGTGTATGAATGAAAGAGGTATGGCTATTGTGTTTATTGCAACGACCAAGAGGAGAGAATACCGGGTGGAAAAGGGGAAGACCGAAGCTCAATGGATGCAGCACCGCAGCGGATGTCCAAATCGCGAGAAAAGAAGATAGTCATGTGACTGTTTACAACCCCTTACCTAAGCGGGCCCGGGGCGTCATCGTCGGCTTTCCCGCTGCCTCCCACCTCGTTCCCCTCGTTGACCCCCCTCATCGACGGTAGAGAGCTCCTCCTGTCGTATTTCCACCATGACCGCTCCTCAGGTTCACCATCTTTTCCATGCCCCAATTGCAGACCATTCGTTCTCCTCTGACAAGGGGACCCTTGCTGTCGCCCGGGATAACAATGTGGAGCTGTACCAGTCATCAGGCAGCAAGTTCACGCTGAGCGATGAGCTGAAGGGCCACGATAAGACCGTCACCAGTGTCGACATTGCCCCCAAAAGTGGTTGTATCGTCACTTGCTCGCAAGGTTGGTTTTTCCTGCCCCATCGAGTATTCTATTTTCAATTGCTGGCCGGCTAATGAAGCTCGAACCACTTGACAGACCGCAATGCCTACGTTTGGGAGAAGACTCCCACTGGCTGGAAGCCCACTCTCGTCCTGCTTCGAATTAACCGTGCAGCAACTTTCGTGCGGTGGTCGCCTTCTGAGCAGAAGTTCGCCGTCGGCTCTGGAGCGCGCGTCATTGCCGTCTGCTATTTCGAGGAGGAGAACGATTGGTGGATCTCGAAGCACCTGAAGAAGCCGATCCGGAGTACCATCACAACGCTTGCATGGCACCCCAACTCCGTGCTTCTAGCCGCGGGGTCCACGGATTCCCATGCCCGCGTCTTTTCGAGCTTCATCAAGGGCATCGACCAGCGCCCGGAGCCAAGCGCTTGGGGAGAGCGTCTTCCCTTCAACACTATCTGCGGTGAATTCTTGAACGACACCGCGGGCTGGATCCAGGGTATTTCCTTTTCGCCGAGCGGCAATGCCCTCGCTTTCACCGGACATGACAGCAGTGTCACGGTCGTTTACCCCAGCGCACCGGAGCAGCCGCCTCGGGCGATGCTGAACATTTCTACCCGTCTGCTACCGCTCAACAGTCTCATCTGGAACGGCGAGAACGAGATCATCGCTGCCGGTCACGTAAGTCCATTCATTTCCCCGCATATGTGAACGTATCATGCGGGCTAACATAAGTTATCTAGGATTGCGAGCCCTTCCGTTTCCACGGCGACGAGAACGGATGGCAGTTGGCCGGCTCTCTTGAAAAACAGAGCGGGGCCGGCGCCGATGGTGCTCGCGAGGAGTCCGCGCTGAACATGTTCCGGCAGATGGATCTCAAGGGCCAGACCGCAGTGGATACCAAGCTCAAATCGACCCACCAGAACACCGTGAACACTGTCCGTGTCTTCGAGGAGGCTAACGGACACGTGAGCTCTTTCAGCAGTACGTCAAGAAACTAATACTTGTCTGATAGATCTTATGCTAATGACCGACCTATAGCTAGCGGAGTCGATGGCCGTGTTGTTATCTGGTCTACCTGAATATGATGTTAGCCATAGAATATGTAAAGACCCTGCTATCGTACGAAGTGAAACCTACATTCTTCAAAATTATATCTATTTCCTACCTAATGAGCAACGAGTCCACCCGCTTGTATATAATATAGTATAACGTAGAAGCTCAGGAGGAAAGCCATGCATATATGGTGCTACGTGTTACCACTGCACCACAAGAGGCGGGTAAGATATTGGTTCCCGATATCTGGAGAGACACTGGAGACCCCAGGTATAGCCAGCCCTACTTGGAGCGTATGTTCCTCGTATCGTGAGCCTGACGAAGGTAGACGAGCCTACGCACGGGGACAGCATTAGCGAGATAATAAAATCCCACCCAATGAAGCCAGAGTAAAGTAAGAGCGTCTTATTTCACGCGTGACAGTCCAATATGGTCAAGTGGAGCTTGTCGCATTCTCCGCATGCGTCATTACATAATCATATCAGCTTCCCCGGACTTTGCATCGGCACGAGACACTTTCCCTCCTTCAACCCACCAACATGTTGCGTCTCCGGGGTCTAGCACTCCTTTGTCTCGTCCACTGGGTACTGGGCCGAGACTCACCACAAAATGACACTCGGCCGGTGTCGAGCGAGCTCTTCAACTCCCTCGAGGAACTATCCCGCCTCGTAGACATCTCATACTGCGTGGGTACGACCGGCGTGCAGAAGCCCTTCCAGTGCCTCAGCCACTGTGTAGAATTCCCGAACCTGGAGCTAATCGAGGTGAATAACCTGGCTGGTAGAGAGGCTTCAAGACACAACTTCTAACCATCGCAGACATGGAATACGGGCATACTCCTGTCCGACTCGTGCGGCTATGTCGCGCTCTCGCACGCGCCAGGCCCAAAGCGTATCGTGGTCGCCTTCCGCGGGACGTACTCGATAACCAACACAATCATCGATCTTTCCGCATACCCACAGTCCTACGTCCCATACACAGGCGACGATGACGACACCAAACACAACAACAACGGCACAGAGTCTCTATCCAAGCTGCGCTGCGAAAACTGCACCGTGCACGCCGGCTTCATGAAGTCATGGCTGAACACGCGGCCCACCGTACTACCACACGTCCTGAACGCCCTCGAGGCACACCCAGACTACGAAATCATGCTAGTCGGGCACTCGCTCGGCGGCGCAGTCGCCACATTAGCCGGGCTGGAGATGCGGCTGAAGGGCTGGGACCCCCTGGTAACAACGTTCGGGTCGCCGATGGTAGGCAACGCCGAGTTTGCGACGTTCCTAGACGCAGCGTTCCTCATCGGCAACTACAGCAGCCCCACAGATGAACCCGAGGCGCAGCGCATGCGGCGCATCACGCACGTCGATGACCCGGTTCCGCTGCTGCCACTGCGGGAATGGGGGTATGTCGCGCACGCGGCGGAGATATACATTTCCAAGGCGCAGCTTCCGCCAGGCGTGGAAGACGTGCGATTCTGCGAGGGCCACGCCGATAAGCGGTGCATTGCTGGCGCAGAGACGGCCCCGGCCACGACCCTGCTGGACATGTTCCAGCACCTTGACATTCCGCTGGATATCTTCAACAACGCGCCGGACTCGTGTCCGCCGTACACCGGCGCAGCTGAGCAGGCCTCAGTGCAGCACGTCGTCCGTGGGAAGCAGAGGGGCGCGGATAGAGTTGAATCTGCGAGATGTGCCTCGCACTCGCAGGATAGCACGGGCCCTTTATACCCGCGACACTGGGACTGGTCGCTGATCCCGGCACGGTATAAGCTGTGGGAGCTTTTCTATGCGCACCGGGATTACTTTTGGCGGATTGGGCTGTGTGTTCCTGGGGGAGATCCTACCGGGTAGGGCTAGGAGGGCTGTTTTGTCTTGCTTCAAGTTTCAGGTTAAGCTGGCGTAGTCGGGGTGGGTTTGGGCTCTCTTCAGGGAATCGCGGACATGGCATCTGGAATGACCACTGGATAACTCCGAACCGCGCGAGGAGTCGCATTATATTTATAGCGTATGTATATAACAGAATCAGTAGGGGTTCGCTAATAAAGAAGAATCATACTGCAAATGCAAATTTCTACAGAAAGGAGTCGAGATCCAGGCGATGCGGCAACCAACTAGGTTAGGACATGGGGCATAAACGAAAGTCAAATACAAGAAGAGTATAAATATCTAGACAAAGACGCCCACAAGAAAATGTCAAGCCAAAGCTAAAGGAAAACAACGGGTAATATTTCCCTCACCAAAGCTATGAACAAAACCAAAAAAGAAACCATATCATAAACGAATTCATATGCTGAGCACTACGCTCCGCTCCAAGGCAAAACAAGAACCCCTCTCCCCCCAACCCCCAACTCACTTCCCAGCCTCCAAACTAGGCACAATAACCGGCCCAAACTTGACAACGTTAGCATAAGCGCCATCGCCTTGCACCATAAAGTCCGCCGCAAGACTGAGCTTGCCCTGATGCGCAGCAAACGGCATCTGCTGACCGAACGCAGGCGTTGAGACAACGTCGGGATCATACGCGACGATAGCGACGTAATTGCGGCGGCCCATGAGCTTCCTGTGCTCGCGGGGCTGGCCGTTCACGTCGGTCTGGAAGATCTCCATCATGTCCTCCTTGGTGTCGGTGGGCTGAGCCGAGGAGCGGTGGCCGTTTGCGGGGACATAGAGGGGCTTGGAGTGGGAGTGCAGGAGCTTCAGGACGTAGGAGGGGGTGGGTGTGTTGACGACGGGTGAGGCAATGAGCTGGTACATTGTTTTGTGGTCGGAGGGTTGGGATGGGTCGTGCACGAGGCCGGCGCCGCAGGCGTTGACGGCGCCGGAGAGGAAGGTCATGCGAAGGGATTTTTGGTGTGCGATGCCTTGCAGGGTGCGGATGAGGTAGGTGCGTTCGAGGTCCTAGGGAGAGGGTCAGTATTGAGACTGATGTATAGGAAATAGAACTTGGGGTGAAGGGGTAGAGGATCTGGGAAGAGGATTGGAGGCGCACCTTTGACTCATGCGTCCACTGATCGCGCAGCTCATCCATAAGATCGAACTCGCCGAACGGGCTCAAAATGCCGCCCATAAGCCCCGACTTACCAACAGCCCGCTTGACCGAGTCAAAGCCCGAGCCGACGAAGTCCTTCGCCCCAACTACGCCCGCAACTGAGCTAGTCACCTTGCCTAGGACATTATACGCGCCAGTCACAGCCCTCTTCCCGGTAGCAACAGTCTGCGCGATATGCTCGGCCGTCTCGAGGCGGGGATAGATCAGGGGCATAGAGACCATCCACAGACAGTGCTGCACGCTCGGCGGCAGCATGGCGATCTTGGGGAAGAGGCCCTGGTACGTGGGACCAGCCATGACTTGGTGCGGGTTACGCTCTGAGCGACAGTCAGGCCCGACAACGACGACGCCAGGGCCGAGGTATTTGACGAAATGCCAACCGGTGCCGGTGATAGTGAAGAGGTCAGTATCGTTGTTGACGTTGCGGAGGATGTCGAGGGTTGTGTGGTGCTGGAAGAGCAGGTACATTTCGATGCCGATGCGGCCGATGTTCTTGAACATATTGGAAAACTGCATGTGCTCGGGGTACGAACCGAAGCCGTCAAAGCTAAGACAGGGAATATCATGATCAGTAGCTGTCCCATTCCCAGAATTCATCCAAACTCACATATCATGATCATCAATTTGGCAGATATACGGAATCTGCGCAAAGCTCTCCCTCAAATGCGGCTGGTCAAAATGGCTAGTATAGTAATGGAAATACGCATGCGAGACATCTTGCTGATTAGCCGCAGTCCAAGGCGCATTCTTCCTTGCCTCCTTCCCACTAATCGCAAGCCACTGCTTTAAGCACGGTATCTCCTTCCACATACGATCGGCATAAATCTGTCCGCCCAGACACAGCTGCGTATGGAAGCCGCCGATCTCATTATGCTTCTGCATGATATCTTTCCACATAAAGCCGACGCCCCCGAGGCGAGCGCGCTCGTTCGCGTTCACATTGAGTGAAAAATCGTTGCCGGATGTTGCGATGAAGCGCCAGTTTGTCTCGTGGCGGCCGGCGACGAGGAACTCGTAGCGAGTGCAGCCGAGGTGAGAGGTGATTGCGTATGTCCACTTCGCGGGGCCAGCGTCGTCCATCTGCAGGTCAACTTCGTACTTATAGAAGGTCCAGCGTTGGTGGACGGCGATATTGATGGCTTTGAGCTGCCGCGGGTTCGGCGATAGATCGACGCTTTGGTGGATGTGGATTGTGGGTGGTTGGGAGGCGTCGGTGACAAGGAGAATGGAGCCTAGCCAGAGACGGCGCTCGAGGTCCATGTTCGTGTATCGAAGGTACGGGCCGAAGTAGACGCCATTGGTGGGGGCGGTCTTGTAGAGATCCATGCCGCTGCTGGGAGGCGGGCCGGAGAATCCGGTCATGGGTGACTGCAGGCTCTCAAAGCCTGGTGTCAGCGGCACACCGGGGGATGCCATGGGCTTGCCAAAGGCTGATAGGCCGGGGGATGTGAGAGGGTGGCTGCTATATACACTTCCGACAGGAGAAAGGGGCGTTTCGTTCAAGTTGAGGGGCGTGGGACCCTTCGGGAATTCCCACTGAGTCGATTGTGTGGGCAGATGGATATAGTAGTACTGGCCGGAGCTGGAATCCAGGTGCGCAATCCAGCCTTCTGGTAGTGGCGGAGGAGATGCTGGGGGAGGCCCAGAAGGGGCGGGAGAGCCAACCTGTGCCGGATACTGCTGCGGCTGCGGCTGCTGCTGCTGATATTGAAGCTGTCCATTAGCAACAGCACTCTGAGGCGATTGCCCAGCATTAGACTGTTGCCGTGGGTCATTCGCAAAGGCAGGATGGCCCTCAGTCGAAGCCGTGGGCGTGGGAGAAGGTGCCGATGCTAAGGCAGGATGAGGCTGATTGACTGTTGCTGGGTGGCCAGCTACAGCGGCAGCAGCAGCTCCTGCAGCTACCGTCGCCGCCGCCGCAGCACCGCCAGCACCCGCACCTGCACCCACACCAGCACCAGCACCAGCACCCGCACCAGCACCAGCACTCGGACCAGGCTTCTCGTTCGGGTAGCCATTGGAAGCAGGCGCACCCGGGACACTTGAATAGGCAGGTGGAGGCTCCTCATTGATCCGCATGCGATCCATGTCTTGCTCCAGAGCATTAGCCGGGATTCTCGATTGTTGCTGGTCCAGGGGCACTGCTTGCGCCTGTTGAACCTGGGGCGGATGGCTGCTAAATTGGCCAGGATGAATGGGAGCTGGCTGGCCGCCGCTCAGTACCTCCGCGCCCTGGTACACGGTAGGCGGACCATGGGGCTGGGAGCCCGGCTGCTCGGTAGGGGTCCAGGGCCGCTGCGACTCCTGCTGCTGGCAGGTAGGCTGCTGGCCCGTGTACTGCTCTGCGCGTCTTTGGGCAGCAGAGCTCTGTGACCGAAGTCCAGCCAGCGTGCCCGTGCCCGCGATGCCGGCCGCCGCATACCGGGCCTCGATATCCGAGCCAGGCTGTTGTCCCGGCCCCACGATAGGCGTTTCCGGCGGCGGTGGAGATCCACGCTGGGCACGGGTTGTCGAAGTTGACGCCGTCGAGCTGATGCGATTGATACCGGCGGATGAGGACGACCGCGGAGGCTGGAGAGTCGACGAGGGCCGGGCCGCCGAGCTCGCCGGCGGCGGGTAGTACTGCTGCCGGTAATCGTACTGCTGCTCCCCCATCCCCGGCGGTGGCGGCGAGACAGGCGGCGGACGCGGGTACGTCCTCGCAGCCAGCACATCACGGTCGGGCGCATCAGGGCCCGGCGATTCAGGCAGCGGTTTGGGCGCAGTCCCGCGGCGCTCCGCGAGGGTCGCAACTCTCGGCTCCCGGCCATCTCGCGGGCGCAGCGCGGGGGGATAATCCGCGGGGCTCACAGAGCCCGAGCCCGAACCGGAACCAGTCGGTGGTGGCGAGCCGTATCTCGAGCTGTCCGCGGGGCGAGCATCATTGAAACTGGAGGAGCGTATCTGCGGGCGTGGGCGGTCATCGGGGTAGGGGAGGGGGATAGTGGACGGGCTGGAGGCCGACTGCGGGCTGGCTGAGTCCCTCTTGCTGATGCGCAGAGGCTCGATGGTATGAGCATTTTCCTCGGGCCTGCCGGAGGAGTTGGAGTGGGGGTTGGGGTTGGAGGTGAGGAACAGCTCGCCGTCCGGATGGATGCCACGGCTCTCGCCTGGATTCATGATGCAGGCGAGGCGAGTGCGCTCGGGGGTTACAGGTTGCAGGTCGCAAGGTCACAGATAGAAAAGGAAAGTTGCAGGAATGCAGAGCAGCCACCTGAAGAACGAAGTGCAGGGGTACCAATCACGGAGCTAAGCGCGCCGATCGGTGTGATCGGAGTTGGGTTCATTCAGTGAGGGGCAGAGCGGGCACTAGGGGCCGTGGCGGGGTGGAATAGGGGCAGCGTGGTGATAAACGTAAATGGGCGTTTGGAGGACCGTGAGAGTCGGAGGGGGGGAAAGAGAGAGGGGGGCCGTGTATGTGGGAAGAGAAGACCAGGGGAAGGGAAAAGAAAAAAGAAAATGAGAGCCCGTGAAGACCACAATCTGGCAACCTGGCGACGTTCCTAGTCTCGCGCTGTCTCTACGCGCCCAGTTGGGCGAGACGCCGACCCCGCAGGTGACGGGCCCCCATCACAGTCCTTGGGCGTCAGTTGCTATTGCTTTCAGGTGATACGGACGTACCTAGTTGGGATCCGTGCTCTGATAGGCGAGATGGGAAATGCCACTGGATTCATACTTCGGTAGTAATGCCCCGCTGTGATGGGCAGATATACTTGGATATACTTCGTGTTTACACTTTACCCGAGGACCCGACTGGGCCCGGGCCCACCGGAGGTTCCATGGCACATTAACATTCGTTTCTATACATACACATACATCCCGTCCGTCGTCACTCATGCGAATAGTACAATCCAAAAAGGACCAGCTTAACCCCAAAAACCAAAAACCAAAAAAAGGAACACCATAACAGCTCGCAGAGTACACAGATGCCCAAGATTGTTCCCATAGATGCCCGCAAAAAAAAAACGCCAGTATCCTCCCATAAATCGTGTATTTCCATCCGCTAGTCCTAGAATCCAAAATTGACCATCTGCAGCCCTTCTTGGGCCATCAGGTCGGCCCAGTCCACATCGAGTGTATGGCCAACGCGCATCAGGCGCTCCAGCTGTTTCTCGTAGACGGTCTGCAGGATAGCCCGGGTGGTCGCAGCATTGCGACCCATCCCGTCTTCCTCGTCTTCCATCCCAGTCATCAATTCCATGGCCATCATCTTGAGCCCGCTGGCCGACGCGGTGGCGCCGGCCAGGAAGAGCGGGAACACCAAAAAGTGCCGGTCGGCTCGACGAGTGTGCGTCGTCTGCTCGGCGATGCGCAGGATCTCCGCCGCATGGTGGTCGATTTCGCCGTCGGGGGTGAACTCCGACTCAAGGCGCTGGCGGGGCCACATGCTGCTATAGGAGAACAGCTGGCTCACATGGAACAGAGTTGCCGACTGCTGCAAAATCTCCCGTGACCGCCGTGGAAGGCTATCCTGGTGCTGATTCCACCAGGCCACATCCGACGCCTCCCACAGGCGAGTCAAAGCCTGCCGCAAATCACCGATCTCCTTGGATCGCTGATTGAAGTCGGCAAAGGGAAGGGTCTGCTTCTCTTGACGAAGCTGGCAACCCAGAAACCCAATCTGTGTCGCGAGGGAAAATGTCTCTGCATAGAGGCGCATAATGGCGGGTAAGCTATCGTGCTCATCGGCATAGATCATGCTGTAACCCTCCGTCATTGAGGGGTAGAGGAGGCAGTCCGAGCCGGGGAGCATCTGGTTATCCATGATGGCCCGCACGAAGTCGCCGTTCCCGGCGCCGCTGAGCAGAGCGTAGAGGTCGATGTGGCAGATCCACCAGAGAATAAAGGGATGCGGTTCGCGGCCAAACCGGGACCGGCGGAGAAGGGAGATATGAAGTAACCGAGTGATATGGTGGGACCAGAGGTTGGAGCCGTGGGGCTCGGCCGCGGCGACCTGGGGAGAAAGATCAGCATCCATGCACGAGCAGTCCCGTTACAGAGGGCGTAAAGGGGAGGGGAGGGATACCTCGTAGATCAGCAGCAAGAAGTGGGTCAGGAAAAGTCCATCCGAGACGAGATCGTCGTTGTTACGGAGGCTACTCTGGAGGGATGGGAAAGCCTGCTGGTAATACTGCAGCGCACCGACATTCTGCCCAGTCCCGCTATGCGATAGACTCAGAGCGGAGACGGCCATAATGGCATGGGAGAGCTATAGGTCATCAGCATCGGCATCCCCGCCTCCGACCACAGATCATATGTTCAAGGAAAACATACCGGAGGGAAATGAGACGCTTCTCGCTCAAGGAAGTCGACACTGAGCGTCATGCCATTGCGTTCAAATCCGTACGTGTCTTCCAGCCCGCGGTCATGGGGAAATAACTGCTTCCAGACAACGTGACGGAAGTGGGCAAACAGTGTCGCATCCTGAGTCGGCTGCGCCTGGTGATCCAAGCGCGAATCGAAGAAGGACAAGGCATCATCTTCGACGATGACTGGAGAGGGGAGCGAATCCAGGATGGGAGATAGAGAGAGGGAGCAGAAGGGGTCGGAAATCTCCGACGTGGGGGACACACGGGAGATCCGGCCGGTGGAGGAGGAGCGCCGGGTGACGTCCTCAAAGGTCTTTAGGATCACTACATTGGGGTCATCGCCGGCATTGCTCTCGGATCTGACCCCGCTGATGGGGCTACTCGTCGCCGAGTACACCGATTCTGTGACGGTGGACTTGAACTTCTCCGACACCTCGTCGGAATATTCTGGCAGTGAGGAGAAGCTGTCCGGGACCACGACGACATGGTATGTGCCGGGGCTGGAGGCTTCCGCCTTCTTTTCACGATCCTCGTCTGAGGTCAGCTGTGAGAAGGCGGGCAAGGCCGTTCCGAGAGAGAAGTAATCGGTTCCGGTCCGATCTTCACTGGACCCGGGCGATGAGACTACAACACTGTTAGAGCCAACAGTTCCTACCATACGAGGGGGAAGGGGAGGGAAGGGGGAGAAAAAGAAGGGGGAAAAAAAGAAGCTTACGATCCCACACCACATTGCCCTCCGTCTTCACATCGGCCATGCGGCCCATGATGCGCGGGGTGTCGTCGCGAAAGGCCAGGCGCGGCCGGTAGTCGCAAATATGGCCGAGTCGGGTACATTGCTAGGAGCGACCGTGAGCCAGGTTGCTTGGGGTGAGCGCGGAGAGGCCGAAGCCGAGGAATTTCCCCTACATTACATTGCGGGTGTCCTTCATCGCATTTCACTGTGGAATGCTGGGTTAGTCAAGAAATTCCTCCCCACGGGGGCCCAGGAATTCGCGCACCTTTTCGGCTCTGCAATGTGCCCAACAGTACCGCGTCAATTGAAAAGGTCCTTGTGTGTGGAGTGGGAAGATGTAGACAGAACTCACCCGACATGTCCTAGCGAGCAAATGGCGCGTTAGTTTGGGGGAGAGGAGGTCGGGTTGTCTTGCGCGGGGCGGCGAAAGCTCGGGAGATAGCGGGTGAGGGAAAAGAAACGTACCAGCAGCCGGTGCGGGAGCGCGGCGGGAGACGGATGCGCGGCGGCGCGATCAGGCTCTTCTCAGACTTGCCCTCCAGGACTTCCTCCTTGGGGGCGATGATGGGTAGACGGAGCGGGCGTTTGGCAGAGGCATTGCCCCGGCGGTTTTGCATCACCAGGCTGGTGGCCGTCATAAGGCTGACTGGGTGCCGATAGGGCTGGGGAGGGTCAGTCGCGGGGGATTAGGAGTAGGATTGGGAGCAGGGTGTCGGCGACAGAATTGCACGTACTTGGGGGTGGATTGAGTGATCGTCGTACAAGAGGAAGCCCACTGGGGGAGTATAGCGACGATCGCGGGTAAGGCTCGGTTGATCAGCGAAGCAGGGTGGGGGTGGAGGAGGAGGGGAAGGTTAAGGTTAAGGTGACGAAGAGTTGGCGAGGAAAGGGAGGGTGAGTCACGGGAAATTGAGACGCGAGCTGGGCAGGTATGAAGGTATGAAGGAAGAGAGGGAGCTGGATTGGAGGTTGAGGGTCTGGAATTGAGACCAGAGAAGGGAGGGGGAAGGTAAGTTATGTACGTTCACATCACAAGCAGGAAAATGCAAATTACCCTGCAGGAGGAGGAACCGGTGTCCTGGCGAGGGTACTGCATGGTTCGAGCTGGCGCCGCCTTGTTCCTTTCTGGCTTGACGGGTGGCGGGAATCTGAAGGAAGAATCTCGGATGTGAAGGCGCAAGTACCGGGCAGGGGGGTGATGTGGGGATGGGCAGAGAGGGTGAGGGAGAAGGAGAGGTGCAGGAGGGGGGGGGGACGAACAGGTCAGATCGGACGATGCTGACTGGTTGGGAGGAGTGATCTGACTCCGGACAGGGCGATAATCGGAATAAAGAGAATAATGAGAATTATGATTATCACGACAATAGCGACAAATCATCCGTTTTAGGGGAAGAAGGGCGAAGCAGGGCCCGGATTGTCCGGGGATGGCGAGAATTGGGTTAGCTCCACGAGCAGGGGAAAGAAAAAAAATCCGGGAAAAAAACAATAAAGGGAAAAACAGTCCCACCCAGCCCAATAACCAATAACCCAAAAAAACTCAAATCCTCCCAGGACTAACACTCAAAAGACTAAAAGACCGGATGGCATGCAGGTGCCAACCATGTGGTCGACGTGTTGCTATTCTTACACGCCTCTTGCCTAAACGGGGCAGGGCTCTCCCGATGTAGACGGGGGCAGAGCACTACTGCGATGACGACGGGGATGCCGGCAGTCCCTGTGCGAGCCTGAAGCTGGGGTCATAGAGGAGGGGGAGGGCGAGGTTTATCGAGGCGGTTTATCATGGCTCGGATTGAGAATGGGGGGAGTGGGGATATTGACATGTATATCCACAGGCGTAGGGAGTCGAGGATAGGGTTAAACCGATCCCCGATACCGACCCACTAGACCTGAACGGAACAGACCGGGGATTTGGGATTTGGATTTGGGATTTGGGATACGGGACGGGGGGTGACGGGGGCAGAGACAGCAGGAATGGCTCGGGCCCGGAACCGGGATTTGGAGGTCGACGGGGCGACTGGGCAACTGGGCGACTGGGGGAGATACGAGGAGACACGATCGAACCGGGGCTGGCTGAGGGACACGTCGAAGGCCATCCGGGGAGAGCGGGCACGACGCATCCCCGGGAAAGAGTACCGGGGCGATGGAAAGTGCAGCCCTAAACTTATTCCCGTTCCCTAGGGTCCAGGTCCAGGTCCAGGTCCAGATCCAGGTCCAGGTCCAGGTCCAGAGTCCAGGTCCAGAGTCCAGGATGCGGCCTGCTGGGTAGAGCCGAACCACACTTCCTTGGAGAGGAGGGAAAACGCATTCCCAGGAAAAAAAGGCAAATGCCCTGCCGGAGCCGAAGAATGCACATCTGGGGAAGAAGTGTTGCGGCTACTGCTCGATCGGCCCGTCTAGGCCGGTCTGGATCGGGTTCGACCCTGCGGCGGGCAGAATGGGGTTGAACGTTTTGCTCCTCCCCCTTTAGTTCCTCTCGCTCAGAGCTCCGAGCTCAAAGTCGCCGCACAGGGCTTAGTCCACCGCAGCTTTGGATAGGGCGAACGGTGATCCTGTTTTTTTCTTCTCTGGAAGCATTCTAGGCAGTCCGGCCGCCATCCCCCGACTTCCATCCTGCTCCTGCACCAGGAACCCCAACGTGTCAGAATCCCTCGCCTGTGCGGGACGGCCCTAGGGATTGATCGGGCTAGCCGCTGGCCCGCGCGTACCCAACTGACCAGCCAGACGGGCCTGTCCGGACATGGCCGAGAGTTAAGCGAGTGGCGTTTCGCTAGTTCGTGTTTGCAGAACCGCATCCCATTCTTCTTTCGCACCTACCTACTGCTTTGCGACTGGCCAGTTGCAGAGGGTCTGCTTTGGGCTTAGATCTAAGACACTGGGCTCTCTGCACCGCCGTCCGCTATGGTCTCCGTACCTTCGTGGCCCAGCGAGGCACACAGGCTATCCATCGAGTTATCGCGACTGGTTGTCCTCCTTCGAGGTCCACATCCGGGGACCAGTCATGATCCAGGAGACCTCCCTCCGGACGGTCAGGACGGACCTCGCACTAGCACCAGACAGGCAAGAGATACAGGAAATCAACTAAAATTCCTGCCACCCCATGAACATGCATCATCATGGAATGCTAAATCAACAGACCCATGTCGATCCACCACGTGGCCGGCCTCGCGCTGGGTCTCCCGTTGAGTCCACGAACTCACTAGTCAGCGTCTACCAGCGAAACCGCTAACCGCGATAGGTTGTAACTCCATGGGTATGGACTAGAGGAGTCATTCAGCTGGACGTGGTGGAGTGGACCATGACTCTCGTTCTCGTTTACGTTCCTAGTCATTTTTCACAACTCCGTAGTCTCTCTATAGTCTCGTAGATATGTCCGTCCGATGTCCGATGGATAGTCCGATGGTCGGATTCACGGCTGTACGACGGGTGCCGGGTGACTCAGGTGACAGCTTAACGGGGCAAGAGATTCTGTCCGGTCCACAGAAATTCCCTCGCGCACTCTCTCCACCCTCCCTCTCCCTCTCTCCACTCCACGACCACTCGATACCAAAGCAGCCTCAACCCACCACCGCCAACGCCTCGTCCAGCAGGCGCTGGACGGGACTCGATCGCTCGGCAGCCCTCCACCCGCGCAGCGATACGCCCAGCTGCGCCTCAGGCACCCCGCGAACCTCGGGCGGCAGGTTCAGGTACGCCAGAAGGGCCTCCGCGCGACCCTTGCGCACCACCTCGACCGCATCCCGGTCGCGCGTAAGCAGACCAGCCAGCGCTCGCATAGGGCCCGCCAGGACTGGTTCTGGCTCTGGCCGTGGCGCCGGCGGTGGCTGTTGCGCTGAATCGTTCTCACCGGGCGCAGCAGCCTCTGTGAAGCCCGGCCACTGATCCACTCGGGTAAAGAACGCCTGGAGCTCCTGGTAGGCCGTGCGAACGAGCTCTCGGGCCCCGTGGGTCAGGGCCTGGTCCAACGGACCGATCACCTGTCGTACGTATCCTCCCAGCACTGTGGTTAGACTTAGCAGATGAACGGACGCTAGGGGGTTCCCGCAGGAGCAAAGCCCCATTCTTTCGCCCCCCTCCTTCCCACCCACCCACTCCATCGGGTGAGTGCGCAAGAGCCGGAGGGAAAACAAAAAGAAAAAAAGGACAGAGCCAAGTCCCACGCGGACACGAGAACTAGAACAGGGAAGCCAAACGCACCTTTGCCGGACCCGGCCGTAGCGGGGTTTAGACATTGCAGCAGGCACTGCACGCCCGCAGCCAAGGTCTCCGCCGCGTCTCGCCCGCTGCCGGAGTCAATCTCCATCTTATCCGGGCCCTTCTCTTCCTCGCTAACCTCGTCGATGACGGGGCCCACAATCGCAAGTGCATCAGGCATCAAGTCCATCTCGCGGGCCTGCGAAATTTGCCCCAAGGCCCGCAGGGCATGCGGCCGGTAGGTTGCGTTAGTCCGCTTCGCTTCGCGCACGGCGATGGTCTGGCAATGCGGGGTTAGTCTTAGCTCCGTTAGGCAGCTTTTGTAGTCTCGTGAGCGCCCCAAATCAGACGTTGAGGGGCGAAAGAAAAAAACCGGGAAGAAAAGAAACAAAGAGTGACATCCGCACACGTACCTTCAGTAGCTCCGCCAAATCTGCTCGCGACGTCCACAGTGCCCGACCGGAGCGCGCAAACTTCACCAGCGCTGTCAGCACTACTTCTTTCCCGTCCCATGTCTTGCCCGACAGGGCCTTTTCCAGCACCGGCCACACCAATTGCGCCGTCGGGAGGTCGAGCTCCCCTTCAAGCGACAGCACCGCCTGAGCAATCGCCCGCGCCGCTGTGTGCTTGATGGCCCACCGCGCCGAATCCAAGTTGTCGGCAACCAGGCCCACGATTTCGCGGAGATACAGCGACACGGCACGGTTGCCACCCACATTGTCCTGCCACGTCTTGTCGAACTCCTCCTTCACGTGCTCGTCAGCATCATGCTTGCAGACGAAGACGAATGGGAGGGCTGCCGTGGCGAAGGCCATGAACCGGTCGTTGGACAGCTTGGAGGCCGAGTACAGGATTTCGGCGGCGATGGTCCGCGTGGTCGCGTCGTCGGCGTTGAGATAGAGGTTCTTGGCGTAGTCGATCGTCTTCAGGACCCGGTCATCGGATGCCAAGCGCAGGAGATAGCCCATGGATGTACAGTAGGAGGCGCTGACCGTCTCGTTGCGGTCGACGACGTACTTGCCGAGGAGCTGGATGAACCGGTCGGCGTAGGGGCGGAACAGGAGGCTCTTCATGCTTAGCAGGACTAGGACGCGGCTGCAGCCCACCTTGGAGGGGAGACCCACGGCCGAGCGAAGGGTGTCTTCCAGCTTGGGGGCCAGCTCCTTCAGATTGTCCTCGTCCAAGTGGTCGATTAGGTATCGCTCAATCACCTCCATCATGGGGGAAGTGCGGATGCTGGACAGACGCATTTTGTCGATCTCTTGGCCGGTCAGACCATACTTGTCTGCGTTGAGATGAACGTAATTGACGGCCTGGGGTTCAAGGGCACTGAGAGAGCTCAAAAATTTCTCAAGGATGCTGGGTACGAAGGGATGCAGCAGCGTACCAGGGCTCTTCTTGATAATCTGCACCAGAGCGCCGATGGCGTATCCTCGTACTTCCTCCACACTGGAATCAAGGCCCTTGTCGCTAAGGAGGAAGGGGACGGCACTGCCAAGTAGAATACCTGCACGTTTCTCGGAGCCATTGGTCTCAAGCGTGCGGATCACAGAATTGGTGATCGTCTGGCAGAGCTTGAGAGCGGCCACACGCACCGACTCCTTAATATCATCCAAAAGCTTAAATGCCTTGCCATAGATCTCATCGAGATACTGGGCGTACTTCTCGGGGCGCCGTCCCGAGACAAGATCCGCCACCGCGGCACAACTTGCCTGGCGAACACGCCACTCGCGCCCCGAAAGCATGCTTTTGAGGAGATCTTCCATAATCTGGTCAAAGTGGGTGTCAACCACCACCGTGGGGTCCTTGACGAGGGCCTGCCAGATGGTGTTCATGGACCGCTGAACATTGGGGTTAGGATCGAAGCGGTAGCGGAAGAGCTTGGGGTAGATCTTGGGGTTCTTGGCAAGATAGCCATCGACGCTTGAGTCGGAGAAGATCGTACTGATGCCGAATCGACCGAATGCAGCCCGATTCGTCCAGAGGGCATTATTGGAGGCCATCGACATGAACCGGTAAACCAGGGTTGGGTCTCCAGCCTCGGCGGCCAGATTCATGATGTCCTTGTAGGTGTTGACTGACGATCCTTCACCCGTCGGCAGAGCCCCCGGCTCAAACAACTGGGTGTCCCCCGTGACATTGCCACCCCCGAGATTAGACCCCGTCGCGGTAAAAGAATCCACCAGGTCGCGCACCAAGTCATCCTTCAGGAACTGATCGCCTATCTCGTAGACGAGACTAAGACCGTGAGCGCCAGTCTCTTGTACCACCTCATCGCGGCTGCCCAGGAGGCTGGTAAATGTGGCTTGACACCTACGTAGGCGTTCCTGCATCTCCTGCAGGTGTCCACAGTTCTTCACGAGTGACAAGAGCCATATAGCCGACGCTTTCCGCAGAGAGGGCTTGGAGGCGCCACAATCTGCAATGAGCTTGTCGCACACAGCCGCAAATACGGTGCGTGGTACATCTGATCGGGGGAACACTGCATCAACATCAAATTCCTGGACCAAGGCTCGGGAATCCCACCCAACCGCAACGTTGCTAAGTGCTTCACCTATGGTGAACTGGACCTCGGGGCTTTTGACTTCGTGAAGACTGTAAAGGGATGCCAAGAGGTCGCTAAACAAAGAGGCATCCGGTTGAGCTCGGGAAAATGTTAATGTCAGTAGACCCAAGGCGGAGATAGGAGTATCATTCTCGGACTTGGCATCACTGGACAGCTTCTTCTGAAGCTTCTTCCAGCCATCCTCTTGCAGAGTCTGGAGCGAAAGGATACCGGAGAGACTGAGTTGGCCCAGGGCTAGCTCTGCGGTTCGCTGAAGGAGCTTATCGTGAGAAAGATCAATAATGTCTAACACGGTGTCGATGAACTGTTTAACCTGGGTCTCAGGGACCTTCCCCAGGAGCTTCCTGTAAGCAAGTCTGCTTAGCAGATATGATAATGACAGGACCGCTCCACGGACTCGCAGCGCAGCTTCACCGATAGCGGTGCTCCATGACCCGACGGTACCAGCTAGCTCGGTAACGAAGTTGTTCAACGTGCTATCGGGGAAGGCGGGGTGGGACACTAGAATGCCGAAGGCCCGGGCTGCGAGGCCCTGCATGTCTTGGTTGTTGCTGAAGATGGGCCTGGTCAATGATTGGGCGAGCGGAATCAGGTGTTCAACCACATCGTTCGGGGCCAATGAGCAAATCTCCACGAAGTTTACTCCGCATTGACGCAAGTCAGGAACGTCCTCTCTGACAAGCCCATGGAGAATTCCGGAGAGGAATGCAGAGACAGGTTCCTTAGCGGAGCTGCGGATATACTGCCGCACAGCAGACCGTGCTTCTTCGCTTGTAGAGAGCTCAACCTCAAGTTTGTAGTCCCAGTCTTGTTCAAGGTCGGTAGTAATCCCCGCAGTGGAAAATGCCTCTGAGAGCAATGCATTCCGAAGGAATGCAACAGCTGGCGCAAATGCATTCTTGTAGGGACCGGAGAGGAGTTGCGGTGTAGATACACCCTGAACCACCGAGGATGCATCTTGCTCCTCTGAACCGAATAGAAATCGAGTCGCATTAGCAAACTTGGGAAACTCAAACCAAGACTCGTCACGCTCTTGGATGGCCGAGGTCGCTCCCCATTTCTTGTCTTGAGTCGGATTAAGGAGTCGGAACCAGTAGGGATGGAGGCCTTTCTTGCCTTCTTCCACAATCTCCTGTTGCCTTTCCGGGCCTCTGGAGATGGCCATAAGATCGACCCAGCGAGCCACCACGTCGTTGTACGGAAGGAATCGATTGGCGAATCGTACAGCAGCATACTGAACACCCCGAACCACATCGAATCCAGTGTCTGGGTCAGTATCTCCCTGATGGAGTCCCATCTGATTAACCAAGAACGGACGTAGCTGATCCTGAAACCCCTTGTCGTGGCTGTCCAACGATGAATTCAGGATGCTTCCCAGCGCTTGGTCAATACTGACGAAGATCTGCGGGCTCGAGTCATCAGAGCTGAGTGAAGTAAACAGCCATCGCACGAGATCAAATTCAAAGTTTTCGCCGGTTTCATCGCGTAGCTGGAAGTCGACCTTAGGAACCATGATACCGATACTTTCATAGGCAAGGCCCCGTAAGCTCAGATCAGTGGCGGGCAGCCGTTGTCCACTGGCGCCGGGACTTGGCCATCCTTGAGACTGAATGAAATCCCTTAAGCCGGCAATCAGATTGGGAGCAATTTGTTTGAGATCAGATGGAGAGCCCATACGGACGACCCATGTCGTGAATGTGAATATTTGTGTTCTTAGTTTGGACGCTTGTAGGCCCTGGGCGGATCTTGCAGCGTCTGATAGAAGCCCATCTTCGATGAGCTTGAAGATTCTTTGAGTGTTCTTTGTAGCTTTAATAGATTTGCCCAAGTAAACCAAGATTTTGACTTGTAGGGGGGCGTACTGCAGGCGCCCCGTCCGCGTTCCCGGCACCGAAATACAGATCATACAGCTGCTCCACGACCGCCGACTCTTCAAGATCAACAGCAAATCTCTTCAGAGTTTCATCGCCCAGATCAGCTAGCCGTGAGTTCGTGTCCGCAGAAGCAATCAGGGAAGGTATGAATCTTTGGGAATCAGCAAATGCACCACTTCCGAGGAAGCGGAGAGCGGTGACTTTGGTTTCGGTCAGATTCAAGCCACCCGCAGCTGCAGGATTCCATGTTTCATTGGCAGGTGCATCCTTGTTCAAGAATGTGTATTCTTCCGGGGACAGGCCGGGGCACGTCCGAGCCTCTGCGGCCGCAGGAGAAAGAAGGAGCAGTTTGGTCAGCCAGAAGGACAAAAAGCGTGTGTCTTCATCGGATAGGCCCAAGCGGTCTTTTAGTTTCTGGTCCTCATCACTACCCTTCGAGGGCAACTTGAAAAGAGGTAAAAGTCGCAGCACAAGGTTGAACACGATGGCACCCTGCGTTACCGAGGTCCCAATCTCGGCGATTCCCTGGAGTAACGGGGGCAGGATGTCCACCCTGGCCACTGAGCCAAGGCGGTCTATGCCTTGCTGGGCATACATCAAGTCGAAATGGCGAACAAGCTGCGACTTTTGTTCTTTGAATTGCTTCAACAATGCCGCGACTGGGAGCTGGATGGAGGGGGCCTTGACCCGAGCGTTGACATGCTGGCAGACAGCGATGACTTTGTTGCGTACCGCAACACTGTCTGATGAGAGCTTCAGCAGAAGAGGAGCCAGATATGTCTGGAGCAAGGATTGAAGCTTCTCGTCCGAGTCGGCCATGGCGATCCTGAATTCAACCTTGCCTATCAGACTCAACTCGCGAGCCTCGAGGCTCGGCGAGTCTGACGCCATGATGGGAGTACTGCCGGGTTGTGAGACTGAAATACAAATTGGACATTGACTGGAATGAATGTACCAGGTTAATCGTAAAATGCGGCTCCTTCAAGTTTCACAGGCAACAACACGCACGTCACTGTCGCCCCAGTCGCAGTAGCCCATTATCGTGAGGGTACCACGCTTAGTCAGCATCTGCCTGAGCCGGTCCTGGTGTGGTTAGTCATCACGAAACAAGTTGCCCTCCGTGCGGGCCACTCTCATTGGCCGCGTTATACTTCACCGAGTATACACACTTACACGAGCTTCATCAAATATTTCACAGGGCGGTGAATTTATTTAATAGAAAGAATAAAAAAGATGTATATCATCTTGCCCAAGTGCACTTTGGACTCGCGATCTCCGAGGTTCGAGCCCCGGATCTTTGTATCATACAATCATATGGCTGAGTTGCCCTTTGCAAACCTCCTTCGCCTCCGACCTTTTTTACTTCTATACGGAGGTCTCCGATTGACCACACTATAATACTTACTATCACCACATCACATATTGCACTCATCGAGTGAGGTATCTCAGGATTTTACTGCTGCGAACTCGACCTCTGCCCCTCGCGAGGCTCACTCAGGAACCCGAGGAAACAACACGTCTGACTATTTTTGAAAATCCCAAAGCGCTCTTCGCAGCATCCGTCCCATACAATTTTCCCACGGTCATATACCGCCTTATTGGGCTGTACATAGACTGGATCTGCCCCAAAATTGCTCACTGCGCCTTGCACATTAAGCCGCAGACTGGAGAGTAGATTGTGCGATACATGGAATATAGCTAGCGCAGGATTGAGGAGGTCAAGGAACAGGAGGGCGAGCGGCAGTGATTAAATGCGTCTAGGGCCTGGAGTCATGGCGGTTTATTTTCATTTCCACAGAAAGGCGGACAGAGGACGGGTACAGGACGGGGCATTTTGTTGTGTTAGTTATCTCATCGTATTAACAGGATTTCGTAGAGGAAAGCTCCTTATTGAGAAATCCTTATTGGTCGTTATTTTCTCCATTAATCCTTTGCTCCGCAGCCTCACCACGCAAGAAGCGGCCAACCTCTCTCTGCCTCGGTAGAGAAACCATTGTCATCTTTTTCGGTGGTGTTTCCAAAGAGGCATTGCCATAGATCGTCTTTCTTCACCAGCTCTCCACCCGCTGCACTGCTTGTCATCAAGTTGGTCAGAGTTGCATCCTCCATTTCCATGGAGTTAGCAGAGTCAATGGCTGTCTCAGTCAGGTCGTTGATAAGTAATCCGTCCGCATCACTCGGGTTTGTTGATCGGGCGTTTTTCTCCTGTTTCTCCTTTTCGAGAATATGGGCTAATCGGCGAGTGACTGATAGGTCGTAAATGGATTCTTCGACAGTTCCGGAGACAAGGTACATCCACACCGTAGTGGGACGATGCTGACCGATTCGGTGCACTCGGGCAATGGCCTGGAGTTCGATTGCGGTATTGATCAGCGGCTCACACAGGAAAACATGGGTCGCGTTGATCAGGGTCAGCCCTGATGACTGTGCTTTGCCGTGCAATAAGAAGCATTCAATCTGGGATTTCACGTGAGCCCTGTGCTTGATGATGCAAATAATGGAAATCACAAAAAACGTACTGCCGGGTCTTTCTTGAACTTCTCAATGCCGCCCGGGGCATCGACACTACTACTGACGATGCCAAAGCGGTCGAATGCCCTTTTCAAAACAACCAAAAAATTCTTATACTGCGAAAAGACGATTGCCTTGGATCCCGGGTCATGCTCGCGCAGCCAGATGATATGGCGTGCGAGAGTATCAACCTTTGTACCAAATGAGCCCTCGAGATCAATGTTTGTGATCTCCTTCAAAAGTCCCGAGCTAATGTCGCTATAGATGGCGTTCTTCGAATGCCGTTCATGATCAGACTTGATAGGCGTCTCTTCCTCCTGGACAACTAATTCCTGTGGCTTGTATGTGATTTGATGGAAGTCATTGAGTTTCAGGGGTTTCTTGCATATCGGGCACGTCCGATGTTGACGCCACCACATCCGCAAACAATCAGAGCAATATTTGTGACCGCACACAGTCAAGACGCCTAATAGCATAAGTCAGTTGTCATATAGTGGACCTTTCAGTGTATGGATGAAGTCCTCACCAGTATCAAAGCCTGACTGGCAGATGATGCAAATCCTGGAACCATCCTCCTCGCCCGCCTCATCTCGGAGGTGGATGAGGTATCGCCTTTTGGACTTCAAGGACGCAATTTTGCTCTCCAGCTTCGCTTCTTGTCTCAATTTGGCAGCAAAGAGATCTTCATCCATCGGCTTCCCAGCATTTTCCTCGTCATAGGGTGCAACTGTATCCGAAATTTGCTGCAAGTGGCGATAGTATTCCAAACGATTGTTCATCGTGTCTCGGAACATCTCCACCTCCCTCTCTAGGTTGGAAGATATCTTGAGCTGCTCGGCAATCATCTGGCCAGCATTCTTCAAAACCAAGCCGACCATTTCGAGTTCCGCACGAGCACGAGAGCTTCCTCCAGAAGCTTGCCACTCAAGCGAGCCAACTAGACTGCGCAGTTCACTGACAATGCCGCGGAGCGACCCCAATTGCGGGTCAGGCATGAGATCACTGCGAGTGTTCATAATCGAGAGGAAAAGCTGTGGAGATGGACCTTCGCCCTTTTGAGCCTGGATGATACCAGCCTTGACCTCGTGTGAAATGAGAATGTTCTTCTGGCCGGTAAGAGCGTCGTGACGGTCGGCATACATGGCACGGAGAGCCTCCATGTAGACGTACATTTCGTCCTGGTGCTTAGTTGACCGCTCATATTCGTTTCCTTCCAGTTCAGCATCCTCTTCCTGGTCGATGAGGGATTGTGAGACCAATCCGATCATAGTCTCTCGCCACTCATTGTACTTCTCGGCATGCTTGTTCAGAGCAGCACACAGGTCCTCGAACTTGTTGAGCAGCCTGTAAGACTCGAGGCCCCTACTGTACAGGTAGGGCTTCATCTTCGGAATGTGCACAAATTCCTTCTTTTGCGTCTTATCCTTGATAGTTCGCATGTATCGCTCGACCTTGCGAGAGATGTCCGTCAACATCTCCTTACGAATCAATTTCGCGGCCTCATATCCTTCCTCTTCTTTTTTCTCAAGGGCTTTGAAGTCCTCTGAGTCAGGCTGGGTCAAGTTGGGGTCGCTTTTGATCTGGTAGTATGCATTTGCAGTGAAAAACACGGCAATATGCTGAACTTCCAGGGCAGCACGGAGCTTCAGACGGCACTGGCCAATACGGCTATTCTTGTCTGCTTCTTCATTTTCGTCGTCGTCGGTCAGATCAGGGGTTTCAGTGGCGGCCACCATGCCATTCTCATCCAATCCTTTGTTTTTGAGGCGCTGCAACCGAAGCTGTTCTCTGCTGTCGTCGACTAGCTCGGTAGAATGGTCTAGAGCAGCCTGCCATAGAGCTAGAGATTCTTTCCTACGTTTGGCATTCTCTAGCAGCTGGCCTCGACGAAGCTGAGAAAGGAGAAGTGACCGCTCTTCGGCGCGAATAGACGTGTCCGTGGTCTCAATCATGACTTCGAGGACCTCATCGACGGTCCGCAGCGGGCCATTTCCAGCGCCGAGTGCTCGACGATTGCTACCACTCACTTCAGGATGGAGACAAGTCTGACGAAGCCGTGTTAACCAAGTGCGCATCCTCTCGACTGTGCCTGGGTCTTCGGGATTCCAGTCACCATCAAGAGGTGCACCGAATGCATCAAGTCCACACTGCTCACACATTTCCTCAAAGAGCTGCCCGTAGTGCTGCTCCTCAACAGGGGTAAAAGGAGTAGTTATTACGATACGCTTTTGAGGCGGCAGGCGCAGCTCATCACGAACTCGGTCTTTGCTGTGCCGAATAGCAATGGAGTGGATGATACCCACCAACACCGGCCCAAATCTGGAATAGAGACGTTTCCACAAAGGGCTTGAGTCGCAAAACGGCCTGTATTGGAGGAACAGCAGAAGACCGAACAGGTCATCGATATTCTTGCGGAGTGGTGTGCCCGTCACGGCCCAGGCGTTTTGACGAGGGATCAACCGGGCGACTTTGGCTGCATTGCTAACTCCACTCTCGATCATTTGAGCTTCATCAAGGCAGACACGCCACCATGAGATGCGGACTAAGGGTGTTTTTCGAGTCTCGAACCGCTTTTCGTGGCGGAGGCTTCGCTTTGGCATCGCACCGGTATAGTGGATCTCTCTCGAGATGACATTGTACGTGGTAAGAACGACATCGAAATCTGATAACTCTTCGACAACCAAATCATCCGATTCTTCTTTCCCCCGTTTAACGCCCGTGTAATGGTGTACACGTAGGTCTGGGGCATGCTGCTCGATTTCCTGTTTCCACTGTTCCAGAATTGCCGGTGGAGTGATGATCAAAGTAGCACCAGATACTCTCAGCCCATCAGGGTCGGGTTTCGGCTGTTCTTGGGCATGTCGTCGATTTAAGCTGATCAAAGCAATCATTTCAACTGTCTTGCCTAATCCCATCTCTTCCGCGAGAATACCACCTCGCAAAAGATTTGCGGCGTCTCCCCATTCGGAGATCTGGGTAGTCATTGTCATGAACAGATGGCTGAAGTAGCACACATTTCCATCCGCATCCTTCATTTCCTTGAACGATGCCGGGAGGCCATTGGGCAAAGGCCTGTCGATGGGAGCAATTGTTCCATCTTGCTGCACTTGGGTACCCTCTCTCCATAAAAGCCACCGAACGGCTCGTTTTTGAAAGGGGAAGAGCTCGCAGACAAGTCCGGGGCATTCTATGTTCGCAGATGCGCTTGCAGTGTGGTTCGGGACGTGAACACTTTCGTAGAATTCACGTGGTAGCCATCCTCGAGGATATCCAAGCAGTTTTTCACGACGGTCACGTTGCCGGCCATAGCCAACTGTGCCTACATGATCTTCCTGTAAGGCGTACTTCCCGAAGACCTCCAACGCGTGATCGGGAAGACGGGTAAAGTCCGGGATCTCAAGAGAATCTATCCAGAGAGCGACTACCTCCAGTAACAAGGATTTCCTGTCTGCAGACAGTTGTATTGTGGCCTGATAGCATGCCATTGGGAGGCGATGGAAGTATCGATCGGCGGCGAGCATCCCAGTAACGTGCCTTAGTTGTTCGAAAAAGTCGACCAGCCGCAAATCAGCAATCACGCAAAAGAACAAATCTTTCTTTTCTGCATCGGTCGTGGTCAAATCAAGTGTGTAAGCATCATAATCGACCTCGGGGTGCTTCGGAAGAACGGGCGTATAGAGACGCGAGCGAGTATCTCTAACCTCGACGAGTATAGGTACTCGACGCCCGGGATCGGATGAGGTGGGCGCGGCTGCGTTGTTGGAGTCCGACGCATTGCTGAAGTTCTGATGAAAGAGAGGTGGCAAACAGTTAGACATGCGAACTCGGGGCAAAATGCCACTCGATACTCACCAGACGTAGCGAGAGCCGAGCCAGTGGAATGTAGCCCTGAGGTACTCCGGTTGACGAGACGCCAACTTCATGACCAAGGCTATATGGGCCAGACTTGGCGACCTTGCGCCGCTTGATAGGGGGCCCATCGGGATCCCATGTAGCGTTCTGCGTGAGCGCGGAGACGAGGGTCTCGGGGACTGCGCCTAGTACAGAGGAGGGAAATTAGCACTCGAGCTCAACGCCGCAACTGGGGAGATGGTGAGGCATACCTGCAATATCTACATACTCTGCGACCACACTCATCCTAGCAACAGGCCTGGTTCAGGTCTTTTGCCGCCACGCCAACAAAGAAGAACAGACGAGAATGCGCGATTGCGAAAGCTGGGGTCGCTATCGGTCACATCACGTGGTGATAGGAACATATTTAGTCCGCTTCGGTGGATCACTTGCAGCCAATAGGAGTACGGTCGACGATATCGCCAGTGCTTGCTTGTATAAGCATTCAGATATCTTCACTACAAAACCCTCCGAAAGGGGGCGATTAGAGATATCTGTTATCTAGGCTTTATTAGCCTTTTACAATATCCGCCTGCCAAAATAGCAATATGCAATAGCACATCGAAAGTTGATAAATAATAGGAAAAAATCTAGCGTTTACTAGTTTTGCTTCACCTCTTTAGTAATGTCTTCCTAGATAAACCCTCGGCATAGTATTGTTTCTCAATATGTTAATGTTTTAAGATCGCATCATGCCTTCAACAACTTAAGATGAATCATCTTTGAGGAGTACCCTTTTTGAAAGTTCTCTTATCTTCCAATTAGAGAGGTACACCTCAAGGATGCCGTTGAGGACAACATCAATGCCCTCTTGTCCCCCACTTTCCTTTGAATAACTTCGTCAAATAAAAAGAGTGTAGAAAAAATATGATCTTGTGAGCTATGAGAGTTGGATTGGTCTTACAGATAGCAGCATCGGACGAACAAGACGAATAACCGGAATTAAATCGACCTTGGACGCAAGTGCTATGCCAGATCTTTTTGATGCATGATCCTCACCGATTGATCCGACCCAACGGACTGTTCCTTGCACACCTTTCCACACACATCTGAGAACACTCTTATCCAGCTTTCCGATAAACCTCCTCAAATACCTTTTGAAGCTTACAATTGAGTGCAAAGTAGGATATCCATTGTGAGTCACACGGCATGAGCCTCTATGAACTCGCTGGGTTACCAGGTCCCCTCCCCAGCATACTCCGCACGCTACCCCTGCCCAGCGCGGTCATATCATGGACTGACACAGCCTTCGTACCAGGCTGTGTATCATACACCACACTCCCGTTGACGGCCCTGACAGACCGGGAGTACGCCTCTCCATTCGCAGTACCGTGAAACTCATCAGCGGTATTACCCCAAGAAATTGAGCTCGCTCCCGTGACCGATTTGTACTGAGCTTTGCCGGACTGTGTTGTGTGGAGCTGGGATGGGCCAGAGACGAGTGTGTAGGTGGATATGCCTGGGCCGCCCGAAGAGTCTATCTCGAGGCCGCGTTTCATCCAGGCATCGATTGTCAGGGAGTTCGAGGTGATTCCGTACGTGGCGTTGACGAGGAGAGGGTAGCTAAACGTGGTTTCGCTGGAGGTTGGCTTATCTCCGAGCTCAGTGATGGCGACCTTTCCTGATGTGAGTTGCTTGTTGACTTGGCTGTATCCTTGCTGGTTGAGGGAGCCATAGTTGGAAAAGGAGAGCTTCTGCGACCATGAGTACTTGGCGGAGGACACAATGAAGGTGCGCTCTGCCGTCACAGAATATGACAGAGTATCATTTCCACCTATCTTACTGGGGACCAGGTGTCGGGTGACGGTGAACTTGGGTGCAGGAGCATCCACCAGCGGAAAGGTGCTTTTGTGGGAGATCAGGTCCTTGGAACTTGTTTCATCATCGGTGTAAAGGAATATGTTGCCAGTGATTATCCAGTATGAGCCCACAGTACCAGCCAAAGTGGCAGTTCCATCCGCAGTGATATTCAGGCCGGTAACGCGAATCTCGAACGAATGTTCCCGGCCGTCTTGAAGTAGTGGAAGGAAAGGCGAGATATCAATCTCCGGCTGCCGAAGATCAAAAGCGTCAATGCCGACAATTGGCCGCCAAAAGCCCGGCGCGACGCCTCCAGTGAAAATGATGGGGAAAGGCCAAACGACGCCAGCCAGAATCCCGTCGATGTAAAGTTGAATCTCTCGAAAAGGAGAGTATCCATACAGTTCACCGACAGTATCAGTGAAATCCTCTGTATCTTCAGAGAAGACATTCGACCACCAGAATTCCTCCTGCGATTGGCCGCAGGCGGAAATGGCAACAACAGCACGCGATGCCGCAGCAGGGATCGTGTAGGAGACGGTTGTATTATCGCTTGGCACTGTGAACGCGCTTGACGAGTTGGAAGCCGACTGTTTGGCCGAAATGGGCAGGATGACATCTGCAGTTCTCGCATTCTTTGTGTAGGAGAAGTGTGCTGTTAGCGTAACATTGAAGGACCCAGTATAGACATCCGTGATGATATTGCCGAGGTCAAAAATCAACTTTTGCTGCTGCTGCCACAGGGCATTGTACTGCGACATCTCTTTAATATATGTCCACACGATTCCCGTAGATGTGGGCTCAGCGGTCGAAGTGCGGAAGACCTCTGCATCTCCCAGATACATGAGCGCCAGCCGGTCATACTGGCGGCCCCTTGAAGTGACCGTCATATTGATTTGAACGGTGTCAAACTTGCAACTCGGAGGTTCGTAGGTTCCTAAAGCCTATCAGTCAGAGCCAATCCAACGATTCGCCAATCCTGCTGATAATTATCTCTTACCAACGAATGGCTCGCCATAGCTTGCGCCAAAGACATGCTCCATCAATAAGAGATCAAGATCACAGCCATTGTCACCTTGTGGTGCGAATGTGACGGGTTGATAGACCTGAAACACATCTAGCAAGTCTGTAGAGTCGGATGACTGCAGTATCGAGCGCTCAGCAGCATGGTACCCGTCATGGATGGCACAGATGAGCCGAACGTGTCCAAGCAAGAGCAATACGCATGGAATAAGTAGTATCATGGTCACAGCGAGATTCACGCCTAGCCTTGAATCCCTTCTCTCAACAAGTCTGTGTTGTTCTGAGCGGATGCGCCCACTGGATAACCCGATGACCTTGGTCGATACCGAGACCTTGACAATGCCTGTGGAGTTTGCAACAGTTGGTGATGGAGTAGAATTCCCGGGCTGTCTCGACCTCGACCACAGTACAAGCACAATGCTAGCCAACGTCCAGAGAAGTAGAAGCAAGATCGGCAATGCGGCGAACTGAACTTCCACGGGGGCTAGCGTCTTTAAAGCGTCGAGGTACGTGAGCCGAAGGAACAGCGACGACCGCGACGCTAGCGACGACCCAAAAAATGCCATCATTTCGCGCAGACCGGTGTTGGGCTAGTGGAGCTTAAATGATGTGCCGCGTGAGGGATGCAACAGTCACGGCCGATCATGCAACAGGCCGCGTCGACCCCTGGAGATAAGCTCCAGGGGAAGGTGCAGGGGCGCTCCAATCGGGTCTTCTGCAGCCCTTACTGTGGACTGTCTTGGAGGTATTCGGCATCTAATTCGATAGAGATTCAAAATGACTAGGATTAATTTGGAATGCATTAATGTAAATGTTGTTTATCCGGATGACAGTTCCCGAGCATCGGGTTGCTACTATAACATCAACGGACTAGCGCTAAGTTGTTGCCGACGGTGTCCGGATATACTACGATTGGTCTCGCAGATGGAAGGTCCGTTATGGGAAAAATGTCCAATATGATTGAAATGCATCCAGGGACCCTGGTAATCGTCTAAACTATCTCGACCCGACAGCCAGAGCATGAATTTGTACAAAAGAAAAGATCCAGTCGGGAAGACACCAATGTCGCATAAAAACAGCCAAAAAAACACACTCCGTAGCCATGCACCACCGATTTTCAAACAAAGGAAAGCAGATCACATAAACAGGCGCCAAGCACCGAGAATCAGAGCAGCGGTACCAGTGCAGACACCCCTAGAAAAGAAGAAAAAAGTCAGCATCCATCTACCCACGAAGGAAGGAGCTCGGAAAACATACATCAGCCACTGCAGAGTGGAGAACTTGACTGCCTCAACCCGCTCTCGCAGGCCAGCAACTTCCTGCTCAATTCGCGTCTCCGTCTCCTTAATCCGCATCTCCTGGCCATTAGCCTCCTCGCGGATGCGGCCCTTCTCGAGGTTCAAATCCAGACGGACCGACGCCTGTGTCCGGCCGATCTCGTCGCGGAGGCGCGAGTTGAGCTTCGCCAGATCCGCCGCGATTTTCTCGTGCGACGATCGAGTAAGCTGCGCCTCGGTGGAATCGGCATTCAGAAGTTCAGAGCGCAATTTGGCGAAGTCGACTTTTTGCGTGTAAATCGATCTCTCCGAGTCTAGGGGCTGTTGTTAGATATGTCGACCCAATCAGCACCGACTGCTAAGAGCTCTCACCTTCACGGAGAACCATCGTCCGTGTCAAGTTTTGGATGGATTCTTGGATGATATCGTTCAACACCCGCATCATGGCCACGGCCTGTTCCTCGCTGAAACCCTCTGCCTGGAGCCGCTTGACGAATTTCAGGGTGTCAAAGTGGTGCTCGCGAGGGCGGGCAGGGGTCGCATGAAAAGCGCGCTGAGCAGGCTTGAATATTGCGACGTAGACACCATTGTGTCGGACCGGGCTGGCGAGAGGCTCTGCGGCTGAGCGCGTGGTCGCTGAAGCGGAAGGTTGTCGGGAAACAGGAGAGGAGAAGTAGGAATTATGAATAGCGGTGGAAAAAGCCCGGGAAGTCTGGTGGGGGAGGTTCAGGGAGTATTTTTGGCGGTTGAGAGGACTCCAGCCTTGAGAGAATTGTTGTATCGTCCTGATTGCGAGTACGGGACAATGGGAGGGAGTGACGCTTGGGCGGGACGATGAGCTGTTCCAGGTCAAGCGAGGTAGGAGGCTGCGCGGCACCTCCGCGACGTGCTTTTGGGGGGCCATGGCACAAGGTATTGTTGCATGTATGATGGAAAAAGGTTTGTTTGAGGTGTTTCTAGTTGTGACGCCGGATGCAGAGAATTGGTTGGATGACTAAAAGCGGTCCGGGAAAGATCGACGCTTCCCCGGCGCTTCCCCGGCGCTTCCCGCAGATTTTCGGATAACCCACCTCTACCAAGGAACAGGCTCATCATAACATTTCTTGGAATTAGGATCGATTTCTATCGTTCGAGAAACATTTTTGAGAGCAAATGACCTCATCCATAGCAGGTTTACTTTAAGGTTTCACATGCATACGCTATTCACAACACGCCCTTTTGTGGTTATTTTACTTTGCAACTCGCTCAAAGGCCAAAGACCTCTTTCAGCTGCTTCATGGTATCGTCAGGACCATCAACTGAGTGGCCGATTGTGCGGGGGTCGGAGTAGATCTCATAGTCGTTGCCTCCGGGGAAGCACTTATCGCCGAAGAAGTGGATGTTCTTGTACTCGACGCCAGTGATGTTCTTCTCAGCCTCAACGTGCTGCAGGCAGTATGTCTTGTCCCATCCGGTGGGGAAGACGTCGAAGGAGATCTGGCCACCGACGGAGAAGCTGCGTTGCACAAAAGGCGGTTAATACGCCCGCGGTAAAATATGGTTGCTTGTCGCAAAACTTACGTGAGACCAAAGTCGGGGAACTCCTTCTTCAGAGCCTGCACCATATCCCGACGAATGTTGTGGATCTTGTCGTAACTAATGCCGTTGTCAGTCATATCTTCTTGGATTCACCGCCATCTCTAAGGAAAATAGCCGGCTGGTTGAGGGGTGGCGCATGAACGTACGCCTCGAACTCGTTGCGCTCGTCCACACTAGCGTTACGTCCGATGGGGCTGACATTGATCATGCCGTTGCGGAACTCAACAAAGGTACCGCGCTTCTTAGGCAGCTTAATGTTGGAGATGTATCGGAGGCAGAAATCAGCGAGGTCCTGGTACTTCTCCTCGCCGAGCCACTGGATGAAGCTGTTGCCCTCGAGCGGCTTGCCCAGTCGCCAGGCCACCAGCCCGTTCTCGGAGAAGCAGTAGTCGAACAGGGTGGTCACATCGGTGGTCGCAGAGCCCAATTGCTCCTGCTGCTTGACGAAGTTGGAGCCGCCAACCTGGTCGGTGTTAGATTCGAAAGGACTCTGGAGGAGAGAGAGAGAGGGCACGGACGTATCCAATGGCGCATTTGTGTCGCAGACGAGAGAGCAGCTCGTGCATCTCGGGGGTGGCGGACTAGAGGTGGAAGGCTTGCATTAGCAATTGCTGAATTAAAGAGGGCGCCGTCACCACATACCCGCCGCGCCTTGCTCAGGGTCTCGTCAACATCGAAGAGGACAATGGTGTCCTTGAGAGGACGGTCCTCCAGGGCGGGGTAGACAGCTGCAGCCGTAGTCATTTTGGGGATGCAATGAACAATATCAAGTCAGAGGTCAGGAGAGAAAACCCAACGAGGCCAGGGAGGGATAATTATAGACCCTTTGACTGAGGGGTTCTTTTTGACCGCAAGCGGTGAGCGCGGGTGGGGTGTTGGCTAGCGTGGGCGGCGGTCCAGAGCTACTGAGAAAGCGGAATGCCACCTAGACCATTTCAGTCGAAGGCCGAAAGGCTCCAGAATTGGGCTGATCACCATGTAGCTGGGATGAATCCAGTGCAAAATGCCCTGTTTGTTCTCTATACTGAGGATTCAGGGCCTTGGAGAAGGGAACCCGGACCAGAACATGTACCTGTTATCGATAAGGGGTCGATCAAGTGGAACAATCGTGGCGCATTCACACTTTAAATCAATATCTACAAGTGACCTTCCCCCTACTGCACAAAATTAGATCATGGAATTAGGTTTCATATCTACATGGTTCATCTAGCTAATGATATCTCCATCCCGTCGAAATTGTCATATCACATGTATCCAGCCTCATGCCTGCTGCTCAACAGCACAGCACGATGCCATGGGACCAAACCAACGCCCCAAGCGCATCAAACCATACCGTCCGACCTCCACAAAGAGCTTACCGGCCCATAGTTGACTGGAACACCTTCGCCGCTAACTCACTCAAGAGCCGCGCCCGATCTGGCTGCGGAAGGTCCACGAAAACCTCATAGACACTTTTGCCCTTGGCATCGCGCACGGCACCCAAGCGATTTCCTGCCACAGCGCCAGCCAACGCACCCGGGACATTGGCCACGATGAAGCCTAGCGCACCTCCACTGATGCCGCCCACGATACCCCAGAACCGCGACGTGGGCCGTGTGCGTCTGTCACCATTTGTGCCCTCTTCCTCGGCCAGTCCCTCTTCGCGCAACATCTCCTCGAACACAGACCCGAACTGATCGGAGTCGCGCTCATCGCGACTACCGAACCCGAAGCGCGACCATGGAAAGCCGCCGGCGCCTTGGGGCACCTCCTCGTCGACTTCCTCTTCAGCTTCTTCGAAGTCGCGGGTCTGGTCGTACTCGCGGCGTCGGGTAGGATCGGACAGAGTAAAGTAGGCGTCGTTGATCTCTTGAAATTTCTGCGTCCGAGCCGGTCGTTCGGGGGAGTCGGCGGGGACTCGGTCGGGGTGGAATTTGAGGGATTCTCTGCGAAGTGGGTAAGTCTCGAGTGACCAGTCATGTAGGCATGTATGCTCCACAGGCATATTATCAGTTACGGCAGGGGTAACCTTGGGTATACTCACCTCTTGTATGCGTTGCGGATCTGTTGCTGGGTCGCATCACGGGACACGCCGAGGATCTTGTCTGATGAGAGTGTTAGGTGAGATTTTTGGACTGGAACTTGGGTATCGACATACAGTAGTCAGGGCTTTCTGAGTGGGGTAGAGATGGTTAGTATCGTGGCATAGTGTGTATTAGAACAGGGGGGGCTTACTCGGCATGGTGACGTGAGGCAGACGGAGCAGGAAACAGGTGAACTATAGAAAGTCCGAAGAATAACCAGTATAAGAACCGCGAACGCCCGTGACGTCGTTTCCTGCCTGAGGCCTGACATCCAAGCAGACATGTGAAGGATCCACCTGGTCTTTCAGGTGTCAAGGTGTCCAGGCACCAGCAGACCAGACCAAGCCCCAAACAATCTCACGAAGGTTTCGGGGCCGTGCGATTCGCTGCCCAGCCACCGCAATTCCTCCAGGGGCATCTTCAGGAGCACCACTTTCTCCGTAGTTTCACGATCTCTCTTTGATCTACCTCGTACTCTGGACTCCGCAAGTTATCAATTCTCCATCTCCTGCCCTTCTTTATTTCTGTCCGCCTTCTGGCTGTACAAGCGTCGGTGGGGTAGATATACACGCAGCGGCCTAGACCAGACCGCCGACTTGCGCATCGCTGCAGCTGCTAGCGGACTGACCTGCATCTTGTCCCTTTTCGTCCACTCCTGCAGTTGCCACACGGCTAGAACTTCTCGGAAACGGAGTCCCCCAGCAGAAAATCTTCATTGTGAACATTCTGCGCCTGCATCTCCATCTCCATCTATATCTACTGTGGGACAGCCCCAGTCTGACACTCCACTTGTGCCCACGACAGGATCAGCAGCACCAACCCTTCCATCTTCAAAAAGGCTATCACCTTGTGCTCGTTCTCTCCATCCCAATTGCCATCATGGGTTGGTTCGACGGGACCTCCTCCAAGTCCTCCTCCGGAGGCTACTACGTCCGCCGCCGCGGCTCACCAACCCGCAGCCAAAAAGGCAGCTCCTCCTCCAGCCACAAGGGCTACTCGACGAACCACGCCCGACACTCCGCGCCGTCCATCTTCAGCCTCGGCCGCGGAGGCGGCCGATCCCGCAGCCCATCGGTCTTCTCGTCGTTCTCGTCGTCGTCGCGCCGGGCCCGCCCGCGCGAGGGCTTCGTGCAGCGCATGATTCAGTCCATCAAGAAGCTGATTCGCGACATCTACCGCTACGCCCGGCACCACCCCATCAAGGTGTTCCTGCTGGTCATCCTGCCGCTGCTCACGAGCGGCGTCTTGCCCAAGTTGCTCGCAATGGTGGGGCTGCGTCTGCCGCACGGCGTGACGAGTGCTCTGGGCGGTGCTGGGGCGGCGCGTGGGTTCGGGGAGATGGGGGGAGGCGGCGGGAAGGGGTTGTCGGAGAGTGTGAATGGGCTGGTCAGTCTGGCGAAGATGTTCGCCTAAGCGGCCGATGATATGAATGCGGAGTCGAGTGCGAACTCATACTCGAATCTGCGCTGGACTTGCTTCTGCAACGACCGCCGCTTGCATACCGAGCGGTTGTAACGACTCTCATGATACCTACACTCCGATTTCAATTGCGCGTCTGGTTCCCCTCATCGTTTCGTTTCGTTTCCTCTCCTTGCCTCTTGTCCCATCCTCCAAATCCGCGGCCGTGCCATACTTTGCCTGGGAGGCTCGCGGGAACCGGACCGTACTACTGCGTACAAACCCACCCCGAAGCGCGACTGTTTAGCAGCGGGCACTTTGTATATTCGAACCACGCAGCTTTAGAAACAAAAGTCTTGAGGAATAGAACTCGAAGTTCAAGACGATAAAGAAGAGCGCGAGGGGCACATGCTCGTCCTTTTAAACCCTCCCCCTTCACCCTTCCCCGAACTGTCGGTGAGGTGTCGGTACCCAACGGTGGGTATCGCCCCGTTGGACTTCCCTGCATCGGCCTAGGGGGTTTGGAGGCCAACTCTCACTGGTAGGAGCATGTTCCACGAGATCGGGGAGGTGGCTGGGCAGGCATATTTACTACGGAGTAAGTCGGGGTGACGCATAAAGGCCACGATGAGTGCGTGGCTTTTGGTTGTAACATCGTGGTCTGCCCGCCGAGGGCTCGCTGCTTTGACGGGCGTGGCCTGCCCTCTCAATAAGGCTTAGCCTGCCGCTATACGCAGATCCATGTAGTTCAGTTCCACCCACTGGGAACATAAAACGATTTCTACCGGTAGACTAGGTAGTCCAAGGAGGTTTCCCACACGAAAGTAATTGATTAGCCGATGCTGAAGCAGTATCAGATGGAAGAATGGGGGAAATCTCGTTTCGACCTTGACAAACCCTCTCAAGATACATGCAAATGAGACTATAAGGAGGCAGAAATCGATCAATAAGTGCCTAAGTAGAGAATGATGCCTATACATAAGGGAGTGAATGTCTATATCAAGCCAGAATTCCGATTAGAGGAGGTTGGAGACCTCCCCTAGATCCAGCGGAGCCTTCATCATGACCAATGTGAGGCAGAAAAGAACAATTTACTTTCCGCATAAGCCGCTAACTGATATGAGCACACCAACTTCCACGCTCTCCGTCAAGAAATTGAGCGCATTCAACCGGGAGATCCTGAGTTAACTCTGTACAGGGGTTTGGACTGTAATTCTCGGGCTGCAGTGTCCGATTGCCTAGGGATCCATCACCCATCACGCGTCCCCAAGACTGGCATGCTTCGCAGACCGGCCAGTACGGGTATGAGACTAATGCGAGAAAATTTCTCATTGTGTAGTGCAGGAGGCTCGGTTCCGAGACTTGGGGATCCTGTTTGGCGGGACGTGGTCGACCAGGTAAACCAATACTTGAGCAACGCATACACGAGACGTCGACCTACAGATCGCACCCCAGTGTCTGGAGTAGTTGCTGTCGGCTGGGAAAGGCACATTTACAGAGACGACGATGAGATGGAACTGCTGGTTACCTCGGTGATTGTGTGGATAGGAGCTACAGGCTACAGTGTGTCGCAGAAGAGGGCTTGGAGAGTGAACACGCAGTGGTGGATGTCCACGCGTGGATTTCGATCTATCTATTACAAAATTTTTGGGGTTTGCTTTTGGAACCAGTTACACCAAGCCATAGATACAGCCAACACCGTCGCCAATTCACCGCTAGTGGCCCATTGAGACCGACCTATGATCGTGACCGCTGGTTGCGCTTTCCGCGTCGACGGATCAACTTCGAGGGGGCAGTGGCCTCGTCGACCAGTTCCGCAGCTTGAACATACTCCTCCTCCTCCTCCTCCTCCTCCTCCTCCTCCTCCTCCTCCTCCTCCTCCAGAACCTCCGTCGAGCCCAACACCCGGCCAACCGTCCTGCGATAGCACCAGACGGGGAGCTTGCACAAGACGGTGTCCCGGACAGAGGGGCGCTGGATCTCATCAATGTCCAGCAAGAACTCCTGCTTCTCGCCCTCCTCAGACACCTCTTCCAGGAAGACGTTGCCAATGGAGTCGACGATGAGCACCTTGCCATTCTCAGCCACAACGCGCTTACGCTCGCCAGTGGACACAGCCGCGGCGACAGGTTGCTCAGTAGGCGTGGCGGTACCGGAGCCCGAGCCACGTCCGTTCGCGCGACCGCTCTTCTTCTCCTTGCGGTTCTCCTTGTCCATCATGCGCTTCTGGCGGCGGTTCATCGCCACTGCACCACCCTCGGCTTCCTCGGGCGCAGGCGCAGGGGCGGTCGCCGCCGCACCGAGCGAGATCCCACGTACACCCAGCTCATCGCCCCACGCGGCACGGCGCGCCTGACGAATATACCGATCCACAAACTCGCGCTGCCGCTTCCAACCCAGATACAGCGCACCATAGTGCGCCCCACCGCCGAAGACCAGGAACAGGCCCACCAGGACGGAGCCCAAGCCCGGACGGAAGCGATCGTAGTAGTAACCGGTGCCCTTCCACAGGGGGAAGCCGTTCTTCAGGAAGTGGTCGTAGCGCTCACGGGATGGGCCCTTGAGCACGTTGGCGACCAGGTTCAGGCGTGCGGAGCGGGCATTGGCATCCTTGATGGCAGCGTCGACTTCGCGCTTGGACGGGCCCTTGTTGACGTTGACGCCGTTGGAAGATTTGGCCTTGTTCTTGTCCTTGGAGTAGTTGGCGATAAAGGAGCGGCGGACCTTGTCGGGGTGCAAGTTCTTGGATTTCTTGCGGTGGGCTTTAATGACTTGTTCCTGGTTGGCGTTTGGGCGGACCTCGAGGAAGTCTGGAAGGAAAAAGGGGACTGGGTCAGTTTTCTGGTTCACCGGGTTGCCGATGGGACAGACGGGCTATTTTGGTTTGGTTTGGACATGGGCATGGGCATGGGCATGGGCGATGCAATGGGCAATGCGTGTGTTTTGTATAGGGGGGGGGGGGGGCGGCGGAGGTCTCATACCGTAGAAAGTCACATTGGCGCCTTCGTTGGTGGCCAACTCATCGCGGAGGCGGAAGATCTCGTAGTCTAGCGTTGCAATTAGGATCCATTGAGACCATTGAGACTCATTGGGAGCTGATGGAGTCCTGGGTACCTTCTTTCGACCAGGCCGCGACCAGGCCGACCACGGCCAGTAGCAGCCAGAGGGCGGCGGACTTCATTTTGAGGGAGATGGAGCGGTCAACACCGCGAGGCCCCGGACACGAAAGGTGGGCTAGTGCGGAGCAGAGAGCAGAACGGGCAGGTTATGCGGTGCGTTGTCCCATCGGTGAGTCGAGGAGTCGATCGAGTCGACCGAGTCCAGGGCGCGTGTGAATCGCGGAGGAAAAAGCGGTCGGGCGCTCCACACTGCAGCCATCGACGTGGCCCAATGGCCCAGGAGTGAACTGGTCTCCCCCTCTCGGTTTACTAAGGAGGGGACATGATGACTCGGATTCCCTGTCTAGATATTTTTCACCCTGCATATCCCTATATAGCCCGTAATGCCCGCGGGGTGTCTGTGATCCCTCATCTCTCCTCGCAGCATGGAGTCGATCCGGTGAGGCGGCCTTCCGCACCCAGCCAAAACAGCCAAAACAGCCAAAACAGCCAACACAGCCCTGCCAAAACGTCCCACGCCAAACCCACCGAACCAACAATGGGAGACTGCTATTCTTAGTCGTTTGCAGAATCAGACCTTTCCCCTCATTCTTCTCCAGCCGGCTCTCGCCCGTCGGGGACGACCCGTGGCGGAGCAACTTAGGCAGCACGGTGACTGGACTAAAGTCAAAAGGGGCAAAGTCCGGAAAAAAGTGACTGCCTCCAAACTGTCCAACTGTCCCTTTCCTCGTACTTCCGCTACGGCAACGAAATCCCCCTCCACTTCCTCAATTTCCTTAACTTCCTCAACTTCTACGATATACTCCTGACACATCCACCCCCAACGCTCACGCTTCCGCTTCCGTGATCCGCTCTTCTACTTCTCCGCCATGGCCATCCAGATCCCCATTGACGCGATCACCTCGCGTTTCGGCGACCGCTTCAACAGCATCCGCAGCCAGTCGATAGGCACCCGATTCGCCAACCTGCGCCCAATCTCGGAATTCCTCGACCTCAAGCGTCTGTCCAAGCCCGCCAATTTCGGTGAGGTCCAGAGCCGCGTCAACTACAACCTCAGCCACTTCTCCAGCAACTATGCCGTCGTCTTTGTGATGCTCAGCATCTACAGCTTGCTGACCAACTTTGTCCTGCTGTTTGTCCTCATTCTCGTGTCTGCCAGTCTCTGGGGCATTAGCAAACTCGATGGCCGCGACCTGGACCTGGGCTTCCGCCGGTTCAACACCTCCCAGCTCTACACGGCGCTGCTGTGTGTCGCGGTGCCCCTGGGAATCTGGGCCTCGCCCATTGCCACGGCCCTCTGGCTCATCGGTGCCACGGGCGTGACCGTCTTCGGCCATGCCGCGCTGATGGATAAACCGATTGAGAATGCTTTTTCCGAGGAGGCGGTCTAGGTGGTCGGCCGCGAGCTCCTTCCGATATGCCCCGATGGGGAAGACCACCGGGGGCACGAATGGGGAGACACACACGGGGAGGGCGCGCGCAGTGGGAGGACGAGATGCGAGTGCAGGAGATCGCGAGCGACGAGGACGATGCGTATGGACGAGCGTTGGTGCGGAAGGATCGCGGTGGGTACGTGCGGCAGCTGGAATATGGGAGTCGGGACCCGCGCCGGCGGCCAGACTATGATGATTTGACCGATGAGTCTGAATCGGTCGAGGGCGACTTCGATCTCTACGACCATGAGGATAGCACGGTAGCCTATGCGGTGCAACTGGCCATGCGGGACAAGGAGGATCAGCTGGTGGACACGGCATTGGAGCGCATTCGCCGCGCACAGATGCTGGGAAAGAAAAACGTTCGGCTCTCGCAACGCGAGCTGCATGCCTTGGAGCGCAAGCGCCAGCAGACCGACCGTCACTCGAGTGGGAGTGGCTCATGTCGCAACAAGCAAGCCGGCAACGCGGTCCCTTCACGGCCGGCATCGCGACGAAATGCCCCGGTGCCAGAGCAGCAACCGCCATCGCAACCGCCGCCCGGGCCGTATCCGCCCTTTGCCCCTGAGGCGGGCTGGGCGACCACGACGCACGGTCGACCCTCGAGCTCGTCGTCGCGGCCCCGAACCCCGACCATGCAATCTCTGCGTCCCCAGCAGTCCAACTCACCGCTCCGGCCGACCTATCCTCCATTTCCCCACCCTCCTTCCCATGGCCATCCGCAGTCGATGCATCCGCCGATGTATCCGCGGCCGTTACCGGACGATCCTCAATGGGCACCGCCCTACTACAATCCCATGGCGATGACCCCTTATGGGTCGGAGCAGCCGCTTTACCAGTCGCAGCTGCCCACCGATCTTCGGGTTGGGCCTCACAGTCGCATGGGCCATCCTTCGGGGATGTCACCGATCCAGGCGCCACCCCGCCAGTCTCTGGATGGCCGTCATGCCCCGGGTGTGCCGTCGCGCGGGACTCGCCATCGCCCATCCGAGACCGATTCGGAGATGTCTAGCGAGGAGGAAGAGGAGTCCGAAAGCAGTGAGGAGGAAGAGGAGGAGGTGCAAGTGGTGAAGGTGGTGGAACGCCAGGCGCCTCCGGGTCTGCAGAAGCGCACCGTCTCGGGCGGCAGTCGAGGCAGTCGGGGTGGGCGCGCGCGAAAAAGTCGATAGCCAGTGTCTCCGGAGCCCTCCTGAAAGTCCCACGCGGTTCGGCTGGGCTGCCGTTTAATATTCTCTTCCGTCTGTATCTTGTCTCTCTGCTTTCTTTTCGGTTTCTGGTTGTTTTTTTTTTTGATCGGTTCCAGCACCATGTGTGCAACGGCGTTTGGTAGATCGGGGCCCCTCGTGAATAGATCCCCCTCACAGTGCATTCAATAATGCATCCACCTTATCCATATCCATATTTATCCCATCTCAGCCACTGTAGATCTGCGTGGCTGCGCCGCAGTCAGCAACATTTCGCCCAGATCATTAACGTTTCCTGTCCGTGCAGGTATCAGAATAGCCCGATGCAGGTGGGGCCCATTACGAAAGGCTCTCGGAGGGTCGTGGATCCGACATTGGCGATGCTCGGCAGGTTGGCAGAGGTGAATGACGTCGGCGACAGTCACTGCTTTTATAGCAAACCGCTTCCTTGCTTCTTCCCACCTTCGCAGACTCGGGGCCCCCTCTGTCTCTAATTCTCCCACTCTCCGTCACCAGGTCGCGAGGAAGTCCTCTGCTTCGACACCCTCCTCACCACCGCCTTTCGGACGCACGCCCGGGGAGTCGGGCCAGCTCCCGTTGGACTTCCATTCCATTCCCGCGCTGAGCCGATCCGAGCGCCACAACAACATAATTTGTCCATATTGAATCTTAATTTCCCCGGGGCGTTTTTATACATTCGTACCTTGTCTGGCCTGCCGATCACTTTGCATGAGGAATGCTCCCTGAGAGGCCCTGAGCTCGAGCAAACACAACACACCCTTCTGGATACTTAATCCGCGGGTTCCCTATAGACCCCCGAGTTTCGACGCGTGGAATTCTCGACTTGAATTTGCTCCAAGGGGGCTCGAACCGGCGCATCGAGCATATCATAATCAATTGCTGATACACCCGTCCACACGCTAGAAGTAGATCGACATCCTCCGTCTCATCATCAACAGCAGCAGCAATCCCTTGCAAAGATGTGGATTATTTCATTTTGGGTCCTTCCGGTCATATCGGCCTGCATGTGGGTTGGTAAGTCTGCCCGTGGGTGGATCATCTGTTCTGATCGCGATCTAATCTGATGCGTTAGCCACGCTGGTCGCCATGCTTGCCGTCTGGGCCCGCGAGGGTGAACCGATCTACTCGAGTATGGAGGTGGGCCAGACCATTGCGTATGAGCCCTCCAATCCCCCAGCTCTGATCTAGCATCCACGCTGACTTTTCCGGTAGATACATTTCCGACGTGGGGGCGTCCGGGCTGAAGCCGCTCTTCATCACGGGCAGTGTGATCATGGTCGTGTTTCTCGATTTGGCCATCCTGTCGGAACGGTGGCTGCGACATGCGGGCAAGCTGGTTCCGAATAAAGGGCTTTTCGACAAGCTGTGTGCGATTGCGTCGATCTTTTTTGCGATTGCCGGCGCAGTGGGCTTGATTCTGTTGTCGATCTTCGATACCGTCCACCACCCGCACCTGCACGATGGGTTCCTGGTGATGTTCATGTGAGTACCGCCGATGACGACGAGCTCATCGTCTGAGCACGCTCTGGCCATGTAACGCCACAGAATGCAATGCTAACCAACATCCCACGCTGCCGCAGAGTTGGATACGTCATTAGCGCGATCCTCATTTGCGCCGAGTACCTGCGCCTCGGCCTGTTCTACCGCTCGCAACACCGCGTCCTGCTGGCCAGTTTCATCATCAAGCTCACCTTTGTGATCGTCGAGGTCGGGCTGGCCATCGCCTTTGGTGTCTGCACGAAGAAAAGGTCGACCAAGAACGCCGCCGCCATCCTGGAGTGGATCATCGCCTTTGTCTTCACGGGGTACATCCTGTCGTTCATGGTCGACCTGCTGCCGGCGGTGCGGACGCGCCGACACGTGCCGCAGGGCGAGAAGCATGCGGCGATGATGGCAACCACGCCCAGCAGCATCGAGGAGCAGCCCCACGCCTCGCTGGAAGAGCCCTTGACGACAGACTCGACGGGGCCGAACTATTACCGCAGCCAGCACATGTGAGCAACCAGGTCGGTCCTGGGCTAGAAACCGTTTCCCGCCCTCCAGGATCTGCGGAATGTTGAGATGTTGTTTGACGCCTGTTGCTTTTTTGCCTTTGCCTTTGCCTTTGCCCTTGCCCCTGCCCTTGCCCTTACCCTTCCCTTCCCCACGTCATCATGATGCCGCCACTTTAGATACATCTTGGAAGATTGGTTGATGTGTCTTATCTGTTTTTGATACCTGTTCTATCCATGCCGTCCGAGAATGGGTCGGTGGGATGTTCTGTTTTAGAGGCGGATACTTGTTCGATCTGTACATTGTTCTACACACCCGGTCCTCACTGATCATTGGCCGGCGAGAAGATTCCACAATACTTTCTTCGCCTAATTCAACTTCCTCCATGCTTGTCGGTCGAGACATACTCTGTGCTGCCCCGCCTCATTATCATAGTCGCGTATCCCTTATCTGTACAAAACAAACAGCCACAAACAGCCCATGCCGATGAGATGAGGAATGCAACGGCTCGCCCATCCAGTAGAAGAGCAGCCGAACGTCCAACTCTCCAATCAGATCAAACAGAAAAACCCAGCAAAAATGCCCGAACCGGAAACACCCCTTCCCAAAACCCCCAAACCCCAAAAAAAAACAATGCAAAATCAAACCCGAAAACCCAAAACACTAACTCTGAATCAAAAGGTTCTGTCGAATTTGTTCCTGCATCCCCCCATCTACCCCCACAGCCGCCAAATATTCCCTCACACCCCCGTATTTACGGTCCAGATACCCGGTCATCGCCTCCACAAAATTCGGCGGACACCGCGTATAATCCGCCCCCAGTCCCAGAACCCGAATCTCCCGCATGCGCTCCTCGAACTCCGGCACGAGCTCGAGCTCCGAGCGCGCATAGTCGTCGGCCATCGCATCCGCCGGGACGCGCCCGTTCTCGCCGGCTAACAGGAGCGCGAGGAGGATGACAATGCCGGTGCGGTCTTTGCCTTGGGTGCAGTGCACGAGAACGGGATATGCGGCCTCGTCGGCGAGGGTGGAGAAGATGGCCCGGAACTCGGCCATGCTTACGTCCAGTGTGTCTTGGCCGAGGCCGATCAGGCCGCGGGGTTGCATGACGGTTTCACCGATGATTTTGATTGCGTCGGCGCGGTAGCCGGTCAGCGCGAGGCTGACGACGTGTCTACGGCGACGTTAGTGCTGTGTACCTTTCCATTACTTCATGGTCGTGGCGCATTGGGTCCGGCGAGGCGCGGGAACGCATGCAACACATGCAAGGGGCGCCGGGTGGCTGGGGGGAAGGAGTGGGACGTACAGGTAGCTGAACCAATCTAGTTTGCCGAGCAGGGCACGCTCGAAAGCCTTGCCGGTGAGGCTGATGAGGGAACGCTGGGAGTCTGGGATCTGCAGGATGTGCTCATCAGCGTCGACTGGCACGGGCGTGTCGGTGAGGTCGATGGTGGACGGGGTTTCGCCGGCGTTGGCGATTTCCGCGCGGCGCTTGCGGGTGGCCATTTGGTGCTCCGTTCTGGGGGATAGGCGTGTTAATCATTGAATCAAGCTTCTCGCGGACTCGCGCATGCTGGTCGTGGGGCCCGCAGGACACTTCGATATAACACATACTGTGAGCGTAGATCGATCACCGTTTTGAGGTGCAGTTCGTCCGCTAGGCGGCGGGTATCCCGTTCCGAGGCATCGTCCAGCTAATGGCTGCGTCAGCATGGCGTTCATTTCGGATGTCTGGTCTCGGTCCACGGGAGCGGGGCATGATTTACCCTGGCACTGCGGAAGAGAATGCCCTCCTTCAGAATCCTGATGACACGGTCAGCATGTTGCAAACAGGGGGGGGTTGCGATGGCGCTACGCACTCCGCACCACAGAAGTGGTTGATGGTTCGGCCGACATCGCGGAAGTTGATGATGTTGTCGAACGGCCGGTCGGGCGAGTCTAGATCGATACTGGATTGGCGGGCCATGATAGAAAGGGGGGATGAGACGGTAGGCAGGGGAAAGCGAAGAATGAGAGCATGGAGGTTGAAATGGGGGAGGTGGACGTGGACGTGGACGTTGCAGTTCTGGATTAGAGCAAACAGCAAAGCCGCGCAAAGCAAAAGCAGTGTTGAAGTGGAGACGTGGAACGGGCCCTCGTTAAATAGTGGGAGGGACCGAGTGACCGACTCGCGAGCAGACTAGCAGACTAGCAGACAAGCAGACTAGCAGACAAGCAGACTAGCAGACCAGCAGACTAGATAGACTAAACCAACTAGACACAGTGCCTGAGCAACAAGCTCAGGAAGAAGCCAAGCGGTGGAGTTCAATGAAGCAAGTAAGTAGCGGTGGACGTTGGGCAGGAAACGGGCCCAGGCCTTGTTGTGTTCGGCCCTGATTCTGGTCTTCCCCGGGCCCCACTCGAGCTACTAACCTCACGGCATCATGAGGTCGTCCACAATGCGGGTCGACGTGCTGCATACGTCGGTATCTTCTGGATCGCCGACACCCTCTCGGTCTTGATCTTTTCCTGGATTGCGAAACAGCACCAATCGATCCACGCTATTGGAAGAGGACCAAACTCCTCCGGAGAGAGCCAGTGTCCTAGGAACGAGCCACCAGCATACACAACCCACCCGCGTTTGGCTGGCGACGGTCAGGTTGGTTTCCCGCGGAGTCCAATCACATGAAGCCAGGCCCGTCGGTCCGTCCAGTGGTCGGCGGTCGGTGATCGGGCCGTGGATGAAGGGACCCACCACACAGCAGGAGTATCAACTCGGACGCGGCGAACGGAACGAGAGCAGGGCCTTCGTGGTGTTGAGTATTCAGACCCCAGCGTACACTGCATCAGTAGAGGCATTAACCTGAAACCGCCTGAATTGAGGGTCCCACGAAAACACGGTCCCCGGACTTAAGGTCGATCATATCATGTGATTAATGACCTCGGAGTTTGGATGATCCGAGGCGGGCAGACGTCTTTGTACAATCAGTCAACAGAGCAACCTGACGAATAGACAAAGAAAGTTCAGTCCAAAATGAACGACTGCAATTACATGGCCGCTGCAACTGGGAGCTTAATTGATCGAAGCTATGGAATGATTGCTGGGGAGTGGAACTCTTCAGCAATGGTAGATGACAGAGTCGCAGTGATTGTCGTGTCCGCGGCCGCGAGAAAAGTGGCGATCCAGGTGGACTTGATCCTAGCCTGGATATGTGGGTTGAAGCCTGATCAACAATGCGTGATGCATAACAAACAGAACTGCATTTAATTTTTGGCCCCAATACCCATCGATACTACAACCCTATCATCTTGATTGGCTATATCACAAGCAAGGACCGATGCAAAATAGACCATAGAAAGGTGCATCGGCGAATGGAGGAACGGATACTCCCCCCCCCCCCATCTCTTGTGCTGGGGCTTAATTCGATTGGAAGATATCGTGGTTACAGTCTATGCAAAAATCATTTACCCCGACCCCATCATCGAGCGATATGCAGCCTGCCGCATGGATACGGTATATATATATTTGTAAGTGAATGTAAATTACACCACTTCGGAGGAACGAACGTGGTTGTTATCGGTATGTCCACCTCCCTGCGAAAACAGCCTCGAGCACTGGCCATTACACATAATGGGCACGATTATTCTTCCACTGCGGCTGCAGGTACCTCCAATCGGCGTTGAAGTTGAACCCAGTCCGGTACGCCCCGTACGCGACCAGCTCCACCTGGCTCAGCGCGGCGCCAGCATCCGTCAATGCCCACAGACTAATCGCAAGCGTGTTCTCGCCGCGGTTATTGATAATGCCGGGCGGGAAAGGGAACCGCGTCTGCGGGCCGATGTGAGGCAGGTAGTGGCCGAACTGGTACCCGTTCATGAAGACCTGCACGACGGCGCTGGTGTTGGCCGCCGCGCCGAGTTGCAGCCCAATCGGCACGTCCAGATCCGCGTCCAGGTGTAGCCGGAAGGTCGTCGTGTAGAACTGGCCGGCGGCATGGGACACGCCGTCGAGAGGGCTGTTAGTGCCAGCGCTCTTGGGCGCTTGGTAGCCCGGGAGATGCCAGCCCAGACGCTCGCCGTATAGGCCGCCCTCGTTCATGGGCCCGCGCACCGGGTCGATGTTTGCTTCACCGCCGGCATTGCCTTGGATGCGCCAGGAGGTAAAGTTGCCGGCGCCGAGGAGCGTTGCGCCGAGGATGCCTCGCGGATTCTGAGTGCCCGCTGGCTTCACGTTGTTCTCGTCGTGGCCGGTGTAGTCTAGGACGACGGTCAAGACGTTGCCAGTAGCACGGAGTGCAGAGCTATTGAAGGCGAGCTGAGCGGATGTTGAAGTCGAGGCGGGATTGCCCAGGGCACCGCCGACATAGGCGCCGTTCAGCCAGGCCGCCCAGCCCGCCGCGACGCCGTTCTGCACAGTGATATTGGCGCCGGTTGCATTTTGCCCGTCAAATCGGCCGCGGTAGATCTTGGTACCCGCGTGGTAGCCGTAGTCACCGGAGTATAGCACCGGCAGCGAGAGCGGCGCGACGGAGTTGACAGTCGTGCTCTTGTTGCAGACAGTCCACCGCGAGTCATCGAAGTCTCGCTGGATCTCGGGAAGCGTGTCTTGGGACTTCCAGGCACTCAATGTGGGCAGTGAGATCGTGGAATCTTCTGCACCGGGAGCCGAGCCCACAAGACTGCCATAAGCGGTCTTCTTGGTGGCAATCGTTTTGCCGTTCCATTTGACCTTGGTGACTTTGGAGCTGCCTGGATACACCCTGCGAAAGGCGTGTTAGCAAGTGCCAGGAGCTGTCACCATATAACGGGAGAGAAAACTTACTCCAGCGACGTAGTATTCGCATTATCTCCGACCAGACTCACTGTATCATGGCTGATGCTCGCCTCACGAACCAGGTACGGCCCAATAGCAAGAATCTGCTCGCTCGGGGACACATTCGGATTGGAAGTCGTTGGCACGGCAAAGAAGTTCCATGCCGTTTCCTTGTCCAGCAGATAGATCAGGACGCCATTAGAGAACTTGACCACGGTGGTGCCCTCTCCCTGGATATACGAGTACTGCGTTCCGTTACCTGATGATGTCGAAGTCACATTCGAGTTGCCATATGTCTTGAATGTCAGCTGTGATGGAGCATTTTTGAAGGCGAACACGCCCTGCTGTCCGATGTTCAGGTAGAACACCAGGACGTCCACGTCGAGGGTGGCGTAGGTGAGAACTTCGGCGGATGAGTAGAGCAAGCTTGATGCGTTCCCGACCTCGTAATCGGTGACAATGATCTTGCTTTGGCGGCCGGCTAGCTCGATGTCTGGGATGGTGAGATCGCCTGTGCAGGAGCACCGAGGTTAGTCAAGGGGGGCTCCAGGGGTGTGGTGTACGGGCAGTGCACATACCAGCCGAAGTTTGGACATTCAATGAAAAGGTTGTCACAGCGCGAGAGGAACTCGTGCTGTGCGCAAGCACATAGAAACCTGCCTGCGTATCCGGGTTGCGCAAGGCCCAGGTATAGATACTACTATCACTGGTGTACCCCGTTCCATTGCCCTCCATCTCGGTCTTGAGAAGACCCGAGGAAACCCGAGTAAAGAGACCGATCAGCTTGGTCTGCTTGAGTTTATCTTGGATCTCGCGGGTCTCACGCAGCGGGGCAGCATAGTCGTACGAAGTATACACGACCGGCGCGGCACTGTGCCCCCAGCTCGTTCCGCCGAAGACCATGTACAAGCTCTGGAGGGTGATCCTCGAGCCGATGTTGTTCTTATAATAGACATCAGCGAACTCCGGCGAATGTTCGGCCGCACAAGTATCATAGAAGTATCCGCCCCAGGGCTGGAACCAGCCGGCCTCGAACTCGGGCAAGAACTCTGGCTGAGTGACGGAGTAGTTCTGGAACCACTGGTAGTAAGTGCGGACCAGGTTAAAGCCCGAATTAGGATTCGTGCAAGAAAGGCCACCGGGATACGAATCCAGGCCATACACATTCACCGCACCGCCAACATCCTGATAGTCCGTCGACCAGCTCTGCGAGCGCATCCCCTTCTCGTTATGGGTACTGGGCACGACGACACCCGCATCATCGAATGCCGCGGCAATTTGCTCCATGTACTTGACCAGAGTATTAGTCGCCAGGTGGGTGGTCTCCTGGAGCTCATTCTCGTGCTGATTCAAGATGACCGGGCCACCGTTGGTGATCTGGTTATCTGCGATGATCTTGCCGATCTTGAGAATCCACGGATACCAGCGCTCATAGTAAGATGTTGCGCTAGTGCGCTCGCTACCCATCTGCCCATTGGCAGCCCACAAGGCGAAGCCACCGGCCGACGTCTCGCCGTTGCAGTACGGGCCTGCGCGGGCAATCACATACAGGCCGGCTTGTTTGGCATAGTCGAAGACCCGCTGGACGTCGTGGGCGCCATGTTCAAAGTCGAAGGTATCCTCGGAGGCGGAGTGGAAGCTCCAGAAGAAGTAGACTGAGAGTAGAGAGAAGTATATCATTAGCTCGGGGCGGAAAAATCTGGAGTGAAGCATAAACTTACTAGAGACCGCATTAAACCCATTTGCGCGCAGCTTCTGAAACACATCCAGCCACAGTTCCGGCACTGGCAAACGCATGTAGTGGAATTCACCGGAGAAGACAAACACCCTCTCGCCTTTGACCGAGAGGCTATATTTGTCCCATGTCACGTCAGTTGTCTTGCCATTGTCCGTCGCAGAAACAAGGCCTGACAGTGCTCCTAGCAGGAGCAGGGGGAGAAATGCGAGGATGCGCATGTTCTATGTTTTTCGAGGAATCATAGCCCATTGTGATGTTCAGTGTTGGCTATTCCCGATATAAATCTGCTTTGCGTGCCTCGGTGCTCGCGATAGTGATACTCCGGTGGAGCGCAGGGATTGGTGGATGTTTTCGCGGCCCATGTTGACGCTTTTGACGCTTTAGGCAATTCTCCAGGAGAATGCAATGCGGGGTGCATTTTCCATCTGTGCAGGGTCCATGGCGCGGGGTTAATTCACTGTTACGACCAGGTCTCCGCTCGCTCAGAAGGATATCATGTAAACCAAAAGGGGGCGCTCTGACCCAAATGTCTGCGCTTTGTACTTGTGGCAAGCCATGGCTGAGCCAGAGCTCTGAAGGCCGTCTTCAGTGGTATCCTCTCGCAACTACGCTAAGTCATTTTCTCTTGGCCGTAGAGCACCGAGCGTGAATCACAAGTCAATTTTTGGAGACGACAACGTTGAGATATTCGTGTATATACTGAACCAAAAACGCCGCCATAAGATTCGTGGGTAATAACTTCGGACAAAAAAGACCAGCCCATATAATCGTCACATCTCACAGAACTCCAAAAGCCACAAACATCAGAAATCATAAATCACATACCAGAATCACAGATCCTCGGAAAACTTCGATTCCCGGCCCGTACTTACGGTCTCACTAAGGATTGGAGGAACGGGCAGGCCTTGTTCAGTGGCGCTGTCCCGTAGGCCCCGGACATAACCACCGCCCTCGGAAAGAGCCCCGGAGTTTTGACGCTTATGAGAAATCTCGTTTGACTTGCGCTCCTGGGTATTGCGTGAGACGGACTTCATGAAGCTCTTGCGAAGCCGCTGCCTCTTGCTACTGGCATTCCCGTTGCCATTTTGAGAAGCCTCTGGATGGGCGCCGGACTCCTCAGTGGGAGAATTGGTCATATCCCAGTCGCCGCTGTGGTTGGACTCGAGATCTTCATTACTAACAGGATGGGAGCTCAGCGCTGCCGTGCGAGGCTCGGTTCTCCCTGTCAAAGCAGCTCCTCCGGTAAATCCAACTTCGCTGTCGGTGTTGAATTCTGGGCCGGGCTGGTGGGGGTAGATGGGCTGTGGTCCGCTTGTGCGACGAACAAGACGATCGCGGAACCAGGTCTTGAGCTTTGAGTCTGCGCGTGGGCTGGTAATGGGTTGGACGATGTGCATGGCGGACACCCCACCGGTCGCAGCTGCATCGCGTGGTGCGGTGTGCGGTCTCGCAATATCGGAGAGATCGTCAACCTCTTCATGGACAGGCTGCACCGGGGCTGTAATGGGAGCAGCCGCCATGATGGTCGTTGCACCAGCTGTCTCCGGCACACTATCATCCTGCCGGATCGCCTCTTTCGAGACAGACGCGGCTTCGGCGCCGGCGCCAGTCTCTAAGGCAGGAGCAGCAGCTTGTGGAGCCTCGGGGGCAGCAGGAGCAATCCCTTCGGTGGCGTCAGCCTCTAAGAGAGGAGCAGCAGCTTGTGCAGCCTCGGGAGCAGCAGGAGCAACCTCTTCAGCCTCAGAAGCATCAACGACTTCCTGGGCTGCTGGAGCTTCCTCGGCGGGCTCTTCTGTAGTGACCCCCGGAGTGACTGCCTCTTCTTGCAAATCAGGTTTCTCCTCCTGCATTTGCTTGCTCTTCCGCTTCCACATGAAGAGCTTCAGTCGTTTGCTCCCGCGCTTCTCCGATACTGTATCTTTGGTCAGGTTATATGTCCCAGATGAAGACAAGGGAGGCGAAAACTTACCACCTTCTCGTTTCTCCGCTCTATTCAAGCTGGACTCACGCTCTCTCTCGATGGCCGCACGCCTCTCCTCTTCCTCTGCATCAAGGCGAGCCTCCAACTCCTCGGCCCTCCGTCGCTCGGCTTGGTCAGTGATGTCGTCAAGCGCGGGCTGAACACGAGACCGTGCCACGGCTTCAACATCAGCCATTTCGATGTACCTTGATGAGCCAATGTGAACCCGGTTGGCTTGAGCGCCCTCCGCTTCTGTGCTCTCAGCTTCCTCGCGAGCCCGCTCTCGGGCTGCCTCGTCCCATTCCTTCTGGATGGAAGGCGGTGCCCGACCGGTGTCGGCATATACTTTCATTTCCATATCGTGAATAGTGGCATCGACATTACGACGCGCTGCTTCCATGAGCAGATCACGATCCCTTTGTCTCCGCTCATCCACTTTGTTCAATTTGGTTCGCAAGCTGAACATCTGGTTACGGATATGCCTTGACTGTTCTGCGTCCACTTGACTTGCATCCGCGTCACTGGACGTCCTCTTTCGACGAGTGGGCATGGTCAGACGGGACCGTTGAGGCTGGGGGCGGTGCCGTAATACTCTTGGAACTCAGCATGCTCATCATGCATACGTGCCAATTTTTCCGCAGCCCGCTTTTGGGCCGTCTCTTGCAAAGTCATTGCTCGCTGGACTGCGGAGCCGTTCGCTCCACTGACAGACTTTCGTGATTGTAATTGACTTTGTCCAGTCTGAGCCGCCTGGACAGCGGCGTCCATGTTCTTGGCCTCGCCGGTCGGTCCCGTGGCGTCATACATGTCCTTCGCCATTACGAGAGCCGCAGCGTGCAGCGAGTTCCTTCGATTGCGCTCCTGAACCTCACTCGTTACCGGAGGGGACGATGTATAGAGGCGAGCATTGGTTTTGGGGATATGGGTAATTCGACTGGCTTCCATCGCATTGTCCAGGTGGTCCAGAGGTCCTTCTTTACGCTCCTGAGCGCGATGCGACACGCCAGCGGCGGCAGTGAGTGCATATGCCGAGTCGGTCGCAATGACCGGTTCACTCGGGGCAGAGTCAGCCCTCTGACGGGCGGCATAAGCACCGGTGGCCGCTCGGCGCGCCCTATCATCATGGATAGGACCAGACCGGGCGGAGATGTCGTGCTTGTGGCCGGCTTGAGTCGGCGACGAGCTTGTTATGCCTCTCTGCTCCCGCACGGCAAGAACTGCGGCGCCCAGACCCTCCGCACTGTACTGGGTGCTGGGCTGAGGAACCGCGGGAGGGGTGAAATCCTTCACAATCAACGCCGCCTTCTCAGCGTCGGGCAGTCGGCCAGGGCGCCATACTTCAATGGGTTTGTGATTCGCATGCGCAAGGGCTGAGGCGGCGGAAGCATGGCTGAGGTCAAGAGAACCGCCTGTTTTTCGTTGATCTAACACCACGAGCATGGCTTATCAGTATGGACGGGGCGTCGTCTTTCATCGCAATTTGCGATCGCATGGAACGGAGGCCACTCACTCAAGTATTGGGACTCGGCCGCGGGGGCATCGCGAACAGTAGCCCTGCGTCGAGGCTGCGTCACATAGAGTGCAGCGGTCGCGGCTGTTTCAGGCACGCATCAGAAGTCAGCGAACAGTGCACGCAAGGGTTTGGATTGGATTACATAAATGACGATCAGTTGGAGGGAGCTTACCGTCGTCGGCTAACCGAGCGGACCGGGGCGCCACAGGCATTTGCTGTGCAGTTGCCATGATGGATGAACTGCGATAGACGCGAAAGATCCGATCTTCATTCCTCGCGCGGACAGAAGAGTGGCAGCGCGAAAAGCCGAAGGTTAAGGGGGGAGATATGAGAAGGGGTGGATGGGATGGAAGCCCGGAAGCTTCCTTACACCCCGTGACGTCGTCGGCTGCAACGGAGGATCCGCGAGATGGAAAATGCAGACCCATTGCATCATCGCCGCGAAGTCTATCACCCGATGAATCAATGAGAAGCGCTGCCCTTACGCGGGGGAACGCACTAGCAGGCGCAATTGTGGGAAAAAGTGGGGACTTTTGGTGGGACTGTGCAGCTCGATTTCCGCTTTCGATAGGCCCGTCCCTTTCGACTGGTGGTGACGTGGGGGACTTGGGCGCTCCTTGGCGCAGGATCGCCCTGCAGGGTATGGTTCTGGCACGGTGCGCTGAACGCTGCTTTCCACTCGTTCTTGATCGTTGGCTTTTTTTAATCTCATCGTCATGATTTATGCAGTGGGAAAGAAATTATGCCCAATGATTGAGGCATTCACAACCACCATACTGAGGTATGGTGGACACACTCCACCAGCACTTTAAGGACCTACCCAAAAATATACATCTTCTGCACATAATGAAATTCACTGGTTGTGGATCATCTCCAGGCGACCAAGTCCAGAGGGTGTCTGAGAACCGTCCCAAAGATATTGGTTATCGAAGTTGCTGAAAAGCCCCCTTTTCACATATGACCATATAGACCCTACCGAAACGGGCAAGGCTATAGCTTGATAGCGTCGTAATGTACGGTGTACCGGGCTTGGGCTGGCAAACTTCATCCTACAGTCCTGAAATTGTGGCAGAGGCCCACTTCACTTATCTCAGAAGATACACAAAATGGGCGGGACTAGCGAGAAGCGGACAATGCTTCCGTCTGCGCCCGCTTCTAGCCCCTCTACCCGAAAATTGGTCGATGCGCGAAGAATGACGATCACTGTGATTGATGGCAATTTCCTTAACGTTTTTTATCTTCATAAAAGATCTGATTGCCTTGATGTTGATTTTGTACTCATCCTGGCACTATGCCTCATGTCCCTATTATTTCCTCATGGAACCCTGGTTCTTTTATAAGTCTAGCTCTATTATAACCTTCCTAGTTGTGATGCTTTTTTTGTTGGCCTCTCTGTATAGCGCGATTATTCAAATACACTAGTTCCTGTAGATTTTCTATATTCTATGAGTTTATGACTTTCGAGTTAGTGAGAATTAAAGCGAGCAGAGAATCGAGAAAGACTTACAGGGTAGGACCTTTGTACTGATTTAGTTGGCCGCCCAGTATAATGAATACCTACTAGCTATCACTTTGAAGTGTGATGTTCGCGTTATAAAAGCGCTAAGCTATGAATAGAGTTAGCTTGTGAACCACCCAGACTTCCAATGTACTCTCAGAGGCAGGTACCAGTCCGCTCTGTGTTGGTTTTCTTTTCTGTCTTATCAGTCTATCCTTGCGAACCGCCTAATCGCTCATAGACCTATGCAGCGTGGGTGGATTGACCAGAATTTGCCATCATAACCAGCTTCAACTACCGTGGCCAATGGAGAGGGGCTCGCAGGATCTTCGGCGCGATAGAATCCGCAGAGTTTGCGCCAAAAAATCGGAATAATCCAGTTCATACCACCACACATCACGCAGAGAGGATACGAGAATAGTCGAAGGAGCCACGATACCAGAGGGGCCGACGGAGAATCAAGAAACTGGCAAGGAGCTCATACGTGAGGAAAATCCCGTCAATTGACGCACTGAGGATGCGCAGCATACTAAAAGCTCATTTCTCGAGCATTGAAGCGGTGCCTTTCAGTCCAAATGGTCAACCACTCGCTTCGGGATCCCACGACTCGTCTTTCAGCCTTCGGAATGTTGGCGAATGTGGCTCTACCTCAATATTATTGCACGAGCGTCTTCAAAGCAATTGGAAGAATATCTGGACCCTGGCCTTCTCTCCAGATGAGAGGTCGCTGGCCACAAGCTCGGCTGGTAAGATTGCGAGACTTTGAGATGAGCAGCAAATATTGGCAGGTCAGGTTCGCCGCAGCGAAGCTTCGAAAAATGGGTTTCCCCTCGCAGAAGGGTATTAGAAGCGTTTGACCCGTCTGGCAAGTCATACCATGTGAATCATAACCTCAAAGGGATGTCTCAGGAGTAACAACGAGCCAACTCATATCAGTTTGCGTCGATAATCTCTTCTCAACGTAGAGAATGAAATTTGTTTAACGCAAGTTATATTGTCAAAATGGATTGCACTGCAATTCTCCAATCAGCCCTGAGTCTCACTAGATATGCCCATTCTGAAATACTGCAGCCCGGTAGCTAGCAAAGAAATACAATGATCCTCAACTGTAGGCCAATATTCAGTCCCCATCAACTATTGGCCAAACATCCGAATGAATGGGCATACACCTTAAGGACCATGGAAAGAAACGGAGGAAATCGCAGAGAGTCAAGGTCGGGCGCTGATTTTCAGACCGTCACTTACATTGCCCCTCACGAATGTACTCCCACGTAGTAATCATCCCTCATACCAATCTAATCACAGTCGCCCACTCATCTCTCCAATGTTCGAAGCGCAGAATCATAACTTACAGGGGGAGTCACGCCTACCGCTAGTGCTTACGAGAACGCGCTCCACCGACTGAAGTCCGTGCATCCCCTGACACCCGCTGTGGAAGTACGGCGAAGCTTGGCCCTGACCCGCTCGCTAGATATCATAAACACCGAGCTACTCAGAGCGCGGCGACAAAGAATGCGCCGCAACGCGCATTTCCGACCGGGGCGAGAGCCCCTGCACGACCATCCCGGCCTGACTCTCCGCCGCAGTCATGTCTCCGGCCCTCTTTCGTTCCTCAATCCCACCTGGGCACGGTACGCGCCGGCCGCAGCCCCTGGGCAGGCCGAGGCCGGAACCCTGGGACAGGAGCGGGGCGCAGCGCCCGTTGTAGCTACGGAGCCAGGGTATGTCGAGCATCTCTGGCGCTCGCGCGACAATCGCAAGGGACGACATGCGCTACAGGTTGATTATTTGGTGGCGGCACGAGAGACGGGGTTCGCGGCCCCGCCGCCAACAGCCACGTGGAAAGCCGTGGCAAGGGGCATTCCGCGGATGGCGACGTGCGCACCTTACTGGGACGTATCGTGGCTGGTTGCAGTTACATTTACGCTCGGATCGGTGATCTGGATTCTCAATGCGTTCTTCGTGTGGTTGCCGCTGGAGGATCCCGCGACGAGTTTCGGCGGCGAGTCCCTGATGGGCGGGGGCATTAGCGGGTTCATCGGCGCGACAGTGTTTGAATTTGGCAGTGTACTCCTGCTTCTTGAGGCTGTCAATGCCAATCAGACGGCGTGCTTTGGCTGGGCGTTGGAGACGGAGTTGACCAAGGCTGAGAGCCATGCGTCGCAGGCTGTCCCTGTCCCGGTCACGAAGTTGAAGCCCAGCACGGACGATTGCAGCCATCACCACGCCAATAGACGGAATTTGGTTGGCTTGGGGCGGCACATATCTCGCCGAATCTCTCATGATGTCGCTGCGGGCTATTCGACATCGTCGCCAGATGGCAGATCATTCCGATGGCTGCCCCCCTGGACCGAACTGCGGACGCATTACATGCACGAGCTGGGGTTTCTCGCTTCACTGATTCAGTTCTTCGCGGCTACCATCTTCTGGATTGCTGGCTTCACCGGCCTGCCCGGCATCATCGATCATATGAGCCAGCGCGTTACGAACGGAGTCTACTGGGTTCCTCAGATAGTTGGCGGAACCGGGTTCATTATCAGTGGATTGCTGTTCACCCTTGAAACGCAAGAGAAGTGGTATCGGCCTGCTTTCAATGTCCTTGGTTGGCATATTGGAGTCTGGAACTTCATCGGTGGTATTGGCTTCACTCTCTGCGGTGCATTAGGGCCCGCGATCAATGCCTCGGGCGTGGAGTACCAAGCGACTCTTGCGACATTTTGGGGCTCGTGGGCGTTTATGATTGGATCGACGATACAGTGGTATGAGAGTTTGCAGAAGTATCCGGTCGAAAAGGAATGATGCAGCAATGTAAAGCAGGTAACCGTTGGCAAGCTGCGCGGGACGCGCCAACAAGATGGATGGAACTCAGGCGCGCAATGAAAGACTTTGTATATCTCAATTACTCTATATAACTCATGATCCTGGAATACCCATTACGCGCTCATAGCCTGCTTCCAAACAAGATCGTAAATCGTAATAGAGCGAAAGGATGCGAAATCACCGGAGGTGTAGCATTTCGAGGATATCGTGGCGCGCAAAGAAGGACCGATTCCACTTGCCGAAAATATCTGCCACGCAAAGGTTTAGTGACAGTCAAAGTCGTCAGTCTGTCTTTAAGACTTACACATGGGAATACTCAAGCAGCAGATGCCCACTTGGATGCTCCCGATAACGGTCATGGTGTGCTTCACGCCACCATATGCCATCCATCCGTAGGCGAAGAAAGTAAGCACAAAGCTGAACATGTTCTTGAAAATTAGCAGACATGTAAAAGCCTCGATAGCGATTTCACCTGTCGAAATTAGCAGTGTCACTTCGTTCCGGGAATCCTAGTGCTCCACATACGATGTGCGTCGACAATGTAAAGCGACGCTGCCACGGCGCCCATGACCATGCCGATGATAAGAAAGGCAAAGAAGACATCTGGAAGCAGCCAGTGATACTTCGTTATATTCCCGGCCGTCCATCCAAAACCATAGAGACCCATGCAGGCAAAGACCAACTGGAAGATGACTAGCAGAATGCGGAACTCGGGCTCATATTTGCCGTGGTTGAGTTTAACCATCATCTTGGTCATGAAATCGGTCAGGACCCCGGAAAGAACGAGACCGATCATGGACCCAATGAAGGCTCCGGTGTATAGGTAGCCTGTCTGGTCTTCGTGGAACCAAAGAGGCGGGCCCTCGAAAACAAGTGCCAGGATGACACCGATGAAGACGGTCCAGCCGATGACTACACCTTGAATCAAGCAAGCCTGGAATTGATGGTCAGCATCACAATTTGTCGGGTTCAATGGACCGAAAACAGTGCCTACCCAGAGGATACCGGGATGCAGAAACAGAGGAAATGGACGTAGTAGCAACTTCCAGAATTTCTCGTCGGTCTTGCGTCCAGTGAAGAGTCGAAGAGATCGAATGAATGAATCCTTCTCGGGAATTGGGGTCGCCGACACCTCCGTTCGCGAAGTTCCATTGAAGTTCCCGGTTCCGGGAACAAAGGCCTTGGACTCCTCGGTGACAGGATCACTGAGCGGTTGGTGGGAGTCGGTGGACTCGCTGTGTGCAGATTTATGCTTGAAATCGGTGTTGAGATAGTCGGCTCGCCGATATGCAGTCTCCGGCACAAAGAAGATCATCAAAGGCAACGAAGCGGCCAGAAAAATGGCGACGAAGTAGAACGACCACTCCCATCCCATGGTCACCGTCATTTTTCCCACAATGACTGGCGTCAAGAATGCTGCCCCAAAGAGGGCTACGTTGGATACTGCCATCCGTTTGCCTCGCTCCTACAATTGCTCCTAGTCAGCCTGGGATCATCAGATGGACACGCCAGTAGACCCACATGGACGAAGTAAAGATCCCCGACACAGGCGTTGACCAGCCCCTCAAAGGGGGCCAGAGCTACTCCTTGGAAGATCCGAGCCCACAGCAGACTTTTGTGATTCGTGCCACTCCCACCGGCCCAGGCGCAGCTCACAATCATCAAAACATGTCCGAGCAAGAATAGATGGCGCTTGCCCCAAATTCGGGCCGTGGGCACAATGAGAATCCCAGCCACGCCCACGCCACAAAGATGGTAGCCGGTGAGCAAAGCGGCCTCAACAAAAGTAATTTGGACGACCTCGGCAATTTTGACCGTATTCGCGGCCAGGATGGAGGTAAGCGTGGTGCAGAGCACGGTCACGAACGAGAGAATGGCAAGAATAAGGTCGCGCCTCCATAACGGCCAGTTCTAATACCGTACGCTATCATCAGTTTTAGACCACATGGTATGGATGGCGGCCCAACCTACCAACGGATCGTTGGGGTCGTCACTCGGCTGGGGAACCAAGATCGTCGGCTCTTTGGTAGTCCAGTCATGTTTCACACCCACGGTGTCCGTGTGGTCGTTCCTGTCATCCCGCTCGTAGATATTCGCGGTACCTGGAGGGTAGCACGGCTATTAGCTCAATGGTTTTGCGCGACAACGGTTATGTACCGTCTCACCTGGAACATGCTCTGTCCTGGTATCTAAAACACCCAGACCCATGGTCGCGGCAGCCAGGCGACGCGCTCAATGCTGTCGGGTGTTTGAATCGAGGAAGTTGAGAGCAGCTTAAAAAAGAAGAGAGAAAGCAGGAAGGGGCGGAGCTCAGGAGTTAAACCTCGCCGGGCATGGCTCGACTCAGGTGACAAACACCGCAAAAGCAACACCGCGCACAGCAGGATCGCTCATCACACCACACCTTGTAAAGGTGATCGTGATTGAGAACGCGATAAATAGGGGTCTTTCGTGCGATGTGGTCGAAAATGTTTCAGGAAGATCAACTGAGTTGCGCAGACCAGACCAGAGCCAAATCCAACGGGACGGGGCCGGCTGCGGTGCGAATCTACGGGACCAAGCGGTGCCACCCCCTCTCTTTCAGTTGCCAGGCCTCAGCGCGATTGGGAGAGTCAAAGTGTGGCGGGCGGATTGGTGGGACAAGCAGATCTGCCTGCTGCAGAGTACCAGGTATTTTCTGTCCGGGGGAATCTATACGCTGATCTTAGGGTGAATGAGTAAAGCAAGTATACCGCAGGACCTTGGATGATCCACGGCTCCCCCTGATACACCAGTGGAAAACAGCTGAAATTATGGCTTTCGCGATACGAAAAGGTTTGCCGCTAGGCAAGCGCCCCAACCCTCGGCTGGCAGCGTCGATCGTCAATGGGAAACTTTGGCCGAGGAATCACTTTCGTGGCTGGTTGGTCCTGAGGGCTCCCCCGATGGGCACAATAGACCAATTCCGGTTTCCATGCTTGCCAAATGCCGCGCAGCAGGACCGTGGCAAAACACTGGTGCCTTGCAGGGCACGAGAGAAACGCGTGAACCCTGGCTTGCTCGAGCAGAAACCCAAACTGCCAAGCTGGGGAAGGGCCCGGCTACACTGTGGAGTTGGCGGGGTCCGAGCGTGCTGTCCTGGCGGTATTGGGACTGTATGCACGCCGTCCAGAGTGGTCATACCCGGCAGATTGTGCCAATGCCACGGCCCCAGGAAGCCAAAACATCAAAACATGCTCCTCTTTACTCAGGCTTAGCCCTGGGCTTCTATACCGGCGACACCTGCATCTTACTGCCCTCAAGTACGATAGAGGATATCAGCTCCTCGGAACCAAACTAGAATCCCAATCGCCCTGTCTCCATTTCAATCTTCATCCTCAGGGTTTGTCATCTCAGGCTCATATTCTCTCCACCGGGCTGCTTCTATTCACGGGAGCCAATTCCCCCATGATTGCTGGTCATGGATGAAGAGACGAGTTTATTTGATAAGGCAGCAGGTGATGATGGTTCATATTTTTGGTAAGAAGGTTCAATCATTGAAGGCCAAAATAGTGAAACAACGTCGATTTCGAGGCATAAAATGTATTGCATGCAATGCTTTTTGGCTGGGCTCACGCTTGGTTCTTTTGGGTGACCAGAGTACTTAGCGCCACGGCAACCTAACCCCTACAGCCACGCTCCTTAGTGTAATACGAAATACAAGCGGCCAAAAAGGCTATCTCCTGAAGGCTCGAGCCTGGCACAGCGCCCAATAGTTGCCAGCAGCGTGGAATATACAGTCGAATCGTCGATTGGATCTGTAAGCCCCCTGGGCAAACCCCCAATCCTTCAGCTGCCGGCTGCAAAGCTCCTCAAAAGGGCGAACAGAGCAAGTGACTCTTTTCCCTTTGCACACTCCTCCCTCCTGCAAGCTTCACCACCCAGGCTTGACCTTCTAACAATTCCATCCAATCCAGAATTGTCAACAAAGACAGCATGAAGCTCACTCAGTTCACTCTGGCCACTGCCACTCTGCTGGCGACTGTCGCCGCACAGGGTTTGGGTGACCTGCCCACCTGCGCGGTATGTTCTTTTTGTCTACTCCCCGACACAATCCTAAGCAACTGTCATGAACTAATAACCTGGATTACATAGCAATCCTGCGCGACCAGCTCGATTCCGGCCAACTGTGGCCTCGATATCCAGTGCATCTGCGCTGACCAGTCATTCCTGAGCGACATCGCCTGCTGTGTAGCTGACAAGTGCTCCCAGGCAGACCAAGAGAGTATGTGCCCCCACTCCAAGCAATCCGGGGTTTTTGTTGACCGTTGTCTTCTTTGTTCCTGCAGCTACTCTCAAGGTGGCCAAGGGGATCTGCGCTAGCGGCGGCGTGACCAATTTGCCCAGCACCATCTCCTGCCCGTCGACTGCGTCCTCCAGCGGGACCTCCGAGAGCATGACCGAGACTATGACTGCAACCATGAGCTCCACTGCGACTGACACCACTCTTGTCGGCTCTGTTACCTCCACCATGACTGAGGCTTCGACCACTAGCTCAGGCTCCACCGGCGCTTCAACCCAGGCCGCGTCGTCCTCCTCGGCCGCTACCAAGGCCGCTGCTACCACCGGCGCTGCGATTCTTGGTCAGAACAAGGACTCCTCCCTCATGGCTGCTGCCGGGGCTGCTGCCGCCTTTGCCTTCTTCGTCTAGGAGTGCACGGACCCTGGGTCTGATGGTTTGACAAGTGAAGGAACGAAATGGGATATGTCCTGGATGCTCTCTCGACGAAATGACTCAATGGGCTAGTCTATGTAATAATCAGGAAATTTTAGGCCAATGGAACACCTTGAGTCACTCTAATAGTACACTTGAAATGATGCGGGTCTACGCAGAAGCTGTCGTAGAAGGCACTTTAGCTGTGGCGAGCCTCCTCACGGGCATCCTCCAGTAGCTTGGTCAATTTCTGCTGTCGCTCCTCACGACAAGTCACGAATACCTGCAGTCACAAATTAGTCAACATATCAGTCGCGATTCGATGGTTTGCCGGTATTTGTCCGAGAGAGGTGCCACTTACCCAGAACCATACCATCATCTCCATGAACGCGAATGTAAAGACTACGCGATCCTTCAGGCGATCCAAGCCCGACACCGCTGCCGCCGTATTATAAGAAGACGCCAGATAGCTGCCACGGGCCTGGTAGATGAAGAACGAGATGCCACCGTACACGCCAAACCGAAGCGCGGAAATTCCGACCCACACATTCCAGTACATCGTCAGAGACTTTGTGATATACTCCGGCAACTTCGCAAGCACTTGGAGGTCCTCCGCCGGCAGATTTCCATTGCGCAGGGGTCGAATATAGGGCAGGGCCTCGTCCAACGCGTCGTGGTAGGGAAGACTGGTCAGGAGGATCAAGTCGGTCACGGCTCCGGTGAAGAGTAGGACGGAACAGAAGACGAAGGGCGACTGTGTGGGGCTAGTGACGGCGGGGAAGTCCTATGAAGAGATTAGTTCTCGCGGCAATCAATTGAAACAGGTAGGTCAGCAGCTATGCCCGTACAATTTTCAAGGCCTCGCCCATCATGAACACAAGGTCGGAGTCGGTGATAAACTCCGGGTTCTTGATCAGATACCCGGCAATGACGACCAGGAGCACGGCATGTGCCTGGATGAGAGTTTTGGAGGAAAGCAGCCCCATTGTGGCGGTTGATGGTGGTCCTGGAGTTGGGGGTGGAAAAAGCGTGGCCTGGGGAGGTGGAAAGCGCTGGTCCGCGTGTTCGGCGTTTAAAGGCATGTGGGGAAGGCAAGCTGCTGCTCCGGTCGAGAAACAACCCCCCGCCCCCACCACGACAAATTGCAAGGTTTGTCGCGACAATACAAGCTCCCTTTGGGACTTATCGCATGCACTGTTCGCGTGAATCAGAATTACTCTCAGCTGATATCGGCGCACCGATTGTCTGCCCTCCTCGGACGCCATGGTGGAGCCCATCTTCAACACCGAGCGCCATGTCAAATACTACCTCCGATGCCTAAAGACCTTCCTTCCCTCGGCCTATATCTCCAATGACTCCAATCGCATGCTCCTCGCCTATCTGACCCTCGGTGGCCTAGACGTCCTCGGTGTCCTACAAAGCAAAACTACCCCGGAGGAGCGGCAAGGATACATCGATTGGCTCTACCATTGTCAAGTGCCCACGGGCGGATTCCGCGGGTTTTCAGGCACAAACTTTGGCGATGAGAGGCGGACTGCCGATAATGAGGCATGGGACCCGGCCAATGTGCCGGCGACGTTCTTTGCCCTGGTCAACTTGCTCATTCTGGGCGATGACTTGTCGCGCGTAAAGCGGAGGGAATGCCTGGAGTGGCTCCCCAAGTTACAGCGCGAGGACGGGAGCTTTGGTGAAGTTCTAGGCCCCAATGGGACCGTTGAAGGAGATCGTGATCTACGATACTGCTGCTGCGCCTCAGGGACACGCTACCTTCTGCGAGGCAGGACTGGTAAAAGCGTGGAAGATGTGCCAGACATTGACGTGTCTAAGTTGATCTCATTCATCGAAGCTTGCCAGGTAAATCTCACGGACTTGCTTCTAGACCGCGGATCTTGACTGATCGCTTTCTCTTCGGGCAGAGCTACGACGGCGGAATAGCCGAGTCACCCTTTCGCGAATCGCATAGTTCGTCTTCAATGCACCCCCCTTGCGAGCCAACCTTCTGACCAAGCGATTCAGGTGGCCACACATACTGTGCAGTTGGATCTCTACTCTTTCTGCGTCAGGGCACAGATAACATCGAGCCTGCGCAGCTGGTGTCTCCGGGGTCGGCGAAGTTCGAGGCCTTAGTGGGCTGGTTGGCATCGCGCCAGACAGACAAATTACTCGGCGAAGAGGAAGGAGAAGAGGAAGGCGAAGAGGACGAGACAGAGGGCGATAACCAGGAGGTATCGCCAGCGACCGAGGCAGAGACAGGGACCGAGTCGGTAGATGATCTGATCCGTGGACTGTCGGGTATGACTCCCATCGCAGGCGATACCATCTCATGCGCTGGGTTCAACGGGCGGTGCAACAAGCTGGCGGACACCTGCTATTCGTTCTGGAACGGCGCCGCACTTCTGGTATGACTTCTAACCCATGTCAAAAATACCTTCCATTCACCAAAGCCTGTAGATGCTGGACCGGTATTCCGTGATTGATGACGCGCGCAACCGGAAATATCTCCTGGAAAAGACGCAGCACTTGGTCGGTGGCTTTGGAAAAGGCGTTGGGGATCCTCCTGGTAAGGCAAAATGGTTGTTCCAGCGGCAAATTCACGGCTGACCCGATCCTCCAGATCTCCTGCACTCATATTTCGGCCTGGTCTCGCTGGCTTTCCAGGGTGAGGCGGGACTTGCTGAAGTCGATCCTGCGTTGGTTGCCACTAAACGGACTGTTCAGCACTTGCATTCGCTGCCGTGGTGGTCATAGAGACCGCATGAATCGCCCCGTCGTGTGCCAAATTAGCAGCGACCGGTTATTACGTCATACGATATACCCTGCCCCTAAGTCTGTAGTTCCATGGTGTATACTTTGATAATAGTCACTTCTAACTTGATACCATTGCTCTTACCGGAAAAGACCAAAGCGTTGGTTTCCATATAACTCCTCCACAGCTCCCCCGCACGAGGATGATGTGAGCTCGCGATTGAGCAACGGGAGCTTTCGAATTGTACGATCCACCACACTTCGATAGTTTTTATACAGAAGAGTAATTAACGGCGGACGCTGTCAAAAAACATCTATAACTTCAGCACCTCGATGTGTAGAAACAATCCTCGTGCTTCCGGTCCTCAATGCATGGTAGATTGGCTAGCCTGGATACCGCAACTTCATCGTGGACTAGACAGGCCGTATAACACGCGGGCGGCCATAATTCATATTCGTCATTCTCTCCCGCTTCCAGGAATGCCAGTCTCCGACTCTTGGTCTTATGGGTGCTTGGCACTCTACCCGGATGCGATCACACGATGCTCCATCTAGAGCAACCTGGTCTTCTACCAAGTCAAGCTTGTGAGAGACAGAGACGAAGGCCTGGAAACCCCAGAAAGGTTGGACAGGGTCGCTAGGCTTCCGTCGGGATAACTACTCGAGGAAAATTAATATGGATCTAAGGGGGGATTAGATACAAGCAGCCCATCGGTCGGCTTGTCTAGTTTCCTTAGTGGTCGCATATAGATATCCTTGTAGAAGGGAAGACCCAAGATGAACTATAGGTATCAGAGACATCACCGCCACCGTAGCTGGTAAATATAGACAACTGGTCGTTCATTGGAAGTATCCATCACCGTGCACGGTCACTACGGTCCTTCCTTTGCCACTCATGTCCATGGTGCCAAGTACTGGTACTAAGATGATTGCTGGATTTCGCTGCAGGCGCATTGTTCCTTATTGGTCCATGTCATCAACGCGCGTGCAACCAATGAACGCGCGCCTATAGATTGGGCGCAATTCCTGGGAACTCCCTGAGTCGCGGGAGAAAGGGATTGTGGTGTGTGTGGTACGTGGAATTCAGGGAATGGCGCAGTGGCGTAGAACGCAGAGATTGTTCTGCCTGGTGTCCATGCAGCAGTCATTCTCATTTCCTGGACTTGGTCTCTTAGTCTCATAGTTAGTGGTCGGTTTCGCCCCCCTCTCCAGCCATCAGCCCGTTCCTAAATAAAAAAGTTACGGAGTAGGAAAGAGGAAAGATCTCCCATACGCCACACCACCAACCAATATCAAATAATTATTGGGGGTCAAACCGAGTCAATCTCCACTCAGGGGCTTGTGCCGTGTATGATATAATGCGTTAGCAACGGGCCAGGAGAGCCGCTCGAGTCCACAGCCGAACTCCACTCACCACGTTTCCGTTGACGTCTGAACTCAACCTGGAAAGTTTGTATGCACCACCACATTCTGCGACCCTTCCATGACTTGACCACGACCACGACCACTCTCTCCTTCCTCCCCCTCCACCGACCCTCCCTTCCTCTTCCGACGGCACCCCTGCCCTGCACTTACCCGACATTCCCGCCGGAACCCGTTTCCTCCGTCGCCCTTCCCATGTCTGTTTGAATGGCAAGACCAAGACCGAGCAGCCCACTTCTCCACGCCCTCCGACTCGACACGCGCAGAGATCTCCGTCGCCGACGGCAATCCCGGAGATCGATCATAACACATGCCGCCCAGGACGAGAGCAGTGGTGCAAAGCCAGCAACAAAAGGAAAAGGTGCGTTGAGGGGGATTAGCGGACCGTGACCATGACCTCCTGGGTGGTTGCGCAGCGCCGACATGTGGCTAACTGGGAAACCGGCCATTCTGGTCGCGTGTCGTTACAGCTTGCCAACTCCTACAATGAACTCCTCGAGTAAGCTTCGTTCTTCCCTCGGTTCGCGATACAGTGACTGATGCGCACCCCTCTCTAGAGAGTTTTCGTCCAAGGATCTCCGGAGCGTCGGAAATTATAGCGTAGGGAGGTTGATTGGGAAAGGCTCCTTCGGAAAAGTCTACCTTGCGTCGCACAAGCTCACCAATGGCTCCAAGGTACGAATTGCGCCGTGGAACGGACCGTGGGGGGAAAAAAGAAGAAGGCCCTGCTAACGAATGGTATAGGTGGTGCTCAAATCCTCCAGCAAGGAGGACACCAACCTGGCGCGCGAAATCCATCACCATCGCCAATTCCTCCACCCTCACATCGCGCGTCTTTACGAAGTCGTGGTAACGGAGAGCCTGGTTTGGCTGGTGCTGGAATATTGTCCTGGTATGATCGATTGGAAGGCGCAGTTTGGGCAAGGCTGGAAGGACAAGTGTGAACTGACTGGGTTGTCTATAGGTGACGAGCTCTACAACTATCTCCTCCGCCATGGTCCCCTTCCTGTCGATAAAGTAAAACGGATTTTCACCCAGCTGGTCGGTGCGGTGGCCTATGTTCACAGCAAGTCGTGTGTGCATCGGGATCTCAAGCTGGAGAATATACTGCTGGACAAGCACGAAAATGTTAAGCTCTGCGATTTCGGGTTTACGCGCGAATACGAAGGGAAGGCGAGCTACCTGCAGACCTTCTGCGGCACCATCTGCTACAGCGCCCCGGAGATGTTGAAGGGAGAGAAATATGCTGGCGAGAAGGTCGATGTATGGAGCTTGGGAATTATTCTCTACGCCCTTCTGGCGGGCGAATTGCCTTATGACGATGACGATGACCAAATTACCAAGAACCGGATTCTCTCCGAGGCGCCGACCTACAACGACAAGTTTCCCGACGACGCCAAGGCGCTGATCAACCTCCTTCTCTCCAAGCGGCCATTGATTCGACCAAGCCTTGATGAAATTCTTGCGCATCCGTTCCTTGCGGAGCATGCCCCTGAACAATTAGCTATCCTCAAGATTCCTCGGCCCTCCCCGTTCACGACACCGCTGGAGAAGACCACTTTGCAACGGATGAAGAGTGCCGGGGTCAATATCGATGAGGTCATTGAGAATGTTTTGGCTCAAAGATGCGACCCGTTGGCCGGATGGTGGGCCCTGTTGATTGAAAAGGAGCAGCGCAAAGAACAAAAACGAGAGCGCAAGCGCAGGGAACGAGAAGTAGAGGCAAAGAATCTCCGTCGACTGAGCGCCGCTAGCAGCCGTTTAGAGAAGCTGTCCTCGGCTTTGGTGGAAGTGGACGAAGAAGGCCAGGCGAGCGTGGGTGGCCAGCTGAAGGACCGCGGGCGGCGTGATAGGCGAAGCCTTCCATCCCAGCTGGCGGTGCCAGAGCTGCCTGCGCTTCCCGAGCCACTATCCGTCTTCTCTCCCGACATAAGCAACCTCCCAGCACCTGTCGACAAAGACTCTCTTGCGGACAGGCGCTCCATCACATCAGCCTCCACTTCGGTCCGGCGCCGTCCAGTTCCGCCTCCGAAGGATAAAAGAAGATCGCGTCCCAGTATGCTGCATGTCAGCGCGTCGCAACCCGAGCTAACGCAGCATCATGGGATCTTCCGTCGCCGTACCAATCGACGACATCACCCTATCCTGAGCCAGCTTGCATCCCTCAAACATTGGTTCGTGGAATCAGCCAAGCGGGCCAAATCTCCCAATTCCAAGTCCACCGGGTCGCGCAAGTTCCTATCAGAAAAGTTCAGCCCTGCAAAAAGTCAAGATTCTGGAAAGAAAGCTGCGTCCTTACCTACTGCCGGCGATGCCCCAGCAGAGGTTGTGACGCCTACTCAAATCAAGCGCATTTCCAATGCTAGCAGTCTGGCCCCGAGCAGTGCCTCTTATCGTCAGAACAGGCACTCCTATCCTCGCCAGCCGCGAGCATTGAATACTAGTCATTCTAGTCATCGCAACTCCCTCTCGCCATCCCCCATCACCCCCCGTGGCTCATATCGGCGATCGTCAGCTGGGTTGCGTGGTCGCAAATCCACATCGTCTTCTGTCTCATCCATACGCAGCATTCACCACACGCGTGCGCATTCCAAAGCGTCGTCAATTTCGTCTAATAGCATGGACACCATCGCCACACCAACAGCCCGGGTTTCCAAGTCACCTCATTCATCCATCAAAGTGCTTCCTACTACGCCTGGCTCGTCCGCCCGCTTCCCGAGCAATATTCGGTTGGTACGTGGTCCCAGTGGGCCTCAGAGGGAGCTGAGTGACACTACGGGGCAGATTCAGTCAGCCTTTAATGAAGCCGCCCCCGGTCCAATTCTTTATTCGCCCTCTTCTAGCCTGGTCTTTGCCCGACGGAAACGATCTGCCTTTAAGGGCCCCATGATTCATACATCGAACCTGATGGGCTCGAGCGGGATGGTCCATTCACCTCTCCCCGGTCAGGCTGCAGGTAACGACGACGCTGTTCCCGTCTCTGGGCGCCCTGTGGCCCGCAAAAGCCAGATTATCGAAGAGGAGGAAGATGCCGAGGGCTTCGAAGATGAGATAGAAGAAGTCGATGAATTTGACGGACCAGGGGAAGACTCTGGCACAGCTGACGCTGATGGCGATGTTACTCCTCAAGAGTCCGTCACGCAGGCCGCGGAGGCTCGATCTCCTGTGTCAGCCCACAAGCCGGCACTCGAACCGGCCCCGGAGCTGGAATCCAGTCCACTCCGACCTCCGCGGTCATCCTCGCTGCATTCGCCGCCGCCCGAACCAGCGGAAGCCCTCGCAGCGGAAGCCCTCGCAGCAGTCGCCGGGGAGTCGGCAGCACAAGACCGTGACGTTGCCGACGCCAATTCTGCCGAGACTGCTGGCGAGCTGACTCCTAAGCCAGTTATTTCCTCTGGATAATGCTTGCCGATGCTTTAAGGCATTTGGATGCGGACGTTTCCATGGTCCACTCCCACGATTCTCATTTGCGTTGCACAACCGGTTAGACGATAGAGCTGTTCCTGTTCCTATTCCCATTCCTGATCCCGTTTGTGATTTCCTTATACCCCCTCGTGTTTCTTGCGATTCCATACGATTCCATACACGTCCTGTGTTTGTGTTTCTCATTTGCCCGCATTTCCAATACCAATATCTATTGGCGTCTCCTGGCACCTACCAACCAGTACAACGTCTGCCACCCGGGTTTTTGTTGAAATTCTGTGCCTCCACTCTCGCTTTGGTTTTCTTTGCCTCAATTGGTTATATTGTCCTGCTTCACGAAGCGCCTTGCTCTCTGTCGAGATTTCCTATGATTCCACCGCCCCCCCTCCTTCTTTCCACCCGTCCCGGGTTCTTCTGGACCACAGATACCTCTCCCTTTTCAAGGCTCGCATTATCTACATTGCACCCCCATATAGACGTCCTCTTTTCCTTTGCTATTGGCATTACGGTCTGCACAATGACAGGCTGCTCTATTTTAGCGCGATCAACCATACTATACAAAAGCGCTTCGTTCCCATGCATGAATGATTTCATCAATCGCATTACTCCTTTGCGGCATAGTGGTATCATATTCAACCGTCACATAAATTCGTCACTATCATTCTTGGAATTCCAACTGGAACAGACATGCACTGCTAGCTGTATCACCGTAGACCGTTACTACTGCCGTGCAACGTGAACGGGCCCGCCCTTCTCACCCATCTCCCTGGTCGTATCAATGGCCGCCTCTTCATCTTTGGTATCCTGATTCTGCAGTCCAACTGTACTCTCTCCCACCTTGTCTACTGTCGTCTTGTACGAAGGAACGAAGTTGACCGCGACGGCGTATGTCCACGCAACGACCATGAACTATGATGATCAGCTAAACTGAGCCCCCTCGACAGGGTTGAATCAAAGAGCCCAACGTACCATTGTCGGCACAATAAATGCAAAGCCCGTGTCATTCCTCATATCAGCGACGTGGCCCAGGATCGGCGGCACGATTGCTCCGCCGCACACGCCCCCGACAATGAAGCCAGAGCCGCGCTTATAGTGCCGACCAAGGCCACGGATTCCTAGTGCAACAATCGTGGGGAAGCAGACTGATTCAAAGAAGAGGGTCAAGAAGAGCATCGCTGGATCAAAGATTAGACATGCCACGAACGAGTCCTTGTTTGGAGAGAGGGTACACACCAATTCCAGTCTGATTCCTCTGGGTCACAGATGCAGCCAGGAATGCCAAACAGCAGGACAGATAGATACCGAACACATAGCGAGCCTTGGTATACTTCATGATTCCCGAACCCAGGAAACGGCCCACGGCGAAAGCACCCTGCGCCCCCGCAAGCAGCTTGGCTCCCTTGGCGCTATCGGTGCCGGGCCAGGTATCGACTGCGTAGTTGATAAAGTAGCCGGCAATGGCGACTAGCTTGGTCAGTCACGGTCCGCTCAAGGAAAAGCTCCCAGAACCAAACAAGACTCGACATACCTTGTGCGCCGGTATACGTGAACTGCGCCAACGTCGCATGGAACAACTTCCACTGCTTCCAGAACGGCTTATCTTGCTCATCCACGTGTGTGGTGGCTACCTGGAACGCCATATCCTCATCCGTCACCTCGGGGATGTTCGAGACGAAGAACACCGCCGCGAGGCAGAAGACAAAGATGCCAATGGCTAGGTACACCCACTGCACGCGCTGCAGCGCCTCGACATTGTCATTGGTCGTGGTGAAAAACGCATACGAGCCCAGCACAGGCCCTACCACGGTGCCGATGGCGTTGAACGACTGCGCGAAGTTGATCCGGATCTCGGAGTAGCGCGGTGGACCGCAGACTGGAACGGATCGCATCAGTTTCTACTCCCGTCCCTCATGCAGTCGTACTCGTCCCGTCTCCGCCCGGGAGATGAGAAAATAGAAACGTCGCACATACCAGTCAAATAGGGATTCGCCGCCGTCTCCAGCGAGCCCAGTCCAGATCCAATCACAAACGTTGCACCGCAGAAGCCACCGAAAGACTGGTGCAAGCCGGCCGGCCACATGCACAACGCGCCAATGCCATACAGCGTCAGTCCGAAGATAAACACCGTCTTGTACCCGTAATGGCGCAGGATCCAGTTCGCATAGCCGAGCGAGGCGAGCGGATATGCGCTGCGCCAGTCAGTATCAGTACCGCACCTACGTCCTTGCGTGACCCGCATTGCCCGCCGCGACAACCTGGGGGGCGGAGGGGGGGCATGCATAGTTTAGGAGGGAGGGGGGGGGGGGGGGGGGGGGGGTGCGTACCCGAAGTATGCAGCTTGCAGACCAGCTGAACGGCCGCGATCAATGTGCAGCGTGTTTTGGAAATGCTTGTTCAGCGTGTCCAAGAGGCCGTATGCGAAGCCCTAGAAACGGCGATTGAGCACGGCACAGCCAAGGAGACCACCCTTACAAAGACCAGGACAGGCGCATACCCATAGAAAGAACAGGATCGTCACCAGACTGAGCGGCCACAGACTCTGACGCAGGGTGAGTGTCGCGGCGGACGTGGTCTGGCGGTTATCGACCCGCAGGCCAGAACGGTTCTTCAGGACTCTTTTGAGGTCCATGGCGAGTGGTACCCCTAAACTCAGTCTCAGCAACAGGGAAGTATATAGGAACGGCAACCCGAGCACAGAAACCACGAGGGCGAGCAAATCGACAAAAAAAATTGGAGAAGAAAACCGGCTCCCGAGCCGGTATAGAAGAACCTATATATGAAAGACCAAATTCGAAATACCCGCTCCGCAAGGGATTGAAGGGATTGATTTGACCCGCGAGGCAGACCGGTATTTGAACCAATGCACTCGCGCAAGGTCACACTACACACTAGAATGTCACCCCAATGCCCTCTCCGCATCCCCGCAATCCGGGGTGCGCGACGTCGATCCCTTCCAGTGCCAGCCCCATGCCCAGCCGCCCACCAGGAATCAGCACGCATTTCTCTCGGGGCAACTCCGTTTTAGGCTTCGTGCGGAGTGCAAACACGGGATGGCCGTGGTGCATAAGATTGGGGAGATTTCAGGCTATATCGGATTGAGTTCACACCCTGGCTGTCGGATATTTAAGTCGGGTATTTAAATGGCGGGTTGGATCTTGGCGAGTGAATGTCGGGGGATTCCTTCCCGCTGGGTTGAGTTGACGTGGGCCCGTCTACTTTTTGGACCAATTGTTGATGTTGAGGTCGTGTAGGGAGTGGAGGGGGTGGAGGGGGTGCAGGGGGCTGCAACTAGGTTTGGCTTCGGTTTGGAGGAAGAGGAGCACGGATTGCAATGATCAGCGGTTCGTTGCGAGTCTTCATCTATGAAAGTCATGATATATATATAAGAAAACAGTGAAATCCAGATGCTTGTGTAGCCAATACCTGGCTACATCTGACACCACAGGTCAACGTCTATCGTATCTCTCTATTCAAGATTCCTGCGGCCAAACCCCCCTCTGTCCTATATATGCCAGACTATCGGAACATTTCATCATGCTGGATCTGTCTCTTACGCCTTCTTGGGCTTGCTGGCGCTGCCATTCTGGGCGGCGGGGGCCACGAGCACCTTAGTGGTGTACAGGCGGCGCTCAAAGAACTTGAGAATCTCGTCGATCACACTGGAAAGAGTATGTTAGCAGGGGCACAAATTCACGGCGAGAAGCATGGAACTTACATGACAGGTGCACTAATCGCCAACACGGCCTGCCACTCATTCCAGTCCAGGGGCAGGATTGCGAACAGGCTCTGCAGGAAGGGAACGTAGAGAATAGCAAAGTGGAGGGTCATCGACAGGATGATGGCATAGATCAGCATGGGGTTGTGGTGCAGGAAGAAAGTCAAAAGCGATTCGCTGGAGGACAGCGCGTTCATGGCGTTCAGCATCTCGATGACAACCAGGATGGACAGCGACACGGTCGATGCGGACTTGGCCATGTCGTTGGTGAACATCTCGCAGCCAATCTCGGGGAACTGAGTAGAGCAGCGGTGGAAGTGCGACTGGAAGGGTTCATGGTTAGTACAGAAAAGATCGGTCATACCATGGCACCAAAAGACTTACCAGTTGGTAGTACGAGATCTGCGGGCCATCGGGGTTATACATGAACCACCACACATATCCGAAGACAGTGGCAACACCGACGTAGGTGCCGATGACCATGTAGCGGAACAAGAGCCAGCCACCAACAAGGGGCTCATCACGGCGACGGGGAGGGCGTCTCATAACATCGTGGTCGGGAGGGTTGAACGAGAGAGCAGTGGCGGGAAGACCGTCGGTAACCAGGTTGACCCACAGAAGCTGAACGGGAACCAGAGCCTCGGGCATGCCCAGGGCAGCGGTCAGGAAAATTGACACGACCTCGCCAATGTTGGACGAGATCAGGTACCGGATGAACTGCTGGGTGTTGCTGTAGATGGAGCGGCCTTCTTCGACAGCGACGGTGATCGTGGCAAAGTTGTCATCAGCGAGGACCATGTCGGCGGCCAGCTTAGCGACGTCAGTCCCAGTACCCATGGCAACACCAATGTCGGACTTCTTCAGCGCAGGAGCATCGTTGACACCGTCACCGGTCATGGCGACGACGTGCTTCAATGACTGGAGGAGATCGACCAGCTTAGACTTGTGGCTGGGCTCGGTACGTGAGAAGAGGGATGCAGTCTGGACGGCTTTCAGTTGTTCGGCCTCGCTGAGGCTGTCGAACTCACGACCAGTAAAGCTCTTGCCGGTCAGATCCTCGTTGCGTCCGAAGACACCAATCTGGCGACAGATGGACTCGGCGGTATTGCGGTTATCACCAGTAATGACAATGACGCGGATACCAGCCTCGCGGCATTTTTTGATGGACTCAGCAACCTCAGGGCGAGGGGGGTCCAGCATACCAACCAGACCAATGAGGGTCATGTTCTGCTCGAGCTTGGCGTAATCCTCGGTGGTGGAGGCTTTCTTCAACAGAGTGTTTCCAGACACATCGCTCACACTGGCGATAGCCATCACACGGAGACCACGGTTGCCGTACTCGACGACCTCCTCGGAGAGCAGCTTGGCGTGGTTCTTGGTGAGAGGCACGCGCGAACCCTCGGAACCTTGCAGAACATGAGAGCAGCGCTCCAGAATGGATTCGGGGGCACCTTTGACCAGCAGCTTCTGCTCCTTGCCCTTGCCAACGAGAACGGACATGCTCTTGCGGTCACGCGAGAACTCATAGGTAGCCTGGAGGGGCAGCTGGGATTCGTAGTAGGCAGAAGCAGCGTGGAGTCGCTCCGAGGCAGGAAGACTGAAGAGCTTCTGGTTCACGGCAGCATCGGGGGTACCAATCTTCTCGACCAGCGCACGCAGGGCAGCCTCGGTAGGCTCACCAATGTTGGAGAACACACCAGTCTTGGCGTCATGGGCGAGGGCGGCGGCATTGCACAGAGCGGTGACCTCGGCCAGCTGAGCGACAGTCGACGAAGAGGCAGCGACGTTCTCCACACGCTTCCCATTGCGGGACAGCTTGCCCTCAGGGGCAAAGGTAGTACCCTCGACGTCGATCTCCTCGAGTGCGTTGCCAGAGCTGGTCAGGTAGACAATCTTCTCCACACTCATCTGGTTGGTGGTAAGGGTTCCGGTCTTGTCAGAGCAAATTACACTGCAGCTACCAAGGGTTTCTACCGAGGGCAGAGAGCGAACAACGGCATTCTTCTGGGCCATCCTGCGGGTTCCCAGAGCCAAGCAGGTGGTAATGACAACGGCGAGACCCTCGGGGATAGCCGCAACACCGAGGGAGACGGCAATCTTCAGGTAGTAGATGGCACCCTTGGTCCAGCTGCCGCCGAACGCAGGATCGTTGAAGTGCTCGATGTTGATAACCCAAACCAGAATGCAAATCACAGTGATGACCTTCGCAAGCATATCACCAAAGTCATTCAACTTCTGCTTCAGCGGGGTAGGCTCGGAGATCTGGGAGGTGATGCTGTCATGGATGTCACCAATGGCGGTCGATCCACCAGTCAACACGACGAGTGCAGTGGCATGGCCAGTGACCACAGTAGTACCGGAAAAGAGCATGTTGACCTGGTCCTGCTTGACAGCCTGATGGTCCTTGACAACCTTGGTATCTTTGCTGACACTCTCACTCTCACCGGTCAGAATAGCCTGGTCGACGCGGAAGCTGTTGCTGTGGATGGAGAGCAGGCGGCAGTCGGCGGGGACCCGATCGCCAACGGCAATGTGAATCACATCGCCAGGTACCAAGTCCTCAGCCTTAATGCGCTGTGTCTTTCCGTCACGCACAACCTTGGCCTCGTTGGCGGAGTATTCTTGTAGAGCCGCAATTGCCTTCTCCGCGCTGCTTTCTTGAGTCACACCCACCACGGCGTTAAGGATCAGAATCGTCAGAATCTAAATAATGGAAACAAAAGACAGGTCAGCGAGGTCCATTATCGAGAATGCCACAATCCAAAACTGGAGCACGTACCACAACAGGGTCCACAAAGGCAGTCCAATCGTCGCCTTCTTCGAAAAGAGCCAAGACGAACGACACCGCCGCCGACCCCAAGAGAATGAGGACAAGCTGGTCCTTGAATTGTTCCAGAATCAGCTCCCACATGGGAGTTGGGGGTTCTTCAGCCAGGGCTGTGAAGGAACGTGTCAGTTTCCAGTCGCATATATTGGCGCGAAGGCGGTTGACGGCCAGTTATACTCACCATTAGGACCGTGCAGCTCCCTTGACTGAAAGACCGCGGTCTTGGTTAAACCCGTCTGTTCCGAGACGCCAAAGTAGTCCAGCGCTTCCGCTGGAGTGTAAAGAAAAGAGTTCTCCATGGCGGGAGTCTCGCACGTCGATCAAGGTTGTGATCAGTTTGGGGAAGAAAACCGGGGGAGATGCGGAGAGCCGGGTGGAGGAAAAGAAAAGAAAGGAAAGCTGGCAGGGAACCAAGGTTAGTTGCGATACATGGGTGTCACCGGTGGCCAGCCAGAGTGAAAGAGGAGCAGGGCCAAGAGTGCGAGAGGGACAGGAAGGGTATAAGATAACTGGATTTTCTTTTCCCTTGACAATCGCAGGACCCAGCGGCGAGCGGAGACACAACGTGTTCTCATCCAGTTGTTTCTCTTCCCCATTGGGGGGTGCAGCTGACTCAGCAAGGGGCCGCAGGGCTGAACTTAGTCAGTCGAGCCTGACCAGCGGGAAGGTCACGGGGCTTCACATCGCTTGGTAAGCCGCCGGGGTGCGGTCTCCGGGGGTTTGCGTATACCCGGCCACGCGCCTTCTTAGTATCGCCCGGCTATGTAGACCTCTGGCGACCCGTAATGTCTTTCAATTTCACTTACACCATCCGGATGGTTCATTCGATTCCCTCTTCTGTCGCTGTTACCTACACTGCGGCTTACTGTCGATGTTACCGCAGTGGTACTTTCTTCAGGGATCCCCGGTATCTATGCCAGGAGCTGGGAGAAATTCTGAAATTAGGGCTGAATTTATGGGGCTCCCCTCTAGGCTGCATCGTTCTTGTGCCTATCGGCTGCAACTAGTGAAGTTTGCTTTCTTCTTTGGCAAGCGGATAGTCTTCAACAGACACCGGATCTTGCAAAAGTGTGCGGACGAGTCAATCGGCTGGGGTCCAGGTAGTGAGCTCGTGTGGGAGTTGGGACGCAATGTCCACTGGTTCAAGGACCAACGAGCCAGCATCCAGACGCTTCCACGGGGGCAAGTCATCTTAATTGGCCGTGGCTAACGACCTGAACAAGACCAAATTGAGCCTTGCTCAGGACCGGTCTGTACACTCACTTCAATATTCCTGGGTATATTTCTTCCGTGGCAGACGCTATGCTACTCTCCATCCGACAGTTTATCTATCCTTGGGGCACGACGAGCAATTTGTCTCCGGGCTCGTATACCAGTGCAGGGTACATAAGCACGCTAATTTCCCTTGCCTGTAGGGCTGAATCTAGCTCGCCCACACTTGCATCATGGATTGTAAGCCTGTCCTCCACTCTTCCTCATTGGGCCGCCTAGGTGTCTGCCAAAGGCGGGCCGGTGCATCAGTGCTCAGAGCGACTGTGTCTTCGAGGTTGTCACAATAGGCAATATCGCTCCTAGTCTGAAAGTCTACATACGTAGTGAACATTCATGACTACGGTGAAAGTAGTTTTAGGGTACGGGTACGGGCTTGGGCCTTATGTGCAGCCCATCATGCAAGCGGGATCAAGGCAAAGTCAATCACCGGTCGTGCAGGTGCTAGACTGCCCAAAATATCGACGACCGAAGCTTATCGACAGTTTGCGCCCAAGTTCTCTCTGGAAAGGTTTCGTATAATACCACTATGCTGGATTGCAAAAGGAGACTAGGTAGGGAGACTAGATATCTTGGATGCATTCTCCTCGCCATAGATGCCATCGACCAACATGGACATATAGGCGGTTGAAATGCATAGGCCCCGAGAAAATTGTCCAGCAACGGGGCCCTGAGTGAAAATAGACAGATGTCGTGCTACATTCCTGCAGTACCGAACCTCGATTCGAAGGGTTATGGTTCTATGCATAGCGTACAAATCAGGCTGCTTACATCCATGTACTCCAGTACACCTGTCAGTCCCTACGAATCAAGCCCCAAATCCCAGCCCGGCGGGATCCTTTCTCCGAGGGGATTATCGATCGGACTCGTCGTGATTGACAGAGCGCTCAGCCGCCCATGGAGTGGAGAGAACTGACCACTACATCATAGCCAGTCCCCCTGTCAAGGAGTGCTGGAAGGTTCGATTCCGTCATCCTCATCTCTAGACCTGCCGCCGTGACCTGCATGGACCCGACACCTACAGTACCACGTCGCGCTGCTTTCTTCTCCCGGATGTAGTTAAGTAACGCCATCCCAAATGCCTTTTCCAGCGTTACTAACGTGGACAATCTGATTGTCCTGGCTGTGCTTCCAGCTGATCTTCGGTACGGTGTCGGTGTGGTCGCCCTGATACAGTACGCTGTACTCTGGAACCAGCCATGGCTCGGCGGTGAAATGTAAACAGTGCGGAGCCAACCATCAACCGTAAACATAGCCTGTCCACAACGTGCGGGGGACACTTTCCCAGTATGAAGATGAGATGCCGAAATGGGTTGACTATTCGGTCGGATTGAGACATCAGCAGAGCCTCATAGGGGACTCGTGATAGCCCTCTTGTGTCGGGCTGTGCAGCCTGTCAGATGCACAGGCGAGTCATACCTGGTGTATTGAATGTATTGAGGGTAATGAATGTATTGTGATTACTGGGCGCCCAAAGTCTGTAGCCGAGACCAGCAGAAGGGCGGGCAGGGAAAGGGGAAGGCGGAGAGAGGTGGTACCCGCACGTACTGGGTACGGCGTACGCCGTAATGGGTACAGGGTGTATTGTTATGATGCTCACCCCCAATTCACCCCCAACTCCTTCACGTCGGACTCGATCCTCCTCCCTCTTTCCTTCCCCCCCCACTTGGTCCTCCTCTACCTTCATCACCTTCCTCTGCATCTGCGACCCTCTTAAATCTCTTGATATCTAACCTCCCCCCCCCACCACTACACCCTCAAACATCTCCTACCAAATTCGCCGTGATCATGGGTTCTGAGGTACGTTCTGGCCTAAGCCTGCCCCTCCATCGGGCGCTCTCTGAGCTGTCACCGCCATCGCAATCCCACCCCGTTTCTCACCTCTCCCCTCGCGCCCATACCCCCTTTCCTTTTGGGAGATCTGACACGTGCTGACTCGCATCTTTATCATGCAGCGTGAGAAGTAAGGATATTCTGGTCCCTTGGCGATACCCCGGAGTGGCATGACTGACCCCCTCACCAGCAAGACGTTCCTCGCGAGGCTCTGCGAGCAGGCCGAGCGCTACGATGGTATGATTTTACGTGGGCGGCTTCATCACACATTATCCCGGCTAACATGATGCGTTTCTACTCGTTCAGAAATGGTCCTCTACATGAAGGTCAGTCGCACTCCATTGTTGCTTTACCACTTTGAATCTCGGCGCTAATCATGTGAACAGGAAGTCGCCAACGTATGATACCACCCTCGCCGTTGTCCGGACCCCGCCCGGGTCGGATTTGTGATTGACATGTTTCCTCTGTAGATTGGCGGCGAGCTCACCGTCGATGAGCGCAACCTCCTGTCCGTCGCGTACAAGAACGTTGTCGGTACCCGCCGTGCTTCCTGGCGCATCATTTCCTCTATCGAGCAGAAGGAGGAATCCAAGGGCTCTGACGAGCACGTCACCATCATCCGCGATTATCGCCAGAAGATCGAGACCGAGCTGGAGAAGGTCTGCCAGGATGTCCTGGATGTTCTGGACGAGTCCCTGATCCCGAAGGCCGAGACCGGCGAGTCCAAGGTCTTCTACTACAAGATGTGTGTTTTTGAGCCACGTTTAACTTTATCATGCGATGTCGTGTGACTAACCCCCCCTGATAGGAAGGGTGACTACCACCGCTATTTGGCTGAGTTCGCTTCCGGCAACAAGCGCAAGGTCGCTGCTACCGCCGCCCACGAGGCCTACAAGGTATTTCCCGGCCTTTTCCCCTTGCCCATATTTCTTTCACAATGATTAGCGACCTAACCCAGCATTCTAGAACGCCACCGATGTCGCCCAGACCGATCTCACTCCCACCCACCCCATCCGCCTTGGTCTCGCACTGAACTTCTCCGTCTTCTACTACGAGATCCTCAACTCGCCCGACCGCGCATGCCACCTCGCCAAGCAGGCCTTTGACGACGCCATTGCTGAGCTCGACTCTCTTTCTGAGGAGAGCTACCGCGACAGCACCCTCATCATGCAGCTCCTGCGGGACAATCTCACCCTCTGGACCTCGTCCGACGGCAACGAGGGCGAGGGTGCCGCTCCCAAGGAGGACAAGCCCGAGGAGGAGGCTGCCGCCGCCCCTGCCGAGGTGACGGCCGAGGAGACCGAGCCTGTCCAGGCCTCGTCTTAAGTGGGGTAGTTGGTAGCGCGCGAAGGGGTCGCGACGAGCCGTATGCCGAATTGGTAAAGGGGCGTTCGCATTTCTTCCCGGATGTGGTTATGCAAGTCGCTTGTTTGTTTTCACCACAGCGTGGCTTGGTTGGGACCGGCACCTATCCCTGGCACGTGTTCGGGACCGTATGGGTCGGCCGGCGGAGTTTGATATTCGGTTGACGCGAGCGCAGAAAAGGGGCTGAGTGGAATTTCTCTCTCTTTTATTGTCTCTATTCCCACTCCAGCACGATTCAATGTGTTTATTTTCCAATTTCACCTGGTCCCCTGTCCCGGACTTTGACTTTGTCTTCGTAGGAGGTACACATGTAGGAAATTGCTTTCGCGATAAAAAGATGATCAATGCCGGTGTCCCGACTGAGCTGCTTCTCGATCTCAAGCTCTCAAAATGGCAATCATGTCCACCGCCAGCAGCGATGGGGGTTGCTCTGCCCTGGCAGATGACTCGAGCCCACAGGACGGGCTCTCAGTCGACTATGAAGATTGAAAGTTGTTGATGGTACCCCAGTCTTGGACTACTGCAACCAGACTGCCTCAGTACACTAAGTTCCCAGAGCGACGCCTCGATAAGCGGGCAGTTTTGACTTCTTTCAACCCCCAATTCGCTTCGAGTGGCAACACAGTTATATTAGAATAAAAGACTTTATTCACCCGATGGCTCGAGGTTTTTGATTCCAGACTTTCAGCAATATCTTCTGTGCACATGATAGTCTCGAAAGTATAAGAAGTTATTTGAGAAACACTTTCAGTAATTAGTAGGAAAGGTGTTGCAGGGCTCTGCGATACTGCAAGTGATCTACCACAGATCCAGGGAAACCAGCGGGAAGACACGCCCAACGCCGAATCAGCACCAGCCCCAGACCGCTTATCCAGCACTCTTGGAATGCAAGGCCACCGGGTGTCTGTACTGGGATTTGTCATGCGTTAGGTAAGTCACGGAGATAGTGTGTAGGGGTGCATGTGGGATTGGGGAGTGGTAGGTGGTGAGGTTGGCTGGTAGGGGTCATCACTGTGGAGAGGACTGGGATGCTTGGAAGAGAGATCCGGACAGAAAAGCTTCATTGAAGTATTGTTCGACAATCGAGGTGGGTGCCACAGGCTGTTTGTGCTTGCTGTGGATGTTTCATGGGGATTTTATATGAACAGAGCTTGGTACAATCAGTACACTTCTTTGCAGATCGGAGCGAACTCAAGATAACCACAACACCACTCGCTGAAGCTATCAAAACGTCTCTCATCTCAGAAACATCATGAATGAAAAGAGTGGACAATATGAGCGTGCACCCGATCTTAAGCCAGATTGAGCACCGTGTGCAACAAGACCAAAAACCCAGGTCTATTTTTGGGCGGTGCAGGAGCTGCAAAGCAAACTCCCGGCCTGTGGTGGTTATACTAGGTTATGCATCGATAGAGAACAGGTAACCCCAGACAATCGTAGCCATAGCTATCCCCGTCACACCGTTGATACTCGAGCACAACACCCTGTACACCCTCCTCGACCGCGGCGAGTTCCTGTTCCACTGGGAACTGTACCTAGCCACCAGCACCAGCCACGCCCAGACCTTCCACATAACCAACGAAGCAGGCCCCGCAGCCTGGGTATACCAGAGCGACCTGATAGCCGAGATGCCGGCCCTGCGACGGCTGCTGTTAGCCCTCCAGATCAGTGCGCTGGCGCAGGTCCCACTGATGCTGTTCTTGACGCGGCTCCGGGAGATTTTGAGTTTTGTGCGTGGGTTAAGGTGGCGCTTCTGGTGATGGATGAGGAGGGGTATTTGAATTTGGGAAGGCTGTGGTGCGAATCGTGGAGGAGGCAAAGTATTTCGGCATGATGAATAAGAGTAAATTGGAACAGAGTGTGGTGAGGAGTTCGGCGTGTGTGGTATAAGTATAGGTGTAGATGTGGGGGTAATGGTCTAATGTAAGCTGCTGTTTTCTACGGCAATGGGTGACAATGTATGTGCTGGTGCTAATGCATACGGAGGATAGAGTCGAATTATGGGAAGAAAGTTCATGTGATTTGTTCTATTGTTGGGGCTCGTGCATAGGGTTGACTCGCGAGTGGAAGGGGGAATGTACATGATGGTGTTCGGCCGGGAAGGGGGATATAGGCTAAGAATATGTGAAGGCAAATACTGTAGGAGAAACCCCCAATATGCCGAAGCCCAGCCTGTCGTGATGCATATTTTTTAAGGGTCACGTCCACAAACAAGGCAGAATCAGCATCGTAAGAGGAAACGATCTCAGAAAGGTAAAAGAAAGGTGATCATTGGTCCATCACATGAAGTCATCATCGCCGAGATCATCCTCACCGTAGGAGGTGTTGTCCATCTGGTTGTCACGGCTGGCAACGAGCGAGACCTTGGTCTTAGCAGCCTTGGTCTTCTTGCTGCCCTTGTCAGCAGCACGCTCCTCGCGCATTTTCTCGTTGCTGGCGGTGGTCAGAGCGCTAGCAATCTTCTTAATGTCCGAGCTGGGCAGCTCCTTGACAAGTCTGCGAATGAAGTCCTGGGCCCAGATCGCGTACTGGGGCTTCTTGGACTGCGGGGTGAGCATCGGGATGAGAACGTCGGATAGATGGGCGAACTGATCCTTGGTGGTGGGCTTGAACAGCGGCATCGAGGACAGATCAATGGAGTTGGTGGGGTTGGCGCTATCGGTAATGACGACGGCCTTGGGGGCGCCGCGGTTGCGGTTCATATCGATGTCGGCGAAAAGGTCCGAGGCGTGCTGCAGGTCGGCGTCCTGCTCGGTGCGGCGCAGGCGCTCACGACGCTCGGCTTCAGTCTCGTCTTCGAACTCGGAATCCTCGTCTGCTTCTTGCCGGCGCTGTTCCTGGTGCTCTTCGATCCGTTGCGCCTTGGTCTTCTTGTTGGCAGCAGCGGCAGCCTTGGCCTTGGCCACAGCCTCAGCGGCCTTCTTTGCCTTCTCGCGCTCCGCCTCAGAATCATCAGCGGCGTCCCAGGAGTCGAGGACCTATCGGTTCAAGATGATGTTAGCGCCTGGATTCCCGCTTGCGCACGTTGTTCGTTGCGCCGTAGGTGCTTCGTCACAAGTTCTTACATCCTCGTCTTCCTCATCGTCAAATCTGCGGCGGGGGGCAACAACGGGAGGCGCAACACTCTCCTCCTCCTCTTCATCTATAAAGTAAAGTGATTAGCGAGAGAAGAGAGGCTGGTGACTTTCCAGAAGGCATCATAATAGCGCGGCTAGTGATCGCCAGATCGCGGGTGGTGGCTTCTGATACTGGGAGGATAAGAGACATACCCCACTTTGAAGGAGCCATGTTGGGCAGTGAAAGCTTTTCGATCGGAAAGGAAGGAAGCGAAAGAAAAGGAGCGCTATACGCAAGACCGTAGAACGGGGAAAAAACGAGGGCGAGCCCAACGATAGGATGCTTCTCCAACAGTGGAAGGAGGGGCGAGGGCAAATTTTATGTGGGCCACTTATCGGAGGAGGGGTGGCCACGTGACCGGAGTTCTTGGTGCCCGATGAGCATGATTCCTAAACGTCGGTTGTGATAGTTGGTCGGGGTCTGGCCTTTTAAGTCTACGAGGGAAGTCACTCCTTGGATATTCTCTTTCATTGCAGAAGATCTTATTAATTTCATAATCATAACGGATGGAAATCCTTCAGGAGAAACTTGGCCATCCTTTTTTCTCGTTTCATGCTGGCCCATGCAGTCACACAAGGAACTACATTTACAGGTTGACCGACTTGCGGAAGTTCTTGCCGGCGTAGATGGCGTTCTCACCGAGCTCCTCCTCGATGCGGAGGATCTGGTTGAGCTTAGCCAAACGCTCGGAACGGGCAGGGGCACCGGTCTTGATCTGGCCGGAGCGCAGACCGACAGCAATGTCGGCGATGGTGACGTCCTCGGTCTCACCGGAGCGGTGGGAGACCATGACACCCCAGCCGTCGGCGTAGGAGTCCTTGGCGGCCTGGATAGACTCGGTCAGGGTACCGATCTGGTTGACCTTGAGCAGGAGGGCGTTGCAAGACTTGAGCTCAATCGCCTTCTTGATGCGCAGGGGGTTGGTGACAGTCAGGTCATCACCGACAATCTGGAAGTCAGAGGTCTTGTAGAAGTAGCTCCAGGCCTCCCAGTCATCCTCAGCGAAGGGGTCCTCGATAGAGACGATGGGGTACTTGGCAGCCAGCGCCTTGTACAGATCGGCAAGCTGCTCGTAGGTGATCCACTTGGTGGGGTCGCTGTCGGGGTTCTTGAAGTCCAGGTCGTACTTCTTCTCCTCAACCTTGTAGAACTCGCTGGAGGCAACGTCCATGGCAATGGACATCTTGCCGGTGTAGCCAGCCTGCTCGATGGACTCGGTGATCAGGTCGAGAGCCTCCTCGGCGGTCTGAATATCGGGAGCGACACCACCCTCGTCACCGACGTTGCCAGCGGACTGGCCGTACTTCTTCTTGGCGAGAGTCTTGAGCTTCTGGTAGACCTCAGAGCCCTGGCGGAGGGCCTCAGAGAAAGAGGGAGCGGAGCTATAGTTCGGAACTCGTCAGTGGCTGATTCGTGGCAAGGCAAGCTTGGCGATGCGACAGCACTAGGGCGAAAACTTACTCCGGGACAATCATGAACTCCTGGAAGGCCAGACGGCCACCGGCGTGGGAGCCACCGTTCAGGACGTTCTGGAAGGGAACGGGAAGGACATAAGGCTTCTTGGTACCGGCCAGGTCAGAGATGTGAGCGTAGAGAGGGACACCCTTCTCAGCGGCAGCAGCCTTGGCGACAGCCAGGGAGACACCGAGGATGGCGTTGGCACCCAGGTTGCCCTTGTTGGCAGTGCCGTCGAGCTTGTTGAGGAACTCGTCGACCTTGGCCTGGTCCTTGACATCGATGTTCTCTTTGATGAGAGCGGGGCCAATGGTCTCGTTGACGTTCTTCACGGCCTTGAGGACACCTGTAATCATCATTGAGTTAGTTGTCCAATACTATACGAATTGGTGGCTATGCCGGTGTGACTTACCCTTGCCGCCCCAGTGAGTCTTGTCACCATCGCGGAGCTCAACAGCCTCGTGCTGGCCTAAAGTGCCTCGTTAGTATTTCCAGGGGTTTCGCCCTTTCTTTTTCCCCAATTGAATGCAGATAAGAGCGCCCCAGCTACTTACCGGTGGAAGCACCAGAGGGAACAATGGCGCGGTGCAGACCGGTCTCGGTGACAATGTCCACCTCAACGGTGGGGTTGCCGCGCGAGTCGTACACGGAACGAGCGTGAACCTTGGAGATAGGCATGGTGAATATAGAAGAGCTGACGAAGAGAAAATCAGTCCGGTTGCAAGAAAGGAAAGGAGAAAAAAGCAGCGGCGACGGCAGGAGTATATTAAGGCGCAGCACTGTGACTAACGGGGGGGGGACAGGTTCACCGATGACCCAAAAAGACAGGCCGAACGGGGGAAGGGATTGGGGGAAGCTGATTTGCTTGAGCTCAGTAGGTGCGGATGGGGCAATTGGCCACGGCAACGGTCACCGGAGCTCGGGTTGGGTACCTTTTCCCGGGGTTTCCTGTCTGGTGTTCAGGTGAAGGAGGTGGTATTGGTAGGGGTGGGTGCAGTGGGAGGTGCAGTGGGAGGAAGGGAGGAGGGGCAGTGATGGCGGGGTATGATTATGATGTATGCGCAGGACTCATTCCGACTCACCTTGGGGGGACAATAGTAAACAACTAATCAGAAAAGAAGAGCTCTACGGGAACACCCGATGCTTTAAATACTCTCCAGGTTGTGCTTGAACTCGGGAACGGTCACAGCTGGCCTCCGATTCTTTCCAATGCGGCAGTGGGGCTCCACGGCCACATACGGCCATCGCCAGCGCTTGCTGCCAGATCCGACCGTCTGCGGCGGGCTCCTCCTACGAGATCTCCCGTCGCCCTCGGGAGGACCTTGTTATGATGATGTGATTTCCCGACCATCTCGGGTCCACTGCGTTGTACGGGGTGATCTCGGCAACCAGGATGACGACTGACGCCCCTCTATGCGCCCCTTGAATCGCTATCTGTCCGTCTACAAATTCGGGCACGCCAGGAGCTACCTAATCGAGCAGCAGCCTCTTGAGATCCGTAGTTCGAAGTTAGTGTTTAATTCCTAGACTGGTTTACACTCTGGGGTTAGAGGTGCGAACCACTGGAAATGATCTATTTGGTCGGGGAACGCATCCAACGTCGCATCCAGCCTGTCGACTTCAGATGCATGACGAAGGCAGGTTTGGAGCCAGACTAGCCAGGTGTCGAGACATTCCGTGCCTTATGGCCTTAATTATGTAATGCCTTACTTTTGTGCCTCGGGGGTGAGGCACCTAAAAATAAACAGAAGGACTAATATTGACGATGATGCAAAGTCACATGACTATGGGCCTCCGGCTGTCAGGTGATCTCGCTGGAAGCTCCTCGATGGCCGGTGCTTAGAAGCTCCCCCAGGTGTCCGTTATCATTTCCACCACTTTCGCAACCTTATCATCCAACCCGTGGCATAATAGATCTTGTCTGTGCTACAAACCGACCCCGATTTACCTTTCATCGGTCTTTTCGTCCTTCTCCCTTGCGAATCGGTTCGCCGCCCATCATGAACGGCGCCAGCGACCCCGAGCGGGAGCAGGCGCTCGAAGATTATAAAAAGAGCTTGCTGGAGCTGCGAGAATGGGAAGCCAAGTTGAAGTCACTTCGAATGGGCATCAAGGATCTCCAGCGGGAGTACGATGTTTCTGAGGAGAACATCAAGGCACTACAGAGTGTTGGTCAGATCATCGGCGAGGTGTTGAAACAGCTGGACGAAGAGCGGTGTATGTCTCCTCACCACGATTTTGGGCTTTTCCTGTTGGACTGTTAATAACCTAGCCAATCACAGTCATCGTCAAGGCATCATCAGGACCACGGTATGTGGTCGGCTGCCGTTCGAAGGTCGACAAGGCCAAGCTGAAGCAAGGCACACGAGTCGCCCTGGATATGACAACACTCACCATCATGCGGATGCTGCCTCGCGAGGTGGATCCCCTGGTTTACAACATGTCCCTGGAAGATCCAGGGCAGGTCAACTTTGCTGGTATTGGTGGTCTGAATGACCAAATCAGAGAGCTTCGGGAAGTCATCGAGTTGCCATTGAAGAACCCGGAGCTTTTCCAGCGAGTAGGTATCAAGCCTCCGAAGGGTGTCCTGCTCTATGGTCCTCCGGGTACTGGAAAGACACTCCTGGCCCGCGCGGTGGCCAGTTCGATCGAGACCAACTTCTTGAAGGGTGCGTCCAACTCCCTCTCTATCTCCCCTTGTGTACTGTACCTCGCTCACATGTTTCTTCTTCTTTTAGTGGTTTCCTCCGCTATCGTCGATAAGTATATCGGTGAATCCGCTCGCCTGATTCGAGAAATGTTCGGCTATGCAAAGGAGCACGAGCCCTGCATTATCTTCATGGACGAGATTGATGCGATTGGTGGTCGGCGTTTCTCGGAGGGTACATCAGCAGATCGTGAGATTCAGCGAACACTGATGGAATTGCTGAACCAGCTGGATGGATTCGACTATCTCGGAAAGACCAAGATCATCATGGCCACGAACCGGCCGGACACTCTCGACCCCGCGCTGCTGCGTGCCGGTCGTCTGGACCGCAAGCTTGAGATTCCTCTACCGAATGAGGTCGGCCGTCTGGAGATTCTGAAGATCCACACCAGCACGGTCCAACTGGAGGGAGATATTGACTTTGAGAGCGTGGTCAAGATGAGTGATGGCCTTAACGGTGCCGATTTGCGTAACGTGGTTACGGAGGCGTGAGTGCCCTCATCTCCCCCTGATGCATTGTTTCTATCTAACCATAATTTTCAGAGGTTTGTTCACGATCAAGGACTACAGAGACGCGCTCAACCAGGACGATTTCAACAAGGCGGTGCGAAAGGTGGCCGAAGCCAAGAAGCTGGAGGGCAAGCTCGAGTACCAGAAGCTGTAATTGTATCTACCGCTGGGCTGTTTGCCCACACGATTCATCCTGTTAGAGATCTGCTTTGCAGAATACCATGCATCATTCAACGGGAATTGTCATTCTGAGGCATGCCAAGTTGACGGCCTCTTCGCTTTCATTTTGTAGCGGCACAACAAACTTCATGGGGAGACGATAGTCGCCGTGGCAGTCCGAAAATGCGGCAGCATATTTACACGTAAATTGATTGGAACGACCTGGATAACCTTAAAAGTCTGTAGCTACTGAATGGAAAGCTGCTTCCCCCACCTCGCCACTAAGCGCAACATGCGATGATGGTAGGTGCTTCGGCCCCGGCCCGCCCAGCTACATATTTACTCCACCTCCCCCAACAGCTGTCTTCTCCATCCCTGACGACGAATTCAGCCTTGCATCAAACACCGCAAAAGGATCTCCTCTAGACCAACAGTCTGGGATTACGCATACTTTCTCCCTTGGCACCGGGACAACAAGCTGCCAGGGTGCCACATCGGAGAAATTGTCGACTTAAAAGCACACGCTGGCATATTTCGCATTGGCCGGTAGCTTGAGACCCAACCAAACTCCTGCTTACCAGCCCGTGTTCAAGGAACCTGCTGGCTTCTGCGATCCGGTACATTGTTTCTGATGATTGCTCAATTAATGCAAGCCTCCTGCTGACTTCGTCATACTTCCAGGCCAGCTTCGTCGAGATATAGCCGCACCGCGCATTCGCCGCCATCGAGCTTCGGAGACCACGTTCGCACGAAATCGACGCGCCATCGCTCCTCCGCCCATGATCGCATCCTAGGTAGTCGCAGGACCGACACATATTTGGCGCGGCACGAGGAGGGTTAACCCGTTTAACTATGTCATACCAGGGACGTCCCTTCGCCGCAAGCCCGTTCCAGGACAACCGCTCTCGCTCCAACCAGGGCCTTGCAGGACTCGGCGTCTCAACAGGCCAAGCAGGTCTCTCCGGTAAAGTGGGTGGCTTTTTCGATAACAACGACCGCACTCTTCCCATGTACAAAGACAAGCCATATTTCACTCCGAAACGCACAGCGCCGCGGAGACGATGGAGGCCCTTGCTTGTACTAGGTGTGTGCGTGTTGACGTTCCTGTGGTACTATAAATCATCGATGCCGCTATGGCCGGGCTCGGATTCGTCGGACAAGGGGGCAGAGCTCTGGAAATGGGCACAGACCCTCGACGATGAAAGTCCGTCGAAAGAGCGCGTGGATTGGAACGCACGTCGGGAGAAAGTCCGGGAAGCGTTTATTGTTAGTTGGGAAGGATATGAGAGGGATGCATGGGGTAAGGAGATACCGCAGACCTCAAGGTCTATCTTCCTAGGGCTGACATTGGGTCGTCACAGGTTCCGACGAGTACCACCCGGTCTCGGGCCAAAGCAAAAACATGATCGATGGTGGCATGGGTTGGATCATCGTTGACGCGCTGGACACCATGATGATCATGAACCTTACCACCCAAGTCCGCCATGCTCGTGAGTGGATTGCCACCTCATTGAAATACAACCAAGACCACGATGTGAGCACATTCGAGACCACCATTCGCATGTTGGGAGGCTTGCTCTCGGCACACTATCTGTCGACGCAATACCCCAACCTCGCCCCCATTGCAGACGATGATGTCGGTGCCGTGGGTGAGGACTTGTACATTGAGAAGGCGACCGACCTTGGGGACCGCTTGCTCGGAGCATTCGAGTCCCCCTCTGGCATTCCCTATGCGAGTGTAAACCTGAACAAGTCCGAGGGTCTCCCATCGCATGGCGATGGTGGTGCGTCATCTACTGCCGAAGCAACGTCAGTCCAGCTTGAGTTCAAGTATTTGGCGAAGCTGACTGGAGAGGCCGAGTACTGGAAGGCCGTGGAGAAGGTGATGGAGGTCGTGGATGAGCAAAAGCCCCAAGATGGCCTTGTCCCCATCTACATTCATCCCAAATCGGGTAACTTCAAGGGCCAGAATATCCGTCTCGGTAGCCGGGGTGATTCATACTACGGTCCGTTCCCACATATAGCCTTGTTCGCAGCGGGCATGAAGCTAACTTTTCCCATTGGCAGAGTATCTGATTAAGCAGTACCTGCAAACCGCCGAGCAGGAGCCCGTCTACAAAGAACTGTGGGATGAGTCCCTGCTCGGAATTCGCAAGCATCTGCTTGCCTTTTCCAAAAATGCACAGCTGATGGTTCTGGGTGAGCGCCCTAATGGCTTGGATGAAAACCTGACCCCTAAAATGGACCACCTGGTGTGTTTCCTCCCTGGAACCTATGCGCTCGGCGCCACCAGTGGCCGGCCCCTTGCCGAGGCCAGGAAATCCGCGGACTGGTCTCAGCAGCGCGAAGAGGAGATCTTCATCTCCCGCGAGCTGATGAAGACCTGCTGGGCAACATACCTGGCAACGGCGACAGGCCTTGCGCCTGAGATTTCTCACTTCATTCTCGACTCGCCGCCAGTGATGATGGAAGACAAGTACCCGGATCCCAAATCACCCTCTGAAGCCGCATCACCACATGAGCTTCACTCTATTTCCCAGCCACTATCCCCTCAGGCCGATGGCTCTGAGCCGTGGCGCAAGGACATTGAAATTCACAACATGGACCGCCACAACTTGCAACGCCCCGAAACAATCGAGTCCCTGTTTTACATGTACCGCGTCACCGGTGACGAGATCTACCGTGAGTGGGGCTGGGAAATGTTCAAAGCCTTCATCAAGCACACCGCTGTGGTCGAGAAGGAAGAATCCGAACTTGCAGACGGTGAGGCCACGACGAGACGTATCAAGGGCTTCACTTCGCTGTCCAACGCAAATACCATCCCGCCGACGACGCGTGATAACATGGAGAGCTTCTGGATGGCTGAGACTCTCAAGTACTTCTACTTGTTGTTCTCGGATCGCGATTTCATCTCTCTCGAGGACCACATATTTAACACCGAGGCCCACCCGCTGCCCCGGTTTAAGCCGACTGGCGATTTGAAGACTGGATGGCAGCGGAAACCGAAGCCTGTCAAGGCTGCGGAGCCTGCAGAGGCTGCAGAGTAATACTTAGGCGTTCTGTTGATTTTAATTGGATGTTGGTGTTCGGTTATTGTAATTCTCTACCAGCATTGCGTTGAAGGCTTGCTGCATATGTACTTAAATGTATTATTCTCCGTATCTTTTCTATCTATCCGAGGCTCTTTGAGCCGAGCTAAGACGAATAGCTCAGTTTTCTTGATCATTTCTATAGCCAATGATCTAGCGGACCCGAGAAGGTTCGACTTGTTGTATCGGAGTCCAACTCATTATCTATGCCGCGGTTTGGCCATTCTGTTCCCGTTGCAGACCAGCGTCAATCAGCTTCTTGAAGCCCTGGACCGCATCCTTGACATCACGCACAGTAAGAGCCTCGTTATCACCATGCGCAACGAAGATGCTTCCCGGTCCATACAGGTAGCGCTTCACGCCAGAGCGAACCTTCAAGTTAGGCACATCAGTACCGTAGTTGACCGGAATAACATCAAACCCATCAACATCCGTGTCCAAGTCCTGAGGCGAGTAGGACTCGTTATGAGTAGAGAAGTCAACCTCGACTTCCGCATCGACGTCACGGGTAGCATCCTGCACGGCACGACGGATAATCTCCCGCGCTTCATCCGGCGTACCAGCCGCCAGACGCACAGCGACATCAGCGCGTGCAGAAGCAGGGACGACATTAGTCGCAACACCTGCACGGATGGTACCGATGTTCAGGGTGGTCGGTCCGTACTTGGGCGACGAGGGCAGTCCACCCTCGCTGACGGGGATGCTACCCAGCTGATCCACACGGGTCAGCGCCGGTAGGATGCCAGAGATGGCGCTCTTTCCAAGCCACGGGTATCCGGAATGCGCAGCTTTGCCGTGGGCTAGGACCTCGAAGCCAAGCATGCCCTTGTGCCCGGAGACAAGCTTAGCCTCCGTAGGCTCGCCAAAGATCACAGTGTGGTAGGCGCTGTTAGCATTGAGCTCCGATTCGGAGAATGTCTTCATGCCGTCTCCACCAATCTCCTCGCCGACCACGAAGAGGAGGCCGAGCTTTGCATCGGGGTTCTCGTCGAGCGTCTCCAGCACGGCGAACACCTGCGCTGCGACGCTGCCCTTTGCATCTACGGAGCCGCGGCCAGCAAGAACAAGGTTTTTCGAGTCGGATCGCAGGTTCTGGGATTCCGGCTCGCGCGCCGAGTACGGGATGAACGGCGGGACGGTGTCAATATGGCTTGTGATAAGGATTGAGGGCGATTCTTGGAGAGACGATGGGTAGGCGTAGATATTGTAGCGGGTCTTCGGCGTCTCCTTATCGTCACCATCCTTCCTTTTCACGGGTGCGACTTCCTGCTTGGTCACCGTGAAGTTCTTGGCCTCGAGAAACTCCGCAACGAAGACGCCCACGTCGTGTTCGTTGCCGGAGATGGACTCGATATTGACCAGATCCCGGTGGAAAGACAGCAATGGATCGCGGCTGATCACTTTGTCCAGCCCTGATTGCTCAAGGACATCGCTACTGCCCTGAGTGACTGATTGCAAGCCCCCGAGCGGGTGCTGCTGCGCAAATGCGGGGTGCGGAGAAGCGTTCGTGACAGCGACGGCGGTCGCGGCCGCAAGATACCAGGTGAGCTTCATTGGATTTCAATTGGGCAAGATGGAGCTGTGTAAAGGGCCGCAGGTTGGCCTTTGCCGAAAGAAGTCCGACTTCTAGTGACTCAGCGGGTGGATATTCGTGCAACTCTCCTTCCAGACTCGCGGATGTTGTCCGGCGATAGTCACGTGGGATGCGTCACAGTAGCGAAATCGCCGCGGGAGGAGGAGCATTCAGAACAAACCTAGTGTGCTTATTTTGGGGAATTTCTTTGGATGTCATTATGAGAAAAAAGTAGAGGTTTGAGGGCGCTGGGAACACTGCTAGCCTTCCAAACTATTTCACTTCGCTTAGGCCATGAATATGTTTCCTATCGCTGCCCATATATCTCGCCAAGTATATGCAAGGGACTACGTCACAGATGTTTAGATCAGCTGCATCACCATCCAGGCATAACCAATAAGAATCCCAAGAATCAACTGCCATTCTGATGTTTCACAAGAGGGAACCGAGACGTTTTCTCCGAACATTTTGAATACAAAAAAACGGGCCTATGTTTTCAGCTTACCTCTGATCTATGTTTGCATTGCATGCCGAAGAATTATTTCGTAATGTTGACAATGCACCCTAAAAGGACATTTGAATGAACAGGACTACAGCCTAATGGAATTCTCCTATCAGTGTATTTACAGGAAGGAAATTCAGAATAGTAGCCTTAGGCGACCTTGCCGGGTTTCCATGGAACTGGAACTGCTTTTGTATGTCCAGTTGCCCCACACCCAGGGTTGTAGGCTAAACTCGAGTTCGCATACGTAATGCAACCAATTATACAGATATGCAAGGACACGAAGCACCGAGATTCGAGCACAAAACCACTATTAAATCCCGCATCGATGTCAATATGACTGGGATGGAAACCCGGAGCAAGATCGGCGTTTCGGTACCCCAAAACCATTGCTGCAGACGCAAGCTTTGAGCGGGAACAGAGCCAGATCCCGCCAAATCCCGCCAGGTCCGCCAGAAAATGGTACGCAGGGATCAAAAATGAGATAGTTGCCGGCAGGTCATTCATATCTAGTACAATATATGAGGAAATTCAATGAAAGCTGGGAGAGAATGATATGGGACCAGTCATCGGCAGGGCATGCCGAGTGTAAACACGAGAACGCTAGGTACACATAATAAAATCTGGGTTCTGTGGTACATACTTTGGCGGAGACAAGCTTTGCAGTTCCCTGCCCCATCCTCTTCATGCAAGAGTCGGCAGTGAGTTGCCGAGTTTATGGAGGGGGTGCACGATCCTTATGACACCAAAACCGAGCATAAGCATGTCGCTAAGGGTGAATATCGAATAAGTGGAGTATACGATGCGTCTCCCTGGGGAAAGATCGGCAAATCCCACGAGTCAGGACAGCCACACCCGTAACATTGAGGGTAGATCCTGGTTCAGAACATCGCCTCTGAATTATAAGTCAGCCTTTCAGGGCTATAAGATTTGGGCAGCCCCTCTAGGTCTGACCATCGCAGGGCCCCGGCTTTATATCTTTCGTACGTGCATGCATGCTTTACAGCACTTATATGTATCATTATAGACGACATGGAAGCACAGGGGAAAAGACTACTTACCAAGACTGTGGACTATGTGGCTGCTCATGAGCCTGAGAAATTATTCGCTGTGATTCCAAGGGGATCAGAGGTATGCGATGGGTTTCAGAGGTTGTCTGTGCGAGACTTGGCTCGGGCTGTGAATTCCCTATCTTGGTGGATTGAGGACACCATTGGAAAGGGAAATTCCCGTGAGACATTGACATACATGGGCGCCAATGATGTGCGCTATTTCTTTTTCCTTCTGGCATGCCAGAAGACCGGCTACCAGGTACGTTAAACCCGAGGGATTCTTTTCTCTACAGCTGGCTAAATGACATGGAAATTGATAGGCTTTCTTCACCTCTACCAGAAACTCCGATGAAGCCCATGTGCATCTGTTGAAAGCAACAAACAGTACCAAAGTTTTCTTTAGTGAAGAACGCCATTCCCAAATCTTGGAGATCCAAGGACTTTGCCCGAATGTGGCTATATTCCAGATCCCAACCGTGAAAGCGACTCTTGGTGATGAGCGCGGGCTACGTCCGTATTCTGTGGCGAAGTCCTATTCTGATGCCGAGAATGAAATAGCCTGCTTGATTCACAGTTCAGGAACAACTGGTAGGGTCATGTCCTCCTCACATTGTACTCATTTGACTGACATTTTCAAACTACAGGCTTGCCCAAGCCCGTGTCTCTTACGAATGGGTTCTTTGGGGCGTTTGATGCTATTCCCTTGCTGTCCTGGCCCACAGGTCGTCAGCCAAGCTTGTTTTTCCAATTAACCAACAACGACTTGGTCCTTGCTACCACACCGTTTTTTCACCTAATGGGACTAATATCCTTTTTCCTGGCAATTTTCCACGGCGTGCCCATTCTGATTGGGCCTGATAAGCCATTGTCCGTGGAGCATCTGGTTGACTTGATAAATGAAACTCATCCAAAGGGAGCTGTCTTTCCACCTTCAATTCTGGAAGACATGAGCCACTCCGAAAAGGCCCTCGCGAGCCTCAAATCTCTGCAATTTGTTTCCTTTGGAGGAGCGCCCTTAGCCCCTGACACGGGCGACCGTCTGCGCAAACACACCCAGTTGATATCTATCATTGGAACCAGCGAGATTGGCTGGATACCAGCCTTGGTACCGGAGGATGAGGCTGACTGGGCCTACTTCGAGTGGAACACTGCCTATGGCATTCGTATGCAAGATACCGGCGACGGACTTTACGAAATGACCTTGCCACGTCTAAGCAACTCACGAGAGATTCAGGGCATTTTCCACACGTTCCCCGATATTGACCTATATCGGACCAATGACCTTTACACTCAACACCCCAGAAACCCCAATTTGTGGAAGTACTATGGCCGCCAAGATGATGTGATTGTTCTGAGCAATGGTGAGAAATTTAACCCGGTTACGATGGAAACGATTATCGAGGGACACCCACTCCTATCTGGTGCGATAGTCGTTGGACAGTCACGATTCCAAGCTGCTCTGCTGGTAGAGCCAAATCCCAATGCCCCAGACATGGACTCAAAGCTTTTCATTGAGGCGATTTGGCCGACCGTACAGGCTGCGAACCAGACAATCGCGGCTCATGGCCGAGTGATGAAGAGCAAGATTGGCCTTGCCAAGAAGACCAAACCGTTCAAGCGGACTCCCAAAGGCTCCGTACAGCGGCGTGCGGTGCTTCGAGACTATGAGAAGGAGATCAACGAGATTTACGAAGCGGGCCTCGAAGAGGATTTGAATCATGTTCTACCGGAAACTTTGGATCAGGCGGGTATAACCGAATATACTCGGCAAACCATCGCGCGCGCTTTGGAGAAGCCTGATGTCCCCATCGAGCAGGACCTTTATAGCACTGGTCTTGACTCTCTGATGACCATTCAAGTTGCAAGAATATTGCAAAAGGGTGTACAGCAGCGTCGACCTGAAGTTAAGGCCGGCGTCATTACTCCTCAGACAATTTATGCCAACCCCACAGTGAAGCGTCTAGCTGAGTTCATATTTGGTATTATTGAAGGCAAAGCTCAGGCTGGCATTTCTAGAGATGAGAAGGTTCGACGACTGGTGGAAAAGTATACTGCTGATCTTCCTCCTCGAAACAACACATCCCAAAAGGAGTTATCGTCCCCATCAACGGTGATTTTGACAGGTTCAACTGGCTCGCTTGGCACATACCTCCTGCACGATCTCCTTAACACACCATCCGTCACCAAAATCTATTGCCTGAATCGGTCTGATGCCGAGGGTCGACAGATGAAGGGTCTCGAGGAAAAAGGGCTCCATTTCGATGCTAGTCGCTGGGTAGACAAGGTCGAATTTCTTCAAGCCTCGTTTGGAGAGCCTCGATTTGGCCTTGATGAGAGCAAATTCCAGGAACTGCTCGATTCCGTTGACACGATCATTCACAATGCATGGAAGGTTGACTTCAATCATTCGATTGAATCATTCGAAGACACCCATATCAGAGGCATTCGCCACTTTGTGGACTTCAGTTTGAAGAGCAAACATTACGCCCATATTCACTTTGTATCGTCTGTCAGCACAGTGGGTGCATGGACCCCAGAGATGGGATCATTAGTTCCGGAAGTGCCAATGGAAGACAGCGCCGTGGTCCTCCCTCAGGGGTACGGTGAATCCAAGCACACTGCAGAGCGCATTTGCTTGGAAGCTTCCCGAAGGTCACATGTCCCTACTACTATATATCGTGTTGGGCAGATCGCAGGCCCAACGACCTTAAGCGGACAGTGGAACCCGCATGAATGGCTTCCGACAATTATCGCCACATCAAAGGCCATAGGAAAGATTCCAAACCGTCTGGGATCCATTTCTGTTGACTGGGTGCCTGTGGTATGTTTCTGAACCTTGAACAATCGAGAGTCCTCCGTATTAACAAATCTATCTTAGGACATTCTCTCAAAGATCATGGTCGAGATTGTTCATACCCGCCATGGAGATCGGTCCGAGCTACCCACCGCAGTGTTCCATCTTACAAACTCTGTGACCGCGCCGTGGTCGACGCTCATACCTGCCATCCAATCAAAGTACGAGGTAGAATCCGTTGAATTTACTTCGTGGCTGGCAGAGCTCGAGAGCATCGAAAACCCGACGAGCACAGACGTAGCCGAGAAGCCGGCACTGAAGTTGCTTTCTTTCTATCGTGGTCTGGTTGACGAGAAAAACAGTAAAATGTCCGTTGCTTTGGATGTTCAGAAAGCGAAAGAGGCCAGCGGAACGATGCGATCCTTGGGTCCAATCTCTCCGGCGTTGATGACAAACTGGCTCGATCAGTGGAGCTTTTAGATCAAGAAGACCTTGTAAGTGGAAAATAGGACAGTCAAAATCCGGAAACATGATTTTATGAGTGGTAATAGGGTTGAAAGCCTGTGGAATATAGATGCTTAGATACTTAGAGGTTAAATGGCACGAATATCAGTATTCAAGGACCGGGATGGTTTTGCCATTCCTCCTCTCTCGCCTTGGCTCGTAACAGCTTCGTCCAGCTCGAGGACTCTACTACTTTTCTTGTATGATGGAACAGAAATACAGTAGTTATATAATGTGTAACAGCCGATTATCGGCAGTACAGACACGAGCCATGGGGTTGCTCTCAACAGCTCTCCCCCTCTATTTTGTTTCTTAATCAATCTTCTCGTCCTAATTTAGATTCCGCTTGATTTTATTCGTCATGAATGCATACTAGGCCATACGTTTTGAGCTTGTTACGACAACAGGGTTCAAGTGAGTAGTCTTGTCAAATCAATACGGCAGATTTCGAATCCATATGTCCTACATCGTGTTTGCATACGGAAATCGCCCTCTGTGAATCTGTCGAACCTCTGTATTGCGTGGTGTCTGAGTGCATATGCCAAGAGTCCAGGTATCAGGTGGATCGGTGCAAGCCAATAATAATACTATCATCTAAAGTAGTTCAGCTGAGGGGGAAGCCAAGTGCGCGATTAGCGGTGTGACTAGTGGTGTGAGAATGCCGCAGGACGGGCGATCGACGCTTACATCTTCGACCATGATATGATCCGAGTTCCTGGCCCTTGAACACAGCCCCTTGATTTCTGCACAGCCATACGGCGATCTCATGGAGCTGTATGGAAGAGGAGCTCAGCGTTGCAATTCTTGCACATTATCACACAGGCTTTGATCATGATATATCAACTCATCTTTATCAGCACTGATATGGGAGCTTTCCTCGGGCAGCCGAACACCCATATCGGAAATTCCGCCTTTTTAGCAGGCGCCCGGCTGTTACAATCCCTACAACCGCCAACTAATCAAGTGGTTGTAGTGTGCGGATGACCATCAGCCACTGAGGGCCAACCAATCAGACAGCGGGTTATCGCGCGAGGACGAACTAGAAAACGAAACCCGGGCTGGTCTTTGCTCGCTCAATGCCTGAGGCTGAATACGAGGTAGTCTCATCACACTTCCTCTTCTAACCTCGTAACGACCTAAGCGCCTTGGAGTGCGGTTGAACGAACTCAGACTGGCAATATCGCTGTGAAATTTGACACGGTCTTCCGCAGTCTTTGCACCACCCTGCTTTGCGGCGCCATAATGCAGAACCCGCCTGGTGCCCCGGGGAGGTACGAAGATTACACCGTCGCCGTCATCTGCGCCATCGGCTTCGAGATGAGCGCCGTCCGCTACATGTTAGATCACGAACATTACCGCCTGCCGCCAAGACAAGGTGACTCGAATATATACGTCCTCGGCGAGCTGAGCGGCCACAACATCGTCCTTGCGTGTCTTCCGGGCAACCAGGGAAAGGGCGCCGCCGCCGTCGTCGCCACGAACATGGTCCGCACTTTCCCTTCCATCAAGTGGCGATTTCTCGTCGGCATCGGAGGAGGTGTGCCCAGTGACAAACACGATATTCGCCTGGGCGATGTGGTGATCAGCATGCCCGAAGGCCAATATGGTGGGGTAGTCCAACTTGACCTGGGGAAGGATACGGAGGTCAACTTCCAGCTCAAGGGATTCCTATGGCCTCCGCCAACAATGTTGAGGGGTGCTGTCGAGCTGATGCGGTCCGAGCATTTGATGGCGGAAAACAAAGTGGAAGAACACTTGTCTCAGATGCTACAGAGGGGACCTCGGCTTTCCGTCTACCAACGCCCGGCCACGGGGCACGACGTACTCTTTGATACAGACTACCCCCACGTCGAGAGCCGCTCCGCGTGTGAGAACTGTGACAGGACGAAGATCATCAGCAGGCCGTCTCGAGAGTTTCCGGGCCCTGTGGTACACTACGGACTGATCGCTTCCGGAGACCGAGTCATGAGGAGTGCGACAAAGAGAAAAGCGGCCTCTGGTAATGTAGGCGACATACTTTGTTTCGAGATGGAGGCGGCAGGGATCGCGACCGAGTTCCCCTGCATTGTCATTCGCGGCATTTCCGACTATGCAGACTCTCACAAGAATGACAGCTGGCAGCACTACGCTGCCGCCGCCGCCGCCGCATCCGCCAAGGAGCTGCTCTCGTATGTCTCTCCCGAGCAGCGTATGGACGACGCGACGACAGGCTCACCCGGCCAACGTTCACCCCCCGCCGCAGCGAGCTGGTCAGCCAACGATTTTCTGGGCAAGGTATTCAGAGTTCCGCGCCTTTCTCAGTGGGGGGAATTTGTATATTGGTAAGAAGTGATCTTCGTATTTGGTAGCTTACAGTATCTCGATTAATCCGTATCGGTAGAGTATCACAACAAAGATATAACTTCAAGTGACCTCGAACGTACGTGACAGTCCATCTCGAGTGTGAGGTTAGATCTATATTCCTCTAACAAATCAGTAGACCACCTATGGAGAGACTTTTTGGAAGACCTGTGCGAAAGTGACCCCAACACCGATATGACCCGAATAGAAGAAGACAAGGGCAGCTTACTACCGAAATGCTTTGACTGGATCCTGGATAACGAAGAGCTCAAAGCTTGGCAAGAATGTGAAAACAATAGACTGCTATGGGTCAGAGGTGGTCCGGGCAAGGGCAAGACAATGCTGATGATAGGTCTCGTTCGTCACCTAAAAGATCGACTACGGACTGAGAACTGCGCACTCGCCTTCTTCTTCTGTCAGAACACAGATCAACGCCTCAACAACGGAATTTCTGTCTTACGAGGTCTAGTTTGGATGCTTTTATGCAAGAACCTTGTCTTAAGCAAACACATACCTGAGGAATACCGCTTGAAATCCAAGGAAAAGCGGAAGGTGATGTTGGATAGCCAGAATCCGAACCTGTTTTCAACTCTGAAGATGATGCTTGAAAATATATTGGGAGGGGCTCCGTTTGATAGGGTCTATCTTTTGGTTGATGGGTTAGACGAATGTGATAAGGATTCGGACCAGCTTGTCAGGTGGATGACCCAGGTTGCCGGTAAGCCTGGGTCCAAAGCAAAGTGGCTCGTGTCTAGCCGCTTTTCGTTAATACTAGGTCGGACCCTGCGACCCTCCCAGTACCGACAGATACTCGACCTGGAATTGAAAGACGAGCACATATCTCGTGCGGTTGCTCAATTCATTGAGCAGAAAGTCAAACGCCTCGCAGAAGAAGGGCAATATGATAAAGAACTTCAACAAAAAGTCCAGACAAAGCTAGAGAAGAAGGCAGAGTCGACATTTCTCTGGGTCGCTTTGATATGCCAGCGTCTGAACGAAGTCCCCCGCATGGAGGTCATGGCCGAGATCGACAAGTTCCCGCTTGGACTACCAGCCCTCTACGACAGAATGATGCATATTATCGAACAGCACGGGGATGAGACCAGCCTGTTCTGTAAGCAGATTCTTCGCACTGTCACCATCGTTTACCGCCCGATTACGCTTGAAGAGCTTGTCCCGCTAGCGAACCTTCCCAGTGAACAATATAAGGACGTTCATGAACTCGTCAGCCTCTGCAGCTCATTCGTGATCCTTCGTGAGAGTATGGTCCGGTTGCTGCACCAATCAGCCAAGGATTATCTATACGAAAACTACCAGTCTAGGCTTCAGCAGGCGGGGGTTGCTCAAGGGCATGCGGACATCAGCAGGCGCTCGATTAATGCGATGTCCTCAGTGCTAAAACAAAACATGTACAACCTCAGCTTCAGCTTCAAACCAGAGTATGTGAGACCACCCGAGCCAGATCCGTTAGCTCCAGTACGGTATTCGTCCGTCTTCTGGGCCGATCACCTCTGTTTTCTGAATGGTGAGAGCCCGGAGACTAAAAGATTGTTAATGGACCATGGACCGGTGCTACAATTTTTGAATGAGAATTTCCTCCGCTGGCTCGAGAGCCTGGCTCTCCTCGGAAAACTCTCAGATGGAGTACAGGCGATAAAGAAGCTTGTACATGTCACCCAGGTATGTCTACGACGGTGTGAATGCATCATCCACTCTCTAAATTTTGCCAGCTACAACTGGGTGCAAGCACACCGCTTCTTGAGTTCCTGAAGGATGCCGAGAAATTTGTCCTGAGTCACAGATCGATCATAGAAAGGGCTCCGTTGCAGGTATATGGCTCCGCGCTCGCGTTCAGTCCGACGATGAGTAAGGTCAGAAACATGCAGTGGAAAGAAAGGCTATCATTTATCAATATGATAGCAGGTGTTAGAGAGGGTTGGAGTGCGCACCAACAGACGCTTGAGGGACACAGCGATGGGGTTAAAACAGTCGCCTTCTCACCGGATGGGAAGACGCTTGCGTCGGCTTCACGCGACTGCACCGTCAAGCTCTGGGTCACAGCAACAGGCGCACCTCAACAGACGCTTGAAGGACACAGCAATTGGGTCAATGATGTCGTCTTCTCACCAAATGGAAAGACTCTAGCGTCGGCTTCAGCTGACCACACCATCCGACTATGGGGCACAATGACGGGTTCGCTCCAGCGGACGTTTGAAGGACACTATGATTCAGTTAGGGCAGTAGCCTTCTCTCCAAATGGCAAGATACTAGTGTCAGCTTCATCTGACTACACTGTCCGGCTCTGGGACACAGCGACGGGCGGGTCTTATATGGTTCTTAGGGGCCATAGCGGTTCAGTCCGGGCAGTCGCATTCTCACCAGATGGCAAGATGCTAGCGTCGGCTTCAGGTGACTGCACTATACGGCTCTGGGATATAGCAACGGGTGCACCCCAGCAGACGCTTGAAGGGCACAGTCGTCCGGTCAGCACTGTCGCTTTCTCACCAGATGGCAAGACACTAGCGTCTGCTTCAGGTGACCACACGATCCGGCTCTGGGACATTGCAACGGGCGCACCCAAAACGCTTTCGGGGCATGGCAATTGGGTCAGCGCAGTCGCCTTCTCACCAGATGGAAAGACAATAGCCTCTGTTTCAGGTGACCATACGATCCGGCTCTGGGACACAGCAACAGGTGCGCCCCAACGCACGCTTCAAGGGCACAGCAATTGGGTCAGCGCAGTTGCCTTCTCACCGGATGGCAAGATCCTAGCGTCAGCTTCAGCTGACTACACTGTCCGGCTCTGGGACACAGCAACGGGGATGCCCCAGCAGACGCTTGAAGGTCACGGCAAGTGGATCAACGCAGTCGCCTTCTCACCGGACGGTAAGACGCTATCGTCTGCCTCGGATGATTGCACAGTTCGACTATGGGACACAGCAGTTAGCATGCCTAAGCAGGTGCTTGAAAGGCATAGTAGTCCTATCAACTCAGTCGCTTTATCACCAGATCGGAAGAGCCTAGCATCGGCTTCAGATGACACCACAGTCCGACTCTGGGACACGGCAACGGGCACGTCCCAAAGGACGCTTAAGGGGCACAGCGCTTCGGTTAACGCAGTCGTCTTCTCGACAGATGGCAAGAAGCTAGCGTCGGCTTCGGCTGATCACACGCTCCGGCTTTGGGTCACAGCAACAGGCATGCCTCAAAGGACGCTCAAGGGGCATAGCGGTTCGGTTACAGCAGTCACCTTCTCACCAGATGGCAATACGCTAGCATCGGCTTCAGCCGACCACACGGTCCGGCTCTGGGACACCGCAACAGGCGCGACCCAACGCACGCTTCAAGGGCACTACGATGAATATGTGAGCGAAGTTATCTCACCAGATGACATGACCCGATCGCCGACCTCTATCAAGGACTGGGGAAGAGAAGACATTCGCTTCATATCAGGGTGGGTTCCAAAGAATACACTTGGGACTCCAGTGAACGAAGTTCCACGGACAAGTGCACGGACAACACCTGGGATTGCAGCTTACCGCACTGCCCGGCATATGGTTAGCAGGCACAGCATTTCGGTGAAGTCAGTCGCCTTCTCACCAGATAGCAAGACTTTAGCGTCGATTTCGGATGATTCCACCGTCCAGCTCTGGGATGCAGAGACGGGCTCGCATCGGCAGACGCTCAAAGGAAACAGCAATTCCTGGGACACAACCACAGGCGCATCTCGGGGAATGCTTGGAGGGCACAGTAGCCCGGTCCATGTATTTGCGTTCTCAGAGGATGGCCAATATCTGAAAACAGACCACGGGTTCCTTAGACTCTCCGTGAAATACCACCCACCTGACAAGCGTATTGAGCAGAAGCATTCTGATTACGCTCTATCTGTCGGTACAGAATGGGTGAAGCTGGGCGGAGAGAATCTCCTTTGGCTTCCTAAAGATTATAGAGCTACGTGTGGCGCTATATATGGTCATACTGCTGTCCTGGGACATCGTTCAGGCGGAGTGACATTCCTGCAATTCGAAATTCCTTAGGAGTGGTACAGTATACCGTCACTGATCGCTTGGTCGCAAGGTCACGCTGTCTTTTAGAAAGAGAAGGTACTCGGAGTCAATTTCGGAGGCCTACACGGCAGTCTGTCACACCTTCGGTACTACCCCTTCTGATTGGTTCGTCCGTCCATCGCCCAACTATTCTACTAGGCGCGTCGCGTGTTTGTCATAATCTTCTCGATCGACTCGGGGGTTCTCTCGGCTGCAATCGGATATAATAAAATAAGGAGCGGGACGGCATCCCTGATTGCCTACTCGAGCACCATGAGTGAAGGATGAGCAAATCCTTGAACAACCGTGAGTGCTCAGGGAGCATACGGAAAGAGTGGGCCGACATTATCACGTTCGGGTTCGAGGACTAAAATTCTGGTAGAAAGGACGTGTAAAATGGCGTCAAGAGTAGCCATTTTTCGGCGCCGAAGTTACCGTTACCTAGCGTTGTGTTGTAGTTCCGTTTTAAATGGCGATCCCATTTCCTTGGCCTTGTCGAAGGTGCTGTCAATGAGCACTTACAAACTTGCTAGTATATCCACCCAGATATCCTGCGCTTTTGTATCTTTGTCAATGCGGTTATTAGTTTTCTTGGATTCCTTCTTAATAAAGACGGCACCGCTCCCTTCCCGTACGCTGATCTCATATCATTTTCACTACCATGCAAGTTCTGGCTTGGTTATGCAGCTAGCAGCCTCTAGCTTTGAGCAGAACTGCTCTTCCTCCATTAACTTCTCCGTCATGTTTCCGGGGATTTTCGGAAGAGCAGGCCATATTTCTTTCCCCCCTTGTTGCTCTTCCATCCTTCGGTGCTCCGTAAGAATCTCTTTCACACTGTTCTGGAAATAGATCGGCCCCTATTTGCTCCTGTCAGCGCCTTACATCTCATACTGAGTAGTGATACATACCTTCTCTTTGTCTGGATGAAGTTCACCGCTGACGAAGACTCCACTGCCTAGATTTCTCTGTGCTCCATCACACAGTTCTTTATCTTCATCAAGCACTTGTCGATAGAACTCATTGATATCAGAGAATTCTTTATCCGTCGCATCTTTGTGGCGGTAAACTTCGTTTTCAACCTTGCTCGTGGTAGCAGTGACCGGGATCATTCGTTGGATATAAAAGAATTTATCACTTATTGGTCAGCTTCCATATCTTTTGTACGCGATATAGGGTACTTACGTGACCGTAATCGACGAAGTGGGGAAGAAATATGTGATGGCGCGTTTAAATTGAGCATCGGTTTGCTCTTTGTTGAAGATATGATGTTCCATGTAGCCTGCGGTAGGCTCGACACGATATCGAGGGAGATCTGAAACGCCGCTGATAAGGGGATGAGAAGTTGCACAGTGGTAGCACTCATTGTAGTTCTCAATGACCCCTTTCCAATTGGCGTCTAGGTCCATTTCCCAATAATGATCGAAAGTGTATTCCCCAGAGAAATCAAAGTCTTGCATCCGCGGCTGCCCGTCCACTCGCTGGAACTCCTCATCCCACTTCACATCTGGGTCTCCTGCTTGGAGATTCACCCAGACGAAGCCGGCCTTGTCGACATGAACGTGCACAGGGAGTAGCCCATGTTGACTTTTATCGAACTCGGGTACTGTTTCGAAGCGTGGTGCTTTGGATAGATTTCCCTTCAGCCCATATGACCATCCGTGGTATTTGCAGCTCAGGATCGAAGTGGACCCGGAGCGAGATTGGACGACGGGGAATGCACGGTGACGGCAGATATTGTGAAAACCATTGATGTTGTTGTCTCGATCTTGAACTAGGAAAAAGGAAAAATTTGCGATGGTGAAAGAGAGGTAATCGCCCTGCTTGGCAAATCGGCTAGAATGAGTGAGGAGAAGCCAGCGCTTGGAGAAGATAGCTCGGCGCTCTAGCTGGTACAACGCCTCGGATCGATACCATGATGCAGGGAGAGCTCGTGGAGGCTCCTTCTCCGGGGCCTTGAACATGGAACCAAGCTGTCGCCACATTTTGCGATAGAATATGATACAAATTTGTAAGTGATCCAAGTAGTCACGAAATTGCAACTATACCAAAGCTTGTTCCGCACCCCCTATATAGGCACAAGCCGGGTGGGGAGTCAGCTTTTGGAGAAAGTATCAAAGATGGAGAAGCGGGGAAGCCTATTACCTGTTGGAATATTCCTATCATCGGGAATGTATATTCTGTTTGGTTGTACCAAAGATGGGGGAAGTGGGGGCCGGAATGATAAGAGAGAATGCAGCTAGCATTTCCAAAAGTTCGGCCGAGGACTTGCCGCTAATTGCAGAGCTATTCCACTATTCTATAAACGGTACTAGTTACAACCGAGATTCTACCATATCACTTTCACGCATGGTGCCCCAACAGCGATCAACGTCGGCGATATGGTCATAACCCAACAGTTTCGGTGCCAATCCTGGATCTCTCCAAGCCAATGCTTCACCCTCAGGCGTCGGCACCATCTGCATCTTGCGGTCTCTGTCCTGTTGCTCTGGCCCGTCGTGCAGGTGATAGAGATATTGCTGGATGTTGCCTCGGTCCACAACCATTTTCGTACGCTCTTTGCGACACTGTTGGAAAACAGACAAGGCATGCTTCTTGGCATTCAAGAACTCGGTAGAGGTCTTGGTGATATCAGGGGAATTGGGGAGACGAGATAGACATTCCCCGAGAACAGCGCCATCCTCAAAGGCCATTCCAGCTCTATATGATGGTTAGATGACGCCAGCGCGGTGGTCGGTTGAGCTTAAGCTTACCCTGAAGCCAGATATGGTAGAGTGGCGTGCACCGCATCGCCCAGCATTACCCACGAGCCGGACGGATGAGCCCAGTCGAACTCGCCGAATCGAATACAGAGTCGCCATTTCTGCACTGACTGGCAAAGCTTGAGCAACTTTTGAATACTATTGATGTTAATTTCCTCCCCACTCATAACGTGAAGGGCCCATACCGTGGATCCCAACCTTCAAACAAAGCACACATCTCCTTCACATTTCCCTCTACTGTAGAGGCAAGAGACTCCTCAGGGATATCATCCGGCACGAGTAGGACCATATTGAAGAGATCTCCTCCACGCAGCACATAATTGACTGGTCTTGTTAGCCAGCCCGGGTTAAAGGCCACTGTTGGGACGTACCGGCGTGAGCGTCTGGACCTAGCCAATAATTGACTTGTGGCTCGTTCACAAATGGCGCCAATTCGGGATCTTTGCGCATCTCCTCCGTGGACAGCAAAAGACGGTATGCAAGATCTCCGGTCTTCACAGGTGGATCACTGCGACCGAGTAATGCCTCTGTTAATTTCCCAAATACCCCATCGGCTCCGATAACCAGGTCGCCTCTCCACTCTCTCCCATCTGCTGCAACCGCCGTTGCTGTTGCCCCATCCGCACCCACGGTGACTCGTTCAATACGTGCATTGCACGTCAATTGCACTCCCAGCTCGAGAGCCCTTTCCACCAGACACCGTTGAAGATCCGCCCGGTGGAAGTCGCGGTACCAGGTTCCGGGATAATTGCTCTCCGACTGATGAAAGTCCAAGGAGGAGATTCGGTTGCCCTTCCACCCAATGAAGTTACATACACTGGGGTTAGTCATATGTGGTGTCAACGCCTTTTCCAGGCCCCAATGCTGAAGGATGCGCGAACTATTGGGTAGAACCTGGATTCCAGCCCCAACCTCCTTGATTTCGTGAGTCGCTTCGAGAATACGAACTGCGTGTCCGGCGAGAGCGCAGCTAATAGCTGATCCAAGGCCGGCCAAGCCGGCGCCGACGATGAGAATTTGCAGCTTGCATGATTCGGAGCGAGTGTGCTGTTGTTGGACATGAATGCGAGGGGCCATTGCGAGTGAAGGTGTCCCAGGTGACTCCGTGGGGTGGGTATTGGGGTACTGTCCAGGGATTTCTCCCGAATGGGGTATTTATGATAGCTTTAATATGCATGAGACTCCGTCCCTTCAAAGATGGGGGTCGTGAGCGGTATGCAACCGCCGATATCCGAACCCCTGGAATTACTATATCTGAGGGGCGGCATGTCATGCAACTGTCTCTCGCATGGTATCGCACACGGCGTATCTCCAACCGATCAGTACTGTCCTCATTACTCATTATGTCAAAAGTAAGCTCCTCTACACGGCATCTGTCATTGAGCTAACCCGTCAGTTTTCTCTTCAAGGTCGAACTGCGCTAGTGACGGGAGGTGCCCGCGGCTGTGGGCTCGCCTTTGCTCGCGGTCTGGCAGAGGCAGGGGCCAATGTAGCTATTTTTGATATCATCGACCCGGACGCTGCATTCCAAGATATCGAGAAAGACTGCAGCGTCCGCACGGCTTATTACAAGTTGGTGTTCTCCTTCTCGATTTCACGATCCGGTTCCTCACAGCTGACTTCTTGAAGAGTCGATGTTTCCTCGCAGCAATCTCTGGAAAGTGGCTTCGCGGAATTCCAAAAAGACTTCGACAATGCACTGGATATTTGTGTCCCTTGCGCCGGGATCAACCGCCATATCCCGTTCCTAGAATTCACGTACAAGGATCATCACGATCTGGTCTCGATTAACGTACTGGGGCTGTACTTTACGGCCCAGCTTGCTGCCCAGCAGATGATCGCCAATGGCACCAAGCATGGGAGCATTGTACTGGTCGCTAGTATGGCGAGTCATATTGCCGTGCGCAGCCAACTGTGCAGTGCCTACTGCGGAACAAAGGGTGCGGTCCGATCTATGTGCCCGGCGATTGCGAAGGAACTGGCGGAATACGTGAGTACCCTGTGAATCACTCGGGAGAGCCACCGCTAACAATGATAAACAATGATAGGGCATTCGAGTCAATTCTGTCTCTCCGGGATATGTGCGAACGGAGATGACCGCGGCTGTAGGTTCCCCCAACTCTCTTCTCGAACCGTGGGCTAATGGACAGTTCCCCCATCTTATCCCCAGTTGGGAAGCAGAGGCAATGAATGGGCGCATTGCGGAGCCGGAGGATATAATGGGGGCATGTGTGTTCCTCGCCAGTGATGCCAGTGCGTACATGACGGGGCAGGACATCATTGTGGATGGGGGCGTCACCCGGTGGTAGCGGAGATAGAACAAGAGTGGGGGTTTACTCCGCAATGCTGCGAACATCATGTCTATATTAAAATATGCGAGCTGCATCAGAATGAAAAGGTTGTGTCAGTTCCAGCAGATTAATTCGAACAATCATGGCTCCTGGTGCAATCCACCAAGGATACAGCGTCGGCGGTCCGGCCGATTCGACGACGGTCGTCGTGGTCGGCGCAGGGCCATCGGGGTTGATGCTAGCGTAGGTTGGATCGCAATGACGATGAGAAGATAATAAATGGACTGACAGTGTTCAAGATGTAATCTCGCCCGCTTCGGCATCCGCATTGTTATTCTCGACGACCGCCCGGACAAGACTGCGACGGGGAAGGCGGATGGCATGCAGCCGAAGACAATTGAGACATTCAGACAGATGCGGCTCGCTGAGCCACTGCTGAAGAATGCAGCGCGCATCTATGACATTGCATTCTGGGTAGGTGTGGTCGATGCCCATTGCATTTATTTCTACTCACAGGCACTAGCAATCCACGGCCGACAGCCCACTCCAGCGAACCGGCCGCCAGACACACTACCCCGAGCATCTTGTCGGCGCATCCGATCCGTACATTCTTCTCGCACATCAGGGCATGGTCGAAGAGGTGTTGATTGACGATATGGAATCCAGGGGTCTGTTCGTGACACGAAACAGCCGATTCGCTGCGTGTGCTCGTGTGCCCGGGACGGGACAGCTGGATATCACCTACGAAGACCTCTTAACAAAGACCTCCAAGACCATCCGGGCAGACTATTTGGTCGGGTGTGATGGCGCTCGGTCTCAAGTTAGAACCTTCATCCCGAATGCGTACCTTGAGGGAGAAATGACGAACGCGTCGTGGGGTGTGCTGGATGGTGAGTTTGATTATTCCCATTTGTCTACGGAGACTTACTAAGGAGGCAGGCGTCATCGACACCGATTTCCCCGATCTATGGAGCAAAGTTGCAGTCCGCTCCCACGTCGCTGGTTCCATCCTTTGGATCCCAAGAGAACAAAACATGACTCGGCTATATGTTCAACTGAGTGAGACGGATGGTGAGAGAGTGGACAAAGCCAAGGCCACGCCGGAGTATGTCATGCAGCGGGCTCGAGATGCGATGCACCCATTTCACCTCGAGTGGAAGACAATTGAATGGTTTGGCAACTATGTCGTGGGTCAGCGCGTGGCGAAACATTTCATGGATCCCGATGCACGGATATTCATTGCAGGTGATGTATGGTTCATAGTTTCCACCCCTGCCAAATATAGTCGATGCTGATCACTTACAGGCTGGCCATTGCCACTCGGCTCTCGCCGCCCAAGGTGCCAATACAAGCATGCATGATAGTTTCAATCTGGCATGGAAGCTCAATCTTGTCATCCGAGGACTGGCGAAACCGTCGTTATTATCCACCTACGAAGAGGAGCGTCAAAAGATTGCCTATGATCTAATCAACTTCGACGCAGAGCATTGTAAGGCCTTCTCACAAGGTGATGAAGCTCTTGCCAAGAACTTTGACGACAATATTCGGTTTATCTCAGGCGTGGGAGCGGAGTATTCCTTGGGTTTGCTGAGCCGAGAGAAAGATAACTTGTCGATCAACTTGAGAGCTGGCTCGTTGCAGCTTCCGGCCAAAGTAACTCGGTTCATAGACGCCAATCCAGTCGATATTCAGCTCGACATCCCCATGCTGAGCCAATTCCGCCTCTTCTTTTTCGTCCCCGATGTCCCGATGGCCACTGCATTCCTGAAAACAATCTGTGAAGGCATTACCAGTCCTACCAAGCCACTAGGAAAGGCGTCTTTACGTGCCAAACAATCATACGTGGAACAGCCGCGGGGAACAGCGACATCGGATGGATTTCTACAGCCTCAAAGATACACATCTGCATCCAACATTATCACATATGCGATGGTGACCCAGTCGCCAAAGGCCGACTTTGAAATTACGGACTTGCCAAAGGTGCTACAAGACAGTCGCTGGACATTGTATCTGGATGATATTGACATGCCTCGTTGCACTGACAAGTGGTTTGGTTCTCTGGACAAGGAAGAGGTTGGAATTGCAATCGTGCGTCCAGACGGCTATGTTGGACAGATTGATACGTGGAATTTGGCGGTACCAAGCGAGGCAGAAAGCTGGATAAGAGATTACTTTACATTCATGGCGTAAAAGAGATATTGTACTTTTTGAGCTTAGTACAAAACACATCATTTCTCGTATCAATGATTTGCACCTTCTGTACAGAGTAATCTTAGCTACTCGATAGTAAGGCAAGTTGTCGTCATTGCCCCGCAGGCTAGTGTTTCAATCGGTTTCTCCTGCGCGCTCAGTTCATGCACTCATACTGGACTTGGCTCCACCAATACATTCGAGAGTGGGGGGAGGGGAAATGGGGAATGGGGGGGAAACGGTGAGTGCCCACACCAGAACAGTATGGTGGGGGTGAGCTCCAATTTTTTTCCTGCAGGTCCATGACTGTCCCACTATTATCCCACCTTTTGTAGCGGTCAATAATGGGAGCTTTGGTGTAGCTTAGTGTTATATAACAGTGGTCTACGTGTCCGCAAAAAAAAAAGGAAAAACCCCCCAATTCGAGCTACAATTATCACAATGGGCTCCGTCGATACCGTCGGACCTCTTTTCCAGCCCCTCCGCCTGGGGGCTTTGTCTCTAAGCCATCGTGTTATTCAGGCTCCATGCACTCGTATGCGCTCGACGAAGGAGTCGGATGGTGTTTTCGTTCCCAATGACCTCAACGTCGAATACTATGCGCAGCGCGCTTCACCCGGAGGCTTGATGCTTACCGAGGCGACCCCAATTAGCCGATTGGTATGTACTCATCTCTCCAAGTTCGACAATCCCGCTGACCATCCAAGGCCGCGGGATATCCGGGTGTGCCTGGCATCTTCACTCCCTCCCAGATTGCCGGCTGGAAGAAAGTCACCGATGCGGTGCACGCCAAGGGCGCATATATATTTTGTCAACTGTGGCATGTTGGTCGAGCAACTGTTCCCTCATTCATTGAGGGAAAACAAGTCCTCGGCGCAAGTGAAATTCCCATCAGTGGGAACGCACTTGATGGCTCCGAGTATGCCGCTGCCCCCCCGCGGCCTATGACGGTGGAGGAGATCCAAGAGACAGTAAAGGAGTACGCAGCCGCTTCGAAAAGAGCGATCGAGGCAGGGTTCGATGGGGTCGAAGTGCATGGTATGCAATTACATTGGTCTGTACTCTTGAGATGCACGAAAGATTAGCTAACGACAAACAAAAACAACTAGGTGCGAACGGCTATCTTCTCGATCAATTCCTCCACGACAACGTGAATAATCGAACGGATGAATATGGCGGCTCGGTCGAGAAGCGTTCTCGTATCATTCTTGAGGTTCTCGACGCAGCCTCCGCGGCCATTGGGTCAGACCGCGTGGGCATTCGCCTCTCACCATACAACTACTTCCAAGACACCCGCGACTCCAACCCTAATGCTCACTGGCTCTCCTTGTGCTCGCAGATTGCCAACCTTCCCGCGGCATCCCGACCGGCCTACGTGCATATGGTTGAGCCCCGCTTTGACGAGGTGTTGGATGAAGATGCGAAAATTGATTCTCTGGCCTTGGAAAAGCCATCGCTAGACGTGTTCCGACCAACCCTCAAGAAGGGTGGCATTGCATTCCTGGCGGCTGGAAATTTCAACGCCGATAACGCGGGCCCGAAACTGATTGGTGATGGAGCAGATGCGGTGGTTTTTGGACGGTGGTTCATTTCTAATCCTGACCTGCCCCGACGATTGAAGGAGGGCTTGCCGTTGACCCCGTATGACCGGTCGACCTTCTATGGAGCAGTACCTCCTGAGAAGGGCTACACAGATTACCCCTTCTACAGTAAATAGAAAGGTACTGGAGAAAATACCGAACTCAGTTATTGCGCTATAGAGACAAGCCCACTAGTACCTTCATTGCATCGTGCACAACTGCCCATCGGACGGTGGCTAATTGCTGTGCCATGGCTGCCGCCAAAGGCTTGGGGTCATATTTGCCGGACAGTGCGGCCAGTTCGGTAGCACTGGGGCAATTCGTCATCATCACGATAAGGGACGAGATGTCCGTCGTAATCCGGCTCTCGGATGAGGAAAGATCCATCCCTCGATGGAAAACGCAGCATGTCAACGTAGCCAGGTATAAGCACCATGGGAAGTGAAAAGCATCAGTCTGATCCCAATCATGAAGACTCAGAACGGCGTCTTGTAACAAATGGGATGAATGTCGTGCGGCGACTGAAGATGCCGCGGATTCTTCATGAAGCCAGCGAAGAATATTTCGCTGCGATCTTGACCGATCTGCCAGTGTCACTGCTCGCCCTAAAATCTGCATTGCGCCGGCGACAATTTGCAAATCCAGAATTTCCACATTCAATGCAAGACAGGCTGCATGATAGAGCGCATACGCAGCCATTTTCAGCCCTGTGAAGCGCCGCGGGTCTGCTGTCTGTGCCAGTTTCATGGCGAGACAATCTGCGTCAAAATCAACTTTCCACAAGTCATACGATCGACTCATACGGGGCGTCCAAGCTCCCACTCGTTCCGGAGTCTCCGACCGCAAGGTTGTTTGATCACGGCGCTTTAGATCTGCCGAAACAGACATGAGGCCGTGCAAAATGATGGTGCGGGCAAAGGCATTGAGATCTCGGGGTCGGGACACAGCTCCAGGGGTGATGTAGCCCTTGAGAACGGCGAGAAAAGGTCGATTCGTCTCGCGAATCGCCGTATGGGCCCATTCACGGGCAGTCGAAGCTTCCCACGCCGTGGCACTGCAAGGCAAACATGATCTGATTTCAAATGCGGACATGCACAAGGACTGTGAGAAAAGAACCGCGTGCTGAGTATCCCACATGAAGCAATGCATAGCGAGTCTTTTCCGCTGCTCTTCATCCATCGCTTGCCGCCATGCCTGCTCCAAGTCTTCGGATCGAGCCAGATGCGATGAGTCTTGGATACTGCAGGCATTGCTACGGCGAATGAGTTTTATAAGCACACAGTGGAATAATTGTGTTAACTCCCGCTGCTTCGGACCGGCTCTCATTTTACCAAAACAGTCAACTAAAAGCATGGTCTGTAGGACCCAAAGATCGGGTTGTGGGGAGAAGTTTTGATGACACAGGAGCTGATTCCGCAGCTTGTCGTGAATTCCAACGGCCAGCTGATGTGCTTCGCGAGAGCTATAGGTAGCGCCCATGAATAGAACAGCCGCCAGAAAGACTGGATCCACGAGGTCTGGACTGAAAGTTGGCTGATGAATGAGGGGATATGTAACATTAAAGCGAGCAAAAAAGAGATCACAATAGCCCTGCAGCGCGCCCAGTGTAAGTAGGGGCGAGTCTAGAGCCATCGGCTGTCCATCAATGCCCATCGGCGATGCCTGGGCCACCACGGAGATTATGCCTCGGCGGGCATTCTCGGACAAGCGCGGCAAGCGTGGTGGGGGATTCGAGCCCAGGAAAGAGGTTCCAGACATCCAGTCCATCTCGAGAAGTTCGGGCGCCACAGGGGACAATGTTGATTGTGGTCCCTGACCTTTATTCATCATCTGAGCCACCTCTAATAGAGCTGATGGACCGTCATATTTATCCATCGCCGGGCTATATACCTCGGGAAAGGGCTCCGCGTCGAATCCGAGGGGAAAGTCGAATTGGTGAAAGGCATCGTCGAGAGAAGCGACATCAAACAACCAGTTATAATTATATGTCGCGGCAAACGGTAGATTAAAGTCGGTCGCTAGCTCTCGTTAGAAGAGAAGAAACATCGATTTGAGAGAAAGCTTGATTCATACCGGTATCCACGCCAAAGAAATCACCCATGCCATCGAGTCCCACATTGAATGAGCCGTCGGCTGCATCAAATTGGCCAGGAACCGGCTCCACATACGGTTCAAAGGGACCTCCTGGCATCATAGGAGCTAAAAACGGGTCGGTTTCATCGATCGACAGTGAAGTCGGACCCGTACCGGAAATCGGTGGTGATATAGGGACTTCGTCCATCGACTGGTCTTCCTCTTCCATCAGGTCTACTTCAGAGCTGGAACAAGAGATGGTAGAGCGCCCTGCCGACCGAATTTCTCGCTGGGATGGACGGACAATAATGGTTCCATCGCGAGCTCGGCGTGTTCTCTTTCGAGTCTTCAAAATGCCCAGCCCCGGCCCCCCTGCCTCTTCGTCTCGTTTGTTGTGGCGCATCATATGCCGGGCTATAATGTTTAGAACGAACGAGGTAGCCCTCGGAGAGAAGCTTCCGCCTTACCTAAGAGATCTGGGCGCTGGAAATGGACTGAGCATCGTTCACAGGTGAACCCATTGCGCGGTTGTTCATGGTTAAGGGCATGTCGGCGCAGATGCTCCGCGCGGGTAAAACTTTTATCGCAGCCGGGATAATCGCACGCGTGAGTCTTCATGATGAAAACGCATCGAGAAAGGAAAAAGGAAAGCTAATTCCATGCAGCTCCCACGGGATTCCCCCAAAATAATAATGTCGGGGCCGTCGGGGTAATGGCCGATGTGACTGATAAGCGTGCGGGGGACGACTGGCTGTGATTGGTGTCAGCGGAGAAGGTTGATATGCTGCATATCTGTGGTCGCATGTAGCCTGACCCAGTAATAATACATCCCAAGAGGAACACGAGAGGCGATTGCGGAATGAAAGGTTTACAAGGACCGCATCAAAAGTTGATTTCGAATTGGAGGGTTGGGGTTAGGATCCATCATCCACAATCGCGGCCAAATAATCTACAAAAAGTACCGCCATTCCGCGCTCTGACTGCCTTCTTTAACCTGACTAGTAGCAACCTGGTCCCCTCGCAGTCTCTTCCCTTGCTGTCGGTCGCGACGACGATTTTCACGTCGCATCCACAATCCCAATCCCGATACAAAAAGGATGCAGACCGCATTACAGCAGCATGTTGCGACTAGGGTGGGAATATACCTATCCAATTAGCATATTGGGGTCTATGTATTTGAAAAGGGATTGCAGCTTACTTTGGAGCGTATTCTGTTCGAAATGTAGCAGCGCTCAAGACCCCCGCCAGATTTCCCAAGCCGACGAAGAACCCGGTATTCGCGGCGCGCGAGTTCTCGTGAACGTTGTTGTTATTGTGCCAGGCATGAACCAGACATGATGGAATGTAGGCCCCGGCGGCCATCAAGAAACAGGCAAAATACGCCACGCCCTTATGTTGGAGGACGTCGATAGCAGCCAGGATAACCATCCCGACCAGGGAAAGGGTCAGCGAAAAGACAATGTGAAATGTTCTCTCGCGGCAATAGTCGGACGACTTGGCGACACAGAGTAGCACTACGGCCCCAACGAGATTTGGTGCAACTGTCCACAGGTTCGTTTTAACCACAGAGTAGCCAAGACGTTGGACAATCTGTTGCGGTTAGAATTCAAAAGTTGAAGATGAAGCGAAGGCAGGAACCCACCAAGGGAAAGAAATTCATCGCTGTTGCATAAGCGACTGGATATGTGAAAGTAATGATACACCAAAGTGGGAACTTCCAGTCAGTCCAAGATTGGAAACAAGCCTTGAGGTTGAACTCTGTTGCGACTTCGGAAGACGAGTCGCGAAGGAGCCGGGCTGTTGCCGCTTTTTTCTCCGCATCATTCAAAAACCAGGCGTGTTGTGGACTATCTGGTAGTATGAAAAACGCCAGAATGCCGATGAGTAAAGTCATTCCGCCTTCAATGATGAACAGCCATTGCCATCCTTTGACGGTTGGGCTATCGATTTGGAACACCCCGAAGGAGATGAGACCACTGAAGGCAGAGGCGAGAACTGCAAAAGATTGCATGATAGCCAGACGAAACCCCATCTCTCCTCGAGTATAGAAAAGTGTCAAGTAAAACGTTGCTCCGGCAAAGAATCCCGCCTCGAAGACACCTAGAATAACTCGAATGGCAAGCAAGGAACCAAACCCTTTAGCTGCACATTGACAGAGAGCAAGGATCCCCCAGACCATTGACACTGTTCGAGAGAGTATCGTCAGTCGTGCGCGATGGTGCCATGGACCGAAATGAACGTACTAAGTGAGAGCATGAGTCGGCCAGAATAGCGCCTAATTAAGAGGTTCCATGGTAGATCAAACAGCCCGAACGGGATATAAAACAGCACAATGAGAAGGGAATAATCGTTCCCTTGGAAATGCAGGTCCGTTTCGAGACCATCGGTTTTGGCATTTGCTACGTTACTCTACTCCTATCAGTTATGACACGACTGGCGGGGAGTGAGACTTACTCGGTCCATGCAGTCAAAGAAGTACATCTGTAAATGTCAGTCGGAGTGGTTCAGATTGATCCGATGTTCTCACCAAACATAGCATAGGCAAGACCCAAAAGTCCACCTTCCTACGATAAAGCCTTTCGGCTTCCGGGTCTGAATAGATGAAGGTCTGCCCTACATTCCCTTCATTATCTGATGCCTTTTCCATCATTGGCGAGTTAGTCTGCAGAGACGTATTGAACTTGGTTCTGGTTTGTTTTCTTTTTCTCACAAGACCACGGGAGCAGGTGGCACCCTACGAATTCTTATTATAACCCCCTTACATGCGTAACAACAATCTTCGCCATCAGCGCTACCATCATACCTACTGTAGACTCTCTGTTGATATGTTGAGAACACAGATACCGCTTCCAAGCCCCAATCAAGCATTGCCTAAGAAGATAACAGCCCCTGTCGCGCCGCGACCTTCCCCCGCAGATCATCTTATCAGCGGGACGGCTGAATCCACTCTATCACCCCATCTTTGACCAAAACCCCCACCCTCACGACTGCTCTCGCCATCAGATTTGTTTAGTCGTGGCTTGAGAGTCGGCATTCTGCCCGATTCTGTAAGGCAATGAGGGGATATGGATGAGATTTCTGGAAGATATATTCGAGCAAAAGCATTCTCGGCGAATTCAGGCGCGAGAAACAACCCAGACTATAGGAGTGAAGCGAAACAATATGTCGGCATTATCTGCTCCCCCCATCCTGGATTTCTCCGCATTCTACGGCAGTGACATTGAAGCAAAGGCCAAGCTGGTAGAGGAAGTGCGAAAGTGCTGCCACTACAATGGCTTCTTCCAGATCACCGGCCATCGCGTCCCGCTGGACCTGCAGCGACGTGTGATGAAATGCTCCAAGCGGTTTTTTGATTTACCTCTAGACGATAAAATGGAAATTGACAAAAGTGCGCTCTTTCTCCGCGGCCTTGATGACTTTCAACTGACATTGCAGATCTCAACTCGTTTAATCGTGGCTACGAACTTCTCCGGTCGCAGATGCTCGAAGTCGGCACCGGCCCGGAGCTGAAGGAGGGACTTTATATTGGCGAAGAGATTCCGGAGGACCACCCCTACTTTCTGCAGAAGAAATTGAACAGCGGTCCCAACCAATGGCCCCAGACCGTCCCTGACAAGGACGAGTTCCAGAAGACTACAATGGACTACTACCATGCGGTATTTGAGCTGGCGAAGGATGTGCTAGGCGTGGTCGCTTTGACCTTAGGGGTGGACTCGGACTTTTTCCAACCTCTTACTACAGGAGCGGTAGCCACAATGCGCTACTTGCATTATCCCGCACAACCGAAAGACGAAGACGAGACACTAAACCGTGGAATTGGTGCCCACACAGACTTTGGCTGTGTGACTCTACTCTTACAAGACGAGGTGGATGGCCTTCAGGTTTTGGATGCGCCTTCCGGACAATGGCTTGATGTGCGTGACCATACATTATCTATATCATCTTTTGACTTCAACTAATGGGTTTGATATGCAGGTCAAGCCTGTGGAGGGAGCCTACGTCGTGAACCTAGGGGATCTTTTCATGCGCATGGCGAACGACAAGTACAAGTCCAACATCCACCGTGTGATCAATAAATCGGGCCGTGAACGATATTCCATTCCATTTTTCTTCAGCGGGAACCCAGACTACCTCTGCGAGTGTCTCCCCAATTGTCGAGCGCCGGGAGAAGCCGCGAAATATCCGCCTATTACCGTCCAGGACATGGTGACAGCGGCATACAAAGAAAGCTACGGGCGAGCGGAGAAGTACAAAAGGGAGATGGAAACTACGAAATTGGAGGCGACACCCTCGGTCGCGGCAGTGGGCGCGTAGTTGCGTTGTCCAAATTGGAACGACGTTATGTATCTTTCACCAATTTGACTACCCTGAATCAGACTGTTCTTCTGGTCATCCATGTGCACAACCAATTGGATATATCGTAAATCAAGAAGTACCTCACTGAAGCTGCTATGCCTAGCTATGTGGTGGAGTGGTCCAAGCTCAAGAATGCGAATCCAATCTCCGGCTATTCGTATCCTATGTTTTCATCAAAAGTGGGGGGTTTGCCGGCGGATCGGTCGCTGCCCACCCTTGTTATCGTCTACTACAGTCAGTTATACGTATATCCTATTGGCCACATGGTGCTGTCAGCATAATCTCAGCCCTAAAGGAGATTATATGAACTAAAGGAGAGTATATGAATCGACCTGGTCTGAAGGAAAAGTAAGACTCACGAAGACTACTCGCTTCAACATGGATGAAATTCTACCAGACAAAAAGAACGTGCAGGCAGCCCGGGACTTGGTCTCCGATGAAGGCACTGGAAAGGTCATTGCCCTGGAGGACAGTGAAGTAGAGCAGTTCTATGGCTCTTCTACCACTCATGCCTACCGCCTCAAATCCGAATTGGTGGGCAAGTGTATGGAAGAAATTGGCATGGGAAAGTGAGTAGATGTAGCTCTGACTTGAAAGACATGTGGCTTACACAGCTAGATTCCAATGGAAATTGTTCGTGGTGACTGGGTTTGGATGGATAGTTGACAACGTATGTTCCCCTATTCCTATTGGATCCAATGCTGATCAGAACCCCGTGTCTAGTTTGCTTCTCAAGGCATTGGCAGCGTCCAGCCTCCGATTGAGCAAGAATTCTCCGACATAGTTCACGTCAGCTATAGTTCAGTTGCGTATTATGTTGGCCTTATCCTGGGTGCATCGTTCTGGGGAATCTCGAGCGACCTCATCGGCCGTCGCCCTGCATTCAACTGTACACTTCTTATAGCTGGTGTGTTTTTCTGTGCGGTCGCCGGCTCGATGAACTTTATCGCTTTCAGTGCCATGTGGGCAGTCATTGGTACGGCGGCAGGCGGGAATGTACCGGTAGACTCGATGATATTCTTGGAATTTGTTCCGGGGAGGTACGTATGAGCATGCACGTCGCGTGACTATCATGACTAATGACTAGCCAGTCACCAATATCTCCTTACTGCGCTCTCTGCATGGTGGAACCTGGGTCAACTTGTTGTGTCCCTCATTACATGGGTTTTCTTGGCCAATTACAGCTGCCCGACGGATGCAACGCCGGCGACTTGCCCTCGCCAGAGCAACATGGGATGGTACGCATGATGTTGACTGCCTACCTATTTCGTGAGGCTAACACCAACTCATCCAGGAGATATACTATGATCACTCTGGGTGCGATGGCGCTTGCTTTCACGTTCATTCGTATGTTCTTGTTCAAGATCCCCGAGACTCCACGTTTTCTCCTCTCCCAGGGGCGGGATGAAGACGCCGTGGATGCTGTGAACTATGTTGCCCGACAGAATGGCAAACCAGAGCCTTTGACTATCGGAATGTTTCGTGAGATCGATGCCCGGCTGGGTGTAGCTTCCAATGAGAAAGAAGGGCGTTCACATTTGTCAACCAAGGAAATTATCTCTGAAAACATGCAGGCCTTCAGAGGAGAGCATTATCGAGCTCTATTTGCCACTCGCAAGCTTTCTATACATACCATCATCATTTGGACGATATGGTTAACGATTGGTGAGTATATCCATGATGGGTATTGTGAGGAGTGATATTGACCTTCCCCCTCAGGCATCGGATATCCTCTATACTTCAACTTCCTTCCGTCATACCTGGCTACCAAGTTTACTGAAAACTCTTCGCTTGATCTGACGTATCGGAATTACTGCATCACGTCGGCTGTTGGAATAGTGGGCCCATTATCCGCCGCCGTGGCGGTAAATACAAAGTTGGGACGCCGGTATATGATGGGAATCTCAGCCGTGGTCACAGCAGTGTTTCTTTTCGCCTATGTGGGAGTCAACAACTCCGCCGCCAGTTTAGCTTTCTCCTGCGTGACAAGTCTCCTGGGTAATTTTGGTAAGGTTCCTCGAAGCACGCAGATTCCTCGATTCACGCAGCTAACGCCGATATGCAGAATATGCCATCATGTATGCCTTCACCCCTGAGTCATTCCCGGCACCGCATCGCGGTACGGGGACTGGCACAGCTGCGGCTCTTTTACGACTTGGTGGTTTAGTGGCTAGTTTGATTTCGTCCCAGACGGGGTTTACCAGTGCGCCAATCTATGTCAGTGCCGCGCTGTGGGTAGCAGTTGGTTTACTCTGCATTGGGCTGCCATTCGAGACGCATGGACACAATGCATTGTAAATAGCTACTGTATCAACGCAGGTTTTACCGGTTTGTTGGCGAGCCTGATACCGCTTCGCTTCCTTAGTTCAACATGAGCATAGTCGAGCCAAATGTGGATGATAGGGTTGCCAAGCTCGAGGCCGTACACTGAGAAATCAGCTCTAGAAACGCCGGATTGCCCGGCTATTCAAAATTCCGTGACACTCCCATAGATCCGTAGAGCGAGACACGCCCTAGCCAGTCTTGCGACGATAACCATCGGAAAGACCTAGACCCATTTACTTGGGAGAAGCCACTTTCTTTTCAAAAATTTATTAAAACCCCATCAATTAGCATTGGCCCCCATCCACGCGGAATCCGCATCGGTTCCTCGCTAGCGGTGGGAGATGCCAGCTGCACGCAACAACCCCCACCCTTGGAGAGAGCTTGCAATGATGGGGGAAGCGTTGATAAAAGAAACCCATAGATTTCCCCTCACCTACCCCTCTTAACTTTCTAGCGTCGCCGAACACCTCAACACCTCTCTCATCAATCATCAGAATACCGCTCTCACTGCACCCTGTGAACCGTTCGCTGCAGCGGTAAACCCAACCTCTACACTTATTTTCCAACTAGCCTAGATTGATAAAGGAAGGGTAGTCATGGGCAAGAAGCGAGTCCTGGTTGGCTACGGTGTCGATATCGACGCCGTAGCGGGCTGGCTGGGCTCGTATGGGGGCGAAGACAGCGTTAGCGATATCAGTCGAGGTAACCACATCACAGGCTTCAAGCGTATAACCTACCATCCGCGTTGATCATTGCTCACAATTGCGCCATTCCAGGTCTCTGGGCAGGGCACATCGGAACCACGCGACTCCTCAAACTTTTCGAGAAATATAACATCAAGGCATCCTGGTTCATCCCAGGCCACTCACTCGAGACATTCCCCGAGGAATGCGCACAGGTCCGCGACGCCGGGCACGAAATCGGGCTGCACGGCTACTCCCACGAGAACCCCGTCAGCATGACCAAGGAGCAGCAGCGCGACATTCTCGACAAGACGTACAAGATGCTGACAGACTTCTGCGGCAAGCCGCCGCGCGGCATCGTCGCGCCGTGGTGGGAGGCTAGCGCGGAGATGGTGGAGCTGCTGCTCGAGTACGGCATTGAATACGACCACTCGATGTCGCACGAGGACTGCCAGATGTACTGGCTACGGACGGGCGACTCGTGGACGAAGATTGATTACGCGCAGAAGGCGGAGACGTGGATGAAGCCGCTTGTGCGCGGGCAGACGACAGGACTGGTGGAGATTCCGGGAAGTTGGTATATTGACGATTTGCCGCCGATGATGTTTATCAAGAACTCGGCGAATAGTCACGGGTGGGTAAATCCACGAGACGTCGAGGATATCTGGAAGGTTGGTGCACTTTCTGCTTCGCTCTACTCTTGTCCTGTCCTGTCTGGCTCCGCTCTGGCGGGTCTGACGCGGCAACGGGCCATTTGCTCTAGCATGGCTGATTAACATGCATCTCCTACCAGGACCACTTCGACTACTTCTACCGCGAGTATGACGAGTTCATTTTTCCGATGACGATCCACCCGGACGTCTCTGGGCGCCCACATGTGCTCCTCATGCACGAACGGTGAGACAGCCCTCTACGTTCCCGATCTGGGAAAAGTGAAGGTGCCCCCGGGGGAGAGGCGGAGGCTGGCGGGTCGAGGCAAACACTAGCTAACTGGCTGCAGGATTATCGAGCATATCAATAAGCACGAGGGGGTGGAGTGGGTCACATTCGAGCAGATGTGCGATGAGTTCAAGAAGACGAACCAGCCGCCGCCTGGGGCGATGATGCCGGCGACTCGGGGGACTGTGGCCTGATGGGTAGCTGCAGAGGCGGGAGGAGGGATGAATGCATAGTCGAGGTATACAGGTTGAAGCTGTGTACACTGTACCATCTTGGATACCGTTCGACTCCTCTTGATGGATCTAGGGAATCTGTGTTCCGTTGCGAAGCATTTGCATTTGCATGTTGTATAGCCATGTCGTGGTAGCACTGTGTGTGTGATATATAGGTACATAGGCAAGATACGGGAGTTGTTATTGTTCCTCGGTGCACTCTACCACGGACTCGACCAGGTACTAGTGCCAGTGCCCCGTGCAACTCTGGCAAGATATTTCGATCGCAACCGGCGCTGCCACAATGCTTATGTCGGACGAGCATTGGCCACAGCATCGACCGAAACACACATAATCGGCTCTGTAGGCGATGCAGAACGTGTGTGCAGAGTATACACCAACAGTATGGATAATATGGAGAATACTCAGAATATCCGCTATCCAGCAGGTAGAAATGTGCCCGTCTCTCTCGACCCACACGATTAGGTTTGTCGTTTTTTCTACAGTAGCCGATCGGCACGCCGGCCGTTGATTGGAGGGGGAAGAGATTAACCAGTCGGCAGGGGTCCTGCCCTGCGATTGGTGGGAATCAAATCCAAGAACCAAAGACTGGAAATGACCCCAAAAAGCGATTGATCAGTCATGGACAATTATTAATATGCGTCATGTCAACGATCAATAATCAGAGAGGCGAGCTATCCAATCGGTTAACCACTTGCCTCTTTCCCGACAACCGACCAACCGTGAACCGACGGAAAGCCGGCAACGGTGCGCCACGGGCCAAGCCCTCTCCCCTTTGCCTCTTACGCACATCCCGTGTGAGTTTGGAGCAGTTTCGTGGTTCAGACCTGACCAGCCATGGTTGCTGACATTCTCGGGTAAAAGGTCGGCCATGTGGATCTGACGTCGCCAGAGATGCCAATGGGGGGTGCACGTTCCCTGGCTTTTCGTGCATGCTAGCGCTGCACACTATGGAGATGGCTTTCCGCGCAGGCCTTGACATTCGTCGGAGAATCTGCCCGAGAGACTGTCCCAGATCGATCCTAGTGAGCTCGTGAGAGCTTGTTGGGAGAGGGGAAATGTAAGACCCCGCAGCTTGTCGTTGGGAATGTCTAGGCCTGGCAGGTCCGACCCTGATCGGACGCCTGTGAAAGTCGGGAAAGTCGGGATGGCGTAGAGGAACCACTGTGCGACTTCACCCTCTGGCTCTCGCTCTCCCTCTCTTTCCTCGGCTTCTTCTGTCGGAGTAAGGTTCTGATGGTGGCGCCGGAGGGCCGTCCCTCGTTACACCGGTCGCTGTGCGACCTATCCCATCAGTCTTGTCAGTCATATCAGCTTGTCTGATCGCACCAGCCACGGGATGCACCATGCGGGCGAAGTTCGCCGAGAAGCCCAGAAGCCGTGGAACAGCGTTAGAACCGAAAACAGGGGCCGAGGAGAGCAGGGGGACACGGACGGCAGACAGAATGACGATTGTCCTGCTCACCAAGGACCCTGTCTTAAACACAATCGGCTGCTTCAGCTTGGTGTGCTCTGAGTGGGCGAGGAGGGGAATGGCATCATAAGCCATGCGGTTGGGATGTGCTAGGAGATGCGGCACTCCACCGGCACAGTCTAGACACCGCCGATCTTGCAGCCAAGTGGGAAGGGGACCCTAGGGCTTGGGTTAGGTGAGGATCCGATCGCCGATGACAGCCCCTCCGACATGATAACATGAAAAAGGGTCCTGGAGGGATGGGAATGCGCAGGTTGCACGGATCCGATACACGCATGTAGCCGAGGTGACGGGCAACTGGCTGGGAAGATAGTTTGGAGATAGTTCGGGAGTAGATGTAAAACGGGCATGCTTCCAGACGTTCCACACTTTCCAGAGTGTTCTTGCTCGCGGTGTTCCATGGTACGCAAGCCACCTTAACCATCGGAACACGACGGAGCGAATTTTTTAGAGGCAAGCGACCGATCGTCGACTCGGTCGCGTGTCGAAGGTGGCCGAAGCTGTCGAAACAAAGAAGAACCCACTAACGTTCGGATGAGGAGGCTAGCTTGGCTTGCTCTTTGTCAGGTTAGTGTCGGAGTCTTAGCACGATTTGTGTGGTGGGCGAGGTCTAGACGGCCCTCTCGCTCTTTTTCCCTCGCCTTCGACTCGACCATCGTCCCTCTCCCTCCTCCTCTCTTTTTCCTCTCGCGCTCTCTCTCTCTCTCTCTCTCTCTCTCTCTCTCTCTTTTTCTACAACCTCATCCTCACCCCTGCTATCATCTGCAGGGTTGCACCATAGCCGGGATCTCCCTGTTGGGCGCATCGTCACCGGCCCGTTTACTGATTCAGACGAGTAGTCGCGCCTTTTCCTGCCCAGCCAGCTGGCACGACCCATCCACCTGTTTGGCCCACGTCTGCGCTGGCGTTCCTTTTTCTGCTCGCCCATTGTGCTCACCTGGCCTCCATTGGACTGCCCCTCTGTCCATCCCCATCCGCGCTTTCGTCCCTGAGCTGGTCAGTTCCTGCATCACACCGCCACCTCTCATCGGGTCTCCTCCTCCGTTAGGCAATCACCACGGTGACTCGCTTCGCTCGGCACTGCTTCTGCTCGCTCGCTCATTAATTGAGCGCAGTCGCCACCCCCCGGTCCTTTTACCTACCTCCAATGCTGTTCGGCGACCACTCTCATTGCCACCAGCCCTCGCGACGCCCTGCGGCCTCGCCCTTCGCGCAATGCGTATACTGTCTCAGATCATCGACGCGCAACGAGAGTCTTTCGACGTGACGGACTCTCCCCGCCTCCCCCAATCGCCCTTGGCCGTCAATACTTCTGCGCCCGCCTCGCCGGCCATTTCCCTCTTCTCTGCGACGGGCCATAACCGCGTCTCCAGTTCGGTCTCTTCTTTGGTATCATCGTCCGGCCTGGGAAACTCCATGGACAGTCCGAGCCGGAGCCAATTGACAGGCGTTCAAGAAGAACCCTGTGCACGAGACTCGTTGGAAGATCAATATTTCCGTATGTGGACTTGCTTCCTACCCCCACATGACTCATTAGGGAAACCCTGAGACTAACACGCGACGATAGAGCACTTTGAATGTGGCACGACCACCGCCGACGAACCCTACTTCCCTATGCACCCCACTGATAGCTACGACCTGAGCGACTGTGGCATGGACATCTCTGACTCGCCTAAAAAGCGGCGATCCGATAGCTTGTCGATGATGGGCGTCTCGCGCATCGGCTCGCGCGTGTCCACCGTGTCTGCACGATGGAAGTCCAAGCGCGCCTCAGGGAGCCCCGAACGCGACATCTTCCCGGATGATCTGCGGTCTCGCGCCAACTCCGCGGCTTCATCCGCTCTAGCCAGCCCCATTATTGCGAACCCGATCACTCGCATCGACTCCCATGTCCCTCCGTCTCCCGCCCAGACAATTTTTGAGGAGCGCATGAGCAACTCTGGCACGCGCCCGATTGACATCACACAGGCAAACAGCTTCAGCCAGGATGACAATGACGCGCCGCAAGCCACGACTCCTCTGCTTCCCCCATTGCTGGGCGATGACTCAATGAGCCTGGTCACATCGCGTGTGCAGTCCCCGCTGCAGTCGCCCTCTGTCGCAGACGTGAGCGAAGCCGCATACTACGGTGTGACCTCGGATCCCCGATTCGCCACAGTGGCCGGCATCCCCTCCCCGCCACTTTCCTCCAAGCCCTCCGTGGCCTCAATGTCGCGCCCGCGCGCCAGCACCGTCCGCACCATCTCCGGCGAGCCAACACCGTTCGTTCTCTCCGACCCCAACGATGAATGGGCCAACAAGCTCGGTCACGCGAACTTCACCATCCAACCGGAGCCGTACGTGCCAGCGATCTGCGACCTAGAAAGCTTCCACCAGCTGCGCGCCGACTGGGACATGGCGCGCTGCAACTTCGCCAAGCACCTGGTTCGCACGGGCGAGCACTACGGCGTGACCTCCAACATCTACAAGCTCACTGGCGAGAAGTGGGAGTGCACCGACCACAAGTGGCGCGCGCAGCACGAAGCCCTCCTCAGCACACTTGGGTCCGTATATGGCGTCCCGCTCAGCCTGACCCAGTCCAATCTACGCCCTTGCGAGCAGGTCTGCATCCCCCGACTGCACGATAATGCCAAGTTCCCCGAAATGGGTGACGAGGATATCGTGGGGCCGATGGCTGTGTCACCGGTCGCGGAGATCGCGGGCCCATGCCGCCCCAAGTCGATGAAGAAGCGCAATTTCTTCCGCTTCTTCCAAGACCTGGTTGGCCGGTCTTGAGCTTAACCTTGCACGCTGTCTCCACCCATCTTGCTCTTCTCTTTTTCGTCCTGCTTCCGAGCGACCTCGCCTACGATAATGACCAATAGACTTACACGACTTGGCCTGTCGAAGCTGATACTTGACTTTATCAAGGAAAGTGTTGATTTGGCCAAGCTCAACCCTCACGACTAATGTTTCTTTTTTTGTTCTGATGATGACTCACGACTCACGGTCCGGACTGCGACTACTGCTCTCGCGCCGGGCCATGCCTTTCCTTTGTCTCCTTCTCTTCCGAGTCATGCTATTCTTGTTTCCCGGATTCTTGCGCCGGGGTCTGAGCATTTCTTCTGCCGGTCTTCACTCTCCAGTGCACTGCTCACTTCGCACGTGGTTTGGGGAGTCCCCCGCAGGTGGATTTGCATCTTCCCTCGGCTGGGTGCACGCCCGTCCATTCCTTCTTCATTATATACCCTCGACTTTGTTCGCATTTTACTATATCTATATCATAGCACCCGATAGACTCGACTCGTTTTGGTTCCATTTGGTTCGTTTCCAAAAACACAAAACGTTGCTTCTTGTATGTATATACTGGCGCCATCGTGCTGCTTTTACTTTACTTTGGCACATGATCGCAGAGCTTGTGCGCAATACATACCTGTCTCAAAATCATTCTCCCTTGATACGCTGTACCCTTTAGTAAACCCTGTGTTGATCCGGGGAATGCAAGGTATCTACCGGATTCAACATGGGAAATAGACTGTTCACACCGCGCGAGGACGCGACTGTGCACTCCATGTATACGCGCCCACCGCTACTCGCAATTGTAGTTGCTTCGGTTTGTCTTCATAATCCCCACTTCATCGCCATTGGGAACCATCACGCTCGTACAATGCTCTTAGGTTCCTAGAATGTTTGATTCAAAGCTAGTATCATTATCGGGAATATTTGAGAAGACCTAGCCCTCTCTGCTGAGCCATATTTAGGGCCGTTCGCAACCACGCAACTTCTCGAGCATAACAAGGTTGGTCCCGTAGAGATTCAATCGCAATTCCTAGCGCGGGGCTAATCGACAGCGGTCCGGCGAGGAGAGTTGCCTCCCCCAAAATATATTCCACGGATTGACAGACATGGTGCGCCATAGAAAGGTAGTCTCTGCGATGGCCCAGCGCAAGAAGTGAGTCGGCCGCCCCAGAAGCAGATCGTATAATAGGATGTCTGTCAATATTAAAGGAGCTCCCGGGCATGATAACGTTGTACAGATTGCAAAGGCCAGACCAAAGCATGACTCGTATCGCCCATAATAGTATGAGCGTTGTAGCACTCCCGAGATCAGCAAAGTGATAAACTACTGGGAAGGAATTGGCGAGGATTTCGGCCTCAGATGAAATATCCATTTGGGAGGGTACCGGCCAATACAGTGGATCTGTCGTGGCCTGTTGCATTTCGTAGAATATCGTATCCACCATCTCATCAATTTGCCAGCATTTCATGAATCAATTCATAAGATACGTCGGCTTGTTCCTCTGGGCTGAGATAGTGCAGTAGATGCACGCGTTGGAGAATTTCGGGGGCCTGTGCGAGGCAATCCACAACCTGGCTGAAGAAAGTCTTTGGTGTCTTTTCCCAGGGCTGATTCATCCAAGAAGAGTCAGACAGAAAACTTGTAGTGCAGCGCTCTAAGGCGTACAAAATCTAAGATCCATATTAGTAAGTGATGGGAAAGTGGATTTCAAGTGTCGTCAGAAACCACCTTGGGCGCCATCCGAAGACGTACCCCTGGAATTCGGACCCCAAGAAATAATTCATGGCCAGCACCCGAAGAGTGCGCATTGACGCCACGGGCTTGAACTAAAGCAAGAAGCCCCTCACAATGGCTGAAATATTCATCGGACCCGCCACTAGGACATTCCAAGGCCTCATAAAGACTCAAGGCCATACAGGCAGCAAGCGTCCCGTCATCGCGCACGAGATGGCGATTTCGCAAAGCACATTGCAACTGTTGAAGCCCCTGGGTGTAGAGATTATGGCTCCCTCGGATCAATGCAGGATTCTGAAACCTGTGCCCAATTGCCAAGGCCGCAACTGCCGCGCTTGAGGCTTCCAGAGCCTTCACTTCCGTTGGCAGTTCTGCTAGCACTGCTATCCACGATCGACAAGCCGACGAAGACCATTGGGTCGGAAAGCAATGTACAACAAAGGCCAGAATCAAATTATGGCGTTCGTTACGTCTCTGCATCATCCCAAAGGCCGTGCCTGTCTCGGTCATGGAGTGAGCCACCTCCCTAGCTTGGACTCGAGTAAAAAGCTGCTGACCAAAGAAGGTGGACGAAACTTTTGGGGGTCCCACCGGAACTCGTGAGAGCGCGGAGTCTGCTTCCTGTTCGGAGGGGGAAGACCGGAGAAAGACATGTTTCTTCTTGGCTGCGGGCTGCACCAATACGAAGACTCTCTTCCTCTGATACCCAGCGCACACTCGATTTGACCGAGTGCACTGCGTACAAGCTGGTTTTTGCTGATCACACTAGCTTTAGGATCAGTGGCTTGTCCACGAAGCAGACAAGATAGAGCTCGATATCTACCGCAATTTTTCGTTCTCGGCAGGTATTACAACCCTTCGATTTTCCCGCTACTCCAACCATAGCGCATCAATTCAAACAAAGGTTCCAGGTGTATTAGCGACGAAATCGAGGTGAACATATTATCCTTGTAATATAGTTATTGTCAAGGCACGGGGGCTTGAAACTTGGTGGGGACGAAAACAAGCTAAGGGGGAGGCGAGTTGGCATGGGGGGAGATATTCAATGCTGGAGAGTCCTTGAAGGGCCCACAGGCGGCACTGGTCTTAATCGGGCCATAATTTGCGTGCTATTGATGAGGCTGAGTCCCTGAGGTGGAAGGAGCATAGTGGATGACTCAAGTCCAGTGGATCCCAACCATCGAGCCTTTTACAAAGGGCCCTAACCCAAAGGGGCGTTGATCTTGCGAGCTTATCCACCTTGAGTATACCGGAGCCCCAAGATTCCAACGTAAAAGACGCCCTAGAGACAACCTCGAAGAAAACACAGCCACCTTCTCTGCATATATCTTGCCACGGGCTTTATGATCCCTAGTTGGAGAAGCAGGAAGGCTGATAGGGCACACACAATTGCTGGGTATTCGTCCGTGGAAGAACTGTAAGGCCATTTGATGGTCACGGGCTGAAATATGTAGTAGATATTGACTTCAATATAATGGTTTGTATATAGAATATGAAGCGTTCAAGTCCGATGCAATACGAAGACATAGTATGCAGTGTTGAAATGAGATATACTACAGTAGCACCCCTTTCGAGATGGGAGTGGGGAGGCTAAGGACTATGAGATGCATGCCCAGAAAACTAACCGTGACTCGCATTGAGCCCTTCAGGTCCAATACTGGCCCCACAACTTACTCTCCTCTTCGGTCCCCTTAAATTGGAACTTCACAGGTATGATATCCTCAAAGCCCTCGTCGAGAGTAGGCGCCTGGTACCTGCGCGCATAGTCTCCAAATGCGATTCCAGGGAGAGATTGTCTGGCTTCTGGGTTCTGTTGGAATGAGAGTATTAGTACTAGATCCACTAGCCGTACAGTATGGGAAGAATAGGAGCGTCACATGCCAATTCCTTGTTGGAGGCTCGGACAGCGTTATTGTGCTTGCACAACTCGGGCGGGGAGAGGAAGTGAATGCAGCGGATGGGTACGTTGAGCTCTTTGGCTAGTTCTAGCCAGAAGGCCCGGGTCTCTTGATTTGCGTTCGTGTTGTCTGCAAGGCGATTTGGTCAGTACGCAGCGAAATGTAGTGGGAGCTGGGCTGGAGCCCAGAGCGGGCAACCGTCAAGTAAGACTGACCGACGACTACGGATTTCTTGGCCTCGAGGTGCTCGCGGGCTACTTTGAGGCATTTCGGGCGCTGGGCGAGTCAATAACTAGACTTGTTATTTCCTGAGGAAGTCGTGGATACGTACTGATTTAAGGATATCTTGATTCACTCGTTCGTACCCTAGCGGCTCCAGGTTGTTCCAGAAATAGGTTGATTTGCCAGAGCCTGGGCTGCCACAAAAGATAACAAGCTCCAGAGGATGCTTGCGGGCGAACGGTTTGGGGACTGCTGTGAAGATATAGTTATTAGGTGATGATCGCAGATAAAGCTCTTGCCGCAGAGGCTGGGGAGTGACTGGCGTATTTGGCTAGCCATGGACTAAGCCGGTCACTTACCTGGCGAATCTGACTCTGATTTGATGTATGAAGCCGGGTCAAAGATCCCGGGGACTTCTTCCAGGGGCTGACCAAGGAAGAACTCCTCAGGTGTCTTAAATGTCATGCCAGCATTCATCGCGAACCCACTAAATCCACAGTCAGATCATGCGCCAATGTGAAGTCTCAGCACAACAACTTACCGATCCACAGCGGAGTGGTCTCCCGGCCGCCCTGCGGCATCGCCAACAAAGAATGAACCCTTAAGATCCACGCCCAATACGTCAAGATCGTAGTCATCCTGGAACTCACGCCACATGCCCAGACGAGGCTTTCGGTACTCCGGATCGGTAGTAGCAGCGTACACAGTCATGGGAATTTCCAATTGAGTCATGACGGCCGTCATTTTTTCTTTGAAGTTTGCCAAGCTCTTCGATTCACTGTTTCCGTGCTTGATATCTTTCTGAATCTTGATCATTTTCTGGTTCGAGAAGATCGCGATTTGGAAACTGGAAACGATAAGTCGTCAGCGTTGCGGCCGGTTCTGTCAGGTCTATAGTATAGAACGCACCCCTCCGAATGGAGCTCGCGGAGCTTCCTTGGAACCGTCGGATCCCACCACTGCCAATCTTTCGGAGATCTGGGGAAGGTATTTCCCGATATAGTCTTGATTAACGTTGAATCCTGAGCGCCATTCGGTCAGCGCAACCCGTTGGTATCACCAACGCTGCAGGGCAGTCCCAAATAAGGTGACAGTCACGCACCAAATCAAAGGATGCTATCCTGCGGGCCTGCTCTGATGCTGCCGATATACTCTTCGCAGGAACATACTTCCCAATGATCAGACTGGTGCCCAGAACCCGCCAAGTGATAGGCTCCGGCTTCTTTTGTGAAGCGGGTGTGAAAAAGGTCGCGACCGATTGCTCTGCGAGTACCGAGTCAGATCCATCCGGCTCAATTCAGAAATCATAGTGCCGGGCCTCACTGGTAATAGTTGACTCGACCTTCCGCCGGAGCGGAGGCGGGGAAATTGCTCGAGTAGGGGAGGCAGCCCGCTTGGCTCCCCCCCTCGGCCATTCTGAGAGTTCGGGTGAGGGAAAACGTCTTGCTAATGGTCTGATTCGAATGCGGAGGTGGTGTTTCTGGCTTGGAGGGGCGTTGGCGGCGTTGGCGGCAGTTTAAGGTGATTGGGACCACTCGGAGAAGCTGACGCGCCGAAACGCGCTGAAGCTTCACGAAGTCACATGGTCGACCGCCCAAAGGGGCAATTCGAAGTTACTACATCAACTAAATTCTAAAGAGGGACAGAATGGCCAGAGCAGTGGGTTCAGTCAACTGTTTGTGGGATTCTTTCTTCCTTCCATACTATTGAGTGCCGCTATAATGCCTTCGGGTTTTTTTTTTAAATGCTCTATCAAGACCAAACTGGCTGGAGGCTGCCTCTCCGGGTATCCATGACAGCCGACTAGAATACGCCCTGGTAGGGCTGATACGGAGTACATGATTCTACTTCGCTCGTGTATCCAAAGACAGACGGTCTGCCTGCTCCAGACGAACCGCCGACTTGAGTTGTTCCCGCAGCCCAAACAGATGCTGGGAGGCCGTCTTCATGGTCTCTTGATTAGTCCCATCTTGAACGGTAATTGACGCCTGCAGTACATAGCTGCCGGTCTTCTCCAATGGTTCCATGTCCTTGAGGGCAGTCAGATTTCGCCGAGGCTCCCGGGGCTCATTGTCACTAGAGGGATAGTGCAACACGCGGTGTAGGAAGATGACTATGTCATTGTGGATGAAGATATCGCCCTCGACCAGATATTCGGTCACAAAGCTGGGACGATCAAATTAGCTCGGCGATCATAAGATCGATTATCGGAGTAAGTACGCCACTCACCCGTAGCCCCACGCATTCATGGATGGCACGATGTCTCCGCGCGGCAGGGCAGCACTGGCCATCACGCGCGTGGTGATGGCCGACCGGGTGGCTGCCTCGGGAATGTCCCGGAATTCAAGCCTCCAGGGCTGCTGCTCATAGTCATAGGCAGAGGCTTCACCATCAGGAACAGCGGCATTGGGCACTGGGGCGGGCGGCTTGGATTCGTCCGTCCCCGCCATTGGGGTATCGGGGTCCGGCGCAGGCACGGACGTGGACATGGACGTGGACGCAGGCCCCAACTCCTTCTCCGAAACGGGGCCGACGACCTGCGTGTAGAACATGCTACCATTGAGCATCTTGTTCACACGTTGCAGGTCGCCCGACTGCTGCAGATCCTGGCTTCCGCCCACGCGCCCGGTGATCAGACCTGGCTTGCGGTAGGCTTTGAAGATGAGCCGACGCTCTATGGCGTGGCGAGGCTGCATGGCCGTCAGCCCAGCCAGCTGCTGGAGGAGTTCATGATGCTGGTGGACTGGAACCGAGGCGAATAGGAGAAGCTCGTGCATCTTAGGCAGGCCAGCACCGAGCACCGAGCACGACTGGGGAGTTTGATGGGTGCGGGTGAAGCCGGGATGTGTTAGTCAGGGTCCAAGCTTCGAGTGGCGCGATCCACGCTTATCAAAGAAAGGTCCAATGATTATGTGTGTCGGGAATTGGGTAATGAATAGTCCCCGTCTGGAGTGGGTTTCTGCGCTTGTGCCTGCCCCTAAGGCCGAGTTTTGCACATTCACCAGAGTCTCGACCGAGGGATCGTGCAAGAGCCTGCTGCAGTGACACCACTTCCCTAAACCTTAGGTGCCTTCCTCATGCAAAATGGGATTTTTGGAGTTTCCCTTAAGGGACGGGAAGGAATGTGTACGTTTGTCAGCGGAGCGAGTCGTGAAACCAGTAGTGTAGTCCCATCCACTCTTCCGTAGGTGGTTTGCGGGGCCCAGCTGGGGAGATCCGATCAATGGTGCGCAACCCTATAAGGAGAAAGAATGAAAGGATGGAATCGTGGCCAGGGCCAGAGGGTGATTGGTGCGCGAGATAGCTGCCACAAAGGGCAAGCAGATCCTCCGGGCGTGAAAAATTGGGGAAGCTTCACCGGAGTTGCAGGAAGGGAAAGGATCGGAGATATCGAGGGCGGGCTGCAGGGGCGGAAAATGGACGGGAATAAGGGAGTTACGACATCATCAGAAATAGGAGCTCGGTCCACCGAGGAGGGACATGTGGCATGCTTCAGACGTGCGGGGGAGGAGAAAGAGGAGGAGCGATCAGTCAGATGGTGTTTCCCGCGGCGCCGCCTTCCAATGAAGATGGTCAGCCCAGACAGCCTCAAAAGGCGCCGGCCGCGAGGAGGATGGTGTGACCCATTCTGCGGTGTAGAAGCGGGTGAATAATCCAACAACCCAAGCCATCATACTCAGTCCTCATAGTACGGAGTCCTCATACGGAGTCCTCAGAGTACTGCTAATGCTCTGAAGTACACTGTAAACTTCCTCCCACAGGAACCCGCAGAAAAGTCGGCTGGTCGGCGCCAAGTGGTCGGATCGTCCCAAAGCGGTAACGCTCCCAGCACTTACCCTTCTTATCTTCGCGTCCTGCCCTCCTTCTGTTCTTCTCCAACCACTCGGCCCCTCGACTCCCACTCTCATCACTCCAAACACTCGTCCTCCCAAGACCCCCGAAGCTACCCAGCTCGATTTCAATACCCAATTTGCAACCCATCTCTCTCTCCAGTCCGCGCTCTCTTTGCGACTGGGTCGGTTCGGATACTACCGGACCCGTTGGATTTCGCACACTGCCCCCGTGAACGTGAATTCGGCCCTTAACAACCACCTTTTTCCTCAACCACACTCACTCCCATCACAATGCGTGCTACTATCTCCCTGTACAATGCCGCCCGGACTCCCCTGATCCGCTTCGTCGGCAAGCGGTCCGTCCCCAGTATGTGAAATTCTTCCCTCCCGGAGGAGCTGCGGCGCCAATGCCAGTTCACCCCCAAAGCTAACAACCCAACCCATAGAGTCCGTTGACCACACTCCTCGTGTGCACCCCGCCTCCCCAGCCGGTGCCCTCCCCGACTCCTTCGCTGCCTACCGCGCCAAGGCTCAGCAGCACGGCCCTCTCGGCCGCGCCCAGTTCAGCAGCGGCATCGGCTCCCAACCCGGCTCTGCTCTGGGCCCCATCCGCCCCCAGTCAGGCGAATTCTTCGACCGCGCCGAGCTGCCTGCTCGTTTCGGCCGTCTGCCCTGGAGCGCGGCAGAGATCGAGGCCGTTGAGACCGGCGGTGCGAGCATGCTCGCGTAAGCCTTTTGCCGGCAGAGATTTCTGTCTCGGTTTTTTTTCTTTCTTCTCCTTGAATCTACATATACCATGAGCGACGGGGTACGATTCATCTCATGATAGAAGTTGTGTGGGGGGCAGGTCTATGATACGCTGCTGGTGTCAATGGCTTCGCCAACGGCAATTGGCACCAGTTATTTGATCTCGATTACGGGCATTACGGGCGTCTGTGGAACCGGACGCTGGGGATGATAGTTAGCTCGACGCTGCAGTTGAACTACGGCGATCACTCATTGGTGCTTTCCCGAGCTATAGTCATCTCCCTGGCCAATGATCCGATATGCGCCGAAACCACTCTTCGCTGTTTTGGCACGGGATCGTTTCATGTTGCCCTCTCTTGAACCCATTGGCTTCACCTCGGTTTTTTTCTTCTTCTTCTCGCGAACCTGGCGCTGGTGGGTGTCTTCTGGGTGTTCTATTCCTTTCTACTTTCCAGCGCAACATACAGCTCCCCAAAAGCAGTGCGATTTCTCTTTTTCTTTTTCTATAGAATCCGGACGCCGGATTTCTGGTGTGGACTCGTGTGCTTGGAGACCATTCCTTTTGGTGGTTTCACTGTGACATATTCAGCTCTGGGAGCAACTTGTTTGAATGAACAAAATCCTCTTCCACTATTTTCAATGTCCCGTATATTCTCGTATATCTTGTAGTGCTGTAGTCGGTGTATGATGTTCCCCGCACGTGCCTCTCCGACCTCCCTAGCTTCGACATTCGTACATTGTAGTCACCTCGACATCCTCGACGACACCACTCCAGCATGGTTTCCAACATTGAAACCCGATTAACCTTTCGGGAGACGGATGAGGCGGACAAGCCCATTGCCACCTTTGTGTTTTCGGAGCAGGATGCGCCTTCGAAGGGGACTGCGTCCATTGTGGGCAGGGTGGATGTGATGGTAAGCGACATCTCATTTTCAGCTTGCGTTTCCGATGCAGAACTGGCGGATGTTCAATCCAAATGGGCATTCTCATGGGCATCATACAAAGTGTACGTTGTGCCAAAGCAATTGATGTGCAAATTCATTACTCGATCATGCTGGAACTGCCACATTGCTTCAACGACATGTCTCATATCGGGCCACCTTGCGCAACGCTAAATGACCACAACAACACAATTGGTCTGATATTAACCTAAAGCATGAAACAGAATGAATCGATTGATTCCTCTTCGTGGTCCACCAGACCCATCATCACTTATCTGAGCGACGTCTTTTTGCCCTCTGGGTATCCGCAAAGTGTGAGCGATGACTATCTACCGTAAGTGCACAGGCATACACCACTGACTGTGGGATAATGTTCTTATCTGACACCAGCGCTAGGTATCAAATTTTTGTAAGTCAATTGGTGCGCGAAGCTTCTATATCGCAAAAGCCAACATCTACATTGGGTCGTCCCTCGACTTTCTGGGTTCAATCACAGACCGCACAGGTGCTAACTCAGGTCCCTCGCTCCTCCAAACAGGATTCCCTCCAAGCATTCTGCAGCTCAATAGCTGGCCTCCTCTCCTCCCGTGCCGTTCTACAAGGTACGCTATGCCGTATCAAAGAGCGCCACCTACGTCCCCCCAAAATAGGAATAATTCCAATACTAACCAGACCTAGGAGTCGGCGTCGGCAACGCGGACGCCTCCCCAACCTCGGCACTCCTCTTACACATCCTGCAAGACACATCGGGCCGTATCGCAACGATTCTTTTCGCGCACCGCGTCGGCACAGCCCTCGAGCCGGAATGCAAGACCTACCGGCTCGCTGCAGACGTGTTCAACGATGTTGCCATGATCCTAGACTGTCTGTCGCCGATGGTGCCGGCGGGAGCCATGCGCGTCTCAATTCTCAGCACGGCGGGAGTGCTGCGCGCGCTCTGCGGTGTTGCGGGTGGGAGCTCGAAGGCCAGTTTGAGCGCGCATTTTGCGAAGTGGGGAAATTTGGCGGAGCTTAATGCTGTATGTTGGAAGTCCCATAGTTTTGTTTTCTTCTGCGACTCGACCACTCAAATTGTGGTGGGATGGGGGCGTGACTAACACTTGGATAGAAAGACTCGTCGCAAGAGACGGTTATCTCGTTGGTGGGCATGCTGGTAAGATAATCTTGTTTTGTTTATACTGAAGATGAGTAGTCAGAATGCTTAACCAAAGCGGGATATAGGTTGGCTCCGTCGTTGTCTCACACGTCACAAGCTTCACCACAACTTGGGCAGCCCTATTGACCCTGCTCGCCTTACATCTCAGCCTGAATTATGCCGCCGTCCGTGCCGTCCAAATGACGAGCCTAAACCGCCAACGGGCAAATATCGTCTTCTCAGCGCTCTTCGACTCCGACGCAGATATAATTTTACACCCAGACACCCTATACCTCCAAATCCCCGCCAAGCCGAGCTCAAAAACAAGATCCAGGGCCCAAATAAGCCGTTCTCACCCCTCAACCTGGGTTATCCTCAGCCCGGCCCAAGTAGCCTCTCAAGAACGCATCTTCCACCGCGACGGCGCCTTACAATGGCTATCCACATCCACCTCCCCCACCGCCACCAAGAACTCACCCCAAGATCTCGGCAGCGCCGAAATAGGCATCTCGCTCGCATCATTCTTCACCTACGCCCGCCACCAGCCGTCCCACGACACTACGAGCACCGCCTTCCGAACGCCGATCCCAATGGCGCAACTAACAGCCCTCTTCACGCACGAGTCATACCTCCTCTTCCTGTTCCCGACATCCAGCAAGTGGCACGCGTCCATCCTCCTGAAGAAAGGGTGCAGCGTGCGCGCGCAGTTGAAAGGCTGGGCACATGCGCTCCTCGCAGCGCGTGTTCTGTCTAGTGTTCCTTCGGCCGGGCATAGTCAGGCCCAAGCTCAAGGCCAAAGTCAATCTCGGCCTAAGACGAGCCAGGAAGTGTTCGAGGTTGTGGCGCGTGTGCTAGATGTTTTGAATGAGGGGGGCCGGTTTGAGGGGTATGTAGATGCCCTGGAGGGGGGAGGATGGGAGGTTGATGTTGGGGCGATGGAGACGAGAGGAGGGCGGAGGGTAGATTGTAATTAGCGGAGGGTTGGTATGGCGGGAGATATATGGCACTTGCTATTCGAGGAACGCAGGCCTCGTCTTACCACGTAGACAAGATGTGCTCCTCGTTCGTTGTATGGACCTGCTAGCTCGCAGTGCACATAGCCCTAGGTGAGGACGGCGGCATCATACATCATACATCATGCGTCCATTCAACTCTTCCTGTCTCTTCATTACATCCTGCACCCAGCCCAAACCAGGTCCAAGGGGTTCTCATCGGCAATGGAGATCGCTTCTACTCCTACAGTACTCTCTCCATTTTACAGGTTACAGGTTACTACAGGTTACAGTCAACCAAGTCAATCGGGGTATCAAGTCTATTGAACCAAAAGCACCATCCTATCGTAGCAAGCTATCGACACAGATCCGCCATGCAAATGCAGGAGAGTGAAGAGCGTGACCAAGGAAGCACCGGAAATGAAAAGAAAAAGAACGCCGCCCATCCTATCGGTCACACGACCAACAGGCCTTTTAACGGTCTATATGACAGGAACCAAGTAGCAATGTGGTGCTCCGTTTCCGGCCCATGCGAACCAGCTAGTGGTGCGTACCGTACCACTAGCGCAGGTGGTTGGGAAGGACCAGAAGAAGAGAGGGAAAAAAAAAAAAAAAAAAAAAAAAAAAAGGAAAGGAAAGGTTAAGGCAAGGCATGAAATGCGCAATGCTCGCTCGGAGACATTGACAACGCAAACAACAGGACAAAAGTGAACTGAACCGTCAAGAGAAAAAAAAACAACGCCGGGTTCGTATGCTTTGGATGCATCGTGCTCTTATACACCGCCAATGAACGCTAACAGAATAGATTCGGATCAGGTCGGGTCATGTGAGATGCGTTTCAAATGATGAGAGATGAGATGAGAGGAAACATGGTGGGGTGGAGCATCGATGAGAAGATGCGCTAGTGATAGCAAGGATGAGGAATATATCGAGTCCTTGAGAGGAAAGTAATAACCAAAATCGGTAGGAGCGGGTCATGTCGTGATCAGTGATGGTATGATAAAAGTCGTAGTCGGCACCAGCAGGTGTCCGACAAGTGCGGCAAAATGAGCACTTTTGTGTTTTAGTCGTCCAGGCCCAGAATCTTTGGGTCCCGCGTAGCGCCTCCACTGCCGGGTCCGGGCCGCTTCTTGAAGCCCAGCTTCATGCCCATCTTCTTCCAGGGATTGTCGGTGCGCAGCTTCGGGCTGTGCAGGGCTGGATGCGGCTCGTTGGTGGGTGGCGTCGTTGGCGGGGTCATCGGCTCCTCGGCGGTCGGGCTGGACTGCGGGCTTGAGTCGTCGGTCAGCGCGACCGAGGCCGACTCGCCGGATGTGCTCAGCAGGGCGCCTGAGCCGCGCTTACCGGAGCCAGAGGCCGCGCTGAGTGAGTCGTTGGAGCGGCTGACGGACGCGAGATCCTTGGTGGAGGATTGTGGGGAGGTGCGGTTGGTGCGGGAGCGGGCGCGGTTCATGGGGTGCTCATCGAGAGAGGTGCTTGACAGGTTCATATTGTCGTCGGGGCTGAAAGGCGGTCCGCTCTGGGCCGGCATGGAGGGCGAGGTGGCGTGGCTGTTGAGAAAGGGCAGGAAGATGGACTCCTCCATCAGGTCGTGGATGCGTTTGACGGCGGAATCGAGGATGTCCGGGGTGGGCGGGGTGATCACGTCGCGGTAGCGGAGGAGGGCATCGCGAACCTCGCTGGACAAGTTGATCTCGCGCGGGGCGCCGGGCAAGATGTACGCCATGATCAGCCGCTGCCAGAGCATGCGCAGGTGTTGCGACTCCGGGGTGTGTGGGTCGGCGAGGCCGTTGGGGCCGAGGCGGGCCGCCAAGGCATCGTAGGTGTCACGGTAGCGGTTGGCCTCCATGGTAAACTCCAGCGTCTCGAGGCAATGATTCTGCGAGAGGTAGGCCATGAAGGCGGACAGGGTGTAGGGCGGGGCGGCCGTGTTGGCCAGAACCTCGTTGAGGGTCGGGCGCATGGGGCAGAAGGCTCCCGTCGAGACGGCCAGGCTGACGGGGCGGGAGCCGGACGAATCCATGTCCTCGTCGGAATCACTGTCCGAGGAGGTGGGGGACAATTCGGGAGTGGTTGATGGGGAGAAGTTCCAGAAGAAAGCGGGTGCCAGAGACTTCTTGGTGAGCATCGCGTAGAGCGTGCGGCGAGGTCCGTGGAACTTCGTTCGTTTTCTCACCGGCCCTCCCCTGGGTGCTGGACGAGGCTCCAGCTTGGACCGGAGAGAGACAGATGGAGTTATTGGGAGACAAAGCGGCACGAGAATCCCATGGGGGAGAGAAGACGAATGTAGAGGGGGAGGTAAGAAAATTAGGAGGTGGATAGGGAGGAGAGAGAGAGAGAGAGCGTGTGTAGGAAGAAGAGTATGGAGGTGAAGATAACGCAGAAGCGCCCAGAGAGGCGAGGGAATGATGGAATCGATATACTCAGTCAGCCCAGTGGCCCAGTGGCCCAGCGAAAGGGAAATAAAGGAAAAAAGGGCGCGGCTCCACTTTGGAAGCGGTTCTGGAATCATTCTGGGTCGATACCGACGTAATGGGGGCATTAATGTATTTGGTGTAATTTTGGTACGGGTCATGTCCGGAGGGTCGTGCCAGAATAGGGCATCCATGGAGTGGCCGGACTGGCGTACCCAAGTGGAGTGATCACGATGAAGAAAATGCCCTGTGGCAACGCTGAATGGTCAATCCCTGCCTCCCCTCGGACTGTGTACACCTGTTCACCTGTTCCTCAACCGCTACGGTTACAACAAGCGCCGGGCGCAAGGGATGAGCCAGCTGCCCCTGCAGGGATGGGCTCACGTCGAGACATCCACTAAATCCTTCAACCTCCACTAGGCAAGGCAAGCCCACGTCCACGGCGTTTCCAGAACCCATTCTGGCTGTTCTGGAAGAATGTGACCCCCGCGTGGCGATTGTCCTCGTGGACTCATTCCTTTTTTTTTTTTTTTCACCGTTCCTATCGTCCTATAGGAGCCTAACAGAGCCCAAGATCCTACAGGATTCCCGTCCCGCCAGAGGATCAACAGGACTGGCGGGATAAGCAAACGATCCAATCCCTAGTCCGGATAGGCCCATGCCCAGGACGGCGACGCTAACCACGCCCTTAGCCGGTCTCGGAATGGCAATCGTTCCAGAGACCCACGGTTCAGTATGGCCCCGTATGGGCCCTCGGCCAGTCACCGGCCGACTACGCCCCGCATACTTTTAATGACACGCACATCTCTTGGTCTCCTTCCCTCCCCGGGCCCCCCCCCTTGCGTATCGTGAGCTTGTCCTCCTTGGAACGTCACGTCATTCTCGCGTCCTCGGCCTTTCGTCACACGAGACCGCGCCGCTAAGCCCGAAGCAGGGCTAGCCCAGTTCGTTGGGGGTAAGGATGAGGCCCTGTCGATCGCCTTATGGAATGCTTGGAATGCGCTGTCGAAGCTTTGATAGTCGGATCGGACAGAACTGGGCCATCTTCAATCGATGGCGGACACACACCTGCATGAACAACCGACCAGGACGTACCCTCTGGGACCGATCGGCGAACCTCCTGGCATGCGGCCTGACCGCTGCCTACCGTGGAGATGTCTGAGTCGTGGTGGCAAGACCGGGCGTGATGACATAAAACTTTCACTACACATTTCGGCCGTCGGTGCCGTCGCCTCCCCGGTGAACACCTGACATCCTGCCGGTTCGTCAGCCAGCCAGTCGCTCCTCCCAGAGTACCAGAGTACCAGAGTACCAGAGTCCCAGAGTCCCAGCGTCACAGCGTCATCATTCGCCTCTTTCGCGCTTTCGCGCTCCGCCCCTGAGTACCAGGCGAAGAGTACCAGCCGAGGATCATACAGGCTAAACTCTTCATCCGACTCTCGTTGACGCAGTCGCCCGCTATATCTGTTCCGGCTGAATCGAGATCAATGACGAGCCGGGCCCCCTGCGACTTCCGCGGACCATCGCCCAAGCCTTCTAGAATTCTAGAATCCCCGCCGCAGTCTCCCTAGCGCACCCGTACCCACGATCGCCACACCCGAACATAAATTTTCTTTTTTGAGGTGGGGGGAAATCCTATCGTGGTTACTCGCGGGTACGACTAGACTTAGCCTCATTTACCCCTTGGCGCCCCCCCGTTGGCCACCGTAATAATTTACCGTACGGAGCACTCCGTACCTCAGAGGACAATCCGTGCCTGGCCACTTAGAGTTTTACGCCTGCAGGGATCGCATTTTGACTCGCCACAGGGCGCGCTGTCCCCAGAGTCTGTTTAACGACTCCACCTAGCCTCGCGATCTAGGACGGAGGACGGAGTACGCCGTCGAGTCGACAGCGACCGCATCGGGGCTCCGTGGTCGCTGGATGGTAACAGGTACCGTGTCTTGCCAAGGACAGCGCTTGCATGAGTGGGATCATGGGTGATCGCAGTGGACCAAACAGAATTTTCACTCTTGACCGTGTCTGCGCCTCCACCACGGATCCCTCCAGGATTCCGAATCACTCCTTCGGTCTGATGGGTAGTCTCCGGACGGGCACCATGCCACACGGGAATCGGTGAATCATTCCCTCGATTCCAACCGATTCCCAAGAGCGGTCTGCGACCCCCACGAGAGGCTCTCGTCCCTGGAACCTTGGGGGCTCCATTGGAGGCCTGATAAGCCTTGGTTCCGAGAGCGGAGGGCAGATGGAACAGCGATAGAATGCGAGCATGATAAGATTAGACCGATATCCAAACTGGTCCACAGTCGACTGTCTTATCCGGAGATAGGGCGAGTCTCCGAGTCGATGATGCGTCCCATGCCTGTCGTGATGAACGAGAAAAATGACTGTTTCGGAAAACGGCAGAACCGTTGTACTGTAGCATCGCTCTGCCGACGGACATCAGTTCGTCCATCCATACCTCCGGACCTTGCAGACACTACGGAGTACGTTATTACGCGTCACCCAGGAGCATATTTAGGATCACTCGGCACGACAGGCTCCGGAAAATGCGGCACGTATGAGGATCTACGTTGACTGACCGGGGTCTCAGTGATAAGGTTTACAGAGCTGGAGCTGGTGCTGGTGCTGGCGTTGCAGTCAGCAAGGTGACCCTCGCAAGTAGCAAGTCGCACGCACTAGCGGAGATTGCTGCTGCAAACGCTGATGCGCTCTCAGTGCAAAACTATATCTCAGTTAGTGTCCCGCCGTGCGAGTAGCGCACTGGTCCTGCAGGCGAGCTACAAGGCATGTCCCAAGTCGTCCGTCGGTCATACTCGTTGGGTTCGGCGCCCATTGGGGCTAGCACGCTCTCGTGGCCAGCGACCGTATTCCATTCCATCCTTCGTACGGAGTATACACTATTCGTGTTGGCGCTCCAGGACGTTTGATCCAATCCGTCCACATCACCAGCTAAGATGTCCCACGGCCAGCACCGGTGGATCAGCGCCCAGTTAGTTCCACACGGCGCGACTCGATGTTTCCTATCGAGCTCCATCTTGGTTGCATCTGGCTATCTGGGATCCTACCACTGCCCTCCACACCGGCTGCAAGCCGTCCCCACCGCCACCTCCAGCTCACCTTACAGCGTAGCACACGTCTTGAGCATGCAGCTCGGCCAAGCATATTATTTCCCCTCAGGCAACGAGTCCTCGGCAGTACAAACACACCACACACCATCTAGGGTCGGGCCGGGGATTGGCGAGACAAGCAGAGCGGGGCCACTTATCCAGTCTAGCTCCATGCAGCCAAGCCAGCCACGGCCACGTTAGCGTTGGTCCACTCACGCAGCACTCGGAGCTTCCCCCCACCCACGCCAAACCCAGTCCAGCAAGAGTCGCGCGCAGAGCACGTGTCGAGTTGGGAGTGCGCGAGTGCGAGAGCGAAAAGGAATCTCACAGCAGACCAGACCAGCTCGCTCCACAATCCCCAAGGCCCCCCGGCTCCCCAGCAAGGATTCCCCACACGCAGGATCACCGTGCATTCCCGGAGGCATCTAGAATGATGGCTCGGCTGTTAGCGCGCTGTTGATGGGGGTCTGGGAGGTGTTATCTCCCTGGTCGCTGTGCGTGCTGGTGCTGGTGCTGCGGATGCGGACGGGGTACCTTTGAAGCAGGCGCTTGTGGGGCGAAGAGAGCAGCGAGCAGCGAGCAGAGAGGCGTGATCGGTCATCGTGCACGGAACCTTAGGCACCTTAGGCGCCTGCGAGCTGTGCTCGTGTCTCGTGTCCCTCTGGCTCTTGTCTGGTCGAGCTGCTCTGGCAGTACGCATCCTCGGTCTGGACAGGATGCATCGCAATGCACGCCAGGCGGATCCTGCAGGCTAGGATTGGCGTGGAAGAAGGGAACGCATGGCATTGATCCCCCTTCAAACCACGGGGGAGATCTTCGACCTATGAAGGGTACGATGGACATTGTCATTCCTTTATTTCCGGCAGAACGCTGTGCGACTGTACGTGGAGTCCGTCGTGCCTCGTCTGCAAGGTATTATGTATGATTCCCGGCGTTGGCGGGGGACAGTGCCGGGAGTTACCTACCGCTTCTGGAATTTGTGGATGGATTCTATGGACTCGAGGATGATGGCTGGTGACACAACTTCGCGCAGCGACAGATGGCCGCAGTCACGATAAGACCGTAATTACCCGGGCCTGATCGAACGCACGAGAGTGTACGGAGTCGCGTGCATCACGAACGCCGCGCATTCCCGTCTTCCCTCATGTCGTTGGTCCTCACGACATCACGACGTGCATTTTTGGATGCCAGCGGAACTGGATCGCCCCGACGGACCCAGCACGTACCCCCGTACAGACAATGGCAAGCCACTGCCCGCGGGTCCATGACAGTACTCCGTACTCTGTACTCTGTACCGTTCATGCATACAGTAGAGCCAAGATCCAGACTCGCCCGATCGGCGGAACCCACTCTCCCGAAAGAAGAGCAACACCCGCCCACGGGATCACCACACGGTCCAGAGCTCTCCCGTTCCCATCTCCCATCGACTCCACCAGATCCAGCATGCAAACCCCTTCACCAGCTCTCCTCGCCGATCAAACAGAGCGGCAGATGCCGCAAATGACCTCATCGTCCCACCCGCCGCGCAAAATCTTGTTTCCCGGCCGAGCAGCGCGGACGCGAACCCTGTTTCACGAGGTGCTCCGGCTGGGCCGACACGGGACACCTGCTCGCAGCTAGCACTTGGTTGGCGCAGCTTATGTGATGATCAGTCAGATCAGCCACAGGATCCGTCGAAGCTCTTGTTGATCTACTTGCCCTAGTTAGGGTTAGTCGTAAATCTCCCCTCCATCGGAAATATTCACCACGGAGTGCTTGTGTTAAGTATGTACCGTAGTTTTCAGTTATACTACTTACAGCTAACGAGCTCATGAGAATCAGATCTCCTGGCTGGCTTCTCATCGAGCAATGGATGATGTCCAGAGAGCGACCGATCTCGCTCATGATCTGGAAGCGCGTATAATGACGGAAAGGGAGGTATTGACTTACGACCGAAGAATTGTAGAGGCTCCGACTCGGAAGGACCCACCGACACGTATAGGACCATAATATTAAACTACAGTGTTGCTACTGTAGGTACACTCGGTCTCAGGTGGAAGAAGGTAAGGTGAGAAAGCGGGTCGGCTCCGGTCCGGTGGGGACGGAAACACTTCCGGAGGATGAAAAAGTGCCTGAGCCGATATATCGTCGCAACGCCGCTGGGGCGGAGAATAGATCGTAAGATGAGGGTGGTCTGCCTCGAGCACGGGCGAGCACGGGCACTCCGAAGTCTTCCAGACGGTGGAGTCCGGCGGGAATGTGCGTGGGGTCAGGGGCGGGTGCTACTCGAGACATGACCGGTACAAGGCTGGGCAGCGTGCGTGAGGGACTGGGTGTAGTTCGCTTGTCAGCCCTCACGATGGAGTACCTGGGCGCCGTACTCCGCCCTCCGTGCTCCGTTGGTGCTTGTTGCGCCGTGGACCATTGAAGACATACCCACACCATCCCCTTCCCCAAACGAGCTAAATTGGCGAATGACCAATCAGTTCGGCGCTAGCGTGGTGCTCGACGCGCTACCGGGTAGCCGAAAGTGTTTGGGCGCGATGGCCCGACGGCCGAGTTACGTGATTGTTGCTTGGTGGGACTGCTTGGCGCGATCCGATTGATATCCGTGCTGGGCGGATTGTAGGTTTCAGATTGATTGGGGGTGGCGCCTAGGATTCCTTCTACCGCGGACGGAGAGACATCCGGGTGAAGTGCCCACATGGAGGCCAGATGTCGTCTTCGATGGGTGGATCTACGATGCATGGGAATCCATTTCCACATCGACCGCGTGTGGTCCCATCGCCAGGCCGGTGGAATATTGTGGCTGCTGCTACGGAGAAGATGGATATTTCACTTCAGGCACGGGGTGCGCAAACGGAGACCATTGGTCCTGATCAGACAATTGGACAATTGGTCATGATGCTCCGGTAAACATGTAACCCTTCTATTCTAGGCCGGCAAATCAGATGGCAGGGCTATTTTTTGGCCCAGACGCTGGCATCGTACTCGTCCATCAACTCGGTATACTCCGGCCCAGCGGCCGCCCAGCCTTTGATCCCGCCTTCCAGAATCAAGCTCTGCATCGACGCGTCTTGTTCCTGCGCCAAGTGGTCCGCAAACCAGTTAGCTGAGCGGGGGCCACGGCCGCTGCTAGAGCCTATTCAACGTCAATGCATGCGAGACAAATCCGACGTGGATCCCGGACTTACCGCAGTACCAGATAACATGCGTCACACCACTGTTTGCGAGAAGGGCGTACACCGCCGGAAGCGTGGGATACAGACTCTGTGCGGGCAGATTGATCGATCCCCGAATCGTGCCCCCCTGCCGGCCGTTGTGTTAGCCCATGGTACAGATACAGGGTGACTACCCTCCAGCCTGCGACCCCGAGATCGTCAGCTCAACTCGAGGACCGGCGATACTCTTACCTCAAAGTCCGTACGCCGCACATCCACCAGCACAAAGTCCTTTCCGGGCTGCTTCCCATCGCGGAACCACTGCAAAAGTTCGTGGCGGGGAAGCGACCCCGCGGCAGCGTTTGGGGCGGGATACGCCGCATGCCAAGGGGCCTCGTTCGTGCTGTTTGGCTGGACCGCCATCTCGAAATTGCAGAAATGTGATCTGTTAGAGCTGGAGTTTATGGGAAGACGATAATCTCAATTTTGCTGTTTCCCCCCAGGGTCCGTCGAGGCGTATCCCAGCCGGGTGGGCATCCACTGCCCGTCTGCGCACTGTGATTGGCTGTGCTGGGCAGACTAGTGCTGCAGCAGGTCACATGGTGGTGATGTTGGTGACATGCCACTGCGGCCGGATTGGCGGGTTGCAGCGAGCCACGGGGAGGGGAGTGGGTTTTCTCTGATAAACATCCTTGACCTGCTGGGGATCGACTGCGGGGAAGCGTGATCGCCGGCTCGGCCGGGTCTTGCTTTTTCTGTGACTATATGGTTCTGCATTAGACCAAGGCTCGCGTGTCCAGACTCGATTGATGCGGTCCTGAAACTTTGTTACTCTGTTACCTGAGAACGAGAGCTATGCCGAGACCAAAGACCACGAAGGTGGGTTGGCTCGTGTTGGAGCCGCCATGCCATTGCGTGCATTGTACTGAGTCACGTGCAGACCGATGACCTCGCACGCATCCGCAATAATCAGCGGCGTTCGAGGCGACGGCGACAAGAGTATGTTCATCATCTAGAAGAGCGAGTCCAGGAATATGAACGCGCCCGCACAGAGCAAGAACAGCAAAGCCAGATGACAATCGCGCGCCTGCAAGCCGAGAATGATGCCCTGAAACGGGTCTTCGGTCATTTGCATATCACCCTGACAAGTCCGAGTCCGCCCCTGCCGACTTCCCTAGATCATCAGTTGCGAGATTCAGGAGTACCAATGGCAGGTGCCTTCCAAACGAAGCTACGGGTCGAGAACTAACCATGCCAAAGAGCAGCCCCTACCCCAGGGTAGCATGGGACACGCAACACATACTATGGCCGTCACCGATTCCCATTAACGCACCATTCCATAGCATCGAAGGTCCTCTACCAGCCGTGTATGACTTGGATTTCCCCGAACTCAACACTGCTGACACCTTGCCACCACCACCCGCTCAGCCTCGCAGCGATGTGCAGGTGCATCCCAGACTTTCGGCGGACTCAACCTGCTGCGTCAGCGGCAGTCCGGATCCCGCCTGGGCTGGGATCGTGGACCCGGCCGAGGAGAGCACGACCCTCTGCTCTCTCGCGTATCAATGGGTGCTTCAATGCAACAAGCGGGGCATCGATCTGCATATCATTTCCATGTGGATGCAACCGGGATTTCAGACGGGGAGCGACCCGCTCGAAGGATGCAGGGTTGACAACCAGGTACTTTTGTCTGTATTGACACAGGTATCTTGAGGGGGCTTGGTGTGCAAGTACAATGTCATGGGCATCGGAAATCAGGAATGGGGATCTGCGCTTGTCCCCTGTTTCCGGATGCATACTCCCCCTCTTCTCCATCGTCATGCCATTAGGGCCTGATCTGTAGCGGAACGACGGCGTGCATAGATCTGGAAGGCGCCTGTGCACAGCAGGTCCTCACTATTCGAGTCCATCTCCCCAAGGGTGTCCACGCACCGGCCCATTCATTAAAGTCGAGCTTCAGGGCTCCTTTCCATTCATCTCCATCTGCTAGTCTCCTTGGGAGTGCCTACCATCTCTTTGTACACATTCAGGCCTTTCTGGGTACCCAGAATCCAGGTATCGGCCGACCAGGCAATCATTGGACCGTCTGGCCACGTTAGTTGGAAAAAGGGCCACACCTTTGAATCCCGCATCGAGAAACCTCTCATACTCGTGGCCCTGGCTGGCCCCGCCATACATCCGATGTACAAGGCAAGATCACTCGCCAGCAAACCACTCATAGCAACCCGGCCGGCACCAGCAAGCGGAACTTTCCCCGAACAAGATGTCGACCGACGGAACCAAGTTCACCACAGTGACTGATAATGACGACACCCGGTCTGGCGGCATTTCTTCGGGCCCAATCGAATCATACTCTTCACGCTTGCATTAGCTTGGATCTGCAGCAGGCCGCGTTCTGACCCCGGCTCGTACCGTCATATCCCCACCAATCACCTAGCTCTAGGGTCTATCTTTGCTGCCTGCAGAATCGAGCAGAGCCCACCGCTGCCTGGATCAATAGCGGTTCCGCCCTGCCGGAGTCGGACATGGTTTTGTTCTTGCATGATCCGAGGATTTTCATGTCGACTGCCCTTATCTCGCGGAGCTTGGCGACTGCAACGGGATGCCCGCAGCTCACGCCGAGATTGGCATCGTGGGGAATGGAGCGGGGTCATAGCCGAATGCCTGAGCCATTTCCTCGTTAGATGTCTCGTGTGCCGGGGAGGACTTGCCCGGCTCGGTCGCCGTAGCGAGCCTGCGCCAGGTTGTATATGTCGCTCTAGTTCATGGTATACAGTAGACGTCGACAAGGGATACAGCAGAGATGATCTGATCTGAACATTATAAGGCGCTATGGATATTGCAGCTAAGCTATTTAAGCAACCAAGCATCAACACACAACGGTTGCCACACTTCATGAACGCATGATACTAGAACATCGAATCAATCTATACTGTAGACTAAGCAAACGTTCCACAAATACCCAAATCCAGAACAACCCTAGTATTTCGTATTCCTACCAAGTCACCAATCTCACAGACTCACGGTAATCAACCCACAAGAAGCTGCTGCAGGCCTGCATTTCCGGCAGGTCACCATTGCTCTCTATGCTCACCAACCGCATAACTTCCGGCCGTCCGGCAAACCCACGCCAAGAAAACCAAACAACAGATAGCCACGTAAGGAGTCTGAACACACACACACACACACACACACAGAGAAAGAGCGTGGTAGCCCGAATCCAAAAAAATAAAGGTGGAACACAGTCCAATAAGCACGCATTAGCCCACGCCTGCAGATGCAGTACTCTGTACAACACCGGCCGAGATAAACACAGCCACGCCGATCCATCCGCCCAGGCAACGTACGTACAGTACAATTGCGCAATACGGAAAAGCGTCTGCCTAGCCACTGCACATCTCAGCCACTCAGCACAGTCTACCCAGCCCAACCGGCACCGCCAAGCAGCTCCTAACTGCGGGGTCACGGGCTGTGAGTGGCTATGGGGCGAAAGTTAATCAAAATCATGCAGTGCTGGCTCGGGGGCAAAAAGAAAAGCAAGCCGAGGCTCGAAGTGAGTGTGAGAGGCTGGAACGGGCTTTGTTCTGGTCTGGTCCTGGTCCTGGTCGTGATCTGGTCGTGATCTGGTCCTAGTCTGGTCTGGTCCTGGTCGGGGGGAGAGACCATCGACCCAATGATTTGGCATGGTTGACAAATAGATAGTTGACCGTACTGGTTACAGGTGTGACGTGCATTTACCCTTTGTACACGGAAACAACGGAAGGGACGTGGAACAAGTGGACCGGCCAGTAGACGTGACTCCTTGGGGGGTGCGCAGGGAGTGGGGCCCGTTTGGTGGTGGGTTGGGCAAGGTGGTTGGTTGGTGGGCGTGGATGACAGTGGCTCGCATCCCCCGGATTCAGTCAGTTCCAGCAGGGTGATGATGATGATGGGGGGTTGTTGCCACCCCCTGATCGATGCATGCCATTGTAGCGTGCTGATTAGGGCCGGGAAGACCGGGATATGAGGTATCTGCGGGGAGGAGCAAGGTTCATGATATCATATGAGGTCGGGGTTGTCGATGGGGAAGCAGTTGGGCTTTGGTAATGGAGCCATCTCAGCACGATTGGGAATCTGAATACGGAGAAACATCGCGTCACCAGGATAGCCTTGCACATTCTACAAGTCTGCTCTGTTCTTGTCTGTTCTTGTCTTCTGTCTAGGTGGAACACTTGATTCAACTCGCAAATGCATTAGCAGTCACCGACTGCACCTATTACGCTACAAGGCGCTTGTAAAACCGCAGAACGGGCACAGCAGAGCAGGTGAAGTGAAGAAGAGAAATCAATGCTATCTTATGCCAAACACTACCAGTAAAAACACAAAACTCGCTTCGGAAACGGAGCAAGGACACAACGACAGGAGACAATTATAGACAAGGGCAATAGATTCGACAGCGGGGGGGGTGAAACAACCAAAAGGCACTCGGGCAAGGAAGAACAAAGACGGGAAAATCAAAGGACCAGGAGAATATATGCAACATGCAAATCCTGCCTTTCTCAACAAGAGAAAGCAAGATGAATCGCATGGCCCATGCAATTAAACAACAATTCTGTGGAATCCGCGTGCAAGATGAAGGGGTGCAGTGCATGGCGAGGTCATGAGAATTCGGAATTCGCCCGAACAAGAGGAACAGTCCAAACAAAAGCGAAGACGGCATTAAAACGCCCATCCTATTCAGCAACAAGATGGGATGAAAAAAATCAAAAGAGCTGTGCTCGTGGACAATGTCGAGATTCCCGAGTCCTGGTCGAAAGTCTGTCCGTCCTTCGACGGGTCCACGCACCCATCGTCTGATTCTGCATGGCAGCAGCAAGGCCCATCCGTAGTTCTCTGCGAGTGGGAGTGTCTCGCAGGACGGACCCATATAACACAGACCCCCAGGAAAACAGCGAACGGCGCCGATGGCGTGAAAATCAACGGGGGGTCAAAAAAAGAAAAATCAACCCCCTGAATCCGCTCGCTTGCGGATAAAACGGAGAAAAATTTTGGTATTAGACGATGAGCACGCCGGATATAATGACGAGGCAAGCAAAGTGGGAAAACACAACACAGAAACTCTCACGTTCGCCGTTCCGAGCCGTAGTACCATGAAAAGAGTGATGAGACGTAACATCAATGAGAGCGAGATAGAAAGGTCGTTCCTACCCACGGTCGAACTGCAGTCTGAAGACGTCGAAATGGGAAGAGAATGGAGGATGAAAAGGACGAGAGTGAGAGAGAGACGGCCGGGCGGTCGGCGTTGCTAGCTCGGTCCGTAATAACAAACGGAGCCCAACAACCCGAAGCAAGAAGGACCTTGACGAAAGAAGCCAGAGGGATTCCCATGACGACTGGTATGAAAATCTTCGGCCGTTTTTGTTTGACGACAATGGCGGGTAGAAAGAGCAGGAGGGAAATCAGGCCGTGTTCAATCCAGAGCGTGTCGCCGCATCCATTGGTTCAGATTCAGCCTGCAATCCCGAGCGTGATGAGCAAGGCGCCACAGAAACTGGAGGAGGGGTTCACGGGCTGAGGGATCACCTACCGCAGCACAGAGCCTTCATCACTTTCTGGACGAAAGTAAGCTGCGGCTCACTGTTCCCTTGCCCGCCAACCTGCTGGCTACTCAGTCCGGGGTTCCCGGGGCTGCCCATCCGGCCGGGGAGATGAGCGTTGGAGTTCTGAAACTGGGCGTGAGTGGACGCGGCCGGGGTCGTGCCTTCCAACCCCCCGCTCTGGCGTTTCGGCGGCATGCCGGCGGCGCTTGGGCGCTCGCGCGTCTTCCCAGCTCCGGCTTTGTTGGCTGGAGACGGGGGCGGGGGCTGCGCGGCGTTTAAACGATCAGCCGTCACGCCAGGCCGTTGGCTGCTGCGAAGCTGGCTGCCTTGGATATCACGTCCCGAGGAGGTGTGGTGCTGGTTGTGGAGATGCGCCTGTGACGTGTAGGACTTGTAATCCCAGCCACGGCCGTTGTTCAACTTCATCCAGTCGTACTCTCCATCTTCCACCTCGCCGGCATTCTTGAGAGCTTGGGTCAAGATATCACGCAGGTAGTCGTAGTCAGGAGTGTCCTCGAAACCAAGGTTGCGAACGTAGCTCAAGTACTTGTTGAATTCTTCTGTGACAGGTTAGATATCGGATTCCTCAGGTGGGCAAAACCGAGATTACAGAGTGACCTACCAGGATATCCATCGCAGAGATCCTTGATCGCCGTTGTCTGCTTCTTCTCCCCAATCTTCTCATACTTCTGCTTGTTGGTGGCAGCTTTTAATCCCTGCCAAGGGAGACCGCCCCTCAAGAAGTACATGAAAACGTGTCCCAGGGCCTCCAGGTCATCCCGTCGTGATTGCTCACGGCCCAGATGTGTGTTGATGCTCATATACCGAGCGGTTCCCGACAGGGACTTGCGCTCGCGGTAGGGAATGTGCTGCTTGGTCTTGGGATCCCGATATTGCTTGGCCATGCCGAAATCAACAACATGGATGACATTAGCGGCCTTGGTCGACGGGCGGCCAATGAGGAAGTTATCCGGCTTGATATCACGGTAGATCAGGTTCTTCTCATGGATTGTTTGCACACGCGACAGCTAATAGAAGGGATGGTTAGCTGTAAGATACTTGCTTGGAATCCGAATATCACGCACCATCTGCTTGGCAACCATCACCACAGTCTTAGTCGAGAACCGGCGGTTGCAGTGGTCGAAAAGGTCCTCCAGACTAGGGCCGAGAAGGTCGATAACAAGAATGTTGTGCAGGCCCTCCTGCCCGAAGTAGTAGACATTAGGGATACCGGCTATAACATAGTTAGCATTGAACGAAAGGGGGCTAGAAACTCGCGAATTCTCGAAACACTTACGGCAACCAACCAAGATCTTGTACGTCCGGTACTCATCGCGCAGCTGGGGAGCATCACTTTTCCTAGGTTCCTGCTTCAGTCAGCATGGAGATTCCCTATCACAAAAAGGAAAGAAGGGGATCACGCACGAATTTGATGGCCACCTGCTGGTTGTTCAGAAGGTTGGTGCCCTCGAAAATAACACCGAAAGAGCCTTCACCGATCTTCTTGCCCACCCGGTAGTGGACTCCCACTACGTTTGATGAGGACGAGGCCATGGCGCAGGACTTGGAGGCTGGTCGTCTAACGAGACTTTCGATCACGGGGTGATGGCTTCAAGGACGCAGGCACGTGATAGAACGTCTGAGCGAGGCGCAGTCAGCACGAGATCAACCTATGAGCACACGAAAACGGATCGACAGGGCCAACATACACCGCAAGGATACCTGGTCGTCCCTCAAAGCGATCCCCGATACCTCAATGGGAAATGCACGGCTTGGCCGATGTACCGGTACACACAAGATCGGACGATCGAGAAATGTTCGAGTTCGTATAACGAAATCGCGGTCGGCGGTGGCAGCGATGGGAGATAAAGCAGCGATATGGACGAAATTGAGGTTCGCAAAGGTTGTTTTAAGAAGGAGGTCGATCAAGGCTCAGAACTGGGGGTTCTCAGGCGGACGAGTGCTGGCAGCGCGAGCTGAGGAGACCGGGGGCAAATGCCGAAAGACGGAGCGGGAACGAGACAGAAGCAAGAAAACACGCACCCGGAGTACTCGACTGCGAGTACGAACGGCCGTACTGAGCAGAGGGTTCCAGAACAGGGGAAGAGAGGAAGGGGATGGGGAGAGGTGAAGAGAGGGAGAAGTTGAGAGTAGGCAGAAAGCGGAGGGTATTGGGAGTGTATTTGGTACCCGTGGGCGCCTGCGGAGCGACCAGCACTGGCAATCTCGGGGGGTCACACCTCGTACGGCAATACCGAGCGTTGGGAACCGGGGCCTTGTGCGGGTGATCTCTCCCGTCCTCACAAAGTGAGTAACTCTTCGAGTCCTTTCGGCCTAAATATACCTCTACCTACCTCTATTCCACGGTCGGCCAATTGTGCGCCTGACCTAGCTACGCGAGAGACTCTTTATTTACGTGTACCGAATGACTCGACCCGACGGGCTTCCCCGGGCGCCCGTGAAACGCCCACCCTAGGATACGGTAACAGGGCCGACGGTATTGGACCTGTGTAGCGCCTCGCCCAGCAGGCCAGCTTCCGTGGGTGCATGGGGTTGGTATTTTCATTACCTCTTGGGAACAGCCAATCTGCAGCTGTGATCCCGCAGGCACGGCCACCGAGCCGGACAGCCTAAGGTTTAACTAGGTTAAACTAGGTTGACGAGCTTGGGATTGTCGAGCCCGAACGGAGCTCTGATAGGGCCGTATGGAGCCCATACTACTGATGGAGCATCGCCGCCGTAAGATACCCCGTTTTTCCCTGCCTGGTTTTTTTCCCTCCCCCTTTACCGCTCAGGGGAGGTTATCTAGACTCGTCCTGGAATGCGCTTAAGCAAGCGGTAAAATTACGGGACTTGGCATGACGGCCCGGGTTCCGTCCGCTCTCAAGTATGTAATTTAAGCTAGGAAGTCAGTGATCTCTTACCCTAGAAATCGGGAGATAATTAGCCGCTGGTCAGCCCGTTGGTAGCAGGAACCATAGCAGTCTAAAATGGAAAAGGCCAAGCCAATATATGTAATGTATCCTGGCCCTGACAGCTGCTTATTTATTGCAGATGCCGGCGTGTCCTCAAGCAAATGGGTTCACCATCCGTCGCAGAGTTGACACGTCTTCGACCCACCGGGGGCGATCGCTAGACACTACTACACCGTACGCTATCGCAGGAGACGGTGAGGGAGAGTTGTGTGAGAGAGGGGCCAGCGATGGGCATTTCAAAGATGAGCTTTTTAATGAGGTCCGCGTGGGCCCAATGTTCCCGCTAGGATGTTTAGATGCTAACAACGAGAAAGGGCAACAATGGTGATACAAGGTCCGAAGCTCCGAAGCTCCCAGGGGCAGGACAGAGAGGCCTAAGGGTCCAGTATATGACCTATTCGTCATCGGCAACATCCTCGGCTTCACTGCCGAGCTCCTGCTGAACCAGATCCTCCTCGTCCCCGTCGCTGACCTGGTCGGCGTCCTCATGGAATTCGTCTTCATCTGAATCTTCATCACTGCTGGAACCACTGCCATCACTACCATCATCGCTACCCGGATCGTAGTCCTCTTCATCCTCATCCTCCAGGTCTTCAAGCTCTTGTTGAGCTTTCTGCAGCTCACTTTCTTCTTCAACACCAGCACCCTCGGCGGCGGCAGCGCCATCCTCAGTCTTATTGCCGCCATTAACATTGTACTTCTTCGCGCGCCGTGCCTCCGCCAAACTAGCATCCTGGAGGCCGTGCCGCTTAATGTAGGTGTCAATGCCGCTAAAGTCGGCCTGATCGATCATCGAGAACTCGATTTCTTGTGTGTCGTCCTCGGTGCCACCACTCGGACGAGCCAAGATGTTCAGATTAAAGGTGCGCTGAAGGACCGAGGTATACGACACAGACTCGATAGTGTCAAAGGAGAAGAACAGCAGAGGTTTCTTGAACGCGAACAAAATTCCGGATGAGAGAAGGAAAAGGTATCCTAGAAATAAAGGGGTCAGTCCATGTGAGGCGGAATTGAGTGGGCCATTCAGGATGGCGCTCTCAGAAAATGTAGAACATACCTTCTTTGCTGCCTCGGAAGGCCTTGATATGGTATGCTTTCTCGCTCTTGCGGTGCGCCTCGGGCATCGCGCTCACAAACTGCCTCTCATCGGGTCGCACGACACTGGTGGTAGTCAAATTATCGTTCAAGATCTTTCGGATGAGACCCTCAGCAGTCTCGCCAGCGTTATTCCCAATCTGCTGCCCTGATCCGGTAAATGCGGCCTTGGCTGGGCCATCGGCCACTGTGAAGACCATAGCTTCGAAAGCGGTGACTCCTTCAGGCGGCGGCGTGATTCCATCGGCATACTCGGGAAGGATACAAAAATTGAACTGCTTCTGCGTCTTCTCGGGAACGGGGAGGCACAAGGCATGGCCTAGTTATGAGCAAAGAACATTAGCACCTCTCCTCGAGCACGGAACCCCGCTTGAAAGAAAAAAGAATCGAAGACTCACGGATTCGATCCATAGGAACTCCAAACTCGATCTCCTTTGTAGCCTGGTTCCTTGCACGCAGGTATCTGCTCCCGGCAGTGACCTCGAGCGTGAGCTTCTTGCGCTGCGGCACAGCGAACGAAATATCCTGCACATAGAACTGGGCGGACGCATCACCCTTCACGTCAACCGGCGCCTGCGCCGTAACCCCCGGCTCTCCATTCTGTATCTTGCGCTTCTTCGCGGCAGGGCCGTCGCTGGGCGGCGGCACGATCGGGAGGGAAGCAGTATTCGCAGTCCTGGCCAGCAGGGAGCAGGTATATCGAGCAAGATCCTCAAATAAAGGTGCATGCTGCGGTGTGGTTCCTAAACGATCAAATCGAGGGGCTGGTCAGTGGGTATTCGGCAGCGTTGATCGCAATCGTTTGGGAGTGCGTAGATGCGCCGTTGGCTGGGTACGCACCGATCGCATCGTAAACTCGTTTCTTGAGTGAGGGCTCGGTCGCGAACGCCTCTTCGATGGCGATAATCGGCATGCCCGCCGAATTGATTGCAGCGAATGCCATGGTGACTGCAGCTGCCCAGGGGAGGGAAAGCAGTGCAGAGAAGAGTAGCTGACAGGGAGTTAGAAAATGGTCGCGGATGCGGCACCGCCCACCTCTCTCCCTGCGGCCCGCGTAATAGACTGGAAATGATAAGACCCTACATTCGCCACAGTCCTACCCCGTAGACAAGTCTGCTATGAATGGGAAATCCAGAGAGAAAAAAAGCGCCCTAAGGGAATAAAATTGGTCGCATATGCCAGACTAGAATACAGTTGAAATTTATACACATCGCTATCTTGAAAAAGAAACAGCCCTTCCCTCTCACTCTATCTTCGCTTCTCCTAGGCAGTCTGCTTGGCCTTGCCCGCACCCTTGCTCGGCTTGGAAGCCACATTCTGGCTCAAGAAGCGCTCGATGAAATTGGTTGTCTCCGGATCCATGATCATGTTGCCGTCCTCATCCATTCTCGCCTTTCTCGCTTGGATGCTCTGTTCGACCTTCATCTTCTTCAATTCACCGGCCGGCGTCAACAAAGCCTGGCTGGCAAGGTATTCCTGGCGGTACTCATCCATAATCTTCTCCCTCACGTATTCCTCGTCGTGGCGTGTTCGGAATCTGGAGTATTTGTTGCGCAGTTCGTCCATGATGGTGGAGGGGAATGGCGGGTTGTCCAAAGAAGGCACCCAGGTGTTTTCTTCCACTTCCATTCGTGTTGTATCGTATTGCCCTTCTTCATGGTTGGGTTCCTCCTCAATGGGCCAAGGGATGGCGACGTTCAGACCGGAGACATATCGAGTGAATTTAGGGAGTTTGCTCCAAGAGGGCTGCTCGAGGTAAGGCTTTCCAGCGTAGGCGTGTTGTACAATGTAGTCTTTAGTGTTGGCACCGTCGGTCATCGCGAAGACAAGTCGAACGTCATCCATCGGCACTGGCAGGGGCTGCGTCACAACGTCGGTTTTGATTCCATATGAAGCCTTCGCCCATTCCGGAGCAGTGATATCGGCCTAAAGAAAGAAATCTCAGTGTTAACGACTTGGAACGACTTGGTTCGGAAGAAAAGCACTAGTTCCAATTGGAACAACGGCAAGATACACGGTGCTTCAGTCGTACCTCATTGATGTTCTTGATCAGCAGAGTCTCATTGTCTTCATTGACCTGAGTGACCTCCTCAATCTTGCCCTGGTCACGACCACGAATAATGCAAACACGATCTCCCGGTGCGAAGAGGATGTGCTTTCGGCGCCGGTGTTGCGGAAGGCGTGGAGCGTGCATCAGAGCAGGATCGAGGGCACCGTAGGTCGTAGCTGCTAATCCAGAATCACGCTTCGGGGCAAGCTCTCCCTTCTGCCAGTCCTCCCAGCGAGCGGTTCTAGCTGCCTTGAGGTTGTCAATCAAGGCCCGGTTGTAGTCCTTTCGCGTCCGAATCGTGTCCTTGCGATCCACCAATGCCTCCTGTTTCTTGGCCCGGAAGAGCTTCTTTTGGGCCTGCTTCCTGGCCGAGGCCGTCCTCTGGATGACCTTCTGCATTTTTGGCGAATGGGGGGCCAACAATGGCTAGGTGTTGCTGCTCGTCAACTCCGTAAATGTTGGACGGAAAATTGCGGCCGCATCTCGAGCCACGTGACGTGGTGCCTTTCGGGATATTATGTAATCTCTAGCTATTTTTCGCTGTCTACCCTACTTGAAGTTACTCCGCATCGCTCTTCGGGAACTTGCTGGTAATTGTTATTGCTAATTATTATTGTCATTTTATTTGACAGGTGGGGTGCGTGATATAGCACAGCATACGGAGGAGCTGGCAAGAGGGTCTCCATGAATGTGGATCAGCAAATCGCGGAATATATACCTACCTATCGCCTGCCATGTTGGGTCATATGTATGCCCACCAACCACACTACTTCCAACATATTCGAATAGATTTAGGTATGTCATTGGGTTACCAGGTCACCACTCTTCCTTTAAAGCCTGCATGACATTTCGTACTAGAGCTTGCGGAGGAAGTCAGAGGAAGATTACTATCTATGAACTGTTGTCTCTGTCTCTATTATCCGAAGTGCATGATATTAAAGATGTATCTATAGAAGACCTTGATCAATATTACGCTAATTTTCACCGTTCGGAGGCACATCTATAAAAGATTGGTCCCCGCCAAGCAGCATAAGATTATCCCAATATCTCTCATAAAAACCGACCACGTTGTTCGAGCCTGCGAACCGTGTTTCGGTGGAAGCGGGAGGGGGATCCTGTCCCAGATAAAACGTAGCATCCATCAGATCGATATCTAACGGGCTGTACTCAGGATCTCGGGTTGTTGAAGCGATCTGGTACTCGAGTGTCGGAGGCGTAGAGAGGAGTGGAGTTGCTGGAGAGAAAATCTCAGCCATGAAGATATGAAAGAGGCATTGCAAATTGAGAGATTGACTTACAGTGAATGGGGGCATCACTTGTAGCTTGAATACCTGTGCTCAGGTTCAAAGGCTGTGTTTGCTCCGGCGTTGCGCCATGTTGCAGGTGGTTATTTGTGACTTTTAGCATGATATGAAGAGCCTCGGCCGTCTTTGATGCCTCTTTGGATTGATGACGCAAATGGTTCCAAATGCTGTAAGCTCTCTCAATTTCCAGCGAGAGTTGTCTTCTTTCCTCCAAAATTGCCTGTCGCTGGTCGTGTGATAGATTCTGTTTCAGATCGTAGCGAGACTGGCAGGATATTTCCAAGGAAAGGATCATTGCAGCGGAGCGGAAATGCACGGATACGATAGGCGAGAAGAAGAATGACGTGTAGCCCAATTGGCCACCTGAGCTACCTGCATCGAAAATATCGGACTGGTGCTGGAGTACTGTCCGCGCGGCCTCCAAGCAATCCCGTCGGGAATATGCATATTCTGGATCCAGACGGTGCTGCGCGAGATAACGACGATGTAGGTCGCAACGTGCTTTCTGATACATCAGGTTGATATTGTAGCGGTCCATAATTGTGTTTGGCGAGTCTGCAATTGATTCACTCAGTGGACGGAATTTCAGAGGAGTAGGGATGATTTTGTGAAGCTCTTTGAGTTTCCCATCTAGGCGAAGAACTTCTTGGTAAGGAACACCCTTGACGGAACAAACTTTGCTGATAATTTCGGCGTCAGCAAACATGATTCTGTTGAGGACTACTGGGAAGAGGATGGCAGTCTTCTCAGTCGATGGCCTGGCACGAGGCAGAGTTGTCGCTGCCGGATCCAGGTCCTCATCTCTCAAATTCCGGGGCTCCTCAGTGTCAGATTGAGTCTGGACTGTAGTCGGTGGAAGACCAGCTTGAAGAGAGATATAATGATCGAGTAGAGAAAGATACGTCCAGACCCGGCGGCGCATTTCTCCATCAAAGACTGAAATCTCGGGGTAGTGTTTTGAGTCTCTGTGATATCCAGCATGCACTGCTAATCGTGTGGCTAGGCTTAGAAGGACTGAGGGACCCAGATGATTATCTGTGCTTCTGAGGATCTCCATTGCCACGTTTAAGATGAGAGTCTCCATCGTGTATCGACCTGGGGATGTGTAATTGGACATAACAAGGCATTGCGACGCAAGTCGTTGATACTCGGCAAAAGTTTCGGCGAGACCACCGTCTGCTCGACCAGACGTGGAAAATAACTGCAGCCCTGCACCTGCACACAGAATGCTGAAAAGATATGCCAACCAGTTTATGGAGACATCTTCGGGGCTTTTCCAGAATTCAGCATACTAAATGGGGATGTGGTGAGTACTGAGAATGTTGGGCGTAGACGGTTTGATATTTACCTCTTTTGTGAATGTGGGTACGTGCATGAGAACTGAGATCGATCAACTTCATTCAAATAATCTGATAAGTCCTTCGAGACATCTCACCTAGAGTAGACTCTTTCGAGTTCAAATATAGAGAGATTAATCGGTCGGCAACTGGCCGAGCAGGTACCGCAGTGAGCAGATCAGCCTTAGTGGCAGAGATTGTATTGCCGAAGAAAAGTACTGGCCCTGAGATCTCTGGAGCAGGCGATTCCTCGGTTTGTTCTTCAAAATATGAGTCATCGGCCAGTTGAAGGTATTCCTTCACCTCCGTGATCTGCTTGGCCACTTAACCTGATGTTTGAAGCCTAATCGGGCTGAGAAACAACCTACCTCGCTCAAGACTGCTTGCCAATGGGTTGGGTCCATGTATCGCGTCCCATCCTGATCGACTACCATATTTCCAGTAAAGACTTTTTCGGTTCCTGGCTGATCTTGGCCTGTACTTGGACCAGGTTGGGGTTGTGAGATCTTAGGTATGAAGTGCTGGTAATGTTGCCCCGCGACATTTGGCCCTTGAGGCTGAACATTGGCCGTAGATAGCTGCTCGATGCGTGTTTGTATCTCGTACAAATGATCTTGAATTCCTTGTGATTGCTTTCGGGTCAACCCTTGGGGCCCAGTAAAATGGCACATGTACGTCCTATTGTGCTTAATGCAATTGTCGCAAGGCTGTTGCCGATTACATTTCAATCTAGGCTTACAGTCAGCCTTGGATAGAGTCTCGTTGCCAAAATTATGCATTGGAGATAGGTTTATATCACGGTGAAGGGCACAGAGGGGCATATTAGGGGAGTGATAGAGGCAGGGAAAGTAACATCACAAGCAAGGTGACTTATCAGCGGGAGGCACGGACTTCTTCTGTCGACACAAAGCGCAGGATAGCTTTGGCCTCGGCTTTCTTATTTTCGCCGGTTGGGTGCTTGGTTTTGAATTAGCATTTAAATACACGGATTCCATTTTGATACGTCGAGTGACTGCGACATAAGTCCGTGTGGGAAACGGGGATCAACTGTTGTGGGAACCTCAACTCCTCTTGCCCCCCCGGCGGAGCTTGTTCTTACATAAATACAGTCTAACCTTAAGAGGCTAGATCGCGGGTCGCATAATCAAAGAACCAATAGTAGACCGTGGAGATTCTCTTAGCGCCGGACATATTCACGCTAGTGTCGGATTTGCCAAAAATCTCCAGGTGATAAGCATCGGACAAAAGTATTACGCCCTTGAATGATCGCCGGAGGTTTGCTGCTTTGTAGATCAGCGCCGGGCTATATATAACAGTCGGAGAGCATGCGTCCTAGGTAATCATATATTACCTTCTCATCTCAATCAATATATTCAAAAGTTCCTAACTAGCAATCCCCTGGTTCAAAAGAAATTCCACTTTCCGACCTTTCGGCCGTTCGATCTATAGGATTTTCTGTTTCCCAATGATGACGACCTTCCTGTCCACGCGGTCAAGGGCCTCTCAAATCTCTCTTGAAAATCGTCCCCATCAGACCTTATTCAGCTGGGATTCTTCAGCAGACACCACCACATCACCTGGTGGCCTCACAGCCCCCGCTGAGCTCGCTTCAACTTGGTCCGGTTTCATGCCCCCGACCAATCCCCAAGACAGTATTATCGCAACCGAAGTTTCACAAACATCATTATCCACGAATATATGCGCAATGGATCCAGTATTACTAGAAAGCATTGCATTCAGCCTGGAACAGTTTCCTCCAGCGCCAAGCTCTTCAGACATCGGCTATTCCCTAGACGGCCTGTCTAACAATATGGGCACAAATACTCTACACGCACTTCCTGATGTGGCCATGTCGGCTTCACATAGCCAGGGGAGTTTCATCATCGATAACGATCCTATTTCCTCTTTCGATACGGGCGCATACTATTCGTCTCTGTCGTCTCATGCGGATGAGTTATTGGCTGTTCAACGAGGACAGCAATATGCTTCCTCCCCTGACTACGCCACATCACTCAGTGCACCAGAACCCCAATGTCTCCGACCAACGTCACGAGAAAATAGAGCCACCGACGAGTCAGCTAGGAGCGTCTCGCCTTCCTCTCAAGATTCAGATGGAGACCGTGTAATAGAGAAGCGGCGGCGAAACAAATTAGCCGCTCGCAGATTACGCCAGAGGAGAACGGATCAGATGTCCGATCTTGAGTCAAGATTGGAAGAAGTGACAAAGGAAAGAGATGATTTGCGATTGAAGGCTGCCAAATGGGAGGGAGAAGTAATGGTATTAAGGCAATTGCTGGGCAGAAGACCGTGAAATGAAGATGAATGACTGAATACCCACATTGGGAGGCGTTTATGCATGTACATTACAGATACCATCAAGCCAGAGAAACGGTTTGGCATCGTGACCTCTTCAAACCCCCAAATTCCTTCCACGTATAGCTGTGACCTAATTACCTTAGCCGCTCCATTACTTTAAGCAAATCAGCCATTAATCCCATTGCTGTGATCTCACCACCGCCCCCACCACCCTGCAGGACTAGTGGGCTGGCAGCATATCGCTTGCTATAAATGCTCACGATCTGACTGCCGTGTAGATTGGCGAGCGGACTGCCCTTCTCAACATGCTCAAGGCCAACCTTGATGGCCCGAGTGGACACGTTAATGCTGCCGACATAGCGCAAGACCTTGTCCTGCTTCCGCGCCGCATCCTTAGCCATATTCATCCGATCGTCGTAATTCGGCAACCGCGTCATAAATTCCGTAATGCCATCAGCCGAGGACGATAGTGACGAGAGCTCAGCGGGGATGAGGGATTCAACGGGAAACGAATCGGGACGAGCCACCTCAACACCGATGACCCGGGCCAGAATTGTTAGCTTTCGTGCGAAATCAAGTCCATTTAGATCATCGCGAGGGTCCGGTTCCGTGTGTCCAATTTCTTTGGCGTGGGAGACAAGGGAACTCCACTGCGCATCTGACGAGCCATATCCGGGCATGAATTGACCCAGGAGAAGCGAGAGTGTTCCCGAAAGAACGCCTTCAATTCGAATGATTTCATCTCCCGTCGCTATCAAGTCCCTGAGTGTTGATAGGACCGGCAGAGTTCCGCCCACCGTACACTGATGGTAGATAAGAGAATTTCCTTGAACGGCAGATGCAAAAATATCATTGAATAACGAGATGTCCTCCGAGAACCCCTTTTTGTTGGGTGTCACTACTGACACGCCTTGTCTGAGAAACATAGGGTAGGCTTTTGCCAGGATGAGGTCGGATGTGTTGTCCACTAGGATCGCCCTGCCTGGGGCGGATGCGAGGAACTTTGCTATCTCAGCTGGTAGCAAGGCATTTGATTGAATCAGTGAGGAAGATCTCGTAGCAGTCTCCCAGTCAGTGAAAGGGATACATGGCGAATACGCTGGCGTTGGGGAAGAAAGTGTTCGTGTTGAGCGGGCGAGCAGAACGAGCCTCGGCGGGTCTCGCAGTCGGCCAAGCTGTTCTAAAAAGGCATTGCCAACGCCGCCGAGGCCTTTCCCTCACTGTTAGACATGAATTTTGAGTAGTGTTGGCAAAATTTGCGAGAGGCGCCATACCGACGATGCCCAGATAAATAGGTTGGGTCATGTTCAGCGAGTTTCGCTTGTTGGGGTGGGCCCGAAGTGGCAGTATTGCAAGTCTGGATCAGGGGTTCGAGAATAGTCGGAACTATAACCCCGAATTCTGATTATGAAGCACATTCAAAAAATATCGCCTGGGGATATGATTTGATTAGCAGCCTGGCAGGGTAGGTTCATCCGCTTGATGACTCACCAAGTGGTAGGTCCCGGGGCAGCACTACCTACCCCAGCCAGGTAAGCCGTGCCCAAGCAAGTCTGCCGCAGTTTTTGATCGTCAACTTTGCTCTTCTGTCACATTTCATCTCCTTGCCTAAAAAGGTGGAATTGAGTGCGCAGACAAGACGTGAAAAAAGGTTTAGTTCGGTCAAGGCAAACCCAGAATCATCGTGACGAATTGGGTCGAATTCTCAGCACGAAGAAAGGCCTTCAAAAGAAGCCATCTCAAAAGAAGCCATGAGTCCCATCTCAATGTCGTTTACACTATGGTATAGCCTGCCTTACGAGGCTGAATTTGCTGGGCACACCAGTTATTTTGAAGCGAGATCATCCAGCTCAAAGTCTTTTGCTGTCAAGTTCATGCAAATGAATTGCAGTTCCACATACAACGGTATTCTTCACATATGCAAGTATCAATCGTACTTATCTTGCGCCTATATAATTATTTAGCACCTCCGGTAATCAAATCCTTCAGCATCTCAGAAGCATGCCCGTGAATAGTGATATGGGTATCCCCCTCGTACTCTCTCAAGACTGCATGGGGGATACGCTCTGCAATATAACGCCCCGGCGCGACGGGGACATTAACGTCTTTCGTACCATACCACAAGCGGATGTTCTTGAGGGTAATCTCCCCGGGGTCAAATCCCCAGTCTGAAGTCAACAGTTGTCCATCCTGCATGTTGGGGTCTGCACCCTGCTTAAAACCCTCCCTAACACCGGCCACCATGATAGCCATTTTGTCTGGGTGTCTCTCTATGAATTCCAGATCAGCGGGCGGCTTGTTACGAGTCTGGGATTTCATCAATTCCTCCAGTTTGGTTGGATCAGGATCCTGCGCCGGCTTCACGATCTGGGAATTCATGAAATACCGAGTCAGACACGGCGCGTAAGCCACAATGTTGAGGATCACTCGGAGGTCAAGTGTCGCACCCTGCGTACCTAACGTCCAAGGGCCAGGTCCAGACACGACACCGACTCCGAGCAACTCATTCTCTGCTGGCTCGTGTGCGCATGCCAGTGCGTGAGGCCCGCCAGCAGAAACGCCAAGAATATAGTAGCGCTCGAGCTTCAGATGCCGCACCAGCTCTCGCACATCGGCGGGCCATTCCAGAAGCTTGCGGTTCGGACGCGGGGAGGACAGACCAAGTCCTGGGCGATCGATACCGATAATGCGGACGTTCAACTCGCACGCCGAAGGATGAAATACAGCACTCTCCAGTCGGCAGCCCGGCCAACCATGGAACGCTAGAACTGGGGTAGCGTCATCGTAGAGAGATCCAAACTCCGCAAAGCCCAGCACACGACCATCGGACAGCGGGATAGATTGCTTATGCCGGGCTTGCAGCGATGGGTCCTGGAGAACGGAGACGCTAGCCATGCTTGTCGATCGGGGGTACCTGTGGCTTTCGCTAGCGGGAGGAGCGCTTGCGACAGAAATAGGCCAAGGCGAAAGAAACGGCACAAGGCCAATCGATGTGTTCGACAATCAGTTATGAGCAGTCGCTTCGCCTCGGGCTCACGGAGCGACGACGCGCCCCAGGGATGTGCAAGAAAGTAGCGCCGGACGAAAGCAAAGCGCTAAACTGATGGCTCGTATCCACTCTCGAAGCGCAGTCGCACAGCGAGCCTGTCTGCCGAAAGAACCGTCTTGCATCTCTGTCCAGACGCCGATAGGGAAGATAAAGCCAAGAAGACTCATCGATGAGTCCCCTCTCGCGACGTTTTTGGCCCCCCCCCTAAGTTATGGATCCTATTTTTAGTTAGCTATCGTGGAGACGCGGCTACGACTCCTTTCAGGAGATGTGCTGCTCATTGCTTCCCCACTCCATGCCTTCCGACGGATTAGGCCCAGGCCAAGTGCAGGGATGTACGTTTCAGGTGGATCTGGATAGTCAGAAAGCAGTACGAGGGGCGCAAGTGATTGGATAGGAGAAAGGGGAAGGGGGGCCATATCGGCAGATATGCGTCGTCGGCTGATGGAATGGAGTTGGGACTTCTTTCCCTTTCCCCCCCCCCCCCCCCCCTTTTTTTAATAGCTTGTCTGTTGTGAATGTCTCGTGTCTACCCATGCTCATTGGGTTCGATTCAACAGACCAGGGCGAAGTTGGGATGATCCGGGGGCTCAACCGCGCACAACGACACTAAACCCCGTAGCTAGTGCTCATTTAGAGCTCTCCGAAGTGTGTCATAAGGAATGGAGCTGCAGGAAACTATGGGAGGGATCTTCACTGGAAAGCTGAGTCAAGCATCTGAGAGTGCAGGCAACCACACCCACCTACGATGTGTGCGCTTTAATGTTGTAGGCTGTTTTCCGAAGGTGCACAATCGTTGATATCCGGCGTATACAGTACGGAGCATTGATATCCGCAGTACTCAAGATGGAGGGGGGAAAGATTAGACATGGTGCCAATGTTAGGCAATAATAATCGGTACATGATTGCATCTGCTCAAGGTTATGTGCACGCACTGATATACGGCATTGGCATGCATGCCGCCGAGAAAAGTAGGTACTTGGATAGGCGCAGTGTGTACCTTGGTCGCCGCTAGCGTTATGTTGAGAAGGTACAGTATCTCCGATAGTTATCGACCATCTCGAGTCGGCGTTCTGTCTTGATACGTCCTGCCACGGGCTTGTGTTGCCCTTAAACCCTTCCTGGTTACAATCCATCGCCCTCGGAAAGCAGCTGACTTGACTCAAATGCGGCACAGGCCAACTACTTGGGAACTCGGTACACCGCAGTCGTTATCTTGGTTAAAAGTAATCGTCGTGAAGCTCTGTACCAATGGGTCGAGTAAGACACGGGAGTTTGAATCCCGGGGCGCAGACAGGCGGACCGCTAGGCGGACCGTACCAACGGTACGGAGAGTACGGAGTATTTTACTACGAGTCTGCCTAGGCATTTTTCACCCGGGTTAAGGGAGGCAGAACATCCACCGATCTGAAGTGTAGAGGAGAGTTTGTAACTGCATTGGATGCAGAGCTCGGTGCGACCATTTGAAACCCCTTTTTGAGCTCCCCTATGATATCAGATTCTCCGATCATTGCATAACTCTTCACCGTAACACAGCCACCGTGGCTGTGTATTCGGGAAGGACAAAGGGTGGGCCTCGGATCCTGTGACATAGATACAGACTTGCTCAGCCACACGTAACCTGCTAGGGCTGGTGGTGTAACGGTATTACGGTATAGCGGGAGGAGAGAGTGCCCAGAGATCTCTTCACGGTCGCGGGCCCAGCCTAGGCCCCCAGTAGCTGAAAGGGCCCAGAGAAGAGGATAAGCTAGGTACTTATCAGGCGCGCAAGCAGAGGTCAGCTAGGTGGTACATCTCCGTAGAGTGCCTTCGAAGTCCATTCAACGTACCTGGGGACTCCTCGGAGTATCTGTAACAAAGCCAGGGGAAGGCCGCAAGAGAACCACACACGAGACCCCCCCCCAAAATACCAAGTTCGGTACCTAGTAATACCCCCTGGGACATCGGCAGCACCAGCAGCGGAAGGACCACAACAAATAATGGAGAACTGAGATGATTACGATACTTCCAAAATACGGAGAGATACCGGCGGTACTGCCACCGCCCAGGCAGTCTGGCCTCTATCGTCTCCTCCACCTCCCCAGTCATCAAATATTCTTCTCATCCACCATCGGAAATCTACTTGCTTCCATCCTCTCATTCTCTGGCTTTTGCAATCTGCACTAGCTAGCTTTTCTCCCTTCAGTCTTTTCGTGAACCCACGCCGTTGCGCCCCTTCCAATCACAGTACGCCAAAACCCTTCTCCCTGAGGCCTCCTCACTCCCCCCCCCGGAAGCCTGAACTTGTCCCTTTTCCCAAGCCTACTCACAGACTGGCCTGCCTGTCCACCCTCCCCTCCCTGCTCACTGACTTCCCCATACACGGCTCTATTTCGCTCATTCAAATCCTCCTCTGTCCTAAAATTCCTTATCACTGCTGACTCTCTTTCCTGCTCGTCAAGATGGCCGAGATCCGTCGCAAGCTCGTCATCGTCGGTGATGGTGCCTGTGGTAAGACCTGTCTGCTCATGTAAGTACTCTGACATCAGAACTGCCCTCTCCGCATCCCCCCTTGATTCCTTTCGACCAGCGAACTGATAGAACTCTCCTTGCAGCGTTTTCTCGAAGGGCACCTTCCCTGAGGTGAGCCTCCCTCTAGGCTCCGAAGCCCCCGATCTACCCCCATCTCCTATCTCTTCCCCTCTTTCCCCCCCCCCCCCCCCCCCCCGGTCTCACTGCCAACCGATATTCCTTATCCCCTCCGAACGCGCGTCTATCCGGCTGCAGAGCACGTTTCTGACATTTTCCGCTCCAGGTGTACGTTCCCACTGTCTTCGAGAACTACGTCGCCGATGTCGAGGTTGATGGCAAGCACGTTGAGCTTGCTCTTTGGGATACGGCTGGCCAAGAAGATTACGATCGCCTCCGTCCTTTGTCATACCCCGACTCGCACGTTATCCTGATCTGTTTCGCCGTCGACTCCCCCGATTCGCTTGACAACGTCCAGGAGAAGGTGGGTGCCTGAAACTCTAAATTCCCCTAGGAGCACACAACTTGCTTCTTCGCTGTTGGAGCCATGCTGATGCGGTCTCACAGTGGATTTCCGAGGTCCTCCACTTCTGCCAGGGCCTCCCCATTATTCTGGTTGGCTGCAAGAAGGATCTGCGTCACGACCCCAAGACCATTGAGGAGCTGCACAAGACCTCCCAGAGCCCCGTCACCGCTGAGCAGGTACGTCCTTCCTAGTAGCACTAATTGCACTCCTCCTAGGGCGTCTTCAGCTAATCCTCTGCAACAGGGTGAGGAGATCCGCAAGAAGATCGGTGCCTACAAGTACCTCGAGTGCTCTGCCCGTACCAACGAGGGTGTCCGCGAGGTCTTCGAGGCCGCTACCCGCGCGGCCCTTCTGAAGGTCGGCAAGTCCAAGCCCGGCAAGAAGGGCAAGTGCTCGATCCTGTAAACTACCCCGGCCGTCCGGCGCTCCGGCTCGAGCGAAACAAGCCGATCAACAGCCGAGATTCGGGATCAATTTGGATAATTCTGATTCCCCCTGGAGAGATAAAAGAGGTTCAAATGGCGGAAAAGTTGCAGGAGCCTGCATACGCGAATCGTGGATAATGTCGAATCAGGGCACCTTGAAGTCGTGGAATTTTCCCTTGTCGTTTCCCTCAATTTGCGCTTCTCCTCCCCAATTTCCACCCGCAATCTCCCCTGCCGTTGGTTGCAGACCTCTTGTGTTTCTCTTTTTGCCTTGATTTTGCAGAATTTGTCTTGTCTAGGGAGGCGTTGTCTTCATCATAACCTTGTGGGCTTTTCTCTTTTCCCCTTGTCACGTCTTCCTTCCCCTACGCCCTATTTCCCCTTTTTTTCAAACTTCAATCCGAGTCCGTGGACCTGGATTACAATGACAAAGTGCTACAATTTACTCTTGTGGCAGTATAAATCTTTAAATAACAACCCCGACAGGACCTCCCAACCTCCTCCCTTGGATGTAGCGCGGTATTGGGCACTGTTTGTGTATTGCGTTTCTCGGGCGCCAACTTTTCCTTCCTATCTCCATTGTGTGATGATAGATGATTCTCGTTTCCCTCTTGGATGTTTCTCCCTGCGAAGAGTTTGACTCAATCTCTGATTTCCAGGTTGTTTACTCTATTGACATCCCTGCTAGAGCTAATACATGGAACGGCTTTGGGTTTTGTCGTCGCATATTTGGTCGAGTTCTAGTAAAAATATTTATCCTACGTAGGGCAGGCATAGCATCGATGTATATACTAGGTTAGAAGGAAAAAGTCTCTATTACCTAGCATCAAGGGTTACCTAGGTACTTTTCATTTCTAAATAGAATCAGTCATCGATATAGGAGCGAGATTGTCCATTATCCCTATTATTCCTGGAATATGGTACTCTTACTCATGACAAAAGCATATATACAATACAGCCCCAACCATACCTCTAGGTAGGCTGCGAAGTTACATAAGACTAGATATATATCCACATTCACGATAGCATACCCCCGTCATGTTCACCGATTCAAACTCAAAAGTCCATCAATATACCGCCTCGCATCCATCCCCAGCCCCTCCACCAACTTCGACGGCGTAGTATCAGCTCGCGAAGCAAGTTTCGATGAGGACGCACCGCCCAGATCCCGGAAGAACCGCGCGCCGCTGCTCATGCGGGCATGGCCTGACGGAGAAACGGAGTCGCTTGCTTTGCGGACGAGAAACCCTTCTTGTGGTTCTGGGACCGGCTCGGGTGGAGACGGAGACGGGGAAGGGCTGGGGTGCTGATTGTCCTCGGTTAGGGCGGAGAGCGCTGCTGATGAGGATGCGGAGGAGAGGGCATGCGGCCGGTTCGAGGGGGTAGTTGGGTGTGGAATGCGGACCCAGACGATCCACCACCCGCGGCTGGTTTTGCAGGTGCGTTCTAGTTCCTGCGGGCGGGAGCGGGTGTCGATGTATGTGCTTAGGAGGCGCTGGTGGATGGCGAGACTCTCTACGCGGGACCAGGATGGGCCGTTTGGTAGGCGAGATGGGGAGGGCGAGGGGGTTCTTGGGGCGCGAGATGGCTTGGTTGGATGAATGGGGGCTCCGAGACCAGGGATGTTGGGGATGGAGGAGCGGATGGTCAGGTTTGTGGGGTCGTAGACTATGTCGTAGACGGGCTGTAGGCGTGTGGAGAACCGTTTGCTTGGATCACTGCCTATCTCGGACACGGGCATGCGGGATGCGGCGGTTGTGGGGGACGTTGATGATAGAAGAGGCCTTTGAAGAGGACCTAATTGGTGGTGGATGCTTGAGTAGAGTGCTGGAGATGATAGAGCTGGCGTTTCCGGGTCAAACAGAAATGTGAACATGAAGGGTTTATGCTATTAGAATGGTTAGTCAGTTGAAATTGATATTGAGTAGATGGGAAGGGCCTACCACGTATATCACTGCCTGAAGCTTCTTCAAACTTCCGCTTGGGGTGCCCTTCAGTCGAACATGAATGGTTCGATGGACGATCCGACTCTTGGGTCGTCCGACATCTGTCGCAGGCTCTGGACTCCCTTCTTCTAGATCATCCAATGTGTCCAAGTCATCGCGAGGACCCAGCACGAAACGACCGGGGACATTACTTTTCGTCTCATTCCGGAGCCTATCACCTTGAAACCTCTGGGCCGATGGAGACTGTATGTTGTTTGATGAGTGCTCATTCTGCTGTGCATTGCCCGTAATAGATTGACCTGGCTGTGCCGGAGAATCATCAGGAAGTGGTGAAGATGGTGAAGAAGCAGGTGCCGACTTGTTGGGAAAACTCCACGCCGAGCCATATCCAAGAGTGAGGTACTTCATCACCGTGTCAGTCCCGAAGGCCGCCTTGTCCGCTTGTTGATCATTGCTAGACGGCGAGCTTCCGCCACCTCCTTCTGGGGTATTTTCTTTTTGGGAGTGTGGGAGTGGCTGTGGCGAGGCCATGACAAGAGGACGAGGTATACCTGGGGTATGTGTCCTTTCCGGCGTGGCAGGTTGGCCAGCAGCCTGTGCTCGTTGTTTCCGCGGTTTTCGTCGGCGTAGCGAGGTCGGGTCCCGCCCGATTCCATACGCAGTGTCGCCATAGCGGTATATCCATTCCATCCAGTGGGATACACGAGCCAGAGAAGGCCGGTCGATAGCACCAGCCCCAGAAAAGACGACACCATCTGCTGGCCGAGGATCATTGTCCGCCCCCAGCCATGCATCTTCGCTATTTGACTTGGGTGCCGATGGAGACTCTTCGGCTTGTCTGGGTAGATCGCCAAACCTAGAGACAACCAGGTCCAGCAGGCCGTCCGTCCTGGCGATGAAATCCTCAAGCACTTCTCTTTCACCACTGCCCCATTCCTCCTCTCCAACGCCAATGCCCAGCTCCCCGCCTGCCGCGAGCTTGATTCCATTATAGATCTCTACAATGGGGTTTCCGGTCAAGAGCAATTCCCAATTCCATGTGAATTTCCCCCAGAATCGTTCAAGGAAGAGACAGAGTGAAGATCTTCCAACGTGATTATAGAGCTCGGTTAAGGAAAAATCGTGGAGCAGTAGGAAAATGGAGTGTGCGCGTCGCAGTTGCTGAATGAGTAATTGCGGCGGTCCCATTTCTCTCGCCGAATATTGGAACGAAGGGGAGCTTGGATTGTCGCTCGATGAGTGCTGGGCCAGATCGGCGGGTAACCGGGTAAGATCGATAGACTGGCATCCATTTGAGTTACGAGTCCTACGATGAGGGATCCTGGCTGTACTTACTGCAACAATCCACCAGTCCTTCTCCAACTCGAGTACAATGACCCGCACCTTCTCAGTCTCGATATACTCAAGTGGTTTGCCAGAGGAGAAGTTACTGTGCACAGTAGTCATGAGCCTCGGTCTGCGGGGGTTGAGAAAGTGATTCCAACCTGGCAAAGCTCACCATCCCCTGCGCCAGGCCTATCTGGCGCAACATCTCATTCTTGTCATCCTTGAACGGGGTGCTGCCCTGCTCAGCAGCACCCAGATCCTCTGCTCGTTGTAGGAAGTCGGATCTCGAGATGTAGAACACGATCTGGTCCTCAAAGGTCTCGTCGGTGGGGCCGAGGGTTGGGTTATAGATGGCGAGATAGGAGAGCTGCGCGGGAATCACCGAGTCAGTCTCTGTTTCAGGCATTGCATCATAAGTGATCGCAGCTAGCCCTCAGCGATGGCAGAGCAGCTATGGGGTAATTGCGTCGCGGCGAAGTTGCGAGTCCGATGATGTTGACATCACGTGGCGGATTTATCGATAAGTCGGATAAGTGGGTAAGTCCGCGAGCTGCCAGGTGCGCTTCCTCTCAGCTGGCTAGGAAGTCCAAAATGTTCGTGGTTCGAGGGACCAGTGCCTTTGTGTTCTGCAGGTACTCTGCAGCTTCTTCTGCTCGATGGTGCGCATACCGGGGCTATGCGACTCGTTCCTTTGATCCTCTCCGCATTCTCTTTTGCGGCTCCGACGAATTTAGTATTGCCTCCTTGAAAGCTCTCCATAGCTACCGTTTGAAACATCCCGACCAGATTTCCTCTATAGATGTGGTTTGTCGGCCAGGGAAACGGGTTGGAAGAGGACTGAAGAAGATCCGCGAGAGTTAGTGACACGCTCTAGGGTGTTAATTGAAGTTGCATTGAAATCAAACTCACGATTCTACCAGTGCCTATCAAGGAGGCTGCAACCGCTTTGTCGCTTCCGATTCACGAAATCGACACATTCACAGGATGGACAGTAAGTAGAATTTGTGATTTATTGGCTCATATTACTAACTATTCCAGCCTCCGGTGACTCCGAATGGTCCTATCAATTTAATTATTGCTGTATCCTTTGGGCTATTCGTGCCTCCACGGATTTTGAACGCCGCAAAGTATGGAGGCTTAAACGTGCACCCATCGCTGCTACCAGAGTATGTACTTGTACTATTCGACTGACCCCTGCTAAAAGAAACTCAACTGACACCGGTTTCCTAGCTTTCGTGGCCCCGCACCGTTACACCACACTCTCTTGGCCGGAAGGACTAAGACTGGCGTGACGCTTCAGACATTGCACCACAAAGACTTCGACCATGGAACAATTTTGTCTCAAACACCAGCTCCTGGCTTCGATATTCCCAACTCCGAATTTTGTACTGTTCCCGAATTGACTAGTCTGGTTTCGGTGAAAGGTGCGGAACTACTCTTTGACGGCATCCAGAACGGACTATTTGTGCCTCCTGTCAAGGAGGCAGGATGGCTCTCTGCAGATAACAACAAAAATCTCATCCATGCTGCCAAGATCAAGCCAGAAGATCGACATGTTGACTGGGCAAATTGGACGCTGGTCGACTTCAACCGACGCTATCGTGTGCTTGGAAACCTGTGGAGCAAAGCACTTGTAGCAAGCAATTCAGCAGATGGAGCGCTCCCGTTCCAGCAGAAGCGCGTGATCCTCACTGATGTCGAAGAAGTGGATCCTCCAATTGGATCTGATATCTTTGCGATTGTTCCGGGCTTGCCATTCGCGAACGCTCCTCATCCGGTGGAGCCAAAGAAAAACAGGGCACTTTATGTGTTAACCAAAGACGGCAAGGCACTTCGTATCAACCAAATGAAAGTGGAGGGAGAACCAGCCGCCGAGGGACTTCGAGCTGCAATTAAGGCGCGCATGTTTGGTGATCGGTCCTTCCAGTCTGTTGGCACCGAGTTTACTCCTTTCCGCAACCCCCTTGCATGATCCGGATGCAACATGTATGATATGGTTTTGTTCTATCAACCTGATACCCATTTTAATCACAAAAGCTCAACTGCAATTTTTAATCTCTAGAACCCAGAAAATTCTCCTCACTTATGCCAAAACTCTCCTTGGCTATTCTTAAATCCGGAACCCGGAATCTGCTCTGGTCAGTCATGTAACGACCTAGTGTGAAGTGGGAATCCATACCGATCTGGACTGTTTGACCAGTCATGGAGGTGTTCTTTGAAATAGAGAGATATGCATCCGCAGTATCCTCAACCTCGGGCTACAGGAGACTAGTTAGAATTTGACTCAAATGAAAAGGCTATGAGTGCCTACTGCGTGCTTGAGCACGGTCTTGTCCGTCCAGCCCTTGATCTGCTCCGGAGAGAAGCGCTGACCCTGTGATGGGGTTAGTTTGACTCTATTGCTTCAAGGTTGTTTGACATATCACATACCCATTCAGTAAGCAGGAGACCAGGCAAAACAGCGTTGACCCGGACTTTGGAGCCCTGAGACTGCGCCAGGCACTTCATGAGATGTATTGCTATGATAGTGCGGTTAGTGATGCGTTTTTTTTGCCGAACAGAGAGAGCTGGCTTACCCGCCGACTTGGTCACGGCATATGGCAAACTGCTACCGCTAGGAGTAACACCCTGGGAAGAAGAGTCAATGTAAGTGTCCAAAAATACCAATAGTCACATATGAGGACTTACCGCAGTCGAAGAGGTGATAATAAAGACACCGCCTTCAGGGTTGGCATTGAATGTAGGTAAAGCAGCCTTGAAAAGGTGGAAGCTGCTCTTGACATTGATTGACCAGCACTAGATATAGATCAGCATTGAATCAAAAGGCCTGGCTCAGTAAAAAAAAGTCACCTTGTCCCAGTCCTCATCATCCATTGCATCGAGGTCGCCGAAGTTGGTCATCTTTGTCCATCCCTGTTGAGACATTAGTACTTTGCAAAGAAATCTGCATATAACCAATGCAAGATATCCTACAGCATTTGAAATAATGACGTCGATGCCTCCCAGTTGTTCAATAGTGGTCTTCACAGTATTGATGCAATCGCTCTGGCTGCCCGCATCCTGTTTCAAAAGTGACATTAGCGACGTCAATCGCTCGAAGAGTAATAGAGCTGACTCCAGCTCTCACGTTGATGGAGTCTCATACACCCTGGACAACAATTGTCTTCACGTTATACTTGGCTGCAAGATCCGAAGCGACTTTATCGGCAGTCTCCTTGTTCGACGCATAGTTAATGGCGACATTGCTTCCTTCGGCGGCGAATTTCTGAGCGATGAGAGCACCAAGACCTCTATCAAATTTCCATTAGCCCCTGACCGGCAAACATACGACGGTCTTCCTTCCCCCGCAGGGAAAACAGTCATACCGCGAGCCACCGGTAATCAGGACATTCCGGCCGAGCAGAGAGTAGGGCATGGTGAATGGATCGGGTCGGTAGGTTGTGGTTTCAAAGAAAGAGCCTTAGTATGACTCGGCGGAAAAGGGACGATTGCTCAAGATAAGACGGATCGCTTCCGTGAGGGGGAATGCGGGGTTAGATGTGCGATGCCACTAAGACGCGCGAGGCGTGGTGGATCATCAGGTACAGGGGGGATTGGGACGGGATTGTTCCCATGCTTGCAATTTCCCTCTACTTTGAGTGCAAACCATCAATGCCTCTGGAAAATAGCCCCGAAGCCCTTGCTGTTATAATATACGCTCTTTGTAGGCACCGAGGGAGAGGGTTACTCGTAGCGCCCCTAGATAAGACGGACTCATCATCCCCACATCGGGATGTGGAGGGAGAACCACTGCGGCATGGGGCTTCGGCGAGAAGGCCGAAGGATTATTGAGTAAAAACTTATATTTTTTCTGTGTTCAGACAATTGAAGGATTTAAGTCAAACTATGCATGTGCTTCGTTTTAAGAGATGCCCATGGGCCAAAGTTCAAACAACAACCCAGCCACAGTATTCTGTTTTCTTCATTCCCCACCACGCGCGGCGTCCAGCCAGAGTAGGCCATTGAACGAGGAATTTGTCGGCAACAGGAAGAAGTAAAAATCCAGAGGTGCTTAATGTCCGGACACGTGCCCACGATTCTACATAAACAGTCCGCAGCCTCGATATGTCCGGCTTGGAGCCGCGGCCAGCGGCCCAGCGGGAGACAAAGATGAAGGATCGAATAAGCTTCGCTGCGAGTAACATGCACACAGCGACGGCAGGGCCATTGGTAATAATGATATCAGGGTGAGAGGATTGAAACTGCGCAGGAAGTCGGCGCTGGGCTGGGTGTCGTCCTCCCAGAACGAGAAGGCAAGCCCAGAAGCACCGGAGTGTAGAATAGGGTGCGGTCAAGTATGACTGATGTACCCGTCGTGCCCGGGGAATGGTGACAATATTGTAGTCCTTCGCGTTATTGTCGCTCTCTTCCTTTCGCGCAAATGTATCTTCGAATTCAACGGCCTTTTGAGCGCTGAGGGCATCTCCGGAGCTCACGACGTAGGTTCGGTAGGTGTAGATGGAGGATTTGAAAGTATTCTCCAACATGTAGAGCATCTCAGCTGTGTGGCCACCGCTACCTAGCACGACAAGGATGTGAACGGGCGTGCCCCTTTGGCGGACTTTGGGGATCGACGCATTCTGGGAGATTGCCAGAGAGAGCAGGATGGTCTGGATAGACAAACGTCAGTTCGAGGGAGAAGCTCATTATTATTAGGAAACCTCCAGTCAGACACACAAGGACGACAAGAAAACCAATTGCAGCTAGAGGGGCCAGAATCTTTAAGGAAAGTTCGCAGAGGATCTGCGGAGTCGACGCCATGATGTCACTGCGGCTGCGCGAGGATGGTCAGGAGTGTAAGGCGTTGCTATGGAGAAGAAGGCATGGTTGGATGAGGAAGGAGCCAGACCAGAAGAAGTCAGGGAAAGGACAGCCTTTATTTCTCCAAACTTTCGTTGTGGAAGTCTTTCTTTGGGGGAACATTGACGCTGTCGCGTCTGCGCAACACGTGCCCCAAGTGGTCTGTGCAGCCCGGGGTTTATTTTCTGGGCGCTTTCCGATCGTTATCCTCCCTTCATACCGCGACAACACCCGTCTTTCCCTTCGTGCTTTTGCTTCGCAACTCCCGATGTTAATATGTCATGGCGCTCTTTTCCAAACGTCTGACCTGCTTTTACTGTGGGCGGCGCGCTTCCCAGCCCGTTCGGGGGCCGGTTCGCAAATTCCACTGTGAACATTGCGAGGCCGATAACTATCTGGACCAGGTGCGCGCATGAGACACGGGCCAACCCTTGAGAGAACATGCTAATGAGGTGTCGTTGACCATGATAGAATGGAGATATAACAGATCCTCCGGCGGAGGACACAAATCGCACGATCCCGGGACCCGACGTCTCGAGCCCGCCCTTCGGATCGACTGATTTCACAAAATCCAATTTGTTTTGTTCGCAATGTATCCGCAACCAGCATTTGTTTCGAACATCACTAGCCGGCTATTTCCCGCCTTCCGATGACCCAACAGATGCCGAATATGAGCGCGGCTACGAGCAGTTCAAGAAAGGCCTCGAGAATACATACCCCCAAGTGTGCGATGCCTGCGAGCCCGGTGTTCGGGAAGAAATTCGTAAGAAGGGGTACGAAGCTAAGGCAGACCATCTTCGGCGCATGATGGACCGCAGCAGAGCAAGCAAGGCCTTAAGGCAGGTTAGGGATCGCAGTTGGCAAAGCTTGCTTGTTTACGCCGGCGCCTTTGGATACTGGACCAGTGTTGGTGGCCAGCTTGCATGGGATGTGACGAGTGCTTTGACCAGCCCTTATCCACAGTACGATCTCGGAATGTCTTCAGACGAGCCGGTGTCTGTCTTGTCTTGTGTGAGGCAGGCAGTTCTGGTGCGACGTCTTCCAAGTGAATGCTCGTTTGACCTGGCCCCTACAGCAGGCATTGCGCTTGTCGCGGGGAGTCTCTCGCTATGGTGGAACCCGAAGTTGCGCATGAAGATAGAGGGGAAAAACGGCAGATTTGCTGGTCTTGGGGAGTACTACCAGGTGCAGCTCATTGCACTTGTAGCGCGGTGTGTTTTCTGGGCACTGCTCAAGGACCCATCTGCAAGCGGACTTGAGCCTACATTACCTCCCGCCTTGCATATTTTTATGATCATTTTCACACTCCTGTCAGTCGTGATTTCACGTCGTGTTGTTGATTACAATACCCGGCCGCTGGTGGATTGGTCCGACGACTCTTGGGAGAAGCCCTTACGAAGCGCCGGAGCATCTCCTATACCCGGCTCCAGTGCCTCAAGGTCTAATATCACACCGAGGCCCGCCAGCGGCCCAATCGACCAGCGGTTTCCATTGGAGAGATTGACATCAGATTTGCCTTCAGCGAGAAAGTCGCCAGCATTTCCTACTCCTCCCCCAGAGGTTGACGAAATGGAATGGACTCCATCAGCCCCTCAGCCAATCATTCAACCGACAGTGAGTGTCTACCAGCGGAACCAGCCTTCGGTTTTTGATGGTCCTTCCCCGTTCACTGGCAGCCTTCCTGCCGCTCCTAAGCCACCAGCGTGGAATCTCCGCGCTCAAACCTCGACAAAGCCAATTGAGCAGGTCGTTCAACCAAACCCATTCCACAAAAGTCCATCCAACCCACCAAAGCAGTGGCAGGCGAATCCCTTAAGCCCGGAACCGGCGTTTAGGCCCCCGACATTCTTTCCAACGAGTGATTTCAATACATCAACTGGGTTGGAAACATTATTCGAGCGTGCCTTCGACATTGACCCTGAAGGGCCTAAGAGGGATTGGAATCAATCAACACCCAACCAGAAACCATACATCCGTCCTTCAAGCCGTCTTGTGTTTCAGTATCTTCGACTAGCGCTGTTGTTGGGATCCATGGCCGCCTGGACCTTCTCCCAGAATCACCAACTTTCAATTCCAGGAAATTACATCGAAGCTTGTGCTTTAGGTAGTGCAAGTCTGATTGCGGGCTTCGCTCTTTTGGAAGCGGTGAAAAGGCCTCTGGCTCATTGGAATGGCATGGAAATCTTAGTCTATATTACCGAGCTTGCAGCAGCTGTTCACCTCGGAGCTCATCTGCCACAAGCATCCTACGAACGAGAATACTTTGACCGCTATGGCAAACTGCTACTCATATTCATGGCTGTTCAGGAAGGCCTTGGAGTGTTGGCCTCCTACAAAGAGGCGTCAACTCTCGCGTACCCTGAAAATCATCAATCGAACAGCCCCATGATACAACAGCCTGTGTCACCGCAACCCTCGTCACCGCAACTGTCGTCACCACATCAAAATGCTCTTGCTTGGTCTCCAACCCATTCCACGTTCAGCAGCCCTCCTCCAGCTCCTTCCATCGCATCGCATTCAGAAGCCCCCTCCCTTTCTTTTGCAACCACTGCTGGCAGCTCCAGCTTCTCTTCAGGATTATCTTCTACATTGCCACCTGCTCCAAATTACCGGATCCCTTCTTCCCAGAGTGTGAATCGCTTTCCGTCACCTCGGAAAAACCCACACAGCTTCACGATGAGTGATCTCCGAGAGAACGACCCACCTTCAGACTATGATCAAGACTCGGATAATGAGACTGTGGCCACTACCGCTACGACCATGACCGATGCTACCACCCGCAACATTCGGTACGGCCGATATCCCAACTCGGAGTACAATTCTCCCTTTTCTCCAAGAAGAAACGAACTTGGTCCTGGTATTGGCGGTCTGAGTTTGGAGGACCGTCCTGCTTCTCGGCGCATTACACGCAGCCAAACACAGCAAGGCCTAATGGGGCGAAGGCTCCCAGGTCGTGCTATCAGATGATGTTGACTTTGCTTTTTCGTTTCGGTCCCTACTATTGCGTTCACTTCTTTTATACTTTGCAGACTGTCATGTTCCCTTTGGATTTCGTCCATTTCTGTCCCGGGTTTTTTGCATACGCAGTTAGCAATGAGCCACGCTACTCCGTGATTTCCTTTTGATATCGTTAATGGGTGGTCGGTTTCAGCGAGCACCATGTTCATAGCGGCGGCGGTTATATTGTTTTCTTTTCATCTTTGTTGTTGCCATCTGCGAGACCGCTATACATACCTGGCTCAGAGATTATGATGTAAATGATTTGACGACATGAGCTATGTGAATATATTCAATTTTACAAATATATCCGATAAAACCCACTTTGAAAAGTGTATGAGCTAGGAGATGTCTTCTGCGGACCGCAGTTCAACTACGTTAAGGAACATCTACAAGCACCGACAATTCAGGACCAGGAATGAATTTCCTCAACGGTAATCATGAAGTGACTGAGTTCAAGGCCTTCAAGATTTACGCTTTCGCTAAGAGATTCATCACATTAGTATCGTTTCATACCAGGCTCCATGTCAGCCAAGTGTGTAGAACGATCAACACGCTCGACATGAGATTCAGCAGCATTATATGCTCCATCCACAGTGGCAGTGCCCTGCTCCGGATCAGCAGTCTTTTGCTGGACCAATTGAGTAACTCCGAAGAGATCATCCATCTTCTCGAGAGACAATCCTGGAGAAAGACTGGTTAGCATAAATTGTCCCTCAAACGGTGCATACGTATCGGCTCAATGAGGAACTCACCCTTTGTCTCTGGAATAAAGAACCAGACAAAGAAAAACATGGAGAAGCAGAAGCATGCGAAGATAATGTATGTCCTGAATATCCCAGGGTTTGACGTCAGCAATCACCACACCTGTAACCTCTCAAGATTTGTGCAACTCACCCATAACCATTTGCACCGACAGTAGTTAACATGACGGGCACCGCCCTAGCCACAACAAAGTTGAACAGCCACTGTGTCGCCGCGCCAAAAGCAACATTCAGAGACCGGAGTCGGGCACTTGGGATCTCGGAGACATAGATCCAGCAGACTGGACCCCAGCCAAACTGGAAGAAAGACGCAAACAGGAAGATGCAGACCAGGGCGACGTAGCCAGCCGGAATTACAGGTGCACCCTGGACTGGAGGTGCGATGCGAACGTACAAACCAATGTACAGCATTGCCATTCCTTGGGCTATGGATGTCCAGAGAAGCGAACGGCGGCGACCGAGGGAGTCAGCGACGAAGATGAGGAAGACGCCACAGCTGACCATTTTCACAATGCCGTAAACGCCTGTTGCGAAGAGGTTGGTTGCATTACCAACAATTCCCAACTGTTCCAGAAATGTTAGGAAATTTATCATGTTCTCGCTTCACAGGAAATGCTTGTAGCGAATGGGCTCACGTTTTTAACTGTATGCTGTTAACTTCCATGTCATGTTAAATTCCACGTCGGAGGCAACTTACAAATCTGAGGACTATAGTAGTTGATAGCGTTTGTACCGGTCATCTGCTGGCAGACCATCAAGAAGATCGAAATCATCGCGCGGTTTCGGTTACCAGCGATCAGCCACATCTCCTTCATGAGGTCCCAGAATCCTGAGCCACTGATGAGAGCACGCTCCTGTTCCAGTTGTGTCGCGATAGCTTGGAACTCCTCTTCCACATATGGGTGGTCAGGGGGAAGCGCTCGAACTGTAGACAAAGTGGCACGCGCTTCTTCCCAGCGGTCCTGCTTGGCCAACCAGCGGGGCGATTCGTTGCAGAAGAGCATTCCGGCGAACAGAAGGACTGCTGGAAGGCCTTGCATTGCCAGAGGGATAATGTACATAGACGAGCCTGTCAGATGCAGCAGAGAGCCATAGTTGATCCAGAAAGCAAGCATGATACCTGCGGTGATAAAGAGTTGATATAGACCGGTGAGCCCACCGCGAATCGCGCGGGGTGCGTTTTCTGCGACGTAGAGGGGATTGATCATTGAGGCCGAGCCAACTCCAAAGCCAGTAATGAGACTATGTGTTCGCATCATCAGTATATGCCTTTTCATTAGAACAAAGCCGAAGAAACATGTCGACCCTACCGTCCAATGTACATGGCTTCGAGATGACCACTGGCGGCAGTCTGCATTATGACACCAACAACTCCAAGCAGCGCGGCACCGAGAAGGGAATATCTTCTCCCCCATCGATCGGCGGCGGGGGAAGCTATCAGGGCCCCAAAGAAGCACCCCGCTTGAAGGGTGGAGACGATATTGGCAGATAAATTGGCCTGCGCAGTCTTGCTAAGGCCCTCCAGGCCGTACTTGCTGGATTAGAAAAATCCATTAGCTTGCTCTAGGGTCAATGGAGAGAATATTGCGGGTAAAAGGATGCTTACGCCTGAAACGGTGGCATGGTGAGAACCCCGCCAATGATGCCAGAGTCCATACCAAATAGCATTCCACCAAAGCATGCCTGCAAATGTATCAGCGAAAAAAAATGCTATGCGCGGGAACAGAGGTTACTGACCGAGCAGGCCAATGCATAGACCCTCCAGCCATAAATCTCCTTAGGGTCAGTTCTCATAGCCTCATTGTGAACGATCTTCTGTAGTAACCAGGACATCTTGACGGTTCAGCCAGTCGGGATGCGGTAAGAAGAAGAAGAATAGCGAGGTGATCCAGGCCAGCGGGGGGAAGATTGTGCGAAGAGAGTGTTTTAATCCAGCCTGCGGCAATGGTCCAGGATACTCGATCGCCGTCGGTTACTGATATAACACGCGAACAGACGACGGGGAAGCTCGGTGTCACCCGCGCCAGCTTCTTGGGCCTCTTGCCAGCCTATGAGAAGCGGGATAAACACGCAGACAAGGCGAGGAGACATGATGGAAATCTTCCACGAATCCGAGAAAGTCCTGCACAGCCAAGGAGAATGGCCACCACATGGCCCGGCGTGGTCAGAGCGGCCAACTTAGCGAGAGCAGGGTCGCTTTGTGGCTCACCCAGCTTTGCGGGCGCAGTGGGGGTGCTGGGGTTAAGGTTCAGGGAAACACGGGCAGATCACCCCCATGGGGGATGAGCTGGTAGGCTTCTGATACGACGGTAACGCGGGCTAGTCAGTGCTGGGCAGCTGTGAATGTATTGTGGCTAAATGGATCCGAATAGCCGAATGACGGGCTATCCTTACTGAATAGGGTGAGATTGCGGGGAAAGGACAGTAAGACACTCCTCAATCTGGCCTAGGCAGTCAGATCGTTGTTGATGTTGGATCCAGCCATAAATGAAGATAAGCAAGTGCCGAGCAAAAAGACCATAGCCTGTTAAGTGTGCTCAAACTCGATAATCGTCTCACGCTCTGGGGAGGCCAGGGTTCAAAATGGTGCATCCTCGGCTGCTCTTAGGTCTCCAATCACCGGTGAAGCTGTTACACAGATACCAGGATATATTTACTTTTGCTTTCATCCAGACATAGGGAGGGAATACTTTCTGCAATTTGAGAAATGCCAAATGTAAGTTAGGGGTGTTGGTTTATCTAAGTGTACACGCAACCTAGACTTATATATAAACGCACCCCACCAAGAGATAAGCACGTAATAAAGCAACCCGTTCCTAGTGGAAAGGATCCCATCCGCATAATTCAGCGTTATCTATACAGTAATACCATAGACAGATTGCGTAGCATGTTTAATAAGGTAATGGTATGGAGTTGCGCTGGCTAGAGAATTTACTCCAATGCAAGTTGTCAATTAACCAACGCAAGAAACTCAGTGGGGAACCTACCAAGAGGTCACCTCTTGATGCTAATCCAGTGCCCAGGTGGCAGTTTGGGGGGTTTGGCAAACAGAGAGCATGAACTTTGATTTACCAGATCTTGCCCATCATCAGAACACTACTGATACTGCTTACCAGCAGACTAAAACCGCTTGGCATAGTCTCCTTACTGGTCGCTCTGTCTCCACTTTCTACATAGCCTCCCACATCATATGCAATCTTCCACCAAATTTTTGTTGCAGTAAAATTTTAGGTCCTCTTCCAGTGGAGAGAGAATCTTCTCTTCCACTTCATCGCGGAATTTGTCTTCGGCCAGTGATGTGTATACCGCGTCTAGCCCGCATACACATCGCAAGACACTATTCTTATAGTTCGGCCCACAATCCATCTCATTGGCCAAGCGTCACGCTGTCAACGGGTCGGAGAATTCTAATGGCTATATTGAACGTTAGACCATACCATTCTGGGAGATGTCTATGAAATATGCATACCAGGTTTCTTTCAACTTCATTTTTCAAGTCCTCAAACACCTCCCGGTACCACAGTTCCAAGAGGACGACTCCAAGTGAAAATAGGCATGGAATTGATGTGCCCAAGTGGGCTTTTGGAAGAGCCTCTGACATAGATAACAAATCAATATTCCGAGTGCCAAAGCTGCGTCGGATTAACGGGCTGTCGAAATCGACCGTCCCGTCCGATGAACGCAGGAACGAAATGTCGAATTTGTTCCAGCGATCCGTCAGCCACTGCGTGGTATGCAGCTGCATTACCGACGAAGCTAACTTCAGGCCCAGTCGAGATCTTTTCTCCTGACGAAAAGATTTATCACGCAGAACTTGGGCCAGAGACACGTTCTCAACGCTTTGAAAGCTCGGTAGTCTTTGCTGGTGATCTATGGCCCTTAAACGATGCTTCCGCCCTCTCTTACTTGTAAGAAGCCCCAGCCACTCCCATGATGATATTGGACCTATAATTGTTGTGCATAGGTCCGGAATGTCCTCATAATAGAATGCCGGGGGAGAGGTTGGTTCGATGGCGAATTTCACTCGGGCATGATGCTCACTGTCTTGACAGGAGTCAGTTTCCTTAGTTATCCAAGGCTCCATCTCAATTTCCCGCCAGTTCCACTGCGAGCAAAACGCAACTTCTGAAGTGAATATAGCGTGGAAATAGAGGCTCTTTGCAGTAATTTTTGCGCTGCGGAACTCTAGCTTTATGTTCACCTCGTGCCGCAGCGTGCAAGTACAGCCAGGTGATGTTGGAAATTTGTCCTGCAGGGTTTCGAATAGGTCAATCGCATGAGAACGGATCCGCGTGTAGTGTTTGGTACTTTTACGCGAGACGCGGCGAGTAGTGATGGTAGGCTGATTTTGTTCCGTGAGCCGCGCCAGGAAGATATTCAAGCGGCCGGCTTCATCAAGGTGCTGGGTGATGCTATCCTTCTTTAGCACGAGAATAATCTTCTTCCATCGCCGCCGACCAGTTTGCGTTTCGAGCGGTTCGGGCTACACGAGACCCTGTTAGTCTCCGTAGCGAAACTCAATTGGCACTAAGCTTACTCGATCGTTGTCACCATATTTCGTCAGCAATCCCTTGATCTTTGCCAACTCCTCGTTCATATCCTCCACTGTGTCCAGATATTGCTGCACAGACTTTTGGCGGAAGATATGTTCCTGGACAAGATCTCCTTCCCGCCATCGGGCGTCTGTGGGATCCTGCATCATCTCGGCTATCTCTTCCTCCCCTACTCCGCATTGGCAGGCGACATCCTCCACGAACCGCTTGCAAGAGTTGGTGAAGCTGGCCTTCTCGCGGGCAAGACCTCGACCGATTCGCTTCAAGACATGCTGGTAATGAAAGAGGTCACTCACTACACTCTTTTCCTCGGCATAGAACTTGACGGCCTGGGTGATGATCGGGAAGACAGCCAGGACGACTCCAACTATCTCGAAGCCGCTCATGGTGAGAAGAAACCACCGAGAGAGAGACCAAGACAACGCTTCTGAGGTGGCACAAAGATCTTTTGGGAAAGAAAGGCGGGTGTGAAAGAATGCCGTTGAGAGAGATGAGGCTGGCGCTTATGCTCCTCAGGGAGAGCGCACCGACCCCGCTTCGAGTGAGACGCGGCAATCGTCGTAGGGAAGATTCCAGCCGAGACGGAATGCCATTTGCAAGCAACCCAAGAGGAAGATCTGGAAAGCCTTTATGCCCTGGATTGTCTGAATCTGAACTATTGAACTATTTCACCAGATGAGACAGGATTTGGGTGATACGTAGCCCACTATCAAGCCCATACCCTTCGCCTTCGCGTTCTCCCTGGCCTGGCAATCTAGCGTCTAAGATGGATTCAGAGCGAGACCCATCGATATCTTCTCTCATCACGCTGTGCATTCGTGAATTCCACACCCTGCTAGACTCTGTTCCAGATGAACAAGATGAGACCCGCCTGAAAGGGCTGGATGATCTAGGAAGGCTACGCGTGTGGATTGGCAATTTCGGTGCACATCGCAAGCAGACAGACAGGCTTTCCTTGGACTACCGACTTCGAGAGACGCCAGACTTGCACCGTGAGGTTCGAAACCATATCGATGACATTACCGAAGCCATTCAAGGAGGTATGCGGCCTCCCCGAAACCAACATTTGAATTGTCACTAATTATACTCAGCGGTCTCTCTTTTATCGGTGAGAGAAAAGTCCACGCAAATTGAAGAGACCTCTCCTGCCTCCGAATCGGACGACTCGGGTTCAGATGATTCAGACTCGGACGAATTTTGGAACCAGGTCAAGGCAGAGAACGACGGCCATTCGAAGCTGGACGAATATATGCACGACATTCAGTATACCATCACCAGTCTGTAGGTTCTCCTTCGCCTGATTCTGAAATGAAGTGATACTCAGGCACTGCAGTTACAAATTTTCCCTGACTCTTCAGAACCCAGCGCACCGCGACCGAACAGCGCAGGCCTCACGCATTGACCTCAGTCATTTCGAATTCTACGACATTGGGCATGTGTCAGAGAAATTCGGTCTCCCACGAGATAGCATACTTGCTCAGCGCCTTGGCAAAGCAAACACCAAACGCCGCCAACTCCTGGCGTATCATAAGGATCATACTGAGAAAATATCCAGGTATGTCGATGTGGCTGAGAGAAAGGCCATCGAGACACCAGTAGATCCGGCCAACCTTGGTCAGACCAGCAAAGGAGCCCCAAGCATCTCGACGAAATGGACACAGGATACCACCGTGTCCACAATCAACTGCCAGGACTTTGATGTTGCGTCCGAGTCGGGACGAACCAAGTTTTCTGCATCAACTTCGACCGCTGGCGACCAGGCGCACGCCTTGATGCCGCCGCCGCCACCACCGCCAGACGTGGTAAACACAGTCCAGCGTGTACCATTCTTTTGCCCGTACTGTCACCAGACGATACAGCTCGAGAATATGGACGAAGACTGGAAATACCATGTATACAGTGACCTGCGGCCCTATATTTGCACATTCGGAAACTGCGTAAAAGCCAATCAGCTATACGACAGCTACACAGAGTGGAGTGAACATGAACGGCAGTTCCATCGCCGAGAATGTTTTGTAATTTGTGCTTGTGCACTTGTCAATCCGAAGCCTCCTTCTGGAAACATCTCGAGAAGACCCATCCCGAAGCATTTACTGAAGACCAACGACAGGCGGTGGTAGAACTGGCCGAACAATCCACTTCTTCTGCGCAGCAATGTCCCTTGTGCACAAAGGCTCCCATTTCAAATCTGAGTCGCTTCCAGCAGCATCTAGCCCGGCATCTTCAGCAGTTGTCTCTTTTTGTACTGCCCCGGCCCGGGCCTGAAGAAAATGAACATGCAGCCCGTGATAGAGAGTCAAACGAATCACAACAAGCATTGATAATTGATGATGAGGCGAGAGGGCCGTTGAAGTCTACATCAACAACTCAGAATCCATGGCGTATCGAGGAAGGCCGAACTTTGAGTGAAGGTCCAAGCTCAGACGGCCGGCTTGAAATCATTGAGACGAACCGTCTAGGTTCCCGGACCACGGCATGGCGTATCGAGGAAGGCCGAACTTTGAGTGAAGGCTCGAGCTCAGATGACCGGCTTGAAACCAATGAGACGAACCATCTAGGTTTCCAGGAACAAGTGGCCACGGCACGCCAAGAACTGGAGGCAAACGATAGCACTCTGGGGCCTGAAAACTCGACAACTTTGGAAAGCATGGCCGACATAGCGTTGACCTACCCGGATCAGGGCCGGATTGAAGAGGCCGAGATACTCCAGTTGCAAGTAATAGAAAGACGCAAGACGATATATGGCGTGGAGCATCCTGAGACGCTAATAAGCATGGAGGATCTAGCGTTAACCTACCGGAGCCAGGGCCGGTGGGAAGAGGCTGAGAGGCTCCAGTTGCAGGTGGTAGAAACTCGCAAGGAGAAGCTTGGCGAGGATCATCTTACGACGCTGGAAAGCACGGATAACTAGCGTCGATCTACCGGGGCCAGGGCCGGTGGAAAGAGGCCAAGAGGCTCCAGTTACAGGTGGTAGAAACTCGCAAGGAGAAGCTTGGCGAGGATCATCCTACGACGCTAAGGAGCATGGCTAGCCTAGCATTGGCCTACCGGAGACAGGGCCGGTTAGAAGAGGCCGAGATACTCCAGTTGCAAGTAATAGAAAGACGCAAGACGATATATGGCGTGGAGCATCCTGGGACGCTAATAAGTATGGGGGATCTAGCGTTAACCTACCGGAGCCAGGGCCGGTGGGAAGAGGCTGAGAGGCTCCAGTTACAGGTAGTAGAAACTCGCAAGGAGAAGCTTGGCGAGGATCATCCTGCGACGCTAATAAGCATGGAGGATCTAGCGTTAACCTACCGGAGCCAGGGCCGGTGGGAAGAGGCTGAGAGGCTCCAGTTGCAGGTGGTAGAAACTCGCAAGGAGAAGCTTGGCGAGGATCATCTTGCGACGCTGGAAAGCACGGATAACCTAGCGTCGATCTACCGGGGCCAGGGCCGGTGGAAAGAGGCCAAGAGGCTCCAGTTACAGGTGGTAGAAACTCGCAAGACGAAGTTTGGCGAGGATTATCTGTCAACGCAGTGATTATGATTATCCTCGCTTAAGGTCGACTTACAGATGCCTTGGCTTCGATGGAATCCTGCCTCTCACTTCAGAAGCGAGTCCTCGGCCTGACCATCCAGATACTCTGGCGTCTCTTGCCTCCATGAAACAATGGAATAGCTAGAATGCATGTACCTACTTTCCTCCGAAACTAACATTCCTATCATATACTTCTTGTAACCACATTTTTTGAGTGAAGCTGCTTGAGGCTACCAAACAGCCATGGACTACAAATGAATTCCGATAATTGCAACCTTCCAACGATAAATCGTCAGATCTGTATTATAGTAATATGATCAGCTCTGAAGGGTACATTGAGATGCGTACTTTTATTATAACTAAACCTGGCCGAGGTATAGGCCTTTGGAGAAGCTATCCACAAACATTCCGTCAACACCAAGTAAGATAAAAACGGTTCCTAACACATAGGGACTTTCTGGAATAGAAAGTTACATCAGGATGGAGATGGACACGGTAGGCCAATGGGATCTGGATTCCTTGAAATGGTAGGTTTCCCGAGAATCGACGACTACCTGGAGAAAGTACCCGAGTACAAAAAAGCAAAGGCTGCAAATGGTGACGAGGATCCTTTCTCCCCTCTGGCCAGCCACACTTTGAGCTCGATTTCGTTTGCTTGCTCGGTAGTGAATTCCAGTGGCATTACCCTACCCCTATAATGGGCAGCTATATTACCGTGATGGTCGATCTCGTTCGTCCTGTTTCCGATCCGGGCGAAGTCACGCTCAATAGCGCCGATGCTCTGCAGCAAGCCAACATCAATTTGAATTATTTCAATAATGACCTCGATATCATCGCTATCCAAGAGGGTATCAGATACAGCTATGATGTCTTGAAGCATGGCGACGGCTTTAAGGATATTATTCTGGATGAATATCCATGGGAGATGCCGTTGGATGACGATGAGTTGATGAAGAGAACTGTGTTGGATCGGTCACAGACTTCATTCCACCCCTGTGGTACCGCCCGTCTTTCGAAGACTATCGACCAAGGAGTTGTGGATCCTGCACTCAAGGTTCATGGAATCCAGAACCTACGTGTGGCAGATGCGTCGGTGATTCCCGTCATTTCAGACTGTCGCACTCAGAACTCCGTCTACATGTGCGCCGAGAAAGGTGCTGACGCGATCAAGCTGGACCACAGAGACATCTACGCTCATTAGCTTTGCCTTCTGCAAATTCTCATCTACATTCCCTTCAGATTGTCATGGGAGTTGCGTTACTGCACGTGAGATTATTGTCTTGAGAGGAAACAAGAAACAAGATTGGGATACGCCAAATTGAGTGAAGGTACTACTCGGACCCGCGGCGACTATATAAGTCAGAAGATTGAGCGGTTATTCCAGGGCAGTCGCGGTCTCCAAAACTTTGTACATACTTGAATAATTCTAATCAAAAGTTTGCCAGATTCGAATTCGAGGGTTCTATTCCTTTGCTTTCTGCTGGGATTTCTTTTCTGTCCAGCCGGATAAGGCACGTTAGAGGCTGTATGACGATAGTAATATGTTGAACTGTCATAATGGAGGACAGCCTTATCTTCGAGATATGGAGATATAGGGCACGCTTTTCGGCGAGGGGCCCGTCACAGAGGGTGTCCAGCATGCTAAGGGCGATGATTGATTGTCGACCGACCGGGGCTGGGGGAGATGTGGATTATAAAGTCTTCGGGATATAGTGATTGTGGGCACTTAGAACATGGAATCGGGAATTAGGGAAGAAAACTTAAAGGGGACTTAAATCTAATTTTGCTATTTAGGTAGGATTGTGGTCTCTTTTATAGTTAGTTATTGCCCGTGAGGGGGAATCTACATTCTACCCGGCGTAGACAATCACGTCTAGCTCCTATAATCTAGGTTATTATATCTAATAGCGCAAGATAATACTAGATTTATATCCTATAACCATAGGCTATAGTTCACAAGGAGAAACAATCATATAGCAGCCGTGGGTTGAGATCAAAGCATTCTATTGGTGTACAATGGCATTGTCGTTGATACTAAGGGCCTTCTACGAAGTATCACACCAGTCGCCCCTAGGGATAATCGGCATGGCCATTACCCTTACATACCCTACCAGAACGTCCGAATTATAAGATATAGCCCCCATCGAGCCCTTACTTTTTTGGTTCTTTAATGTACAGTGGGCTTGTTTACCGGATATAAAATACAATATGCCACAGAATGACATCAGTTCCCTCCTAGTAAGTCGCCCAGATAATCAGCCAACTCCTGCACAAGCGCATCATCGACACCGTTACTTCCTGCCAGACCTTGACGTAGCATCTCGGTCCAACGCTCGACGGTGATCTCATGCAGCTTCTGGCCATTCAAAACCTCATTCACACGGCTGGCCTGGTCGGATGCTACAGACACATCTGGCGAGACGGATATATTGCTTTCAATGATGGCACCATGCTTTAGGCGGAGGAACACACGGGTCTAATGATGGTTAGCAAGTGCGTAAGGAATGCCGCGGGCGTTTCTGGTAGACTAACAGAAGGAGGAAGAGAGGCTGGCAATGGTGCACGTTCACGAGGGTCGTCCTCGGTGGGGTATGTGGAAAAGGTGAATTGTGGCGTTTGAGTGTACTTCCACTCCAAGGACTGCCATCAAACATGTTAGTGATCAGTGTTGATTAACAAAGTCCACTTTACTCACGCGCAACTCAGCAATTCCTTTACCAATCTCTGGGTCCTGGTCCCCTTGAACCTCTCCCACAGTGCCCATGACCCAACTATCACCGGCAAAGATCTCAGGTTCTACGGCATGCGCTCGTCGTGCTCGGCGGACAACGTCAGCGTGAACACCATATAACCGGGCAAATTCCTCGACCACGTTGTCCATCACTGCCTGCATGGAGAAGAAAGAGTCCGCCAGCGCACTCGATACATTTCCTACAGGTGACCGGACACTCTCAACGCCTTTCGCCAAGATATGCCCTCGTGCCGGAGAGCGCAGGAACCGACCCAGATCATGGATATTCGGCGAATCCAGCAAGCAAGTGCCATGATGCAAGGCTCGGTGGCGGGTGAGCTTGAACGCGGAACCGGAGACCTTTCGGAAAGGCGGCTCATTGCGACCATTGTGCGTCTCTGGGGGGGTCATGACAATATCATGTCGATCATTGACACTGGTATTGACTGCACCAACGCAGTGCAGCGCCCGAACCACCATCTCCGCATGCTTATTGCGAGTAAACGAAGTGCGCGGTGAGATCACACTATAATTGAGGTTCCCCTCATCGTGGAAGACAGCTCCGCCCCCAGATCGCCGTCGGACATAGACAGCAGCATCATCCTTACCCGCGCCAGGCCGACGGTCATTGTAGAGCGCGCGGAGATCTGTCTCCAGCCAGGGATTTTGGTTGCGACCAATGACCACACATGGCCGGTTGATATAGAGGAATAGGATGCTGGAGTCGGCCGGGGCATTTTCCAGCAGAAAATGTTCGATTGAGAGGTTGACATAAGGGTCGGTCGAGAGCGACTGGTAGATCTGGTGCTGGGACGATGGGCGACGGGCGAGCTCCGCGAAGCGATCAAGCGGATAGGAGGAATTGTGGCGGACGCTGCGCCTCGCACCACTGTGCAGCGACGAGGCCAACCATCCTCGGGCGAGCATTTGGGGAGCAAGGGAGTTGGCATAGTTGGAAATCGCGGCGAAGCACGCGGCCGATAGTCGGCTGCGCTAGTCCCGGATAGGAAACTATCGATGAGTCGATTTTCGGTCTTGTCGGGTCTCTTTCTTTTTTTCGTGTCGCATCATCCCTGCCCGACTGCTGGTATATTGTTGGCCTGCTTTGCCAATTGAATCCAGGCCTTTCACTCAATCTTACATTCTCTGACTTTCCCTCTGTCTGTTAAGTCTGACCCGTCCGGTTAATCCGCCAATATGTCGACGTGGGGTGAACATTTCCGAGTCACCACGTAAGTTGCCCCTCAGCACCAGAACACAGCCAGCAGCTCACAGCCTCTCAGCTATGGCGAGTCTCACTGCCGCTCTGTCGGCTGCATTGTCGACGGTTGTCCGCCCGGCATGCAACTCACCGAGGACGACATCCAGCCGCAGATGACTCGCCGCCGTCCCGGCCAGAGCGCCCTCACGACCCCGCGAAACGAGAAAGACCGAGTAGAGATCCAATCGGGCACAGAGTTTGGAGTCACCCTGGGTACACCAATTGGCATGATGGTCCGCAATGAGGATCAGCGCCCCAAGGACTATGGTGGCAGCACAATGGATCTGTACCCCCGCCCCAGCCATGCCGACTTCACCTACCTCGAGAAATACGGCGTCAAGGCCAGCAGTGGCGGTGGCCGCAGCAGCGCCCGCGAGACCGTTGGTGAGTAGTACAGCGCCCCAGGAACAAGAGCCGGTCTCCCAACTAACAACTATCCATAGGTCGTGTCGCCGCCGGCGCCATTGCCGAGAAGTATCTTAAGCTCTCGCACAACGTCGAGATCGTCGCCTTCGTCTCCTCCGTCGGCAACGAGCACCTCTTCCCCCCAACACCCGAACACCCCACACCCTCCACAAACCCGGAGTACCTCAAGCTCTTGGAGACCATCGACCGCCAGACGGTGGACAACTTCGCGCCCATTCGCTGCCCCGAGACAGAGGCGTCCGCCCGCATGACCAAGATAGTCGAGCAGTTCCGCGACGCACAGGACAGCATCGGTGGCACCGTGACCTGCGTGATCCGCAACGTGCCCGTGGGTCTGGGTGAGCCGTGCTTCGACAAGCTGGAGGCGAAGCTGGCGCACGCGATGCTGAGCATCCCCGCGACCAAGGGTTTCGAGATCGGCTCTGGCTTCGGCGGCTGCGAGGTGCCCGGCTCCATCCACAACGACGCGTTCGTCGTCTCCGCCGACCAGCGCCTCACCACCAAGACCAACAACTCTGGCGGCATCCAGGGTGGCATCTCCAACGGCGCCTCCATCTACTTCCGCGTCGCCTTCAAGCCGCCTGCGACTATCGGCCAGGCCCAGACCACGGCCACCTACGCCATGGAGGAGGGTATCCTCGAGGCAAAGGGCCGCCACGACCCTTGCGTCGTGCCCCGTGCTGTGCCCATCGTTGAGGCCATGTCTTCGCTAGTGATCATGGATGCCCTGATGGCACAGTATGCGCGCGAGAGCGCAAAGAACCTACTCCCCCCTCTGCCGGCTACTCTGCCCACGAAGCCGGCGACCGCGCCCAACGGTGCGTAAATGCGTTTGGGTCGACGTTGATATTGATGTTAAATTTGAAACGGGCCACAAAAGCAAGTCGTAATGTGTCGGGGGCTTCCAATTGAAAACAACTTATATAGACATCATGTCGTTTTCCCTGCGTCCTATCTCCTGATGTTCGGGCTTATGTTTTCTGTTCCTTCGTGCTGTGAAACCTTGTTCGCGGAGTTTTTATATATCCAGATGTCCATGTGGACTAAAGACAAAATTGTTGAATGAAATGCATGAGCAATGATTCCATGAACATGATTTTCCTCAGGAGGGAAAATTAAAACGGTCGTACCTATAGGTTCTCGTCACACTCCAGTACCGAAGGGCAGAGGTTTTCTGTTAGTATCTAACTAACTACATGAAAGCCAGGCATGTCGCTCTGATTTAAACAACATCAAAATCGTACAATGTCCACGTTAATTTTTGGGTACCACTCCATTCACTTTAAGTACCTGGTTACTGAGCACTATCGCATGAGGCTAGCTAAGTCTTCAACGCTAGAAACAACAGGAACATCCATGGCAACAACAAACATCATCATGCCAGCATGGAGAAGGACAACAAAAACCGCCTCGTGGATATCAAATAGCGAACGAAGAGAGTTGAAACGAGGGGAAAGAGCATCAACAAGCGCGTTTCAGAAAAAAACCAAACCCAAAATCTGCGCCAGCTGAAATACATCGGTCGTCGGAACCATGATAACGTCGTCAAATCAAAGAGCAAAGAGGCTTTGTGTACAATCTTGGAAGTCCTGCAACCGAAAAGATAAGTCAAAGTACAAGTCGAAAGGAACAAATTTTGCAAAGCAGACAAGTCAACTAGCGGCTGACCCGCCGGCGAGCCGCCGAATCGCTGATAGTGCGAACACTTCTGCTAGTAGAGCGCTCCGAGATATTATCCATATCGCGCGCCGAAGCATTGACGACCCGCAGCTTCTCGCGCGGCACTGTGTACGTCATCTGCACATTGCGGCCCTCCGCCGCGCCCTCGACGTCCCAGTCATCCTCATACTCGTCGCAGGTCTCGTCGTCGCCGAGGTAGCCCGGTGCGCCAAGGAAGAGGTCATTGCGTGTACCGCGGGGCTGGCCGACGGCCCCCTCGGACAGACGCTTCGTCGCGTTCCAGTCCTTCGCGCCTTGCTTGCGGCGGAACAGCTCCGCGGAAGCGCTGACTGTACGGCGGGGCGTGTTGGCGCCGCTGCCCGTGGGCATGGGCCCGGAGCCCATGACTGTGCTGTGGCGGTCGATGCCCGAGGCTAGGTGAGCTGTTTCATCAGAGTCGCGCTGACTGGTTGTTCCGCGGCGGGTGAGGGTCAAGGCGCGGCGGACGGTGTTGAGCATCCAGTCGGATGCTTTGGGCTTTGATGCAGGCGGGAGTTTTGAAGGGGAGGAGTCGAAGGGGCTGACGGGGGTGATGGGGGTGATGGTTTCGTTTACGTCGTAGAGAAGGGACTCGTTTTCGGCCTGGCGGTGGGAAAAGGTGGTTTGGGCGGTTGAGTAGGAGTCAGTTGAGAAGGATTTCACAGATGGCGCGGTCGTGCCGTCTACGTCACTGTGTGTTGACTCTCGACTGTGCGTCGATCCGGCTGCGAGCTGCTCGAACGAGTGGCTACCATTGCTGCCCCAGCTTAAGGGCCGCTCCACGAGCACAGCTCGTGCTTGAGAAACTTGGCCGGTTGGTCTGGTGGTGGCTGAGGAGAATGAGAATGCGGAAGAGTCTGATAAGTTGGTGGATGTCCGGTCACTCTTTGCTGGGGAGACACGTCCGTCATTGTCCATCCGTCGACTGTAGAAGGGACCCAGGCCCACGCCGAAGATGGTGCTCCGGGGAGTAGCGAACGGGGTATCTGCGAATGGGTCCTCCGTCTCATGGCCGGTGAGCTTTGCCTCGGTGGGTATGGTTGCCATGAGGCGTTCCCGGAACATCGCCTCATCCTCCTCACGCTCGTCGATCGGATGTATATCACACGTGGTATCGCTGCGCCTGTAGTCGGCGTAACTTGATGGACGATACGACCTTTGCTGGCTCATGGAACGCGTACCTTTGGTAGGGCTGGGAACCTCCGCCAGCAAACCGGTCCTCTCTGCAGCTCCATCGCCGGGCTCTTTCCAGGAGGCAGGCCGGGAGGTGGCACTCCGTTTTGCAGACCAACGGTACGCGGGGACAGGATCTTTTTCGCTCATTTGCGAGCTGCGGATACTGCTTGCCTGGTGGGGACCACCTGGACCCCAGAAGTGAGCTCGTTCCGCACTGAGAGCCAACTCGCGGAGCTGTGAATCTCGCTTGCTTCGTACAATTCGTTTTCGATGATATTTCCATACACAGATGGCAATGGCAATGACGAGTGGAATCCCGAGACCCAGTCCAACTCCAAGTCCAGCCTTCTGGCCTGATGAGAGGGAATGATCATGGAATGCCGATGCAGGCGCAGGACTAACCGACGGGTTACTGTAGGACGTAATCCAGCTGCGCGAGGTGGTGTTGTAGAGATAGACCTGGGAATTACGGCCGCTGAGAGATGTAGACCGCTTCGAAGAGGATATCTTGGGAATGCTGTACCCTCCAGCAACCATCAACACCCCCCAGGGAGCATTGCCACGGAGTGACCGAAGAGTCCCGTTCCTTCAGCAATCCCCACTCCTTCAGAGGATGGAACAGTCCAGGCCCATTCACCAGCGCCACCGTATTCCTCCCCAACATGGAGAACCGCAAACTGAGGATCAGCGGGGGTAGTGGTATCTCCTACCCAGCCTCCGACCACAAATACCTTCGTTCCATCGTCAGAAAGAACAGCAGCGTGGCCAGATCGAGGCTCCACAGTCGCCGCGTCTCGCACAGCGAGCTCTGTTCGGGGCTTCGCGTCCGAGTTGACCGTCACAAAGGTCCAGCTTTCCTGTGGGACCGAGAATATCGCGAGCTGAGACATGTTAAGGAAGGCTTCTCGTGTATGTCCTCCGATGAACAAGAAATCTTGCTGGCTTTGTGTCAAGGAGGATGTAGCTGGTAAGGGAACAGCAACCATTCCTGCCTCAGGGACAGGCGGTGCGCGGTCTCCTGTCATGGTCGCGTCGTATTCAGTGCCATGGAGAGAATCGGCACCCATGACAACCATGGATTGAGAGTAGGTCGCTGCGGAGACCCAGGTGTCATCTGTGCTATTGGCGAACGGGCACATTCCTCCAAAAGCGTAGAACGAGGTCCCAGTCGTGTTGTTGGGGATGAACGAGAAACCCGCCGCCAGATACTGTGGTCTTGTCTCTCCTGCCTCAGAGTTCACCGAGAATTGTGTCCAGGATCCATTGCCGATCGCGCTGGTGCGGTCGGGCTGGAATCGCCAGAGTGAGTCGGCCCCCGATACATTATGACAATTTCCGGTGTAGACGGAGATGATGCCGCGGTCATCGATGACGGGGATGAAGGCAGAGTGCTGCTCGGTACTCTGGAACGGAGTCTCCGTGAGCAAGGTGTGGTAGGTTGGGTTTGTGGTGTCGATGTCGGTGGATATGTTCAGCGACAGAAACTCGGTCTTGCCCTCGGTGGAGCTGCTGGGCTGTAGGAGGTAGGCGAGAGAATCATTGTGCAGCGATGAGAGGAAGAGGGAGGACGGGGTGTACGGAATGGCCGCGGTGGAATCGAGGAGCGCGAGCAGCAGCGCAGCGTGGAGGAGTGGGCTGCGCTTGGAGCGGCGACGGGGCTCCATCGCGCGATTGCAAAGGTAAATCTGAGACACAATCAAGGAAAGCGATGCATTCCAGGATCGGCGAGCATGGCGCTACGCGGTTGAGGGGCGAGAGGTGTCTATTTGCAGACGATAGACATGTCGCGATTAAGCCCGTCGATCCGGATGTCTAGGAGTGTCGGTGTGGTGAGGGGGAAGAGAGGATACGACGCACTGCGGTGGTGAGGGTGGTTAGATGCATCGGGGGCCTAAGAAGCACGTAGCTTCAACTAAACACACTCAACACGCCTTCCAGCAACCCTCCGCAACCCAAGCGAGCAGACGTAAACACGGCCCATTCGGGCCGAAGAGGACCTCGACCGCCGATGGCGATTGAGAGCACCAATGAGCCAGCTCGACAGCTTTTGGCTGACGCCTACGGGGCCCTCAACAAAGAGACCGCGAGCCAAATAGATTGCCCAGCACCAGATTGAGATGCGATCAACTCGGTTGCGGGGGCAACGGGGTGGATGTGGCGCTGGAGCGGGCGGCACGATTGCGCGGATGGGTCTTGGGGGAGGGGTAGCACTGCGCCGAGTCATGGCTGCACCGCAACGGTGTGGGCGAATGTGCTAATGCAAGACAGATTGCAGCGATCCACAGCAGAATACCGTCTAGAAGCGCCTCTTGAACAAGGCAGAGTCCTGCCTCTTCCTGCTAGCGGCCCCAGCATCTGCCGAAGTGTGGGGCAGGGGCTGACCAGCCCGTCCATTGCGATGACTGCATCTCGCGACGGAGTACGGCGTATGGACTACATATGCTGTCGATAAATAGTCTTGGTAGGCAGAGATCCTAATGAATCCCCAGGAGTAGGTGAGAACAAAGGCAACCAGAGAAACCCATCCACTATAAAACGGGTCGGGGACTGTCATAGCCGGCAGGAAAAAAGCACACTATACGCCAATCGTAGGGGCGGAATTAAGACGAGGCAACCATATGACACGCTCAACCGTGTTTCATGTAAACTGGACACTAGACAAATAGTCCATCCCATCACAATCGCGGCTGAGAAAACGGCCGTTTTCATCGTGCCTAGTTTAGTTGATAGAGCCATCCAACCATTCGCACCCCCAAATCTTTTCGGGTAATTTGGATCGAGTATTACGACATTGCCAATCACCAAATGGCCCATGACAATATTATATGGCTATTACATGTTGATAACTTACCGGCTCCATAGTGCAGCGGTTACAGTAGTCGCATAGAGGGGATGGGCATTGAAATTGATATGCAAGACTCGTCCTCTGTCATCCATCATCAAGCAAAAAACCTTGTTATATCTTGCCTTTGCCAACTCTTCCGGTGTGATGTAGAAATCTGCGCTCATGGTTCTGCCCCAGGAAGTACATGTCAGCAATGTTGAAGGCCTCCACCGGAGCTGGAATTCTTCATCTCAGATAATTGCCCACGCGGATAGGGAAAGATCTACTCAAAACCAGATACGATGATGATGATGGCTAAAAGAGGGCAATGGATTGTAATTGAAGCCCAGATTGTGGCAATTCTGAGTTGCCATAAAGAAAAGCTATTTCGTGTAAAGTACATCCCAAGAGATTTCAATGCCATCTTGTCAATAGGGAGCCTATTCTAACCAGCGGCCTGGATAGCTCATGGTCGACGATCCGTACCATGTTAGAACGAGCGCGTTTCTCATTGCTGCTTGGGAAATAAAACGGAAGAGTGTGGTGGTATCCTTGATTTCGAAACCCCGTACCATCCCACCCGATGATGCAAATCATCCAAACAGACAATAATTCATAAGACAAAGAAATCTGTTGAGACATGGAAAACCCGGACTGCGTTCGGCCGGAATTACCCAGTCTCATCCCCTCCCGCCACCTCTCGCCCCTCGCTTCAGTTTCCTCTTATCTCGGTCCATCCAAGCCATCCTTTTGGTACCACACGCAAAGATTACCGCACGTTCCCCGAAGTCAATATGGCCCCAAGCTGGATCTTTGAGTGGGTCATGCCTTGTGATGAACCATGAACCATGAACCATGCATCCCACTGCGAGCCGTCAGGTCGGCACGCCAACACGAACCAGCGGCGAAAATGGGTCCTAGCTCCCCGCTTGTACCATGTTTCGTACATGTTCCAGGAATGAGCGATAGTGTGAAATTGGCCCACCTGAACTCAAGTCCAGGTGCAGGCTGTGCTGGACGCTCTGTGAAAGCCAGCTCCCATCGCCAGTGTCGTGACATCACGAATGGCGCTCCGCTTGGCTGATTGCTATCAGGCCTAGGCCTTAACGGATAAATATCCACAGCGCGCATAGCCTCGGTTGGCTCGGAGTGATCGAGTGATCGAGTGATCTTCTCTTTGGTACCTCCTGATCGCTGTCTAATGAATAACGACGAGGACGAGGATAGCGACTCCGTGTCTACATAGCCATGGACTTGACTCGATAGTAGGCAGTGCAGAAAAGCTGATCATGCGAGCCACAAAGGGCTACGTCTGGGAGTGTGGGCTCCGAAGACACGGTTCAATCCAACAATGCCACCAGTTACCACCAAGACCATCCATCCAATCGTTTTCGCTAGAGCGCTTTACAGTCCAGCCTCGGCGTCCATGCGCAGTGTCGCATCTCCTGTGATGTATCACTGTCCCTGTCCATCCCGCGCCATTGTGTTCCAGCTGGGCACCTCATGCATGTCACGCCCAGGGCCTAGCCTGATTCGTGCTGGTGCAGCACCGGCTGGGCGAATCGACTCCCATGCAGCGGCGACAGTGCTAGTCAGGGGCTTGCAGGTTCATCCGTAGTTCTCTCTTTCTCGCGTCTTCTTTGCTTTTTCCCCCTGGGTATTACGAGTTCCGAGCCGGAGTCTCGGGCCGTTAGGGAAAGAAAAAGTTAAACAAAAAGGAAGCAAGCTTGTAATAATGGGAAGAGGAAAAAGCAAAAAGCAAAAAAAAAAGGCGAAATAGAGAAGTGACTGCTAATGTGCTCAGCTCCGGATGGGTATCGGGTATCTGCTAGGTGGGAAAATAGTGACCCGTCGACCCGTCGACCCGTAAAAAGAGTATGTACGGTTATAGGCTTGCCAGCTATTGAGCACCCGGCCGGGATGGCATGCATCTTCACGGAATTGTTTCGTTTCTGGCTGAGACAGCCACCTCCATGCAGACGCTCAGGCCATATTCCGGGAGCCGACAAAAAGCATGCTCTGCTTGTCAGCAAGATGGTCCCTGTTGATATCCCGCTAGTTTACCTTTAGTCGCTGCAGAGATTACAGGCCAGTTCTTCGTCAATCCACCAACCAGCGTTTGCATTGTGCTAATCTGGCGCCGACGACAATTATCGATTGAGTATTGTCGAACCATTGGTGTAATATACTGTACTGTACCAACCTTGGACACCATTGATTTACATGCCGTTTGTTAAAATTTCCTCTTTTAGCACCTCTTACTGTGTAGAACGCCTGGATACTCTCGGATACTCCGTACAGATATGAATGTCGGATTGCGTGGGCCGCACGATACCGTTGCACATTTCAACACCATCTACTCTCCCCTCTCCCGGAACTTTCATAACTGGTGGACATGGAGAGATGTAGCTGACGAGGGGGCTCATTCTCGAGAAGACTGACGGTTTAAACAGCACACCTTGTACGGGGTACAGATCCGAGCTCTGCCACGCAGGGCGCCCCTGGCTCAATATCCAGCGCCGCAGAATGTTATCGTTGGGTTACGTAGATCAAGGCGATCATTGACTGCGAGTATGCAGGGTTCTATCTGGCGGTTTGGGAGCAGCACTTGTACATGCGGCCCGGACCGTCTGGGGCGCTGGGGTAGGAGGAAGATGTACTGGGAAGATCCTTCCATCACCACAGAAGGCAGACTCCCTGAGGCTTTTCTTACTGACGACTGGGTACAGGTGAAGGGTTCTGGGGGTTTGCTCTATGTTGCGTTTTGCGATTTGCTCCTTCCTATACAGGGTCTTTCCTGGCTTTGGATGAATAGACAGAGAAGGCTCGGCTAGGCGCCCAGGTGTTAGTCTCAGAATTCGATGTCATCTTTGCCATAATCAGTATCATACGCGTTAATTCCCTGAGTCGACTCCGGCAAACATCACTCTGGTGTAAGCACTTCCGCTATCGCCCGTGCGCCAGAGTAAATATGTCCAAAAAAGAACCCCATCCACTCTCACCAACCCCTCAGTACCGCCCATCCAACCCCTTACCCTCACACCGGGCCTACGGCAGTCTCTGTGTCCACGGCGCATTACAACCGGGCTCGGCAGACGTTAACACAAAGTAGCGAGACGGACAGGATGTGGCACCGCCCCAGTAAACCGGATCGAGACAAGGGCGTTTGCCGGTTGTGTCACCTCGCAGGAGAGGAGGCACGATCATCGAGCATCGGCGCCGCCTGGCATGCAGATATCCGGCGCCGGTGTCTGGGGCAACAGCGATTGGCACGGGCTGAAGGGCCGGGTGTGCTTTGGGCACGGAGGGACTGGGGGTCTGAGCTTGCGCACATGTTTGGAACGACTATTGGGTGTTAGGAGCTGAGGTGAGTTCAAGGGTTAGGGATTGAGTTATTAGCGAGAGGGTATAGTGTGCTGCGAGCCAGATGGCAAGGGCTTGTACAGAGTGCAAGTCTAATCCAAGGGTGTGATGATGGACATCGGGAGGGATATGGGACTGGAAGCAGTACAGGGATGGGAACCGATTACGACGCCTTATACATCATCCCAATCGAGGACTCAACCTGACGCTGATCTGACTGACTCGCACCGCTCCCAACCGACACTAGCCAGGTCCATGCTACGGAGGATTTGGTCCGTATTCACAGCACGCGCCCAATGCACACCTGCATCCTTGCAGCCGGGCCTGCAGGAGGAATCGACGCTCGCAAGCCCGGTATCGGATGCGTCGCCCGAACATCTATTGCAAGGTTGACAGTGCAGGATACCTGGGGGCATGAGTTAGTGGTCAGTTAGTGGGGGGCGCGAAATGAAGCTAGCCCGCGGTGGATTGCTGCGCTAAACATGAGCCGGGGGTTGAGGAAGACCGCGCTAATAGAGAGACCAGGATCCGGGGGCGAATTGCAGTGTAAAAGGTGCGGGTGAGCTAGCGGTCGCCATGTTCCATCCAATAGCAAACGCGTGATTTATACCGGGCTTCGGCCGTGAAGTACGGAGTAAATAAGTATACTCCGCACAATGCTCACCCGGTGCGGGACGGGGCTAGTCTTGGGCGGGCGTGCGCGTGCATGCGCGGGCCTGCTTTGAGATGGATAGGCTTGGGTTGGCTTTCGGAGATGTATGTCTACCTAATACCATACCTTGACTCGAGGCTCCCCTTAGTCTTTCGTGGCGGATGGCCGGGTAACACCGGATGTCGCGCGGCACATCCAGGAGTCATCATCCATCATATCAATCAGTGTCAGCTAGATACGGGTAACAACGTTATCTAGTCGGCGAGGATGGGAAGATCCGCTACTAGGACAATTTAGGGCTATAGTGGGAACGGGCCCCCGCTCCCCTCCGGGAAAAGGAAGCAAATTACACCACTAAGATTTGCACGCCACAAAGCCAGAAAAGAAAAAAAAGAGTTGAGCGGGTCGCTGGGAGATGACCTGTGCGGGAAAGGTCAACCTTCGGCTTAGTCGGGATCTACTAATTACGGTAATATACAGTAGGACGCGGGGGGCAGAATCAAGCCTAAAAACCTACCGTACCACGTACGGTGTAGATAGTCGTAATTGCCTATCGCATGAAATGCACCCACGGTCCGAGGAGAAATTATCCCTACCTGGCTCGACCATACAGGACCACGGACACGATCATAGTCAGTCAAGTAGGGAATTTCTAAGAGCCTACAGAACTGGACTAGCGTCGAGGGAGAAAGAATGAGGGCTAATTAGGGAGTCCAGACCCTGGCATGACGTAAGACCTCCCCATCCGGCGTCAACTTTCGCAGGTGCGCACGGACGGCGCTCGGGCGTCGAGGGGGAAGAGGAATTACCTGCGATTACGGGGGATTCGTACAGTCATGGGTAAAGATGTGATGCACAATCCCGGGCTCTAAAGGAGCATCTTGCAGAACGCCTCTCGGAGGCTTTCCTCGACTATGCCTATAGGATCCTGTCCTACCCTAAACTATACTCATGCAGAGCGCGAATAGTCAAGTGCGGGAGGGGTCTGGGGTATAGTCGAGCGGAACGTCGTGTGGCACGCTTACTGGAACCTGTGCCTAACTATATGGAGTAGTTGCTGTTGAGACTAGTCAACGGCCTCCGCATCCCCCCAGTCCTCGACACTAGACTCGACACTAACATAGCAGCCTGTCTTCACTTCCACGAACGAGCTGCCCATTCGTGCCCCAGCCGGCCCAGTCGCTGCACCGCCCCTGCACCCCTGGCTCGGGCGAAACGTTTGCGCTGGGCCAGCCCATCAGAAGGCAAGGAAACCTTTGTCAGACTGGCACTGGGGGATGAGGAGGGTTGCTGGACCCCGAAACCAGACTTTCGTTTTCCCTCCCAGTAGCCTGGGCAGAAGTTAGTTGCTACCTGAGCTGAAAGGGTCGCCGCGGCGCGCCTGAGAACAATTGGTTGGGGCGAGGATGGCCATAGGCTCGTTCGCGGCTAGGGGGCAAATGGGGAGGGTCAGAACATCGCGCACCGGAGTCTATAGTCCACTCGCTCGCTTCGTGCCGGTCAGATTGAGGACTGGCTGCAGCCGAAACGAGCATCTGAGCGGATCATCATACGATACGAAACAGGATTGTCGCTGGAATAAGGATTGACTCCGTTCAGTGGCAACCGTGGTCCTGGCTGTGTCAACGGGAAGCTATCCGTCCATATTGTGATGCAGGAGCAAGCCACAGCGACGATAAATGATGGCTACATCATGTCTGGACCCTTTCTCCAGCTGGACCGTGAGCCTAATTAGGCTGGTGGGCCCGGCGAAAGAAAAGAAAAGGAGAGAAAAGGAGAGAAAAGCACAGAAAAGAAAGGCAAGGCAAGGCAAGGGCCGAGCATGGATGACCAGCAGCCCGGAATGCACTGATCCACGGATGGGCCGATGCCCTCACGAGGGGAGCTGGGATGCTATTCGCCCCCAGGATGCGAAAGAACCAAAAGGGCCACCCAGGCGAGCCCCAAGTCCTCGACGTAATCCGCCAACATCGGGCAGGTGCAATCGAGCGCCGTCGAGGACCGACCGCGCGTAGGGCTCGGCGTTGCTGTGGCTGGGCAGTCTCGCCACCGCGGGAGGCAGGTACGAAGCAGACCAGGAGATCGTAGAAAGGAGCGTATCAAGCCGACCTGATATCGTGGTCGCGTCTCTCTTCTGTCCCTGCGTGAGTGGCATACAGGCCGATCGCAGAGCACACGGACCATCGGCGTGTCGGCCGAAGCAGCAGAGCAGAGCAGTGGAGACGGGAGTCTGGGCGTCTAGCCGGAAGTCTGGAAGTCTCCCAATCTGACCAAGCCCCACTGTAAGTTTCGTATCGGCTGGTACGGAGGCCCAGCTTTTGTATACCGCCTACGCCGTCCAGGAGACATGGCCGATGAACTGGGGAACTAAGGAACTAAGGAACTAATTAACTCCAGTCCTGGTCATGCCATCTGTCGGTCCGGCCTAAACTACTGCAGAGCAGACCAGTCGTTCCTAGCGGGCCACGGCCGGTATTTTACTCTCGATTTTCCATTTTTGCCCCTGTCCGATCATCGCACTCGCTGCCCGGTCATACTAGTCATACTAGTCATACTATTGCTGGGAGAGTCCACCTACGCAAACCAGACCAACCGGCGTACTCTCCTTCTCGCACCTCACACCTCCCAGCCCAACCTCCCTTTCCATCCTCCCCTCCTCTCGGCGATCCGACCTCTTTCTCCTTCACAAGGACGGGCATTCTTCCGCCGCTTGTCTTGCCGTTCATTTGGGACATTCCTTCTGAAATTGTTCGCCTACCTCCGATCTCGCTCGAAGAATTCCCGCCTCGCTGCCGAGCGAGCCCTCCGTCCCTAACTTCTCGCCGTATTTATAGAATCATCCCTCGATCGCGCTCCTTTGGAACACCGCCGGCCCCTCCCACGTGTGTGGGAACGCCGCCCGAGACCCTCGTGCTGTAGCAGGTCTACCTCGATCATCTCCGATCCCTCTGACTCCGATTGAACCCACCCCTTCGGCGGCCCGTTGTCCAGCACACCCGGGTTCCAACGCCTATCTGCCACCTCCCTGCCGCCATTCCCCTTTCATGCGCCAAAAGTAATGCCGGTCCATTCGTGCGCACCCTTCGAGCTTCTCGTCGGCTCTCCGTGAGCATATCCTGTCTCGACAAATCACTGGATATACCGTGAGGAGGATGCTCAACTGGAATTTTGGCACCCTTGGCCCCGCATATCTCAATATTTTCTTTTGAAAAAAAGCAAACCCACCGAATAATAAAGGAAGAAGGATGAAAATGACGGACCACCAATCCTTCATTACTGGTCTGGATGAAGCAGACCAGCTAATGATTCGGGATGGTGCGGGCGTGGGAGACTCCAAGCGGGGTCCCAGCTCGTTCGACGACGCGTTGCAAGCACAAGCACAATCACAATCACAAGCACCAGCGCCAGGTGCAGCAAACGACAACCCCGACATGCGCACCGCCACGATTACGCCGGCGCCCAAACCGACGACTGCATCAGACCTGTCCGAGGCCCAAGCTACGCTTCGTCAAGCGTTCCCCCACGTCTACACCTCTTCGCGGACCCCCTCCATCCGCTCCTCCTCGAGCTCGTTGCAGGCCCTGAATGAGGATATTGTGGTCGATGCTCGCACCCAGCTGGGCAATATTGGACGGAGCCCTCGGAGGTCATCGCGGCATTCGGACCAGCGGCCCGAATACCCCGTTTATCCCGACCAGTCCTATGCCTCTCTCCAGTCGCAAGTCCACCCAACATGGCAGCCGCCATGCCCACGGTCGCGGAGCTCGTATTCGTCGCCAACGACCGCGGAAGCCCCACCTCGATTTCCCCGTGTGTCCCGCACCGCGGGCAATACCCCCGTGTCGAGCCCTGGGCTGTTCTCAGTGAGAAGCCCGCGCACTACGCCCCTGGGATCGGATGATGAAGGCCGGATCAGCAGTCCATACCTCCATCCCACACACCTGCAACCACCTAAGGAAACTCACACCGCCGAGGTGGATCGAGATACGATCACGGGCAACAAGCTCATCAACCAGTACGAGATCCTCGAAGAGCTTGGGCGAGGAGAACACGGCAAGGTCAAATTGGGTCGCCACGTCACAACCAAGCAAAAGGTTGCTATCAAGATCGTCCAGCGGTATTCCACACGCCGTCGATTAGGCAAGCTGGGCAACCCCGAAGACAAAGTGAAGAAGGAGGTGGCCATCTTAAAAAAGGCACGGCACCCCAACGTGGTGAGCCTGCTGGAGGTCATCGATGACCCCAACCGACAAAAGGTCTACATTGTGTTGGAGTATGTCGAGAACGGCGAGATTGTCTGGCGGAAGAAGGGGCCTCGAGAGATTGTCCATGTCGACAAGCTCCGGCTCGACCGAGAAAAGAACGGAATACCCGAAACCCCCGCCTTTTTGGAAGAGAGCCAGCAGTTCATCCGGACGGCACAGCACCTCCGTCGACAACGTGAAAGGGCACGAGAGCGGATCGAAGCGCAGGCCGCCGACGCACAACAAGGCCCGATCCCAGCGTGGAGTCTAGAGCACGGCGCGGAGTCTTCAGACGAAGAAGAAGGGGGCGACGGACTTGGCCTTCCAATACGACGGACTTCGACTCGATCCACGGCGCTCCTGGATGAGAACTCGCCGAGCCAGGGTTCCGCCCAAGACGCAGTGGCTGCGGTTGAGGGTAGTATGTATGGTGCCTATTCGGATTATCCATTCGAGCGGCGTTTCAGTACGGCATCCAGCAGCCTTGGGTACGCTCCATCTGAACCGGAGTGGTCTGCGGATGGAGACGACTTGTCATACGTCCCTTGTTTGACCATTGCCGAAGCTCGCAATGCATTCCGCGACTCTGTTCTTGGCCTGGAGTATCTGCACTACCAGGGCATCATTCATCGTGATATCAAGCCGGCCAACCTCCTGGTTACCAGCAGTCATCGTGTCAAGATATCCGATTTCGGTGTCTCGTACCTGGGACGACCGATGCGCGATGAGGAAGAGGAGCAGGTTGGCGAGACTGATGCTACAGAGTTGGATGATGCTCGAGAACTGTCTAAGACTGTGGGCACGCCTGCCTTCTACGCCCCTGAGCTGTGCTACACGGGCGATGATTTTGTGGACGATATTGGATCTATACCCAAGATCACTGGCGCTATTGACGTCTGGTCCTTGGGCGTCACACTGTACGGGATGATATATGGCCGTCTTCCTTTTGTTTCGGACGACGAGTACAGTATGTTCCAAACAATTGTGAAAAAGGAGGTCTTTGTCCCGCGAAAGCGTCTCGTGCCCGTCATGGACGACTCTGTCTCCATCTCCAGCCAACGGGACTGCCGCAGCGTTAACGAACTTGTCTATGAAGATATTGACGATGAGCTGTACGACTTGATCCGCCGCCTTTTGACTAAGGACCCGATTAAGCGAATCACATTAAAGGAGATTAAACACCACCCTTGGACCCTGCACGGCCTACCCAACCCACAGGCGTGGGTGGAAGAGACAGACCCAGCCTACCAGAGCAAGGGCAAGAGGATCGAGGTCTCGAGCGAGGAAGTCACGAGCGCTGTCAGCAAAGTGCCCTTCATCCAGCGTGTCCGGTCCAACGTGGCGAAGTGGTTCTCTGGCCGGTCCAAGGACAAGGAACCGCGCAAGCGGGGCTCAAACAACTCGTCGGACACCTTGTCATCCATGGCCAGCACCAGCACATTTGGAAAGACGTCGCGCGATAGCCGTCGGTCAAGTCTTCGTGGTGACGAGGAAATCTTCCGGACGTCTAAGTTTGCAACCCTTGGAGAACACCCTCTGGCCCAAAGCGTCACTGCCAGTCCTGTCGACGAGGGAACATCCTCAGCGTCTTATTTCGATACGACACCGATCCCTGAGAGCAAACCCCCGGCGGTCGCTCCGACAGTGACACCCCGGCCTGGTCCTCCTCGACGCGCCAAGTCGTCCATGTCCACTGCCGAATCGACCAAGACGATCAAGCCCTCCGCTCTCGACACTCATGCCTCCCGCCCACGCACAGGCACACCTTCGATCATTGAAGCTCTCGGCACTACCAACTTTGGTAGCCTTCTCAGCGGCGCCAGTCGACGGGTCTTTACTGCGAGTCGCAGCAGACGCAATTCACCATCTGGCGACTCGGCATCGCTGGCATCTTTCGATTCGGAGCGCCATTCGGAGCCTAGCCTTGCTATAAGCAACGCCTCGGCGATTGGCCAAGTGCGAACAACGGGCCTGTGGCACTCTGAGACACCTTCACCCGGTGAAGGCTTACTGCCCCCGTCCGCCCACCGACGCAATAGGTCACAGCAACTTGTCGGCAAGTCATCGGCAGAGTCTTTCCATCTCACAAGAGAAGCCCTGCTCCGCCGTCGGCGAAGCGACATCGAGCCCAGTGCAGACGACGGACTGGCTTCGCGAGTAGATTACGCGATGTACTCGACCGAATCTCTGGCGCTCCCCACGATGGCTCCCCCTCCCGATCACGGATGCCCTGCCGATCCTCCGAACGGCGGCCTCACCGCCTCCACGCCGTCTGCGGCGACGATCTCCTCTTCGTCGGCCGAGGACTTCACCAGCGGCATGTCGCAGAGCGCTTCGCACCCCAGCATTCCGTCTGTGGTCTCAGGTGCCTCATCCTTGTCCGGCGATGGGCTATACCTCCAGTTGAAAGACAAAAACTCGAACGACTCGAACCAAGTTCCATCTATCCTCCGCACGGGCGAGACCGTCAAAGCCCCTCGCCGTCCAGGCTCACCACGTCCCGAGGAGGATGAGTCGAGGTACTACTGCGACGACGAGGACGAGGACGAGTCTGAAGACGAAGGCCTCGTGATTGGAAAGAAGAAGCTGGGGCCCAAGCCCGTGGCGAATTCTGCTCTCGACTCATGATCGACCAACTACTCTACACATACCGCTTCTCCACCTCTACCTTTTCGTCTCCCTTCACCCACCCCCATTCTCCCGCTTCGACGCTTCCTTTTTTACTGTGAGGTCGTTGTATATCATATGTTGCTTTTCCCTTGCCGAATTTGTTCGCCGCAGCGTCATTTCTGGAAATTGACATCCTAGAGATTTTTGACATACATCCTGCCTGGCTTGTACATATACGTTTCGCTGGCAGCGGCTTTACTCTGCCACTGCGAAATAACAACCCCCACCCAACACCTTCCTCTCCCCTACTATCCCCTCCCACTCGTGGCAGCCGGCGTCGCACCGGCTGTTCGTTTCTTCTTCTTCTTTTGCTGATCTGTCTGTACTTCAGCCATCAATGGGCTCGTACATAGATCTCTTCCTTTCTTTTCACTATTTTACTTGTATGTAATGTTGTCTGGGTGGGGGCTTGGCGAAATGTTTTCACAAACTGTTGGATTTTTGTGCGAGGATGTCTGCATGATACAAGATTGCTGGGACTGGGCTAAGACTGGGTGGCGTGGGGAAAATCCCCCTGTCTGTTGCAATGATACGTGACGAAATGAAACAAAGGGAAAGACGTCTCTATTCCTCTCCCAATATCGCGGTTGCATGAGCTTGTTCTATTTGGGTACGGATTATGTGTGTAGAACGTAGCACTTGTATGCTCATGGTACTGGGAGGTGGTGCCCTGGTTTTGGGTATGGAGATTTGTTCCCGCGGGGCACACGGCTTTATACTGGGGTTGCCCCCTTGGGAGTCCGCCAGTCTCGGTTTCCCTGGCGGATAAGTCCTGATCCTTCTTCCACCAATGATGTTGCGGGAAATCCACCGTGAGTATGAAGCCAGTTTTCTCGCTAGCGAGCTGAGCAAAGGTTTATGTCTAAGTTACAGAAGGGCTCACTACAATAGCATAAACAACACAATGCGCCAGCAAATTCCCCGCCGGCTCTTCGTCCACCAAGAAAACCAATATTCAAAGAACATACATCATAACATTCAATCATACCTCAATTACGATTAGGTTTCACAAACCCCTGTCACAGCTCTCAATTAAAGTATTACGCTCAAAATTAAGACTTGCTGACGACTCCACCACCGGCCAGCCTCTCCAGGGATTCCCCACTGCCACACCGGCTGTTTCACCGCGTCTGCTAAACCCAAGCAGGCCGTTCTCCGGGACCATTCCCCTTATAATGTCGCCAATTTATTCCAAACTGCCATTTGGCGCGGCGGATGAACGGGGGAATTATCCCGTCAGGCCGCGCACCGGATCGAGAGGGGGTCCAAGGCGAGTGTATAGAAAAGGGTGATGGGAATCTGCTTGGCCGCGAGATCTTTTTTTTGCTTTTTCTCTTTTTTTTTTGTCTGAGTCAAGTGCCACTGGTTTAATTCAATACCCTAGTCCTAGTGACGAAGTAACTGTCTTTTGGCCTGTCATGCTGCTTTCCTCGGCTTTCCTGCTGGCCGCCCAGCTGCTGGCGCCTGTGTCGGCGACGCTATCGATTCACGGAGCGGATATCTCATCTCTGCTTGTGGAGGAGAACGCGGGCGTCTCCTATAAGAACTTGGCCGGCACGAAGCAGGCGCTGGAGGTGATTCTTGCGGATGCTGGGATCAATTCTGTGCGCCAGCGCGTGTGGGTTAATCCGAGCGGCGGGTCGTACGATCTGGATTATAACATCAAGTTGGCGAAGAGGGTGCAGGCGCGGGGCATGAAGACATATCTGGATCTGCATTTAAGTGATACGTGGGCTGATCCGAGTGCCCAGGTACGTTAATGCATTATTCAGTTATTGCAAAATGAAGGTCAATTGATGATCACAAGCCTGAATGCGCTGCTAATCTCAGATTGCTGGCTAGACTACACCCAGCGGCTGGTCGACAACGGACATTGACACGCTCGCCTGGCAACTGTACAACTACACAAAAGAGGTGTGCGACACCTTTGCGGCGAACGACCTCACCGTCGAGATCGTCTCGATCGGCAACGAAATCCGCAGCGGCCTGCTCTGGCCCCTCGGCAAGACCAGCAGCTACGCCAACATCGGCCAGCTCCTGCACTCCGCCGCCTGGGGCGTCAAGGACTCCGATCTAGCGACAACCCCCAAGATTTTGATTCACCTGGACAACGGCTGGTCCTGGTCCGAGCAGGAATACTTCTACGACACAGTGCTGAACAGCGGGTCGACCTTTGTCTCGTCGGACTTTGACTACATCGGCGTCTCCTATTACCCCTTCTATACCTCGAGCGCGACGCTGGCGTCGCTGAAGACCAGCCTGACCAATCTGCACTCGAGGTACGGCAAGGATGTTCTGGTCGTGGAGACCAATTGGCCGTATTCGTGCCCGAACCCGGCGTACTCGTTCCCGTCGGATCTCTCGTCCATTCCATTCTCCGTGGCCGGACAGCAGAAGTTCCTGAAGGACCTGGCGGCTGTGGTCTCGGCTGTCTCAGGTGGGTTGGGTATCTATTACTGGGAGCCTGCGTGGGTGGGCAATGCTGGGCTGGGCAGCAGCTGTGCGGACAATCTGTTGTTCAGTTATTCGAACGATGAGGAGCGGTCGAGTCTGGCGACGCTGGGAACAGTGTAAAGTGTGAGGGATGAGGTGTAACGAGGTGGCTTGGGCAACCAGTGCGGTCACCTGACTTGCTAAGAATACATCCAGTCGGAATTGAAAGCATTGTAAATCGGGTAGTATGTGTATCCATAGGCAGAAACATTTTTAGTTTTAGTTTGAAATAAGGCTATCCAAAGTTAATCCGCAAGGTATTTTTGGCATCTGCTGCTTATCAGGCATCGACATTGTCAGACCCCGGACCTATACGTCACGTAAGGCAGAGAGCTGTCTGCCTTGCCCTAATGCCAGCGAATAAGCACTTCCCGCCCACTAAAAAAGAACCCCTCGCCGGTCCGAGCCCCGTCCCATTACTAGATATGGGCTAGAGGTGACAGGACACGCAGCTGGAGACCAACTGGAAGGCGGGATGGGGGATGAAACTCAGCTGCGTGGCTGTGCAAACATAAGCTAAGTCCCCCGCTGCGTTAGCCGGAAGTCCATGCTCCACTATAGAGCAAATGAACAATTTGTAGCTTCGAGTCCTCACGTTTCCCTTGTAGGGACGTCTTCAGATCCTCATACCTGCAGTCCAGAAGAATGAGGGCAAAACAGCACGAGTCGATCGGAAGTAAGACTTGGGCGTAGACAAGATTAGTTGAGGGGAAGGGCTCTCGTGCCTATCTGTTATCGTAGTGGGCACGATGTGGGGGGAACAGCCCATACCGACACTAGTACGGGAGTCCTGGAGAAAGTGGCCCAGCATGGGTTTATTTTGAATGCTCCATGCGGTGTGAGACATGAACTCCAAGGGCCAAATCTTGACGATTTTGCCCTGGTGCCGGTGGGCCATCCTCACCTGTGTCTTTTAGGGCGCAAAAAGCACTAAACGCTGCCCATGCTGATTCCCCCACCAGACCGCCTTGCGCACGTGCAGTCGCCATTTATCGGGAGGGTCCCTCCATCGCCAACTTCGACTTCATATGATGCTGCTGTCTTGCTGACACTGGCGAATGCTCCGTTGCGCGCGCCGGTCTTTGCTCTTGTGCGAATGCCATACCGCCGCCGCCTCCTGTCTGCTCCCCCTGCGCTGTTGACTCCCCGCCGCCCTCCAATTTCCCTGATCATACCGGTTTTGCGCTCGCGGCAGCCCTGGGTCGCTCTCGCTCCTCCCACCTCGTAACCACCTAGCGGTCTATCGCCGGCTAACCATTTACCTTCCTCTGGCCATCATGACATCCCACGATCACACCCACGGCGCGGGCACTGTGTCTGCGGATATGAAGCACCGCAGCGTGAGCCCCTCCGCCCACGCCCAACAAACGTATCACGACCCAACTGCTGGTCTGGCCCTGAACCACTCCATGTCAGCCGCGTACGCGACAAACCCTTCCTATGACAACACCAATGCCGATCCCAGCATCAGCGGCACTGATTCGTATGGCTACTCGGCAGCTTACCTCTCTGGAGCCCCGCAAGCCCAGGGCCTCGCGCTCTCATCTGGCCAGCCCTTCCCGCCAACCCTGAACACGAGCAACATCCCCATGTCGCAATCGTTCGACCCAACCCTGGTTAATCAGCTCGACCCCGGAGTCACGGGCTTGCAACAGTCACAGGCAACCGAGGATTTCTCTAATCTCCTCAATTCCAATGCAGGGGAGCTGGATTTCTCGGCCTACCAGAACCACAGCCCGAATAGCGCCAGCGCATCCGAGTACGATTCGTCGCTGCTACTGGATCCGCAAATGCACCAGCGCCCGCAGTCCATGCACCAAGCGGTCAACCCAGCTGATCTTGTCAGCCCTATCTCCAATCCCTCTGCATCCTCACATCCCTCGTCGCAGGACCCGCAGCAGTCTTCGCCGGCCCCTATGTCCCCTCCCGGCTCGACTCCTGGGACATACTATACCCCGCAGCATTCGCGCCATACCTCGCTGGACCCAGCCACGGCGGTTTATTTGAGCGCACAGTCCAACGCGGACTGGCAGTCTGTCATGAACAATACCGCGTTCCAGGGCCACCGCAGAGCGCCATCGGAAGTATCTGAGGTCTCATCTGCCAACCACTCGCCCTATTTGTCTCAACATGAATATGAAGGTATCGAGAACAATGCTTCACCCTCGCTTGCCCCGCAGAATGACCCTGCGCTGTATGATAATGCGCTGGGCATTGAGCAATTCACGCTGTCAGAGCAGCACCAGCAGGGCTTCAGCCCAGCCCACAGCCCGTATATTTCGCCGCGGTTGATGCCACAACAGGGCAATGATGTGATACCCAGTATCCAGTATGCATCGGCCAGTAATCAGTTTCCCCCGGCACCAACAGACCTGTATGGATTACCTGGGGATGACATGATGGGAATGAATCCTGCAGGTGATATCGGCCAAGCATCCCAGATGGCCCCTCCATCCATCAACGTGGAGTTTGCTCCGCCATCCCGGATCCCGAGTTTCGGGCCATCGAAGCCGGCTACCGACTTGGACTCGCTTAGTCCGCCAGCGATGAGTGGGTTTTCATTCTACTCACCTTCTATGTCAATACTAATATTACATCAGGGTCCCGTGTTCGCAGCAAGTCAGATCCTTACACACACCCCACTTCCCGTCAAAGATCTCCTGCAACTTCGACAACCAGCCTTGAGCCTCTGGCCCCTACTTCACCGCGCTCGCTGTCGCCCCACTCGCGTAGCAGCCCCAGCTCGCGTGAAGCGTCACCGTCAAGATCTAATCGACGTCTCTCAACATCATCTATCGAGAGTCGCAACTACATTCTAGATCTGGCTGACCCAGGGCGCCCTGGAGCAGCCCCAGGAGACTCGAAGCGTGTCCAGAAGCACCCCGCCACTTTCCAATGTACACTCTGCCCTAAGCGTTTCACCCGTGCCTACAACCTACGCTCGCACCTCCGCACCCACACCGACGAGCGGCCGTTTGTGTGCACAGTCTGTGGCAAAGCCTTCGCCCGCCAGCATGACCGTAAGCGCCACGAAGGCCTTCACTCCGGTGAAAAGAAGTTCGTCTGCCGAGGCGATCTCTCACGAGGCGGACACTGGGGTTGCGGCCGCCGTTTCGCTCGCGCTGACGCTCTCGGTCGCCACTTCAGGTCTGAAGCTGGCCGCGTCTGCATCAAGCCCCTCCTAGACGAAGAGTCCCAGGAGCGCGAGCGCATCATGGTCCAGCAGCAACAGCAGCAACAGCCTGCCGGCCACCTGCAGCCTGTACCACAGCCCCTCGTAATGCCGGGTGTTCCAGGCATAGATGGCCAGCCCTCGGGCAACTTCGTCCTCCCCGCCGCCCTGCTCGCGCAATACCCCGCCCTACAAACGCTGCAATGGGACCAGATCCCTGCCGCGGGCGATGACCCTAGCGATATGGGAGGCCGGAGTAGTTTCGACGCCAGCTCTGGCGGCGAATTCGGCTTTGATGACGATGAGTCTGGCATTAGCAGCGTTTCTGGGATGAGCACTGGGTATGGCAATAACCAGGGCGCTATTTATGGCGGGCAGATGCTTGGTGTTAACCCCGGGGATCCTGGGTACGTGGATCAACAAAAGTGGAGTGGATGACGATACGATGGCTGCCTCGTTTATACCTAGCGTGTTTCATTGATTCTGGAAATGGAAAAGCAATGACCTGTGGACGACTTGCAATATCTCGGTCTTTGCGTGCTTTTGTTCTTTTATTCTATTTCCTCATTTCTTTGGATCTCTGGTTTCTTGCTTTTCCATTTCCATTCTTCGTACCCTGGCTTATCCCTTATAGAGAAGGGTTACTGGCGTTCTGGTATATGGTGGGAAACAAGGGGATTTGATTTGATTTGATTTGATTTGATTTGATTTGATTTTTCCTGGCCAAGGCCGGAAATGGGGTTTTTGATCGATTGGTGGTTTTCTTTTTGACTCTCTGTTCAACATCTAGACAACGGCATTCGTTTGGTTGTCATGGCATACTTGCCTCTCTTCTATGGTGATTCGATCTGGACTGGACCGTCCTTTTATCGACTGGCTTTTTCCACCATCTTCATCATCATCACCATCATCACCATCATCACCATCATCATCATCTTCTTCTTCTTCTTTTTTGTTTTCTTTGCTTGATCATTTCGATGCGTACATGAGAGTCTACCATCTTGATGCATTTGATGATTCTTGCCCCTATCATACCCGTCTGCTTATTATGTTCTTTCGTCTTCTGATCTTGTTGGATATACTTCTAGTTAGTAGTTCTATATACCTTGTTATGCTGCAAGATGAGCCATTTGCAACCAGAGCATATTGCGTCCAGTATATCTGTTGTTCGAACGACGAGATAGCATTTGTAGAAGAGAATATTGAGATACGAAGCTAAGGTTGGCCTGACAGGGCAATCTTTGAATGAGGGTTATTCGCTTAATGTGATCTCAAAGATATCTTCCGGCAGGTCGTGGTTACAAAATTACTGAAGAGAAGCATGCACATAGGTAATCAACGCAGGATACAGGATTCATCTATACCAAAAAGGGGGAATATCTACTCCGCTCTACCGCGATGCCTCAACCAACTTCTGCACTTGTCTCAGCCACTTGTGGGAGAACTCCTCCTCCGTGAACCTGCGCGCGGACCGTCTCGCCCGCTGGCGCATAGCCACCTTCTCCGGCTCCGGCAGCGCAAGTGCCGCCTCAAAAGCAGCCGCAAACTGTTCCTCCGTCTCAGCACGGAAGCCTGTCGCCCCATCACCTAGGTCCACAACGATATCCTCGCGCGGGCCACCCGAGTCGTGCGTCACGCAAATCAGGCCAGCGGCCTGGTACTCGACGACGCAAATGCCGAAGTGCTCATTCCACATGGCGTTCACACCAACGGAGGCCGTACCCAGATGTGACAGCACGGCGGGCCAACTCGCGTCGCAGATGAATGTGGTGTGGTCGCGGATGCGCAGCTCGTGCGCGAGCAGGCGGAGGTTATAGATGTGGGTTTCATCCGGGCTGGCATGGCGGACGGAGCCGATGAGGACGAGTCGTGGTTGGGGTTGATCAGCGTAGGCTGGGTTGCGGGCGCGCTCTTGCAGAAAGCGCGCGAAGGAGCGCAGGACGAGCGGGTGATTCTTCTCTGGGCGGAACTGCGCGATGTAGAGCAGCGTGGGCTGGCGGGTTTTCTCACTCTCGGCATCCACGGCGATGGTGGATTCAAGCTCGGACACAGCTGTTGGGGGGAACACGACGGCTGGCGATGAGGCGGTGCCCTCGCCGGTGCTGTTGTCAATGCTTGCTTTACCTTTACCAAGGCCCCAGAGTTTGCGAATGTGCGCTGCAGTCCAGGAGGAATTGCACATGACCACGTCGATGTGGCGGCCGACCCAACCATATAGTTGTGCGAAGAGCTGCCAGTAGCGTCGCTTGACGGTCCCCTTCAGCCCCTTGCCTGCGCCTGCATTCATACCTTGAACCCCGCTCTGGTCATCCAGAGACGCGAGCATGTCGGTTGAAATAGTCGGGTAGTGCACATATGCGCCGGTGGGCACGGCAGGGAAGAGCCACTTGCACAGTGCAAGAGTAAAAGCGTAGCCCATAGTATCAATGAATACATCTGGCACCAGCAGTGTAAAGGCATCGTAGGCAACGACCAGCGATCCCAACGACTGGCCCAACAACGTCATGTGTGGATACGAGCTGGCGACAACGTACTTGCGCGTGGTCAAGTACAGGAGCACCACTGTTGGAGCATGTAGATGGATGTTGAACCGGTTCTCGACTCGCTCCAACATAGTCGCCTTGTTCACTTCATGGTCGCCGGTATAGATGGCGCAAATCGCCTTCGGCCAACGTTTCTGTGTTGTGCGCACTGCTTCCCAAAGCACTCGTTCTCCACCACCACCGGCATTACTATAAATCTCATAGTTAGCAAACGTTCCCGCAAACAAAAGCAACTATAGCGAGCCCTACCAAAACGGATGGAAGAACCCAATGATTCCATCCCAGTCATCCGGCCTCTTTGTGCCGTCGCTACCACCGCTGTCGCTGCTGGTAGACGTCTTCACCCCACCAGGGCCGGCGCTACTATCCACCTTCTCCCAGTCCTCATCCTCAGCTGAGCTCCGGGCCAGCGAGTGTGTTGAACCCTTTGCGCGGGGCGTCTGAAGTAGCTCCTCGTCCGATCGCGCCCGCGCAATCACGTATTCACGCCGAGATCGTGTCCTTCGGCGGATCAGCCATCCCACGCTGCGAAAAACCAGCCCCAGCACGCCGCCCACAAGCTGCGGGAGAAGGACGACGGTCGTCGCAGCGATCAAAAGCGCGAAAATGGCGGTGGTCAGGATGGCCATGTTTGCGTCGATCGGGCTGTCAGCAAGGTCCGCACATAGTACCCAAGACCAAATGTGTTGTCCAGGGGAGGATGCGAGGGTGGTCGAGTAGTTGACAGGAAGGGAGTCGTTAAATGTGTCAACAAAAGACAGTAGCCCTGTGCCGCCCGCCGTTCCGATCAGTTGACGTGTTGCGTCGAGCGTAACTTACATACGCGTCACATGATGATGGGGTGGGAACTGGATTTCCGCGCGGTTTCTCCGCTCGGAGCCCTCGAGCTGTCGACGATTGGACTGTGACTAGGAAGGAATTGTCACGCTGGCGCCTACCTGCCTGCCTCCTGCTGGCCATGAACCCCCCCGGTTCCACGCGGGCATTCCGTAGGGCCCTGCCGCTGGCGGCACACTTGCAGCTCCGACACTTCCACCCAACCAAGCCAGCTCCATGGATCAACGAAGCACTCGACGCCTCCGCCGGACTCATCCACGGTGTCCACAACCTCACCGGCCTGCCATGGGTCGCCTCAATTCCCCTCACAGCCCTCCTAGTCCGGACAGCTGTCGGGCTGCCATTGCAGATGTACACCAAAATCCACGCGCGGCGCGAACGAGACATTGCGCCCCTCAAGCAGGCCTGGGGGACCTGGGCCCTCAAGCTGAAGGAGGCTTATGTGAAAGAAGGAAGAGACCCTAAGGCAGTACACAAGGATATAACAAGAGAATTCAACGACAACATAAAGAGTCTACACCACTCGTTCAAGATATCGTCGGTGTCCCGCTACGCGCCCTTCATGCAACTGCCAGTCTGGATCTCGCTCATGGAGAGTATCCGCGGGATGTGCGGGAACAAAAGCGGTCTTGTGCCGTGGCTGCTATCGCTGATTGAGGGAAACCAAGAGGCTACCGATGCCGCCGTCAACTCTCTTCATCTAACCGTCGAACCGACCCTCGCGAACGAGGGTGCGCTCTGGTTCCCCGACCTTCTGGCCGGCGATCCGACAGGCCTACTACCGGCACTACTCACAGCTTCAATTCTCCTGAATGTGCGAGCGGGTTGGAAACCCACACCGCGCGCTGACCTGGCGGACATGCCGAAGATGGAGATGTACCGGGCCATGACCTTCAATGGTCTGCGCCTTTTTATTCAGATTCTGGCGCTGAACGTGGGGTTTTCAGGGTGGTTCTATGAGATGCCGGCCGCCCTTCTGATCTACTGGATCAGCAGCTCTAATATCGCCACGCTCCAGACGTATATCTTGGGAAAGAAGATGTTTATGAAGCCGCCGATCCCAATGTCCTCGAAGCGCTATGTCGCATTCGAGAATCCCAGTGCTTCTGACCCCTTCGGTATCAAACTCCGCTGAGTGAATTGAAAAATTTCTGGCCATGGACAATAGAGCGATTCTCTGGAAGACATATGGTTCCTAGTCCCATGACGCTACTTATGAAGCTCGTCCCCCTGGGCAAATGTGGGACAGATCTCGACAGGATGAGAATTATGAACGCTCTTGTAGCAAGAGCGATGTGGCTACCTACACGCCAACCTCGAGTCGCGCGACGGGGAACCAACAAGCCAGACCAATTGTTTAGCAGGAGAAAATCATGGCTTATGCCTCCCGCCAGTGATTCCTGCCACTTTCAGAGCTTTGTTGGGCCACGAGCGCACGAGATTTTCAACCGGGAAGTGCTTTAGGCTTCGAAGACGGAGGTTTTATAACATACATCACCTATAATAACCTAAGTAACGTTAGACCACTGCTTTCAAAGACAACTAAGCCCATGGGATGGATATGAGAGAGGGACCGTTGCCCGAGTGTAAGTTGTGTCTGTAGACCTCGGTCAAGACCACTAATTCTCACTGTTGTGGGCCATTGGGCGACAAGTGCCCCCTAGGAGGGGGGGGGAGAACAAACTGCATTCGTGTTACACTTGCGCTTAAGCCTGCCGGATGTACATTTTGAGCCTCATTATATGGCCCTTTCCGTTCCAGGGTCTCCGCCAATCTAGGTATAAGGGTAGGTAGTCTCGTCCATTCGGTCAAACCTTCACTTACCTACCTCTCAAATCCGAGAACATTTTCGACTACTCCATTCTGCCTAAGGCTCGCTTCCTATATCCAGTTTTTCAATCATGTATTATTCGGCTGATTGTCACCATACCCAGAATGTCGATGCCTCTATTGTCCGACAGAATGCCTAGTGGTTCAAAGCATACATAATTCTTTCCACAGATGGTCCTCATTGTGTCTGTTGCGACTTCTACCACTCTGGACAGCATAGGAAGGTTGCCAGGTGGCACCGGGATTTGGCTGAGGCTTTCATAGGACATTGAGAAGAAATCTGATTCTTCGGAAGATTAAATTTCCTCTCTATACCGTTCAATTGAAGTTCATTATTCAGAGTCTACCGAGGTATCACTCTTATATGGGACTGTTCTGGGAGTGGCGTTCGATATGTCCGGATTGGGCGATGAAAGTTTCTGCAGCTCCATAGTTGCACAATCTGAACTCAATTCAACAATTACATCCGAATTGGTGTAGTGGCTAACATCGCCGTCTCTCACACGGCAGCCAGGGGTTCGATTCCCCTATTCGGAGTCATTTCTTTTGCTTTTTTTTTTATTTAGCAATATTTTTTTCAAACTTGATACTTGAGTGGGGTTTATGCCAGACCAGCATCATGACGACTGTATAAAATGAATTATTAGTTGTAAGAGGACATGTCGCGAGCCATCTTTATCAAGAGTGAAGGGTAAGATGAACGCTAGCGATATAATATAATTATCTACCATAGCAAGACAAGAAGAAATCGGCTGATCCGACGGGATCAGCCATGACATCAGCGACGTGGATCAGTGTAAGCCAAAGGTAATAAATAATAAGTAGACTCCCCAAAGGAATTCATGGAGGCGATACAAAAGTAAAAAGTTCCTCTCCGGTGTCAGTGACGGGGAGTGCATAGAACTTGGTCATGCCGTTGAGAATAGCTGGGTGCACATGCGTACTGCATTTTCAGTCGTCATACTTGGTCCCAATCGCCATTTTCGAGGTACAGTCCGAAGGGCGTGAGGAAGAGGTAACCATAACTGACCAAGGCAGACTCATCAACGGAACGACAGCCACGCTTCAGTCTTTTTGTAGACCCATACAAATTGCCCTGACCATGGCGGGGAGTGATCTGGGGCTCACCAGGGTGGCCACCGTCGTGACTCGGGTCCTTATCCACGCTGCCTTGAGGTTTGGCACTGTCGCCATGTTCAGGTCCGGATATGACCGCTTTGAACCCCTTTCAAGGCGATTGATGCTTGATTAAATATCCACATAAAGCTTATTTAGTCCGGTCCGCTTCCCGATAGGCACCTAGGGCCATTTTTATTGCGCAGAGGTTTATGGACATCTACTCTGTCAGGATAAGACATATGAGCTATATCAGGTTTATCCATTCAGCATGGAAATATTGTGAAGCGAAGGTACATAGCCTTCGGATTTCACGTGTGAGAATAAATACACCGTCTCGGAGATATCGAGCAGAACAGTGAGAGAGTCCTTGAGACAGTTTTACTACGCTTTGATATTGAACCTTGGGAAATTGTAAGCTTTAGTATTTCTTGCCCGTGATAGGATTTCTGCAGCATGCCGGTCAACCGAATTAAATGCAAATATGATAGAACAGCTTATGATAGATAGCGGAGATCTGTACAAAGAATGTGAAAAGCAAACGGGCACCATAATGGCCCAGCACCACCCAATCTTGACAGGGTTAGTATCGCAGTAAAGGGAGGTTGCATCTGCACTCTTTAGCCCATAATCTGCAGGTTCACTATACAATTGTTTGTAAACAGCAGCCAGTAATGAGGAGCCGCCGTAGCCCAAGCCCTTACTCTAGAATGTACGACCGAGTAAAATCAAATTAGTTTACAGCTTCGCCTTAGGGGGTTCCTCTGAAGCGGTAGCCTCCTTGTTGATCTCGACAGTGCCGGTGCGGGAATCAGGGCCTTGGCCAAAGAAGATAACTTCGACAGTGACATCATCACTGGAGGAACAGGTCATTAACAGTTTATCCAGGGCAAACGAGGGCAAAATTCACATACCGGTATCGGCGAGAGTATGGGCTTGGCAGTGTCAACAGGGCACAGACCATATCCTTATCCTTCCCACCCATGGCATTGCGCACGAGATGAGTGGCTGCATTCTTGTCCTCGACAACAAATCGGCTCGCTGCGCCAGAGATATCATATTGCTGTTGGCGGATTGGGCGGCGCTGGCCCTCAGTAGATTGACCCTTGGCCGGTTCGACGGGCAATTGCTTTTGGCTGTCGAAGCTGAACCAGCTTTGCAGCCAGGCCTTGGATCCACCACTACCAGATTGCTGTTGCTCCAGCCATTGACCAACCAGACCAACAACTTCCTCATTGCTCAGCATCTCCCAGAGACCATCAGTGGCCATGACGATAAAGTCGCCTTGAGAGGGGTCCATCTTGGTAGTAGTAATGACAGGCTCAGCGGTAACATAAGGGGGAGTCTTCAAAAGGGGATGGGGTGTTCGGCCGAAAAACTGTCGTTTTATCTTTAGTTGAACGTCCTTGCTCCACTTGTAGAAAGCATCACCGAAAGCACGGCTAGGCTCTAGGCCACCCAGGATGCGGCCATTTCTGGTAACATACTGCTCGCCTGGGTGTTCTTCTTGTAAGCGCTTCACTTCAGAAGGGGTACCGCCGGTAAGATCTTCAGACAGAGCGGTGGCAGTCCATTTTCCATTGGGGCCTCGGCGACCGAGGACTGCGCGCGAGTCACCGGCAACCGCAACTTTGAGATCCTTGGATTGAGAGTCATAGAAGCTCAGAAGAGCGCAAGAACCCGAGAGGGCGGGTGCGAGGAGCTCAGCAGCCATGCGACGCGAGTTAGATTTCAGAACCTTGTCCACGCTCTCATGCACAATATCGTAATCGAGACGGACAAAGCCCTGCTTGATGGCATTGTCAATTGCCTCGGACGATGGTACTAGTACTGCTGGGTCGGCCGCAGCAGCCTTGTACGTGGTATTGAGCTCTCGCGCAACGTACGAAATAAGGACATTTCGCAACTTGGCGGATGTCGTCCAACCCCTATTTGGTAGTTAATATAGATTCACGTACATTCCGACCCAAGGAAATACTCACGAATGACCATCGAAAACCGCCCAGAACATCCAGTCGCTGTTCGGCTCTCCATTCGTGTTGGCCGCCGTGGATGATGACACCTCGACTATCTTCTCTGCATGATCGTCCTCAATGGGCGAGTTGCTCGGAACCTGAACGATGTCGTATCGAACCACCCCCTTGCCTCTGTTCACCAAATATGACTCCTCATTCTTGCGCAGCTTCTCTGTAGCTTGTTCCGGCGTCAACATGTTTAGAACGCGTCGATCGGAGTCGTCGGTGTTTTTCGACAACGGCTCGTCTCCGGAAAGGGTTGCGGTGTAGAACTGATCGTTGCTCACGAGAAGAGCTCGGCGGGTCGACTCTGATGGGTTCTCAGCGTGAGCAGATGTGATTGCGCTCGAGGCAAATCCTCGAATCTGTGTTGCTAGTGACTGTGCTGTGCCGTCACCTCGATACGCATACCACGCTCCAGAGGCGACAACAGTCGAGATAACGGCAAGCGAGAACCTGCGGAGATGCATGGAGGACTGCGAGGCCGCTGGAGCTAGGAACGGGCGTCGGCCTCCCGAATATGATCGCAGACCTCGGCTCGAGTGGTGGGTGAGGGTGAGCGAGCACGGCCGCTTACTGGCGAATTTCCATACTGGTGCACGCCGAGCAGTACGGAACGCCTGGACAGCCGCCCGACGCATTGATTCTGCCGGGTATCAACAACTGAGGTATGCCCTTGCGATGCGGGACCGTATTTGAAGCCCCCTTAAAAGACAACTCCGAGGGATCAAGTGGAGAACAAAAGGAAGCTGGGGAATGCGCGAGCGGCGTGACCGTCAGATAAGGAGTCACGTGTGGCAGCAGGCCCTCAGGCACCACGCTAATCCCAATTAGGTCCATTTTCGTCATTCCCCGCGGAATCGTTGCATTTCGTTGTGCTCACCTGCGGCAGATTGGTGCAATTTCAATCGTTCCTGTCGCCTGGCGCGAGACCTTGAGATGTCTTCTCGTGCAATCCGCAAGCTTCAGAAGCTGCGCGAGCAGGAGCTGCAACAGGAACAAGAGCAGCAAGATGAATCCAGTGACGACGAACCCCCGCGCCCCGCGAAGCCAAAATTCAACGCTTTCGATCTTCTGGATGCCGGCGACAATGACAATGACGATGACACAGAACCCGATGATGAAGTTTCAGAACCTGTGATACAGCAAACAGAACCAGAGCCTGCGCAGACAGAAACCAGGAGTGGCAGCAAGAAAAAGAAGAAGAACAAGAAGAACAAGAAGAAGGCCAAATCGGCGGCGCTGGCTGAAACGGAACCTATTCAATCTGATGCTGAACTGGATGAGATCGATCGAGCTCTGAAGGACCTCGCCACAGGTGGTCAAATGCCAGCTGGAGTTGGTGCAGCGGCTACAGTCAAAGATACCCAAGATGCCTCATTTCCCCAAAGCACCGCTGAATTACTTGCGGTCGATCCCAAGTTTTTGAATGCGACGAACGAGATGAAACGGCTGTTTGGTAATGTGGTGCTGGAAAACTTTGACCAGCCGGCCGATACGGGCACTGGCCGTCGACGGGATCGCAATCGGGAGACGGTTGACCTTGGTCGAGCTCTGACGGGACAATACAGCCCAGCTAGCAGAGGCCAGAGCTTAGCTGGTGTGACATTACGGCGAAACATCCTTATGCAAGGCAAGGATGAGTGGCCTCGAGCACCGAGTGGTGGACTGGGCATGGAGCTTGAGAAGAAGCTCGCTTCAGGAGATACACTCTACCGGATTGTTCACAATGCAGCCTATGAAGATGTACAAAGACAGTTTGAGCTTTGTGTTGAATCGATGGACCCGCAGCGGCTAATCCACCATCTTCAATACAATCCCTATCATATCTCCACCCTTCTTCAGGTCTCTGAGATTGCGAAACATCAGAGTGATCATGCTGTCTCCGCTGACCTCCTGGAGAGAGCCTTATTCAATATAGGGCGCTCGGCCCATTCTTCATTCAACACAAGGCTTAGAGAAGGCCAAGCAAAGCTGGACTTTTTGCATACGGAGAACCGTGAGTTGTGGCTTGTCGGTTGGAGGTATATAGCAAACTTGGGCATGAAGGGGACATGGAGAACTGCGTACGAATGGGCCAAGCTGTTACTAAGCTTGAATGACTCCGACCCCTACTGCATGAAGCTGCTGATCGATCATCTTGCTCTCCGTGGTCGAGAGTATACCCAATTTGTGGATTTATGCACCAAAACACGGTTCAGTCGTGATTGGGCTGATCTTCCAAACATCCAATGCTCGTTGGTCGTGGCTTATTTGCGGCTGAACAGGCCCCAGGACTGCCGCCGGCAGCTTCACCATGCCATGTCTCGCTATCCATGGATGTTCAACAGGCTAGCCCAAGAGCTGGACCTTCAGCACATCCCTAAGCAGATCTGGGGCAAGATGCCTCCTACTGGATCTCACGAGCTTCTTACCGAACTCTACATTTCGCGTGCGAAGGACCTTTGGAACACACCGGAAGCTGTTGCTCTTATTGTGGAGGTTGCTGATACTCTTTCCGGCGATGAAGAGTCTATTGAGCCGCCGGAGATTACTTTGGATATCGCCCGTCATGTTATCCTTTCTGATATTCCCAAAGTCACAACCCATCTCCCCAACCGCTTCGTGTCAGGCCGAATGTCTGCTTCAGATCCCCTTCCACCATATGAGTCCGAGGCTTTCCGTCAGCAGGATGACCCAACACCGTCTTACCTCGCACGAGTTCCAGAAGGTGCACGGCCGCAGTGGCTCCGTGACCTTCTCGATCAATTACACAATGGTGGTGGTATTCGCTTCCCCGGTTTCCACGGGGGTGGCGATGAAGAAGATGGCGATGATATCCCGCAAGACGGAGCTGAGGACGCCGGTGGTCGTGTACGCGCCTTGGCTGGCGATCAGCAAGTCCTCGAGCAATGGCTCTTACAGGATGGTTTGGAGTCATTGCAGATGTTCCTACATGAATATGGAGTTGATCGAGGGAATTGGGGGGATGTGGTGGACTACGCTCCGCTGACGGATTACCTGGAAGCCCTCCAGGAAATCCAACCTGAGACATCTAGGCAACGACTACTACACGGTCCAATTCAGGAGGTAATTGGGGAGTTTGCGGTTACCATGCTCCAGGATGAACTGGAGATGTTAGAGGAAGAGGTGGTGTCAGACGGTAGCGGCTGAGACTGGGCTTAGTGCCCGTACAAAATTAAACCGATCAATAGAACACCTATGACAAAATGGTCATAAATTGAGAAGTCCGATGTTGTAAACAACAACAGGGAGCACAAAGTAAACCAAAGTTGCTCTGAAAATCACGCCGGATGGATTTAAGAATGTATAGGTCACGGTAGCGGTTAAGTTCCGAGAAAGACTATATTAATTTGTCCGGGGTTTGATTTTAATGGTGCTAATACTGCTAATTGGCGCTGTTTGATCTGATGGCACACCTCGCTGCTTGAAAGCGAAATGGTGCCGTAGAAGATTGTAACCTCTACAGGGGAAGCCCCGGCGGGGTGCTAATCATCACCTAGAACGGCATGCATCCGTGTGGGTGGAGGTTGGGGTTCGAGAATTTTGAACCTTCCCTGTCTTTACTGAGACACCTCATGTGTGTGGGAATATCTGTACACCGTATGGCGGACAATTCTCAAGGTCGACGACTTACGTGCTCTAGAAATACAGAACATGATCTTCCGAGTGCACTCCGCACTGTCACCTGCAACATACAGACTGACATCACTTGATACAATGCAGATCTGCATTCATAGTAGGTTGACTGAGGTTGAGCCAAACACTAGCCTGTAGAAAATAAATTGAGGTATAGCCCCGTTCTTTAAGAAGATAGAAAAGTTAACATCCAACCTTTTGACATACCAAAAAGAAGCAAGGTACAGGAAACAAGGAAAACAAGGATTGATCGCATGCATGATGTATCCTTCATCGCTCCTCCTTGCCGCCTTACCATACCTGATATTAGCATTGCCGCGCGACAAGAATCGACTGGCAAAACGCGACAGCACTCTGATTCCGACAACATGTTTCGACTCCACCTCGTCGCTTACAGAATATTTCAACTACAACTACCCATGGGGCGACACCCACAGCGGTGCCGCGATTATGCAAAGCTCCAACGCGGTGATCTCGACCGTGGGGACCCTGACTCTGAATGCGACGTACACCGGAAACTCAGACTACGCCTATGTTTACGGAACTGTCTACGCGAAACAACAGTTTACCGTCGAAACATCAGGTGGCTTGGACTTCTCCGCCGACTTCATCGCTCCGGTCGAAACGGGCACATGGCCTGCTTTCTGGCTGAATGGCGTGAACTCGTGGCCTCCGGAGGTTGATATCGCTGAGTGGAAAGGCACTGGGGATATCAGTTTTAACACCAACACCTCGAGTGAAGTAACAGCGGATGATGTTGTCTACCCCAATCCAACAGACTTCCACACGATCCCTGCGGAGCTGCGTGATGCGAATGGAAGCGATGTGCGCATTAGCTTCTACCTTGACCGGACGCTCATTACTACCCAATACGCTGCGGGACTCGTTGGGCAGCCTTTAAACCTGATCATTGATTTACAGATGGAAGGAAGCAGTGGCAGCACAGGACCTACAGGAAGTAAGTTTTGTGTTATCCGTTGCTCACAATATATCCCATTCTACAGTGCTTTAAGCCTAAGCCAACGTATTCACTATAGCAACGCTATACCAGATAGCGAATCTAGAGGTGCTGGACAAGAACTCCTGATCGAATCTTCGAGTGCCATCATTCTTGCTTCGAGTTCGGCGAACTCAATTTTGACCAAGGCCTAAACTACGTATATACCTCTCCAGTATTCGTCGCTGAGCGAGCCATAGCTTGCCTTGATCCTGATATTCTAGCAATCAACCATACAAGATCCATCAATCCGTAATTTTTCAGGTAGACCTTGATAACCACACTGGTGCCATTCGCGGGGGGTTATGACATGAGCTTATGACGCGGAGTGGCTGCATAGCTAGAAGAATCAACATTCAAAGGCTCATGCAGGCAATGGACATCTTCTTGGTGGTCGAGGGAGTTGAGCCCCAACCGACTGCCTGTGAAAGATCCCAGTCCATGCTGACATAGGGCCAGCAAATGCGACCATCCTTCATAGTGACCATGTCACCCGCGACATAGACATCAGTGCTCTTCAACGCAGCACCAACCTTGCTGCCTTGCGAGTTCACCTGTTGGAAGAATGTTCCAGCAAACTGGCCCCGGCAGCCCATGGCAATATAGTCACAGGTCGGGTTCGAGATTTCTTCCCAGGTGACCAGCGCCGAGCTGTTGCCAAAGGTCGCTGCGTGGGCGTTAGAGCAGTCATTCGATCCATGGGTCACCCAGTTGACCTGGCTGTCTCCGTCTTCAGTACCGACCTCGGAAGTTGCCTGGGCGCCAACCTTGGTGTACTTGTTGGAAAACAGGGAGATGGCAACGTTCCGGCCATCCGTGCGATTGCTAACATGGGTGTACCCGTCTCCCATCCAGGTGTTTTCGGTTACGTCGATAGCTCCACGAGACACCCAGGCGAAGATGTAGCGGGTAGTATTCGCAAAACGAGCCAGCGCGCTATAGCTACCGGACATGCCACCCATAGGCTCACCAGAACCACCGTTCGTAGTGTTCTCGTTCGAGATCTTGACTCCATCGTTCGTCATGCCTTGCGTCTTGGTGTTCAGCCAGATAGCTCCCTGGTCCTCGGCACAGATACTGGCGAAGGGGGCTTGATCGGCAGCCTCGAATGCAATGCCGGTGTTGTGGCTGCATCCCCAGGAGCTCGATGCGCCGGTGATGGTGTCAAGTTTTCCAGCATTGGTAACATACTGGATGCTGTCGCCGAAGTGACCCGAGGCATAGCCAGTATAATCAGTAACGACAAAGTATGCGCCGTAGAGACCTTGACTCTCGGAGTAAACGAGATCGCCATTCATGTCAGGGGAGGAGGCGAGTCCCTCGGAGGCGTGGACTCCAGGTCCTCCCAGCCAGGTCTTCCAGGTCTGCTCTCCGTCTGTATAGCGATACAGTACCGCAACAGGTGTATCGCTCGGTGGCGCATTTGTGGTGCCCGATGGCATGGCTTCGTTGGTCAGCAGTGCGAAGCCATCGTTGTGAGCCACAAGGCCGCCAGCTGTGTAATGCTATCAGTTATGACCTTTCGGACAGGATAAAGAGGCTACCAGACCTTCTTTGCCACCGGTGACGGTCACCGAAGTCCCAGTCGCCTTGAATGTCGTGGGGTCCAGCTCTTGCACATGAACGTCTGTCTCGCTGGAATCAAGATATGCAATGTAGGCAGACTTTCCATCGGGGGACACAGCGAAAGGTGTGCGGCGGTGATGAGGATAGCCGGTCCAGTAAGCCTCTTTGACAGGATTGAAGGCATTGTCGAGTGCTAGCACATCGACGTGGGTTTTGAGGCTTGAGTTGGTGAGACTAGCAGAGGCGCCCAGCGCCGCAGAAAGCAGAGAAAGAATGAAAGTCCCACGCATTTTGGGAGGATAGTCGGTGCTACTACTTTTTGGTCTGATCTCTCGAGTGTAGACTTTTAGGAATTCTATAGCCTTTATGAATCCTGTGCCACCGAAAACCAGGAGAGGCCTTTACGGCTCAATACGACGAAGGCCTCACTAAATGTCTTAGAGCGAGTCGTATCGGGACAGCGGTGGTTTCATCCCCTGCCAAGAGTTCCCCTAATGTAGACTATTGAGTTCCTGCACAGTAGGCGCTACCGGAAAGGGGGTATTGCCGGGCCTCTTGAAACACTGTTTCACCGTCATTCATGCGGAACCCCCGCAGCTTAAATTTCCATTAAGTTACTTATAGCGAAAGCTTTCTTTGCGATTAACTTCCTCTAGCGCCGACCGTCTTCTAGCCTATGGCAATCACGTCGCGGCTGCGTTTCGGTAGGATCTAGATCATGAAAGGATCGACTTGGCCCTTTCAATCTCGGTCAGGGGAAATAAGGTTTCACGTTAAACATATGTTTGCGCTGGCGTCATTTAGTGGAAACTACGTCCATAGTTTATACCCAATCCACGCCCCATTTGGGAAAAAAATGTTAAAATAACAACTACTGCACGGTCTCCAAGTTCAACACTAACCTAAATCTATATCGTCACAGTCATAATGTGTGATAAAAAAACATTTCATTGATAATCTCCTCGTGGAGACCATCAGCTAAGTCGGTCAGCTGGCTCTCCACCTCACCAAGTGGCCATTCCGTGTGTCGACCTGCTCTCAAACGGTCGGTCTTGTACGATCCCCTGATTATTCAAGTACTTTCTTGGTAATTTCTGGGAGCTATCATGTACAGTGTTCTCTCGTAATGACTCTATAGATGTCTGCTGAATGTGTTAATGGTCTGGACTTTCAGTCCGAAAACTGTGATCTATCTCGTAGCATGGCAAGCTATGAGAGTAAAAAAAAACTGGTATGTCTTTTATTAGAAAAATTGACAATTGCCTCTTTCTTCTTTCGAAGGCGAATTGTTAAGTGTAGAGAGAGAGAGAGAGATGTTATTTACAACACCCAAAGATACTATGGAGTTGTGACTTTCAGGATATTCCAATGTAATCTAATTAGCTCTTGAAGACTGCTATTTACGCCTATATGAGTATTAATGATAAATATCGAGCGGATATAGACACCGACTGTTTACTTGCTAGCGCTCAGGTAGGACGCGGGTATGCGGTACTGCACTTTCTGGTAGTCGAAGTTGGTTCTGCTTTGGTGGGCTTCTTTCCCGAGCACCACTACGGAGTAGCTGTGGCTGCATGAACCGCGACCTACAATATGTATTATGTAGGGCTGAGGCTATTTTGTCATATCGCCCTCCTCGCATTGGCTGCAGACTCCCGATGATGCATGCACGCTTATCATCTGAGCGCGACGCCCGGCCGGGCAACATTAAAAGGCTGAGTCATCCACCTCCGCTTCGCAAGTGCTCGTGCGCTAATACAGCAGGAGAAAATAAATCTTCTTATCTCGAGAAGGCTCACTTCGACCTATATCGAGTTCCCATTGTGGCCCATGAGCCCCGCGCAGCCTGCATTGTTGCTCATATTACCTTGGGATTGACCCGAATCGATTGTGTCATAGGAGAATCCACGATCGCATTTTTCTCTTAGCTCGGCCGCCTTATCTTTGAGCTCCGCACTGAAAATTGCTTTGGTTCGACGCACACCATGGCGCTTGCTGAGATCCTGAGCAGCATGTCGCGAGAGGATCCCGTCGCTCTGACGCCTCGCGAAGCAGCGTCCGGCCTTCTGGGCTCGGTGTCCATGACTTGCTGGCTTTTCCTACTAGTATGAGCACCACCTCCATGATCGTGTCGCTCCGTGCGCCGCACGGAGCATTTGGGCGGTTACCCCTCCAAAGACGCGAGGAAAATCCTTCGATAGACGCGCAAGGAAATGGTTGCTACAGCTTTCTGACCTATGATATGCGCAGGTACCACAACTCATCGAGAACTATCGCAACGGGAACGCGGAGGCTATCTCCCTCCTCTTCGTAGTCGTCTGGTTCATCGGCGACGTGACAAATCTCCTCGGCGGCATCCTAGCCGGCCTAGTTCCGGTCATCATTTCTATCGCCGTATATTTCTGCATTGCAGATGGTGTTCTGATCGCTCAATGCCTCTACTATAAGGCGCGTAACGCCCGCCTCGAGAGCCTCCGCCGCCGCCGGCGCTCGTCAACCGCGACAGCCGATCCCACCACCCCGCTCCTCGGCCGGCGTTTCAGTGACAGTTTGGTGCCTCCCCAGGGCCGACGGAGGTCATCGGGCTCGTTGCGAGGCTACCAGGGCGCGGGTCGACGCGAAAGCCAGGTTGAAGATCCATTGGCGAAGATCGTGGAGGAAAACGAGTACGGGGGTAAGGCATGGCTAAAGAACTTTATCAGCGTTCTTGGTATCTTTGTAATCGGTGTGGCGGGGTGGACAATGGCCTGGCAGGCGGGTATGTGGGCGCCGGCGCCGCAAACGAACAGCAAGCCTGTTGATATGGCGACTGGGGGACAGATTTTGGGATATGCCAGTGCTGTGTGCTATTTGGGGTAAGTTATACACCGAGTCCATGGAAAGAACAAAAGGCACTGATACTGGCTACAGAGCGCGATTGCCTCAGATCTACAAGAACTACCGCGACCAGTCCTGCGAAGGTAATTTGTTTACTTGCACATTGATGAAGTGGTACTCTAGCTAACTGGAATCCTCAGGCCTTTCGCTCCTTTTCTTTATTCTCTCCCTCTTGGGCAATCTCACATATGGCGCCGGAGTATGTGTTCTTCCAACCCTTTCTCGCTGACAAGACAACTCACACTTGTTAGATCCTGTGCCACTCGACTGACCCTCAGTATGTTCTTACCAATCTGCCTTGGCTGATTGGATCACTGGGAACCATGATCGAAGATGTTGTCATTTTCATTCAGTTCCGCATCTACGCGTCTGAGGAGCCCGGTCCCGCGATCTCATGATTTTCTTTTCTTCCTCGTTTTAATAGCTCCTGTTACTGACGATGTCATCTGGCGACTTGTTTGATGGATAATGAATAGCTCTCAGCGCTTTGGGAGGCATGGCTGTTGAATGTTTTTGCGTTAAAAGGTTGGTTGGAAGTTGGATCTAGTTCTTGGGAGGGCGAGTATGGCGCTTGTTCTTGGATATGTGGATGAACACGCCATGCCATATACATACATATTAGCATTGAGGTTATCGACTTGATAAAAAACACCCACTCCCCCAATAGCTTAATTGTTTTTGTGAGATGACGACTAGTCTAACGTTCTCTGCTGTCTTCAACGACTCTTCTTTGCGGTAGTGTTCAGTCAACCACCCGCGCTGATGCTGGGACCTTACTGGGATACGAACACCTTGAGTGTTTATGCCAGTCGGTTGAATATCAAGTCGTGGCTGGACGGGTTTCACAGAATCCCCTGCTCGAAACTCGTCGGCCAACCCTTTGCGTTTTTGGTCACCGAGGATTCCGACTACATCCTTTTGAAACATCTATCAATGCTTAAAGACCCAGAATGAGATTGCCAGGGGTTGCGGAACACGGTCCACCTAGTATCGACGATGGACTGTACGCTTCAGAAGCTCGAGCTGAACAGCAAGGAGCCGAAACTCCAGTGCAACGACCATTTTTACTCAAGTTTTTGTTCAAGCTTCTACCCAGATTTCGGCTGTGGGCTGAAGCTCGGTGGAACATGGTTTCTCAGATACCAGCTGTGGAGACCAGGCCGTGCCAGCTTGATACTCGCATCCTAGCGCGCTTTTCCAACATAAATTTGTCTTCCCAAGTTCTTTTATCCTATCAGGATCTTTAGAGAGAGCGGGGCCTTCCTAGTGCAGTGCCCTCTGCCAGGTAGACAGACCTGCTGCACCTAGTGCCTGATCTGCGGGGCTACCAAGGAACTGTCCGTTCAGTATTCTCATCCCAGGTCTTCTTTTGAGAAAAATACGCGATTCGTGCTGCCTGCCCCAGCCAGATTACCCCAATCAGAGTCTCTAAACGGAGCGGGGTTTGCTTTTGGTAGCTAGCTGTTGGCGATTCCAGCATGGCGCCCGAAGCATACAAATTATGTGCAGCGAAGATGGCAAATTTACAACATCAGACAGAGACTTGTGGAGGAGCAACATGCCATTTGTAACTTTATAGACCCAAAGAAATCGCGCTAGGAGAGAACTTTCTAATTGGCCTGCAAGATCGGCTGCTGCATGATACTTTGCAATATCGCAACGGGTGTAACCCTTCTCCGGAAAAACACAGGCCAACAGATAAGTTATGTGAGAGAATTGCGCAGATCATCTCAAGAACCGAAGTATCAATGTCGCCACCATGAATGGAACCTAACAGCTCAAAATTTCAGACTAATGGAGGCCTCTATAGGCTACAAACCTCACGTCGCCAGGTTTGATGGAGTCAGTACATACACCAGAGCCTCATCAGCCACGGACCCACCGACCCACAGATACGAACCGGGCAATCCGCACACGGGCTCGTTTCCAATAAACGCCACGAGATACGACTCGGACGCCATAAATCAGCGACTCTCGGGGCACTGTCATTGGTGTGATATGCCTGTCTCAAAAGTCAGCGCAAGCACAGAGGCAGCAAAAGAAGCGCCCGTCCGCAAGAAACACCCGAAGTATCTGTCGTTCCCGAACTTAGGGATCACTTGCAAAAATAATCAGCACCAGCGTTATTTCTTATGTAATATTGGGACCTGTGATTTACTAGATTGTGAACGGTGATAACTACAATTACTTTGCGGCGGTCGCATACATGTCTGACTATGAATGGCGCTCTGAGAGACACAGATTCATACTACCTCTCGTTAAGTTGTATCCTTTTTCCGACTATCAACAAGACCAATCAGCACAAACACCCTTAGAGACACCAGACCGCAAATCATGTTCTCAAACTAGCTATTAGCTACAAGATCGCACATGATAATTTGACATTCTTCCCTTTCTTATCAAATCCCAAATATTTGTCATCCACTACCGTAGCAATAACAAACTGCCTCCGAACCTTGTCCGGTCCCGTGCAGTCAAAAAATACCTGGAGGTCCTCTTCCCAGGTAAGCTCCTCCTCCGTCTTCCCAAGTGCCTGGAGAATCGGCAGTCGTTCCTCTTTCCACACTCGCTTCATCTGTTGCCTCAAGGCCGGTTCCGCAAAAAGCTCTTCACGCCGTTCAAAGGCGTTCCACTCGATGCACCAGAAATCAACGTGATCTCCATTGGGCAGTTCTAAGTCGTTACGCTCGTAGCGATTCACTGGAACTTCTCCCAAGCCACTATTTGATCCTCCGGGCGCATAGTGGTCAAGAAATACAGGGAGCCATAGAGGGCGCTTTGAATTATGAACAAAGATAAGCTCCCAAGCAAGAGTAGGGACAGCCCCATCGTTGCATCATGTACAGCTGCTTGGGAAGTCTCCAGATAGACTGTTCAGACAGTGGCCTTTCCAGAAGTGGTGAAAGCCGTCGGCTCAATTCCGACGCCTCGGATGTACAGGTGGCCTTGATGGCCTTGAATTTGTCGTCCGAGCATTCCTCTACAGTTGGTCAAAGCTAGATATACTAGTAACAGACGTATGAAGCCAGATGGACTCACGTCATAGGTAAAAGACTTGCTTGGGATCCTCTTGATCCACGCAGCAATAGCTGCGACCGCCAATTGGGGCGTCAACTCCTTCAGTAGATCTCGCAGTATCGCCAGGCTCTTGAACCAAGCTTTATCCGAGGGATGTTTCGAGTTTCCCAGATCTGTTGCGGAGTCGCGCAAGTTCAACGAAATCATACAAGACATTGCGATGCAAAGAAAATCGTAGCTCAAAGACGCATGGGGGAATGACAGAAAGAATGGTGACGCAGGCGTTGGGGGCTATATATATTCCCAAACAGGTGACCGTATAACCACCAAGTAAACGAACTTATCACCTCGTGATGATGACTAACGGGGCTTGGCGGATGCAGAATAGTGGTGGTCAAGGGTTCCGGGCGGTCAAGCGGCGCCCTGCCGCTGGAAGTTACGGGTGGAAAGGCGGCCGTTTCTGGCGGCAGAAGCTATCATTTTCGGCGTCGTTTTCACAGGTCCCTTATATTCTAGTTGTAAATATAGAAGCAGGGTTCGAGTCTGTCCTCGGAATAAATATACACTTGGCTGTTTGACAGTCTTGATCACAGCAAGGCGCCGAGACTTTGACTCGTCAGGTTAAGATAATGCGATGTGTAGGACTGTATGAATTGCGAGTCCTAGTATCCATGAGAACATGGTGGTAAACTCAACTCCAGACGTCCAATGCGAATGGTGGATCTACTACGGCCTACCTCACCTGAAACGGTTGAAGAACTACGACGATACTCCGAAGCAGAATCACAGACAGCATTCCTTGGTTCATGGTCACATGAAAAAGGGCAGGCATGAGCGGAGTAGATCATCGACGAGGGAAACACATAACCACAGCATACATCTCTACCTGCCAGACCGGAAACGTGTCGTGGGCATGGATTAATCAGAATAAAAGGTGTGCCAAACGTCTTTCTTCAATTCCCCTATAGTCCTGGAAGCAACGATAGTTTCGGTATCACAATGGCAACCGATCGAGTCTAGCCCCGTCACGTTGTGAATCGAAGCCAACCCGAGCACCCAGTCTCCATTGAATGTCCTTGTCCGTTTGAGCCTTTTGCTATTTTCTTTTTTTCTTCCCCGTGATCTTGATCTTCGTGGGGTCGTGAAGTATGTATCGAGTACAAGAGAGAATCGTCGAGGGAGCCATGAGGCGGAGGCGGAATAAAAGGTGAGGTAAAGAGCAAAAAGGAAACGAGTTTAAATTTGGGAGAGCTAATGCGCTTAGTCGAACAGACCGAAGCCCATGTCCTCGTCGGACTCCTCCTTCTCTGTGCGGGAGTCAGCAATCGATTCGCTCTGTGTACATGATTCACCGGTCGAAACTTACCCTCCTCCTTCTCCTCGGCGGCAGCCTCGGCGGGGGCGGCAGCACCACCAGCGGCGGCGGGGCCAGCGGCGGCGACGGGGCCACCAGAGCCGACGTTGGTCAGGAGGTCCTTGACGTCCTTGCCCTCGAGAGCCTGTAGATTAAATTTTGTAAGTCACTGGACTAGGGACCGTCGGGTATCGATGCGGGTTCGGGTGTCGCAGAGAAGCTATTTCTCTGGTGAAGACAATGATGCAGGTGCTGAGTATTTACCTTGGCGAAGATGGAGGCCCAGATAGGCTCAACCTCCTGAATCTTGGAGGCAGTCAGGATAGTCTGGAGCTTCTCGGCCTATATGAAGATATTCAGTTAGCCAAACAATTTTTTTGTAGTGCGCTGTTGAAGTCAAAGTTCGCATGTCATAATCCTCCAATGTGATTCGAATTCTCAACACAGAAGAGCTCGCTCTGCGACTTGTTTGACATCCTCCACGAACTTGGAGCCTCAACAGCCACGGGAGACGGGTGCACGTACGGTGATCTCAATGCCATCATCGGCAAGGATCAGAGCGGCGTAGGAGACAGCGAGCTCGGCGGTAGACATTTTGTCGACGGGTGGTGTTGACCGGACTGGGTGTCTTGAAGATGAAGATGGGAAGGGAGAGAAGAAGGAAAGTGTATCGCAAAGGCCTATCCGAACAGGGTAACCGGCCCAGCGGTGTGTGGGAAAAAGCCCTCGCTTAGGGCTTTGCCAAGTACGGTTTAGCGCCTATCTGTCCCCGTGACTCGACGACTTCCACCGCGCTAGACCCTATCCGGCTACAGGCCTTGATGACATAATGCCGGAGTAATCAGCCCGTATCGCAGTGCGATATCAATCGGTTCCGTACTGACATCACAACGTGTGGGGTTACCTGTGATACTCCTCGTCTTTCTCCCGCGTCCTCTTCTCAACTCTGGTCGCTTCTTGCCTACATAAGTCCCCTTGCCTCGGATTTCACTGTTGCAGCTACCTCTGCGCCTCTGGCCATGGAGTCCCCCGCAGTACCGGTCCCGCTAGATCCGCGGGAGCAGCCCATCCTCGAGCGCCTGCTTCGGTCCCGCGATGCCCTCCTCCTGCTGAAACAAGACAAGTCATCTTACATCAAATCCCGCGATGTGCTCCCACTGTATGAGGAGGTGACTGGAGAAGTCGATAAGCTCAATGCCGCTCGCAAAGAACAGGACCGCCGCTTAGTACATAACCGATGTAGGTCCCGGAAGTGGCACGCCCGGATCGGCTGGAGTGTAGCTAACCTTCCATGGCTTTTCTAGTGGACTATGTCTTAGATGATTGCTTCCAGTTGATCTCTCTGCTCTTTTTGACTGTGGGCAAGAACAATGAAGCCCCAGCAGTGTGAGTCGCCACTACCCCCAGAAACCCAGGTCCTTATCTCACATCTTGGTCAGATATTCTCTCGCAGCCACCATTCAGGTACCTCAGCGAAGCTTGAATACCGTTTCTTTCCTTCTAACCTGTTCTTAGCGCCTCCTCGACCACCTCGAAGAAGCTGGATTTTACAGCTCTAAAGATCTGAATTCCATAACCAAAACCCTTGAGTCGATGCGAGAGACCCTTGACCGCGGGCGCAATACCTACTCTCCCGCTCTCCTCACTCTTCTCGAAAGCCGAATGGAACATTGCCAACTATCGTTGGAAAAGTTGCAAAAGGGGCTTGCTGTTCTTGCGCCGGGTCTAGTACAGACGCATGAGACACTAGTATCTATCCTCCGGTCTACATCTGCCGTCAATACCCGTTCTAAAGTATACTGATTTCCCCAAAAAGGATACTTTGCTCAGATTGACTGATCATCTTCTTTCCTTTAGTTCTCCGCTGCAGAAGTGCATAATCTTCAAGAACAGCTAAAGAAGATTGAGAAAACCCTCAAGGATGGCAAGTTTGTGGACGCCGACGGCAATGTTCAAGCCGGATCGGACGACCTGAAATCCTTGATGGAGCGCTGCTGGCGATGGACTGAAACTGTTCTCGAGCGGTATGCTGATCGCCTTCTCTTTACTATTGGCAACAACTAACAAAAATACAGAGAGGGCAAAATTGACGAACGGTTCCAGGAACAATACGACCGCCTTGTTGAGATTCGCAATCAGCTCGACCGACTGTCTGTGACTCAAGCTTGGTCGCTCCGGGAAACTGATCTGTTCGGATACCAGCGGAAGCTTGATCGAATTGACGAGGCACGAGTGAACGGCAACTTTGTCGATGCCGAAGGCCAGCCAGCAGATCTTCATGCGCAAAGGGTAAACACCTGCACTCCTAAACCTCCATCTCCACGCTCTCCTCTAATTTTGCATCCAATTAGACATTGCTTTACCTGATCCGACGCAGCTATGCATACATTTACGCTCTTTTGATTTCTTCTGAGCCCGTGTCTGAGGCGCTGTTGCCAGTCTACAACCAGCTGCAAACTCTTCGCAGGTGTCTCATTGAAGTCAAGGAATCTGGAGGCGTGTCTAACTCACGCGAACTCTACCCTTACAGCATGAAAGTATGGCTGTCTCCTTTCCCTCTTTTCGTCATATGCATCTACTCAGGTACTAATGGAAGCAGCTTAATTCGATTGATAATATGCGGGTTGACGGCAAGTTCTACGTTGGACCAGATATTCCGGAAGGCCAAGGCAGCGTCAATGCTCTGCTCGCGGAATGTTACGACCTGGTTTGGGAGCTGCGGGCTGCTGTAGCCGAGGATGACAGCCAATCTTAGGCCACCATTCCCCGTAGCCTCTCAGACCTCTCTTTCTACTTGACAATCTCGAATCCTATTGCGCAAGGACAGATGATCCGCGAAACGCCCTCGTCTGCTCTGTGACTTAATGCTTCTACTTTATGGCCTTTTTTTTCCTTCCAGTTCTTGGTTTTTGATGACATAGGGGCGTTTGACCTGGGGCAGTTATAAGCCCGAGTTGGGCATTGGCATTGACTATCAAGGGAAGGGACTCTGCTACGTCTGTATTTTTTGAATATTGAATTGGACTTCTTTCTTGTCCACTCTTTTCTATTCTATACCTATATTCAGAACCCCGTTCATTCCCCGAAAACAGACGAGGCCTCCATATACCAAGTCTTTGAATGCTTTCTGATTTAGCTACGGACAGTAAGCCATGTCACCTAGCTGACCATTCCACTCGTAGTGAACGAAGTCAACCAGCCGTCGCAGGTTGGCAGGATTGAGCATCTCCCTCGTGACATCTGCCAACCACGCGATGTGCGTCTCAGGTGTCCGCTGAAACTTTGGATACATGGTCTGAAGGGCCTTCCGCTTCATTGTGGCACGAGGGCCTTCGCTGCCCAGTGTTCCATATTTGTCCAAGGCCAGTAAGAGCTTCTCATAACTGCCATCGCTGGTAGAGCGATAATGGCAAACTCTTTCCTTGTTAATGAGATGGGTCCCATGCACCAGCTCGTACACCTTGTGGTGACAAGACATGAGGCCCCAGTTACAGAGACTCATAATGACTAGGGCATTGATCTTGCGGCGACGAACCAGCTCAGCAGCTCCTTGGACGCATTTTGCCACAATGTCATCCAAGTACTCGCAGGCTGAGCCCCGGATCCCGCGAAGGACAACATTCTCTCTTTGCTTTCGCATTGCGTCTCCTCTGAAGTCTATCAGGTCGTTGAACAAAGCGCAAGTCTCCATCAGCTGCATGAACTCATCCCCGGTGATTGTCTCACCACTTGCCAGTGAAGCACCAACTACTCCCACAGTGAGTCCCAGATCAATATGCCTGTGGACCACCAGTCCAGTCATTCGACTACCGTAAAAGCCGCCCGGGAGTTTGGGTATGGAGTGATCTCGCCAGTAGCCTAGAATCCTAAAATGGATGGTTGCAGCTACAAGGTTGTCGAATTGCCAATCACTCAAGAGACCTGCATAGACGCATGTTTTCAAGAATGCCATAGATGCAGCGCCGACCTTTTGCAGGGTCTCAATAGTCTCGTCAGTCGCAGCCTCGCAGTAGTCTCCAATGAGAATATCATTGCCTGCATCGGCGATAGCCAAGAGAATGCCCGGATCGACGAGACTGGCACCACTGGAGACGACATAGAAGTACTTGGCATCGGCACAGAGCCTGACGCGCTCTTTTGTCGGATAGAGCCGATGATGAATAGAATCATCCAGGTCACTATCCTGTGCGGGCCGTCTGTCTGGTGCTCGGGCTGCAGGCACGTTATTTTCCCTTTCGTGTCCTCCGCAAATATTCGGTAGAGGTTGCTCATCCGCGTTGCACAGGGCAAGCTCCGTCATAGCATGTGAGAGTTTATCTGCTGAGAAAAAGGGAGAGCGGTTCCACTCCTCTTCCTTTTGGCTTGCAAGGTTCCCAACTTTGATCATACTTTCTACTGCCTTGCAGCCGCAGTTCTCAAGTAGTGGTGAATCAATGTTTGGGAATACCGGATAGAGTCCATCGCATGAACACTCAACTCGGGGGTCGTAGGATTCAGACAAAACATCCCATTCGACAGAGGATGGAGGCACTCGTCCCCCTAAGGGAATGAGCTTGGCGAGCGCTGCTGTTTTATAACAGGCTATGATGTTTGTCAAACGCTCATAGTCCACAGAGTTGTTAGGTTGGTGTTCTGTCAGCCACTGAGGAGCATCCTTCGTGACAACTTTGAAGCACTCGTCATGAGACTGTACACTTGGCTTGGTGGTAAGCCATATATCGACCCAGGCATGATAAGCCTGCAGCTTTCCGTCCATAGAATCTTGAAATGACATATTTTGATTCCCTAGCAGCCACGGAGGGGGATTGACGATGGTTAATTTTATCAGGATCAGTTCTCCGTATGTGAGTGAGGGGCGGACAGTTTATCTCACTTTATAGGCCCCACTGTACATGATCTAACCCGGATCTGAAGCCTTTATCGCCAGTTGGTGGGCCAATACCTTCCAGTTTCGGAAATAGCCCACTTAGTCTGCCCGCCAGCACATCGTGCATCCTGCATGAATCCTGCAGGAACTTCTTGCGTCCGAAACCTTTTCAGCGTATTATGCAGTGTGATGTATGTATATGTACGGTGCCAGATAGTGGTTATACCTGAATCAGTATTCTGTTCTGTCGATCTGAGCTCTAATACTTCTGCCCCCCTTAGCTGATATTGCTTAATCCTAAAGTACTCCACAATGTCATTGTTGCTTATCGCAGCCATTTAGCATGAGTATTACGCAATAGGAGTCAAAAAAGCTTAAACCAAAGCCCAAAATGGAGGGTGTGGTCATCTGGCATAAGAAAGTGGTCTATGTACACCGGCCCAAGAGTCAGGTAGGATGAGCCGGCAGTTACTCAGAAGGTTATTGCCGGATTAGTTCGGCTTTTAGGGCACTGGGGGTTCACATGCTGATAAGGTGCCGACCGAGTCTGCTAAGCTAAGAGACTAATTTAACTAGGATTAAGAGGAAGCCAACTAGTAATGGATATTTACTACCATCTACTGCTAGAGCGACTGGGCCCCGCGACCCCGTAAGCTTTTCCTAAAAATGGATCGTATACATTTTCCTATCGAGGCTTACCCACTTGTTGGCATAACACTTTTCTCCTCGGACTTCTAACAGATTTCTAACTTCGTAAGTTATCCGTCGGGATGCTGCTGGAAGGGCCTACCTAGGGTCCCAAAGTAGCTTCCACTCGTCGAATCAATTCAGCAGAGTCGTACTAGAATATCGGGAGCTTCTAATGGGGATTTTCACATTTATTGTCTCTTTTTGGATCGTATCGTCCAGTCTGGACGCCTTAGCCTTGGCGGACGGTTGTACCTCGCATTTGTCGTGTCGTCAGCAATTCCTTCTCGCCAGTTCCTCCTCATCTATTCCAATACCCTTCACATCATAATCCTAGTTGCAAATCAGTTTACCTTTCCCCACGTGTCTGAGATGCTCTCTCAATTTTCCATACGCCATCTTCCACCTCTCCTCGTGGCAGCAGCCACCACATTCGGCGGCCTTCTCCCTCTCTTCAATGCCGAGTACGCCATCCGAGAGTTCGGCCTACCTCAGCGCGTTGCAGATTCCAGGTCGGCTCAGTCGGTTATGATAACAAGCGCAGCCCGTATTTCCGCCATCGGGCATGCTCTTTTTCTCTTCTATTTCCAGGGAAAGCTTGTGGAGTTCGATACGCTTCTGTCCGTCCTGGGCCATGTGGGTCTCATCGACGGCTACGTGTGCTGGCGTGAAGGGGTCCCGGGCAAAGGTCTTTTCCGTGCGGTATCTGGGCTAGTTATCGCTACTTGGGGGTGGTTGAGGCTGACCTCAAGTGTGTAGGGGGTGTCTGATGTAATATGTATGTCGACGGTAGGGGATTTATGCATAGGAAAGTTATCCAGAGTAGAACTAATGATATGTTTTACGCTTCCAATAATACTTCCTATAGTGGATCCATACTTCCCGTTGATATCCCCGGAGTTCACGTTGGTAGGCTGCAAGCTCCAAATCTTTGTTTTCTTCTTCATTCAGACAAGACATGCTTTCTACCTCGCTGTAGGAGTTTGGGCAATTGTCGGCAGGCCTTTCTCAATTGTTAAATTTTTGTCGGACATAGATATCATGTTTCGATCCCCTTCAATTATCGATTATAACCATGTTTGGTTGGAGGCACGAAACGCATAGTATTTCAGCAGTCAGAAAAGTTGCTCTAGAGCTGTCATCACACAATATGCCAGTTGGAAAGGATAAGCTTATGTGCGACGAAGTGCCTCTCTGATCGAGACAGATAGTTATGCTTCTCTTCCGAAGTGAGATTTTCATGCCAAAAAACACCAAACAAATTATACGAGCTACTATTAGCCAAGATCTCCATGTTCAGCATCTTCCAACCGTCTAATAAGGCTCAATATTCTGTGTCACTGGACTTGCCCGCATTGGTTTCACTACACTCCTTCGAATCAGACTTTTTCGGAGAAACCTGCAAGCCATAATTATCCATGGCTTCAGCAATGATAAATGCGTATCCGAGGTAATCTAGTGCAAATTTAAAAGCGGCCATTAGAAAGGGACTGCTCTGATTGAGAGTGCCTCAGAAGGGTCGACCGGACCTCAAGTAGTCTTGGAATGACAAGTTCACATCATGGTCGTGTCATATTACCTAAGTACTATAATTAATTAGTTGACGGGATGGCCCATTGACTTAATTGAACGAGGCACTTTTTAATCAGACTAATGTTTCTCACTATATGTTCAATGTCAACGGTCAACAGCACTAATTATTCGAATGTGAGTTGGGAACCGCTTCTCCACAATCTTGGAGAACCCGGTATCGGCGCAACGGCGGACGGACCAATCAGGGGCAAGGCAAATAACGAAAGCCGACCGAGAAAAAAAAGCCCTCGGATCCTCAACCTTGCCTTTCTTTCCCCAGTTTCCACCCCTCCGCACTTGAGAATGGTGAGCCAACTAGTATGGCAGCGGGTTGCCGCCTCTCGCAGGGTAAGTCTTGAGCTCAACTGGGGAATTTGTTCCCTCCTTGTAACTAATTCTGGTAGCTGGCCGCACGCCTGTCCCCGCAACGACTTACCCGTGGCCTAGCCACCGAGGCTACCTCGTCGCGTATGCCGCCCTACCCCAAGATCGTCCAAAACCTCGAGCAGGTCCGCAAGGTGCTGGGCTCTGAGCGTGCGCTCACCCTCGCCGAGAAAATCCTGTACGCCCATTTGGACAACCCGGAGGAGTCGCTACTCTCCGGCACTAACAATGGCCGTGACATCCGGGGTAAGGCAAACTTGAAGCTGAAGCCGGATCGTGTGGCCATGCAGGATGCTTCGGCGCAGATGGCCCTCCTCCAGTTCATGTCTTGCGGTCTGCCCTCGACTGCGGTCCCTGCCAGCATTCACTGTGATCACATGATTGTTGGTGAGCGCGGCGCCGATACTGATCTGCCGGCCTCGATTCAGGGTAACGCCGAAGTGTTCGACTTCCTGGAGAGTGCTGCTAAGCGCTATGGTATTGAGTTCTGGCCTCCGGGTGCCGGTATCATCCACCAGAGTGTGCTGGAGAACTACGCTGCCCCTGGTTTGATGATGCTGGGAACCGATAGCCACACCCCCAATGCTGGTGGTCTGGGTGCTATCGCCATTGGTGTCGGCGGTGCTGATGCTGTCGATGCTCTCGTCGATGCGCCCTGGGAGCTGAAGGCCCCACGCATCCTGGGTGTTCGTCTTGAGGGCCGGCTGAGCGGCTGGGCCTCGCCCAAGGATATCATCCTGCACCTGGCTGGCAAGCTCACTGTCCGCGGCGGTACTGGTTTCGTCATTGAGTACCACGGCCCTGGTGTGGAGACCTTGAGCTGCACCGGTATGGCCACCTGCTGTAATATGGGCGCCGAGGTTGGCGCTACTACCTCTCTCTTCCCCTTCTCGCCTAGTATGGTGCCGTATCTCGAGGCTACTCACCGTGGCCACGTCGCCAAGGCCGCAGCTGAAATTGCTTCGTCCGGCCCTGGCAACCTGCTGCGTGCTGATACCACCGCTGAGTATGATCAACTGGTGACTATCAACCTGTCGGAGCTGGAGCCGCACATCAACGGCCCCTTCACTCCGGATTTCTCGGTTCCTCTGTCCAAGTTCGCCGACACTGTCCGCGAGAAGAAGTGGCCCGAGACCTTCGGTGCTGGTCTCATTGGTAGCTGCACTAACTCCTCGTACGAGGACATGACCCGCGCCGAGGACCTGGTTAAGCAGGCCTCCGCTGCTGGACTTAAGCCGAAGGCGGACTTCTTCATCACTCCCGGTAGTGAACAGATCCGTGCCACGCTCGACCGTGACCAGACTCTGAGCACCTTCTCTGAGGCCGGTGGAATTGTTCTGGCCAACGCCTGCGGTCCCTGCATTGGTCAGTGGAAGCGTACCGACGGTGTCCCCAAGGGCGAGGATAACGCTATCTTCACCTCCTACAACCGCAACTTCCCCGGCCGAAACGATGGTAACCGCCGGACCATGAACTTCCTCGCTTCGCCCGAGCTCGTCACCGCACTCGCATACTCCGGCAGCACCACCTTCAACCCCATGACCGATTCCCTGACCACCCCGAGCGGCGAGACCTTCAAGTTCCAGCCTCCCCAGGGCTTCGACCTACCCAGTGCTGGTTTTGAGGAGGGCAACCCCAACTTCCTCCCCACCGCCGCTGTCCCCGACGCCTCCAGCGAGGTCATCGTCTCCCCAACCTCGGACCGCCTCGCTCTGCTGGAACCCTTCGCTCCCTTCCCCAAGGGTGACCTGTCCGGCCTGCAGGTGCTGTTCAAGGTCAAGGGCCAATGCACCACGGACACCATCTCCGCGGCCGGCCCCTGGCTCAAGTACAAGGGCCACCTGCCCAACATCTCGGCGAACACGCTGATTGGCGCCGTCAACGCCGCCACCGGCGAAACGAACGTCGCCTACGACGAGAACGGCGGCAAGCACTCCATTCCCGAGCTGGCCGAGCAGTGGAAGGAGCGCGGCATCGAGTGGCTCGTCGTCGCCGAGGACAACTACGGCGAGGGCTCCGCCCGCGAGCACGCTGCCCTGCAGCCGCGTTACCTGGGTGGCCGTGTGATCGTGTCCAAGAGCTTTGCTCGCATCCACGAGACCAACCTGAAGAAGCAGGGTGTCGTGCCTCTGACCTTCGCCAACCGTGAGGACTATGACCGCATCGACGCCTGCGATGTTGTCGACACCGTCGGCCTGTACGATGTCCTGCAGGCGGGTGGCCAAGGCGAGATCCAGCTGCGTGTCACCAAGAAGAAGACCGGCGAGTCCTTCCTGGTCCCCGTGCAGCACACGCTCAGCAAGGATCAGTGCGGCTTCATCCTGGCTGGTAGCGCGCTTAACCTTCTGGCCAAGAAGGCCAACGCTGGTGCGCAATAGGAAGTGTATCTTGTTTCGAACCCAAAAGTTCTGTTTCGGTCAGGAGTTGTTGAACCGGGCTGAGGGGTGCATTTTCCTCTTTTTCGCTTTCTCTTTTTGATGTTTACTATACTACGCTCTAGTACAGCCTGCACGTTTGTATTTGGAGACTTAGATTTCGATTGTCTTTTTTTGTGAGCTAGATGATATCCAATGTGATCTGTATTCTTATATTCATTCTCGTGCCTCTCTCATGGTTATCAGGAAGGACCAAGCCGTAGAGTGGATATGCGATACCCAAAACCCACACTTAGCGCTCGAATTTAGCGCCTGGAATTTACGCCCTTCGGTCGACGTCCCCGCGTTGGTGGCGGGTACCAATGACCGTCCGAGCTTGCGGAGCAAACCCGCTGGTTGCCGGTGATTATAAGTGGCCCGTCCACACCCAATCCGCGAACTATACACCCCCAAACGTCGCATTGCGCATCTAACAAACGAAATGGACCCTTCCATTAAGAAACCCTGGATAGAGACGCCGCTAATTGAGTCAGCCACCCTCTCAAAACAAGCAGGATGGTAAGCACCAAACCCGAACCCCCTTTCGATCCTAGGGTCTCAGAAGAACAATGCGATACTAAACGCACGCCCCTAACAGCAGAATTTTCCTCAAACTAGAACTCCTCCAGCCCTCCGGGTCATTCAAATCTCGGTGCGTCTCACTTCTACATGCACCCCTTCTCCCCAGCCTTCAGCTAACATACCACCAGCGGAATCGGACATCTAATCCTCTCCGAACTCACCCGACCAGCCAACCAGTCCGAAACCGTGCACTTCTACAGCTCCTCCGGCGGCAACGCCGGCCTCGCCGCCGTCCATGCGGCCCGCGATCTCGGCTGCGCGTGCACGGTAATCGTCCCGCACAGCACGAAACCGCTAATGATAGCCAAGCTGCGGGCCGCGGGCGCGACAGACGTGATCCAGCACGGGGCGAGCTGGTTTGAAGCAGATACGTATCTGCGGGAGACGTTTATTGAGAAGCAGCATCCGAATCACGATAGGGGTATTGTGAACGTTTACGTGCCGCCGTTCGACCACCCGTTGATTTGGGAAGGTGCTGGGGGCATGGTTGCGGAGATGGCGAGGCAGTTGCCGCCGCTGGAGGACGGGGCGCGGGATGGCCAGTTTCCGGCGGATGTGATCGTGTGTAGTGTTGGGGGGGGTGGGTTGTTCAATGGGGTTGTCGATGGGTTAGAGAAGTATCAAAGGGCTTCTTCTTCGCCTGTGGGGTCTGCGACGAAGAATGTGCGCGTCCTCGCGGTCGAGACGCACGGCGCGCACTCGTTGGCGCATTCCCTTCACGAGGGCAGACTCTCTTCTCTTGCCGGCATTACGTCGCAGGCTACCTCGCTCGGTGCATTGTCTGTTGCGGAAAAGACGTTTGCAAACGCGTGGTCTCCGCCGGCGGGCATCGATGTTACCAGTGTTGTGGGCTCAGATGCGGAGGCTGCGAGGGGCGTCTTGCGGTTGGCGGATGAGACACGGCTGCAGGTGGAGTTGGCGTGTGGGATCAGCTTGGAGGTTGCTGTTGCAGGTCGATTGAAGGACTTGATACCTGACTTGGCTCCAGAGACCCGAGTGGTGGTGGTTGTCTGTGGAGGGAGTAATATCACGGCTGAAATGATGGTCGAGTATAGACGGAAGCTGCACGATGGGTGGGAATGAGATACCACCTAGCGGACAGGTCCATCCTTGTGGATTCTTAGCCTTGCATAGAATAACCGTCTTCTATGGGGTAGGTTAGATAGACATTGCATTCGTTCATGCCGCAAATTACGTCAAGTGATCATGTTTGCAAATTCTGGTAGATCGGGTGGCTCAGCACCGCAATATATACATCCGTTTGAGAGGAACTACACATTTGTACCGCAATAATACCCCGCCATTTATCAAAACATGCAATGGACTTCATTCATAATCATCATAGCATCGAAAAAGGGAGATTATAACCCGGCCAAGTCTAACGCACGTGCAAGACAGTATGCTCGGAAAAGAAACAGGCCAACGCTCAAAGACAGCATCTCCTCAGCACCCCGGCAGCCTCCCTCTATGAGAAAATCCCGGACTCTTCCTCCATTCGGCTAACAACCGATAGTCGATGATGCCTCCCAGCTCATTCGCTATCGCTAGCACTGTCATGCACCGACCCATTGCCCTCGTCATTCTGGATACCCTCCGCTAGGATGTACTCCGCCTGCTGGAGGGTCTGCTTAATGTCGGGTTTATTGTAGACCAGGTCCACCGGCTTTTGGCCGTGCTTGTTGCGCACGCGCGGGTCGCAGCCGGCCTCGCACATCATCTGGATCATGTCGCCGCCCAGCTCGGCGTCCTTCTCGTTGGCGTAACGCACGGCCGTGTGGAGGGGCGTGTCCTGGTCCAGGCGGGTGAGCGGGTCGCATTCGAAGTACTGGATGTCGAACAGGGCGTCCATCACGTCGTCTGTGGTCGTAGGCAATCAATGGGTTAGCTGCGGGTCAGAGACGAGGTGGAGTGGAGATCTAGGCGGGAGTTGGGGGCGGACATACAGCTGCCGTAGCTAGCGCAGATGTGCAAGGCGTGGTTTCCCATGGTGTCTGTCACGCTATTGAAGAATTGTGCCACCTCCTCGTTGGATTTGTCTTCCATGTCGTGCAAGACTTGCTCGATCAGGTGTGCTTGGTCGCGGCGGCAGGCTTCCACGACCAGCTCGCGAGGAGAGGCGCCCTGCAGGAGTAGGCTTGTTAGCAACAGTTAGGTCAAGACATGGAGATCCCAAATGCACCTCATCATCGGCCATTATGTCCAACCGTCAGAATTCAAGCTTTTCTTTTGGGGAGATGTAGTGGTTCTCGTTGCGCGGTGCCAGGTACGCGGCAAGTCGGTGATCTGAAACGCAGGTAGCCGTGTGTGGCGAAGCAGCGGGAACAGCGTTGGGCAGGGGCACAATGTCTCTGCTGCGATGGCCGTGCGAGGGTATGTACACGTAAAAAGGGCCAAATCAACAAGCCACGCTCTTGGTAGAGGCGTAGCATCCCAGGCACTGCTTTCCCCAGGGACATCCCACATAATGGATCACGTGACTTTCCGAGTCCCCCGCCGTCGGCGCATTAGCCGCGCGCCTAGCTCTTCCCGCGGATTGGAGATTGACGATTCCAATCAGCGCCTTGACGGCTAGAATTCTTTCCTTCTGGAGAGTCTTGTCCTCTGCGCCATCACAGGAGCTATCTACCCCTCCTATTAGCTTGAGAAGCTGTCGAAATGCCGCTCGTCTGTCCGTGTTCCCCAGGGCTCCTCCTCCAAACGATCATGCGCGAAGCCGAGCCAGTGATGAACGATGAACATAAGCTGACCTCGCTGTGTCCTCTAGTCTGCCCCAACTGCAGCAATGCGCTGACTATTTCCCGCGCGGACTCGACGACCCAGTATCCGATGGGTGTCAACCGATTCGAGTGCCGCACCTGTCCCTACGAGGATGTCATCGGAGGAGGCAAGCAGTACTATGAGAAGACCGAGATGAAGCAGAAGGAGGTGGAAGACGTCTTTGGGGGCGCGAACGAGTTTGCCAACGCAGACAGCGTTGCCAGTAAGTGCTCGTTGTCTCATATCACAGCCCGAGGGGGACCCAAGCTGACAGCTCTCTCTTTTCCCTGCAGCGCAATGCCCAGCCGAGAACTGCAACGGGGACCGTGCATACTTCTTCCAGCTGCAGATCCGTAGTGCCGACGAGCCGATGACTACGTTCTTGAAGGTAGGTGGCCTCCTTACATATCACCATATAATCTCCGCGATGCGTCCTGCGTGGCTAACTGCTGGACAGTGTACGAGCTGCGGCGCTCGGTGGAGAGAGAATTGATGGCGGGGGAGCAGATGCATCGGGCTTTCCCCCAAGCTTCTTCTCTTTTTAGTGTTGTCTTCTGCTTTCTGGCTACTTGCTTCGACCGACGGGGGTCGGATGGAATGCCACGGGCGTCAGGGTCTGTTTCAGATACACAGCGAAAATGGCGCATGGTACCGGGTTCAGCGGGACGGGCGTTTAGGACTACGGCACAGCAGCGCGATTGAGATACCCATAGATGCCACTCCAAGCCCAACCCAATTTGGATTATGTTCTACTTCTACCACTCTATACGTACGGAAAATGAATTGATCGACGTCAGAGGCAGCCGCGCACAGATTCCTTATCAGCGAGCAAAATTTAGAATTGGGTTGGACACGACCACGGGTCCCCCCGCCCGCGTGTAGAGTCCTAGACCACGGCTCTTCGTCTATCGAGTGTGGGAGGCCAATGGCTACTAGTCCGATTGGGGAGCCCGACCGCAGATTATTCCAGCGGTCTCTGACATGGGAGAACATGATACTGGGGTGGAATAATCATCTCATGACTATAGCACGTGTGGCAAAAATCCCTTTCACTGCACGACATGCCTGAAGTCATCCGGTGGGTCCGCCAGTTTGGCGGTGACGGACTGCCCCTCAGCCGCGGGGTGCTTGCTGGCCCCTCGACACGAGAAAACGCTTTCGTGGGCGCAAAAGCAACAGAGCGCATCCCAAAACAAAGCCTTCCGAGCGCAAGAGCTACGTAGCATAGAATCGGTGCACTAGGGATTGGCCCGACCGACTGCGTTGCTGCCCAGTCCGCCAGCCGCCCCAGTAGTAGGGCCAGCACGGGCAAATAGTGGGCTGGGAAGAGGGCCGCGATGAAAAAATTCGCAGCGAGTGGAGTTTCGAGGAGGGCGGAACCAGGGAAATCTCAGTTGAGAGGTAGAGGGTACCCGAGGGGCTGGCGGGAAAGGAGTATCAAGGGGAAGTAGTTGGTACCAAACCGCCCACGACGAAGATTCTGCTGAGCCCCGCCAAGGAGCACCCCCACCTGCCCAATAGGCACACGCACGGCGGGCGGCTGGCCAATCAGCGGGCGCAGCACTGGAAACACCCATGCAACGGAAAGGGCTAACCCACAAGACTCGCCTCTCGCAGGCTGCTCGCTTGCCCCTCCATATAAGGATTTCCCCTCCTCCCCCTCCCACAAAATTTTTCTTTCTCCCCTCGTCCGCATCAGTACGTATATCTTCCCTCCCCCCCTTTCTTCCTCTTCTTCCTCCTTTCATCCTCTAACCTCCCCCTGTTCAGTACCTCTACGCACGCCGTAGAATCTGAGCAATTTCAGGATCCTTCTAGTATCTTCCAAAGAACTACAAGAATTCATTCTTGATAACCGTCACCATGGGGTACGTCGCTCCTCGTCGACCCTGCCTCGGCAGGGGTCGCTCACAGCTCTCTGCATCATCCAAGAGCTTCTACTGACTCGATTTTACAGTAAGGATACTCGGTCTCACATCAACATCGTCGTTATCGGCCACGTCGATTCCGGCAAGTCGACCACCACCGGTAAGCATGCGCTCCCCTGCCACCTCCGCCTCGAGCCCATCGAGGATTCATCCAGACGAGCATACTAATCACTCTCCTTAGGTCACTTGATCTACAAGTGCGGTGGTATTGACACCCGTACCATCGAGAAGTTTGAGAAGGTAGGCAACCACAATCCTCACTCCCCCCTCGAAGTGTAAACAGGATGCTAACCCCTCCCTCACAGGAAGCCGCTGAGCTCGGCAAGGGTTCCTTCAAGTACGCCTGGGTTCTGGACAAGCTGAAGGCTGAGCGTGAGCGTGGTATCACCATCGATATCGCTCTCTGGAAGTTCCAGACTGCCAAGTATGAGGTCACCGTCATTGGTAAGGATCACCGCCCCTCTATCGCCGCCCAGCGCAATAACAGCCTGACTAACTGGCCTTCCTCCTTCCAGACGCCCCCGGTCACCGTGACTTCATCAAGAACATGATCACTGGTACCTCCCAGGCCGATTGCGCTATCCTCATCATCGCCTCCGGCACTGGTGAGTTCGAGGCTGGTATCTCCAAGGATGGCCAGACCCGTGAGCACGCTCTGCTTGCTTTCACCCTCGGTGTCCGCCAGCTCATTGTTGCCCTCAACAAGATGGACACCTGCAAGTGGTCCGAGGACCGCTACAACGAGATTGTCAAGGAGACCTCCAACTTCATCAAGAAGGTTGGCTACAACCCCAAGCACGTCCCCTTCGTCCCCATCTCCGGCTTCAACGGTGACAACATGCTTGAGCCTTCGCCCAACTGCCCCTGGTACAAGGGCTGGAAGAAGGAGGGCAAGTCCGGTGAGATCACCGGTAAGACCCTGCTCGAGGCCATTGACGCCATCGAGAACCCCGTCCGCCCCTCCAACAAGCCCCTGCGTCTGCCCCTCCAGGATGTCTACAAGATCTCCGGTATTGGCACTGTTCCCGTCGGCCGTGTCGAGACTGGTATCATCAGCCCCGGTATGGTCGTCACTTTCGCTCCTGCCAACGTCACCACTGAGGTGAAGTCCGTTGAGATGCACCACCAGCAGCTCAAGGAGGGTGTCCCCGGTGACAACGTCGGCTTCAACGTCAAGAACGTCTCCGTCAAGGAGGTCCGCCGTGGTAACGTCGCCTCTGACTCCAAGAACGACCCCGCCATGGCCGCCGCTTCCTTCAACGCCCAGGTCATCGTCCTGAACCACCCCGGTCAGGTCGGCGCTGGTTACGCTCCCGTTCTGGACTGCCACACTGCCCACATTGCTTGCAAGTTCTCCGAGCTCCTCGAGAAGATCGACCGCCGTACTGGTAAGTCCGTTGAGGACCACCCCAAGTTCATCAAGTCCGGTGATGCCGCCATCGTCAAGATGATTCCCTCCAAGCCCATGTGTGTTGAGGCCTTCACCGACTACCCCCTCTTGGCCGTTTCGCCGTCCGTGACATGCGCCAGACCGTCGCTGTCGGTGTCATCAAGTCCGTCGACAAGTCCGCCGGTGGTGCCGGTAAGGTCACCAAGGCCGCCGTCAAGGCTGGCAAGAAATAAGTGATTTGCGGATGATACAAGAGATGCCGTGATGAATTTTTTTCTTACAAAAACGCTTGATGGATGGAGCTAGACTTTGCTGTGTAGTGCCAAAATTACTACATACAGATTCGTGACTCATGTCAATTTTTCTTTTTTTGTAGATATAAATGTAGATGTAACTGAACAACGTAGATACCCACCCCTTGACGCTTGAGTCCCTATCTCGTGTCTTTTGACCCTCGTGTTGAGGGCGGGGTGGGGGAAAGTAACAAAGGCATTGCTTGGCGCCTCGGACTCACAAATCGCACCCGATGCATCCGCACTGCACAACAACACCCCGCCAACTGCACTAAACGCCCGTACAAACCTCGATCCTGATCCTCCGCCCTTTATCTTCTGGTTCTCCCCAACAGGCGAGCCCATCTTACCCTCCATCTATCTCCCCCGTCATTCCAGCACAAGTCGCCCGTCCACGCCGGAGCCGATAAGACCCACCCACCCCCATTGGCTACGTCACTGCATGTATACAGTGTGTAGCGATTTCTAAACAGCCTGGCGGGCCAGTGGGATTCAAAACCTTGATTCTGAGTCATCGTTTGGCGCTGCAGGGGGCTGAATTAACAAGTGTTGACTGGTATTTAAGATGAATGCGTGGGGTGGGGTGTAGGACGGCTTGCTAGGCTGGTCTGCTAATCTTGTGCCTTGCTCTACTTTCTCTACTCTTTTATCAATATACTATCCTAGAGCTAGGTTACAGGTAGGGGGTTTAGTACGATACGATTCTTATGTCTAGTGATTTAGGAATTGATAATTCACGTTGGCTACTAAGGGGGGGATTGGATATGAGTGAATTGGTGGTCTCTTCATTGATCTCGTACTCGTGATCTTAGTCTCATGTTACTATATTTCTAGGTATGCTTTAGTTTGCTAGCCTACGCTCCTTGGAGCGATGGCCATATCCAGTTCTTGGATCGAATTCGATGGAGAGCGCTTGGTATCGCATTGGCTAGTATTCCATGCGAAGCTGCGATCAATCATCGAGCACCTATCGTGTCTCTGTCTCTGTCTCGGGGTATCAAATATCAAGTATCACTCAATGGCGCACAAATGCCAACCTCCGCTCCTCAATCGCTCTCATCCTCTTCCTTCGTCGACTCCTCCTCCTCGCCAGACTCCTCCTCCGACTCCGACTCCGACTCCGCCTCCGACGCAGCCGCAGTCGCCCTCCTCGAAGACCGTCTAGGGCCCTCGCTCTGCCTGGCATGGGCACTCGCCCTCCCCTCCGCCATGCCGGGCCCATTCGCTGACGGTTCCTCCTCTGTCGCCCCAGTGTCACGCACGCCGACAATGCCCAAGCTGCGTCTCAGCCGGACCTCAAACTCCTCCCTCTCCTCGCGCTCTGCCCGCGTCAGCGTTTCCCCATTCCCATCCGCATCCTGAACTCCACGCCCATAAACCTCCCTCACAAGCCCCGCAACCCCCCCACTCCCAACCTCCATCTTCCCCCGCGGACCAACCATATACTCAATCACCTCCTCACCCCCATCCATCTCCCTCGTCCGCACCAGATAGCCCTCCCGACACAGCCGCGCCAGCAACCGGTCCGTCCGGTCGATCGGCGTGTAGTCGTCCGCGTTCATGCGCCGCAGGTACCGCAGCAGCTTCTGCTCCGCCAGGCTGCCGCCGTTCAGCGAGATGACGGCGACAACGAAGCTGTACAGCGCAGTGTAAGTGCTCTCCGTCTTGGTGGAGGGCGCTTTGGTCGGTTGGAGAATGGACGGGACGCGGTAGGCAGCGGGCAGGGTGCTGTTTAGGATCCAGGACTTGTTGGTGGCGGAGGGTTTCTCGGATTTTTGGGCCGCTATGGTGGAAAACCAGTCGGGTGAGTCGTGTGCAAGGAGAAGGCAAGAAACATAACCCACTACGAAATGGGGATGGGGCATAGAACCCTACTCACCTCGCCGCTGCGTAATAGTAACCTTCTCGCGCGCCGGCAACTCCACCATCTCCATGCCGAACTTAGTGCGCAGATGCTGCTGCGCCGCGTCAAAGACGATCCGGAACTGTCGCGTGCCCTGCTCGCCCAGGACCTTGGCGCTGATATCGGTGCGCCGGATGGGCAGCCGCGAGTACTCGCTCGCCAGGGCCAGCCGCACCATCTTTTTGACCATGGCATCTAGGCTGGAGGGTGCGCCGGCGCCGTCGCTGTCAGACATGTCGGCTTCTGGGGATGCGGATTCGTGCAGGCGCTGGCGTCGGGATGTTGACGGGGAGGGGTCGGCCGCGGCCTCGGGCTGGGGTTCGTTAGTTTGAATGCGAATGGGGTGGGAATGGAGGGTTGAAGAGGGACGGGCGATGCTTACTGCACGGCGCTTGCGGGTTAGAGACATGCTTGTGCTATGTGCTGTGGTTCTTGTTCGAGGGCTCGGGAAGTGGTGGAACTGGACGCGACGCGACAAGTCGGACGGTGATTTTGCCAGATCGGGTTAGATGGTCCGTGCACGGTTCATATCTTGGGTCTGTGGGACGAGAGTATACGCCGCAATTTACAAGTGACTCGATGTGGCATTGTGGAACAAGTTCATTCATGAAGACGTAGGTTGAAAACAAGACATAAGAATTGTATTAAGAAAGATTCCACGAGGGATTCAGGCAGTCTTTGACGAGGCGTAACGCGGAGCAAGTAAGAACATACACAACGAACAATATATATTGGCGACCGCTCGAGGTGCCATTCCCGCAAGCAACTAAGCACAGCAACACAAGAAGGAAAAAACTAAAACATAAAAGCGCAAAAAACAAATAAGAATGGAGGACTACAAACGATCACGACGAGAGGTATAGTTTTCTCTAGCAAGACAAGACGGCACACAAAACACAAACGCTCCAGAGACACAAGAACGATCTAATCAATGGTTGTTGGTCTTCTCGTTCACGACTTCCTTCACCTCCTCCTTGGCGGTCTGCAGCCAAGTGCTGATGTAGGCCAGCGACTCGGATGACAGCACCAGGCTCGTCGTGATGAGCGCCTTGCCCGACGCGAAGAGGCCGTCCCCGCCGCACTTCTTGTACTCGGAGCCGTAGATCTCGAAGAGGTGGTGCTTGACGTCGCCCGCGACGCGCACCGGGTAACCGGCGGTGTTGTAGAGGGTGCCGCGGATCTTCTGGGTATCCTCACGGATAATGGGGAAGCGCGAGTCGATCTCACTCAGGCCTTGGTCGCCCAGCGAGTCGGCGCGGGCCAGGTAGGGTGCCACATAGCTGTAGGGCGTCGAGAAGTAGGGCAGGACGGGCTTGGCGATGCGAGCGTAGGCGTGGTCGCTGAGTTCGAGGGACTTGGCGCCGTACGGGTTGCTCTTGAAGCGGGTGATGGAGTCGGAGACGACAGGGTAGGAGGTGAGGTGCTGGAGGGGGGCACGGTGAGGTTAGTTTTGGGGGGCAAAGGGAATGGTGACGTGGATACAAGGACGAGAGGATGGAAGGGTCTTACATTGAGGAATTGAGAATGGATATTCTCGCCATTGACGACTGGTTCACCCATGTTGACGGAGTTAGCGTGGGGCATGAAGTCGCTGAGAGGATGGCGAGGTATAGGAGAGAAGGGTTTCTCTGGTGGAAAAGATAAGGTGGGTGTGGGAGAAAGAAAGAGAGGGAGAGAGAGAGAGAGAGTGAAGAAAAGTAGGAGGAGGGAGGAAACAGGCTCCCCAAAAATGCAGTGGGCTGTCGAGGTCGACTATACAGTTTCACATGTGATTGCGCCCTCATTATGCAATTGGCCTCAAGGCGGTCCTAGCGCAATCGCATCATCTGTGCACTCTGTGCTCCCGGCTCGTTTGACCTGCTTTTCCTGCTGCGCGCGGTACTTGGTCCTTGGTACCTTGTTCGAGTTGTCGAATTGAATTTCGCTGCTTATGCCTTAGAACAGACCTCTCGCCCCCTGGTGATTGGATGTTCGCTACTACCAGACCTCTTCCCTGCCCCAATTCTGTTGAGCGACGCTCTCGTCCCCGTCGCATTTACTTCACGACACCTTGATAAGCTGCGCTCACATGTGATTGCGGGTCCAACATCGACGCTTTCATCACGGCTCCACCAAAGGTCCCGGCCTTTAGCCGCAACCTCACGGGCCAGCGAGTCCGGCTTGCCTTCCCAGCATTTCTCGGGTCGTTCTCGCCCCCTCGAGATATGCCGGGTTGCCTGCCCGTCCACCCTCCGCCCAGAGCAAACAACAAATCCACTGGTCCCAACCACGGCCACTGACGCGCTCGACTCTCTCACCACCCCGCCATAAACTTTGTTCCACCCATCGGGACCCCCACCCTCTCAACACCCATCCGGGGCGAGATGCACCATCTCTTATCAGCCGTGGCCGGCCTGCATGCTTTAGTGTTATTACTGCCGTCTAGATGGCCGTGACGCCTGCAGCCCGGGGTCGACCTGCTCATAGTCCGCGAGTCCAGCCTCGCACCGTGTATCCACTCATGGCCTGAGCGTCGCCTGTCCGAACCGAGCACACTTGGCTCGCCCATTCACAGCGGATAGAACTCGCGCGCACGAGAACTCGGCCGTAAATGGCAGAGGACCCGTCCGGACCTTTCTATTTCTTCCTGGCTACACGACCCCAAGGATTATACGGTACAGGAGGATGATCGTTGAGCCGGCCCGCCGCACCGCCGCACCGCCGTACCGCACCAAGTTCTAGTCCTGATTTGATTTCGAGGTCGAGGTCTGGCCAGGCGTCACAATCGGGCCCGGGGCGCTGCACGCCGGCGTGCGACTGGCGAGCCGGGTGATTCGTCGCACAATCATCCGACCCTGGACGATTGGTGTTCCCTGGCGCACTATGAAACCGTTGAGGTCATCACTGTTGCGACCTAATTATTCACGGGAGATTCAGTCAATGGGACATCCCCTTAGATGCCCGACGGGGCGTGATGCGCTTCTAAGATTCCCAAATTCTAGGGTCAAGGCCGGTTGGTGGTCTGTGGTACGTTCCTATCTAGCGGACGCCGGACGTGGTACTGCAGTTAGTCATGGCCGTCCGCATAAATTGGAAGGATTTCATTCACGTCATGGACCTTTGCACAAGCACATGCTTCTGGGCCTTTTGATTTCGTCGGCCAATTCGTCCATCGTGGAAAGTCCTGGGAAAAAGGGACTGAATTGGTGCATAGCGTCGAAAAATCTTGTGGTGCTAGTCGACAGAAGGCAATAAGTGGCCGATCTGGTGGCGAGCCGCATAGTGAACAAGCCGTAAAAATAGATCATGACGAATAAACCGCATGGAGCCCAAGCGGAGGATAGAATGATGGATGATTGGCATAGTTGCTACTCATGCTCGCGAGGAATTGCGGCATGCTCTATGCGGGAACATTTTGCCTTTCCTGTACCTAAATGTTATTTCCGAGCCAGTCGCGATGCATTGCATAGTGCAATTTCGCTCTTCGGTTCCCATACGCCTAGCCATTGCAGTCTGTTCTCGACAATCCCTTCTTCATGCAGCCGCCCGTGGCAAGTTGCGTCACCCCTGCTGCATGTTTTGCATGTCGGACGTTTTCTTTCTCCCTTTTCTCGGGGTTCCTTGTACGCCCATCTAGGTAACGGTCGAGAGAGAATACTACCTAATCGAAGGGTATGCGGTGGCAGTCGATCGAAGCCACATTGGCAGAAGGTCCTATCGGAAGACCGCATGCGTAGGTGGCGGATTCCTCGCAATAGATTCCCGCAGCACGCATCTCGGCTGTAACTGCCCTCGTCCTGCCGTCAAACCGCGGAAGCTCATGATAATGTCTTTGTTTGGGTTTGGGCGAGGGATTTCACATGCCAGGCTGAAGGAGAGGCCTAGCAACAATGTTGTCGTCCTAAAGAATCCGTTGATGTGGTTGAGATAAGATTTTCAATTCGATCACATGGACCCAAAGCCACAGGTCACCTGGGCATCTTTACCGGTAGTTTAAATCTGTTAAATCTGACGTGAACCTACGATGGGCAGTGGGAAGGGCGTGTAGTTGGCGCACGAGGAAGGGCCAGAGGCCGACCTGGTGCTCGGGGGACGTAGTGTGAACTGGGAAGGGAAAAGTATTGGGTCATGTCACACCGATAGGACACCTAGCAAGCGCAACGGGCAATTAATCAAGCTGGTGCGAGTACGATGCATGTGGCAGGCGCTGGAAAACAGGTGGAAGCAGATGAAAAAAAAGTAGTTGTTCATATTTTCCATTTCATTCAAGCGGACGCCATTTCTTTGGGGCGCCGCCGTTCAAACTGGACTTCATCGATACATTCCCGATTCTGTTTCCAGCTATGGTATATGTCTTCCAGTCCGTTGAAGGGACCGAAAGTGCTCGACGCTTTTTTCCCCTCGCCAACCCCTCGAGCCTGCGCGCTCAAAACGACAAAACGCCCGAGTAACCCGTTCAGAAACCTGCGAAGCCAGCATGTCAGTCAAAACCGTCCAGGAAGAGAGAGGTGCTCAGTCGGTCGACTCGATTCGGAAAAAAAACGTACGCAGAGGAGTGAAGAACCAGCGGTTCTTGCCGGAGGTGTAGCGGTCCTCCAGAGCCTTCTTGACGGTCTTCTTGGCGTCCTCGCGCTGGGAAACCTCCTTGAAGGTGTCGTTGGAGACGGCACCCTTCAGGCCCTCGAGCTCAAGGGTGTAGCGAGTGGGCATCAGGTGGTTGTAGTTGACGACCTTGATGAAGGGCTTGATGCGGCTGCGGCGGTCGACGAGCTTCTTACCCATGCGGCGGGTAACCTTCAGGGGGTAGCGCTCAATACCGGCGACGACGGCGAAGGGGAACGGGTGCGCCTTGGTGCCAGTCTCGTTAGGCTGGACAATGACGACCTGTAGAGCCGCGATAGATGCGCTGGTCAGCCATTTTTGAACATTTCCCAATACTCGAGTGTTCCATCTCCGTTCAATTTGATTGCCCAGATTTCTCGGTCATCTCGTTGAAGGCCCCTTCTCTTGCTCTGCTGTTCCCTTCCTCTCCCAACTCTCGTGTTCTGACATTCGGGGGAGATAGAGGCGGAGTGTCGTACCTTCTTACCGGCAAAGCGGCCACGGGTGATGATGGCCACACGGCCGACTTTCATGACTGTTGCAACATTCTCATTAGTATGGAATCGGTAGAGGAGGTCGTAAGGATCGGATACGCACACTTCATTGTGAAGGTCCCGGTGGCGGCGAGGTTTTGGCGGGTGGTTTGTCGAAGTACGGAACAGTCGAGATCGAAGTGTTCGTTTTTTCGCTTGGGCGGGCAGAGGGTTCAGGGCAAGCGTGATTTGTGTGCTGCCCCATGATTGGGTCTTTTACCGACCCAGGAGCACTAGTCTATTATGGGATAATTTCCCCATTGGACAGTTATGGTTCGGGAAACCGGATAAACTCAGCGGCCGCCCAGAAGCTGCCAGATTTCACCGCCCCCCAACTGGGAAGTGGATCTGATGATGTAAGTGCGTAGTTCGGGGTTTGTTTACATGACGACGGTCGTAGTTGCCCGATGACCCCGTTGCTATGGGGCCTTGATGGCTTGATGATGTGGACGCCGCGTAGTGGCTCCTCCTCCACCTCCACTCTTCCTGTTATCAAGCAGATCTCCCGGTGATTGATGCTCTGTTACCTTTCACCGTCTTTTGCACGTTACTGTTGTTTTCTAGCGACCTCTGGTGTTGATATGCCTTGATGACCCTTGTTTTGATCCCTGCACGCATTCTCCTATTACATTTCGTTACTGAATCTCATTGTCAATACCTTTCTGAGACATCTTGATTCCCTCCACGCTTGACAAAACATCATGCCGTCCCAAGAGCGGGACGTCTCTTCCCGCGATCGGGAACTGGTTCGGCATCAAGGCACTCCCACCGAGTCCGGCCGACTTTCTGTTCCAATGTACGTGGCTGACCTTTCTGCATTTTATACCTTGACCTAGCAGGCAACATGGCCTTCATGGGTGATTTGAGATTGTCGCTAAAGCGTCGGAAACGCAGGTGGGACAGCTCTGATCCCGAGCGTGCGCCTCCGCCGCTGCCCTTGAACCCTCGCTCCATGAGTCCTGTGACCAGATCCAATGTGTCGCCCAACATCCAAGCCGTCGCTGCCAAATTCACCGACAAGCCAAGCGAACACGCACTCAGTTCCTACACAACAAACCCCATGCCCAACAAATCTTCATCCCCAGAGCGGTCCCTAGTCAAAGGTCATTATCACAAGCGCATGCAGTCACTACAGCCCGGAGACACAAAGGCCGATGCTCGCTCTGAGTTCCTCAACTACCTCGAGAGTCGTTCGCCGGAGCGACCTCTCCGCGCTACCATTATTGACCCGACGTCCAACCCGCAGGATACGAGCAAGACGTCCGATCCTTCAAGGCCTAAGACAGCAGATCGGGAGCTCCCTAGCTTCATGTCTAGCCGATATCTCTCAAAACCTATTATTGGAGAGAATACTCCTCCTTCTGCAACCATGCTGGCCATCCAAAACATGCAGCTACCGCCTGAACCCGACTCACCATCTCCCTCGAAACCTCCCAAGCTGATTGCCGATCGCTCAGCTGCAGAGACTCAATCTCACACCATGGATACGCTTGCAACGCAAATTCGTAGTCTTACCGATATTGCCAGCAACCTGCAGCGCGAAATGTCCAACTTGAGCCGACGAAGCAAGGACAATGCCACCGATCTCGTTAGTCTGAAGGCAGCGACTAATGCCCGCGACGAAGATATTCGGAAGAGTCTGAAGGATCTCTCTTCTCATTTAACCACCAGATTTCTGGATGGTGATCTTACAAGGTTAGAACTCAGTGCTCTGCTGAAGGCTGGAGATGGCCCTAATCCCGGTGAACCGGATAGTTCTCCCACGTCCAAGAGAAGCTACTCAGTCCCTCGCATGCCCAGCCCTAATCCTTTTGCCGCCCTCGATCGTGATACGTGTGTTTCGCCTGCACCGATTTCGGACGGCTCAGCCAGTATTGCTTTACTCGAAAAGGTGCTGCGCGAAATGGCTACAAAGGAAGGTGAGGAACGGCTCTTGGAACTTGTGGATGAAATCAAGTCACGTCCGGCTGCAACCGCTTCGGACAAAGACGCCGATACGAAGATCACCACGATGCTCGAAGAGATTCTCAACCTAGTCAAGCAAGAGCCTTCCAACAACGCTTTGGTGCGCTCACTGAACGCTCTTGAGACCGCCCAAGCCAGTGATACCAACCCCGACACTGCGCGATCTCGGTCGATAAGATCAATGGCGGACCCAACAGCAACAGTGCGAGCCCTGGAAGTGCCGAAGGGTGACAGGGCGAGTAGGCTCATTGCCGGAAACGAGGACATGCTTGCCATTCTCCAGAGCGTGAAGAACAGCGTCATGGAAAGCGGTGGCATGACCAACAGTGTGAAGGCTTTGGTTCGAGAGTTGCGGGGAGAGGTCTTGGGTATGGGTCGTGACATAGCCCGCAAACTTGAAACCATCGAGTCGGATCGAGCAAACGGCGAGCAGCAACAGCAACCCCAGTTTGCGAGCCCGGAAGAGATCGCCGCTGTTGTAAATGACAGTCTCCACGATCTGAGAGATCAGCTGGCCGCTACTATCAACGAAAGCCGACAGCATTCCTCGGACTTGTCCCAAATCCGAGCCGCGATGAACAGCGCCGAAATCTACTCAGCTGTCAAGAAGGCCCTCGACGAGTTCGAAATCCCCCAGCCACAAGCAGCCGAGCCACACGGCCCGACTATGGAGAAGGAGGACATCCTGGAAACCGTTCGGGAAGCATGGGAGACCTACAAGCCGGAGATCGAATTGCAAAACTTTGGCTTGGAGCGTGATGAGATTCTGGACTGCCTTTCAGAAGGTCTCAAGGACTACCAGCCAAAGCATGAGCAATCTGTCACCTACGATCAGGTTCTGGCTGCTGTACAGACAGGCATGCAGAGCTTTGTTCCTCCCCAAGCAGACCATCCACCTATGATAACGAGAGATGAGATAATTCTTACCATCCGCGAGTGCCTCGAGAAGCCTGAGCCGGCTGCCAGATCTTTGGACGAAGATCATGTTCAGCACCTCGAGGCGATGCGCGACGAGATCCTTCACGCTATTGCAGAGCGTGCGCTTCCAGATACTTCTTCCAGAGGTCTGGATGAAGAACACGTTCACCATCTCCATTTCATGCGCGATGAAATTCTTCAAGCGATTGCAGACAGGGCAGTTCCAGATATTACTTCCAGGGGTCTCGATGAGGAACATCTTCACCATCTTCATTCCATGCGCGACGAGATTCTCAATGCCCTCACCGGATCTATGGCTGCCCAAAGCATGCTAAGCAAAGATTCATTTGACTCTGGTCTTGGTCGGGACGAAATCGTCAGTGCCGTCTCTGATGGTCTCGAGGCGCACTTCACCACCGCCAAGGAGATGGAAGAGCCACGAATTTCCCGCACGGACATTGTGAATGCCGTCAATGACGCGTTCAATGCACAGCAGTCCGCTCTCAGTATTGGGACCGACTCCAACATCTCTCGCGAAGAGATCATGGCAGCTATTGTCGACGGCATCGAGATGTCACAGAAGTCCCAGGAATCAGCTCTCAGTACCAATGTGCAGCCCTCGATTTCTCGCGAAGAGATTCTGGACGCCATTTCAGAAGGACTTGAGAAATCACAGGAGTCCCAGAGGTCGGCCCTTAGCACCGATGTCCAGCAGCCAAGTATCACCCGCGAAGAGTTGTTCAACGCTGTTGTTGATGGCATTGAAAGCTCGAACACCATGACCCGTGAAATTGAATTGAACAAGGACGATCTCATGGAGGCCATCGGCGCTGCTCTTCAGGAGGCAAGCAGCTCGGCCAACCTGAACGTCGGTGACCAGGTGATGGAGCGGCTGCAGGATGTCGTTGATGGAATGAAGGAGGAATTCAAGCAGTACTCCGCCGCTAATGGCAAGGACACTGAGCAGGTTCTCGATGCAATCAAGGATGGCCTTGATGTCGTTCGGCGTGAGATTGAGTCCTACGTCGTCACAGCCTCTGATGACTCCGGAAAACTTGAGATCATCGACACTGTCAAGGAAGGATTCCGACTGCTCCAGGCCGATATGGAGAAGACGATCAATGAGGCATCTGCCAGCAATATGCCCCGTGGCAACCCTGATACCCCGGAGCTTCTGGATGCCATGGAGAAGGAGTTTGAGCACTTGCGTGGTACAATAAGTACCCTCCTTCTCCGCGATACTACCCCTGGTGATAAGGATGAGATCATCGACGCCATCCGTGACCTTGCCGAGCAGCAAAAGGCTAAGGCCGGAGATGGACAAGTCCTCAACACCCTTCGTGAGGAATTCGAGAACTTGCGTGAGCGTATGGACATGAGCGTTGTTCGCGCTGAGCCCGGATCTGAGAAGGACGAGATCATCGCCGCTCTCCGCGAGCACTTCGATAATTTCCGTGAGGAAACCATGTCCAAGAGAGATGGTGGCGAAAGTACGTTCTCTGCTACTAGCGAGCTGCTTGACGCATTCCACGACAACATGGATGCGATCCGTGATGATCTGAAACGACTCATGGACAAGCCGACTGATTTCGATACATCCTCGATACTCGATACCATCAAGGATGGCTTGGCCGACCTCAAGGTTGACATTGATTCCCTTCGCCAGTCCCAGGGAGAGGTGGATGGTGCCGAAACGACCCGTGGCGGTGAACTCATGCTTGCCAATGAGTCCGGCCTCGGAAGCGATATCGACAGCTTAAAGGTCTTGATAACTGAACTTCAGAGCAAGGTCGAGTCTATTGACTCTGCTCCTCGCGCTGCAGAGCCTGCTGAAGATGCCCTTAAGCGAAGCCATCTCGATGAGGTTCTTCTCGCCGTCCAGGAGGTTCAGGTCGCCATGGGTGCCATCGGTGATGTAGGTACCAGCCAGGAGTTACATGAAGCTGCTGCTCGTAAGGAGGATACCGATGCTATCCAGGATATCCTCATGAGCACCAAGGCGCAGCTTGATGAGATGGCCTTTCCTGCTCCAGACGAGATTGCTACATCCCAACAAATTGATGCCCTTGAGACCATGGTGCGCGAGGCCAAAGACACCATCGCCGATCTGTCAAGCCGCTTCGAGGCCGATGCTCCTACGAAGGCTGAGATTGGCTCCCTAGAGGGGTTGATCAAGGACGTCTGGATTGCTCTCGACGAGTTGAAAGGGAAGACCAAGGAAGGGGAGGAGGCGGATGAGAATTCTGATACCGACAAGCTTATGAAATCCGACCTCCAAACCGTGGAGGCGATGATCTTCGAGGTCAAGTCTCAAGTTGATGAGCTGAAGCTGCCAGATGTGGAGACACTTCCCACCAAGGAGGAGATCCAGGAGCTTTCGGCACTCGTTACCGATTTCCGCGAAAAAATGGAGGCCAACAACGAGATGTCTGCTCAGGGCTTTGAGGCCCGCAAGGTTGAGCATGGTGGACTTGCCGAGAAAATCGAGGAAGCCAAGTTTGTGGTTGGCGAGCTTGGCGACGAGCTCAAGAGCAAGCTTGATGGTAGCACTGAAGGTCTTACCGAGCTGAAGCAGCTCCTGGAGGGACTGGCGATAAGTGCCGAAAATTTCAGCACCGTCGACAGCATCAAGGAACTGACCGATCTCATCAACCGAGAATTCGAGCGTGCTCGCGGGGAAGAGGATGCAAGCAGGCTTGACAAGGAGGAGCGCGATGCTGCCGCCATGGTCAAGCACGACGAGACGCGGGCCGCCGTTATCGTGGAACTCGGAGCCAAAATTGACGAGAAGATTGGAGAGGTCATAGCTAAGTATGAAGACGCTCATGCCTCCCTCCACTCCAAATTCTCGGAGGCCGAGGAGCGTGATATGGCACATACCGAAGCTGTCACCAGCACCAAGGGCCTCGCGGAGGAAATCAAGCTTGTCATCGGCGAAATGGGTACTAGTGTCAATGAAACCTGCGAGCGCATTGGTGTCGATACAAAGACTCTTTTCGAAAAGGTTGATGAGTCCTACAACCGCATGGAAGAGATGCAACATGAAGTGAAGGCACAGCAAGAGCAGTCTCGCGGTGACACTGAAAGGGCTGCTGCCGCCACTGAGCGCGTTGAGAGCAAGCTCCTTGAATTCCACCCCCAAATTCTAGAGACCGTCCAGGAGATTCTCAATGTTGTCAACCAGCACTACGACCATTCTCAAAAGTCCGCTGAGGAGGTCAGGTCGGAGCTATCTTCTCTCCCCAACGCCATTCCAACTATGCTGCCAGCCTTGCCTCCTCCAGAGTCGTCTCGAGATCTTGATGATCCAGTCCACGATAAACTCAACGATCTGCTAGAGCACGCCAAGAACAACCAAGTCCAAGAAGTTCTCACTACGCTTCTTGATCATGCAAAGAACGACCAGCTTCATGAAAAGCTTGATCGTGCTTTGGACCAAGGCTCTGGTAACGAGCAGATCTACGAGAAGCTCAACCAACTCCTCGACCACGCCACTAGTGGCACAGGATCTGTCCATGAGAAATTGGATACCTTGCTTAACCGTCCCGCCCCTGCATCGGATTCTGAGAACTCTGTTACCCAGATGATGAAGCTTGACGAGATGCACAAGGACATCATGGAAAACACTCGTCGCATGAACGAGATGTTCGCTGCCCAGGCTGTCCTGGTAGCCGAGGACACCGAGCGCAAGCGCCGGGAGGCGGAGGAAGCGGGTATTGCCTTAGAGCGCCGAACTGCTCAACGAGAGCAGGTAGAAGCTGAAATTGTTGGGTTGCATGAGGAGAAGGACTCTCTTTTGAAGATGATCCACACTCTGAAGACCGAGAAGGACGAATTGGTCAAGCAAAACACCAAGCTCAGCAAGGAGGTCTCCGGCCTCGAGACTGCTCTCGAAATCCGCCACGAGGAGATGCAACACATGGAGGACCGGGCTGACGGTCTGGAAAAGCGCATTCTGGAGGGTGTTCTTGACCATGCCCGCTCCGTGCTCCTCAGCCGTTCCAATAGCGTGCATGCCATGAGCCTGAAGCGCAACCGCAGTGCCCGCTCTTCCCGTACCCGTGCCCGCAGCCCTAGTGTGATGAGCACCGCCAGCACGGCCCGCGACTCCAAAGATGCCCGCAGTCTCCTTGGCAATGGAGTCGGTATGGCGCTGAAGCGCCGAATGCCCAACAACCTTCAAGCGGGTACCGCTGCCATCCAGCCAAACATTGGCAAGGAGCGCCGAATTCTGAGCTTGAGCCATGTCACTGGTAATCGGGGCGCTGATCGTCAGGCCAGCGCCAACAGCGGTATCACTAGCCTCAAGCGCAGCCACTCGGTCAAGTCTAACTTTGCTCTCCGGAAGACTTCGTTGCCTAATCGAACCTCAGTTGCAAACAAAGAGAACGAAGCCTTCCCTGAGGAAGAGGAGCCGGAGAGCGAGGCAGAGAGTAATGCCGGAACCGATCGCCGGACGAGCTATACTAGCGCCGGTCGCAAGACCTCCTATGCCGAGACCTGCACCGACAGCATGGTGAGTGGTGTCACTGAGAGCGTGGCTTCAGCCGACCGTCGCTCCAGCGGTGTAAGCATCAGCACAGCGGATGCTAGTACCGTTGACGGGCATGCGGACGTCCCAGCCAGCTCCATCGCTGATGATGACCACGTGGACGAGCAAAGCTATGTATCCGACAGGGAGTCAGAGTCAGACGATGATGCCAGGACCGCCAGAGAAGATAATGATAACGAGGAGGAAGATGCAAAGGATCCAGAGACCGAAGATGAATATGACGCACAGGATGCCATCTCGGATACTGCTTCCGCCATGGAGGCCGAAATTTTGAAGTCGCTGGAACCGGCAGGTGACAGTGCCCTTGGTATCGAGTCAGTCGTCGGTGCTACTTGAATCTCTTTTGTTCCTTGATACTCGGGAGTTTGGTTTTTGGACATGTCTCCCTTTCTTTCATATACCACTTGTGTTTTTTTATGGACTTGTATGAATTCCTGTATGAATTCCTTTTGTGTTCTATTCATGACTTTATTCCTTTCTGATGTCTCACTGATCTCCTGCCATAGTCATACCGTAGTCAAGTAGTCATGTAGTCCGCTGCTCATACTTGTAGTCAGTAGCACCCCCTGTAAAGTCCTTGTGAGCATCCTCATCGAGCGAGGTGTGATCACCTGCCGCGATAGGCAGGTGGTCAGGTGACGTCTCAATGTGTGTGGCTGCCTGGTTGCCTGAGACCGTGCCGAGGCCGCTTGCTCCGAGGCGTCACTCCGCTTCACTTCTTCCTTCAGCCTGCGCTGTGCCTGGAGCCCTCTTCCATAAAACCAGGGTCTGCCGGTGCCGCTGACTGCTGGATGGAAGACAGGGCACAACCCTTCGTATCTCTGGCATAGATATCCACCACGGACCTCATCCCCGACTCCCAGCTCCCCACTTTGACAAGAGCTGGTCGTTAGGGACCTCTCCAGACAATATGCTGGACCCCCTGAGGCCCCCGCCCGCCTGGCTGCGGAGCTTCATCGAGCCGTACGCCCTCGCGCTGAACAGTCCGACCCTCAGCGAGCACATCCACGAGGTGATCGGTGCCTTTGTGTTCTACCAGTTCATTCACTCGGTGCTCTCCCCGTGGCTGTCGCCGATCCTCTTCCCCCGCTCATACCCGGCGCTTAACGCCCGCACCAAGTTGAATTGGGATATCCACGTCGTCTCCCTTATCCAGAGCGTGCTGATCAATGCCGTCGCGCTGTGGGTGATGTTCGTCGACAACGAGCGCCAGTCTATGTCCGTGGGCGAGCGTGTCTCCGGGTATACTGGTGCCTGCGGCATGATCCAGGCTCTGGCCGTCGGATACTTCATATATGATCTGATTGTGAGCGTGGCTCATGTTCAGATGTTTGGTATCGGGATGCTGTTCCATGCTCTCAGCGCGCTTTGGGTGTTTAGCCTTGGCTTCGTACGTTTGATTAACCCGGCCTTGCGGTTGTGATGACTCCTGGTAACCCCAACTAACATGGTCTTTGCTCATAAACAGAGACCATTTCTCAATTACTATGCGCCTGTCTTCATTCTCTACGAGCTATCCAGCCCCTTCCTCAATATCCACTGGTTCCTGGACAAAGTCAACATGACCGGCAGCCGCGCCCAGTGGTGGAACGGCATGCTCCTCCTCTCCGTGTTCTTTTGCTGCCGTCTCGTCTGGGGCACCTGGCAATCTATTGTCGTCTACAAGGACATGTGGTATGCTCTCCAGCAAACCTGGTCGGCATCCTCTTCATCGCCTCTCCAGGCCCCCACCGACATCAATGCCCATGTCTTTGAGCTCCGCGACGGTGCCATGTGTGTTGATGAGACCTGCGCTCGTGCCAATGCCGAAATCTCCCGCTTCAAAGAGTACACTGTCGGCGGCGTGCCGACCTGGTTGGTACTTACGTATGTCACCTCTAACCTGATCCTGAACTTCTTGAACTACTTCTGGTTCTCCAAGATGGTGGACACTGTTCTCAAGCGCTTCCGCACCCCCCATGCCGGTGCTGCCGAGGACAAGAAGAATGCAGTCGAGAAGTCTGCCAAGACGGAGGATTTTGCGCGCGATGTCATCCTCGAGGCTGCTGCAGCTCTGGAGGAGGAGGAGGAGGGTGGGCTCTTGCGGGGTGAGCTGCCATTGACGCCCGCGCAAACTTCGTCGGCTATTGATGCTGGCCTTGGCGAAGAGCTGCGGCGGCGTAGGGCAGAGTTGATTGCTAAGGTGCCTCTGCCTGGGGCATAGCGCATGGCATACACTTTTAATAGAGGTTTGGTAGAGCGAGCTGGGAGGCTCGCCCCCATCTCATCGAATGGACCAGTCTCAGGAGCTGGTCGTGTGATGATCTTGCTTTTGTTTATCTTGTGCAATAACGCAATACGGCATCGTGGGAATCATACTGGTGTTTCCATTAGCTTCTACTATTTACATAGGTTCCTTTCTTCGCCCAATTCAAGCTGAATCTGTACCAACGCGTCATCCTCCCAGGGATTCTCCCGCGATGTCTGCCTGTGGCATATCGTGGCCAGCCGACAAAGATCCCTTCAAACGCAGGTTATAGGCGTATCTCCTAGTCCACGGATAAAGGGGACATGCTCGGCGGCAGGAAGTCGAGAGCCTGTGATCTCAACATCTTGGATCATACTGCGCATTGAGGAACTGTGAGGTTTATGGTATTTCCCCAAATCATTTTGCTCCCCTTATAGCCGGCGACGAGAGCGGGGTTGGTAAAAGTAGATGCACCTCAAGAAACTTCAAGTAGGCAAGCTTCAAGCAACGCGTATGCGCCTCGTAGGATGAAAGTCCAGCAGCTTGCTCTGCGATAGATCACTCCACATGCCACACCATCGACTAGACGGAATGACGGTCCACCAAGAAGGCCAGAGTGCAACCTCCAGTGCTTTGTCTGGCAATTTAGCGCCGAGAAAAGACACATCCTCCGGAGCTTGAGTAGTTTCGAGATGGCAGATTTGGCAAGTTTGGAAGGGTTTAGCAAGCAGGGGTGGATATATCAGGTATCCGTAAAAGAAGCAGTTTGCCGTTTAGAAAGGGCAAGGGGACACGAAGATTCGGGGAAACCAGGAGCTGCAAACGGATGCTGAAGAGAGAAGAGAATGTCACGGCCACAGTGAACTCGATTTGAAGAAGTATAGGAAGATTGGAAAGACAAGTTCATGAACATCAAGATTTTGAAATGGATAATTAGCCCTACCATACATACCCTAACTACACCAGTCCTAACACCGCATAAGCGCCACAATCAGAAAATCAAAGTACATAAAGAGGCCGCCATGGCGGCAAGAATCCACGAATTCAAATCACCGAGGCGCTGCGGCCTCAGGCTTTGCCAGCATATACCGCACGGCCTCCTTCGCCACAGGAGTCTCCCAGGCGCTCTCGGAGCCTCCACGACGGAACTCAGGACCACTGCCATCGCCAACACCATTAGCATCACCAAGAATAGTCTCAAGATCCCGACGCTGGGAGTTGACCCAGCGACGCAGGAAGGTGGCGGGGTCCTTGCTCAGGGCAGTGTAGAAGGAGTGGCGTGCGCGGGAGTGGGTGAGAGCCTGGATGATGAGCGCGACCTGGTCATCCAGCGAGGCGATCTGGCGCATGCCAGCTGTGTATTGGGGGTTCTGCGTGAGAGCCATCATCTTTTGGCGCAGAGGGTCTTCGACTGCGACCTGGATGTCGTAGATGGTGGGAGTGGGCTCCTTGTGGAACTCCTCGTCGACACGAACAGTATAAGGAAGCTTGATCGGGTCCATAGGGCTAGTGTGGGGCGCGATGCTCTCTGGGATCTGGGGGAAGAACATTTGCTCGCGACCAAAGATCTAAAAGTGGTGATGGTTAGCCGGCGTTTTCGTCAATCTAGAACAAAGAAGTTCCTGAAAGAATTGCATACCGAGCGCAGGCGGTGGTCACAGCGCACTTGTCGCTTCTCCTCGTCTTCTTGTAGCTCCATTGCCCGAATGTAGTCCCAGATTCCGAGCACGATTCCGCTTCGCGTCTCCTCCTCAACGTCCAGCACCTCGGCGAGTTCCTTGCTCAGCTTGTACCGTTCGGGTGTCTCATCTCGCACTAGGCTAATGGTGACATTCTGGTTTTCCTGCGAGCTGCGAGTGAACTGTATGCTATCGAACTCGGCATTCGGGGGTGCTGACGTCGCGTTCGGTGGCACCTGAGGCTTCGTCCAGCTGACAGGTTTAGCCTCATCAGGAACGGTGCTGGCCGGCTTATCAAAGTCGACAGTGATAGTCTTGAAGAAGTGAGAGAAGCGCTGGGACGGCTTCTTTGATTCAGACTTCTTCGAATCATCCGCTTCATCCTTGTCCTGATCCATCGCATCGCCCTTGTCACCCTCTTCATCATCGTCTGGAACGGTGGGGTCATTATTATCATCTAGCAACCGGCCTTCAATGCGCACTTTGTACCGCCCCGAGCCCGGGTTGCTGCCGGTTCCCTGCCAGGGCTGGTTCTCGACGGTATTGGTGATCCAGATTCGCAGGGTGCGGTACTTCTTCACGGTTTTGCTGATAGAGTCTTGGATGTCCAGTCGCTTGCGTACAATGGCGGCATCCAGTCGCTTCTCGAGGTCGCGAAGGTTCTTGTATTGATCGACACCCTCACCGATGATCACCTCTTCGACGCCATCGGGAATGTTCTTGTCGGTCGGCTTGCGGCTACGACGGAGGGTCGCGTCGTTAGGATGGGGCATTGCGCGCTGCGCGGCCATATACTGGGGGTTGACGGCGTGCTGGGGCATTGGGACAGGCATCGCGCCAGCTACTTTAGGGTTAGACGGGCGCGGACGGGGAGGTTGGAAAGGGGACAAACCTGGTCCTGGGGCCCGACGGGGTGTGGCTGGAGACCGTTGGGCGGTCGGGGGATAGCCCCGGGCATAATTTGGCTGCATTGGAGCGTTCATTGCCAATCAAGAAAGAAGTGGCCCCGGCGGGATGGAGTGGGTGGAGGATGAGGACGGGCGAGGAGGACAAGAAGTCGCGATTCTTTTGCCGCTCAGCCTAACCCGATTCGGCAAGTCGCGAACAACAGTCAAAACGCACGCTCTTTCTATACCTCCAGTATACCTTGACGTTCTCGCTGTACGAACATATAATGAGTCATCTCGTTTTCGATAGAATAAGATTCTAATCATGCTGCAGTCGTGCATGGTCTTGATTATTTCCTATGAACCGACATGATCGCATTGCCATGAACCCGTTTGCCCTCTACTCCAGGAGCGATGCCTGGTTAGTATACAGTCCTTCCACAACGTTGCTGAGCTTCTCGATTGTGTCCAGCGCAGCATCGTATGCCTGGTCACGTTCCGTCTCATCGTACACAATCAGACATCCCGACCCCTGATCCAGTACACCGATGATCACCTTGTCCAGGATCATCTGGGACAGTTTCCGCTCCACCTGTTGGGTATCCAGACCCACCATCTTGGCGATATGGTCCAGTTCGACCCGGCTGAATGGCTCAATGACCTTGATTAAGTTCTGCTCCAGCATGGCATCGTAGAGACGGCGTAGATGATTCCGGATAAATGTGTCACTGCCGAGTTCGTACCGGTAGTCGGAGAGCGCCTTCTCATATTCTTCCAGGGAGCGGTTGGCATGAGCTCGCGCTACTGACTTCATAGCCTCCAGGCGGGGGCTGGCATACTTCTGGGCCTGCTTAGAGCCCAGGAGATGAGTGACATCATCAACAAGGTTCAGCATAATCTTGCACAGCAACATGTACTGCAGAGCTGCTGTAGCTAAATCTCCTTCATCAAGCGAGTTATATCCCTCCAGAGCCTCAATGAAGTATGAGAATGCGGTGTTGAAATCCTTGTCCTCGGCGTGCAGCATGCCACTCTGCATGTCCAAACCAGCCTGAAGATTCGGTGGCGTGTAAACAGATGCAGCGGACGTTCGTGCTGCTGTGAGAGCGGCACGAGCCTTAGCTTGATTACCTAGGGCATGGTACACACGCGACTCAAGCAGCTGCACCTCCACCAACATGAGCTTATCATCCAGGCGCTTCAGCTCACGGAGCAGGGAGTTGATGAGGGTGAGAGCATCGTAGTAGGTTTGCTTTTGCATATAGATGGCGACCAGGCGCGCTTGGAGGTTCTGTCGAAGGAACGACCGTCGCTCGGCAATGGCCCACTCTATGCATGATTGGATGACGGCAATTTGGAGGTCGAGGGTATTGGGGATTTCGCTGATGAGGTCCAGAAGTTGGCGGACTGTGTGCAACTGTTAGCATGGAACTTTGGTGTATCCGATGGCTTCTGCTTACCCAACTTGGCTGTCTTCGCTTTGGCGAATGACGAGAAGGTGTCCCGGCTGGTCTTGATGAGGTCTGCAATCTCCTGTGGCTTCTTGGCATCCCGGTGCAACTGGCCCAGTCCAATCAATGCATGCTCATAATCTCGCGACGAAGCCTCTGTCGACCCTGGGCCCTCAGAGAGAATCTTCTGATAACTGTTGGCGGCCTTGGATGGGTCCTGCTTGGCCAGGTCCCGGACTTCCTGTATCCGCGGCGAGACCTGCAGGGAGGCAGCCATGATTGGGAATGAGGAGTAGCAAAGAAAGGATTGATGATCGAAAAAAGAGGAAGTTTGAACACGAGGAGGCGTAGAAAGTAGTTGATGGCAGGACGGTTGATAGGTCGGCCGGACGTGAGTCGGGAGCTTGAAGCTGGCAGCTCCTGCGCTCACCGCCCGCTGAGCAAATCTGCCAATCAACCGAAAAAAAAAAGTTCGAGTCGCCGCCTTCTTCATTTCTTTGCATACCCTTTAAACACCTCAACATGGTGAGTTTTCGGTTTTAAAATTTGTCAAATGGAGAGTCATACTGACATGATCCAGAAAATCAAAGCTCTTTCTCGCCCTACGGCGTCGCAGCAGGCCCCCGGGTCCTCTGTCATCCGCCAGGCGCGGAATCTTGACCCGGCTCAGCATCCATTTGAGCGGGCCCGTGAATATACTCGTGCTCTGAACGCCGTCAAGATGGAGCGCATGTTTGCTGCTCCATTCTTGGGTCAGATGGGTGACGGTCATATCGACGGTGTCTACTCCATGGCCAAAGACCCCGGCTCACTTGAGCGCTTTGCAAGCGGCAGTGGTGACGGTGTGGTGAAGGTGTGGGATATGACGACCCGCGAAGAAATCTGGAATACCCAAGGACACGAAAACATGGTCAAGGGAGTCTGCTGGACGCCCGAGCGGAAGCTGTTGTCCTGCGCAAGCGACAAGACCATCAAACTCTGGGATCCGTACAATTCGACACCCGAAGCGCCTCCTATGGCAACTTACCTTGGTTCGAGCGCTTTCACTGGTGTCTCGCACCATCGCAACCATCCTTCATTTGCCGCATCTTCGTCAGTGATTTCCATCTACGATCTTTCGAGACCTTCATCCACCCCCTCCCAGACTCTGCATTGGCCGACCAGTGTCGACACCATCACATCAATTGCATTTAACCAGACTGAAACGTCCATTCTCGCTTCAACTGCTATTGATCGCTCGATCATCATGTACGATCTGCGTACTTCCTCGGCAGTGCACAAGTTGGTTTTGAACCTGGCGTCTAACGCTATTGCTTGGAACCCTATGGAGGCTTTCAACTTTGCGGTTGCCAACGAAGATCACAACGCTTACATCTTTGATATGCGAAAGATGGACCGCGCCCTCAATGTTCTGAAGGATCACGTTGCTGCCGTTATGGACATTGAGTTCAGCCCTACTGGAGAGGATCTGGTGACCGCATCCTACGATCGAACAGTCCGTCTTTGGAAGAGGAACAAAGGCCATTCTCGTGACATTTACCACACCAAGCGGATGCAACGGTATGTTATTATTCCATCCAACATAAAACGCAGCAAAAACTAACCTTCGAGTAGTGTCTTCTCCGTCAAGTTCACCCCTGACAATAAGTACGTCTTGTCCGGCTCCGACGACGGCAACATTCGTCTATGGCGTGCAAATGCCTCGGATCGCAGTGGAATTCAGAGCTCCCGCCAGCGCACTAAGCTGGAGTATGACCAGGCTCTTATCAAACGGTACGGACACATGCCCGAAATCCGCCGCATCAAGCGCCAGCGTCACTTGCCCAAGCCTATTAAGAAGGCTGGTGAGATCAAGCGCGACGAGCTTTCTGCGATTAAGAGACGTGAGGAGAATGTGCGGAAGCACACTTCCAAGGCCAACCTGAAGTCGAGGAAGAGCGAACGTGAAAAGATGATCCTGGCCCGGGAGCAATAAATTGTTCCACCTGCATTCAGTCATCTTTCATACTGCCTGGTTTCTACTTTGGGGTATCTTATCCACTTTAGAATTCGGCAAGATGACTTAACAAGGAACGACAGGTGTGGGCCATGTTATATACATATGGGGTGATCTGGCTCTGTCCTCTACCTCCGTGCTAGCATTCGCTTATCTAGTTCTCCTTCTTGGTCGGCCTGAGTGGATACCTGTGCTCGCTCCCAGCGTCGCGTTCAGGAAGGCTCGAAAACACAGCACTGTCGATTTCACTCAGATACCGTGCTACACGCTGAATCGCACCCGGCAACACAGCATACCAATTGACCAGCTTCGCAAACGTGGGCAACCTGAGCACGCCGCCGCGGCCGCTGTCCACAGCAGCCACAATTTCTCGCGCGACCTCGACTGGCTCTAGAACAGGAGCAAAGAAATGGTTCGGGGTACGGAGCCAGTCAAACAGCGGTGTCATCATTTGCCCCGTTTCCACCAGCAACATCTTGATCCGCTCGTTATCACGCAACTCGGCTTCCATTGTCCGGTGCAGTGCACTAAGTCCTGCTTTGCTTGCGGAGTAGTCCGACAACCCTGCTGGGGACAACTGGCCTACCACCGAGCTGACAGTAACAACGGTGCCTCCATTCTCTGCTTCTGCGATGATACCTGGCAGGAAAACCTGGTAGAGATAGAACGCTGCCATAAGATTGGTGCGCATCGTCTTTTCAAATGCTTCTGCTGGCAAGTCCAGAAGAGAATGGCCGTTGATTCGAGCCGCGGCGCAGTTGATAATGATAGTCGGAGTGCCCAGCTATATAGCATGAATTAGTGACCCTAGATCCAAGAAAAGCCAGTGTTACGAAGAATCCAATATCCCAAACGAGATAAAAGACCCATAGACCTAAACCTACTTCCTCTTTAATCTTGAATTTCACGCCCTCGAGCGCGTCCCGATCCCCAACATCACACTGGAAGTACCGCACATCGGCCCCAAATCCCTCATCCTGTTCTTTCGCGCTGATTTCCTTAATATCCAACACCGCCACACTCGCCCCCTTCATGCCATATATCTGCGCAATCAACTGCCCCAGCCCGCTCGCGCCGCCCGTGACTAGGACCACCTCACTGCTAGAATCCACCGTGCGCGGGGTGCCGTGCGCGACACGGTGATTGATGCTTCGCGCAGCGAAGAGCAGCGTCAGGGCCGAGGCGTATGAGACGGCGATAATGAATGCTGGGTCTGTTGGGGGGGTGACTTGGGCACGGAGGCAGAGGACTATGACCCAGGCGATGAATGGGCTGAGAAGGGTGTTGCGGAGGACGCGGAGGAGAGTGTCGAGCGTGATGTGGTGGATCCACGGCTTTGGGGGGGGAGGGAGGTGGGAGGGGGCTTCTTGATGTGATTTGGGGTGGAGAGGACATGGTGAGCTTTGGCTTCTTGCTGTCTGTCGCTTGTCTGGGGTGTCTGCTTGTCGATGCGTTGACGCTGATGACGAGCGCGGTCTTTGGAGGTATGCGCGGTCTCGTCAGGGCTGGTTCGTTCCCTTATATATTGGTGACTGTGTGTCTTTTCAATGCATCGCTATGCTATGGCACACCAAATCTCGTCGTTGATGTTAGATGCGTATGTGTCGTAAGTTGGAGAGATGTTCGGAGAAAGACAGCTGCAGGTGGGGCCGATAAGATAGGGGACTGAACCTACAATCGAACCACAACATAAAAACCACAGAAACTCTACCAGCTAAAAGCGTACATTTATGCAATGGGCACCGTTTTGATCGTTTAAACGTTTATGACATCCAAATCTTTCAATCTGGCTTCTTACACTGACGGTCGCAAACCTGTCACTTTCCCCTCGATTGTTCCAACCAATCATCAAAATAAGCACAGACTCTTCCCGTCACCAACTGTAGTAAGGTCTGGAAAGCCTGTCTGTCCCAGCTGGGATGGTAGTAAGTACAGGCTGTTCTAGTGACTGCCTATAGTAAGACCTGGAAGGAGGTTGGATCAGTCTTTTCCCGCCAGGTATGGGCGCCTTCTCCACAAGTAATGCAAACAATGGCATAATGAAAATCGGCTCGGCATCCAGGAAGAATTAGAAAAAAGAAGAAAGTAAAAACACCCTAGCACGTCTCTGATACCAAGGGTTGTAACTTCAATCAAAAGCCTCGCCAGTTTCTTTGTCCCGTGCTCCGAATATGATTTGAATAATGTCAAAGGTGGATAAAAGGTAGCCACTGTGACATGTGGCGGGAGAGAAAAGAGAAAGTGCGTTTGAAGAACAACTCGGCGAAACGCTTTATCAAGTGCTTGACCCTTACTCTGGCAGACCTGCCCCAGAGTTGAATGGCGTAGTCTGATAGGAAGGAACGAGAAACAGACCTCAATCATGACTGCAATACTTTGAGACTCGAAGCACCCACAGTTTACTTCTGACGTGGCCATCCCCATATACGAGCAGAAGGACCGGCTGAGTTTGTTGTTTTTGCAGGGCCGTATACGCTGTGGCTGAACGTGTGGGAGTTCGGGCTCTCGGCAAGGATTGCAAGATCATCAAGCGAGGGTAAGAAACCATTGCCAGCGCGCGGGTAAAGACGATAATCTTCAATGGCGTCTTCAAACACATCATCTTCAGTATCGGGATCCAGTTCCTCGGGTGTTGTGTCTCGGGAAACAAAAGATGTTGAGGACTGGCGCAATGACCCGTTGGTAGAAGGGGTCTCAAGCCCATTGGTTGATTGAATGGAAGCGGATGCTTCGACAAACGCCGAGATACCATTGATTGCGGCATTTATCTTAGTGCTAGCTACAGCATTGGCTTTGGGTGGAGCGGTGTTGGTAGACGCCTTCGCCGGGGCAGAGGTGGTGCGGAATCTCTTGCGAGGATTGGTGGTGAGATCAGCGTCAGACGGATCTTCATCGGCGCAGGATCTCTTGTTCAAGGTTGGCGTGGATGTCTGCACTAGAGTAGAAGGTGTTGCGATGCCGTTGCTCGCTAGCAAGAAGGTAAATCGCGATGCTGGCATGTCCTTCATGCCGGCAGGGAACATTGGTACAGATGGGTTTTTGTTAGAGACATTCACGAGCAGTTCAACGAGTTGGGCATGCGAAAGACTGGAGAGATATGCGCGCCTCTCATCAGCCGTAAACTGGTCACCACCGACTTCGAGTCGGGGTGCTGCCTGCAGCCGGGGATGGAGGATTCGGCCCGACTTCTGGACTTTGGCAGGCTTGCTGTTTGCCATCGATGGGCGAGGCACGGGCTTGCACTTGCGGCAGTACCACTCCATATCTTTGACCAGGATGACCTGGTTATCAATTGGTGGGTCATGGCACTTTTGGTGCCATGTGTCATTGCATCCATCGCAGAATACGATGGCGTTGGTGGCCGGGCTCTGCCCCCGGTTACAATGTATACAGACGACATTCGCCTCCTTCTTCCGAGAGGCACCCTTGCGCTTCCCGGAGGAGGGGGCGACGACAGCCGGTGCTGGGGTGAACGCTGTTGGCGGCTTGATGATTCGTCCAGTCCTGCTGGTGCGAGTGTCGTGGTCGGTGGGCTTCTCCACCGAGCCGAGATGTGCCGGTAGCCCAACGAGGGGTTGGTTTTGCAGGAGCTCTTCTTTGTGGGCCACCGGCAAAGCAAGCTCGCTGGGGAGGTCCACGAAGGTGGTGGAGACTCTCATTTGGTTTGATGAAAGTAGTAGAGAGGGAAATTCGATGGTAAAAAGAAGCCGGAGCGAGAAGGAGGAGAGAGGAGTAGTAAGGCCAAAAGGGGATATTTATGTTCTAAGGAAGTCTGGCTGCGTAGCCTCAGGAGATGTCTGTCAATATTTCTCTCGCGTTGAACGAGCCAGCAATCACAATTGACGGCATGAATATCTTGAGGACCTCTCGATCCGGAACTCGTAATTGCAGCGACCCAAAGTCTGTATAGTCTCACGTGATGCCGGGATTTGTTTGCAACGCCAGGATGCCCGCAGTATCTCAACTGTATGTCTCGTACATTCAAAGGGATCTATGCTTTTGGGAAGTCTTGTATTCGGTGGGAAGCTTGCAGAAATTCTTTTCAGTTTTTTTTTTAGTGTTTCAACCGGTGAATTGTTCTATGTACAGATAGATGTGCAAGTGGGGTCCACCCCATATATATATTTAACCGGATCTTAAGACACTACCCCCTCTGCCTTCAATCGGGCGATATCTGCCTCTTCATAATTGAGAACGCTTCCCAGAATCTCGTCGGTGTGTTGTCCAAGAGTAGGTGGCGGTGTGCGCACACCGGGTCTGGCCTCGGAGTATTTGATGGGTGTGTTGACCAGCTTGATGGGGCCGCAGGCTGGGTGATCGACTTCAGCGACCATGCCTCTTGCTAGAACTGTACGGAGAGTCAGCCGCTTCCTTATCAGCGAAAGCCCTCAATAGGCAGGCTTACCGTGATCGTGGTTCAGGGTTCCCTGGATGTCATTGACGGCCGCATAGGGCATGCCGCTGCCTTCGAAGATCCCCAGCCATTCCTTTGTGGTCTTCTGCTGGGTGATGCCTTCAATTAAGCCATCAATGTCAGCTCGGTGCTTCACCCGGTCGCTATTGGTGATGAAGCGAGCATCGGTCTTCCACTCAGGGAATCCAAGTCGATCGCATAGCACACCGAACAGTCGGTCATTCCCGCCACCGAAAAGAATGTCACCGTCGAGGGTTTTGTAGCTCCGGTACGGTACAATAGATGCTAGAGATTTTTTCATCAGGCCCTGTTTGACGTAGAGGATGCACTTGGTCACTTACGATGAGCCGTGCCCCAGCGTCCTGAATCCTTTTGGCCGCTGATGAGTGCGGAACTGGCCAAGTTCGCCAGAGTAGCGACCTGGCAGTCGCTCAAACAAGCATCGATATGCTGGCCTTTGCCCGTTCGAACTCGGGCAAGCAGCGCAGCCATGATGGCATTAGATGTGTAAAGTCCGGTGGTCAAATCGGTGACTGCCACACCAACTTTGACGGGAGGGCCGTCCCGCGACCCCGTAATGTGCATCAATCCCATCTCAGCCTCCACCATGACATCGTAACCAGCCCGGTTACTGTACGGTCCTGTCTGGCCGTAGCCGGTGATACTGGCATATATCAACTTGGGGTTGATCTCTCGGAGGGTCTCATAATCCATCCCGTATTTCTTTAGTCCTCCTGGAAGATAGTTCTCGACGAGGACATCACATTCCTTTGCAAGCTTGTGGAGGATTTCGACGCCTGACTTGTGCTGGAACGACAGTCCAACAGACTTCTTGTTGCGGTTGACCTATGGCGCTTGATTAATCAATCAAATATCGATTCATGACATGGACACGTCCATACCGCCAAAAAGTAGGCACTTTCGCCAGGACCCTCTTTCGATGCGTCCTCGTACTTCGCGTATGGAGGGCCCCAAGCCCGAGTATCGTCGCCGCGCACGGGGTGTTCGATCTTAATAACGTCTGCCCTGTGTCGTGCAAAGTTAACATACACAAGCCCATATATATTCAGAGGAATTGCTCAATATGAGCTTCAATTACTGTACATACCCCAAATCGCCCAGGATCTGAGTACAGTACGGCTATAGCAATCAGATCAGTCAGCATATATGGAAGAGGAACAGTAATAGGAGAGCATAGACTCACACCTGCCAGAACCCGCGTCATATCAAGTACTCGAATTCCAGCCAGAGGCAGCGTCCCATCGAACGCCGAAGCGGCGCTGGAATAGCTCCGCAACGGCGAGATGCGCTGCAAGGCATTGGCGGACCAGGAGGGACTCGAGCGCCGAGCAAGCGTGTGAAACCTGAGCGCAACCGTCATTGTAAAGTAGCGAGTCCCCGACGCCGTGGAAATCCAACAGATAGAACCCCCACAGCAAGGTCAAGGGAGGTTAAATACGCGCTGGATAGATCGAAACTCCGCCAAAACGCCGACACCGCTCGGGGCGGGCCCCACTGCCGAGGTCGACCGAACCCCGAACTTTGCTTTCCCTACAGATTAGTGTAGTCACGGCCGCAACAATGTTCACTGGCCTGGTTGAGACGATTGGGAGTAAGCTTCCTTCTTTCCTTGGTACTTCGCCGAGACTGATCGTCATTTTTTATTAGCTGTGACGGCCTTGGAGCCCCTCGATACCTCGTCGAGCGGGGGTGGGGGCACGTCGCTCACCATCTCCGATTGCGAGGAGATCCTCTCCGACGCGCACCTGGGTGATAGCATCGCTGTCAATGGTACGTCTTGCTGTATAGAGCTAGTCTGGAATTGACAACGGGTTCTAAGTTATTTGATATAGGAACCTGCCTCACCGTCACTGCCTTCGACAAGACCTGGTTCAAGGTGGGCGTCGCGCCGGAGACCCTGCGACGCACCAACCTTGGGTCTCTCCAGACTGGTTCGCATGTGAACCTCGAGCGTGCAGTCTCAGCAGATACGCGGATGGGCGGACACTTTGTGCAGGGCCATGTCGACACCGTCGCGAAGATTCTGTCCGTGACGCCGGATGGCAACTCTCTCGTGTTCCGGTTGCAGCCGCGCGATACGGATGTGCTGCGCTACGTCGTTGAGAAAGGCTACGTGACCCTGGATGGTGCCAGCTTGACTGTTACAAAGGTCGTGGACGGCGAGGATGGATTCTGGGAGGTTATGCTCATTGCCTACACGCAGGAGAAGGTCGTAACGGCAGGCAAGAAGCCTGGCGAGGAAGTCAATGTCGAAATTGACATTGTGGGCAAGTACGTCGAGAAGAGTGTCCAGGGCTACTTTGCGGGCACTGCCGGAGGAGATTATGCCATTCTTGAGAAGATGGTGTCTCGTATTGTGGACGAGAAGCTCAAGAAATGAGTAAAAGAGAGACGAATTATGCCATATTAACGAGCATCTAAATTGAGGACGAAAGCGTCCTGATTGGCCGGTTCTAAACTTTTATTCGCATACGCCGTGTAAATGTACAAGTCAAACGTAAAAACCACCATGAGGCGCGTGGGTATAAAAGAGAATCGCTGATCCTGCGGAGAGATGCGTGTCCAGAGCCCGTCAGACCAGAGATACACCAAGCAGGCGAATCTTGGCCAAATAATGCTGGTACAGGCCTTCGAACACCATCTATCAGTCTCCGCCACGACTCGGGCCCTGCTTAGAAGACCAGGAGTGTGGGGAACGGTGTCATGGTCTGGAAGCCATTTGACCCAAAGACTTAGCGAGGAGAGATAACATTGGAATCAGCCCGAACTGGGTAGGGAGTGGACTCGAATTATCACCTAGTCCTTCACTCCATAGAATCGTCCGAATCTCCCTCGTCCTCACCCTCGTCAAATTCATCACTGAGCCAGTCACCATCGTCCATGTCAACATCCTCATCATCGTCGACTGCCTCTCCATTGGCCTTGGCCTTGGCCTTGTCCTTCTTTTTCTTCTCGATGTTTGCCTTCTGCTGCTTCTTGCGCTGCTCCTTCTCCTTGCGCCGAGTTTCCCAGCTCTTATCAAGAGACCTCACCTCATGTGCAGACTTGGTGATAAAGTGGTGCCACATGACCTTGCCTTCGCAGACACCATCCTCGACCTTCATCAGGCGGAGCTTCAAGCGGGGGCCCAACTCGACCAGCTTTACAGCTCGCTTCTCAACACCGGGGGTAGTGGCCTTCTTCTCGGGCTTATCCCCAGCCCTCTGGCGCTGCGCCTCCCGCTTGTTGAGAATTTTCCGAGTAGTGCTCTCCGCAACTTCAACCTCCGCGTCAGTGTCGAGCTCGGTCTCACTTGCAGATGTATAACCGGCGGCGGAGGGGTCGAGCAGGTAGTCAGCGGCATCTTCGAGCTTGCCCAGGTTGGGTACAGCCGCCTTTTTATCTCTGTTGCGAATTTCCTTGGGATCCAAGCGGCGGATGCGTTTTGACACGCCGGTCTTTTTCGTAGCGATGGCGTAGTGTCGTAGGCTGATGACGTAGGGGCTATCTTCAGACTCTGCGGGCTCTCGGTTCAGGAGCATGACGCGGCGGATGGAGGAAAGAGGTTGGGCTTGAGGGTTGATCGGTGGGAAGAGGGATTGGAAGATGGTAGTTGTGAGGGCCTCGAGGCGCTTTGGCACTTTGGAGTCCTCCGTTGCGTCCGGAGTGTTGAAATTATTCATCACAAGCAATGGTGGTGTCTTGTGATCTTGTCCACCACTCCTGGGGCGCTTCAACGATCGCTCAACGTCTTTGCAGAGCGAGTAGTTTTCGACTTGGAAGTGCAAAGTCGGGCCTCGGGGAGTGACAGCGAGGCGCATGTTTGTGTTGCCGGTTTTGGACTTGGAGAAGAGCATGAGATGAGTGACACCGAGAGGGCCGGCCATGACAGTATAATCACGGAGTCGGTTGGATTTGCGTTCCTGGAGCCGAAATCAGATATATTTCAAATTCAAACGGGCAATTGTCCCCATACCTTCAATCGCACAGCAGTATCAGGCTCCATCATCTGACGAACATCCTTAACTAGCTGGCTGACGCTTGTACCGACTTGAGAAGCGCCAACTCGAATAACCATAGACTTCGGAGTCTTGTTCATGGAAGGAGCGCTGCCCTTGCCAGACGCCGCCGCCGAGGCATTTTGCGCCCGAAGATGGGTGCGCTTCTTGACGCGTGCCTTGGCCATTGTGAAATCGGCGAAAATTAAGCACCGAAGAACAAAGGCGGAAGAAAATGATAAGCTCGCAAAGATTGGCTGCCAGCCCGAAGTTTTTTTGTCTCCAAAAAATTAAGGCGGAGCCAGAGCGGATCAATGATGTTGCGGACCCACATAAATTATTTCAAGATCTCGATCAGCGCAACTTTTCTCGACAAAACACCGCCAAAATGCCAGCTATAAAGAAGCGCAAGGTTGCCGACGAGGCGCCTGCACCTGCAGATGATAGCGATGCCAGCTCTGTGAGCTCCCAGTCTGGAGCTGAGGCCACCAACCCCGACGAGACTGCCGCCGACGAGAAGCCCGCCGCCGCTCCCAAGACATTCAAAGAGTTGGGGGTCATCGATTCGCTATGCCAGGCTTGCGAGAGTCTAGGATACAAGGCTCCTACCGCAATTCAAGCGGAAGCAATTCCATTAGCTCTCACAGGCCGTGATCTGATCGGTTTGGCCGAAACAGGTTCAGGAAAAACTGCTGCGTTCGCCTTGCCCATCCTGCAAAGCCTGATGGATGCGCCGCAGGCGTTCTTCGGTCTTGTCCTGGCGCCAACTCGCGAGCTGGCATATCAGATCTCCAAGTCTTTTGAATCGTTGGGATCTACTATCAACGTCCGGACCACAGTCATCGTCGGAGGCATGGATATGGTTCCCCAGTCCATCGCCCTAGGAAAGAAGCCGCACATCATCGTTGCGACTCCGGGTCGACTGCTCGACCATCTCGAGAACACAAAGGGATTCTCCCTCCGGGGTTTAAAGTATCTGGTTATGGACGAGGCCGACCGTCTGCTAGACATGGATTTTGGACCCCTCCTCGATCGGATTCTCCGGGTCCTTCCCAAGGAGCGTCGTACATTTCTTTTCTCCGCGACTCTCAGCTCGAAAGTCGAGTCACTACAGCGCGCTTCTCTTTCTAACCCGCTCCGTGTTTCCGTCAGCTCGAGCAAGTACCAGACCGTGTCGACCCTTCAACAATATTTCCTTCTCAGGCCGCATAAGCACAAGGATGTCTACCTGGTGTATCTACTGAACGAGTTCATTGGCCAATCGGCCATCATTTTCACGCGCACTGTCCATGAGACTCAGCGCGTTGCCTTCCTCCTCCGCTCCCTTGGCTTTGGCGCGATTCCTCTTCACGGCCAACTTTCACAATCGTCGCGACTCGGGGCTTTGGCCAAGTTCCGCTCCCGCAGCCGAGAAATCCTTGTCGCCACGGACGTTGCCGCTCGCGGTCTTGATATCCCCTCCGTTGACGTCGTTTTGAACTTTGACTTGCCCACGGATAGCAAAACCTACATTCACCGCGTCGGGCGTACCGCTCGAGCAGGAAAATCCGGTGTTGCCATTAGCTTTGTGACGCAGTATGATGTGGAGATCTGGCAGCGAATCGAGGGCGCTTTGAGCCGCCAGCTTCCGGAGTACGATGCCGCGAAGGACGAGGTTATGGTGCTCGCTGAGAGAGTAGGCGAGGCCCAGCGCGCGTCGATCATGGAGATGAAAGCCTTTGACGAGAAGAAGGGAACTAAGGGGAAGAGGTTTGGAAAGGGCAAGCGCTCTCGTGACGAGATGGATCAGGAGGAGGGTTAAGTGTCGGAAAGTCTGGCCGGCCCATTGGAGTGCCATACTCCGTTGTATATGAATTAATGTCCATCCGCGATAGAAGCATGAAAAGTTATCTAGTTGTACTTGTATTGCTACAAGGGCGTATTAAGTAAGCAATGATAGCGTAAGTTTCATTACTGCATCAATGAAATGATATTGAAATATTTTGCTGTCGTAGCGCTCACTCAAGAGGAGCCCGTAAAACGCCATGAAAGCTGTCGTGATCTTTTGTTACCTCGTCCCTGCGATGTTGGCACAATATACCGCGTCCGTACGAGAAGCCTTATCTATGGTGCCTTTTTGCCTTAGCCCATCTCTACTGGGCCTCGGTGCCTGCCTCGCGCACGGCGTTAGCCACGCGAGTAGCGAGATCGTCGGCCTCAGATCGGCTGGCAGCCTCAGCGTAAACACGGACAGCATCCTCGGTACCACTAGCACGGGCGAAAGAACGTCCCTTGTTGTACCGAGACTGCAGAGACTCAATCTTAGCCTGGAGGCCAGCGGGAGACTCTAGCTTGCGCTCGGCATCGTAGGCCTTGAAGATAGAGCGGTCGTGGACCTCGACACGAACAAGGCGGGAGGGTAGGTCGGTGTAAGTTCCGAGCCACTCCTTGGGGGACCAACCCTTGTGAGCGAGGATAGCCTCCACGAGAAGCATATCGGAGAGAGCGTCACCAACAGCCTGGTTGATGAGGTCGGTCAGAGCCTGGAGACACTCAAGGGAGTGCTGCTGAGCCGGAGACTGAGGCTCGGTGTTCTTAATGACCTTCAAAGCATTCTCTGAGAAGGTAACGGTGCCGTGGCCGTTGGCTTCAAAGTAGACACCGACGTCGAACCGCAAGGCAGCGTGATGGAGATGCTTTACACCGGTGTTGGTGCAGATGATGGGGAGCTTTAGCACCTTCTCGATGTAGTCGGTGCTGGCACCGTTGGCATAGGCCGTCTGAACGACGCCGATTTTCAGCTTCTGCGCAATGCCAGCATTGCGGGCAAGGTCGCCGATGAAAGAGGCGGCGAGAGTGGCGATGCGGTCGCCATCCAGGAGGCGGAACACGTTGCTATCGTCCACAAAGTAGTAGACCAGACGGTCAGCATCACCGTCCAGTGAAGCGCACCGATCAAGGGCAGCAGCTTTGGAGGAGGGAGGGGCACGCTGCTTTGTCTTGACGTAGTCGGCGCCGCACTGCAAAAGGTCAGAGAGTAATTCTGGATCCACTATAGTGTCACAAAGAAACCCACATCAAAGTTAAGGCTGTCGGGGTTGATCACGTCATCGTTCACCACCTTGATGTCAAGTCCAGAGTCCAGATACTTCAGAAGATCCCGTAGCTTGGGACCTCCAACACCATTGGCGCAGTCGACAGTCAAAGAGCCCTGAACCTTGACACCCTTCATAACCTTCTTGAAAGAGGCGGCAAGCTTCTCATAGTAGCCCTGTTCCGTGGGCTCGCCGTACTCGTACTGTGTTCCAAGAGTGTTCTTGCAGCGCACGACGTAGTGGAGCTGAGGGGTGGTCATGTACTTGAAGTCAATGAACTCGACCTCGGTTGCGGTAAGAGCGGCGTTGAGAACGCCTACTAGACGAGAGCCGGAGGCACGAGTATCGCGAGCGAAGACCACACGGGCCGGGTTGGTCATCTTAACGTCGATCTCCTTGACGAGTTCATCGTAGACGTCGGCGATTTTATCCAGCGGGGCGTTTGCCAGCTTGGTTGCGTATTGCTCCCACTCAGCCTAAATATTGACAGTGAGCTCGGTAAAATCCACTGCGGCGGTTGGAGGTAGGTAGATCTTACTTCAAGCATTTCGCCCTGTTCGTATTTATATGCGTCAGACATGATCATCCGTTAGAGCACGAGGCGACCGTAATTGTTTACTCACCATGGGGTCAATCAGCTTGACACCGTTGTCCTCCGCGGGGTTGTGACTAGCAGTCACCATAACACCAATCCATTGCCCACTAAGCTTCTTCGACCGAAGGCCTGCAAGCAAGCCCACGGCGAACACGACGGTATTAAGGAGGTCACTGCATTGTCACGAGACGTCGTTCAGCAAGGTTCAACGTCAACAAATGGACGATCGCGGGGCGTGTGAGAGGAGGCGGGGCAGATCGATCGTGAGCGAAACTTACGCTTTCATGCGAAACTACTCGCGCAAAGTGAATCAGTAAGCTAAAAGCGTAGAGCAGGTCTTGTGGGATGCGCGACATACCCCTGCGGTGCCATACTCGAAGACCTTGCCCTCGGGCTTGGTGTACTGAAGAGCAGCCTCGGTGATCGCCTTCTTGACAGCCGGAGACGCCATTGTGGCGTGCAGAGCTGTAATTAAAGTGAGAGTCGGGGCGAAAGTTTCACGCTTGAAGGAAAAGGGCGATGTATGTTCGCAGAGGAACGTTGGGGGGGAGGGTGGGAGTACTTTGAAACAAAAAGGGAACGAGGGGTTTACGTGAGACACGGCTTAATGCGACGGCCCTAGCGGTGAGCCAATGGCGGGGAAGGCAACCCCCACGCCGAGTTCCTGACCGTGGCAATAGCGAACTACACGCGACAAGCGCCGTGGAATTTACCGACGGAGGCTTTGCGATAAACAAGGTGGGGAAGTAGCAGTTCAGCATGATTACTATGAGCAACAGATCGCCGGGACGACGGTCGCCTGTTATACATGGGAAAAATTCGCCTGTGCGAGTTTCCCGCAGCACTTCTGGGATATATATGGCACCAAAAATTTCCACCCGTTTACGCCTTGAGTCGGTGTCCAGCGATATCGTCCTGCGCATCCTTGATGAGGAACCTGTTAGACACAACCGAGGGCATTAGTCATGAAAAAGATAACGGACAAAGAAGTCAGATCAACGGAGACTTACGAGTACCACCAAGCAGTGGGGACTACAGTGCCTAAATGCCACAAACTGTGCGCATCAATCAAGCCATGCCAGGGCGGGAAGTCGAGTAACTCCAAACTCATGGCCAGAATGATCCACGCGACAATCATACCAGGCCAGGCTGTCCAGGACTTCAAATACTTCTGATAACGGAAAATACTGAATCCAGTCCACAGCAGGTTCTGGACAATGCCAACCGCCACGTTCGCCGCCATGTTGTATGTGTAATCCCACGACCAGAAGCTGAGGTAACAGACATGCATGGTGTAGAGCATGAGGCAGATCACCGTCCATAGGCGACGCAACGTGGGGCGGTAGGGGGGATTCTCCAAATCAAGGCGCATGATGCGGACCACGGCCAGGTAGAGACCATACAAGACGCTGGCGCCGGCCGCCCAATAATCCAGCTTTTCGGTAAAGTCAAAGTCCCTCGTGTGGAAGATCATGCTGAATGTCCAGCTTGCCAGCCCAATATATCCAAACATCATGTAATATTTCCGCATAGAGTGCCAGGCAGGGATCGACTCCTGAACTCGGGACATGCCGTGCCAATGGGCTGCGAAGTTGAGAAAGGAGAACAGCACCGAGAAGGGTTCCTGCATCCCCAGAATCCTCCGGAACGGCCATTTGCCGTGGAATTGAACAACAGGGTTCAGCATCGGGGGATCACGCGAGACTCGACGATCGGTAATGACATGTTGGCAGGTATAGTCGCATTCAGCCGGGCAGGTCCATAGTAACAGGCGGTGGTGCAGAGCTGGGCGAGGTCAGAAGGGAGGGAACTATGAGAGGAGTCCTGATAGGTAGCGGTAGACATACGTAGCACCGAATTGCCGCCCTGGCAGTTCTCGGTTTTACAGACCTGTGGGTGTTAGTCGAGTGCAAGGGTTCTCCCCAATCGGGCCCGGGGAAGGACGGTCGGTACCTTGACGCATTCTTTGAAATCAGGTAGGTGATCTCCCAGAGACGCAGACGATTGGCCGGTCAGAAGGGCCAGCAGAGCAAGAGTGAATAAAGTGGAGGGAATCACGCTTCCAGCGCCCAGCTGCATTGTGATCTGACAGTGGCTTTAGGGCGAGCAACGCGTAAGCTTGGGGGGGGATGGCAGTTTGCGGAGCTCCGGGCGGCATCACGGCTGAGCCTCGCGCGGGTCTTGGCAAAAGATTGTTAGACAAGGTGTACACCATAACGGTGACTCCGTAGAGATGTTGATTCGGCCATACTATGGGTATGCACACTTACTTGTGCATACATTTATTGATCTATCTGCCGTGAATAATATTGAGTCTTGCCTTTTGCGGTGTTCTCCCCTTTGTATTCATAAATTTTACCATTTCCTATTAGCAGATAGTAAGACTCAGATCGCATAAGGATACCTTGAGAAATAAAGAGGTGAGGACATTCTACTATTGAAACCCTTCTTGTGCCTCCTACTCTTTATGTGCCATTCACCAAAAACCATTTAACCGCCTGCGGTGTTGGGCATACACCGTGACAAGCCCTAGTGAAATGAGGGCTTTTAGGTCACATGATGATATCCCAAAGTGGCTTAGCGTGGGCGGGGATTTTGGAGTTTAAGCTTGGCGCTTGGAAATGCTCAGAAAAAAAAGTCGAGTCCAGTCGAGGTTGATCTCCGATCTTTTTCGCCGAAGGTCCCATTTTTCGTGGCATCTCCCCTTTGTTTATTTTAGTTTTAAAATCCATTCTTATCTCATCCACCGCCAAGATGAGTGAATCTGAGGCCACCAACGCTTCTGGGGTTATCACCAGCAGCGCCGATCGCATGGTTGGCGCCGAGCACGCTGAGGTGCGCTACTTCACCAGGTATGGCCTTAAGAATGTCGCTTTGACTCTTGAATTTTGATGAGGTACTGACTGCGCTATAGCTATGACCATCACGGTAATTCTATTTTGAAACCCCTCGCTATTCTGTGAAGGAGGGCTGGCTAACGTTTTGTCTTTGAACTTTGCATAGGTATTCACGAAGAGATGCTGGTGAGTTCAGCCCGGATGGATTTGGCCATTTCAATGAAGCAAATTGCTAATGAATAATTCTTTCTGTCTACAGAAAGACGATGTCCGTACGCGATCGTACCGTGATTCCATTTACCAGAACCCCCACATCTTCAAGGACAAGGTTGTTCTTGATGTTGGCTGCGGTACTGGCATTCTCAGCATGTACGTTCTCAGAATAATGCACGAGGGGCTCAGGAGGCGGAGGCTGACATGGTTCGCAGGTTCGCTGCCCGCGCCGGTGCCAAGCATGTGATTGGTGTTGATATGTCCTCGATCATTGAGAAGGCCAAGCAGATTGTTGCTGTCAACGGCCTCAGCGACAAGGTCACTCTCCTCCAGGGCAAGATGGAGGAGGTTGTTCTTCCCTTCCCCAAGGTTGACATCATCATCTCCGAGTGGATGGGCTACTTCCTTCTCTACGAGTCCATGCTGGACACTGTCCTGTACGCTCGTGATACCTACCTCGCCCCCGGTGGCAAGATTTTCCCTGACAAGGCCACCATGTACGTGGCCGCCATTGAGGATGGCGAGTACAAGGACGACAAGATTGGATGTGAGCAAAGGCCGGCCTTTTCCCCCCATACACAGTGCTAACAATGTATTACAGTCTGGGACAACGTTTACGGCTTCAACTACAGCCCCATGAAGGAGATTGCTCTCACCGAGCCTTTGGTGGACACTGTCGAGATGAAGGCCTTGGTTACCGAGCCTTGCGAGATCATTACCTTCGACCTCAATACCGTTACTACCGCCGACCTTGCCTTCAAGGTGCCGTATCAGCTTACTGCCCACCGCCCCGATTTCATTCATGCCCTCATCGCGTGGTTCGACATTGAGTTCAGCGCCTGCCATAAGCCTATTCGCTTCTCCACCGGCCCTCACGCCAAGTACACCCACTGGAAGCAGACCGTCTTCTACCTGCGGGATGTCCTCACCGTCGAGGAGGGTGAGACCGTCTCTGGTGTCCTGGAGAACCGCCCGAACGACAAGAACAAGCGTGACCTGGACATCAACATCTCGTACAAGTTCGAGATCGATGACCCCACTCGCTTTGCCGAGGGCAGCTGTTTCTACCGCATGTATGTTTCTTGCGTTTTTGGACCACATTTATTGCTTGAACACTAACCAACCATCTCGCTAGGTGCTAATCTGTCTTTGAGTTTCTGTTTTGTTCTACGATCCCTTCGACATGGTTGCACGTAATCTCAGGGACAACTTTCGACACCAAATGCAATGCAGCATAGCATGGGCAACTCAGGATTTGCACAGGGCGATTGGACTGTTCCGGCCTCGCTTTTTCATTTCTGTTTCATCGGCGTTGGATATTTTGGGTGGCAGGTAAAAGGCATTACTACATGGCGCGATACGGAGAGGTTATTATGAAGCTCCTCGAATTTCTAAGTAGATACCCCGAGTCGATGCTTAGTCTAGCAACTCCGACGCTCTTTCTCATGTCCAATGTTCAAATACCCCCTCGTAGGCAGTGCTTCTGCAACCCAATTAGAACTATGTTAGCGTAATCCAAGCGGGCCAAACCCGCATTACAACCCCGAATGCCAAGGAGCTGGCGTGGCATCGGCTACGACGGTAACAAATCATTATCAGATCCTCGGCTCCTGGCCGCCCCGCAATTCCTCAACTACTTTAGCTTGCGCTTCTCCGCGCGCCCTTTTTCTCCCTCGCTCGTTCTACTCATTGCTTCTCCTCCGTATCCCTTCATTTTACAGTCATATTTTTACATACATCATGTCCGCGCCTGGAGCTGGTCACGAGTTCCCTTCCAAAGAGGTCTCTTGGCAGAAGCGCGATGTTCTACTGTTCGCCAACAGCATTGGCATCAAGGCCGACGAGCTGCACTTCCTCTACGTAAGGGCAGCGGTCAATTGGCTTATGAACCCACGATATTGACAATTTTCTCAGGAGCTGCACCCGAATTTCTCTGTTTTCCCAACCTACTCGCTCATTCTCCGTATGTAGCGCACCACGGGACATTTCGCACGGGCCATCACTTACTTGTTTCCAATCTACCAGCGTTCAAGCTCACTGACCAAGAGGTGACTGATTTCTACGCACGCCAGCAGGCCACTCACATTCCTGGTGTTCCCCAGTTGGATCACCGTCACGGTGTTGATGGTCAGCGCAAGCTCACAGTCCTGAAGCCACTCCCCCCTACTAGCGCCGGACGCAAGTTCGAGCTGCGCAACAAGGTTATCGGTGTCTATGATAAGGGCAAGCCCGGCACTGTTATTGAAACTGAGCAATCGATTGTGGACGCTGAGAGCGGCGAGGTGTACTCCAAGGTTCTGTCCAGCGGCTTCTTGGTTGGCCAGGGTGGCTGGGGCGGTCCCAAGGGTGAGGTCCAAAAACCTCTGTCTGCGAAGAAAGCATACTGACTGAATAATTTAGGGCCCTCTTCTGTTAACTTTCCCCCTCCCCAGGGGAAGACCCCTGATGCCGTCCATGTTGTGCAGAGCAACATGGAGACTGCCCACTTGTACCGGTATGCATTCGGATGCTTCGCATAAAATTCCCCAAATACTGAGTAGAACCTAGATTGAACGGCGACTACAACCCTTTGCATGCCACTCCCGAGCCTGGCCAGAAGATGGGCTTCGGCGGCATTATCATCCACGGCCTGTTCAGCTGGAACTCTGCCGCCCACGGCATTCTGCGGGAGCTGGGTGGTAGCAACCCTGACAACCTCAGGGAATTCCAGGCTCGCTTCGCATCGCCTGTTCGTCCTGGTGACAAGCTCACCACTGAGATCTGGCGGATGGGCAATGTGCAGACTGATGGCTTTGAGGAAATCCGATTCGTCACGAAGAACCAGAACGGCAAAGTTGTCTTGAGCAATGGACGGGCTTTGCTGAAGGTTACTGGTGTAAAGAGCAAGCTGTAAATCTTAGCGAGTAAAGGACCGTATTATAGTACCTTGTGCTTTCATTTTGCTCAATTACACTTTGCAGCGATGCGCCCATCCGAATTCCAACAAATTTCGTCGTTACCCCCTTAATGATTGTCCTGATTTTGAAATAACATAGAAATCTGTTTTCTATAGAATCCTTCCTGGCCTCCTAGGATCTGATTATTATGTCAACGGTGCTCTGCTGATTTGCAGAAGAAGCTCCTCTCAAGACGTACCGGCACGTGATCAAACGGCCTCGGCCTCCGCTCCCCGCGCTCGGACCATTCCCCAGACCACAACAGCTGCATCCCCACGTTGCAAAACTCTTGAAGACGCACGTCAGAGCCTTGAAAATGAGTGCGAGCCGTCTCATTTCTCTTAGAACAATTGTGCTTGGGGGAAGTTATAGGTGAATACCTAATTTACAGACCTGTCAGAATATCCATGGTTAACATACTCGACTAGGCCCCTAGCCTCGCCCTCCCATGCCTTCAAGGGTAGTTGTTTGGTATGTATCAGATGCAATAACTCCCTGATCAAGCTTTACGATATAGTACTTACCAGGAATCTCTTCTCGTGGGATTTCGATAGACCATTGGCACCAGACATGCAGTTCCTCTCGTCAGAAACACTAACTGGCAGTCTCATCTGAGTAAGCGCCTACTGTCTGACTATACTCAGGTGGAAGGCTCTGCCGTAGATGAAAATACTACAAAGGAGCCAATAAGTGAGGAGAGGATCCAAAAAGCTCTTCATAAAGCTTCGCAGCACGGCAACGTGGTTATTAAAACCAACACTAACCCTCGAGTGCCTTTCTGGTATTTGTAAGTCGTATCTCAATGCATAGAATCTCATTTTGCGTTTATGTCTAATGATATTGTACAGTGGTCCCTTATTTCTCAGGTCAGTATCCTGGTGAAGATCTTGGTTGTATCGGGCTTTGATGACGAATCGAGAATTTCCAGAGAGAATTGCCAATGCCCCAAGTGCATTCATCCGGACACAAAGCAAAGGATTGTCGACACCTTTTCGGTAGGGATCGATACCAAATCTCTGCTGTCAGTATGTTGGCTTATAGTCATGTACCTCTAGCTTTCACCGAATCTCAGAGCAAAAACAGTCACGAACAGGGAGGATCACGTCGAGATAAATTGTGAGAAGATATCGAGGGACCTCGGTATCAGTATTTGGGGCTGACACTGCCTTAGGGAGTGATGGGCATGATAGCACCTATCCATGGAACTGGCTTGCGGCGCACAGGGGGAACTTCAAGCCAGGACAGGACCCACACGTACAAAATCCAACTCGAAAAACTAGGTATTGTTACAATCTCAGATTTTTTTTGCGCTGCTAATGATATCATTAGGCCATTCGAGGTATATGATCCTCTTAAGGGAAATGCATATCCCGAGGTGGCGTTCGACGATGTGATGTCGAAGGATACCGTAGTGCTGAAGTGGTTAGAAAACATCGTCAGTTTGCCTAGAAAGCCTGAAAGTTAAGATTCTCGTCATCGAAGACATGGCTTACTCTGATACAGTGGGTATGGGGATTCTGCTTCGTCAAAGGTGTTCCTGTCAACCCCGAGTCAACCAAGACCCTGATCGAGAGAATCGCCTTTGTCCGACACACACACTACGGTATATGATCCCCTATGCTTTCAAAATGGTAATGTCCTTTAACAGCGGATTATTAGGTGGCTTTTGGGATTTTACGGCAGATCTTACCTTCAAGGACACTGCATATACAAACGAATGGCTGGGTGCCCACACAGACAACACCTACTTTACAGATCCCGCGAGACTCCAGCTCTTTCATCTGTTATCCCATACGGATGGAACGGGGGGAGCGAGTTTACTAGTGGACGGGTTTGCAGCTGCTAAAGAACTGGCTATACAAAACCCAGACTTTTACGACATATTGGCTACCTCTAGGCACCCGTGGCACGCAAGTGGTAATGAAGATGTCTGCATTCAACCTTCCACCTTGGAACCTGTTTTCAAAATTCACCCAGAAACGAATGCAGTTTATCAAGTGCGTTGGAATAATTACGACCGAGCACCGAAGAGCGACTGGCATCCATTGGAACAACGGAAATGGTACCGCGCAGCTCAAGCCTACAACAAACTGTTGACCAGGCATACAAATGAAATATGGACCCAATTGGAGCCAGGGACAGCATTGAGTAAGTAACGGACCATTATCGATATAATTGCCAGCTAATCTCTCGGCTTTCAGTCTTTGATAATTGGCGAATGTTGCACGGCCGCTCCGAATTCACTGGAAAGCGACGTATGTGCGGCGGTTACGGTATGTGTAGAACTAAACATGATAAAGTGTCATCTCAAATAGCCTTGATTCTAACAGCGCCCGGCAGTCAACAACGATGATTTCATTTCACGACTGCGCCTTCTGAAGTTTGGCCGCGAGAAGGTCTTGAACAATCTCGGAAATACTCGGGGTTGGAAGTCCTCTGACAACCCGTACTCAATATATTAGATCGGGAACCGGGAATCTGCTCAAACTTCGATCTCAACTTGCAAAGATGAAACATCTAGTCTGCTTTGTGTAAATCCATATGCATATACATTGTCCACCTAGCTGCAACGTATGCCATATGAAGATTTTTTAAAAAAGCTTTAAAAAAATCTTCGCCTTTTTAAAAAAACCCTAGCGTCTAAATATCTGTGAGAACGAGAAATCTTCTAACCGTGAACGGGCTTTTCCCCAATACTCTTAAGACCCTAGCAAGGTGGGACTGTTGATAGGCTCACGTGACTGGCTGACGTTGTTGGAGCTCGGCCACCGACAGCTCTTCTTTAACCTTCTACGTTCCCTTCCAACATCCACCTCACCTCTCCCGAAAGCCATCGGATTACTGTCGGTCTCAAATTCATCAGATTCGGTCGTTCATTTTCTTGTTAATCATCATCCAGCATGTCGACCCTTGAGGACCTCGACGACCTCGAGCGCGAGACCAGAGACAAGAAGCAAGATCAGGGCGATGGCGACGGCAAGAAGGCCAGCGATGACGATGCCGAGATGCAAGATGCTGAAAAGAAGGAGGATGAGGAGGAGCTGCTAGATGACGAGATTCTGCACTCAAGCACGGCGGATATTGTCAAGAGGCGGCGGATGCTGGAGAACGAGATGCGCATCATGAAGAGCGAGTTCCAGCGGTTGACACACGAGCAAAGCACAATGCGGGAGAAAGTCAAGGACAATCAAGAAAAGATCGAAAACAACAGGTACGGGCATGGATGAAACTGTGGACGGTCGTCTGGCGGAGCCTCCTCACAGGATCCGCGGAGCTTTCAACCACATGCGGTGGGACAGGAGATGGGTTCCATTAAGCTAACATCTACTTGCTATCTACCAGACAACTACCATACCTTGTTGGCAACGTGGTCGAGCTGCTGGACCTCGATGTAGAGGCCGAGGCCGCGGAGGAAGGGGCCAACATCGACTTGGACGCCACCCGCGTTGGCAAATCCGCCGTCATCAAGACCTCGACCCGGCAGACTATCTTCCTTCCGCTCATCGGTCTGGTCGATCACGAGACGTTGAAGCCCGGTGACCTCATCGGTGTCAATAAGGACTCATACCTCATCCTCGACACACTACCAGCCGAGTATGACAACCGCGTCAAGGCGATGGAGGTCGATGAGAAGCCGACGGAGAAGTACACGGATATCGGTGGATTGGACAAGCAGATTGAGGAGATCGTCGAGGCTATTGTATGGCCGATGAAGGAGGCGGAGCGCTTCAAGAAGATTGGCATTAAGGCACCGAAGGGTGAGTGTTTCCTCATTACTAATGCATATTTCCCAGCAGTGCTAATACTTTTATCTTCTCTTTTCAGGTGCTTTGATGTATGGCCCTCCTGGAACCGGCAAAACTCTCCTTGCACGAGCCTGTGCCGCCGAGACAAACGCCACCTTCCTCAAGCTCGCCGGTCCACAACTGGTGCAGATGTTCATTGGTGACGGTGCCAAGCTCGTCCGCGACTGCTTCGCCCTCGCTAAGGAGAAGGCTCCCTCAATTATCTTCATCGATGAGCTGGACGCCGTCGGCACAAAGCGTTTCGACTCCGAGAAGTCCGGTGACCGTGAGGTGCAGCGTACCATGCTGGAGCTTCTGAACCAGCTGGACGGCTTCGCGTCTGACGACCGCATCAAGGTCCTGGCTGCGACCAACCGCGTGGATGTTCTGGATCCTGCCCTGCTCCGTTCCGGCCGGCTGGACCGTAAGATCGAGTTCCCGCTGCCGAACGAGGAGGCCCGCGCCAATATCCTGCAGATCCACTCGCGCAAGATGTCTGTCGAAGATAGCGTCAATTGGGCCGAGTTGGCGCGCAGTACCGATGAGTTCGGTGGTGCCCAGCTTAAAGCCGTGTGCGTGGAGGCTGGCATGATTGCGCTGCGGAAGGGCATGAGCAAGGTGGGACACGAGAACTATGTCGATGCCATCGCTGAGGTCCAAGCCAAGAAGAAGGATACGAACATGGGAATTTACGTCTAGGGTGGACATGTCTTCTGGTTTAGGTTTTTGGGCTGTCTTGTCCCCCTTCTCATCTCTATTCCCTTTTCTCTTTCCCTCCGTGTCTCGCCATGTCTCGCCATGTCATGTATGTACACTGTGCGGCTCGACTGAGCCTGGGCCGGTAATTCGCTATGCATGCGGGCGGTTCCCTCTAAACCAAATAACATGATCAAATTAGACTGGTCCCTGTCAGAGTTATATCATTGATATCAAGGAGACAAAAGGCATGGCAATGGTTCTGCCAAATGCTGCCTGTTGTAAACCGCTGCGCTGACTAGCATCTAGCTGCGTTTGGCTTCGTGGGGAACCATCAATCGAGTATAGAGCTAATGGAAGTAACCTCAAAGCAATTTTACGCAAACCGTATGCCAATCCTCCGGATAGCGGTGCTGTAGAGAAACAAGTACTTGGTTTGAGTCGGAAGCCACAAAGATGACGGTGTAGATGACTTTCGTGCAAGAAATAGTGGTACACATCAATCGTTCTGAAAAGGCGATGATTCTGTGCTATGATCCACGAGTTAGAATGGTCCGAGATAATCTTCTAAGTTTCCCGGGGGAAGTCTGTTATCGACTCGCACTGTATAGCTACGTCCACTGCTCAAGAAGGCACAGGGATAGAATGGGCGATAAAAAAGTTTATATTGCATTTTCAAAGCCTAAAACCATGGTAACCTCACGCATACAGATGCAATTGTCATAAAGCCATGTCAAACACCTCCGTCTCAATCCCGGCATCCCCTGACACCCCTTCAAAAGCCCAGCCTCCGGGCTAAACATAACTCCCTATATCATTCACATACCTCAGTTCTTACCCTGGGTATCTTTCAGAGTAACAATGCGGTTCAAAATAACCTTATCAGGGGTTGACTCCCGATCAACAGCAAAGTATGCAATGCGCATACCCTGGAATCGGATGCAGTGCTGGTTAGACTCGACGTCGCCCTCCCCAGCCGCCTTCGGCCAAGGCGCCGTACGACGAATCTCCTCGAAGCCCGTCTCAATCATCGCGTCCTTGTAGATCTCCTCTGAGTCTGGGTTGATGTCCTTCAGGAAGCCGCCAGGGTGTGAAGAGGGATCCTCTGACTTGAACAGCGAGTTGAACGCGCGGATCTCCGCGCGGATGGGGCTGTTGTGCTTGGCCGACTCGCCAACCCAGTGGATGAAGGTCTTCGGGCGCTTGGCCGTCTCACCCTCGGCGGGCTTCTCGTATTTCGCGTGCACGACGGAGACGATGCCAGTGGCGGGGTCCTTCTCAAAGGATGTGGCAGTGATCGGGTAAGGGGCCTTGAGCAAGCCGACGGTTTTGCCGGGGGCCAGGCGGAAGTAGTCTGGAGAGTCGACCTCGCGGAAGTCAGAGCGCTCGATGTACACGGTCTTGGTGAAGGGAACGGTGTGGGTGCCGAAGGTGTCGTCCTTGCCGAAGGGAACCTCGACGAGTTCCTCGTAGCCGTCGGGCAAGTCATCGATGATGACCTTCAGGGGCTCGGTGACGACCATTAGACGTGGAACGGTGGTCTCGAGGTACTGGCGTACGGTCTGTTCGAACTTGGCGACCTGCACGTTGGTAACGGCTTTGGTGACACCAAGGTCGTTGACAAAGGCAAGGATGGCGCCGGGGGGTACACCCCGGCGGCGGAGAGCAATGAGGGTGTACAGGCGCGGATCATCCCAGTCACGGACATGCCCCTCCTTAACGAGCTGAATAATCTTGCGCTTAGAAAGCACAGTACCGGTAATATTGAGACGGCCGTACTCGCGCTGCATGGGGCGGTAAACATCTAGCTTCTCGTTGAGCCATTCATATGAAACACGCGACAACTCGAATTCCGTCGTGCACAGCGAGTGCGTAATGCCCTCAATGCTATCGCAAAGTCCTGGAAAAATGTGGAATTAGCGACTACCATTGAGATGGGATAGGATGGGACGAAGTGGTTGAAGCTTTACCGTGAGCCATGTCATATGTGGGGAACATTTTGTACTTTGAAGCACGAAGATGCTGTTTATCACCCTCCGGAATGCGCCACGCGAAGATATCCCAGAGCATTGGGTTTGGATTAGAAATGTCTGGGAGGAGTTAGCTTGATTATTCTTCTTAACGATGTGTTGAACAAACCTTGTTTCATCCGAAGTGCCGCTTCTCCGGCTTTATACTTGCCATCACGCATAGCGCGAAACTCCGCCAGTGATTCTTCGATGGGTCGTGTGCGGTGGCTGCAAGAAAAGCGCTGACCGCCACGTTGACCACCTGCGGTCTCCCCCTTTGAAGTCTGACTTCAGATTGGGCACAATGGCAGACATAAGCACCGTCGCGCCTAATCAATTCCTCGGACAGTTCGTAAAGACGGTCGAAATTGTCACTGGCATGTGTCTCCCGCACAGGCGTGAATCCCAACCAGGCCACGATATCGCGAATAGCATCGTAGTACCGTTCTTCCTCGCCCTCAGGGTTCGTATCATCGAAGCGCAGGATACACTCTCCGCCATGGTATCGTGCAAAGCCAAAGTTGACCGCAATGGCCTTGCTGTGTCCGATGTGGAGGTATCCGTTGGGCTCGGGCGGGAAACGGGTGCGGATCTTGGGGACGGTATCGGAGAGCGGTCGCTCGTTGTAGACATCGTTCAGAAAACCGACCTTGAACATCGCATCGGGATCGCGGGGCGCAACAGCCTCCTTAGGCGCTTTGGCGGGCTTGGGCTTGTCCTCCTTCGGAGGGCGGGGGTTGTTCGCGTTGTTCGCTTTCGCCTCGGCCTTGGCCTTCTTCTTCTCTTCCTTCTTCTTGGCGGCCTTGGACTGCTTGGGCTCAGCCTCGGCCTCCTTGGGCCGCTCGGGCAGGTCGACAGGCTTTGCGGGATCCATGATCGCGAATGCACCCAGAATTTAGGCCGGAAATGTGAGCAATTGGTGGGGAAGAGAGACAATAATTTTGCGAGGGGCTGCGATGCTTATCAGTCCCCATTCGCTTCTCGGGCCGATGAAACCCCGGATGAGTCAGAGGGGCAGACCTATCCACCATCCATAGATCAAATAGATAGGTGTAAACAGACGCTATTCTTAGCATCAACTCGTAACGAGTCACTAGGATATATTTTTACGATAAGACAATTTAGTTCTCAGGAATATTTACGGTATATTACCAGTATACACAAGGTGGTACACGGTTTGTACAGGTCCGGCACAAATCAGGTCACGAAGCACAAGATATGAACAAATAAAGCCAGCCCAATTACCAGAGCGCCAGACCCATGTTCCCAAGTATGCAGAGCTGGCGAAATACAGCCATCAAAAGCCCCCCATGCGGCTCTGAGAGTAGACAAAAGAACCAAATAGTCACTATAATGACAGGCATCGCCGTATGTATACAACCAAAATAGAGCTGTGTCATGCTTATAGGAGCCAATCAAGCGCCGCCCCCAAGCAGAACTGGCGTATGTTAAGTATCGTGAAGGAGGGTGAGGGAAAACAAAAACAAAGTAGCACCGTAATGAGTATCGACCAAATGCGGGGTATATGGCATGGTAATAGAGACCAGAGAAGAGGCAGAAGAGAAGGAAGAGATTGAAAGAAGTATGTTCAGAAGAGCTGCATGGCAGTGATAAGCTCAGAGTTCCCTGGACGGTCACGTTCCATGTGGAACCACCAGTCCCGGCCCATCTTGTGGTTCCAGGAGCCAGTGCATGTATCTTTCTCCCAAGGGAGTGCATGGGAGGAAGCATTGCTCATCGGAGTGTTCGGGGTGATGGGAGTTGTTGGCGTGCCTGTCGACCGGCTGCCCAGGCTACCCCAACCGAATCGCGAGGTAGTGGAGGATGGAGAAGCAATCTCCTCGATTGGAGGAGAATTGGGGATATTCTTGCCATTGTCAAAGCAATGGACTCCCGTGCCGGTGGCGTATAATAGCGACTGATTGGATGCAAGCAAATGCTTCCACCCAATCAACCCACCATCTGTTTCCTGTCCTGGGATATCAGGACGTAAAAGGAACTTGGGGATAGACGCCCCCGTCATGGGATCCTTGACACCCGAACGACCCATGAAAGTAGGCATCCGAAATTCGTAAACGGTTTTGGGGCTGTCAGTCTCCGGAGGAGCATTCTTATATCGCTCGGCTGCGGCCCAAATGCCGTAGTCATCCATTTCCCGCTCGGGCTCTTCCTCAAACTGCGAAGCCATCGCGACGTCGGGAATGAAATTGTCCGAGTAGTCTTGGATCAATACCGGCATGCCGTTTTCCGTATCCTTTGCGGCCATGTCGATAAACGTTTGCGCACGGATTCGAGAAGAAGTCAGATTGTTTCCAGCTGGCAAAGCTAGGGGCCGGGTACTGACAGACCCATGCGAGCTGCGAGGCAGACTATACCGGTCAGGCCGGAGCAGCGCTTGGCCCTTGATGATGGGGCGGCACGCGGCCTGCAGCACACCTGGAGGCTCAACATCATTGGGGGCGCGAAGGGTTTCGAGACATGGGAATCCAGCAGAAAAAATACTCTGAGCGAGATGGGAGTTGGGGGTGTCGGACTGTTTGAGAGGATGTTGGAAGGGGAGGGAGTCAAGCTGAGTGAGGGCAGTGCCGGGGTCTGGACAAGCCACGTCCCAATGGAGGTATATGAGACTGGATGATGCCAATATCGGCTGAAAGATCATGCCCTCACTCGGCATGACGGGGCATTTGTCGCTTTGCACAAACTTGAACCGTTCGAGCTGCCTCAGGGAGGAGAGAATCTTCGAGATGACCAGCAACGATTCCACATTTTGCTCCACCAGGACAAAGGACTTCAGCGACCGGGATTCGGGCCGCGACGTATACTGGACAAGACCGCTGTCTGTCACGCCAGGCAAGTTCTCCAAGCGTAGAGACTCTAGCGGCGGTAGGCATAACAGCGTACTGTCCGCGAAGGCATCCTCATTGAAGGAGGTGATACATAGATTCTTCAACGACGGCAAGAGATCAAACATGCGCAGGAAGAGACTTGGCTCCAGCCCACCGTTCTCGTTCAGACCATACAGCATCAAAGTCTCCAGGTTCGACCACGAGACATGGTAATCCAGAAACTCGAACATCTGCGACGGGCCGAGACTGCCGGGGCAGGAGGTACTGCGGGGCGACATTTCGGAAACCTCCGCTGCCTCGCCCAGCACCCAGGTGTGCTCTTTGAGCCGCTTGCGGGTCGACAGCGCATGGGTCAGACGATCGAATTCGTGGTGATACGGGATCGATAGGCCTAGCAGACGTTCTAGATTCGGACAGACCATGACAACAGACGCGACAATGTCACGGTACTCCTCCCATTGCGCGCTGTGCTTAGTGGTGGTGAAGAGCATATCCATTTGAGGCACCCGGAGTTCGCGGACGAGGTTGGCCAGCATATGTCGTTCGCGCAGGGTGCGGCGCAACAGCTTCAAACGACTACCCCTCTTGAGGCGGTATTTCTTCAGTTGAGCCGGGGAATCATTCCCGACAATGTGAATCTGGGTATAACTGTAGGATCAACTGGCATTAGCTATTGTGTATTGGTCGAACGGAGCAGCGCAGTGCTGTTCAACTCACAGTCGTGGTCTGACTGCCTTCTCCCAAGCCCGGCAGGTCAGGGACAAGGCGTGGAGGTCGCGCTGAAAGCATGTCGTGCAACCAGTTTGGTGCTGTGCTTTGTGAAAGGTCTCAAGGCTGTTGAGGATCACGTCGTAGACGTCCTGGGATATTCGTCGCTGGACTGGCTCAATAGGCTTCACGATGGATCCCACCGAGTCGAATTGGCGGCAGGAGGACGTGGGTGAACCGGGCGAGTAGACCGTCGTCGGGGCGGTCGAGGTGGTATAATTGGTTTTGTAGGAGGAAACGGAGGAGGTGCGTGATGCCACAGCCTGGACGCTCACGCCGAATTCTTTGTAGCTCGGCGCGTCCTGGGGGGTGAACGGCACAGCAGGGCTCGCTGGTCTACTGGCAACAACACTCATTGTGATGGGACTCGCCTGGCATCGGAAGCGTGGAGGAGATGCCCGCAAGGAGTAAAATAATAATGTGGCGCTTGTGCCAGACGGCGGGGGGCGAAAAGAATGTAGGGGGGTCCACGATCTTCGGGTTGATAGCGGGAGTGTCCTAATGCGAAAGGAGATCGACGGGGGGGGAATTCCAGCTGCAATCGTGTTGTTGTTTGCACAGGGAGAAACGAGAGAAGGATAGAAAGAGGGAAAGCGAGTGGGTGTGATGTGCACAACGAGGGAAGAGAGGAGGAAGCCGGAGAATAAGGCCGGCAGGAAGAGGCAGATCACCAGTCACGATACCACACCATCCGTTGTGCTCCAACGCCGTCACGCTCTCTTACTCTTTCTGACCCGCTCTAACTCGCCTTGCTTTACTCGTACTCCCTTTTGCAGGGTTCCGGCAAAAGCAGCATGGCCGCTGGTCGATCGACCCCCACATCCTGGCTGTTTCTGCTCGTGCTGAGCGGAGAACCTGACAGGGGGCGGTTCAGGGGTTGCGACTGTCCATCGCCCTATGCCCGATGGGACAGGGATCCGCCTTGACTGTTTGACGAGGGATTATTTGGACGTGACTGGACCACTATGGCCGATTCTATTTTTTGCTTCCTGCATTCAATTGCTTGCGGCTGCCGATGGCGCACTCCAAGACACCTCCGGCACTCCATCCCGGCGCATGACAGGCCGCATGGCAACCAAAACACGAACGTACCTGCAGCCGTCGTTCTTCGAGAGCGGTTCGTGAGCTGCAGCGCTAAACTGTGTGAGGGATAGCGCAATAGGCAAGTGGAGCTGCATTTATGGGACCAGTCCTGCCCCCTATTTATTTTTCTTGGTATTTTTTTAATGGGAGTCAGTGCGAGACGGGACTAACTGCACTAGGTCCTTGCGCTACCACTTAGACCCGAGGGCGGGTGTACGCACTCCATCCACATTGTATATGAAATGCACTCTACAATCTGCACCGGGATGTTTCAGCGCAACGAAAGAGCCCTCTTATGTCTTTATGTTGTTTCTGGGGCCTCTCTCTTGGGGCCGGAATCCTACGCGAATTGCGGCCTGAACGTGAGACACCGACGCCCCTCGTCCAATGAGGCCATCAGCCGCCAGGAACAGAAGCACTGTGAGACGCCAGGAACAGGGAACCTGCACAATCCACGAGGCGCATGTCGCCGACCGACAACCCCCCAGAGCTCGTCCCCTGAGTCTCGAAGACGTGATCATGCTCGATAACAATGTTAATCACTTTCCTAGTGCAAACTGGCAAAGCAGCCCCGAGATCGATCAGTGACGATCTGCGCCCTGAGATTGGTTCCTCGACCCCAGTCACTATCTTTGGCTAAGAAGGGAGTCCCTCAATGAGGCCAATAAGTTTTGTCTTGGGGCCCATTGGACTCGAAATCCACAGGACGAGCTGCTCGGCAGGCCTTCTCTGCACGGCATGGCGGCAAGCCGTCAAATAAACAATGTGGACAGGGCACAGCTGAACCCCGATCCGGTGGAGACACACCACCCCCTCGTCCCTGGGACAAGAACCAACTGCGCCATTGGATCGCACCCTCGCGGCTCCTATTTCGAAGGTTGCCCCTCCATCGGTATCGCCATGTGAGATTTGGAGTTTAGACGGTCCCACTCTGGCAAAAGGAGACATCTATTTGCAGCCCGCTATTGCTTCTACGATGTACGCCGGAGGGTTTATCTGCTCAAGGCCGCCGGGGCCTATCTGCGACACTGCACGGCATCAGGGCATTCCATTTTCCTTATCCTTTTCTGGACATCGGGCGGCGCCTCGTAGGGCCTTGTCACATCGATGGGTCGCTGAGATGTAAACAGCTGGCCCTGTCTATGCACAGATACGAAATCTCGAATCCACCGTATTGTAAATCGTAATCCGTGACTTTTTCATAGTTCCTCTATCAAACACGGAGGTCTATCCCGGAACCAAAAACTTGCTTTTTGCATTGCTGTTAGGGACACATACTCGTCCATTACGCTCTTTAGTTCCAGGAATGCTCCCCCAGTCTTCCTTCGCGGTCCTTCCTTTCGATGAATTTGGCCCCTGCCATGTCAAGAAACATGTTCTGCCAAACAAGTCTTACGAATGCACAGTACAGCTTTTGATAAGAGTCCCTTCGCAATATTGTCAGCAATCGATTGAGTGTATGTTGCAAGTTGATTAAGCTAACAGGATCCAGATATGGTATGTTTCTGGAAAAAAAGTCTTTGCCCCCTTAGTGGCAAACAAGGCAAATGCTTGGCAGGGGGTTTGGCCTCCATTCATTTGGAAGATCTTATCCGGGTTATAGTCACCATACTCAAGGTTTTTATCAATCCTTTATACAAGGGCAGGTCCTGGTCATACAGCTCTTTGATACTGAACATCACGGAGGCCGTCACTATGTTCGTAATTTAAGTGACGTGCACGGTTTTGATCTAGGGACCGCTGCCATTGCCGGCTATTTTGAAGTGAAGAAAAGCAACATGGGTGTACCAGAGAACGATGATCCATTCGGTGATCAAAGTCTCGTTGAACAAGGAGGATTGTCCACCTCGACCGGCCTGGCATAGTATTTTGGCTCATTTTGATCCTCGCCCTTGCGATTCAATGCTCGGCCAACCTAATTCAAAACATCCCACTGTTTGTGGGTTGCCTCCATGTCCTGGCGGTTTATCGGAGGAACGCCGTTGTCACTTACTAGTGGACTTCCTTAATTTGCTAGGATTAGGGTCAATGCATAGTAGTGATAGTGCATCTAGATAGTCTTGTACTTAACAGCTAGGACTGCACTTGGGGTAGGCTGTTTCAAGTTAGCTGTCATAATGATTGCCAGTGTTCGTATCGGTCACCGCACTTTGCTCGGATTTGATATTTTCGGGAAGCTTTGCTGCTCCTTACGGTTTTCACAACGAGTAATTCAATTGCAGAGAAGTATGTGGACTATTTTAATGGCGCTATGAAACTTGGCTCTGTATGCTCCATCATCTCACCCCACGGCAATGTGGAATTCATTATCAAGGAACCCGAGTTTAGATATCTCATTTGTTTGCTAGTGCTGTAAGTGTATCATCCAAAAACTGACTCCACATAATGCTGTTGTATCTCCGGGACGGAAGTTACGATACTAGACGTAATAAGTTATCGCTCTTCCTGATTCCTACAGCGGAACGCTACATATACTGACATCGTCAAACTTTGATCAAGATCCTGCTTTTTACATGATGCAAGTTGTCACATAGTATAAGAGTCTGGACTGGATACGACAACTTGCAATCTTGAAAGTCGACGCAAAACCACTCGTGTGAGAGCGTGGAAATATGAGATGTAAGTCATCACTGGGATTCACGGGTAAGCAGTAGCCTTAAAATCTGTCACCGCATCGAGCCTTGGTGCTGGGCCCCAAGAATTAGATTGGGGTAGCGGGTCATATGCAGCTACTGGGCTAGAGATTTTCAGGTGTGTTTCCCGAAATAAGCAGCATTGTTAATGCCAGCAGTTTGTATGAACTTAGTTCCACGCCTCGCGAGGGATATGCTCACTTTTTCGCGGTTAGGAGGACGGTCTGGCCTCCGAATAATTCCAACCCACAATTGGCAGTCTGCTTTCCTGTTCTGTTGAATGTTGCAACGGTGCAGAGCGGTATGGTTGCATCACGAGTGGCTGAACCTGAAAGGTTTCGGGTAGGCGTGTTGCCCGGCAGGGGCGCCACCCGGTGTAAGGTGCATGAAGCCAAACTAGCAAGGTCCGAGTCCACCAATCCGCCTTGATTGTGGTATGTTTCTCACTTCTCCTTGGTCGGAGTTTTCTTTATCCTTGCCGACAATACTCCGCGTTTGTTGTCTCTTACCGGTCTCTGATGGAGCAAGTGAGCAGCATCTGCCCATCTTTCTATTGGGCTAATCCTTTCACCCCCGGGCTTTTTGCCGTTTTTGTATTTTTGTTTTGTTGGACTTTATTTGCCATCATTCCATAAATAGGAGAGTACCTAGCCTCTTGAATATGAAGCTGTATGCTCTCGGTAGGGCCTCACAGCGGTTCTTCGCGCCTCGATAATCCAAACCCCCCTCCGGCCGGGGTATCTCCTTGTTCTATCTCAACTAGCAACGATGCTTTCCCTGGCATCAATTGTCCTCAGCGTAGGAGCTGCATTACCATTGGCCACAGCCAATGCCTTATCGGGCGCCCTTCACCGAGACGTTGTAGTTATCGGCGGGGGAGCTGCTGGTGCCTATGCAGCTGTGCGCCTACGCGATGACTTTAATAAGAGCATCGCTCTGATTGAGAAACAGGATATCTTGGTGAGACCAAATCACTCTATCCCAGGTCCCCAGCTCTTCTATCCACTCTCACGCCACAATGATCATGGCAGCCGGTGTTAACGGGAGCTCAATGCGCAGGGTGGTATGGTCGACACATACGTTGACCAGAAGACTGGCGCCACCTTTGACTTCGGGGTCCAAACCTTTCTCAACGTTAGCGGCGCAAAGGCCTTCTTCGACCGGTTCAATGTCTCAGTTGGCAGCTACTCAAGTAGCGCCTCCCTCATCACGGAGTACATTGACTTCAACACCGGCGCAGAAGTCGACTTTGAGGTCCCCTCAATCACGGCGCAGATCGTCGCCATCGCCCAGTTCCTCACAGTCATTGAGCCGTGGGAGTCCATGCTGCAACCGGGTTACTGGAATTTCCCTGATCCCAGCAACATCCCCGATGATCTCCTGATCCCCTTTGGGGAATTCCTGACGAAGTATGGCCTCGAGGACGGGGCGCCGATTATCTACTCAACCACCGGCTTGGGAGTGGGCAACATGAGTGAGGTCGCGACTATGTTCGCGCTGCAGAGCTTTGGCTGGGATATGGCACGCGCCCTCACAGGCCAGTTGGGCTTGTTTACACCCACTTCTGGGGGCAACCAGGCTCTCTACAACGCCATTGCCACCGACCTGGGCGATGATGTCCTGTACTCCAGCACCGTCCTGAAAAGCCGTCGAACCAACTCCGGCGTCTCGCTCACCGTGCGCAACCACAAAACCGGCCAGCTCACCCCGATTATTGCTCGCCGACTCCTCGTCGCCATCGAGCCGACTGAGGATAACACCAGCCCCTTGGATCTCAGTCCCTCCGAGCAGAACACGCTCGCGAAATTCACATACTCCAACGAATTCGCCGGCCTGGTCGACAACGCCGTCTTCAACACAAACTATACCTACTTCAACCTGCCCTCCACCGCCGCGCCGAATCACACCCTCATCTTCCAAGAGGAGCCGATGGTGGCAAGCTTCGAATACACCGGCCTCGACCACCTGTTTCGCGTGATGGTGATTGGCAACACCACTTCCACCGCTGACGAAGCCAAAGCTCTAGCCCAGACCAACTTCAACACCTTGCTGAAGACTGGTCATTTGTCCAGCCCCCAGGATCAGAAGCTCAGCTGGGCTGCCTTCTCGACCCACGGTCCCATGCATGCCCGCGTGTCCGTTGACGAGGTCAAGAGCGGCTTCTACCAGGATCTGTACAAGCTGCAGGGTGCTCGTTCCACGTGGTGGACGGGCGGTGCTTTCTCCGTGAACTTCCAGACCAAGTTGTGGGAGTTCAACGAGGGCCTGATCCCCAAGATTCTGGAGGGACTTTGAACGAGCACAAGATCTACTAGATGGCCCCGTGGGATAAATCGTGTCTGAAGGACACCCCCACTTGGCGCATTCCGTCGTGGTATAGAGGAGAGTTACGTTAGATCACGCACGAGTTCCGGAATACCTCATTAGAATCAAAAAGTCTCTCGTTCCCATAAGAACTAGAACTAGAACTGGAACTGGAACTGGAACTGGAACTGGAACTGGAACTGGCCCTCCCCTCATGATTCAAGCTCTCGATAGAGATACGAAGACACTACACACTAGAGCTTCGCTCGATCCTCCGCAAATCGATAAATAACATCCCCAAAACTCCCTGTCGGAAAAACATAAAACCACCTCAACTCCCCCTCGCCCACGTTGACAATGCCATGCTGCGCATCGCTTGGAATAAACACCGTACTCCCCGCCTGCACCCGCCCCACAACCCCATCAATCGAGACCTCGCCCTCTCCCGCCAGGATATAGTAGATCTCCGCCTGCGCGTGTCGGTGTGGACAGAGACGTCCTGTGCGCGGGGGGCACACTGCGATGCCGGCAGAGAGGTCGGAGGAGCATGTTTGCGGGCGCGAGATGAGCGTATGCCAGGTGAGGTTGCCGTGGGCAGGGTTGGGGAAGGATTCTGGGGACGTGGTTTGCGTGTAGGTTGGAGGGAGGATGGTTGGTTTACTCTCCGTTTTGAGGGGTTGTGACGGTTGTTGTGAAGATTGCCGGGCCGGGGGTGGCTGGCGTTGGGGTTTCTCGTTCATGTTTGTGAGGTCTCCGTCGACGTGTGGATCCACGAGGTTTGGCTGGGAGCTTTGAGCTGAGCTGAGCTGAGCTGAGCTGGATATCCGAGGCTGGACCTCGTTATTTATGCGAGAGGCAGAGCATTTACTTCCAGAAATGAGAAATTGTCTGTGTGCCCATGTATGTGAGGAAAGGTCGTGTAGAGGTATGCCAGATCCTGACTTATATAGTTCCCCGCGAAGACCCACATGGAGAACCGACTTGCTCAAAACAGGTTGACTTTCCGTTATCCGTGACTCATGTCTAGATCGAGCATCAACGGACCCGGGCGAATCGTGGTGATAAGAGGCCCAGAGATTGCGCGATACCTGACAGAATTCAATTCCGTTCATATCTTCCCGGGGGTGGAGACCCGACCTAGACGACTGAATGATTTGTCTCCAGCGGCATACTGGAAAAATTACGCGGCCATGATGAACCTCGTCAAGGCTAGTCTTGATGATGTACGAACAATTTTTATTTTTATTTTTTTAAAAAAGGAATGTAAATGAAAATGAATCCCGAAACCCCTCCTACTCGCATTATATATAAGAAGTTTTACATATATACTACGAAGAAACAAGCATCCCAGAGACCAGTATCAGAACCAGAGCCAGAAAAGATCAATTCGGCGCACAAGAAAAAAAAAGATGCAAGCCCTCCTGAGTACCATCAAACATCTCAGGAACAAAAGGGACGGGGGTATGTATGTAGCTGAACTGCCGAACAGAACGCGGGAGACCATTGGGACACAATCATGAAGAACCGTGATTGGGCCAGCATTCATCCTCTGTCATACCAGAAACAGGAACAGAAACAGGAACACAGGCATAAAGGGCAAAAGCCGTGCAGAAGAAGGAAAAGCCGTGCAGAAGAAGGAAAAGAGGCAGGTTGAAATCGAAATCGAGATTGAAATCGAAGTGAAGCCAGCAAACCCAGAACCACCTACCCGGGCAGAGAGGGAGAAACAGAGGAGGATGAGCAGAGGATGAGAGGCAGGTGAGCGGTGAACGTGAAAACGAGAACCGTGCACAAGACAAGAGCACCCCCATATCTGCGGCGGGCCACCAAGGCATATGCATCCGGAGACATATACAGGACAAGGACAAGGACAAGATTTATGCGGGATCAAGACTCCATGATCATGCAGTGAGAGACGAAAGGAAAGGGAAAAAAAGAGAAGAAAAGGAAATCCGTAATCACATGTCAAAATTATCGTCAACGTTGAAAATCCCGGGCTCCGTGCCGTCCGTCTTCTGGACGCCGCTCATGCGCTGGTCGGTCGAGATGTTGGCCCGGTGCGTGCGCTGCCATGCATCGTCCTGCACAGTGTCCTCGTCCATTCGGACGCCTGGCTCATGCGTCAGGTGGTGGTCGATGGAGCTCTCGTTCACAAAGGTGAAGCCCTTGAAATTGGCCTGCATGCCGGGAGACAGGGGAGTGGAGCCGGGCATCATGCCGTTGGCCAGGGCGGCGGCACGCTCGTGCAGGGAGTTGTTGTTCTCCAGGGCATTGGTAAATTCTGGGTCGAAGTTGGAAGTGTCGGTGTCGGACTGCAGTTTCGGCTTGAAGGGCGGGATGACCTGCTTGCGCCCCAGTGCCTCCCAGTCGACGTCGTTGAAGAAGGGGTGGGCCATGAGCTCCTTGGCATCTCCGTTGGCACCTAACCGGTGCTTGGGATTCCGGTTCAGCAGACCCTTGACAAAGTTCCGGCCCTCAGTGCTGAGAGCATCACGGGGGAAGCGCACTTTGCCGAAGGCGATGTTCTTGTACATCTGCTGCGTATCCTCGGCATAGAACGGACTCCACCCGCAACACATCTCAAAGACCAACACTCCAAGGGACCAGAAATCCACCATCTTCGTGTAACCTTGCTCGTCCAGCAAGACCTCCGGGGCGAGGTACTCGGTGGTACCGCAGAACGTGTTGGTGGTGTCGTTCTGGCTCAAGTTGGCTTTGGAAAGACCAAAGTCACACAGCGCGATATGGCCATTGGCATCCAGCAGGATGTTCTCGGGTTTCAGATCCCGATACACAATATCATGATCGTGCAGATGCTGCAGTGCCAAGATCAACTCCGCAATGTAGAACTTGGCGCGGGCCTCCTGGAAGCGACCTTCACGCTGCAGGTGCCAGAACAATTCACCCCCCGACATATAGTCCGTCACCAGATAGAGGTCCGTGGGGGTCTGGAAGGAGAATTTCAGCCCGACGATGAACGGCGAGGCCGTCATGGCAGTGCGCACGAGAATATTGCGCTCTCCCAAGGTGTGCACCACCTCCTTCTTCTGAATAATGACTTTCTTGGACAGAACCTTCATGGCGTAGATACGCTCCGTGTCCTTCTTCTTGACCTGATAGACTTGACCGAACGTGCCCTTGCCAATCAGCTTCAGAATCTGAAAGTCATTCGGGCCGACCTGCCGGCGCTCGGTCATCTCAAATTTCATCTGAAGATGAATCTCCCCCGACACCAGGCTGTCTCCGGCAGCACGAGCGACCAGGGGGAACCAGCCTTCGAGCCGGCTGTGGTCTTCCTTCAGATTGATCGCGAGGCGCACATGGCCCAGGAAGGCTTCTTGGTTGCTGCGATCGTAAACGGTAACATCGACCTCGGACTGATCACCCAGAACATCACTAGAATGCAGTATTAGCATACGCACCCGGGAATGTTGTGCCAAGCAAAGATATGGTGTGGGAATGGGAAGAGCCAAAAGCTTACAAGACCGCCTCGTGATCCCAATGGGGATCGGTCACGGGGGTTCGGCCCTTGTGATCGTGACCATCCAGAGCACTGTTGTGGCTGCTCTGACGGCTTTTCATCGGAATGGCCATTGGCTTGCCAGCCTCCGCATCCGACTCCATCTGACGCCGCTTCTTTTCCTCTTCGCCGGATCGAGCACCCTTGGAGATATACTCGTTCCACTCAAAGACACACACGACGTAGGGATCAAAACTGGGGCGCAACCCGCGGGCCTCGGAGATCTTCACAAACAATTTTCCCTTGAGTGGCCCCACGGGAGCGCCGTTCTGGGGGGATGCGCTGGATTGGCGGGGGAACGCCTCGTCGAGCTTCATGGCGATTTCGTCGGTGGAGCTGTCCATGCCATCCCGGGGCGTTTCTTCGGGCGACTCCTCGGACTGGCTTTTGCGAGGAGCCGATGTGATGGACTTCTTCTCGGCCGATTGGTCCTCGTTGGACATGGCCCGGGGAGTCAGCGGCGGGGTATTCTTGAGACGCACCCCATCGGGTGCGTTTCCAGTCAGCTTGGCTAATTTCTCGGAGGATATGGAAACATGCGGCATCGCGTGGTCGACCAAGGGGGTGTCGGAGGGGCAGAAGGCATCTGAAGCAGCAGGAGGGAGAGATGGATTGGAGAAATGGGTGGCCAGAACAGGGTCGTCAGACACGCTGGAGACTGGCAGGGAAGTTTGACGGCGCGAAGGAGGGGTGGAGGCGGGTGGGATCAGATATTTCTTCAACATATGAAACATCGAGGACCCCGCGCCCGTATCGAGACTCGACCCGAGGTCCATCTCGTCCGACTCCTGCTGGAGCAAGGAATGGGGCGGAGTCGGCGGGTTGGCAGGTATCACCTCCATCGGATCCGAGCCCTGCCCGTCCTCCCGCTCCATCATGACGAAGGACTCGGAGGAAGCGCCCGGGGGGGTGATGGAAGATGGGGGTGTAGGTGATGGAGGGTCCACCGGAGAAGGGGTCGAGAGGTATGACCAGAACCGCGGCAGACTCGCTTTATCACCAGAGAAAGAACCAACCTGGAAGTAGTTGTGCATGATGGAAGGCAGACGCTTGTCCGCGGGATCGGGCTGGGGCGTTGCGATGCCGGTCGGAGTGGACCCGTTCGACCCGATGTGGTCGGGGGTATCGTCTTCGGGGCTGGAGCTATGAGATCCCAGCGATTAGCAGGAGCCATGGTGGGTGAGGTGATGAGAGCTGGTGGAAGGGCATGAGAGATATAGGATGCATAGCCGGCAATGCATGGTATGCAGCTGCGACCGGGCGATCCTCCGATCCGTGGGCAGGCAAATCCCGGAAAGCCCAGCACGAAAAGAATGTGAAGGGGGTGTTGGCGGGGGATGTTTCAACCACAGGGCTTCTGATCGAGTTTTGTCGAGGCCGGATGCCGCTTGAGACAAGTGCTGCAGGGAATCGTCCGGGCATGCAATGCGGTGTGAGGGGAGGGGGGAGGGCGGACCCTCTTTTTGGGGGGGCAACCCGCGAACAAGGCCTTTCTCCCCCACCACACAGGGTCGATGGCCATTGCAAAATTCCGTTTGGCGCGTTTGGCGAGTTTGGCGAGATGGGCGAGATTGGGGATGTTGAGCCGGGGGAGTAGGGCAGGGAAGATGGGGAGGAGCAGAGGCAAAAGCATCAGAAGCGTGACTCACTTGGGCTTCATGTCGCCGTCGGCGTGCAACTCGGTTCCCTGCGCAGCGGCCATTGCGTTTCCATCTAAGACCCCCGCCAGACGAGAGAAAAGGTTGATGCGGAATGGGGTAGTGGCGGCGGAGGAGGAGGCGAGGAGGATGAGGAGGAGGAGGAAGAGGAGAGGATGAGGAGGATGAGAAGGGCTGGTCAAAGGGAAGGGAAAAAAAAGAAACTTCGACGCCGCCCGATGATGAGCTAAGGGAGATTGCGGGATGCCCCCGATCGGCTTCGGCGCCCCCGAGCGTAATGTGGATGGGCGATAGGGCGGATAGGGCGATAGGGCAGTAGCGCCGTAGGGTTGTAGGGCGATAGAGACGAGAGGATCAATATCGAGGACTCGAGCAGAGTCAAGAGGCTATCGAGGTGGGAGATTCCTCATGCACTGGGCTGTGGGTGACGGAGGCGCTACTCGAACGGATCCCAGGGCTGAAGACAGGCGGACCATCAGCTGCGGGCCTCCCAGAAAAGAACGTCCCTTTGAACCCGAGGACACGCCGCAACTCGCTATTTCTATCCTCTACTTCGCGATGACCTCGGTCACCGGTCCCACCGAATCAGCCAGTCCGGATGAGCGCCAGCTGCAGACTGGCGAGGAGGCAAATCCCTCTTGGGACTGCAATCAAACTAACCAGAAATGCAGAAGCGCATCCCCGGTCCGTCACAACGAGGGCGGTGGAGACCGCGTCGTGCCGGGTGGCGTACAGCTGATTCCTCTTGCAAATGGATGCTAGGAACTATACCAGAGATCATTCCCAAGGGGCCCGGGATTTGCGTGCAATACCCCAACTGAGCCGATGGAAGGCAAAACAGACGAAACCGGATCGCGAACATGTGGCGCTTCCTCGCTAGCCAAGGTTCGCCGTACTTCCCAACGGAGTATACGACAGCCTCTTGACTATCAGCACTATCCGCAGCAGCTGGACTGCGGCCTTGCAGAATTCGCCTCTTCCACTGGATCGTCGTGATCGCCTATCGCTCCTCCCGACCCTGGGTTTCATTTCCCATATTTTCTAATCGCGCATCTCCACTCGGGCGGGGTACACTCCTGTCCCTGACTGACTCTCCGGGTTCCTAATCTGCCAATATCAAAACCCTCCACGAGCTACTTCTCCCCGGTCCTACCCCCCTCATCCTGGGCCCTTCTAGTGCGATTCTGCCCAAATACACTGGATTCCCAAAAGTCCGCCGCAAGTCCGATCTTCGATCGGCAATTCCTAGGCGATCGAGATCGTGCCGCCTTCTCGAATATGGCTCGGTCCCAGCTGCCTCCCCTTGCATGGCCGAAGGAATCCATCCGGACATTCCTTCTATACGCGAAAACCCCTCCTGTGCACCGCCCGTCGCGCCCGATTTGGGGGCGCTATGCCATGGATCCGCTCGATAGACTCGTAGACTTGTATATTCGTTGAGGCGGAGCTGCTTGGGTTCCTCGGCACCTTGACTCCTCGCCTCTCCGGCTCGAGGCCGCTGGCAGAGGGTATGACTTGAGGTGCAGATGCCCGGCGATCTCCACTCCCTGCGTCATGAGGCGTCCGCCATGGGAGTCCCATGCCCATGCCGGTCCGATCTGGCTGGATGACACAACCGTAATGGTGGGCGGCTACGTGCCACAGATATGTGATGTGGATGCGAGGAAGAATCACGGCATGACAAGTAACGCGAGAGCTCTCCTACGGTCCTGCGGACAGTCCTCCTCACAGATGGAACTCCGGACGGAGTGGTCTTTCCCCAAGTCCACCCCCCGGGGAGGATCGGCATCTGCCCCTCACCCTTGCCTTCGGGTCCCCACGAGGGGGAAGCGAACAGGCGTGTCGGAAAATAGTTCCTAACGAATGCGATCGCTGAGAGTCCAGGGATTTCACCATCCAGGAGTTCTCGCTGGTGCTTTTCTATAGTCTGGGATCGTCGGATCTAACACCGACATAACGACCGAAGTATATAAAAGGTCAAACATGGCAGGTCCACACGCATCCCTCCAGAGTTCCTCGGGCGCTCCGAGGTAGCGTCTCAGCATGCCAGTGCTACATCCGTATATCAGTTGGATCTGCCTATACCCCGGCCTCAAGCCAGCGATGCACCGGCGTCGAGCTTGGTGAATCCATCGGGCCACCCCCGACGATCCCAATGGCGACGGAAATCCCATTCGCAGGTCATCTGCAAGCTACAGCGCTGTGCCACGGCCGCCCGGCATGCAGCCGACTCTCTTCCCGAGGCTGCTGGGTCCCATTGCTGCAGTCGAAGGACCTAGCGGCCACTTCTGGAAGCGGCTGGGGAAGACGATGCTACCAGACTGGCTGGGATAGTGCAGAATGACACACTTGACAGGAGCACTCCCGGCAGGGGCATGTGCCAAAACAGCACGGGCGGTTCGGCGCAAGCCTGTCAGACTGGAGATCATTGTCTGGCCCAAGCGATGAACTGCTTTCCAGCAGGATTCCTTCGATCGCGGCCATTTGGCAGGTCAATTTTCCGGGCTGGGAGACGGGGATACAGTTGCATGTGATTCCTGACTCTTGCGTATATACAATTCTACCCCGCCAGGAGCCCGTGGTCCAAAGGAGGTCATGTCAATAAAGCCTAGTATTCGGTGGAATGGGCCGCCGGCGGAGCCAGTCCCACTGCGCGGAGGGTAGCTGTCCGGTAGGGCACGATTGGAGGTAGGCGACGGAAGTAAGAGTCGTGCTAGCGGCGTGCTAAAGCACCCCTCGGGAGAGAACGGTGAGCTAGCCGCCCGGTGAGCGTTTCCGTTAAGTGGACCGTGCAGTATGGTCTCCGGCATGAGCTCATCGTGCGGCGGTCCGCTGCTGCATTGCAACAGTTGAGTAGCACAATGACCGACAGCTGGCCCGCACAGGGCGAGCGACAGGGAGACCAAAGGAGGGCGGTCCGAAGTCTAGAACCTGCTGATCCGTGCCCGCGTCGTTAGTTGCCTGACGGGATGATGGACAGGCCCACGAGGAGGGAGAATATGACGTCATTTTGACACCCGGTGGGGATCTGTGCTGGTCACGTGCCCATGATCCGTGGGTAGGCGGTCAGCTAGAACGATTGGATCACATGATGATGGGAATTGTTGGATGTAGCCACGTGACATGGGCAGGATCATTGGTTTTGCCGATGGGAGCAAAACAGCTCTCCGTCTACATCGGAGATCGCCCTGTGCATTGAGACTCCGCCTGTCGACGCCACGATGCCTCGAAAGCTCCGGGCGGCCGCCCAAGCGGCTGCCAAGTCCATGAGTGCGTGTCTCACACTGACCTACCCTGTCCATCGAGGCACAACCTGCGCGACAATTGCCCCCTGTGAAACGCGTTGCGACTAACCCCATGCCCCAGAAAACATCCCGACCCTCCCGGACCTCTCCGACGACGAAATGGTAGATGCGCCGCCATCGCAGCCCTCCTCGCCAGCTTTGGAAGAGCCGGACTCGCCCGACAACGACCCCGACGTGGAGCCCGAAGCCGATGAGCCGGACGCGGAGGAAGCGCAGGCTGAGACGCCCGGGGAATCCAAGGAAGACGTGACCGGCGCAACACCCGCAGTCGACGATACGACACAGCTGGACGGCGCGACAGACACACCCACTCACGGGATTGGCCGCCCCGCCATCCCGCGCAAACGCCGCCTCGGCCGCCCACCCAAGAACCGCCCGCCAGACTGGGATGCGCCAGACGGTTCGCAGACCCCAATTCGCGTCACCACCCCCGTCAAGCGGCGGCGAGGTCGTCCCGCCGCTAGTGGTGGCCGCTGGGCGCGAAACCGGGGGCCCTCGCACAACACCCAGGTCCCCGTGGACAAGGAAGGGAACATGATGGACGTGATCGGGGACGAAGTCGCGCTTCCCCCGAACCCCGTGGGCGACAGCAAGGTCGACGAGAATGGCCATCTTCTCGGAGGCCGGGAGTACCGTGTCCGCACTTTTACCATCCTTAACCGCGATGACAAGTTGTACATGCTGTCGACCGAGCCGGCACGATGCATCGGCTTCCGCGATTCCTATCTCTTCTTCCAGAAGCACAAGATGTTGTACAAGATCATTATCGACGACGATGCGAAGCGCGATCTCATCGAGCGAGACATCATCCCGCACTCGTATAAGGGTCGTGCCATTGGTGTGGTTACTGCGCGCTCGGTGTTCCGCGAGTTCGGCGCAAAGATCATCGTGGGCGGCAAGAAGATCTACGACGACTACGATGAGCAGGCTGCCCGCGAGCGCGGCGACATCGAGGGCGAGCTCGCGGTGCCGGAGGACAAACTGCCTGGCCCCGGAGAGCCATACAACCGAAACCAGTACGTCGCCTGGCACGGCGCCAGCAGCGTTTACCACACGAACGCCCCCTCGGTGCCCATGGCCGGTGGAAAGCCCGTCGATCCCAAAAAGCGACGGATTCCAGTAACAGACGAGAACTGGATGCTAGAGCACGCTCGCGCCGCGAGGTAAGCATTCCTCATCCAGAAGCCCCGTTCCGTGGTTGTGAGGATCATCGCCGCTAACATGGACCAATTCTAGCCAATACAACTCTAAGCTCGCCGAAATGCGCCGCGCCACGATGGGCGGCATCTACGATGTCCACACCAACGCCATGCAATACCCACAAATCATGCAGCCAACCCACGCTCGCTGGGAGCGCGTGCCGCCCGCCGACACCCGCAGCACCGCCGAGCTCATGACCGACATGTCCTCCCTCAGCCTGGCCACGCAAAACCCCCCCCTCCGATTCCCAGTCCGCATCCGCATCGGCAGAGCCCAGCGACTCCGCCGCCAAACCCGACGGCCAGCACCAGAACCAGAATCCCACCCCCACTATTTTCCCGCCCGTCCCTCCCCACATCTCCAGCCGCTACGTCGTCACAGATATCGTCTATGAATCGCCGCCATACTCGAACATGGGTGTCCCAGGCCCGGACGGCGACCTGCGCAACTTGTCCCCCAACGGCCTGGTCAGCATGGCGAACCCCAGGCATCCGGAGTTCATGACGCCTGAGATCGTCGCCCTCCTGCCGGACGACTGTAAGGAAGCGATGCTCGATGCGGCGGCTCGCGAGGCCCACTGGAAGTCCAAGTGGTCAAATGAGACCGACGACGGGCTGCGCGCGCGGCCGTCAAAGAGTTATGCGTGGTACCCTTGAAGCGGGCACGGGCCGGGCCCATTTCAATCTCTGTTGGCTAGGTTGAAGAACCAGTCCAGAATCCTCTTCTGGCGAGGGCGCCATGGCTTTTACTCCGTTCGTTTCGTTTCGTTTCGTTCTCGGTTTTTTCCAAGGGAGTTACGTTTCCATGGAGGTGTGGTTCCTGCTACGGCTGATGGCTTTCCTTTTCTGGGCGACATTTTTTATATTACGGATTTACTAGCATGGGAATGGGTGTGGTTTCAATCATGGTGGGACTTTTAAAAGATGCCATGGGAGTTTGTTATAGGTGATTCTATGCTTTTCTTTCGACACTCTAGGTCACTAGCTAGCTGGGTTCCATGGGACAAGGCATATTTATATTGATATTTGTCTTGCTGCTATCTTCCGCTTCTGGGTAAAGTAGATGCTTATGCAAGTTCGTGTGCATCGATGTACATTCATCCATTCTGCTTCACGCTCTTTCGCATTTCGATTATCTTACGCTTGCTGTTCTCCTCAAGGTAGGTGATTGTGAATGATCAGCGTGAGGCGTTTTCTGGCCTCACACCCCATAATGTGTCGCCAACCCCACACCTGCACAATTGTAATTTCCAAACCAGTCACATGAAAAGTTGGCATTTGGCATCTGATGGTGTAGGTCCCTCTCTTTGGGACTGTCTTGTCTTTCTTCCCAACTTTCTGGGTATAATCCGGAACGAACTATTAGTGCATTTGTACAGGTTTTATCCACAACTTTCACTTGAAGTTTTGTCAGGATTCAAACTTCCGAAGGATCACTGTATAGACTATCCGTTTTAATCGGACGACCCGCTTTATGCATTATTCCGTGGGTTAGTGTGGAGATGTTTCCTCGGAGTTGAGTTATATTGCAATTCGTAATAAATACCATATTACATGGCTATAGGAGATCTAAATTGGGTCCCACTATCGAAAAGAAATCTGAAGCAGAGGGATAAACATATAGAAAGAAACGAGGTCCGCAGGCTCGGTGAGTTTGCGGGATAGTTTAAGCTGGGAATAGGTTAGGTAAGTAAAGCGATTGCGATTCCAAGGGAGGTCAGAACCATATTGAAGATGTATAGGAGAGAGGGGCAGATAAGTAGAACTCTCAGCGCCAGAATACAGAAACCAGAAGACACAGGGCTTGCTTGCGAGATAAGAAACGAGGTAGGAAGCATCCAATGCAGAGGCGTGAAGACAGGGAACCCCCCGACCAAAAAAAGAGAAATGTGCATATGCGTGGGTGGATATTCGAAGACCGACTGGTCGCTACATAGCCATTTCGGCCTTGAGCTTGGCCAGCTCGGCCTCCTCGTCTTCTTCCTCGGGTACGTGTGACTTGTTGACTGCGGGTGGTTAGCACGGTGCCACTCGGACAATAGCAGATAACGGGCACGGCGTTGACTTACGCTCCGTATTTCCAGCAGCCGGCAGCCCCTCCAACCGAGAGCCCACCGGCGTGGGGCCGGTATTGAGCATGCGCTCGTCCATCGCCTCCTGCTCCATACCCTCCAGCTCGGCATCCAGCTCTCCCTCGTCCACCTGCTCGCCCAGCGGCATGTTGGTGATGGCATCGCCAATTTCCTGGCTGAGCAGGTGCTGTTCTCGGAGTTTGTCCCTGCAAGACAGCCGTCAGCAAACAACTACCTTCCACATACCATGGCGTCGTCTGGCCGACGCCATTTCCGTGTCTCGTCACATACATCGTCTCGTCAACCTGCTCCAGGCTCATACCGCCGTGGATCTGCTTCATAGCATCGCCAGCTGACTTCATGGCCTGCAGCGTCTCATGGTTGATGTTCGCCGCCTCGATCGAGTAGATCTGCTGCTCGAGTTGCACGACTTGCGCTGACGTCTGCTCGAGGTTCTTTTCGTGCTGGTGTTTCCGTCGCAGGGCAGCTTTCGCGGCTGTACGGCGTCAAATAGGAATTGTGTCAGCTCTTATCGCCCTATAGATAGACACACACGTCTCTTCCAGGTTTTGATCTGCGGGGCAGAGGTAGGAGGTAGGACTGTACCGCTCTTGTTTGTGCTAACGTGTTTCCGCGCTGCGGCATCTTGCTCCGCAATCTGGTTCTCCAGGTGCTTCTCACGCTTCTGCAGCATTTCTAGTTGTGCCCGGAGGCCCAGGATGGCGTTCTTGGGGGCATCCTTCCGCTTCTGAGCGGCCGCGCCGCCAAACCAGGACCACATTTTCGCGGACGGGATATGACTTGTCCTGGAAAAAAGGTATGGGTGGGTGGATAGTCGGGTTTATCGGAGCTGATCAGGCAGTACTGGCAAATGCAGAGGTTCTCGCAGTGCGCCGGCAAGTCGTGCGGCACGTCAGGCGGTGGAGGTGGGTAGAGATAGGCTCCAGCCAAAGCTCAGACGCCGGAGCGAAGCCAAAGGGCCGAGAGTACGGCTAGAGAAGAGGAGGAGGGTATTGAAACAGTTCAAATCGAATGGAGAGCAGGCCACGGGAGGCTCAGGAATCACGGGGTGCCGGCGCAGTCACGGATGGAGCCAAAATAGAGGGGAGTCGTTCCCCTCGCTGGGCCTATGACATACGCCGCTCCATAGTGGTCACGTGGCATCCGCCTTACCAGGCCGACAAAAAAAGGTCAATTTGATACAACGCGAGGCTTTCTTCTCCCCTCATCCCCGGGATGAACGGGCCGCGTCCCTCGACTCGGGCGTTTCTCTGCGATCTATCATCTCTGCCGGCGGATTCCAAAATCCGCTTCTTAGGCTGGTATGTGATGCTTATCAACAACATGTATATCCCATACAAGACTAACACATGAACAACAGTGTGAGGCAATATGATGTCAAAACTGGCCACTTAATCCTCGAGCACAACTACCCACGTAGCAGAAAAGAGCCCTGCTCGGTCTCGGTGGACGTCAATGCCGTGCTCGAGGACCTGACCTCGGAGGAGCTGCGCGTGGGTGCGTGGTTGAATGTGCTGGGTTATGTCCGAGATTCGACGACCCCAACTCCATCCTTTTGTTCGTCTCAGCTGGATTCCTCACAGCAATCCATTGGAGCTTCTGAGATTGTGAATATACCAGTCAAGGTCGCACCGCGTCCGGTGTATATTGATGCCGTGATGGTCTTTCCCGCGGGTGCCATCGCAGTCGGCGAGTATGAGCGTATTCTACGCAATGCCCAAGACGTGGAGCGACGCATGCGTTTTACTGGATGAAATTTATCCGAGTCGGTGAGACGTTGGATGGATACTCCAAGCAACCTGACTGATCATGGTGCCTACGAGAAATGATACCCAGCATGACAAGACGGAATCATTCATGACATAAAATCGTATATATCGATGCATCGCTCATGCAAAACTTTTTGCGGCCAACGCAATTGAGCTGCAACTTTGCAAACACCTCCAATGCACAGATGACGGGGTATCGGACCAAGCAAGGCAAAGGCAAAGGCAAAAGCAAAAATCAAAGGCCCTAAGTCACTGCCAACAACCCTAAACATCTCCGTTTTGCTTCTCCACATCATTCGCGAGCGAACCCCCCTGCACCTGCGGCGTCCTGCGCGCCCTCTTCCCCTCCAGCTTGATTTTATCCTCCTGCATGCGCATAATCAGACTACTCTTCATGCGAATCTTATGCCCGTACTTATAAAACACAAACGGTATCGGCACAATCGCAAGCTCCAGCAAGCCCAACAACGTGCCGGACCAATTCGGCCCTAGACTGGCGTACATGTACCCGCCCGCAAGCGGCAGTACTCCACCTAGCACACTCCGAATCACCGAGTTGCCCGCCAGCGCGGACGCCGCGTACATGCCATAGCTGTAGGTCAGGTAGTTGGACGCATAGATGAAGACACCCGTGTTGCCGGCGCCGAAGGGGATACCTGCGAGCAGGGGCACGATCCAGTGGATTGAGGCCGGCGAGCAGGTCCAGGCGAACCAGAGCTCGCCGATTGGGATGAGGATTGAGCAGATGCAGACGAAGGAGACCATTGCTTCGGGGTGCACGCAGCCCGTTTCTGGGTCCTTCGCGTGGCTGTTGATGAGCCGGCGGACGAGCGGCTCGCAGGCGATCGTGATGAGCACGCCGAGGCCGATGCCCAGGAAGGCTAGGCCCGAGAGGCCCAGGCCCCAGCCGCGGATGTTTTGGAAAACGTTCGGATATGCGACAAAACACAGGTAGAGGATGCTGTAGACGATGGCGATGTAGATGTTCCAAAAGATGCTGGGGAAGGTAATTAGTCCATGACTGCTCCATCTGCACACGGGGACGATAGGAATGCAGATCCATCTTACCAGATGGGCTCGGTCACAGCCATCACGAAAGGCCGGCTCAGATTCAGCTTCAAAATCTCATACAAACTCGCCTTCTGGTCATAACGAGACCACCAGCGCTCATCCCCCGTTTCTTTCCGCAGACGCGCCGCTTTCTTCTGCAGCAGAGTGGGCGCATACGTCTCCTTCAAGATCGCTGCAAGAACAAGCGCCACGGCCGAGAGAATCAGCGCGATCCAGCACATCCAGCGCCAGCCCAGATACTGCGTGACAAAACCGCCAATCACGGGGCCCAACACTACGTGATCCCGTCAGCAATGCCACAAGCTACCACTCTACCGGTCAACGGAAAACGAAACAGGGCCCATACCAGGTCCATTCAACGGCCCAACACTCCATATGGAAATCGCCAGCGCACGATGCTCATCATCCACAAGATCAGCCACCATCCCAGGCGCTGTCGAGATCATCACGCTACCGAAGAACGCGCCGAAGAAGCGGACCACAATCAGAGCCGTCACGGACTTCGCCAGGGCAGCCGGGATAATCAGCACGGTGAAAATGGCCAGACAGATCACGCAGACAGGCTTGCGGCCGTAGACCTCGCTGAGTGGGGCCATGAACATGGAGCCGATGGCGAGACCAAACAGATAGAAGGTTAGACCGAGGGTGACGACGGTCTCGGACTGGTTGAATTCATCGCCGATAAGTTCGACACCCGAGGTGTAGGATGTGGAATACAGGACGCTGTCGAGCGCATCAGTCAACATGTTATGCTTTTCTGCATTGCCTTGCAGTTTGGAAAAAGGGACTTTGAAAAAGGACATCCAAGGGTGGCACAAGCCACAGTCGAACTCACACGATAAGCGTATTCCACGACAAGAACAACAATCCCATCGCCTTATACTTCAACGTCCAATTCTTCGGGTTTTCCGGGTCCTCCTCGCCGTCCCAGTCGACTTCATAGTTCGGGTCCGCTGTCGCATTCGTCGGGATGGTCGTCACCCGCTGCGAGAGCGACATATGGTCCGAGAGCCGCGATGCGTGCGCTGTTAGGGTCTTGCCCAGCGCCTCGTCATCAGCCTCAGCATCGGCCGAGGAGACGGAGATGATGGAGTCAGTGTCGTGCGATACGCGCTCCGTGTTCTGCGGCCATTTCTCCCCAGAGCGTGAGTGGGAGTCTGCCGAGGAGGAGGTTGGAGACGACATCTCCGGTAACAGAGGGCAAGCTGGAAAGCTGTCGAGGCCGGAGAAGGTAATTGACAGAGTTGCGGGAGCGAGGCAAGCTTATTCGAGCTTCCTATCTTGCAGAATTGAGTACTTTATCCCCCGATGTGGCGTTCTTAGATATTGGGCGGTGTTAGGGCTGACTGCTTCGGGATGAAGGCAGTCGACACCAGACGGGCGATACTATTTCGTTACAAGGCACAGACAATACTCAAGGCCAGCCAAGAGGCACAGATGGATGCGAATAAAAAAGAAGCCAGAAACTGGGAGGATCGTTCTCTCGTGGTAGACTGTTCGGCCAGTTGGCCGTGCCTTTTACGAGGAACGGAGAAAAGAGATACAAACTACAGAAGGGAAAAAAAGAGCAAGCACTAAGATAACGAGCGCATGAAGTAGTCCACAGCACGCGCTCTTTCTACCCAAGCCGCTTGGAAATTTCAACGCCTTCGGACGGCCAGGTGGGGCTCAGAGGGCAAGTAATAAGCCTAAGCTGCTGTTCCGACGAGGGCCAAGACTTTGCAGTGCCGAATAAGGTGATTTGACCAGCAGCTAGCATGCAGATGGACCTAGAGCATACCGATTGCGATGAGGGGTCGTGTATCGCGGAAAGCAGGCCGAGGGACACGCCACAAGCCGCGGTTGAGTAGTCTAAAGATTGGCTCTCCCGGGTGGTGATACTTGCCGGCCTCCCTGCTCCCCATCTCCAGCCAAGACGGCTCCGTGGAGACATACCCCGTGGGCAACAGTCTCTATTTGACGGTCACTGTTGAAGCTGAGCGTGGGCAGCTGTCCCCGCGCATACCCCCCTTTTTGTCGGTGGATGTCTCCCGCTCGTCTCAGGGGGGTCTGTGGGCTGTGGGACTGGGTGGATCGCGGTCTGTCTGCGCTTCGCGTGCCGGTTTGCCGAGTTGCACCATCCCTCGGCCCATGACCAGCCCAGGGGCCAAGAGCGGGCTGAACTGGCTCTGTTGGTTGCCAAATTCAAAGCCAAAGCTAGCGAGGGCGCTCGTAATTCGTCACGAGCGGGTTTTTGGGGAGTGAACAAAGGTAGGTACATCCGATGCATGCCCACGATATGCGCAATGGGGCAATGCGGGATACGGAGGCCAGGCAGATCAGGATCGGGTTATGAGTGTTCGGGTGAGAGACCTTCTCGGGTGCACATTGGAGTGGGCCTTGGCTTGCCGATGCGATAGCTGGTCCCGAAAGCTGGCCGATTGAGTTGATGGACGTGCGATCCCCTCGAGCTTCGCTTCATTTTGTGTTGTTTCGGGGGCGGAAAGCATTCCGCGGGGCGGTGGGAGGGTCCAAAAGTAGGTACTCCCCTATACTTCGTAGTCCGAGTGGAGATACCCTGGAACACGCCTCAGAGTCGACCAGGAGCTAAGCAGGACAAAACAGACTAGTGCGGAACACCTGGTAATGCGTTAATGCGTTAATGTTGGAATGCTTGAATGCTTGCTAGCTTTCTATGAAGCAAAGTGGACCAGGCCAGGCCAGGCCTCAAGTCTGTTTGTCGAGGTCTAGCGCCCGACCTTAAAATCTTTAAGGTCCATCTCAATCCACCCCTCGCTGTCCCATTCCTCTTTCAATCGCGTCAATCTGAAAACCTTGAAATCCCGACGTATTCTCGGAGAAATTGGAGTATCTGACGCGGCCAGCCAACCACAGCCAGCGGGCGTCCTCGTTTAGACCTAACCGAGCCGACTAGCTCTAAGCGACCTGAAAACCCCGGGCTTCGCGAGATTGTGACGGTGATGGAGTCGCAGAACAATGCACCACAAAGGGTGGGATCGCTTGCAATTGCATTGGATTGAACAACCAGGGAATAAAATGAACATGATCTGCTGTCTTCGCAACCAGCGTCCGTTTTCTTTTCAGCCTTCCCTCTCTCACTCTCTCTCTCTCAAACCCGAACTATACCCGATTCTAGAGAAACCGCTCGACTGCGCCATCCAAGCCACCCCAGAGTTTCGCGTTGACGACTCCCAGCACTGCTCCCCGGACAGTGTCCGTGGCCCAGAAATTTCCCCATAATCAGGTTTTTTCTTTGCTTTTCCTCGAGCCTAAACGCTTTCCTCTGGTGTGAGAGGGAAAGGGCCGTGTGTACCAGTTCGAGCTTCAAAGTCGCCTCCGCTCTACCTCCGGCTGTAATCACGCATTTCGACGCAGCACTGGACGAGATCAGGAACGCGGGCGGAAGACCGCAGCAATGATTCCTATCATCCTTACCTCACTCGTTCTGGCAGCGCTGTACCTGTATCATGTCAACGCCGCCATGAAGCGGGTCCCCGAGGAGGCGCGCAAATCGTCCCCGCACCGCTGGACCGTCGACGAGGTCAAAGCTGCCTACAAGAGAACTGTCGAGATCCCCGTTGATATAACAAGCAGTCTGCCGCCGAAACAGTCGCGCCGCTATGTAGTGGTGGGCGGATCTGGTGCGTTACCCTCTGTTTACTTCTGGCAATTCGTTGCTTTAGTCAAATGAGGCTGTTTTTTATGAATGACCAGGGCCAAAAAGTCAAAATGGAAACTGGAAACACTGACAGTCCCCAATTTTAGGTCTCGTGGGCGGCTGGATTGTTTCGCACCTCCTCGCGCGCGGGGAGAATCCAGCTTCCCTGCGTGTTCTAGATCTTTTGTCGCCGACTCAAGATGTTCTCGACCAGGGCGTGGCCTTCGTCAAGACCGATATCACCGACGAGCTCGCCGTAACCACAGCCTTTGAACAGCCATGGCCGGCATCCGTCGCCAACCTGCCCCTGACCGTCTTCCACACGGCCGCCACGATTCGGCCGTCCGAGCGGCTAGAGACTTTCCTCCCGCTGTGCGCAAAGGTCAATATCGACGGCACCAAAAACGTGCTATACGCTTCCAAAAAGTGCGGTGCAACCTGCTTTGTCTCCACCTCCTCCGGTTCAGTGTCCCTGCATAAACCGGGCTTCTGGATAGCGCCATGGGAGACAGTCCCGCGGCGTGCAATGCAGATTCTCAGCGACGATGCAAAGCTTCCCCAGCGTCACGACGAGTTCTTCGGTAACTATGCCGTGACCAAGGCTGAAGCCGAGCGCATTGTCCGCTCAGCGGATGACCCGGCCAACGGCTTCCGGACAGGCTGTATCCGGCCGGCGAATGGGATCTACGGTATCGGAAGCGACGCGAGTATGACTATCACAGGCGTGTACTTGCGCAGCGGCGGCAGTCCTACGTGAGTATCGCATCAGATTCATGGCTCTACACACCCTCCCAATCCCAACCCTTCTAAGAAGACCAGAAAAACACCATTCTAACACGCACCCAGCTGGCTTGCCCCCGTAATTCAAAGCTTCGTCAACGCCGAGAACGTCTCCCTCGCACACCTGCTCTACGAACAGCGCCTCCTCGAACAATCCCAACCATCCAGCAACCTTCCAAACACAGGCGGCCAAGCCTTCGTCGTCACAGACCCAAATCCAGCCATCTCCTTCGGTGACATCTACACGCTCCTCGACACGCTCGCCAAAACCCCCGTCTCCTTCCCGACCCTCCAGCCCGCCCCGCTCCTGCTGCTGGCATACCTGGTCGAGGCGTACGTCTACGTGCAGCATGCGCTGCTGCCGTGGCTCCTGCCCAGGCTCACGGGCGACGTCGTGCAAATTCAGCCGTCGCTGTTTGCTATTTCGGACGTGTTCTGTGTCGCGGATGACTCGCGTGCGAGGAGGGCGCCGGAGGAGGGTGGGTTGGGATATCGGCCAGAGATTACTACGTTGCAGGGTATGTGTAAGCAGTTGGTGGATTGGAATGCGAAGGCTGATGCGAAGGCTGTGGCGGAGCGTGTGGGGAAGCTACACATGGGGCCTGCTTTGGTCGGACAGAATGGGGTTGAAGTGAAGCTTGTTGCGCCGACGGAGCTGTAGGTGGTGGTCATGCTGCTGCTGTCTTTTGCGTGCATGTATTCCATGCGCCTGTCATGGATCTGGGTTTGGACGGGCATGATTTAGTTTGATTCTTACAAAGCATAGCATAGAGCGTTCAAGTGGATCTCATATTCTTTTGAGGGGGTTTGGGACGATTTTGATACATATTTGTACCTCTCAGTGAACAGTAAATGCATGAAAATAGGGGTATAATATTTCTTGAAAACTCGAAAAAGATTGGAGCGGAAACAGGATCCCGCTCAATGTTCTAATAAAGCAGCCAGACCGCAAAGACCTGAGTGAGGCTTGATACTGGGTATCGGTATCCGAATCAGCGTAAATTTATGCTCTCCGATCAGGCCTTTCCAATGGGGCGAAAAGCCTCAAGTGACGACGGCCCTGTTAAGCAAACTTCGCAGCGGAGATGGAAGCACTGATGGCAGCGACGGAGTGCCGTGCCTGCGATCTCCTCAGGGCGTGCAATGAGGCGATATCCATGTATGCCATCCGTCCAAAGTCGTCAAAAACAGCCGGTCCATCTTGCGCGGTGACACCCGGGAGTGACAAATAATGCCGGCATAGAAAGATGCCCCTGCCCCGTGAGGTAGAGCAGGCCTCGAGCAGCATATCCCCACCAAGTGACTGAGGGGGCATCTGTCCCACAAGATAAACCCCGAAGGCGCCTGTCCGACGCGGGAGGAAACGGATTCCGGCACCCCCGACGTAGCACCTCATTCAGTGGAAAAGTGACACAAAAAATCCTCCGGCCCAGGCCTTTACCGTGCCTGCTGTTGCGCGGCCAGCCTCCTCTGCTCCAGAATCTGCATCCGCACGCCTTCAGACGCCAACTCCACGTCCAACACTGCCGCAATCCCACGCTTCCACGTCGCCTCGAGATTGGTCAGCTCGCCATAGCTCGCATCCTGCGCGATCTTGCGCTGCCTGTTGACCTCCTCCGCAGCAGCCTTCGTCTCCGCTAGCTCCTTCTCTATGCCACGCAGAGTCTCTTCCAGCTGCGCGTTGCCGATAAGCCACGCATTCTTGCCGTGCTCCTCCAGCAGAGACAGATTCTCGTGCCGCTTGGTCAGGTGCGAGCTGGATGTGTAGGCACTTTGAAGGGTCTGCCGCCACTCGGGCAGATTGGGGGGTTCGGTGTCGGTCCGGGTTGGTGGTTCGGGGGCTTCGTAGCGGGTTAGGTCGATGCCGCCTGTGAGGGGGGTGCCATTGGCTTTGCGCTCGAGCTCTTGTTGGATGAGAGGTGTAAATTTGAATTCTGGGGCGGCGGGAATGGATGGGTGGAGGCTGGAGGAGTGTTCTGGGGCGAGCTCAGCGTTGATGAGCTGCTGAGCATTTTGGCGCGCGGAGGCTGAGGGCGGGGCGTCGACGTCTGGTTTGGGTGTTAGTTTGGGTCAAGGGGGCCATTGGGTAGGTGAGAGGGATGTACATGGTAGAGAGTCGTGTGCTTCGGTAATGAGAGGCATTTTGAGGAGTGCGCGGTCGCGTTGATGCCGTTGAATATGAAACTGCAGATGGAGATGGGGACATGCCAGGATCAGTATTGGACCATTAAGGCGGTCAGGTGAGTGCGGGTCTCGAGTCTACGGTATCATGTGACCCGCATACCGATCAGCATCGTGCAACCGATTGGTGCTTCCCCGCTGCAACAAAATCTTCGACTATGACCTTGAAGCCCATGGCCTAGGCGAATGGCGCGCGGTGCATTCGTAGACCGATAGCGGTGTAACCCTGATGATCCTGCCCTTTAACAGGATATCACGCTGATATCTGACTGCAGAGCTGATCTTGGCCAGGAATGAATGGCCTCGTAGCTGTAGCTACTGAAAGTCTTCAGAGTCTTATCCACTGGCATAGACCACGGGCCGGCTGAGTGCTCAATAAATGCCCCCAAATGCCATTCGGTATCACTGATATATCACGTGATGGAACTGCGATTCACTCAAGTTGCCCAGTCCGAGACTCCCGCTGAGCTCATGAAAGCAGCGGCACCCAAGGCATGTATAGAATGGCCCCACAGGCACTCCGGAAAACTTATCGGCTTCTACCATGAGATCTTAAGCAAGCACAGAGTCTGTGCATGTTTCAAATAAAATACAAAAGTCGGGATTATCTACAGCTCCGGGTGTGGTAGCAGGGAACGGGCTCTCTGTCTGTCTGAAATTATAAACCCTGTTGGGCACGCGCGGAATGCAAAAGGTTCCCATGCAGGACGACCCCGACCCATCACAGCGCTGTTCCTGCCCCAAAACTTATCACACGCCTATCGCTTAGCGGGATGCAACTCTCCCCTCATCTACTCCGTATCTCCGCCCTCTCCACTAGGGTTCAGGTCCGAAGGCTTGCTTTTGCCAAGCGTCGATAAGGATCTACTGCATCCTCTGACTGCCACTTCGGTCATGAATCCTCCGTGCTTCCGGACCTATCATTCGTGTTCTTGACTTTCTCAAGTACTCGCACGTCGCCCTGTTTCTAGGGGTTTTTTTAATACCGTCTCATATCTCATATCTCCCATCGCCAGCTACTGACTGAACCGACCCGTGATGTCATAATCCATCCTCCTACTTAGTCTACATTATGGCCACTTTTCGAATTGGTGCTGCCTTCGGCGCGGTCACCATCGCTTTGCTGGTATTTATGCAGATCCTGGCTGCGCTGCGACATATTGAGCAAGCACCCTCGTCGAGCTTCAGCGGGACCTTCAATCAGTGGAGGAGCAGAGAGAGTGCACTGACGGATGATGACCTGTTTTTAGTTGGTGCTGGCAAAGCGGATGTCACTGGGTATACTTCTCATCTCCATCCTAGGGTATTGATGCGTGTGCAACGTGACTAAAATCTGCTGCAGTCCGATCGTCGAGGTGGATTTTAACGGCTATGCCAGCCTAGACCAGCTGGGCACGGGTCTGCGCCAGCGAATTTACTCCCGCGCGTTCATCTTCGCTGATCCTAACAAGCCCGAGGACACCTTTATTTACCTGGTCCTCGACACGCTCGCTGGTGACACGGCAGTGAGACATGGAGTCCTGGAGGGGCTCGCCGCGCTGGGTAGTGACTATGCGCGCTATGGCGAACATAACGTCGCGTTGACCGGTACACACTCCCACTCTGGCCCTGGTGCGTGGATGAACTACCTCTTGCCACAGATTCCTACCAAGGGATTTGACAAGCAGAGCTACCAAGCTATTGTGGATGGCACCATCCTGTCCATCAAGCGTGCGCATGAGAGTCTGACCACTGGGCACCTGTCCTTTGGCTCGATTGACCTAGAAGATGCGAACATCAATCGCAGCCCTTACTCCTATGATCACAATCCCGAGGCAGAAAAGGCGAAATACTCGGCTAAGGTGGACAAGACGCTGACGCTCTTGCGCTTCGACCGTGCGTCAGATAACAAGACGACCGCGGTGTTAACCTGGTTCCCGGTGCATGGCACATCCATGTATAACAACAACACCATCGTCACTGGTGACAATAAGGGCGTTGCGGCATATCTCTTCGAGCGCAGCGTGGACGGCGACTCGCGTTTTGCTGACGACGTCGTGATCGGGTTCTCGCAGGCCAACGTCGGTGACACGAGCCCGAATGTCGAGGGCGCGTGGTGTGAGGATGGGTCGAACGAGCAATGTACATACGCAGACAGCATCTGCGGCAGCACGAACGAGGCTTGCCACGGCCGGGGTCCGTTCTTCCGGGAGAAAGACAACGGTGCGAAAAGCTGCTTTGAGATCGGCAAGCGCCAGTATAACGCGGCGAAGGAGCTCTATGGGCAGTTGAGCTCTGCCGGCACTGCCATCACTGGCAGCTCGGATGTTCGCTCCTTCCACGTATACCAGGACATGAACGGGTACACCTTCCGGTCGCCGTTCAATGGTAGCACCCTGAAGACGTGTCCTGCGGCGCTGGGATATTCGTTCGCTGCCGGGACGACTGACGGGCCCGGCGCCTTCGATTTCACGCAGAACGCGACTGGTCCCTCCACGGAAAATCCGCTGTGGAAGGTGGCTCGGGCGTTCATCCACCAGCCCACGGAAGAACAGCAGAAGTGCCAGGGAGCCAAAGATATCCTCCTGGATGTCGGAACACTGACCGAGCCCTATGCCTGGGCCGCCGACATTGTGGACATCCAGGTTCTGCGCGTGGGGCAGCTCTTCATCATCGTCTCCACCAGCGAAGCTACCACGATGTCTGGACGCCGTTGGAAGGCGGCCATTGCGCAAGCCGCCCAAGCCACACTTTCCGTCTCCAGCCCACTGATTGTGCTCGGCGCTCCGTCAAACAGCTACGCGCACTACGTCGCGACCGAAGAGGAATACAACGTCCAGCGCTACGAGGGTGCCTCTACCCTCTACGGCCCTAACACTCTCGCCGCGTACATCAACCTCACCCTCACCTATCTCCCCTACCTGGGCAGTGCTTCCGACATTGCTCAGCTCTCAACCATCCCGGCCGGCCCAAGCCCACCCGTCAACACCAATAAATCGCTCAGCTTCATCACCGGCGTTGTCTACGATAACGCCCCGCTCGGCAAGTCCTTTGGAGATGTCGTCTCCAACCCGGCGGACCAGACCTACGGGCCCGGCGACTACGTCAACACGACTTTTGTCGGCGCTAATCCGCGCAACAATCTCCGTCAGGAGTCTACTTATGCGGCTGTGGAGCGGAAGACAGACTCGGGGGGTGGGAGGTCGTTCGGAATGACCGCGACTGGAACTTAGTGTTGAATTGGGAGCGCACGAATCTGGTGCTCGGGTATAGCGAGGTGACTTTGCAATGGCAGATTGAAGATGACTATTACAGCGTGGATGATCCGAGTCCCCTGCAGAGTGGCACTTATCGGATGCATTACTATGGAGACTCGAAAAGTGCGCTTGGAACGATCTCCTCGTTTGAGGGGATTGGTGGGTCGTTTACAGTCAAGGCTTCGTAGTTAGTATCGGTTCATTTGGCTTTGAGATGTTGTCGGTGTTGTCGTTAGGAGGATCGGATACTGTTGCTATTGGCATCCGTCCAACTAGCCCTAACTCCGTGGCGTCGGCAAGAAACAAACAAAGAAATTGCGGGATAATTATATCCTCCTCGTCCGGGGAGATCAATTCTCTGCAGACAAATTATGGGCCCGGGAGGCTCCTTATGCTAGAGTCTTGGTTCTGAGTGCTAATTTTAATCCGATTTCCTCCAATCACATCCCTACCAGCCCATCTATCAATGTTTGTTGCGGACCCGCCCGCCTTCCAGCCAATCACCTCCCATAAATCACCACCCCGGGCGTCTACTGCAACAGCGCTTTGTCGCGCGCGCCTTCGCCCTCTCTTAATCTCTCCTTTCACTTTCGCTGGGCATTTCTATTGTCGCCGAGACTGAAACTCCATCGTCCCACTATGCCCCCTGGTAATGGCGGCTTGCTTGGAATGGAGCTGGCTGGGCTGGCCCATGCCAGAACGTGGGTGACAGGTGCTGGTTCATAATCGACGGCATGGGCCTAAAGCCTCGACAACACTGTTCTCCTTCTTTTCTCCTCTTTTTGAAGTCCATCTTCACTTTCTTTATCTCGAGCTGTTTCATTCTTTTAGTGCCTTGCTTTGGGTTTTGTCTGTGGCTTTCCTGCTGACCGCCGCCTACATCTCGTCCCTCTTTGATTGTGTCATTCTATATCTACCGATCTCTGCCTGGACCAGCCTCCCGTGCTATTCTATACTTGAATAGGCTCTCTCTATCGCTTGCTATTCTTGCCTTGCCTAACTCCTTGACTGGCCATGCCCTTCTCTATTTGTTACTGATTTTGTTTCACTACTACTGTCGCTTATATATATATTTCCCCTTCTGACACTCCCCCTCTCTTTCTTCTGCTTTTGCCTCACCTGCGTGTCCTGTTGGACGATCACCTCCTCTTCTCGCACCGTCGTTTATTCCGTCTGATCTTCTGCTGAAGACTTGTCGATCCCTATGCTGCTCGCTCGTTGCGCAGCCCTTTTGGCTCTGGCGTGGTCTTGCTCGGCTGGTCCGATTGCGCGCTCCCTTACGTTGGGCCAGGATGCTGCGGCGTCAACTGTGCCTCTATTGGCAAACGCGGTATCCCCGACTACCTCTACGGGTATAGAGACCCCCAGCGCTCTTCGAAAGGATGGCGGAGATGACGGTGATGATGGCGGATTGACCGTCATTCCAGTTACGCCCTCGTGGTTGTTAACTTCCTCCACGGCCGCTGTTTCATCCACAGAACCAACGTCTTCCACACCCTCTTCAGCATCAGTCCCAACTCCTGCACCATCGACGCTGGGCGATGCAGGCTCGTCGACGGCCAGCGAGCAAACTGACTCTAATAAACCATCCTCTACTTTGCCAAACTATACTTCGACATCTGCTTCTGCTTCTACGCCTACTTCTGAGTCACCATCTACTCCCACGTCTACTTCTTCTCTCTCTTCGAATATCCCATCTTCTACGACACTAACTCACTCGTCTTTGCCTATGGATAGCACTGCAACACCAAGCACACCGGGAATTGTGATCCCTGTTACTTCGTCCACTGTCCATGCTGCTCACCCTTCGTCAAACATGGCTCCTATTTCATCGCCTTTAATCCCAGACCAGGCAAGCTCCCAGGCTTACAACACGGAGGGGTCTATCTCGTATATGCCAAAGTCATCCTCCACATACATGCCGTCGTTCCCGCCAAAGACTAGCGATATGGAATCTTCGACTCCTGTTGCAGCAACGTCTATCCCAGATAACAGTATCTCACGACACCGTGTACCAATATACACGAGCACTGGCTCCCCTCAGTCCACGCTAGGTGGTGTTGTAGGCACCCTTGGAGTGGACGTCGCAAGCTCATACGTGGATCCGGCTCAATCGACCACTGCTTCTCCAGTGGCTTCTGCTTCTCCAGTGGACTCAGCATCGATGCTATCTCTCACCACCCCCACTACAACTGTCTCGTCAGCTGCGCATACCACTTCTATTAGTCCACTGGCTGCACAGACGGCAAGTCCAACCGTCGGAATTGTTGTCCCCATCTCAGATACTGTCCCCGGTGTCAGTTCCAGCGAGGCCCTTTCCTCAACAGTGCCTTCTACAACAGCTCAATCCAGCAAGTTCATAGAAGCAGCACCATTGGCAGCAGAGACGCAATCTTCATTTAAAGCAGCCGCGACTTCGACAACCTCCGATTCCATGGCAGTCGTCACAAAGCCGGTAATTGTGTATGTCTCGGAGGGTGCTACATCTGCTTTCTCCACGTCTACCCTCATGCCAACAAGTTCCACGCCAGGGGTTGAGACAACTCACACACAAGCTAGCATGGCACAGCCATCGGAGATTGCGCCTACCCCAACCGAACCAGAGATAACACAGACGGCAACATACACGATCCATGCCACAGAGACGCGCAGCCTCACTGTGACGCAACCCGGCCCAACAGTGACAGTCACAGCTGAGCCACGCACGACGCAGGCCGCGGACACAACCCACAACGGCGCGACAACGGACACCTCGGACGATAAGTCCGGTCTGTTGACCGTCATCCCGATCACGCCGTCCTCTGGTGTCATATTTGTCACCAAATCCGAGACTGTGACGTCCTGGAAGGAGACCAAGACGGTAACTGTAACTTCGTGGAAAGAAACGACCAAAACGGACACAAAAACAGTGACGGCGACTACGACTGTGATCCGGCCGCAGCTTGTTACTTAGTGTCAAGTGGTAGTTTGGGTCTGTGCTTGTGTCGGCGTGGGAAATTAGCTTGCGAAATGATACCGTTTTGCGACTTACTTTTCTGCTCTTGGAGATGGATGTTTTGATACTTACGTTCCTACTGTCGTAATCACTCTCTTGTTTAATGTTGACTGGGCGAAGCCCGCCTTGACCTTGTTATAAGATAACCTGGGTTTAAATTTGATTCCACTATTCAACACGTGTCCGTGTATCATTCCCTGCAATGGAAGACGCAATGCGGTCCGAGCACAGTGAACATCTAAAGTTGTAGCTTGAAGGAGCCCGTGTTCTTCACGAAAGGGCACAGAAGTCACGCTGGGATAACAATATCTCATTCTCATTTATCATCACCTACTACTGAGATATTAGTGTTCCCGTGGTCCAATGAGGACAGAAGCTGAATCGGCCTAGGTGTTGTGAGATGGGCTTCGGCTGCGCTCTCATAAACTCGAGCGTGCAGATAAACTCATTTTGAATATTCCTATACTAGAACGATAATGAACAGTGCTTTGCTACGCTACAGCTCAGACAGAACACCTCCCGCCTCCGCAAACTTCTGCTGGTACTCCTTCAAGCTGGCCCACTGACTGAGTTCCTCCTGGTCGCGCTCATAGTCGCTCAGGTAGCTCATGGCCCGCCCATTCGTGAGCGGGGTCAGGTCCTCGGCATTGCTTCCTGAATCCGTCGTCGCAGACGAGTAGCCTTCCAGCCGGACGAGGGTGTCGATGAAAGCGCGGAGATAAGATTCCGCTTCTGCGGCCGTGAGGACATGCAGACCGGATGAGGCTGGTGTGGGTGTGTGCGTGGATGGCTGCGAGGCTGCGGATGGGTCAATTGGTACGGTTGTCGATGTTGAGGCTGGGTGGTAGTGGTTGGGTATGTTGAGTAGGGTGGATGCTACTTGGCGGATTTTGGTTGTCTGGGGGTGGTTTTTAGTTAAAGCGGAGAAAGGTTGGGGAAATGGGAGGAAGCAAAAGCTGTCACGTACTATGCTGACACCGTTGGGTTCCATGTTGACTTCATTCACTGTCCGAAGGAGCACGAATAAGTCTTTGATGACCAACTTGCGCTCTTCTGCCATCAACCCCCCGATATAATCTGTCTGTGCGTGGACTAGGGCTGGTGACGATGTCTCAAACGAAGTCGATGTACCCTTGCCATGTGCATCCGATGGATTTTCCACCTTGATGGACGGTGCAGCGATATTCGGAGCCGCAGCCCGAGCCGAGTTGCCGTATTTGGTGAACGTCTCGAAGAGATTCCAATATTTATCGACCAGATAAGACCTAGTACATAGCTGACTGGCGTAAATATTGGCCTTCTGAATCTCATACTGGATGGCGCGTCGCTCCTGGTGGATATGGTCATCCGGATAACTGAACATAGAACCGTCCTCAGGCATACACACAGGCGGGGTTCTTTTCGGGTGGAAAAGAGAAAGCTCGCTGGGAGCATTGAGGAGTGCTGACTTGGTTTTTTGGAGGCACTCCCACAGTGATGTGCGTTGGTGTTCCCAGTCAAAGATCCGACCACTGCCAAAGGCAATTTCCCACGCCAGAAGAGCATTGTAGGAACCGTAGACGCGTACGTTTGCATTGAATCCGACAAGTTGGGATACCCGGCCAGCCGGCTGCGGGTTGATATGTGTTGGGAAAATGCATTCATCATCCACTTCGAGTGGCAGTGGTGGATACCGGTCTGTCGGGGTTTCTGGGGGTATATAAATCCTGATATCAGCGGACCCAAGTTGATGCAGGGTCTGGTACCCAACCAAGGAGACATAAAAAAGCCGCCGTCCAAGCTCTTGCGTAATGAGATCAACATTATTGCTCTCCATCAGACCAGGGACTGATTGGTCCAATAGCATAGGACTAGTAGCCATCAGTGCCGATGAGGGTGTCAGATTCGTGGGAGAGCGGCAGAGGTCATAGACCTGGAGCATTGCACGGCATTCCGCCAGGTACGTACGACACCGGCGCATGCTGTAGATGTAGCCAGAGCAGACACCGAGGAAATAGCTAATGGCGGCATCGTAGACTGTGGCGTTGCGGTCGAGATATCCAGTGCCTCGCGCTTGAATGGCGACGTCATGGCATCGCTTGACCAATGCTATCGAATTCGGAAATGCGGATCGTTCTGCCTCAGTATTGAGACGTAGCTTGGGTCGCCTGGGAAAGGACGCCACCAGGAATCCAATCATGGAAGCCAGCAGGGCCAGGAATGTGCGACTGGTAGCATCTTCGCGGCGCTCGAACGCCGCGCGGAAAGAGGGTTCATGGGGGACGGGAACCAAGGGATGAATGTACGTAAAGAAGTCATCGAGGAGTAACTGCATAGTGTGCAGGGAGCAGATAGCTTCTGCCGAAGCTGGGAATGGCGATGGTGGTGGATTGATTGATGAATTGGAAGAGGCGGGCGGCGTATTCGCCTGCGGGTAGTCCGTGATGCTAGTGGGCGATGCATCAAGCGGCGCCTCGAGCTTTTGCTTCTTGAGGGCCTCCGCATGACGATTAGGTGGCCCACGACGTCTGCTTGGCCTCTCATAGGTGCAGGGGATGTCCAAGCTAGCGCAGGATCTACACGGCGGGCCGCTGTTATCGCACTTACAGAAGAGATCAGTGGCTGGAGAAATAAATTGGACGGGATCGCAAGGACCAACCTTCACTTTACGAACACTGCAGGCGTCGCAGGCCTTGCGCAGCCTCGTCTTAGGGTCCATCCGTGAGTATGGGGCATTGCCGACATGACCGGGCTTCGGGATATTAGGTCATAGTCATCGTCAATGCAGTGTGAGGAGCTTCGCTGACACCGTCAGGTACATCCACGCACTGCGGGGTGAATCGTTGATTGACCCACTTGTGCACGATGGTTGTGCAGAGACCAACATGCACGCTTGAACGCTTGTCCTCAACGTGAATCCCCTTCTCCATTCAACACGTCGATTTGTGACTCTTTCTCCGGGCTCAGTCCCGAGCAAGAAGCAATTGAGCTGCGATCAAGGCTGGTTTTTAGGAGTGAGTACTCAGCGGACTAGGGCAGCAGTCCTCGAAACAGACAGATAGAAAGTCAATTCGGAGCCGCAAAAGCCCATTTGCATATGTATTCCCCTTCTGCACCGTTCAGGGTTATTGTTATGTGGAATAAACGGCGGCAGAGTCGCAGGTCGGCTCCGCGGATGATGGCGCAGAGGTCACGTGGCGTCCGCCGTCCAGGGAGGGTCTTCGTTGAAGTCAAATGCGCCGCCACGCAATCTGATTGGGCTTATTTTACGAAGGTGGGTGGGTTCCTCCCCAAGCTGGAAAAACACGCCCGGTGGTTTAGGGGTCCGCAATCAAAAATCGGGCTCATGCGTTGTGGTCCAGGGGTAGCCCACTCCGTACGTCTATGGAAGACCCATGTTTGGTGCCCACGAGGAGATATAATGATGTGCATATGGAACAGAAAACGCTATGAATCATACCGTGGGGTCGTCATCATAACCGTCACCTAGCCGACGGGGTCGTAGAGCGGCGAGCTGGCGCTTGCGCTCAAGATCAGAGGCCCATAGTGCGGCACCGGCGGCGGTGGTCATTAAGAACAACATGGAGAAAGGGGGGATTAGTTGTAGGATTAGAGCGATCGTCCCAAACCTATTTCGGTTAGAGACAATGGCCGGGTTCGATATTTCAAATGGTACTCACGTAGTGTACTGAAGCTGCCGTCGACTCACGCTGGCCTTCCGCTCCTGCTTGGTGAAATCCAGCAGCTGGAAGTACCGCCAGTGATGAAACGGACCAGCACGGTAACCGGTCAACACCAGGAACATGGGCGTACCAGCGACTGGGATGAAATTGAGTGGAAGCAGCACGATGAACTCAATGATCTGCCGAAACGAGAATGGCGCATAGACGGCGCTGGTCGTCGGGGTGCCGAGTCGACTGGCCGGGTCACCAGCCTCCGGGTAGATGACCCGCGAGGCGAGCACAAGCTCCTCTTGTCCTTCGTTGACCAGAACTGAGTCGAAGATATCCACCAGTGTCTCGTCCACGAAGAAGGCCTCGAACAACGCCGCAACGATCGCCGCACCCTCGCCCAGCACGAGGAATGCCCCATTGATCCATGCTCCGACACCTTGGAAGAGAGCCAGAAAAGCCACCTGCGGCAGGTACGTGAAGAAAAAGAGAAGGAAGTAAACGAAGGAGGATAGGAGGACGATAGGCACGAGTCGGGCCTTGAATAAGGGCCAGAGGAATCGATGGGTAGCAAAGTAGTAGATGCCCTGTCCAGCACTCGTCAGTATCCGCCTGCCCGGCAGGAAGAGGGAAATTGTAGATTCAACACATACCCGAAGGGGATACAGCCACGCCGCTCGGCTAGTCTCCCATGTCTGTGACATGATTCTTGCACACGGCAGTCTGCAGAAAGCTGAGATGAGGGCGAACCAGTGGGGAGAAAAAAAGATGCATGAATGCGTCCCCAAAAGGCACCAGAGAGCTTTGCTTATCGATAAGCCGACCCCGGTGGATCTCGGTCTCAGTCACGTGGGCTTAGTCAGAGGGCTTGCGCCAGCTATTTCTACCGAGATTTTCGCTCCTGGCGCTTTCTTCTTTCTTTCCCTACATAAACTGAATTCCTCCCTATTCACTCTAGAATCCACCTTGCAATGGGTTCCTCGAGGGGAAATGGGAGGAAAGACTGATCTATTGCTGGCTTACCCCAAATTCTTCTTGATACGTGGAGCGTTTGGAAATACTTTTCAGCTGTACATTCCTTTTCCCCCTTTGGATCTCTGTATGGGGTGCTTTCCGTGGCATAGCTAGACTACTTATGACGGCCCTTGATCTCGTTCACGATGTGTTCCAGACTGCGTACAATTGCTGAAGGTTGTAGCTCCGGTGCCGCAGCATCCTGCCATCCCCTGCCGGCGCGATCGATCCAGATTGCATTCATGCCCATGCTGCGCGCGCCAACGATGTCGAACGGGTTACCGCTGATGAGCCATAGCTCGCTCATCTGCGACGGCTGCTTGCCCACCTTCTCCGCGAGGTGTTGATAGCTTGCGCGCGATGGCTTGTACCGCCGGATCTCGTCGACGGTGACCAGGTCCTGGAAGACACTGGCGTGCGGGGCAAGGTCTCTGGAGCCGATTACCGAGTTGGAAACCATCGCCTTCGAACCGTTGGAAAATACTACCGCGTGAATGGTGGGGTCGGCTGCGATTCGGTTCAGGGCCGCGTTCACGTCGGGAAACGTAGATAGGCTATCGTAGGCTTCCATCAGGCTGGTGATCTCGCTGTCGCCCAGATGCTCGCCATTCTCGGTCAATGCATGGAGTAACGAGTTCCGAGTGATGCTCGAGAAGTCCTCGTATCGCTCTGTGTGTTGTTAGACGTCTCAGCAGGAACGTCCGGAGCGACCCGCCTTACCCATGCTGTTGAGCCTCCATGTATATTCCAGCTAGTATCTTCGCCAGAGTGCGGAGATGGACTGTGCTTTGGTATAGTCGAAGTGCTTCGCTAGTGCCTTGGCAATGGAGTCTGTGGACAGCAAGGTGCCATAGAGGTCAAAGGCTATAACTGTCTTGTTCGCCATGATGAATTACCGAGACGTGTTGTGGGCGGGTTGCGGGAGATGGGTTGTGATGAATGTTGCTCGGCCGAGACGGGTGTTTTGATGGGAGAGCTCTTTGTACCGCCCGCTTTTCCGCAAATAGCAGGAATCCCATGCACTTAGAAATCACGATATAAATGCCACAAATCCGTGTTGGAGCTACAATAAGATGCAGTCCTACTTGTGAATCGTTGACATGGGATATCCTTTTTGAGACAAATTGGGACAATCTTATGTTTGGCAGAATATGATGTCATCATCGGGGCTTTTAAATTGTATGTACTCAAATGCATCTTGTTGGATATTTCTACTCTTTTCATACCAAATCCCTAAATTGTGCCCCATGACCAATTGATACCCCATTTGTACCGGGAGCTATTCGTCATGCACCTGGAAACACCCTCCAGGATTGTATCGGCCAAATTCACCTGGATATTAAGATGCGGCCTCCTGTTTCACACTACTTTGTTCTATAGAACTAGTACTCGTATACAATTCTGGCCAGCCGGTGTTTGCCCATTGAAACAGTCGCGTACTATCATCACGTTGCTTTTATCTGTCCCGACGAGTGTCAAGTCGAATCGGCGCAGAAGAGTGGCTATCCCTAAATAGAGCCAGAAGTGCGCCATACTCGCCTCGTCAGTCGGGCACATCACAATACAGGAAAGCCATGGAAGGGAACCAACTTGGGGCCCAGACAGCCCTGACTGCCTTTCGAAAACGGGACGAGATACCGATTCAGATTGTATGAGGGTAATAGCCACCGTTCCGGGTAAAAGGTCAACGGATCAGGAAGATTTCGGCATTGCGTAGAACAAAATGGCTGGACATACTAATCGAAGTCTATGCTTGCAACTCTCTGTGAATCAGAAGTCACTCATTTATTAGCTGGAGGAGAAAAAGCGTACCCTGACGGGAATTCCCCAGCCATGACAAATCAAGTCCTCGTCTGGGGCAATCCGGGGCAGACGCGAACTCAACGACGGCAGATAGTCGCAAGCCTTCGAAAATCACTGCTGTCTTCTGCTATGTAGCCTACGGGCTTGTCACTTTTCTGTACTCGATGCACTGCCAAGATAGGGTAAATGCTCCAGGTCGCTCCACGAGGCATCCACGCTTTCACCGGGAAGGGCGATTTGCAGCTCATCTTGGAGCTGGTCGTAGATTCGTGCATTATTGAGAACATGATACATTGTGATTGCCATTACCTGTGAGGGTGCATCAGTGCCTGACACCCCTCGAATCAAGGCATTAGGCATGATGCGCTTTCTCGCACAGTTTGGTTGCTTCTTTCGAGCCTGGTCTGCTTGGTACGAAATGTAGAATACTGGCGTTGGTATCTCGCAGGGGTAGGAGCTCAAGTGCAGGACTAAATGCCAGTACCTTCTTTTGTCGAGCCACACACCCACTTGGTATATTGACTTCAAACCCAGAGTGAAGGGCCGTGCAGGCAAAAAGCAAAAATGGTCGACCTATTCAGAGATCTACATATTCGAGATTAGCGGTCTGAATTCAAATGGTAAGTGTTTGCTTGTTTTGGGCCGAAATATTGATTCACTGTGGCTGAAATCATCACAGTCCTGTACAAGATATTGTATACCGTTACACAGAGACTGATGCGCCGATCTTAGCCCTTTAGATTTATTCCACAGTAGTTCAAAATTTGGTATTCCTCTAGATTATATGATGAACATTTTTTACCTCTATCTTTATTCTAGAAGCTGACTGAGCTAGGAAGCTACCTCGATATCAATTAAATACTGGACTAGTATGGACGTAAAACCGAAATTGATTCATCCACTCCCATCAGTCTTCCCCTGAGGCCAGGTTGACTTTTTTCTCGATTCTAGCTATCCTCATTCTATGTAGAAGGTTGGAGGCTGCATTAGAATGACGATACATACCCCCTCCAAACATCTCTGTTGCATCCTTCCCTATCGCCCCCGTAATCATTGCTGGGCCTCCTGGATGCTCTGTAACAAAAGCTGAAACATCATGCACGGCTGCCCCGATAACAATCAGATTGCATCCCGTTCTTGCTTGTTGCTTGTACTCCTCCCACTTCATAACCGGCAGCTCCGCAAGCGGCACACCCCAGTCAACCGTCTCATATTCCTTGTCCAATTTTGCTCGCCTTTGCTGTAGCCTCCCTTTCTCGATCTCGTTTTGGGGGAAACGTCTGAGATTAGTGACAAGCCCGATTTGATAACATATCCATATCACCCATTTGGTTGGATCAAAATCATGCCATCGAACACCATTCCGATAGTCTATCGGGAACTCGTGATGAAAATTATGATATCCCTCACCCAAGGTTAATATTCCGGTCAAGACGTGATCCCGTGGAGTCTTGCCGGCTCCATAAGGTTGAGTCCCTGCCCAATGTGCGACAGAGTTTACGCAGAATGCGACTTGTTGTTGTAGAGCTGTCCCTAAGCAGCCTGCGAAAACAAAACCCCCAAGGAAGTCTTCAAAGCATAGGCCGCATATCACTGTAGGAGCAACATAACCCACAAGTAATGCCAAGAACAGATGATTTCGGCTTTGCCATTGCACAATTGGGTCAGATTTCAGGTCACTAATGTCCACGCGGCCTGTGGTTTGGACACCATGACCCTCTTCAAACAAGATCCAACCCATGTGCGCATAAAAAAATCCTTTCTGTATGTTATATGGATCTTTATCCGTATCCACGTAGCGATGATGAGCTCGATGGTCGCGACACCACTTTTTGATACTGTCTTGCGCCGCACCGGCACCAAGTATCGCAAGAGCTAGCTTCAATGGAGTTCTAGCTGTATAAGCTCTGTGTGCCCACAAGCGGTGGTAGCCTATATATCAATTCTCTTTTCATCAGAAAGTTTTCCAATGCGGCGGAAGAGATGTGGATGAGCAGAATACCTACCAGCCGTTATGGCAAAGCCTCGTAGATATCCATAACCGAGCATAAACCATATAGTAGCTCTGTGAGCATGGATCCAGGGTAGAATCATCAAGGCTCCCAAGGGGAGCATGACAAGAGCTATTGTGTGTAGCCAGTTCAACGAGGCTAGACTGGTGCGGTTCGACATTTTGCTGGAAGGAACTAAAGAAGGATTTTCCGAAAAGTCAGAACTCTGTTGTTTAGAAGCCAATAATATTGATGGCTCTGTAATGGGCGATTTCAAAGTAGCATATTTTTCACTTGTGCGAGATCGTAGATTCAAAAACTCAGTCAAGTACAAAAGCCCGCAAGGGCACGAAAGACTTCAATATATAAACTAGCATTCAATCAACTTCTCAATCAACAGATCTCAGCTGCACTAGGTGTGCGCGGTAGGTAAGAGGCTCAACATTTCTTTTGACTGGGGTTACACGAACACAGCACGGTTGCACAAGCAGGATCTATTTCAGCCTTCGTGTGGACACTATTTACACTGGTAGTCCATTCATGGCCCTTCGACAGCTTCTGATATAATCGATGGAGAAATAGTGTGACTGCGCTCTGACGTATTCTGTTCTTTGATGGGTGGCTAAAACGGACAGCAAAGGGTCTCTAGACATCTTGGCATGAGTCTATCTAGAAAGATCTACATTGCACTGCAGTGGGGTTTCAATAGTTCTGGATTTCTTTTGAACTTAGATTACATGATGGTGGATGACCACACCAATATCTATGTGATCTACACTCCACCGCTGCAAGTTCCAATAACTCCCTGTGATCTCTCTTCTTTCTTTCCTAGCTCTGATCCACCATGAAGACCTGCCACGGGGCTCTGCTATATAAAGACTCACCAGGCAGCACCGAGTGTTCTCATCAGTGAAAATATCTTGTCCCAATAGACTTATTCTATTATCATGGATTACCGCACAGCTCATAGTCCGATTAAGCTCGGCCTTCCGCCACTCGAGATTTTCCAACTTCCTTTCAGCCAGCCTCCCAAGACAGTCCCACATGTTCCCCAACCCCCTTCGAATATCTCCGCGGAAGTGCTTTTTCGACCGGTCATAATTGATCCTGCTATATTCCACATTTCGCATGATCTTCCCACTGTTCTCACTTTCACGGCGATATACATTGCCGCGGTGATATTCTTGAATCAATATAATGCTAGCCGGCAGCATAGGCCATGGGCCTTCAGCAAAAAGCCTATGTTTAAAGTTCTCGTACTAGCACACAATACCTTGATTGCGCTATTTTCAGCGTGGACGTTTTGCGGACTGCTTTACCTCACAAACAGCGGTTGGCCGTCGGCAGTAGGAGGGGAAGAATCTAATTACTACGCTGGTGTGGCGGAGTATCTTTGTGAAACGGAGTCAAGTGCATACCGAGGTATTTATCAAACCACCATTCTGGATATCGTGGGCATTGGTCACCTGATTTTTTTTTTATTAACTTGGCTCAGTTTTAATACGTTCAAAAAGCCTCTGGGAAGGAGGAGGCTCTTATATTGGCTGGCTCTTCTATATGAGCAAGTTTTACGAAGTCGTTGACACGCTAATCATTCTTTCGCGAGGGAAAACCAGCTCAACGTTGCAAACTTATCATCATGTCGGTGTGATCATATGCTCATATGTAGCGTTGGAATATGAATCACCTTTGGCTTTTGTTGGCATAATATTGAATTCGGGGATCCACACTTTAATGGTATATTCTTTTACCCCAAGTTCCGCTGCCAATCATCTTTTGCAGCGCTTCTAGATATGTACTATACTGACAAGTTTCTAGTACTCATACTTCGCTATCCAAACACTTGGGGTTCCAATTTCCTTGAGCTTCAAACGCACCTTGACCAGTCTTCAAATCGCTCAGTTCGTAGTGGGATTGGTCTGGGCCTCCAGTTATCTCTTCGTGAGTTATAGGGTTCAATCCACTGGAAAGCGCATCCAAAACGCCTTGGAGCCTCCTTCGGACTGTTCTGCAAGCCTTGAGCACCCTTCAGTCGTTGCTGACGGCATGGCCAGAATGGTGGCCAATGAGAGTGCAATCCCATGCTTGAGTGGTAGCGGGGATGCTTTTCCACTTATATTGGCAGCCCTCTATCTGTTGCCTCTGATCTTTCTTTTTGTGCAATTTTACATCAAATCATATAGAAAGAAGATAGAATGATTGCTGGCCGAAAGGGAGAGCCATACTGTATGCATTTTCAATGATCCTGCTGCCCATACAAGGATAGGATTGCTGGCTGTAAACGATATTCTCCAATATAGTCTGGGTGATTTCATAGCTGGAATATGGATACCAGAGCGCCCACAAGAGGCGTCATCAAACTACGAGGGCAGGCCTTGTCATTCGAAAATTGCAAAGCACTCTCTCTGTCCGGCGTAAGAGTCTCTCAGCACTGAATAGCCGGTAGTTTAGCACATGAAGATAATTACCGATCATTCAACAGCAATTAGAAAGCCAAAATTTGTGTTTCCCGTTCTGTCCGAACGGGGTGCCCGGGACCGGAGATGATGTCAACTGCCGCTGCCGCGGGGCAATCTCCACTCATTGCTCCAGCCTTGACCAAGTCAATAAAGTACTTGGGAGCGTCGGACCACAGGTCATGGGTACTGAACGCCCTAATGACCTCCAATGACAACTATAGCGTCTTCCGAGAATGTCTCTCAAGCGCGATCGTCGCCCGCTCCGAAAAGCCGAAGACCGGCCAGCGACGACCCAGGGCCAGGCGCAATGGCCGCAAAGGAGTGACCACTGCCAGCACCGATACGGCGCTGCCTGAACGAGTGGATCCAGAGGAATTGGCCGAGTTTGTTGATGTACATACCCAGATCTTCCATCCAGCATAGCGTTTGCTCCAAAGCCCGATTAATGAAGCTTTAAAACTGACCCGTGGCATGGATTCCATAGTTCATCGCAACAGAAGTCTTCACCTCCTTTCCAGAGGCCCTCCAAGCCCTCACATACGCTGCAATTCAGCACGATCCACATCTCGCATCCATCTACGTCCCGGCAGACGCAGACACGCCATTAGACCGCACCGTCCTCGATACCCTCTGCTCGACGGTTCCTGTAACAGTAACCGATTCCCTCTCTGTCTATGGGCTCATTCCGGATGCGGATGATCTGCCGGAGTTCCTATCCCCTGTACTCAGCGAGTATACGGCGAGCGTGACCAGCGCGCCACCGGTCTGGAGCACCACGCGCGCGGACGCGTGCGAGATCTGCGAGCGCGACTGGATCCCGCTGTCGTACCACCATTTGATTCCGCGCGGTGTGCATGCGAAGGTGTTGAAGAAAGGATGGCATGATGAATGGATCTTGAACAGTGTTGCGTGGTTGTGCCGCGCTTGTCATAGCTTTGTGCATCGCATGGCAAGTAATGAGGAGCTGGCGAGGGACTACTATACTGTGGATATGATCATGGAGAGGGAGGATGTGCAGGATTGGGCACGGTGGGTTGGGAGGGTGAGGTGGAAGGCGAAGTAGGGAGCCGAAAAGAAGTGAAGGGAACAGTATACAAGATTTACTTAAGGATAATGGCTTGCAGGTATAGCGCAGATTTCGTAATATTTAGATATTGTAAATGCATTACCATTGCATCCACATCCATGCTCAGTTACAGTATATATGATCATCACAAGCAGTAGTGTAGAGTAGTGTAGTGTATATGGAACAACGCTCAAGCCCTAGATGCAAACCATGTCGATGAAGAAAAGGGGGCAACATATGGTACAAGATTGAATGCACAAGATAACAGGGTAGGGGTGGGGAAGAAAAACAAGGTGTAGAAATACAGCGGCTAATGGCCGCATGAAGAAAGACGGGCGTTAACGCTCGGCTCACAGATGACGTTTCTCAAAGATCTCTTCGTAACACTGAATGTGGTCGCCAACAGCAAACTCGGTCCAGCCCTCGAAGCCAATACCGCACTCGGTATCTTTGCGCATTTCGGTGACGTCCTTCTTGACGTTCTTCAGCGAAGTCATCGTGCCTGAAAAAATATGTCAGCAAGGATTCTAGATGAAATTTGGCAGTGAGTAGGTTCTTACCGTCATAAATGGTCTCGTTGCCACGAATCACTCGGACCTTCTTGGTTTTGTTTATCAAACCGTTACGCACACGACATCCTGCAATGGCGGTCTTGTCGCGGCCCTTAACGGTGATCTCAAACACTTGACCAACCTCCGCTTCGCCCGTCACACGCTGAGTCACAGTAGGTGCGAGATATTCGCTCAGAACATCTTTCACATCGTCAATGAGCTTGTAGATAATGTTGTGGTCCATGATAGTCACAGATTCCTGCTCAGCAAGGCGGATCATGTTGGGCTCGATTGGCATGTTGAAAGAAATAATTCTACCGTTGGCAGTGGCTGCATGTTCAATATCGAACTCAGCCACGGGACCGACGCCAGATCGCAGGATATTAGCATAGACCTCATTGTTGCCAATCGCGGCGATTGAGTTGAGCACGGCCTCGGCGGAGCCGTCCACGTCAGCTTTGATAATGAAATTGACTGCCTTCGGACCAGACGCTTCGGTAGGGGTAATGGGAGCATCTTCCGAGTCTCCGCCTTCAGATCGACGTCTGTCCAGAAGCTCGCGCCGTGCCTCATTGATGGCAACCATGTCCTCGCTCATCTTCTGAGTATCTGCCCGCTTCTGGCGGTACGCCACCACATCCTTGGCCTTCTGTTCAGTAGATGCCTGCAGAATCTCCGTTCCAGCAACGGGCTGTTCTCTCCATCCGTCAATCTCGACAGGCATTCCGGGCGTAGCTTCACTGATAGACAGACCAGCTTCGTTGCGGAGTGTGCGCACACGTGCCCAAGTTTCACCGGCAACAATAACGTCGCCAGGACGCAGGGTGCCGCGGCGAATGAGTGCAGAGGCCACTCGACCGTGGGCCTTGGTAGTTGCCTCGATGACCCATCCCTCGGCGTTACAGGTCTTGTCAGCACGGTGGTCCTGCATCTCAGAGAGTACACCGATGGCCTCCTCAAGCTCAATCATGCCTTCGCCGGTCTTGCCGCTCACACCAATGGCCTGAACGTCACCGCCATAGTCTTCCACATGAACACCGTGGACCGACAGATCCTGCTTCACCCGATCTGGGTTACGGCCCTCCTTGTCGATCTTGCTAATAGCAACAATGATAGGGACGTTTGCTTGCGTGGCATGCTTGATAGCCTCAATGGTCTGCGGTTTGACGCTGTCATCCGCGGCCACAACAAGGACGACGATATCGGTCACGTCGGCACCGCGCTTGCGCATCTCCAAAAACGCAGAATGACCCGGGGTATCCAAGAAAGTAATTGTTTTCCCGGAAGGCATGGCCACAGAGAAGGCACCAATGTGCTGAGTGATACCACCGTGCTCAGTAGCTGCCACCGACGACTTACGCAGCCAGTCCAAAATGGTGGTTTTGCCGTGGTCAACGTGGCCCATGATGGTTACGACAGGCGGGCGGGGTGGCAGGTCGGATGTATCCTTCGGCACTGGCGCCGCCTCGAGATCCTCAGCCCCAGTGTCAAATATGGCTTCGTAGTTGAATTCAGCGGCCACCAGACCAGCAGTCTCGGCATCCAGGACGTGGTTATACGTCACATCTTCGAAGCCCATATCCTCCATGCGGGCGACGAACTCGGCCTGTCGCACGCCGATCACATCGGCCAGGTTGCTGACGCTGATGAATTCAGGGAGATGAAGGGGGACAGGCGCAGACTCCTCTGCCACCTTCTCGTCCCTCGCCTTCTTCTGACGCTTGCGCTCTTCACGACGACGATTGCGGGCCTCAGGGTCAAAATCGCCCTCATCAGCCTGTCCACGCTGAATTCGTCCGTCGCGGCGCTTTGGCTTCTTCTGTGCATCAACCGTTTCCTGTTGCGCTTCGATAGATCCCAGCTGCTCCAAGGCAGACATATCCCAGGACCATTGATCCTTGTTATCTGTTTCTTTGTCTTTCTGCTTTTCCGCTTCCTTCTTCTCGTTCTTTGCCTTATCTCGCTCACGACCTTTGCCTTGCGATTCTTGGGGTTCTGCATCCTGCTGGGTGACCTTGAAGTTTTGGGTCCCCCGCAATCCCCCCCCAAGCAGCGCACCCTCCTCCCCCGCCTCGTCAAGGATCGACTGACCCAGATTGCGAAGCTTGCCAGACCGTGTATCATCTGCCCTGAACGAACGTGCGCGCAAAGACTCCATCTCAGGCTTCGGGGTGCCACATGAGGTACATGCGTTCCGCCTCCCAAACACATGATGTCCACAGCCCGGGCAGTCCCAGTCCCCTATGAAGCGTTCTTGTGGCTCCCGCTTAGCAGGCTCTTGTCGCTGTGTCTTGCAGAAAGGACAAAACGTGTGCTTCGCAAAGACATTTTTGTTGCAGTGTCGACAGGTCCAATCTCGTTTTTCTCGCGGGTGCCCATGAGCCGCATACACCGAATTATTTGTACGTCGGGGAGTTCTAGGATGTCTTTGCTGGTTGTCGGTGGGTCTGCTGGAGGTGCGCACGAAGTCTTGTTTGGCAGGATTATCGATGTAGAATTGAGTACCGGGCATTCTTTTTTCGAGGCCTGGCGCCTTGGGAGGTTCTGGCGCGGGAGGTGGTTTGCTCTTTGCCATGATGGCATCGCGCAATGCCTGCTCCGCCGGGCTGAGGGCGGTAGGCTTCGAGGCCTGCTTGGCACCCCATCGGCTTGCAAACTTGGGAGCTGGCGAGGGTGAGGTTGGCGGGGCGCTTTCACCATTACCGTCTCTGGAGCTATTATCGGTATTCAATCGGACTGCAGATGACCGAAATGACCGCGGACAGGCTAGGTTCGGGGAGGCTGCGGTGGTGGTTGACGAGAGATCAACGCGGCGCGAGAGCTGGACTGCAATCAGATATCATGAAAAACCGAGTACAAAGAGAGGGAAACCATACCCTCCAGACTGCTCGGCGGTGCATAGCTGCAATGGTGCTGACAGCTCGTCGTCATTGGAGTCCAACGAATCCAATGAATCTCATGAATCCAAGCAAAGCTCCACTTCGAATGTTTTTAGGCGGTGGACGCTTTTCTCAGGCGCTTACATAAGTTTCCCGACGGCAAAGACCCCGTTTTCCCGCAGTCGGCGGTGCGTGCGAATCAGCGCCCAGATGGCGCCATCACGATAAGGTCCTGCTATAAACTCTGGAGTCCGGAGAACTTGCCTCTTTCCAACATTCTCCAGTGTTTCAATTGCTCGACCAATCCAATCATGGAGTCTGAAGCGTTCGAGGATATGCAGAAGGGCGGTGGTGCCCTGCGCACCGTCAAGGACTTGGCCGCGGGCGCCGCCGGTGGGATGGCTCAGGTTCTGCTGGGTAAGTGTGCGCTCCGGGGAAGACGGCGAGCATTCAATCAGGCGCAAGTCGCATTGGATACGTTCTTGTTCCCAAACTCCGGGGTTCTAGGATCCATTTATGTATGTAATCGCTAATTCAGAGTTATAGGACAACCATTCGGTTTGTGACGCCGTCTGCACAATTTTCCCGCTGCGAAGCGTGTCTAACCCCAATGCCCCAGATATCGTCAAGGTTCGGCTGCAGACCACCTCTCAGTATAAGAGTGCGGTCGACTGTGCGACCCAGATCTTCAAGAAAGAGGGTCCTGCGGCCTTCTACAAGGGTACTCTGACTCCCTTGATCGGAATCGGCGCCTGCGTATGTGTCAATTCCGCGGATATCCGCTTTCTGCCTATCTAACCCCTTCCACAGGTCAGTGTTCAGTTCGGTGCATTCCATCAGGCACGCCGCCGTTTTGAGGAGCTGAACAAGAAGAAGTACGCCGACAGCACGCTCTCGTACGCCCAGTACTGGCTCGCCGGCTCCTTCGCCGGTGTCACCAACTCCGTGCTGTCCGGCCCGATTGAGCACGTGCGTATCCGCCTGCAGGCGCAGCCGCACGGTGCCGACCGTCTGTACTCGGGTCCCATTGACTGCGTTCAGAAGCTGTCCGCTCAAGGAGGCGCTCTGCGTGGTCTGTACCGCGGTCAGGCTGTCACTATTCTGCGGGAGGCCCAGGCCTACGGTACCTGGTTCATGGCCTTCGAGTACATGATGAACCAGGATGCCAAGCGTAACAATGTGAAGCGTGAGGATCTATCTGCCGTCAAGGTCGCCACTTACGGTGGTCTGGCCGGTGAGGCTCTGTGGCTGTCCAGCTACCCCTTCGATGTGGTCAAGAGTAAGATGCAGACCGACGGGTTCGGCGCCAACCAGCAGTTCGCCAGCATGCGTGACTGCTTCAAGAAGACCTATGCCGTAGAGGGCCTGGGTGGTTTCTGGAAGGGTATCGGCCCGACCCTGCTCAGAGCTATGCCCGTCTCGGCTGGTACATTCGTTGTGTATGTTTCATATTCCCCTCCTACCCAACTTGACTGGCCAATTCTTGAAGCCACGGAAACTGACTATGCTGCAGTGTCGAGCTCGCCATGAAGGCCCTGGGTTAAAGTGCTTTTCTTGATGAAACGTAACGTGCCTTATTATTTTCGACTCAAAGCTATTGATACCACCAGCATCCACCAATCATAAAATATGGTCGAGCGCCGCACAAAAGTACAACATTCAACAGGATTCTAGAAACTACACTAGTCTGTATCTAAGGCATCTAGTATAAGGAGCTAGGGATAGACTGTTTGTCCCAATTCATGATTTTCAATCGGTTATGCTTGTGCTCTGATGTGTAATGTACAACTCACATAGCCAATGAAAAATCACCAAAGAAGTCCTGCATCGCAGTGGGGAAATAGAAGAGATTTAATCCGGGGAAGTCCCACTCTGAAACGAACTGCTCTGGCACAAACCACTGTAGATCCGCCTGTGCGTCGAACAGCTCCCAGAACGGCGACGTAACGTTAGACCCACCCGTGCCTGGTTGCTGGGTCTCTCGCAAGGCGCGTCCGTATTTCTCAATGCTGACTTTAAGAATTTGGAGATAGATATTCCCCGCGCCGGAGTGGTTGCTATTGGAGCCCGCTTTGCTGAGCTCGTGCACTAGTCGATTGCCGTGTTCTAGAAGCTCATGGTGCTCCTCATCTCGCTCGGGGAGAAGACGCGAGAGTTTGAGCAGAAGCAAGAATGCGAAAGCGCATTTGGCCCAGACAAAGTCCATTGCGTATTTGAGCTTGGCCAGGTAGAAGTCTGGCTCGGCAATGATAAGCCGGAGATGTCTGCGGGCAGTGGCTTTGGCAGTGAGGAGAATGTTTCGCTCAGTGTTTGTCATGGCGCTGCATATAATCTACACGTTAGCCGAGAGTTTCGCTAACTGCGATTTACCCCAAGAAGAGCGGTTCTAGTGTCCGAAAGGGGCAATACGTACGCCACATTTTCCACGCCCATAGCCCGAAGAGCTTTGCAATTTAGCATCATCTCAGCCCAGCATTTCTGGATCCGGAGAGCAACGAGTAGATATGGCTTCTCTTGCTCAGCGGGGGTACAGCCCTCTATGGATTTCCCATCAGTCAGACCTGCTAACATCAAGTGATTTGATTCTTACCAATAATTCGCAACCAGTCACTAAAAAAGTCAGTATTTTTGAGTAATGGCCTTGAAGAGTTCACATACTCAAACCACAAATCAAGATCGATCTTCATTTCATGGACAAAGTCCGATACGCCTTGTCGGTCAAGTGTTGTCCCCAATCCCAGGGTATCGTTAATTGTTGCTGTGGTCAAGTCCCCATCAGATGACGTATTTGAGCGGAAAGGAATAAGGCCATATCTAACCTCTCAGAATGTTAAGCTTTCAAACAAGCGTTAGTATCGTTGGATGCGGTCCCATGGAAAGATCAAGAAAAACATACCTCAACTTGAGAGAATAACCGAAGGTCCAAAATCGTTGACGATGGGTTACTCAGCAGTATCCGACATCGTCGGGAATTGCCTATCAAACGGATACCTGGCGGCTTACCTCCATCGACGCGGAATCTAGAATGTACATCATCAGCTTAGATGTTGTAAGGCCAGGGTAGAAAAACCAACATATGTTCTAGCACCAGAAGCCCAAACCAAGTCCTTGACTTGCGCATGAGCACGCGCTCTCTTTCAAAATCAGGATCTGGAACACCATATACATCTCCGTCATTCTTTGTCGCAAGGCGCTCGGTGAGCTCCTCAAATGCTTCATGAAGGCCAAGATCGAGAGCCATTCGTGTAGCGAACGACAGGATTAGTAAACGCTCCGCGGAGTAGCAAGCAACAATTAGCATTGCTTGAACCGACTCTAAGCAATTGAGCCCTTTGTTTTGAATTATGACGTTGATCCATTTTTTCAGCTCAGCATGCAAAATGTCAGACATTGGTCCTCCAGATCCTGTTGAGGTCTTAGCTAGATGGTGAGTACGTTGGGGTTTCTTCGTTTGCGCTTACTTGTTTCAACCATACAGCCTATAGTGCAGATAGCATTCAGTAGAATGCTGCTGCGAGCCCGTACGGAGTCGAAGGTGTCATGATCTGGATCGAAGATCGGTATGTATCTATCCTGTTTCATGAGATGGATGTTAGAATGATCCAGCCTCGCAAGATGTGCTGCCGCATGCTACTTACGCATCCTTGGAAGAAACTAAGGAAGCAGCAAAGTTAACCAATAGTCAACGGGAAAAGCAAAGATCATGAGATCCAACTCACGTGTTGAAGCAAGAAATAGCACACTCAAGCGTGATCAGCCCCTTATCAATAAAGTCCGCAACGGCCTCGTCGCGAATCTCAAAGCAAGAGCGCCTCTTCTTATGAGGTCTGTGCTCTACGCGAGGAGGCTCATAAAGTGAGTGTACCGAGATCTGATTCGGAGAAACATCTAGCACGGAACTTGAATAAGGGTCACCATTTCTGTTAGTATATCCAGGTGGTTCTGGGACAGTCAAAGCAGTAATACTGCCCCGAAGTAGGGTGGGTTGAGAACGTGATGAAGGGCATGCGCTATCCCGGCTGATTTGCTGTGGTCTCTCTCGTATCTGTCGAGGGGATAGATCTTCAGAATTCATCGTTGGAGACTCACGGGTCTTCTGTAGGAGCTCCCGCATGTCATCTAGTTGCTTCCTGAGGTACTGGACCTCAGATTCAACCCCCTCGAGTCTCCTGAAAAGGTGTCAGTGGATGTTGACGTGTGCAGTAGTGGGTGGAACCCGTCATACTCCGACACAGGGTCTTTAGGAATATCGAAGATCACGCATTGTCTGTCAAGCTTTTGACATCTTTTGGAATATGTTAGTTTCCGACGAATACCATGCCTCGTGCCATTCTCACCTCCCACACGGCCTGTCTCCGTCACATCTAACCTATGACCTAATTAATTCCAGAAATACAGTGATAATTTATAGCTGAGTACTCACTTTTGACTGCCGACAGGCACTGCAAGCTTTCTATACCAGAGATGCGCATTAATTCATCGGCTCCCCTAGATCACACGACGCCGAGGCCCGGGCACCACTGCACGTACAGGGATGCGCTTTTTCCCGATTGGCGCGGGAACAACGTGAAGCGAGTCATCTTCTTGCATCTCCAGAGCTGTAAAATGATGAACTAGGGCGTTCGAGGCACGTCAACTGTGTTCCCCGATGCGTCCGAGTGTGCTGCGACCACGTGGAAGGAGAAAACGCGGGGTTCGGCTGTTGCCCCGACTTCGGCTATTGGCCGCCCCAGACCAAAGAGCCGGGGTCGCAAACAGAGCCCGACGGCTCTGTGGGGCAAACTACAGCACATACGCACGCCTCTGGTGGACACTCAGGAAGATTTTGAGAGCGGTAGTGGCTATTACAGATGCTGGAATTGGGATAAATAATCACGATTGTAGTAATACTTCAGAAGCTTCTGCGCAATCCCCGGTGCAATTGCCTAGTATACGTATACAAAGTCCTCGTTCTTCATATCTGTCAGGTCCTTGAAGGCATTGTCGTTGGCGACTTGCTGGACAGGTACGCCCTCCTTGTCGGTCGGAGCGGCCTCGACTGCGTCCATTGAGTAGTCGACCATCTTGGCCTCCTTTCCGGCAGCAACACGTTGTCGCTCGTGCTTCTTGTTGAGGATGGTCAGGTATGCTATGTTGGATCTAAAGGGTGTGGGGTCAGCATGGCCCGTAGTCTCGGACGGGGAAGAACCCTTACAGGATCAGGAAAAACAACACGCAGAATAGAGCGAGGCTATCGAATGGTTAGTGGGAGACCGCGAAAGGGCGTTCTGTTTCGCCTTACTTGGAGAAAAGTCCCCGGTGATAAAGGGGGGCTTCCTCGGTGGTGTAGAGAGTAGGGCCGATAACCTAAGTTAAATGTGAGCACTCGATATCTTTGCTTGCTGTGTTGAGAGACCCTGCATACATTACCAACACACTGTCCGACAATCAGGATACCGGTGGTTACCTTCTTCTTCGTCTCACCGGCCGTGTTGGCCGCAGACCAAGAGTAGATCAACGGAGCTGACTTGAGTTAGTTTGATCCGAAGACTGGAAGTTTCTCTGGGGAACCTACTGATTCCTGGATAGACAGAGATCTAATAAAAAGAAATGCACGATGAGCCAAAACAGGATGCCAACTTCGAAGACAGGGAGCACTTACAAGATAATATCCCGCAAGAAGAGGTCCCTTGTGAGAGGCATCATGGGCAATACGCAAAAGCATCACGCAGCCTGCAATGGGCGGAAGGCATAGAAGAGCCAGCACGGGCCCCTTCATCTTCCAGTAGGTGGCCAACCAGGCGCCGCCCATGGTGGCAACCAACTGAACTGCACCGAAAGGAATATTCAACAGGATTGTATTGAGAGCGGAAAAGCCAAATGACTTGACTATCAGGGGACCGAAAGTAGTGATTCCACCACTCGGAATTCTGGTTTCATCTTAGCAAATGTGAAGAGTGCCAACATTGCCGGGTAATACGTACGAGATAGTGAGCATCAAGCAAAACCACAACCAGGACTTCAGATCCAGACAGGCCTCTTTGACATGCTCCCATTTCCACTCGTGGCTCTCCATACCTTGCTGGTTCATGCGAAGTCTAGATTTATGTTAGTCGTAGCTCCTTCCAAAAGGGGAGAGACAAGTACCTCTCAATGGACACGAGCTTATCTTCCTCGTTGAGAAATTTGGCTGTCATGGGGGAGTCGGGCATGAAGATGCTACGCCAGAAGGTGTTAATTGAGTTCCAAGTTCGGATGGATGAACCACTCACAGTACAGCCGCAGAAACACCAACTGTGATCAGACCGAAAAAGAGGAAGATGATCTGGATGGAGTTAGGGCACGACCCTCACGAAAAGCCTCTCACGATATCTCACCTGGTAAGGTTCAAAGACCGAGGAATCGATGTGGCCCAAGCCGTAGGTGATCAAACTGCCAAACTATATACCATGTCAGAGGGGGGCTTTCCACTACCAAAGAGCTTTTTGGGAAGGCCCACCATGTTGACTACACCGTTCATGGCGTACCAAGAACCCAATCTAACGGGCTGTTCACGTCGTCGGTACCACATCTGAGTGACTGCAATGAATGCCGGGGCTAGTGTGTTCCAGTTAGGGACAGGATGATTCTTCATTCGCGAGAAAGGAAACTCACCGATACCAGCCTCAAACATCCCGAGGAACATTCGGCAAACTAGCAGTCCGGCAAAGGAGTTGGCGGCCGTCATGCAGGACAAAGCAATGCCCCACAGCAGCACCGACGCAGCCATAAATTTGCCGAGGGGAACCTTGACCAAGAGATAGGCGACCAGGGGCTGACAGATCAGCTGGGCCAGGTAGACAACCGAGCCTAGCCAGGAGTACATTTTCCCATGGAGATGAGCCTTCTCGACGAGTCCAAATACGGACGCATACGAGAGAGTTGACTTGTCGAGCTGTTGAAGGAAATAAATGGACAATAGGATGGGAAGCAGACGCAGATCAATCAGGCGCAGCACTCGTTTGTTGTTCTCCGGAGTCAGGGTTGTCGAGTACCCTACCTCCTCGATCAACTGCAATGCCTTATTCTGCTTACGGCCATCGTCGACGTGCACAGCCCGAGTAGGCTTTCCAGACTCTTCGGCGTCGATCGACTCGACAAATTCATCCCGCTGGTGCTTCGACTGGGAGATCTCTTCCTGCTGCGACATCGCTAGGTCAACCGGCGGAGAATCAAAAGTATAGATTAAAAACCGGCAGTGAAAGCAGAAAGAGTAGAGTTAAATAGAGATGAACAACAGATTCCGCTCGACTGGTGCAGCAAGGTAGGGCCAAAAGCAAAGGTACCGAGCTCACGACAGATCGACACTGGAGAGAATTGGGGCTCGCAGAACCCCGTGGGGAAGGGACGTTTATGATCTCTCCGGGCGAGTGCAGCGCATGTCCGATCCTAACTAAGATAGTCGTGGAAGATCCCCTGGCCCCGCGTTATCCTTATCGACCTTCTCGTGGCAACCGTCCACACGGTCGTCTGAGCTGGAGAAGACCGGCAATTGCCTCGTACTCACGGGAAACTTCCGTAGCTGTGGGCCAATCAAACCCGTCCATAGGGGGGCCACCTGAATAATATCGGACCAGTTGACCAAATAGTGGCTAGCCGGTGCAGGATTGGCGTCTCGAGGTTGCTGAAGAAGGCTTAGCTGTCGGTGCTCGGCTGGGAACACCGACCCCACGGACGACAGGGGCGGATGAACATTTTGGCATTCTGGCATTTAGCTTTTGACTCCGGCGTGTGTCTGGGGCCCCGCCCGCGTATTCAGGTACGTCCCGTGGGTGGAAAGTGGAGAATCGGCCGACTGCGACTGGCCGCATCGGCCATTCCGGGGAAGCGTCTGGAGTGTCGGGAGAGTCTGGAGAAAGGGACCGACGCGTCTCGGAGATCTGCCCCGATCCCCGATCCCCGACTGTATACTGCCCCGCGCTTTCCAGCAACCCCAACATCATGCGTGGGGCACGTAATGGCGCGGCATGCTACAAATATCGTGGGTGGCCAGGGTTCTGCTCGGTCGCACTTCAATTCTCGTGAAGAATACTCACGAACCACACCTCCATCATGCCTCAAAAAGAGATCTGTCCGAAAGGCTACCAACAAGTGCCCGCGAGCGCGCAGCAGGACACTTCAGTGCATCTCCGCAGCGCCTCCGGCAAGACTGCCTTTGACTTCTCCTTCGAGGTTGTGCGCCAGAACCTCTTTCGCGTGACTTTCTCCTCCGCAGAGCGCCAGATCCCACCCTATCCCAACGTCACCAAGCCCCAGACCGACCTCAAGAATGTCAAGGTCTCGGCCAAAGACGAGGGCTCCTCCAAGACCATTGATGTTGGCGACGTGACCGCCAAGGTGGAGTGGGAAACCACCCCCGTCGTGTCCCTCTCGTGGACGGGCTCCGACACGCCTCTGCACCGCGATCTGCCTCTGCGCTCCTACGTCGCCGATGGTCCCGGTGTTGCGCACTACTCGGTGCACGACCGCAATGCCATCCACGTTGGTCTGGGCGAGAAGGCTGCACCAATGGATCTGACTGGCCGCGCCTTCCAGCTCTCCGCTACCGACTGCTTCGGCTACGACGTCTACAAAACCGACCCTCTCTACAAGCACATTCCTCTCTTGATCAAGGCGACTCCGGAGGGTTGCGTTGCTCTGTTCTCCACCACCCACGGCCGGGGCTCGTGGTCCGTTGGTGCAGAGATTGATGGACTTTGGGGCCACTTCAAGATCTACCGCCAGGACTATGGCGGCCTGGAGCAGTACATGATTGTTGGGAAGACCATCAAGGACGTGGTCCGTTCATACGCCGAGCTGGTCGGGTTCCCACTCCTGGTTCCCCGCTGGGCTTATGGATACATCTCCGGTGGCTACAAGTACACTATGCTGGAGGACGCGGACAAGGCCCTTATTGAATTCGCCGAGAAGCTGAAGGGGCATGGAATTCCTTGCTCTGCTCACCAGATGTCCTCGGGCTACTCCATTGCCGCCGTTGAGCCCAAGGTCCGCAACGTTTTTTCCTGGAACTACAGCCGCTTCCCCAACCCTGAGGAGTGGGTTGCCAAGATGCATGAGCACGGCATTCGCCTTATTACAAACATCAAACCCTTCGTCCTGGCCTCGCACCCTGATTTCCAGCGCCTTATTGACGCCCGTGGTCTCTTCGTGGATCCCGAGACCAACAAGCCTGGCTACATGCGCCTGTGGAGTGCCGGTGGTGCCACTGGTGGTGACGGCTGCCACATTGATTTCACTTCCGAGGCTGCCTTCAAATGGTGGTTCGATGGTGTCAAACGCCTGAAGAAGGTCGGCATTGATGGTATGTGGAACGACAACAACGAGTACACTCTGCCCAGCGATGATTGGACACTGGCCCTTGACGACGCCATGGTCAACAAGGAGGCGAAGAAGACCGTTGAGAACAATGTCGGCCAGTGGGGTCGTGCCCTCCACACTGAGCTCATGGGCAAATCTTCTCACGATGCCCTACTAGACATGGAGCCTCAGGTCCGTCCTTTCGTCCTCACCCGCAGTGCTACCCCCGGCACCATGCGCTACTCTGCCAGCACCTGGAGTGGTGACAATGTCACTAGCTGGGAGAACATGAAGGGTGCCAACGCCCTGTCTCTGAACGCAGGCATGTCCCTGCTACAGGTAAGATCTACCAGTTCTCAATCAATAATCGTGTGGCGTTTTTGCTAACCTTACTCTCCGTATCTAGTGTGAGGGACACGACATCGGCGGTTTCGAAGGCCCCCAGCCTTCCCCCGAGCTCCTCCTCCGCTGGATCCAGCTGGGCTGCATGTCTGCGCGCTTTGCCATCAACTGCTTCAAGACTTCTCCCGACAACAACGCCGTCGGCGAAGTCATCGAGCCTTTCATGTATCCCGAGATCACCCCTCTCGTCCGCGACACTATCAAGCGCCGCTATGAGATGCTGCCCTATATCTACTCGCTCGGCCTGGAGAGCCACAAGGACGCATCGCCGGTGCAGCGCTGGATCGGCTGGGGCTACGAGACCGACCCGGAGGTCTGGAACAACAAGACCCTCAAGGAGGGTGAGGAGCAGTTCTGGCTCGGCGACACCATCCTTGTCGGCGGTGTCTACCATGCCGGCGTCACCAGCGCCAAGGTCTACCTCCCGCGCAAGACCGGCGATGCCTTTGACTACGGCTACGTCAATATGAACGCCCCCTACAACTATCTCGCCTCCGGCCAGTGGGTGGAGATCGAGTCGCAGTGGCGCGAGAGTATCCCGCTGCTCGCGAAAATCGGCGGGGCTATCCCCATCGGTAAAAACGTGCACACCCGCGTTCCTGGCGACGAGACTGCGGCATCGCAGGGTGTCAAGGAGATTGATGACTACCGTGGTTTGGAGATTTTCCCGCCACGGGGTAGCTCGCACGGTGTCGTGTTTAAGAACACCTGGTACGAAGATGATGGTATTTCCCAGCAGCCCAAGACCGCGGTCTACACTGTCCACTACAGCTCGACGGAGGAGAAGGTGCTCGTCCACTTTGAGCGCGATCAGACGGCTGGCTTTGTGCCTGCCTGGAAACAGCTGGAGATCATCTTGCACAATGGTGACAACCGCCGTGTTGTTACTAGCTCGGGTCAGGAGATCATTCACAAGGGAACTGATTCTCGGGGTCGGGGGGTGTACATCATTCAGGCGTAAGCTCGAGTGGACTGTCATGACTTTCCTTTGTATCATGAACATCGTGGCCTGCGGCTTTGAGACCGAGGCTATTGATGAAAATAGACGTTCTAGGGTTGCTATATAGATGAATAGACTGGAATGAACATTCCCAACCGAACAATGGGTCATGCTCCTACCGACCACGCGTCAGAATAAGATCATACCTGTAGATTAATATGAAAAGTAGATTGTCGAGGCAAGGCTACAAAATATGGAGAATGGAAATGGAGTGATATTCAAACCCCACAAATCAGACATGCAGAGAAACTAAAGCAGCAAAAAAAAAAACTTGTTAATACATGATGTGCTAACACCCACAATACCGGGAATCATCTATACAGTACAATGCCAGGGACCGGCGCTACTCTCACGCACACAACTCCTTCGATCCCGAACCAGAGAATGCACCCACACATAGACAGAATTCGGACTCAGAAACCTTAGCCCTGCTTCCCCTTCTCCAGCTCCGAGCCAGGCGGCGCCTGCCCGGTAAGCGGATCCAGACGCAGCTGGCGCGCTGTGATAGGCTCATACGCCGTCTTCCCCTGGGCGGCCATCTCCAACCGTCTCTTCTGACCCGCCTCGCCAGCACGGCCAAGGATACCGGCAATCAAACACGTCCCGCGGAGGGTGTCATCGTTCGCGGGAATGGGGTACGTCACCCGGGTCGGGTCAGCGTCGGTATCAACAATGCCAATGGTGGGCACATTGTTCAGCCCGCACTCATGCAGCAGCACTACATTCTCCAGCGGATTCAGCACAACAACTAGATCAGGCTTAACCGAGCCTCGATCAGCCAGGTCGGCCTGGAACTCGGGCAGCTCCTGGTCCATCGCGTTGACGACCTTCGTCGCGCAGTGACCGAGAATCTGCTGTCCGTTCGTCAGCGAGCCGGGGATCCACCGCTCGAAAATGTGGTAGCCCTTCGCCAGCTCGGCAGCCCGCACAACGGCCCGCTTCTGGCCCTTGCGCGTGCCGGCGAACAGGATGATGCCGCCCCGGGCGGCGACTTCTTCGACCACTTTTGCGGCGCGACGAAGGTAGGCGGCTGTTACATCGAGAGAGATGATGTGCACGCCCTCGCGGATGCCGAAGATGTATCGCGAGTTCTGCGGGTTCCACCGCGACGTCGAGTGGCCCAGGTGTGTGCCGGCGGCGAGGAGCATCTCGAGGGTGACATCGGAGGGCTTGGGAGGGTTGCGGATTATGTCTTCGGGGTCGTAGGATTCTTGCACCGAGGTGCCGAGATTGTTGAATTTGTGTCCTGGAAAGGGGGTTATATGGTTAGGTGCTGCTGCTTTCTGTGGGAGAGGGAAAGGTTGATGGATGCTCACTCCGCTTCTCCAGTTCACCCCATTGCTGCCGGGGGTTGACTTGTGCACTCTGCCTCGACGCCTGCACGACTTCGTGGAGAGGGTTCTCCGCGGGAGCAATCGACTCCTTCGGGAGTGTTGGCGCTGCTGTGTCCACTGGTGTCTCTGTGGAGAGGAAACGGGTGTAGGCCGGAGCCCGGCGATTCAGGGCCAGTAGTTGGCGGCCTGCCAGGAATTGGAGTGGTTAGCTGATCATTCTAGCAGTAGTCTGAGTGCAGTTCAGAAAGACTCACTCTGCCCCACACATAGTTTCCGTACAATCATGTTGGTTATGGATGCTGAGCCGGAGCAGGAAGCGTGAAGCGTGTTCAAGATTGCCTGTCCGCGCGAACTTTTGTCGGGCTTGGCAGACGACTGCAATTTGGGAGTTGATGCCTGAGGCCAGAATACCGCGCTAGCCCTTATCGGGGCCGCAGCTGGTCTAGTGCGGGTCTTCACCGTGGGTGGCGAGCTGATATGCATGATGAGATGTACAGATTTACTTTTGCCAATGGAACTACGGCGATCATGTCCTTTCGATAATGCAATTCTGATGAACCACTGGGATATCAATTCTTGATATCAAATGCAAGACAGTCATGGTACACGTGGAAAGATAAGGCGCAAAAAAGGGAAGCCGCAAAACGAAAACAAAAGCGAATTCGGTGGATGCAGGCAAGCCAGCCTGTTCCAGTACAAGACAAGAAAAGGAGATTCATGAGCGTAGCGTAGTCATCACGGTGAGAACAAGCAAGTCAAAAGAAATCGCAGAGATGGAAAGCTTGGCGAGCCGTCTATTTCTTGAAGAAGCCGCCCAGCTGGTCCATCATGCCGCTGCTGCCGCTGTGGCTGGAAGGGGGACCGCCATAGGGACCGGGCTGCCCATGGTGCCCGCCAGGGCTCGCGTCGCGCTTGTGCTTCTTGATGGCATCCTCGGCGATGCTGCCGATGATCGCTCCACCGATAGTTCCGAGGATGCCGTGGTTGGCCTTGTGGCCGGCGAAACCGCCCGCCGCGCCGCCGGCGAGGGCGCCAGCGAGACCGCGCTCGCCCTCCTGGGCCTGGCCGGGAGCACCCTGCTGGTCATATCTGAGGCGGTGGTCAGCAGGAGACTCAACGGTGGAGGAGGGTGAGAAGAAACACATACCCGGAGCGGTTGTAGTCTTGGCCGTAACCTTGCTGCTCGCCGTACTGGTGCTGCTGCTGCTGGCCATAGCCCTGCTGCTCACCATACTGAGGCTGCTGTTGCTGTCCACCATAGTAGTCGTTGGAGGCACTCTGGCCTTGGTGTTGCTGGTGTTGCTGGTGTTGCTGCTGCTGACCATAACCCTCCTGGCCGTAGCCGCCCTGCTGACCGTAGCCTTGCTGGGGATAGCCCTGCTGACCACCGTAGCCCTGCTGGCCGTAGCCTTGACCCTGTGGAGGGTAGCCACCCTGGTTGTAGCCCTGGTTGTAGTCGCCGTAGCCAGACATTGTGATGGGTGTGGATAGAAAGTTGAGGAGGTTGGAGGAGTGATGAGTGATGGAGGAAGGATGAGTTGACGATGTGAGAAGGAGGGGTAGAGGCCTTTTATAACTTTGGTACCGTCACTCCGGTAATAAGCGTTTAATACATCCCAGATACATCAAGAAGAGTAATAATGAGAGTAATGTAATGCCTAGCCACAGGGCTGACGGAACCACCCCACATGGCCGCATGTAATAATTATTATTGCCGCAAGTTTACGGAACGACGAGGCGCAGCCCGTCAGCCTCGGTCGGCTTCCCACTCTTTTTGCCCGAAGTGCACAGAAACCCTCAGAAGCACCGCCACAACCCTCGGCCCTGCCAGCAATGGCCTCCGCCTCTGCGGTGCGTACTGCTTGCTCATTATGGTTAATCAACCAAGCTTGTGGCGATGCAGGTCAACGGAGGACTCCGTACAGGGCTGAGTGTTGGATCCCCTGCAGACCATTTGATTAGGGCGGGGGCGGTACACGTACTGACACCAACTACAGTAGCTGACCCGAAAATAGCACCAGGCAATTTACGCGCCTTGCAGCCTTAACGGCACACGGATCTTCGGCTTCCACGGTTCTTCGAATATTCCATCCCCAGAATGCATACGACAACTTCCGGCCCTACCGCGCGACTTTCCTGGCGCCAAGACACCGCCCCCTCCGCGATCCTCTGCACACAATCTTCGCGGCGATTTATTCTCGTTGCCTAGTTGCGCTAAGCCCCGAACCCACTCGTCTCTTGGCCCGCAACCTGGTTCCCCCTGCCCCCTGTCCTCTCTACAGTGTACGGCCACACTACGGTGGACAACACACGCAATCCATGGCAGGCTGGTTCCCCCAGCCCCGCCTCGGGGACACGCCGACTTTCTAGAGTGTGGTTGTGTGTATTGCGCCACAGTTCGTCCCGGCGGCTAGCAATGACCGACGTGGAAAAAAGAGTATCAGATGGGCCAATCTGCCGATATGCGAGTATGACGCACTTGTCAATCATCTGCCCCTTGCCTAAAGCTTGACACTGCACAGAGCCAGCCAGTTCTCGGTGGTTCCGTGGTAGCTTTTGTTTACAGTGTCCCTGCTAATAAATAATAAAACTGTAGTAGCCTAGGTCAGCTGCTGTCATCACCAGCGCTTGACCACTCCTACTAGGGCTTTGGTGGGCCCCGCCGAGTCAAAGATACTGCGAGATGCTGCAGGAAATTGTCTCGAGTACATTCAAATAGACTTCCCTCGGGCGCGGAGAAGATCAGACGCCTGCGGCTGTCACACAGCCAAGCCGAGGGGTGGTCCCATCCTGATGGTCCTGATGACCGCGCTCGAGTCGAGCTGTCTCCTTACTGATCTTGATCATTCCTTTTTGGGGGAAGCAATAAATACAGTGGGTGTGGTCACAATCTCCTCTCTTTTGACCTCGAGTTGTGCGACCGTGGGGTCTTTTTTGTTGGCTCCTTGCTTCTCCGGGTCAGGTTGACCAAATTGGCGCTCTCGTTTCTCGTTTTATTTAAATCTGGAGCGAGGTATGTCAATGTAAAATTTTCAGGTGCAAGTATTGAGTCGATCTAAAACTTGGTATTTTGGTGCTGCACTTTCTCCCTATGGGTGCAGTCATAAACCATACCCCGGGCCGGTATATATAGTTCCACATTCATGTACATACTGGGAGCCCGAGCCAGCAACTTGATCCCGCCTTCAATACCATTTCCCCACCTCAAAACCCGGCAGATCAGGTCGCCACACCCTGCACCGTCGCAAACAAATCGACGCGATTCGACAGCACCCGTGGCCAGCCCGAGTGGATGCGAGCATTACTCGGGTCCAATCACACGGCACCTTTGCTGAAATCGAACGACTGGTCCCGTGCAGTTCATCACTCGTCGATGCAGCCGCCTTCTGTCCAAGTACTCTTTCAGCCCGTATTCCCCCATGTGGAGGATGGTCATTGAACAGCAGGATCCTGCTGATCCACTTCTCAACTTGTTTTTCTCGGGGCTTGCTTATGGCGCCGTCATGGATGGAATGACTCTCAGCTGAAGGTTGAGGCATAAAGCGTGAGGACCTTGGTTGACCGGCGTGGTGTGTAAGGTGCCTGGTGGCTATTTCTTGCTTAGCTTATATGACATTGTCATTTCATTCTAGTTTTGTTTTGTGCATTCTGCTACTACCGGGGAGAGGGTCCTATCCTACACTTCGACATGTTGCACTCAGCGATTTTGTGCCTTTGCCTGTTCCTGGCTGCCGTGTCGGCCAGCAGTCCCCCGAAGGTCTTCATCATTCGGCATGGAGAGAAGCCCGCGAACCCGGACGACCATGGCCTGACCTGGGACGGAATCAAGCGATCGCAGTGCCTGCGCGAGGTATTCGGGGAGCATTCAGGATACGATATTGGTCATATTATGGCGCCTACGGTGAAGTGGAGTGAGTTGCGCGACATTCGCGAACCCACATAAGCTCGACAGAACTTGACCCAAACGAATGAAGGAAGCCGATGGGCTGATCTTGTGCTATCGTCCAGATGGAGAACACCGACGAGCTTATATGACCGTGCTTCCTGTCGCAAATGACCTCGGCCTCGAAATCGACACCCACTGCTCGCGCAAAGACACCAAATGCGTCGCCGATGCGATTCGGTCCTACGACGGCCCTGGGAATATCTTGATTGCCTGGCGACACAAAAACATGGGGGCAATTCAGGAGCACTTGGGCTCCAGTGATCCAGTCGAGTATCCCGAGGATCGGTAGGTGAAACTTTTGTGTATTGGTTGGTTGGTGAAGTCGTTATCCTGCAATTAGTCTGCAACGAGTATCGGAGCTATCGGCTCCGCGATCGGCACATGGCACACCCTTTCATTCTTAGCCCCTCGGCATACTCGGCCATCATACCAATTTTTGAGTGCCGAGCTCCCATATGCTTGAGAATTTGGAACTATTTTTGGGTGCGGATGCTGACTTGCTTAGCTTTGATCTTATCTGGACGATCCCTTTCTCGTACGAAGAGATCACAGACATTAAAAGCGAATTCTGTCCCGGATTAGACTCGAGCCCAGGGCTGATTGCACAGTATTGAAATGGGCATCATAGAGTCAATTCTTATATACTAATCCCATTGATAATAAGAAGATTACACATGTTTGTCCATCTATAGACATCTGCTGACCTTGGCGAGTCGACGCGTTGCCCTGTATGATCTCGGGAGAAAGAAATTCCACCCGCTCCCTTCCCCCCGCTCCCAGGAGACAATTTAACGTTTAACATTGCTCGTGAATTGAATCAATCTGATGCGCGCCATGTTGGAAACATGAATTCTTCGGTGACACGCGTTCCTGCAGGGACCAGCCGTCGAGTGCGGCCAGGGCAGCGCAGGACTTTCTCAGGCTGCGGTACCTGCCGATCCCGGCGTGTGAAGTGCGATGAAGCAAGACCTAGTTGTCGACGGTGCATAGATGCAAGATTTGACTGCTCCGGGTATCCAGGCTATCGGGCAGAAGTTCTGTGGAGGCCAGTGACGAACCCGTCCAATTTCGGAGCCGGTACGCAGCCCATAGGCGTGTTAAACGAAGCCAATCTTTGGAGAAGGGCCCAAGAAGTGCCACTTAGTTTGACAACTGAGCAGTTCCACAGACTTGCCTCTCCGATAGTATCAATTGAAGCCCCGGCACAGGTCTCTGGGCGGTTACACCAACTCCCTCGTTCGATTCAGATGATCCCGGCACCGTTTGCCCCTGTCAATAACCACAATTCGAATTTGACACAGCCTGCGCATCGGCATATAGACCTACTAGGCGACATGCATCTGCAGCGTCAGATACTCGAGCATTGGATCAATCATCTAAGCGATGCATTGATGCCGGTACCAGGGCCATACAACCCTCTCAAAAGCATCTTTGTTCCCATTGCATATGTAGGCGCCGAGCAGCCTGCATCGTCTTCTTCCGGATATGTCGCGTTGTTTTATCTGATCTGCGCATCCTCTGCATTCCACTTATCCGCCAATACCGACGATAGCAAACAGAGCTCGGAATTTATGACTCTTGCTTTGAGTCACCACAACGAGGGCATTCGCCATCTTCAAAATAACCTCGCTAAGGATGATGTTTCAGAGCGAGAGTCGGTCCTTGCCTCACTTCTGGTCTGCTTGATGTATGAGCCAGTCACAGTGGAGCAAAATTTCTGGCGTAATCATTTACGAGGGGCCTCGCAGTGGCTTCGGAAAATTGATGGGTGTTCTTTGATCCAGACCGAATCAATGGCAATCCTGTATCAAATGTTCGCCAGCACGGCTATCTTCTTGCGTTCGCAAATGATATCGTCTGAGGCAGCCCTGAGTGAATGCATTAGCTATGATACCGGATTATTCTCAGGAACATATCATCTTCATCGCATATTTGGGCTTCCAAAGCGCTTGCTGGAGACAGTCAGCGATATCATTGAAATAGCAGCACGATCCCGGCGACAGGCAAGCGACGACCGAAGAAGTCCTACCCAACTGATTTCAACTCAAGAACTAGATAAAAGGGAGCTGGAGCTATATCTCTGTGCACCAGAATACCCGGAAGACTTTACCTCAAAGGCAGAGAATGGTTTGATCTATCATCATTCTTACATCTTCTACTTTGCGTTGATCATATATTTCAAACGAGTTCTGCGAAAACTGCCCCTGCACGAGGTGCAGTTGCTGATCGACCAGGCGTTCGACCATATCGAAGCCCTGAAGGCATATACATCACGTCCATTCACGCCGTTGACATGGCCAGTTGCAGTGATATTTTTCGAACTGGAAGATGCAGCTTTGCAGAAAAGAGCGATGGAATGGCTTGAATTCATAATCAAACGATCCACACTTTCCGTGTGGGAGCGTGCCCAGGCACTTTTTCCTGCTTTCTGGGCTCGCCGTCAGGATCCGGGATGTGAGGACATGCAGTGGGATGTTTTTCTTGATGACCCGTCAGTTCATGGTATCATGATGTTTTGAATAGCCCTCAATTAGACTTTCTGTGCCCAGACTTTGATAGACAACGTGAACTGGGCCTCTTTGCTGACATACTTGCAATCGTGGGCAGTTATATCGATTGGTCCGATCGCTCTTATCATAGATCATCTAGAGAATGTGGAATTTTACTACTCGGATAACGATCAACACGAACCAGCAGTTATGTGAAAGAGGATGATTGGCTGTCGGGATAAAATCCCTTGATTGGGTTTAAGTCTGCGCATTATGAACCAATCACACGTCGGATTACCCTGGCCACTATACCCTTAACGATACGAGTATGCCGACTGCTACCCGCTCTACTAAAGTGTATCTTTCGGGACTCGAAGGAATTAAGAGTATAAGTAGCCCTTCCATTGACGGACAATATTTTATTTTGCTCACTAGGGTCTTTATCTTCTTCCTCTGCGGTTGGGAAATTGAGTCGTTAACTTACTATTATTCAACCTGCTCCGTCGTCCGTCAATTCCTAAACGCGATGCCTCATCACGGCAACATTTCGTTCACCCCAGGGGCGACCGGACTTTCCTTGGAACCAAGCCCCGTGACCAATGAGATATCAAAAGACAAAAATGTCCATGTCAAGCCCACAGCTAGGAAATTTGATCATCGATTCAGCGCTGAGGGGTTATCATTGGCACCCACTCCGTTGAAAGACACCGTCAAAACGCTTGATTTTGCCAAGATGATACCACTGGGAAATGGAAGGCCCGCATCAGAGATGTTGCCATGGGAGGAACTCACGATGCGAGTTGCGAAGCGAGACACGGGTTTAATGTCCTGCGTGAAGGGCGAATCTTCCTTCGACCTGGCTGTAGCTTTGGACTATGGCTGTTCTGGAGGATCCACCAAGCTCGTCGACTTTTTGACCGAGCATGTTGAGTCAATCCATCACCCACCATACAGCGACTGGCAAACTTGTCTCTCTATTGGGAGCACGTCAGCCATCGAACGAGCTCTTCGCCTCTTTTGCAACCGAGGCGACTGGATCCTAGTCGAGGAATATACCTATTCTGGGCTCATCACTGCGGGCAAGACTCTGGGCATCAATATGCTGGCCATTGAAATGGATGACGGTGGTCTTAATGCCAATGACCTTGATGCTAAGCTGAGCGCTTGGGGCCCAGAGAAGGGCAAGAAACCTTTCGTTCTCTACACCGTGCCTTCTGGACAGAACCCGACGGGCAAAACACAGAGCGTCCAGCGCAAAAGACTTATATATGAAGTTGCCGAGAAACATGATCTATATATTGTCGAAGACGACCCATATTACTTTCTTCAACATGGGAACTTCTCAAAGGGAACTTCTAACCTCACCGCCAAAGAATATCAAACGCATCTCCCCGCGACATACCTGTCTCTTGACCTGTCAGGCCGTGTGCTCCGTTTGGATTCAGCCTCTAAGATCTTGGCACCTGGACTGAGACTGGGATGGGTCACTGGGTGTGCTCAGGTCATAGGGAAATTCATTGAGCAAGCTGATATGAGCACTCTGGCCGCCAGCGGTCCTAGCCAAGTGATGGTTCACAAGCTGCTCTGCGAAACTTGGGGTCATGGCGGCTTCATGAATTGGTTGTTTGACCTATCTTTGCAATATCGCAAGCGTCGAGACACTATGTCTGCAGCCTGTGCGAAATATCTTCCGAGTGTTTGCCACTGGACCCTTCCGGCTGTTGGGATGTTTCTGTGGATCAAAGTTGATCACACCCAACTGTCAAGCCGGTCATCACCCCTTGCACTCGAGGAAAAGATATGCGAAGAGCTAGAGGGAAAGGGACTTATGGTCGGCCGAGGCAGTTGGTTTTGGGTGGGCAGTGAAAGTATGAATGAACTTTGCTTTCGGTTGACTTTTGCGGCGGCTCCTCAAGAACGACTCGAGCAGGCAATCCGCATTCTGGCAGAGCAGATTCTCTTGTACACTTAGGGCGCTCTTACCATGGACAATTATCGCCTTCTTATTGGATTGGTATATGGTAGTCATTCAACCGTTTCCGGGGAAGGGGGGGGAGGAGGCTGGGGAGGACACATGGATTTCCAGGATTGAAGATTGAAGGCATTTTAGGGAGCACTATCTCAAAAGCTGACATATATCTAAGACAAATGCTATTCTTCTCAAGTTTAAAAGAGCAATATCGTATTTGACTCCATCATAACTATGCCGAAGTAGGATGATGATCTTTTAGCCATGATCCGGCGAATTCGACAGCCTCCCTGAGTGGAAACAAATACGTAGGTGCGCCGCCAACTGTCTGCCGCGCGACCCGCATTTCCTTTTCGAAGTCGGAACCAAGCGAATCAAACATATCGCCCGAGACCACTGTGTCTTCGACCGTCATCCACTCTCTCCCTTTGAGCGTAGTGACTGCGAATGAGTTACTCTCCAGAGAAGCCGGGAGCCGACATTCAGCCAAATGGAACGCAGTACAGCTTTCAAAGCCCACGCCCAGTAAGACAACGCGCGCATTCAAAGCTTCCAACCGAGCGAGTGGACTATTCTCACCAAACCGACAGTCCAGAGCATGCCCAGAAACCGATTCGGCTGCATGGTGACCGATTGCCGTGAACGAGGTCTGTGGATGGGCACTGCGAATCGCATTGGGCCATGTGCGGACAGTTTCTGCGATAACACCCATGCCGCGGGTGCGAGTAGTCTGTGGATCATAGGCTGGGATTGACTCGCGTATCACTTGATGCCACTCTGGCGGAACGGGAGGATGCTTCCATTCTCGGGGATCTGAGTTGTCTCCAGACTGTGTGGGTACAACCAACGTACCCGTATTTCCGATGGCGTCGAGGAAAGCTAGCACAACAGCCTCGGCTCCACCGCATACCCAGCCAAGGGAGCTGAGCGAAGAATGAAGCAGGATGATATCGCCCTGCTTGATACCGAGTCTTCTTAAATCATCTGCTAGGCTTTGGCGCGTGCAGAGATGGCCTTTGACTGCCAAAGGTCCCATTTCTTGTTGGCATTGACACACCAGATTGCGATGAATGGAATATCGCAAAATCAAAAACAACGCAAAGTTGTTGTAATATAGGGAAGCTTTGGTGAAATGGTGTTGTAGAGGAAAAGGCGATTGCTGGTAGTTGTTTGGGAGGGTTTTGGATTTCCTAAACGGTTGCCCGAGGGGACTTCCGTCTATCTGAAGAACCTGATTCGCCAAATATACGACGCCACTCCACTTGAACTAATCAGCTTCTTTGAGACGTTCAGTATCAATCATCGCGACCGATATATGGTTATCCCTTCCAGCAGGACTATCTCCTTTCACTTCGCTAGCAATGGCTATTATTACTATTACCCCTATCCGGTCTCTTTGCGAAGCTGAACGGCTTGTCGGATTCTCTCGAGTTTAACGCAACCAAGAGGAAACCAAAGAGCAAGAAAGATAAGAAGAAGGAGAAGAAGGAACGAAAGTACCTGAAAAAGATCGGAGGACCATTTGCGGAATAGTATAGCCTTTCGTTAGTCTCGCCCGGCTTAGTGCCAAATTATTTCCCCACGCTGCGGGTGGTTGAGTACAATATCACTGGACTAGAGGATATTGTCCTACGAGTAGATTCCCGCGACCGCGATTAGGTAGAATCTTCTAATTTCCGCATTGAGGAATCTACCCTACCTCCAACCAAGAATCCCTCCGCCAGGATTGAAAAGAAGATGAAGAAGAAGAAGAAGAAGAAGAACAAGAAGCCTACCTTTAAGATTCCCGATCCCCTATCCTCGACCGCCCCTCCGGGTCCTGCCTACTCTAATCAACCATTTACCCTGCTTGGCTACACTTAGTACTTCGCAAACCTGACTCCAATCAACTAGGAAATAGCATCGAGCCGTGGTCATGACCCTCGGATCAACTTCGAAGTCGAGTATACTACGAGCGAAGATGGCGTGTGCTATATAAAAGATTTGACTGTACGTAGCTTCTTGGAGCTTGCCATTCGAATCGGTGAAGCTGGAGACGCCGCAAGTGACGCGATCGCCAACCGGATCGCCCGGCCACGAAGGGCAAGACGGTGAATGAGGCCTAGCGCACGTTCCTTTCGCGGGCATTTACTAGGTTTATTGATATGGATGATCTGAATTTGGTGCGGATATAGTAGACTTGCATTGCCATGAACAAACGGCCTGGAATGGATGGCTTAGAATTACTGTGAAGCACAGTGAACATTACCAGTTGGTTGTATATCCCACACTGCCCAGTTCGGAGATTTGCCCTCTCCTTCACTGCCCTTAAAGACAGTATTGAGTCCTGCTTCAAGCTGTCCTGAAGATACGCATGTCTTCGTAACTCGCCAAATTCTGAACCCACACCGGAAAACGGGGTTATTCTGAAGGTCCACTGCGTCGTAACAAGCGTCGAAAGCAGGGACATCCATGCTTGGATGGCAGTCTGTGCCTAGCAGCGTTGAGTCCACTACATATTGCACCTCCTCCAATGCGGACTGTAGAGTATACTCCGACATAGTAGGTGCTCCCACGTCGACTCGAACATACGCTTGTTCGCAATTGAGCGGATTATGGAACCATGTAGCGGGGTCGAAGGGGTTGACGGAGGCTCGCACTCCTCCAAGCAGACCGAGGCCGATCAAAAAAGGAAGCTTCATCGTCGCTACTAGGTATTAGTTAGAATAAGGACGTTATATTGTACTAAGGCCTAACTCACGTTTCAAGGACTTGGTTGAATACTACCTCGAGGGTGAGTTGGAAGGGGGAGGGGATGGTGAAGAAAAGCTGCCTGGTGTCTGGGGCACCTCGCTTTAAATAATACGAGTATCCAGAGAGGCAGCGAAGTGATTGCTAGGGAAAATTGTCCTCTATCGGACTAGCCCTATCTACAGACCTACAATTCCGCTGTATTTCTGGATATGCCGCTTATAGCCGAAGGCATCCTGAAGGATTTTGTGGCGCGTTACGAACTACTCAACCAAGTCAACTAGGTCGGGCGTCGTGAGACAGAGTGTTTCACCGTTCTTTGCTGGTGATAATCCTATTGGATACGATAGGCTCGTTGGAGGATTATACGGATGAATTCTCACCTAGCTTCTTATTTGGCAATTTGGCAGCGGGAAGGGAACGGCCGCTCCACGTGGGACATCCGTGGCCATGTTTATCAACGATCATTGCTTGCACATAGACCATTCTCCACTTCGATGTCTCTCCTAGGAATCCATCTAGCAGATGATTTTGGATCTTCCAATTACGAATAGGCATTATTGCCATCTTAGCGCTTGAATTGATCTTCTGGATCGCAGCTGGACAACTCACCACTGTCACAAGACTGAAAGAAATGTGCAACGCGGCTCAAAAGGAAATTGGTTAGACAGGCTGTGTTGAGATGATGGCTTTCATTCGTCATTGAATGTCAGAAGAAGATGAGCTGGGATGAAATCGACCCTTTGTTCGCTGAGTTGGTATCTCATCTTCACCCAGCTGGTCGTTCATGCAGGCAAACGGGCGACATCACCTAATTCGACTGGGACGCATCGTCGGCACTCGTTTTCGCTGCCAGTTCCATGACTGACCTCTTCTCCTTCTCCACGCCACGGCGCCGCTGAGCCGTGTCGCAGTGTTCCACATTTCCACATTCACATTCGCCTCCATCTCTGAGCCAACGATATGTAATGCTCCAGCGATGGTCGCGCGGTCGTAGCGTTCCATCCACCATGGTGTCGTTCTTTCGCTTCTTGATGCCATGGGTCCAATGCAGCCTCGAGTCGCCCGTCATCTGCATCATGCTTCGCGGGGTCAGATCCACGTCGATCCGTACGTCGCCTCTGCGGAATTGCATAATGGCGGGTGCGCCGAGAGATAAGGCGTAGAGCTGGTCATACGGCCCGTGTGCGTCGACGTGCGGCGGAATGCCAGCACCCGGTGGATAGAACTGCAGGCACACTTGGTCGGGAGGTCGAACCTCGGTAGTCGGGATCAGCGGCTGCAGCCAGTCTGGAAACTCCTTGTACGGGATCTCTGGATCTATGCCGAATGTTTTATAGTCGAAGGTATAGCCGTAATGCAGTGACGTGCGCCCGGGGCGATCGGGCCATTTGAGCTCATCCCGGAAGATTGAGATGAGGCGTTGCTCGTGTTCCGCATCGACAAAGTCATCCTCCCAATAGATGCCTCGGGGCTGGATAGGCAGCTCTTTGAACTCTCTCCGCTTCTCCATGCCCCTGCCCGTCCTTTGGCGCAATGAATGGTGCAAAAAGGGAAACCGCAAAACTGTTCCCACGTGACGACCCAATCTGCGTGGGGAACCCCGTTTGGGCCCCACCTTCGCCTGATCCCGTCCGGGCCAGTCTATGCCTCTTAGGTATGCCTTCAACTTGTTCACTCTCTACTGCGTACGTTGAGCTGCATTGATCACCGCATCTATTGACTGTGCAGTGATAAGCAACTTCTGGATCCTAGATGGTGACTCACACCCTATTGGGAACCTAAACCCGCGGTCGGACTTGAAAACAGGAGTTGGACAGCGGGGTAGGTAATAGCTCGGTGTGGAACAACCTTAAATATATACTTCGTTTTGCTTCATGTAGGTACCTATGACGCCCTTTATGTAGCTCGGCAATCGTGTTGACCTTGGGAAAACTCATGTTGGGTCAGGAAAACACCGGCGCCTGAGCCATATCTAAGGAGATCTCTCATCTTGCACCATCTGGAGTTGAGCCAGCTCAGGTAATCTCATGCCCGAATATCCAATCCTCTGGTCCTTCCGTGTGATAGCAGGCGCAGCCTGCAGCCTGCGCAGCATCCGATCTGCGGGCGTCCCCTCCCTTTTGGAAAACCAGCTCGGACCTCGCGTTCTTTTTTTTTTACCCTTCAACTTTTCCATTCCGCCCATAGCCCAGATGCGCGTATGTTTTAAACAGGCTATCGAGTCCGATGCTCGTTTGACGGCCTCGACCTCATGTTCCAACGCATCGTTACCGAATTCGCCTATATAAATTGGACTTCTAAAGCCGACTGCGAACCCGTTGGGTCTTCTACAGTGGGTCCAGGGACAGCAGGGGCGGGGTTGCCCTGGAATACCCACATTCTTACCCAATCGACTGGAGCTCAACTCGGGCTGACCCCGGATCATCCATATTGCCTTCAGCGCCAGTCCCCGCGTGGTGGGCCGCAGGAGGGGTACGGTGAAGTTGAAAGCCCGGAGTCTGACTGGATTTGACCCAGTCCGGCTCGTCCGTGAAGTTTAAGGTTCAATCTTCGCCGGTTTATTGCGAGGGCATCTCAACCAGTCCCGGCCCTATTGCACGCCTGCATCGTACCCCCTCTTCCTGCAGTCGCCCCGCAGGCGGCGGCATCGCCCCCTTTCCACCGAGGTAGCTGAGTTAAGGAAGCCGCTAGTTATCACATGGATCAGCTCCTGCGAATCGTCCACTGCTATCATCGGCCTCGTGATGATCTCATGGCTCGGAACCCGCTACCGCAATAGAGAGATCGACCGGTCTCAAGGTCTATAAGAACCCGTCCTCGGGTATATACGCACTCCCCAGCACGAAATCCTGCTTTTTCTCTGAAAATCTATTTTGCTTGCCTCCTGCTCGCCCTCCACTCCCCAGATCGCACCATGACAGCCATCGCGGAGGTCGAGCCTGGTTATGTGGGGAATCTGGACTCAACACAGGAAGAGAAACTTCAACAGTTCTGGACACTCCTGATGCAATCATGGGATCTGAGCATCCCTGGTCCGGAGCCAGCCCGCAAATCATCAATCTCCTCTAACGGCACTGCCAAAGTGCATCGACGCTTTTTCTCTCTCGGTCGGTCACCACCTCAACCAACAGAGCAGGAAGTAGCCGCAATCCCCGCCAACCTCCTCTCAACACTCGAGAGTCTCGGCGCCGGCCCAAATGAGACGAAAGCAGTTGGGTCCCTTCTAACCAAATTGCCGGGAGAGAGGCTGCGATCGGCCTTTTTGACCCTCCTCAAACAGGACCACCCCGATGCTCTCCTGTTACGCTTCCTACGTGCCGAGAAATGGAACGTCCCGAAAGCATGGATTAAGTTTGTGGCATCTTTGAACTGGAGAGTCAACGAATACAAGGTCGATGAAGAAGTGTTGCTCAAAGGCGAAGAACACAACCTCGAGAAATCCCGGCAAGAAGGGAACTCCGCTGACAAGAAAGACGGTGAGGGCTATGTACATCAGCTCCAAACCGGCAAGGGCTACTTCCACGGCGTCGATAAATGGGGTCGTCCGATTTGTGTCGTCCGAGTTCGATCCCACAGCCCCAGCGAGCAAACACAAAAGGGTCTATTCGATTACATCATCCATTGCATCGAGTCGGTCCGCTATTTACAGGTGCCTCCCGTCGAATCAATGGTGAGCCTTGTCCTGTCGTGGTGATGGTCCTGCTCCATGGTCCACGCCTTGCTCCCAAGCCAGTCGGAAAGGCTAATACGCAGATCTACCAAGGCAATTGTGTTCGACCTCACCTCATTCAGCCTGTCGAATTGGGTATGCCAACTCCTGCGTCCGTTTCCCTCGTGTTAGTCGCTGACACGCTGCGCATAGGACTTCCCTCCCGTTAAATTCATCATTGATAGCTTCCAAGAGAACTATCCTGAATCCCTGGGCGCCATGATTTTCTACAATGCGCCATGGATCTTCTCTGGTCTGCCCACAATCCCTTCAGCAAATTCATGGCGTTGAAACTGACCCTCGTATTGAGTATAGGATTCTGGAAGATCATCCACGGGATTCTTGACCCAGTGGTCGCTGCCAAGGTTCACTTCATCAGTGGTGCGAAGGAACTAGAAAAACTGGTGCCAAAAGCACAAATCTTGAAGGAACTTGGCGGCGAGGAAGATTGGGACTATGAGTACATTGAGCCATTACCACACGAGAGCGATCGGCTAAAGGATACAGCCACTCGGGATTCCATTCTCGAGGAAAGGAAGAAGCTTGGTGATGAGCTCTTTAGTGTGACCGCGCAATGGATTTCTCACTCCGACGTTGACTCTGCTCTTAGCCGTCGGGGTGAGGTGATTAAGGGTCTGAGTGCGAATTATTGGAAACTGGATCCATACGTGCGCGCTCGCAGTCTCCTCGATCGAACAGGTGTCATCACAGAAGGGGGAACCATCAACTTCTACCCCCCGAAGGCGGCGACTCCGGTCGACGAAAAGTCAAAAATGGTCACCGAGCACGTAAATGAGCCCCAACTGGCAGCGGCGGCGGCTTGACGATGGAGGTTCCTGGGGTAATTCTCACATTTTGATATGGCGTTAGATGTTGCCTTGACTTCCGTTTGGAATACAATTGTTGTGAACTTATAGAACGAGCTTGTAAAATCACCCTGTGTAGTTCTCGCGCCACAGTACCCTATCTCGTACGCTGTATGGAGGAGATGAGACACTGAGATGCTCCGTGGTCATTTTGTTTATTAATTACTAGGTTATAGAGTATAGTGCAAAGGTATCCAAATCAGATTGAATAATATTCTTAATCCAAGCTGTTAATTCATTTTCAGTGGTGGAATGCTCATGAGTGGCACTGCTGAGCTCAGAGGATCTGTGATGTTGCTATCACTGGAAGAAGCCCGGGCACGGAAACGGCAGTGGTCCTCGGAGCCCCCCTTGAACGCGACACTTTGGATGACTCTCAGTGCCCATGCCGCGGCGGTATTGGCCTCCCAGTACAACTCCCTCAGACTGGTCATGACGTCGAGGCATAGCTGGAAGTTTTGTAGCGCTTCGTCGCGTTCTTCCGAAGAAGGCGCTTTCATCTCAGCCACATGAATGATCAGTGCGATGAGGATCGCCGTGACACCAACAACCGGCAATCGGTGTTGCAAATCTCGCTGATACAGCTCGGACATAATCCGTGAAATCTGGTTGGCAGCAAGTTGCACGCAGAACTTGGATGATGGAAAGGGCTGCGACTGATGGAAAACGGCGACGGTGGTGTAAAAGATCATATGAAGGATATTGCGGTGAAGAATGACGGTGGGCTCCTCGTCCATGTTGTGCAGGTCTAGCGGACTGGCTTGGCATGGAGGCGGAAGGGTGTTTGCCCAATCTGCGAGCTCCATCTCCGAGGCGAAGACTCGGCTGGAGAAATCATCACTGGGACTTGCTGTTGGGAAGGTGGATGTGACCGATGTGCGAATATTTTGAATACTTTGTTTGCCCTGGAGATCCAGCACGTCGCTGATGCACGTGCACAGCCTGGCACTCGAGATGCACACGAGGGCCAGATCCCTCTGGACCTTGACGTTCCGGATGATCGGGCATGTAGGGGACAAGACTTGATTTTCAAAGGGGAGAGCGTCCAGCTCGAAATCCTCCTCGGTCAGGGGTTGATGGCGAAATTCCGCCCGCTCAATCGTAGTTCGACATCTCAATCTCAAGGATATCACGCAGTCCGTTATATAACATGCCCATGCAACACGTTTCCATAGACTGGCGCTATAATGGACGTTAAAGACGCCAGGAACGTCTTGAAATAGCCCGATGGATCGAGCCACGGTGATTGCAGCCCTCATCCAGTGACGACTGTCATGTCCATCTGAGGTATCCAGCCTGTAGGTCATCAGAAGCAGCGATTGAACAACAACCAGAGGGTCTGTTTCATAGTTTGCTTTATATAGAAGCTAGGATTGCGTTAGCGTTTGCCATATGCTGCACGGTCGGCGACTAACCTGAGTTCGCTGAAAGAAAGCCTCATGGGCCTCTCGTCGGCTAGAATAACCAGCTTCGAGGAGATGTTCCACATCCACAAAAGTGGTTGCAGAGAACATCACAGCGAGATAAAGAAGTAAGCTAATAGATCCATGGCCGCCGTTTCCATCATGAATGGAATTAAGAAACCCTTGCCATTCTATGATTGGCAATGAGGGCAACACGGTCTCCACGAACGTTTGCAGAAGAGCGCTCTGCAGCCGGATACTCGGGAGGCATAAGACTCCATTTAACCGAAGGCATTCCACAGTGTCCTGACTCATCATGATGGGCAGAGGGTTGATAAACGCTGGGAGAAGTGCGAGCGGGCTGAATCCCGCGGGAGTACAGGGTGCTGAAGGACCAAGATTGGTGAAGGTATTCCAGAAATCCTCCTCACTGAAACTCATCATGTGCGCCACATCGGATGAACAAGGAGTTGGCGATATGGATATAGCTGACAGGCTGTCACTAGTCACTGCGGGAGACGGTTTTGACAACTGTCCAGACGATCGCCGTCTGATTATCTGTCAGTCGCAGGCCACAAAGATAGCAAGAGAGAACTTACCTCGGCCGATTCTTTCTATTGACTACGCATTTAAGACCCTTCCGGTTACAGTTCTGGCATGGAGAGCCTGCCACGGCATTGCAGCGGATTTTGGCGATTTGACACGACTGGCACGCCTTTTGCGCCCTTCCAGAGAGAAACATGGACGGTTGTTTCGGGTTTGGCATTGTGATGGATTATTCAATTGTTACTTCGGAATCCCGGTGCAGAGTTCAAGGACACTCCATCCGAGGAGAACAAGACAGGGACAGGGACTCTTGAAATTGGACGGCGTGGGAAGCGAGAATGAGAAAACAAATGAAAACGGGGTTTGATCTGGGGACGAAAGGATATTCACATATGTAGTCCGGGGCCCCGCAACCTCCTTAGATCAGGCTTTGCGTGCCATGGATCACGATACGAAATGAGCTATGGGAACGGGAGACACACCGCGAGGCAATTAAATAGACGAGATTGTGCAGCTTCAATCCTGAAAGACATAGTTAACTTAGACCTAAGACGTAATCCGGACAGTTTCTGCTCAATCGGGCTAGGCTGCGGCGCTGAGGGCTTGGCACGGCCAACGCGCGGAGGATCGCGTCTAGTGGCTGACCCGGTCTCTTCTTGCCATTTTCGGCATCGGCGGGAGGTGTGGCGTCGCGACGTGGGGATTCACCCGAGTCTCCTGACACCACAATCTCGAGGAAGCCACTCAAATTCTAGTGGAAGGGACGGTAGGAGCTGTGGGTGGTCAACCTAATCGTATCGGCCGTGGTCTTAGCTGGGGGTCCTGTCAAAATGACCTCACTCTTATCTTCTTATTCTTAGCGACAACGCCGGGTCCATTTCTTTACTAAGGCAGATTACGCGGTAGGCTGATCGTGCAGCCACCAGAACCCTATATATCTCCTGTCCTCTCTGCCTCTTGGGGCTATTCCGCTATTCCGACACAAGTGGGAAAGCCCCGTGCGTGCTCCCCCTCCTCCCGCTTCTCCTCCTGGGACAATGCTTATGTGCACTTCTCAATCCCTCTTTTTACCTTTGTTATTCCATGGACCTTGTGTCTTGATCAAGGCTAACAGCCAATGGATACTTCATCTAAGACTCCTACACTGGAGCCATGGTGATCTTCCATGCGGCAAATCATTGGAGGAGAACGAAATGATTGATTCACCTACAGGAAAAAAAAAACAATTCGCCAGTTGCTAAACATTTCGGATGAAAAAGCTATGGCGGCATTGCAACATGAAGCTGTGTATCGACTAAATCAAACCAGAGCCCTTCAAACCCAGACTCTCTAGATGCTCTGACCTGCTTGATGAATCCTCGAAGTCTGGTCGCACTCATGCTCTGAACAGGAAACAGCGTCAGGCTTTCCCACAATTCTTCCCCGGGACCTTCGACCTCAATCATGGCCAATGTGAGGGGAAATACAACAGGCAAAGCTGTCGTCTGCGTAGCGGCAGATTGAGCGAAGTGCGACACGATAGAAAATATACTGTTTGCAAGATCTCGTGCTGTCTCGTCCTCGGTTCCAAGGGGGTATCGAAGACGATGAATGATTAATAAAGCTGCCAGACGATACACGTTGGCTTGTGTCATCATTGCCAACACCTCATGTTGCCCGTGTTTGAGAAGAAGTTCCGGTGGATTGGGGGCTTCCATTCAAGGATCGTTCGCTCTATATCCGCGAGTTGCTCGTATATCCCGGAGGGGGATTCAGATCCGACGTCCAAAACACCCCTCTTCATGGTATGGCTACACACGCAGAGATCATACAGCAGAGGCAGAAGCGTTGCGCAGAGGCCTGCATAGCGGTCGACAATGATGCGATCCGTGTTGGGGAGCCGTATTATCGGAATCTCTCGCCGCGCCAAACATTCGACGACATCGATCAACATGGGCGTCATGATGATGGTGTCCATGATTGGAAAGTGAATCAACCGCGGAAGCCATGCTTTGGTGGACATGAGGGCACTTCGCACAATCGAATGGGCTGTCGAAGAGTCCGGCGCGGTGAGTACATTGAACACGTACATCGTTTGACCCAGGAAGAGTGCACAGGCTGCATCATAGTCTTGTGTGATTCGCACGCTTCGCAAACGTTGCAATCCTTTGGCAGCTTTCATCATATCGGGCTTGTCTTGACGCATGACAGGCGATCTCTGGTAGCGCGTCATTAACCCCAGGAACGCCAAGTATCCCTCGGTGAGAGTCGGCGCAGAAAGGCATAAAATGGTATAGACCGTCTTCTGAGATTCAGGAATGAAACTCGATCCCAGCATGAATGGCATATGTATGACTGAAAACTGCTCTGGATCCATTACTGTGCGGAAGGCATCTGATGTTGTTCTGAGGGAGGTCGGGGATGCAAGCAGTTTCTCAGGTGCCAAGACCAGCGTATCGTGATTTTGGGGTGTCGGGACTTCTGTCATGGAATTATTAGATGGCGAAATTGATTTTGAGCGTCGCGTGAGTGCATGGTGTGCGGATGAACCCTCGCTTGCCATGGATGGGCTGCTTTGCTGTTGTTCTTCTTGTTGGTGCGTCCCGACCTGCTGCTCCGTCTCGACGCTCCAGACTTGCATCTTCCCATGCGGGAAGGCCTTCGCGGCAGGCCGGCGCCCTATGCGCTTGTTACGCCGTGATGTCGAGCATGCGATCTTGAGACGACGGCATCTCGTGCACTGCTGATCATTGCCCGCAAAGGTGCATTTTTCTTTGCTCGCGTAGCACCGGTCGCATGCCTTCAGAACCATGACCTCTAGAAGGGGCCGGCCGAGGGCAGCGGCAGGCCGATCTGGATCGGGTGCTGGCAATCAAAGGCGCTCAAACAGACGAGCTGGCAAATCCGTGATGAGGAGGTGGGTTGAAACATGAGAGGAGGCGCGAGATTGGAAGGGCGGTCCCCATCGCCGCCCGCGTTTCCCCGCTTCCCCGGGATTCCACCATGGGCCAGCAGCCGGGTGCCACCGCGGTTCCTGCTTGCCTTTGCCAGGTTGTGAGGCCTGCGCGCAGGGTCCTAGTGCCCTTATGTCGACCTACCATGAGCCAGATGAACTTTGTCTCAACGCCTTATTCTCGCCATAAGTCTCTTTTACGTTGTTGTAGGCCCGCACATCTTCATAACTTCTACTATAACTACTGCAATGAGCCAATCGAACATGGAGTGTGGCTACGGTGGCATGCGTACAAGAGGCATCTAGGAGAAACCTAGACAAATCGGGTGCTTTGCCTAGAACCTCTGCTAGAATCTCTTGTTTATGAACTCTTATCTGTCACTACAAGCAGGGTGTTTACCGCCCCTGACTAATCAACTCCTTCCCTATCCCATGTTGCAAAAATGTCTGCGGCCACGCCTGTATGGGGTAGATCGGTAGATCTCTTCTCCATCTTCCGAATGAATGCCTTTAGACGTCCGCATGGGGCGAGAACTTCCAGCAAGCCTCAGTACAAGGACCGTGGAGGCGAAAAATCATCTAAATCTGTTTCCGCATATCACCACCGTGTATAGGAGAAAGGTATTCCCCCAATAAACGAGATTGCAAACGAGGCATCATATTTGCTTTCATCCAGTTCCCGATGGCTTGTAAGTCATCATATCGCTGGAAACTCTTCCTTCGAGAAAATACAAGCTTTCGAAGTAAACAAAGGTCTATGAAATATTGGAGATGTGTATTATAGAAAATAGGGGATCCAGCCAGATAACGAAAATTCCGTCAAGAAGCTAACTAATCCTGGTTAGCATCTAGCTGGGCAATACGAGCCCAACTTCTACGACTAATTCTTTTAGGCGCATCGCCGACAAGAGGTCTGATTGCCCCGCTCTAGGACAACTTTCACAACAGACCCCTCATTTAACTGCCGCACCTGACCTCGCAAAATCGCACTAGAGACTCAAAATTCGAAGTTAGAAAGCAACATGCACATCCCCACGGAGATCTACGATCATGTAAGCCTTGGGTTGGTGTCATAGTTGATTATTGTGCTCAGCGCTCAACATTTCTTACAGATCGTCTATCGTGTTTGGAACGTATACAATAAACTCCTGTATTTGGAACATGATGCTAGGCATTACTCGATCTATGATGGCAATACCCGACAGGCCTTAACCGCACTGCGCCTTGTCAACAGGGCCTTCTGTCGCAGCGCTTCACCTTGGCTCTTCCAGCATATCAATGCGGAGTCCAGTTCCTCTCCAAAGATTCCGCCCCTGGAGCGGCTTATACAATTATCGAAAAGCCCATATGCTGTATATGTTTATCAAATTGATTTTGGCTTTAAGGAAAGCTCTTCGTCTATCACCGATACACTACATACACTATATATCAAGGACCTAGCAGAATTCAGCTCGTCTCTTCTAGCCAGATTTTCCAATCTTAGGGCCCTTGGATTCAAAGAACTACCCTCATCGCTACCGCAATCCCAGAGAAAAGTCTATATGGATACGGTTGTTTCCATATTGCGTTATGTGCCGCTTCGAAACCTGACAGAACTTGAAGTCCATTTTCCTATCACCCACGACTTCGGACGTTTCTTTCCGAACCGGCTCAATTCTTTGCAGATCCCTATCGAAGATGTTATACAACATCTTCGACACCTCGGGCTATCTGTTTGTACATGTACGGAACCGGCGGACCCGAGAGCCAGGCAGCCGCCAATTTTGCCGGAAAATGCTGCTCTTCCTAACAGCACCTATGCTCCCCACTTATTCAGAATGGTTGAAAATGCGCCAAATCTCGAATCACTCATACTGTCTAGTCTCAACGTTCTAGATATTGACTTTGTCGCCTTTCTGTCTTCCCTTTGTCTGCAGTCCCTCTATCTAGAAGGGATTTCCATTTCATCCCCCGTCCTCCTTTCGCTCATTAGCCAATCCGCACATAAGATTAAGTACATCAATTTCTGCCTGGTCAAATTAAAGTCTGGGACATGGCAACAGGTGCTACTGCAAATGTGCAAGTTACCACGTCTTCTCGATATCAACATCGATTACGGTGGGTACTCATTGACAGGGTCGAGCTCTCATCTGGCCTGCAGGGGACTTGTTGATCCAGAATACCGTCCAAATATCGAAACCATGCATCATCTTGATTTGACAGCACTTGGTAATCTGCAGTGGCGAGTCAATTCAAATAGGATTGCTATAGGATTAGAACCTTTCCCCGATACGGATTATCGACATATGAATGAGTCCTTAGAGGAGTTCGAGGAGTGATCTTTTATAGCTATACAGGAGGATTGGGGTTAGATGCGGAATTCGGTTGTGCTAGGGATTGCCTTTTTTCCGCCGAGTCTTTTGTTTGGAATTCTGTGGGAATTGCGAAGCTGGATATTCAGGCGGCGTTTGTAACACCGAGGCCTATCACTACGCACTCAACTACAAATATTCACTTAATGAGTGCCTCCAACCACAAAAAACACCAGTGTCATTTCCACTGCAATTGGAACTCGGACGATAACGATATATTGAAAAGGATTGTACGGAACCCTCACGTTTGGAGTGCCAGATAACGTTCTATCCACAGTTGATACACATGGGGCTAGATTGTGGGATACTCTTTAGCCAACTTATCAGCTATTCTCCTTTTCCACGCGGCGACATTCCCGTGAGCTGGCTAAGCCTTCAGCGAGTGCTCAACTCAGACACAGCGACCAGGCCAATGATAGATAGACGGGAGGTATCTTCAGTTCCTAAAAAAAAGGTCAAAAAAAGAACGGCTCATCAGCAGAAATTCACTTCCACTGAATTGGTGAATTTCTGCAAAATTTGCCGATCGGTGGCGTTGCGTAACGGCGGGTTTAGTCTAGCCGAGATCATTGCGTTTTTTCAACGTGGGTAAAAACTGCCGACACCACCCCCCTGAATAACGATGAGCATCCAGCTGAGCCTTCAAAAAGGGGACATGACTAGCGATCATGAGTGAAAATGCGAAACTCTTCACACGGAGTGACCGTGAATCTTTGCCTAGTGATGAGACGTGCATATCGGTCGTCTATTATGTTTAGAGAGTGGCTTATCTGCTCGTCGAAACATCATGCCCTGGGCTCGAATAGCCAGCTGAGTGCCCCCAGCGAGCTGAATATCCCGCCATCTTGCAAATGAATCAGTCCGCTTGAATTCACCAGTTTTAGTGTGAAGGGGGGACGAGGAGGCTCGGCCAGAGGTAGAAAACCAACCAATGTCCCATTCGATTCTTTCGGTGCCCATCTCAAGGACTATTTTCTTTTCAACCCTTTCTAACTTTATCTACCCTTTAAGTCAAGCCTCTTGCTGTGAGTTCGATCAACATGGCTGTCCCTGGGACCGAGTTTGTCAAAGAGCCAAACAAGCTCATTCTCTGCTTTGACGGTACTGGAAACACATTCAGCGGGTCTAATGCCGACACCAATGTTGTCAAGATTTTGAACAAGCTCGACCGGCACGACCGTCATCAATACCATTATTACCAAAGTAAGAGCGATTTGCTCATCATTGGCGCTGGTACTAACAGATCTTAGCTGGCGTTGGGACGTACGACATCAATGAAACATCCGTCAACAAATCATGGCTCGGTGGGATCCGAAGCCGCATTTCTCAGACAATTGACCAAGGAGCTGGCACGACGTTTGACTCCCATGTTATGGCTGGGTATCGGTTCTTGATGCGTTACTATCAGGCAGTAAGGATTTAATCAGGACAGGAGGACATGAAGGGCTCCCCACTGACACTTACACTTCCAGGACGACAAGATTTACATGTTCGGTTTCAGCCGTGGTGCTTTCACCGCGAAGTTCCTGGCACGCATGATTCAAAAAGTCGGACTACTCTGCATGGGCAACGAGGAGATGGTCCCGTTTGCATACCGCCTCTATCAGCGGTATCTAGAAGGCGAAGTGGAAGACTTTGAGAATCCCGATTCTAGCAGTGATGCACCGGCGGTTGATGGAGATCGACAGCCTCTGCTCAGTGGGGACAAGTCAACCGAGAACCACGGGCATACATACGAATCGGCGGAGAACGAGATCGTTGCATTCAGCAATACCTTCTGCCGGAAGGAGACCATAAAATGCGGCGACAAGTACGTCCAAGCGAATGTTAAAGTCTACTTCCTCGGCATCTGGGATTGCGTAAACTCGGTCGCTGTTTTGGAGCGTGCTCCACCTATGCCTGCTACCGTGGCCGGAACTGCGCATTACGTTCGACATGCAGTGGCCGTCGATGAGCGACGGGTCAAATTCAAGCCCGCGCTGCTCTCTCAAGATATCCGCGCCCAAGATGTGTTGGAGGATATCGAGGAAGTTTGGTTCCCAGGCTGTCACGGCGATGTTGGCGGCGGCTGGCCAGCAGCAAAGGATGACCACAAGTCTACACCCGAGAGCATGGGGACGTGGCAAAGATTCAAGAGATTTTGGACTTCCTTGAAGCCCAAAGGGGCCTCTAAGGATGTCCGTACAGATGCCTTCCAAATGAGCGACGTTGCATTGTCGTGGATGATTCGCGAGCTGGAGTATGTTGGAAGCTTAGATGAACAGGCTAGTGTCAAGTGGTCACCGAACAAGAAGGGCTACCAAGACGCGTTCATGAGCAAGACAAGTCAGGTTCAAGCTTTGGAGGGTGCAATCCACGACTCGTTGATTTTCGGCAATTGCTCTAGCTTTTTCAAGGTTCTGCTTTGGAAGTTTCTCGGTAAGTCCCCGTGAATACCCATGGCTATTCGAGTACTCTAACCCAAATATTGCAACAGAAATCCTTCCTTTCATCACCCGTTGGGAGCTCATGGGGAATGAATGGAAAAAGGTCCGGTTCCCATTGAATCGCGGCTCCTACCGCGATATCCCCCGCGATGCAAAGCTCCATGATTCGCTGAAGCATCGGCTCGAGAATGACAAGGAATACATACCTGGAAACAATCATGGTGATCAAACAGAGCCCTGTTTCAGACGCAAAGATGGACAATTAACCGACTTGCACCTCGCTAAGCCCAAGAAAAACCAGGAGCTTGATAAAAAGCACCAGATTTGGACTTTCGCTCCATAGTTATCTTCCATGTTTGCGAAGTCCCATTACAAAAAATATGTTAAATATTATAAAATCAAAATTAAATAATACATATAAAAAAGATACCAGGCAGTGGCTACTTCGATTTTGATGAAAGGAGAAGAGATCCTTTGTTTATTATTGGATATGTTTCTACACCGCTGCTCAAAGCACATGATTGCAAATCCACTTGAACAGATGAGGTTAATTTCAATGTCTGCGGCTCTGTAATTTTGCTTCTTCCAAGATGTGCGGATAGTATTTAGTTTCCACTTCCACGGTCTACTTTCCTTGCGGGTACTCGATGTATCAGTAGCTACGCGAAGATAGTAGCAGACCAGATTTCTGAGCGGATGTAACAACACCTTACAATCCTAACCAGTACCTAGACATTGAAATGAAATACCTGTCTAGATCCGCGTCTCAATTGAGGGAAACTAGTAAAGCAGCTGTGAAGATAAGGATGCCCCGGCTGGAAGGGTTTGACGCTAGAACTTGACCGATTCGACTGGAGGAGCAGCCAGATCGGCAATCAAACCGACGGTTGCGCAGGGAGCGACTGAGAAGCTCGAACGCCTGTCAAGCTTGTCGGTCGAGGAAGGTGAAATGCGACGGTGGTCGCCCAGGTATGTTTCTCTCCGCCCCCATTCCGGATTCCACTTCACACTTGTATACGGCTAATACCAAGTCTTCTTGATGCAGCATGCGCCAGGTGCCAGGCAAAAGGAAAGCCCTGTGCGTATAGCGGAGAGTCCCTTACAGTCGGGCTCTTCTTATAGGACTGAATTTAGATCCATTCTTTGTAGCAAGCATCGGCTATTTACACTAATTTAGTATCAAACATTTTTTAGGACTTGTGCTAAGCTTGCTATTGCCGTTTATTTGTTCAGGAGAGCATCTTCTTAGTCACTCTGTCGTTATCAGTTCCCTTGAGGCCGATGGCTTAATTCATCAACAGTGATGATATCCACACCTTCGCGGGCGAGTATGCATCGCACATAGTTTCGCAACTTGCGAGGCCAATGTGGCGTACCCCCATATCGGACTTTAAGGCCAAGGCCATGAGCTATTTGTACCTGTTGACGAAGATCGGCGAGCTGCTTGTCTGAAAATCCATTACAACCCACAGTCCCTATTGCTGCGTGGAAGTCAGCGAATGCATAGTAGCTGTTTCGAGCGCTGTAGTCGGAATTTTGCAGAATCTTTTGATCGTACGATGGCAAGAGTTGCAAGAGTGGAGCATCGAAGAAGACGTCTCTGGAGGTGCTCCGTTCCAAGATCCGATGGAATGGTACATTGCCGGTGGCAACGATTGTGATCGGACCTTGTATAGTAACTGATCTATTGAATTGGGTCAGGAAACCGGCCTCTCGCAGAGGCTCAATGTGTGGAATAAGTAGAGACCATACCCGCTCCGGGTCATCGCCAAAGTCCATTAGCAATACAAGTGTTTGGGTGGGATCATCTGGAAACACGCCTGAAAGCCCGTTATCATGTGGAAATGGTCCAGGGGGTAGATTTTCTAGCTTCTGGTTATTCTCTCGAAGCATCCTCAGTAGAGGATCAACGTAGAGGGTCCGGAGATTGATTGCTCGTGACAGCATATCGGGATTCGGTCCAATCAAAAGCTCATTTCCAGCAGGGAAAAGGGTCATTTCAATGCTTATGCACCCTGAAGAGATCGCGGATTGTAATAAGATGCGATGTCCATGGTCATTGTGTGAATGACAGGTAACAGGAATTGTATCGTGTGTCCAGTGTGAGAGTTCCGATGATTTGTTTGCGAGAACATCAAAGCTCTCAATGGAGGCAGCCCCATGCTCCCGAAAGAAAGCATTATCGGCTTGTTGGGTCCAGTTTAGAAGCTTGAAGATGCCGCTGATGTGACCAAAAGAATCAGCTGTGTTCAACATGAAAGCGTAGGGAAGACGAGAGACAATTCTTACAAGACAACAAGCATTCCCCAACAAACGAATCGTGCGGCCCGGTAAGAGAGTGCTCGCCTCGAAGGGCAGGATTCGTGGGGCTTTCCGCTGTAAAGAATACGATCGGGCTCAGAAGAATTTCTCTCCAGCGTTGTCCCGGGCGGTAGAAGCTCCCATGACTCCGAATTCCATCCCTGCGAGGACATAACGGCGGCTATTGTAGAGAGGTGGAGTTGGGAGCCGTCATTAGGTCCGAGACTAACCCTTGGGGAAAATACCTGGCCTAGGATATCGCGGCTTGGTAGCCTAGGGACTCCTACAAAATGCTTATAAGCACAATAAATGCCGGATCGCCGGGTAAGGGTCAGGCTTACGACTACTATCCACATGCGGAATACCTCTGCCTGGGCGGTACGGGGTTGGATTGGGGTCCAATGTCCGTCCTCCAATAGTGATTGAGATGCAAGCTAGTGCACGGCCAGCAAAGTGTCCGGGTGGAGCCATGGCTGCTTAAGCTCGTCTTCCCGCAAAGCTTGCGAAGTGGGACCAATCCGGTGTGGCGTATGACATTCTCTCTCCTACGCTGCCCAAGACCAAACACAATGTTGGGAGAGAATGGCCTGCACCTTCGCATACAAGGTTCATAATCTATCAAAAATGTACTGTACGAATAAAATACTGGCTGGTATTACCAATAACGGAACAGCAATGCTAGTGGTGAAGGAAAACCGGTCTAATATTTCAGATCTGAAAAAATAACACTCCAAAAGCAAATTCAAAAATGTCGTGTGATCAGCCGATTGCGTAATATGACTTGAGAGGACGCGTCCCGAGCGCCACGAAGACTGACTCGTAGAATACAAGGAGATCGAGCCAAATGCGTTCATTGATTTTCTCTGAAGTAGGCGCACCCTTGCTTGCAGGAGCTGCGAAAGGCTATTCTAGATAAGTAGTATATACGAGAATAGGGACGTAGGGAAAAGACACTACAGTGTTTCCGGAAATTGGTGTCACCATCTATACTCTTCTATTCTTTTTTTTAACCCTAATGCCAAGACGTAGTAGGCTATATATACAGTAGACTAGCCTCGGAGTAAAGGTAATCCTGTATTATTCGGTATACAGTATTTTACTTTGACTTGAACATGATGTCACGTTCGTGAGACCTTTGTATACTGTACTTTACACGAAAGTGCTATACACTGCTGCCTGGTGCCATCCGCTGCTGCTGTCCGTCTTCCAAGCCAACATGCGTCCTCCACTCTGACTCGGGTGCCATCCAAGGTCAAGACATGAAACATGGCTCCAAGGCTCCCCCTCTCAAAACTGTATCTCATGATATGATAGAGAGCCAGTCCCTCACCACCTCTCAAATGGCCGAAGAAGCTGAATGCAGCAAGCTTACAATCATTAATATTCGCAGAGAGTTGCGGCATTTTGGAAGCGTCCATGCACCCCTTACTCGAATAGCCCGGAGACGAACCGTAACACCACTGATGATGGAAGCGCTCTGCTATCACCTATATGCAAAGCCCGGTCTCTACCTGGATGAAGTTATTGATCGACTTGGGGATATTGCTAACCAGGTGAGGAACTTGGAGTGTCGAAAGGTGTGTGCAGATCAGGGTGTCTTCGCAGATTACCATCATTCGCACTCAAAATGCGCACTCCCCTGTGAAATGACTTTATTACATACTTTTTAGAACGGCTGCTCTTTGTGGCTTGTACATGTGTATTGCTAGGGTATATCTGGACTTGTGGAGGGGTATTTGACACAAGCTGTAGCAGAAATCTCTGCTGTGGCGGTTCCCTAGTTATTGCTGGTTCTTGATAGGCATCAAATATATGTGTGTAGTGCAGCTTTGACAATGTCATCCTCCCAGCTTAGAACTGCAATTGGGTATAGCGGCCGTAGGCCTTGACCCTCCCTGCTGAAGGTTCCTGGGAGAAATTGCATTGTGGTACACTGCTCAGTCTAGCCGCCACTCTTTGCTTGGGTCGACTAGAATGTTCGTTTTGACTAATTTTCAGTGACCCGAAAACGTCAGCTTCCTCGAAGTTTGGAGCATCCGGGTATCCCAGCCACACGTCTAGCTTTATACCAGCGGCTTCAGCCTCGCGCGCCAGTGAAGACGGCAGCGTCCAGAGTCCTGCGGGCAGATCCTCTTCTCTTTCAGGATCATAGACTTTGTCAAACGAGTAGATGGTCACCGTGCGTAAATGTGGAAGATGCGCCCTCTTATGCCTGATTAAATCAAGAAGAAAAGTATCGTACGGCTCATCGTCACTCTCCCACAAAAATTGAGTAAGGTCTTTATCATCGTAAAAGACCTCTAACACCTCCAGACTATGAGGTAAGCCTTTCCAGACCCCAGACGGATCATCCCACCCACAGAGAAAGACATGGTAAATGCGTAGAGTTTCAAGGGCTGTGAACTCGCTTAGATCAATGCGAGGTCCATTGCCCAATCCTTCATGCTCAAGCCACGGCCTTGTCATCGTCAGTTCTTCCAGCGTTCCCCTTTGTGATCGCAGTGTGCGCACAAAGGCAGCACATGTCCAGCTTTTGGCTGGCTCATCTCCATAATGGCCCTCCCACTCGCCTTGCTCGGCATCGTAGTGAAGTACTTTCAAAGCTGCTGGCCAGCTTAATACAGTGGCTAAAGCTTCCTCATGCGCCCCACAGTCAACCAGCCTCAGACATTCCACGGGCGAGGTGCCAACATGTGAGTTGTTTTCAAATTGCATGGGCTCCCAATCCTTAAACCCGTGAATGGTAAGGGTCTGTATGTTGGTGAACCAAAAGACATGAAGGATATTACGAATAGAGTGGTCACGCCAGGAGCTGCCACATGGAATGATTGCTGAAACGATGTGTTCCTGGAGACTTGGGTTCTTCTCCAGACTCCACTTCAGCTGCTCTAGCGGGATCTTCTTGCCGACGCGACAGTATTCACGGACAAAGATATCACGATAAAATATTGGCGTTAGAAGACTGTTCAAGCGGCGGGAGGCGAGTAGAAAAGAGTGCAGGTATTTAACTCTCTGTGATGGATCATGGTCGATCGCATAGCGGTAGGCGTCTCCAAGCTCATAGAGTGACAATTTGATTTGCTTAGTGTCTGTTTGTAGGTAGTCAATGATCTCTAGAATCACCTCATCTGGAAGATCCAACAGGCGTGCCATGTTTCTCGCTCTTTAGGCAATGATTCTGGATCAACTCCACCACTTTGGTAATGATGTTCACGAAGGCTGCGGAGGAAGTAGAAGACGACAGGTGGCGATCTTGCCAGATCTTCCACAATGTTTGGACTGTTTGCCAGGAACATTCTACAAGATTCTATGGAGTCTAACAGTATCTTACAATGACTCATTCGATACTAACAGGCGATACGATACCACTAAGCAGGGGTGGTTGAGAGACCAACCAAATGTAGATTAGGGCGTTTCAAGACAGGGTTCGGGAAACAATTCGCAAGTGTATATGGGGGAATCTGTTTTCGAATATGGCAGTACCCTTTGCGTTTATTAGTGGCCTTCTGCAGCATGCAGAGAATGGGCACTGTGATAGTTTGTTGGAAAGAGAAGGTGCTTTAAGCATTTTTCTTCGCTTTGTTAGTTCACGCATAGTTTAACCTATCTTATGTCTTAGCCTATTGTAACGTAAAGTTGGATGATCAATCTCCCTAATCTCCGCAGAACAGAAAGTCTGTCAAAATCTCTACCACTCCAGCTTGTGGGCGTAGCTATGGCTAAGCCCTTACTCCAGTCCAACATTTGGTGGGGGTAAAATCAAGATACGATATAAGAACCCTAGGTCTGGTATTGTGCTGATTAAAATAAAATTCCCCATCGGCCCCCCTATGTTGAGCCTCTTGCTAAAGGTGGTCTATTGATATTTAGATAGAAAAGTATATTATCGAAATACTATTAATATTTTTAGGGGTAATTTTAGATTAGATATAGATTATTTATAGATTTTATAGATTATAGATAGGTTTCAATAGGTTTTAATAGGTTTTTATAGATTATAGATAGATTTTTATAGGTTCTAATAGATTCTTATGGAAGAAAGAGAGGGGGTTTCAACTATATTATGAGTCTTGTTCATATCGCATTTGAATGTGCTTTTATCATTTCGCCATTGACTCGCTTCCGGGAATAAGGCACATAGCTCCCTTGTTATAATCATGTAGAACCTGACATTGCAATCGTCATTCGATTCAGTCGTCCATTTCAAATGCCTAGAATTAGTCTAAATTTTTATCTTCCATGGACCCTTCAGCAATCTCAAATTCCCAATGCCATGAGGAACCTTGCCCAGCAGAAATTCAAAGGTAATCATCAACACACGATTCAAGACGTACAAAAAAATAAACAGCCCCATCGCGCCCATAATGAACCAAGTCCACGGTCGTGATCCAAGCCACATCAGGACCTTCGTGTCCGCTCGGTGCCAACTGCCACTCTCTAAGTCGGTGATGTAGGGAGTTAATTCAGTTTGATTAACCACTCCTATGTTTTGCGAAGGTAGAGAAGCCTGCTTGAGCAAGTAGTCCATCGCGACCATAGTCAAAAACATTGGTCCAGCAGACATCATAATGGCGCAGTATGGCTGCCATTGAGCCCAGGCCCGAGTAAGGGAATTAGAAATGGGTAGCTTTGCTATAGCAGCTGCATAGACGGGATGCCTGGCGGATGTTATCATAAAGTCATTTGTGACGCCTGTCGGTACTGTGGATTTGAAGAGAGCGTATTCAGAAACTGCATCGAGTTCAAGCTTGTCGATTGGGATACTTCTATTGCACCAAGTATCCATATCGAGATATATCCCGCCGTAGTGATATAAGATGAAGTAGCGAAGGGAGTCTGCACGCTGGATGGGGAAGGCGTAGTTATCCCAGATATCCACAAACCAGGGATAGTGGATTGAGAGAAAAGCGCGAGTCGACTCGTCAGTCCACAGCTATGTGGTAGTATTCCAGGTTAGAAAGACTTCGTCTTCTTGAATGTGGATACACGAATGCCCGTATCTAAGCTTTTTTGGAATTTGCAAATCTTCTCACCTTGTACTCAAAGTCCCCATAAGCCTCCTTGCAGCTTGCCTGTGGTTCAACCCACTTGTCTGGAATTTTGTTCGTAGCAGTAGTTTGGTGGAGTATTCGCGGAATACGGCTTGATCCATTCATTTCGTGCAGATTGCTCAAGTGTTCTTTCCCGGAGAGAGAGACTTGAGGCTTGAAGAGCTCCTCATTCCTCCGTAACAGAGTGAGGAGAGGCTCCAATTGACGGATAAGTAGCCATATAACAAATACGTCCAAGAAGGAGAGGAGAATCGTCGATTTTCGAGGCCATCTGATACGCATAGATTTTCGTCGCTGCTCTAGCGAGTGCTCAGCACCCCAGCTCAAGCGTTCTTCATCGTAGGGCTTGTCCGCGTTGGTGCTGCAGTCCTGGAATAGTAATTTGTCCAAAGGTGGCTGAATGTCAATCATAATGACCCGTATTGGAACATTCGGTATGCTGAAATGGTTTCAAAGGTGAGAGATAGATTTCGTGCTTTTAGGTCCCAGGCATCACAGACGAGAAAATGTGCGGCCTTTCACAATAGGGCCGGCTTGATTGCCAGGAAATATGACAACCACGTTTTCAGCCCCGTTTCCATCGCACTCTGTACAGGCTAAGCTTTCCTTGGCATTTAACGCGTAATCCCCAGATCCCGAAACAGCTGAGTCCTTTTTCCTAAATAAATAAACCCTTCCGTCAGACCATGGAATGCGCACCTATTGTGTAGCTGGTTTTTATAAGCCACAAAGAAGCTCATAGGATTAGCTTTTGCCTTGCGTTATATAATGTCATAACATAGAGCGATAGCTTACCGCTGGTAAATAATAATAGATTATATTGGAGACCACATTTGCCATGTAATCATTAATAGTTTAGGATTCGTCGTAGACCCTGGCCTTATAATAGCTAAGCATCGGTCGTCCAGACGCGATACTTAGTACAAGCTATAGGGTTGCTCTTGATAGCTTCCCCTTATGTTTCTTAATCAATCAATGATTCTTTTCATCTGATTTTGATTGCGCTTAATCTTGTTCGACCTGAATGTATACCAGGCCATACGTATCCAGCCGATTACGACATGTATTCTTTAGAGGCCATAGCACAGTATATTCTGAAAAATTATATGTGCGCGAAACCGGAGTGAGGGATTGTTTTCCCAGTGTAATTTCAACCCAGATTGGGGTCTGACAGACAGACCCTGATTCTAAAGCCCCAATGACGAAGCACGCAACTTTCAAGGCGCGTGTATTGCTTACAATATTTACGGACATTATCTTCGCTCACCAATGAAGAGTACCCATGTTTCGGGCCCGTCTCGAATGAGACCGGTACGGACTAAGCTTGACTACTGTAGCATGAATCAGTTCACAAGTCTGGTCGATGGTTCCTAAATCCAACAAGCCTTTGATTGAACCATGGCATTTGCACTTATTCTGCCATATTGCTAGGCCTGATATAGTCATAAGGTCACGGTACTACATGAGCAGAGAGTTACTACCAGGCTCATACGTGTGGCCTACATTACTTTGAATACATTCATATTTTCCCAATTTCCTTACGAAGTCAATCAATGCGGTGCCCGATTGACGCTCGCTATCCTTTTATCGAAAGCAAGCAAGATGTGGAGGTAGCAAAGAAATATTCATTTCCTTGGCATGACGAAAGTTTGGCTCGTTCGTACGTTCATTGGTCGATTCATTCACCAGCTCTTTTTCTAGATTCGGCAACTTTCCTCACAGCAAAGAGTCACACGTAATCATTTAGTTGCATCTTGTTTGTCGGACCCGACCATACATACCATAAACGGCGATTCTCTATACTCCAGCCAATGAGATCGGCGCAGTATGTCATCCCCCATGCTTTTAACTTTATTTGATAAACCTCCATATATACTGGGCCGCGTAATCAAAGTGAAGTGCGTTCGGGTATGAAAGGAAACGGTTAAATAAGTTTAACATTAAAAAATGTTACTTAAGGCAACTAAGCACTCTTGTTGCTGCCAAAGGTTTTCTGTACAGCGGAACTCAAAACCAGGTTGAACTTACCGGCAAAACTCCTACTCGCCAGAATAAGGAGGAAATGAGAGACCCAGTGACTCAGCGGCTTTCCTTAACGATATATAATAATCTTGCGAATGGCACTATCGTGCTAAGAAACCCCATCTGTCGAAGGTATAATCACCGTCCAACGTTGTGAACCATTGTCAGTCTGAATACTCACCAGTTGGGAATTTTAGCGGCCAAGCTTATCTAGACAGCGATCCACCCAAGCTCATCCCCTTGGATTTTATTGAGAAAACATTAATCGGACCTGGTCAATGCCGAGTAGTGTCATTCTGTGGGAGCGCAACGTACAGATTGGGGTTGGAGGGCATGCTAGATCTCTATCATGATGGCCACCGGATTACTTCCGTGTACTGGAAAGGTCCTTGGAATCGCACTGGAAATCAGTTTCATTTGGCAAACATTGACGACACGAGTTATGAGGTGAAGGCGTCTATTCCCTCGGATGAAGGGATATTGGGTGATCTTGCTGTCGAGGTTGGCGAACTTCAAGCTTGTCATTCACTTTTAGGATAGACTTTAACTCGCTATGTATTTTTTATCGTGATATGCAAGGCATGCAAACTGAATACTGTCCAATATTGACTACTAAGAGCTAAACGCGAGTTAGAAGGTATATCTGACTGTGTCGTTTCAAAGAATCGCGTGGTTGCATAAACAACAGGACAAGACTAAAGGTTGGAGCGATTGCCCATATTGAGCTTCACTGGATCTTTCAATTAGAGACCCTGAGGCCGAATCAAACAATTATTCCGTAATAGATGGAAAATTGGAGTGGCAATTTGTTCCGCTCCTGTAGCTGGTTTGAAACACCCTCCTCCTCCCTGTCCCCAGGGAAATGGCAAACCTGCGGTGAATTTCGTTAGCTAGGACGCTATAGACTCCAGCTATGCTACAGCCATCCAGCCCCTTAAGTAGCGGATTATATCTGAGATAAAAAATCTGGCTTTAAAGAGTTGTTAGTATGGAAAGAAGAGGATACTGATAAGCAGAGTTAAGGAGTGGAGATCGTTACTTTACTTTTGGTCCTATTTAGGATATATCCAGGTTCATGCTTGTACCTAGATCCATTATCGCCTTAGCTTGCCGACCTTGGTCATAACTGAACATAACTCGCATATAGTGTACTGTACGCTCAACCGTGTATACGTTGATGATACGGCACGTCACGTCCTTTGACAGTATCCGCCAAGGTCAATTCATCATAGAAACCGCTAAGGAGATCCGCAAGTGAAAATAAATGTACATCAATGAGGCACTACATATTGCCAGTGTTTCTGTTCACCCATGCTTATAGGCGCTCAGCGTCACCACGGAGTCTAATACCTTTCCCAACTTTCCGGGGTATCAGCATCTGTGAACTTCTTCATTCTATCCACAACCCCATCATTGTTCATTTTCCAATTCCCCATTTTGACACGCTGTGCTCAATTTTGTCAAGACTTTGTGGATTCACGAACTGTGCGAGTCCCAGGGCAAAATACCACTGAAATTATATACTCGATAGAATTTATCAAACGTATCATTGCATCTGCTCAATAGGACTCCATTGCCGCTTCACGCATATCCACGATCCCCGAATTCAAATGGGAGCAATAGCCGACTTTTATTTCCCGAATCTGTAAGCATACACCTATGAACGGTATCGAGGTATAGGCCAACAGGATTATCTTCCGTATTCCCATCTGGAACCCATGGTCGAGACCAAGCAGACATATTCTTCGCGTGAATGACTGGTCGATCATCGTGCTTGAATACGGAAGCTCGAGTCCATCCATCTCCAAATAAGCCTGTAGAATATGCTGCATTGGCCTCCAGGGCCAGCTCTCCTTAAGATCAAAAATAACATACTGCCAATCGAGGAAAGGCTGCTAGCTCGGTCTGGTGATCGAACCTAACAAGTTAACTGGTATCAATACGCAATCGCCCTGGTGATAATGTAACAGAAACAGCTCAGCTAACACAATATTTCATTTTGGAGCTTCTTGCCGCGTCAGCTCCTATTCGCGGCTATTTTAGGGCGTTTTCCTGGGCGCTTCATGGGGGAAAGGAATGGAAGTGGTTCTTCATGCCCACGTAAGTAGAATACGTGAATATCACGGTCACACTCACGGGGTTTATTTACTCCTTTCTACGGAGCATGTCTCGATATCGCTATCTCACTTGCGATGTGGGTGCTGGGCATGCGAGAAACACCGGTTGATTAGCATGGAAAGGTCGATTATGTGGGATCCGCTCTGAGAACATCCTCGTGTATTCCTTTCAACTTTATCTGAATGTAAGATTTCTCACTCTATTGAGCCCATTTAACTTCCCTATAGCCAAGCTCTCGATGATAGTCGGCACACTCCCTATGAGATCGCGCTTTTGATTTGATCCATGATTCTCTTCGGGGATTCACTCAATGGGGGAAAGGGGGAAACGGTATACCTGCCATCCCACCTCGCCCCTGGAGATATTCAAGGTACCCCCGGCTTCCTTGTTGTGCTTTCTGTGGTCCTTTGTAAACTACATTGCCATAGAATCCTTCATATGGTGCCAAGTTCTCTGGTTGCAAGAGGTCTAGATCTAGACTCCTCTTCATGTCACAGTTAGCTAGACGCCTTTCGTGATTTTTACTTCGGCGGCCGCGCGTCTGGTAGCATGGCTGGTTCCTCGCTTGGCGGCACGATAGATTACTGCCATTGAGACTTAATACAACCGTGGTCTCCAGTACATTGATGGCGACAGTGTCGATTCACCAAAGCTTCTAGGCTCAGATCTTCTCATCGGTGGTGCTAGTCGCCTTGTATCCGGTATTGCTGGGTCCATCCTTGTACTATCAGCTTGTACGGAGACAGCCTAGAATTAGCATTTGCTTCCACTGTGGAGGTTAATTGGTCAGCGCTCTACTTTGGTGTGGCTATCAGTGTGGTGGTCTCATCTTGGATGTGGGATTCATCCTACTGGTCAAGGATAACCGTGAGGTGTGGGATGAGGAAGATTCTAGGCAAATGGAAAAGATTGAGTTGGCCCAATACGCGGCGGCAAGCGATTCTAATCCTGACGCAGTGGCCAAAAGGCTGTAAGGGGATTCGCAGTTGTGCTCTCCGCGGACTTGATGATCAGAGGGAGTTGGTGAATAGATTGTGCCGGTTGTTTTTGACGTAAAATGCGTGGATATTATCGACGGATATGTCAAAGAATTGTCAGAAGAGCGAGTCGAACGTGCCTTCCGTTCGAGTCAGGAATCGTCTTGGGGTGTAATCATGTGAGTCATCATCATGACTCATGATGAATCGCTGCCTAGATGGATGAGGAGGCTTCAAAGCACCCTCTGTGGTGTACTCTCTTTGGCCGAACTTCAATAAAGTCCGCACCTTGATGCCTACAGCATGTCGGTTTGTTCACCTCGTCTCCGGGTGGTATACTCGGAGAAGCACAGACCACCTCACCGACCAATTTTGTTGTGCGCAGGCGGTGAAGGAGCCGAGCGGAGAACGCCAAGATTTCCTCACCCCCAAATTTTTCGTAGCGGCTACTTCGACTCGCCTTCCTTTGAGCATCTGGGCTTTTCCACGGGACTATGGATGACATCGAGGTTAGTGAGACGGCGCATTCTATCTGTCCATCCCGCTAATTCAATATAGGAACGGCTGCGCAGCCATGCGCAGGCATTCGACGGTTTACTGTCCTTGATCCCCGCCAAATATTATTACGGCGACGACAATACCAGTGTATGTGCGCTCTCTGATCTTCTCAGATCGGCCCTTCTGCCTATTTCTGCTGCTCTGCTTCCTTCGTCCACTTCGTTTTGAGGATTCCCTATCTAACGACCGTCTGCACCTGCAGGATCAATGGAAACGGAAAAAACAGACTAAAGAGCAAGCCCGTGAGGCGAAACGTGCAAAGTTGGACCCCGAATCTGCCAAGACTGCCAAAGACGTGATGGATGAGAATGCTCGCAAGCGCAAGCGGGAGGATGGTTCCCTCGAGTCCGATGAATCGGATGATGAAGAACTTGGCTCCGAGTTGCCCGGAGAGGGTCTCGCCCGGGGAGACAAGGCCAAGAAACAGAAGCAGACAGAAAAATCCGACTCTGCGTCTACAGCAAAGTCAGAGGAAGCCGAGGCTCGGAAGAAGCTGAAGGAAGAGAAAAAGCTCCAGAAAAAGGCTGCGCAAAAAGAGAAGAAAAAGGCGAAGGAGAGTGTCAAGAAGGAAAAAGTGCAGCAGAGTCAGGAGCAACCCACCGAAACTTCAGAGAAGCCAACTCCGAAGAGCAACGGTGTTGCCGATGAGCCTGCGGCATCCGACAACGAGGATGGCAGTGGCCCCGAGGACGGCGTCGCCGAGGAAGGATTCTCAGTCGAATTCCATGAAGAGCCCGAAGAACCCTCTTCCGCCTCATCCACCGGCAACTCCCCCGATGTCTCGAATCCTCAATCAGGCAGCTCCTCCATCTCCTCCATCGTCCCCCCATCTACCTCCACCGATGCCAAATCCTCCGAGCCGAAAACCCTGAAGGCCACACCAGAAGAACTGAAGCAGCGCTTACAAAAGCGTCTCGACGAACTTCGGGCAAAGAGAAATGCCGATGGCTTCAACGGCAAGCCTGCACGCAACCGTCAAGAGCTCATCGAAGCCCGGAGACAAAAGGCTGAGCAACGGAAGGCACACAAGAAGGAACTGCGCCAAAAGGCCAAGGATGAAGAGCAGCGTGAGAAGGATGAGGCCATGGCCCGCCGGTTCTCGCCGGGCGGTTCTGGATCTCTTCTCGCATCTCCTCGCTCCCCAGCCGAGTCCGTCGGGTCCTCCAGCAACAACTTCTCGTTCGGTAACGTCGTCTTCGCGGATGGCCAGGTCACCGATATCTCGCTGTCAACCACCCGCGATAAGCCAAAGGCCCATGGTCCCAAGGATAAGGATGCCGCCGCCCAGCTCAAGGTCGCAGAAGCCAAGAAGGCCCGCCTCGCCGAAATGGCCCCTGAAAAGCGCGCCGAGATCGAAGAGAAGGATGCTTGGTTGAACGCCAAGAAGCGTGCCCATGGCGAACGAGTTCGTGACGACACATCCTTGCTGAAGAAGGCCCTCAAGCGCAAGGAGACCGCGAAGAAGAAGTCCGAGCGCGAGTGGAAGGACCGCATTGAAACCGTCTCTCGCACGACCGCCCAGCGTCAAACCAAGCGTGAAGAGAACCTGCGTAAGCGCCGTGATGAGAAGGGCACCAAGGGCAAGGGCAGCAAGAAGCCTGCCAGTGGTGGCAAGAAGAAGTCCCGCCCTGGCTTCGAGGGCAGCTTCAAGGCCAAGGTTGGTGGTAAGAAGAAATGATCTCCGCCATCCGGCCTTGTTCTCGGGGCTGCAGTTACCTCGACCATGGCCTTTTTCCTTTCCGCTTTCGTTCCAAGCTTCTTACGTCCCTCGGGAACCTGTTTTGAAGCTGAGAAACACCCACAACTTAAAAAGAAAAGTGTTTTAAGACATCGATCTGGGAAATATCCATCCGGGAATTCTGGTGTTTGGTGTTCACGCTGTGTTTCAGCGGCATGAGTCGTCCGTTATGTCTTGTATGTACGTCAGCATGGGTAGCGATCCATCTTTTATTTGTGAATACAAATATCATTTTGTTCAAAGCCTTTCCAATTTTTTCAGGCTTCTGCTCACCGTCCCGTCTCTGCCATAATTTTGCGAGTGCCCAACCCTGCAGAGTTATAGCTGCCGCCTCATGCCAAGCCCAGTGCCGCATATATACCTAAAAAAGCGGCAAGCGACCACCATAGGGGAAATCTCGAAGTCGACATTCATAATACCATGAAATCATGTCACAAATTTATATTGTTGGTGTAATTTGAGCTTTGAAGAAATAAAGAGACCTGCTATTCCAGAACAAAGGAAATAAGAAAAGGAAAAAAGGACAAAGGAGCTGGGTTTCCGAACGAAGCGAAAAACTTCCTTTGGGGATCGACTAGTACAACAGAGTGGTAACACAGGGTCGAGGGCGAGTTATGTACAGGATGTGTTGGGTAGGAGGGCAAATATAAAGCCCTTTTCTGGGGGTTCAATGCAAGCCAATTGGCGCATTTTGAAGGGGCCCGCGTCTCCTTCACGGGTCCCAAATCATCATTCGCATATCCGAGGTGTCGAGTGCCGCAATAGACACCGGCGAAAAGGCGATTCGATTATCGGTAAGGGGCATCGGCGCGAGCAGCGGCCGCAATCTCGGGCTCCCACTTGTCGCCGTTGGCGAGGAGCTTCTCCTTGTTGTACAGGAGCTCCTCACGGGTCTCAGTGGCGTACTCGGCATTGGAAGCTAACACACAATCCAGTTAGATAATGCTTTGTAGCTTTTCCAGTGGGTTCCCAAGACTTACTCTCCACAATGGCGTCCACGGGGCAGCTCTCTTGGCAGTAGCCACAGTAGATGCACTTGGTCATGTCGATATCGTAACGGGTCGTCCGGCGGCTTCCGTCCTCACGCTCTTCCGCCTCGATGGTAATGGCCTGGGCCGGGCAGATGGCCTCGCAGAGCTTGCAAGCAATGCAGCGCTCCTCACCAGTAGGGTAGCGACGCAGAGCGTGCTCACCGCGGAAACGGGGGGAGATGGGGCCCTTCTCGAAGGGATAGAAGATGGTGTAACTAAGGTACAAAAAGATTTCGTGTTAGTCCGTCTAAGCTTAATTGACCCTGTCGAGCATGCGATGTGTCTTATGGCAGTACTTGGAAGAGAGACTTACGGTGGGCGGAAAAACTGCTCCAGCACCACGTACATGCCACGAAAGATCTCTGCCATGAGGAAGTACTTGCTGGCCTTGTCGAGGGAAGACTCGGAGCCCTGATCCCAGCGCTTAGGCGGGGGCAGACGGAAGCCGGGCTGAGGGGGGGCCCGCTGGGGTTGCTGCGCGGGACACCGAGGAGGAGAAGTTTGCGGTCGAACCCATAGGCAGGAAGGGGGTCCGGCGGTAGGCGACCAGCCTGGCGACCGAGCGGGAGGTGGCCATGATGGATCGGGGAGGGGGCGAGGGGATTGAGATGAAGGAGAGTGGGGTGGGAGGAGGGAAGCAAAGCTGGAGGCAGGGGAAGAAGTACTGGCTGGTGAGGTTGAGGGGTGTTTGCAGGTTTCGAGCTTAGGTCATTCCTTTCTGCCGGGCGCTGATTGGCCGGTGGCAGGATTTTGCGAAGGAGCATCACTTCCGACCATCTTCTTCCCTCTCTTCCCGTCACCTCGTCCCCCATCCAACCCTTTCGTTGCTCCCCACTTTCCACTTCGATCTCTCTTTGCTCGATCCGAAGCCTTTGCGCTCGCTCGATCTCTCCATTCACCATGTTCCGCTCCGCGATTGTCCGCTCCTTGAGGGCGTCCGTCCCCCGTGCCGCTGTCAAGACCCCGGCTGCCTTCCAGATCCGCAGCTCCCCCATCGCTGCTCGTGCCTCTCAATTCACTCCCTGCTTCGTCTCCCAGACCGTCAGACTCTACTCCGCTCCTGCCGGTCTGGCCAAGAACGAGGTTGAGGGCCGGATAGTCAACCTGCTGAAGAACTTCGACAAGGTGCGTCAGAATGCTATTTTTGTGGACTCGTGATAGGCACTGGCATCGCGAAGCCAAGAGTCCAGAGGCCTCAAGGTACTAATACTATCGCGCTCCTTAGGTTTCCGACGCCAGCAAGGTCAGTTTTGATGACGCGATATACCTATCGGTTGCCCTCGGCATAGCTACGAGATACGATCGGGACTTCGGAACGAGACACTAACTGATACCGCGGCGACGATTAGATTAACGGCGTCTCCCACTTCGCCAACGACCTTGGTCTCGACAGCCTGGACACCGTTGAGGTGGTGATGGCCATTGAGGAGGTACGCGATCCATTTCTTTCCCTCGGAAAAGATTGCCACCATGCAGGTTGCTAAATATCACGCCAACAGGAGTTTAGCATTGAGATCCCCGACAAGGAGGCCGACCAGATCCACAGCGGTAAGTCCAGATCGTGGTGGCCAGTGCCAAAATAACAGCGCGCGAGTGAGGCTAACCTGTGATTGTGCGAATAGTTGAGAAGGCTGTCGAGTACATCCTGGCTCAGCCCGATGGTATGCTTATTACTTCCTGTCCGTTGTCACGGTTTACTTATACTGATTTAAATATAGCTCACTAAATACCTAATTGAAAATCCCGGGGACCGGTTGTTCGGGAGGTCGGATAGAAAAAGAATCGGGATGGTGGCGTCAGTCAGGAAGTTCGCTCCAAGGGGCGTATCTTCATGGCTTTAGGCGGTGCTCTGTATGCTGAAATACATGGCAGTGATTTTTCTCATTCTTCTATATCGTGTATATCATCTTGAATGCAGTTTTGAAGCAGTATCGGATTGCGGGCCGCCGCTCCTCTCCTCTCCTCTCCATACCTCTTTTCTCTGGATTCTCCAAGGAATCTATGGATCTATATATCTAACACAACTGATGTCCTTTGCGATTGTGCTCATTGCGAAAGGAACAAGCTAGACCGGAGACCAGATTGAACCCAAGTGAGATGTCGCAGATGATGCTCCAACAGGACAAGAAAAAAATCAACAATTTATTGTAGATTGGAGGCGGGAGTATGCAGCCTGATACAACATGCAGAACTACCAAGAGAATAAAAATCAAAGCAAACCCACGCATGGGTTCGTTGCAGATAAGATCATGGAGTATAGAACTATGGCGAATGGTGTTCGTTGTTTGTCGGGCGCAGTCTGCTAACGGCGAGAGGAGCCACCTCGCCTGCTCGAACGAAATTCAACCCCCAACCTATCCTTCCTGGAGCACGCTTCGTCTCATTTCCTGAATTCTTAGTTCAAGGTCTTTTCCAGGGCACTGGCTGATCGGATCTCTCGACTATCTCTCCTTGATCGCCTGTCAACCCACTCGGTCCCTGGTTTCCCCTGACGCCGGGCGGTCCCACTTCAGAAAGCGGCAGTGGCAGACTTTCGGTCTACGCGGTAACCTCTAACATCTCTCTTCAACACGGACAATACATGCCCCCAGCGACTGGCACGCAGATCGGCTTCCTGTGATCGAAACAGAGATCTCCCCGCGGTCTCCTCACTCCCACTCCGGCTCTCTACGTCCTCTCTCCCCCCCCCCCACCGCCCCCAAACCGTATCCCCATGTCCTCCGGGGGCTTGACTCGCCGACGAGGCGGCGGTCGAGCCGCTGGCGCAGACGAGCAAGATGACAGCCGCGTTTCATCGCCTATTTCGAGGAATGGTTCCGCGATGGACACCCGTGGTCCGGAAACTTCGTTCACCAGCGCAGAGAATGGTCACAAGATCGCATTCGACCCCCGCGACCTCAGCGAAACCGAAGAGCGGAGCAAGCAACCGAAGCTGACGCTGATGGAAGAGGTGCTATTGCTGGGACTGAAGGATAAACAGGTGAGACTTGGAGAAAGGGAAAGGGATAGAGGCGCGGTTGCTAGCCGATTGGGGACTCGAAATGCTGACTGGCGACTGCTTTGCGATAGGGCTACTTGTCCTTCTGGAATGAGAACATTTCCTATGCCCTGCGAGGGTGTATCGTCATTGAGCTTGCGCTTCGCGGCCGGATAAGCATGCAGAAGGATTCGTCGCGGCGACGCTTTCCCCTGGCCGACCGCATCATCGAGGTTGTCGACGATACATTGACCGGGGAAGTCTTGCTGGACGAGGCGCTGAAGATGATGAAATCGAGCGAGAAGATGAGTGTTAACTCGTGGATTGACTTGATGAGTGGTATGTGTGCCATGGGGTGGCGAAGAGATATTGCAATCTGGAACTGATGCTGACCGGGGTTCTTCTCGACAGGCGAGACCTGGAATCTGATGAAGATCGGATACCAATTGAAACAAGTCCGCGAGCGACTGGCCAAGGGCCTTGTGGATAAGGGTATCCTGCGGACCGAGAAACGAAACTTCCTTCTCTTCGATATGGCGACACACCCTGTGGCTGACGGCGGCGCCAAGGACGACCTCCATCGGCGAGTGCGCAACATCTGCAGCAACCGCACGGTGATTATTCCCCCCAGCCCATGGCTTCCCGAGGACGCGGAGTTCCGGTACCTTCGTACGGTGGCGATGGTGTGTGCTGCCTATGCGGCCAACGTGTTGGAGAACGCTTTGGTTACCATGAGCCACGAGTCTCGCGAAAGAGCTTTCGCACAGGTGGATGAGCTGCTGGCAGAGTACTCGCAATGGCCATTTGCTCGCCGGGCAGGCGGTTCGCAGGCGATCGGAGCCAACCTGGCCCAGTCGATCAATGACGAGATCAACCGAGGCAACAAGGATCGGGAGCTCCAGTTGGAGGTATGTGTTTTTCTTCTCATTATATCCAGCTTCGATGATGTACTAACCACGATATAGATTGTCGCGGCGTGCTTGAGCGTTTTCACCAGACTTGATTCCTTACTCTAAGCGGATGTACCGTGTCGGTTCTAATACACTTCCTTTTTCTTCTTCTTTTTCTCTATATCTCCCCCGCCTCCCCCCCTTCCTCCCACTTCTCCATGGTTTCGCACGTTGTGTCCTGGCTTTTCCGAAGGGACCCGGTTTCTTTTCTGTTCAATCATGTAGTTTCATCATGTGCGTTGGGAATTGGGCAGCAGCATCTTTTTGATATTGAACTGTTGGGTCAAAATTCATTCTTGTACGGGATATTTTATGGACTCTTGATCTACCTGCCTGACCACCAGGGCGTTCTCTTTTGATCCTTCTTCTTGTCGCTCAATTGTCTACTTTATTTGATGGCCCTGAAAGCCCCTCTCCTACCTACGTCTCCGCTCATGGCTCCAGACGGAGCCCGCCTCGATGATGCAGCTGATGTGGTTCTCAAGGTGATCATGGGCACAGATAGGTGCAGGGCGAGTTGACTGGCTCTTTCAATCCAATTATTCTTCGAATGCACCTATGTCTCAAATTTCTTTCCGTCTCCATTGACTTACGTTTTTTGTGGCTTTACTCACCCGCTCGATGTCCCAGCATACCCACCAAGTCACTATCTGGGTTCTTTGCTCTACCTGAAATTTTTGATTTAACTTTATCGATTTTCCTTCTATCGTGTTTATTTTTAATTTACTTTCGCAGGAATTTTCTTGGATTCTCTTCGCGTTTTGCACGGGTTTGGGCTATTGGCGAGATATATTAAAATCGCTACTCTGCCAAAAGCTGATAATTCCATGGCAGATCCCTCCAGTGACTAGCAGTTCAGCTCCAGGCACGTTGGACCATCAATCTCAAATTCAAGCTTTTATACGAAGCAATCTCGCTTACACACACTTTCTTCCTGTTTACAAATGGCCCTTCCTCTCCCTCTCATCGCATCGTACTCAATTGACACGAACAACCATCATCAACCCCCGTCGAGCAGCACCAGCACCCAGAGCATGATCCTTCAACAACGTGTCCGCATGCATGAGGTCGGTAACCTGCTCCGGCCTGCCTCGGACCATATTGCTCTCTACTAGCTCCACAATGCGCTCCAGCGCTGCAGCATCAGGACTTACGGGGACAAACATGGTCTTCAGACCACGCTTCCTTCGGCCGAGGGAGTCCAGTGGATCGGCAATAGCTGCCTCCTGCGCCGGCCAGGGATCAACTGCTGTCAATACAGCGCCCGAGTCCCTCACAACAGCCGGTGAATGGGTCTGTTGAAAGACAACTCCTCCAAAGCAATCCAGGACAACATCGACAGGATCCCACCTGCGGGCTCGGAATATATTTCCGAAGTCGCACTCATTGGCTGCTGGGATATTCGGGAGGACGATGACCTCGTCCACGTCCCAGCCTCCGCGGACGATATCCCCTTCAGTTGGTGTGCAGGTCACGCAGATCCACGGCCGCTCGGGGAACGGGAAGAGCTTTTCTGCGCGAAGAAGCTGCACAGCAATTCGACCAACTTCGCTGCCCCGTGCGTTAGTGATCAATACACGTAGCTGCTGCTGCGATCCCCGTCTCCTCCTCCACAGACCGCTCCCTCTTCGCCAACTACGGCGGCGGGCACCGTAGCCATATTCGTTGCCGGCTCCATTCTCATGTCCATTTCCGCCTCCGCTTGAAACACTGTTGGCATTTTTCATGAGCCAGGCTTGTCCATTTGCAATTCCGGTATTGATTCCGTCCATGCTTTTCCTCAGCCAATTATGTCCGTTGCCGTTACCAGTGCCGTTTTTCTTTTCATAGTCGCTCCCATTCGCGTTTCCGTTGATATGAGCATCGTCACTCTTAGCATTCCCTCCGAAAATGCTTTTCCTGAATAGGCTTTGTCCGTGGCCATCGCCATTGTCGCTTTTACGACCGCTTTTAATGCTGCTCTTGCCGCTCCCAATGCTGCCTTTATGATGGCCATTCCTAATCCCATTCGCTTTCGCGTTCGCACTTTCTTTCCCGTTATCATTGCCATTCACCGATGTACTGGGCTCAATTCCCGCATATCGAAACAGCGCCTGCCACGCCGTCAACCCAGGCAATGCCAACGCCGCGGCCTCCTGGGCACCGATATTACCGGGCTTCGGCGCAAGCTCTCCCTCTGTGGCCACGGCATAATCAGCCGCGCCACCATCGCGGGTATAGCTCGTCACGCCCCAGACAGCATCACCGATCTTGAATTTCGATCCTTCAGGCCGGTCATTGTCTTGCGTCGGGCTGCAGATCACCGTGCCGCAGATACTGTGCAGCGGGATCTGTGGCGTGGTTTTCGGTGGGTTTAGCGCTGCGGACAGACGCATCTCGTCTTGGCAGAATGCCGCAGTCTGCACTTTGAGAAGGTACTCCTGGGGCGATGGCTGGGGCGTTGGGAAGTTCGGGTCCAGGACGAGCTCTGTGCCTGGGTTGCTGAAGCGGCGTGGTTTGGGGCTGGCCGGACCGTTGGGTATCGGTTCCATCATTGACGTGTCCGTTTCCGGTGCGAGGGAGTAGTAGAGGGCTCGCATTGAGCATTTAACAAACGGCTGTGCGTTCATTTTTGTCGAGACACGTTTGCCTGTTGATGAGACGCGCCTGTCTGTGTTCATGCCCGGCGTGGGGATGTCGGCTGCCTGGCTTTCCGAGTAATTTGATGGTGAGACGTCATCTTCTGGTATCACAGAGATCTCATCTCTCGGCGACGGAGGGTTATCGCTTAGGGGTGATACAACATCCATTGTCAGCGTGGTTTAGCTTGAAATTATTTGTTCATGTATCTGCTGATTCATTCTTAATTAAGGCCCCCCCCCTTCTCCTTATCAGAGTATGTAGAGAATGTGACCCTTGTTCTAATGTTGACGTATGACAGACGTTAGGTCGGCGTCGCCACCAGCGGCCTCCAGACTTGTTCGGAGTTTACAAGCGAGAACAATTATGCTCTGCAAATTCTTTCGGCTTACCCAGGAACAGCATCAATTGGAATGGGATTAAGTTCCTAGCTTTTTGAAAACGCGTAGATATTGCCCGAAGTTGTGGGAGGACATGGTGATGGAAACATTATGAATGAAAGAGCACAGAATATGTACATCAGACGAGAGCGATGGTGATGTTTACAAGGCCTGATCCTCCATCCCCAGCTTGTCAACCACATCATACAGCTCCTTCGTGTCTTCAAAGACAGTCCAGACGTGAGCAGGAACATTCTTGAACGCCTCCGCAAACCGCTCGGGCCTATTCTTCTCCTCCATATGCTCCACATCAGTGACCTTCCGGATGAGGATTGCATGGATCCAGTCCGGGTAGCGGCAGTACATCTCCGCATAAGCCTCCGGGTCCTTCTGTGTCGAATCCCCAATGCAAAGCACACGGCGGCGTGGGAACCAGCCCCGGATCTTCTGCATCCGATCGACCTTGTACTCCTGCGTCTTTTCAGTAAAGGACTTGATGAGTCCGTTGATGTCCATCCAGGAGTAATCACGCAGAACGAGCGTTCCCGGGCAGTAGTACGTGTGCAGGAACTGGTGCAGGAATGGGTACAAATTGTAGGGCGAGGCCGAGAGATAGAACCAGGTCGGGTTGAGCTCGCCCTGCACATGCCGATAGAACTCCGGCATGCCGGCGATAGGCACGGGCTCCTCGGCGAAGGTCGTGCGAAGAATGCCCGTCGGCTCGCTCGTCATCGTGCGCTTGATCGTGTCGTCGATGTCCGAGATCACCATCCAGCCCTCAGGCCCGGCAAACCGCGTTTCCATCGTCGCAGCCGGCCCAGCGAAGCCCCGGACCCGCGGGTGGACCACCGTGCCGTCTATCACCCTGGACGCGTCTAGGTCGACTGTCTGGCTAATGATGCCGTTGCGGTCGGAGGGGCCCAGCGGAAGCGTCTGCTTGGCTCCGTCCACGGCCACATCCAGCGTCACCGTTCGCGCGGGAGAAACCCGGTCTAGGAATGGCTGCAAGCGCTGCACCATAATCTCACGGGTCTCCTGGTCGCCGCCGTATTCCCCGTCAATACCGGAGTGGTCGGCGATTGTGGCGATGACCTGGCCGACATCTTCCCGGCCCTCCGTCTCGAAGATGCATGCAACCACCTCTGCCTGCCATGACTGTGATGTGCCTTGCTCCGGTGCGTCCAAGACAGGCTGATAGGCCGTGTTATCCAGCAGCCACACGGTGTTTCTGTGTGGGTCCGCCGCGTGGGCGAGCGGGCTCTTCGAGCCCATCAACGAAGAGAAGAAATCCAGGAACGCAGAGCCACGTCGCTCTGGCACTGCTGGCCGTTGCGCGGGATCTGCGTTCCCAGTTTCACTCTGCTTGGTGCCCGATGCCGAAGGCTCGGCCGGCTGGTCTTGCGCCATGATGATGCGCTTCCAGCCCCGTATCCTCTTGCGCAACGAGCGACCCGTTTTGACGATTTTGGTGGGTGTTTGATGTTAAAATTGTATTGAATTAGTATGGTAGGACGGAAGCAGAAGGAGTTTCAGCCGACCGGTCTTGGAAATTCCCCAGGAGAGGCAGTCCACATTCAGAGAAACGTTCGGAGGGGCTCATCAGGGGAAGCGGCGCTGATCATATACTCCGTAGCGGGTGACGGTCTGCTCTAGTGCCCACGGGCCCCCAGGAGCTATTGCGCCCAGCTTCATTCCTTCCCCGCCTGATCGCTCTCGGGCTCGCAGGAGGCTTTGAGGCTGCGGACGCGGGGCCGGGCCAGACGAGTGCCCTGGTGACTGCCATCATTCGACAGCGTCAGGCGAACGGACGTGGCTTGGCAGGGCTGAACCGGTTACCAGCTGCAGCCGGTGACTTGGGGCGCTGCGCCGGGGGAAATGATTGACACGAACATGAGCAGGAATGACTTCACGCCTAGTAAAAATTCCTAGGTTCCGAGTCGGTGGGCTTGGAAGTATTCGAGTGGTAGGTCTATTTCTCACAGCCACAACCCAGCAAAAATGTACTTGTGGTACGGTACGGCTCAAGCGCGGGTGCGACAACCACGAGGTGGATCTGTACGACAGTCACGCGATTTTGATGTCAACGAGACTGACTTACCTACTTTTATCCTGGAGGTTTGTGCCGTTCAGTCGTTGCTTTTATAAGTGCGATGCCTTTGACCAGGCTGCTCGAGAAAGCACGAACCCCACCAGGCTACCTATTTTACTGTACATCTAGAGACAACATTCCGTCTATCACAACACGATCTATATCCTAAAATCAGCCCACTCGCCGACCATTTTGACGCCAGGGCCCAACTTCCTGAACCTATTTCAGACCAACATTTTTGTTACGAATTTTCGAGGTACTACTTACTATGCATGTAAATGAGAAAAAGGATACATTTGCGAAGAGGGGACTATTACTTCCCGTAGTCGACTGCTCGAGACTGTGCATAGAAATTCAACCTGCACTATTCAAGCCCGTGTGTTGAGGATAACCTCTGGTCAAGATCCGTGTACATTAACATTTCACCTTGATTGCTTGCATAGAGACTCAACCTGAGACAAGAATCGCACGAGGGTCAACATAGGGTTGCGCCTTGCCTTACCCCAATCCTGAGATATACAACACTTACGCCAGTGAATTTGGGATGGGCTACAAGCCATCGCTTCCTCGCACAGTATATCTACCGCGTACCTTTCCTCAGTAAAGGACAGCGCCTCTTCAATAAAACAAATGCAAGTTATATATGGACCTTCATACTTGTGTTGAAACAAACCTCTCCACTTCCGATCCGATTACGTCGATCTTTAGGCATGAACAATTCGCCTTCCATACTCGGGCAACCCTCTCCACGGCCATGGAAATACCTCGGCCCCCACCGAACACGATCCCCCGGAATTCCTAATTGTAACGAAGAAAATCCGTTCATTTACAATTCAGTTGGTCATTCGCTGACACACGAATGGCCAAGACATCGCACAGCCGAAGGTACACGAGGCCAAGGAACGAACACCGACAATCGGGAAAAACATGTAGCCAAAGATCAGCGCAGAGGATCATGCGGTGTCTAGAATGCGATACTATGCATAACAGGGAATTTGGGAATTAATAAAAACAAAGATTGGTTCAGCGGCGATGGACTTTTTGATATTATGTTGGCTGAATGACACCTCATGGAGGAGGAGATGGAACTTCGCCAGAATAGGAACAAATCTCAATGTGTTTTCTGAGGGTTCTGGGGATACGCGGAGCACCCTACCGTTCCATTGGCCACGGGTCTTGCGTTAATGTTGGTTCGACCGGAGACAGACAGAGCCAGCCTTTGAGATCTTGGCCAAGGGGAGATGCGAAATGCGGTTGATAGATCCACGCGAACCCACTCACAGCCAGGAGAGCGGAACATCAATGCTTCCCGATTTGTGCCTGTCAGGCTTGGGAAGATCCTCGCTGCTGCTGCCAGGGCTGATCAAGGGCTGGAGCAATTCCATTTGCCGGGCTGTTCCTCTGCTTCGAAGGATTGGGGAACACAAACACTTTTGGGGGTGTTCAAGAATGCATAATATGAATATTTCTTGTGTCGTAATGTACTATGGATCAGTGCTTTAATCCACTGAACTTTCCACCCTCACCATCGCTTTGGTGCGGAAATTTCAGTTCGCGAGAATGAGGCACTAACAGTCTCCTTGCCCCGCTGCCGCTGAATCTCCTTGATTCCAGTGCGGTCTGTGACCGTAGTCGCATTGATAATGTTGTCGAAATCCTCGTCCTCGCTTCCAGCGGAGCCAGATTCGGCATCTGAGTCCACATACACAGCCTCTGGCCGCGCAATCTTCTCCGGTTGCTCCTTCTCCAACGCGGGTGGGTTCTGGAATGCTTTAGAATCAAGGATCTTGCGCCGAATCTCAGCCATCTGTTCTTCGTCTTCGGAGTCGTCAGAGATCGCAAACGGATCTTTGTCTGCCTCATCTTCGCTTTCTTCCTCGCCCTCGGCCTCGCTGCCGTCCTCTCCGCTTTCGTCTTCGTCTTCGTCCTCGGAGTCTTGGGCGGCGGGCTTCCGATTGGTATTTCCGACTGTCCACATGTCGTCTCCTCCTTCCACACGGCTATCCTCGTACTCTTGTTCAATCTTAGCAAGCCACTCCTCTTCCGTCCGCTTCACGTCTTCTTCTGTCTGGCAAGCGGCATATCGGCTGAGGAGTTCGGAGTTGATATCCAAAAAGGCTTCTCCATATCTGAAGTTCTTGAGGATCTCCCTGGCCCAGTCCTCATGTCCGCAAATGCAGAAACAAGCCGCGAGCGCTTCGACACAGTTCAATCGCCAAGGCTTGCCGTAGTTGACGGTGTTGGCAGCAATGAGATAGGGTACTATGCGTTTTGAAAGAGTCAGTTCAAAGCGACGTCTTGTACCGCCCTCGCGCAACCTCATTCACGTACGTAGTCGTTCGCATTTTCCACCGATTCGCGACCAAGGCACTTCCTTGACTCGCACCCAGGAGCACTCCACCACGGCTGCGCCATGTTGTTCCATAAGTTCACGGTCGGCAGGGGATATGACTTTCTTCGCATTAGGCCTGGTTGTCCAGCTGTTAGCAGGCGAAGCACAGAACGAACAAGCGGGGTGCGCATACGAAACGATCACGCCAGGAAATCGCTGGCCAATATGAAGCTCCCGCATCAATCCCAACTTCATCAACTTTTTCCCCGAGCATCGCTTCGGGTCACAATGTCCCATGTCCCAGCAGGCCGCTCTGAAAGCAGGCCGTGAGGGCGCAGCGTCGTCGCCATCGCCATCGCCGCGGGGCACCGGTCGGGGGCGGGGGTGCGAGGACTTCTTGCCTCCCCGTGAGAAGTTGTCTTTTTTATGACGGACCATGACAGAGAACCAGCAAGATGAGAACAGAGAAGAATTTGGGATCGTTGAGGCTCGAGGGTGGGTTGCGTTGGGAGTTCCAAAAATTTCCAGTCGAAGCATAAGCGCCACATGTGCAAGTTACTCCGCCCGCCCTCCTCCAGTCTCCATCAAACTACACAACTTCCAAGGTTGCGGGGGCAGGGCTTCTTCCCACATCGAACTGCGCGTGATAACAATCCGCACTCCTCTAATCCAACCTCTCCGATCATTTCCTTCCATCATTCCCCCACCGTCACCCTGGAGGCTGCTTCCGCACGCATGGCGGCTAGGGACCGCTTTGGTGCCTATGCTGAGCCGGGGCTATCACCGCTACAGCGGGCAATTCGTGAGCTAGGCCCTCCATCCTTGATACTGCGAACCGACAAAGGTGGCTTTCTGACGTCTATCATTACCTAGGGAATGCATGTGATCCACAAAACTACGAGCCCAATCTGGCCCTGAACCTCGAAGTCGCGGACCTGATCAACTCCAAGAAAGGCAACGCGTGAGTCGCAGGCGTGGAAGCACCACAACATCGCGCAATGCTAAAACTGTTGTTTCCTTTTGCAGACCTCGAGAATCCGCCGTCGAAATTGTCCACCTTATCAATGCTCGGAACCAGAATGTCGCGTTGTTGGCTTTGGCGGTAGGTTGATCCGATTCGGGTGTAGATGGCAGGCTGGCGCAGGGATCAGGCTAACTGTGCGCTTTTCCACCCAATTAGCTCCTCGACATCTGTGTGAAGAACTGCGGATATCCCTTCCATCTCCAGATCAGCACAAAAGAGTTTCTGAATGAATTGGTCCGGAGGTTCCCCGAGCGGCCGCCTATGCGCCCCTCACGGGTCCAGCATCGCATCTTGGAGTCGATCGAAGAGTGGCGACAAACCATCTGCCAAACTTCGCGTTACAAAGAGGACCTGGGGTTCATTCGGGATATGCACCGCCTTCTTCTCTACAAGGGCTACGCATTCCCGGAGGTTCGCCGTGAAGACGCAGCGGTGCTGAACCCGAGTGACGTAAGTGTTTGGATTCTACAGTCGCGGGCATCGGACAATAAAACTGACTGCATTCCACCAGAACCTCCGCTCGGCCGAGGAGATGGAGGAGGAGGAAAAGGAAGCGCAATCTGCAAAGCTTCAGGAGCTGATCCGGAGAGGCACGCCCGCAGATCTGCAAGAAGCCAATCGGCTCATGAAGGTTATGGCCGGATATGACAATCGGCATAAGACCGACTACCGAGCAAAGGCTGCAGAGGAAGTCGCCAAGGTGCAACAAAAGGCTAAGATCTTGGAGGAGATGCTGCAGAGTTCGCAGCCTGGAGAGAGTGTTCCTGAAGGCGATGTCTTTGAGGTTAGTATTGAGAACTTCTCCAAGAAGTGCGCGTGATGACTGACCGACTCCATGTTATTAGGAGCTTGCAAATGCTCTGCAAAGTGCCCACCCCAAGATCCAGAGGATGTGCGAGGAGGAATCCGAAGATCCGGAGGCTGTTCACAAGCTGCTGGAAATCAACGACAGCATACACCGCACCATTGAGAGGTACAAGCTGGTTCGCAAGGGTGATTTCGATGCGGCATCGAGAATTCCGAAGGGAACGCTGGGCACCACGACCGGGGTGTCGAAGAATGCGAACAATGAGCTCTCATTGATCGACTTTGACCCCGAGCCAGCAGCCAGCCCGAATGGCAATGCCCCCGAATCATCATCGCAGGGCGGTAGTGCGTTGGATAACGACCTTCTCGGGCTCTCCCTTGGTGAAGAGGGTCCAGCTCCTGGTGGTGGAATCTCTCTGGGAGCTTCCAGTAGTCAGTATCCGATGACCCTCCGTTAGAATGTGGTAACTAACCATCCATCTTAGTGGGTTTCCCTCCTCTGCAAACTGGCCCATCCCCGCCTGCGGCATCTTCCCAACCTCCGCAACAAGCACCTGCTGCGTTCAAGCCCAACTACGACATCCTCGCTTCCATGACCTCCTCACGGCCTAACTCCCAGTCGTCGACTCCAGCCCCGGGAGCCTCTTCCCAAGTCCGCTCAACGGCGACTCCGCCGCAGGCAGGCGATCCATTTGCATCGCTGGTCTCCGCCAGCCCTCGCCCGACATCCGGAGCCTTCCAACCGCCCGCTCCGCAAGGCCAAGCCGCGTCCGCTCCGTACTCGTCCTTATTGGACTTGGCGGGGGCGCCAGTCCATCTCTGCAGGCAACGGGACAGGCAGTTGCAGCCGAAGATGACGAGTGGAACTTTGCGTCTTCGCTACCGCCAAGCAATGCTTTGCCGACGACGAACAAAGTGCAGGTGCTAAACTCGCAGCTTCGTATCGACTTCGTCGCCCGCCGGGTGCCAAACTCGCCACGCCAAATCTACATCCAAGCTGTCTTTTCCAACACGACCACCCAACCCATTGGAGAGCTGCACTTCCAAGTCGCCGTTGAAAAGGTAAGCCCCCTCCCCACCTCCTCTTCCTTGGCCTTTGTGTCGGCCTTGCTCTCCACTTGATTTGGCTAATTGGTCTCTAGTCATACACCCTACAGCTCCGCCCGCAGTCCGGCCGAGATGTTGCTCCACAGCAGCAGTATGGCGTCAAGCAGGAGATGGTTCTAGATGGCATCGACAATGGAAAGGGCAGCTCGGTGAAAATCCGCTACAAGGTTTCCTATAAGTTGGGTGCCGAGGCTCGAATGGAGCAAGGCATGGTGCCGCCGCTCGGGATCTCCTAGGCACGATACGTGAGACTCTCGACGCAAGCTGCCTTCTCTCTAGGCATTTCAGTGAACACCGATGGTCCCACAAGGTGAATGATCTGAGACTGTGTGCCTTCGCAAAAGACCATTTCACCGCAACCGGAAATCCTTCGGTGTGTCGGAACCATGCCAGTTTGGAGTGCTTCGGGGCGCGCTTGAGGGTTCCTTGACGGGCCTCGGGTATCCCTCCTCCACGGCCGCCGTCGGCTCCCTCGGGCGGCTTCGTCCTACTCGTTCCACTCTCCCCTATGCTCTGATCTACCGCTTCACCCTGCTGTTATGTCTTGCCGTATTCTCTTCATTTCGCCCTCTTTGCAAACTTAGCGTCCGCCCTCAAGCTGTTTATAAAGAATTACATTTGTGGACACCCGCATTGCTTCCACCGAATACAAATGCCCTTAAAAATTCTTGCCGCTGTCTCCAACTGCAGCGCCTACACATGTATCGTAGCTCCTCTCAGGCACCGTGCCAAATACGCTTCTCCAATGCCTCATCTCCCGAACCCGGTGTGGTGTCCGTCCCGGAAATTGGATGGGCACTTACCTGGGGTTCAACGATCTGCTCCCGAAGCTTTCCATCCATCCGACCCTACCCAAACCTGGCCCTACAACGTGTCCCAAAACAAACTCAAGCTCAAAAGCTTAAAGCACAATACGAATGCTACGTCCAAGGGGATTCGTCCTCGCACTTGTTACCAAACACCGTGGCAGCAGGAACTCCTGCCTTTCTGAGAAAGACGTTGCGTCGATCACGCCGATCCGGCACTTCTCGGAAATTCTCCCTCGAGCTGGAGTGGATGCATCACTGTACTGCAGCCCTGACATGGTGCGTAATCGAACGGCGCCATCTCCACGTTGGCTTCATGGCTTGCTCAGAAAGTGGCCCAGAGCCGTGCCAGATGGCTTCGCCCACTGCTTGTTCTCGCCTATTCACTTGGCGAGGTGGAGTGGCGCCGATGATACTCCGATGCGAGCGATTCGAGCGATTCGAGCGATTCGAGCGATTCGAGCGGGCTGATATTACCCGGTTGGGGTATTCATGAGCAAGCTTCGATCACAGTGTTCTTCTGCCAATACCAATTTGTAGGGTCCTCCGGTGAGGCCATCGTGCCGCCAGTCTTTTGATCGTCCACTTATCGGGGCTGATTGATCGGCGGTGGAGACGATCGCCCGCGATAGACTTCGTGCTCCACTATTCTTCCGAAGTAAACGCCCGATCTAACGAGATCTCGGACCTCTGCAGATAAAGGATTTGCGGCTAAACTACTGCGCAGTGATTCGGCACTACCGAAAATTCCATCATACTCGCTACACCCTACCGATTGCTATAGTTATGAGCAAACTATACTATGGTACAAGCCAAACATGTGAAGAGTTCGGGCCCATCCGACCTGCCCGAAACGACAAGTGGCGAAAGGGAAGGGTGACAAGAAATGGCCCTCGTTTCTCGACGACCTCTTTACTCAAAGCGGTTTAGGCCCGGCCGGATGAGCACTTGCAGCGGCCAGCAGCGGCTGGCTGTCAAGTCTGGGGTCCAGGCCATGGTTCCCCTCCAAGGGGTGGCGAGCCCAACAGCGAAGCGATGTTCCGCGTGGTATTAGCCATGGGAATTGGCCAGGGAGGCTTGCGCTGCAGATGATGACAGGCTTCACCGCTTGGCTCTAGGCGAATTGCAGCCTGGGTGCCTCTGGGTTCTGCATGGCGGCGCTTCTAGATGGTCGATTTCTTCGTAAAACAAAGAGGCTAACCATTCATACTTTGGGCTATGGGCAGTCTCCAATGTACTCCAATCGAGAATCTGTGGCTATCTGGGCTGACGGGCGCATTCATCGCTCCCGATAGGCTCTCTGCAGGGCTAACTGTTTAACGCTCGGGCTAGCGCCGACGCTCTGTTCTCTTCAAATTCCAATACCTCGCCGCAGTGGCGGTGCGGGCGAGTGGAATCGAGATCCGCTCTATCAATGTGCGGTGGCTCCCGTTTCGGAGCATTACTGCAAAGAGAGAGCATCCGACGAGGATCCATTGGGATGTGAGCTCAGATGGGGTGATGGCTTGATGTGTAGATTTGACGCTAAGCGTAGCCGATCATCGTTGCTTCATTTCGTGTCCTCCCCGAAGGTCAAATCTCCGCGATCGACCTGGACTGTGCAACAGACCGCGAGCCTGTGCGGGTCGGGCTGCAGGAACCCTCGTGTTGGTTGGGTAGGCTGGATTGGTTGGACTGTCGTGGGCTGGTCGGTTACCATTCAAGCTGTGCTTGGCGGCTCGATACCAAAAAGTAACGTCTTCCACGACGGATTGGGTCACGTGGGGGGGTTGTACAACCCTGCAGCCGAAGACTCTGCAGAAGAGAGCCCGGAGACTCGATGCCAACTCCCAATCTCAATCGAAATCCCGAGATCCTGCACATATATCGAACAACAAACCCGCATTGGGAAGATCTGCACAGTGGACAGTCACATCGCGGGGGAGTGACGCTTCTCCACTCCCGGTGATACCAGCGCCGGTCTAGGCCTCCCTTTCTCCCCTCCACCGCAGCAGAGCTGTTAGTCGACCCCCTCCCTCAGCCTTGCCGGAATATCTCCCTATCTCGGGGGGCTCAGTAATCCCCGGGGGGATCCCAGCAGCTGCAGGCAAGTGCAGAAAGCGAAAACCAGTCTGCGGGCCCTGAAGTCGCCCAGGAGCGGCGAATGGCATCCGGTGCCAACACCACTTATCGTTCGTATTTGCTGGGTCAGCTCTGTGGCGCCATAGAACGGACTCGCCGTTCAAATGGGCGCCCCTCCCCCCCCAACCCCCAAAGCCCACCAGGCCACCCTGGGCCGAACGGGGCAAAGGTGCGGCGCGTCCATGGCTCAACCCAAACGAGACTTTTCTCGGCGTCCAAACTGAGATCGCCCCGAGTCCCATGGATCCGCTCGAGCAAGCTTCTGCGAGAGCGCACTCGTCCTGACAGCTTGCCTCCCCCCTCCATGGAAAGTCAAATTGGGAAACGGCTCTCCAGGGTACTGCAGCACTAGGGGAAATCAGTGGACAGCGCCTGGGCCACGCTATTCTTATTTAACATGCTTCCCCCTCCTCCTCCTTGGTCCATCTCTACCCCTCCTCACTCTTCGACTGGCTGTGTATATCATCCCTAGTTCTGATCTGCACTCATCCTGGCTTTTGGTTGATCACTTACTCTTACCCACTTTTCTACACCCGAGATGATGGTCTCGCCTGATCTAGACCAGGACATCTCTCCTATCCCCCGGTCTCGGGAGGAGAATCAAGAGCGGTAAGTACCTACCTTTTTCTTGTGATGGAGACGATATCGCCTCCATTGAGCCTCTTCGGTAGTAGAAACAGAGAGAGAAGAAATAGGACTAACTTCTTCCCCAAGAGCCTTTATTGCTGCTTCGCGGCGAAAAGATCGCAGTCTGGATGCGCGGCTGGAATCTGCCAACCGGGCGTCGATGCTGCACAAGAAGCGCACCGGCAAGGCATTCCACATCACCAAGGAGATTGTTGAGAAAGAAGCCATGTACGAAGAGGTCGACGAGCGCTACCAAGAGAAGCGGATTCGCATGCTGCAAGCACAGAACATGCAGATCGAAGAGCAATTCCACCGCCACCTGCTGGCTGCCTTTGCAGCCCGAGCCAACTCTGGATCAACAGCGTCTTCTATTGCCAGCCGCCGTGCCAGCATCACCCCGCGTGCATCCGTTGATGGCGGCTCCTCACGTAAGATGAGCCTGGACCTGTCGAATCTGCGGTCTCCGTTCCCCCGAGGGATGGACTCCAACTCGATGACCAGCCCCATGACTACTGGCGGGGGCTACATGCTGTCGCCCACAACGACATTTGACTCTAATGCCCAGTCGTACATGAACTGCATGGACAACTCTCATAGCTTTCACTCCAACATGGCTACAACCGCAACCTCATCGGCTCAAATCCCGGCCTATGTTGCGCAGACCCCTGCCCCCACTTGGAACCCACAAATGGGTCCATCCTGGGCCCATATGCAACACCAACACCAGATCCCCACCCCCAACCAGACGCCCACCGACTCGCAAGCCGTGCACATTTGGCAACAGCAAATGATGCAACAAGCCCAGATGCCCACCGACGCTGCCACCACCATCCAGATGCGACAATTCCGAGACCGACTCGCTTCCGCGCCGGAAATGCCTGTGCAGCACATCGCCCCGCCGGCCGCCCCGGCCGCGTCCATATCCGGCCCCAGCGGTGGCCTCGGCCACTCCCGCGGCCAGTCCCAGCCTAGCACCAACTTTCACAACCTGCATCTCCTCACCCAGAGCACACATCTAGCCCAGATGGCTCCGTCGAGCACCAGCTCGCCCCGGATCGAAGCGCTATCTGCGGAGACTCAGTCTACACCCGACTTCTGCCCGACTCCCCACACCCCTCTGTCTCCGACTGCCCTGAGCACGGCACAGGGCGTGCCCGTGGTCAAGCAAGAAGGGGACGGGGTGATGGTCTCCCATGAAGAGCTGGACCCCGACTACAATGAGTTCAGTCAGTTCGCCTTGGGACTCGGGGGCAACTCCTCCCTGCAGGAGAGGGAGCCTTTCGGGTTCGATGAGTTCGTCGCGCTGGATGATTTTGGTACCGTCTCCTGCTAATGTCCTCACTGTCGGTTCCCCCTCCCGCCTCCTTCTTACGCTTTGTCCTCTTGTATTCTTCTTTTTTTTTTTTTTTCTTTTTTTCATCATTCTTTGCAGTTATTCTACCTCTCATTATGGAGGGGGCTACTTATTATGATTCCCCAATCTAACTGTATATGACTGCGTTGGCTTGTACATTTGCTTCTGTACCATACCTTTTCTTTTCCATTTCCCCCCCTCTGATCTATCATTTCTATCTACCTTCTTTCTGACGCCACATTGGGGATTACGTTGAAACGGTTCACGGCCGGGCGTGTTAACTTTCACGCGACTCGGGATTTGGGCTTATGATTTGCAATTGGAAGGGAAAACGAGGGAGGGGCTAGGGCGTGCTCGATTCCATTTGCGAACTTTCAGAACTTTCAGCTAGTCCCAGGGATGCGCGACATCCATGTTGCTAATTACTTTACCATCTACTGTCACGAGAGACGAAATTTCACTTTGAACCTATACCATTTGAAAACTGGAACTGGAACTGCGGCTTTTCTTTTTTGCCTCTCCCCCATCCTCGTCCTGTCCTTCTATTCGAGCTCCAAGTGTGCTCCCATGGTTTGGCCACCAGGTACTACCTTTCTGCAGTTGCATTCGCCGCAAACAATCCTCGCAGTGCCTATTCCGGCGACTATCCTCTCGTCCCAGTCGCTGCGCACTCCACTGCCTTCCCCACTGCGAGCCACTGACCACTAACCTCCTCCCACGGGCCGTGCCAGCTCCAGCTCCAGCTCGAGCTCCAGCTCCAGCTCGAGCTCCAGCTCCAGCTCGAAGCTCTAGCTCCATTGCTGGCTCTCAAACTCTGCTTTCCGATCCCACAGCTCATGTCGGTCTCTTCTTCTCGTCACGACTCGTGAAAGCTCTGGTAACACCCCGACCACCGTCCTCCACTTTGGGCCCTCGCAAGTAACCTACTGGAATGGTCGCGCTCCCGCTCCACCCTCGTCTAACCTTCCGACCCACCGACTCTGACATCACCCTCGTCTTCCCCACCGTGACTTCAGATTCTCCAGTACGTAGCCACGGTCGCATGGAAACAGGTACTTATGTCACACGTATAACCGAGCAGCGCTAAGGAAGTCTGTTGAAACATGTAACTTTTTTCCCACGTTCCCGCGCCCAAGGCTCCACTCGAAAAGCGGCTCGTTTGCACCGATGTGGCTTCGTTTCGCCTTCCCTCATGGACTATAGGGGTGTTTGGTCGTGTGAGGGGGCTCCCCGCTTGGCTGCGGAGCTGCTCGTATTTACGCTTCGCAGGATACTGAGTAGACTAGGTCGGGCGCTACTTATGAGGTCAGTTCCCGTGCCTTGCAGAGTTGGGGGCGCAGGTCTAGGGCCCATTGGGTGATTGATGAGCGCGAGGCGTTCCCGAGGGAATGGATTCGGTTTCTGCAGAAATGTGCTGTGCTAGCGTGTACTCTGTCGTGACGAATAATCATGGCTGACGGTTAGGGTCACTTTCCCGGGCGCCTCTGCGATTTTCCGAATTTGCGATTTTGCAATTTTACTTCCCTGGAGGAACAGACTATGGTGTGCAGAAAGAAGAGGTACGAAACAAGTCAAAATGGGGAGGACTAAGTGAAGTTCCTCCAGCACCGCAAATAAATTCCGCCTCCAACTAGGACTAGAACTACCTGCATGAACTAAAGAACCATGCAAATTGCGGGGTTAAGGTTGCAGCTTCCGCACGGACCGTCCATCCGCATCGGGCCTAGCGCGGCCCTGCGTACCCACGGCTCTTCAACGTCGCTCGCTCGTGGCCGCCACCCGATAGGCCGATAAGCCGAAGATCAGACGGGCGTTTGGCGGGTCGCGGTGGAGCAGACCCAGTGATGGCCAGCTGCAATCGGCAACCCCGTGCATGCATGCGGGCGGGTGATTGGCATCGTGCGGATGCCTTTTCCGGGGTTCCCGTGGCTCCCTCGGGGACGGGGGATCGGAGCCACGCATGGTATAGCTAGAGAAGCGGAGGAGGCGAGGGTTGGTACCTTGCTTGCCGGATGTCTACGATCTGACTGAGCAATTAGAAATCATGGTAGTTGCGCGTCAGGATGGCGTGAGATTTGGGCCGGATAGTGGGTGGCCTGAGAGTCAACGCGGGCCTAGACTGGGTTTCTCGCTGATATCCTGATATCGCTGCGCTGCTATAGCGAGTGGAAACCATTGAAACCGTGCAACCCGTTGAAACCCGTTGAAATCGGCCTGTGCAGCTGCATGCTGCAGCCATCCGCTACCTTGTTCTCGCTTCTTTCGAGGCTCGAGACCTGTCGGGCTAGACCATGCATAGCCGATATCATTCCCCTATCTGGCTTGCCATTCTAGACCCCCCCATCGCGTGCTGCCGTATAGCCCTACTCGATACGTCTTTCTATACGCTTTCCTCCTTCCTACTCGGTCGACGTGAGATCCTCCCAGTAACCTTCGCGCGTAGACCGGAAGCCCAGCCACCATTTGTCGATATATCCACCAAATGAGAACCCGTACACAAGTCCATCATTCGGACCTGACCAACGCCCCAAAACCGGGGGCAAGGCTGAGCCCTCCGCATAAAGAACCCGGCCAATCAGCAGTTTCATCACACGGCGAGGGGAGAGGGTGGGCCTATCTTCAGCAGTGCCCAAGCTTGGGTCGTCCCAGCCGAAGATGGCGGAACATAGCGAAAAGACCGGGCTAGACTGGCCACCCATTGCGGATTGATCCAGGGATTGCATGGGTCATTTAGGATGTCGCTTGGGGGTCCTTTCTCCAGATTCCAAATAGTGGCTGAGGTTGGGCCTTAGCGCCCCAGGCCTTGCCAAGGGTCTGAGGCGGGACTAATTGATAGGCTATCAAAAGGGTCTCGCGAAACGTTGCTCGATGGAGTATGTACTCTGAGACTGTAGATGAAAGGGTAGACCCTGAACGGAATTTTTTTATCAGCTCATACTAATCTATACAGCGCCTTCGCGGCACACTATGCACACCATGCAGCATTGCGCCGTAGCCAGGTCATAGTCGATCTCTCCCGTAATATGACTACACTACAACTTCCCAATGTAGTACACTAAAAGGCCGGGAGACAGGTACCAACGATGAACTCCCAGATCATATCTGCCAATCCGCGCGAGAACCCATCCGGTTTACACATCTTGCAGCCCATGCCCGCAACGGCAATGGACAACCAAGATAACGGAGAAGAGGAAGACCGGTGGGCACGGCAGAAAGGAAATCCGGAATCTGGTGTGGGAGGGATGGGGGGCATGCGCGAAGGCAAGGCAATTGACATCACAGCGAAATCGGGCGGAGGGAGACTGCCAAAGAGGGCGCTGGCCTAGGCCCCCACAGGAACCAGAGCCAACAACAGTCCGTATGCTCATAGGCGCGATCGGGGCCGAGGTCTCGTTCTTTCGACACCCAAGGCTATCTCCAAAATCCGTTGAGCCCGAGGCCAATACTATGTCCGACCCAGCACGACAGAGGTCGGACTTGCCACGAGGGGCCTGATTACACGGGTGCGGAGAGTCCCAGAGGTCCCAGTCCACGTCTAGGCAAGTGGGTTAGCCATGGTCCAGGAATTCCCAGATCGGGAAATGCTATAGATAGTAGATCGACTCGGCCAAACGCCGAGTCGCTTCCATTGTTCTGCTTTCTGTGTTTATGGACGAGGCTGTTCCAACGCCCAAGGTGGGACTTTGCCCCTTGACAAATTCGCGGATGCATGTAGAAACCAGAAACGAAGAGATGCTATCCATAGTGGAGAAGGACTCTGCATAGAGTAGTGATAGGGGTGAGAAATGGGGGCTAGCCTCGGCCCCAACTTTGATCAACGAAAAACAAAAACAGGCCTCCCGAAAAGCACCCGTGGACAAAACGCCGGGAAAATCAGGGCAGGGGAGACGCCAAGCAGTGACGACGATCAGACTGCGATTGTGCTGCACAAGAAAAGGAACCCATGTGCAATAAGAAATGAACAAGGTCCATGGTATTACCCAGACTAGAATACGGAAAGAGTATGTCTCGTCGTGGCATTGAGGGTTCCAGAATTGGTAATGGATTTCATCCAATTCCAATTTCCCTCTCCCCCTCGAGAGATGCCGCCAACCCTAGACACCGCCCCGACTAAACAGTTCTCGGCCAATCTCACCGCTACGGCGGACGCTCATGCTGGAAGAGCTGCTGCGGCGTCGGCGTCGGGATTCGGCCGGATCTGCGGGACTAAGGCCACTGGCACGAGCGTGCAGATTCAAGACATCAGTCAAGCTAACAACGCCAACCAGACGCCCAGACAAGCGGGCGCCTGGCAACGCTGAGGCAGGGATTGAAGGCGCGAGTGGCGGGGTAGCTCCACTTGATGAGACAGGTGGGAATGAGGTTGTGTATAAGGTTGGGAGATAGGGTGTCGCCTGGCTGGGAGGCTGCAGAGGGGGGGGTTGTCGGCGGAGGAAGAGGCGAAGGGGGCGGGGAGAGTGCGTTGTGCGATCCAGTCGTTGCGGAGGTCACCGGCGGTGTAGCCAGGGGAATATGCGCACTGGAGTGAGAGGGAGTTGGGGGCCCTGACGAAGATGGAGACATCGGGTCGGTCACCCAAAGTCTAGCCGAGTCAGTTTTCTCTTCATCTTTCTCTTCTGGAAAGCGAGCTCACCGATGTGATCGCGTCGCCACCAGCTTAGCAACTGTGTGGGCCAGTGTCGAGGTAGGATTCACATGGAAGACGGGGAACGAGTCTTTCCCTTCGATCAACCCGCGTGTAGACAAGATCACCGAAATGAAGTGCGTGCAGGTATTTTGAAGAAGCGGCAGCGATGAAGACCGTGTTAAGAGCTAAAGAAGATTAGCCAATGGTCCTTCGAAACAAGGAGGTCAGCCTACCTTAACATCGGTTGTAGAGATATTGCCAATCACGTTCAAGTGATTGTCGACCACAACAAGCGAGGATATACCCTCGGTATTCATCACTTGCAAAGCTTCGCTGAGGGGTGCATCACCGCTGGAAGTATATCAATGGTCAGAGCTATTTCGAGGCAGCAAGGATATCTTTTAGAGAACCCACTTGATGGAGATCACGTCGTGTGATCCGATCCGCAAATTGTTGAGTGCCTGCGGGTAGAGCTGCTCGATCGCAGGGAAGCTTCGCCCATTCTCCCAAAGGAACTTCACCAGTCGGAACTGACTGAAAATACCAACCACTTCCCGGTCATTGGACTCCTTGGTGACGACAACGCGATGGATACCACCACCGAAGGTCTCAACCGCTGTGAGAACATTTGCAGACGCCGGTAACGTAACTAGCGGCTCTTTCTCCATGCCCAAGCTCTTGACATCCTTGAGGGGGATCTTCTCTCCATCTCGAGCTTTCTTGGCAAGCTCATCATACGAAGTGCGGTAACCTTCTGGCGGGGAGGTCAACCCCGCTGCCAGGAGAAGATATGTGTTGAGATCGGAGTAGTCAAATGTAGCAACGGCATAATTGTGTTGAGGACTGTCGCGGATGAGAAGGACCGGGGCACCGGAATCAATCAGCACCTAAGTTGCGTCAGTTTCAAAACGACTCGTTAAAAAAGTACCGCGCCAAAAAAACCCACATTGGTTGCCTCTTCAATGCCCGTGTCCATCTCGACAAACTGCAGGTCCTCCGGACTAACCAGCTCCCCAATGGAGATCTCTCGCCAGTCCCGTCCAACAAACGCGGAATCAACATTCTTCGGCGGTGGGGGGTTATCGATCAGGCTCTGGATAGCGGACTGCGTGAGAGAGGGTTGTCGCCGAGACCGAGGCGAGCCCGGCGGCCCACGCAGCGTCTCGCTCAGGCTCTGGCGATGTTGATGATTGGCAGGAGGCATATGTGAAACGCGGAGCTGGGTCTGGCTCCGCGAGGAAGGGGGATCGGTGCTGGATCGCGGGGGCGCCGGCGCGCCAGAGTTGTCGCTGGGATTGGCAGAGGCGTTGAGGGAAGTGTCGGAGCCTTCGCGGGTTAGCTGGCGGTCTGCCATTTCCGATCCTGTCCGAACTGTCCGGTCTGACAAGAAATTGAGCCAAACAGCGAGCAGCGTGCGAAGCAGTTGAGAGTCAAGGGAGCAGGTGACGCGGGGGTTGGGCGGGCTTGCACCAATCAGCAGCCGCTGGATTCCTGACATCATTTGCTTATGTCAGTATATGTGCCAAGACATCCTAAGACATATCCAAGTCGGCAGATATCAAACGCCAGGAAAGAAAACAAAAGAAGAGGGTGAAGAAACAGACGTAGTGGATTTTGTAGTATCATCGGGACTCACCCACGGCTTCCTCGGTTTTCAAATCTCAGAGCGGGACATGAAGCTGAAAGCCCACTGCCTCCCACTGCACATCAATAGGAGTGCCGCTTAGTTTGCCTTTCGTATTTATCCAATACTAGCATATCGTAAATTTGATTATAACCCACACAGACGGATCTGGTACGTTTATTACCATGAAGTATAGGACAAGTCGTCAGCTATATTGGACATTGTCTTGCATTTTCGAAAAGTTACGAAGTGTTAGAACGGCTTCAACTAAGGTGATATCTTCACTGGCATCCTACAAAATCACATTCCGAGTAAATCACCCAGTACATCTCCCATATCCCTCCTCCCTCGTTCCTTCAGTATCCGCTTGCTACCACTCCGAGGCTGGTGTTCCTCTGGCTGTGCTCTTTTTGTGGCATTCCGTTGAGGTGCCCGAGTAAAGAAGAAGATAGACTCTGCTGCGTATCGTGCTCGCCTCTCCATTGTACCAGTGTCATCGCAATCAAGACCGCTGAGATCAAACTCCATAATTGGGATGGCTGAACCTAATATGGGGGGCGTTGACTTCGAATCAATGTCTTCAGAAGTCAGGACATCCTTGTAGACATCTAAAAGTGATCCCAGTCGTTTCAATGCGTCTCCTTTTTGCGGACCATCTGAGATCCAATCGAGTCTTTGAGCATTCCATCCTGCCACTTGAACTCCATGTTTGGTCCTGGCCGTGGGCTGACCAAACTCTTGCGTAAACTTGCGACAGCAATACACAACGACAAGCTTTAGGCGTGGTAGTTGCTCCAGCATCCAGAAAACCTGATGCGTAAGGTTGTGCTGCTCATGGATTCTCAGAACTTGTAGGTTCTGTAATGTTCCTGTAGCCTGTGCAACTTCGAGCCAACTGCGCACAATTCCATCTTCCAATTCTGCCCCATTTTCAATGCCCATGTCGGAAGATATCTTCGGAGCCCGCATATTTCTGTTGATTTCGAGGGCCACCAAGTTTTTCTGGTTGCTGATATCAACGAGGTCAGTCACGGTGGCATGGACGGTAGAAAGAGACAAGACGGCGCGCCAGTGGCATGCATCGCATTTCATGATATCCAAGTACCCCTTTAGGGGGCTTTTGGGAAAGTCGGTCTTCAGGGAATAGAACGGGCTAAGCCGGGGAAAGTCCTGTGGGTATCTCGCCGTAAAGATCTTCCACATGTACAGCGTGTTTTTATCCCTACAGGTGTGATCAGCTATGAAACCAAAGGAGCAGTCGAGTTTGATAGCAAATGCCTACCTTCGGGACAAATATTCCCAGAGCTCTCTCGCAATCATCCAAGGAATATTTTCAAATAGCTCGGGCTTTACTGCTGATTGGTCCATAAAGAGGCATCGGGTTGCCGTGTCCTTCAGGGATGAGGCACCGGCTTTCTTCTCTTCATTTCCGCCAAGCGGCAGAAACGGGCTTTCATGGTACCAGTGTGGCCCTCTGGAAAAGTCGTGCTGAGCCGATGGTGATTCGAAAATAATTGACATGGTGGAGAGAGGCCTGGTGTGAGAACGATGGTGATCAAAGTTGGCTTTTGTACACAACCAAAGCAATTCATGGTAAATGGTTCATGGCCATATTATGGCTGTCTCTCATCTCAGCTCGGGGTTATTGGCATCGCGCAGTAGACGCGTCGATAGACGCGTTCACAAGCATCAAATGTTCCCGATCGGGAAATGTGCAGTGTCGCACGTGACCTAATGTCAATTGGCAGCATGTTCAGCCATATATAAATACCAAAAAGGAAAGCCATCCGGCGATTGAAAGCTGAAAGTATAAACCAGCTCTGTGGCACATTCAAAAAATGTTCTAAAAAATATATGAAGAAAAAGCCCGCGATATGAGCGTAACAAAAAGCCGGCCATGCAATACTTTACCTATATTAGGCAATTATACCCGACCCTACGCTTAAACTCCAATATTGAAGCATTCCACATTTCAAATATTGGATTATCTTAAGATTGATGCAGACTTCTCCCCATTACTGGGTAAAGCTGGTTAACATTGTCACCTAGATGCACTCGCGAAACTTCATGCCAACCCAAACGCCTGTAGATAAAATCCACTGGTCTCTCGTCAGCGTTCACCTCATCATCGATCTCAAAAACACGAGCCTAGCTATCCCGTATTCCCATTTCCGGTTTCCGGTTTCCCCAAAGGTGATACGTCTAGTCGGTGTCTAGAAACGCAACAAGAACACCAATTTTCGAATCACTTTTGGGAGCAGCAGCACGCTTCCCACCGAGGCTGAGAGACCAGAGAGCGAGACGATGCCCCCGTGGTTGACAACATATCCCTTTCCATTATCGATGAGGTTATTCTCCGGCAATTGAGGGCATTCATCGCCGGCCATCAGCTGAGTTTCTGCAAATGGGGCACTTCTTCATACTTGCTTGGACCGATTTCTGCAGCTCAAATCTGTGTTATTTCTTCTTTGCTTCGAAAGGAACTTCAATTGAGTTAAAATTAGCATCGGCAAACCTCAAAAGGCATGGTAATATGTTGGTCTACAATTGATGTCACAACGACCACTGCCCGGCGTCATCTAGAGATCGTATATCGGCCAGAAGTATATTACGGATAGCAGATCATAAAAACGATAACAAAAAGTTCATAAAAATAAATCACGGTTCGTGCACCGGGTTTTTCCAAACCCGGAAGCGATACACGAACACCTTAAAATGAAAGTACATACAGGGGAAGCAATTCGTTACAAGCAAAAAGGGAGGAAAAGGCAAACTTATTCCGGATCCCAGAAAGGAATGGCCCGGTAGCCTTCGCTCTGGGGGCATTCGCTTCCAGCAGCGATTTTACATCACATAAAGGAGGTTCGTATCTGTCACGCAGGGTCAGCTATGCATTTTCGCGGAACTGACAAAAAACAAGAAAGGCTTGGACTGACCTAGAGGGTGACTGCAGCTCAGCTGCGGCTTTTGGGAATATTTGGACGCAAGCTCGTCACGGATGCTGTTCAGCAACTGGACATAACTTTGCTGGGGGTTCTTCCGCAGGGCAGCGATAAAGGCCCACGACATGGCGCCGGTGGCCTGGCCGGCGATCTGGGCGTCCTGACTGGTCTGGTCGTCCTTGCTGCCAGACCACATGATGACGTCCGCCGGGCTGGTCTTGGTCTGCTTGTTGCGCTCGTACACATCGTCGCCCTTGGTGGCCTTCTTGAGGAAGCCCATGGCGGTGGACATCATGCCACCCATGTCGCCCCGCGCGTACGCCGACACTACGCCCAGAAGACCCTGGCCGGCCTCCTTGGCCAGGTTGGGCTCCTTGAGCACACCAGACGTGGAGTAGATGTATGGAAGATCCAGGGCGGAGCCGGAGTGGCACGAATCGAAAATGGCAGTCAGACGAACTCCAGGGCGCAGGGTCTGGACCATGATCCGGTGCATCTCATCATCAACAATGTGGCCGGCAACCCGGAAGTCTACGGGATAGATCACTTCGTCGTATCCATCATCCTCGTCGCCGTTGAGATCTGGTGTCTGGCCACCATGACCTGGTGAATTGTTCGGTTAGTCTGAACCCACATGATGCCCGTTGCCCACCAACCAAACTCACCAGAATAGTGGAAGAACAGCGAATCGTTAGGCTGCGCATCCTTGACCAACCAGTGCATAGCACGCAGGATATTGGCCTTAGTCGGTTGGCTCATGGGATTCTGCTGATCATCGGTGAGGAGGACCATGTCTTCGCGAGCATAGCCGAAGTTCTGGTTTAGGTAGGTCGACATGTTCTTGACGTCGTTGATGCATCCCCGAAGCTGACCCTTCTGGCCGAAGTAGTTAATTCCAACCAGTAACGCCTTCCGCTTACCAGTGCAGCGCGAGTACTGGAAGTTATACCCCTGCGGGGCGCCGTGACCGAACGAGACTGGAGCGGTGGGAGGAGCTTGCGGACCTCCGCCGGATTGGTGGCCATAATTCCCTATATATGGAGGTATTAGTATATGTCAAGAAAGAACCTTCGAGGCAAAAGCGACAGGGTGGTTCGCGAACCTGGTTGGCGTCCACCTTGACCTTGGTACATGGGCTGACCACTGGGCGGCTGTTGGTATCCAGGCGGAGGTCCTTGCTAAATACGGGCGACAGCTGTCAGTGATTCCGCCAGAATATCACGAAGGGAGTACATCATGCCACGTACATTATAACCGTGCGGCGGCGCGGGCGATCCGTAGGGCTGTTGCGGCGGTTGCGGTGAATGGCTGTATCCGTACGGGTTGGACTGTTGCGGCGGCGGCGCCTGCTGTTGGTAGGACTGGCCGGGATAACCGCCATAGGACTGTTGGTGGTGATGCATCCCTCTGCGATGCCAACAAGGCTTTCGTTAGCTCTCTGGCCCGAACGAGTGTAGATGAAAAAAGGGACAAATCGAAGCGCGTACGGGTACTGCTGCTGCGGGGGGTAAGATGGTTGAGGCGGGGGGTACCCCGGGGCGCCTTGATACGGCGGGTAATAAGACATGACTGAGGGAAACCACTCAGAAACGGGGACTTCCACGCGTGTGGGGGGGGTTGTCAAAGAGAAGTGCAAGAAGCACGAGGAGGTTGGGATGGAAGATGGTGCTTGGATGTGGAGAAGGGCGATTCGCAGCAAAACAGATCGGAGGTACGGAGAGGTCCGCCAAGCCACCAGCAGCACAGCAACGCGAACGCGAAGGATAATGAAGCAAGTCGGAGTGAACGATATATCGATAATCAAACCCCCCTCAACCCCCCAGAAAAAGCAGACAATCAATGCAGGAACGAAGACCAGTGAGATAATGTCACTCTATCGCGGGCCGGATACGCTGATCAACCACGGAAACTTTGCCACTTACAAAAGCCCAACTACTGTAGATGACGATCTGAACCCTATAAGGCTGTTCTGGCGCTGATTTGCGATATTTTGGGATGCAAAAGGGGGAAAGGTAGAAGAGCAAAGCCTGGTTCGTGCCGTCTGACTTTATATCTGACATGCAGTTCTTTGGCCATCGGCGGCCCCGAGAGGCCACCCCTGCAGCCCCAAAGCCCACGACCCGCCGAGCAAGAACGAGCGAGGATTGGGCCGTGGGCTTTCAGGTGGGCGCTCCGAGGCTATGAGGCGCATGCTCCTCCTGTATCTGTGGATCCGGGACCGGGCGGGTTTTTGGAATTGTTTTGTGAGTACAGCGCGCACTGCATTGATGTAGTTACTTTCTATGCTTGGGCCATTCGCGGTTACACAAAAAAGGCTTGCCTCCCAAGGCACAGATCACATCCTAGTAGCACGTCCTACACCGAATGTGCGCCTCGATGGGTCTAAAAATTCCATAATCCCGATCGTGGCAGGTAGGAGACCGTGGGTCAGTGGGTGCCGCCAACAGGAAGGGCTTCTGGTCGTAGAGAAAGCCATCTGATATGCGCAAGAAGCTCCCAGTAGTGCGTGACTCACAAAAAGCCTTAATTGATGGACCCTCGTGGTGGGCTGCCGATCCATCAAATCTATCGCCCGCATTCAACCGATCGGGATTCTAGCAGAAGCAACGATACGTTCTGGCAAGCAAAGAGGTCCTATAACTGAGTATGTACTGCAGGAGACTATGTCAAAGCCTGAATATGAGTATGTCTACCACACTGCTCTCTTCTATGGCTCCCTTCTTCTTCTTCATATCGCGCAGTCCTCTTCCCCATAGTTCAATCAACACCGGAGTACAGGCCCACCGGTTGCTTCCTTTTTTACCGGATTTCGGTTCATTAGAAACTCTCCAATCCTCGTTTTTCCTTATTCTGTTCCCAGGGTAGGTGCCTCATGGACCGTCATCTTCTCGTGGCATTAAGTCGTCTATCAGCGACGAGGCATTCCACGGCCACGGCCCCGGAGGGCCCGCTGGCTTGCACCCGGCGGAAGACCGCGCGAGGGAGCGCCAGGCTGGGCAGACTCCTCGTTCTCTGTTGGGGAAAGGGTTCGTTAGTCAGGTACGACACAGGGCGGGGGAACAGGGACATGATCGATAGATCACTTACTGATCGTCTCATCCACACTCAGGATCAAGCAGGCGGCCTCCACGGCGGCCTGGATGGCATTGACCTTGACCAAGGTGGGTTCCCACACAAAAGCAACCATGTTGTCACGGACACCCTCATTGTCGAAGTCCACGCCAGCCCAGACATTGCCCTTGCGGTGCTCCACACGCAACCGGTTGAGGATATCGGTGGCGTCGAAGCCAGCGTTATCGCAAAGCTGGCGGGGGATAACCTCCAAGGCCTTGGCGAAGGCCTTGACCACAGCCTGCTGCTTGTGCGGGACATTGCGGTCAGCAAAGCCATGCAGGTAGCTGGACAGCTCCATCTCGGTAGCACCACCACCAGCGACAATGGTGGTGTTGCGCAGAGCGCGCTTGACAATCATGATAGCGTCGTGAAGACTCCGCTCCACCTCGGCAATGAACTGCTCAGCACCACCACGCAGCACCAGAGTGCAAGTCTTAGCAGCGGGGCATTCGGAGAAGATGTTGAAGCGCTCTCCGCCAATCTGGCGCTCCTCGAATGCGCCGCAGGTACCGAGGTGGCGCTCCTGGATGTCACTGCAAGTCGACTGGGTTGCGGCACCGGTGGCCTGACAGACTCGGTCCATATCATCAGAAGCAACACGGCCAGCACAGAAGATGTCCCGGTCCGCAAAGTACCTATATTGAAAAGATTATTGTCAGCAACAAGCACATGAAATAAAGGCGATCTTTGAGGATACGCACTGGGTAGCAAGGTCACCAATGGGCAGCTTGCTGAGCACAACCTTGGCGCCAGTCTTGTGGATGGCCTCCAGCTTGTTATAGATGATCTGCCACTCCGCATCGACGATGGCCTGGTACTCGGAGACTTGCTCCACGCGAACCTCCGCATTATCCTTCTCGCTCTTCAACTCTAGCTCGACGTTCAGACACACAATCTTGGGGTCCGTGAAGAACTTGGGTTGCTGCTCAAAACCAGCGTAAGAGAAGGTCTTCTTGAAAGCGACACCGTTGACGAAAAGGGAATCCTGGAGACCACCGCCGGTCACCTTCTTCACACCAATCAACTTCTCGTTCAGATCATCTTGGTCCAGGGAAAGCACCGCGTCCACAACCACTACAAATCACATCGCTGTCAGCCACCAATCCAAAGAAGCTACTGGGGGGCGGAACACTCACTCTTCGTAAAGAATTCCGAATTCCGCTTGATGAGCTTGCTGTTCATGGCGGTTCCTGCTAGCCGCCGGAGGGTCACGATTTTCTTGTCCTCGTTCTCTGCGGACTCGATCATGTCCACCGCAATCTCTTTGACCTTGTTGACCGCCATGGCGCTAGCTCTCCGGAGACCCTTGATAATGGTCTGCGAGCTCACACCTTGCTCAACAAGGTCGCGTACCTCCTTGAGAATCTCGCCGGCCAGGACAACCACGGAGGTTGTTCCATCACCGACTTCGGCGTCTTGGGATCGGGCGATGTCCGTAAGGATGCGGGCGGCGGGGTGCACAATATCGAGAAGCTGTCGGCCAAGTCATACGTCAATAACCAGGGTTCGGCATAGTCATTCGACCTCCTGTCAAAAAGAATTTTCCGTACCTTCATCACGGTTGCTCCATCGTTGGTAATGGTCTGCTTGCCATTGCTGTCAACAAGCAGGAGGTCACCACCGTAGGGGCCCAGGGTGCTCTTGACTGTCGACTGCACGGCAATACATGCGTTGATGTTGGAAATGATCTGACCCTTGCCCTGGGAAGCGTCGGTGCCTGTATATTCAAAGCGACAATGGTTAGCATGACTCGATGCATCCCACCAAACTGCCCGGGGGAAGCGAAGCACACGGACCCTCCTTCAGCACGACAATCGTGGGTGTCTGGCCGGCGAAGGCCATGGTGTAATCGAAGCGAGGACCGAGACCGCTTGGAAAAGAGGATGAAATTTCAAAGGAAATGGATTTGGTCCAGGTCGATACGGGGGAGTCGGAGGGGTTTCGCTGATCTTCGACGGCCAAAATTTCCCAGAGCTTCCATTCCCCCCTCAGAACCCCCCGACAGCCCCAAGGCGGTGACCAGACGGCCACCGCACTATGCACTAGTACGCCTATACTAAACTACGGTTTCCCCTATTTTACCGTGCAGAATTCTATTGGATAATTGTCAAATAAATTAGGAAGATTGTTCGTATTGGTAGGATGACAGGTATGAAGCAACCAAGAAAAACCACAGCATGCAAAGATCCAGCTTTGACAGCCATGTCTGACTTGCCACGAGTACATCCGTCTCAGTATAGGAACAGTTAGATCCGAAACCCGCCAGAGTACATAGAAAAGAAATGCCCAAAAAGTTACAAAGAAATAAAACCGGCTCAGGTAAAGTCATAATTCCCGTCCGATGGGCTGCCATACTCATATTTAGCGAGCAACTCGGCATCATGCTGTAAGTCCTGGTGTGACGATGGGTTCATCAACCCAAGCACCTCTTGTCGGAAGGGATCAGAGCCATCGTCCACCATCATCTGGTAGGCATTGCTCGCGGTGTGGTAACGCATGGCGTCATCAAAGTTGGACATGTTCATATTGTGAGGGCCCGGAGCAAATGCGCCAGCCATGGCGTTCTGCTGTTGGTAGCGCCGCAGCTGTTGTTGCAGCTGCATGATCTGAGGGTCCAGAGGCATTGGGTTGAAGCTGGCCATGGAATGAACGGCTGTGGGGACATTTGCAGACCCGGGAGGATTGATAAACGGATTGTGGCTGGGGGGCTGGTCGGGTGCTTCGTCCATGGCCTGCGGAATTTCGGTCGGTACATTGGTGGGAGCATCAGACGTCTCGGTTTCATCGTGGTCCATCGTGTCTTCTTCTTCCAAGTCGGGTGCCTCGACTGAAGTCGACTTGTCATCATCCCTGGTACCAGGTATTGGAGGCGCTTTGAGAGTCTCCTTGCACTGTGGGCAATCTCGAATCACTCTGTTCACGGTCTCCTTGATCCGCACCCAGTGATACTTGACCGCAATTGCAGCAGTGGTCTTGTTAATTCCCGCATGTTGTTTCAGGTGGACTTCTCTGGCAATTTCATATTGCTGCTGTGGATCAGACACAACCTCTTTGTCCTTTAGCATCAGTTTCTCGGGTTCGCCATTGTCTCCGCCAATTAGCTTATAATGAGTAGCCGCACTGCGAAGCCGACTCTTCTCGGCTCGATCTGCTCCCCGGGGGTATTTAGAGTGCTTCAGATAATATCGAATCTTCTCAAAGCGGTCTTGTGATACCGAATCCTCGCCATCTAAACTGAGGCCACGGCCGTAGATGATTGCATCAACGAATTCTCCTGGTTGCGATTTGAGCTGGCCTCCGCCGGGAACTCTTCCGATCCGCTTGAAGCCTAAAGAATCCCATAGACGACAGGAAGCAACATTGGTTTCATAGACCAAGTTGAAGACAGCATAGGTGTAGCCCTGTAATATTCCCAGCGTTAGAAATGATGCGAGCATGAGTGCGAAGAAAGTATGGCAAGGTACTCACTAGGCGGGGAGCCCACTCAAGGTATGCTTCGCCCATCAACCTACCTACACCCTTGTTTCGAGCAGCGTCCGTGACAATAAAGGTGCCGTTACAAACATGGCTACTACGACCAGGGTAATTGGGTCGAATATGGAAACCACCCAGGCAGATCTTCATCCAGTTGGCTCCAGCTCGGTCCATGGAGTGTGTCTGCTCAACACTCTGGATGTCGCCGAGCAGCATAACCACGCCGAAATTAGAGAACCAATATCGTCCAAATTGGGCCAGCGGTATAGGCTCCGTCATGGCATAGGTATCTCCCTTTTCAATTTCTTTGTTGAATTGGTCGGAGAGATACGTGAGGAGCGATCGGGGCACATCGTCCGCTGAGGCGAACGGCATCAGCGTTGCCACAGTCACCCGGTCCCGCAAAGTTACTTGTCGAGGAGCCAGCGCCAGGGGATATTCCAGCTGCTCAGGGCCCGTTGGAACGGGCTCAGCATCACCGTGGACTTCAGACATCTTGGTATAGTAGCCCGGCAGCGCTGATCACGGGACTATTGCCATATTAGTCGGGGACTCTCTCATCACATTTTTGGAACCGGGAAAGGGGCGCCAGGGGATTGAAGGCACCAGGGGGAGCGCCATGGCTATCGCAAGCGCAACCCCCAGCCAAGCGAGTCGCTGGGGACGCAACAGGGGTCTTGGTCACTGACATTCTGCACTGCTTCTAGAATCTCGTTGATCGCACTTCGAGGACCGCGTGAGTATTCTCGAGTCCGGAATGGCTGCAACGCAAGTTGCAGAAGCCGTGGTCCCCGCTGACTCATCACAATGACTTGTCCCCTGAGGTCAGACATCTCATATTCTGCCTGCACTTTCAGGCGCCAAACTTCCCTTTCTATCTGAGAGATCGTCGATTGACCCCACCTGGACTCTGCATGCCTGCCTCTTAGGTTCGACGTGTCTCCTCCCGGCCATCGGGTGGAGCTCCGTTCGACACCAACAATTGCTAGCCAGCTTCAATTTGGCGCTAGTGCATTGCAGACCGGAACCATATTGGAAAATATGACGGAGTAACTGCTGCCTGACCGCTCCCGCGAGACCAGTGCCTTGTTGCGGGGCATGGCTATATTTATTCCCTTGCTATGTACCTGAATCTTCTAAACGCATCACTTGAGCACGCCATTTCACAAATTGGGGTGACGCACAGTGCCAGTATCAACCTGCAAGATGGCTGAACCTGAACGCCCGCAGTACTATGAAAACACTCTTACTCCGCTCCCAATCAATCCGGCGACGCTTATTGACTCTCTCCGGGAGCTTCGCGCCGCTGTTTACAATGGAGCAGAAATTATTCATGCAAACGAGCCTATCCCCGATAAGTGGAGTGTCGGTGGAATGTTCAAGCATTTTCCAGGTACGAATATACATATCTCGATTTCCCATGAAAATTACCTTGCATGCTTCCATTTAAAAGTGCTGAAGCGCTTGATGTGGGGTGAATCTAATCTGTCGTTGCAGGCGTTGCCCTTGCATTCTTACGCCTCGATTACCAGTCCTCGGTTCTAGCCAGGGAAAAAGCTGCCTCTTTGAATTTCCGGCAGTATGCCCTCCAACGAATTCCGTCAGGCTTGCCAGACATCCCTCTGCGCCCGTCGCGACTATCTCCAGGGGGGTCATTTTCGCCCTTAGCTGCCGTAACTTTGCACATTCTCTCGGCTGTGGCGGAGACCAACTGGGAATTGGATGCTAGGCCCAGTCTGCCGCAGGAGGATATCATCTGCCTTCACGATGCTGTAAACTTGGCGCTGAAAAACGGGCCTATTGTGCTCCATGACGACCGCAAAATGGGAGGAGATGAGATGTTGTACGGCCGTGCAGGACTGCTATGGGCTCTTTTGAACGTCCGCGCACATCGATTCAGTGAAGAGTCTGAGAAAGCACTCGCTCCGGTCTTTGCAATGGTTCCTCAGCTGATCTGCAGTATCATTGATGCTGGTCGAGAATGTTCAAAATGTTATATTCAAGAACATGGAGATAAGGACGCACATCCATTGATGTATGCCTGGATGGAAGGCTACTATTGCTTCGGCACGTGAGTTGGCCATTCTCTAGTCATACATCTGAAGCGACCAGACTAACGCAAATCGGATCGACAGCGCTCACGGAATCAGTGAGTAATCGAATGCAGCACGATGAAACTTCGACACTCTGACGGCGTTTTAATTTTACAGCTGGAATTCTTCCCATTCTACTCTCGTGCAGATCTGAGGAACTAGCTGGTTACATGCCAGAGATTGGGGAGACCATCACTGCTCTCTGCAAATTTTCCGTGGCCAACAATGGCCACCTTCCAATGACTCTTCCCCCATTTCCCTCCAAACGACCCTCTGAGCTCGTCCAGTTCTGCCACGGAAGCCCGGGTATCCTCATCCTTTTGGGAACGGCATTGCAAAATGAGCAGTTGACTCGGGACTACTGGCACCCCACGTGGGATCAAGCTATATACCAGGCAACCTGTCGCACCTGGGAGGAGGGTATCCTCTCCAAGGGCGGCAGCCTGTGCCATGGCATTTCCGGTAATGCATGGCCCTGGCTGATGCTCCACAATGCTTTTGAGTACCACTCGACACACATCGATGAAGCTCGGCGCGAGTACTTCCAACGTACTCTGGAATCGATACAGCCAGACGGAAATCTGAGCCGGCAACTGACGCCAGACTTCTTTTTGTCGAGGGCGCTGGCATTCATGCTGCATTCGTTTGAGACGCGTCCTTACAACAGCTCGCCTGCCACTTCTGATAAGGATTATCGGACTCCTGATGATCCTTACTCGTTGTTTGAGGGACTTGCGGGTAACGTTTGTGCGTGGGCTGAGACTTGCGCGGTCATCCAGGCGAGATTGCGCAAGGTGGATTTGAGCGAGGAGGGGGCTAGCGTGGATGGTCATGGTATGTTTCAGAGAGCGATGCGCTGCCAATTGGGCTTCCCGCTGGTTGGTGGGAATGGGGCTGGCGGTCTGCTCTAAGTATTGGCTTGTAGGTAGGCAGCCCTTCCAATAGGCATCCATTTACTATATGCAGTCCTGATTCTCGGTGTTTTAGTTTTTTAGGTGCAGCGAGTGATCTTCGTTACGGGCGCCCGGGGCTGAGGCCCTTCTCTGCAAGGAACAGAGGGGTTTGTTCCGTGGTGTGCGTCTTTTGCATTTCTCAACAACGCGCCGTTGGGTTTATGGTCAACCTAGGAGATAGAAATGAACTAGATGGTTCTTAACTTACAATGGATCGTGGATTGAATCTAGATGATGTTGGGATTAGGCCGGATCCAGAGATACCTGTGCTGATATATATATTCATCTACCCCATCATGGAATTCGGAGTCAAGGCATTACAGCCAAACAAAAGTCTAAGCAATAAAACCCTAGGTATTATGCGAACCTGCACTTGCACAGCAAAATGATGGATACATTAAAAATTTCGCCAATATAGATTTGTGAGCCAAAACGTAATAATATTGATTTGCACCGGAGTAAAAAAGAATGCCCTCGTCCAGGTTCGAACTGGAGACCTTCGGATTGCAACTCTGTTTGTGCAGAGATGTCATATGATCTCTATGAGACCGACGTCATAACCAACTAGACCACGAAGGCTTTGATGAAGAATGAGCAGAAACTTTGGCTTTATAATTAAGGGAGAAACCGATCGCTCCATACAATGCCTGCCTAATAAGTTTGTTGCTTGCCACCGACAGGCAGCCTTGAGGTAGCACCGGGTACCTGTCGGTTCCCCTCACTTGGAATGTTGACATGGACCTAGACAGTAGGCTTTGGATCTAGAAGAGATACGCCCTCGCAATGGCAACCTGCCAGGCAGCGACTTCTGGTGCTGAGAGCACACAATGCAACTGGCAAAAAAAACGGGCTCTCCGCCTTGTCTGCCTACTTCGGCGCAGCTTGGGGGCATGACTTCACCACCTTTTCGGTCCTGCCGCCCCTCCAGCGATCCATGACTCTCCTGCCCTCACCCCTCGCTCAGTCCACCTTGGGCGAGAAGTGTGCACTCTACCTGGACCACGTTAGCGACCACCTGCCCGTGTTCCTGCATTCCCTCCGCCCTCGACTGGACCCGTATCTGACATATTCGGCCACGTCCTTCCGATCGGTCGCGCAGGCGCTGCCATTTGACGTCGACGAACAGACTGCCGCCCTCGGTGCGGCTCTTCTAATCGGTCTCCTCACTGTGATCGCAATGAGTTGGAGAAACCCGTTTAACAACCTCTGGGGCCGCTCGCCAAACTACGCGGCTGCCCCGCAGGTCCGCGATGACGACTACAGCTATATCACCCCGGAATATATCGTTGACCCGCCCTCTCATCCTGCTCGTTATGGTGCCCAGTATGAAGCCACCCCTGATGAAAACGAGCCGGATATCATTTGTCTCAAACACCGTGGGACCATCTACCCCCTCCACTTCCGCGCATACGCCATCGACGATGGTCTGCTGACGGTGGGGGACCTTCGCCATACAGCTGCTGCAAAGATGGGGGCTAGTCACCCGAACCAAGTTCGGCTCCTGTACAAGGGAAACCTGCTGAAGGATGATGCCCGGACATGCAAAGCCGAAGGGCTGAAGCAGCATTCCCAAGTGCTCTGTGTCGTGTCTGAAGCCGGAGCCAACACGCCCAGCGATCTCTCCGATTACGACAGTGCCCCAGCTAACGATGCTACGGTCCTTCGGCCTGGCTCCTCCTCTTCTCGTCTCGACGGTGACGATGGCGTACCTGGACCGGCGAACCCCCCAAGCAAGAAGAAGAGCAGCAAGAAGAAAAACAAGAAAGGAGGCAAAAAGGGCCAAGGGAGGCCTCCAGCGGAATTGCCGGGCACATCACCCTCTCTGGCACCACCGCGGCCAACGTCAGCGGGCCGTTCAGCGGCTCCGTCCCCGTCCCCGGCCCCTAGCTTGCAGAACTTCAAGACGCCCTTGGAACGGGTGAATGCTCTGGCCGCATACCTTCAGCAGGAGCTGATCCCCCTCTGCGACGAATACTTGGCGGACCCGCCGACCGACCCAAAGAAGCGCGAGTTCGAGTACCGCAAGTTGAGCGAGATGATCTTGGCGCAAGTGATGTTGAAGGCGGATGGGATCGAACCAGACGGAAATGAGACGGTCCGCAATGCGCGCAAGGCCCTCATTAGGGAAGCTCAGGCCTCATTAAACCGCCTGGATCAGATCGAGAAATAATAAGATGCACGCCCGATGTGCCATCCCGCGCTGGCGGGAGTCCATGTATACTTTTCTTTTCTTTTCTTTTGGCCCGTTGACCCTTCGGGCCCTGAACTCGCGGGGAAATAGAATTCTCTTACACATAGACTATCGACTATCGATCCACACATACATTCGCTGGGATCTTGTCAGCCTTGCACATGCATTGGGCCCGCAGCCTTGGGATCACATTTGTGATCTATCGGGTGTGTCAATTGGCTTTGGCGTCGGCTACGGCTCGGGCTACGGCCTCGTTACGGATTCATTGGCATCTTCGCATCTTTGCATCTTTGCGTCGTTGCATCTGGGGATCGGCGTCTTCTGAGCAGTCCACCGCTCAGGCCGCGGACCTGCCAGACGGTCAGTCCGGTGCCGCACCCCTCATCTATCGTATCCAAGTGGAGGGGTGGACGAACCGCCGGGGCCGGGGCCAAGTGTACAAAGAAACAAAGCGCTTCAATTGTCTAGTGGGATCGCGGCGGCATCTTCATGGTTCAGGGGTCGGCCCTCGACCCTAATTCGGTGCACGGTCCAAGGCCCGTCCCGCAACAATTTTCGCAAGAGGCAGCGTCTCGAGGCTCTCAAAGTGCCCAGCGCCCCCGATTAGCGTAAGTTGGTAAATAGTAAATAGTCTCGGGAGGGCGTCTTCAATGCATAGATACGACGGTAAAGAACCGTCACTGGCTCCATAATTGATGGGCGCAAAGTCCAGAAAAGCAAAGTTGCGGTCTAGTTCCAAGTCGGCCGTGCTATTCCCAGTTCGGGGTCGACGGACACGTTAGTGACCCAGTGGTTAGTTCGAACGGTGCCCCAGCTTCCTTTTCCTCCTCCCTGAGATCGCCTTTGTCCCCTCGTCCTCTTTGAAGGTTTTGGTCCTGGTCCTGGCGCTGGATCTGGCTCTGGTTCTGTGACTACCAACTGGTCGTGAGCCTCGAGTCTTGAGCCTTTGAGCTTTGAGCTTTCTATTCCCCCACCCTCCTTTTTCACCTCATCCCCCTCTTCGCCTCGCGAACCCACGATCTCCCAACCTCCTCCTCGTGGGCTCGACCTGGCTGCAGGAAGACCTGTCACCCTGGTATTTGGAAGCTCTACCGAGTACTCACCACTTGACGTGACCCTGTTACCCGGGCGAAGATCGGAGGCTCCCACGGAACCAAGTCGCGCGGTCCCAGGGCTCACCCGTGGATCGCGACTGAAGATACCTTCCTAACGGACTGCGCTGCACGAACGGCACGCGCTGCAACCTGCGGCGAGACACGCTGGGAACCTCTACCACACTTTGCCCCCTGCAGTGTATTTACAAATTACTTCTTTCGGTTTTCCCCCTCCCCACTGCGGCACTGCGCGCTTCCCTACCCCCCCTTACCACCGGCTCCCACGACCCTCGACTGTTCATTCCCGGCTCCCAGTTCTGGTTTTTGTGACGGGCTTGTGCGCTAGACACTGGCATGGATTGAGCGAGACTCCCATACACATCCATCAGCTGAAGCAGACCCGGTTCTCTCTTTATCGAGTTTGCTTGCTCCTCCGAAGCGGGCTCCAGCTGGACTGGCCTTATTCACCGACCCTCCACACACTTGCGAACCTGTTGGAATGGCGGGCGTAGCCACCGCGTATTCCACAGATGCCCTGACCTCGCCGGGAGGCGTGGACAGTGAGAAGTGGGAATTTGCAGTGCCGATCGGTAGCGATGTAGGTTTTTTTTCTTCCCTTTCTTGAGTGGGAAAATTTGTCCTGTCCGTCTGAAGTACACATTGTCACTGGGTCTGGCTGTGAAGCGAAGATGAGAGCGGAACTTCGGGAAAGGCTTTTTTACTAACCACCTTGTTCTTCCAACAGGGCATTCAGCATCCCTCGAGACCACGAAACTCCCACGATTCAAGCTCAGTCCGAGCACGATCGACCCTGAACCGCAACTCAGATGGCTCGCGCAGCTCGTCGGTCTCGCGAAACGTGCAATCGCACGATGGTCCGTATCTGAACTCCAGCCGCGGCCGACCGGACCATAGCCTCAACCGACAAGGGAGCGACCTCGGCGGCGTGCGCGACAGCCCCGGGCAGGATCCATCGATCCGCAGAGAGCCCGGAGAAGGTCAGGACGGACAGGACTCGTCCGAGCCCGGAGAGAAGTATAGCGAGAAATGGATCCACCGAGACAAGCTGGCGAAAATCGAGAGTGAGGAGCTGCACCAGGCGGCCATTCGCTTTAACCGACGGATGAGAGCGGAGAGCAAGTCGAGCGCTGGGCGTGGGAGGAGCCACGATTCCCATCAGAGTGCTGCCAATGGCTCGGCCTCGGCAACCTCACCCAATGTCGAGCACTCCGAACCCTGGCCTGAGCTGCGAGAGGCAGCCCGGAAGGAATTTGGCAGAGACGATGCCGACGATGAGCGGAAACATTGGGATCTCCGTCGACCGGAGGAGATTGCCGCCGATGAAGCTGCGGCGAGCCTCTACAGCAACCCCGGCCTCCGAAAGAGCTCTTCCCGAATACCCATTTGCACCGCCAGCCCCGTGCCTATTATGACCGGTCGCGATTCTCGCGGCCTCCGAAGCCGTGCGGCGACCGATGAACGTGACGACGACGAATTCTCCCGAGGCCGCAGAGCCAGCGAGACCGACACAGGCGAACCGGAGGCTTCTCCTCCCTCCCCGGAAAGCCGCCCAGGAAGCCGCGGGTTCAGCACGACTCCGAATACCCCGGCTAAGAAGAACCCAGCCAAGGGGACGGGTTCGGCCACCCGGAAGACCTCTGCTCCCCCTACAAACAGAAAGACTTCCACCGCGCGGTCGCGTGCTGTCTCTGGAAACACTTCGCAGCGTCCTGTGACCCGCAGTGGTGAACCCCGACCCACGACTGCAGCCAACCGGCCGGAGGGCGACCCGCCATGGCTGGCGACCATGTACAAGCCCGATCCTCGCCTGCCACCGGACCAGCAGATGCTTCCTACTCTCGCCAGAAAGATGCAACAGGAACAGTGGGAGAAAGAGGGTCGCAGCCCCACCACCTATGACCGCAACTTTGCTCCTCTTGCTGTCCACCCGAATGACCTGCCTCCGGTTCCACCCAAGGCACAGGCGTCTGAGGAGGAAGAAAAGGTGGAAGAGCTACCGAAGCCGCCCAAGAGCCCGGAACCGCCACGACCGAACACGAGCACCGGCTACAGCACCATGCCGAAGGTGCAGGACACCCCCCAATGGGCCTGACGCCCAATCCCAACTGGAACCCGCCGGTCGTCTCAGCGCAGGAGCCACCGGAAAAGGAGAAGGGCTGTGGATGTTGCATTGTGATGTGATGGCCGTTCACTTTTCCACTCTTCTTTCTAACCAGGAACTCCCCCCCTCGGCCTTCTATCACAGGACCTTTTTCGTGTCCTTGTCTATCTGACTACTCCCCAGATACCTTTTGATACTTGCCCACTTCCCCACCCCAACCCACCACCAACTTCTTGGATTTCCTTTTCTCTTCTCTGTTGATCCTTACCTCTACTTCCTCACTCTCTCCGGTGGGAATGGTGTTCAGTCGGTTTTTAGCCTTCATCTTCGGTTCGTCTTTTCCAGAAGTTCTTTTTGATTCGGTCTTCTTTTCCTCCCACCAGGACATGGCATCTCATCCACTCCTTTCCCATTCCCTTCCCTTCTCCTGTGACCATTCTTCCTCTTCGCTTTTCATGCCGCCCCGCCGAGGGAAATTGGACAAGCACACAAAAATTCTCCCGTCATCGGACTGCCATGGACAGGTTGCTTGCTGTCCGTGTATATCATTTTATTTCACTTACAGCTTTTGAGTTCGATGTTTCTCTTCTCACTGTTTTCATTCCTATCTTATCTGGTTTATTCCTACATTTTTAGTTCTTCTTCTTTTGCTATTTGCTTTTGCCTGCGGACATTTTGTTGCCTCTTTTGCCATATTCCCAAGCCTCCTTGCAAGCGTTTCTGCGTTTTTCTTTTTTCCTCTCCTTTATCTCTACCTCCCTCTATCGAGTTTGTTGACTCTCATTGAGCGCGGCGAGCAGCTATAGCCGAGGCCGTGGACCAAAAGAATCATCAATCAAGGAATATCACTAGAATGCGCTCTCCCGCTGTAGTTGGACACTGGTCAGCTTCACAAGTCATGGACGGAAATAATTTAGTTCAGCCTTCCTGGCGGGACTCCGGTCCACTCTCTACTTCGGGAGGGGCCTAGTCTGAATTCTAAATGCAATCTCAAGCAGAATCGAAGTGGTATTCCTATAGATTCCCTGCTGAGGTGAAACCAGGTTGACTGTGTATTTAATAAGCAGACTCCGGTCGCTGACTAAATTAGAACAAAGGGCCAACCTGACAAATCATCACCTGACATCATCGCCCGGGTGCGATGACAGAATCCCGTATCGTTCCAGTCCTCTGCAGCCAATCCCCAACCACACTCTCCTTTTCTCCCACTTCACACCACAGGTATAAAAAAGAAACCACCCCGCCGGTTTCTTTTTCTTCCCCACCTCGCCCACCATTTCTTTCATCTTCCAGCGCCTGTTCGGCTCCTTCGCCGGTCCCTCACCCGCCGCCATGTCCGCCGCCAAGACCAAGGCCCAGAACCTCATCAACGAGAATGGCGTCGTCGTCTTCTCCAAGTCCTACTGCCCCTACTGCAAGTCAAGCAAGGACCTGCTCGACAAGCTCGGCGCAAAGTACGAGCTGCTTGAGCTCGATCTAGTCGGTGAGTAGATCTGCGCTATACGTCGGGAAACTCTTTGCGCTTTGCGCGGGGCTCGGAGCAAACAATGTTGTTCGGGGTTCACAACAAAATGCCCGCGCTAACCCGCTCAACCATTGTATTCGTCTCGATTTTCTGCCGGCGCTTGCGTCTGTTAGTCTGACTATGTTGCAATGGGATGCTAATCTGTTGTTCCTATGCTAGAGGACGGCTCCGCCATTCAGAACGCTCTCCAGGAGATCTCCGGCCAGCGCACAGTGCCCAACATTTTCATCAAGCAGAAGCACATCGGTGGCAACTCCGATCTGCAGGCCAAGTCTGCTGACCTCCCCGCTCTCCTGCAGGATGCTGGTGCCCTGTGAACATGAGGCGACATCTCTTGTACAGTTTTTAGCAATCTAAGCAGTGATGAGTGGTTTCGTAATTGCGCGGAACTGTAATGCATTCCATCATTTACATGCTCAATTACGTCTATATTTCTATCTTTGAGAGTGGTTCTAGAGTCGAGTTGGAAGATAGGATTCTCTCCGCTTCCATGTAGGCCTGAATCAAGATTGCAATACCGAACCATAGATAAAGTACAGGTGGGAAAAAATAATAAAGACAAGACAAGAAGTTAATCAGCTGTCCGTCAGCTATACAAGGCTCTCAAAGAGATTCCAATCTCAGACCAAGATCTTTCAAAAGCCTCATACCACCCGCTGCACAACAGTGCCCACGGGCCTCTCAACAACAGCCATCAATCCCTCCACAATACTCTGCCGCGCCCCTTCACTCGAAACAGACTTGCCAGCCAGATAGTTCAACCACACAAGCCGGCTCACCCGCTCATCGACAACACGCCCCATCCACCGCATCGGCTTCGTCGGCTCCGGCTGGAACAGCGCATCCAGCGTACCCTGCGCCCCGCGCAGCAGCACCAGTGTCTGCCCCTTAGGCACATTTTTGCGTTGGCCACCCCCAAACACAGCCTTGAAGTCATTCATCGCCGTCCCGAATTCCGCGTCCTGGAACTCGCCCGGCGCCGCGCCAGGCGGCGGCTTCTTCTGCTGCGCGCGCGCCGTGATCCCGCGTACCCAGCCGTCGCGCAGGTGCATAAAGTCCGTGTTGCGGGTCGGCACAATGCGGAATGCCGTCCGGATGCCGTTGTCCTTGAGCAGCGCCGTCCAGGCGGCGTCGCCGCGCTCCGCGTCGAGCAGGAGCTCCTTGAGCAGCTGGCGCTCCGGCGGGACGAGCGAGGTGGCGGCGTCGGCGCCGATGCCGGAGATCGCGACTGATTCGTCGGTAGGCGGGTGGATGGCTGTGTGGATCAGGCGCCGCTGCAGCTCAGTGATGTCGGACTTGGCGACATACAGGCCCACGACGTAGACTTGGATCGAGAGGAAGGAAACGGTGCGGATGCCCAGGCCGAGGAGCTGGTACTCGTCACCGTCGGAGGTAGACAACTCGTCGCCTGTTTGTTTGCTGTCGATTTCAGAGGCAGACGGCAGCCGAATTGTCGCGGGGAAGTAGGGGATTGTGCTGGTCCCCGTCGCAACCTGCTCGACGTTGTCCTGGCCGTGCAGGGGAATTACGGAAGGTCCGCCCGTGCTTGGGAACCCGGGTGGTCCGTCCATCTTCATGGATCCGTTTGATGTTGGTGTAAGCTCGAGCTTGTTCTGCTTGACCTGCTCTGCTTCGGAGCCTTTGTTTTTGCCCGCGTCTAGCGCATCGAGCCCGAACACGTCCAGCTTGATCATGCCGTACATAGCGGCACCGCAAGCGACCATTCCAACGATCGAGAAGGCGATTGACCGCTTGGACTTTGCGACATCCTGTTCGGTCTTTGCGCGCCCTGTTGAGCGGAGTGGGTTGCTGCCGGCATTGTTGGTGGATCGGAGTGAGTGTGTCGTGGAGAGCGACCTGGGAGTGATGGAGGGTTGCCGGATCCGCTGCCGGGCGAGGCACTGGTAAGTGCGCCAGGGGCTGGCACGAAGATGAGTAGCCATGGTGTTGGGGTTGTCAACGAGGATATGGATTGGAGGCGGCTGCCGTCGGAGTTGGAGGTGGCTTCACACCTGCGCGAGGGGATGCACGTGATATGGCATGATCTATAGCGGACCTGTCAGCGAATGAAACTGGGCCTTGTGGAAATATTTATCCAATTATGAATAGGAAATTAAATAGTAATGGAAATAGGTGGGCAAGTTCGACTTTAACTATGGCGAGAAGACCCAAACGTGGGTTCTTTCAAGTAGAGGTCATCTTATACAGAGCGTAGATTATCCCCAAGCAACGAGAGAATATCGACATTAATTCAGACTAAGCTCCTTCCTCTATAAGTATATATACACAGGCCACTTGTGTAAAGTATATGCATCAAGTTGAGAGTCCTGGTCCCGTGGTTTCGTTAGATAGCCTGCGCGCCTAAACCCTGGCTACAATGTGATCTTCAGAGGGATTCTGTACACCATTGGTGCCAGGATAGTCTCGCAATATGTAGGTATTGTATAGGCATACGCAGTTAAGAATATAAGGCACAACTCGTAGTGTACTCCGGAATTTTTAAGGCCTTCCATTTCCTCGGTCATCCTACTGCCCCACAAATTACGCATACAGGTGAATCTCTGATAAACAAAGAACTTCATCAATGCAGATCGAAAAGGAACGCTAGACCCGGAGAACATATTGCCCAGCAGGATCCAACTCCAAATGGAAGAGAAAAGGATATTTTCATTTTTCATTCATCGCAATGCACCTGGTGTCAGAAACATTGATCCTGAGAATGGTATGTTGGATCGCCCTTTCTTTGGGAGTCCTTCAATACACCCGCGCCGTTAAACCGTCATTGCAATATGAACCTAAACCCCGCACACAAGACACCCCTTAAGTCGACTTGTTCTTGCGGGCCTCACGACCCTTAGCCTTGCGGGCAAGGATCTCCTCACGATCCTTGTCGAGCTTGAGCTTGCTGATAACGACGTTGGAGGGGTGGATGGGGATGGGGACAGATTGGCCGTTGGTCTTCTCACGGACGACACGCTGTGTGGAAAAAGAAGAGTTAATTTAGTCATTTGGGAAAACGGCTGCTGGGAACAAAAATCCTACCTCGACGTGGATGCAGAACTTGAGACGGTAGACGGAGGTGATGCGGCCCTCACGGCCCTTGTTGGAGCCGTTGACGATGGTGACTATAGATTGTTCGTTAGGATTGCGCCGGGTCGTATATTGGAGCCAGATTGAATCTTACCCTCGTCGTCCTTGCGGATGGGGATGGAGCGGACCTATTGTGCATAGCGTTAGTTCCAATTGCCCTAGTTCTGCTGGTGCCTGCATAGTCCATTTTCCCTTCTCGAGAAGCCGATTGTGCGAGACCCAGATTCACACCGATTCGATTGGTTTAACGTACACCGTACTTGGCCTTCAGCTCAGCGGACAGGGGGGCGCTGAGGAGAATGCGGCGCTCCGAGGAGGGGGCCTGGAAGTAAGCCTTGCGGCTCTTGGAACGAGAGGAAGCCAGTGCTGTAAAGAGTTCGTCAGTATTTGTATAGTCGGTTGAATGTCGAAAATCGGTGGATTGGCAAATAGATCGAGGCGGCAGATGTAGGATAGGGGGCGAGAGAGTACGCACCGGTGTTGCGGACAGCCATCTTGACGGAGCGACCTTGAGGGTGTCGTGAATGGGCTCAAGTGCACGGGTTGTCGTTGGTCGGGGAAGAAGGTCACTTGTGTGAGGTGAAAATTGCATGCGGGTGGGTTGTGCGTCACATGACACGCCGCTTATTAGGTATCGCTTGGACTTGAGTTTTGATTGGTGGGTGTACTGACTAATGGATCCACTTCGACCGGTACTATACCCTCTAGGGACACGAACTGTATGAACTTAACTGATCCGAGGTCATCACAACCTTGAAAGGTCGGTCGGGCGCGTAGCGACGTGTGAACTCGAGCAGAAGCTGCCTGCTGTTTCTAGAAGACGACTCGAACAACGATTCCGAAGTATCGCGAGACCAGAACACTATACTCTGGCCAAATCGAACTATTCTACTGTACCCGTTATCCGAGCATTGGCGGTAAAGCCAACCTAATATATGACCGACGGAGCTTCTCACCCGACGAGCTTCGACGCCATGCAAATTTACTAGCCTGAGGTTTCTTTATTCCCGTGACAGTCGCCCCACGCCAATCAGTTCTCCTGTGCCAGGGAATAGAGGACTTCGTCGAAAAAGCCGATATGGCAGCCAGGGAACGATCAAAGTATGAATGTCATCCTGCGACGGTAGGAATGCGTTCTCACTAACTACTCCGACAATGAATATATGGATTAAAGGTTTACTACAGTCCAAAGGGTCCACACCGAACGTACTCCCATTATTCTTTTTCTCACTGGCGACCTGGGAAAATGACCCGCGATGAACAACCTCAGCGTATGATTTGGGAAGATTTGAGCCAATGTTGCCCCTTCAAAATCAAATGAACTTTACCCAGAACTCGATAATTTCAAGAAACTCGAAATGCTGTGACAATGCCGCATGGGCTCCAGGACCATTTTGCGCAATGTTTTTTCGCTTTTGAAGAGACTGAGCGGCAAGATACATACATACAGAAGACAAACGACCACACGCTCGTGCATCATCTAGCCATCGAACACCTCTTTCTAGACGGGTAGCCTGAGCCGCGAGGGGAAGCCCTGGCAACCTACCTACCGTCTCTATCATGGGTTGTTGCCTAAGACTCGGTACATGGATCCTAGATCCGTCACCGACGCACCAAGGGCGCGACGGATCGATGTAGCAAAGGTATTATTGACTGTGCCACACGCCCATGCAGGCGTCAGTCATCATCCATGAGGCTTGACTGTGCTTGATCTGAGCCGGAGTTCGTAAGACTTGTGCAACTAGGAGTAGTTAACTAGTAACAGTTACGTTATGCTACAATGTGAATAATCGCCGCCATCATCCGCGTCGACTGTTTTCCATCCACTGACTTCCATTCGATATCAATTTTCGAAGCCTCGTTCCATCTATTCACCCATAACCCAGAACTTGCTAAGGCGACTGCCAAATCTTCGGTCAGTCGATCCACCCAAGTACGGATGATGTAATCGTCCGTGTACTTTAGTCTCACCCCTCCGCCAGGATGGACCGTCGACCTCGAAGAGCTCGATTACGAGGATGAATGGGCTCCAGAAGATAGCTGGTGATATAATATCGGCGCTGACGACAACCTCGGGGAATGTATTCCCGTTATGTGTCATCATCTGTTCTTACTTATTCGAACAAATAAGTCAACATCCAAAATCCTGAATTGTTTACTCTCGTCCCGTAGCCGCGGAGACAGCGTTTGCGGGGAAGTCGTTTCGGCTCGCGGAATTAATGCAGGTTCTATGACAATGATGGAGACCTGGAAGCCACTGGATTGCTTGTTCTGCCGATCCTTGCCTTGATTCTGGTAATGTGCAATATCCCTTCACGCAGATTCTTCCACCAATGAGTGAGGTGCAATGTCGAACCTCCTCGATTCTCCGCCTTGCTGCGTATGTTGCTACCTTCCTAGCTCGCGGTATTATTTGCCGAGAAATCCAGTCCTGCTCTAGACTGCTTCATAGCCCCGCCGGCATTTGGTCACTATATGTAGTCCCCGTATTTGGGGCATTGATCCACTTTCCACGTCTACCTTGATATAGGAAATCTACGTCTCTAAGAAAAGATGGTGCGGATCCACTGGTCCAGTCTTCTCCTAGGCCTTTTCTCTCTACTCGTATTAGGTGGAGCAGAGTCCTGCTGGCGGAATACCACCTGCTCGGGTCCAACCAGCAGCGCATTTAGCGGCGCGTGGGACAAGAACATCTACGCACCAACATCAAGAACTGTTCGGCCAGCATCGACTCTATCTGAGCTGAAAACAGATGCGATCACCAATCCGGCTCAGCCTGCAACAGCGACGCTGCACGGAAACGGATCGCTTGTGGTCTTTGACTTTGGCAAGGAAGTGGGCGGCATTGTCCATCTCGACTACGCCTCCACGGGCAGTGGAGCACTGGGCCTCGCGTTTACCGAAGGAAAGAATTGGATTGGAGAGTGGTCAGACTCGTCCAACAGTCTGTGGCACGATGGTGCCATATACGCGAATTTCTCCTCAGCGGGGGAGCACTCCTATGATATGCCAGATCGATATCTTCGCGGCGGATTCCGATATTTAACGATCTTTCTGGTCACGGAGAACTCTACCAACGTCGAGTTGAAGGATCTGAGTGTTGAGCTGGACTTTCAGCCAACGTGGTCAAATCTTCGTGCCTACCAAGGATACTTCCATTGCAGCGATGAGCTACTGAACCGCATCTGGTACAGTGGGGCTTATACACTGCAAACCAACGAGGTCCCTGTCGATACTGGGCGCATTACCAGTGGACTCAAAGCCGGATGGCTTAACAACGGTACTCTTGGGCCTGGGGACACCATCATTGTTGACGGCGCCAAGCGAGACCGTGCTGTCTGGCCTGGTGACATGGGCATCGCAGTACCTTCAGCCTTTGTAAGCCTCGGAGACTTAGATAGCGTGAAGAACGCGTTGCAGATTATGTATAACACACAGGTATGCTTCAACTTCTGGATAATGATGCCAATTCTGACCCATTCCATAATAGGACACGTCCACTGGTGCTTTTGACGAATCAGGGCCACCACTCAGCCAGAAGGGCTCGGACACTTACCACATGTGGTCGATGATTGGCACTTACAACTATGTTCTGTACACGAATGACACCAGCTTCTTGCAGCAAAACTGGGAGGGCTATCTCGCCGCTATGAATTACATCTACGGCAAGGTGACATATCCCAGTGGCCTGTTGAATGTCACTGGTACCCGCGACTGGGCCCGGTGGCAGCAAGGGTATAATAATACAGAGGCTCAAATGATGTATGTGCTCTTCCTGGTCGGGCCGCCAAGCTCTGGGAAGCCACAAAGCTTACAAGAACCAGCCTCTATCACACCCTGCGGACGGGAGTGGCTCTTGCCACATGGGTTGGCGACACCACCAACCTCTCCGGCACCTGGACCTCCAGAGCCAATGACCTGAAGACGGCCATTAACGCCTACTGCTGGGATGATTCGTACGGCGCTTTCAAGGACAATGCCACCGATACCACACTCCATCCCCAGGATGCCAACAGCATGGCAATCCTCTTCGGGGTCGTAGACTCAGAACGCGCAGCCAGCATTTCGGACAAACTCCTCCATAATTGGACTCCAATTGGGGCTGCTGCGCCGGAGCTTCCCGAAAACATTGCCTCTTTTATCTCATCCTTCGAGATTCAAAGCCATTTTGTCGTCCAAAAGCCTTCTCGCGCACTAGACCTCATCCGCCGCAGCTGGGGCTGGTACATCAACAACCCCAATGGTACAGAGAGCACTGTGATCGAAGGGTATCTTGTCAATGGAACTTTCGGCTATAGGAGCAGCCGAGGGTACAACTACGACACATCGTATGTTTCCCACGCGCACGGCTGGTCCTCTGGGCCAACTTCCGCGTTGACCAACTATATCGTCGGCCTTTCTGTGACCTCCCCGCTGGGGCGCACGTGGGGTATTGCGCCTCAGTTTGCGGATTTGGATCATGCTGAGGCGGGCTTTGTTACCTCGCTTGGCAAGTTCCAGGCTTCTTGGACGAAGAAGAAGCATGAGTACACGCTGAATTTCTCCGTTCCAGATGGAACTATTGGGAACCTCACGCTGCCATATATCACGTCCAAGAAACCATCAATCACGATCAACGGGGACCAGGTGAACAGGGGTCTGACATATGCTGATGATACGGCCACTTTCGGTGTCGTGGGCGGAGGATCTTTCAAGGTGGTTGTTCGTTGATTTCTGGGATTCCAGTAAGTGGATTGTATCTTTCTCGCTGTGAGGTCAATGGATTGGGCTATGCTTGCAGGGTCTAGAATCGAATGTCCGGTCTGATCAATATAGTTTTGCTGAGCATACTGTCTCTGGTCTCAAAGGTAGTCAAAAACACTCCTAAGGTGGAGAGGCATTCTATAGTCTACTCTTTTGAAAAGCACCTGGAACCCCTCACTTATTGCTCGGACGTAGATTGACCAAGTTTTAAGGGTAGGACTCGTTGATCTAGCTTCCGTGATATTCAGCGATTTAGAATGTCTCTTTTCTTTCCCCCTCACCCATCAATCAACGTACCCCGAGTTCTTACTTTTCCCATTTTATTGAAGGTTCTCAAGCTATTCTTGCTGGGTCTTCTGAGGGCTTTGGGGACGAAAATCCAACACCGAAAGGGATATTGCGGCGCGGAGAGCTGTAATATCACTCCCGCCCATATTTTGCAAGGGTATTATATTCTCCAGGACTTTCACTTAGTTCATCAATGTAACCCACGAATCTAGACGCATCTAGGATATTGGTAATGAGAACGTGTATCTTCGAGAGCTCGTAGCTTGGAAAGGTTCTCACAGCAGCAGCGGCAGCTAGCACGGGAGAGCCCCACCTGCCAGGGAAAATCCGGTACGTATAGATGCATATTACAGTATCTAAACCAGCGAGTATCCGCATATTTCTTCAAGGTGCACTGCATTGCAGCCATCAATACCTTTCAAATGAACTTTGATCATAACTACTACACTAGCCCAAAGACTGGGGCGAACCCACATGCGTCGTGGCCCCACATCCCACCTGAAGCTTAGTCTTCACATTGATATAAAATCCATAGCTCCCCCGGCAGATCCCTGATATTCAAGTTTGACCGACTTTACCTCTACAAAACGCTCCGTCCTTTACGCAACCGAAACAATGTCCGAAACTGAAACCGTCCGCCCGGCTTTTGCTGGCCGCGAGCGCCCACTGCTCAGCTATGGCATCGCCTTCCCCGCCGCCGCCGCCCACCACGTCGCCGAGACCTTCTGCGCCTCGCGCGTGTATGTGATCTGCTCAGGATCGTTGGCGCGTCAAACTGATGCGCTAGACCGACTGACTGCCGCTCTGGGGGCAGAGAAGGTTGTTGGGCGCCGGATTGGCATGCAGAGCCATACGTTGTGGTCGGAGGTGCTGGAGATTGTAGAGGATGTGCGGAATGTGCAGGCGGATCTGCTGTTGACCCTGGGAGCGGGTAGTTTGACGGATGGAGCGAAGATAATTGCACTGGTGAGTGTTTCGATCTCTCATATTTACGATGGTGTTCTTGGTCCTAGGGCTGGCAGTATTTTGCACTCCGATCACTACTGGTACTATGATAACACATACCAACTCCACAGGCCCTGGCAAACCAAGTTCGCACACCCGATGACCTCGAAACCCTCGCCCAAGGCCCCAACAAGCGCGCCGAGATCAAAGCGCCCACAGTTCCCATCATCTCAGTCCCCACCTCCCTCTCTGCGGGGGAATACTCCAACTTCGCCGGCGGCACAGAGGACCGCTCGCGTCGCAAGTACAGCTTCCAGTCCCCACTGCGCGGGCCCGAACTCATCATCCTCGACCCCGAGCTGGCGGAGACGACGCCGGACTCAATCTGGCTAAGCACGGGGATCCGCGCGGTGGACCATTGCGTGGAGACGCTGTGCGCGATTGTCGGCGTGACGCCGACGTCGGACGAGCTTGCCGAGCATGCACTGGGGCTGCTAGTCTCCGGGTTGCTGCGGTGCAAGAAGGATCGTAAAGACCGGGATGCGCATCTGGCGTGTCAGTTGGGATCTGTGGATGCGATGGCTGCGTGTACGAGTGGGTCGGTTGAGTTGGGCGCGAGCCATGGGATTGGACATCAGGTATGTGGCGCGACAGTTTCTATGACCTGTTGAATGGATCAATTTATCTACACAGCGCTGTAAGATAGCTAACACGTCTTCTAGCTCGGCCCCCTGGGTGTCGGACACGGCGAAACAAGCTGCATCCTGCTCCCCGCCGTCTGCAAATTCAACGCAAAGCACAATGCCAACCGCAAGCGACAAGCGCACACGCGCGAGGTCCTCGTTCACGATCCCGTCGTCGCCGAGGTTCTGCGCTCCCGCTCCGTCAATGTGGAGGCCTCCGACCTGGGGGACATTCTTGACGCTGTCATCCGCGAGCTGGGACTGCCACGGTCTTTGAGCGACGTACGGGTGGGCCGCGATAAGCTGGACGCCCTGGCGGCGAACAGCCTGCACGACCGGTGGTGCCAGTCGAACCCAGTACCACTGAAAGAGAAGGAGCAGGTCCTGGAGATTCTGGAGATGGTAGTTTAATAAGTGTCAATCGAAAGACTGAGACGGAAAAAAAGAAGTAGGAGGATCCAAGCAGGCCGATTGATAAGCAGAGCCCCGCAAACCCCACATTTCACGGGGAGGTATGAGTTGTTCCTGGTTGCCTCCTGCTTTTCCTTTTCGGTGACTTATTTCTGTCATATATACCGCGCGCAAATAATATCAATTGCATCATGGCTCCCCAGAATATCCTTCTTTTCGGCGCTAGTGGAACCATTGGCCGCTTCATCCTGAACGCGATTCTCTCCGAGCGCTCGCAGTTCGGCCGCATCGCCGTCTTCACTTCCCCGCGCACTGCAGAGAGCAAAGGCTCTTTCCTCAAGAAGCAAGGAGTTGAGGTAATCACTGGCGACATTGAAGATGAAAGCGCCATCAAAGCTGCCTATGAGGGTACGCCATCATCCTATCATCCTATTCACTCCCTCCTTACCCCACAACACACCGACAGCGCAATAAAGCTCACCTCGCCCTACAGGAATAACCACCGTCATCTCCGCGCTTGGTCGCAACACGCTTGCACAGCAAATCCCACTAATTCGCCTCGCTGCCGCCAGCCCGAGCGTCAACTGGTTTTTCCCTTCCGAGTACGGCACCGACATCGCCTACGGGCCGGCCTCGGCGCACGAGAAACCCCACCAGCTGAAGCTGAAGGTCCGCGCGGTCCTGGAGAAAGAGATCTCGCGCAAGGACCTGAACTACTCGTATATCGTGACGGGACCGTTTGCTGAGATGTACTTGCATGTCACGCCCGGGCTGGAGGAGGCCGGTGGATGGGACGTGAAGGCCCGAAAGGCAGTGCTTCTGGGTGCGGAGGGTAAAGAAAGGGTTAGCTTGACGGCTATGGAAGAGTGAGTCTGATGCTGGCCCTTGGTTTTACGTCAGTGGAGCAATCGTGCAGTTCGTTTGGCTAAGTGGATCCGTTTTCTACAGCGTCGGCACGCTCGTTGTGTCTACTCTCCTCAAGGCAACTCCCGAGACGCGCAATCGCCCACTATGCGTCAATTCATTTACCACCAGCCCCGCCGAGATCCAGGCTGTGTTCGAGAGCCTCACCAAAGGCCCGTGGGAGGTGTCTTTTACGCCGCTGGAGCGGCTGCGTGAGTTGGAGGATGAGGCGTGGGCGGCTGGGAATCCTGCAGCGACGGTGGTGACGCTGCGGCGTATTTGGACTGAGGGTGGGACACTGTATGAGCAGCGGGCGAACGGGCTTATTGGGGAGCCGGAGATGACAACGCTCGAGGAGATCGTGGCGAGGGAGATTCGGGGGGCTAACATGTAAATATGCGGAACGAGAGAGGTAAAAGGATTGCTGTGGTCGACTTGGGCATGGAACTAGATTACGTGTAGTTATAAGTCGCTACAAATATAACCAGCCAATACTGAATATTTCCTTCTCTTTTTTTCCTTTTCCGATTGGTTTAAAGCGCTTCATACGGGTGTGGCACAGGGAACACAGGAATAGATGATGGGAATTAAAAGCATTTCACGTCTTTACTAGCATCGGATTCATATGGCCCAAGGGGAATGATTAACAAAAAAAGAAAAGAAACCGGATGGGCAGAACAAGGCTGCCATTGATATAGAACAAAAGCGGACCTCTACTGGAAGAGCTTGCGCACCCGCTCTTGGTTATCCGGGCTGACGCCCGCCAGGATTGACTCTGCGTTCACGCCGGTCGCAGCCACCAGCTGCTTGCCCGCCTGGGCGACGCGGGCAGCCGTCTGACCCTGCAGGGTGCCGGCCTCGAGGGCCTGCACGATGAAGCCGAACACGCGGTCGGCCTTGCTGAGAACGGCCGGGTTTTGCCTGAAAGGGTGTATTAGCGGGGGTGTCAGCACAGTCGTGGTGGAGGGGAAACACATACTGGTCAACCAATTGGACAATGAAAGAGTAGGCGTACGGTGCGGCCTCCTCATCGTAAGTGATAGGCAGAGTATCGATCCAGTTGGTCACGATCTCTTGGGCATTCTGCACCTTGGAGGCGTTGAAGTGCAGGATCTTAGCAATACTAGCTGAGGCGTTCTCGGTCGCAAAGACATGCTCCTCGGTACGGTTCTGGGGGTGCTGGGTCACCTGGAACAAACTGGGGATGCTGGCAGCAACAAAGTCGGCCCAGGGAGCGCCGCCCTTCTGAGCAGCAACACCAACACCATAGGCGGCCGCCTGGCGGTTGGCAGCATTCTCATCCTGCAGACCAGAGGCCAGGGGTTGCATGATGTGGTCCTTGAAGGTCCAAGACTCGGCAGCGCAGAACTCCAGCACATCGTCCATGATGCACAGGGCCCATTGCCGCTGGGTCGGGTCCTGACTGGTGATAAAGTTGTCGTAGAACTGCATCAGCTGTTGCCAGGCAGGCAGGAAAGTGGTGCCTTGGTTCTTGAAGATAGTGTGGAAGGCCTTGTTCATGTCGCTGAGTAGGTTCTGGTCATCCTCGATAGCATACTCGAAGTCGAGGTTATCCTCATCGCCCTCCTCAAGCTCGGCTTGGTCCTCCAGCCGCTGCGTCACGCGCATCTGGTAATCTTCAAGGGTAGACTTGGAGGAGTCAATGAATGCCTGCATGTGCTGCGGGGTGAGGCTGTTGGGACCAACGACCTCAACAGACTCGTAGAAGCACTGGTACATCTCGGCCAGTGTATCGATGGTGGGCTCAGCACTCAGCACCTCGATGATCTTCTCAGCCACCTTGTTCCACATCTCAGCAAAGCCAGCTGAGGCGCCACCGTGGGCCTTCTTGTAGGAGTTCAGCAGCTGGGGAATCAGCTTAGCGGCCGACACGCGGACAGGGTCATGGAAGAAGAATGCAAGGCCAGGTACGGCAATCTTCTCCATAGTCTCCAGGACGTAAGGCTCGAAGGCCTCTTCCAGAATTTGAGCATAGATAGTGATCAGCTCGATGGCTGTATTCTTGTCCTCCAGAGCGCTGGTCTTGATACCAATGACCTTGCCCTTGAGGGGAACCAGCTCCCAGCCCTCATCCTGCTCGACCTGCTCGATCTGGTCCTCGTCATCCAGCAGCTGGATATCGGCCTTGGCGGCAGCCACGGTCAACAATGGAGGCATAACACCAGGCAGGTAGGGCACGAAGTCACGACCCAAAACACGGCACATACGGCCCCAGCAGTGAAGAAGGTACTGCGACTGAGGGTCGTCGGCATCGACAATGTTCTGCTGGATGTTGCCCAGGATTTGGACGAGGTTCAGGGCATCCTGGCCCATCTTCTCCTTGCCAACGGCCAGGGCGATCAGAGTGGCACACTCCATGGCCTTAGCACGGAGTAGCCGGTATTCCTTACCCTGCTCCTCCTTCAAGACGTTAAGCAGGAGCGGCATAAGGGTGCCGTAGTACTGGCCGAAGGCGGTTTCAGCAGAATCAGCGATGGTGGCAATAGTTGACAAAGCCTGTTCCTGCAGGTAGCGCTTAGGGCTGCGCAGGAGTTCCAGAAGGCGGCTCAGGAGGTCGCCGAGGTAGGGCTCGAGAATGCTGCGCTCAGCTTCCTCGCAGAAATTGACCAGAGCAGCAGCGGCGTGCGACTGCACACGGGGCTCACTAGAGCCGAGAACAGGAATAATGTTGTTCAAGACAATGCCGTGGTACTTCTCCTGCATGATACCGGCAAAGTCGGTGCTCATTTGGCCGAGGGCGTTGCAGCCGGCATAGCGGACACGGGGGTGCGCATCCCGCAGAGCAGGAACAACCAGGGCAAGGACCTGGTCTAACTCATTGGTCATCAGATCACGGCAGCCCTCCGAAATGGCCGAGATGGCCATCAGAGCGGCGTGGCGATCGCGCCAAGCAGTTGAAGACATCATGCGAGGAATCCAGGAGAATGCGGGCTGGAGAATGGCTTGGCCACCAAGCTTGTTGGCCAGGCGGTCCATACATTGCTCACCGGCAATGTGGTTCAGGTCGCTCTCTTCGGGTTCAAGCTATGGAAAACAGTTAGCAACTTGATAATTGTCCTTGAAATTGGAATACTCACGTCTTCAGACGCATTCCACTCCTCAGCGTCATCATCATCGGCACCAACATCAGTCATCAGGCTCAGACACTGGGTAACCATCTCCTGCGCAAAGTTGGTCTCCTTCTTACACATGTTAGGTGCATAATCGGCGAAAGTGGCCATAAGCTCCAGCGCATTCTGGCGAACCTGGTCGCTGAGCTCCTTGTCGGCGATAACACTAATGCTGAACTTGACCAAGTCGCCGAATGAGCTCTTAAACATCCTCGGGCTGATTTCGGCCAGTTCAATGAGAGCCAGGAATGCTGCAGAAAGCTCCTCACTCTCGCTAGATTCTTTAAGGGGAGGCAGGATGTTAAGAAGAGCAGGCACAAGGGAAAAGAACTTGGACTGGGACTTCTTCTCGATAGAGCGGAACATAGCGGCGAAGGCTTCCATAGCGGCAATTCGTACCTAGAGGAATGGATCAGTTTAGTGCTTTTGAGAGGCGTGGTATCGGGCGAGAATCGAGCATACCGAGATGTTGTCATCTTCGAAGCCCTTAGTGAAGACACCAAGGACAGCCTGTTCATGCTGCTTCTCAATGATGCCGGGGGTGGTTGTGAAGATACGGAAAGCAGTCTCGCGCAGACCAGACTCAGCAGACTGGCTGGCCTGGAAGAGAACACCAAGCAGCTCGGGCCATTGGTCGCCTATAACATTCCCCAAATATCAAATCGTCAGAACGAGAGAATTCTTCCGCGAGGGTTTCAAGGGCTGGGGGTTTTGTTGTGCGCGTACCATTGTCGGTGTACTGGCGGGCCACCTCAGCCACAGCATCTCCAATCTTCTTGCGCACATCGAGGGTAGACTCGGTGGTCAGACATGTCACCAACTTCTCGCGGATCACAATACGCTGCTCATTGGGCAGGCTCATAAAGACCTCCTTTACGTCGCCGGAGACGGGGTCCTTGCGAGTCTTGGTAGCGATTCTTCGGAAGAGCACAGCAGAGAAAGCACGAGTCTGTTGGCAAAGAGATCCCGAGTCAGCGCACGTTCGATACTGCATTTTTCGAGGGCATTTGGCTTTGAGGGTCGTGGGCATCAAGCGTGCACACACACGACGCCTCGCGGCTCACCAACCCCCCTTAGGTAATGTCGAGTTAGAGTCGGCACTCACTAATGTGTCTTCAGCCCCAGCAATCTGCTCGGCCAAGCCCATCAAGAGGACGTCCGGCTTGTTCTGCACCCAATCATTGTTCAGCTGCTCTTCGGCCTGCGATCGGACGGCATTGTCGGGGGTGCTCAGAGCGCGCAGCAGCTGGGACAGCGCGGTGTGGACCTCGGGAGGCAGCAGGGACATGATGGGTGTGTCTGTTCCCAAGATCCAACAGACAAAAACGACCCAGTGTGTTGGAACCCCGGAGGTGGGATGTCTGGTGGGGGTGGTTTGGAGGAGGGGTGGTTTGAAGGGGAGGAGTTTTGTTTTTGGTGGGGCGGGGAGGAAGGAAAAAAAGATTGATGATTAGGGGAATTGATATGCGATAGGCGCTGGGAGCCGTTCGGTTGATCACCACATTCCCCCGGGGAAGCAACCGGCGACACAGTGGGGCTTGAGACAATCACGAGGGAGGAGAAATCGAGGCCAGATTATGGGTTAACTCTCATTCAGAATTGATTAGCTAGACAAGAGTTAGACCCGTCAGAAACTAACTTGGTCCCGAAGTTAGGCCGTTGGTTGCCAGGCCCCTACAACCCCTACGGGGCGACTCGACGCCCGTGCCCGCACTTTGACGCGAACGCGTTCGTTTGCTTGCCGACCGGGCCATCTTGGTATGATTGGTTGATGGCTTCACTTGATGTATATACATATACACAAATTTGGAAGAAAAGAGTTGGGGGTTTTTTGGTTCTCCAATATGATAGCATCCCTACAAAAAAGTATTTGCATTGAAGGCTAAACTAGAGGCCGCAACTGATCATGACTAGAACAGCGGTATCTGGACGCGACGAGGAATATTGATAATTAGAAGGGGGTATGCACTCCAAAAGGAGCAATAGGGGAGGGCAGTCGGTCGAGATTATCTGGAGAGGAACGAAGACCGAAGAAGAGAATGAGATAGAGAAGTCTAGATGGGGGGGAATGCAAGTCTTTTAACGGCCGGTAGGACGGCTCAGGATGAATACACCAGCGATGACCGCGGCCAGTGTGACAATCGCGCCAGGGAGAAGGAGATCGTTGGGGACGCCAGTGATGAACTGCTCCTCGGGGCCGTGGGTCGAGGGGAAGGCCTGCTGGGGCTTGCTGAGCAAAGGCTCTTCCGACGGCACATCTCCACCAGCGCTGCTATGCTCCTCAATGATGGGAGTCGCGGGTTTGGCCGGCTGCGGTTCAACGATGGTCGGGATAGGAGGCTGGGTGGGATCGTGGACAAAGAGATCGACCTTTTCACGGTGTGTCCGGCGGGAGAGCTCAATGGCATCCAGCATGTCCTGGTCAGTGGTGATGGAGACAGTGTCGCCCTCGTTGTCCATGTAGCTCAGAGCATATCCGGTGTTGCTGAGTCGGCCCTCCTCGACTACGGCCTCGCCACCAACAGCCTCGATTTCAGAACCAAGTTTGGCAGTGACCTGCGTGACGAGGTCGGCAACGCCGGAGGTAGCCAGAACATTCACGCGGTGCACCCGACCGCTCGGGGCCTTGAACTTGAAGGGGAACGGAGCGTTGTCGGTATTGTGGTGCTGGTGGTGCTGGGAAGCCACCTCGGAATGCTCTTCACCACCGTGGTGGGATGCGGACTCGTTCGGGAGAACGCTGTTGTCGAATTGTGATCGGGTCAGATCAGGGCTCATAACAGAGCGGTGTGGCGTGTGAGGCTGCTGGCTACCAGAGACCATTGAGTCGGACTCGTGATCCATTGACAGCCAGAACTTGTTCCAGGCGGGACCCTCGTCGTCCTGAGTCGACATGGTGTTGATCTAAATAGCGCATTAAGCCTAGAACATCCGTAGTTCTTTGTGCTTTCACGTCCAATGAAGGCGGGGGTTGTTCGGGGAGGGGGCGCCAGAAATAAAAATAAAGAAAGGCTTACCTGTTCAAGGGTAGCGTAAGTGAGCTTCAACACATCCACCATGCCGACAATCTCCCCGCCCTCGTTCATGACGGGCAGGTTAAGATAGTGGCCATCTGTTACCTGAGTCAGCAACTTTCGTCGCAGTAATGCGCAGAAGAGAGCTATGGCCAACTAACCGTGCATCTTGCGGAGCGCTGCCTGAATGCTCATATCAGAGGGAGCGAAATCGGGATGGGGGGTCATGACGCGGACCACGCTGCAGGTTGCAGGGTCAAGGCCGGGGGCAATAACACGAAGAACAATATCCTTGCTAGTAAAGATACCGGTGATAGAGCCTTGGTCCTGAACAAGCAAGGCAGTGGTGTGGTGCTCCTTCATCAATGCCGCGGCGTCCTTGACTGAGGTTCGCACGGAGACAGTCACCGGGGGCATGCCGTCCAGGACAGTCTCTAGGGTCGGGCCGGACATCTTCTGTCGAAGCGCCTCGACGTATTGAATAACCTGCTGGGGCTGGCTCGAGCCCAGCTCGGTCTGGACACCCTCCAATGCATCGTACAGCTTCCGCGACGAGCTATAGGCACGCTCCAGCTTCTCCATCGCATCGTAGAAGCACTTGGTGATATCCAAAATACCGGAGATGTCCTGGTTTTCGTCCATGACCGGCAAGTGTCTGAAGCCTTTGCGGACCATCAGGTCGAGAGCGTCGGTAGCGCTTGTGTCTGTTCGCGCACACAGGGGGTTCTTGGTCATAATCTCCGCGACGGTCACATCTCGCGCCTTCTGGCCCATGCCAACCACTCGGAAGGCCAAGTCCTTCGCAGTGAAGATACCGGCAATTCGCTCATCATCGTCGGTAACCAACACGCAATCCTCACGCTTCGCAGCCATCAGCTGGGCGGCTTCCGCAATGCTGAGCGTGGGCTTGATCTGAAGTGCCTGGCTGGGCTTCAGGGCGAGCACAGTACCCGGCGGGGCCTTGCGGGAATTTCTTGCCTTGGTCGGGTTGTGCCTCTTCTTGTTGAGGTCGGCCTCCATCTTTCGGCGGATGGCCTGCGTGGAAAAACCCGAGAGTTAGCCGGCAAGCCGAGTCCACGATGACGGATCATGGGCGACGTTATGTTCGAGCTCTACAGCTTCCGCAATTACGCACCTCATCACGCTTCGACTGGTTCTGTCGTTGTCTGCTGCTGGCTGCGCTCATGGTGCCACTTCCGACTTCGCTGGACGGGGTATGGGTTGTGGAGGCGGCGGATGATTCTGGACGTTCTGGACGGGGCCGGGGGATGTGGGAGGCACTCGAGGTCTCGAAGTCGGGCAGCCTTCCTCTCCCGATAGTCTTATTGGGCGTGCCCCTAAAAGTACCTGTATGCGACATAATAATGCCAGGAGGGGAAGAACACAACAAAATTGGACAGAAAGGGAGGATAAGAGTGGAGCAAACACGGAGGAATGAAACCCGGTCTGAGAAAAGTGATGGGAAAAAGCAAGGGAGTCTCGTCCAGTCCGAGGGGGGGAAAAGGGCAGTCAATGGTCGATCTGAACAGGGGTGTTTGGGGTGTGTTCACGCTATTGCTCCGGTCGGGCGTAAACACGGGGCTTAGGTAATTAGCCGATGAACGGTACGATCCGGGCACTAGGCTTCTTTGGGACCAAGTCCTGCTCGTGACTGAATCACGTGAATACTGGATGATTCTCGGTTTGTGGTGCCTTACTGCCTAACCGCCTTGTGGCCAAGGCACTCAGGTGTCTATCCCGTGACTGGATCTCGCTTAAGGGCTTAGGGCTTCCCACAACACAACCACCCCATCCATTCCGGCAGAGCGTCTGTGTGAGCGTGCTTCGACAACCCACTCCCGACAAGACACCCGTACGTTCCCTCCCCCCTCTATTCAACTCTCCATCCCAGATCGACTCTCTGACTTTCCACAGAGCAATCCGTCAAAATGGTCAAGAAGCGGGCGAACAAGTAAGGCTTGATACCTCCTCAAATTATCCGTCATCCAGTCTCCCATCCGACATGAATCTCCACAATGACGCCGATGAAATCGATGCACGCAATCGCCCCTCGAGACAAAGCAGAAAGCACACGAAAGCGGAAGAACCAACATACGCGCATTGCCGGACGAGTCACGCCGAATGGGAGAACTGGATAATGCGGAACAATTTCGAGGAACATGGGCGCTAATAGATTTTCTTTAGCGGTCGTAACAAGAATGGCCGCGGCCACGTCAAGCCCGTGCGCTGCTCTAACTGCGCTCGCTGCACCCCCAAGGACAAGGCCATCAAGCGGTTCACCATCCGCAACATGGTTGAGTCTGCTGCCATCCGTACGTGACCCTTTGACTCTACATCCTATCCGCAATCGTCACCCAGAAAACCCTGGACGACACCAATCGAGAGGATGCCACCCGGATCCTCGAGTGAAACCAAATTACTGGATCGCCGCCTCATGCAACCACTTGTTACGAAGAGAACTGGAGCTAACCCATCATCTTTCGACCTATAGGTGATATCTCTGAGGCTTCCGTCTTCGCCGAGTACTCTGTCCCCAAGATGTACCTGAAGCTCCAGTACTGCGTCTCCTGCGCTATTCACGGCAAGATCGTTCGGTACGCACGCCCTGCTCTACGCATTCGCCATCATTCCATACTGACTGACTCCCTCCAGTGTCCGTTCCCGTGTCGGCCGCCGCAACCGTGCTCCTCCCCCACGGATTCGCTACAACAAGGATGGCAAGAAGCTGAACCCCCCTCAGGCCAACAAGGCTTTGTAAAGGAGAGGAACGCCATTCAACCAACAAAATAAAATGGAACTAGTCTGAAATGAATCTTTTTATTTTGTTTTCCTTTCCGCTCTGGTGCTCTTGAACGACGGATCCGTGTGTCATTTTGCTCGCGAAGCAGATGCTGCAATGAAATGGAGAAAATGGCACTGGGTGTTGACGAAAATGCTCGGATATGAGATTAGAGGGCAGACATGAAAGGCAGGCAGGAATCCTGTTTCTCGCTTTGGCTGTGTGCTTTCTCTTCCCCATTCGCAGTATCGTGTGCCCCTTCCATGTATGAGAGCCACATGACGATGGTATGTGCATGATGGAAGGCAAGGGAACGTCTGCATGTATTGCAGGCTAGAAAAATACCATAAATTCTTTAAAACGGGACTTGCGCACCAACTTGTAGGTAGACGTACAGTAGCATTCCTGCGAACTGAAATAATGGGGCATATACTATCATGGATACAGGTAGCCCTTCTCGAAATAATTTCCATACATATCCACCATCCCGCTGCGCATCTTCGGCGTCGGATTCCGCACAATCTTGACCTCGCCCTTCCAATGGCCTTCGACAAAGTGTGCCATCGATATCTGTGGTGTCGTCGCGGCGAGCGAGCTCGAGATCCCCGTGCCATTGGTACTGCGCCGCCCTCTCTCCCGGCGCACGACCTGCTCGTACTCAGCCTTCTTTGCGCGACGGAAAGCAGCAAGTTCCGCCACGAGATCGATGTCTTGTACTAACTGGCGCTGTTGAACTTCTGCATCGGGTCGTGACGGGCTAGGTGTGCTGCGCGCCGCAGATGTGACGCTTTGCCGTGAGATCCGGCGACCTGGGAGGGGAGAAGCCTCAGCACCCGAGTGGGTGGAGGAATCATCATCCGAGGGCATGAGGGAAACCTTCTCATTAAGGACAGCCATTGGGAAGTACTTGCCCGGGTCGTTCTCGGGGATGCCGCACTCCATCTCATCAAAAAAGCTAAAGTCGTCCACTGCTGCTGCCCAGAGAGCCTCCGAGTCGCGGTCACCCGTACTCGAATTTTGAACACCGGGCTTCCACGTAGTGGGTCGGGTTAAACTATCAGTAGGCGTGACTTCAAGGATTATTCGTCGTAGGCCAAAGAGGGTTCGAGAATGCTGTTGCTCAGCTCGCATGCGTGCTTGGCCGGGTGGAAGGGAATAATCCGACCCGGCTTGAAGGGTTGCAAGTAGGGCTTCATTGGAACATGCAGTAATGAATCGAGTCAAAGTATATAGGATCGGGGAATTTGGCGGAATATGCGAGGGGACATCTGTCAAGACTAGAGTCTCTAGGTGTGGGGTGTGTGACGGGTGGAGGTACGGGAATCGACTTTGCTTTCCACCTCGAAGAGGAATGGATTGGTTCTGTGGACGCTTCGCAAGCAATTCCTGGATTCTCTGGGACCGGGGATCGTCCATCGATATTGATGAACTGTATTGTGGGTTTGGCATCCCAAGGCCCTCCCCAAAGGCACGGAGATTTGAGATTGATTGCAGGGTGCCTTCATCGTCATCCTGCCTTGAACGTGATGGAATAGAGCCATTGATACTGAATAGGATAGACTCATTGTCATTACCTGGATCAGGGACCACTTCTGGCGCAAATACAGATCCTCGTCTAACTGGAGCCAAAGGCTGATCCTCATATGGATTCGACGGCCGTAGCGTTGGAGTTCTAGTAGTAAATGTTGAGTCTTTAGACTCACATATTGACGTATCTGCAAGCTCAAAGATCGGTATGTTCTCTCCGGGTAGCTCATGAACCTCCTGCGAGGCGTCCAACTCAGCTTCACGGGGCACTTCGTTGCCGGCGGGGAGTTCTGGAAGGAAGTCACCTGTGGGTGCCACATCTTTCGCTGGAGGCTCGGCAGAGACAACGGCATGATGAGCTCGAAAATAAGCGAGGTTGTCACCAGCCACGTTCCCCAGAATAGGCACTAATTTCTCAGCTCCAGGATACATCCCATGTTTCATAGCTGTTTTGTGAATGACATCCGCGGTATTCACAGTCCCCACGTCGAGGGCGTGGAGGCGAGATGAAGCCAAGAGGCCAGCCGCGCCTTCCACCGTGATCGGGTTATTCGCGATATAGAGATGTGTGATTCCCGTGTACGGTAAGTCTTCAATCCAGGTGTGATTTGAACCCGGTTGAGCCAGGAGCTTGAGATATTGTTCATCCAGATATGGTGACTTCAAAAACTCCGATTGGGTGTGGTGGCGGGCTGCTTGGGAAACAGGATCTGACGAAGAACCACTGTGCCTTATTGGCGGCATGGTTGCTTGGTCTGATGGAGTAAAGGATGCTTGCAGTAGTGAACGAATCGCCATGTCGGTGAGCAAGTTATTGCGCAGATCCAGGAAACGGGTTCGGATCCCGATCGCGTTGGCCAGGAACTCGGCATCAGAGTCCCTTAATCCAATACCACGCAGCTTCAGCACTTGGAGGTGCTCAAGCTGAGAGATCGAGGACAAAACGCTTTGGTCTCGCGCCGAGGTAGTATATGAGAGATCTAGGTAGGTCAATAAGGGAAAGCGAAGGATCGTCTCCGCCAGGCCCGCTGATGTAGTATTGGGCTCGTGGTCCGCTAACAGAAGACGGACATTATATTGACTGGATTGTTGTTGATCTCTCAAAGCAACCATCGCATTATGGTCGAAGAAGGGGAGTCTCGAGACCATCAAGCATTGCAAGGAAGGCAAATACTCTAGAATATCTCTTAGCCAGCCAGGTCGCGGGCCACCATAGATTTCCGACAGCGCTGGCGGTAGATGAAGCGTATGGGTCAACGCCCGCACTTCTCTCCTGGCATATTTCAAGGTTCTTCGGAACCGCGTGAGGGCAACTGGTATGCTGGGTCAGCACGGGGTCAGACGTAACGGACTTGGCATGTTCTATACCATAGACTGCATCGTTTTCTGTCCCAAAATGCGATGCCGGGTCACCCCACAGAAAAGGTATGAACAAATCGTGCCATCGATGGCAGACTAGCGAGGTGGCACACAGATCACTGGAAGGGATATAGTGGGCGATAATGGCCCAGGCATCTCGGTCCGTTGCGGACTTGTATGACGGCGGAATCAGGTCCATCGTCGCTTCGAGTCGAGGTGAGTGTGGGGCTCAGACACGACGGAAGATGACTCGTATCTCTTTAATATGTACCTATATACACAGGATGATGTCCGCCGGGTGGGGCTTCCCCGTCTGGGCTGCTGCCGCCGCTTTTATGAGGGCGATGGGGCTCAGGCTTATGATCTGGTCAGTACAGTCATGTGATCGCTCGGTGACCAATCATAGATAATCAGTGATCGATGAAAAGTATCCGTTTATTTATTACCTATATCTAAAATCAACTCCTTCTCTTCTTAAAGATTACCTCCTTACCTTTGAGCCAATACTCAATATCTAGTTGTAGATCGAGAAAGGCGCTATCTCGGAATAGCTATATCCCTAGAGCCTATAAGAAGGAAGATACTATTTAAAATAAACATAGAAAACTTCCAAGGATTAAAAGATTATACTGATAGATTTTAAATGTCTAGCTTGAATGAAGACAGTTACTGGATAAATGTCAACTCACTACCTCATCGTCAGCATCATCAATTTGGCCCATCATCTTCTCCTTCTTCCTGATCATCAAAGTCATCACTAAAGGGATTTGCCTCTTTTCTCATTTGCCCATCTTAATGAATCGCGCAGGGGGGCCGTCAAGTACACAGTCGAGCTCTAAAACGAGCTGCACATAGCTAGGGAAACACTGCAGGCTAGCACCCCCGTGTTGGTCTGGTGTCATTATGCAGACCTCGAGGACCTTCCGCCTGTTTCGTAATCTATGGCTAGAGGACCCAGGAGGATACCTCTCAGCAAAAGAAATGATGCAACTTCCATTGCTCCTTCCCCTCATCAGGAATCTTGAGGCTAAGAGGGGTCAGGAAACCATGGTGACTCAAGGTAATTGGCATCTTTCACGGAGAATCAATGGCAGAGGCCAAAAGCATGCAATACTAAATGCAGGTCAGACCAAGAAATTTCCGCTCCTTGGGACTTGGACGAAGAGTACGGGCTCTTTGCTCAGAAAAAATGTGCATGGTGGGCTGCATGGCGCTCCTCGACCCAAAGAACACCTAGTACGACCGAGCGGGCCCTCCACTGATCCTCTCAGTCCCCGTCGCCTGTCATCTCTTCAATCCAACATTCAGTGTGGATAATCCGTGTTTCCATGAGACACAAGACCTCTCAAACCCTTCCATCTCTCAGCTTCATGAAGCTGGATTTTCGGCAAAGAATCATTGCTTGCTATCTGATCACTTTGCTCGAAGGGACGAGAGCAGATATTGTGCAGATGTATATTCGGAGGATCTCGCAGGGTTATATGAGGAGTTTGTTTCTCAACTGCGTTCCGCGATGAAGGCAGTGGACGAAATCGGCTGGGGTTCTTGTGTTCGGGCACGCATGATGAAGAATATCGAGATCAACCTGGAGCCCCTGCCACTGGGGATTATGCAGGCTTGACTCTGTATCTAGAGCTGAACGACAAGTCTCTACAGCGATTCAGCATATTCGTTGCACACCACATCAACCTTCGCAACAGCCAATTTCATAGAAGTCTTTCTCGATCCTGCAAAGAAAACCATCGGACAGCTGGGATTTCGGTAATCTTTTACACCCTTTGCCCGAGTTCATACAGGCACAAGATGGCCTCAAATTCAACAAGCGCTCGATATCTTCTCGTGATGATTGAGACAGCCTTCTATCTCCTGGAGAGGTGCAGGGGCAGCCCAAAGTGCTTAGACATCCTCATGCTCGCAATCTCTGTTCTAGTTGCCTATGGTTGGATGATCGCTCGTCTCAGAAATCCAGTGTGGACGATTTGCTTATTCTTCGCGCCGCGCCGAATGACGTTGTTTCGCGGAAATGTGGTCGCTGCCAAAAGACATGTCTGGATGATCCATTTCCCTACTGGGCGAGATATGTACCAGATCGCTACGTGGTGTGGCGGCTTTCTAGCAGTTGTGGACGGCCAGATTGTAACACGCGATTTACGGAACTTCGTCCTCTTCACAAGCGGATCAGATTCCTCCCTTCCACACGAGTCGCTCCGGAGGAGGAGCATCTTAGCACGGCGCTCGAACGGTTTGACAGCTGGTTCCTTCTTCGGGCAAGTGAGACGGGATCTCTTCCTGGTGAGCTCGAAGTGGTATGCAAAGGTAAAGGCTGTTACGAGACCAAGATAGTGGCAGCGAGGTGGACCGCGCATGCAAAGCCAAGATTTGTGTTGGAGGAGCTGAAATGCGTCAACTGCGGGAAGTAAACAATGTAGAGACCAACTAACCCTCTCTACCAGACCATGTATAATTCTGAGCTCAGCAAGTTGTGGGAGGCCTTTTGTGAAGTTCCGGGATTGGACATTACGGAATATCCACGGCGACCTGACATCTACTTCAAGAAGAGTCTCAGTATCTCTTCGAGACTGGTACTGAGGTCTAACTTGGACAAAAGGAAAGCCGAAGAAGAGAGTAACAGTCCCAAATATCATATCTGTGTATTCCTTAGGTGCAGGATGCCCCACTGAGGAAGTGCCGTAGAGAGATAAGCCCAATCATCGCAGAGTTTTCGGCCTCTATGAGGCATTGTGACATGATCGCTAACGTTACTAATACCACTGGAGTGTTTCAACAAAAATAGTCGCGCCCGGGATCGAACCGGGAACCTTCTGAGCATATGGGGTAATCATGTGAATCAGAAATTATGACCATTAAACCACGCGACTTATATGAAAATTTTAATAGAGTTTTGACTTATCACTCTATCGACCATAAATCACTATCTAGGAAGCGCCTTCCTCCTATAATACTCCTACCTAAAATTGTCACATTGCCGAATAGTCATCCTTCTTTAAAATATACCCAAAACATTAGATTACCCCTCAATTCCTAAACTCGTTTTTGGAAGCTTTTTGCTAATGAAGTCGCGTGGTTTAATGGTCATAATTTCTGATTCACATGATTACCCCATATGCTCAGAAGGTTCCCGGTTCGATCCCGGGCGCGACTATTTTTGTTATACTTAATCCGGCATCTGCCCACGAGTAAATACCAGCAGTCGCCTCTATCATTTTAATTACAGTCGCGTGGTTTAATGGTCATAATTTCTGATTCACACGGTATCTCTGTATGCTCAGAAGGTTCCCGGTTCGATCCCGGGCGCGACTATTTTTGTACTTGTACTCGATCATAGCAATAGTTAGTAGTTACGCCTGGCTGATCTTAATCCCCTTTCGTTTTGACCTAGGTCAACCTTCCACCCGCCTTGGCCTCACGAGGCTCTCACAATGCATATAGCAACTACCACTCTGGAGTCGTCCGCATCCACACAGTTCTTCAACAATAGCGCAATCTACGTATAGAGTGGGGGATTGCTGTTCACTATCACTACTATGATGGTATTTTTGCTAACCATAATGTTGCAAGGAAGGTTACCAATGCGAGGCGTCCCAAGACCATGCTTCTTATTAATGTGTACTAACATTTTACTCAAAAATTCCAGCGTCGCCTCGTTAGGCAACAACCAGGTGGACTCTTGATAAACCAAAACAAAACTCGCTGTTTCAAAAAATAAATAAATAAAAAGATCTAAAATTTTCAAAATGCATAATTTTCAAGGCCGGGGAAGCAATTCCATCCCCGAGGCCTTGAACCTCGAAACCATAAACATAGGACTGCAATTTGCTTCCCAGTCCTCTTCGAAGCCTAAGTCTAGGCTGTGTGGGTTGAGACTTTCTTTCCTCTGCGTCAAAGGCATGGAGATACCGCGGGGCACATGGTCCTTTCAACCTAGTAATTCGGCATCGCTGCATTTACTACACCGGTACTTCGAAGTCGTCCCGGCTCCTGGTGGGTATGGTATAAGGGTAAAGGCCTAGGGAGCGATTATATAGGATGTATTTGTAGTATGCCCGGCTCGAAACTTTATTGGAGCTATTGAGGCGTGTGAAAACGCGAACTCCGGGGAGTCCATCTTCTTGGTATCTCTAGCCTGGCAATATGCGGTTGAGTGGTTATATGTTTATAATGAGGGAAGATTGACCCTATGTTGTCGACTAAAAGGATTGTATAAGTGACCGCGGAGCATATTGTTGGGAGATGTCTATAATACTTATATCAAGTTAGACTCGAATGCGGAGAGCGTAGCCGAGATAGTGAAGTTTTGCGATTAGCCTGAAAATGATCAGTATACTCGGCAGTCAATTCCGGGAAACGACCACGCCTTATAAAGATTTTGATTTTGCGGGGGCGCTCGATCATTATAATACCATTTAGAGAGTACCCTGACGATGATGCAATGCTAATGCTTTGCAACCCTATAGGATCCTCCTGAAATCACGTACAAGTACGGGTTTCTAGAACTCGGGGTTGATCATCATGAACGGAAGGCATGGCTGGATCGGGCAACTAAGTATATCCCTGACGTAAACCGAGAAAGTTGGTAATATCGCGCAAATGGGTCAAGTGACCCCTGGAAACATGTACGTTTCCTTCATTTAAAGGTTGCTACGGTCAGAGAATTGCAGAATATGAAGTAAGGGCCCCAGAATGCTTGAGTGATGATTATTGTCCAGTTTACTGCAGTGTGTAGCGTGGGCATCCACTGATTGGAAAATGAGCGTCGCCGAGTGATCACGCGATAGAGTGGGCAGGGTCAGTGACGCTGGAATTGAAACTGTTGAGCCTAGGGTTGGAAAACCTGGGTGCCCTCGTAAAATGCGTCTACTTGGGATTACAGATATCTAAAGAAGCCCTTTTTGAATAAGAAAATCCGGAACCATTAGCGGTATATATCGCTCCATACAAAGTGCCAGCTAGATACATCCATGGCTGGTACTATCACTCTAATTCAAACCAAGCCCTTGAAAACACCTCCACCGAGTATTTAGATCCCATGTCAATCTAACATCCACTCCAACGTATACTGCCACTCTTCATTTCTCGTTCGCTCTCATGATGCAACCCATGATTCAAAATATCGGTAACTATAATCATGGCGAGGAGACCGCAAAAGACTATAGGAGACCGTGGTGCGGCCCTAACTATTTTCAAAAGGACCAAAACCGGATGGTCCGGGCCCGGTCCTTGCCTAGATCTACCAATAACACCTTGACTCATCATCATTAGCCTCAGAGTGAAAGGGCCAATATATTCACGTGACAAAACAAACAATTGTATAGACCTACTAAACCATCCCTATGCACTCGGCGAGTCAGAATCCATTATTGGCCAAGCTAATTTCATCCAATCGCCTTCGTGGTCTAGTTGGTTATGACGTCGGTCTCATAGAGATCATATGACATCTCTGCTCAAACAGAGTTGCAATCCGAAGGTCTCCAGTTCGAACCTGGACGAGGGCATAGATTGACTTTTTGCACCAATGATCACCTGGATAGCCTGTTCCAAGGCTACGCTACTTTTTTGCATTCACGGCTTCAAATGACCACACCACCCCTGTAACTGTGAAAATGCTAGCAAAACCGTGGCCATCCTGTAAAGATTTCAATTGGTTATACGATCCGCGAAGACAGAACATACTGTTCTTAACTAAAGTACTACAAAACGGGATACCTGTCTAAGCCTTAGTGGGTCGACTTCTTCCTAGTCTCCTCTACATCCAGTCCATGCTGGCGTAGGTGCAGCCCAGCCGGCCTTTATCAGTGACCTGACGGATGGGAAGACTCCTCCGTGCTCGACAACGCTATCCAAAGAAGGGATTGTCTCAAATCGGTAGTCATCCTCATCGACTAAGTAACTGACTATGTATTGGGCTGTGATAACGAGACGGAAGGATAGAAAACGGGTCAAATATTGAATCTGGCGTCTTGCGCATATTGAGCGCAGGGAGTAAAAATACATTGAACTACTATGGGTGGGGTAATACATACCGTGAACATTCCTACAGGCACGAGAGCGGGCCTTCAATAGGAACGGTCTCACTCAGCTGTAAACAGGCGTGCAATGTAAAGGGATTGTGGACTGGGGAACGCAGTGTCTAGGATTAATAAGATTCTGATGTCTCTCGATATCTTGGAATTCTTTTAAGCAAAATTTAATGATTTCAGGGGCAAGAGTCTTGCTTGCACTAAGGTTGAGGCAGCTCCGCACTGAGCCTCAACACAAGACGGGCCTGCGGTTGACCCTATCCTGCTCCAGGCAAGACCCTCCCCAGGCGACTGCTGGGGATGTGTGAACCTAGCGGTTCCGGGCCAGCTATTGATGCATCGTGGATGAAACCTGCGTTCATAGAGAGATATGGAGTATATAAGGAAAATATTTGAGATATTTGTGTAAGCTCAATATAAGACAAAAGAAAAGCCATGTACACGGAGCACCATCTAAATTACCACTGTCCAGCAGTTGAAAAACATGACGCAGGCCCAAACACCGCATTATGCAAAAATACACGAGCAAGTAGACCGGACATGCACACTCTTAGCCCAGGCGCAGCCGTCCAGGCACGGCCCGGCCACCGAATAGCCGCGTCACACCACCTTCTTCGCTAGTGTTGTTGTCGCCTGACATCCAGCGAGGCAGGCGGAAGGGCTCTCCTTGGAACCACTGGGGTGTGCCGGTGGTCTCGAAGGTGTTGCGCACGCGGTGCGCGAAGGACTGGAAGAAATTCTCCTCTTCTTCCTCCTCGCCGTCAACAACGGTGGGCGCGGTGACGGGCCGCTGGGCTGGCCGGGGGGAACGGGAGCCCTCAGCCGTGGGGACGCGCAGTCGAGATGAGCCGAGCGATTCGTCGTCGCTGCGGTCCGATGCCCAGGTTGAGCGGCCACCACGCGAAGAAACGGCCAGGGATCCGAAGCCGTTGAGCTCGCGCTCGATCAGGTCGCGGCCCTCGCGCCAGCCGCCCACGCCGTACCCGGCCGGGTTGTTCTCGACATCGTGCAGGTCGTCGTCCTCTGCCAGGTCGAAGCCGCAGATGTTCTTGATGCGGCTGTACAGGTTGAACAAGGTGGCACATATGGGGAGGAGGATGAACATCGGGAAGATGAAATCAAAGCCCTTGCCGAGAGGTGTGAGGTTAATGAGGCGACCCAAGAATTCATAGAAGGTGGTGCTGCGGCGGAAGTCCTTCGGCAGGAATGTCAAGAAGTTGTAGGCGATGGGGACGGTGAGACGGGCCACAAGACTGGCGTACCAGCATGCGCTCTCGCCGTAGGTGTTGCGGCGTACCAGAGCCCTATTACCCCAGACCTGGACGTCGTTGACACCGACCAGAGCGGCGGAGCACATGTACAACAGCCAGATGGAGGCGGTGACCTGGCTCCCAAAGCCAATGGGCCTTTCATCCTTCCAGTTGGGGACGACGGTCAAGGTGATGGCGGAGAATTGCGGGGCCAGAGACTTGATCAGTTCGGACCAGACGATGCACACCGAGACCACCGCAAAGAAAGCACCGAAGACCATGCGCACAGTTGGGATGACATTGTAGTACAGTTGATACCGCAAGTAGGGGTTCAAAAACTTGACTTTCGGCAACCAGGATGACCGGCGGGGGCCGACGCCGAACTCGAGCTTTTTTGACGCAGCGGAGTTGATGATGGCTTGAAGATCCGCAGCCAGCATGACCAGGCGATCCCACTCATCAACAAAACGAGCCTTCATATGCCGAGCGCGTTGCAATCGCCTCGTGAGGTCGGCTAGGTAGCGCTCAGTGATGACCGAGGGGACGGTGCCAGATGTCTCGGGAGTCTCGAGGATGGGGACCCGCACATCCCCGGAGCCGGAGCCTTCGGAAAGGTCGTCGATCCATTCCTGGAAGTCGCGAGCGGTCCCGGTCTTTCGCTGCTGGAGCTGGGCGACTTGCGAGTTGAGGCTCTCCAATTTGTTCACGGCGTCCATCAGGCGATCGTGTACTTTGGGAGCATGCGCTTGGATTCGCTTCAAACGGCCACTCACGTTGGCATTGCGGAACAGATTGCGTGGAATGGTAACCAGGCCGTGGCCCATCAGGTAGATGGCGAGGACAAGGCCCCAGACATACGCCAGAGCCATGGCGAGACCCTTGATCGATGTGAACTCGAACCCATTGGAGATCGAGACGTAGATGAGTCCGACGACCGCGCAGGTCAAAACTATCAACTGGTATCGGGCATTGGAGCGGAGGGAGTAAAGGATGCGGGCCTTGGGTTCGCGGTATCCGGAGTCGACGTAGTCGCCGAGAAGAGGAAGGATGGCCCTAGAGAAGACGCGACGAGGTTAACAACTGGCTGCAATGGCATGACGCGACACGGAATTAAAACGAACCAGGTCAGCATGAAGATGAGCCAGTAGGCAATCCGCCAGCATACCAGGACCATGCGATCCGGCAACCAGATTGCCTTGGGGCCGGTGCCATTCCGCGCGCTGGATGCGAGATCGATTGGTACGAGGAGCACAACGCTTGCGGGCAGGGCGAGGGCGAGGAACACGGGAACCAGCAGATAGGCCGGCGTTGCGCGGAGGGTCAGAAAGCGGCGCAGAAGTAGCAGTACCAGCACCGAGATCGAGCAGAGGGCGAATGCGAAAAAGATATTGGAGCCCACAGAGACGGGCGACACGGAGACGGCGAACATGGTTGAGGCGGAGGAAAGCAGGGGAAGGAGAGGGGGAAAAGAACGTAAGAACGGGTCTTTATCCGTTGCTCATGACGAGGATCGCAACTTTCCCAGGGGGCGGAAATGTGGAGAGCAGCCGAGTACTTTGTAGCGGGGGGGGGGAGGGGAGTCGGTATCTACTATGGAGGAAGATGGAGATGGAGATGGAGATGGAGATGGAGATGGAAATAGAACAGTTGACGTTTCCAGGGGAGTGGCTGACTTAAGCTCGGGGGTACGCAATCTGCCCGGGCAGCAGGTACCGGGTACTGCGACTCGGTGGTATCGGGGCCCATTCGGGGGCTCTTGGGCGCTCGGTACGGAGAGGCACGGCGTTGAGTGGCTGATTGGTGGCCCGGTGGAGTACCCGGTACTTGCTCGCCGCGCCGCGCCGGCAAGCCAATTGGCGTCGCCGGATCAGGCCACGGCCAGAACGCCGTCGATCCTTTAATCCCTTAGAGGCCGATCGTCAGCACTTGGAAAGCTGGGAACTATAGAGCATCGCTCATTGACGTGGTCTTCGAAGAACAAGCTACAACACTGCTGTGATTGTTTGGAAGGGGTAGAGGGGGAGAGATGGATCCATGGACTAATCGGTGTCGACCCTCCCATGCTGCAATTCGCACAGAAGCGGCGATCGAGGAACTTGTACGGATTACTATCCAGTGCATTAGAACCAGTACGGCGTCGTGAAAAGGAGAGGGATGCATGGTAGAAGTTCCTTACTATATAATACACGGCGAAAGTATCATTCAATAATATTGACCATGGAAAGCATTATTCACCCATGTTCATCGGATGTCCGGTCGTCGGACGCGGTCTCTCATACAGTATCTAAGTTCCGGGGCCCTACAATAAAACTAGACCTACAATTTTGACGACGCTTCTGGTGGGGCCTTCAAGGCTCTGTGGAACCAGAGACTGACCCGTCTAGAAACGGAAAATAATGGACATCAGGAACGAAGCAGATGTACGCGAGTACGGGTACCTGGGTACCTGAGTAACTGGTTGCACACCGTCAAATGCAGAAGGGCGCTTAAAGGGTGGAGCCATGCTTGGACCGGACGCCCCTGTCATACGGTGGAGACGATCCGGGTGGGGTGGGGGGAAGGCCGAGACAGTGGGAGAGCGAGAAAGAGAAGAGCCTGAGAACAGAAAAAAGATGGTCGAATTAAATAGGAAGGGAGGCGACGCCCTGAAAAATGAAGAGGCAGGGTTATGTTCCAAGAGTGCACAGATCTCGGGAGGGGGAGATCAGGTCGAGAGAGAGGAGTGGCGGAGAGAAACCAAGTCCAGGCCGACAAAGAGCAGGCCCAAGGCAGTCACGGTGGAAGATAGGCAACGGATACGCAGTCGGGAGACACGGACGGGGCCGTGGTAAGGCACCGCCTGAGGCTGGGGATTGTGTGTATTGACGGTATGGTAAGACCTGGTCAGACGAGGTTTGGGACGGCCTGCTCCCGGCCCAGATACCGTAGGGGATCATCTGGTTATTCTATTCTGTCTCAAAGTTAGGCATTGCATGCAGACTGGCAAGCTGTTTCCATTGATATCATTCAAGGATGAAGAGAACACGCCGTAGATAATAACTAGGTTCATGAAGGGCATATCGACCGTAGCATACTCACCACAGTGGGCGTCAGGTACCATAGTGCAGGGACTGACTGTACGGACTATACGGACTGTACCGAATGATACGGGCCACATGATTCCAGCTCGATCCCAGCGAAGACGGTGCAACTGGAAGGCTGCAGCATCCCCGTCGCATCCCCGTCACAAATCCCCAAGTCCCCTCGCAAATCTTATTCTCTTCCTTCCCTCTTCTTCCAAGCCACACCTACTGGTCAGCGAGTCAGCACATTGCAACTCGTTGGCGCTGGTGCCCGAACGCCTTGCTTTCCCGGCTACTCGTTCCTCTCTATCTCCCCTCCCTCCCTCCAGTCCTCCAGTCCGTCCTCCGTTTGGGTCGTTTCCATCCCCATCCCCACCCTCCCTGATCGACTCGGACTCATCACGGTTCCACACCAGCAACGCGGCTTCCCTCTTTTTCCTTCCGCCGATCTGCGACCAGCAACCTCGTCGGATTCCCGATCCTCCTGTCCATTCTGCGACCGTTATTTCTCGACGTCTCGAGACTTCTCGTCTCACCTCATTCCCTCTCACCTCCTCTCGTCTCACTTCACCACGCGACCCTTCCGCTCGGATCCTGAAACCTGCTCGCTCTCCTTCCCTCCCGAAGCACACACTCTAGCGAATGCTGACAACCACCACCTCCTCCCGCGGATTACTCCCTGATCCTCATTGATGGGGGTTCCGTCATGAATCCAGGCCAATACTCCAACCCCGGCGGGGGCATGCCGGGGGTCGTCAAGCCCGGCATGCAGCAGCAGCAACAACAGCAACAGCAACAGCAACAGCAGCGCAATGAGAACGCCCAGTTGATTTTGAGCTCCGTCGCTCAAGAATTGCAGATGCAGCCTCGCCTTGGTGGATGGAAAGATGAAGTCCCCATCAAGGTTCGAGCCATGAATGTGTACCAGATGTGCGTATGCCATGACAAAGTTCCCGAAAGCCCCCCCCCTTCCCATGATGCTTGTTCTTTGTTTCAGCCCACTCACCGGTTGCTGATTCATCTCCTTGGCTTTTTGTTCGTTTCATCTGACTGACCTTCTGCTTGCCCAGGATCACCTCCCTCCGGCTGATTCAGCCTCGAATCGATCTGAAGCAGGCTGGCAACGCCGCGATTGCCTTTGAGACCAACGCCTTCAAGAAGGCCAACGAGCTGGTTCGTACTCATTTACCTCACCTCATCCGGCCTTCCCCAACTCTCCTTCCTGGACAGTTTCAATGATACTGACTACGGTGCTTTCACCTCTGACAGAGCGAGTACGAGAAGGAGTGTAACGAGAAGCTGCTCCATATCAAAGACACTCGCCAGAGGCAAGCGGCAGTTGCGATTCAAAGTGGCATGATGCCCCAAGGTGGGCTCGGCATGCAAAATCAGCTTCAAGGTGGCTTTCCGCACCAGATGAGTCGGAACATGCAGACATCGCCCATTCCTGGTCAACCTCAAATGGCCATGGGAATGAATGATCCCAATCAGCAAGCTGCCATGCAACAGCGCCAGCAACAGAATGCGATGCTCCAGCAGCAGCAACAACAGCAGCAGCAACAACAACAACAGCAACAACAACAACAGCAGCAGCAGCAGCAACAACAACAGCAGCAGCAACAACAACAGCAGCAGCAACAACAACAGCAGCAGCAGCAGCAGCAGCAGCAGCAGCAGCAGCAACAGCAACAGCAACAGCAACAGCAACAGCAACAGCAACAGCGAACTCAACAACGCCCTACAAACGGTGCTCCTCTTCCCGACGACATTCCCACGCTTCAAAATCCTGACCTCGACCACGTTGCCCGCCTGGCACAGCAAATGCTCCAAAAAACCTCCCCAGAAGATATGGCCAAGATCAGACACAACTTGTCCAACATGACTCCTGAGCAGCAACAGTACCTGGCCCGAAAGCGTATGGACCCCATGACCTACTTCTTCCGCTCTCAGGCTCTGAACCAGTTGAGACGACACCGTCGTGCCCGCATGGAGATGGACCGCGCTGCGAATAATGGTGTCAACCCGGATGGTGGGATGTCGGGTGATCCCATGATGAATCAACAGGCCATGTTCCAGAACATGATGAATCTTCAGCGCAACTCGGCTTTCCCTGGTAATCCTGGCCAGGGCCAGGGCCAAGGCCAGGGCCAGAGTCTGGACTCGAATGCTTTCTTCGGAAACGTGGAGAACATTCAGGGCCAGCAAGCCGACGGACTCCGTTCACAGGAGGCTGGCCAATTAGTAGTCCCCGCCAGCTCATCGCAGATGAACCAGCAGCCGTTCAACAACCAGCAGAACATGTTTCCCCAGCAGTCCGGTCAAAATGGCCAAGGGAACGGAAATATGAATGGCATGGGGATGAACCCCCAGATGTTCAACCAGCCGCACATGCAGGGTCTATCCAATGGAGCCCAGCAATTCCAGGCCCAGCAGGCGCAGGCTCAGGCTCAGGCGCAGGCGCAGGCGCAGGCTCAGGCTCAAGCCCAGGCTCAAGCTCAAGCTCAAGCTCAAGCTCAAGCTCAGGCTCAGGCTCAGGCTCAGGCCCAGGCTCAGGCACAAGCACGTGCCCAGGCCGCACAGAAAGCCCAGCTGGCAATGTCTGGCCAGGCAAACCCGCAGGCGCAGGGCCAATTCCCTCAACAGAGTCCTGTCATGCCGATGCTGAACCAACCCATGGCCCCTGGTCAGATCTCCCCGGTTCCAATGGCTGCTCAGGCCCGACCCCCATCTCGCCCACCGAATATGGGGCAGCACCCCGGTGGCATGCAGGGGGGACAGCCCGCGATGCAAGGTCGACCCCAGATTCCTGCCAATCTCCCTCAGGCAGTCCAGGATCAACTGGCTCAGATGACGAACGAGCAGCTGCACAATTTCTTACAGAATCAGCGCCGTGTCCATGCCAACAACCTGGCTCGGGCTAATGCTCACCAGCAGCAGCCAGGTTCACTTCAGCAGACTGGGCCACAAGCGGGTCAGAATCAAGCGATGTTTAACAGTCAGATGGCTAACAATGCTCGAATCAGAGCCTCTATGAGCATGCAGCAAGGCATGAACATGGCCGGCGGGCCCCCTCAGGCTCAGCACATATCAGTCCAGCAGATGAATCCTCAGCAGCGGGCGGCGCACCAGTATCGTCAAAATGAGTTACTCAAGCTCCATGCCCTTCGACAACAGAACAATGGCCACGAGATGACCGCTGAACAAAGCAAGGAGATGGACCGGTTCCCCTTCCCGCAGTCTCTCCTCAACAATAACTCTCAAGTACCGAAACACATTAAGACTTGGGCTCAGCTCAAGCATTGGGCAGGGACCAATCCCCAGGCCTCGAGTGGCGGTGTTGATCTGTCCAAGTTGATGACCTTGCAAAAGCTACACTTCGGCCAGATCCTGGCTGCGAAGGCTAGCCAGAATCAAAATCAAGGCCAGCAACCCTTCCAAGGACCCCAGGGCGGTATGCCAAATCATCAGAATTTCTCACAACATCCTGGCAACGTGGCAATGCGACCTATTACACCTCAGGATGTTCAACTGGCTCGCGAGAAGCTGGGGCCCAACGGGATCAACTACAATGATGATCAGATTCGCGATATTCTACGAAACCGCCAGAAGCAATTACTTGAGCAGGCCGCACACCAGCGGGCTGCTGCGCTGGGCCAACCGATTCCTCAGCCTCCTGGCTCGGTGGCTCCAAACCAGGCGTTGATGAAGCCAATCCATGTCCCTCAGCAGCCGTCGCAGGTGACTGGCGAGCTCCAGGCTCCGAATGTGAAGCCCCAACAGCCTGGTCCTCCTTCCAAGGGTGGTAAAGCCCCGACTGGAAACCAGAGATCGAAGAAGAGACCTAACCCGGATGAGACCATTGAGAATTCAGTCATGACTGCCCCTCCTCAGCAGCCCCAGGCTCCAGCACCTACCGCGACTCCTGTTCCTCAGAAGATGGGTTTCCCATTCTCGCAGGAACAATTCAACGCGATGAGTCCTGACCAGCGATTGGCCATTGAAAAGTCAATGCGGCGTCAGCAACAGAGCGCCTTCCGTGGCCCGCCTATCAATAGGGCTACTGCTGAAGAGAATTGGAACAACAACCTTCCGCCGAAGATTATGGAGGTGTACAATGAAATTTCCAGGGCTGCTCCACCAACCAAGCCTGTACCTGTTTCTCCAGAACAGAAGGCGATCATGACTCAGCAGCTGCGAGATTCTCTGGATGTACTGGCCCGACTTGATGTCGTGGTCTTGCATGGTTTTAGTAAGATGCAGGGCCAAGAACGGAATGTGAAGAACCTACTTGCCATGCGAATTCAGTTGATGCGACAGTTCAAGCCCTCACAGGAGTGGATCGTCAATGACCAGTTCACCGTCACTCCTGACTACCTGACTGGCTCTATCCTTTTCATCCGCAAGCTGTTCCAGGTGATGCTTGTTCGGATGAACCAGCAGCGACCTAATGCCAATCAAGCCATCCCTTCAACTATCCAGTCTGGACAGCCTAATCAAACTGCCGCCTTGAATGCGTCCAACCTTCAGCAGTTGCAGCAGCAGCAACAGCAAGAGGAGGCTCTTCAGCGTGCTCGGCGTGGTTCCAGCCAGACTGCAGCTGTGGCCTCTGCACCCTTTGGTGCTCCGTCTCCGCAGGGAGTCCCACACGCATATGGCCCAGGTGGACTTGCTCCTGAGAAGCTCAAGCTTCCTCCGCCCAAAAAGCGAAAGCAATCCCAAGCCGGGGTATCCGCTTCTCCCATGCAGGCCAGCGCCCCAATCATCGCTGATGCAAGTTACAAGAAGGCTGTCGCGGATGCTAAGTCGGCGGCTACCGCTTTGGCTGGTGCATTCAAGTGCGCCGTTGTCGAGTGCCAGCACCACTTCCAAGGTTTCCCGACCAAGGCTGCTCTGGATAAGCACATTGAAGAGAGCCACAAGCCCGAGGTGGAGGAATTGGTCGAGGATCCTCTGCAATACTTTGTCGAGAGTATCGATATTGGTCTTGGGTTGACTGCGGACAACCAGAAAGCCAACCAGACCGCCACCGCCAATACTGCTGCTCTCCGTTTGATGAACTCCCCTGCCAAGCCTGGCCTAGCCACCCCGGCCACTGCCAATGCGACTCCGATGGCGCGTGCCACAAGCCAGCTCGGTGCTACGAGCGCGTCCCCCGCTACCTCAACCCAGCAGCTCACTCCCCAGCAGGACAAGGCCAAGAAGCCGGCGCCGAAGCTTAGTGCGCTTGAGCAACTCGTGGAAGAGTGTAAGGTCTTGCCTCCGTGGACTGCTTGCACCTTGACGCGGGAGGAGCTTGGCGATACCTTTGAGCCCATATTCGACGAGTGCAACGTTCGTGGCGGGCTCGTTTTCGATGACGTTTTCAATATCGACGCGCTCTCCGGTGGTGACCCACGCCGTGACCCAACTGAGAATACTCCTGACTCGAATGACTTGGCGCTGGCCACCCAGACTCCCAAGGATGACCTCAAGGACCCGGTCAACTGGTCCGAGTGGTCGGCCTTTGATGACGATTCGGCTGTGAACACTGCTGATTGGATGAACATCCCGCCCGAGCTTCAGGACAACATCGCCGACGCCATCAACGGTGTGAAGGTGGACTTCGACGGTCTCGAGCGTCAGCAGAAGGAGATCAGCCTCGACAATGGTGCTGGCTTTGCCATCCCTGCCCTGTGATTGCCCTGTGATTGTGAGCATGTACTTGCACATTACACTTTTCTTTCATATTCATCTATTTCGACGAAGAGGAGAGATGGGCCGATATCATGACTATTTCTTTTTTTGTCCCATTCCGGCGGCTTTTTCTGGCGTACATACGATGCGGTTTCTTATTTTTTTATTCTTATTTTTTGACATGACAGGGTGCAACATGGAAGCGAGTGTACCATACCCATCGCGGGACTTCTGTTTTCTCTCACTTTTCCCACTGGCGATATTCTTTTTCTTTCATTTATTTGAGCGATCCTTGCGTGGATGCAGGATTTGTTTTCCCTTTTTGCTCGATTTGTGATTCCCTACTGGGCCAGCGATGGCGTTCATGCTGTGGGAAAAAAAGATGGGTTTTCTGTTTGGCCGCCGGGATGTGTGATGGTTCATGCTTGCAAATGGCATAATTTTTCATAATACCTATCTGAGGACCTTGTTAATACCAGGGCAATCTTTCCTTGAACCTCTGGACTTTGCAAACTCGTAGTTACATTTTCATCTCCATAGACGAGCCTAATCGTGGCGTCTTGTCTGTAATAGTCGTATTATTCGCTACCACGCCCGTGGTATGGCTCGCCTGGTTCTTCCAGCATGCTTTGGTCTAGTTATACTTGACTCCAGAGCTCTGTTTGCTATGGGTCGGGGAAAAGCTCCAGCTCTCTGGCGGAAAATGACGATTGCGTCAATCATCAAGCCTGCCGCTAATGGGAACATAAGCATCTGAGTTGATACGCAGAGTCGTATCGGTGGAAGTGATATTCAAAATCGTTAAGCATAAGAATATCATCATAGTTGATCGACTAGACCACTAGTATGGCTACATTGCATAGTTTCATACCCGGCTGATTAGCTGGATCGGATAAGACCCACATGCTGGGCGAGTCACGTCAGCTCCCGCTTATCAGCCGATAAGGGGATCTCCGCTTTGTTCGGCCTTCACAACCTCCCTCTCTCCTCCACAAACCCCCTCCTCGCCTCTAGTCCCTTGTCTTCAGCATCGGGACACCATGGCGGACCGCGGCCTTATTCCACTCCTGGTCACGATGATGCTCGTGACCGGAGTTTGCAATACCATCCTCAACAAGTACCAGGTATGCACGCGAGCCGACCGATGGCGGACGAGGTCCCCAGCTAACAGGAACATCCTTTTACAGGACATGCAATGCGTACGCAACTGCGACTCCCCCAATCTCAAGGAGCGGAAGCATTTTGAGCAGCCGGTTATCCAGACGTAGGTGGCATCCCCGGAAAGTGGATTGTGTAATGGACATGACTATGACTGGCCGGAAACTGGCTTACGATGTTTGTGGTTTGATAGGGCGCAGATGTTTGTCGGTGAAATGGGCTGCTGGATAGTTGTCGGAGTGTCCATTCTCTACAAGCGCTTCGTCGCGCCCCGGCTGTCCCGCGAGCCGTCCCCGCTCTTCGAGGGCGGATACCGGCCTGTGCGTGGCGAGGACGGCGGCCTCGACGATGACGAAGATTGTACGCTTGACGGCCGCGATGGTCAAGATCTTAACAAACCCGCAAATGAACCGGATGATCGCATCAAGCTGCGTGGGTGGCGGATCCTCCTTCTTGCCGCGCCGTCGTGTTGCGACATTGCGGGCACCACCTTGATGAATGTAGGGCTGCTCTTCGTTGCCGCCAGTATCTACCAGATGACCCGCGGAGCACTGGTGCTCTTCGTCGGCCTGTTCAGTGTGCTGTTCCTCCGTCGCAAGCTCTTCTTGTACCAGTGGAGTGCGCTGTTTGTCGTGGTTCTGGGCGTTGCCCTGGTTGGTCTTGCCGGTGCGCTCTTCAGCGGCGATACCGGTCATGATATCACCCAGGACGACGGTGCCCTTATGAAAGCAGGCGGAAGGACTCCTGAGGCGGTACAGACTATCGTTGGTGTTCTGCTTATTGCTGCAGCCCAGATCTTTACGGCTTCGCAGTTCGTGCTGGAGGAGTGGATTCTCGAGAACTACGCTATGGACCCCATCCAGGTTGTTGGCTGGGAAGGTCTTTTCGGATTCTCAGTCACTGTGATTGGCATGGTGTTTATGTATCTGGTCGTGGGTCGCACCGACGCCGGCCGGTATGGCTACTTCGACATGAAGGAAGGATGGCACGAGGTCATCACGAACCGCGCGGTAGCGATGTCCAGCATTCTGATCATGATCAGTATCGGGTATGTCAAGTTTTGCTTTTCATCTTTAGATGTTTTTCCATGTTGCCTGCAAACTCCCAATTCCAAATTCCATCTTACTTACAACTGCGTCCAGCGGCTTCAACTTCTTCGGTCTCTCCGTCACCCGCACCGTGTCCGCCACCTCCCGCAGCACAATCGACACATGCCGCACCCTCTTCATCTGGCTCGTCTCGCTGGGACTGGGCTGGGAGTCCTTCAAGTGGCTCCAAGTCGCTGGATTTGTACTTCTCGTGTACGGCACTTTCCTCTTCAACGATATCATCCGCCCTCCTCTCAAGGCTTGCCTTCCATCCAACCGGAGGGAGGGCCAGGTGCTGCTTCCCGAGGAGCCAATCGAGCACTTCTAGAGCACAATGTCACGATCTCACCCCACACATGTTATCTACTCGGTTGATCCAGGATCTGCCCGGCTCATTATACAGATCCGAGCTACAATTCGTTGATACTTTTGATCCAATTTTGCATGCCTATATTGCGCTGGACGTTGGCGTTCTCCCGTGTTGGCTCTTTTACTTCACAGTCTGTGGGTGGATGATATACACCTGTTTACTTATTTTCTTGTCACGCATTGTTTCGTGCTTAAGAGGCTTCAGCTCCGTCATTGGCCATAGAGCCAGTCCTACTGACGGCTTTGCTGTTTGCTTTTTGGGATCTTGTATTGGGTTATTCTGAACATTGATCATGGGATTTGCCTCTCCTTAAATGTCCAGGTACCCGTAGCAGACAGAAATCCCAATCTCTTGAAAACCAAGTGTCCTATTCCCCCATCCTGCCAATACGTAGTTACAACTTCAGTCCATCATATCGGTGACAATCAATTTTCTTGCTCTGACTCGCCCTGCTCTTACTACCAACCACGTCCTACTCGAAACCTGCACCACTCAACACAGAACCAGTTAATTTGCACCACGCAACACTTGCTCATGCACTGAATCATCTGCTAACGAAGCATGTACAAGAAACAAAGGCCGCCCATCCCAAAGTGGAGAGCAACAGAAGCACGATAGAAAGGAAATTGAAATAGAAAGGAAGAAAAAGTCTAGATGAGTCGAGGCCAAGGGGAACACATGGTGAAGGCGTAAAGTGACTAGGGGTAGGTGTGTATAGAACTGGAGAAGTTTTGGGGGCTGCTCGTGAAATTAAACGCTCGTCCGCCTAATTACTTTTGTTCGAAGGTCCTTTTCTGCCCATAAATCTTGCAAGAACGAAGGGCTGTGTTCGGTTGCTAGGTTGATTTAAGGCTCGGACCAGTCGACCTGATCAGTGACTGGGTTTCCGTCCCGGGAAGATGACACTCGGAGACGGAGGCGAAGCTTGGGTGGGAGGGCCTGGTTTGAGAGAAATGGTGTTAGCATCATGGTCAAGGGTTTGCGGAAACAGTTGCAAGGATAACATACCCCACTCATTGCAGTCACGCGCATTGTCTGGGTGCCCTCTTCGCCAGCCTCAAGGTCCGCTTTGCTGATAGCACTCAGCTGCAGACGCTGGCTCTTGGGCACAGCGGCCTGCAGGCCGACGTTGGAGAAGCTGTCGAAGTTTGACTCGTTGCGGAAGCGGGCCAAAATCTGGGCGTTGTTGCCACTCCGCTGGACTTGTAGGGTGAGCACGAGGCCATCCTTGTTGAAAACGGTGTGTGCGGGCGTCGAGGCGGCGACCGGCGCAGGCGAGGCAGAGGGAGAGGGCGTGGAAGCACCCATACTACCTCCACCAAGTAGGTCAAGTGAGGCAGAGGCAGACTGCTGAGTTAGCTGGGGAGAAGGCGAGGCGCCGTTCGAGCCGAACAGGTCCATGATGGCGCTGTTGTTCATGGAGCTCTGGCCTGCAGGCACGGGGGCCGGCGACGACGTGCTCGAGTCTCCTCCGCCAAGGATGTCTGCCAGCAGATCGGCGGTGTTAGGTCCGTTTGATGTCGGGCTGGTCACGGGAGCATCGGAGCCACCCATCAGGTCAAGTAGCAGGTCGTGCTCGGCAGGCTTGGACACCTTGGTGGATTTGCCGCGCAGGATCTTACTCTGGCGCTTCTTTGTGGGTGCGCCGAAGACACGCTGTTCCTCGCGGATCTCAGGCGCAGGCATGCGCTCAAGGACGCCGCGGCGAATCTGATCGTAGCCGAACAGGTTGCTGTATTCAACAGCACGCTGCTGAATCTCGACGCTTAAATCAGCAGTTCGGCTGGAGAGGAAGCGACGAAGGCGCTCAATCTGGGTGGGTTCTGACAGGCGTGTGGTAAGCTTCATGGATGCGGTGATGATGTACTCGATAGTGATCTGGGAGGCATAGGTGCTGTTGAGGATGTTGGTGAACAGGTCAACAATGTCACTCTCGCGTACATCCTTGACCAGCTCCTCTTCCTCGTACTGGCCGCCCTGTAGCAGACTGTCGGCATATTCCCCAATCGTCCAAGTGGCAGCCAGGGTAAGGCCCTCTTGCGAGATATCCTCCTTCAAAGAAGAGTAGAGCTTCTGCACAGCATAGGTCTGCAGCTCAGGGGTAGTGGCAATGAGACGAACAAACGACGACAGAATCTGCTCCTTGACGTAGGTCCCAGCCAGCTTAAGAACCCGTAGGATGGTATCCAGGTGCCAGCGCTTATTTGGGGCAAATCGGTCAGCGGCAATTCCAATCTGGGTGGTCATGACCGGTTTGAATTCATTGTCAGCAACCTCTAAGAAGGCTAGCAGCTCCCGCACAAGCACCCGTACATTGCTCTCGTTGATCAACATGAAGCTGAGATCGAGCGCTCGCCGGCGAATGCTGATATCAGGATCCCGCAGACATTCTAGGATAGTGTTGCGGTGCCTTTGCACCGCGTTCGGTTCAATGGCAACGACTTTGTTCAATGTGTTCAATGCAACGTAACGGATGTTGTTGTCCTTGTTGGACAGGAATTTACCGAGGATGTTAACACCCAGGACCCTCAATCCGGAATCGGCTTCGATGTCGAGAATAGTGAGCACAGCCTCGTACAGGATGGCGTTGCCCACGTTCTTGGACGAGTCGGTGTTGGTGGCCACCTGGGCCAGAATATCGTTGATCAGTTCACTGGTGGCCACATCTCCTCGGCCCAAAACCCGCAGGAACCGGAGAATCTTGACCTGAAGGAAAGGATCCGTAATTCCAGATACATCGTGTTCTGGGGCATATCCGGATGTTGTCAGACCCTTCAGGGCGCGCACGAGACCCCCAGCGAGTGGCCGGAACGTCTCGATCACACCCTCTGGGCCTTCCTCCTCCTCTTCCGCCTCACACAGATCAATCGCAAAAGTCAGACCGCAAAGCAAGACACCATGGTTCCGATCCCCAAGCAATGTCTTGGCTTTCTCCAGGAAATGCTCGTGAAGATCCGGGACCTTGCGACATATCCGCATGGCACAAATGGCAGCTTTTCGTCGAATGTAGGGGTTCGCCGTAGACATGAGGTTTTCGACTTCGGTGAAGAGGTCACGAGACATCTCGACGGAGGCGATGTTGCCGAGGGCGCAGAGGGCGAGACCGACGATATACTGGTTGGAGTGGCTCAAATCACTGGCTGCGTGTCAGCATGACCTTCCCCCTTGGCATGGTTATCATTATTGCGGAGCTACTGACTTCTGCAACGAGTTGGTCACTAGTGTCAGCACCTCCTGGTTCTCATCGAGTAACAGCATCGTCCCTAAGTAGCCCAGTCGCTTGTCGGCGAAGCGGTGCGAGGCCAGTAGCTTCAGACATTCGATCTGACCGAAGTGAGTCCGCTCACCCAGGGTGAACAAATAAAGCAGCTTAGCCACATTGTTCCTCCTATAAAACCTCATTAGGACCGTCTGTTTATGTCAATGGGGAGAGACCAGGCTGTTGGAAGCTAACCGGATGCCGGACTCGTGGCTCTCTTCGCGGAACGAGGCTCGAATGGCAGCACTTTCTTTCTGAATGACTGCCCGCTCATCGGCAATGGTCTTCGCAGATCGGACATTGCGAATAAATTGCTTGACTGTTGGGTACGTGGGTTAGAGGCGCCGCAACCTCAGGGGAGACAGTGAGGGGCGGCGGGCAGCCAACTTACGGGAAGACATGGCGGTCCACAACCCCCAGCGGGGTCAGGAGAGAAGTGACAATGGGAGATGAAAGACAGGAAGCCCGTGGCGGGATCTCAAAGACAATGCTCGTAGCTCGCACGACAGTAGTGAAGCAATCCAGCGTCCGGTCTGGATTGGCTTTATTATGGCCCGTGACTTGGGTCGACCTGGCTTCTTGGCGGGAGGGTACGCTAATCCCAGAGGGGAAGGGTCCTTGGCGGACTGTATGGAAGATCACCTGACCATCTCAGTCAGTATTAGACACCTGAGGCAAAAATTACTTGGCTTACCTCTTCAGACGTAATTTACTAATTTACCTGGTGGCCGCCGGCAGATCCGCGGTAGGCCGATGTACAGTATAATGCATACCCTGCTTGGATGCAGAATTTAAAGAAGTAGCACTGCCCATAGGGTCTCGTGCCCAGATACTCTGGCGTTCAGTTCAGTTCGAAGTTGAGCCTTGTTCATGCAGCGCAGCATGGCCCCCATAACTCCTGTAGATTGCGTGCAGGTCAGCCTATAAGGCCGACCGTTGACGTAGTTGGACGATCCCGCCCCATTTTTCGGCATCCGTTGCTAGTTCAGTCAACAAGGTTAAAAACAATGGCTCACCCGAGCCTTCCATTCCCTTCCGCTACCGGGGATCCCGATGTAAACCTCCTCCATTTTACACCCCTGCAATTGCATCCTTTCCCTTGGCAGGATGTCCAGTGCCGTCGCTCAGAGCGACCTGTCCGTCCTTCGGCCGCGCGCCGTTCCCCTCCAGTCCGACCCCCAGTCTGGCATGAGTCTCACGCCGCCCGCGACGGACAAATCGCCCTTAGACACGAGGTATGTCGTCCACTATCAATCTTATCCATAAGTCTTGTGCAATGGCGCCTAACCTCTCCAACAATAACTGCAGCGGCGCCTCAACTCCCGTCCCTGAAGATGCTCCCCCTCCGCGCATTCGATCTCAGTGGCCCGCAAGCAGGTGCGGGCACGGAATCGCCTCTTCTATACCATCGACTATATTCCTCGAGTGTCCCATTTCGATCCCGACAGCGACTACCATGATTTCCGCGGATTCTTCACTCTGTTTTGGATCAGCTTGGTGATTATGGTGGTCACGACCGTGCTGCGCAATATCAAGGATACTGGATACCCGTTGCGGGTGCGGGTTTGGAGCTTGTTGTCGGCCAATGTGTGGGAGCTGGGTCTGACTGATTTGGCCATGGTGGTCAGCTCAGCGCTGGTCCTGTCGATGCATCGGCTCTACCGGAGCGGGCCGCGGTGGCTGCGATGGGCACGTGGAGGTGTGGTATTCCAAAGTGTTGGAGAGGCGCTGTGGCTGGCAGTATGGATCAAGTAAGTTCTGTCTGCATTTGTATCAGATCTTTGGGTATTGGACTGACGATGGCGTCAAAGCTGGCCCTTCATGCGCCTATGGACCTGGACTGCCCAAGTGTTCTTCACCCTCCACGTCTTGACGATCCTGATGAAGCTGCACTCTTATGCCTTCTACAATGGTCATCTCAGTGAGACTGAGCGTCGCCTCGCTTCTCTTGATAATCCGGGTCCCATTGAGCCTAGCTCCCCTGCCGCAGTTCGGTACCCAGAGCCATACCGACGCCGGCCGTCTATGAAGCCCCAGCACGATGAAGACGATTCTACCGAACCACTGGCCCGTCTGCGTGAAGATCTGGCTACAGAGTTGACATCACCGCTGGGCAACATTTCATATCCGCAGAACCTGAGCCTTGGAAACTATACAGACTTCCTCTTTTGCCCGACGCTGTGCTACGAGCTGGAGTACCCGCGCCGACAAGATCGCCGCTGGGACGAGATTGCATGGAAGACCCTGGCCGTCTTTGGATGTATCTTCTTGCTAACTCTGACGAGCGAAGAGTTTATCGTGCCTGTCCTGAGCGAGGCACACGGCCAGTTGGAAGCATTAGATACCATGACCGACAAGGCGCTCGTCTTGGCTGAGACCATTAGCATGCTCCTATTCCCCTTCATGGTAACCTTCCTGCTGGTGTTCCTGGTGATCTTCGAGTATGTGCTGGGCGCGTTCGCGGAGCTCACCCGATTTGCGGACCGGCACTTCTACTCTGACTGGTGGAACTCGTGTGACTGGTGTGTTCAAGCCCCACTCTATATCACTCATGCCCCTACGTACTAACTAACACCCAATATCAGGCTTGAATTCTCCCGAGAGTGGAACGTCCCCGTTCACCACTTCCTGTTCCGCCATGTCTACTTCCCGTCCCGCACCTACTTCTCCCAGCCCGTCGCCATGTTTATCACATTCCTGGTTAGCTCTATCTTCCATGAGCTTGTCATGAGCTGCATCACCAAGAAACTGCGCGGCTACGGCTTCGGAGCTATGATGCTCCAGCTGCCCATCGTCGCGGTCCAGAAGTCCCGGTTCTTCAGGGGGCGGACAACCCTCAACGTGAGTTCGGACAATACTATGAATCCCTTTGAGAGAAACACTAATGTCTCGCGTAGAACATCTTCTTTTGGTTCTCGATGATCCTGGGTCTCTCGATGGTAAGCCTATGACTTCGTCGCGGAGTAGGTGGCGATCCATACGTGTGCTATTGCTAATACGCTTGGTCTCCAGATGTGTGTGTTTTACGTCTTGGTTTGAGTCGTGTGTGTTTTTTTTTTCTCGTCGATATTATACCAATTGGAACGGGAGCGGATAATCCGCGCACAAATCGAATTTAGCAACGGTGGGTTAGATGTGTATATTACGGATTGGAAGATGCGTACTATTTATTGAATACCCCTTGGCTATATTTACTGGTCGTGGCTTGGAATGGCGCTCGCTATGGGCTTGTATATAGACGCAAGCAAATTATTGTAACATTCGATCCTTGGTTGCTAAACTTTGGTCTATTCGCTAAGGTATCAGTTCCTATTGTTCCGTACAATCATCATGTCGAGATATGAAAATCCCCTCCTTTCCGATACATTAGAGGGACCGGTAGGAGATAAACCATCCATCAAACACGAGTCGGAGGAAATCTAAAGAATACCTCACTCCGGTGATCCAGTCTCCGAGACCTCCAAGCCTACATTTCAGTCGGCATTGGTCATACGATGGAAATCAAACAAGCCACGGCATTTTTTTCTTCATTTAGTGGTGCTGTACCAGTCTACCTATCCACACCAAACTGGGACAAACCGAAAAGAAGCAAAACACAAATACCAAGGTCCAGTCAATTCATAGATGGTCATATCCAAGAGCGTCAATTCGTTAGTTAGGGGTTACCCCACTGAGGTTTGTTTCCACGGGTATCTAGAAATGTGCCCGGGAGGGTTAATGACAAAGAACAAAGTCGAAAAAGAGTCAAAAAAAAAACAGCCGACACGAACAATTTGCGAACCGGGGAAGATCACAGAGAAAGAAAAAAAATGAGATGCGCCAGATAGGTTGTTGTATGGTATGTTAATTGTGAGACATGAGACATGAGATAATAACACCATTCCCCGCCCCGTAGCGCCGACAAAGAAAGCAGACGCTGCACGGCACGCCCCCACCGGGCGTGCCTGATCATGCGCGGATACCCAAACCAAACCGAACCGAACCGAACCGAACCGTCCCAATGCTGGATGGCGGGGGAGTATATTCGACGCCTTGGCGGAACGTACCACCCCCATGGCGTGGGGATAATGGAAACTGGACGTGGCTATTCACGCTGGCTGGGAGCCAGGAGTTTCCGTCAAGTAAAAATGTGGACTGGGCGCAAAGGCGACCCAACAAAAGTATAATCAAGAAGAAATGTGGGAAGAACAGAGTGCGCGTGAGTGGATGGAAGACGAAATTAAAGCATTGGTCAAGCGCAGAGAAGAAAGAGAAGCACGAGCGTGGAGCTGTCGTTATTTATATAGTTTCGATTATGCGAAGGCAGACTGACGTCTGCCCGGTGGAGGATGGCGGTGGTCGGTGTAGTAGTGAGATCGGCCGGGCGAGACCTGTGCGTCGCTGGGCCGGATCTCACGAGCGTACTTGATATCCTGGGCCCGAGGACGAGGAGTATACTCGACATCCTCGTACTGCCGCACGGGTCGCACAGAGCGGACCTCGACGCGGGGGGAGTCGGCGGCAAATGTGCTGGCTCGCTTGGGTCCCATTCGACTCCGTTCAGGGGATATGGAGCGGTACTTGGAGGATTTCGGCGAAGGTTCGATGATCACAGGGTCCACAATCTTGTAGCGGGAGGTGGTGGTCTTAGGCGAGGTGCCTCTCGGGGCCATCTCGGGAGTGCTGGGGCTAGAGTAGCCGGAGTCGTAGCGTCGTGTGGACCGTGGAGGGACTGGTTCGCGGACCATTTTCTCCAGGTCCGGCTCCTCGCGACTGGAATTCTCGCGCTTGGGGCGGGTGAAACCCGTGGAAGTGGTAGCGCGTGCTCCGAACAGCGATGGGCGAATGGAGGACTTGTAGCCGGGGGAGGTGGATGAACTGGGCATCTTGGGAGCCTTGAATTCCTCGCGGTCTCTCCGCGAGGGTTCCAGGTGCTCATAGGAGTTGTGTCGCGAGGTTGACTGATTCCGGGTGGAGCGGGAGGACCGAGCCGCGCGCCGCGCCATGTTCGCCTCCGGTTCGGCCGACTCGTAACCACGGTGGCGCTGTGGGGACCGCGAGCTTCGCGGACCTTCATACTTCGAGCGCTGGATATGCTCCTCCGCCAAGTGATGCCAGCTATCCAGCTTGTTGTGAAATCGGCCGGCAAGCTCATCGTCCTCGTCATCCTCGTAGGCACGACCATGATGCCGCGCGGATTCTGTTGGCCGGGCTCGCGATTCCAGTGGCTCACGGGACTCACGCGACCGGCGTGTCGGCCGCTTCAGACGCACGTACACGTCGGAGTCACTGGAATCAGAGGCGCTGTCCGACTCCGCATAAGAGTCGTATGCCTCATACTTGGCGGACGCTTGGCGACGGCGCTCGCGGTCCCGTTGCTTGGCCCGGTCGGCTTGCTTCAGTTTGGTCGTCTCACGAAGCTCCTTGGCCGCTCGCTGGCTGCTCATGGGGGTGCGGGGTTTCATCTTCTCCTCAGTCGGCTTCGGCTTGGATCGCACGCCAAAATCATCGTACTTGCGCGACATTGAACGGGGCTCCTCCGTAAAGCGCAAGGCCTCATCCAAGAAGGCATCCACCGGCACCCGTTCCTCAAAAACGCGACCCTCCCGCACCTCACGGGGACCTCCGCTTCCACTGCCCCGTGGGAATGGATACGTTGAGGACTCGTTCGTCCGTCTGCGTTGCTCCAGGATTTCGCGCTTGAGCTCTGCCAGCTTCGCCTTCTGGTCGTAGCGGGTTCGTCGTGTTTCGTCGGACAGGAGTTCATAGGCCTGCTGCACTCGCTGAAACTCATCTTGGGCGGCATTTCGCTGCGACTCATCTTGAATCTTGTCGGGATGGCACTTCAGGACCCGTTTGCGATGGGCGGCCCGGATCTCGGTGACGGAGGCTTCCTTGGAAACCCCCAGCACCACATATGGGTCGATATCGGGTGGCGACGTCATGATCGAGGGGGGGAAATGGATTTCAATCAACCATCAACAGGGGGAGTAAAGCCCTGCCAGGAATTGAAAGGGCGAGAAGGAAGGGAGAAGAGTGAGGTGGTAGTTACGGTCCAGGGAAAGAGAGGGGAAGGAAGAGGCGGTGGAGCGAGCGACGTATGTATGGAATGCCACTGGGGAAATCGGGCCAGAATCCACTACCTCCCGACACCTCCAGAAGATAGTCGCAGCCCCCGGAAGGATCGAATGGCCAAATTGTCAGCAGAGGGGGGCAAATTAGGAGATCGGTTAATCAACGATGGAAAATCCAGACGGCTTAGAAATGGAGATGGCCGTTCGGCGACGGTCGGGGCGAAAGGAAGTCGGAATCGGTGCCGTTCCAATTAAAGAAAAACCAGGGGGAGCGGGTGATGCGTTAATTAGGCCCAGAGTCGGTCAAAACCACTTCCGATCCGTCTTGTACAGAGTAATGACTGAGCCACAGAGCAGTGCGAAGTCTCTGCCGTCGGAGTTGTCGGGGCTGTCGTGGCCGTCGTAGGTCTGCCAGGGGCCATTGGAGGGGACCATTCCCTTTCACTCCGCCACGAGACTAAGAGACTAACGCCCAACAGGGAGGTGGCGGGATGGATTTGAGAACAGAACTTGCTCTTAGGTCGTCTCACAAAGACTGGTCGCCTCACTTCGTCCTCGTTCAGCGCTGGATGCCCAACGACAGGAGATCTGATGGCAGCTGAACGTGGTTCTCCCCTTTTCTTGCTGGAGAGGCCTGCCTACTAATACGCCATCGTACATCGCCTACAATCCACGTAAATGAACCGATGACACCTCGGCGAACGCCTATCACCCATCACCCTGCCCGCCCTCACGGCCAGGCGCTTGGTGCGGCGCCCTGACTGGCCCTGACTGGCTCTGGCTGGGCCTCTTCACCGGTCGTAGCTCGCCTTTTGCTGCGCCTGTGCGCCTCACCCGATTGGACTGGTCGGACGTGGCATTACATGGATGTTTCCTCGAATGCCGCATCTCATTGGAATTCCGGGGAGAACAATCCCTCCAGTCACCCAAAGTGGGGCGATCAACACGAGGCCGCCCTGATCCATGCCGGAGAGGCCTCATCATTGCGCATCCGCAGTCCTCCTTACGGTGTACACCACACCGACGCTATTTCCACTGCCCCGCATGGCGCAGTCCTCGCTCACGTCCCTCCAGGGAAACCCATCTCATGCAGATCTACCGATCATCGGTCGTCCAGCTTCCCCGTTAACAGGTTCCAGGTTACAGGTTCCAGGTTACAGGTTCCAGGTTACAGGTTCCAGGTTACAGGTTCCAGGCTACCACTTCCCACCGACTGACCCCTACTGACAGCCAGTTCAAGGCTTCCTCGTGCCATTGCCTACGTTTCCTCTTCCCCACCAAGTGCCGGGAGTCGAAGGCAGCCCATGGAATCCCCCGCATAGCGCGGCTTTTGCCTCTTCGCCTCGCCCTTTCTTTTTTGGCCGGCCCCACCTCAACCTGGGGCCGTGCCGCTCGGTCGATACAGTCCATGGTGACTCTCCCGGGAATCAAGACAAAATAGACTGTTGAGTCAGTACATACAGTACAGTACTTTGTGCCTGGTACGGAGTTCTGCGTACCAGGTACGGTAATGGTGGCTGAGCGCCCCACCGGTCCCTCGTGGGTTCGGTGGACACCTGAATCTGCCGTCCGCCTTATTCGGCTGATCGTTCGCCCTGCCTGAAGAAGTCATGGAAATAGAGTCGCCGATTTTGATACAGGTCCGTTTTTCGTGTCGCATGAAGATGATGCTCGATCTCCCGCGGCTGAACTCGCAGCTTGGTCTCTCCGGTACGGTATGGACGGGTCCATCCCGGGCCAAATATACGCTACCGAGGACCTGCTCGATTGCTCTTTCGCATGGTCGATCCCCGGCCCTTTCGCTCGACCTGATTAAGTCGATCGGCCAAGTCATCTGGAGACGAAATAACTCACGACTAGTGAGTTAGCTCTTGGGGCCGCTGGTCCTGGTCAGTGTTTTTAGCCCGCCCCCAGCCAATCGCATTGCCTCGCGAGTTCCGGTCCCACCAGGACCCATGATCCAACGTGTCGCTCCGCTGTACATCAACTACACCGTAGGGTCACCCCGCCTTCCCTCCCGAATACCATCAACGAAATCAACGAAAGACAGGCCACGGTGCCCCGACGCCGGGATCGCAGTTGCAGGTCTAGCGGTGCAGTCATCTGGATCCAGTGCTGCGGTCCGCATGGCCAGAGATAGCCGGCGAACCCATCAGCTGGATTCATCCCAGCCTAGGGCCGAGGCGGCTATGTTTGGTCTCCGTAGATTGGCATCTGAGAGCAGATAACGGGCTCGTCGAGCGGGCATGGATATCGAAGAAGCACGTGTCTGAGAACGGGTTCCCGGCCACCCATGGCAAAAGGGGTCATTTGATGGTCGGAATAAAGAGTGTGATGGGCTCTGCATCCATTCACCCCACTCATCTATTCGTTCAATAGATGAGGAGTCTCCGCAGGGCTCACAAATTCGACTCGGAAGCAAAACCAAGGCCCGCCTATCCAATGGCTTCCCATCACCTTGCCCGAATCAGAATCAGAATCAGAATCAGTATCCTCCGATCCCACCAGGATCACCACCCAAGTAGCACAAAGGCATCCTTTCCCGAAACACAGGGTTCCAATACCCCATCCGTTGGGCAAACAACCCAGGGGACTCCGTAGCATCCGGAAGCTTGAGCTCATCCTGGACCGGCATGGGCTGGTCCCCCGCGCCCCTGCAACCCCCGCGACGGTGCGATCCGGCCAAGCAACCCGAACCACTTCGGTGAATCCACCATTGGACCTTGGCAGCGCAATCAGGATGCACAGTTGCACAGAGAACACCCCGCAGTGCGATCCCGGGAGGAAGCTGGAACATACACGGCCGCGGTTCACTCCGGACACGCGAAAAGCACGCGCAAAGAAGTCAAGCCCGGCCCGGCCAGGCCCAACCGAACCAACCCAAATCAAACCAGCTATGCAACTGCCCCTGCGTCATGGCCGTGTTTCCCATTTCATTCAAAAATTCAAACCCCTGAGCACAAACTACCAACCACTCCCTGCACCGTTCTGAAACCCCAGACACCGCCCTCCCATCGGCCGACGGCTATCATCCCAGCTCTCGGGAGGCAGGTGTGCTCGTACCCCACCCCACCCCTCCAGGCAAGCCGATCAACCTGCTGAAGAAACCACCCCCTGCACCTCTAGATGATCGGCGTTGCAGCTCAAAGGTCACCGGTGTCAGGCAAGGGTGGGCGGGGCAGCGCGTGGTTGGCGCAGCGGCTTTGTGGGTTTGCCGTCCTTGTGTGCGGGTGGCCACTAGGAGCGCGGGTGCAAGCGCTTCGGGTGATAGGGTGATGGGCGGAATTAATGGATGGGTTCGAGACCGGCAGGGCGATTTGAGTTTAGATTTGCGGTGCAGATGACTGATGGCGGAGGGGAGATGTGATGGTGGTGTGTGATATCGCTTGCACAGTGTCTGCGAAACGCCGCTGGGGTTGTGGTGGGGGCGATCTGTCAGATGCGCAACGCTCCAGCAGAGGGTTGCGGCTTGTGGGGCGGGGCTTTCGTTTCTGGTTCGGAGAAGGGGGAGAGGAATGGGCGATAGTCCGCCATACGATCTAGCGTATGTGGTGGACATGTTTTCGATATACGGGTCTTGCGCTTGCAGCAGTGTCGAGATAGGGCTCCTTGGATTCGCAGGCCGATCAGCGCCGCCCGGAGCATCGCCCGGGTCCATCAGCCCATCCGATGGCAGTCTTGCAGCCTCGCAGCCTCGAGCCAAGCTGCATGGCCTCCGGCGAGAGAATATGCGCAGGTAGACCTACCGAGTACTTCAGTTCCTAACTGATGTAAGCCTTAAGAGTCTGACAGCATCGCTCGACACGCCGCTCCCCCGCCGGCTAATCCCCAGAGCAGGTATGCATCAAAGCGGCCAACCATCGGCTTGCAGAGGGCCAAAGCTCCTGGGGTCCTTCGTGCATAGCACTGGAAAATGCACTAGATCGAATTTCCCCAGCCACCAAATGCACGACAGCCCTGCTTACAGGTGCCGTGTGCGCATCAAGATTTTCTGTCGGGATAAGGCTGCTTCGAGAAGGGCTCAGCCGCCTACGGCCGGATCTGCCTAGATGGGAAGGAGGGCGACGCCAAAGGCTCGGGGGTCAGATGCACCCCCAGGCACTGGTTTACGATGCATAGTCCCGCCCTACTAGATGCAAAGCTCTACGTCCACTATTATCGCCGGAATCGTTTGCCTCCCTGGTGCGGCCGGCTGGTCGCCAGGACATTGGCGATGCAGGTCGCCCTTCTCGGTGATTGCAAGAGAGAGATAGGGCTTCGTGATTACCCAGGCTCGATGATGAGGACGCCAATGAACACGAGCTGAAGCCGAGTTCAATGACTGCCCTGTCCAGGCGTAACTAACAGCTAGCTCGCGCGATGCTGGAACTGTGCTTGACTGTGTCACTTTTTCTCTGGACCCCAGCATGAGAGCTCCTTAGCTGTCCTAACGCTCTGCTCTTTCCGATGGTCTGCTGCTTCCTGCTGCCTGCGGTCAGCAGGGTATCCCCACGAGAATATTGATGGGTTTAACATGTGGCTCAGCCTCGATCCCCGCGGACCATCTACGAGTTCTCTCCAGCCCCGTTTACATGCACATGGCCGTAACCTGCTACCAGCAGTCTAATGCGGCTTGGGGTTCAATGAAGCGCGCTGTACCCGACGAATGCACTGCCAGTTTCTTGCCCCAGTGAGGCCATTCACAGGGACAATCGTGGTGGCGTATGCCTCACAATAACAACTGTCGACACCCAGATCGCAGCGGCACTGTGCTCATGTTGTCAGCCCCAGTACCCTTGGAAATGGGAGTATGGAAGCCCAAATGTTTTGGTGACACTGTTCGGCTTGTCCACTCGGGTGGTGCGGATACTCGCGGCTCTGGTGTTGACATTGAAGCAGTACAAACGAGGCTCCGGGCTCCGTGACCATGTTCATGCACTATCGTGGGTGTTTGAGCCGGAGTTCATGGGAATAGTCTGTACCTTGCATGCATTTCTAGTAGCCTAGAAGTGTGACCTCCCAGCTTTTGCTGTGCTGGGTGGAAATGACCAAGGGCGCCAGCCTTGAGTACGAATACCATTTGCGCTCGCCTCAGTAGATATGCTGGCTTCTATGGCATCCATACTAAGGGTCGCCGGATGCCATATGTCGTCCACCGAGTTGAGAGCGGGTGTGCATACCTTCAAGATAAGAGTGTCTGCTCGCCGTCAAGGAACCAGGTAGGCACTGTAGTGTGGAGAACACCTGCGACACAATATCAGGGCTGCTTAGCAATTCCAGTACCAAAGCAACTAACCCTCAATGACTGAAGCCCAAGGGAACCACAAAATCTCATCTTATCCTGGGAGTGTTAGTGATGCCTACTACCGAGCGCGAAAGACGGCATCTCCGATTGACCGAGCGACGTGACCCTGCAGGACATAGATTGTCACTTTGCTAAGATTATTCTAGACTCGAAATGCACCTTTTCTGGTATGAGGTAAGATGAATAAGGCAGTCGTGCGCTCCACATTGGGCGTATAAATCTAGGCTGAATGCATTCGCCAAGTTCATGGGAGGGATTCATGTGGACGGTGAATTTAGGCCGGTTTTTGGTTCTAAGCACACCTCTAGGTATCAAGGCTGATAATGTTTTGCTGAGAGTAATATGTTTTGATCTTGACTACCTAAATCTCCCCCGGAATGGTCCGATGAGGTATGAGTGACGTTCTCCGACACAAAGGCTCAGTCTAAGTCTGGCCGTTCCAGGTGGGCTGTCGGCTGAGTGGGTTCGCGGTTGATGCCACATATATCTGGCCATTTAGAGTGCCCGGTAAGACCCTAACCCGCGAGTGAACACATAGCATATGATTGACTTGTTACCGGTGACTTATTATCGTAGCATTAGGGGGTTAATTATCTGATCAAAAGCGGTGCCTTCGCAGTCCATGGTATAGATTAGTCATCAGACCCAGACTTTGATCAACCTCAAGATCGGGACATTTACTGCATTGAGTCCGCCTCAGATGTTGATTTTCGGTGTGAAATGTTGAAAATTAGAGACAGGCAGTATGAAAAGAAGTTGGTCAATAGCATGATATCGAGGGACCTGAGTGTACCTCTTGTCATATTCGCTCAAACAGAACTACTTCTCCCGTACACCCACGCCCGTCCCTTAGCTTATCAAAAGGCTTTCTAGAACATTGCCACTGGCAGCCCTAACGGCATGCCCTAGAAGGAGCTGATGAGATGGCACCAGAATTGGGGGAACCACAAATCTGACATAAGCAGCAATTTCGGCGCCAGGCGGGTCTTGGGTCTAAAGCACGTGACATCAGGCTCCCATGATTGGTTGGTCTTAGGGCTGCGGCCCTCTCCCACTAATCCACACACAGCAGTGCACTCGGGGCTCGCTTAACCCCCTTCGCCTGCGATCCATCCGACTTCGTTGTGTGCGTTGAACTTGACTCCAACGACAACAACCGCCGACAACCATCCAACCTTTCTATCCACAAAGGTGACAGAGCAGGATGTCCTCTTTCGAACCAGTGGTGCGTTCCCTGACCTTCCCACGCTTTTCCTGCTGTGCCCATCGATCTCGCTCGCCTCGTCTCAAACCTCATCTCCAATCTTCAACAACTTCACCTTTGGCGTGCAACAACCAGAAAAACCGTGATCGCTGACTGAATGCTTCTGGAATATAGGTCGTCATTGACGGCAAGGGACACCTCCTTGGTCGCCTGGCCAGCACTGTTGCCAAGCAGCTGCTCAACGGCCAGAAGATCGTCGTTGTGAGATGTGAGGCCCTGAACATCTCCGGCGAGTTCTTCCGCGCGAAGCGTACGTTCAACCCTATCCCGATTCTTTCTCTTTTCTGTGGTGTTCGAAATATTTGCGACGGAACAAAAGGAGGACAGTTGTTGCGACGCCAATCTGGGCAAAACCCACGTCGACTATGTGGCGCAACCGACGCTGACTTGGAACCTTTTGTCGACCTACAGTGAAGTACCACGCCTACCTCCGCAAGGCTACCCGTTTCAACCCCACTCGCGGTGGTCCCTTCCACTTCCGCGCTCCTTCCCGCATCTTCTACAAGGCTGTCCGCGGCATGATTCCCCACAAGACTGCCCGCGGTGCCGCCGCCATGGAGCGCCTGAAGGTCTTCGAGGGTGTCCCCCCTCCCTACGACAAGAAGAAGCGCGTTGTCGTTCCCCAGGCTCTCCGTGTCCTGCGCCTGCGCCCCGGCCGCAAGTACTGCACCGTCGGCCGTCTCAGCCACGAGGTTGGCTGGAAGTACCAGGATGTCGTTTCCCGGTACGTTACACTCCACCACTTTCAATCTAAAGTCGTCTTTTCTGCTTTAATCAGGATCATACTAACACATTGCTTTGCAGACTTGAGGAGCGTCGGAAGGTTAAGAGCAAGGCCTACTACGAGCGCAAGAAGGCCGCTCGCCGTAACCTTGCCAAGGCGGAGCAGGGTGCGAATGTGGACAGCAAGACCAAGAGCCAGCTCGCCCAGCTTGGCTACTAGATACCTGATAAAGAGCGGCCGGTTGTTGTGAGTGACGGATCCGGGTTGGGATCGCGAACGGTTTTGTTTCAGCGAACTTGAACGGCAAGCCGAGATCGACCTTTCTATTGGGCCTGGACCCCCGCCTGTGTTGTCTTGACTTCTTTTTCATGAATACCACTGCTCTTGACTGGGTTGTGACGGACATGGATGGAGGAAGGTGATCTGGTGGGGCCTTACTGGGTTTCTTCGGAAATTCTCAAAAGCAGAAAAAACGGAGTAGCGGGATGAAAGGTTGTTTCAAAATAGCTGGCTGTTGTCTCGCGCCGTGGCGGTTTTAATCCAAAACAATTTTCAAGAGTTCAACATGATCTTATGACGATGCAGGTTTATTTTTCTACCTTGCGCGTATCTTCCTAGTCGTCTTCCTCGTATTGTCGACACGGCTGGACTGGCTCCCCGTGGTAGTTCATCTATTCTCAACTATCTCTACCTAGACCATCTGCTTATCATCCTATGCGATCTCCCTCTCGTTATCAACTTGACCTTATCTGAAGGTTATCGATGAACGACTGAATTGTCTGGAGTAGGAACCACAACCGAAACCCTGCTCCACAAATGTTCAATCCGGATTATATGCACTAAAGCCCTAATAACCCTAATGACACCATCACGGCGTCTGCAATAATTCCAGGTGGTTATTCAATCGTATTGGGTTTTTCATAACTAAATAATCACATCGTGTCTTCGCCGTTTATTACCTTTGTCTCGCAGAAAAAATATCTTTGTTCGGTGCACTATATATTTGGAGCAACGTCGAGGTCAAGATCAAGATCAAGACCCAGTACCCAACTACCTACCAATACCCAGAACTCCATGCTAGGTATCGCTCCTAGATAAGATCAATATAACAACTGTCACCGCACCCGATTAGGCTCCTACAAGGCTCATGCGCTGTTAGCCTCATAGTGCATGCTCGTGCCAGGCATAGTTTTACACCAAGATTTGTATTTCGCTTTACCGTTGATTGGACTCAAGCATTCTTATATTCATTCCAAGGCTGGAGTGAAGCATGTCTACAAGTACTATATAGTGTTTGCACTGGAGCTGCACTGGATGTCTGGAAAATCCTTCTCGAAGCTTTACGGCCCAGCACGTCCGTCCTCCCTGTATGGATGTTGCCATAGGGGAGACCACTCTAGATAACGGTAAATGTAAAATAAACCCGTTATAGCTTAACGTGGTGAGGTTACACTTACAGTTGAGGCAAAAAGTGCAATACCTTGGTGGCTTTACGTACCGGATTTTCTTTGACCGGTGGGGCTTTCCTTTTAGGTTCCGCCGCTTTTATGAGGGCGCTCAGAGTCAGGCTCGCTAAGTAAAATTTAGTCTATGCTTAGGCTCACTAAGCTGCTCAGTACACGCTTAGTCTATACCCAAAGGAGCATTCGGCCCCACAATACCATTTACTGTATTTTATGAACTACTTTTTGATAGCCCTAATTATACCTTCATTTCTAAAGGTGCTCTATCCTCTAATTCCGCCCCCCCTTCAAAAATACGAGTTAGAACTAGATGACTCAAATATGGAAGGCGTAGGTTTGATCTATCAAGCGGTGGCGCCGGCGCAAAGGCCTTTTTGGTTACTTATCTAGAGATGCTTGTGCGTAGAAGCTCAGGTATAAAGAACAACTATATTCCCTCTTATGACCACCCACTTAGCTTTGCTTTATTCCCCTCCTTATTGCTTTGAATTTTCAATTCCATGAAGATTCTAGGTGGCGATATCAGTTTGTTGAGAGAGGAGAATATAGATGCCAGGGGATACGCCTAGTAGGCAGCCTGAATGAGATGAATTGGAGATTAGCGGTTGGGATAAGCCCTAAACGGAAAAGTATAGTATATCCTTCACGGGAACTACCTTATCTGAGACAAGAACATTGTAAAATTCACCCTCCTGTGTAATATTCGGACGTGCAGTCATGGCAATGTTTTGCAGAAGTCATCAGCGATAGAACAACACTGATTCCTCAACAATTAACATCTTATATACCAAATGGCGTGTCATACCAGAGGAGTCTCTCGGCCTCTAGCTCTCCCTCATAGTTATCCTCCGTAAATGCATCCCGAATGATGTGTTGAATTTCCGGGAATCGATCTGCACCATACATAAGCTTTGTAAACTCCCAGTACTCAGGATAGAAGCCGGCGCATTCCCAGTCCACAATTCCAGACAGGCGCCCGCGATCAATAAGAATATTGCTAGGGTGCAGGTCCGCATGGGTGAAAACAGACCGGTACTGACTGGTGTGGACGGCCGCGATCTTGTCCTTTGTCTCCGTGCGCACGTAGCTGTGGACGAGGAAGGCATGGAATTCAGAGATCAGGTGGAACGGACCACATGTGCCGGAGGGAAAACGATGATCCGTCAGTGGGCCGCCATGACTGTTACCAAAGACGTACGAGGTCTGGTTCGGAATACATCGCAGCTGTGACAAAACCATCTTCAAGACTTTCGACAGCTGCTCGCGCTCCGAGTATGAGAGTCGGTGAAAGACCGCCTCCAGCGTTTGTCCGGGCAGGGCCGTCATAATGAGAACGGGATGCGTCCCCTGGTAATAATCCACCCAAAGGGGCGCTGGAATCAAAGTATACTGTTCCACCAGCCGCAATGCCTCAGCTTCGTTACGAGAAGAGCGAACACATTCTTTCGCATACAGTCCGAACGGCAGCCGGTGCACGAGGCCGGTGAAAGACCGCGGGTAGAGACGGCTGCCTAGTTTCAAGAGCACGCGGTAGCACTGGACACGTATGAACCTGGGCACGAGATGCCAAAGGGAGCGTAATGTCTTCTGTGTCGTTGCACTCAAGTGGACTATCCAAAGTGACTAAATCAGCCTTATAGTCCCATATGCAGGGAATCAGTGTTCCGTACACAAGGGGGGTGAGGGCCAGCCCTCGGCAATTCGTTCTTCAACATGGAATAGATGCAAGGAGGCTGCAATACGGTGGTGTATTCGGAACAAGAATGGATCTGGAAGAGGTAGATTGGCGTCTTGGGTCTCCATGATGAACATCTGCGTTGTCCGGTCCCATAGACTACCATCACTGAGGAAAAGCAAACCACAAGGCTCGGGCCACAGTCTGGAGACGAAATACTAGTACTAAGTCAGTCCGAAGTACTTGTGGTCTAAGCCAAGATCAAGGTACAGACATAAACTTTACTCGCCGTTTTGATTCTGGCCTCTGTGGCATCATTCCACGGGTCGACAGTATCAGTTGGGGGAAAGATTTGGATATGTCCATTTCGAAAAGCTGAATGAATGCTAGGGGAGAGTAGGAATACGTTTCTCAGCCGAGATTCCAATGTGTCCGTCTGCAGAAGGGTCTGAAGCTCGGATATCTTGGCAGGGGTCAAGAAGGCTTGCAGAAGGGCATAAAGAGGACCCTAGCAGTAGCACGACGTAATTTTGGTTAGATTTCTATTCTTTAATCTAAGCGTAAACATGCCTAATAGAAACCCACCTGCGGATCCATGTCACTATCATCGAAAAGGCTCGGCGGGATCACCCAGGCATGATCGAAACGAACGGATATGCTCGGGTCCGATGGCTTCTGATCCAGCATGAAGCAGTGCGAATCGTCACGAGCTTCGACCAGAGTTTGTGCTTCGGACGAGACTTTGTCTCGCTTGGCCACTGATTTGGTAGTTAGCGGAGCCTCAGGAGCACGCTCCGTTTCGACTGACACTTAGTGACAACTCGCTTCCAGTCGAGTTTTAATTCTTGCAAGATTTGCTTGGGAGGACGACCGGAACGATCGTGGACCCTTTCCCATATATACTGAGAAGCATATTCCGGATTGACAGCCTCGTCCAGAAAGGCTCTCCAGATCGAGTGCTCGGCTGGTGTGAGCCGGGTGGATTCGATTAGTCGGATAGTCGCATGATACCTTCCCAGTAGTGGCTCCATTCTTGCCGATGGGCGAAGAGTGTGTCTAGATCGCAATGTCTAACGTACTTCTGCGTGCCTTTGGACGGTCCTACCATGGGATGGGGGTTGGAAAAGGTCACGTGCGAGTACTACACCTAATGAGGCATCCGCTGGCAGAATCTCTTGGACAAACTTAGGACGAACTTAGTCCCTCAGCGCCCCTTGGTGACTTGCGTCTTTCTTTAATACTGGCACCTTTCTTCAATTATAAGTCTAGAAATGATAGGTGGTTGCCAAGTCTCTATTTTGTGGGCCGTTATTGACGCTGCTCCTGTCACAGTTGTGTCGCCCGTCGTCTGACGGTAGAGCCTTCGGGAAGCGGTAGCGACTACGGAGAGGGGCTAATGCACGGCTGCTGGTAACTTGGTTGGCTCTCGGTGCCCCGTCACCGATGGTAATCTGCGACTCTCAAGCAGCTGGCGGTTGCAGGATTCGTAACATGCTGTTCCTAGATTTAGCCACTTCAGGGTGATTATTAGGATAATAGCCAATCATTTCAAGTCGTGGAGGCGCAGTACTCTTCTCGCCGTCCCATTTAACGCTCTGGGACCTCATCTGCAATATGATACACATTGAAGATTAGATTAGACCCAATGAACTACTCAGGCTAAGCGCTATATGTAAAACGAGCATCGTCACCATTGACAGGCAGGTGGCTAAGCCAGACACGCACATATAAGGTCGCTTTGTGCCTGCGCTCAATCCCTCTATCCTTCCATTCAGCCCATCACTTCTAACATTGTAAGACAATATCACTATAAACCTCACAAATGTCGACACAGTTCACCTTTGAAATCAACGGCCTTTATATTCTTCTGTCTGACAGCGGCGACAAGAGTTACACATTTCATTGGGGCCTCTACCTACACCAGTCTACGACTTCGGGCTACCTCTATCATCTGATAAATGAGCCCAATTCGACTAGCTGGCGCTTCGACCCGCGACCTAGCCAGAACGTCATGTATTCTCAGAGACTGCTTGTGGCCCTCAAGATAGGAGTTTTAAGCCCTACACTTCACCAGGCTTTGCTTGATCGTCTTCAAGAAATCCCAATCGCTTATTCAACCCGATTCCACGAAAGCATCACTTGTCGAGTGTGTGGGTAAAAGAGGCACTCTTTGAGCTGGATGACGAAGGCTATATCAAGCTCACTCAGAGCGTGAACGAAATTGAAGTTGAGGCGAGGAACCTCGCAATCCGGAACAAGAGCCAGGGCAAGAAGACGATTTCTCGAAGTGCTGGAAGCCAAGCTTGAGATTCCATGCGCCGTCCAAGAGCGTCGAATAGGACTCTTATTATCCGCAGTGTAGGTTTCGTTTATAGGCACCCTGATCCTCATTAGTTATATTCTTACATGTCGATAGACTTTCGATGGCTATATTTGGGCAGAGAACCGATAAAGCTCTATCTTCTAGGCGTGCTGAAGAAGAAAGCTTTTCAGGAACAGTTAGTTAACTAGCAGAGCAGTGAGCATTATGTAAGCTCATTGATCTGCTCAGACCGCTCAGGAGCATGCTCATTTTTACTCAGTGAGCAAAAGTGGCGAGGGACTAAGCACGAAGATGAAAGGGGCAAGCCAAGACCTAGCATAGGAAATCTGGTACGTACACAGTCAGATTGCATTAGTATTTGCACTGTAGTACCTTGGCATGCCAAGGGACCCACTAGTTTTTTCTGCCGTTCAAGTTCCTCCATATCAATTCCCGTAGGAAGTTCCCAATTAATAGGGTACTAGCTTTCCCATCAAATTCCCTAAGCTCTATATTATAAGGCGATACTAGGTAGAGGATAGAGAATAAAGGGGGAGGAGTGCAGGTTTCTTATCAATAAAGGAAGGTATGATTAATAAAAGAAGGCGGTGTATGCGGGAAGTACCATAGTGCAAATACTAATGCAACGCCACTGTAAATCTTGGAAGAGGACCCACGTGTGGTAATACAGTTTCCACGCTAAGCTCAACGTGCCACTACCGAGGGGTCCAAGGGGAATTCCAAGGTTCCGCTCTACCTTTTCTTTCTCTCAAGTGCTATTGCTTCCAAGCTTCTTTGCCTGACTTCAACTTGGGTACATTTACCTGGCATTTGAACCAAGAAAAGGGTTCATCGGATTGTTCATTTGTTCAGAATACGGCCCAGAACGATGGAAGTATCAATCATCATCATCATCACTGTTACCATCAGCCACGATGGCTACGCCTGGAATTCTTCAGCGTAGTCTTAGGGATCCAACCTTGACGACAGAAGCCAAGTTCTGGCCAGGTGGCATCCCTTCTTTCATCAAGTCTCCAACAGAGAACTTTACTCTCGAGGCCTACGATTTCCCTCCTCTGGCGAAGGGCTGGTATCGCTTTGTTCGGGAAAATTGGGTCTCGAGCGACGATGAAACGGATGACTCCAAGGGTCAACAACGTCGATCCCTGATTGAATTTCCGAGATGTATGTTTTATGAGTTACTCTATATAAAACTGTAACTATATATATCTTTGGATATAGAAGCTAATATAGAACAGTCATATACAAACAAGGCCGCAGACCAAGGGGACCGGTTTTCGCAGGAGGTAAGATTTCTATTCTTTTTGTTCTTTGATAATCGGTTCCCGATGTTGTCGGGAGGAATCTGTTTTTTGACCTATTGTAGGAACTCTCTAGTTACGGCTGCTGCTATCATCCAAAGGTTGCCCCTTGGGAGCTGTGCCTTACTGCAGATGCCCCAAGACTATCAACTAACTGGGCGCTTTGGTTGAAGATTCAGTTACTATTCTATGATTACAATCGGATGAATGGTTACGTCGCGGAAGATACATATACAATCACGCCAAAGGAGAACGATTCTATTACTCTTGATAATATCAAGCGGTACCAGGGTCTGGAGACTGCTAATTTCGACATCGTAGCCTTTAACAATGTTGGGGAGGCAGTCTATGATTCCTTGCATCCCCCTCCAATCATTGTGGACGATTATGCGCTGAATACCGGCTTGGTACTTCTTGTTCTTTCCTATGTGAATGGCGTGCCTTATGAAGGCTACCGCATGCGTGCCTTGAATTTCTTCTCTCTCTCGGAGCTTATACTAGGTCTAGGCAAGCGATTGGAAGTCCTTTTAGAGCCATATGGAGGAGCAGGGCAGGACCCAGTGGACGAGAGGATTTATTTCGACAATGAAGCGTAAGTTGAAAAACCCGGGTGGCTATAAGTGATATGAGTTAACAATAATTTCTGTGATAGGTTTGACATGAAAAAACCGCTTCTAGAGATTTTACTGACTGAGTCAGAGGATCTAGGTGCGGAAGATGAAGAGGTAGAAGAGACGTTGAATGAAATAGCCCCAGGCTACTTGGAAGCAGAGGCAGAAGGAGACGGACTGGCAGAAGGGTTTGATATATTTAGCTCGGAATTTGAACTTGACTGATTCAATGTTCTACTGACGTGATGTACATAAATGTCAGATGCATGCTTACTAGTAGCTTGCATGGCGACCATGTTGATGCTGTTGCAAATGACGACGACGACGGATGCTGTATGAGCCTTTTCTGTCTTCCACTTCCTCCCAGGAGTCATCGTGTTGGCTTATTTTCTCCGCATCGTAATAGTAACTACCGAGGTCTTCACCGTCTTCATCAACTGTTACGCCTGTTGAAGATACTTAGTAATCGTTTTCTTCTAACACGTGAGGACTTTCTGTATAAACTCACTTTGAATTTCCCAGTTATTGGCATCGCGGGGATCAAGTCCTCTTTGTGCGATGACCTTGGCTGGGGCGAAGGTGACCCTGCACGCCTGTGTCTGGAGATATGTGCTCTTTTTTACTTTACCTTGGACATACTTGTATACGCCCATGGCATCAGGCTGATCCGATATAACGGTTGAGCCCGACAATTTCTTTTTGCCCGCATAAGCACACACGGCATTGTTCTGCGCTTTGCCAGACGTTGCGCCGATCTGGAGATCCGGATTGCCATTCAAATTAAGTCCCCCAAGAACAAAAAGGAGACCTGTTCCGGCATTTGTGCTCGGGTTCTTCGATGCACTGCTATCCAACGAGCCACCATATGGAGGGATGGAATTGCGGTCTGACCAATAATTCATGAGTGTGATGGTGTATTTCCGGTAATTGTTGGCGCCCAATGTGTCCTGGTTTGTCCACAATTTTTTCTCGGTCTAAAGAGATATGAAAGTTAGCACTTTGAGTTTCCTTTCTATAATATCCCAGAAAGCAGGAAATTTTGTGGTTACTAAAAGCGAAGGGGAGAAACATACAATATTATAGACCCGAGAAAGGAGGCCATTGATACTACCCTGATACATCTGCTGGGGATCTGGTACACATGCAACTTCCTGTGATGAGCACGATGATAATAGATTAGCTTCAGCAGAACGAGGAAATATCAGAGAAGAGGGAACATTAGCTTACCGCTCCAGTACCTCCTTCTTCACAGGCGTTGACTGTATTTAATTGTCAGTAGGAGAAGGGCTATCGTCATTGAGAAATCACTTACATGGGAACTCGTCACATGAGATACTTTCGACAAAGCCGTTCATAGCCTGTGCTGCTTTGTAACTTGTCTCTGCAGCTTTTTGGACAGCCTGTGCCCACAGGCTTTGTTTCTTTTCGGAGCACTCCTTTGTCATGTCACCACAAGCATCACCTCGGTTCTTTGATTGACTTCCTCTGATATATGTAAGTAGCTTCCAATTCGATCCCGTGTTTGCATCCAAGCTATGCGCCTGCAAATAGTTCTTGATATTCTTGCAAATACCAATGAAGTTCACAGAGGGTGTACTTTTCATCGTTTGTTCGTTGTTGTTAGCAACATTAGTATCCTGGAAAAATGCGCAATTGTAGAACAAGGCAGGGGGCTCATGGCATATTGTGGTGGCTCGTTTTGTGGAATCTAGGGTCGAATCGCAATAGCCCTCCAACTCGTCTGTCTGATTGTTGCAGCATCTGAAGTAGGCATCGAAAAGGCCCTTGTCACTGTCAATTGCCTTCACCAGCCTATCAGATGTATCGCTTCGCTTGCTGACGGTGTCATCATCCGACGAGTAGGAGATATATGTTTTGTCTATCAGCGTAATAGGATCAGTGGGTGAAGCAACATCGTACGTGCTACCCCAATAAGCCAATCCGTCAATAAACCTATTAACAGCCGGTCAGTAAGAGAAAAGAAAAATATAATAGCTCTTAGAGTAAAGGTGAGCTCACGAAACATCTGCTTGAAGAAATAGAGAGTAAAGGTAGTCGGCCCAATAGCAGAACTCTGCCGCTGACCCTTGCAATCCTGTGGACGCCGTAGCACTGACACCAAGGCTGACAGTATTTGACACGCCTGCTGTCACATAGCCGTCCATAAGTTTGCCACCTAGGACAGAGATACCGAATTTCACTTTGGGTGTCAGGCCTAGAGCTAATGTTCCGCTCGCGGAAACGGAAGCATCTAGTCGAGGTGTGACAGAGAAAGTATCAGGCTCATCATCGCCATCAGTGTCGGAAAGTTTTCCAGGAGCAATGCTAGCGGCTTCTCCATCTGAATCCTGAGGGAAATAGACCTCTGCCTTTGGCCAACTGACCACAACACCAGCGTTGAGCTCGCCGGAAACAGTCAACGAAGTATCCATGGACCCAGTCAGATCTAGAGCTGGTCCAATACTGATCAGACCCTTGATGGACATTCCGGGGAAAGTGATCCCACTGATGATCTCAATCTCCCCAGAAGTACTCTGGAATGATGCTTCTCCCCGAAGGGTCAGCAGAACTTCGGCCTCGGGCTCGACTGAGAAGTATCCATATGCAGCAATCAGCTTTGGGGTTGGCAGGATAGCACCTTCAAAGTAGTATGCATACTGCGCATCTAGACCCATATGAAAGTATGCATCCAGATCAAGGGTCTTGTCGACACCACCGCAGTTATTTTCCCAATGCAAAAGCTTGTGAGATTGGTCATACTCAAGGGGCAGGGTACCGGAGAGAAAACATGGATTTTTCTGAAAGCTTGTGTTTTCGGGAAATTCGGGGAGAAGACCTTGAACTGCTCCAACTTTTATGAGATGATCGACTATTGTCTTGAGTAATTAATGGAAATAACAAAGAATCCGCGGGAATTGCAGATTATATTACTGTAAGTGATCATCTAAAGCAGTTACCCGAACTCCAGTGAATGAATTGACCAGCTGCAGCTGTGAAAGACGTTTTCAGTCAAGTTTTTCTCTACTTTAAACAGACAGTAATTCAAAGGATCGATTTGAGATAAACAGTCTTGTTGACATCAATACCAAAGTGACCTGTACATGATGTTGAGTTCCCCTAGCTTTTGATAATCTCAGATTGGCGTCCATTTTTATTTGATCAAGTTTTATTTTTAATCATATAACATTGGCGAAAATTACATAACAATACCATACATGTTCTGAATTTACGGTAACGTAATTCCCGGCCGACCTGGTCACCCGCCCGTCCTGGTCAACCCCCCTATTAGAAATTTTTGAATCAATATATATCAACCAAAACGTATCAATTTCACTATATCTAGCGGTTTTTACAATGGTTATATCTATGCCTAATTTGGAAACACCCAGTACACCTCGGTGGTGCCCTGGTTGCTGGCTGAGCTGGTTGAATAGCCTCATCGGCCTGCTTATACGATACGACCCTCTCGGCTTTAACTGGCTGTGTTAGCTATTGAACTAGCTGTTGACCCTCTTTAACTGTTAGGCCTCCGTTATGAACTATCTGTCGTTTTAAACGTGTAGTTTTCTAGCGTATTCTCTCTTCGGTCTTGCGTAGGTAGGTAATTTTATGTACGATACGCGCGTTCTTATATATCTCTTTATAATAGCCTTACATAAATTAATCTATAAGGTGTTTTAATAGGCTTGGAGGGCTATTTGACCGATTTCTTAGATATTCCTTTAATATTAAAGCTGCCGAATTTACTTAATCGATAGTTCTTAGTGGTTTTGGAGTGTTATTGCTGTTAATATCGGTTAGCTGGCTAGGTAGTAGTGACGGCGTCCGGAGTGAGATATTGAGCTTCGAAAGTACCCGATCGGGATCTATTAGAATAAGACCAGTAGCTGCGAAGGCGTTTTAAATAATATATGTTTGAAATGCCTCCTTACGCGCCTCGGGGTAGTTCCTAAGGAAGTCGAATTTGTCGATGATATTCTGCGACTAACGCACTAGATCGCTTATATAACGGCTATATATATATTTTAACGGTGTAAAATACCTAACGTTAAGCGGTTATAAGAGATACGAAGAGTACGGCGGTATATAAAGTGGAATTATATTGTTTTTAGCGTAGATTCGGTCGAATTAAGGTATAAGATAGCTACCGTAGCTATTAAGAATTAATAGCCGCTACGCCCTAGTCGAGCGTGTTAAAATCGCCGGAATAAAGAGCTCTTATAGCTAACGAAGGCTAATTTTATCGGTTATCTAGCCGTTTAGCGAGACCTCGATACGCTAGTCTTTTAGAAGCCTAAGCTCTTTATTAAACTAAGAGATTATGAAGTTTTTAGCCTTAAATATAACGTATAGCGGTAGCGAAAAGCTATTAGCGCTTACTGCTTCGATAGCAGTAACCTATTTACGATTACCCGGTTATAAAACGGCTCGCCGACCGTAGTATTTAGCCCTTATAATTACCCTCTATATAGATATAAGACCTATAGCGAAGCCGGTCTCGTTAAAGTTATAGATATCCCCCGGTTAGATACCTTTCTTATCGATAATACGTTAGACGGTCGCGAACTACTCTCGTAGTGATTTTAGGTCTTCGTTTTAGGTACGTTTATAATCGTAGCGACGTAAGAAGGTTAAACGAAGCTCAGTGTATCGTTTTATAAAGGATAATAGCTAATTTTTACCTACTATAGCCGGAGGGTCGCTACTACGCGTAGCTAATAGAATATTAGCTATTTCGCGCACTATAGAGGGCCTAGGCGCTACTCCGCGTAAATCTATAGAGAGTATCTATTCGGCAAGCGAGTCCTCTTCTAATTAGGTCAATTTATGGCTAGATAGGCGCTTGTCGACGCGTAAGGCCTGGCCTTTCGCGCGCGCCTAGAGGGTAGAGAAGGGTATTTCGTATAGCTTCGCTGCAGCGCGTAGAGAGTTAATACGACGATTTTTGATATCAGCCAAGGCTAATAAGATCTTGCCCTCTTAATTAACAGCTTTCAGCGCTGATTCAGCGCGTTTTAGTGGCATGGTAGGTGGTTGAATTAGGTAGGTGGTCAGGAAGACGCGTTTTTGGAGAGGGTGACCAGGACGGGCGGGTGACCAGGTCGGCCGGGAATTACGTTACGATGTGCGCCCTGTCTATGATGTGGCTGTGTTCAAACACGGCATGTATACCATACCAGTCTTGGTTAGTAGAAACCCTTCACCAGTCTCACCTTCTTATAAGCTCTGGCCGAAAAATACACCAAACGCTTATGGAAAACATTCGCTGAAGCCAAAGTGTCTCTTGGATGGCTTACTGCATCAACATTGTTGTGTCAACAGGCCCACTTGCAAGTCTCACTAGCTCTGCCATCTTACGAATTGTACACAATGGACAGAGCCGACATCAATACATAGATACGAGCAAGGAACATGACACAAATTAGTTCAAGTTGGCATTGGAACACCCCATTTCATACATGTGAGCACTATATTTGTGCCATGAAATTGATAAGTTTCAACTCACCATGGATATGAATAAATGGATGGGAAGGAGATTCTCCACAATATATGAGACATCAATTTCGATTTATTTGTCGTAGGTGAAAACAGCATGAGGTGACGAGTAGCTTGGGCCAAATATTGCGAGTCGCATGGATATTCCAACTGATCTTTCTTGTCACACCGGCGAGTGTTTTGAGATTTTAAACTTTTCTCAGAGCTCGAGGTCTTAATCGTACAGATGATCCTTATATGCAGCGCAATTGCATGTTCCTTTCCGCGGGGTAGAAGACAGTATGCTTCCTTGAATAGCGTTGCCGGTCACTTCATTTCCTGCGATGATATCTTTTCCTGCGATGATATCTTTTCCTGCGATGATATCTTCGCATCTGTGCTGCATAATTTCAATTGTGAGTCGAAGCGCTGCTTAGGGATATCTGGCATGGTTATCTGTGCCTAAATAATCGGAAACCTGCTGTAGGCATTTCATCACATCATCGATGAACTCCACAGAAACCTTCATTTGTTCCTTATGATGTTCCTTTTTCCTTGCCTGAATGAAAGCACCTAGAGTGTTTTTAGGAGGTTCATTGAGGCGCCAATTTTCCCTCGCTCTTCTCAGAGCATCGCCGATGCTAAAATCTATGGGAGCTCGATTTTCGGCATCTTTATCGATCGGCGTTAGCTAACTCGAATCAACCAATCTAGTAGCTACAGAGGTAGTAGATAATATAGATATAGAAGCGGGTAGAGCAGACGCGACTTGGTCATCGCGGTGATGGTGTTCTTTTAAATCCATCGAGGACCTATATAGGTGAATCCGCCGTAGTTTAGAAGGGGGATAATTTGCTAGATTGAAATGCAGTCAGCGAATACTAGCTCTTAGGATATAACATAGGGAAGTCAGACTACTAGCGTCATCTTTTTCATCCAGTAAGGGCTAGAATATAGTAGGACTTGACCTCTTAGAGGGAGCTAAAGACTGGCTGCATCTTTCTGGATCCATAGTGTATCAAGACCAAGAGGGATCGTCAAGGCATGAGTAGAGTAAGAATGTTTGATTTTAGACTAGAGAAAGAGGTCCTTTAAGTACACTTTCATCCCCAAATATTGCAGGGGTCGAATTTGATGATAAAAAAATGAGGGGCGGCGTGACACTGCAAACTCGACTGGTTCCTAGGAACCATGGGTGGCAAGGCTCAATCAAAATCTTGATCACGGCCATCTATAGCTCCTGGGAGATGTAGATTGAGCAGCCGATCCAAGCCATCGCAACTAGCTTCCTAGGAGCAACTGTGATGAGCAATTAATTTCTTAAGCCAGCAAGTAGTTGAGTTGAGGCAAGTGGCTCCTGGGAGCAAAAATCCCAGGCAGAGTCTGATAGGCCAGAAGTCCTGATCGCGCACTGCTGATCGTCGTGGTGAAACGCAAAGTGTGAAATGCCATGGCCATATGCACCAGGCCATCTCTTTCTAGATGGGAGACTGATCAAAAAGTAGGTCCACTCATTTGCACTAGCGCCGTGCGGTTTATTTGGGTGGTTAACTCATACTGTTGGCCGTCTATGGTGCGATTGGTGGGTGAAACAAGGAACTGGGAGCAGGCTCAGTGAGCCGGGGCTGAGCTGACTGATCCGCTCACTGAGCCTGCGCCTGAGCTTACATAAGGCTCAGTGAGCCGATCAGTGAGCCGGAGGCCGTGCCGGGTTCCAGCTGAGCCTGACTCAGAAAAAGTTGAACAGTATGTTACTCAGAAGAATTATGACTAATCCTGAGTATCGCTCAGGTGTGGGAGCTGAGCAGTACTCAGGATTAGTCATAACTCTTCTAAGTACTGTTCAACTTTTTCTGAATCAGGCTCAGCTGGGTGCCCAGGCCGTGCTCAGTTCTCCTCAGTGAGCAAAAGCGGCGAGAGGGTGAGCACTAATCCGGAAAGGGCAACCAAAATCCGTCAGGAGAAATCCAGTACGTAGGATATGAATCTTAGACTACAAGGGACTAATTCCCACATACTTGCCACAAGTCTTTGGTCGTAGCTCAGCGACCATTTTCTAGGGAGCTATCTGCTTGATACCTAGCTATACTTGTCAGAATCAGTAGGTAGAGAAAACGAAATTAGGAAGAGGGGAGAGAGAGACACTAAACAACCCGTAACGATCGGCGACTTACCTATTGGTTTCGCCTTGGTCGGGAACTCGATGCAATATATCCATATAGTTTGCGGGCATGTCTAGAGGTATTCCGATACCGAACATGATTCATAATGTTCATTCATGGCTGTAAGAGTATGAAGCTGTTGGAAAGCCCTGTATGAGGCGAGCTTCCGACCAGAATAATGCCCCCGCTTGGCGAATGGTGGTGGGATGTCCGTGAGCCCCACTTCCCACATTCCGGTCCCGATGAAGTCACTCAGCTCTTGACCATATAGCACGGCTATCCAGGGCGAACTCGATTGAATTCCTCCTTGAGCAAGTCTATCAGCATGTCTTCGCCTCGGAGATTGGGCCTTGGTATCATTGGTGCTGGTGTACGTGATTTCTACCTGTTTCCTGAGCAAATTAAAAGGCTAATAAAAAAACACCTCAGGAGGTCTTCCAAGTATGCCATGGGCCTTGTCTCTTGCTCCTCTCGCACCTGTTCAAGATCGAATCTATCTGCGATTTATCGCTCAAGACAGTAGAGCACTGTGCCACGAAATTCAATGTCCCGCACAAGACCACCACCCCGCAAGCGGTGATCGACAACCCCAACGTCGAGGCAGTCTTCATTCTCACCTCAGATGAAAGCCACGCTCCGCTGGCCATTTCCAGCCTCAATGCAGGCAAGCACGTTTTTGTTGAGAAGCCTGTATCTTTGTCTCTGGCCTCCATCCAGTCGATCATCGACGCCGAGGAGAATGCCCCCGGAGGCGCCCGAGTTTTTGTGGGCTACATGCGCCGCTATGCTCCGAGCTTCCTGCAGGCTTTCAAGCGAGAGATTGCCACTATCCCGAAAATTCTGTACGCGCGAGTCCGCGACTTCAGCGGCCCTAATGCGCAATTCGTCAACCAGAGCGGCACCTTCCAGGTCAAAAACACTGATTATCCCGCCGGTGCTGCCGAGGAACGCAACGCACGCTTAGAGGCTCTCTATGCAGAGGCTTTCCCGAACCAGGATATCACAGACGAGAAGAGGAAATTTTGTCGCTTCCTTGGTAGTTTAGGTTCTCACGATATTTCCCTCATGCGCGAAGTCCTGGGCTTCCCCGAAAAGGTCGTCGGCGTGTCTGCCCACGATCCCTTCTACAGCGCCATAATGACGTTCCGCAATCAAGATGGATCAACTTACTCGACTACCTATGAGAGTGGTATTGATGGAGTCCCCGTCTTTGACGCCCACGTCACTGTTTATGGCGCCAACAAGAGAGTGACGATTAAGGCATGTGTCTTCCTCCCCATGACTTTCCCGTTTGTTTGAAATGAAGGGTCTAACTTGTGTCTATAGTATGATAGCCCATACGTCAAAGGCCTGCCAATTTATGTCGAAGTGGAAGAGCCGAACGAGCACGGCGAAATCCAGCGACGGACTATGCTATCTTCATATGAGGATGCTTATACGGCCGAGCTTCAGGAAATGTACGAGGTATTTGTGAATGGCAAAGCCATCAAATCGACTGTACAAGATGCCAAAAAGGATCTTGAGATTTATGATATGATGTACAGATGTTGGAGCGGTAACTAGTTGTCAGTGAGCCTGGCAATCCCTCCCTACCTGTGGGTTCTGATCCACTTACAAACACCAGTAAAATGCATTTAGAACTTTATCTGGAGACACTTTTTTGCAACCAATTCGTATTTTATCTGAAAAGCTGAGTTTAATCTGATATAGAATATACCTGGCGGGAGGGTGGGGGAGAAGGGAGGGGGGGGTTTGCTTCGGCTCTCTGGCGTTGACCTCAGGACATGCCTACGCTCTATGTCTGAGGAAACAGATTGCAGATAACACGGAGAACTGATTTCAGCAGACAATATTCCACTGCCCACACATAGAGCGAAAGCTAGTCAATATTTACCCTATCTGTGACATTAAGTCCTATGAGTTTCATTCATTGTCAGGACCAATACAGGGATCTCGCAAATAGCGCAGCGTAGCCTAGGTTAGTGCCCGGGCATGCGGATCCGCCTGTGAGGCTCGGCCCGCCACAGCCTAGGTTACCCGCGGTTAAACCGCCTGACTAACCCCAGCGTAAACTTTCCCCGCATTTCTCCAGTTGTACGAACGCTGCGTTGCATGTTTCCCCCTGGTTTGTGCCTCCTGCGAGATCGAACCTTTGCACAGTCTTCGGTCGTTAACCGCCGGAATCGTGCTTTACATCAATCAACCAGTGCCTTACGCATATCATGTCCGGCGTCACATCGCGGCTGTCTGGCCTGCTGGGCCATTTTTCGGGCTCTACAGCACCGGCACCCTTCGAGCACCGCTTTAACCATCACACGCTTTCGCCAACCTTCTTCCTTCCCCGAGCGGCGGCAATTGAGCCTGATGTAGGTATTCCTATCGAAAATACTCCTTCAACGCGCGCGGCTTTGTGGTTCTCGAAGTTGCAAACAAGTCTCTGACTGACAAGACACAACACAGGCCGAGGCGGTCTACCATGTTACCGCAAACAATAAGATCCTCCGTAGGACTTACAGCGAAACCGCAGATCGCGCGCGTGGCCTGGCGTACTTCGTGAAGAAGAAGGGGTTCCGAAGAGTCGGTATTCTTTGCCCCAACACACCGGCCTTTTTGGAATCGATTTTTGGGATTGCCGCGGCTGGTGCTGCGAACGTCGGTAGGGCCCCCTGGAATGTGATGGTGGCGAGGAATTCCAAATAGCTGATATGAGCTGAAAGGTGTTAATTACCGCCTCAAGCAAGAGGACATTACCTACATCTTCGAGCACGGCGACGCGGACGCGATCATCGTGGATCAGGAATTTGCACACCTCCTCGACACTTATCGGTCGCAACATCCCAGTGTTCCCATAATCGTGGATACTGATACCGACGTTACCGAAGGGGAACTGACGGGTCCCTTTGACGATGCAGTGCTAGAAGGGTTGAAGCATGACCTGGAGACTGGCGCGCGGGGCTGGGCGGGCCTGGAGGCTCAAGCGGCGGACGAGGACTCTTTAATTGCACTGGCATATACCAGCGGCACTACTGCCCGGCCCAAAGGTGTTGAATATACTCACCGGGGTTGTTATTTGGCAGCGCTGGCTAATGTTATTGAGTCCGGCCTGAACTTCCACCGTGGCCGGGCAAAGTATCTGTGGACATTGCCCATGTTCCATGCAATGGGTTCGTGATTATTTTCCTAGCACGGTCTAAATTTTTGCTTCAGTCATTAATCTTTTCCATAGGATGGACATTCCCGTGGGCCGTAACCGCAGTTCGCGGCACTCACTACTGTCTCCGCAAGATCGATTACCCCGAAATTTGGAGACTGCTGAAGGAGGAGCACATCAGCCATTTCAACGCGGCGCCGACAGTCAACACTCTTCTGTGCAATGCGAAAGAGGCCGAGCGGCTCCCGGAGCCCGTTCGTGTTACCGTGGCAGCCAGTCCACCAACGCCTCATCTATTCGAGCAAATGACCGACCTTAATCTCCATCCGGTCCACGTTTACGGGTTGACCGAGACCTATGGGCCGATCACTAAGGGTTATTATTTGCCCGAATGGGATCACATCCCATTGAAAGAGAAGTACCAGAAGATGGCCCGACAGGGACATGGCTTCATCACTAGTCTGCCCGCACGGGTGATCAAGACCGCGGTGCCTGAGGGAATGATCACCGATGTCCAGCAAGATGGCAAGGAGATCGGTGAGATCGTCTTCTTCGGGAACATCTGTGCCAAGGGATACTACAAGGACCCGGATGCTACTAGGAAGCTCTTTGCAGGCGGGGTATTGCACTCTGGGGATCTGGCTGTCTGGCATCCCGACGGCGCAATTCAGATTCTCGATCGCTCGAAGGATATCATTATAAGTGGTAGGTTCTGACCCCAGCTGAACTCTTCCCTTTCTACAATTTTTACTAAGACATGAGCAGGTGGGGAGAACATATCGTCCGTAGCCTTGGAGTCGATGCTAGCCACACACCCCGACATCCTAGAGGCCGGAGTCGTGTCGGTCCCCGATAGCCACTGGGGAGAGCGTCCGAAGGCATTTATCACAGTAAAGGAAGGCAAGAACCTGGAGGGTGCCGACGTGATCAACTGGGCTCGGAATGCCAGCGGAATCAGCAAGTTTATGATCCCACGTGAGGTCGAGGTGGTGGCGGAGCTTCCCAAGACCAGCACGGGCAAGATTCGAAAGAATGTGCTGCGCGACTGGGTGAAGGGGCCGGAACGGAATACTGGGAATTAATATTTAAAGAGAGCGGCCATATAGAGCGACTAGATCGACGTCTGGCATGTTATGGTGAAGTAAATCGTGAGAAGATGGAAAGCGGTAAAGTGCGAGCCTTCGGCGTGCGGGAACGTCATCATCAGCTGCGACGCCTTGCACGGGACCACATCAAGCGGTCGGTGACCGCGTTAGGGTTCGAGACGGTAGTAAAAGAGAGATATTTCGACACTTTGTTCCTTTGCGCTCTTCTTTCTTCTATTTATAATCACCCTGGGCCCTCCCCTCCCTCTTATCACATCGATAAGCAGAGCTTGGCGCCGACTCCGCGCTTGTGAGACCGGCCCCATTTGCCTCATCCCCCTCCATTGCCGCCTGCGTCCCTTTCACGCACACTCGCCCTGCATTCAAACCAGAACCCCCTGGGATCTTCAAGGGGCTTGCAGGCCATGCGTTGACCCGATCTTACTTCTGACCTGACTCTGCGACGTCTCCTCAGCCCCCCCCCCCCCTCCTCTGACAGTCGTCATCCGATTGCGACTTACGCGCTGCGGTTCTCAGCTCTTCCTCTACCCTCGCGTTACTTCTAGCCCATCACCACACTCGACAAACGACCACGGGTCTCATCACAACGCCCATAGCGTGGAGCGTTCCATCGACTGGTATAAAGGGATTGGCTACTATTCACCTACCCGGGTCCTGCCTGATCGAGCCGTTGAGATCGATACCTTCTACTCGTTCAGCCACCATAACCACACACCGCCCATGCAACCCCCATCGCCCAGGAAGTGATGAGATTTCACCCCTACGACGATCCGAAAAGAAAATCGAATTGGACCTCGAGCACCGATTCCACTCCAGCGCCCAAGATGCCTCCTCGCCCCCGCCCCTCGGGTCGACTCTCGAGCGAAGCACGCTCCGAAACCTCATCCTCAACGTCACCGGAACGCGCTGCAGACGATGACACCGATTTCTTCATGGCCCAAGCCAATGACTCGCAGTCGTCGATTGGTGTGGCCACTTTCCGTGACATCCACGTGCACGCGAGTCGATCGGTCCCGGTGCCGCCGATCGGGCGGCTCCCTCCCGAGATCTTGATCGCGACTTTCTCGAAGCTCGTTTCGCCGGTAGATATGCTCAACTGCATGTTGGTATGTCGAAACTGGGCTGCGAACAGCGTCGGGATACTGTGGCACCGCCCGTCGTGCAATAACTGGGACAATCTAAAGAGTGTGGCGTCATCCGTGGGTCAGCCCGATAGCCTCTTTAATTACGCGGACCTCATCAAGCGGCTCAATCTATCCGCTCTGACCGAAGACGTCAGCGATGGCACGGTCGTCCCTTTCACCCAGTGCAAGCGAATCGAGCGGTTGACGCTGACTAATTGCTCGAAACTCACGGACAAAGGTGTGTCGGATCTGGTGGAGGGCAACCGACATCTACAAGCACTGGATGTCTCAGACCTCCGATACCTGACAGATCACACCCTCTATGCGGTAGCAAGGAACTGTCCGCGGTTGCAAGGCCTGAACATCACAGGATGTTCAAAGGTGACGGACGACTCGCTGCTGGTCGTGTCACAGAACTGTCGTCAAATCAAGAGGTTAAAACTGAACGGTGTTAATAATGTCACCGATCGGTCGATCCTCTCGTTTGCAGAAAACTGCCCAGCGATCCTGGAGATTGACCTGCATGACTGTAAACTGGTGACCAGCCCATCAGTAGCAGCTCTAATTACTACACTCCGTCATCTGCGCGAGCTGCGACTTGCACACTGCCTGGAGATCAATGACTCGGCATTCTTGAACCTGCCTGAGCAAATAACCTTTGACAGCCTACGCATTCTGGATTTGACCGCATGTGAGAATGTCAAAGATGATGCTGTGGAGCGGATCGTGAGCGCTGCGCCTCGTCTAAGAAACTTGGTGCTGGCCAAGTGCCGCTTCATCACGGATCGCTCAGTCTCCGCTATTTGCAAGCTCGGCAAAAACCTCCACTATGTCCACCTGGGCCATTGCTCGAACATTACCGACGGGGCCGTAATCCAGCTGATCAAGTCCTGCAACCGCATTCGCTATATAGACTTGGCTTGCTGCAATCGCTTGACCGATACCAGTGTGCAACAACTGGCTACTCTGCCCAAGCTGCGCCGAATTGGTCTGGTCAAATGCCAAACCATCACAAACCGAAGCATTCTTGCTCTGGCGCACCCTCCAAGAGCCAATCACCCAATGGTTAGCAACCTGGAGCGGGTGCATCTCAGCTATTGTGTCAACTTAGACATGCGTGTACGTTGCTCCCATATCGTCTGTTGGTTTGATTTCATGTTGACTGTATATCTATTAGGGAATTCGTCCTCTGATTAACAACTGCCCACGCCTTACCCACTTGAGTTTGACCGGTGTCCCAGCCTTCCTTGCGGTCGACCTCACAGCATTTTGCAGGGAAGCCCCACCAGAGTTTACTCAACAACAAAGAGACGTATTCTGTGTGTTTAGCGGCGAGGGCGTGACCCGGCTTCGGGAGTACCTGAATGGTGAAAGCACGTCCCCACAAGAAGAAACCGAAGCCACCATGTACGACGATGACGAAGAACTGGACGAAGACGAGGGGCAGATGACTGGCCTGATGCATGCCACTGGCATCAATGACGAAGATTATATCGATGTGCCCCCTCAATGATACGATACCCAACCCCCTCTCTCTTCCTTTTTGCACACCATCCTATCTCCAGTTGTTTTTTCTTCATGTTGGTGTATACAGGAGGCCCTCACTTAATTTGCATCCTCTGCTTTTTATGTTTTTGCCTTCCTTTTGGCCGCATTCCCCCGCCGGCCCTGGAGTCAGGATCAAGCGCAAGCTGTCATATTTCTACCCATATCAGCGAAGATTACCCTCTACCCTTCGGTGTCTGTTTTCTGGGAAATGCATTGTGCGGTAGCGATTACGAAATGTTAGTCTTATTGTATGTCTTGTTTACTTAGGTATGTGGAGTTATATTGCATGCACCTCTGAAAGAAGTTCCTATATTTCGTGGTTGTGTCGTAAAACCGATCGGCGAAGCAGGGGGCGGGCTCGTGCAACGTCACTGCAACCTTAGCATAATGAGCGTAACTCCGAGAGCTGCCCCCGCACTCCGCTTCCTTTCTCCAACCTCTCTTTCGCCGCCCTTCTCGATCATCTCACCCGTTTCACCCCCTCCGGTGATGGCTTTTCCCAAGGCCAGAAACCCTCTGGCCTTTACGCCGTGGCCGGTGACCATCATCACCACCGCAGTGTACCTCGCCCTGATCATCCCCATCCTCGTTATCCACCTCAACGTCCCGGCCGCGCCTCAAGCCAGCCCCGAGGGCTTGAACCTCAGTGAGGCGTGGCAAGACCTCCAGACGCTTACCGAAGGTTACCACCCCTACAACTCGCATAAAAACGATGAAGTTCGCGCGTGGCTACTCGAGCGCATCGATGCGATTCAGCAGTCCGCTCCGCCCGCCGAAGCTTATCAAACGGATGAGGAAAAGCCGGAGGTCTTTGTCTTCGATGATCTCACGTCGAACCTGACATTTTTGGACCAACGGAGCGGCGTCTACTTCGAGGGCACCAATATTTTGGTTTACATTCGCGGCTGGGAAGATAAGAAGGGGAATTGGTGGGAGACGCCCGGGAGGCCGCCCGCTGGCAAGGGTGGAGTCCTGGTCAACGCGCACTACGACAGTGTCTCGACCGGATATGGGGCTACGGATGACGGCGTCGGCGTCGTGACGTGTCTCCAGCTCATCAAATACTTCCTCACACCGGGCCACGCGCCGCGCCGCGGGCTGGTGGTCCTGTTCAACAATGGCGAAGAGGACTACTTGAACGGTGCCCGCGCGTACAGCCAGCACCCGATGGCGAAGTTTGCCCACACGTTCCTCAATCTGGAAGGTGCCGGCGCTGGCGGCAGGGCTACCTTATTCCGCAGCTCGGACACCGAGGTCACACAGGCGTACGCGAAGTCGAAGTACCCCTTCGGGTCTGTTGTCAGCGCAAATGGGTTCGAGCTTGTCGGTAGCCAGACTGACTATGTTGTTTTCGACGGCATTCTGGGATTGCGTGGGTTGGATGTTGCCTTTTTTGAGCCGCGGGCTCGGTATCATACCGATCAGGATGATGCGCGGCATACCAGCATGGACTCTCTGTGGCATATGCTCTCTGCGGCTGTCGCGACCACCGAGGACCTTGTCTCTGATGACACTGACCGCTTTGATGGTCGTATTCGAGATGATGGCAACGTACCCAGCGGCACGGGTACAAAGGCTGTTTGGTTCGATCTTTTCGGCACTGCGTTTGCCGTGTTCCGTCTCCATACTCTCTTCGCTCTGTCAGTTACCTTGCTGATCGTGGCACCTTTGACTCTGCTCGTGACCAGCATTGCTCTTTCGCATGCAGATAAGATGTATTTGTTCCGGTCATCAGAATATTTGGAGACAAGTGACGAGAAGATTCCGCTCCAAGGGCTCCGGGGTTTCTTCCGGTTTCCATTTCTGATTGTGATACCTACCGCTGTCATCGTTGGGTTTGCCTATATGCTGGCAAAGATCAACCCGTACATTGTGCACAGCAGTACCTACGCCGTATGGAGCATGATGATATCCGCCTGGATCTTCTTGGCCTGGTTTGTATCCTGCGTCGCTGACTTTGCACGGCCGTCAGCGTTCCACCGAGTCTACACCTGGACTTGGATATTTGTTATCACTTGGGCCCTGCTGGTCATTGCGGCCGTCTACGAGAATGAACATGGATTGGGCGGTGGTTATTTCACGCTCTTCTACTTTGCCAGTGTCTTTTTGGCAACGTGGATCTCCTATCTTGAACTATTTCGTCTCCCGAGGAAGTCGGAATACCTCAGTCAATTCGCTCAAGGCTGCTCTCGCCGACCCAGCAGCTACGGCAGTCGACTTGGCACAAGCGATGAAAGCCAAGACGATCAAGCAACCGAGGAGGAGCCGACCGAGTCAACATCTCTGCTGCGTGGTCAACAACGTACAACATTCGCAAACTATGTCAATGTTCCTGGCAACTACACAACAAATCAGGAAATCGACGAAGACGAAGCGCAAGATCCAAATGTGTATGGAAATGAGCAAGCGTGGAGTGCATCGATGCCCAGCTGGACCTGGGTTTTCCAGCTGCTTCTCACCGTTCCCATCAATGTTATCATGCTGGCCCCTCTTGGTCTCATTATGTCGAGCGCTCTTTACCAAACAGGCCAGGACGGCGATTCCACGCTGGTCGTGTACCTGCTCATCGCGCTTTTCACGACACTTCTTTTCATGCCCATGTTGCCCTACATTCACCGCTATACCTACCACATCCCGGTCTTCCTGTTCTTAATCCTCATCGGCACTCTCATCTACAACCTGGTTGCCTTCCCCTTCTCTGACTCTAATCGCCTGAAGCTATACTTCTCGCAGGTAGTCGACCTAGACCGAGGGAACTCCACGGCCTATCTAGCCGGTGTACCGCCATTTGTCGAAGATGTTGTCCGCGGCCTGCCCAACGCAGGAGGCAACACAGACTGCCACGTTTACGTGAGGCACGGGGAGCTTTCGCAATGTTCCTGGCCTGGTGCAGAACCACACGTTGTCCCTAGCAACAACGCTTCTGCCCCATCACCAGGTCCGTCTGTGGATTGGGTCTCGTTCAGCATCTCCCACCCCGAGAGCAGTGCTCGCGCCACCCGCTTCGAAATTTCGGGTCAGAACACCCGCGCCTGTCGCATCACGATGGATCGCAACCCTATCAGAAATTTCAGTGTCGCCGGCTCCTCCGCACCCGACAAGCGCTTTATCCATCCATCCCCCGATGGCATGCATGAGATCCGTCTCTGGAGTCGTACCTGGGATGGCTCCTGGACGGTGGATGTCAACTTTAACGAACATGACTCCTCGCTTGAAAAGGAGGGCTCTATCAAGGGTCGAGTCTCCTGTCTCTGGAGCGACGACAACAACCCTGATCTCATCCCGGCTCTTGGCGAAGTTAGACAGTATGCTCCGGCTTGGGTAGCTATCACCAAATTGGCTGATGGATTGGTCGAGGGATACCGGGAGTTCGAGCTTGTGCAGGGTGAATCCGGCGGTTGGGAGCAGAAGACAGACAAGTGACATGCTTTCATGGTTTGACCTTTTGTTTTTCTTCGGGTGTCCGCTCGCGTCATGCTCTGCTTCTATATTTCTCGTTGATACTCATATCTGTTAGAGGGCGTGTTTGTCATATATTGTGTATGCGTACCATACTCATACTACTATAATCACTCCACTTTTCTTTCGGGGACTCGGTATTTGTCTTGCATTACGTTGATCCGATTACCATACTCATATTACAACCAATGGCATGTTCCCATCACTATGCAAGAAAATGTAGCAGCCACCGCGGAGGACATAACCCCTCCGACCACATTTTTTGGCGATGAACCGGATGAACTGGATGAACTTGATCACTCTTTTGTCCGTGATCTGCGGACATACTTCGGCTATGCTTAGTGACGTCGCCCGCGACTACTGTCCAATTCGAATACTGGGCCAGAATATCTCGGACATGGTTCTCGACTAGTGCGAACCTCGTAGTGAACATACGTATCGTGAATCTCACGCGAGCACCTCTTGAACCTCCCAGTTTCATTGATCATGTCCCTTTTCCAGCCGTGGCGAAACCCCCTGACACCTTCCCGTCTTTTCGCTCACTGCAAAACATTGTCCCATCTCGGGTCCGAACTGCACTCGACAGTGGACATCTCCTTCTTTGCTCAGGATCAGGAGTCTCGGAAGGGGGTAGGGTATATCGGATCGAGATGCGCCTTGCACACCGTCTTGACCCACAGGCTAGAAGAAATAGTGCAGAAAACGACCGATACCTATCCGGATAGCAGGGGCTCAGCCGTCATGCCAGAGTCCAGATCAAACGTCACCAAGAACGTCCTCCATTTTGCCGGGCCCAACGGGTCTGTCTTGCCCGTGATAAATCTCATGAACCCGCCATGTGTCACAATGACAACGTCCGGTCGACCGGTACTCTGCAGTTCCTGGAATAAATGCTCTAGATCACTCTGGATCCGGAGCCCGCGCTGCCTCAGCATCTCGTAGTCGGGTGCATAGGGGCCTTGTTTAGCTGGAAATACAGGATCCAGACCGAGCGTGTCCCAAGGGAGATCGGGGAACTCCGCGTGTAACAGGGATATGTCTGAGCCTGTATCGCAGGGACGAGTTGAATGTGCCTGAACATCTGCTGCTGCTAATAGTTGTGCGCCCGTAGAGACTCCTGCTCCCTGGTTTGCTGAATAGTACTTCTTGTCGAGTGTTTTTCCGAAGCCGACGAGGGTTGTTTGGAGAGTTCGTCGGAGCGGGGATGTGATGACTAGCCCGACATCTTGTTTGAAAGGAAAGTCCCGGCATAGTTCCTTAGATTGCTCAATTCCTCTTTCTGTTAATGGTGGGTCTGGAATGGTTGTATCGTGGGCCGGGTTGTGGGTGCCTTCGGCATGCCGGACGAGATGGAGTCGGAAGACCGTCTTTGTCGGATGCATTTTTTCAAGGTTTCGGTCTGCCGTCAAGGACAAAATGCACAATACCTGTTAATGGGTTTGTCTTTTGGACGTTCGATTTATATTTGCCTGGGATTTTTGGGGTTGGGGGGGGTTTTTTCAGGTCGGAGACGATGTTATCTCCGAGGGAATCCGAAAGCAGGAATCCAGACCGATGTGATTCGATGGGGTGACAAAGAAGCCTAGGGGGAGTCAATCCTGGGAAACACGTATTCATCCGTTAAAGGCTTCACCTCCACGAGCAGATGGCATGTCAAACCGATCATAGTTGGTAGTTTTATGTACAATCAAAATATTGTCAACCATGCATTTTCCTCAATGCCTCCGTTAGTTATAAGCCTCATTTCTCGTCACAGCCAGAAACGTAAGAGACCACAGCTGTCGAATATCAGATTCTGGATAACCATTATTAGTATAGGTGACATCTGCCATGGCGCAAGCCCAGAGCAACGTACCAGTCTGCGAACCACCCCCGGGCGGCGGCAACACACCCAGAGGCGTAACCTGGAACCCACCATCCCGCCAAACCCACGACCAAACCTCTCCGGAAAGCTGGTCCTCATTCCGCTCGATCGAGTCCCAAAGCTCATTATATGCAGCCCGCACATTCCAATATACAGTATCATCGCCACAGAACGACGGGATCGCAGGAATAGCCCGCTGACTTTTGTGACCTCTGCCCGATGCCGTAAAGTTACTGGTCAGGTCGCACCGGCCCAACTGCATCTCCAACCCCTTCGCCATCATGGCAAGCTGCCATGACCACACCACCGTGCCGTGGTACGCGCCGGTCGTCCAATTCTGCGCATACACAGCGTCCTCCCCGAAGGCCGGGTTCGCGACTAGCATGCCGGCAGAGGTCATCAGGCCCGCCGGGAAGGTGCGGCGGATATTAGTGGCGGAGTTATTGAGGAAAGCTGTCAGCTGCGTGTCGTTGGTGGTGTTGAGGAGCAAGTGGCGGAAGCAGTCGTCGGTGTTCATAACCGCTACCTGCGAGAGGTTGTTGTAGCCGTCTAGCGCGAGGGCATGGAATACGACGTCTGTGGTGATAGAGGCGGATTGATCCGGGCCAGCGAAGGAGGAGGCGTTTTTGTAGGATGCCACTAGGTCTTGCGCTTTGGATTGGGGGATTGTGACTTCGAAAAAGGAGAGGGTCTTGTCCTCCCAGGTTTGCGCGTATTGCGGGGCCAGAGTCGCCCATTGCGTCTGGTTGGGGTAGAGGCCTTTTTCGGCGAGGAGGGCGATGGAGCGTAGGGCTGCGGGGACTAGGGCTGTGTTCACGTCATAAGGGATGCGGCCTCCGCCGATGCCTGTGAGATTGAATGAGTTGTAGCCTTTCTCCTGTGAGGAGTCCGTGGTGTAGGCATACCGTAATTGCTGTCTCTCCATTGCCCCACGACTTGTCCGTCCTTGAGGTGAATCAGGTTCTCCGTTGTCTGATTTTGCGCAAATGGACCAGCAAGACGCATGATGCGCTCCGCGTTGATCAATGCCAGTTGACCCCAAGTCAAATTCTGATTAACGGCATTAATAGATCCAGCCGACGTGCTATTTCCCGCGTTAGATGTTGCATTCAGACAAAGGAATATGATGGCGCGGGATACTTGAAGAAAGATGCAGCTCTTGTCTGTCCCACGGGATTATCCAGGAAATACTTCTGCATTAAGACAGGAAGAAAATAGTCCGAGTCAACCTTGTATCAGTCAGAATAAACCCCACAATCAGCGGCCGTCTCGCCGGAGGCCAAAACTCACCATTTTATAGTCGCAAACCATAGCGTTACTCGAGATATTGTCCTGCAAATTTGTCCACGTCGCATAATCCCTACCACCATCAGACCCCCGCACCAAACATTTACATCTAGGGGCTCGTCGTAAAACTCACCCGATAGTCTCCTCATGGCAAACGCTCCCATCAGTCCGATTCACCCGCTCCAGCACAGCCCCGATAACAGCCTCCATGGCACTTCCCTCGCCCGAACTGAGCACCGGCTCTAACAGTAGCGCCGAGATCATCGAGTCGCGCCCAAAGTACGTCAGGAAGCGCCACGCGCCTGCGAGCAGTTTCTCTGAGTATGACAGGAAAGAGAGCGCGGTCGTCTGGTCCGGCTGGGAGGTAGTTAGGTTGCTGGAGGCAGCATTGAGCACGGAGCCTGGCTGGAGAGCCGCGAGTTGCGGGTAATTCAAAGATGCGGAGAAGAGGTAGTCGCCGGCTGGGAAGGCGAGGGTGCGATTGGAGATGGTGACTTTGGTATCCGTGCCGTTAGGGTACGGGGTGAATGTGAGCGCTGTGGATGTGACATTATCCAGCCAGGTCCGCTGCAGTAAGGCGCTCCCGTCGTCGTGCGCGGTGAACTGGATTGCATCCTGGATCTCGGGCTGGAGGAGACTGGGTCCCTCGACAAAGTCACGGATCGTGCGGATACTGCCCAGTATCGGGAGGGTGAGCGTGGCAGATGCATTGAAGCGCAGGACCCCTTGGACGCCGACGCTAGGAGGCGCAGAGCTGTTGGATGCTGCTGTGTATACAGGACCGAGCGGTTGGCCGGCGGTGGAGTTGACCATCTCAATGGACAAGGTCCCGTTTGCGCCATTCTGGGGCGTGAAGAACGTGCAGATGCCGCTATTGCCGGCCGGCCACGCCACGATCAGCCGCGGGCCGATGATAGAGAGATTGCTAGCTGGAAGCGGGCTCGTGACCACTGCCTGCGCGGCGACGTTGCAGTCCGAGTAAAAGTAGTTGTCGTACGGCGGGTCGCTCAGCGACAGTGTTGAGGCATCATTGCCACAGACGGGCGCGCTATGGTGTGCGTGGAGGCGCTTGGGAAGAACTAGTGAGCGGGATGAAGCTATTGAAATTGTACAGCGCCACTTACAGCGTCACCACTCCGCACGGCGGCAGCCCCAATGCTCCCAAACACCGACAGCTTCAGGAGGGATTTCATGATGCCGGTGATATTGTGATATTGTTGGCAGAAGGAGGTTCGAAAGACAGAGATAAACCTGTCTCGGGGTCTGTCAGCTATGCGGCATGGTTGCATTCGTCATCGCAACCTGTTCTGAAGCAGCGTGGGGGGGGCCGAAAAGTGGGTCGTTCGTCCCCGTGGGGATGTGGAGCTGCCAAAGGCAAATTGAAGGGAAAGTTTGGTGGTTCCCGATATTTCCCCGCGCCTCTGACGCAGCGCCTTGTCAAACACGATAGTAATTATATTTAGGCCATGTGTAATCATTATCATTAATAGAGCTCATACAATCCAGGAAAACCTGGTCCTATGAAGAGGCGTCAATCTATATACACAATAGATCCAAGATGGGGGTTGTGTTTGAGGGGGTCGCCCTAGGTGCATCTACATCCCCGGGGTATCCATTGCGCGCGGATGGCGCAGTACCTGATCGCCCATCGCAGATAGTTGATAGCTAGCTCGGCAGATATATGGGTCCTGGAGGAACGAGAGGGTCGGGCGCGAAGCCCGGAGGGGGAACGGCCGCATGTGCGTGGGGTCTGATACGACCTGCGACTCGCATTGGATCGCATCCCACTCTTCACAGCTGTCGGAGTGCGTTTGGGGTGGTGGTGCGATGTTCAGGGGTACTTGGGATATCAAGTCTCAATGACGGGCGTATCTCATGAGCCCGTAATTCATCACATAATCAAATCGAACATCGTCACGCCGGGGGGCAAAGTCGGGTCAGGCTTTATTCTCCGCCTCACCCGGGCTTTTCGGTCAGCTTCGCGGGCTTGCGCTGGTATTGGCAGAATGGGCTGGTGAAATCGATGGCGTGGGGATCTCCGTGTTGGATGCGAGTATCGCTGCTCCACGAGTTGCCGGTGTCGGAGGTGGCTGTGTGCGCGTCGACCGGGGGGAGTGCTCGAACATGGCAATGGAGATATCATCGTCCATCCAGGAGCGGGCTTGGCTGGAGTGTACTGGCGCGGCGTGGGTGAGGTCGGAGGTGACGCGGGTCGCATCGACAAAGTCGGGAAACTCGCGAGGGCCGGAAAAGGACTCGGGTTTCCAGACGTGGTTGTGGACCAGGTGGATGAGTTTCCCCAGCACGGCGAATTCAAGTTTCAGCTTGATGCTGTAGACCGCGCCCTTGAGCATGGTCTCCATGATGTAGTAGTTGCGGTATTCGGCGACGAGCAGGCCCAGGTCCATAATGATGATGATCATGTTGAGGATCAGTAGTTGGTATTGGATCTTGCGCTTGGTGTGGTCCATATCCAGACGAATCATGCGCACCGTCTCCCAGATATAGAGACCCGAGATAATGAATTCCTGCAGACAGAAGCCGGTCATTTGAATCTTTTCCATCACGTTATATCCGGTGATATATGAGGCTCGGGTCGCCCCGAGCGGTGCGAGGTTGGTGCCGTACGTCAGCACGGTGGTCGGGATGTGCAGAATGACTGCATTGACGAGGATCATGACCAGCACGCGACGCAGCACGCGCTGGTTCGCGAGGACCAAGTGCAGGCGTGAATACAAGACGATCGACTGCCCGGTCACCATGGCCCACCAGCCGACGGTGAGGAGGGTGACGGGCAGCCAGGTGGCCGTGGTGAGGTTGAAAAACTTCAATAGAAATCCGAGCGAGTAGGGGATCAAGCCGACGGCGGACGAGACCAGCAAGCTCCAGAAGTAGAGGCCGCGATACTGGGCGAAGGTGACGAAGATGAGGACGACGAGCTCGAAGGCGTTGTACCATGTGATGCCGGCGAGGGTCGCGATGGTGATTTGCATGCCCAGCGACTGGCCGGTGTAACCACCGGTGATCCCATCGCCGGCGGCAGTGATGTTGGCCATGGCGGAGGAAGGAATGGTCAGGCGGGGATCACCATCATAGGCGGCGAGACGCGGGGACTGGAGATGGGAGGAGAGGGAGAGAGAAGGGAGGAATCGGTCTGGCAAACAAAGGAGCAGCAAAGACGAGGGGAATGCGACAATGGGGCCAAGAGAGTCAGATGAGAAGACGATACTTGTCAGAAGCCAAGCACCACGATTTGGGGGCTCATTTTTGGGGGGAGGCCTAGGAAGGGCCGGGGGGGGGGGTTGCGGGGGGGCAGGGCGATCATCCAGAACGGAGTACGGAGTACTCCGTACGGCGACTCTGTCCCACGACACGAGGAGCCCCAGGAAGTGACCTGGGCAGAGTCGAGGGCGCAGACTTCTCATCAACCAGGGCCGTACCCCAGGGTCGATCGGAAGGCGCCCGGCCCTAAGACCCGAACTGACTAGCGGCCTCACGAGATCAGGGAATGAGGCTATCATCCCTGCGGCCAGGCGTGAGTGGTTCTTGGCATGGCTGGGATGTGATTCGTTTGCAGATCGGCTGTACCGTGTGGACGGAGTACAGAGCACGGAGTAGTTCTCCGTACTCTGTACATACTGCTCCGTACATGCGAAGTATAGTATACTGGGTTCGGATACAGAGAGACGGACTGACTCGCCTCCCCAGCGGTTCCATAGTTGTGAAACGGCTCGGAATGTCTTTGGTGGGTCAGGGGAAGAAAGGCAAAATGGAACCGTGGGGTTTCGACATGCCCGGAGACTGGCCGGCGGTACCATAATTAGGCATCCTCAACATCCCTCTCCGGATAAAAGAGCGAGGTGACTTCATGGTGAAGCACACACCGCGTACCCCCATCCCAGCCTAGCCCAGCCGAGGCCATGGCCGATCCCTTCCCGCCGTTGTGGGATGTTGCTGTTCTGTTCCTACGCACAGTAGCCTCTCCATTGCGGATTTTCAACGAGGCTTGCCCCTCTGCTCTGCTGCTTCTCTGTTGCCCTATTGCCCTATTGCCCTGGCTGCCCCGTTGACTGGAGAAATCCTCGTCATCCATCGGATACTATACGTCTACGGCGCATTCCATGTGGGCTCACATCCCCGTCTGGGGTCAGCCCCACCCTGCGCCGCCACAGCCAACCGCAGACGAAAGGCGAGCACGGTGTGCTGAGCGGCGCTGGTGACTTCATGCCAGATGAGCCGTGCCGGGCATCGCTCGTCGGTCTATTCGGACTACTGCGTACTCTGACTGGATGGACCAGAGGCTCTGAGAAACCCTATACAGAGGACCAAGTACGGGGTACAGAGGACGACGCCCTGACGTATGCATTTGCGTCTACTCTAAGCACACCATGATATGATTTCATCTGATCTCCCTCCTGATGGGCCATGGCCTCCGAGCCTCAGCTGTGGTGCGGTTCTCGCCACGGCGTAGAGAGGGAGGAGAAGGCGCATATAGCAGGCTGGGGAGCAGACGAACACGGTAATTGATCCTGTGCGACCGTCTGAAACCGATGACTGTATTCTGGATGCCCATATTTGGCTCCGGGCTGTCACGATCCTACATATTCTCGTACAGAGTACTCCGCCCGTTCAGGCCCCCAGGCGATGTCAGTGCAAGCATGCGTACCCCCGTATATGCACGCTCAACCGCTGCAAAAGTGCGTTCATACTGTACGGACTCCGTAGACGTCCTAGCCCAACCTAACCTAACCCCAACCTCCCATTCCATCCGCAAAGCAAGAAAGCAATCATGAAACCCCAAAACGCCCGAGCGCCTCGCTTGCAAACAAAAGTCGGCAACCACATCTAACCGAACATCACGAATCCTCCCGAGCCTCCGGCCCCCCACGAGGCACAGGGTACATCCCACCCGTCTCCCCCGAGCGGAACCGGGTCTCCCAGTCGCTCAACCAACAGAGCCTCGTCCTCGGTCTAACCGTGCGCGGGAGAGGGAACCGTGCCGGGCTGGCCACCACCCAGCCCAGCCATCACAGGCGGACCCCCAGAGCAACCGGAACGCATGGCCTTCGGGGCCAGACGGTGCGTAACAGGGGACCCGACCATGATCACGCAGTCCAAGCCCGCGGCAACACCCCCCCCCCCGGGTAAAAAGGGCACCAGCAAAAGCAACATAGATCAAATCACTTCGCGGTTCCATCCACCGTCTCCTCCGCCGCACCCGCTCCGCGTCCCCCCGTCACGGCCACCACGCGGTCCACCTCCGCCCGACACTCAGGCATAGCACTGCGCATCTCGCGCGCCAGCACATCCCGGAACTCGGCAAAGGCCTCGCGCTTCCCCTTCAGATCCTGATTGCCGCGCTGCACCAGCTCCACGAACTCACGCGTGTAGATGTCCGGGTTGCGCGCCGCGTCAATGTAGTCGATGATCTCGGGCGGGAGCTGGATGCTGGAAAGGGGCGGGTTGGAGGGGTCGGTTAGGTTTGACGAAGTGTCGGACTGGGCGTTTGGAGGGAGGTCTGTGTGTGTGGAGAGAGTGGAGAGGGCGAGGGTGAGGTTTTTGCTGTGGCCTGGGTTAGCTTCGCCGGGTTCGGGGTTCGGGGTTCGGGTTCTGGTTTTATGTGGACGGTGTTGGGGCAAGGTTGCTCTCTGGAGGACATGGAGATCCGGGAAATCCCCGGGCGTTTTGAGAGAGTGCCCTGGTAGTGAGGCTTGGGGTGATCACGTACATTTTGCGGACCAGCTCTTGCTGTGTCTCCGGGCCTAGGTAGCCGTGGACGGCGGATTGGATCTCGAAGAGGTGTTGGATGACATCTTTGAGGTCGTCTGCACCCGGGCTTAGCTTTGGGGGATCTCTCCATGCGTACTGGTTCGGGCTTACTTACCATCGACCGTCTGCAGCGTGACAGGTGCCATGGTGGTTTCTGGCGTTGGTTTCTCTGTGATCGGAGTCCGCCGCAATGGTGGTTTGGGAAAACACGCAGTGGGGAAAGGCGGTGTGGAGGCGGCTCAACCGGTTCTTGGTGGAGGTGAGGTATACTTTAAGATCTGACGGGCTTGAAGAAGTACGCCCTTCGTACCTCTCGAAATGCACTCTCCAAACTAAGAGAACGAAGAGGGGGCCCTCTCAACTCCACTCCCTTGAAGGAATTATTGCGCCAGATGCGGCCGCGCATTGAAGGGGAGAAGAGCTTGGCTCCTCTACCATGGGTTCAGATGTGTTCGAAGGCTGTGTGCCTTCGACGGTCTGTTCTTAGTCTCGTTGCCATCCTCTTCCACTTCATCCAGGCCTTGGCTGAGAATCGCGCCCGGGATGAGATGGCTGTTGACTTGGAGATTGCGCTCTCAAAGAAAATCATGTCTCAAAAGCCGATTATTCCTCCTATCTAGGATCTATAGACTTATCTCTGCCAACAGGCGGGCATTCACGAACCACTCAAGCGGACACAGATTAATTAGGAAAAGTAGATATCCACAGGCTGGGTGTAAACCACAATGCCACTGTGTCATATTCAGAAACAGGGCTGGTGAGACTCAGTCAATCTGGATGGGTGTTGATGCGCATAGAGTGGTTCGTTAGGCCGAGTCCGAAATCCCGTTTCACCCCTCGGCGCACATAGTTTGTTTCTCAGAGCCTATCTGGAGACACACAAATCCATCCGGAGTACTCGCAAGCCCAATTCAAAATCTCGGCAATGGATTGTATGTCACGTCTCTATATATGCATCACGTCAACAGGAAATTATACATTCCCCACAGGCAGGCAATCAACCCGGGCGAAACACGCTAAAAATAACCACGACACATTAAGCCTAAAACAAAGCCCACGATCGATGTCCGAGACAACACTTCTCCTATTACACCTCCCGGGTCCTGAGTTTGGGGTATTTCGAAATCTCGATCTCCGTCTCCATCTCCATCCCGGACAGGCTCGGGAACCGCCGGCTGAAATTGGCTTCCCAGTCTTCCCCGCCGGGACTCGTCGGGGTCGGTTGAACGGAGGGCCTGCGGTCCTTGCTGCTGCTGGGTCGCGATGTGTCCTGCCCACTCACCCGCAGGCTCTTCGGCTTAGGCGGAGCCACAGGGCGTGATGCGGGACGCGCAGACGGGTATCCGGTGGAGTGGGAAGTGGCAGCGTGAGGGAGAGTCGCAGGGGCACTGGCATCTTCACGACGGTCCGGGGGCGCCACGGTCGTTTCACGGGCACCGTAGATGGGACCAGGAGTACGGGAGATGGGGAGTGTACCCGAGGAGGGCGGTTGAGGGTCACTACTACCTTGCTTTGCCTGCAAAGCACCGGTGTCGGTGTATTTCCCATACCCGGTTGCGGTCTTGGGAGCAGACTGGGGCTTGTTGGATTCGCCAAGGAGATTCTGCACCCGGTTCAGGATCGCCCGAGACCGATGCTGTCCGCTCCCATCACCGTCGGCGGCGCGGCGCCTATACTCTGCTGCAGCATGGGCAACTCGTTTCTCCTCCTGGGAGAGCCGGCGGCGCTCGAGTTCGCGGCGCATTTCTGGAGAGATATCATCGCGGTCTACATCTTCCAGAACATCGTCTTCGTAGGATGACAACCCCTCGTTGGGCGGAGAATCCAAAATATCCGATTCGCTTATGAGAGCTTTGTGGCGCGAGGGATATTCCTCGGCTGTCGGAGTGGAAGGCTTGTCCTGGTTTGTGCTCTCGAATCGGCGGAACGCCTCGCCGAAACGACCGGCGAATAAGGTCTTGCTTCCTGAAAGTGACAGAGAAGGCAAGCTGCCCCGCTTGGCATACTTAGAGCCACCGCTAGAACGCTTCTCACGCTTACGGTTGCTTTCTTCCTCTTCCTTGGCTCGTAGATAGTCCACGTCCGAGGAGATGTTGGCTCGTTCAGACTCCCGATCGACTTCAGTACGGACCGTTCTCAGGGGCGCACCACCCTCATATTGCATTCGAGAGAGATCCAAAGAGGAACGTGAGGCCTGGGGTTCATGCGGAATGTCGTAACGAGATGCAGCTTGTACCGATACAGGGCGAGCCTTGGCGATGGCAGACTTGGACCTTCCCCCCGGATCAGTGGCTTCCAACCCAGATGGCCGCCGCATTGTCTCCATGGAGGCACGGGCAGAGTTGGACTGGTTGGATAACTGATCAGAAGACAGCCGTGGGCTCGCTTCCGGTCTCAAATTGAGCGACGGGGACGACGGGACATTATATCCAGTCACCTTCTGCTCTTCCTCGGTCCAGGGCTGGCTGGAAGGCCGTCGCTCATGCTCGGATGGCGGGAAGCGGTAGATTGGGCGGCTAGAAAGCTTCGGTTCCTGCAACCGGGGTGTCTGGGAAGGAGATGTCATAGTGCCAGTCGAGACCATTGTAGGACGCTTAGGGGTGGGCTGATACAGCGGCGCCTGTGGCCGAGTGGAAACTTCTTGGGGCTTCTGTGGTTGCGCAGGCGAGATCTGCGACCGTCGGTCTGCAGCGGGTGCCTGTTGCTCTAGAGAAGGCCGTCGTGCGAAAGCATCATCGGCCAATGCATTGGTAAGCCTCTGCGAGAGGTCCTCGTCTTCCGATTTAGTCTCTTTCAGTGTCGGTTCAAAGTCGAACTTGTCGCCCTTCTCGTGCAGGATATCGAACTGGTCCAATGTCGGGAATCGTTTGGACAGTTCGTCCGCAGTCTTCTTCTTCGTGTCTCCATCCAATGCTGCGAACGGGTCATGGGATGAGGTCTTGGAGCCACCGCGATATGGAGAAGGGCTTGGTTTGGCTGAACTGTGCGCAGACGACTGAGGCTTTACGGGCCGTCCTCTGCGCATAGGCGGAATATCGGGGATGATTTGAGTCTCTTGAATAGGAGGCGAGAATGTTGCGCCCACCGCAGTTGCTTCTGTTGGCGTGGGAGGTAGTTCCTGGTTTCGCCGGGTTTCAGAAACAGACCGATTGGAGTAGATCTAAACACACGACGGTCAGTATTGTTGACACGGCTTTTGAAACGCGCATGGAAAGACGAACATCTCGAATTGGTACTTCCTTCCCTTGCATCTCACACACTTCCTTGAGAACCTGGTATATATTCGGACGCTTTTGTGGATTCTCCTTGAGCATGATTGCTGTTCCGCGAGTCCAGTCAGTCATGGTCTCCTCGTAATAGCCCTGGCGAGTTCCAACACTTACCGATGAACATCTTCAACCGGTCCGAAAACTGAGGGTATGCGGGGAATTTGTATTTGGCGTTGAGGATGGCCATCTGGCCAACCTCTTCGAAGGGCGTCGTATAGTAACACAGTTTGTACAAGAACACACCAAGGGCCCAAATGTCGCTCTTCTCGTCAATTGGTTGCTTGCGGTAAACGTCAATCATCTCCGGGCTACGGTACTGCATTGTCGTGTGGCGCTGCACGTCGTCTTCAATCAAGCGACCTTCAGCGGCCGAGGTAGCAGCCGGACGGGGAGGTGCCGAGGATCCAAAGTCGCACAGCTTGTAGGTAGTCGAACCCCGGGATCGCGAGATGAGAACGTTCTCCACTTTGAGATCCCGATGGAGCAGTGGCGGCTTGAGGTAGTGCATGCAGGCAACTCCTTCAGCCACATCCGAGAAGATTTTGATGATCTCGGGCTCCGTCAGCCGGTTCTGAAGCCGGGTGTTCATGAAGTCAATCAAGCCACCACCCCCGCAGTACTCCATGAGGAGGAAGACCTCGTAGCCGCTGCCTTGCAGCTGGGAGGCATGCGAATCGATGTACCTGACGATATGCCGGTGCCCCTTGAGCTTCTTCATGGTCTCAACCTCGGTGCGCATGCTGGCCAGGGCCGACTTGTCAGGCACAGCGACCCGCTTCAGCACAGCGGTCTCCGTGCCATTGACCGGTTGAGGCAGCCGCACCACATAGACGTGAGCAAACCCACCCTCAGATAAATACTTCTCCACCACCACGCGGTGACTGCCCACCTGGACCTTGGTCCCGGGGAGAAAGGTCCCCGCGGGTGCGGTGACGGCAGCGACAGGGTTGAACGCGGGGAATTGTCGCGACGTCACAGCGTGGCCCTGGGGGGCGTGGACAGGAGATTGATAGGAGGACATGGTGGTATGGACTGCCCTTGCAGGGCAGAAGGAGTTGGGGAGAGAGGAGGGGAGTTCGGGGCCTTCGTGGCTATCGACGCGGCATAGGAGAAGGGGAGGTGATGGGATGCCTGGGAATGGGGCCAAGAGGACAGGTTGGCGGGGAGGGCGGAGTAGATTGGGGTAGTGCCGGACTACCGCAAAGGCAAGCAAAACAAAAAGGAGGAAGGCCGAGAAATGAAGTTGGAAAGATGGCAAACAAAAGCCTTGGATGTGAGAGCGCGATGGGATCCCGAGGGGAATAACATCCAATCACCAGCGGCGGGTCACGTTCCCTCGTGCTGCTTGCTTCGCCAGCGGCTGGCCTTGAATATAACTACGCTTCCTTTTCCCGCTTCACCGTCCCCGGGTGTTTCCCTTTGGGCTGGGTTTACTCCTGGAGATAACCCTGAACTGCGGACTGCGGGCCGTGACTCAAGAATCAGCCTCTCCGTTGGGTCTTGAGGACTGGCTTGATCAGGGTTCCGCATCGCCTGCTCCGATCATGGGACCAGGGGCAAATCACTGTCGACGTTTCGACCACAGTGGTTGGCCATGAGGTCCAAGGTGGCTGCTGATTTCTACAGTTATATACAGCTTCCTTGCATCCTCTTGTTCCCTCTTGATCGCGTCGGACGTGACTCTTGCCACGCCTACCATCTTCTACCCTGTGACGGACATGCTCCGGCGGGATGTTGACGTTGACCTCGAGTATCACGACGGACCCACTGCGGTTCAACTATCTTCCCCCAACCGCTTGACCGCAACATCGACCCGGTTCCCTCTCCTTCGCCTGGCACCACACCTTGCCGCACGAAGTACTCCGTACACCTTTCGTGAATCGCCGATTTGGACGCCCCGTCTGAATGGCGCAAAGCACGGTTAGGTTATCATGGAGCGCCCGGTGGGGAAATCACGATGCATCTGGAGATCCGGGATAGGGGTATGAATCTGGGAATGATTGGAACTTGCAGAGCGGCAACACCGCTGGGTTCTCGTATTATCGTAGGCCCCCACCAACTACAGAGCACTCCGTATAGTCGGCTATAGTCATACTGTTGTCAAGGCATCCCCAGCAACAGCCTCTTTATGCCTGAGGCACCAGCATGGGGCCGTCAGGCAGCAATGACATAAGCGGGTCCATTCCACAAGAGGGAAAACCAAAACAAATACTCTTGGGGGCTCCAAGTGCGAAGACAACTCACCTTCGCAGCTTTAAAAATAAGAAAAAAGGTGTTTGAAATCCTGAGTCCCGTAGCAAAGGTTGTATCTGCTTCAAATGCGACCTGGGCCCCCAAGCAAGGACCTAAGTCTGGTCGGTCCATGATAGCATCCTTGATGCTGTGCCACTGGTTCCTCCGCCCAGTGACAACGGGGCGTGCGACTGCGTAGCTACCCCGAGGTATTTCACATTGCTGAGTAGGTCAGATTCTCCCAGCAAGAATCTGATGGCCCGACAAGGCCACCAGCAAGTAGCAAGTTTGGATTGGACGCGCATATTTGTTTTGCTGTGTGATGGCCACGTCCTCACTGCATGGAGCCGCCGATCGTTAGCGGCTCCCGCTTCTCCTAAACAACCCACCCACCCCGGAGCGACCATCTCTTTCTCTCCGCTGCCTCACCCCCATTTTTTGACCCCCTCGTGTTCGGTGGAAGAGGTGGTTTATTGCGTCTATATATTTTTAATTCTTCCCGCTATCGACCCGGCTTCCCGAGCACTGAGTGGCCTAGGGCCTCAGTGCACAAGTCCCACCTCGACGAACATGACCTGGCAATCGACTCGCATCCGCGCTGAGAACCAATCCAACTAGAGTCTGATCAGGCCATCGGACCTTCAATCGAGGCAGTAGGAGGACAAGTCTGGGCTTTGGGTATTTACGGGCCACATATACTGGAGGAGAAAACATCGTGGGTTCGACGAGTTCTTCTCTACGTGACCGAGTCGACAATCTAGACTGTCGCATCACTCACACGGTTGCAAGTGGTGACACACACCTACGGTTGTGATGGATGGGCCACCACCTCCGCCGCCGCATGGCGAGAACCCTCATACCACCGACGGCGAGTACCGCAAATCCTCCGACCTGCCGCCTGGCAACTACGATATCTTCATCGTCCCCCCGCACTCCTCCGGCTCCGGCTTCCTATACCTCCCTTCTCTGCAATGCCACCGAAATAGCTTCATCGCAGGCGCCGCAAGCATGCTCTTGGTGGTCTTGATCTGGTCCGCTATCGCACCGGTCGTTAAGACCTGGTACGTCACAACCGTGTCAAGTAATAACAATATGGGAATGGTAGTGGTTGCGCTCGGAGTGGGTGTTGCCGGGTGGGCTTTTGGCATGTCTCAATCGGACAATTCCAATAGCACCGGCTACGGTGGGAAACGATTCAGCGGTGGCTTCGGCGGTTTCGGGGGCTCCGGCAGGCAAAATGCTCACGGCCAGTCTTCCGGGGCCAACCATGGCAATCAATCAGGACAACAGCAGTACGGTGGCAATGGTGGATCGGGTCAACAGCAGCAGCAGCAAGGAGGAAACTTTGGAGGTGGCCAGAGCCGTGGCAACCAGTATGCTGGCAATCAACACGGCTCCGGGGCTGGTTCCGGGGCTGGTCCTGGCGCTCCTCCAAAGTCGGACCAGAACAATCATGGCCCAAATGGGGCTGAATGGGAGAAGGCACGGGAAGAGACGAAACGCAAGGAGGAGCTGCGCCGAAAGATGGAGGAGTTCAAGCGCAAGCGAGAGGCGGAAGCTAAGGAGAAGGAAAGGAAGCGTGAACGCGAGGCAATGGAGAAGGAGTTGAAAGAGCGTCGTGAACAACTAGAGCGCGAAATGGCTGCCGCGAGAGAGAAAGCTGAGAGAGAGGCTCGCGAACGGGCGGAGAAGGAAGCCGCCGAAGCTCGCGCGAAGCAAGAAAAAGCAGCTGCGGAGGCTAAAGCCGAGGCTGAGAGGCGTGAGGCAGAAGCAAAGGAGAAGGCTGCCAAGGAGGCTGCTGAAAAGGCGGCAGCAGAAAAGGCGGCGGCCCAGAAGGAAGCCATGGCCAAGTTTGCTGCTCTTAAGGAAGCGGCGGCCAAGAGGTACGCTGAGAAAAAGGCGCAGGAAAGCAAGAAAGAGGCGCCACCACCGAAGGCTGGAAGCGCAACAAGCGCACCCCGGACACCCTCGCCCCAGAAGCCGCCCTTTCCAACGGCCAAAACCACCATCGGCGAAGATGATGCTTATTCCTTTCGGCCCTATGACCGTCCGCGACGGCCGTACGGGCAAGCATCTGGGTCTTCGGCGTACTCTGAATCATCATATGCTCCCTCTCAGTCGACAGCACGTACCACACCTCCACCGTCGCATCGGGGCACTTATTCCACCAAGGATCCAGACAAAATCGTGATTCTGGGTGTATACCAATTCACCAACGCCTTCATGAAGACGCCGGTGGCACAGCTTGTCTCCGGACAGGGCATGGTCACCGAAGGACTCGTACTGCGAATCACGACCGAAGGACTGTTCGTAGACGACGACCTTCGTGGAGTCGGACAGCGTGAATGGGATGTCAAAGCGTGGACTCTCAAGCTGACAGAGGTGTGGTGCCCCCAGATGGGAGCGCCGCAGGCTTCGAAACAACCAGCGTCCAGCAATCCATTCTCCTTCCGTCGCAGTGGATCCGCGCACACGGTGCCTACGAACGAGGAATCGGACGCATTCACCGCCAACCTGCTCAAAGTCTGCAAGAACACGTGCCGTCTGGCCTCGCCGAGTGCGTGCTTTGCTCGCAGTGCCGCGGCGAGCGGCATAGACGGTGGACCGGTGCACCCGCCCCAGGCAGAGTTCCGCGGTCTCCACGTCCTCCGCGCCAGTCTGCGGGATCAAGAAGGCAAGCGATACGTCTTTGTCCTGCAAGATACCGAGGCCTGGAAAGTCGCAATCGGCCTCCAGCGTCTCCGTGGCGGTGCCCTCGTCCGCGCCCTGGGTGTCACGGCCCTGCCGGTCTCAGACTGCAAGAGCATGCTCGGCGGCCTGGGCTATATATGATGGGATATATGGCATATAGTCGTGGCCCGCTGAGCTTGTCTTTCGTCTTGCACCCTTGACCAGGTGAAGCAAGTCTGCTGTCATGAGATGGTCCACACACATCTCTCTTAGCCATTGTGGTCTGGTCTCATTTGGCTGCGTGCTCGACCAGCGCCTTCCCTTCTTTCCTTTCTCATTAGCGGCGGAGTTTGCTGCATACTCTTTCTCTATGGTACATTCACTCGCTTCTTGTTATCCTCCCCCCATATAGTTTCGAGATTCCCCCGACATATTTGTTGTTACTTGGATTTTTTGCTTAGTGGAAGTACAGTTGACCTGCATGTGGATGTTGAGTTGAATTGGGGACGTACATAGCAACAGATCATTTATTGAATCCGATTGAATTGGCGAATTTACCTTTTCATGTCTGTTTTCATTTGCATTAGAAGGTAGAGGTTACTCTTCAGTTCATTGATCTCTACCTAGATATATCCGAAAGCTGTTTATTCCCTGCCGCTCTCAGTTATTTCACCTTCCCATGTATCTTTCTAGGCTTTTCTTCTAAGGGAATCGTAGATTTTGTGACCATTCGATTCCGAAGATTACATCACCATTTTAAAGACAAAGTCATCGCTGGCCCTTACATGTGGCAGTAATCTTGAGATCAGTTGCGCCGAGGGGCTGGGGGACGTCGCCCCTGTATCCCTCGGCGCTTAGTGAGACAATTATAAAAATACCAATTAGTTAATTGCGGAGGAATGTGAACTAATCTCCAAAATTACTACAGGACGACAGCTATAATTATACGAAATAGCTGGGGTATGACGTTGAAGGAATGCGAGCCCGAGAAACAAGACATGTACATCCATAAGACTTAAACTGTGTATCGAACAGGCGCAGCAAGTATTGCGGTGGTCATTCAACCATTAGGGAGGCCCACAGATACAAAGAATCATTTATCAACCCAAAAAGAATCAATCCCATGCAATTTTTCTTGCCTCAATGGAGAGTAGCCACCCTCCAGAGGAGGCGAGGTACATGTAAAAATCAATAGACAACCCGGGGGAAGTATGTCATCTCACGGGTAAAAGAACAGTAGGAAAAACAACAAAACGCCATGATGTCTGGTGTATGCCCCGGCCGCGCAATAATCTTTCATCCGTCTGCCTATGCAAAGATGCACCGTACCGCACTCGGCGCTCATGTATCCATCAATCTATCCAGCCCATATACAGGACCGGCACCGAAAGCAGAAGATCGATCCAGTGACATGTAAAATGGAAGGAAATAAAGTAGAAAAAGGAAATAGAAGAAGAAAAGGGGGGGGAAAGGGAGGAATAACGGTGAAGAAGATAAAATCAGACAGGAAAGCTGCTATAAGAAAAATTGAGGTCTATCATATGGGAATCATGTTGCTTCCATGAAGTATGGTATGGCAAGAGCATGTAGACAAGACACTGCTGGACATGACAACAGAAAGCAGAGGATGATGAACCGCCTGTTTATCGTACATGTCGTCCAAATAGAGGGTAGGTAGAGGGTCAATATAGCGTTCGTCGTTCGGAGCTGAGCTGAGCCAAGCCCACGGCCAATCGGTCCCGGAGTGCGGGTACCAGGGGCCCCAAGCAACGGCGACACCAAACGAGTCTCAACCAAGCAGATAGAGATGCAGATGTGCTGCCAATCATGCCCGCGAGGACTCCAATTGCGGCGCCAGTTGCTTTCTGGCACTCCCTGATTAGCGCAGGAGGTATGGCGTATAGAGGAGGGGATAGATGGGCAGGCCGGCTGGTCTAGAAAGGGAACCCACCGGGGAACCCGCCGCCGCCGCCGCCGCCGCGGGCCTGGCCGCCGAAGGGATGGCCGCCAGCAGAGGCAAAGCCACCACCCCCACCGCCGTTCATCATGTTGAACAGGATGTTGGGGTCGATGTTGATGTGCGTGCCGTTCATGCCGCCCATGCCGCCGCCCATACCGCCCATGCCTCCCATGCCTCCCATGCCGCCGAAGCCGCCGCCGCCGAACATTTCGGACGGGTCGATCAGGTCATCGCCATTGTCATAGGCAGTGCGTTTCCTGGAGCCAGCTGGTTAGAATACTTTGCTTCGGGTTGACGTGCGGCGAGTGAAGGAACTTACTGAGGGTCGATCAGAGTCTCATAGGCCTCGCCGATCTCCTTGAACTTTTCGTCGCCATGCTCGCTATCCGGGTTCTTATCCGGGTGATACTGGATAGCCATCTTGCGGTAGGCCTTCTTAATCTCATTGTCGGAGGCATCCTTGCCCACGCCCAGAATCTTATAGTAGTCCTTGCGCTGGGCCTTCTTCAGCTCGAATTCAGCCCGACGGATATCCTCCTGGATACCCTTCTCGCCGGGGCTGTTCTCAGCAATGCTCTTATATTCGCGCACGGCATCCTCCCACCGCTCGGCGCCGGCGTACGCCTTGGCGCGCATCTTCATCGCCTTCACGTAGCCGGGGTCCAGACGCAGCGCCTCCGTGCAGTCCTGGATCGCCGAGTCGTACTCCTTCAGGTTAATGTAGGCCTGGGCCCGGTTCTGCAGGATCTTGGCATTCATATCCTTGTTGGTGGGGTCGACCTCGAGGGCCTGGGTATAGAGATCGATAGCGCGGCGGTAGTCCTTTGCCTTGAAGGCGGCGTTACCCTCTTCCTTGGTGCGGCTGAGCTTCTGCACAATGCGCAGCAGCTTGATCGCCTGCTTCATGTCTGGGTCCAGCCCGAGGCACATTTTAAGAAGCTTGAGCGCCTGCTCCGTTTCGCCGGAGGCGTAGTAAGCGCGGGCGCGGATCATCATCGCATCCGGGTCCTGGCTGTTCTCGCGCAGCAGGTTGATGGCGAGGTCCTGTGCCTTGCCCAGGGAATTGCTGTTGTTCATCTTCAGCTGGGCCTCGGCGGTCATCAAGGTCCACTTGCGCGGCTCCTTCACACCTTGGCCGAGCCCTTGCCGGGCCTGGTCCAGGCAGAAGATCGCCATCGATCCACCGCGGTCTTCGGCCAGCGTCTCCTCGGCCTGTGTGATGAACTTCTGCATCTTCTCGGCGGGGGCCCGGTCGGTCGCGGACGCATCAGGTACCTGGGACAGGACGCTCAGGGCGTCAGCTGGCCGACCCAGGCTGGTCAGGATTTTCGCCATGCGGTGCATGATCTTGGCATTGTTGGGGTCAAGCTCGTTGGCACGCTCAATGTCCTCGAGCGCGTTCAGGTATTGCTTCGCGGACATGTGGGCGGCGGCACGGTTGGACAGGTAGGCCGACGAGTTGGGGTTGATCTCGATCGCTGCAGGCAAAAAAAAAGAAAAAAGGCTCAGCAAATGTACGTAAGAATCTTCACACTTAAACACAAGGAAGGCGAAAACAGAAACGTTTCAGACAAGAATGCATACCCTTGTTGTACTCCTCAATGGCGCGGCGGTAGTCGCCATCCTTGAAGAATTTGTTACCGGCCAACTTGAACGAATCGGCCTCGTCTGTCGAGCCCGAGGACTTGTGCGGCGGCGGGGTAGGACTGCGTTCCACCTCGGTGCCGTTGACACCATTCTTTTGCTGAGACTCCTGTGGATCGATGTCCATGGAGCTCCGCTGTTCGTCCCGAGACGCCGCCATGGCCGAGAGTCGACGGCGTAGCTCGTCGGGCGGAAGATTGAGCGGGTGAAGGTCCTGGTCTCGTGAAGACCGGGCGCCGAATTTGAAGGAGGGAGGGGGCTGGGTGGAGGTGGAAGAGGACCGACTGTGCGAGAAGCGCTTCTTCGTCGGCGAGGACTTGGTCGGGGACTTGGAGGGGGCTTTGGAGGGAGACTTGGATTTGGCGGGCGACTTGCGCGCGGAAGAGAAAGAGGTCCGGGGCGAGAGGGCGGGACTGTCCGGGTGGTCGTCGTGGTAAGACGATCTGGCCGAGGGTGATGGTCTTGATTTTTCGGAAGTGTCTTGTTTCTCAGGCTTCTCTTTCTCCCGGTCTTTGTCCTTGTCTTTTTTGAAGATGTGGGCGAGTTGGACCATTGGGCGGAAGGTGGGTTTTGCCCTCTTTTTTTGGGGATCGAAGGACGACGAAGGCGGTAGAAGCGCGGGAGTCGGCGAGGGAGTCAACCACGGGTCGGAGGGATGGAGTCCAGTGTGCGGTGTTCAGTGTCTAGTACAGTAATGGGTCTTCGTTCACGTCTGTCCAGCCATGATTTCGTGTGGAGCGTCAGTCATCAGTCATCACAGTTTTCCTGAGAGGATAGGGGCTGAGGCGAAGCTAATGGAGACCGATGCGGCCGAGCAAGATATATTGCGAGAAAAGAGTGGAGGGGAGTCCCCCGCCCCCCGCGTACTAATGACTTGTTATATATCTACATTCCATTTCTTTCCTTCTGTCGCTTTCTCTGGGCCACTGGTGGGACAGGGAAAATATATTCCAGAGGCTGGAGAGCTGCTGGTCTGTGTTAGCGTGCGCGAGAACTGGAGACATGGAGTCACCAATCCTGCCGGAGATGACGGCACCACAGAAAGTACAATGGCTGGGGAGATTCGAGAAGCTTCTCCTGTTGGTCCTCGGTCTGTCACACTCTCGCTCTGCCCGTCCTTTACAGCCTCGACTCGTTCATCTCATCCTAGTCCTGCAGGCCGCGGACGTGTCAGCGAGTCGATAATTTGCGGTGGAGCGGTGGATCCGATGTGCAGTTTGCTCGAATCGCAGCCAGCGCTGCGACCAACGAACTGCAGGAAGAAAGGAGTCCGTGTTGTTCGGGCTACAGAGAGTGTTCTTGTTACGCAAAAAGTACGACCCCGTAGGATACTCTCCCACGCTACGGGCGAGAATGTAGGTGTCGCGGTTTGAAATTGATACTGTAGCATTCCCCGGCCGAAAGACTAGGGCCGGGGGGGGGGGGGAATATATTGCAGACGTGCAGGATTACAGCGACGATCTCCGCCGCAGAAAAATAAACAAAAAACAAAACCCGGTCGACCGACCAGTGGGGAAGTGCGATTTCGGGGGGTTTATCAATGTGGTGCCTCGTCTCCGAGGCACGCGGTTCGGCCTGAGGTAATTTTTTTTGCTTGCCAGATGTGGCGTCAACCAACGCCACGCGACTCTTATGCCATCCACCCAGTGTCCATCATGGGCCGCTGGTTTAGCATATCAGCCGGGTCATCGTATGCTTTAGAGTCATATCAGATAGGGAGCGGAAAGAGGGACCCCATCAATGGAAAGGTTCAACAGTCGTGTGCTCATCGATTCAACGACAGGTTATGCATCCGGCGGGCAACGGCGCCCCATCTCGACTCCATGCCATGCTGCTGTCGCGTCACGTGTGCAGGGCGGAAGCAGTGGCTGTCATACGAAGGTGGAGGGGACACTGCCAGGCGATCCAAGTCATCGTCGACGGGCATAGTACCACGTTCGGCTGTGGAAATCTCGAGTCGGGGTGGCTGGCTACGCCGGGTTGGAGACCGTGATGCCGGCCATCCATCGGTCACCACCCATAGCTCCTCGTTTTCCAGCCATATGAGGGGTGCGCTTCGTGATCGTCTGGGGACCCGGCACTCAGTATATTGATATGGATTCACGGAAGGCGATCGGGGACGGGGTTCGCGTACCGGGTCTGTGCCGGTGTTCCTGCCGGGCAGCAACTCGTTTGAAGGACACCTCCTGCCCTTCTGGGCCGGCGTGCGCCTGAGAGGGCCGTCATTCCAGAAGGGATTGGTGGACCCGGAGGCCTGACTATGTGATAGTCGTTGCCGTAGTTGTCCAGGGGCCGTTGGGTCTGCAGAAGCTGTCCGCGCCGGCAACAGCTTCGACAGATCGTAATGAGCACCGGCCTGGGGCGATTGGGGCTCCTGAATACGAGGGGCGGTGAAATCAGCCAGAGGAGGCCCCTCTAACGATGAGAGATCCATGACGGGCAGCTTGGAGTCAGATTGGCGGTTGCGAGATGATGCTGGCTGCGATCTCCTCAGGAAAGTACAAAACAGCATCTCGCAGGGAGGGGAGACAGCGACCTCAATTAAAATCCGAAGAGAGCACAGGGCCGCAAGATATACTTCTATCTTTGAACACGAATGACGTGCGCTTGGGTAGACGTAAATAGCGGATCGCCGCCGAGGGCTCGTATCCGGCACCGAAGATCAGGATGGTGGAACGGGGTCCGGCATAGACAAGAGGAGCCACCTCGGAAGTGTCGAAAGGGCCCTGAATTGCGAAGCGGGGCTCGCGTTTTGATGCTGAAAAGGGTGATGTGTGCGAAGTATAACCATACGGCCCGGTACCCTTTCAGGGGGTCCTGGATGGTTAGTTATAGTATTCGCAAGGCATTTCTCGGAGCGGCCCATTGGCCCTGGTGCGGGCTAGGGTCGCCTTATAAGCCATTCCTTTGGCGTTCCAGGGTACTGCTTCAAGCTCCAAGCTGATGAGAGGATGATGCTTCCCTTGCTGGGGCCGTAACAGGATGGGATTTCACCGCCACACAAGGCTCGCTGGATATCAAACAAGATTCCAAATGGCCAAAGCCGTCTACGCGCGATGCGGCATGGGCGCATACCGGGCCTTGCCCTATCAGTATACCTCGCAATTGATTCCGAGGGATCAACGCCGTATTCTGTTTTATCGCTCGTAGTTCGCCAGTCGTCTGCCTTCCAAACAAGCAGTTGGGTGGCTCGGAATTTTCGATATGGGGCCGCCCCTCCACTTACGAGGCAGACTGTCTGGACCATGGCATCACAGTCCTGCCCCGTAGGGCTAAACCCCCGATGCACAGGCAATCAGTGGCATCTGGGGCCCACGGCCATTGCGCTATGAGTGAGTACAGCATGGCCATGTCCAGTGCCCTTCGGAAAGGTCCACCTCTAAAATCACGAGGTGGACCGCCTATTTTTGGGGTGCCAAAGGGGCCAGGCGTCCTTACTGTACGTTTTTGGTAGGCTCACACTGTGAGTAGTGGAATGTGTCGCATCGCTTCGCCTGGTCGTGAAGGAAGGAATGACAACGCCAGCGTCCAGATGTGTTATTTCAACCCTCGAGGTCGGCAGGTACAAAGTTTGGTTGATGTTGGGTGTCTGGTATCTAAGCGGATCATATATATACTTCTATAATTGTATCCGCTCTAGCTGTGTTTTAACTATTTGGAGACCTCACAATACCCCACGGTGGGCTTGCCAAGAAAAGGGATCTCACAAAGCTTCTGGGGAAAACACGAAGAACCCGGTCGAGGGTTCCGTATGAGGGGCCTCCCTTCCGTGACTTGATTGCCTCGTTAGCCCCTGCATTGTCAGGTTCGAACACGTTCGGAATGAAGGAGAGCCTCAGAAATCAATGTCCAAATTCACAGTCGTCGGCAGATGGGTGCGTTCAACTGGCCGATCAAGCGGGCCTGTCAGCTTAGTAGGTCGTTTTTGTAATATGAGGTTAAGCAATGAGGATGAGACACAGCCTCTCGTTGGCTTCTCGGCCTTGAGCTACAAGCAATAACAAGAGAGCCGCACGTTATCATTACACTGATCAACCTCAACCCGCGCGAGAGCTAAATCAAATCGATACCCATGCTACTTTGGGTGATGTTAGTTGATAGTCGTTGAGAAATGGAGCCTGAGTAAACATGGGAGTTCCACTTGAAAGTCGCTGAATGCCACGAAGGCTGAAAATAGTCGGGACCGGGGACATGTTTCAGCACACGGGTAAGGTCTAGGATATCATCATCTATATACATATGCAGACATTCTTACAGCATTCATTTAGGGAATAGACAACCTCAAGCAGGAAGGAAGCCATGGGCGAGGAAATTGATCAGAAGGATGGTTACCATGCTAATAATATAATCCGGTCACAAAGAAACTCGCCGGCATAGGCCAATGATATTCACGACATTTAGAAATTAAAAGACAGATAGCCTAAGTGTGATAGATACATTCACCAAAAATAGCTACGGAAATCTCTGGATGCAAGGAATCATGGTGAAAGCTGTCATGGTTTACATTAAGATCGTGCATAAGCCGCCAAGCGCTTCGCACAACTCCGAAGCTATCCAGGGAAGCCCAAGAAGGAATATGTATATCAAGAAAAGCAGAAAGGTAGAAAAAAGGGATAAGCATATCCAATCAGAAGCAAGTAACAATATTGAGTTAGGTAAATCACCAGAACCCAGGGTTTATATCACAAGTATTATCCTCCAGTTCCTCCAATGCCGTTCCCCACGCTAAAACGACCACATGCTGACCACTCCCGAGAGAATGGGTCAGATGAAGCAGTCCATTACGGAAGGAGTCATTTATGCCAGGAAGAAGGCGGCGGCGGCGGCAAGACCGGCGAAGCCGACGGAGCCGGAGAGAGCACCGGCACCGTTGAAGGCGGGGGTGGCGGAGGGGGTGGCGCTGGCGGTGCCGCTAGAGACATTATTAGCGATGCTATTATGGTTGAATATGAGAATATTCGACTATGAATCTTACCTAGCAACGGGAACGCTGGAGGGGACGTGGGGGACGCCGCCGGTGCCGCCAACGGGGGAGGAGGCGGTGGGAACGACAACGGTCGACCAGGAGGTCACGGCAGCGCAGGTGGTGTGAACAACAGGGACGACAGTCACGGAGGGACCAGCGGGGACGGGAGCAACGGAGCTGGGGATGGGAGCAGGGGCGCTGGACCAGCTGCCGGAGGGCATAGCACCACCGGGGGCGGTGGTCATGATGGGGGCGGGGCTGCCGGTGGCACCAACACCAGTCTGTCTGGCAGGGCAGTCGGTGACGGTGGGAGCGCACGAGGTGATGGTGACCTCCTCAACCTCGGTGACGGTGGACTCAGCACCGGGGAGAGCGGCGGCCAGGCCGGCGAGGAAGGCAATGGTAACAGCGGTGAAGCGCATTTTGAATGTGTTATGGAAAATAAACCGTGAAGGTGATTTTAAAAGGCGTTGATAAAAGCGTAGCTTTTGGAAAGAGTGTAGTAGTTGGTGAAAGAGTGGATGACCGAAGTCGAGAGAGTGACTGATGCGATGGCAACGAAGTGTGTACTTGGAGAGAAAAGAAAGGAAGCAGGGCAGCACGGGGGAGCCAGGGGCCCTTTGTATGAACGGGGAGATTAGGCCCATTGATCAGCGGGCTCCCACTTTGGCCCCGAGGAAAAGGGGAAGGACTGTCTGAACTGCACGCTCATTCGGCTTGCGGAGTCGTCATCCTGGGTAGACTAGCGGCCCTCGCTGGGGTGGTGTGTACTTGGTACATGACAGGGTGCGGTGTAGCGACTGTGGCGCTCAGGTTGTTGGTACCTCTGGCAACGCGGAGCCGTACCTGCAGCGACCTGAACTTTACTCCGGCCGTGATTACCCACTGGGGTGCACGCACAGCCCTGATGGCCGGACCCCGGAGCCACAGAATCACAGGGCCGTGATTGGCGCCGTGAGGCGCGTGTGGTGAGCCGTTTCGCTGTGACGACAAGGGAAGTGGTAATTTTGGGAGCCACTAGCGTGTTAGCGTGGAGGTGGATGCCGATCGGGGTGGATATTCCATCACTGTACGGAGTACTGGAGTAATGAAGTGGAGGAGAGTGGAACTGGTTATTGCGAAACCTGTGAGACAGTGACTTATACTACCTTCCAGGATGCACCGTCCACCTTACATTCAAGAGTCCCGTCGGCAGCGATAGGCAGTATATTCCAGACCGCCGTCTGCCGGGGCACTGACTCTCATCTTATTCTTGACGCATCTTCGCTTATATAGAAAAGGGTCCAAACGGGCCCTTGTTGTGACTGCAATCTGCATCTTTCGAGGTGAGAAATGAACAAGTTCATTAGCCGGTTTCAGCCCGCGTCCCCATCCGCCATCCACCAATCCGCCGCCAATCGACCGCCCGTTCCTGGCGTCGCCCGCGGGCCGCAGCCACTCATGGTGACCTTCGAGAGTGGCTATGCCCCACCTTACCCCTGAACCACCCGCGGATTTCCACTCGCTGGCTGGGCACGGGTTCATCACCGTACGGAGTAAACAACGCGGTGCAAGGAGGGGAACAGCTGGTTCCTCCGGATGTTCATGTTCATGGTCCATTGACAACAACCCTAAGTCCCAGGTCCTCGATCCCCGATGCAAGGCAATGGCTGCTGTGTACCATGTTTTCCCTTTATTTCCCCCGGGTAGTTTCGTGGGAGGGCAAATTGCTGCTGCTGGCTGAGATATGTAACGGTGTAATCTCGAAATCATTTAGCCTGTTACAGTATACTCTGGACTCTCGCCGAGAAAAAACAACCTTCCCAAGAGGTCTTGTTTATCGGGGTGGATCCCTCCCCTTAGTTCCCCCCCACCCCGATTGATCCTTTCGACTAGCACTGTACTCCGTACTGAATGCTCCGTGCACCTGAGTATAATCTCGTCCTCCTCCGCTTGGCCTAAAATGGAGCAAAACGACCTCCGTATTCGGGAAAAGGGTCTCGAAAACCAACAGTATATCAGCCCAATATGGAGCTGGTCAATAATCAGACCTGAAGAAAATCCATATAAGTTACGTGATACGCAATTTTTATAACTAATGGCCAAACGGGGTCTATACGATATTTCTGTTCGCTCAGCTCAAAGCCTCTGTGATTCTTCCTCTGGTGGATGATAGTCCCACCCCTTTCAGAAAGGCGGGCCCGATATCCGATTCGACTGTAGGCGAACCGCGACACTTTCATCACAGGACAGACCGACCGTCCAGTAATCATCACAGTCCACCTTCAACCGCCATTGCCAATGTCACTGACCCCGCAGCGAGAGGCGCTAGCCCTCGATTGCACCGTGACCGTCTCCCTGAACGGTTAGCACCAAGTGCTTGACGGTGCTTGCTTCGGTCTTTCTCAACCCACTCGGGCAGGACTGGGGCGTTGCGCCTGGGCGGGCGTAGGCTTGGGCTTGGGTCTCTAGGCGGCGCCGTCACCGTGCCCCATGCAAGATGCCTTCCATGGCGCCGTGGCTCAGGGGCCCGCGTGATGCACTGCCTGGTTCTGGTCCCTGGCATCGGACATACCGCCAGTCCTGTAGGGTCCCAGACCGGGCCCCATACGCACAACTAGCATACACACATGTGTACGGAGGGAAGGGTTTTACCTGCAAATTTAGACCCTCTCTCTTCCACCACACGGCCGGTTGGATGGGGCCGTTCTCAGCGCAGGAGCCTGGTCGCAAGTATCTGTGCACAGGTGCGGATCAGCATCCGGGGCCCCTGCTTCTCAAATCTCGACCACGGATGACACTCTCGGAGTTGCTGTTGGAACCGCTATCATGTTAGTTCGGGGCAACATTCTCTGTTGTCTCGGCCAATGGCCTTGCCGAATAGGGTTATGTGCTTGGCGGTCTCGAGGTTCCGCGCAAGGCGCCAAGATAGGGGCAGACTTTGAAGTACGTGAGAACAGAGTACGGAGAACATCTGGCCTGGCACAGAATAGTTCAAGTTCAAAGGACTACCCGCAACAGAGTCTAATGGCCTCGTGGCACCCCCAGTCTCCACATTCCGGAACTATTGAAATTTTGGTTGCATCTTGTTGTGGTTGAGGGCCCCCCTTTCCGTGGAAACGGCGGGCCTCGATTCATTCCATCTAGTAGATCGAACTTAAGTTCATACGGTATTGTTAATGGAGTCTTCATCGTGCTATCTTTAGATTATTTCCCATTTATTGGCAGTCCAGTTCCCCGATCAAAAAAGGGGGTGTGGTTCTTGAGAGAACTAATAATAGTCAGTGTGGACCTCTCCATGTTGATCCCTTATCATGGCGCCAAAGGCGGATTGCGTCCTTTTGAGATTAGCCGTTTGTACTCCGTAAGTTAGTGTGAAGAGAAAGGGGTTGCGATGCAGCGTTTCTGATGGTCCAACACCACCCGAGGGCGTTCACTGGTGCTGAGATGTTAAGATCGGTGCTCTTGGAGACAGCATGGCCGAGAAAATCTCAGGATTTCAAATCACAGAACGTCGAACAGAGCAATCAGCTTTTTAGTCGGCCCCTGCCGCTACATGACCAGCAGACGACCCAACATCGATTGCGCGTTGCGAGAAGAATCGAACGAAGGTCGTCAACAGCCATAGCACGTCCATCCTCAAGTCCCGCCGGGCGGTCAAAAGTTGTTATTAACCCGTCAATGTCGCTTTGCATTTGTGCAAGTGGTCAGCAAGGCTTCAGCCCTGTCAATCCTGCTTGGTCGTCATGGACGGTGTCGTAAGACCCTGAGAAAATTGGGGACCAGAGGATCAGCGACAACGCGTCATTCCATGGTCGCCGATGCACCCAGGACCCGACGACCGATGGTGGGTGCGTCAGCATGGCAATGATTGAACCCAGCGTTCGCAATCAATTCCGCTCTTCGGCGTCGGTTCATCCGGGACGGAAGAGGTCTAGCAAATATACTCCGTTACTATACTTCAAAGGCATGGCAGATAACGAGCACTCGGCTTTGATCGATTCTGTCTCAGGCTGGGCTACCATTGCAAAGGGTTGAGTATCAATGACCATCAAAGCGATAGAGTACTTGATTTCACATGACATGACCGCTATTAGAAAGTCGCAATCACAAATTTCTTGCCTCGCTTCCTCGAGGGTCCGACCTCCGATTCACGCGTCCCTGAGATCAAGGCAGGACGTAAAACGCTAGACGAGATCGGGATCCCCGTGGCTGCTGTTCTGCTATTGCTAGCACGTCTCTGGCCGGAGTCAAATGCGTCTAGGCTGTGGCTGTACACTCGGCTTCCCCAGAGTGAAGGGGTCCGGTAGCTTAAAGTGAATGTGCTTTGCCGAGTATATCAGGAGCTGTCTCGAAATTAATCCGACCTCAATTCGAAACCTTGGCGTGGAACAAGATCGCGTGCCCGTTATTGTGCAGGTTCCGAGGGAGGTCCTTTACAAGAGAGCTTGGGAATCACTTGAAGCTCACTGCTTATCACAAAGAAAGCAAGCATTCAGCCTGTGTTATTTCTAGTGTACTAAGTGGTTGCTGTATACTTCAACTCTACGTACACAGTACGTGGTCGGCGATAGCTAGTATATTCTAACATTGACCCCTACCGTCCGCGCCTCCCTCGCATCAAACAGTGTACCCTTGCTTGGCTGAGCCACCGCCTCCCTCAAGGGATAGTGGCTAGTGAGTGTATGGCAGTTTCTGATAGATCATGCTGCATGTACTTCTCCAGCGACATCGACGGGTTACATGGACGCACATGGTCTTGCAGATCGTCCAGCACCAGATGGGTAGATGGGTAATCGCACGGCAAGCATATAGCAGCTTCAAACAACCCTCGAGTCGTCATCGTCACCAAGCCTGGGATCCTGACTTGTACTGTACTTTTGGCAGCGAAAGAGACCGACGGAGATGGGATGCAGGAGCAGGATGCTGGCAAGGCAGAATGGCCCCAAGTGGAGATGGGCAAATAGCCCTGCACCTTGAAATCATGATTGTGAGTTGGCAATGATGTCGACGGGCGCCATCAGCCTTTGGACGGGCGTGTGGTTGGTGAGGGGAGATGTGCGGTGGGGTCTCGGAGATGGAAATTTGCGGCTCCAAGGCAACAACGAATCAGACGTTGACAGGAGGGAGAAGTAAGAATGCCCAATGCCGTCTCAATGGCCAGGGAGAGGAATGAACGGGGGGAATTGGCCATGGGATGAAGGCGAAGAAGGCCTAGAAGCAATGTGTGTGTCGAAGGCGCATGTACCTCCATGGCTCTTGGCCGTCAACAAATGAGACCCGGCACCTTGAAACAATGTGAGAGTTCAATCGCTGTGGACTGCGCAGTGGCTTTTCGCAGCCTTTCACGCTCTGGGGATCCTAAGATCGTCAGCACCTTGAACCTGAAGAGAGCCCAATGGCTTCTGTCCACATAATGGACCATGATGGGGACATTCTACTTCCCACGTACTCTAGAGAATAGCACCTGCTTGCATTTCCCATCATCTGGCCTTCTTGGTCGGGAATGCGATCGCCGTGTTTCAGCTGAGGCGCCTTCTGAAACAGCCCCACCACCGCCCGAAAGCCCCGATCTCCCTCCCTCCCTCTCGCCCTGTCCCACTCGGCGGCTGTGTCGCCGTCTATTAATATTCATGATGATGTTGATGATGATGATATTCATGGCTCCTCCATCGGCGTGGACAAGTTGACAGCAGACAACAACGTAGACGAGTTGGAATCTTTTTGACGTTAGCAGGTGGAACCACAACGCTTTTCTCCGCGGTCACCTGCTCCTACTCCTCTTCCCTCATCACCACCACCAACCACCACCACCACCACTTCTCACCATCCATCACCACCACCTCCATCCTCTCCACCTCTTCCCACCCCCCTTCCACTCGTTTCGGGGTTGATCTGTGATCTCCCCTTCTTTCCAATCCCACAGCATCCTCCATCCAACACTCGCTCTTCCACCCCTCTCGGTCGCTCACTTTGGACCACTACGACACTGTGGCTACCTTGGCTGACCCCAACGAGTTGTTCTTGCCCGGCGATAGGCAGAACAATCTCGCCATGTCGTCCTCCTCTGTGCCGCTCCTTCGCCCGCCGGTCCCTGGCAACCGCAGCAACACCGGCAGTCCGCGGGCTCCTAGACTCACCTTGGGCATCCCCCCGTCGCCCAACGCCAAACCCGTCAATGGCACAGGCGCTGCCCCTGTTCCTGCCGCCAGCTGTGATGCACCGCAGCTTCAACAGCCACAACCTGTCTCCCGGCCATCCCTGCCCCGGCTACAACTAGCGACTCCGATGGGCAGTAGCCAGAATGTCCCGCGGGAGTCGACCCTCATGCCAAATGGTCGGCCCGTGCCTCCACCTCTGGCCACGAATTTGAATGGGCAAAATGGTCTGGAAGGGAAAGGCAGTGGCCCGGCTTCCGCAAACTCCTCATACTCAGCGCTCTCGTTCGCCATGGGTCTCCGCCAACCGGCGGGCGGCAACTCCGACCCCTCATCGGCGATCAGTTCGGTCTACTCGGATCGTGAAGGCGGCGTACAGATGGAGCGTGAAAACAGTGTGAACGGGCTGCTACCGGACCTAGACAAGCTGAGTCTGGAGAAGGGCCGGCCGCTGGATGTGGAAGACTTGGACGATGAGGGCTGGCATGCTGCTAGTGAACAAAAGAAGATTGTTGAGCTGGGAAGTTTGGGCGAAGGCGCCGGCGGCGCAGTTACCCGGTGCAAACTTAAGGATGGAAAGACAGTATTCGCATTGAAGGTTAGTTGCTCAGCGTGATTTGGGCATCGTTCATTCGATAATCGCTAACCTTTTTGATCATAGATTATCACTACAGACCCGAATCCCGACGTGAAAAAGCAAATCGTTCGCGAACTCAACTTCAACAAGGACTGCGCATCGGATCATATCTGCCGCTACTACGGTGCCTTCATGGACAAGTCCACCGGCACCATTTCGATTGCTATGGAATTCTGCGAGGGTGGGAGTCTCGACAGTATCTACAAGGAGGTCAAGAAACTTGGAGGTCGGACCGGAGAGAAGGTTCTCGGCAAAGTTGCAGAGGGTGTGCTCAATGGATTGACCTACCTGCACAGCAGGAAGATCATTCATCGAGGTATGCACATACACTGCCAGATGAGATCGAGCGAATCGGCTAACCTATTTTACAGACATCAAGCCTTCCAACATTCTCTTATGCCGGGATGGCCAAGTCAAGCTCTGTGATTTCGGTGTTAGCGGCGAGTTCGGCACCAAGGGCGATGCAAACACATTTATCGGCACTTCCTACTATATGGCTCCGGAACGTATCACTGGTCAATCATACACGATCACTTCCGATGTTTGGTCGTTGGGCGTGACTCTTCTGGAAGTTGCCCAGCACCGATTTCCCTTTCCCGCCGACGGAACTGAGATGCAACCCCGCGCTGGTCTAATAGATCTCCTTACATATATTGTGCGGCAGCCGATCCCCAAATTGAAAGACGAGCCGGGGAACAACATTCGCTGGTCGGATAACTTCAAGTACTTTATTGAATGCTGGTATGTTTTCTATTGGACACGTACAGCTGGCTCGCTTCATTTAACTAATATATATTACCACAGTCTTGAGAAAGAGCCCCCTCGACGCGCAACTCCCTGGCGGATGCTGGAACATCCTTGGATTCTGGACATGAAGAACAAGAAGGTCAACATGGCAAACTTCGTGACGCAGGTGTGGGACTGGAAGGATTGAAGCTCAAAAAAAAGAGAAGAAAAAGTCTTTCACCTGGCAGAATTTTGAAGTTCTTCTTTTCTTCCTACGTCGCTCTCCCCGCGGAGTTCTCGATTTTTGAGTATGAGTGGCTGGACCCCCAAGGATTGACCTGGCTGTCAACACGACTCAAACACGACCACTACGACGACGCTTTGGTGCTTTACTCCGTTGTTTCTCTTTTTGGCTCTATTGTTGGCGCTATCCATCTTGTTATGATGTCTGTTTTGTTCCTCCTGGGCCGGCACTCAGGAAAACGCGATATCCTTCTGCTCTCATCATACCCTGTCATTTGCTTTTCATCTGCCAGCGACTACGATATTGATTCGGCTACGCACTTACCCATACGATCCTTCACGGCCTAATATCCCGCACGTCATTCGCATTTCTCTCATTTTCTTTGCTCGCGCTCTCTGCTTCTATCCTCCCCTTCCCTTCTCGCTTTTGGTTCCCCATCTCATGTGACGCATCTCGAGCGTGGACATATCGATCACCTCCATTTGTTGTTACCTTTTTTTCATTCCATGTATAGCCGTTTCAGTTGCTTAGGTCTCTTGGGGATTTTGATGTTGCTTCGTGCGTGGTTGTGGAAGTGAGTGTATGCAATGCATATTGGAGATTAACAGAATCCGGCACATATCTAGGTACCTAATACCATCGCAGTTCTTCATTGTCTTCGCCCCTGCTGTAGTATTAAAGATCAAGCCTATCGAAATCTGTGGGAAGAGGAGCACGCGACTCGGCCATAGCAGAGACGACGGGAAACCGGCCCGCCGATCCCACAGGGACCGACGCAGTCAACTCAATATTGGAATCTTCACATAGATTGACCATCGCTTCTCATAATGCAGCTACATACAGATAATGGATAAACTCAATGATTTGATTGATTGATTGATTGATTTCATACTCGGATCTGTCAGGCGGTGAGCCCGTAAGATAAACTCAATGACTGAACACATAACTACCGGTTCACAGGCTCAGCACCAAGAACCCACCCAATGCCACTCGCCAACCCACCCGTTACCATGTTACTAACCATATCCCTCTTCCGCACACGACCCTCTCCCTGCTCAGGTGAAAGAGGCCGTCCATCCTCGCCCTGCTCAGCACTGGCAGGCGCTCGGGAAGCACCAGCAGCCCCGCGCAACGGGAACGCATTCTTATGCAGCGCCATTGCCGCGCCACGAGCAACCTCAAACAGGCCCATCGGCGCTTCGTGTGGGTGCGAATGCGGCATTGCGGCGCGGGCACGCGCTCGCCGGGCAGCGCGCTGCTGGGCCGTGTCAAAGGCATCGCGCTCAGAGTCTGTGGGTCCGAAGCCGCCGGGGACTGTAGAGAGCCTGTCACCCTTGTCATCCCAGATGTCTTCTTCTTGCTGCTCGCGGGCACGGAGCGAAGATATCTCTTCGTCACAGCGGCGCCAGGCGCCGAGGATCTCGGGGAGTGGGTCGGGGGAAGGCACGAGGGCTAGTGCTAGGGAGAGGAGTTCCATGCGCTGGGAGAGATGACTGATTTGGGACTGGAGGGAGGCGGATGTGTTGGGTGAGGCGGGGCGGTAGCGGCCCGCGTTATACACTGCACGCCAGGAGATGTCATCCGGGAAGGTTGGTGCTGAGAGGAGTGGGGAGGAGATTGGAAGCATTGAGGGTGGTGTGAGGCGGGTGAGGATGTAGGAGTAGGCAGTGCCGAAGTCGTTGGAGTCTAGAGCGGAGGAGATGGCTAGGGAGGTGATGCGGCGTTCGGCGGTGACGATTGCGTCTTCCTGCGATAAGTACTCTTGAGAGGCCTGGTCTTCAGTCTCGCTTGATGCTGACTTTGTGGCGAGACCGGCCTTGACCAGGTTGCGGCCGATGAAAAGGAGGTCATCCAGTTTGGTATAGCTTTTCACGTTTTGGTGGAGAACTTTCTCGACTAAGGAAAGAGGATCGTTGTGGACGCGAATGCTGACTGGCTCGAATGGGACGCCGTGTTGCAAAGTCAGAGAATAGAAGGACAGTGCGTGGGTCGCGGCGATGAGAGAGTTGATCTGCTTCAGCTGAATGGATGCTTGGAAGTGTGGCTGGAACGTTTGCAGACTATATGGGAATGATTAGATCTTATGCTTGACGCGGTCCTCTCTCGGTCTGGACTTACATTTCGTAGGCTCTCTTCATCCCCCCGCGAGTTCGGTTGCCATTGCTTGCATTGTCATAGACTGTGAAGATAGCTTCCACCACGGCGGTTTCTACCTGGGAAGTGTTGAGCGGTGAGTCGGACTGGGTGTATAAATCCACAGCCAGCTGGTATTCTAAGAAGGTGGTCAACAAAAACTCCGAACGGAAAGGAAGTGGTTAAAGTGGTAATGCTTACCTCGGGCGCCAAGCAACGCCTTCAAGATCTCCGTCTCGACTGTGTCCCGCGAGATCCTCCAGAAAAGGCCGTGGTGAGTCGAAGGCTCATCCCATCCGTTGTCCAAATGGTCTGCTTGCCAATCTCGAAGCCAGAGTAGCTGATGTCGCACCAATTGCCAGTCCTGCTTTGACTGTTGTTGTTTGATAGCAGACGAGACCACACTTTTCAGCTCCGCTGATTGAATCTCGTCGCTGCTATGCAGGCAAATGTTTGCTGCAGATCGGCACGGAAGCAAATGACCAAGCTGGGTCAAGATGCGGAGCGAGAGAAGCAATGCACTCAGGAAAGCGATTGATGAGGGTGATGGTTGTGTCAAGGGATTCTCGTGTGCTAGCAGGGCGTTTTGTAACAAGGAGGCTCGTGATGTCGACGAGATTCGCTCCGTGTCATAGTCCACGGATGGAAGGGCCGAATGGAACGAGTTCAGGTATGAGAACTCCTCGAGCCCAAGAAGCTTTGTAACCCGCGCCACAATTTCGAATGATCCATCCAATGCGGCGTGTGAGCTATCCGCGTGGGCGTAGATTACGGACAAGCCGGCTTGGCCGTACCGATTCAATAATTCATTTGCCTGGTCAGGTGTTATCTGCCTTCCATTCTCATCGTAGCCTCCTAGATCAATATCATCAGGACCACTCCAGTTGGTGAAAGCAGCGACAACGCTATGGTGGTCGACAAGGCTTCGCGACAATAGCCATTCGTTCACGTATTCCCATCCAGCCAGGTCCGTGGACTGTGGCTTTGGTGTGCCCTGGATAAAGGAGATTGAATTCTGTCGCGCTGTTTCATTCAATCTCCGCCTCTTTGAACGAATGCTTCCATATAACCATGGGCCAACCAAGCCCCTCAGGTTGTTGACCAAATCCATATTGTTTCCCTTAGAGCCAGTAATCGATAGCAGAACGTTGACCGCGGTCTGATCATCCATCAACTCCAATGTTTCCAACGATAGTGTCTCGTCGCGATTGGTGTAGTATTCATAATTGAGTCGGAGTGCCGGTAGTAGACTTGAGATCAGCCACGTTCGAAGTATAGGGCGCTGTTCGTAGAAGGGACGGAGAAGGTTGAGGATGAGGGGTTGAAGTGCGGTTTCGGTATCGATTAAATATGCCCGGTGAATGAGGAACTGGGTTAGAAGGTCCGCAGACTGCACTTCTTCCTCCTCGTCCTGGCGCTTCAGCGGCCGTAAACGAAGCCTTCGGACACGTTTCCTAGCAGCAGTCTCGGACAGGTCTTTCACAGCAGACGTATCGACTTCGCGGTCCACGGGGGCAGAACGCGAGCTCCCATTCAGCTGCTGGAGTACCGGGACATAGCTGGAAGGTTCTGTGCTCTCGGGAAGGAAGGTCAAGATGATGCGCAGGAGGCGTTCCAGCGGAAAACAATGGGGGTACTGCGCCTGCAGGGCCGGTAAAGTTGTCACATCACCACTAGCGCAAAGATGCGTAGCAAGCAGAATCGCATGGGCATCCGATAGCCCTGCCAGAGGAGCCATGGCGATCACACGGGGCAACGAAAGGAGGGTGAGTTGTCCTTATACTAGCGACGTCAACCCGCAAGTCGCATACGGCGGGGCGCACGGACCATGTCGGCAACGAAAGGCAAAGCGTCGCATCCGCCAACGACCTCACCACCTTCTTGCTGCCTCTCTGCCCACCAACGCTGCCAATTACTTCCTCCTAGTCTCGACAATGGCCTCCGGACATGGTCTCAATGGCGGTATGTGCTCTTCTGACTCCTCTCCGGTGGGGGTTGGCTGGTCCGCGGCATGTTCGCCTGCCGGGTCACACCTCGCGAAGACCCTCCCCTCTCCCACGAATTGTCGTCCCCTGGCTGACTCTCTTGCGTCTTTTCATAGGTCCCTCCCGCTGCTACCCCTTCTGGCAAGAGGTTCTTGGGTGCTACGTCGTGAACTCGGGCGAGGGCGAGTCCGGCAAGAAGAAGTGCACCCCGGCTCTAGAAGATTACTACGAGTGCCTCCACCACCGGAAAGAGGTATGTTTTGGGCCCTGGTGGTTCGGAGTGTTTCGAATGAGAGCTATTGGCGAGCACCGCTGACGATGGAATTCTGGCAATAGGCTCTCCGCACAATGAAGATGCAGGCTGCCTACCGCAAGGCTGAGGCCGCGCATCCCCGCGAGAACGCTCCCAAGGCCGAGCAGATTCGGAGCCTGGGTCTACTTGGAAAGGAAGAGGAAGCCAAGGCTGTGCTGGCGGCGCAGCGGTCATAAAAGAGTGATGAGCAAATCCAGGGCGCGATGGTTCTTTTCTTTTTTAGATGCGTGTGATCCTCGTTTCTGCTCACCGGAACCAATGTCCGGGGGGCTGTGACTGTATAGAAACGCTCAATTTGTCGACCAGTTGGTCTTGTGCTTGAAATGATACTCCTGTTTCCATGACAAAGTGTACTATGATGAACCTTACGTAAATGCTGTAGCCTGCTGCAAGGCTGAACGCCTTCGAGGGATGTTACAATAGGTAGTGTCAGCCTAGCACCACCTTGTAAGGAGCATTCTTTAATGTAGTGACCAAAATCCTGTAGGCACAAAGTAGTGGGATGCGCACCAAGGTACCTACTAAGTCAAAATTTGGATATCTCAACGGTTTAGGGTTGGTACTAGCCACGCATAGGGTTTTAGTATACACAAGACCCCTCGGCATTGATGGGGTTTGGTCAGTTGCGATCGTTGAGCCTCAAAGTGTCGTATATTCAATTCTTAGGGCTCAAGTTGCGAGATGGTTAGGTGCGTGTTTCTAAGAAAGGTGGATTATGTTGCTTTACCAACACTAGGCGGAGGATGTATATATTTGGAGTGGACGTATAGTTCCCGTTGATTTGCAAGATGGACATCTCCAATGGTAAGACATAGAGTGGTTATTTATTCATACACAAGCCTACACCAAACCTGTCTGGACAGACCTAGGTAAACAAGTACTTATCTCCTAGCTTCATGATGTATTTTGAACCGCATACTCGGGCGATCCCTTACGAGCATCGTGGGAATCCTCGACTCTTATGAGGCCATCTGGCATGTCTTGGCATTGTCCAGGACTGGAGGGACTGAGGCGACTATTTATTCAACGACGGATGGACTAAGCATGCAAAATGTCCTTTGACTGCTTTAATTGTTAAGGACAGCTCATGCGCCAGAGGACGCATTTATCCATTTCTCTAGCCCCCAGGGGCTGCTTCGTGTCTGCAGCTGCAAACCTAAAGACGATCATTAAACGCGCGATCCACGTGACCAAAAAACCTGAGAGTGGAGGCCCAACCACCACTAGACCAAATACGGACTAGCTCCACACACCCAAACATGGACCGGCGCGCCGGGCAGAAGCCCCCAATGATATAAACCCAGCTGCGTGACCTCGAAACTCCTCTTGTGTACTGAATCTAATCCTCCCTGCTGAGTCATCCCGGGGCCTTGATGGTGTTGGGCGTTCTTCTGGTTTCTATTGGTTCACCTCATTTCGCTGCTCGTGACGCGCCTCGCCGCGTCCTCTCACTTCGCACTCTCTGTTTGTCTATTTAATTCGGGCGGTGCTGCTCACTCGGCATCAGAGTGACGGCCCGCCATGACTTCCCGGTAAGTGCCTTTGCCCAATCACGACGCGTCAGTCACATGATACTAATTATGACAGACTCGACCGACTGGTCACGTGAGTTAGATGTACCCTGATCACATGATTATCCTCCCAGGAGGATCATTCTGTCATCAATTCCTTACTAATCCAATCACTGTGTAGGTTACTCGAGACTGGCAGCACGCAGTTGATTCGAAATACCGCTGCTCAACAGCTCGGGGATGTTCAGAAACAACACCCGGATGAATTATTCAATCTTCTGGGCCGCATTCTCCCATATCTGCGATCAAAGTCCTGGGATACTCGGACTGCAGCGGCCCGGGCGATTGGGCTGATCGTCGCTAATGCAGATGTATATGACCCGAACGAGGAGGATGGGTTGCAGATCAAGTCTGCCGCTGAGGACAATGACGTGGAAATCAAGTCAGAAATCAAATCAGAGGAAACCCTCTCCACATCAGGTGCGATTCTCGACCTTCAAACGCTAGACATTGCCTCCGTTTTGAAGTATGGTAGGCGGCTCCTCGGCAGCGCTGGCAAGGAGCACGAATACTCCCTAGCGACATTGGATCCAGCATCACGGCTTCAGCATCAGAAGAAGTCACTTTTTGGCCGGCTGGGCCTGGAAGGAGAGTATGTCGAGGATGAAATTGACCCGAGCGACATCGCCTTCCCTATATCAGGCACACCAGGCCCCAAAAAAGAATCAACCATCGCTTCCATTTCCATTGCTCGCGAAAACAGCTTACAGGACGCCGCTTCTCGGCGACCTAGCTCGCCCAACGAAGGCTTGCGACAAGAAGAGTCGGGTCTTAGCAAGCGACAGCTGAACCAACTCAAACGCAAAAATAAGCACAGCGCTAAAGTGGGAGCGAATAAGGTGCGCGTGGTGGATTTGTCGTCTTCTCGGCGGACGTCGGAAAATGTTACTACTCCAGTCGCGACGCCTCATCCCATCAAAACCGAAAATGGCGAGGGCCACAATGGCGAAGTCAAACCCGATTATTTCTCACTCGACCGCTCTGCTGATGATGATGACTCCAAAATCGTCTCCGAGTTCAAAGGGCCAATTGCCCCGGAGAGGCCCATCATTCAGCCTGACATTGCGGATCAGGGCGCCGGATGGCCGCTGGAATGCATGTGCGAATTTCTCACCGTGGACATCTTTGATCCCAACTGGGAGATTCGCCATGGTGCTGCAATGGCTCTCCGAGAGGTAGTTAGGGTACAAGGTGCAGCAGCCGGCCGGATGGAGGGCAAGAGTCGCGAAGAAAACGATTTGTTGAACCGTCGATGGTTGGACGATCTTGCGTGCCGCCTCCTTTGCGTTCTCATTCTGGACCGATTCGGTGATTACATTTCAGATAATGTCGTTGCTCCCATCCGAGAAACCGTGGGTCAGACCCTCGGATCTCTTCTATATCACCTGCCGCCCAAATCTGTCCGGCTAGTGTACCGCTGCTTATATCGGATCATCATGCAGACCGACCTGGGCCTCGATCGCCCAATTTGGGAGGTCTGCCATGGTGGCATGATTGGTTTACGATACTTGGTTGCAGTTCGCAAGGAACTGCTTCTCAAGTACTCGCCGATGATGGATGGCGTTCTCGAGGCTGTCATGAAAGGCTTGGCCGACTTTGACGACGATGTGCGCGCTGTCAGTGCCGCCACACTTGTGCCAATTGCAGAGGAGTTCGTTACTTCCCGTGCAGGTACCCTTGGCCCCCTCATGAATATTGTATGGGACTGTCTCTCCAATCTGCAGGACGATCTCAGTGCCAGCACAGGATCTGTGATGGACCTCCTAGCCAAGTTGTGTACCTTCAATGAGGTATTGGATGCAATGAAAGCGAATGCGGCAGATGATCCGGAAGCCTCCTTCGGTAACCTGGTTCCTCGTCTGTACCCATTCCTGCGGCATACCATCACCAGTGTCCGTTCCGCCGTGCTCCGTGCTCTCATGACTTTCCTGAAACTAGAAGGGGAAAGCAGCACGGATTGGGTGGATGGCAAGGCGCTGCGGTTGATTTTCCAAAATCTGCTTGTGGAGCGCAACGAAGGAGTTCTCAAACTGTCTCTGCAAGTTTGGTCGGAGCTTTTGAAAACAATCGAGCACCGCGGGTCTTTTGCGCAGGATACCGAACTTTCGAGCTCTATTGAGCCTCTTGTCACCCTGACACTAGGACCCTTCGGCGTCCCGCGGTACCCCGTCCCGATGAATACCTCGCTCTTCATAAAACCATCTGGCCTGCCTTTCTCCGCCCCCGCCGCTCCCCCTCCTGCTAAACCCTCCTCCCCAACTACTACACCTGGCGTTGCCGAGGCTAAGGGTGGCCGCAGACGTAAGTCGGAGAAGAAAGAAGCTCCTCCGCCGTCAGCACACAATGTGGACGGGCATATGTTGTCTGGAGATATCGATCTGGTTGGTGCAGATACTATGCTAAGGTCTAAGATATATGCAGCAAAGGCCCTTGGCGAGCTGCTTTCCATCTGGGATAAGCACGAGCTCCCCTCATTCTGGCCGGCAATTTTGGATGGTTTCGCCCTTTCGGCTTCCACTTCCCAGCTTGCATCTGCTATGGTCATGGAGGAATATGCCCGGAATTCTGGGCCGGAGAGCAAGTATTCTTCGTCTTTGAGCGAACGTCTTCGACCTGTCGTCGAAGGCGAGCGTCCATCTTGGTATTCCGATATTTCATGCTACCTTCATGTTGCGCGCGCCCAGTGTCATTCGCTGCTGAATACGTTCCGAGATCATGCTCACGTTCCGCCCTCCCGGCTGCCGACTTTGGCTGTTGTCGTTCAGGGAGACTCTGAAGCTGGCCCTAGTGCATTCTCTCTGGCTGATGCCGAGAAAATTGTTGGACCGGACTTTGACCGCCTGAAGAAGAGTCTCACTCCCGCACAACGAATTACGGCTCTCCAAGTTTTAACAGATACCCGTACTACGGCGCAGTCTGCAGTTGATGAGGCACGGGCTATGAGAGAACAGCGTGACATGCGCGTCCTGGCGGCTGCTGCAGGTGCCTTAGTCGCTCTGCGAGATATCCCCAAGAAACCTGGCCACATTATTAAGGGTATGATGGACAGTGTTAAGAAAGAGGAGAATATTGAACTCCAACAACGATCTGCAACTGCAGTTGCAAGCTTGATTGAGCACTACACCGCTGCAACAAAGCGCGGACCGGTGGACAAGATCATCGGAAACCTGGTCAAGTATTGCTGCGTGGATACATCTGAGACGCCCGAATTCCGGCACAACTCTCAACTAGAGAAATCTATCTTGTCCCTCCGCAAAGAAGAAGACCGCCGAGACCATCCCGATGCGGCCAAATTCGAACGGGAAGCCAAGGAAGCTCGCATTATGCGGCGGGGTGCCAAGGATGCTCTCGAGCAATTGACAATCAAGTTTGGCGCCCAGCTCTTGGAAAAGATCCCCAACCTCGCATCTCTGGTCGAACGGCCGCTGAAAGATGCGCTGGAGGGCGATCTCCCCGAAAACATCACGAATCCCGACGACGAGCTTGGGCAAGAGGTCGTGGATGGCCTATCGACTCTTCGTGCTCTCCTTCCAAAGTTCGACCCTGGCCTTTACCCCTGGGTTATTGGTCTCATGCCCCTTATTGCCAAGGCCTTACAGTGCCGCTTGTCTGTGTTTCGCTATGCAGCTGCTAAGTGCTTTGCCACGATCTGTAGTGTCATTACTGTCGATGGCATGACAATGCTGGTGGAGAAGGTGCTGCCAACCGTCAACAATGCCCTGGATGTCCCTCACCGCCAAGGTGCCATCGAGTGTATCTACCATCTGATCCATGTGATGGAGGACGGAATCCTGCCTTATGTGATCTTCCTGGTTGTACCTGTCCTCGGTCGCATGAGTGATACTGACAACGATACTCGACTGCTGGCAACCACGTCTTTCGCGACACTCGTTAAGCTGGTCCCTCTGGAGGCGGGAATTCCTGACCCCCCTGGTTTCTCCGAGGAGTTGCTTAAGGGCCGTGATCGAGAGAGGAAGTTCATGTCACAGATGCTGGATGTGCGCAAGGTGGAGCCGTTCCAGATTCCAGTCGCCATCAAGGCTGAGCTGCGATCCTATCAACAAGATGGTGTCAATTGGCTCGCTTTCCTCAACCGTTACAACCTCCATGGCATTCTTTGCGATGACATGGGTCTTGGTAAGACTCTCCAGACCATCTGCATTGTCGCAAGCGATCACCATATGCGGGCAGAGGAGTTTTCCAAAAGCCAAGCTGCAGATTCTCGCAAACTTCCGACCTTGATCATCTGCCCGCCCTCTCTCTCTGGCCACTGGCAGCAGGAAGTTAAGCAATATGCTCCCTTCCTGAAATGCATCGCATATGTCGGTCCCCCGGCAGAGCGTACTAGACTTCAGCCCATGCTTTCGGAGGTAGACGTGGTAGTGACCTCCTATGACGTCTGCCGCAATGATAATGACATCCTCAACCCTATCAACTGGAACTATTGTGTGCTTGACGAGGGTCATCTTATCAAGAACCCGAAAGCGAAGATAACTCTTTCTGTGAAGAAGCTGATGAGCAATCACCGCTTGATTCTCTCCGGCACGCCGATTCAGAACAACGTGCTGGAGCTGTGGTCGCTATTTGACTTCTTGATGCCTGGCTTCCTTGGTACTGAAAAGGTCTTCTTAGACCGATTTGCCAAACCCATCGCAGCCAGTCGCTTCAGCAAATCCTCATCCAAAGAGCAGGAGGCTGGTGCTCTCGCAATTGAAGCCCTGCACAAGCAGGTATTGCCATTCTTGCTTCGTCGTCTGAAGGAAGAGGTTCTGAATGACCTGCCCCCCAAGATCATCCAGAACTACTACTGCGACCCGAGTGACCTGCAGAAGAAGCTCTTTGAGGATTTCTCTAAGAAGGAGCAGAAAGAGCTGCAAGAGAAGGTCGGCAGCACGGAGCGTTCTGATAAGGAGCACATCTTCCAGGCTCTGCAGTACATGCGCCGTTTGTGCAACTCGCCCGCATTGGTGGTCAAGGAAGGTCACAAGCAGTATAATGAGGTTCAGACCTTCCTATCTGCCAAGCGTTCTAATATTCGGGACGTGTCGCATGCACCCAAGCTCACTGCTCTGCGTGACTTGCTTGTTGACTGCGGAATTGGCATTGATCACTCGGCGGAGGGCGAGCTAGATACTGGTGCAAGCTTTGTCAGCCCGCATCGTGCACTGGTCTTCTGTCAGATGAAGGAGATGCTTGACATTGTGCAAAATGATGTTCTCAAGAAGCTGCTCCCGTCTGTCCAGTACCTTCGTCTAGACGGTGGTGTCGAGGCCACCAAACGCCAAGACATCGTCAACCGTTTCAACACCGACCCCAGTTATGATGTGCTGCTCTTGACCACCAGCGTTGGTGGATTAGGTCTCAACCTTACGGGAGCAGACACAGTTATCTTCGTTGAGCATGACTGGAACCCGCAAAAGGATATTCAGGCAATGGATCGCGCTCACCGCATCGGCCAGAAGAAGGTTGTTAACGTCTACCGCCTGATTACGAGGGGTACTCTGGAGGAGAAGATCTTGAAGTATGTCCCCCACGGCTCATGTGCATTGTATTACCTCTATAGCTAACATGAAACCATCTACAGCCTGCAACGATTCAAGATTGATGTCGCCTCTACCGTTGTCAATCAACAAAATGCCGGCCTCGGCACTATGGACACGGACCAACTCCTGGATCTCTTCAGCCTCGGCGAAACAGCAGAAACGGCCGAGAAACCAAGCGAGCAGACCGGCAACGAGGTCGATATGGTCGACATCGATGGTGAGGTCAAGGAGAAGGGCAAGAAGGGCTGGCTTGATGACCTAGGCGAACTCTGGGACGACCGCCAATACCAGGAAGAATACAATCTGGATTCGTTCCTGGCTACGATGAATAATTGATGACCACTTTGCCTGCGATTCAGGTCCACGTCTTGGTTTGCATCCGATTATCATGCCAGGCACCTCATCTACCTCCGAACTTCTTAACCACGATCGTCACGTCCAACAACCTATTCCACTTGCTTTCTTCTATAAGGAATAATTCTCTGTGCATCAGCGAATACTTGTTTCTTTCATCGGATCTTACTTGGGGTGGTACTTTGGCTTTTACGCGCATCTCCTTTTATTCGTCCGAATTCCTTGGAATCCTTCCTGTATTTCTAGCTTGACCTTATCCTCCATGACGTATGATATCTTGCATGTAAATAGAGAAAGAGCTTTTACTACGTTAATTTTTTTTTTTTTTTTGGCTGAGACATTGGGTTCCCCAAGAGATTCAATGCAGCATGCTCGCCTGCGTGGCATACAGAACACGTCAAAGTGAAAACGCAGGTGATTTTGAGGTCACTATCTCATAGCTTGAGCCTTTGAAAACTCACAAACTGTCGAAGAAGACAAGCCTTTGTTCGTCTGTTATCTGGCAATCTCGCGTCATAAGTATCCTGCAAGGCGATAAGATTCTCAGATGTCATGAAACAACACACCAAGGTGAAACCATCAGAGGATAAACAAAGAACAATACAACTTCGGACGGTAGACAAACTCCCCTAGAGTAGAAAAACCGACAAACGAAACACCGCGATCGCGCCCACCCAGATCAATATTGCCCGGAACAATAACCGCAGATGCATCCCAGGCGCCGAAAATTTCCCAGACACCCCCGAGGACAGAAAAAACATGTAAACCCGAGAAAAGAAAGAAGAAGAAGAAGGCCGGGGCTATGTGAGCCGGAAATAAATTCTAGATACATGGCAAGAAAAATAATTGAGGTGATTCCTGCCACAAAGACTGAAAACAGATGCGGCAGGAAATGAAGCCAAGTATGAAAAGAGACGTCGATGGAATTTGATTTGAGCACCGAGACAGTCGTATTTGCTGGAGGGCTCTTCACAAACTCCGGATCTCAATACATGGGCCAACGCGCCAGGCGTATGCCCGAACATACCAAGTCTGTGCTCAAGCCCGCCCCTTGGGTTTGGCGAGCATGTTCAGGCGGCTCAGACTGAGAACGCCACGGGACCTTTGCTTCGCGCTGGCAGTCGTACTCGTAGGAGTACCCATGCGAACCGAGGAAGAGCGAACGGGGGTCTTAATAGGTCGGGATTTGACAGGGCTGGGGGTTGGCGAGTTCGACTTCTTCAGCCTCTTGGTGGTGCGCTCATCCGAATGCGAATCAGCCGGGGGAACGTTCTCGGCGTTCTCAGCATTCGGCAAGTCATCGTCATCCACTTCATCCCGGTGTCTCTTGTTTCCGATCCCATGGGCGATACCGTGGGCTACAACAGGCAGCTCGGGGTACATAGTTCCCTTCTCGGCGGCATCCGACTTGCGAATATGTCGGATGGTGGGTGACATTGCTGCATTGAGCTGGTTTGCTTCAGCAGAAGCTGCAGTTTGCTCCGGGGTGAGAGTAGGAAGAGTGGGGTAGACAACCTCGGTGAAGGTGGAACGAGAGGGAGTGGTGGGAATCTTGGTTCGAGAAGGCGATGTATGTGTCAGGTCATAACGAGACTTGACACTCGGGGTGAATTCAACGTGTTTCTTTGGCGACGGAGTCGGGGCGGAGAGAGCGATTTCACTTTGAGCGCCAAAGAGCGAGTTAGGATTGAAGTCAGGCGCAGCCGCATGGGTTCCAGCTGCAATCTTGGAAGGGTCCCGAGAGAACAAGGGCTGGCGTTTGCGAAGAATGGACTTGAGATTGTTGAGGGTGGGCAGGCTGCTCTTGAATCGCGGGTTGAACTCGGTACGTGGGGTACGAGGTGATGCTAGACCCTTGGTAGAGGGAGATCGTGCCAGAGAAGGAATCAGTGATGTTTTCGGAGCCTTGATACTGACGGACCCAGAGCGCGCAATAGAGGCCCGGGTCGGGGTCATGAGGGAATTGCTGATCGTTGCGCGGGGGCGCGGACCAAATGGCTTCTGAGTGGGGGGATCCTTCTTTTCGACCTGAGGGCGGCTGTTTGATGCGTTGTCCGTTGGGTTAGGCTTAGCACGCTTAGCCGTAGGAGTATCAGTAGTGGATGCGGATCCGGTGGATGGCTTCGCCGGAGATCGCGAAGGTGAGGGGTTCTGGGACTCAGGTTCATCAAGCAGTGCCTTGGATTTGGTGCGCTTCAATGACTTTGCCACAGGGTGGAAGCGACCGGGAGTGGCCCGGAAAGAAGAAGGGTGTCCAGCAATTGAGTCCATCTTCTTGAACTCGGCCATGTGCACGTCACTGAACCGTCCAGCCTTGCCCTTGGGCTTTGCAATCTTCCGGTCCCCGTGCGTGTGGTCGGCCTCATGCTCTTGTTGATCCTGCCTCGACTTGTCGTGAATCATCTGTGCTTTGATTCGTGCAACATCTTCGCGAACAGTGTCCATCAGGTGTTTGGCTTCATCGCTGAGTTGAGACTCCTGGCCGAACTTGAACTCGTATCCGGGAGTGCCGAATTGGATGGGCACGGGCGATGCCTTCAACTTGGAAGGTGTGTTTTGTATCGCACTGTTCTTCACGATGTTGCCGTTGGCATCTTTTTGAATGGGATTAAAGCCCAGAATCAATCCTGAGTCGGCCCGTTTGGTCGTGCTTTGCTGTGCCTTGCTAGGGTGCATTTCCTCTGGGGGTGGACGAACTGAAGAGCTGGAGGTTGGGGTTCTCGCCTCCGCTATCTTGTGACGCAAACCCGTGTTGGGGGTGGTCTGGAGATTCTTTTTGGTGACGGGGGTTCGAACGGGAGAGGGGCCATCACTAGTAGTCTCGTCGCGTTCCTCAACAGATGCAAGTCTGGATCTCTTGTCGGCCTGAGGAGTCGACTCTTGGGGCTAGTTTGGTCATACCATGTTAGTTGATTTCAACGACAGTCGTGGTGACGCCTTGCACCCCCTCTTGTGCAGGCGTTGCTAGGGCATACTGACCTCGGGCGCGGGAGAAGCCTGGGCACTGACACTGCGCAGGCGGGCGGAGCGGCGGACCGCCATGGCTGGAGCGGATGCGGTTCTGGGTATGGAGAGATTGTTGATGAGCTTGGGAGATGGTTCAAGTGCAAATACAGATGGGGCGAGTGGGAAGAGGGAGTCGAAGAGGCGATGGGTCGTGGTGTGAAGCGAGACACCTCAAATGTAAACAAACGCGCTTGACGTCACATGACTAATCATATCTATGTCCTGGCGCTTGAGCAACACTGGTACTACGTCTTTCAAACTAATTTCTGGCAATTAAATTCTGGTTCTGTTCTCTACAAAAACTAAAGAATAAAAATAAAGATTCATATCATGTTCAGTGACATCCGGGAGGTTAAATTGTGGATGCTGCAATTCTTCCCGCTGTGTAGACCAACGGTCGACGACGGGAAAGGCATCAGTTCGGCTTGATTAGACCCTAGGCCAGATTCACAAAGCTATCGAAGTGTATTTCCAACCGTGGATCTGCATTCTGAGACTCAAAGCCGAAGAGAGGCAAGTGTTTTGTCTTTGTTTGTACCAACGATTCGGTAGAATTTCAACATTCCTCTCCAGCTAGTTAACTCGTTTTCTTAGGGCTGATTTTGAGTCATCGTTGCATTCTATTATCGACAATCCGGTTGATGGGCTCACAGACTGCACGAATAAAATGCCTTCGTGCGAAAGCGGTCATTTTTCGCTGTGGCATCTAATATCCTGAATGTCCTGAGCGACGAGTTCGGGCGAGTTGACGGAGATACTCGTCGTGTCTTTCTCTGCGGCATCAGCCAAGGCACGGCAACCACTCTATAGATATTCTTTTGCGCCGCAGGTCACATAGTTTGACCCCTTGGCGGAGTATTGGGGTTCTGTAGCTGGCTACCTTTTGCTGGAATGGCTGAAGACTTGATGCGATGTTAACAGGTAGTGGAAATATTGCGCTAAACCTCCGGCTGCCGGACCTTTATGGGGCCCAATGGGCTTGACAATATACGTTAAATATCAAGACTGTTCCCTGGAGATAATCGCCGGTCCTAGCCTCCCAAAAATTGAAGCAACTACCGACATATTCATACCCTCGACACCAGTGCTCTTGGGTCATGGAATTGACGAGCCGGTGGTGTCCATCCGACTAGGTCGCCGGGCAGCGCAGATACTACAGTATCTTAAGGTGGCAAACCGAAATGGCATAAATTCAGCGGCGCCAAGACAAATGGGCACTGGATCAAAGGCCTCAAGGGCTTCTGAGCTGGTTAGATAGGCCGTTGAAAGCGTGCTAGCCACAGTTGCTAAACGCATTTAACGAGATAAATTAGTCACTGAACTAGCTAGTTACCAGGCCTTACTAACAGTTGGACCTTCTTCGCGTAGTATCTGACTTGTCAATCGTGTACGGTTCTAGCGTTTCTGGTAAGCCATTACTAAATCTACTACCCTGGGATATCAGAACTGCGGAGAGGAAGGGTATAGATTAGTCGCTGCCGACTTTTACATCGTTAACCCCTAGGTTATAAATTGGCAATCGCTTATCCCGGCGGTAATAAAGGATTTCGATGTCGAGCCTATTGATATTCAAACGTGGATCGTAACTCTAGAGAGTTTCACCAACCCTATAGAAGACGATCTACGTAACAAGCCTGCTCTCAAGATCTTAGAATTTTTCAAGGCGATCGCGTACTCGAATGAGGCAGGCCCAACAAACCACCCTGGCGTACACTCTGCTAAGCCAGCTGCATGACAAGTCCTTCCTTGAGTGCCTTGATCGCCTTCTTACCTAGCGGATCCTTTCCGTTCAAACTGGCCCGTTTACGTTCGGGCCCAGACAATGTGGTTATATCATAGCGGTCTCCGCCCAGTGGTTGTTCTTTCCCGAGCTTCTTCAGCTCCAGTGCAAAGCCCCACGGGTCATTCACAGCCGTAGGCGCAGGCAGCGAGTCCTTACCAGTCGCAGGCACTGGCTCCGCCGGATTACTATCCTCTGGCGCGTCGTGAAGGACAATCTTGTGCTTCGCGGCATACGCATACAGATACTTGGGGAGATCCTCAAAGCCCTCACAGTCTCCCGCATATGCATCGAGGCGGATAGCTAGACCCATGACCATCCCAATATTCTTGATCTCGGAGTCCGGTTTCAGGAGGTTGTGGCGCTCGAGGTTTGCCATCATCGCGAGGAACATCGTTCGAACAGTATGCAGGAACAATTCCAAGCCTTCGCCATCCTCGATCCTGAAAAGCGATCGAACATTAGACAGAAAACCGGTGGGGCGGCAGGGGGATGGAAAGTAAAAAAAGGCCACATACATAAACAAAGCGGCAGGGTCGTAGCGAAGGAAGAACAGCGTCATGGCCTCGCAGATATACCACTGTTGTTTCCAGTCATCCTTGGCCTCTTCGAAATCGACCAGCAGGTTCCCAAGCACCTCCTGCAACCCGTATCCATAGAAGTCGTTGTAGATGTGCATGTCGAACATGTCTGGGTTACGCAGAGAACATAGGGTGGAAGTCGTGGCGAACTTCTGGAGGCCTCCCAGAGACAAGGTGTACGGGTGATCAGGATGTTCTTCGATGGGCTTTGTGCAACGACAGGTCTTGCCTCGGTCACATGGAGGGAGGCCATCAGTCTTTTTGGGCTCGCCCTCACCCTCACCCTCATCTTCAACGTCCTCGTCGTCATCCGATCCGACAATTGGTCGGCACTGACAGACAAACTGCCAAGCAGACTCGGGATTGTGCGTCATCATCATGCGATATTCCGTGTCAGCATTTGCAGAGCCAGAAATACCCTTCGACCATCGCTTACTGCGAGGAACTGGGGGCTTTTCAGGGGCATTGTCAGTGCTGGCTTTGGACTTTTTGGATGCGACGTCAGCCGCCGCGTCGGTAGACTTTCTCTTTGGGGGCATAGTGTTAGAAAATTCCGTATGTATTTCGGAGAGAACGCAAACTAGAGGGTTGTAGGTCTTCGCTGGTAGAATAGGGAATAGGGCGATGTGACTGATCAATCATCTGAGCGAGACGCGTCAACCCGACGCGTCTCGCCCAACCTTAGGGAATGAGTCAGTAAATAACATCCGGAAAGACGTTCAGATGCCCACAATCAACATTATTATGACCTTGGGTCTCTTTGAAATTGGGCAAATCCATTGGAAAGCTCTACCTTTATATTTAGGTACTCATAAAGAGCAGGCGTGCTAGCTTGCTCCTCATTTAGTATCTTGTCTAGGCTGGTGCGACGTTTCACAGCGGGAGGGGTATCGGTCGGCCTAATGGTCCGATTTATTTCGCGTCTCATATATGGGATTTACCCCACAATCTACAATTTACCATCAGATAGCGGGCCTCGATGATAAACATTCTGAAGTTTCAATTGAATATATCAGCTATCGGGGTCAGAGATATTTGTCCATCATAATAATTATAGTAGTGGGCGGTGTGGACGGCTCGCTTTCCGTGGGGGGTTCGCGTGTGAATTGCATCAACTACCCGCTTTCCATTCCCCTTTCCCAGCTCACTGAATCTCACTCCTGTCTTCTTATTTTGGCTAAGATCCATAATTCCGTGGGAACATTCTCGGTAATGTCATGAATATGGAAGGTTTCAAGGTAATAAAGGCCCGTGCCCGAGCGCGGAAGCGTGGGCGGAAGACGACATCTTGCTCCCAATGCCACATTCGCAAGCAGAAGTGCAATCAAGAAATACCCTGCTCCCGATGTATCCAGCGTGGTGTTCCCGAGCTATGTCAGTGGCCAGCTGATGAAAGAGACATTGGAATTGGTTCTCACGAGAAAGTGCCGGCAACAGGTAGGGAGCATTGTACTGCCTCGGAAAACAGCATATTGATAGAATCATTACCCAGCCGACACCCAAGGAACCGAACTTGGCCAACTCTACATTGCTCGAGGAGCGCCGACATTTTTTGGAAACTCATATTTTGGGCACCAGGTCGCAGCGCGAATGATCCATGAATCTGCCCCAGAGCTGCCTCCCATGAGCCTATTGTCTACCCAAGACTCCCTGCAGTCATTTAGGAACGACTCAGGCCCATTTTCGCAAGTATGGGATCTCCTTGGCCTTCTCCCACGGAACAAGGTGACCGTTGACCGACTTATCGAGAGATTTCTGACTGAAATTAACTGGGCTATTGACACGGTCCATCCGGAGACGTTCAGATCTCAATTCGAAGAGTTCTGGGGGAGAAAATTTGGATTCGATGAGATCGCCGGCGTCGATCTTCGCTGGCTGGCACTGCTGTTTATTATTCTCGCGTTCAGTGTCCTCCTGGATGCCCCGACAACCTCTCCAGAAAAGAGAAAAGAGAGTGAAGAAGCCTCGCTCCGTTTCTATTGGGCTTCTCGAAGAGCCATTGTAATCGCCCCATCTTTCCACGGTGAAAGTTTGGATCTTGTTCGGGCTGGCTTGATGGTGACACGGTATCTGTTATATACCCGACAAATCGCTGAAAGCTGGCTTACAGTCAGCTTTGCTATGCGTATGGCCCAAGCACAAGGTATGCACATCGATGGAGAGAAATGGGGGTTGTCAAAGAAAGCAACCGAGGTCCGGAGGAGGCTTTGGGGCAACTTGTACATGCTTGACAAGACGATTGCCCTTGCTCTCGGTAGACCATATGCTGTATCAGATCATATGTGCCTTATTCATCCACCAGAAAACATATGGCTGGATGACTTGACAGGTGCGCAGTCTGAAGTGACCTGTGCACAGCCACTGACTAGACCTACGCCCAGCACCGTCACACTTTTGGGAATTGGATTGGCCAGAATTGCTGGAGAGATCCAGGATCGATGCTTTGGACTTTATCCAGCGTCATACGACGTGGTAATCGAAATGGATGAGAAGTTGGTGGCATGGAAAAAGCAGCTCCCATCATACTTTGCCTTGGATGATACTGATTTTTCCCTGGATGCTTCGAATACCTTTCTTCCATGGCATCGTCTCTATGTCCATTCCGCATTTCATTTCGCCAGGATCACCCTCCACCGGCCGTACCTCCTACGGGAGTCTATCACCAACCGTTTTCGCCTCAGCCATGAGGCCTGTATCTCATCTGCATCATCAGATCTCAAAATTCGGTTGGAGTCATTGGGTTACGGAATTGCAGGAAGTATGCGATGGACGCTCGGCACACATAACATGTTTAACAGCGCTTTGATTTTGGGCATCATCGCAGTCCGCCGTCCTAAGGCCCCGCAAACCACAGCAATATTGGACGATCTCGAACAGTATTGCGAAAGGCTTAGAAAAGATGTGCGGCTGAACGAGTTTGGACTCGCAGAAGTCAAAGTTGTTGAGCTGTGCATTGCACGCACGAAGGGGTTTGCCAGGAACGCAAATCAATCCGGCCAGGAGGCGCAACCCGAGCCTCTCAATATTATGCCCGGGATTTTATCCCACGAAAATATTCTAGAAGAGAATAGGCATGCGAGGATGGCAACAGGAGGAATGTCTCTAGAGCCTACTACACTGTGTGCTTCACCGGACCACCCATCTGGCTACTCGCCCGATATGATGTGGCCTGCAATATGGGAGGATCAGAATTTTGCCTTCCCGCAAGCTGCTGATCTCGAAACATGGGAGCAAATGATTTCAGAAATCGCATACCACGAATAAGGCCTGAAATATGTTGATTCGCCTTATGATATAATATGGGCTTCAACGGGTATTGATTACACGGAATATTGGAAAATTAAAATGCTCAGTAAAGAGAATTTACAGGTCCTCAAATTTAATCCTCGCCCAAGACACATCACAAGATATATCGAAAATCTGGATGGAAGTCCCCGCCTTGAGTTTCGTATGAGCCTGAGTTGATCAATTGCTGGCGTTTCTCTGGCGACATCTTGTCTCGCTGGCTGTTGTGATATCTCAAAAGAAGATACATACTTGCATTTCCAAAAAATGCTAGACAGATAGTGGCTAGCGAGACGGAGTGACCGAGAACATACCGTCCATTGACAGGAGACTTGTAAATTTGACCGGCCTGTAAAAAATGTCAATGTCAGAGACTGACAATGAAGATATTAAAATTGGAATAGTTTTATCACTGACTATGAGCCCGCCACAGTTTCCGATAGTTTGTTGTAGGCCGACGGCCATGGTCCTTTTATAGTAACCTGCATGACTATTGGCATTCCATGACACCCCCAGACCAACGACGCAGTAAATTCTGCCATAGAGTTAGTATCTCCTGGAGCCAATATGAATTCTTGAAGCTTACCCAGTCACGCAAACGTATGTTGCAAAGTAGAGCGGGCCTCTGTCATGAACATCGACACCTAACATCATTGAGTAACCAACTGCTGTCACCAGGCACAATGGTGTCATAAAGACTGCTCGCATGCAGACCCTATCAGATAGATGAGCGATAACAAGATAGAACACCGATGCCCAAATATAGACAGGGACGGTGAGCAACTGTGTCTTCACCGAATCATAGCCAAAAGATTTGATGATAGTGGGTAGGAATGTGCTGAAACCGAAAGAGCAGATGTTTACACTGATCTGATTGAAGGAGGTCAACCAGCTCTTTGGGTCGCGCAGCGTTTTCCAGACTTCGCAGATGTCAAATGGCCCAATGTCGGCATATTGTGCAGATAGCTGCATACGTATGCGCATGATTTTCTTGTCTTCTTCATTGAGAAAGTATGCTGTTTCATAGTCATTCGGAAGAAAGAAAAAGGTGGCAATGCCAACAACGGCGCTCATTAGGCCTTCGACGATAAAGAGCCACCGCCAGCCCTCAAGCCCACAGGCACCGTCGAGACGAATGAGCCCGAAGGCTAACCTACAGCAAAATTAGAATCTCAGCCAGCCAGGGAAAGAAATAGTCACTTCATACAATCCACCAAATCCACCGCTAAGTGCAGCAGATACAAACAGGTAGGAGATTCTCTGGGCCTGCTCTTCTCTCTTGTAGAAAGTAGTCAAGAGAACGGTTAAACAGCTTTGATATGATTAGCTTGGAATTATTGGTAAAAGAAGGGAAGGACACCTCGTACGGGAATAGACCACTTTCAAAGATACCCAAACATAATCGAGTGATGTATAATCCCGCGACATTCTTGATAAACCCAGCCGCGGTTATGGAGGCACTGAAGCCAATGATCAATGCTGAAATCAACCTATTTGGGCGCAGTTTCTTGAGAAGCATTGAGAACGGGATCTCGAAGAATACGTAGGTTGCGTAGAACAAGGAAACAGCATCTGATAGTTTATCATAAGCATAGAACATAGTCCTTATTTGAGGAAAGCAGCTTACTCCCAAGCTGGTTGCCGACTAAACCAATATCCTCCTACAGCACCGAATAATGTTAAATAGCAGAACCAGACTCCTTGTGTTCGATAACTCACAGGCATCCCTGCGACAGCGGCATTACTGGCAAGGAAATTAGTGATTCAGTGGCTCCACAAGCTTCTCAATATAGTGCGTACCCTAGATTGCTGCGATCGAGATAAGCAACCAGGAAAATAGACATCACTAATGGGCAAATGCATAGATCAAGTTTCCAGAGCAGTTTTCTTTCTTTCACTGGATCTATTGTAGAATTGCCCACTGGCACATCAAATTCGCACGACGGTTCAGCCATGAACTTGATATCTGCTTCTTTGTCGGCCATTTTCGAAAGGAGATGACGATGAGCCTTCTCTGAGAATAAGAGTTTAGATTAATTAAGTCCATAGCCCCTGTGGTGCTTTAAATGTCAATCACCCAGCTGGAGATAACATAACATCGATCGCCCGTCGGGAAAATAGTCGGCTTATTCAAGGAGTTGGGGAAGGGGGAATCCCCGACTTTCCAGTGCTATCGCTAGTCTGCCAAGGGCAGTCCGCAGAAGAACTGATAAGGCCAATTTCTTTTCTCTGTCTGATTATCTACAAGTTTTGGTTCAATGGGTGCCCCTTTTCCCATCAAATCCTCAATTTATATTATGAAATAGAAACAATTTCATGTCAAAACTCCTTGTTAAGCCTCGTTTTACCCTGGGTCAATCCAAGGGCTCGGCGGATTTCCGAGAATGATAGGCCCAGCGCCGATAGCTAGCTAGCGCAGACATCCCGTTCCCCCGCGTTTTATCATCTTGGCATCGGTAAAAACAAAACCTCGCACGCTTATCGGGTGTGAATTCCCGATGAATTTCCCGACACACTATGTACCCGTGGGGGTCTTTGAAAGCAATTGATAAGAGACGCTTTGTTTGATTTACAATCTTTTTTTTAACGTTCAAATCAGCTCACGCTCACAGAATGACAATAAGTAACGGATTCAGTGAAACAAGAGCAGAATCGACATCTACTCTTGGATCTCAACATCCGGTAAGCCCAGTCCCATAAGTAAAACTAGAAAAAGTTAACATGCTATAGGTTTGGAAACGATGGGTCCGATTTAAAAGCGATGATGGAATTATCTATGGCGGCGAGCCTGTAGATCCCAGAGTTGACGGTAACTTTTGTCCACATACAAACCAAAACACAACTTAACAAGTATACAGTGGGACTCGCTTTGGCGGAACGGAAAAGTATCGCTGTGAAGGTTATTGCCGGGGGCTCAGCACTGGGTTACGACGCGCAATTCACCGGCGAAGTGAAAACCATTGAAGAATTGTTACCTCCGGTCTCACAGGCAGAGGCGGGAACCGTGCGATGCATCGGCCTCAACTATAAGGAACATGCAGCTGAGATGGGGTTGTCCCTTCCAAAAACACCGACGTGGGTATTTGGACCAGTGGTACTGGTGTAAAGCTGATGATATGGAACAGAGTATTTCTCAAGGCAAACACTTGCATTGCGTCACCATCAAAGCCAATTGTGTTACCCACCAATGTGGATTATGACGAAGCCGACTACGAGGTCGAACTGGCTATAATAATCGGCAAGAAGTGCAAGAATGTCTTGGTGGCCGAAGCTGGCAGCTATGTTCTGGGGTATACTGTAGCTAACGATGTGACTGCTCGCAAACACCAAGAGCAAACCTCACAGTGGTCGTATGCCAAGGGCATGGTATGTCGATTATGAATCGTGCAAGGGTTGCAATGAGAAGAACCTAATTTTCATCAGGATGGGTTTTGTCCCCTGGGACCGTGCATCGTTTCCACGGAAGAAGTTCCCAACCCAGCGAAGCTGAACTTACAAACATCGCTCAACGGGAAGACCATGCAGAATGGATCTGCGGATGACATGATTTTCAGTGTCCCGGAAATAGTGTCATATTTGTCCCAGGTATGGAATAGGCGAAACCCTTAAAGGGTGAGTTCTTTGCTCACAATTCTAGGGACATACACTGTTGCCCGGAACGGTCATCATCACAGGAACTCCATGCGGAATCGGTGTCTCTCAGAATCCACCAAAATTCCTACAGCCGGGTGACAGCCTGCGAATCAGCATAAGTCACGGGCTAGGAACACAAATATGCCCGATCATGAGGGATTGAGTCAAGCATAATTTCGCATTGCTACTGCCTTTGGGCTAGAATTACGTATAGAAAACAATCGTTGATAGTCCAAAATGTTTCACGGGTAATCCACAACTTCACGCTTCTAGCTGAACTTGGCTTGAGTCGCACAACTATTCTTGTAACTCCCAAGACCTGAAAACAATTTGCTTGAAGTATTGATCACGCACTCGAGAAACGAATGTCAATCACGGCATCATCGACAGTAGGCGGACCAACGTATTTGTTGTAGCCCCAGGCCCAGTACCAAGCAGTAGCAATAAAAATAAACGCGACAAATACCACAGGTGCATAATTCACGGTCTCTGTAGTGACAGGAATAGAAGAGGGCATACAGAACAAGGGAACAGCAAGTATGCTCCAAACTGGCAGACGATATCCAATTAGCACAGAGAATCTTGAACCTCAAGAGGAGGAATTTTCGACTTACCCAGAGCTACAACATTGCAGAATGCGCCCAGCTTACCCAGGTCAAATTCGCCATTTTTGATTTGCCGCCGACCACCAATAAAGGAGACAGCAATGGGGCATGCGTAACTGACGGTAAGCGTGATTACGCCAACTCCAGAAAAAGCATTGAAAGCCGTGGTTGACCCAAAATATATGAGCGCAAGAGCAATCTGGACTACCATACCCAGCATCATAGCACTGAAGGGAACGCCCAGGGTGTTGTTCACAATTCGCCATTTGCTGGAATATGGGATGCCCCCGTCCCGCGCAAAGGCCCAGATGGATCGTGAGACAGTAGTAGTACATCCTATCCCGCAAATGATTGCAAGTACCGCCAATGGTAGTAGGAGAAGAAATGTGCCTGTCGAATTACCGATGGCGGACTTTATGATGCTTGGAACCGGTTGGCCGGAAGCAAGAGCTATCAGTTCTTTGCTATCAGGAAGCACAAATACTAAGGTAATAAGGAAAAGAAACCCGGCGAGGGTATTCAGGATCACAGTGCCAATTATAGCTTTTGGTACTTGCTTAGATGGATGCTGAACTTCTTCGCACATTCTGTAAATTGTAAGCTTGCTGTTTTGCTACGAAGAAATTTGGGAACGGCAGAGGATTAAAGGTAGAGAAAAAGAATAAAATGAGCGGGTTACGGACGAGATGACCATCCCAGTCGAGGAAGTCGTATATGCAGCTTGTAGGAGGCCGACGCAAAAGGACCAGCCTACTGGCCAACCAGACTGGGGTTCGAAGCTTGTAAACACATATGCGCCATCATGTCTGCCGTTCTTGGCGACTACCAAGGTGCAGATAACGATGGCTAAGAGACCGGCAAAGGTCCAGAAAATGGCAAATGTCTGGAGGGCAATGTCAGTGGGAGAAAGAAAGACTTCCTTTTCTGTACTCACGTCGATATAGGGCAGCCACTTGTTACATAATGAGGAAACTGCATTGCATAAGATCGTGATGGCTAGAAAGATCAGAAATGTCTGGTAGGCAGTTGCTTCAAAAATGCCGATGCCCGGAGAAACCTCAAAAACGTTCACGCAGGCAATGATGAACTGTGCGGAGCCGAAGTTCACTGCCAGGGTTATCATGACATTTCCAATCACATAGGACCAGCCACAGATCCAGGCGACGATTCGTCGATAGTACGGAGGCGAAAGCATAAAGGACTGATAATACACCCCGCCGGCGGTTGGATAGACTGAAGTTATCTCTCCGAGTGACGCTGCCACACAGAGAATGATTATTGAGACTATCAGCCAGCCCCAGATGATGTTTACAGGACCACCCCCAACAAGTGGATAGATGAACGTGGTGGCGAGTCCATAAGGGATGGAGGCGAGAACGAAGGACATGAAGGCTACCTGGAGGGTCGATCGGTTCCTAGTGAGTTCAGGCTCGTATCCCATGGCTTCGAGTAGGCCGTTTGCTGCGATAGACTGTGACTCCCCCAGGTCTGTCTCTTCTTTTAGCTTCTCATCATCAGAAGAAGCGGATTTGGGCCCTAAACTGTGGGGCTGATGGGTTTCGAGTTTGCTCGCCATTGTCGAAAAGGCCCGAGTGGTCGCAGCGAGCGATAAACTGTGGTTTCGGTGCAATGAATAAGTGAAAAAAGGATGGAACAAGCATGTTACGAGTCCCCCTTTCCTGAAAATGGATGATTTATATACTAGTGGTACATTGGTACGGCTCAGCCGGAGAGCCAAATCATGCGCAGTTTGGTGGAACTCTATTCCTTACAAATCGTTTCTGCAGATAAGCAAATCAGTCTTGATAGTCTTTGCCCCGGATTAATTTAGCCAGCGGTAACACCGTTGATACTGGCCTTCATGTACATTAAATTCGGCAGGCGTTCACCAGGTCATGAAATAATGTGAAAAAAAGCCGCTTCATCTCTCCTCTAATCATTTTCTACCTCCGCTGGGAAGAGTAGGATATTGCATCCATTCCGTTTTTTTCGTCAATCAAACTCGATCTCCCAAATTCGATGTATTGTAAGACCTTTGACATGCATCGGCATTTGGCAATGGCATGATAACCGTGCCGCCTGAATTAGCAGGGAGGTTGCCCGATTGCCTATCGGATTTTTCTGATTGGACCACAAATGGTAACGTAGGGATGACACGGAAAGCTCTCGAGAACCATACATATACGCAACACTGCATGATGAGGCCCAATTGACTCTACATCAAGTCAGAGGCAGTCTCAAAAATGGAGAGTTTTGCGTCCGGAATGAAGCCGAACCAATTAGATCCAAAGCCTATATCTACAAGAGGCAAGGAGGTGGCTTGGCTTATTGCTGAAGAGACGACAACAGAAGGAGCAAAACTCCGCTTTGCGTATACTTTGTCTCTAAGGTTGGTTTAGCAAAATTTAAGTTTCAATATAGTAGTATCAAGCCCCTTGCAAATGTACACCAATTAACCTATCAGCCAATACAATTATCTGCTAGGATACTCCCGTGCAACTTGACTAGTATAACTTGATGTACAAGATGTACTATGGTGCAGTAGATAGGGTCTCATTGTTTAAGTGGTACAATGTGGAGGAGGACGCCCGCCTTTTTGAAGATATTCCAGAAATGGTTGAATTTTCCCATGAATTCGAAGGAGAGCCATTGGGCTGTTCAAGACGGGGTCCACTTGCTCGAGACATGGGATGATCATTCCATCCTTGGGTGCCAAGAATCGCGGTTACGCTAATGCACCGCGGCTACGCTAGCCCTGAGTACCGCAAGGATCTGTCTGGGGCCATCTCCCCACGTAGGTCACAACGAAGATAATGGGTAGAGACAACTCTCACTACTAACATGACTGATAACGGAAAGATGCAGGGGTATCTTGATTGACCTTTCGGGGTCTATCCCAGATGCGAGGCCTAAGACGCGACGGATGCAGGCAGTCGTTTGTGGTTTCGATCTGGTGATAAGCAGGGATTGATAAACGGAGCGAATTTTATTTTCATTAGTCTTCAAAACTCAGATATACTGATGCCATTGCTCGTCAGTCGGAAATTCCCGGCAACATACTTCGTATCGCCCCTCGCCTGTGACGTTGCTTCGCTCTCACGGACGTACCTTTTTGATAGCCTCAAGGCACCCTGGCGGTGAAAAAAATCTCCGTTGAATCAAGCTCGCCATTCTGTCCTTCCCCACTAATGAGGTTGGGCACCCAAGCGTAGGCTCCTCCACAAGTAGCAGGTGTGCCCGTGCTTGAACTGTCGAAAGGCATTGACTATGTCAAATTTGGGGTATTCACCACATTCACCACAGACCATTAGTGCCTCTTCATAGGGCAGACCACAGCACAAGGTGGGAGACCAGCTCCGCCAATGTGAGCATGTGAGTGAATGCCAATGATGCTCTCGTCTGCGCTTCTCCTGACAAGGCACTGTGTGAGTCTGAACCGTCAAATTATAAAAAGAGTAAATACCTTCAAGTGGCTTTGCTTAAACGTGGCTAGCGTGCGGGCTTTAGCTGGCCCAAGCCTTGTGTTCCAATCTGGCCATTATTCATCGCTGATGGCCGTTATGTGCCGCGATTGCAACTGCTCACATCGGAACTGTGAAGTTGGGCCTCGAGGAGGACAATGCTGAGATCAGGCGATTCGGTATTAAGTATATGTACAATGCTAGTACCTGTGATGCCTCATCCAGTAACCACCACATCTGCATGGTCTATCCATGGAGAGCGATGCCACTGGTACCTGGAAGCCTGGCAATGCCAAAACTACCGGTTGGGATTGGCTACTGGGATATCTGGAGCGACCAAACCCCTTTTCATTCGTACATACCGTGAAGTGGGTTCGTCATGACGAGAAGGGAAAAGGAGAGCCTCAGATGGATAATTGGAGGTAATAGTAACAGGCGATAGTGAGTATGCCTAGCTGACGGCATTTCGGGAAGAACTATCTCCTGTATTTAATGTTTTCTGAGAGAAGAGCACGTTGCGGGTGCTGATAGACTCAATTCCCGAAGGAAGCACATTCACGCTAGGCCAGCTAGCACGGTTTTTTTGAGTGCTCTTTCGTCCTGGCTAGTTTAGTTTATTTGGGGCCGCATAGCACCCAAGTGGACCCCAGCCGGCGTATTCGATCACTCAAAAAGGAAATGGAACCCGCCGCAGGATGGCGTCGAGGTGATGCCACGCGACCAAGCGGGAGGGGTAGGGGCCACTAGCAAACACCAGCAAGGTTGTGGCACCCAGGATTCCATGTCCAACTATTTTGAACTTAGCCAACACGGACAGGGAATCAAATCAGTGAAACTCGAGTCCGTCTCAAGTCGGAAGGGATGTGCGGGGTAAAACGGTGAGGAAAGCAAGCCGAGCCGATCACCTGAAGACGCCACCAGCAGATAAGGCGGACACCTCACAGGAACGCGTGGGCTGTTCTTTGCGATTCTCCGTAGGAAATCTCATTCCGTTCTTTTCGTTCACAGCGATGCATCAATTTCGCAAGAGCACATCTGTGCCTCGACAGGAGAGGCAGAAGAACCCCAATCGGTGCAGACCAAAATCCAAAGGAGGCTGCCTACGATGCAAGCAGCGGCGAGTAAGTGGAGGTGAACCATGCTGAGGTCTTGCTTCCAAACCAACTTAGATTCATCCGCTAACATAATATTCAGCGCAGATGTGATGAGACTAAGCCCAGCTGCCAGGAATGCTCGAGAAAGGGGTTTACATGCCCCGGATATCAAAAAAAGCCTCTTGAGTGGCGCTATGTCTTTAAAGAGGGAGAGACGCAAGACGAAGAACAAGTAATTCTCTCGCTGTCGGAAGAATCTCCACCACCATCTGTTCCCGGGACGCAAAATCCTCACAGCGAAGAGAGCCAGACCGCCGAAGCTAGCCAGAACAATGGGCTACAAGAGCTGTGGGACGAAGCCAGCTCAACGCTCTTCGACCAACTACCGGATATTGACCCATCTGACGGGATATGTTCAAAGCTGGAGTCCATATCAAATAATATAGCTACCATCAAGGATGCAGTAGAGTCAGATGACAGCCTGGTCATTCTCCGTCGCCGCCTGGCAAACACCACAATACCATCATTTCTGATTCAAATGCCAGCTATCCTGGTACAATACTATTTTGATTACGTGTGCAAGGCATGGTCATCTTTTGACTCGCCTTTAAATCCATTTCGACTCATAGTCAGCCGCCTTTGGAGTCGGAACGCGGCGATCTACTATGCTATCCAAAGCATGGCAGCAGCATCGCTAGCCAACGACTTTCCAGGCATGAGGGCGATTGGAAGACAAACTCAGCAGCAAGCAATTGCATGCCTTCGAAATAACCCACGGATTGGTACTTTGCATCGAGATAACCAAGACGACGAGTTCTTCCTGGCTCTTCTCATGATTGGATTGACTACAGCGTGGCACAACGCCGCCGATCTGGGGCTGGAATATCTGAAGGAGGCTAAGGATCATCTCATCAAGCAGCAGAAGATGTGTCAGAGCCCCAATTCTGTATTTGCCAAACAATACCCACTATTTCAACAGTGTCTACTATACTGGAACATGTTGGCTGCATTTGTCGCGGAAGATTCTCTACTTTTGAGTGAAGAGAGCGTTCTCGAGCGAACCGACCCGGAAACCTCCGTATACCTGATTGACGGCCAGGCTCTTCCACACCCATGGACGGGCCCGCTTTCCAAAGCGCTAAGGCTATTCTATCAAAGTGCGCGGGTGGTTCGAGCGGCACGAATATCTCATCGCACACGCGTTGACAATATTGACTTGGTAACCTTCGATTTTGACAATTTGGTTAAAGAGATCGATCTGCGGCAGAAAGCCGAACGCCTGGAAGAGGATATACTGTTCACAGGGCTGTCATCATACTGTGGACCGGTGGACATTGGTGACACAAATACGCCTCCTTCCCATTTTATAATTTTGGCGGAGGCTTATCGCTGTGCTGGGCTCTTGCAAATTTATCATGTCTTCCCCGACATTCTTGAGGATCGATTATGTCTTAATAAGAGACCCGGGGCAAACACACCAGCTCTGTTTTCAGTCCTCCTACCTGCAGACTCTCCTGTCCGATCTGGGGAGGATACACGCCGTGTCTTGGCTGTACACATTGTGTCACTTCTCGACCAACTTCCTTCTACATCGGGAACCCGCTTCATGCAGCTTGTGCTTTTGACTTGCATTTCTAGCGACCTTGTGTTTTCCAATGAATCGGTTTTTGGACCCGGAGCGAACCCTCTCGCTTGCCTGAACACTCTAGACGTTGATGTTGCCCAAGGGAGGCGCAGAGTCAATACCCGGCTGTCGGAGCTTACCTTGATTGTTCCAAAGCTACCAATGCAACGCATATCAGGAATCGTGCATGAAGTTTGGGATAGAGCAGATTCGGGAATGGGAGTATATTGGCTGGACTTGATGGTTGAGAGAAGTCTTGAAACGATCATGGGATGATGCGTTTGAAACTGTTTCAGCCCTGATGAATACCGACTTAGATTTATGAAGCAGAGTTATCGTATAATACTTAATCGTTGGCGAGATACATGCCGGAGTGTGCTAACGTAAACCTCTGAACACCAGACATTAATGATAGCATGTAGCAAAGGAAAATAGAACCCCTTGTAGCTTCACGGATGAGCTTCAAGAGTTAAATAGTTACAGATAAGCGCGTGTCACTGCCGCAATAGATGGAAGGGGTCCGAGAGAATCAACGAGTCGTTCCAGCAACATTCCAACATTTTACTCTGAGTATCAATCTCTTACCTGAATAAAGAGACCTATTTGCATGTCGACTCTCACTATGCCTGAAGACATTGTCGCGTTAGACATTTGTCACCGAGCTATACCAGCTTTCCGAGACTCGTCCACGTTTCATGAAAACACCAGGAGAGCGTCATCACGATGCCACAATTGCCTTGACTTCGGCGATAGCCATTAGAGCAGACACTGTTGCTTAATGTCCTGCCTGACCTCAAGCGTATTTGAGTATAACTGTTGGCGCTGAATATCCACCCCAAGTTGATGATAATAGCATTTCCTGCAGAGCTTAAATTCAAATGCATCCACAGGGTGCATTGTCTTCCTGCGACCGATCACATTAGCCTTCACATTGCCTCTACAATGTTCTCTTAAAGTCACTCGTCTAGAACGCCCTGGCTGAACCCTAGCAAGGGTGGGAAACACGCAATTCTCTAGAACGATGTCGGGACCTGGGGCTAGAAATGCTTACGAATGGACCGATACCAACGCTGAAAGCAGACTTTATTATTATACCTTCTTTCATTGACATCTGGAAGCTATGGGCCAGAGGGTTGTTAAATCAGGATCTTAAACACGTAGATCATTTAAATCATTTCCTTTGCAAGTTGCCTCCTTCGAATGGCACCCTCACAGTCGTCATGATGACATGTAAGGACTAATTTAGACGTTGGGCATATTTGGCCGCGAGGTTTTTCTTTCTTCTTATTTCCCCTGTCGTAAGGAGTTGTGAGGGCCTCTGGGCCACCAAGCCTCAATTGGCAAGTAGGCGCAGAATCTAGCAATCTGGCGTTTGATAATAGTTTTGAGTAGTAATTTTCATATTTTTGTTTGATATCGTACAAGATGTAATTGAAGATTGTCCCGCACAAACGATCTACTCAGCAAATCAAAAGCAATTCGTTCTGGTTCGTGAAGAACTTGCTAATCACATCTTGGCCAGGCCCTGCCATCCAAAGTTCCTCTAACTGATTCAGCGCTGTCGACATCACTCCCATCCCGAAGAATTTTACAAGAGACTGTAAGTACAACCGAATCATCTCCTGTTCGTGTGTGTTTCGCGCATGTATTCCAAAAGCAAAAAGTGGCCAAGTTGCTGTGGTCGCAATGGGAGAGTTTGGTGGCAAGCGCGGTAGAATTGAAGCAAGCTTCCAGAATGCATGGTCAATAATGTCATCGGAAAGATCGTGAGTAAACCGGGAATCCAGCAGCAGTAAAAGACTCTGCTGGTAGAGCTCTGCACAAAGGACCAACTCCTGTTTGTTGCTGCGGGGCTCCCATTTGTCAATCTGTGCTCTCAAGTTGTAGTACTCGAGGATCAGATCTCTCCTGGCGGATGTTGCTGAGGGCTGACATGATGCAAAGTCCCGGAGCAAAGTTGAAACTTTTGGTACAAAGGTAAAAAGCTCGTAGGCACAGCCGCACAGGACACCTATCTCGCCATCGGGGCCACCAGTACTGTCCGCCCACACGCTGGGGGCCATGGTCAGGGCCGGTGGAGAGTTCGTGGTAAATGATGCGAGGGCGGCATTGTACACATAAAGTTCAGTTGCAAACGCGACAATACTGGTCTGTTTCGGCTTTTCGGTAGAGCGTCGCACATGGGCCATTAGATGATGAGCACCCTCCAGGTGTCGCTGCATGGCTTTTGGGTCATTACCCCTCGTCGCCTTCACTTGCGTGAGTAAAATCTTGAAGTTGAGAAGATATGGGAAATCGGTACCTACCTCTAGAAGATAGAATATTAAGACAACTAGTAAAGCACGCCAGGCAGCATCTATATTACTGCCATCGTTTGAAGCCCCCGACAAAGCAACCCTGAGTTGTTGCAATGCTCGAGTATACCTGGACCAGGTCAACGACTGCATTTCGAGATCCAGATGAGGCAGCCGCTGCATCATGTGCACGCCTGATAGAGCCAGAATTGAATTCATTAGAAGTTCATCATTGAGTGCAACGGGAAGTATGGTATGAAGAAACGGGTTCTCGCTATCCTGCAGACATGCGAGTCGGTTTGCCGTATCTTTCAAGTAATGATCAAGTAGCCTCCAAGTCTCAGACCTCGAGGCCGCCGATCCAACCAGGGGAAAATTGGATGGGGACGCAGGGATGGTCGCAGCGGGCAGGTCGCTCGGGGCGCCAATAGTGAGGGCCCACGCCTCAGACGCGGGTACACTGTGGGTAGAGAGTATTTGCGGTTGTTGCTGTGGAGTTGACCCTGCCTCAATGGCTCCCATTTGCGGGCTTGCATCTGGCCAGACACAGCTGAGGGCATTGCGGAGGCAAGCCGCGCAGATCGGCTTCACTTCGTCACATTTTTTCTTGCGACGCCGGCAGGACAAGCAACCTAGGCGAGATCGGGCCCCCATTTCGGTTTCAAGCCATCACGGTTGTGGTAACACTCACACTCAAACCACTTTCAAAGTTGTCCTCGGAGAACGCTGACCATCATCGCGAAGCAAGCGAAACTCCTCGACGGGAAGCGTGCTTACCTTCCCCGCCCGGGTGGCCGACCACGTGACCGGATGGGAAATGATCAGATAGTAGATTGCTGGAGCTGAAAGGGGCTGTGAGCTTCTCCAGCCCAAAAGTCGATACGAATGCACGGCTCCACGAGGTGCAAACCGGAACAGAGGGTCCCTGCGCAGGTGATGTATCATGCATGGCTACTCTCCACATGACCCAGGCATCGGCCTCCGACTCCGCCTCCCGCTCGCCAATGGCAACTCGAGTGAACTCCTCTTGTAACCAACCAGGTTTTCTTTCTCGTTACACGCGAACGATCGTCCGATGCTTGCCTATTGAGCAAGTAGCTTAGCGCCGAATAGATGCGCTTGGTGTGATGATTTGCGGGGCAACCTTCGCTTTTGCCCTGTGCATCTTTCGCGCGGAGTAACCGGCATTACACAGCGCTTAAAGCGCCAGCCATTAAGGAATCGACTATTTCAGTGCCCTTCGAAAAAGCAAACAATGTGGGACCACTTTCCATATCGAACAGATGACCCCTTGAATGAGAATTCGGAACTTTTCTTCATTGAGCCAAAGCGCAGAGATAATCAGCATGGACGCCTCCCAAATCTTCCTCATCTGAAATTCCAGAGAAAAGAGACTTTGCCCAAAGCAAGTCCCCAATTTGTGTTGATTGCATTCTAGTCTTTCAGTGACTGGACGTAACAACCCCTCATGCCTTTCTCACGCTCCATCAACATTGTTGGATGCCATGCCGAAGGCGAGGTGGGCGATGTGATCATCGGCGGAGTCTTAGATGTGCCCGGCAAAACGATGTTTGACAAGCTCGTTCATTTCGAAACCAAAAAAGACAGCCTGCGTCAACTGCTTCTCAACGAGCCCCGCGGTCGGTCGTCCATGAATACCAATCTCGTCCTTCCGCCCTGTGACCCGCGTGCGGATGCTGGCTTCTTGATCATGGAGAGTGAAGAATATGCGCCCATGTCCGGCTCCAATATCATCTGTACCACAACTGTGCTATTGGAGACTGGGATGATCCCAATGACAGAACCCGTTACCAAAGTAACATTGGATACTGCCGCCGGGTTGGTGACGGTCACCGCGGAATGTGAAGGAGGGAAATGTAAAAATGTGGAGTTCGACAATGTTCCTGCATTTGCTTTGGAATTAGACTACAAAGTCCAAGTGCCCGGGATGGGGCAAGTATCTGTCGACATTGCATATGGAGGCATGATGTATGTATTAGTTGATGCCGCTTCCCTGGGATTGGTAGTCGACAACCAACACGCCCGTCAATTAGTGGAGATTGCGGAGAAAATCAAACGTGCGGTGGAGGCTGCGTATACTCCGGTTCATCCTGAAAACCCTGGTATCAGGGGATTTAGCGTCCTGGAATACACAGTGCCCTTGAGAATGGAAGCCGGCACTAAGGTGGCAATGAACGCAGTCGTGGTCTCGCCAGGGCGATTTGATCGCAGTCCCTGCGGCACCGGAACATCTGCGCGCTTAGCGGTGATGCATTCTAGAGGCCAAATCAAAGAGGGAGAAGTCTTCAAGCACCGGAGCATCCTGGGCACTGAGTTTGTTAGCCGAATTCGGGGCATCACGAAGGTCGGGAAATACTCTGCTGTCCTGCCGTCTGTCAAGGGTCGAGCTTGGATTACAAGCTTCAAGCAGGTCGTTCTGGATATAACAGATCCTTTTCCAGAGGGATTTAGAGTTGGAGACCAGTGGCATCTGGCACCGAACTAGGCATTGTTTTTTGAATGTTCTTCGAGTCTCGAGTGAAAATGATTCGAAGCAATATGCAAGGTTCAGTTATTTTGCACATGTCGCATCTATAACTATCCGCTACGCCCTAGTCTAATCTTTCAACTCTTCTCTCTCGTTTTGAGTACCGTTGAATTGATTTTAGGCATGACTAGCTGGATGCCCGGATTGGCGCAAGATGCGAGTTCCGCCTGCTACCCTGCTGGCGGACGAATCTTGGGTAGCGGAGCCATCTTTTCCCTGATAATCATCTTTCCAATCGGGAGCAACAAACGAGAATCAAGAGATCCAAGACACCTTGCAGATATAAAGATATGGAAGGTCGATCACGAGTGCAATAGAAGAATAATCAAGCTTCAGACGACTTGTATTCAACTTGTATAGATCTTGATTATGTCACTGATGAAACATTGAATGGAACAGTTCGGGTTTACAGGGCAACTACTCGCAGGATGAATCTACTAGAGACTTTCCTTATCTGCGGTACGGGAAATAGTTTGTAGCGCCCTAAAATGTTCGAAAACACTCTTAATATCGACTAGAGTATGCCGGATCAGGATTAACGCAGTTCATGATGGCGGGGCAGTTGAGTCTACCAAACCACCAAGTCAACAACTGAAAGCATTAAGCAATAACATAGGCTTAAAGCCCAAACGGGTATGTTTCCTCTTTCCCAAGTGGTGTTGCGGGCTGAATGGTCTCGAGAGGGTTAACGGCGTGTGTGCGGTCAAACCAGATGTACCCGTCGAACTGCTTGTAGAGATGGGCTTGTGAATAATGTGAGATTTTCTCGGTATCCGGCCGGTATATGACGCCAATAAACCGCTCGAGGCGATTCTTCTCTTTGGAGAGCGCAATCCGCAGAGCAGGATCGAGGTGCTCGTGCCGGAGATCAAGAAGGAAACGAGGAACTCCGGTGTCGTGAGCTATGATCTCCCAACTGTCATCTCGCGAGGGATTGACAGCCATGACTTCCATATCGTCATCCCATTCATGCGCTGCTGCAACAGTGCCAGTGTGAGTTCCACAGCCAAGAATCGCGACGTTTTCCGGGCCCAGTCGCTCTCGACACAGCTGGCCAATGTTGATTTCCTTCCGACGGGTCCCCATGCTCGTATACCGAGCATCACCCACATGGGAGTTGTGCGCCCATACGATAGCCTTGTGTTCTGGTGGTGGGCGATGCTGTAAGAGACGTTGTAAAGTGTCGAACATATGTGTATCTCGCAAGGTCCAAGAAGTAGCCGAGCTCCAGTACATCGCCTTGTAGTACTGCTCAGCATCTCGCACCAGGTAGGCATTTTGCTTGCTGCTCTGGAATTCCTCGCCATCCTGTGGGTCGGATTGCAAATATTCTAATCTGCTACTGAGAAGATTTCGTAGGATCCTCACCACCGACGACTCGCAATCTTTCATTCCGCGCATGGAGGCCAGGCCGTATCCCGAAGGTTCATCGATCCAAGGCTCCAGGCACCCGTAGCGACTGCGGGCCTCTTTCGCAGCCTGCGGGTCGACGCGGTCAAGATATTCCACTACCGCGCGAATTGAAGTGCCCATGCTGTACAGATCTAGTCCGTGGAAGCCGACACGTCTGCCGGGTGGTTGCGATTTGTTCCACTCGCGCATCCACTCGACCAACTCTTGCATCTCTCGGTTGCGCCACATCCAGGTCGGAAATCGCTTGAAAGGCTCAAACATTTTGGCCTTGCCTCCAATTTGTGCTTTGGGGCCAGGCCTGAAGCGAACATACCGGTCGATAGCTTCGGCATCCGGCCAATCTGCTTCAACAGTGACCATAGTGTAGCCATGCTTCTGGATTAGCCGCTTCGTGATCTCTGCACGCGCCTGATAGAATTCAGATGTGCCATGACTACCGTCGCCGAGAAGCACAACCTGTTTATCGGCAAAGGAGTCGAAATAGGATGCGAAGCTTTCGTCTTCAATTTCTGGGAGAGGCTCTACGGCCCTGTTAAACAGGTCTTGTAGCTGTGCCATGGGTGCTGACAGTCGTCGCAGGGATGCTGAAGGTCTATAACGAGCCAGTGTGATGAGATGGGTAGCTAAGTATGGTTAACTCACCATTTCGGGTTCAAGTTGTTTATATGGACAGTGCATCTGGTACTTCTGGTGCAAATGAGATCATACCCGAATAATTGTCCAGTCATCATGACTTCACGGCCGCTGCGGTAAATTCCAACCACAGCTCGCAGGCAACCCAGCGAAACTCCCTAACCAAAGGATAGTGTCGTATGTTCTTTCCTAATGACATATTTCCAGTGGCGCTTGCCGCGATTCCCACGCCCAACGTATCCCACATTCCGCTCACCAGATCGACATAAGCGGCCCATTCACACGGCAGGCTCGACCAGCATGGCCCTCCCCATTAGCAGTCCGTCCCCAAAGGTGGACCGCTTCCAACAGGCGATGCAGTCTCTCTATGGCAGCTTCAGCAACATAATCGAACCCGACAAGTGGACCCCGCCTCCAAAATCGGGTGGCCATCGCGGCCGATATCTATGGACGGACGCATTCGGAGTAATCAACCTGCTAACCATGCATAAAGAGTATAGAAAAGCAGGCGGCGAGTCGTGTCAGGATGACCGATACCTTGTGCTGGCGCGCCGACTGATCCAGACCGTCCACGAAGTATTGGGTCGCACGCGAGATGGACGGTCGCGATTACCAGGAGCCACAGACCAAAACCCTCTCGGCGGCGGGCTGCGCATTGGCAAGATGGACGCGCATGGATCTGACTGCGATGGCCAGTACCACCACTATTTGACGGTGTGGATGTTCGCACTCAACCGGATGGCCGTAGCGTCGGGCGACATGAACTACAACCGACAAGCGGTGGAGCTGGCGCGCGCCATTCACCCAAAGTTCTTCGTCGATCGCTCGACTGCACGCCCACGGATGGTCTGGAAGATGTCCATGGATTTATCCACCCCGCTAGTCAGATCAGAGGGCAACTTGGACCCCATCGATGGGCTCGTGACCTTTCGTCTACTTCAAGCGACAGCCGCAGAAGCTGGGGATGGGCAAGTCTTGATGGAGGAGATCTCTGACTATAAACGAGTGATGGAACGGAAGGGCGAGCATTTTGTCTCCAATGACCCACTGGATTTGGGCATGACCTTGTGGACGGCGCATTGGTTCTCGGAAACGGAAAGCTGGGCATCGAGTTTGGCAACCAGATGCTTCGAACAACTATGTGAGTTTCCTTCGGGCATTTTTCCTCCTCACTCTAAGGATCCCTCGCTGCTGTTCCTCGGGAGATGCTAAGAGCTTTCTGATCGTAGACGATCTGTTTGAGATCAACCGGTACCTCGAGCGTAACATCAACCATCGCTTGGCGTTTCGTGAATTTGGAACGTGCTTGGGGCTGCAATGCCAAGCACAGCAGACCACTGAAAAGGAACGAGCTGTCGATCTCAAAACATGGTCAGATACAATCGTTGCTGCGTGGGATCCATACATGGAACTTTCCATCTCCGAAGGTCTCACGCCGGAGGACCTACGGCCCATCACACGAGTTATGTATGCCTCGGCTTTGATCCCCGGTGGTAAGTGGTCCCCGAAGCCTATCATGAACCCTTCGAGGCTAGGCCGTGGCTTACTCTCCTCGGTTTTCTGCTAACGCTTTCGTTGCACCCAGCTTTCTGTTCGGGGTACTTGGGTCCGGAACCAAAATCCACGGAGGCCAGTTACGGAGTAGAAACCCCATGATCAAGAGCATGGAGTTTGGGTGGCATATCGAGAGAGGAAGCCAACGAATGAAGAGAATGACCAGGTTTTGATGTTCACATTTACCTGCAAGTAAATTCATGAGCACAGAGGCCACGGTAAATGCATGATCGTGTTTGGAGCTGATGGGATCTATCGCCGAACTTTATCTACACACACAGAAGCGAAATATGCGAAATGCTACTCTATAACCCTGGGATACCAACAATCTCCCTCCACGGTGCGAGTCGTCTCGGGAGTAGGTAGATGACATATACAGTGCTCAGGGCGACGGCTAAGCCGGACCACTATGGCAAGAGAACTGTTAGCTCAATTCGGAGGGGTGAAATATAGACCAAAATTGAACACTCAAAAACGAACTTTGTGGAGGTCTAACGGGACAGAACTCACCTTTTCTAGCCAGGTATGAAACCAGATGGCGGTCATGAAAAGCATCCACCAGCCTAGCCCAACCACCCCCCAAACCAAGCGCATTGACCATTTGGTTGCCAACCCGAAGTCACCATTTTGAGAACTGGCCCCGGACGCATCCGGATCGCTCGCTTTTCGTTCACGGACATCCTCCCCGGTGCGTGTAGATACCCAAAATGCGGAGAACGCCCCAACACCGACAGCCTCAAAAGCCAGAAGTGATGTGGACACCACCAGCATGAACACATGCCCACTGATGTCGTGTCCGCCTCTCCATGCCCCACCCGCGGCCTTACAGGTTGCCGCAGAGAAGAGGGTCGCTAGCTGGGCTGAAGGGCTTTCATCCAAACCCACGTTTTGCACCCGGCTCAGCGCCTCCTCACACTTGCCGCCCGTGACGAGAAAGCTGCGATCGATGATTGCGGGGCCGAAGAACCATTGTGTCATGAAATACCATATCGTGGTCGCGAGTGTATAACGCAGGAAGGCTTGGAGCGCCCGACGGACTCGTGTTTGTTGCGCCTGGGAGAGCGAGGACGAGGAGCGGTACGCGGGCTGGAAAAGAAGCAGCGAGGCGAAGGCAATGGTTGTCCACAGCCAACCAATTTTCACAAAGTAGAGATTGAAAATGTTATCCTTGCGCGCGAAATAGTTGACAGGGCTTTGGGAGAGGTGGAGGTCGGCGGCGAGAGACGGTGCCAACGCGCCCGCCGACTGCGGCGCTCGCGAAGACGCTCCGCTGGTGGAGCGAGCTACTGGCGAAATCACCGAGAACAATGACCCCAATAGCAAGGTGGCCGGGTATACGAGGAGAACGGCCGGGGAGGGTGCAGGGCGAGCGGGTGCGGCCATTATTGTCGACGAAGAGACCCCAGGTCGCGAATGTCTCTCACAGCCAGGTTGATGATTGTGATTAGTTCTGAGGGGCAAGAGGTACCAGAATGCAGTCTGCGGACATGGCAGTCGCAATCAGAAGGACTGAAGCAGGATTGACGGGGACATATGCTCAGAGTGCCTTGACAGCTGGACGGATGACATCAACTCCGCCTGCCGGCCCAGGCACCAACAATTCATGCCGTATTAACCAGGCATTCAATTTCCCGGTTGGAGGGGGAACAATCAAGTCGGAAGCTTCTAACGCGAAACAAGACAACAAACTGATTTGGAGGAACTCATATGTATAGAGGCGGCTACCAGAATGTGGAAGCAGCATGCTGGACATAACCCGTCAAACGAGACCAAACCTTCCGCGAGAGCATCGTCCAATTGCCATCGCCGATACAGCTTCCCACGCGACCTCTCAGCTCTATGCAGGCCGCATCGCTTTAGCCGCATGCATTCGAATAACTATCCTTGGGACCAGGAGTTTGAGGACGTGAGAATAAGGGTGTTACATACCATAGGGTCACGCCTCACTTCCCTTCCCTCATCGGACTCGTTTCCATCACGGGGTTTTGTATCATACACCTCGCTACAATAACCTTTGGGGTCTGTTAAGGTTATATACACTTCGGGTTTCCCCCAAAGAATAAGCTTGACATCCCTAGATGGGCCGATGTATCAGTGCATTCTCCAACGCCCGTCTGGGGAGTACTGCTGCCAATAGCGAGACCCTCGTCTTCCTCGCCAATGGCTGCATGGATCCAAGTCACTTCCCAACCTCCCGCTGGAAGTTCACTTGGCATCGTGAGAAAGAAATTAAGAGAAAATCTCCGCCACCCCGGACACGCCCACCCGGCCACACTGAGTCTGAGAGATGAGACATTGAATACAACAGGCCCATGCGAGCCGACTGTCGGAGACAACATCGGCCCCGGTTGTATGCAGCAGGGACATCGCTGCATAACCACGGAAATATTTGCCGCATGGCCCTGACGACCCGAGGAGCGGGTTTTCAACAAGAATTCAACCGGGTGGGGACAACTGTTGCGCGACCATTTTTACGGTGATCGGGATCTGGGCACGCTTCATCTCCGCTTTTAGTGGCGACCACCCAAGCTGCTGGGTTCGCCTCTGCAGGCCGATTCTGTGGTCAGCACCACACCGTATACGAGATCAGCCTGCAACGGGAATTTCTCGTTGGACCCAGCCTGGTCCGGGTGCTCCGAGCCTCTCCCACCCTTTGGCACGGTCGGACGAGGCGTGAAAGCCGTGTTTGACCATCGCTGGCGTTTGATTATCGTCGAGAGGCTCTGTCTCAGCATGGATGAAAAGAGCTTAGCGCCCTAAGCCCACCCCCCAAAAGTCAGCACCGGCGAGACGTTGGGAAGATCACCATTCAGGACTCCGTACAAGGACCCAGTGTGCAAGTATGCGCCGGAGATACAGAACACAGAAGGTCCCACGGGACTGGGCATCCGAACGAGTGTTGCATTCGCCAGAGGCAAACCGCTGTATCACAGCCTACTCAACTCTTTGCAATGCCCCACTGCGGCCGGTGATTGGACACCAAATGGCCCCTTCCCTGGCTCAGCGGATCTGCACACAGCTGGACTAATCACTTCGGCACATTCCAATGGACTAGCGGTCGACTCCTTCCTAGACTGCTCACTAATGCCCGTGAGAGCCTTTCGAGAGCCCGAACCAAACGGTCGGGACCGCGACACTTGGTCATGTAAGTGCGAGGACGAGTATTAACGGGCGGTGCATGAATCGCTTAACAGCGCTGGACCCGGCATTCTGGCACACTAACGGCTGTCGTGAAGCTGGAGGGGTCATAAGACTCCGGTCGGTGTGGCTGTTGAGCATCGCAGTCTTCCAATTTTCTCACACCTTCCAACCCTTCCCGTGAAGATTTGAGGGCGGCCGACGAGCATTCTCTCGCTCATCCACCTACGTGGGCTGGCCGGATTCGTTGCGGCATGCATCACGGCATGCAACATGGCTCGGATGCCATCGAGCCCGATGTTAGTGTCGCTCGGAGAATTAGTCCGAAAGTCGAGCTGCTTTCCAATACTAACCCCCGTGCGTAGTTCTCGGATGCTGATTCAGGTTTCCCGGGGTCGTAAGTATAGTGTGACAAGCGACGACGCGTACCCTTCCGCTGACCCTTTGATAAGGCTAAGTAATGCCAGTTACACCAACAGTATCACATCAAGTGCCCTAAACTATCAGTATGTCTCTCTCGGAATTGAAAAAAAAATAACAATCCTTTTCTTACTCGGCAACCCATCGCTAATAAGTTAGATACGAGGTACATATCACAGGAAACCACGCCCCTTCCAATGAATCCGAGCTATTGCTTAGTGTCTAGAACGGTCGCAGATATCATTCCTACCATGAAGGCGAATACGTCCTGGTAGGTCAATCCTGGTCAATCGCCTGCTGATGAATCTAATCTAATTTCTGGCCCCAGCCTAACGATGAACAAGAACAAGATCGTCTTGATCTGGTTAGTGCTTACCACACCTCATCGATCTGATCTTATCAGGATTGACCGGAGTCCCGAGGACAGAGCCATCACATTTATTTAATGCTTCTAAAAGGAGAGCTCCATGTCGCTCCAATTACCAAACCCAGGAGAGTACTAGATCTGGGCACAGGCACCGGAATATGGGCCATTGACTTTGCAGAGTAAGCTATATCTTGTGATGTGCTCCTCTATCATCCACTGACCCTCGCTAGCGAGCACCCGGAAACACAAGTAGTTGGTATGAGGCACCTTCTTGGATTTTGCAGCGATAGAACCCGGGGTATGGACTAATTCTGTACAGGAATTGATTTCAGTCCTATCCAACCATCATGGTACATATTACTTACGCTGGCTCTGTTACAATTCCCTGATACCAATGAGTGTTTGCAGGGTACCGCCTAATTGTCGCTTTGAAATCGACGACTTTGAACAACCATGGTCTTACAGTCAGCCGTTTGACTTCATCCACGGGCGCGAGCTAGAGGGCGCTATTCGCGATCATGACAGATTATTCCAACAAGCATTCGAGAACTTGAATCCAAAAGGATGGTTCGAGATGTCGACTATTGAAGTCAATACTTATTCCGATGACAGATCACATCTCAAGGCCACAAGCATGCTGGAAAGTGTGAAACACTTGCACGCAGGGTCAAAGATGTTCGGAAAGGATATGGCCTCCGTGGTTTCGTGGAAGGAGAAGATGGAGAATGCTGGATTCACTAAGGTGAAGGAAGCAATTTTCAAAGTACCCACCCTGACCTTTCAACGGAAACAATATGCTAATTTCGATATAGCTTCCACAAAGCCCCTGGCCCAAGGATCCTAAGCTCAAGGAGCTAGGCCGGTATCATCAGCTCAACATGCTAGAGGCCATGCCGACTTATAGTTACGCGCTATTCACACGCATGCTTGGATGGGATCGAATTCAGATCGAGGCGCTTTTGGTAGGCGTACGCCACGAATTAAAGGATTTGTCGAACCATTTGTATTCAAAAGTACATATAGTATACGGGCAAAAGCCCGAATGACCCTGATGGAGGGTCCGAAAAGTAAATAATATCATCTGAAGCCACCAGGATAACCCACTTACCGCATTCAAAAAAGCACTACGTGACCATTCGCCCTCTTTACGTGTGAAGAAAGACCCAAATATCATGTCCCCCCCACCCCCCTCATTCTATGCTACCAAATGATCTGCGGTTCGCAGATTCCAAAAATGCCTCTTGTGAAGGTCCGTCTTAATTCTTGACATGACGCGCGTAATACCATGAGGTGGGAGCTTGACGTGAAGGTTTGCGGATCGCGAATTTCATCTCATAGTTGGTCCAACAAATGACCTGGGCAGCGCGAGGGATACTATTGTCTGTCAGCCTCTAATAGCCATCGAAGCACCACATATGATCTCACTCTAACAGCATAAGAGTATAAAAGAAGGATTGCGTCGAGCTTTAACCGCTGTAGAGTTATTGAACATGCAGGGCCAAGGCGCCTGTCCAACTAAGCGCCGTAATCGACCGAGCCAAATCTTGTGGTTCAGAATGATTTTTCTTCACCCATACTGTCAACACTGATTATGTTCACCTTGTATTTCTCAATGGGTCTTGGACAGCCGTGATTTCAGCGAATTTCGTCGATCTCCTTGCTGCCGCTCAAACTGCGGACAACCGCCTGGGTATATCCTACTTGAGGAGACTCATAGATTCGGATCTGCTATGCGAAGAATGTTGTACTTATATCTTCTCTCCTTCTTCTGAAAAAGCAATATAAGTTCGGATCTGACATGCGAAAAGTGTTCTTTCTAAATCTCACCTCTTGCCTCCTAAAGCAACATGCTCTAACCTTGTTGACACTTTTGAGTCCACATCCCTCTATCTAATTTTGCTTTTTGGGGTACACTCTCCATGTTACAATTCAATGCGATTGCTTCACGATCACCGGCCCTTCCGTATCTCATTGTAGGACAATAAGCTCATCTTAGCCAAGCATGTTCTGAAGGTAAAACTAGCGTCCCTCCCGTGGTCACTTGTTCCCCGCATCGCGTGGTAAAGTTTACGGATTCTGATTACAAAATTCGCCGCTAGAGTGACTCGGCTACATGGCTTAAGGGATCGCTTTTAAAATAAGTCGAGAATCTTTCTTGATATTAACCACAACTTCCGAAAGGTAGCAACGAGAGCTAGACTACTTCACAGACTAAACAAGAACATACCTAGGTAAAGAATGAATAGTCGGAAACGCTGCACGATATCAATTACTGTCTCAACAAGGTGAGGGCTAGATGTTTAACGTGATTGTCGGAAGTCCCAAGTAAGATCATGTGGATAGAAGCTTAAGAACTATTAGAATTGCTCTTCGAGTCTTCGACTCCACCCTTGTTAACAAAAAGAAACAGGTATACTAACTTAGTGACGGAGTTTGACCACGAGCAAAAGCTCCAGAATGTGGCTTCGGATCGTATGGAGTAGACGGAGCATTCGGAAATATTGTCTCATGTATCCAGCGACGTCTATCCGGAATAATTTATCTAGTCCTGCCAAGTACCCGTCGAAAGTCATTTCTTGCCCGACTGCTAGTGGGATTGCTTGACCCAATAAATACTCCTTCATGCCGTTTAACAAGGAAGATTCAATGATTTTCAATTTTCAGTCATCCGTTTCTAACGGTTATGCTACACCATCTTTACCATGAAGTTTTCGCGCCTATCTTTCCTGTGTTTGGTATAGCTGTTGACGCCTATCACGGCCTTCGGATTGAATCAGCATATGAGTCGCCTACTTCTACACCTGGAAACTCAATAAAGCTTGAATGGATGGACTGCGACCAAAATTTGCACAAAGGTCACTGGAAACACTCTATATGACCTTGTCAACTGTATGGCCGGCGACTGCATGACTCTTTCTCAATTCTCAACCGCCGTCGGAGCTTATGTCGATGATTTGGCCCGCCAGCTGAACAACTTGAGGACCAATGACAATTACATAGCATAACATGTGATCGAAAGTGTCAACAAGTCTACAACCAAGAAAACATTTCGACCTTGCTCAGGCCAGCGGGAAAAGGGTTAGCAGGCCCACTGTCAGGAATTATTCTCTGTATATAACAATATCCTACTAAGCCGCCTATATATAGTTTATACAAAACCCAAATCCTGGCATCTTCTAATCAATCCCCTTCCTAGATTTTCAACCCCTCCTTGTTAGATGTCATACCTAAGCCATTCGTAAAGAACCTTCGCCTCCAGGAAAGTCGGAGCTAAGAGGCTCGTCTACCATATGGTTCAAATGGAAACAAGAATGCACAAATAGCAAGACCACCATACAATGCACCACATATGAAAATGGGTCCTGTAGTTGCCGTGTTTGCAACGGTAGCAATAACAGCTGACATTACGCCCATAAGCCTGCCGAAAGCCACTGCAATACCATTGCCCGTGGCTCTATGAGCAGATGGTAGCACCTCGGCTGTATATCCATATAGTGTACCGTAATATATCTCTAGAGTGAAAGATATGACGCAGCTGTACGTGATATTCTCAACTTGAGAAGTGACCTGAGAGTAGGCAAAGAAGAAGGCCACTACCGATATTTGTTAGTGTGGATGATAGGACAACAAATTTTAGATGATAAAATACTCACTGGTAATAACGGCACCAATAATCATCGTATAACGACGCCCTAAGAACCGCCAATTTGCCATGTGACCACCAATCATAGGTCCAAAGATACCACAGACTTGGACTAGAGCGTAATTTCTCCAAGTCTCATATGTACTGGTGATACCGAATTCAATACCACGACTAGCGAGATACGAGGGCAAGAATACATTGAACAAGGGGTACGCAAGTCCAATCATAGACCACGACAACCAGATGAGAAGAGTCGTGAAGGCCACCTCTTTCGTCATAAATAAACTTCGGATATGGATCCAAAATTCACCGATGGAGAATCTAGATTTTGAGTGAGCGGAGCTGATAGTACCACATGCTTCAAGCTGCTCCACGGTCAGGGAACATGGCCGGTCGTATTTCGATGCCAACTCTTGGAAACCCTCTATCACTTTCGCATCCTCGCCTTGTCCGAGAAGGAATTTCGGAGTTTCCTTGAGACGGATAACTGTGACTCGAGCAAGACTCATGGCGAATATCATTGCTCCCATGGTGTACATCAGATACCTCCAGCCGCTGTTGTTGGCCTTGGTGCAAGGTGTAAATGGTGCCGCATTTGGGTTGGAACAGCTGTAGTTGGCTATAGATTGCCACACATCAGGAACTCTTCAGGTACTAGGATAATTCACGACTGAATTTTAGGTAGTAGGGACTTACGCATAAAACCCCAAGCAACCAACCCTGCGATCGTACATCCAACTCCCCACCAAGCAGCAAGCCAGATTACAAGCCATTGCTTGTTGGAGGGTAAATATTCCAAGAAGACCGTAGTATCGAGAACTAGATTTCCACCAGCACCGAATGCTGAGAGGGCAATGAAGAATCCAAGCGAACCCCAGTTGGGAGCTGCGCCGGCGACGATGGTGAAAACCGCACAGATGAAGAGTGACACGTTGAAGGCGACCTTCCGTCCGAAGATGTCAGCGCTAAGGCCCCAAAACAGGGCACCGACAAGCATCCCGGTGTACACTGCGATTGTGAGGCCCGTTTCGTAGGAAGGTTGAAATTCGTAGACTGCCTGTGTGGCGATGATTCCTTGGAGTGAAAGTTGTAAAGCGTCCACGGCATACCTTGTATAAGTTTAGTATGGTAAAAGGTTTAGAATGTAGAGAGGAAATGGCAAATCTTACCCAAAGCCATTAAGAAAGAACAATTTCAAGTGATATGGTGTCCAACCAATCTCGTCCAGGGTCTGTGCTATGTGAATTAGTGAAAGGAACCATCGGAGGAAGACGTTTTCATATGTGATCATCACGAACATTGTTCACAAGGTGCATCTTTCTACTCAACGCGGGATCGAGGTCCAGAACAGCCAGGATCTCTTGCCCCTGATCAATGTTGTCGGGAGCTGAGTGATTCGACTTAGCTCCCACATTCCTCTCCTCATTGTTGAGATGGCCCTTCTGGGGGCTCTCCATCGTGACAGGGGTTCTTGCAGACATAGAGGATTGCAGGAGAAAGAGGATAAATAGTTATAGGGATGCTTTTATCAATCATAAAGATAGAAAGAAAAGGGCAGTCCAGAGCCACCTGTTTCTGCAGCGATGTCACAATAATCTACTACATAGCACCATGACCCATAGGAGATCTACTAATTCCTTTCCTTATCTTCTCCGAAAAATAGAGGAAACACATGACATTTCGCCTGTCCGGGTATCCCTGGCTCCGGTAGCGGGACTTTGAGAGGTCCGTGTAGGAGTTGCCATGATAAGGCCTTAGCCGCGTAACCATTTAAGCGATCGGATAAGATTAGGCTCTAAACCACTATCATTACCAGAATTGAATGAATCGCGACTGACAAATAGCAGTAGGCTACAAGTCTAGAAGCTCAGGTCCAATTGATAAGGATCGCAAATAAGGATCCTCTCATTTTACAGTTCTTGATCATCCTGCACTCTGCTATGCTACTGTAGTTGTTAGACTGAACCCTTTGTGGCGCCAAGAGGCGGGATGTGTAATCTAGAAACTATTTTCAAGTCGTTTTACAGGGGTTGACATTTTCTGGACCACTCGCTGCTTCCCTCTCTGCTGTTCAATAGGGTTGGCCAAGAAACCTTAGGAAAAATCTCGGCCGTGATCACTTCCAGTCAGCAATAATCTTTCCTATCTCCCCGAGTGCCGATCAAAATATCCACCTCAGATGGTCAGAATAGGTCTTTTTTCAAAAAAAATATTCACGAAGCCTGTTCTGACTTTCGGCCACACGAAGTACCCCACCCCCACGCGCGAATGCGGACAACCTGCGGGGTAGGAGCTCCACCGAGAAGGTCAATAGTTTCGCCACTAACTGCAACGGTAATATCTATCGGATACTACCTACCTAGCTACAGTGGGTATTGTCCCAGCCGAGTTCGGAGCCTCACTTGCCATATATGAATGTGCCTGTTAGTATACACCGTCAACTCGGGCCGCCTTTTTTAGCGTCTCTGGGCGCACATCAGTCAAACTTTTACTATCAAATTGTCTCCTGACTAGTACGGTCTGATTTGAAGCTCGAATCCCAGACAGAGTGTTTTTCAGATGGCGATTTCTACCATGTCTGCTGCGAATGGACAGAGAGATGGAACACTGGAAACTTGCAGTGATCTCTCCAACCTCGAAGGGCCCGCACTGAACTTGACAGTCCTGGGACTGAACAGCGGCACCTCCATGGTAAGCACAGCTCTTACGCCAACATCTTGGAGAGAACCAAGCTCTGACCGCAATTTAGGATGGCATAGACTGCGCACTTTGTCGATTCCGCCAGCAGGATCCTTCCGGCCCGGTGACATTTGAACTCTTGAAGTATGGCGAGACTCCTCTAGACCAGCAGATCAAGAGACGAGTGATGAATATGATTTTGCACAACTCAACATCGCCCGAAGAAATTGCCGAGATCAATGTTATCCTCGGCGAGGCTTTTGCGACGGCTGTGGAAGAATTTACCATTAAGCATGGTATTGACAAATCCAGCATCGATGTCCTTGGATCTCACGGCCAGACGATATGGCATCTTTCTATGCCGAATGAGAACCAAGTCAAGACGACTCTCAGTATGGCAGAAGGCACGATTCTGGCAGCTCGGACTGGAATTACAACGGTATCCGATTTTCGAATCAGCGATGTAGCTGCTGGACGTCAAGGGGCCCCGCTTATTGCATTTTTTGATGCTCTGCTTTTGCATCATCCTACCAAGCTTCGTGCATGTCAGAATATCGGCGGAATCGCCAATGTCTGCTTTATACCACCTGACAGCCATGGAGGCGTGGATGAGTGCTTTGATTTCGATACTGGGCCTGGAAACGTTTATATAGATGCAGCAGTCCGACACTTTACTAACGGCGAGCGGGAATACGACAAGGATGGTGAAATGGGGAAGCGCGGCCAAGTACACCAGGAACTCGTGGATGAATTCTTGACACACCGATACTTTGGACTGGAACCACCCAAAACAACGGGCCGCGAAGATTTCCGGGACACTCTAGCCTTTGATCTCATTTCAAAGTGCCAGAAGAAAGGGTTATCACAGGATGACATCGTGGCAACCATTACTCGAATCACCGCGCAATCGATCGTGGATCATTACCGACGCTTTGCGCCATCTCAAAATATAGACGAGATTTTCATGTGTGGCGGGGGGCCTTCAATCCAAACATCACAGATTTCATCCAGAAAAGCTACCCAAATACCCGGATTCTATTGCTGGACGAAGCTGGTATTCCGGGAAATGCCAAGGAAGCGATAACATTTGCTTGGCAGGGCATGGAAGCTGTGGTGGGGCGATCAATACTTGTCCCAGCACAAGTCGAAACTAGAAGAGAATACGTTCTTGGGAAAGTATCCCCGGGGGACAATTACCGACAAGTGATGCTGAAGGGTATGCTCTTTGGTGGCAGAGGAAGAAAGCTTCACCCAGTCAAAAACATGGTCAACATTGTCGAGGGAAAGGCCTTTAATAATAAATGGTAGTAAGTCCTAGATACATAGCTCATCAATGAAAATTCTTATATGGGATTGGAAACCCAGTAGGAGAGCTAGAAATAGCTAAGAGGTATATGCGAGTGCAGCACGCATCCAACAGGAATGAAACAAAAATATCAAAGCTAAGGACCTCCGGAGGCTCCGTGTTTGGGGTCGTATGCTGGAACGTTTTAAGATGTGCCATGACAGTCGGGGTTTCCACCGCCATCTACTCTGTGAACGGCGGACCTGTGAATTACTGTATGCGGTTATTTTTGCCTTTCTGCGTTTAGCGTCCCCATACGACTGTCAGGGCAGTCCGGTATAGCAGACCCTAGGTCGAACTAATAAATGACCGTATAGACTAAAATGGTAGCCCGTGGAGCATTTTTAGTCTAGCGGCATTATGCCGCAAAATTTTGTGCGACAACTTAGATTAGAACTTAAAAGGAAATCGTGGTAGAACCCTGATACTATCCTGCCTCTCAAAAAGGTAAGCTCCTGCGAGACAGAGCGATATTTTGAACAGCACAAGATGTAAATAATTAAACGGGCACGTCTAGACACGGGAGGAACTCAAGAAGAAAGAAAGAGAGAAAGCAAAGGAAAACAGAATGTCTGGTACAAAAACAATCGCGAGGTAGTTGTACTTGGCTTGTTCTGCTGCTAAGTTGGCGAGGCCGGCCAGAAGCATCATCTTCATGCGCTTCGAGAAGACGAGAACTTCAGGCCTCGAGCAACACTTCGGCGATCACCCGTCACATTCAGCCAGTGCTTAGTAGTGTAAACCGTTACCCTCACAGTACGGGATAGGATAATCCTTAGACTGGCAAACATAGACAGGACCTTCAACCCACGAGAATCCAGCATATGATGCGGAAACGCGACCATCAGCTTGGTAATAGGAGAGTTTGCCCTCACTGCCAACATCACCCTGGAAAACATAGCCCGAGTTGCGGATAGTCCTTGGGTTGATAACAACAACGCCCCACTTGCCCTCATCAATCGTGAAGGGGTCCGACTCAGTCTGGGTGGTGGACCAGGTCTTAGTGGCGGAGAAACCAAGAGTGGTAGAGAGCCAGTTCTTGATCAAGGTGAATGTGGTGCTGTCGCTGACTGTGAGAGCATTCTGAATGGTTCGTCCATAAGTCAAAGTGATTGTTTTGGGGCCTTGTACAACTCCAGTCATTGGCATATCCCAGTCAAGGAATTCCGTCTGGTCAAAGGGAAGGAGGATAGTAGCAGCGCCGTTGCGTGCCTCAAGGGCGGATCCAGTCCCATTAACAAAGTGGGGCTCAGGCATGGAGAGATTGGCAGGTCTGTGGCCGATGGAGTCAATCACGCCCGAGAGGCGGTTCTTTTCGAACACTTCAGGCTGCCCGTCACGGACGTAAAGAACGTCATTTGATGACAAAGCTTTTGGTACTGATGCGGCAGAGGCAAGGGTCGAGCCTACAACGAGGCCGAAAAGGGTAGAAGAAAGCATTATGTTGTATAATCAAAGTTAATTGAGAAGACAGATAGAATTGAGCAAAGAATGAAGTATATCAGTTAGAAACTGAATAAATAGAGCAAGAAGAAAAATTGTGAAGAGCTTGGGGTGCTAGAATCAGTCATTATCCTGGAAATCAACCATCCTTATATACTTCCAGAGTGAGTAGGTATACACTGCACCTCCTTAACAAGACCATCTATAGGGTTCGGATTTTCCATGACAGGGGGATCCTAGATCCACAGGCTCAAGCCCCATGTGGTAGGGCTTCAGGATAAATCCTGAGCCAGGGATTACCTTACTTCTACTAGTAACTAACCAATAATAATCACTGTAGGCTCACGTGCTGCAAAATCTTTTGTATCAATAACTGCATGAATCAGAAACCACAACACCTCAACACCCTAACGCCACCACTAACCCCCTAATCCCTGTGTGGATCAATTAAAAAACCCATTTTTATGAAACTTACTTCTTCTCTAAGCCAGATTATCAGTAGCTAGGTACGGAGTTGTCGTTACAAGCTGAAAACGTAAAGCCTAGTATGCATTCAAGACGAATAAGATCAAGCGAGTGATTTTCGGCAGAAATCAGGGGGATAAGCCACCCCTGCGGCACGTGTCTGTGTCGCCGATCCTCGGTTGTTACAAAGCCTGAGTGCATGACTAATCCCTAATTACATACAAAATACCGAGCTAATGTGGTCTCCTGTGAGATCCTTCCCTTGCTAGCGGTAAATTATCGCTGAATGTTCTGACCCCCTCGGGCGCTTGGCTTGAACCTCCTGACGCAGCCAGTGTTGGTGGATGTCAACATGGTAGACAGAGTCCACTCGGGCACCGGCAGCAGCACTCTACCTAATAGATACTTTGGTCCTGCCTTTGTAGGCGTATTGTTAGCACTATTTTACGCCACCTGCAAGGGTGTCTCGCGATTAGGCCCTGTCTAGATAATACAGACATTCTCGAAGGTTTTCTTGCTTCGAAAGTGGGGTGGAAGGCGTTAAAACTGTTAGCACCCAGGACCTCATCTCGCGATTAACTCCATTCTATCTTCAGGCAAACCATTATATGCGCGAATTACCGACCTGAATCTCGGCACATGTTAGGTAGTAGCAGTTGCCGGTCCTGGACGGGGCGCAGGGATCCTCAGTAGTGGCACTAATTCACTTCACGTTGAATAGTTAAGCGGGCCCCATAGGGGCCTAGTGAGAAAATGCTGCTGGTATTTTGATCCAGGACAAGCAGCTCATGTCTTTTTCTCATGATATCTTCAGTATGAATTGTGTTCTTGCTGTTGCTTTTGACTGTTTTACACTCTAGAAAATGCATTGGAGTGATGCAGGATGTCGAGCGGGCCGCTCATCTCAAACTCTAAGTTCAATAGTAGGGTCTGATCTATCAAATTAAAGTTCTAGCTAGATCGGAATATCCGGCAAAGTCCGCAGAAAACACAAGGATGTCTCACTTTTACGCCCGTCATGTACTAGAGTGGGTCACTTGAACGGTTTGTAAATCAAAGTGTAGCTATACACGTGGTTATACCCATGTCAGGGGAGATTCTTACTTCTATAGTTCTCAAATACTTAGAGATAGTATTACCAACTCTCCGAAGACCACACTTTAAGATTTAAGATCACGGCATCCCGACCTTTTCTTCTTCCTACTCAACAAATATATTCTCTGATTTATCACTCTCTCTTTCTGTACATTCTCTACTATATTTCCTACCTGGTGTTTATTTACTCTTTACTTATCCCCTCCAACTACAATCATCATGCGTTTCATCACCGTTGCTCTCGCTGCCGCTATGGCCTCAGTGTATTTCTACTCCCCTTTACAACCTTGGAAAGCTATATTAACTTCTCTTACAAACAGTGCTTCTGCCAACCTGCACACCAGTGCCACTTGTGTTAACTGGAAGGGTGGCCAGGTATAAAAGCACTCCCCTTTACTGCTTTTCTATATCCAAGGTACTAATATTGCTTGTCTGCATTCCAGAATGTTGCCAATGTCGGCGCCACTAAAGAAATGTGCCTGGCATACAGAGTGGCCCACATGGGAAGCGAGTGGTGGGACAGTTGCCCTGACTGCACATATGTAAGCTACCTCCTCTCTTGAGTTATTACGCATAAGCTTTGAGGAGTATGATCACTGACCCCAACTTCGCTTATGTAGGTCGAGGTTAACCACCTTCCCACCTGCCACTCCGCTGGAAACCATATGGGAGGCGATCAAATTGAAGCATTTTGCCAAAAGTATGGCGGCGGTGCTGGCGCCCTGGCAAATTAAATGAAGTGTAGCCCCAAGTGTTGCCCCGAAGGGTTCTTATTTGAGTGAACTGGATCAAGCAGTGAGGCTGTTGGTATATTTTAAGTCTAATCTTTCGCTGGACATTGTCCAAACATCCATAGTATAGTCACAATATTGATTTTGAAATTTTGTGATCGTCACATTCAGTCCAATAGTCCCACTCTCCATTTTATTCATATAGATCTTTTGACCAAAAATTGTTTGTGTGTGCTAATAATTGCGTGGAAACTTAAAACACGTAGTGGTCTTGGACTAATTTTGGTAAAATCAGGGAGCTGGTTTAAGCTTGGGATACTAAGACCGGCGGGCCAGAGCTTAAAACCCAATTAGCGAATAATTATTCCAAGATCAGCATAGAACCCTGCGCATCTACTCCGTAAACACTAACGGACGCCCAGTTGGGTGATTTCCAGAAACACGTGTGTTCGGAGGACCCTGACGTTGACTGGGGCCAGCCCTGGGAGTAGTGCATGTATTTCAGTGTACACGCCCTTTTTATGTATAAAGAGCTCTTTTCAGGGTTAGTGCGCGGGTAATGTGAGTGGGTCCCCTGACCCACGTTGTGCTTACCTAGATGCTAAGAGGAGGGCGCCAAGGGCAAATATCCTCGAAGGAGCAAGTCTCTGAGAGCCAGGCAGCTAGCTTGATAGCCCCTTTTGGGGTCCCTAGGAGAGAGGCAATTGCCTCAGAGGGAAGGCCTAGTGTCTTTAGCAAACTTCTTTTCCTAATCCGGCAGAAATGGTGTGCTCAAGGGCAGGGCCTTGCCCCATAGTTCAAGCAGCAGGGCACGCTACGATACCCCGTCGGACGGTCTTCCAACTCTCGTGTGGAAGAACCTCTAAGGAGCCCTAAAATACCCCATCACTGGGATCGTTACGGCATCAATCAAGCTTGAGCACCACCCGAGGCGATGGCGAGGAGCAGAAGTCGTGGTGCTACGCAAGCCCTCGAATCAGGACTATTCGATTGCTGGGGCATATCGCCTGATCTTGCTCCTTAACATACTTAGTAAAATCCTCGAAGTAGTTATGGCTCTACGACTGTCGTACCTAGCGGAGAGAAATAGCCTGTTACCCGATACACAATTCGGTGGGCGACTAGGCAGGACCACGGAATAGGCCTTCCTAGTCCTATCTAGCGCTACCGACCGAGCTTAGTATAAATATGGCGTAGTGACGCTCGTCGCGTTCGATCTAAAAGGAGCCTTCAACGGGGTCAATAAACTTAGCCTCGACTGCCGCCTCCGGGTAAAGGGAATCCCGACCATCGCTCGAAAGTGGATAGGGAGTTTTATGACCGACCGCTTCGCTAGTATAGGCCTTGACGACTTCCGTACCGAGGTCTTACCGCTAGCGAATACAGTACTGGCGCAAGGCTCACCACTCTCACCGATTTTGTTTTCGTTCTCTAACTCCGATCTAGTCGACGAACCGGTCGATTTCCACGGTAGCGTATTAGCCTTCATCAATGACTACTTCCGTTGGCGAGTAGGCCGCTCGGCCGAAGAGAACTTGGCCAAGATAGAATCTGAAGATATCCCTCGCACGAGTTATGGGCCCGGCAGACAGGGTCCTGTTAGCGGCCGAAAAGACCGAGCTAATCCACATCACGAGAGGAAGAATCGAGCAGTTACAAGGATAAGTGGTAATGGACGGTAAAACAGTCAAATAGTCGCCCACTACCAAGATACTCGGGGTATTTTTGACCTTGAGTTACGGTAGAAAGAGCACGCCCAGCAAGCCATCAAGCGCGCCACCAAGGTAGCCATTGCCCCGAACAAATGCGACAGATCTTCCAAGCCTGCATCACACTAGTAGTAGACTAGCAAACTAAAACGAGGCTTCCCACGCTACCTCGATGTCACCCTATTTGGAGTGCCCTCCTACTAGCACAGAAACGGAGAAACAACATCAGAAACTACACTCGTTTTCCGCTAGTAGAAGCTTTGAAGACTATTGACTTACAAAGACCAAATGAACTGAGACGAATGACCCAAGCTCGCTACCACCGTGGCGCGCTAAGGCATTTGCAGAGATTGTGTTTGGATCAGACCGAAAAACGTGGCGCAGCGAGCTGAAACGGCCTAAATTACATCATACACTGTTGTCTACTCAGATACCTCTAGACGCAAGCGGCAGCTAGGTGCTGCCATCACGGTATTCAATATCAGGTTGAAGTAGTTGAGGTCCAAAAGTTCCAGGTCGGGCCAACAGACCGGTGGTCAGTCCATACAGCGGAGCTCATTAGCATCTTCTACGCTATGAGCGTGGTGTTCAAGATCGCCATCAGCAATCAAGTTTGAATAATACAGCAAGAATCGCCAATTCTAAGCGACCGTAGGTCGGCCTTGCAGACAACTCAGAACCCAAGGAAGAGGTCAGGGCAACGGATTGCGCACGCGATCCTCCAAGCCGCCACGGAGGTCCAACTAGGGGGAATTGCGCTTCGCCTTCAATGGATACCAGGGGACTGCAATAAACCGGGAAACGATGCTGCGGATCGATTAGTCAAGGACACCGCGCGCCCAGGCAAACCCCACCCCTTCCGCCCACTACTATCACGGGAAAGTGCGCGTCTGCCCGGCAATATGCTCAACCAGTGGGATCAGGCATGGACGTCATCCAACAAAGGTGATCACTGCGAAAGATCGGCACCTACCAGCAGCCTACACAGGAGGCTATATGTGAGCTTGCCCAGGAACCAGGATTATTAGTCTGAGGATAGACAAAGTTGAACGTTATAACAGGTAAGGCTGCCGTTTCCTTCACTACAGGTAATAATATTGGCTAGTGAGCCTAGAGCGACTATACTGTTGGCCATTGTACGTAAGTACTGGATCAACGCACCTGATATCCTATCTCTTCTTAGAACTTTTCCCTATTCCGCCACAGTAGGGAAACATAATTCCTGAAAATTACCACAGCCGGGCGGGAATTAAAAATTAAGATATTTTTTATTAAAACTGCAGATATAACACAATTCGTCGAGTAATTTAAAGCTGGCTGTGACTGTATCAAAATAGAGTTGAATATATATAAGCCATGTGAAGGTTCCCCAGGACTCTCCAACATAACGGTGAACTAAATCTCTGAGGTCCTCAATAATTGTCCATAACGCGTATTACCTGTCCATTATTCTCAACTAATTACTTGAATTATTTCAAGGGTAGCTATCTGGGTTTGCCCCCGAGATTGTAGCTTTTCGTGCGGCAATTTGTCTTTTCAGCTCCGCCTCTTTGTCTGCCAACACCTGCATTTGCTGCAAGCGTTCTCTTTCTTCCGCGATACGCGCCATTTCCGCCTCGAGCTGCGCCAGCTGCATGTCCGTGCTTTCTACACCTGACGACGGCTGTTCAGTACCCTCTCGAGTATTCACTTGTGGGTTCTGCGACGGCGTACCAGAGTCGGTCAAGGCACTCATTGAAGCATCTAAACCTCCACTTGAGATTGTTTCAGAGGCAGGCGTAGAAGCGGCCGATATGAATGCCTGGCGAGATACCTCGTTACTCACGGATGAGTAGGTTTTAGAAGAGTGATGGCCTAGCGAGATCCTGTGCTTGTGCGTAGCGAGAGCTGCCGCGGGCGGATATTGGACGGCAGAATTGCCACTCAACTCGTAAACACCGGGATTCAGCGTACCGGCAGCCAGGGGTGGCGATTCAAATACAGAACTGCTGTCTGCTTCGTGAAGAGCGGTGCTGTCTGCTTCGGCAGGAAGGTTTTTTGACGCTGGCGAGGGTTCCTCTGGCCACGGTTGTTGACTGATTTCGGGAATGTTGTTGCCGGCACCGGTTCGCCTGTTCTCTCTTCGTTTGCGGAAGTACCAAAATAGAGATAACCCTAATACTATGACGACTAGTGGAATTGCCACTCCGATGCCAGCCTTTGCTCCAGTCGAGAGACCCGAGGAGGATGAAGACGATGCGGTAACTGTAGACGCGCTTCCGGTAGTAGTTGACGTTGGTGTTGATGTTATTGTTTCACTACCAGTTGAAGCAGTCGCTGTCGCCGAAGCCTGTGTAGCCGATATTACCGTCACAGACTGCTGCGAAGAGACTGAATCTCCATAAGCGGTAGTGGAATAGTAGCCTCCATCACTATCACTGGTAGTGGAATAGTAACCTCCATCACTATCACTGGTAGTGGAATAGTAATCTCCATCACTATAACTGACTTGAACCTCTCGTCGTCGATGCAACCTTGCGAACTGAGCCATATACTCTGGCAGTTGAATATTTTCGCCGACCAGCTCGCAAAAGTCGAGAATTCGCGATGGAGTCCCTTCAAAGAGATAGAAATTAGTCATGGTGAGGTAGGAAGCGAAAGAAAACAGGGAGCTACAAACAGCGTTTATCCGGGTTCTCTGGACATGAGTTCATGCAAGCCTCGACATGTTCATCCGCTGCGATACCTGGGATTGATCTACATATGCAGGTGAAGTCGAAGTACGCGCAACCGCACTCCAGAGCTGGTGGATACAAGCATTGAAACTAGAATTTTCCAAATTTCCAAATTGCAACGTCAGTATTCATTCTCAATTGTTGGCCTTGGCCAGCCACGAGTAAACAGAAGCTGCGGCGGACGATAGCGGCCACCTGGGAAAGTGCATAATTTAGGCATATTCAAGACCGCCCTAGGGACCGCTCTGTAACGCAGGAATCGTTCTTTACACTGTCTTTCCCATATAAAAATAGATTCCCCACTTTCTACTTACCCCCCACCTTGACGCCATTTCTTACCGCTAATCCTAGGTGGTAAGCTGAAGCTATTCGTACCATACAATCTGCTAACTCTCGATATCCCTAGGCGTTGAATACCCTCGCTGTTGCCCTCGCTGTAGCCGTCGTTGCATACCCTCGCTGTTGCCCTCGCTGTGGCTGTCGTTGCATGTCCTCGCTGTCGCCCTCGCTGTCGCCCTCTACCATAACACCTTATATCCCTCTTGACGTATACAGGCAGGAGATCGAGGATCTTGTCTAACTTGGGCGCTCTGCTGAAGCTATTCGTATTATCCTGCTTAACAACTATAGTGTTAGCGTTATAAAGCGCACAATTAATAACCGCCTATAGTTATAGAATCTCCTAGCGAAGTCTACTGAAGCTATAGATAAGCGTATTCATGAGCTTCTCTGTCTCTCTCTAAGCACTCAAGAGATTCTCCAAGTGCTTATAAGATAAGGTATACCCTTATCTAAGCGCTCTCTTCGTAAAGCTCGCAAGCGGCTTAGAATATAGCTTCGGGTCGACGATCCTAAAGAACGTAGGCGGCAGGAAGCTAAGATCGAAGCTCTTCTAGTTATAGAGGACTAGATCGGAGATATCGAAGGCTATAGTCGTAGGCTATAATATATCTTCTTTCGTAACTAAGGCTATTTCTATCCTTAGTAAGTAAAAAGATATTAGTAGCCTATACTAATACTAATTTTTCCTAAAGAGATAGGATCTACAAGGTCTACCGAACGATTAACCCTAAAGCTATCGAGCGTCGTCGATCAGACCTCTAACGCCGGAGAGGAGCTTATACTTACCCTAGGCTAAACTAGATATAGTATATTAATAGTTATATAAAGCTAGAACCCTTTAGATTTAAGATATATACCGCTATCGATAGATACTCTCGATTTATTATATAGATTTATATAGGAATCTCTACTCGAACAGTAGTAAGCGTACTCCGTCAATATCTCGACTGTATAGCTTCGAATAGCTTTCTACTACGTATTATACGCACTAATCTAGGCATAGAAATAGTGATATTTAGTAATACGCATCTCGCCCTTCGCTAGTCTACGTCAGATAAAGATCTTTAGCAGAAAGACTACTTCTTCTACGGCCGAAGCACTAAAAATCAACGGATTAAATCCTAGTAAAGACAGCTCGCAGGGTTAAGCGTATTCCTCTTCTACGAATATTTCTATATACTATAACGCGATAGGATCTTCTTAAAGCAGTGTCTTCTAGAGTAGATATCGCTTCTTACTATCTACATATCTATCCTCCGAGCTCATATATACTTATATACGAATACGTAGAATATTCATCTAATTCAGCGACAGTCTCGCCGGCCAAATACTATCCTAGGGAAGCTAGTTATAAACTACTACTATACCGACGTTCAAGATCATCAGCAATCCTTTAACCAAGGACTCCTTCGAAGGCTATAACAAGATATAGAAGAGTAGGATCCTATCGAATACCTACCACCAGCGACTATAGCGTAGTGTCGCTCGCAGCTTTAGCAAATTAGGCAGCAGCTTATAGACATTAGCTTTAACCCTAAAGATCCACTACTTTAGCTCTATAGGGAAAGAGACCAGCTATACCGAGCGGTATATAAAGCACTTCGGCTTCGTACATTACACCACTACCTATCTAGTAAGGAGCCTATACTAGGCGTTTATATAAAGCCGTATAGTATATATTTATAGTCGCCAGCAGCCGAGATAGCTAAGACAGCAACCGAGCTAGCTAAGACAGCAGCGGAGATAGCAGCGGAGACAGCAGCGGAGACAGCAGAGACATAGTTCAAAACAGTATTCACCTCTTATATTAAGCTTAAAGGTCCTTAATTAATTAATCTCGAATCTTAGGCCCTCGTATCTTAGGCCCTCGCACTTCGAAATAGTATCTCTACAGTCCTCCTAATAGGATACTATAGCTACTACTATTATAGCTAAATTATCTTCTTTAATAGCTACGGCAGCTTTAATAGCGGCAGCTTCTTCAACGCCTACACTATTAACACCGATACCTTCAACACTAGTAGCTATAGCTTTACTAGTAACTATAGCTTTATTAGTAACTATAGCTATACTAATAACTATAGCTACACCAGCGTAGCTAAACTCTCGCTTTTCGTCACTTTCTAGCACAGTAAGCGCAGCCCGGAGCTCTTATCTATAACTACGTCAACGAGAAAGACGTCCTCTACTACTACTACTACTACTACTACCGCCGCCGCTACTATAAGAGATTTATATCTCTACGTCCTTCTATCTCTAGGAGAGCCTAAAAGGGATAGAGCGGCTATAGGGTAAGTACTACTACTACTAGAAGAAGCTAGCTAACCTATCTTTTATCTATCAGTATCGGTTTCTCATATATTCCCCTCCTCCGAGACCATCGTCGATATCCTATCCTTCGCGAGAGACCTTATCTCAAAGCTCGATCGGAACGTACTCTAGCAATCAGGATACCAAAAGAGGCTACGAGATCAGTTCCTTCTAGCCGAGGATATTATATAGGGTAAAGAGAAAGGGCCGTTAATCGCCTACTTTCTCTCTAAGTAGAACCTCTTCCTATTCAGAAGCATTAGTAAACTTTACTAGCGCTTCCGGATAGAGAAAGGAAGATATTAGATATACGTTATAATCCTACGATCCTCGGAATAGGTAGCGCTACAATAAGAGGAGAAAGATAAGCTATTTATAGAGCGGCTCTTTAACTACGATACAGATTAGGGTACTACTTCTGTAGTAGTAGCAGAGGATGCTACTACTATAGCACAGGATACTACTACAATAGTAGTAGAGTCCTCTACTACAGTAGCAGTAAAGGATACTACCCCTACAGCAGTAGCAGAGGGTGCTGCATCTCTTACAGTATCTTCCTTATCGAGAAAGCGAGCAGCTTCTCTATCACGACGAAGCCAGCGGCTTAGGCGGCGGCGTCGATAGTAGACGAATATAGACTAAGATGCACCATACAAATAGCTTTAATATCATTATATCAGCGGAAATGACCAAGATGTACTATAAAATAGCTTCATTATAGCGACAGCGAGGTAAATGGCCTTCGAGATAGCACCTCACCACCTAATATCAGCGGAAATGGCCAAGATGCACTAAAAAATAGCTTCATTATAGCGACAGCGAGGTAAATGGCCGTTGAGATAGACATACATGATTTAATATGGGCGTTGTAATAGTAATTCAAGTATCTAAATTTTCTGCCGGTCTTAGAATATGCATAATTGTGCACTTTCCCAGGTGGCCGCTATCGTCCGCCGTACAGAAGCGACATACAGAGCAGCGGGGGATTTCCGAAAACCATGTCACTTTTAGTCGGTCGTTTCCATTGTCCAAGCTTCTGCTGTCCAGGTCTTGCTTTTCTATGCCCGTTTTCTTCTTTTTATCCCCCAGAGAGAAGAAAGCCCCTGAAACTTGAACGGCCTCTTTTATCGCAGCCTGAAGCAACATCTTATCTGTTCCCCGACCTGGGAAAACTTCGCCTGCCGAGAACCAGATTTCGAGGAGAATTCGCGGTATGAAAATCTGTGTCTTGCTGAAAGGTGTGAGAAAAGCAGTGGTTACACCTAGTTCGTAGCATTAATGGGCTCGTGGTGCTTTTGTGAGCTTGGCTTGTTTATTTGCTAGAACTGCCCCCAACCAGGTTGGATCCACTAGTGACCGCCTCTAGCCTATTAGGTACTCCCTACATCCAATCTATGCCTCGCCCGGGCGCGATCGTCGATTCTTTTCGCCGGAGGCTCCAGTACGCACCCTCGTCCCTCGTCTGTGGAAATTACGGCCCCAAGGATGGCTTCATCCTCTCTAATCTTCGATTTTCCCCATGGTTCTTTGTATAGCAAGAGTCGAACAGATTTTCAACCTTAATTACCTTCTCGGTATATCCAGACTCGAATACATTCTCTCCGAAATAATGACAGCCCCATCTTCCTCTGAATCACAACAAGCACGACTCAATCTTGCCCCCTGCTACTGCATTTTCTGCTGCATTAGTTTGTGACCGGCGCGAGATTTAGTGCTCGAATAGGTTAGAACGATCCCGGGGAATTGCCTCCAATTGAGCGAGACCCGGGTAGTTAGTTTTTAATGGGGACCCTCAGCTCGAGTCCAGAATTTGAAGCGCGTCGTCCAATATACTGAGCAAAGCACTGAGCAAAGCAATATATTCAAGTAGCATCGCAGAACTTTCTGGTGTCATCCGAACAATGCGGGTTGATGGCTGGACCAGCCAGGGATATGTTACCGAAGTGGAATACACTGGTGGCTATGGGGATATTTGCTACAGCTATGGGAGCATCAGCTTGGTTCGGGAGGAAACACATTGTGAATCAAGTTAGTTGGGATATGATTCAAATCGCAATGCGTTGATTAAAGTGGGTGCTACCTGAAGGTGTGCTGTGTCCTGTGGGAACCAGAATGTTCTCACGGACTCGCTCGTTTGGTATCATGAGATTCTCAAACTGGCACAAGAGCTCTCTGATCGACGCTTGTTTACCCTTATATTTCTCCTTCATTGGAATTTTTTGAGGGAGGCGGGAGTTAAATTTCCGAGCTTTTCTGTTTGATAGCATAATATATGACCTCAAAGTTGAACTCAATACATCTCTGGGTACAAACGTGTCTCTTGAGACACTAATTCTATTCCGACCCTAGAATTCCAGGGGGACTGGCAGAAACGGCTGAACTCATGTGATCGTATCATATAAGTACATGAAAAGGCCATCAAATGTTTCCTATTTTAGCCTGTTATTTTCCATTTTCGAAATAATTTGTGAGAGCGATTCAGATTGCTGGAGACGAATATCGTTTCGTGTCTGTTTCCAGGACAGTAGTTCATTCATTTCTTTACTTTCATATGTTGAATGAGGCGTATCCGGGCTTCCGATAAGAGTAAACGACGAGCCATCTGGAGTGTTTGTGACGATTACTTTGGGTATGTCTTTCGCGGGCTTTATGCGTATTATAGTGGACTCGCCGGGTAATTCAGCGAGGACAGGCACAGGCTTTCGCGTGATTATAGCTTGTGAAGAGGGAAGCTCCGCCATCGCTGGTGGAGACTCAAGCGTCGTGTCGTTTGGGAGTTCCACAGCAGACCTGGCCGTGGGCTCTGTAACTGAGAGCTCTGCAGCAGATTCCTTTATGTGCTCTGGGATCAGAACTTCATGAGGAATTTTGAGGTTTTGGAGATGATTCAATACCCGATCGAGTCGGCATTGGTGCCGAATCAACCGAGACTGTCTTTCCTCGGCGAGTCTATAGTCTCGAAGCTTCCAACGCTTGCGGTTTGCAGAACTGATTTTGCCCCTCCCCTTGCGCTTTGCCATATCCGAACGGCATAGCTCAAGGAGATCGGCCAGTTCCTGAGCCGAGTCGTCGGCGTCGGCAATGGTTGAATTGACCCAATTACGTTCAATCTCACCCAGGTGAGTTGACTTGGAGTCCCTGAGGCGCTTTGCCTCTTTGACTTGGGTGGAAACGTGATCGGTAAATCCGAGCAGTCCCCGTATCTGCCCATCCGGGCGTCGCTTTCGTATTGAAAGATCGATCGACAGCGGTGAAGATGCCGTCGAATCGGTACCTGTCTCGGATGGTGACTGTGGTGATGCTGATGGCGACGACACAGAGGAAATAGGAGAGTACTGTGATTGGGGTGACTGCGTCGACTTCTCCCACTGCGATAACTTCGGGGCCTCCGGCGATGGAGCGAGTTCTGGTGGTTGAGTGGCTTGTGGTACTTCTGCGAATTGGATGGCGGTTGTTATTGATGGGGCACTCGCCTGCGCAACTTGCACGGTCGGGCGTCTCTGCTCAGTCTGAGGTTCAAGAGCAGCCAGTTGCTGGAATCGGTCCGTTGACTGGTATATCCTGTTGGCCGATCGTGCTAACAACCCGGCAGTCGATTGGCGACAGATTGTCTTGGACTGATTCCACGAGTCCGCCGACCGGTGCCAGACTTCCATTGTCGACTGGTGGCATCGGTCTTTCGAATCGTGCCACACGGCGGTGGACCGATGCCATGCATCCATCGTGGATTGCTGCCATTTGGTTGCAGATTGTTGCCAGAGCTCCCCTGGTCGAGTCAGGGTACCCGTTGAGCCCGTTGAATCCATTTCTTGGTCGTTAATCTCTCTCTATGGTCTCTAATGTCCATCAAACCGCAAGGTGAGAGAGAGGAAGGGATATTGAAGGGGAAGTCCCACAGGTTTGATATTTCGTGGATGCCGTCAATGTCAAGGCTGGCGCGCGGGAAGAGCCTCCCATCCTCCTATTATAGACCGTAAATAAATGCCTAGAATGGCTGCTCCTTCGCTTGCCTGCATCGCCAATGCACCCTGAGAGGGGCTTTTGGCGTTGTTGATTGGCCGAAGCCCTGGTCGGGGAGGCGATGCTCGAGGCTTGGAGTGCGAGAAGCGAAGATCTTCATCCTGGCGCAGCCTCGCCTGTGTCATGCTAACCACTCCGTAGTTTTCTTTGGCTGAGACAGGCTCATTCCTTTCCCGATGTAAGCATCCACTCTCGTCTTGTTGGCGCAAGGTTGGGGCCGTCCCACCCGCTGAGCTCCACCGCTACCAGAATGATTGGGTGGCTCGTACAATCCCATCGCTATGCTGACTGCCAATCTGCGCTATTTATATCGCGTAAGGAGGGGTTGTTGTATACTGTAGCTGCTGTCCAAGGCGACAACTCACGACTCTCGTATTCGTACTCGGGGTCGGGTGTAATCCCTACGTGCGGAGTACATAACTATGCCCTAGTCAACCAAATAGTTATCAGTTTCAAGGTTTTTATGGGCCTTCTACAGCAGAACTTCACAACTTGTTGCTTTTGTCGGGACGCAACGACCGAATCCAGGCAATACCTTTTAGCACGACTAAGAATGTTGGGGGTGCCACAGGAAATTGGCTGATAGTAAGATAACGTAGGTATTCACCCATCAGAGTGAGCCACCACATCAAATAACTTGCACCTACGCGTGCTCTCCTTGAAACGCCCACTATGCTACGAAAATATGCTGAAGACAAACCCTATCTAATAGGAAGGCAGAATCCGATTAACCATCAGGATATTCAAAATGGCTGTATCAATTCTATACGCACGACCGCGGCGCGTTGTTCTACACCTTACCGCGCCGTCTCACTAGGCGACAATCCCGTGGTGATACTCGTGATATCTTTTATCGCTTAACCGAAAACAAGGAGCATTCGCTAAAATATTAGTTACTCGTTACTGGAATACGAAATCCTCCGCCTAGGTCTCTTTCTTCTTTATATAAGATATAGCTTTTTTACTCGTAACGTGCGGTTCTATAAAACCACCTACGATCGGCAAACATCAGCTATCAGAGTTTATCAATCGCTAGCTAGAACTTCGTAGGCGTTGTTTTAGGCGGCATAGCTATTATCACGCTCTAAACGATAAGCCGAAGACCTTGAGATGTAGACAAACTCAATGGGCTTACGACGTTGGGATACTAAGTTCCTTCTTCGGGCGGGCAAAGCGCATAACAGCCATTACGCAACTAGTAAGGCTTCATCGGGTAAGTTGAACGTCCGGCGAATCCAAACCTGTCGATCGGCTCGTTTTGGTTTCCCACTGTAGATTCAATAGCACTCTGCTACTGGGTGATCCAGACGGCTGGATTGGCCCCCGTAATCGGCAAGAGGTCATCCTCTAAAACCCAAACACAAACCAGCGGGCCGCTGAAACGCAAGAAGCCCCGAATTTGTGTACACGCGCTGTTAAAGCTAATTGTTGGCGCTACTTTGAGCGTATTGGCTGTTAGTGAATTCTTGCCTCAGACCGAAAACTGTTTCCCCTTCTTCTGATTAAATTCCCGATTTAATTAGCTATGAATATGAGCATCGGGTTTTCGTACAAAAAATGGAGGATTGGCCACGGCGTCGGATCTTCTCTAGAAATATCTCGGGTATCGGCGCAATGTCGAAAGTCCCTCGTACGAGGCGTCGGATGTCCTTCATAAGAGCACGCTGAATGTACTTGCCTTCCAGAATATGTAGGGATCATATGCGAGAAACTCTGGCCAAGAAGCCGGGATTGTCGAAGCTCTATGCGCCTCCTTTGCGCCGGCATGCTGCTGAGGGACCCCTGGCGTGGGAGTGAGCGCTACGCCTCCTATTAGCGACATTGGTCTCTCGCCATTACTGCTAGCGGCTGTGGGGATTCTTCATGGAGCGTCAGCCTGGTCTTGGCCTTACCCGAGATCTCAGAGCTAATTTGCACTCAAAAATCACTCTATTCAATCAACACTCCCGCCTTCTCTTCGGTCATTTTCTTCGGTCCCCTTGTTCCTCACCAGGTCATTGCTGGAGAATCGGCCTTGCTGCCGCCAGTAGCAGTTATCCTCACATCCCTCATCTATCAGAAACAGTCCCCCTCCTATATGTCACATATTTCCTCACTTTGCTATGCTTTGTGACAACTTCGGGTAAGGCAAAATACCTGTCACTGCAGAGTCAGAGACGAGAAGAACCTTCTCCCAGCTGTTGAGACTGCCATGCCTCTTAACGGTGCATGTGTATTCTATGCGATTTCAATCACATACAAGTATTAAAGTGTGGCTGGGGGAAGTCTGGCAGTAGATGTTATCTTTGGATGGATTCCGGAGTTCTTGATCATAATCCGCTGTTCTTCTGCTGGTATTATCACCCAAAATTTGGTTCGCGACCGTGCGGAAGAGAGGCTAGACTTGGCTTATCGCCTTACAACAATGGTTGTACTACAGTTTGAGACAGTGCAATTCCCTTTTCTCTTACTTTAACTCCAGTACGTTAGTTTTGATTAGGTCTAGTGAGAGTGTCTCGTATTCCGGCTAGGAATTCTGCAGGATTTGACTCATCAGAAACGATACGTTTATCTCCAGATAGCTTCACCTATACAGTCATGCGTGTCACAACCGGGGGTGGGCCAATCATCCTGAGCCGGCTTCTACTTGAGTCATAATCTTACAACCCTTGAGGCATGCATGGGTGGCCTAAAGCCTAGACGACTCACCGACTTCACGAGTCTGCAAAAAAATACATGTTACGTAGTACCACATTTTCGAACCAGACGTATCTACGAAACAACATATCCAACCATAGAGAAGTAAAAAGCCGAATCAATGGGTTTACGTCAAATTACCATCTGCGCTTTTGATTCAGGCCTTGACGGCGGCTTTGAGTCTGAGTGAGATCGAGTCGGGCTCCAAGGTGGGAATGATTCCCACGGAGACCGCCACTTAGGCGCGTCGATCCGTGGAACCGAACCCACATTCCCCCAGGCATCAGCGATCACCCGCACTACTAGGTATTCGTGAGACACCCCTTTATCATCGAGCTTTATAGGTCACCTATTTCTGGAGTGCTGTGATGCGATGGACCGAAATTCATTGCAATTATCATGTCTCGCCCATCCCTGCCATGCTCAGCGGCCGATGAGGACGTTTTCGGCCCAATCGTGGACGTCTCGTGTCAACGTGGCTTCGACTTTACTTTGCTCTTTGAAGAGACAATCTTGACTTTACTTCCAATCACAGTTCTCTTTCTATTGGGGGCCCTTCGTATCTGGACTCTTCGGCACGCGTCAGCGAAAGTCAATCGATCATGGCTGTACGCGGCGAAGGAGGTGCGACAAGCTTTCGATTGCCTGCAAATCTGGACACGGCTCCAACTAACAAACTCGTTAGACAGCCTTGACTCTGCACATAGCTCTTCAATTGATCCTTCTGATTCTTTGGAGCAAACCCTTGATTCCCAATACGAGAGCGACTGTTCCCACAGCTTTTGCAAGCTTGTGTGTTTCTATATTTCTGCTCTACCTGTCTCACCTCGAACATATGCGATCCTTGCGCCCATCGACCATTATCTGTCTTTTCTTGGGCTCTACTGTACTCCTTGATCTTTCCCGTCTCCGGACACTTTACTTTATGCCAAACAACCGACCGGTGACGATTTTGTTTGCCGTGGGTTGTGCTGGCAAGATTGTCAATCTAGTACTCGAGTCGACAGAAAAGCGATCATTGCTGAAAAAAGGATCTGATGAGATAGCGCTTGAATCAACTAGTGGTATTTTCAGCCGCAGTACCTTTTGGTGGCTGAACGGGCTGCTCCGAAAGGGGTTGAAAACCAATCTTACAGTGGACAGCCTCCCCGACCTAGATGATGCTATCAAAACAGCTTCGAACCCAGAGGAATTAATCAAACTGTGGAATAAAGGTAAAGTCTAAGCGTCCGCTCCTTTGTCTCTTGGTCTCTGAGTCTGATTTGGAATCCTAGCCAACAAGTATCGACCCAACGCATTGCTTTGGACCCTCGTTTCTCATTACAGGTGGGAGTTCTTGGAGGGCGTTCTGCCTCGAGTTGCATTTACCGGATTCACTTTTGCCCAGCCGTTCCTGGTTCAGCGTGTGCTAGATTTCATGACCGAGCCCGAGAAGATCAATTCTAAGAACTATGCTCGTGGTCTCGTCGCGGCATATGCGATAGTTTACGTCGGGATTGCCGTACGTGATTCTACTCTTTGATGCTGCTATGAAGATTCTCAACCCATTAACCTTTCATGTTACAGATATCCTTTAACATGTACCAGCACAAAACCTGCCGTCTCATCACCATGGTTAGAGGAAGCTTGGTTACCCTTATCTTTAAGAAGACCCTGCGCATGAGTACCTCAGCCGTATCCGATGCGACAGCAGTGACTTTGATGAGTACCGATATCGAGCGCATTGGGAGTGGTCTTAGGGAAATGCATGAGCTTTACTCAAACTTCACGGAAGTTGCTCTTGCTCTGTGGCTGTTGGCCCGATTACTCAATATTGCAACTCTCGCTTCCACTATAGTTGTTGTCAGTATGTTAAAGCTATTACGCTCAACTTTATCATGACTTATATTGACCTATTCTGAAATAGTCTGTCTTATTATCGGGATTCCGTTGGCGGTCGCGTCTGGCAAAGCTCAGGGTACATGGCTCGAAGCTGTAGAGAAGCGTGTTGCAGTGACTTCCAGGGTCCTTGGGGTCATGAAAAGTATTAAAATGACAGGCCTGACAAAAGTCATCTCACACAACATCCGAGGGCTCCGCTCGCAAGAAATCGGAGCATCATTTCTTTTCCGGTTGTACACCGTTTTAGTCATCACGTTCTGTTAGTGAAACTTCGACTTATAACAGGACAACTGCTAATAAAGTATACACAGCTTATGCATCTTCAGCACTGGCTCCTGTATTTGGTTTTGGTGTTTACATCATTCTGGCGCGAGCACATGATTCAACTACGCTCACAAACAGCATAGCGTTCTCTGCGTTAACGCTCTTTTCTCTGCTTGATCAGCCAATGACTTCCTTTGTGGATGGGTCGGAAGACATTATGGCTGTTGTGAACTGCCTCCAGAGGATTCAGAAGCACCTACTTGATATAGAACGTGATGATTTTCGCATGACCCACCAGCTGGATACACCCAGGCTGATTGATTTCGACCCGGTTGATGAACAGCATTATCTCCGATCACCTTGTGTCATTGCTCGGGATTTATCGGCGGCATGGTCAGTCGACGATGAGCCAGTACTTAATGAGTTGAATTTCGATATTGAGACCGGGCACATCACCATGATTGTGGGACCTGTCGGTTGTGGTAAGTCCACATTGCTGAAAGTGCTATTAGGAGAAATTTCAGAAGTCTCTGGGACCATATCTACCACCTTCCAGAATGCTGCATATTGCAGTCAGTCTCCATGGATTACCTTTGGCACAATTCAACAGAACATCATGGGTGCATCACAATGGAATCGACAACGTTATGATACCGTCATCCAGGCTTGCTCCTTGCAGATGGATCTTCAGCAGCTTCCGGCTGGCGATCAAACCAAAGTTGGTGTTCGTGGGTCTCGACTGAGTGGTGGTCAGCAAATGCGAGTGGTAAGCTCTCAACCTCCGAAGTTGAGGACAACGGACGCAGGCTCAACTTAAATGTAGGCATTAGCGCGAGCTCTCTACTCGGCAGAGCCTGTACTCGTATTAGATGACGTTCTCACTGGGCTTGATAGAGAAACCGAAAGAACCATTCTTGATGCTGTTTTCTCGCCGCATGGCTTTATCAAACAGAACGGACGGACAGTTATACTGGCGACGAATTCAGGTTTGCCTAGCATCCCCTCGCCCCCATTGAATATGCCTAATAGCCACTAGCACATCATCTTCCGTACTCTGACTTTGTCATATCTTTGAATGAAAATGGGCAGCTTATTGAGCAAGGCTCATATGACAATCTCGTGGCCGCCCATGGGTACGTCAGTATGCTTGCCAGCAAGGCCACCACCGTTGCGACCACTAGAGCACCTGATTTGGTCCTCGATGATGAGACTTTAGAAAGTCTCAACCTCAAGGATAATGAAATTGACAGCACAAGCCGGCGGACGGGCGAATGGGCTGTCTACCTTTATTACTTCCAAAATATTGGATGGCCTCTCTTGACACTGTTTTTGGCATGTTCCATCCTGTTCACTTTTGGACTCACATTTCCACGTAAATGACAGTCTTACTCATTAAGAATTTCCCAATACTGATCACAACATCTAGAAATTTGGCTACAATGGTGGACTGTTTCCAATGAAAAACGACCGAATGAAGACATCGGATACTGGTTGGGTGGCTACGGTGCTCTAGGTCTTCTGACACTCTTGTCAACGTTTCTTGCGAATTGGTATGCTAATGCTTACGTTTGTGTGATGGAAACTTACTTTCGATAGGGTCTTTGAAATGATGATTATACCCAAAACTGCCCATCGTTTCCATGAGATTCTTCTCAACACCACAATGAGGTAACCGCCACCTTGATAATACAAGAAGTCTACTTCAACTAACTAATTTTCACCTAGTGCTACCACCTCATTCCTTACCGCAACCGATATAGGATCTACCACGAACAGGTAATTAAGTATTGCTTTCCTGCTCCTATAAGTATCCGTGATAACACGATTCGCCGTCAGATTCAGCCAAGACTTGGAATTGATTGACGAAGAGCTTCCAACAGCATTCGAGCTGACGATATACGCTACTCTCGGCTTTATAATCGAGGGCTTTCTTGTATTTGTCGGCTCATCATATGTCACAGCAGCAGTGGTTCCGTTTGTTGTCATTGTGGTTTACTACGTGGCACAGTACTATGTCCGTACATCTCGCCAAATTCGATTACTGGACATCGAAGCCAAAGCGCCTCTTTTCTCCCAGTTCTTGGAAGCATTGAGTGGACTATCCAGTATTCGGGCCTATGGGTGGTCAGAACACTATCAACGCGAAGGGCGAATTGCTCTGGATGCTTCCCAGCGACCCTTTTACACTCTTTACTGTATTCAGCGCTGGCTGAGTGTTGTACTGGACCTTATTGTGGCAGCCATTGCCGTTGTCGTGGTTTCCATTGCACTTTCGATGAAAGGAAGCCCTTCATTGAATCTGCTGGGTATTGCGCTGTTCAATATTGTGAACTTCAGTTCGACTCTCCAGCTCTTGGTCACACAGTGGATTGGACTTGAAACCTCTATTGGAGCGGTTTCTCGTATCCGCTCATATGTGCAGGATGCTCAAACAGAGGACCTGGACTCTGAGAGCGAAGTCGTTCCAACATTCTGGCCAGAGAAGGGCAGTGTCCAAATTGTTGGCGTCTCAGCCTCCTACGAGTGAGTACTGTGCCAGTCAAAATAACGGGCTCAGGCTAACTCTCCTCTAGCTCTTCATCAGCTCCCGTTCTTCAAGATGTTCATCTCGACATCCGTGCTGGCGAAAAGGTTGCCCTTTGCGGCAGAACTGGCAGGTTGGTTCCTTCTACGAAAGTTATTCATAGATTTAATCGTTCTGATATTGTTACAGCGGGAAATCCTCGCTTATTTCAATCATTCTGCGATTGCTGGACCTCAACAGTGGCTCGATTCACATTGACGGTGTAGATATCTCCCGAGTATCACGATCGCATGTTCGGACCCGCCTGAACACGATTCCGCAGCAAGCTTTCTTCTTGCACGGAAACGTTCGACTCAATGCTAACCCCCAGGGAGATATGCCGGACGACGTCATTATCGATGCACTCCGAGCGGTGAATCTTTGGTCGTATCTCGACTCCAAAGGAGGCTTAGATACGGATATGTCCGAAGACATTCTTTCCCACGGTCAACAGCAGCTTTTCTGTCTGGCGCGAGCGCTGTGCAAGCCTAGTCGTATCCTCATCATGGACGAGGCAACAAGCAGGTATGCTCTTTTCGACCATTTAATCAATGGAATACTTTTATCTGACAAGAAGCAGTGTGGACTCGGAGACCGATATCCTCATGCAAGAGGTCATTCGCACGCACTTCAAAGATCAAACCATCATTGCCATCGCACACAAATTAGACAGCATTTTAGACTACGACAAGGTCGCATTCATGGATCATGGACGGATTGTGGAGTTCGATTCACCGAAGGCACTGTTGTCGCGGGAAGGATCTGCTTTCAAATCCATGTTCAATACATTTCGCCGTCGTCCAGAGTGACCCTCGGGCGCTGGGAAATCGATAGATAGATCGCATCACTTATATATTTTTTTTCCTTGGTGAATATAACGCTTTGCTTGGAATTGTCTTGTTATCTGTCGTCTTGGTGAGAACAGATTGAGCATCCTTTTTTCATTCACATCTATCCTCACAGTACGTGGCGAGATTGTTTGCGCGATCCCATCGATGACTGGGTACTTTCCCTAATTACTCTATACTGGGGGAGACGTCTTTGCATGATCCCCAAATCCAGTCTAGGCCGACTACAAAGAGCACCAGCACACCCAGCGCGACAGATGCTAGCTCACATGCGCCCCTTCTTGCTATGAGGCTATCGTTGAATAAACAGAAATACTGTAAGGGGCTGCATAATTCCATTACCATTTCCGACTTGGCTTTTGTAAATAGATCAGGTAGGCAGGCAAGTTCTCACGAAGCTCGAAGGCCACTTTCGCTTTTAATATACACTTCACAATATAATGACTGAGTCAAAGGGGTGCTAGGTATTCAGCTCGTGGATACGAGAGTCTGCCTCACCTACAGAGCTTCGCCAGGTCCTCATTCTCGTGGTAGAACTCGATGACCTGCTATAAGCAGTCCGCAATGTATTCCCACAGCTCTTCGACGGTGCCGAGCTCTACTGAACGTGTCTCTGTTGTCGAAGATGAAGCCCGGTTCGTGTCTTGTTAATATTGCCCGCCGCAAGCTTCTGGATGAGGCTGCTCTAGTGGACGCCCTCAAGAAGGGCCAGCGCTCTGCTACTGGGCTAGATATGCACTTTGATGAGCCTCACGTTAACCGCGAACTGGGTTAGATGAAGTATGTGGAGATCCTGTCTTATAACGTTGGTCCTTCCCTGGACTCTCAAATTGGCTTCGAGTATCTAGGCATAGAGAATATTATCGCGTTTCACGAGAGAGGTAAAGCCGTTACTCCCGTTAATGCGCACTTGATTGCCAAGGTTGGATTCTCTAGACTTTGAAGGATTATAAAGAAAGTAAATTGTTTCAACCTATTTATAAGCTTCTTAAATAACGAATTATGAGAGAAAAAGCATCCTCTTCGCACACCTTGAAAGGTCTATGAAATAAGACCTCGCTTCGCAACTTGAAAAACTGACACCACAATATATTGTTCCACTCTCACGGAGGCAGCCTGTTCTGTGGACGGAACAGGGCGGCGAGTCGTTGGTCTGCTTCACTAAGGTAAAATGGAAAGGCTGATACCTAGACCTAGGGGCCAGCAAGTTTCAACAGAGAGGATGGTGTTTAGATTAGCACCTTCTCATCACGTTCTGCGGTCTTGTAATTAGGTTTTCTAGACACTTGAGTTGATTGCTATTTCACCACCTCCTTTTTGCCTCTAAGCTTTGTTGAACTCACAATTAGGCGGTCCTTTATTCCTCCAAAACCAGTCCTTTAACTTGGTCAAAGTAGTAGAGACTACTATCAATAACTTGAGAATAAACGGTAGCCCTAACAGCAATCTAGATTCAACTACCTCTTTGACCCTCACTAACAAATGGGGTGGTGATAAAAAGAAGCCTCACTAAATTTGCATGTCTGTAGGCGTGAACCTTCCGCAAACCACCAGGTCCTTTCCCTTCCCCTAGTAACATTGTTCTTCGTTCGCAACGGCACTCAGAACTGCCAATCATTTTTGCGACTCACCTTCTCTCCGACTGGAAGCGACGACGATCAGCACACACTGGAATCACCTGACATTGAGCGACCCCACCGCACTAACCCTCTTAGTTCGGTTGATTCAGAGGAACTGAGAGGAATAGACCACTAGTCAGCACAGGTAGGATGTGTCAAGGAAAGGAAAGGGTTGCCAAGACCAAAGTGACCCGCCAACGCCCCCGCTCCCCCGCCGCGGCTTCAGCCTCAGTAGGACATTTGGCTCTACAAAAAACGAAGCAGAGGATATATTCTGCTGTCGTCCAGAGTGCTCAATCGACTTAACACGAATCACTCAGTTTCCATGGCGAGCCGTGCGATGAAGCCCCTCCCTTACGATGCGTATACCGCGGCCATTATTTGTCCGCTGGAGGTAGAAATGAGTGCTGCGCGATATATGCTAAATGAAGAGCACGTACAAATACCAGGGGAGCAGCACGACACCAACCATTATATTCTTGGCCGACTTAGCGGGCATAATGTGGTCATTGCGTCTTTGCCGCTGGGCTCTCAGGGCACCGTCTCTGCGGCAACTGTTGCGATGCATCTGGCCCGAACCTTTCCCAACATCAAGCTACGGCTGTTGGTGGGAATTGCTGGAGGTGTACCAAGCCCAAAGAACGATATTCGATTAGGCGATGTGGTGGTGAGCACCCCGTCTGGCTCCTTTGGTGGCGTGGTGGAATATGATCTGGGGAAGCAGACTCCAACCGGCTTCGTACGTAAGGGGTTCCTCAGTCCCCCTCCGACAGAGTGGAGAGGTGCAATAGCCAGGATGAAGTCAGACCATCGCGTTCGCTCCAATAAAGTGAACGATTTTGTGGCAGAGATGTTGGCAAAATCTCCCAGACTGACCGAGTATGAACGACCGCACCCCCAAGAGGATATTCTATTCAGTTCAGACTACGAACACAAAGCAGGAGAGCCTACATGTGCAAGTTGCGACCTTGCAAGGGTGGTGCATCGCGAAACACGCGAAGTTCCTCATGAGCCGGTGGTATTTTATGGGCTGGTTGCGTCCGGAAACCACGTCATGAAGCATGCCAGCGAGCGAGACCGGATCAGCATGGACTGCGATGGAGTCCTGTGTTTCGAGATGGAGGCTGCTGGACTTATGAATGGGTTTCCCTGTATTGTTATTCGCGGGATTTCCGACTACTCTGACTCTCATAAGAATGATTGTTGGCAGCCGTATGCGGCAGCAGCGGCAGCAGGGATTGCTAAAGAACTTCTGGGTTATCTGGTACCGAGCAATGGTCCGTAACCAGTAATCCCCATGAAAAATCACCATTTTTCGACTGTCTTCTGCCTGGGCGCTAACTAGTTGAAATAAACAGTGCCGCATGCCAATGACGATCTCACCACCGCGTGCCGCCGGCATCTCTTCGTGACGGATCCAGAAAAGGACAAGCAGCGCATCGAGAGTGACAGGGGCAATCTGCTCAAGGATTGCTATTCATGGATCCTTCTCGATCCTCAGTTCACTGCGTGGCGGGAAGCTGAACAGAGTCAGCTTCTGTGGATCAGAGGCGATCCGGGCAAAGGAAAGACCATGTTGATGATCGGTTTAGTGCACGAAATCACAGTGCAACTGCAAGGCCAGCCGGAAAATGGCATTCTGACGTACTTCTTCTGCCAAAGCAACCTCTTGACCCTGAACAATGCCGTTTCTATCCTTCGCGGGCTCATCTGGATGATTGTTGACCAAGACCAGCCACTGATGCGACACGTCCTGGTGGAGTACGAGAGGTTTGGGGAGAGACTCTTCGACGGGCCCAATGCTTTTTTTGCTCTCCGCTCAATCTTTTTCAATATATTAGAAGATGCGGGGCTTTCCACCATTTACATCCTCGTTGATGCGATTGACGAGTGCGATACTGGGCTGGATACATTCTTGAATCTGATCGTCCAGACTGCTTCCGCATTGTCTTCCAAGGTGAAGTGGATTCTGACCAGCCGTCACCGACCAGATATTGCCCAGATACTTGGAGACAACGCTTTTCAGCACCACATAGATCTGGAGTCAAACGGTAGACTTGTTTCCGAGGCAGTATACTCCTTCATTGGGTATAAAATGGATATTTTATCGCAACGGAAGTCTTATGACTCTGGCCTAAAGACTCATGTGGAACGTGTCCTACGTGAGAAAGCCGGTGACACTTTTCTATGGGTGGCACTGGTATGTAGTGAGCTGACGAATGCCGAGAGCTGGGAGGCCGAATCAATCGTGGAGGACCTTCCCTCAGGTCTTCATCCATTGTATAATCATATGCTGTCCCTGATCAAAAACCTGCGCAAGGGCCAATCCGAAGTCTGCTACAGAATTCTCCGTTCAATGACCTTGACCTTCCGTCCTGTCTATTTGGAGGAACTGCAATCCATTACTTCTCTCCCGCCCCGTTTGGCAAATGACATGCACGCCTTGAGAAACACGATTGAGTTGTGTGGCTCATTCTTGACGATTCAAAGGAATCAAGTCTACTTCATTCATCAATCCGCAAAGGATTACTTGACTGCTAGCAGTGGACTGCAGATCTTTGACGCTGATCAGACAGACGAGCATTGCACGATCGTTGTGCAATCCATGCGGACCATGTCCCACGTCTTGAAGAAAGATGTGGCAGATCTCCAATACCCGGGGACCTTGATTTCAAATGTCCCAGCCAATGAAATTCTAAGAGATGTTGCCTACGCTGTGTGTTTCTGGATTCACCATCTACTGGAGTTCATGTGCAATTCTACTAACTCCGATGGGCGTCGTGATCTACTCGTATCGGTGCATGCTTTCCTGCAATCTCATCTTCTCCACTGGGTCGAGGCGATGAGCCTCCTTGGAAAGGTATCTGATGGACTGCGGATGATTACACTGTTGAAGTCCTATCTCAAGGCATGTTCCTTACCCATCCTGAACGAGGCCCAAATATTGACAGTCCCTAGGTCTCCGTGGACAGAGATCTATTCCACTTGATACATGATGCAAGTCGTTTCCTCTTGCAAAGTCACTCGATTATTGAACAGGCTCCGTTGCAAGTTTATTGCTCGGCATTGGTCTTTGCCCCGGAAAAGAGCATAATCCGTAGCCAATTCAAACACTACATGCCCGACTGGATCCTCAGCTTATCCACTGTGCGTGAGGACTGGAGCTCGCTGATCCAAACTCTCGAAGGCCATAGTAGCTGGGTCAATGACGTTGTTTTCTCGGTCAAAGGAGACCTTGTTGCATCTGCATCAAACGATCATACGATTCGTCTATGGGATGTTGTCACAGGCTCAACTCAAGCGTCGCTGGAAGGCCACACTGATTTGGTGAAGGCTGTTGCGTACTCTCCTAATGGTCATCTCCTGGCATCTGCCTCCAATGACTGCACCATACGATTGTGGGATCCAAATACAGGAGGATCCTGTGGTATGCTGCCTGGGCATACCAGCCCAATCAATTCCATCGCCTTTTCACCAGATGGAGTGCATTTGGCCTCTGTGTCTAATGATCGTTCCGCGCGGATATGGAACACCGCAACAATGTCACTACGGCATGTTCTCGAGGGCCATAAAAATTGGGTAAGCGATGTTAGCTACTCACGAGACGGTTGCCTGCTTGCAACGGCATCCGGTGATGGGACAGTTCGATTGTGGGACGCCGAATCCGGGAATCTCAATTCCAGATTAAGAGGAGGCATGGGCTGGCTAAATTCAGTTTCACTTTCCCATGACAACCTATTAGCTGCTGGTTCTTCAAACGGACTTCTCTACCTCTGGGATATCTCCAAGGGAGCCTTGTGTGCTACTCTCGATGGCCACTCTAGTAGCATCAACAAAGTTACATTCTCGCTCGACGGACGCCTCTTGGCTTCTGCATCCAACGACCGCACAGTAAGGTTATGGCAGACCTCGCAACCTCGTGCGGTCGCCACGCTGGAAGGTCACATAGCGGCTGTGAGTGCAGTTGCATTTTCGCCAAATGAGAATCTGGTTGCCTCTGCATCGGTAGATGGCACGGTCCGGCTTTGGGATACTGTGAAAACATCGTCATTCAGAAGCCTAGAACGACATATGGCCTCTATCAATGCGGTGGCCGTATCGCCAGATGGCCGGTTGACAGCTTCTATATCCAATGACAACACTGTCCGATTATGGGACATACTGACAGGTGCACCACGTGCTGTAATAAACCGGGGGCCTGGTCACAAGAGCCCTGGTTCTGCTTGGTCATCCAACGTTGCGTTCTCATCGAACGGCCAGGCGCTGGTGGGAACCTGGGATGATCCTACGATCTGTCTGTGGGCGGCCTCCCGTGAGGGCATCGAGAAATGCTCCTACCACGGTTACTATGCGGGAAATGTATTTCCTGTTGACCACATTACCTTCTCTCCAGATAATCGACTCATAGCATCACTTTCCTCTGATGGAATTGTGCGAATATGGGATGTTGCGTCGGGATGGACACGCACAACGTTTCAAGGTCACCAGGAAGCTGTCAGCGATCTTAGTTTCTCACCATGCAGCCAGTATGTGGCATCTGCATCTAAAGATGGTTCCATTTGTCTCTGGGAAGCAATGACTGGGGTTTTAATTGACACTCTCATCGGCCATCTAGCGAGTGTGAACGCGGTTGCATTTTCCTCGGATGGTCAGCATATCGTATCTGGCTCCATCGATACCACAGTGCGAATATGGAACGTGGCCACGACGCAGGTCCAGATCATCTTGAGAGGCCATACCAAATCGGTCGATAAGGTAACCTTCTTTGATGGTGATAGACTGGTCTCTTCGATCTCAACGGGTGGTAGAGGAATTATCTGGCGTGTCGCAACGGGTTCTATTGAAAATGAAATTTCAAGCCATGCCCGGTTTCTCTCCCTAAGTTGCCAATTCTATGCACGCAACTTTCGAGGATATAGTCTATATATTCATGATAGGATGACGGGCAACAGACAATACCACAGCACACCTTTTGTCCTCTCTATCAATCGTGGGTTCTTCGAATTTGTGTCATTCTCGAGGGACGATAAGGTCATGGCGATGATATTAAGCGACGATACCATCCATGTACGGAGCACTACTACATCGCACGAGTACTGCACCATCAACATGAGTCGGACCAAGGAGTCGCGTGACAGGCTACCGGACCGGTTGAGCAGACTGAATCCGAGGCCGGCACAAGCCACGACGATCAGCATGGTGAAATTCTCACCACACAATGACCTCCTTGTCTGCGCATCGCAGAATTCCGTCTACGTTTGGGATGTGGTTACTGGGGGCCTCCGCAGTACTTTCTCCGAGCACTCGAGCGACGTTAACAGCATCTCTTTTTCCCCTGACGGGCGTCTGATCGCCTCGGCATCAGACGATGGAACCATCCGGCTCTGGGAAGTTGCGACGGGCATGTTACACAATATGATGGTAGTCAACGGGAGCAGCCCTCTTGTATTTTATGGGGATGGGCGGTTCGATTACCCTGGTGTCCCTCAGTTAAGGGCCCCGGGGACAGGGACAGATTCCGCTCGGGCTCCAATCCCCCGCCCTTTGTTCGTCGTGAATCCATGGGTAACGTACCGGATGGACCACATTCTGTGGCTACCCATAGAATATCGAGCTACTTGTGTAGCCGTTCGCGCAGCGACTCTTGTTTTGGGCCATTCCTCCGGTGAACTGACAGTAATTGAATTCGATGTGAACCGTATTCCTGTCCGTGCACGCTGATCCATGTGTTGGGACCGGGGATGGCGTGTCATTATTTAGTTATTCCGGCTAAGTGCGTGTCATCAAGTCTTCACTAACACTGGAGATGACACGCACTTGTCACACGGGGCCAGACAAATTATAAGAGATTCTTCGCATTCTTTTTCTTACTGGCAACAACCAGCAGCATTAACATCACCCACCCTCATCTACCCCAAGGTCCTGCACAAATGGCGTTGCCACTGAAAACCTTCAGTTCCACAAACATAGAAGACGTCTTATGACCAGTGGGATGACGTATATCTAGACACGCGGCGGAAAGTCGGAGTCGAGTGTCCGTCTTCGCAATGCATAACCTTATAGTTCAATGATTTCAATCACTGTTGGTATATACTTCACCGAGCTTGACCAAGCCCTCACACCGCTCATTACTTTGGATCTGGTAATTGCCATTGGGGCATCACAATCTAAATCTCGTCAACCGCATGCGATGCGTTCCAAAGCCATGCTTATGAGCGGTGATTTGATCTAGCTGCAGAAATGTGAGGTCGGGCAGTGTCCAGCGGGTCGACTCAACGATCACACCATTACGGCTCCATCCGCCCGGCAGCAACCCTCTCAATTGCGCTTACGCCCCGTTGGTGTGACATCAGACTATGAGGGTGCAGCCAATGGATCTGCGGATGAAATTTCTCTTGACTCAGAACCTCACATTCATTGGAGACATGTCAATGAGAACTATATGCAAAGGCAATCCGAGCTGTCTGGACAAACGATCAAAAAAACCCAATATTTCCTTGTCCTCCGCTTTTTACAAAGATGGGTATGAGAAGCCGCAATTGCAGGGAATCCGGTTATTGGACGGAAGGCAGCTCGGCCGAGAGAGGCAGCTTGCGTGACGAGTTACCGACGTATACCTTCTTCGGGGCGCTGGTGATTGCCCAGTTCTGCGTGGCCACGTCCCAGTTGGACAAGTCGCGGCGGGTCAGGGTGGTGGTCCACTGGAGCTTCTGGCCTGGGGCGATGGTGACGCGATCGAAGGCACGAAGGACCTTGACCGGGTTGTCGTCGCCACCAAGAGAGACGTACTGGAGGTGAAGGTTAGCCAAGGTTCGCGTCAAAGAGTATATATTCGGGGGATACGCACAAGCTGAGGCACCTCGTCACCAATAACAGAGCCAATGTTGGTGATAGAGGCAGTGACCTGAATCAGATCCTCAAACAGGCCCGCATTGCCGCCCGATGGGCCACTAGCCGGCAGAAGAGTCTGCGCGGAGCCGTTGGTGGCGCCAGCGGGAATATAGTCTTTCGCTTCCATGCCATAGTCAGGGTCGGCGGCCGACTTCTTGAGGTTGGTCGAGTTCAACCATGGATAGAGGTACTGGCGCACGCGGTTGATGCCGCTCGGGAACACATAGTCCGAGGCCTTGCCAGCCTTGCCAAGAACGGGGGCATCCTTGGTCTGACCAGTGGTCTCGCTGTAGTTGCCGGCTTTCAGGGCAGTGACCTCAAGGTCAGAGAACTCGAATTTGGTATAGCTCAGACCGAAGCCGAACTCGAAGATCGGCTCCACGCCATCCTTGTCGAAGCGACGGTAGTCGATGAGAACACCCTCATCAAAGTCATCCTGGGGAGCACCCTCGCCGTTGTTGGGCTCGGTTAGGATAGCAGCACCGTAGTCCTTGCGGGCCTTGCCCCAGGTGAAAGGAGTCTTGCCACCAGGGTTGATGCGGCCGTACAGGACGTCAACCAAGCTGCGACCACTCTCCTGGCCGGGCAAACCTGCCCAAACGATGGCAGTAATGTTTTCGTTGTCGTACCAATCACCCACCAAGACAGAGCTAGGAGTGTGCATAATAACGATGGTGTTGTTGCAGTTGGCAGTGGCGGTCTTAATAACCTCCTCGCCGTTCTTCCAGAGGGTCATGTTCTTACGGTCGCCCTCGTTCCCGTCAACGTTGATGTAGCCCTCGCCAGAGTCAGCGTTGACGAATACCAAGACAACACTGGCACTAGAAGCAACAGCAGCCATCGCGTCGAGGGCTCCGTTGTCAGTGACAGCAAAAACGTTAGTCTGGCCATTGCCGTAGTTCAGGACCTCATTCTGAATGGCCTGCTCGGGGGTAATCAGGTACGGGAAGTTGGCTGTGCCACTACCCCAACCCATGGCCAGGGTACCGTTATCGCAGCCGCGATCACTGCAGCCATTGGCACCGTAGGCGTTAGAACCAGCATCTTCGCCCAGAACACCAATAAAACGCTCTTGGTGAGTCAGGGGCAGGCCACCCTTGTTTTTCAGCAGCACAGTGCTATCGGAGCCAATCTTTCGGATAAGATTCGCATGGTCGCGCTGGACGTTGACCCGCTCATTCAGCTTGACGTAGTTCTCGCTGACCATAAAGTGCTCATAACCATACTCATCCCGAGTCCAGGAGCTGAAGTTCGGCGGAGTGCGGACACGGTCACGGCCAACCTTGTAATAGGCCGCCATGATACGAACCGCCATATCATCTAAGCGCCACTCGGGGATAGTACTGTTCAGCACCGAGACAGTCAAGTTGGTACCCCAGAACGAGTAGGGACTACCCAGAATAACGTCCCCGGGCATCGACATATCCAAACCAGCCAGTGCATCACCGACACCGCTGTGGTGTGCGCCCCAATCGCTCATCACGAAGCCCTGGAAGCCGAGCTCCCCCTTCAGCAGCTTATTCAGGGTATAGCTGTTGGAGCAACCGTAGCTGTTGTTGATCTGATTGTACGAGCACATCACGGAACCGACACCGGCACGGACCGAGTCCACAAAGGGCCACAGGTACAGCTCGTGCATGGTCTTGTCATCAATGTTCGCGCTGATACTTTCGGTGATGTTGTACCCGTAGCCCTGGGCCTCGCCGGCCTGGCGGAAGTGCTCCTGCTCGTTACCGATGAAGTGCTTAGCGCAAGCAATGACACCAGCATCTTGGATACCCTTGATGGTTTCGGCCATCATCACGCCAGTCAGGACAGGGTCGGGAGCGAACCCTTCCCACACACGACCGCTATCGGGGTACTTGCCCAGCGGGCCTGCAACAGGTCCAAGCTGGACATCAACACCCTTGTCACGATGCTCCTCACCCATAGCAACACCGCGCTGGTACGCGAGTCTCCGGTCCCAGGTAGCGGCCACGTTGACACCAGCAGGGAACCCGGAGTTATAGTCGGCTGTTCATCATGTATTAGTTGGCGACCGTTTGGCGTTGTAGATGGGGGCCACCTACCACTACGAACACCCAGAGGCGAGTCCTGCATGCACATGCCCCACATTCCGAGCCTGTTGTGCCAGTCCCTGTCAACAATTTCCGCTCTTTCTCATCTCAATCTTGATATCATGACGCCATCTTACCTGGGAATACCACCAGTCTCGCCAACACAACGCTCTTGCTCCCATCTGCATTAGATGTCAGTTCCAATTCGTCTGACGCGCAATCTCCTTTCTCGGAAGCAAACATACCCAGCACCAGTAGTCAAATTCACCTTCTCAGCCAGAGTCAGTTCGGAGACAAAATCCACGGCCCGCTTGTAGGCTTCAGCCCACTCGCCTTCACCGGTCGCCCATGGGGACGGGTAGTAGGGAGGAGAATATGCGAGCTCCTACAGCACCCACCCAGTTAGCCCTCGAACAATGAGCAATCCATTATGAGATATACTCCTGCTCGACATACCTTGGCACTCGCGACTGAGGCCGCCGTGAGGACGGCGGCTTCCAGCCACCCGAGCTTCATAATTGCAGGGGTAGGAAGGTAAGCTGGGCAAATTCAGGCACTCAGAGCACTGAGAAAGCTGAATCGCGCAGCCGATAGGGGATGAGAGGATGAGGCAAGGGGGAGGTAGTAAACACGGCGTCCCAAACTAGAGATTGCGGGGGACAGGACCCAGTTTAAATGCTGAATGTTTACAGCAAGGACTTGCCAGGATGTTCGCGCATGTCGTAATCTCCCCATAAAAAATAATGGGGGAAGCTGGATGTGTGGAGAAACAGTAGGGATCGACAAATAACCAAATAGCCGGAAGGTGGTGGTGCATTACAGTAGGTACGATACAATAGATACAATAGATTACACGCAAGAACACTGCAGGCACTCCAACCATGTGTGATAAGGCTCGGCAAGCAAACATACAGCTGAGGAAGAGCTTCTGAGAGTGTTCAATAATGATGTCCTTGAGCCAGGAGTATTTAGTGAGTTGGGCATGGCTGGAAAGAGAGGAGATGTTTACAGTTTTCAGATCAGGGGGAACCACCTTACAAGCTCCACGCTCCCGTCCAACATTCAATAGGCCAGGTCCAAAGACAATACCATTACGAAGTACAGGGACCCTCGCCTTGAAAGTCATCTGCCCGTCTTGCTCTCCCCATCACCCCCATTTCCCCAACCCCACGCCGAATCTGCCGAGCACGGCACCCGCCTCAACTTCGGCACGCCACGTTCCACTGCTACCCTGCCACTGCGACCGGCCGTGCCCTCGCTCTCGTTTCCCATCTCCGCTAATTGTCCGTCGCGCGCACAAAGCTACTGTCATCCGTACGGAGTACATTGTGCACAGAGGTCGAGTTCAGGAATGCCCACGACAGCCGGCTCCAGGGCACACCCCGGGGTACTCCGCATTCCGATGCCCGCAAGGGCATATAGTTGTCTATCCTAACGACACGGCACCAATAACTGGGACTAGCTGCATTTTGACGCGTTAGCAGTTCTATAAAATCACCCCCAGGTCAAAGGGAGTCGCACTGCCTCGTCCCAGAAGATCCCCGCTCGTCCTGCCCGATGGGGAAACTTCTCGGGGTCCTGGTCTTTTGGGCTCCTTGAGATGCCGCCGTTCCACTTGGACTTGAGACCTGCTCCAGTCCTCTCGATTCTCCTCGTGAGATGCATCTGTGGCGCATCTGTTCCCACATGGCTTATGCTTTTGTCTCCTGGGCTCTACCGACGAGGACCGTGACCCAAATCGACCGGTACACCATGTTTTCACTTGTGGAAAACATCGACTGGGGCCAAGAATCCAAAATAAGTCGAGCCCAATCCATGTCTGTTTCCAGATAATGGCGCATTCATCCGATCCGCCTGACCTTGAATTGGTTTGATTGCTATGATGCGGATGGCGCAGCCATCCGCATCGCCAAGCGTGGGCTGCCGGAGAGACCGGGGAGGCGCCCAAAAGTGCGGGGCTCCAGGCTTCAGGGATGCCGACCCCAGGATCTTTGAGACCGGAGTCCCTCTGTGCGCGTTTAATCCCTGCTGTCCTCCATACTAATGAGGGGTTCGCTTTTCCTCTAAATAGACCAGCGCCATGCTGAGCAGCACTACGCTCGTCTCCTCTTCAGCGCGATACAATCCATGTCTGCGATCTGATCTGCCCATCCATGCTCGGAGTGATCGCGAATCCTTCTCCCCGATGGATCGTCTTGGAACGGGCCAAGCGCCGTGTCGGGCTGATCCGGTGTTTAGTTGCCCTGAACCGAGTCAATCTACCGATCGGCCCAGGGCGCGACGAAGACATTGTCATTTTGCCTCCGCCACGGTCTGCTGTTGCATTCATGGCTGCTGCGCGATTCGGGTTTAGGACACCGGCCTGCGGCTGCCCCACGCTATGCGCCGGCATCGGCCAGGGCTACCGGTCTAGCGGTCCACCCGGCCAATCGGCTCTCTTCACTCGACAAATATCCAATAGTAAAAGCCCTCCGGATATAAGAATAACCTCCGTGAGTTCTCCATATCATTTGCTCTCTAGCTGTATTCGAATGCGAGTGTGCGAAGATATGCCAACTTCCTGCCGTCGGCACCTGTGCGGCCCGACCATCCCGCCCCGCGCAACGAGAGTGGGGAAAGCTTCCAAGCCCGCGGCGACACGCGTAGATGTCACCGTCACCCACGAATCTAAGCACAATTGGGATATGTTTTCCTGGCGCGCATAGTCCGGGGACTAAAAAGGGCGAAAGGGCGTAGAGAGCGAACGTTCTCGGGGAGCGTTGTTTGCCGAATGTTCTCCGACAACTAATCGGCGCCGTACGAGGGGAATTTTCCATCGCCCGCAAGTCGAGTTTCATGCCCAATTGCACACGTCTTGACTGAGTGCCACATTCTTCAACATCGTAACTAACCCCCTTCCCGGCTAATCATCGGTGGGTTCATTCTTTGCTCTTTGCTCATTGCTCATTGCCTCTACAGCTGGAGGGGATCCGACAAATCTTTATCCGGGGCATGATGGCAAGTTTGAAAAGTAGGGGTACTGCCCAGAGCTGCCTTTTGGCCCTCGTGAAGGATCCTCGTCTCATTTCCATCTTTCAAGCAGCCACCTGCTCCTTCTTGCATGCCGTACACCGTCTCGCCGTAGGATTCAAACAACGCATTCAGATAACTGCCTCGCAAACTTAAAGTTCGCATGCCTATTTGAGGATTGACAAATGACTCACGAAGAATCTTTTGCCGTGAAAAGTGAGGTCCACCATTTAATCTAGTCTTATATAGTCCAGACCGCCAACCTCCTGTCCAAATTAAATGAACATCGCCCCCCAATCTTTCGAATCCTCCGAGTCCTTCAGTTCCTTTCTTACCTGCGAGATCCTAGCATACATATTTCTCACAGATTAATTCCTTAGCTCCTGGGTTGGGCTTCCTCGTACAGATCGATACGTATACGTATACGTGCCGTCAAATCTGCTGGTGATCACATGATGTCCAATTCAACATGTCACCCCTTCATTATGATTGGCCGGACTTCCCATATTATCATGACATGTGTAAACACAGCAACGTAGATAGAAAAGGAGAAACACACTTTCATCCAAAATATCTTCAGGGAAAAGGCCTAACATTCATGGAGGATCCCGAAGCCAACGGGGCTTCAAGCCTGGGCCACGATAATCTCCATGAGCACAAGCCTAGGGAAAATGGCGAGAGCATGGAGTCAAGCGCCACTGCCCAAGAAGGCAAGCATACGTCAACGTTTCACCAGCTTGGAATCCTGGACCGCTTCCTCGCGATCTGGATATTCTTGGCCATGGCGATAGGCATTATTCTGGGCAATTTCGTGCCCGGCACGGAGGAGGCTCTTGAGAGAGGGAAGTTTGTGGGTGTGTCGGTGCCCATCGGTGAGTTTGTCGTCGCCTACGGAACACATTCGAAATCTTCGCCCTGACACCCATGTGTAGCGGTCGGTCTGCTGGTCATGATGTACCCGATTCTATGCAAAGTACGATTCGAAACATTGCACCGAACATTTCGACAGAAATCTCTTTGGGTGCAGATTGGATTCAGTATCATCGTGAACTGGATCGTGGCCCCTCTTTTTATGGTATGTTCTCACCCGATCCTTCCTTTGGGATGGCTGCCAATGACAAGAAGTTGGGACTAGCATGGGCATTTCTGCCCGATGAAAAGGGGTTGAGGGAAGGATTGATCTTGGTGGGAATTGCGCGGTGCATTGCAATGGTATATTGGATTTTCTATCCGTGATCTACGCAGCCAGTCGGACTAACAAATGCAGGTTCTCATTTGGACAGGACTAGCAGGTGGAGATGGAGAATACTGCGCCATTCTCGTGGCCATCAATTCCGTGTTACAGATGGTATTGTTCGCGCCGATGGCCATACTCTTCATCCGAATCATCAGCGACGACGATATCTCTCTAGAATATTCACTAGTAGCCAAAAGTGTCGGGGCCTTCCTCGGTATCCCACTCGCGGCAGCAATCGTGACACGGTTCGGACTGCGCGGCTTGATTGGTGGGAAATGGTATGACAAGAAGTTCCTTGTGTGGATCAGTCCGTTGTCTCTCATCGGGCTGCTCTTCACAATCATCATCCTGTTCGCATCTCAGGGTCGACAGGTGGTTCATCAGATTGTGTCTGTGGTGCGAGTGGCTGCGCCCCTGATAGTGTACTTTGCTGTGATCTTTCTAGCGACCCTGCTGATAACCCGGCGATGTGGCTTTGGGTACAAACTGTCGTGTACGCAAAGCTTCACGGCAGCGAGCAATAATTTCGAGTTAGCGATCGCAGTTGCAATTGCGACGTTCGGCGTTGAGAGCGATCAAGCTTTGGCAGCCACCGTCGGGCCTCTCGTCGAGGTTCCCGTGCTGTTGGGGTTGGTGTATGCCGTGAAGTGGTATGGCAAGCGGCACAATTGGTAGTATTGCGGCCGTGGTGACAATTTGTTAATAGCAACAAACTTAAAAGATCACAGGCGGCAGATTAGATGCTGTTGCTAATCTCATCCAAAACTTGGAACAAGACCTGATTCTCAACTCGGCAGCCATCTCCTGTAGAATTGGCTCTGAATCCGGCCCACAGTCTTTGTCGGATTTCGTCAATGTCAATCCCGCTCGTATTGTACTGGCTAATCAACTCTTCTGCCATGGCACAGAGAGTAGTATTCAGTACGTCGCCATTGCCTTCGTCCATGCCTGGGTTTCCTGGTGGGCATTGACAGAGAGCGGGTTCTGCATGCTTTGGCTTTTGCCTCTGTTGTGGGCCTTCGGTTTCAGCCTGCACTGGTGCACAGGTGGTTGGCGCGCAGGTGGTTGGCGCGCAGGTGGTTGGCGCACAAGCTAATGGCGCACAAGTAGTCGGTGTACGAGAGGCTTCCTCTGAGGGTGAGCGTTCGGTTGCTGTGCTACACGCAGTCGGTGCGCTTGCTCGCGTAGAGCTTGATTGCGGACTGCCCGTGCCACTAGATGGTGGTATTGGAGGTAGCTCTGCCGGTCGCTGCATTGCGGGAATGGCCACTTTCCGATTCAGCACGGTGCCCTGGTCAGCCAACTGAAGATACTGTTGGACTAGCTCTGCCGAGATCCCAAGAGATCCTAGCAGAGTTCGGAGGTGTCGGTTCTCTGCCTCGATTTTCTGGCTGGCCAGCCGGTGCTGGATATCTTTTCGCTGAGCTTCAACTTTGAACGAAGCCAAGCGCTGCTCTAACTCGCGGACATACTCCTGCTTTCGCGCTCGGCTTTGACGCTGGTTCTCGCGGACACGCGCCAGGCGTTCGAGATGCTTCACAGCGAGTCAGGCACCAATATTCTCGGTATTTCTGACGGCCGACCATGGCAGACGGGATACGCACCTTCTGGCGATTCTCTGCCTCCATCGCGTTCCAACTCCAGGATGTTGAGACGTTGAGACGTTGTCACGGCTCCGTACAAGAAGCAGTTCGAGGCTTGCGGCGTCCGCTCGGACTCAAAATCGCGGTGTCCAATGTCTCCTGAGATCCCGAAGAACCCTATTCGACTGTGGCTTTGAATCACGTGAATTTCGATGGATCCAACTTTCATGCCTGATAGATCGGGTGTCCATCGTCTATCCATGGATCGACCTAAACCATATTCCAGTCCCGTCCATGAGCTGCCAACGATGGAATTTGAAGCCTTGCACTCTACGGAGGAAGACTAGAACTACCGGCTAATTAATCCCCTGTGTTGTAGAGCCGATTCCCCCCTCAAGTCGGATTGGATGTGGCCTGCGCAGAGCCGACGCACAATGGGGGGAATGGGGGGAAAGGGGGAAATCGTGCCGATTGGATAGGCGCGGGGGAAGCACGAGCCTTCCGGGGTAGACCGGTCAGCAATGGACTGGCGACGAGCAGCCCCAACCCCTAAGCCGGGGAAATCATCATGTTCATCACATCTGTTTACGCGCCGTCCACGCTATTCCGTGTCCTTATCCCGATGAACACGAGTCCACCGTGGGGCCTCGCGCACAAAGGCAAATCTTCGCCAAAAGCGTGCCGTTCGCACTGCATAGTTTGCCCGCAAACGATCACCTCGGGCGCTCTGACGACGTCACTGTCCGTCAGTCGCCGCGGAATTCTGGGCTCCTCTGCGATCGCCTGGAATGCGCTTCCCCCCACCAAGTTGCTGACTAGTGCGGTCGTTCCTTATTCCCTTCCTCCTCGGGGAGGTAAAGTTCCATTCCTGCACATTCCCACTGCTGTGTGGTTCTGGACCTAGTCCTATTTCTATTCATTGATCGCGCGACGCTCTCCACCTTTGCGACTCGGGTCCAAACTCTCACGCTCCACCCTAGCCTACCATGGTCTCCACGCGACATCATCCCCGCGAGTTTCCCTCGCCGGAGAAAGCTGCGAAGGAACTCGTCAAGTCGTCGCCGGCGCCAACCACCAACGGCAACGCGCGCAAATGGGTACACACCCCCTCCACCGCGCTGACGATCTGGCTTGTCGTCTCGGTGCCCTTGGTCCTCTGGGATGCAGGCTATGTGTTGTTGCGACCGCATAGTATGCCCGGTGGCCGGCTGCACTCGCCCATCTGGACTCCCTACGCGCTCTACGGGACCGTCGATTACATCTATGGCTGGCCCGCTTTCAATGCGCGCAATGGGTTCACTGCCGCGCAGACCATCTTGAACGTGATCGAGACGCTGGGCTACATCTACTACCTGTGGATTGTGTACCGACACGGTGCTACGGTCGCAACTGGTCGCGACGCACCAAAGCTCAAGAAGGGTTTCGTGTGGTTGTTGACTGGCAAAAAGGTGGTGGCTGGACGGACTGGCGCGACCGCGCTTCTGATTGCCTTCACGGTGTCCGTGATGACTCTCAGCAAGACCCTGCTTTACTGTGAGCCGCGTTCCTTTTTGGTGTAGATCAGCTGGTTCTTGGCGCTAACTCTACCCTGATAGGGTTGAATGAGTTCTTCTCGGGCTTTGATAACATCGGCCACAATGACGCCGTCACGATTATCTTCCTCTGGGTTATTCCCAAGTGAGTTGATCCTGGCGCATTCGCATTCGCATTGAATCTTGAGCTAACGTATTCCTGCCTTCAGCGGTCTTTGGATCGTCTTCCCCGCCTATAATATCTTCGTGCTCGGTGGAGAGATCCTCAACTCTCTAGAGCAGACTCCACCGCGCCGGCCGGGTCGCCCCAAGTCCTCATAAGCCTGGGGGAACATTGGCTGGCGATGAGGATAAAAGGGGTTCAAGATCACATATATCGCTCAGAAGGAGTTGTTGTATTTCTGGAAGAATGAGTCGATTCAACGGCACAGCATATTTATTTCATGATGTTTTAGAAGTACTCGTATTGGTGAAAGAGTTGTTGTGTCACGGCCTATGCATTGAGTGAAGAAATGGAAATCTATTGTTGAAGACCCTTGGCAGCAGGGTGACCCCGGTCGCACCTCGATATTCACCGAACTCGGCAAGCTTCTGCTCCCTCGGAACTGTTGCCAGCCGGGATGCCAACCGATCGATTGTCCTACCAAGGTGGTTCGGCCCGGACCTGGATCACCTGCAGGGGACTTGGAGACGCCTGGTAGGCGCTGGTTTGGGTATAGCGTCGCATGATGGATTCATTAGCTTCAGCGTCATCTATCCGGGCACGTTTATCGCTTGCTAGTACCAATAGAATCCCTGGAAGCTTGCGGTGAATCCTGTGGAGGCGTAGACTGAAACGACGTGATCATAGCCGAGTTCGGATATAGAGCACGGAGTATGTAACGTCGGCGAGATTTGACCTCGTGGGTAGCCGCGCTGCTCTCCTTCTGTGTTCTGACTATTATTTAGCCAATGGGATAAGTCTGTGGCTGAAATCAGGGAACCTCTTATTGCTATTTCATCTATTGCTGATGTGGTAGAGGCAGCTTCGTAATATGGCCGCTGCCAGTGGAACGCCCTTGCCAAGCCGCCATTCGCCGCTGAACCTTTCCCCATATTCCCTCGTTCTTCTGACCTTTCTCCTCCACCCCGACTTCTCCCGCCGTAACCACCCTGCATCGCACCCTTGGACCGCCGCCAAATTCATCGCATCATCTCAGGCTGGAAATTCCACTCGTCAGCTCTACCTCCACCACGCCGAACGATGCTTTGGGCCTGGGTTCTGGGGTACCCGCACCCGTCATGATCCCTCCCGACTCCGACGACTCGCCATTGAAGACCTCTGGTGCTAGCTTTGGCTTGGGCCAGGAGGATCCGACGGCAGTTGTAGACGACTTTGATACCCACAGTCATGCCAGTTCTGGCGACCCCGGTAGCACAAATGCCCACGACCCCGCGACAGGGCCCGACAACGGCGGGCTAGAGAACCAGGGCGATGACACGGCACGAGACGGCACCGGCGATGGCCTCGAGACCGGACCCGTCGACAAAGATGGTAGGCCGGCCTGGAGCGAAATGAAAACCAAGGCTGGAAAGGAAAGGAAGCGACTGCCGCTTGCCTGCATCGCCTGTCGCCGGAAGAAGATCCGGTGTTCGGGTGAAAAGCCCGCGTGCAAGCACTGCACTCGCTCGCGAATTCCTTGTGTCTACAAAGTGACCACGAGAAAGGCAGCGCCGCGAACGGATTATATGGCTATGCTGGACAAACGTCTGAAGCGGATGGAAGATCGCGTGATCAAGACGATTCCTAAAGATGAGACACGAGACATGGCTTCCATCGGACGATCGATAGTGAAGCCGTCTGCACAGAATCAGGCCTCCAAGGCTCAAAAGAAACGAAGCGCCGATGAGGCGTTCGCAGCGGAGATGGATGAATGGACCCAAGGGGAGCGTCGCCCGGCCCAAGATACTTTCCCCATGAATCGCGAGAACAAGTCCACTGATGGCGCCGGACTTTTGACCGAAGGCGCAGAGTTTTTGCCTTCTCTAGAGATCCAGGAGTACCTAGCAGAGGTCTTCTTCGACTGCGTATATGGGCAGTCATATCTCCTTCTACATAAGCCTAGCTTCATGCGACGACTCAAGGCGGGCACGGTCCCCCCAGTCCTCATCCTCGCGGTTTGCGCAGTCTCCGCTCGATTCTCTACCCACCCACAGCTCAACTCAGAACCTCCCTTTCTCCGCGGAGAAAATTGGGCCAATCCTGCCGCTGCCATTGCACTTAGCCGACACGACGAACCAAATATCACTATTTTGACCGTCTTTCTACTCCTTGGATTGCATGAATTTGGAACATGTCATGGAGGAAGAAGTTGGTCATTTGGAGGTCAGGCACTGAGGATGGCATACGCGCTGCAGCTTCATCAAGAGCTTGAGAGCGACCCGTTGCTCAGTCAGAGTAATGGCTCGAATTCCCAACTGAGCTTCACAGATCGTGAAATTCGGCGCCGTACTATGTGGGCATGCTTTTTGATGGATCGCTACAACTCTTCGGGAAGTCAACGGCCGCCCATCGGGAATGAAAAGTTCCTCCACATCCAATTGCCCATCAAGGAGACTCACTTTCAAATGGAGATCCCCGGGCCTACGGAAGACCTAGATGGTAATGTGCTTAACCCTGCGCCGCAGGATTCTGGCCAGCTATCCAACGCCAAGGAGAACATGGGTGTGTCGTCATACATCATCCGCGCCATCGTCATCTGGGGACGCATTGTTGACTATTTAAATCTTGGTGGTAAAAGAAAAGAGTCTCAACCTCTTTGGCATCCGGACTCAGGATACACGCGACTGAAGCGGCAAATTGAGGAGTTCTCTGCCTCGCTTCCGAGCTCTTTGACATTCACCTACGAGAATCTTCAGATTCATGCCGCGGAGAAGATAGCGAATCAGTTTTTGTTCCTGCACATCATTACACATCAGAACATGCTGTTCCTGAACCAGTTCGCCATTCCTCTGTCTCCAGGTGGACGGCCTCCTAGGGATATGCCTAAGCCGTTTCTTAGCAATGCCGGTCGAGCAGCTGTGGAGGCTGCCCATAATATCTCTATGCTCTTTGATCGCGCGTCGGCTTATCCACTTACTGTCCCTTTTGCAGGGTACTGTGCATATACGGCGAGTACTGTTCACATCTGGGGGATCTTCTCAAAAAACGTGCAGTTAGAAGCTCGATCAAAGGAGAATCTGCGACACACTTACCGCTATCTCAACAAGATGAAGAAGTACTGGGGTATGTTCCATTACATGGTGGAGAGTGCCAAAGACCGGTACCGACAGTTCGCCGATGCAGCCATTAAGGGTTCTGTCGCAGCGCAGAATGGCACCTCCCTGGCACCCATGTTCCAATACGGAGACTGGTTCGACAAGTACCCCCATGGTGTCTCAAGGCTGCACTGGGAGGACCCAGACACTCGGCATAAGGAATCAGGCGAGGATGCTGTCATGGGTCAGAAGCCCGATCTCCAGAGCGTGGAAGACTTCTTCGCCAGTCTATCTCCAACGCCGCAACCCGCCGTTCCCCGCAAGTCCCGCTCGCGCAAGAACAGCAAACTGTCTGATGGCACCCCCAACCCTAATATGGACCAATCCCCGACGCAGTCGATGGATCCCACCGTGGGTGGTACTCCTGGCGTTCCAGGCAGCGCATTCCCCCAACCATTCTTGTTCTCCCAGAACCGTCCCATGCCATTTGGTCAATCGCCCTTCGACTTCAGCATTCCGCCAGACCAATTGCCACAATTGGATCGGCAATTCGTGTACGACTCTTTTTCTGACTTTGATCCCACCAACTTCGTTCCCCCGAATAATCCTTCGATGCCGCCGCCGCCATCGGTTAATAGGGTCGAGGCCCAAAACCCAGCCCATTCTCTTTTCACGGACCACCTTGACCCAGGCGCCCCGGCCGGAACAGGCGAGTTCTACCAGCCCAGCGCGTGGTTCCTCCCTTTCAACCTCGACCCGGTCGGCGGCGGCCTACCTCCACAATCAGTAGCAGGTCCAACTTCAGCCCTGGTCCCAGGTAGCGATATTTCCGGCCTGGGTGGGGCAGGCAGCCTGCCATTAAGTGCGTATGACCTCGGCCTGGGCGGGCCAGACATCGGACAAGACGCGCGGCACCGATGACCTTGGATACCCATGAAATGCCAGTTGCTTTTCGATGACCACGACGTGGTTTTATTCTTGTTAATATATTTATGAGAGGACCTCCGATCCGGGCTTTCGGTGGTGTACTTTTTCCCCTGCACTTCGTTGAAATCTGTCAAAAGCCTGGAGTAATTGCGATACTTTATCTTTAATCATGTACATATGTCCCGACTACCTGTGTCTTGACGTCAGCTGTATATTTCCCCCTGTCTCTGGCGGTTGGTTCTCTAGAGGACCTTCACGGAATGTACTCATGCGTTGGCCCGGTTACCTAGTAAAGTTCTCGCCAGTAGTAAGAATTTTTACGCTCCCGCGTCACCGTGGCACTCTTCTCTCGTCCGCATCAGCTAGCCCGAATCGCACGCCAAAAAAAACAATCAGGGGTAAAGATAGTCTCGATATAGAAAAAAGTTAAGAAGTGCATCATCCGTGAATCGAACACGGGCCTCGTCGATGGCAACGACGAATTCTACCACTAGACCAATGATGCTGGTTCTTGTGGAGTAGCAGCGGATAATGCTATACAAATGCCCCACGTATAGTGGGTGCCGTTGTTGGCTCAAGTTTTTGGACATCGGTTAGTCGACCTTGCAAATGATGCTCAATTCAACTCGAGTGATAATGAATTTATCTAAGTATCTAGAATCACTTCAACCCCCGATTTTCTTGTTTCAGTTAATAGGAAATTCTACTGGTAAATATATTACACTACATTAATCAGGTTGAGAGGTACATATTTTCAGGCACTACAGTACAGATACATATATATACCATCCAATCGGCACGTTTTTGGTCATGCAAGTAAATGGTTTTTTACTTAACAAACTAGCTAGACTATACCATTTATTACGCTACGAAACACCATCCCACTTAAATCCAAGTAATCCTAACCTCTCGTTGTTTCAACTAGATGACTGAGTAAGCTGGCTAAAACGCGACACGCTAGGTCAGCTCCTGTGCAGCTTTTCTTTTCAGATAGACAGCTTCCCCTCCCTCCAACAAATACCCTTTCAGGAGGAAATGTGAAGTTCATACTGAAAAATGACGTTTCTGGACCTGAGTCAAAAGTTCATGCCCCTTGAGCTTGAAAATCCATTCAAAATCTCCATTATCATGAAACTTCCATCATGGGTCCATAGATATATAATTTCTATATAGTTGGTCTACATATCGGTGGCCCAGTTGACCAAAAGAGGCGGCGGCTGCCTGGCCTCCGGGAACGTCGCTTCCCATGCCGACATTACTTGAAAAACCTTTTCCTCCTCGCCATTCCGTATCATTATTTCCATCCCAAAAGGCCTCCCATTGTAAGCAGAGAAGCCGAGTGGGACACTTCCGATGGGATAGCCTGCACAGGCTGCAATGCTAGGAAACAGTGTTTCCCCAGATGCCATGATAACATCCGCATTGGATTCGTCCAAACACAGCTGGGCAGCATGCCGAACACTCTGTCGAAGGTGCGCCAATCCACTGTGATATTGCTCATCGGTCATATTATCGTTCAGGCCATTTTCCAACACTTGCTGGCTGGGTTGCTCTGTACCATCGTCTGAAGTGAGTGTTTGAGGAACATGAACTTTGAACAGCTCATACCTGGTGGAACCTCTTCAGCTGCATGCTCTTTATTGAACATCACCAGGTCCTGCAATGTCCGTAATTGAGGATTATTGAATAAGCCCAAAAATCTTGAAATGACGAATGCAAGCTGGTGTCCTGGCATGGGGTCAATTATTTCTGGATCCAAGGGTTGGAGGGAGCGAAGGAACTTACTTCCAATCTCTCCCATCGTCACAGTTTTGTATTTATCGGTGATTCCAGGAAGGCTCAGGAGGGGGGCATTGTAGGTAACCTGGGCTCCAAGAGATTCGACTTTCTTGAGAGCCTCCAGCATTTCTTGCTCCTATAGACTGTCAGTTGCTTTCTCGATAGTGACCGGATACTTACATGTTGTGTATCGAAGGCAGGTGTTTTTTCACAAACAGAGTCGGGAAATTGACAGGTCTTGTAGTCTAGATAGGCAATGCGAATCCCATTCCAAGACTTAGCGAGGTGCGAACCAAAGTCCCAACCTGGTAAGAGAATATCCATCACATCGGCACAATCCTCAGTAGATTTGGCAATTGGACCGGCACTGTCAAAAGCTGCACCTCCAGACTGCGTGCCTTTCATAATCACATCGCCAACCGTCCCCTCCAAGCTATAGGCCGCAGCTCGAATTGCTGGTTGAACTATTGACCCGTCCGCTTCGGACCCGATCGTCAAAGCGGCAAAGCCAGCTGCTGTTGTAACGGCCGACCCAGACGATGATCCGGCCGGGGTCTTTGTTCATAAGTCCACTTCAGCCTCGTCCGAACCAAAATAGGTCATTACTCACACTATGGCCCATCCACCTGTCTTTCGAGTCCACGCCTCCTTTAACATAAGGCGATTGAGTCTATTCAAAATCAGTCCACCCCCGAGACTACGATGATTGTATAAGATCACCTGGCCACCGACGGCAGACCAACCACTTGTCACCCCGAATCCCTTAGAGTTAGCCCATTCCTAGACCATGTTAATTTCATGATGCCGAATGAACAGATTTCTCGCTATCTGGCCACGCACCGAAAGGTTTGATTTGCCAATCACGATAAATCCAGCCTCTCGAAGAAGTGTTGCGATAGGGGCATCTTCAGTAGCGTTAAGCCCTTTCAAGGCCAATGATCCAGCTGTTGTCTCCAGGCCAAATGTTGGGGTGCAAATCAGATCCTGAGTCATAGAAATTAAGCATCATGGAGTTAAATCAAGATTAGAGTGTCTTTAGAATAGATCATCTCTTCTCACCTTCAAAATAATCGGGATCCCATGCAGCTTTGACCTAGGCCTCCTTTGTGACCTTTCAGTATCCAACATCCTCGCTTCTTCGAGGACACGATCCGCAGACGCAGTCGAGATCATTGCATTCAGCATGAGGCCCTGTTTGTTATGCTTGGCAATCTGGTCCAAGTATAAACCCACCAGCTCCACACTGGAGACCTCTTCCGAGTCCAGCAGCTTACGCAGGTCGCTTGCTGTCGCTGTAAGCACATCGATGGTATGATTGCGTGTCATTTTGGGGAATACTGTGCCTTGGACAAAGAATGACAATCTCGGGGTTATCCAAAGCATGAAAGCAACAATAATGGCAGTGGAGAAAGTCCAAAATTTCGAGACAGGAAGGTCTTCACGATACTTCCTAAGAGCCGCCTCGGACCTCAGAAGGGAGAAAAGCGGGGGAGGGGGGAGAAAGTGATGGCTCGGCGTGATGGTCGATTTCATTGTTGGCTTCCTCCGACAGCACCCCTGCCCCTGGTGATGTACGTACTCGCCACCATTGCCTAGCTCGAAGAACTAAAGTAGCATCTTGTACTCGAAGAATTAATTATACTTCTTACGATTGTTTTGCATCGTTTTGAAAAAAAAATGAAAAACAGACATTAAAATGCACGGTTTGAGAATCATTTCATTGTAATATAGAATGTTGACATCCAAAACGTATCGAAAATTCACCACTAACCGGTAACCCACGCCAGTCTCCCTTACAACCCTCCTTAGCACCCAATCTTCACTTCTCTTGTGATACCGGCTACAATGTGATAGATAAGCAAGAGCCCCAAATACAGCAAGAGATCATATATAAGGAAAAACATACAATTGCATTAGCCCCACAGAGCCCCCCGTTCCGTATATCAAAATACCGCGAGTAACAACAAATCAGCCCGTTTTGATCGCGATATCAGTAGACGTTCTTGGAAATTTCTTCCAAGGCTGGTTGGATGAAGGTAGATCTGGAAACCCAGCTCGGTATAGCTTCTATCACTGTGGGATCGAGATATAGGACTCGCGCCTTACGAGCAACGAGATCGCTAAGATCGTTCTTAAGAAGGCAGAGCAATATCTCGCTATCGAGGTAGGTGGTAGGGTTGATCAGATGCGTTTGAACTTACTTGCTACCGATACCTGCCCGACGATATTTAAGGTTTACGATATACTTAGACTCCGCAGACTGAGCATATGTTCTTCATCCGATGCGATTCCCACGGTATCCAGCTCATCATTAAATATCTCCTCCAGAAGCCTCTAATCTGTGACACCTTTGGTGCCTCAACCGCAATCGTATCTTACTTTGATGAGGGAGCTCTGCAACTAGGTAGAGTCCGGAAGATCTAGCAGGAGATGTACGGCAGGACTTCTGCTTTTCTAGCGGCGATTATGACACGACAGGGTTCATAGTACAGGAAGGATGCTTTGCTCGGTCGGCAGATCTTAGCAAGCACTAGAACAGATAATAGGAAAATGCCTATAAGCCTAATTCGGGCTAGTATCTTGAATCCCACGCTCTAGGCGCACCTACAAAAAATAAAAAATAAATCAAAATTCAATTCACACCATGCGAAGCTGGGAACCCAAAAGGTGAACTTCACTAAACATGCTCCAGCATAGGACAAACCCGCAGTATCATGCAACTCTACCGACTAGTCCCGATCAGCAGGCAGTCATCGGTGATTTATATTCGGCAGGAAAGGGTGAAGGAGAAGCTAGGCTACTATATCAGCCTCGCAATCCTAGGTAGGTTCGCCCGTGGTGTCCCGAACTGTTGATTCATATTGGTTGGATCAGGCCAAGGTCTATTCCTAGTGGAAACCCAAGGAGGTACTTGAATGTCCCGAAGATATAATGATAGAAGATAGAAATCAACTCTCCTAGTCCTCCCACTCCTCATCCAGCTGGTCTATGAGTCGATTCTCCGCATCTATATCTCGTCGCCCGCCCTGCCTCCCGCTACCTCGGCCGCCAATCGCGCCGATAAAGCCGCCGCGGCCGTCATCGCCGGCAGGGACGTAGCCATTGATCGAGGGGGATCGCTTGAGGCGAAGGCAGTTCCCTATAGAAGAGAAGATAATGACAAACATATCCTAATTTGATAAAAAAAGAGGATTAGCGTATTACCCTCTTTCAAACGGCCATAAAGCAAAAACGCAATCAAGTCTCTCGAATCAGTGGCACACAACGCGATCTGCAAGGTACTGAGTACAGTCAAATACTTAGAGCTGGGCTAGATATAGAATGCCCACCGTCTAGGCCAGACAGACAGCCCGCGGACGGGTGAAATGGTGACAGCTTGCTTCGAAAGTCATAAGAGAAGTACATGCTGCGGTCAACACAACCGGGATAATGCAATCGCCATCGAAAAGTATAGAACATGGCGAGACAAGTAGTGGACGACCAAGAGACAAGGAAGGGGTATAACGAGAGAACTTGGCATGCGCTTCGTCAGAGGCAATTGAGCTCTAGTCCAGCAAGAGCAACCTCAATCCAACCGCGAAACAGGTAACACGGGCATAGTTGAATTTCTATACTTGTGCGACACCACGTTGCCATATCTGAAGCTTCGGCGAGACCGACAAGGTATCAACGTTAAGAGACATACCTTAACAAAGTCGAGCATGCCAGCCCAAAGGCTGAAGTTCGGGCACTGACGCCAGCCGCGCTGGTGCATGACTGTTCGTTGATACGCGCAGCCACCGATCAAATAAGCGGCCACAGCGATGAGCATACTGAGCATGTATATTAGTATGAATTGACCCACCTCGCATGAATATGTAGAGAATGGACTCACATTACACCGAAGACCCCGCCTGGTCCCAGTCCGCCACTGTTCGGATCTGCTGCGATTCCACCACACGCAGCCGAGCTGCGAATCTCGAAGAAGTAAGTGCACGAATCCATGGTCCCGACAAAGGACGGGGTAGCTGTGTTTGCTGGTGCGTCGCGGTCGCAGAGGAAGGACATGATCGTAGACTTGGTGCGCACGGAGGTGTTCATGCTGGCGGTGTTCCAGTCCGCAGGGCATGGAGAGCCGTTCGTATAGTTGAGGACGAGCTTGCGACCCCGGAAAAAGGGCTCGGAAGCTTGCTCTCTGTTCAGGAGCGAAAATAGTCAGCATTTAGAACACCAAGGATCAGAGTGGGTCCACATAGGACTATCAACGGAGGGATCAAGGGCCTGAGGAGATGCCGTACCCTATCGAGTATATCTTCCCCGCATGCTCATAATATGCGCTGACATTCTTCCACCGTGAGGACTCTATTCCGACCACATCTTCCACATTTTCAATGACTGGTGCGCAGATATTGATCGTGAAATTCGCGGGGTAGTCATGCCCCTTGGCATGCCAGCTCGTATCCCGCGCGTCCTTCTCAACTTTCTTGCCGTTCTTTATTTCAGGAAGCGACAGTGAGATCGCATTGAGATCGAAGTACAGGCCGCTTGTTGGTGAGCGAGCTACGCAGGGGGAGTCATCGTTGAGGTGAGAATGGTCCGAGGCCGCGCTGGACAATCCCAAGAGGGACGATAAGAGGAGGAGCGAAGAACGAGCGGAACTGGACAGCTTCATGGCTGTAATGGGTCACCGAGGACCAGAGGAAAGAAAGAAAACGAGGGATAAGGGTAGGCAAGAGGCCAGCTCTTCTTGGGGTTGATGTTGGGGAAGACGAATGCTGGAAGTGAGGAGGCTGAAACCGCGAGAGGCTTACGTTGCCTCCGGGTGCTTCTGATTGGCGATGATTGGCGATGCGGAGAAGCTCCGCGCGGGCCGCGGGTTCACTGGCTCCGGCGTCGTACGCGCTTCGGCCGGGCTTCACGATTCCCAGAAGCTATTTATTCGGCCTATCACCCCGCGCTGATTACCAGGCCACATCAGTTGTCCTCTTCTCACCCAATTGCCCGCAGTTGCGCTTTTCACCATGGCGCCCAAGAAGGTTGAGAAGCCGCAGGTCCCTATCCAGCCTGTGCCCGAAAAGCGCGGCTATGAATTCGGGGGGCCGTATGTCTGCTCCAATTCCTGATCCCAGACCCCCATACTGACTTGTGCCGCAGCCTAGGTGCCTTCGGAATTGTATTCGGGCTTCCCATTCTTGTCTATACCTTCGCTTTCGTCTGCAATGATGTTACGGGCTGTCCCGCCCCTTCGCTCCTGAGTCCCTCGACCCTGACCCTCGACCAGCTCAAGCGTGAAGTGGGCTGGCCCGAAGAAGGCATTGCTGGTCTTTATGATACCCAGGTTACACTGTGGACGCTGAGCTACTATGCTTTCAGTCTGTTCTTGCAGGTCTTCCTGCCCGGTCAGGAGGCGGAGGGTGTGCCTCTGGCATGTGGGGGAAGGCTCAAGTACAAGTTCAACTGTATGACAAGCACCCAAGCCAAAGCCAGATGGCACCTTTCATAGGGCAAAGAAAATGGAATTTGCTAACAGACCCTTGGTTTAACAGCATTCCCCACCGCCCTCATCATCCTCTCTGGCTTGGCCACCGGCTCCTACATGTACGGCGCGGACTTCGTGGTGTGGACCTTCCTATGGGACAATTACATCCAGGTCATTACCGCGAATCTCTTGATTTCTTCCTCGATCGCGCTTTTCGTCTACCTCAAGAGCTTCACTGTCCCGGAGCCGGGCAAGCCCAACCAGGAGCTTCGCGAACTGGCCCCTGGTGGCCACACTGGCAACCCCCTTTACGACTTCTTCATTGGCCGGGAGCTCAACCCTCGAATCCGCCTGCCCATTCCCTTCGTCAGTGATGTATCGCGCACGATTGATATCAAAGTGTCCATGGAGATGCGCCCTGGCTTGCTTGGGTGGACCATCCTCAACCTTTCCAACGTGGCCCATCAGTATCGCACTTACGGCTACGTGACCGACTCGATCATTCTGGTCACCATCTTTCAGGCATTCTACATCCTGGATGCGCTGTACATGGAACCTGCTATTATGACCACGATGGATGTAATCATGGATGGATTTGGTTTCATGTTGTCCTTCGGCGATGTTGTCTGGGTCCCCCACATCTACAGCATCCAGAGCCGTTACCTCTCAGTCTTCCCCCTTGAGCTCGGATGGAGCGGAAGGGCACTTGTCCTGGGCGCCATTACCGTTGGATACTCCATCTTCCGCGGCGCCAACAACCAGAAGAACCGCTTCCGTACCAACCCCAACGACCCTCGTGTGAAGCACATTAAGTTTATCGAGACCGCCAGCGGCTCGAAGCTGATGGTCTCAGGCTGGTGGGGTCTGGCCCGGCACATCAACTACCTCGGAGACTGGATCATGTCGTGGTCTTACTGCTTGCCCACTGGCATAGCCGGCTATGCTATCATTGAAAGCATCAACCCAGCCAGCGGTGCCCTCCAGAAACAGGCCGTGCAGACCCCCGAGACTCGCGGCTGGGGCATGATCATTACCTACTTCTACATGATCTACTTTGGAGTCTTGCTGATTCACCGCGAAATGCGCGATGAGGAGAAGTGCAAGAAGAAGTATGGTACTGACTGGGATCGTTACACCTCAATGGTGCGCAGTCGGATCATCCCAGGCATTTACTAAGTGACTTAGAATAGAGGACTGACGATGAGGATGATCTTGAGATGATTCTTTTCATGACGATACATGGATCGAGAAAGGAGACACGTCCTGTTTTATATTGACCCGAGGCAGTTTCGTGGGTAGGCTAAAAAGTGTACATTATCAATTGCTTTCTTATTTTCGCCTTCCGAGGTGAAAACACTCATAGAAATAATACATGAGGCAGACTCATGACGCGCTATCAATTAATCTTAATTTTCCATCTTTGCATGGCGTCAGCGCTTGCGCTTCTTTGGATCGATTAGCACATCTAGACCCCAGCCCTCGTCCCCTGAATTTGACACCCATCCCTTGAGGACTTCCTTAGCATCATGAATTGCCTTCGCGCGAATTCGAAGGGGACCTGTGACATCATCTCCAGCCCGCTTGAACTCTTCATATGTGTTCGCTTCCGGGATAGGGTGAAATGTATGGCCATCCTGCGCCTGGTCTTGGGAATCCTCGTGTTTATGAAGACATGCCTTTGGCTGAAGGATGCTCTGAAGAAAAGACCACAGCTTAGCACGAGATAATGATGATGCCCCCGTGGCGTAGGCGAAGCTAGGCGGTTCCCTTGCTTTACTCCATTGATAATGGTTTCATACAGGCCAGTCTTTGAATGGCACAAGGCCGGCATCTGCTTGCTACCAGTATTCAATATTATGGCACAAGGATGTGACAGTGATGGCGCAGCCGTCCATATGGAGCTAACGTTTCCCGGCTTGCTTTTCTTGGGTGCAACTTTGGGGGCTGTGGCATCACTCGGTTGCTCGGACGGCAGCAACGAGCGGGCTTCGCCGGCTTTCGGTTTCGCAAATTGCCAAAGTGCGTCAACTTCCTCTGCTGGCACGGAGAGAACCTCAAATGGTCGGAATCGATATGTAGTCGTACTTCCATCGTATGCCGGGGTTTCCGGCCATGATCGGCCTGCCAAAGCCTCCATGCGGCCCTTCTCTCCAAACGACCTGTCACAGGCCGTTCGGGAAACCTCATCTTCAGGAAGGATGAGACCAGTTAAGTATGCATTCTCTGTCGGAGCAACCAGAAGACTGGTCTCACAGGATAGTAGAGAAGATACCTGGCGTAGAGCAAGCTTGTCTGAGCAAGATTTGCTTCGTGTTGATTCAGCGTCCATGCGCGCCGGCTTCCGGCGAACCACGCCAAGAAGAGAAAAATGAGCCCTGCCATCTAGGAGGGTTTCTTCAAGGAGATCCCCTTGGTCTGCCAAGTTCGGATTGGTGGGACGGTTCACCTCCCATGGCGTTGCATCCTCTTGGTTTGCCATGCAGAGCTCCATACTTGCATCGCCACATGGAGCGCATGTGCAGTACATATAAAAGTTAATATCAGGCTGAATCTCCAAAGGTGGCCATGCGACTGGTGGTTTGGCTTCATTCGCTCTATTTTCGGCTTGTTGTCTTCTGCGGATGAACGGAGACCTCGGAATGAAATCGTGCTTAGTTTCGCCAGTTTTATTTGGTTTAAATATATGGCTCTTTTCCTCGGTCAAAATAGCGTGGCATTCAGTCAGAAGCCAGTAGTTGAAAGCGCGAATGGCCAATATTTCGGCATGACAATCATGGAGGACAAGGCCCTGACAGCGAGGGATTTGAGAGGCCGGCAAGCATTTTGCACCGCTCCTGCGAATATTATTAGCCGGAGAATACCAAAGAGAAGACTCAATTAAATTATATTGGAAGTTGCAAGACTTACGTGACAGATATGCAGTGCAAGCTTTCTGAAGGCGTGTGTTTTCCTATTGCAAGGTTATTATATAGCCTAATTTTGAAGAAACCGATATCACATACCTTTGACAGCCACAATGCCTGTCATCGGAATCCACTCTCTGGAACCATCGGCAAATATCTTTGGTTTGTTGCGTGCGGGCAATGCGTCGAAATGGGCGTGAACCAGCGCCGCTATTCGAGATGCCAGCGGCACCATGGATGTATTTTCAGACATTGAAAGTAATGGAAGTGAGGAAATGACCCCACATATTTGACAGATCAATTATTCGTCGACTGCAGAGAGAAAAGCACGGAGCCGTGGACATTGTGGTTTTATATCCATCACGTGATCGTTCATTTATCTCCCCGTCTCCAGACTTCGCCCGTTCGTTCCGCAGCATTTCTCCCAATCACGCCCAATCACCTCTTCAAGTCGTTCAAGATGGCCGACAAGCTTCGTACTCTTCAGAATCTTGAGGCCCTGCAGGCCCGTTACATTGGCACTGGCCACGCCGACACGACCAAGTACGAGTGGACCTCCAACATCCTCCGCGACAGCTACGCCTCGTATGTCGGCCACAACCCGCTGCTTTCCTACATGTCCGTTGGCATGGGCGAATCCAAGGAGAAGGTTCGCACCATGATGCTCGAGAAGATGGTTCGGGGCGCTGGTAATCCTCCAGAGGTATGCGCTGCACTGTACTGGGTTGCAATCGCGAGAGAGTCTCTCACTAATCATATCTCCATTCGGAATTTTAGACTCAAGAGTAATGGGAATTGAACATGACATCGCCATTAAAAATCGATCCCCCTACCTCCCTCCGACCATTATCTTCCAGGGAAGCGCTTCCCAAGAGCCCGCTTACCACGCTCTCATCTCGCCCACCTACCTGCCGGGAACCATTTGAAAGATACCCGCCTTACACAGGGCAAATGAATATTTTGCTGTGAAATTCAGTCACTATTGGGTTAGATACCGAATAGTATCCCGCATGATACCTACGATTCCTCTTCCTTTGGACCGGTTGCGCGTCTTACATCACATCTCCAGAACAGCATCATTTAATGTGCGTTGGCGGAGCGAGTCTCATAATATATGGATGGGGACGGATACGGATACCTACTACCATTTTTCTTTGACTTGTGCACCATTACTCTTGGAACTCCGCGTGCTCGACTTGATATGGTGACTTTCCGGCGACAACTCGGTTATCCTGACTTGCTTTGAATGCCACAGCAAAAACTACAGCGCCGATTGTTTGCAGTAGAATCTGTCTACAAATTCAAGTTACATTTCATACAATGTTACAGTTACAAGAAGCTTTGTGCATTGCCGGTGATAGGCGACTGCAGACCAAAAGCCGTAGTCCCAAACACCAAAGTACGGAGACATTGCTAGTAAGCATCGGAGACCACAAATTAGAAACATAAAAATATGGCTATGTACATGCCGCGAGGTAAAATTCCACTAACATCCCCCTTATCAACTGTGTTCTTCCTTTTCAGCCAACTTCATATTCTCCGCCTGCAGGGAAGAGACAAGATCCACCCATTTCTGGCGGTCTGAGCGCAGTTTGCTGAGCTCTTTCTTCAAGTCTTTTACTTCCTGGCGCAAAGTTTCAACCTCAGACTTCGACTTCGTCTTCTCCGTGCGTTCAATTTCCTTGCGCTGCCGTGCCTCAATCTTAGCTGCCACCTTGAGTTGGCTGCTCTCGACCTTGCGCAGTTGCTTCAACAACTTAGCTTCCTCATTATAAAGATGTGAAGCGGCTTTGTGGACATGCGCCGGCGGCTCTGGGGTTTGCGTCTGCTCAGATGGCTGCGCATCACTCTCGTTGCCATTGCCGTTGGCTTGTTGGCTCTGTTGAGTACCAGACGAACTGGCTGGCGTGGTAGACCGATTCTCCGCTGCGCGCTTAAGCAGCCCGCTCGTATCACTGTCTACATCATTGTGGACGCCCCTGAACGGTGTGGATGGCCTGCTTGGCGCTGGGAGGTGCAGACTCTCAAGCTCGGAGCGGATCGTTTCGAGTTTGGCATCAATTTCGCGTTTGCGCTCTGCGAGCTTGGCGAGCTCTTTCTCATGGCTAGTGAGCTTGCCAGCTTTGGTCATTTTCATTAATTCCGCCGGTAGGAGGTTGCTCTGGGGGATTTCATCCAAAATTGGAGTGCTCACTCCAGACTGGGTCGACAAAAGGGAGATGCGGTCGGGGTGCAACGCGTGCGGCTCGGTGCTAGGCAAGTTGGGTGCTATTGACTGAGCAGCTGAAGGTTCATCTTTGTTGGCCTCCGGAGTGCTGATACCATTTGGTGAATGACCTGATGCCTGGTGATGATGCGGGATATAGTCCAGAATTGCTTGCGGTGCGAATCGTTCGAGACCAGAGTTGATCAGGCCTGTCACGCTGGCAATCAGGCCGTGGTGGGACTGAGCATCGGCGTCCGTGGAGTCCGTGTCCGAGTCGAACTGGTTACCTTCATTTGAATCAAGATCGTCGGAAGAATTCCCCGACTTGAGCTCGGGGCTTCGGGATGTCTCGGCGGATGTGACTTCAGAATGATTCTCACGGTTGTGATTTTGAGGCTTCTCGACTTCGAGGGCCCAGTTGACGAACTTGGCTGCGTCTGTTCCGATGCTCCTCGGTGTGCCCTTGTCAACCATCCACCTGGGAATATTGCCCCCGGGGTCACTTCTGGTGACCATGATCCATTCAACAGGATGGATTTCCTCGCTCTCGCTGTGGTCATTGGCTTTTCGCGCATCAGGAGTTTGAGAATCAACTTCTTTCGTCTCCTCCGAGCTGCCCACGCCGGAGGAAGTAGAGGTAGCGTCGCTTGCCGTCTTGGGAATCTCTCGGATAAGTTCAATAGACTCATACTCGCCTCGAGTATATCCATATTTATGCGGCGCATCCGGGTGGTCACATGGCTTGGAGATCATTATCCAGCTCCGACCAGGTTGTTTTGTTCCCCCAACCTGCAATCCAACATCCGAGGTGATGATCATAGCCACGAAATCACGCGGTGCAGTAGGCTTGGGGAACTGGGCCGAGACGTGGTAGACGGTCAATTGGCCTAGCACGGAGCCACCCTCGTCTTTGACCTCAATGGACTCAATCTTTTCCTCGGCACCGATTCCACGAATGCACTTGTCCGGTGTTTGACCCTTCTGGATCCGCTTTCGGTTAACCTTCAAGGTTTCCTCGTATTCCGTCGAGAGCTTCTTCCGCCACTGCGAGAATGGAAGTCCATCGTGTATACTACGTCTCCCGAACCAAGAGCCCTTTCCGTCACTTGGAGAAAGCTTCCAGACGTGCAACCCAAGAGGGTTGTCTTTAGGGCCACCCATTTTTAGTGGTTTGCCCCATTGCTTCTGAATCGATGTAATTTCCGAATCGGTCTCGCCTACCCGAGCGGACGATGGGACGACTCGTAGTCCGGAGTCTGCCGCCTGCAAGCCCAGACCGTGGTGCTCTTCACTGTCGTATAGAGGGGGATCTGGCAGCGACTCTGCTATGAGTCGGCTGTTCTTGAAGATATCACGTACATATTCGCGAAGTTCCTCGGGGGATTGTGGAACCTCATCCCAGGACGTCGGCTGGAGGCATTGGAGGGCATCGTGCAAGGGAGCCATGGAGGCGCCGAAGAATCGAGAATTGATTCCCTCGGGGTCGTGCAAAACGGAGATAAGAGGTATGAGGTAATGTGCCTGTGGTTCTTAGGGACTGTCAGCCAAGATCGGACCAACTTGCGACAATAGACCTCAACGAAGGCCTTGGGAGTGAGTTGCACAATTCTTCCCGGTTACCAGGGAGGGAGCAGCGACATACCAAGATCGCAGGAGATGATGCGTTGAAAGGCGACCGGGTTGGAAACCTTCAACCAGAAGTGTTCAAGCGGTCGGAAGGGGCCACTGAAACAAGCCGCGGGATTCCGGCGGAGAAAGGCTCACCAAGACTCAAGGGACCGACAACGAGCCGGCTATTCGGTTTGAGTTTCTCGCGTGCCTTGTCTGCAAACCTTTTACTGAGAAGCCATAGTCGCGCGAAGCACTTGACCGTCTGGGAAGACAATGCGAAGTCCAACCCTGCTGGCACTTCCCCCGGGTTTCTGACGTCATGTACCGAGAGCGCCCGCCAAACGACCTTAGTTACATAGTGGAGCCAGGCGGCAAAGTCTGTGGGGAGTTGCGGTGGAATTGATACCTAGTTGGTTGAGGAAGGTAATATCATCCCGTGTGCTCTTTGTTTTTTTTTTTTTTTTTTTTTGGTCGATGCTTGCGCGGATTCTTGATGACTCTCTTGTGTTCCCACCGGTCGGATTGCAGCCGAGACTATATTGGGGAGACCGAATGGCGGGAGGCGCAATCGTGTAGTGTACGTGCAGAATGAAATGCTCGAAAAATTGAAATGCTGATCAAGAAGTACGTTAGGGATATCTTCCGTGTGAGACAGCGATTTTCGTCTACAAATGGGTCGGGTTTCCGCTCTACTGGAGTAGGTCTTGTAGTTGCACGCATCTTTCCAAACTAGGCCTAAAAAGATACATACAGATTTGTGCTGAGCAAATAAGTCGACGAAAAGACAAGAGAAGAAAAAGACAGCCAGCGCGGGGGGACTAGCCCCCGTTCGCAGACAAAAGAAGCAAAGATCCCAGCATCCGATTCTTAGTGCCGGGAAAAGAACGAAGGCTCGATCAACGAGCTCCCGGCAAACCAAGCTCATTCAGGTAACCAAAAACCCAGCCTGAATGGTATAGGAGATGAACCTAAAAAGCTAGCCATGAATCTATGACAGTGAGGTTTCGAACTGTTCGACGCATCGAGCGAGAGGTAGGAAACACCGGCGTCGCAGACACTGGGAATGTTCCGACACCAGTTCCTTTGCACCCGGTGATTGCCAGAGGCAATTGTGTCGGGATTCAAGAGATCGATAGAAAGGCATCTCTCCTCTCGCGCGAGCCTCACCGTCATAGGCCATGGAAGGCCAGAAAAGGCAGAGCCCGACCGTGCATCACAGATGCCGGAAGAAAGCCGCGCCATCACGTAGACGTGTCCTCAAGCAACCCCACTGAAGGCGTGCTTGCCAGTCCGGTATCCTGTACCGGAAGGAGAGTCCTCGACAGGGACAACCAACAAAAGAAATCCAAGCGCTGAAACCAGTCGGCGATGTAGTCCAGATGTCGCACTCTGTCGAACCGCGATCCGAGAAACGAAGACATAACGATGGACATTCCACATCCAAATTCATATCCCATGCCGCGAGGCAGACCTGGTCTTCATGACATATATAAGGGAAATGAAACAAAGAGAAAGGAACACAAGAGCCGACCCGCCGCTTCTCGATGCAAAAGGACAAAAACAAACGCTGCGCTGGCTGGAGAAAAACACAAAGAGCAAATAAACAACAAAACGCACGCCATCAAAAGGATTATTCTGGATATGATGCAGTGGACGAGGTGGAGTATCACAAATGCACACAGAGTCAATCTAGGAAAAACGCCGTCGAGAATGCCAATTAGTCGAGGGTCTGGTGGCGATCCAGGGTTACCTGGACCGGTCCCAGGAGAAATTGTCAATATTGACCGGGTCGCCCGAGGAGGGAGGAAGAGGTGGCGGAGGTGGAGGAGAGGATTGGATACTCCACGATCTACGTAGAGTATCCGGCCGGGAGGCTTGGGGCTGCGAGAACGCCGGTTGCTGGGTGGAGAAAGACTCGACTCTATCGAGTCCCCCCCACGCAGCGGGCTAGATCGTCGTGCCGTAGGGCAGCGGAGTGAAATCTCCCCAGCCGCCAAAACCGCCGAAACCACCGAAGCCACCGAAGCCACCGAAGCCACCGAAACCGGCCATGTTGGCGGCCGTGCTACATGGTTGCACCAGCATGCTCGGGAGCGGGAGAGGAGCGGTAGCCGCCGAGGTCGTTGCCATGTTGTCATACATCGAGAATGGTGCGGTGGTGAAGGGTTGGCTGTAGGAGGGGGTCGGCGATGGCTGCTGGGCTTCATTGAAAGCGAGACTGGCCCACAGATTCGGATTAGAATCACCCGTGCTGGCCGGGGATGGGCTGGGTGGCAGTACTTTCCACGACTCCATCGGCGCGGAGGGAGGCATGGGGTGATGCCACCACGTTTCAGGGCCGGTCGAGCTGGGCAGGAGAGGCACTGGGCGCAGAACATCCACCACCCGGGGTGGCGGAGGCAGCAGCGGGACGAAGAGACCCGAGATCGCTGCTTTAGCCTCCTCGCTCCGGCCACAGAGCAACTCTCCGGCGCCATCCTCCTCGAGTCCCTCCAGGGCTTCGGCGTCGGTTCGGTAGACGAACTTGTTGGCGGCTTGGACGAACTCCTCCTGTAACTTCTTCAGCTGGGCCTGCTTGTCCGACCAGTCCCACGTGTTCGCGGCGGCGTCGACCGAGTAGACTTCTTTATGGAAGTCCACCAGGGACTCGATAGTCTCCGGGGTCAACTTGAAGGCCACCTCGTTGCGCGAGACCATGTCGACATGTACGACATAGGCCTCCATGTGGACCATCTGGTAGTTGAACAAGCCTTCCACGAGCGGATTCTCATCCTTCCGCAGCTCTGCTTCAGGCGCCTTGGTGAACATCATCGAGCAAAGGGTCCAGATCGCATTGGTTGACGCCAGCGTCTCAGTCAAGCACCGCGTATGCTGAGTGACATTGTTGAGTGGGCGCTTGACTCGGTTGACTCGCTTCAACGTCGCAGTCAACCACGGCGCAACCTTTCGCGTTAAGACCACATTGGGCGATGACCGCGGCGCAAAGGCAGCAGCCGAGGAGGGAAGTAAGACTGTTGGCATTATGACTCTGCGAAAAAAAGGGATACGACCGGCGTTTGGAGTTGAAGTTGGGGGAGAGGGGAGGAAAGGAAGAAATATATAGAAAAAAAAAGAGGTGCTGTTATAAAAGAATGTATAAAGTCGAAATCAAAATCATAAAGGCGACATTCGCCCACACAGTGCCCGAGATTGGAGATGGAAAATGTCCGGTTCACAAGTAGTTTCGAAGTTGTTCGGATGGGTTTCTCGCTTGGACGGGATTAGATCGATCGCATACTCTGCGAAGCGCGGGGGCCTAGTGTGGTTTCGGCAAAGGGTTGATTTTATTAAAGTGCGGGCGAATGCGCGGAAAGAAGTGAAAATTAGATATAGAAAGGAGAGGATGAATAGTCACGATGAATCGAAGAAGAAAAGGTGGCAGACGCCGAGAATAAGAATCGGAGGGGCGGGAACCGGACGAAAGAGGCAATAATACAGTGGGGATTAGAATTCTCCTCTGTCAAAATCATACCGACGGCAGCGGAGTCAAGCCCTCGTATCTGGGTGTATGCAGCCTGATGGGGACCCGGGAGTACCGAGTACTAGTTTAGTATGTGGGAGTCGGTATGTTTACCGTATACTCCGTACGGGGTTATGGGGCGATGCACTGTGCGTTACTGGCTTATTGGCCACGCTCTCTCGGACTCCCCGAACCGCAACTCCAGATGTTCGGGATTTCGGGTGGCAACTTGGGCAGAGTACAGTAACTCTTCTCGGGCGGAAGTTGAAACAGCAGGAAAATGCAGTAACTGTACTGCGAGGCCCCACTGATGAAAAAGTGTTTCATTGTGATGTAGACCCAGGACCGTAAACAATGATAATCACATCGTGGAGAAGACACACAACTTGGACCACACAGTATGTCCCAGTCTTACGGCCTGCGCGTTGCACGTCCATTTGGCCAGAGCAATCTGCAAGATGCCCCAAACTGCAAAGGCTAAGCCCCGATGATCCGCGCCGCGAAACAGCACTCTACTAGCGAGGAAAATCCTCCGAGTTGAGGAAGCGACTAGATTGACTCGACAGACCGATGCCGCTTGGGCCTGCATGTTGTTTCCAAGGAAATTGGACGTCGAGAGGCAAGAAATCACGGAGAGCGCAACACGTTGCCCATTTGTGTCCACCTTTCAGCTGGGTTAGACGGGTGCCATGGTCGCTTCTATTGACGACGATGCATGGAATGATGCTTCTACACGGGGTATGCATGCGATTGCTCTCCTAAGCAACTGGACAAACAAGTAAGAAGACCCATCACGCTGGGTCGGAGGAGGACATGGATCATTCGAGCGCCGTGCAGCTATATTCTACTCCACAAAACCCTAACAATGCAAAGACCAGTCTGGTGCCCACCCTATCGCACAACAGATGAGGGCGGGATCCCACGTTTCCCGAAGCGGACTACTCGATTTGTGTTTCAGGGAACTAGAATCGCTCAGATGCATGATAATAGGGGGTGCAAGGTTGCAGTAGTGACTAGGGGACAAAAATTATGTGAAACCACCCGGACTGCCCTGTTCTACAAACCCTTTTGGTCACAATTTCCCATCCATTTCGGACGTATCGAGATGCCGCTAAGACGAAGAGTGGACAACCTCAGCTGATGGAGGGTCGAGCCGGCGTGGGGCAGGCTGGTCTTGGGCCGCTTCAGCGCGCGGATTCGCCGGGCGCGACCGAGTCCGGCCGTGGCGCTCCAAGCTGAGATCCCTGCTGCGATCTGCCATTGGGCTGAGCCGCGCCGGTAGTCTCTTACCAGACTTTGGGGAGGCGCCCACCCGGCGTTGGACTGGGCCTCGTACCGGACAATACGCAGTACGAAACTATACCGACTTGGAACTCCAGTAGTCGATCAGGTCGGTTCTTCAGGACCGTTGACTCCCTTAGGAAGAGCCCACATGATCTAGACGGTGATCTCATCTCACAAGGCGGCACAACTCCTATCTCATGCGTGGATGGGCGTTCTTGGTGCAATCAGAGACTTTGATTCCGCAACCCTGGAGCCTGGCGGCATATCGAGTTGGTCATGTGGTCGCTCCGCGCGAGGGGTTTAATCGTGAAGCGGTTGGAGTCGGAAGTGACAATGCAAGCTTTCCCTCTTCGACGTTTCGTCGGCTCCCTCTGTCCGTGACGATCGTCGCAGAACAGTGGTTTCCCTCTCATGTAGACGAGTGGGGTCTCGGAGAGAGCGAATGTTTCTCATATTCCTAAAATAGCAACTTGTTGACTGCGTTGCCTGCGCCTCACTGAGTTGTGCGCCACGTCACTCGCCACCCGACCCGCGGCACCGTGGCTCATGCCCTACAGCCCTGGCTGGGAAGTGATGGGTGTATACGAAGTACAGGAATTGTTCTGAATGTGTTCCAGCGCCTAACAGACTTTCCGTCAAGCGGATTATGCTCAGTTACAGCCAGTTAGCGCTGAAACCTTGTTTTTGGAACTAGCTACAGTACGTCAGCGGTTGCAACCAAGTCAACTGCCAGCCCAACGGTGCAGCGATGGAGTTGCCGAAACGTATCCACAGGGAAGAGAACCAAGAACACTTACCCTAGCGCTCTATACTCAAATACAGATAGTCAAAATACCCCGATCAGGCCTTTATGAGTCATTGTGGTTCCGATGACGCTAGTTTGAAACGGCACCCGCCATAGTTTCTACACCGACTATTATCGGCAATGGGACCGGCTAGAGAATTAGGGCAATGCCCAGCCACCTGAGAACAAAAAGAGCAAATTTTGAGAGGGCTATATCCAGCATCGGGTGATTTGCATTATCTATATCGGAATCCAACGTTGGTTTTGCTACAGTTCAGCTCAGTCATGAATCCGCATCGCATCATCCAAGTAGATCTCTCTGCTTTGGTCTAGAAGTATTGAAAACATGTCTTGCCATGATGTGTATGAGCTCTGTTAAACAGCCTTCAATTTTGATAAAATTGATTCACCACAGCGTCCGCGGGCTTGCGCCCTGACAGATGCTAACATTTCAGGGCCGCACGCTCATTTGCCAGGCACAGTAAATGTCCAGTCCTCGGGAAATTGGCTATACTGAATATCATCCTGACCCCGGAAGACATCATCATAATGCTCAATGCGAGTCTCTGGGTCTCTGGCCTGCTCATAATACCGATGCGCCAATGCCTTGAACACAGGATCGTTCCACATCTTGGCCATCCACTCCAAAGTGTCCTCGCTAGCCCCATCCAGGGGAAGGCCGTACGTTCGGAATCGCTGGGTATGGTTAGTCAAACTGATACGAAGAGAGGAAAGACAAGGGGAGAAAAGACTGCCTACCGTAAGTACCGGCCAGAAAAAGGCATCAGCAATGCTAAATCCTCCAAACAGGAACCCTTCATCGACCTCTCCTAGTACCGCAAGGCGCTCCTTGGTGCCTTTCCGAGCGGTGTCCCAAAGGTTCAGCATCTTTTGGATTTCCTGGTGCGCTGCATCGGAAATCGGAACGTTGCCGGTATAATGGGCCAGGAAGTTCGTGGAGAACGAGTTTCGGATAGCGGAGAAGCCAGAATGCATCTGCGCAGTAGCACTGCGAGCGAGGGCCCTCAATTGGCGATCACGAGGCCAAAGAGGAAGTTCAGGGTGCGACTCGGCAAGGAACTCGCATATTGCGAGCGAGTCGCAGATTCTGGTATTGCCGAGGGAGCGGCATTCCAGGAACGGTACGTATCCGGATGGGGACACCGTTTTCACCTATGATCTTATTAGATTGATGCAAGGAAATTGCTTCTGACAGCTTTAGGCGCCCTTACATCAGAAAGCTTGATGAATTGGCAAGTGTGCGGAATTTTGAAGTACTCCAGGACGGCCTCCACCCGACTGGTCCAGCCTATGCCATGTTAGCGGTGAATTATATGACAAGGCAATGGGCAACCTACTGGAGTAACGGGTATAGGTGCCAATAAAATGGATATCGGGCTGTTGAGCAGCCATGGTGGTGTTTCCGAGGGGTGTGAGTTGATTGACACAAATCTTGTGGTGTTGCGGGACAAAGGCCACTTGGTGACTGACTCACCCATTCGCGTCTCGTATCCAAATCTTCTTTGCCGAGGCAAGCCGCAAATATTTTCTTATCGCCCGACGCGGAAGTCTCCACTTCTTTATCACTTTCCTATCCCGTGGTCTGTGATGGGCCCTCAGGACTATTCAATGAGGCTCTACCGGAACTGTTGAAGACGCTTAGAGGAGCGGTGGAGTGTATCATTGTTTCGCAAGCGTCCCATGAATTTGTTTTTCTCTCAGATACAATCTCGTATTCGCAAAATACCTGAATCATACGTTATCCCATCTCATGTTCAATAACGGTATGGCATCATAAGCATGAAAAAGACAAGACGAACTTCGAATCCATGGAATGCTGAAGGTCCGTGCAGGTGGGTCGTATGTGACGACTAAATAGTTCGGAAGCTACCTCCAAGGGCGGTTAGAACGAAAGACTGAAGAAACATACCATTGGTTTATCTAAGATTTTACGCGCCAGACCCAACACAATATCTTTGTGATGCGAGCGTCCGTTGTTTCAGAGATGAGTTACCGCTGGGATTCGCGACCAGGATCTCATTCTGTCCTCGGAGGCGCCCGGTAGTTAGGTCCAACACCATCCAATTTGTGGGCCCTTGGGGGCCTAAAGGCCAAAGCGTAGTGGAATCTAGATTCTTCGTGATTTTAGATCTATCAACCCTCGGACTGTCGATTGCATCATATTACGCATGTCAAACAATCTCAGTGTCAAGTTGCCCCGCCTCACTATAAAATTATTTCAAGAAGTCTCCGTTAGTTTCCACCAGTACAAGTTGATACTCAGGCTCAAACTGCATGAACATTGCCTCGGGGGTGCCTGTTCCTTTTTTTGTATACAGCGCAGTTTCATCGTCAACAAGTGTCTTTCTTAATTCTCCCGAGGTGCCACCCACAGATCCAGGCGCGACTGATGCCTCCACTAGGAGCTGAGACTGACACGCTCTTTCCAGAGCGATGAAAAAGGCAGCCGCCTCAGCTACCGTTCCACCTGAGGTGAGAAGCCCATGGTTTTGCATTATCAGGTTCTTATTTTTGGGACCAAGGTACTCGGCGATTCGTTCGCCTTCCCCTTGGGCAAAGACCACCCCCCCAAAGGCGGGATAGACGGACAGATCGTCGTAGAACATGCAAGAATCTATAATGCCAGCGAACGTTAGTGAAATTAAACATTGCGATGGATGTCGCGAACGAGGACAAGTACAAGGTCGAGTGGGTGTAAGTGTACGGTACCTTGATTCAACATGTCGATTCCTCTTCCAAATGTGCTCCATGCTCTCCCATATGGACTATGCATATGGGATGCAGCATGAATGTCCGGTCGCCTCTTATGAATCGCGGAATGAATCATGAAACCTGCTGCATTGACAGGCTTATTTGCGCCATCCACGCGATTTCCTTGCTTGTCCACTCGAACCATATCAGAGACTTTGAGCAACGCAAAGTGCACAGCGTAAGGGTTGATCCAGAATGTATGTGGCTCCACAGGATCTGGGGTCGTCAGCAGATACAATAAAATCCCAAACTAAGCCATGCCGACTTGTACCTCGCAAGCTAATGTGCCCACTGCTCCCATCAGCGAAGCCGAGTTTGGCAAATATGCGAAATGCGGCTGCCATCTGCCCAAGGAGCCATGTTCGTTCCCCCTCTTTGGTCTTAGGGTATGGAATATGATGCAATCTTTTCACCTGGCCATCGCTGGCTTTCTCCGTGTTCAGAGCGGAGGATGATGTAGTAGTCTCGATCGTCGTGACGGAGGACATTTCGTGTGGTGGAGACTCTAGAATGAAGTGAATGACAAGACTAGGTGGATAAAGAGAGGAATCAGAAGATTCAATCAGATAAATGGGTTTCCGCGATAGTGTTGGTAACCCCGCAATTAGTTGTCCAAGGGGTGTGCCATCGCAACTTCGACTAGTTCGGATAAATTTCCGAGGAAGATAAGAAACGAGACATGCTGAGGAGAAGACTACTAGTGAGTCTTGAAAGCTTGATCACTGCGTTTGACCGTTCGTTCTACTTTGGGGTATGAAAGCACTCGCCCTACTGCCGCCCATCTAAGTTCCGACCGTAACTGCGTACCATTTAGCTAGAGAGTCCTCCATTTGGGAACCACTTTCGACCCACTACAAGGACTGAACGCCATGGGCTTTTATGAGCGGTGAGCATGGCTTAATATGATTAGTCGGTTCGGGAGAGGCCGGCAAGGGTACGTCGTCGCCATGATGGACTTCTGGAGAATCCGGGAAGTAAGCGGAGATATTAGTTTTTCTCAGCCGCATCATATGCTGTTCAAGCTTTCTGAGCATCAGGAACTTCGAGGGCTGATAAGAGAAAAATCCATTTATTTCTCCGCGGCAAAACAATACGATCGTGAGGGGCAGATGGCAAGACGGCAAAGAGGGGCAAGGCTGCACTACGAAATCCAGATTCTTGAGCTTCCTCCATCATTTGGCCGCAAGGGATATCGTTGACAATGATATCTTTTCTTAACCTGCCAGCCGAGATCCGGGTGATTATTTATGGTTATTTGTTATCACCGAACGATTATGTGAGCGGCTACCGACAGATCGAAGATATGGTCACAGCACATACGGACCGTTCTCGTGGACCGAGCTGTGCTCTCCCTAGATTTTACGTCGACCGGTATACCCCTTCGATTCTTCTCCTGAACAAACAAATCACTCGCGAAGCCCTTTATGTGTTACATCGAATCCCGCTCGATCTTATAGGCACTCCTGGAAATTACCTATCGATGCGCCAGATGGATATCACCGAGTTCATCAGTGAACATCTGCTTCAAAACATTCATTACGCCATTCTGAGATTGGACGCCCCCCATAAGCATTTTGTATTATCATTACTCGACATATGGTGCGAGAGGAACAATCTACAAAGACTTGACGTATATCGCCCAAAGACAACCCATACAACCCCTATTCCAGGAAACCATTGGAGAGTCGTGAAGAGCAGGGTACTACCCCATCCCACTCAATAAAATCTTGACGCTACTTGTCTGACAGCCGTTTTTAGATACGAGAATTCTCGACCATGGTACCCGTCGTGTGGCATAAGGTTGAGAAGCCTCTTAAAGCTGGAATGTGAGTCTCTGGGATAAATGGGACTAAGCCCGGGTTTCAAGGTGATTCATCCCTCTCATCATCCACTTCACGGTCGCGGACGAGCTCCAATGACTCACCCGCAATAAGGCTTTTGCTACCTCGCTGAAGCTGTGGACCGAGACTCACCAGATATTTTTCCTTGGTGGCCTCATCAAACTGTGTGAAGGGATGGCATTCGAAAACTCAAGGCTTCCAGGACGATCTACGGCCAAGATGAATTTCAAGTTATTGCAACTGCCGCATTGAAAACACGGAAACATCGTTGCGCATGACATCAAAAGTTGTTCTAAGATACTGCTTTCTGGAAAGCAAAGTGCATAACGGGTTCACTGGGAACTGTGAATTCCATAAAAGAGCAAGAAGATGGATTAGCGACAAGTACACTGTTGTGATATTTTCTCAACTAGGAGGGAGACCGTTGTGTACAACGAGCTCATAATATAAGTGATTTGACTAGAAGGATGGAATCTCAACATGCTACGGTAGATCGGCATAGCAGCCGTTCGATAAGATTAATCAAGGAAAATGGCCTGGCAGAAACCACCGAAACACGTCGCTGTGTGAGGTGCTTTCCTGATTAGCTGGCTGAACCGAGAGAAGTAGTAATCTAATTAATGTACCGCTATGGTAATAGATAGATAGATAACTAGCTAGTTAACTAAGTGAATTAGATAGTTAGATCTTCATTATTGGCATTTAGCCTGGAGGTTTTCCTCAAAACAATTGACTAAACAATGGATAGAACTTCTCAGCCAAATGACGCAAATATTGTAACAAGACCTGAAAGAGGCCATACTTTGATTGCACACACTGGCATTTCTATCGCACCTTGCGATCAACATCAATTTCTTCAATCTTCTTGAAAGCCTCCGAAACCTTGACTATGCCTTGTGTTGTGTAGTCTAACTTGATTAGTAGCCACGCTGCATGGAGTGAGAGGAGAGAAAAGATTGTACTAACAACAGCCAATCACCATCCAGATGAAGTTGAAAAAGAAATAATAGAACCAGAAGTAGTATCCCTCTGGTCGGCAGTATGATATGTCAAGCAAACTTGTGGCATAATAGAGAATATCGCCATAAACTTGGCCAAGCGACAAGACAATTTGCAGGCCATATCGGGCGGGATGATTTACAACAATGCAGTAGGCGATAAAGAAAGCCAAGGGGCCCCACGCAAACTAGATGATTAGGTGAGATCTCAGCGCCATAGAACGGTAAATAGTCGACTTACTGCGGTAACTGCTTCCATGCAAACGAGAAATGTGTCAGAAGTCAAGTAACGAGAATCAGATAGCGAATACTCTTTCCAAAGCTGGCTGAATAACGCCTGAGAGCCCGCAATTTCTTTATGGTGGATAACGAAATGTGCTTCAAAGAAAAGATGGACAAATCCAGCTATTCCAAATTAGTCTTTTGACGTACTAAGCTGTTTGCAAGGTCTTCCACTCGGGGGACGTACTCAGGCACATCCAAACAAAAGCAACCTGGTCTGATAAAGTCGCCGATGGTCGCATGCGACATATGGCCACAAAGGCAATCCCTATGACAGCTGCGCATAAAACGCCAAACTGAGCAATAAGTGAAATCACTGAGCTTTCATTGCTCACATAGTGAGGCAGGGAGACGGAAGGCGGATAGTAATTGTGTGGCATCAAGTGCGACGCCTCGACGTGTTGTACAATATCTGCCATTGTATCCTGATGACAATTAACTCCCACAAACTGATAGAGAGATTTTGATTGGAGCCCCAGATATCGAAGGGTGCAGGTATCTATAGTATTTATAGTTATAAGGGTTGGGCTGCGCTTCTTGTAGTAACGGTTGACTTAATGGGACGGAGCCCGCGGGAGCCGATGCCCGGTCGTACCAACCGGGTGGGCGACTTCCGGCTCTCCTTTCTTTTGCTAATCATAACGAAAGAGAAATAGTTAGAGTGATCTGACTATCAAAATCTGCAAGTAAGTTGTATTTGAAGAAACCCCAATCATCAACTTGATTTAACGGAGTTCTGAAATTTCACTCCACCGCCGCTTCAAGCTGCGATAGGATATCGAGTATTTGACGAGGATGTTTCGTTGATCAACAAAAAATATCGACATAGGCAATGCATAAATTGACCTAGATTCATGATGCAGACCTCGTAACACTACTCAAAGTCCTAAACATACGAGAAGTACTTCTAGAGACCCACTTTGATTTTTAGCGGAGTATGACTTTGATTGCTCAGAATGACTCACCAGGACTACACCGCGCTGGGGTTGAATTTAGGCGCCATATCGCATCTACCACACGCTCTTCAATCGGGTGCTCATATTTAAGCACGAGAAACCCAATTGTGAGAAACGAATTTACTATTCTTCCCTATTAATAATGTCGAAAAGATCAAATCACGCTATCGTCTTCGGCGCATCTGGTCTGATTGGGTGGGCCCTGGTAGACCAGCTACTGAATTCATACCCTACTGCTGATTCTTTTTCCAAGATCACGGCGGTCACAAACCGTCCACTTAATTTCTCTAAATCTTATTGGCCTGAACCTGACTCGAATAGGCCTCAGCTGCAACTTGTTTCAGGAATCAATCTTCGTCATGGCGATGGGGCAACGTTGGCAGATTCGTTGAAGCAGGAAGTAGAGGACATCGGAAGCATCACCCACCTTTACTATCTAGGTTCGTTTCCATAATAGCCCTAATATTTGCAAAAATCCTCACTATTGAGAAGTCTTCACTGCAATCGAGGATGACATCGAAGAGGCTGCGGTCAATCGGCGTATGTTTCAGAATGTCATCGATGCCCTCGGCTTGGTAAGCCCCCATTTACAATTCGTGGTATTTCCTGGTGGAACACGGGTAAGCAGAACTCAGAGCCAGAATCAACTCTCTAGGCCATACTAAAAATTCAGGGGTACGGTATCTATGCTGCTGGGGGCTCTTTCAGCCCTCCACTGAATGAGGATATGGTGAACAACCTCCCTCTCGATTACGCCAAGACTGTTGTGTACCCAATGTATCGTGCTATGCTTGATAAAGCGAGCCAAGAAAAGAAATGGACATGGTGCGAGGTTTGTCCGGATGCAATCGTAAGTTGTTTTGACTGAATGCATATACACGAGCGTAACTGGCTGACCTCGGTAAAGATTGGTTTCACTCCGAACGGGTCTCAATTCAGCTTGGCGCTGCACTGGGCCCAGTACTTGTCTCTATACGCTTACAACCATGCTATCGGACCACATACGAAAGAAAGCCAAGCCACCGCCGTCAAGGTACCCTTCCCAGGTAATACCGCTGGCGCCAACTCCCTGTTCTCCCCGGTATCCAGCGACACAATCGCACGCTTCATGATTTATGCCTCGCTACACCCCGAAACTTGTGGTAATGGTCGACTATTCAATATTTCTGACAACGAAACACCCTGTAAATATGGTGATTTATGGCCACGGTTAGCGAGATGGTTTGGCTTAGAAGGCATGGGACCCGCGGAAGATTTGCAAACTGGAAGTAATCCCCTAAGAGTCGGTGAGCTTCCTCAATCGCTCTCGTTACCCCTTCCTGGAGAGTATATAGCCAGATACAGGGCTGTCTTTGAGAAATGTGGATGTAAAAATGCTGCGAGTGCGGGCGTGGGCGCTGGAACCGGCAATTAGACAGCGTTGGCTATTGGTTGACTTTCGATCGACAACTGAGCTTGAAGAGGCTGAGAGAGACGGGGTTTGAAGGAGACAAAGACCCAATTCAGGGCTGGTTGAAGACATTTGTGATGTTCAGAAAAGCAGGACTGATACTGTAATCTTCAACCCCAGAATCACATCCATTGATATTTACAGTCGGTCATTGCGTGTTGGATGTGTATTATAGTCAGCAACAATTCTAAAATATACAGAGATATAGTAGTCTATTCAAATGCTTTATCTATCTCTATTTTTAGACCTTTCGTTAATCAGTGTTCAAACAGGTCATGCTGTATTATAGTAAGTATCATCGTTGGTTCGTATGGCAATTGCAGGTCGATAGAAGCTATTTCTTTTTGAAAGACTGCTATGAATTGGCATTTGAGATGCTCACTTTCTCCTATGAAATAACTGTACCGGCGCCTCTCATGGCCATGGTGATGTAGAGATCAATTGGCCGAGAGCAGGATCCCCGGAAGTCCTGAATTCGTATCCCAGAGCATGTTCCAGTACAGGTTGCGAAAGCGCAGGTCATTTCTGTGATGGAATCATGGTTCTGAGGGTGAGATATTTCAACTCAAGGTGATTTATGGGGATCCTCATGAGCGATAGTGGATCCTCATGCCCCGGAACAGAATCGCTGAGATGGGGCGTAGGTCTCGGTTGGTTAAGGCCGTTCGCTCCGAATGTAAACCATCAGCCCAGCACGTGGGGCTGAAGCGGGCGGATTGTTATCCACGCCATTGATATTGAAGAGTATTGACAAAGATTGCTGGTGCCGCACTGATCCATTCGCGTTACCCTCATGGAGTCGATGGTGGGTTTGATTTCGCAGAGCCCCCGTTCATTATTCTTCAAGATGGAATATCCGATGCCTTGACTTCCTGGTATTTCGACAGTACCTTCATCTCGGTATCTCGTTCCTTGTTCTTCTTGTCGATAGCTCTCTGGACCTGCTCTTTTTTCTTCTCGGCTTCTTCAATTTTCCGTTTCGCTTCTTTGGCGGCCTGTTCTTGGGCTCTCAGAGCGGCTTCTTTGGTGGGGAATTCATGGCGCAGTTGCTCGAGCTCCGAGCTGATATCTTGGTCCTCTATTGGTTGGCAGGTAATCGGGTGGTAGCTGTAAACAGGCAGTGGCTCCCCTGGAACCTGGATCTCAGGGAGGTCCGGGTGTATGGGGGTGGTACGAATCGGGGAATCGAGCGGGACGGCCGACGTGAACTCGGACGGAGGAGAGAGGAGGGATGCCTCTGTTTTTGCCATGGTCGCAGTGTGAGCGTTGACTTGGGAGAAAAAGACTTCAGAAAAGCGAGGATTGCGGGGCCGCACTTCTCAGCTATCGAAGGTTGGCAGAAGTCAAGGTTGATCCATCCGGACTGGGAGATGTTCTGCCAGGACACCGCTCACCGCCAAGACATCATCGTATGCGGGGAGCTTCTCCAGACATCACTATTCACAGCAATACTCATGTTCGCAGTGGGTCATCAACTCAGAAACAAGACGAATCCCTTAGGCAGGTCCTAAGTGGACCAGCTGTGGTGAATCTGACCCCGAGAAACGGGCAAGACGCTCCCTGATACTTTCAATTTCCTTCCACCCTCCGGCAACTTGATTGCATACTAGCCGAAACATCATGCAGGCATTCGGTACGTATTCGCGACTAGACAGATATGTCGATAACGAGTCCTTTCATGATCAACATTCACTGATTCTGCTCGATTTTTCTAGTCCCGAAAAATAGGAGGGTAAGTTTCCAGTAAATAACGACAGATCACCATAGACTAATATACTCCTCTAGCCCAGGTTTGAGCTTGTCCTTCGGGTAAGTGCAGCCTCCAGGATTGCCACAAGGAAGTTTTCTCTTCCTAACTTGATTTGAAGATTAGCGATATCAACAATGTTCCTTTGGGTAACGGCACTGCTTGGGTGCGTTGGCGTTTGCCATCATCCAGTGCCACCGAACATCAAGGTCACACTGAAAAAGCCGTTCTCACTGATCACCGTGCCTACTGGAATTATGAGAAGGCTCTCTATGTGAGACTCACTATCGACAGAAACTCCATGCTTCAAGAGTGCGAAATCAATTTTGAGATCATCCAAGAGTTCCATTCTTCCCCCACCAATGAGAAGAATGTGCTGGGCAAAATCAAGCTGAACCTTGCGGAATATGTGGATAAGGTTGACGAAGACGAAGGAGTTGTGAGACGATACCTGATGTCTGACTGCAAAGTCAACAGCACAGTCAAAATCGGCATTGCGATGCGCCAAATTGAGGGAGACCGCAATTTCACCACGTATGTGAAGTTCAAGGCATATTCAGTTTTTGAACGAGGCTAATCAGTACCAGGCCACCTCTCAAATCTGCGACTGTCTTTGGAGGAATTGCGAGGGTGGTGCACACTGCTGAGCCGGGTGACTCTGAGGAACTCGGGCACCTTCCATCCATCAACACCAAAAGCAGAGAAGTGGCTGACATGCAAGACATGTATCGGCGGACTCTGGCAGCAAAATGGACTTCCCGAGCCCGTGACCTGCCGGCTGACAAGCTTATTGAGGAACTGTTTGCTGGAAGCTCCTGTTGGAATAACGAATCCCACAACATCCACAGCAACGCCCACTCAAATGAAAACAGAGACTATCTAAACGTGGAGGCTGCGTCGCGGAAAACCCGCTCCGGGAAAAGACTGTCACCTAGCTTCGAAAAACGACCCAAGAGTTCTTCCAGCAATCACTCCCATGGCAGTGGAAAGACACCCGACGCGCTTTCTACTCTCAGCCGCTCTCAGAAGGGCGGCAGTATCGAGCAGCAACTATCCGATGAAGAAAAAGGATGGGGCTGGAAGCACCGGAATGCTGATCAGGAATTAACCGAGTTCGATGTTAGGGAGGATTTGCGAAGCTGGGAAATTGCCACAAAGGAATAGCGTGATACTTTTGCGAGGCCAAAGCAGGGAAAGTAATTACATGTTGTGATAACCGCTTCTCCGTTACCCATGATGTATACCAGGTCCCGCTTTTAATGCACATGTTTTGGATTGGGCCTTGCATGCCCCGTTTTCTATGGATTTTTAAAGTATTATACATTAAGTCTTGAATTACCTCTTTCTAGCAAGTAAAATAGTGTTATTACCCGCGTCCTTATCAGTAGCTAGGGTCGGCAGTGGAGGGTATGACATCGGCCCTGGTGAACCCCCGGAGTGCCCAGCCCCACAGCTGATCGGGAGCCGGACGTTGGCTGACCTTGACGTGTAACCACTTCCTTGCCCAACTCCCCGAATCCTTTCCCAGGACCACAATCCCTCAGCCCTATGGGACGAATCAGCTAATCTGATCCCGGAATCTTTGACTCTTCTACATATCTCGGCGCCCGTGATCGAAATTCGGTGCCCGCCGCCTAGCCATCCGAATTTGTCCCCCTCCTTCAGTATGAAGACCATGCGCGCACAGTGAACCTAGGCTCACGGCATGGAGAGAACACGGGTTGCCAAGGTGCGTCTGATTAACTCGGCGCTCAGCGACGTGATAAAACTTGCTAATCGCCTGCTGCTCTTTAGGTTGACAATGTGAGCTTGGCTCGCCGTGGAGACCAAGTCGACGGCGCCCTCCACCTCACCCCTCACCACCTAATTTTCTCCCACACTCCCCTAATTTCGAGCGAAGACGCGGCCAAGGGCGTGGCCATCAGACCGAAGGAGCTCTGGTTTACCTACCCGATCATCTCTTTTTGTACCTTGCGACCGGCCCCCGCGGCGTCCCGCCAGCTCTCTTCCATCCGCCTGCGGTGCCGAGACTTTACATTCGTGTGCTTCTATTTCACCAGCGAGCAGAAGGCCAAGGAGGTCTTCGATAGTATCAAGCTATGGACATGCAAATCGGGTCGACTGGACAGGCTCTATGCATTTAGCTACCAGCCACCGCCGCCGGAGAAGGAGTTCAACGGGTGGGACTTGTATGACCCGCGCAAGGAGTGGGAGCGCCAGGGTCTCTCCAAAGAGACCTCGGCATGGCGGGTCTCCGAGATCAACACCGATTATAGTGTATGTGACTATTTATATTTATTCACGGATTGATGCGTCGTGCTAACTGCAACTTGCAGTTCTCCCCAACATACCCTGCACTGATCCCAGTGCCTTCCGCGATCTCAGACAATACACTGAACTATGCCGGGCGATATCGCTCTAGGCAGAGAATCCCTGCATTAACATACCTTCACCCCGTGAACAATTGCAGTATCACCAGGAGCTCGCAGCCCCTCGTTGGTGTGCGACAGAACCGCAGTATCCAGGATGAAAAGCTCTTGGCGGCTATTTTCTCGACTTCCCGCTCAGAACGGCCGTTGGCCAACTTTGCGAAATCCACTCTAGACCGGGAGGCCTCCGATTCAAGCCATGATAGTGGATCGACGACAGACCTTGACGTGTCAAACGCCGAGGAGATCGAAGATGAGATGTTGGCCGCTGCCCGCGAAGCTCATCCTGAGGAACGTGCGATCTATGGTGCTCAACAGCAAAACTTAATTGTCGATGCTCGCCCAACCGTCAATGCTTTTGCTATGCAAGCTGTTGGACTGGGCTCCGAAAATATGGACAACTACAAGTTTGCCACCAAAGCCTATCTAGGGATTGATAACATTCATGTAATGCGTGATTCATTGAACAAGGTTGTTGACGTTTTGAAAGAGACGGATGTCACCCCGCTCGGGCCCAACCGCGACCAGCTTGCGCGGAGTGGCTGGCTCAAGCATATCGCAGGCATCTTGGAGGGCTCGGGGTTAATCGCTCGTCAGGTCGGCCTTCAACACTCCCATGTCTTGATTCACTGCTCCGACGGCTGGGATCGGACCAGCCAGCTCAGTGCTTTGAGTCAAATATGCTTGGATCCGTACTTTCGAACTATGGAAGGCTTTATGGTCCTGGTTGAGAAAGACTGGATGTCCTTTGGACACATGTTCCGACACCGATCAGGCCACTTGAATAGCGAGAAGTGGTTCCAGATTGAGAACGAGCGCGTTGGAGGTGACGCAGAAGGTGGCGGCGCAGGCCCTGCCAAGGCGATTGAAAATGCCTTCCTGAGCGCCAAGGGTTTCTTCAATCGGGAGAATACGAGCCGGGACTCCTTGCCTGATTCTGAAGGGGAGCTGCAGAGCTATGACTCCGATAGCCCAACCAAAAAGCCGAGCTCTGCGCCTCGCAGCATTGTGTCTGAGAAAGAGATCACCAAGGTGAAGGAGACCAGTCCTGTTTTCCATCAGTTCCTCGACGCCACCTACCAACTGCTGTATCAGCATCCGACGCGCTTCGAGTTCAATGAAAGGTTCCTTCGACGGCTCCTCTATCATCTCTACGCCTGTCAGTTCGGGACATTTCTCTTCAACAATGAGAAAGAGCGTGTAGATGCGAATGCACGAGAACGAACCCGAAGTGTGTGGGACTACTTCCTTGCACGAAGGGAGCAGTTCACCAACCCACAATATGATCCCGTCATTGATGACCACCAGCGTGGGAAGGAACGACTGATTTTCCCTCGGGTCAAGGAGACTCGCTGGTGGAGTGAAGCATTTGGCAGGTCAGATGCCGAGATGAATGGACCTTTCACGTCGGCAAGTAGAGGTAGTGAGAGTCCTGGCTCAGGTCGAGCCCCCATCTTGACTGGAATTGAAACATCTCAGCACTCGGTTGGGACGGAGGTTCCAGGAACAAGTATGCAGACTGCGGCAGCATCTGGTATCGCTGCTGTTACTGCTGGAATATCCAATCTTGGAACACCGAAAGATCAGAAGGATGAGTCTAAGGGGAGAAAGGCTCGAGGGATGGAGGTAGAATTGCAGTGAATGAAGTAAGAGCAACGAGGCATCTAGGTCGTGATTGAGGAAGTTATGTTTCCCTATGAGGCACTGTGGATTGGCAGCGAAGGAGCCTGGGCCTTGATCTCATCGCATGGACCACTGGACATATATGGGCCTTGATTTTATCCAAATTTGGCGCATTGTTTACTGAAGAATTCACCTGCACACGCCGACGTCATGAAGTGATTCGGACAAGGAAACTATGTCATTGATGCCTTGTAGCCTTGTCGCCTGAGATAGCAGATATAGGACGCTAGTCCAAACGGGAAAGGATCCCGTTCAGTACAAGCGAGGGTTGAGCCCTAACCAAAACGGGCAATCGAAGCCCTCACCCAAAAAATCCCCACTAATCAAAGATTCTCACAACGACCAAACTTCCCGACCTCGACTTCGCCCTCCCCCGTCGACAACCCCTCCAATTCCACCCACCAGGAACGCAAAAATGGCCGCTGTCCAGGGAGCTATTTCCAAGCGCCGGAAGTTCGTCGCCGACGGTGTCTTCTACGCCGAGCTCAACGAGTTCTTCCAGCGCGAGCTGGCTGAGGAGGGCTACTCCGGTGTCGAAGTCCGTGTCACTCCCACCGTCACCGACATCAGTACGTCGCATCTCCCGAATTTCCTTTTATTCCCGTCAAGTCGAATGGGATTGGATTGAATCTACAAGAGCAAAGAAACGTCCGGGGAAGAAATTGAATGCTGTTGTTTGGAGGATATACGCGAATATCGGGATGACTCCATGCTAACGGATGCCTTCACTTTTACAGTCATCCGTGCCACCCACACCCAGGAGGTTCTTGGCGAGCAGGGTCGCCGCATCCGTGAGCTCACCTCGCTCATCCAGAAGCGCTTCAAGTTCCCCGAGAACTCCGTCTCCCTCTATGCCGCCAAGGTCCAGAACCGCGGTCTGTCCGCCGTCGCTCAGTGCGAGTCCCTCCGCTACAAGCTCCTGAACGGTCTGGCCGTCCGCCGTGCTTGCTACGGTGTCCTCCGCTTCATCATGGAGAGCGGTGCCAAGGGTTGCGAGGTCGTCGTTTCCGGCAAGCTCCGTGCCGCCCGTGCCAAGTCCATGAAGTTCACCGTACGTCTACACCGATCGTGGAAGGGAATGCTGCTGTGAAAATATGGTGCGCTGGGCTCTCGGGGATGAACGATGCGTTTGTTGCTCGTCCCGGACGGTCGTACCATATTGCGCTTCTCTTAAAGAAATATTGTCTGGAGGCTATATCTTGCTAACTACATTCTTCTCTACAGGACGGCTTCATGATCCACTCCGGTCAGCCCGCCAAGGAGTTCATTGACTCCGCCACCCGCCACGTCCTGCTCCGCCAGGGTGTCCTTGGTATCAAGGTTAAGATCATGCGCGGCTCCGACCCCGAGGGCAAGTCCGGCCCCCAGAAGACCCTCCCTGACTCGGTCACCATCATCGAGCCCAAGGAGGAGCAGCCCGTCCTGCAGCCCATGAGCCAGGACTACGGCGCCAAGGCTCTCGCCGCCCAGCAGGCCGCCGAGCAGCAGCGTCTGGCCGAGGAGCAGGCCGCGAATGCCGAGGGTGGTGCTGAGGCTTACGCTCAGGAGTAAACTGTTTCTCTCTCTTTTCTCCATTAGGCCCGGCTTCTCCTTCATCTTCGCTTCCTGTCCTAACCTTATACTCTACCTCACGCAATCAAAATTACATGAAGACTTCAAAATTTTCTGTTTCTCTGTCGCAATATCGACGAATGATGTCTAGTCCGCGCTTACATGACCGGATCTTGAATCATTTTGACTATCGCAATGATTTAATGATGGAGTGGACATCGGTGTACAAAGATCTACAGTCGAGAATGATTCCATGAGACAAAAAGTTGATAAGGATTTGACGATTTTGACCTCCATCACATTGTAGTCTATGTAGTAGATGGCGTCGAGATCACCCTTTGCCAGCGGATACCTATCTCATCGTAACTTAAGCTCAGCTAAGGCGAAACATACTTGGCGGGCCCGTCGCAGTTTCCTACCTGGCTCTATCCTCCTCGTTGTGAACTCAGATGTATTGACCTGAATCTCCAAATTTCCCATTGACGTAAGCTAGGTATATATGAATACTAACATATTTGAATTTAATTGCTTTTGGCTCTCCATAGCTCTAATCGAAACGTCTTGCATATCGCAATAGAGACCTCCACATCATATCATCGTCTATCTGCGTCACAGAACATGGCAATACTCAAATCAAATCTAAATAGCCTACAGGAAAGGCTCGATGTTGATCTCCAGGGTGCTGACAGGGTACTTGAGCTCGTACTTGCCCAGCACGGTGGGATGCAGGATACCGAAGGCGCCAATGACGTGGTCCTTGCCACCAACACGCAGGTGGATGGAGGCGCTGTGACCGGGGAAGTAGGTGGGGTCTGAAGATAATTTGTTAATCTTTCTGTCAAGTTAGCCTGATAATGGAATGGAACGTACCATCTAGCTCCTTGATGTAGTATTGTGAGTCACCAATCGCGGGGTTGTTCAAGCCCTCCTCGGCAGTCATGAAAGCGCTCTTCAGCATAGACATCACGCGATCAAGCAGACCGTGAACGATCTCGAAACCACTGCTCTTGCCGTAGAAAGCAGCAGCAAAGTGTCGCTCGTTACGGCTCTTGCGCTCCAGGGACAGGTCCTTGAAAGCAACATCGCTGACCTCGAAAATCTTCATGGGCACGCTGTGGGCCTTGTTCTCACGAATGGTCTTCAGCAGACCGGGGAGCAGGCTGGTGCGGACAACCTGGAACTCGGTGGTCTTGGGGTTGGCCAGCTTGACGGCGGTGTTGCCGTCGTCCTTACGGTTCAGCCAGCGGAAGTTCTCGTCGTGCGAGCAAAGGATCAGGGGCAGGACCTCAGTCCAGCCGGCCATGGCAGCCTCAACACGGACGATATCGGAGAGCTTGTTGATGGGAAGGGGCTGGGCAACGGTGCCAGACTTGCTAGGGAACGAGCGCGGGAGATTGTTGAAGCCGTAGGAGATAGCGACATCCTCCATGATGTCGCACTGGTGGAGCACATCGGCGCGGGTCGGGGGAATCTCAACATCGATGGAGTCGGCGTTGTTAATCGAGGGCTTGGCGCGGTAGGCCATCTTGGTCAAGAGGTTGCTGATCTCCGCGGGAGAGAGGCTCAAGCCGCAGCATTCGTTGATGTAGGACACTTCGGCCTGAGCGGTGCGAGGAGCGATGTCAGGGGTGACTCGGGTCTCATTGTTGTGCTCTGACACAATCTTGATGGGCTCAATGCTGTGTAGTACATTGATAAGTATTTAGGCACCCCTAGATCAGATGGAAAGGGGGACTTACGTGAACGGCTCCGAGGTGTATTGGGAGAACATGGTAACAACCATCCGGTTCACAATTTCAAGCTTTGTCCGATCAACAGCAGTAACCTCAATGAAGACATTGGTAGTGTCCAGGGAGATCTTAGAGTGATCACCGTTGATAATGGGCGGCAGAGAGCAGACAGTGCGCTTCGAGTCGTAGATGACCGGGTACACGGGAGAGTCCCGAATAATGTGCAGGAACTTGCTCAATTGCTGGTGCTTCTGTTGTTCAAACGTCAATATGTATATCGCATCGCCAAAACATCCTTAAAATCCACGTACCTCGTAGAAGGTCATCAATTCCTCGCCGTTCATCTCCTGGGTCTGGTTCAACGGAACAAACTTGATGTCCTTGTGGGGGAGGGCCTCGTAGGTAAATGGTCCCTGGACAGTATCCAGGTCGTGGGTACCGATTGAGACCAGAGTCCGTTGGCGGGCCAAGTTCTGGTGAAGCTTGTCTTGGAGGGCAATGAAGGATTCATAGCGAGCCTTGTCGAACTTAATACCTCGGAGAATGGCGCCCGACACATAAGGCCTGATCTTTGTGGTCTGCTCAGAGGTTTCAGCAGATATTCCGTGCGCACAGTTGCTGGTGTCTACCCACATCTTCCTTCACAATAATCTCCTGGAGTTGGCCGTTAGCAGGGGGGACCAACTTGTAGTCGGGCAGAGCCTTCCGCCCCAGGAAGATGTTGAGCATCAGCGCAATGCCCTCGAAGCACAGCAAATCATATCTGCAATTGGTCTCAGTCCCGAGGCTAATTCATGGCACTTTGGGTTTTGTGTTGGGCATACCGGTTGGCGGGGATCTCAATCTTGAGCTGCGGGGGTTCCTGCACGCCGTCGACGACCGGGCGGTCCTGGTCTGTGGTCTGCAGGCTTTTAGCGGGGAATTCTGTATCTCGGACCATTTTGGAGGGGTAATACATCTTCGTCGAGTTCAATGCCTGTTCAACAAGATTAGCCCAAAGCCCCGCAGAGTCTCCCGAACCGAACAAACCCACCAAATTCGAAGCACAGCTCATCGAATTCTTCCGTAGTGTACCTGCAGTTGCGCACAATATTCTGTCAGAGCCATATGCTATGTAATATATCACAAGAGTATACGTACTCCCGGCCCAGCTCCTTGAAGAGAGCGGCCTTGTCGATTGAGATAGTGGGCATGGCGGGGGTGTTCGCAATGCGATGAAATTCTGGAGAGGGTCAAAATCGCCTGTTAGCCAGAGTCCAGAGACAGGAGAGCCGCAGTTTCATCATCCAGGAGGGAGAGCTAGCATACCAAAATCCACACGAGCGGAGAGGAGTGCGCGCAGCCAACACGATTGACTATGACTCCGATCGGACTTCTGGAAATTCTGCCTCTCAGCCACCACCGCCACGGTTGTTTCCCCTCTTTTGTGACGCGGTACCGTATTGTCACACTGGCCCCAGCGAAGGCCGGCTAGCAGAAGGTTGGCAGCGGGCTGACAGTTGAGTTCGCAGTACATTAGGCTGACCGCCCCAGCAGGCCACGCGGTATGTAAATTACAACCAGCCGCGTTGTTTGGTGGTGAAAGCTCAGAGCGATCTGTCGCTGCCATCATTTGAAACACAATTGATTTCCTTGCTATAAGATTCTCTCCAACTTGCGCCCAAACTCTCCTGCCCGTGGAATTTCCTCTTGGGGGCGCTGAACTCTTCAATTGTTCCGAGGTATGCCTGTTGCTCCTCCGCTGTGAAAGTGTCCGGCGACCCAAAACCCCACGAAACCTCCATCGACCTTCCCACTTCCCATTCGAACCTCCCCATCCCGCCCTCCCAGTCGGAACTAACCCGTCCCGGGCTCAGTTGCTATAGTCGTCGAAGTTCATGAAGTTGCGCTCCTCCTTTCATCGCCGATAATTCTCTTTCCTCGGGTGGCCCAATCAACACCGCCCCGATATCAAGCCTTCCTCCCCCAGCACTGGGACCGACCACCCCGAAATCCCAGTCCACCTCTCTTTCAGTTCTACCTTAATACACAACCCACACATACGTGATGGAGGGTCAAAACGAGAACGATGAGCTCTACCCCATCGCGGTGCTCATTGATGAGCTGAAGGTACTTGGGTATCCGCTCCTCCCCCTCCACCGGTGGAGGGGGAACCTATTGGCCCAAGCTCACATCCCAATGTCACAGCACGACGATGTTCTCCTCAGACTGAATGCTATCCACCGTCTATCTACGATCGCTCTGGCCCTGGGCCCCGAGAGAACCCGGGACGAGCTGATCCCATTCTTGGATGGTTTGTCTCCAACCCTTCCACCCTTTCTGTCACCGGGACGCGCCTAACACGTTCTTTCATTAGACTCTGTTGAGGATGAAGACGAAGTATTGACCGCGTTGAGCGAGGAGTTGGGCAACTTCACAGAGTACGTTGGGGGGCCAGAACACGCGCACGTGCTTCTGTCACCGCTGGAGAACCTGGCGGCGATCGAGGAGCCTTTAGTCCGGGAGAAGGTTGGTTACGCCCTATACGGATTTTGACAGTATTGTTGCTGATACTTCCAAACTAGGCTGTTGAATCGCTCAACAAGGTCTGCGAGCAGCTCTCGGAGAGCCAGGTCGAAGAGCACTTTGTCCCCCTGGTCCTCCACCTTTCCAAAGCCGACTGGTTCACCTCCAAGGTCTCCGCAACAGGTCTGTACTGTTCACCATACCGAAAAGCCGCGCTGGCGCTGCAGCAGAGCCTCCGACAGCACTTCGGGGCCCTCGTACACGATGAGACCCCGATGGTACGCCGGCAAGCCGCCAACAACCTGGCGAAGTTCGTCAAGGAGATGCAGACTCCCGTGATTATCGATGAAATGATACCCCTTTTCCAATATTTGGCCAGCGATGACCAAGACAGCGTGCGTCTGTTGACTGTGGACATCCTGATCTCGATCGCAGAGGAAATCCCTAAGGAGCAGCAGCCCAGCCACGGTGTGCTGTTGACATCGCTGCGCAATCTCTTTGAGGACAAGAGCTGGCGGGTCCGCTACATGGTTGCTGATAGATACGAGAAGGTTCGTTTTCCCACTTGTGGTCCGAGATGGTTGAGAATTGAACGAGACTCACATAAAATCGTCTATAACAGATTGCCAAGGCTGTACACGAAGAGGTTGTTACACGCGACATGGTGCCCGCTTTTGTCAAGCTTCTGAAGGATACCGAGGCCGAGGTCCGCACTGCGATTGCTGGCCAGATTCCTGGTATGTGTTATGTGTCTCTCGAGCATGACGTCAGGATACAAATTAACAACATGAGTAGGTTTCTGCAGCTTGATCGACCGGGATACGCTGCTTAATGAGATCATGACTAGCGTGGAGGACCTGGTGTCTGACCAGTCTCAACACGTCCGAGCCGCCTTGGGCACTCAGATTAGCGGTCTGGCGCCCATTCTTGGCAAGGAAGAGTCAGTGTCATGTCCTGTGTTCTTTCGAAGATCACAAGTCACTAATCTATGTATAGGACTATTGCCCATTTGCTTCCTATGTTCCTCCAAATGCTCAAGGATGACTTCCCTGACGTTCGTCTGCACATTATCTCCAAGCTCGAGCAGGTTAACAAGGGTATGCCTCCCAATATCTCTCTATTGCAAGGTTCATCTGTCTAACTTCCTTCTCCAGTTATCGGCATCGACCTTCTCTCTCAGTCTCTCCTACCCGCAATTGTCCAGCTAGCTGAGGACAAGCAGTGGCGTGTGCGTCTTGCCATCATCGAATACATTCCTCTCCTCGCCAGCCAGCTGGGCGTCAATTTCTTTGATGAGCAATTGAGTGATCTTTGCATGGGATGGCTAGGCGACACAGTCTTCTCGATCCGAGAGGCCGCTACTCAGAACCTGAAGAAGCTTACTGAGGTGTTTGGCGTGGAATGGTCGAAGGAGTCCATTATTCCCAAGGTGATGGCCATGGGGCAGCACCCCAACTACCTTTACCGCATGACCACATGCTTCGCTGTTTCTGTGAGTTTTGAGTATTGCTGCGCCTCGATTTATTAACAAGCTAACGATTTCAGACGCTCGCCCCGGTTGTTACTCTCGATATCATTGAAAACTCCCTTCTCCCCATCCTGGACCGACTTGTGGCGGACGAGATCCCCAATATCCGCTTCAACGTCGCCAAGTCTTACGCCATTCTCATCGAAACACTGCGCCGTCTCCCGGAGGATAAGACGCTGGTTGAGGTGGAGAAGTCCGAGGACACCGTTACCCCCTCGCCCAAAAGCCAGGACCTGATTCAGCAAAGAATCCTTCCTAGCCTGGAGAAGCTGCAGGAGGATGATGACGTCGATGTCCGATATTTCGCTACCACCGCGGGCGGCGCTCAGGAGGAATCCATGCAGACTTCTCCTTGAAACAGCCCCCAATGAATCGGTGACGGTGACGGTGACACCGCATGAACTACTCTCTTCGGACCGCCTCTCACATGCGCGCGAAATCAATGACGACAGAGCACCTGCGGAACAGCCTGGGCATGGGTATCCTGTCATTTTAGAGAATAGTCAGCTTTGGGATGAGATGTCTTGATGGCGTTTTTAATGTAGAGGTCTTTTTTATCCCATACATATCCAAATCGTCTATTCCCGCTCGAGGTAGTCATAAAAAGCAGTCACGCCAGTTTGAATAACTCTTTCCTCTTCTTGCTGATCAAGAGTGATTGTAGAAACATCTGGCTTCGGATTTCATATATACACAGGTTATTAGCGTTCTGTTATAGCCTGGTTAAAGCCGGAGGCCGACGAGTAAAATCACTTCGTTTGTCAGCGGGTCCCGGGGAGGCCCTACCGAGGTATCACCCCGACGCGTAAGTAGGTGACACCTTTCGACTCCTCCGCCGGGGCAACATCTCGAATCACATTCTCTGGGGTTATGATAGCTCTGCTTGTCAATTGGCGAGATCTTCTATACCCAACATGGCCTTTCCCTGGCCCTATCACTTTATCACCGTCTCTGAAGAGGAGAAACTACACCGCCGGGAGCTTCTTGACCTGCGCGGCTCCTACGCGCAATGGTCGATTATCGTGGTGACCGTCGTGCTTCGAGCTTATCAATGCTGGGTTACATTAGGTGTACAGGCTGAAAGCACGGCCAAGCAGCGTCGTGGACCTGCTTCGTGGTGGGACCGCCCGATCGTTGCTGGATGGATGGAGACCCGACGGCAGTATGCCATCTGCGGCTTGTGGTTCTCGTGGCTGTTCGGTCTTGCTGTGTGCTATAGCGGCGATGGTAAGTGTCTTCTCCGTCACGTTATAAACCATACCTATAGGCGATCGAGAGTGGTTAACTGACATTGACTCGCAGACTATCTGCATCTCACGAAGGCCCTGGCCCACGTCGGCCTCTCTCAGGTTCCTCTCCAGGTTTTGATGTCTCCAGCAGCATACCTTTCAGCTTCAAAACCTGCAGCTTCTTCAATCTTCTCGTTGTTGACATCCATCCCCCAAGCGACCGTCACACCCTACCACCGTCTCTTCGGACGGGTAGTCATCTCACCCTTGCTCGTGGGCCATGCGACTCTCTACCTATTATTTTTCGTGCAATCAAGCCATCCGGAATTCAGCTCGCTTCTCGCTAAGCGCGTGGGCGACCTCGACGTGCAGTGTGGCATGCTTGCTATACTCGCGGCAGTCTCTCTTCTGTTCTTTCAGCGGCCTCGGGGCGCGGCACCGAGAACTGGATTTCCAGGACGGCTTGCGGCTGGTTCGATGCACGACCGCAAACGCTCGTTCTATTACGGCCATATACTTTTGGTGGGTATCTTGTGTTTTTCGGCATATTATCATGTTGCGCAGGCACAGAAATACATGGTCCAGGCCCTTGGTGCTTTCATAGTGAATGGGGTATGTTCGTGGGCGATTGTTCGGTGGGGAGGACGAGTATAATATATGGTAAATATATGGTAAATATATGGTAAAAGGCAGTTCAGTCATTGGCGGCTCTTTAATCCATACCATAGAGTTTTTTTTACCCAAAGTCTTTTTCCCATGGAGAGCATTATATATTGTCGGGATGCATAGTGAACGCCGTTCGGGGGAACTTGGACGGTAGTGGAAGAACACCTTTCCATCTACGTTTCTCTTTTCATGTTCTACATACCAATCTGCGGTGTTGGCTGATAGTGACCTACCTATAGTTTTAGTATGTCCCAGCGCTACCCTATCTCATGGTAAGGTTGTGACATGTCTTTACGCCACCCAGGCCTTCCGCCGCAAACCATTTGCCACCGCGATAAAGGTGTACATGACATTTGCCTCCCGTGGATTGGGAGTCACGAGCCTCTGGGTCCCAACCGGAATCTATGGTCAGGGGTATGGCTTTTTCCAAGGGGTAGAAAAGGTTAAGGCGGTAAAAGATAAAGAAACACGGCAATTGTGTTGCCCTACGTGGACTCTTTGGTCAAGCGGCTTGGCATCCAGCCTGCCTCTGGCCCCCCCACGGCCGTTCCAGGAGGTTAATAATAGTGGCCCCCCAAGACTCCAGGCCTTCCCTATGGAGCACTGTCCCGAGACCCTTTTTTCCGTCCCCCTTCCATCTTGGTCCTTCTCTCCACTCGCTTCTCATGCCTCCCCCAAATGGCAGGATGCGCACCCAACGTCTGATCATCCTGCTTGCGATTGTCCTCCTCGCGTGCTTCTCGCTCGTCCTCCTCCGTTCTGACACAGATATCGAAGATGTGCCGCTAGACCTCCCTCCCCCGAGCCCATCAGACACCCTCAACTCCATGCGGGCCAGACATTCTACCCGCCCGAGAAGGCGCACCCCGTCTCGAGTCTGGTTCAGAACGCGCAGGAGCAGTTTGACCATGTGCGGGCCCGGCAATCGAAAACCCTGGCCGAGGCCGTGCAGGAATACAAGCTCCGCTACAAGATGCACCCGCCGCCGCATTTCGACAAGTGGTTCCAGTTCGCCCAAGCCAAGGGGGTCAAGTTGGTGGATGAGTTCGACTCGATCTACCACTCCCTGCTGCCATTCTGGGCCCTGAAGCCGGCGACGATTCGCGCTCGCGCCCGCGAGACCCTGGGATTTGACAATGCGGTGATTGGGTTGCTGATTCGCGATGGCAAGGTGACCCTTACAGAGGGTGGTGGTGACGGTCGCAAGTGGCAGCGCGAGGCTACGGTCGGCATGATGAAGGAGTTCGTGAAGTATCTGCCGGACATGGATTTGGTCTTCAACACTCACGATGAGCCCCGCGTGGTGATTCCCGGCGACGACCTCCAGCGTCTGGTGCAGACCGCGACGGACTATGCCATTCCCGCTGCATTCAATCGGAAGACGACGACTAATGCGTGGTCGCCTCGTGCGGCTGACTTGAACAAGGGTGACCGCATCGACGAGGTGCGCACCACTCGCTTCAACCGATTCGCCCACCAGCCGACCTGGACCAACTCCCGTGCCTCGTGCCCCGTCGATAGCCCTGCTCGATCCCTCGACGAGGATGCCGCCGACAACGACGCACCCTACGCGTACGGTGAATTGGGCTTTATCCACAACGCCAGTGCCTTCTCCGATATCTGTCACACCCCGTCCCTGCGATATGCCTATGGGTTTTTCGATCGCCCGAATGCCTTCGATGTGGTCCACGACCTGTTCCCCGTCTTCTCGCAGAGCAAGATCTCCAGCTTCCAAGATATCCTCTATCCCAGTCCCTGGTATTGGGCTGACAAGGTGCCCTACGACAAACATAAAGACTACAGCTGGGCCGCAAAATCCGACCGCATGTACTGGCGCGGTTCCACGACAGGTGGCTTCTCACGTGCCGGGGGCTGGCGCCGACAGCACCGGCAGCAGTTTGTGGATAACGTTAATTCGCTGGAACCGACCAAGATCCTCGCCCAGCAGCAAGACAATTCTTGGGTCTCGCAAAATGTCAGCCGGGATACCTACCGTGACACGTTTGATGTCAAGTTTACCATGGTCGGCCAATGCGACCCCGATGACTGCCACGCACAGGAAGAATACTTCGAGGTTGTCAAGGCTGCTGGCCAGCAGGATGCATGGGCGCACAAGTTCCTGGTCGATATCGATGGCAATGCTTTCAGTGGCCGGTTCTACGCTTTCCTGCATAGCAACAGCTTTGTCTATAAGATTGCCATTTTCCGCGAGTGGCACGATGAGTGGCTCAAGCCCTGGGTGCATTATGTGCCGCTCAGTCTGAAGGGCAACGAGTATGTGGAGAGCATGCGGTATTTCACCATGGAGGAGGAGGGCAAGAAGGCCGCCCCATTGATTGCCACCCAGGGCCAGCAGTGGGCGCAGCAAGTGTTGCGGAATGAAGACCTGGAGGTCTGGTTCTTCCGTCTCCTTCTGGAGTGAGTTTTCTTTCCGTCATTCTGTTTTGTTTCTATTATTTGTCCTTGCTAACATCCAACTCTCGTCAGGTATGGTCGTCTTGTCGATGATAAGCGCGATCAAATAGGCTTCACCCTTTGATCGCCCCTATTCTGTACTGTCTTCAAAGACCTCACCCTTGTATATACCCACTTTAATATCCCCGCCGCTCAGCTCGCTGAATTGCTCGCTGAATCTTGGTTACCTGCGGGACCTCCACGAGATCACGGCCTTTTCCTTCTCTTGGCTTCCTTTGCTTCTCTTATTCCTGACATGTCGCTCTGCCTGCATCATTTCATCATGTGTTAATACCCTATTTTTTATTCTGATTTCTCCAGCTGAATTCTTTTTCCCTGGTCGAAGCTTTGATACCTTTCTTGTCTACCTGCATGTGAAGACGGACGTGGCGTTCTCTGGGTTGGGAGCCGCCCTTCACTGGCTCCGGCAACGCTGTATCCGCCAAATACGAGAAAAGCATTTCCATCCATTCTTATGTACAACTTGCTCAGACAGATGATCCCAGCATAAATCCCCATTGAGTGACACCAAGCTTTTTGCCGTCACGCTGGTCCCAAAGTGGCTAGGGGCGCGAGAGGCGGGCCCTGGCGGGCTGACTAACCGCATGACGCGACAGCTCCGAGGGCCCCCGCCGAAGAAGCTCTCGGAGCTTTTGAGGAAGAAGACGGTGCCCCCATTATTTCTTCTCGCTCTCATATTTCTGTTACACTGGACTTGCAGGCTTCTCACCTGCTCAACTGATGACTGATTGACCAGTGTGCGCTCCATCATGGCGGGCGACTTAATCACCAAAGCCATCACCAGGCTGATCGTCTTCATCTATGGCGTCTTTACGATCATCCTTTATGGGGTCTTATCCATCAAGAAGGGGAGTTTTTTCAAGAGACGTACAGAGAAGCAAAACCTTGAGCTGCAGCTTGGTAAGCCCTTCACTCTTCTTCTCGCTTTCCACCCTTCTCTCTCTGTGCAGCTCAGCCATATTCAGATAAGGAGCCCGTTACTGATCAAGGTGGATCCATAGCTCGCGATCGTCTGTGGAACCTATCTAAGGACTACGCCGGCCTTTCGCACCACTTTCTAACCCTTCCTAGCGGGTTCAAGTTCCACTTTGTCAGCAATGTGACACCCGGCTCCCCAGCTGCTTTGAAATCTGATAAGCCGCTGGTCATCTTCATCCATGGGTTCCCCGACAGCTGGGCAATCTGGCGCCACATTGCCAGCTCTCCGTCTCTACAGGATGCCGCCAATGTCGTTGCCATTGACTTGCCCGGTTACGGCGGCACCCAAAGTCTGGAGAGATACACGGCCACAGCAGTGTTGGAGAAGCTGACTGAGTTGATCATCACTCTCCGATCTCAATACGGCGTGGACGAGGGCTCTGAAGTAAACAAGGAAAAAGTGGTCATTGTCGCCCACGACTGGGGCTGTGTATTGTCAATGCGACTTGCAGCCGAGGCACCATCGCTGGCACACCGGTTTATCCTTTCCAATGGACCTTTGGTATGTCTGCCTCCCAGTCCTGGTCTCCTTTGCTTCTTGCAATACAGGTGCTTACTTCTCTTGATAGATGAGCCTGGTGGAGTCCAACATCCGCCGCATGCTTACATCGGCGTCCAAGATGTTCAAGTCTGCTCTGAGTGCTCCGCTTTCATCCCGCACCCCATTGCTGCAGGCACTTCGGACCCTCGGTCCGCTGCTCAAACAACTCCGAATGTCGGGCTATGTCTTTACCATGCAACTACCTCCCTCGCTTGTCACGTTCTTCCTGACGGGAGGCAACTACTCTTTCATCTCAGCTGTCCACAGGGGCTCGCACGGGCGTGCTGAGTTTACCTCCCGCGACGAGGCTGACTCCATGGCCAGCAGCATGGGCCCGTCTCTCGCGGAATCGAAAACCCAGACCGCCAATGGCGACAAGTACCCAACGACCATCAAGTACACGCACGACTTCGCCAACGTCATGAACATGGCAGGCTACTACCGAGACGGTGCATCCACCGCGCGCTGGCAGAAGTCTATCGAGACCATCACTAGCCTGCACAGCATTGCCGGCGGCAACGAGCTGCGGCGCACCAGTAGCGGAGCCGGCCTGTTCGACGATGGCACCCCCGGCGTTCTCAAGGCAAACTCGACCGTGTTCTGGGGCAAGCGGGACATCGCACTGAACCCGCCGATCTGCCTGGACGGCATGTCCGACTATCTCGTCGCCGACAGCCAGATCGTCATGCTCCCCGAATCCGGTCACTTCACTCCGATCGAGACGGAAAGTCGTGTGGCTCTGGTGAAAGCCGTCGAATGGGCCATTCACGGCGAACAGGGCAATATAGGCTCTGCCATTCAGGAGTGCTATCCGAGCGCGAAGGTCATTGCCCGGCGATGAGTGCGGTCGGCAGCCAACGAAAAGTTGACTCCGTCTCTGCCACGAGCCATTCTAGGTGTATCCTGATCGAACGTGATGGGCTCACGGCAGGTCTTTTCCTATTCAATTTTGCGCGGAGGTTTTATTTCTCACCATGGCGCACTCTGGAGGGCGTTCTGCGTAACCGCTGATGCCCCCCGGCCCACATCCCGGCTCCGAAGGGGCCAAGCAGGTTTTTGCTATTGTTTTCCCCCGGAGGCTAGGTGGTTTCATGTAGATAGAATTAGCAGCACAATGCAGTTGGCAATGAATGATTTAGAGGAACTCTTCTTCTCTCTCTCCCATGGAACACGTCTAGATCAATGGGAATTCAACCACACATGGTGTGGAGAGTCCGTGGCCAAGTGGCTTGATTCGCCGGTGAGGGGAACACCCGCTTTTCCCCAACGATCTTCGGGAGCTTTGGGCGTTGTCTGCTGGTCCGCTGGTCTGCTGGTCCGACTGTAAGTCGTTAGTGCTGTTGTTTTGCTGCGTCGCCCCTCTCCTGCAATATCCACTTGCCATTCCCCATCCACTCCTTTCCGCCACCCCCGCTGACGCTCCGCTTGGTCGGCCAGAGCTTCCATCCCAGGTCCTCCACCTTACCACCCTGTCACTTTACCACTTTTACCACCTTACCACCTCCAACCCCCTGATTGCCACTTCGACCAAGAGTCTCTCACCTCGCACAAGCTCCGGGAACGATGCAGCGCTGGTGAACGTCAATTATTTTCGTCCGCTCGAACGTCCGGTCCAGGTACCAACCGGTGGTCGGCAGGGATTACGTGCTTGTTGACGGGCTAGTCCGAACTGAATTGTCATTGGGGCAGAGGCAACACGCCCTACCTCGACAGGGATAAATATAGGCATCGGCCAGCCGGTGTCTCTTGCTCTTGCGATTTCAGGTTGCTTTCTGGACCCGTCCGGGACGCAGCTTCTTGACTGCGGACAGTTTTTGTTGAGGCACTACTGGCGTGATGGCGTCCGAGCGGAACGCGGTTTACTGCACGGTTTGGCGCCCCCTCTCCGGGTCCGATGAATGGTGTGATCAGAGCAGAATACGAGGAATACTGACAATCGTTGGTCTGACAGCTCCTGCTGAGCGATACCTACCTGCCAGGTAAGCAATTGGTGTCGAGTCGTCTATTTTGGTGTTGGCGTGTTGATCTAATGGTCGAACCCCGTTTAGGTGCCATGGTCCTGGCGCATTCCTTGCGCGACAATGGCACAAGAGCGAAGTTGATCGTCCTCTACACACCGGACCAATTACAACAAGCGACCATTAATGAGCTAAGGGTGTGTTTGATCTGAATTGGCGAGCAACTGCATCCTTGGCTACCTCTAGCAAGACTGACCTGCTTATGCTCAAAGACCGTCTACGATGAAATGATCCCAGTATCCTCACTCGTAAATGGCACGCCCGCAAACCTCTGGCTCATGGACCGTCCGGACCTCATCGCGACTTTCACCAAAATCGAGCTCTGGCGCCTCACCCAATTCTCGCGAATTGTCTACATTGACTGCGACGTTGTGGCTCTCCGCGCGCCGGACGAACTGCTTTCGCTGGAGGCAGACTTCGCCGCCGCACCTGATGTTGGCTGGCCGGACTGCTTTAACAGCGGGCTGATGGCGCTGCGGCCTAACCTGCAGGACTACTATGCGCTGAAGGCGCTCGCGGAACGGGGCATTAGTTTCGACGGCGCGGACCAGGGCCTGCTGAACATGCATTTCCGGGACTGGCATAGGCTGAGCTTCACGTATAATTGTACGCCGAGTGCAAACTACCAGTACATCCCTGCATACAAGCATTTCGAGAGTACTATCAGCCTGATTCATTTTATCGGGGCGCAGAAGCCTTGGAATTTGCCGAGGCAGGTGGTTCCACTACAGTCGCCGTACAATCAGCTGTTGGGACGATGGTGGTCGGTTTATGATAAGCATTATCGGCCGCCGTTTGTAAGTGCTGAGGAAGGAACACAGATGGATACAGATGGTTAGAGACTAATGGGTTAATAGGTGTCTACTTCCCGGCTAGCGACTGGCGTACCGCTTCCAGTACAAGACACATCCATCCCGCAAGGTGCAAGCTATTCGTCGGGTACAGATCACTTCGGAGGGCAACCTGGAGAGGCCCATGGCGGAAAATGGCCAGAGCATCAACACGTTCAATTCACAGAAGCAGGCTCTGCAAGCTTCCCTGGTGGCGTAGCCCAAGTCCATCAAGACGTGTCAGCTCCCGGATCGGTCGACCAACAGATGCAACATCTTCCCGCCCGGGAACATTTTGAACCCCATCCAGACACTCAACACGCTCATCATGCAGGCCACGATATCACCACATCAGCGGGAATGGCGATACTGAGTGCAGTGCCGCAGTATGTGCGCGGAGAAGAGCAGGTTTCGACATACATTCCACCATTACCTCATGCTCGAATCCCAGCTTTCCAGATCCAGAGAGATCAACACAGCTATCACCAAGAGCCCCAGACTCATCAAGAGCATCATTCGCAATCTCAAAGCTCTGAACCTGATATTCATCATCCTCAGCCGGTGGCACCCCTGCCACCTGCGGATGAGCTGCACCAAGCCCCTCCTCCACTGGAGCCAGAGGTCCCAACCTTTGAAGCACCAAAGGCAGAATGGGATGCCTCACGGTAAGGATTTTAGTCTCATTGAATACCATTAAGAATAAGCTGCTTATGCGTCACAGAGAGCCACCACCGTTGAATACCAAACCAGAAGGAGTCAACCTCCAACAAAAAACATACACCATGTCCGAAGACACTAGTTTGTTCCAACCGCCTCCATCTTACCCTGAAGCACCGAAAAACATGTACTACCAAGTCCCCTCGACAAAGCCAGCGTCACAACAGCTCAACCAGATATTCCCCTGGGAGAGCCACGCACCCAAACCCACCCGTATTTTTGCACAAGAGCAACCTATTCCTCTAGCCTCACCGCCTGAACCAACTATACCACTCCAGGCCAGCGACTTGCCACCTTTACCCGAGACCTCACCACTCCGAGCGCCCTACGAGCCCTCCGCCGAGACTTTCGAATCATACACGCGCTCCAACGCCTGGGACGAAGATCCCGACATCCAACGCTACATTGAGTCGATCCAACAAACGCGGCGTGCCCGCACACAAGTTATATCCGGCTCCAGCCAACCAAGCACAAGCACGCGGTCTAGCCAAGACCTATCAGGCTCATCTACAACAACCCTTACTGGCCCTGTATCCGGTCACCGGCCCAGCATCATCCTAACCGACTTCCCCACGGAAGTCGAGCGCCCCAGTCTCCCCGTGACTCCAGCGCCGATCCAGCGCAACTGGGGTAGCGGCGGCGGCGAGGAGGACCACGAGAACGATGCCTCTGGCACAGCCGCCCTCCCCGCTGCTGAGGGTGTGCCGAGCCAGGAGGACTGGGTGGGTGTCACGGTTGATGCGTTTTCACAAGTTCTCCGAGCAACATACTTATTGTGGCGGTCTACAGAATCCCCTGGCCAGCCTGGAAGAGCTGCACCGACGGCAGTCCGAGGTTTTGGAGCATCCCGAGCGTTTGGATGAGCGTCTTGCTGCGTTTGCAGGCGAGTCGGAGTCTCCGTGAACGAGGCGAAGATAGAGGCCCACTAGTTAGGTCTACTTTTACTAATGATCCCCGGGGTCGCAGTAGTGGCTATGCAGGAACGTGATCAATTTCCAGATTTGGAAGTGTGATGACCATATTTTGGCGACGATTAAGCGGAGAAGCGTCTAATTCCCCACCGCTTCCCCCACCTTGTTTTTCCAGCGTTTGTTTCCTGTTGTGTTTGAGAGATCTTCCTGCATGTTGCACACGTCGATATCGCACTTTGTATATTGCATTGCCTCGGCTCGTCCAAAATGAATTGCCCTCGCGCTTTTGAGTCTTCCGCATTCATGCGAGCGTTTTCGTCGCTAAAATTTCTTATCTTTGGTCTCTCCGTGTGTATTCGATTCGCCACTCGCCATGCACGCTTATCTCGAATGTGCTCAAACAAACGGCCATGAACCAGGCTATAGACCCACAAAAGCTGCTAGGGCTTAGTTCACACTAATAATTCTTCACCATTACTTCCTAGCCGCGGGCAGCCTATCCGCGGCCCAGTGATCGTCCGATCAAGACTAGCGTGATAAGCGAAGACCAATAGGCAGCTCGGGAAGAAAATTAAAGAAGACGCTTATCTGCGCCTACGCAACCTAAACTTGGGGCGAGCCGGTGAGAGAAAAAAATGCGAACTGGGCCCTGCTATACGTAGCCCATGTTGACCTCGCGAAATCCCGGAACCGCGGAGCTGACCGGGAATCCTTGGCATTGTCTTGCTTGGCCACCCCATCGGCGCTTGATTATTAAAGTTTGTTAAGAATTTTTTTTCGGATGCTGGCAGGTCTCGTGACTTTACCCGAGAGTCAAAGTTAACCGTCAAGAGTTCCACCTGAAGGAGTGATGCTGGGTCGGAATTTCGGCGCCGCTTGACCCATAGATCTGCAGAGATTTACTTGTGGCCGAGGTAAGCGGATCGAGGAGAAGACGATACGGCCACATTAGCGCTTCCAGGCGCGAAAAACACCGAGGTTCAGGCTCGCCGCGTCGTCGCTGACACGGGAGGGTTAGCAACTTGGCGCGGCGGGCTGCAAGGCTACCTTTCAAAATGAAGGACGGTAGACTCGAAGAGGGTCAAACGCGCGGAGTGCGCCGGGGAGATTCACCAGTCCTCCGTGGCCAAGATCGTCGGGACTCACCTATAGACATCAAGGGATCGTTCAGACCAGTCTAGGGCTCCTCTTTTTGCCCCTCTCCCCCAGCCTCAACATGAGGCGACCAATCTACTGAGGCAGATTGGCGGGGCTAGTCAGGCCTTCGGGAGCACCGCAACATTGCTATACCGGCGAAGCAGGACCGTTGTTAGTCATTTTGGTGACTCGGCGATTACTTCGAGCCCCAGTAAAGCCCCGTTATGGTCCCATTCCGAACCGTTCATTGGCCAGCCACCCGAAGATCGGCCCGAGTGAGACCCATCGACGCCCCTCAAACCCAATCAACACGCGAAATGTTCGGCGGGTCTTCCATGGGACGTTCGGTGCAGAGTTGGCGCAGATTTGCCTCCCATGGGGGCATTATCGGCACGGAGAGAACGGGGATACCGAAACTCAAACTGGCAGGCCGGCAAGATTCCGTTATTAAGTGAATACCCCAGGCTCCGTTTCTTCCCTTTGCTCTACTCTTCTCTCCCTCCCCTCTCTTCTTCCTGGTTCTCATACACGGCGTAGGCGAACACACCGAACGCGACACACGACATAATCGCATTAGCATTGTCTTTCTTTTTTTGACCGTGTGTTGCTGCTGCCATTGATCGAGAGCCAGTCAATATGGAGACCGTGACGCCCGTGCCTCCGGCATATGCGAACGACAAGGTCGTTGAGGAGCAGAAGTACTCTCCCTCCTACGAAGAGGAGAACGGTGGCCTCAAGCATGGCGAGGTGGCCGATGCCTTCGGTAACGAGGAATATGCCGAGATCAAGTACAAGACTCTGAAGTGGTGGCAATGTGGTCTGCTTATGATTTGCGAGTCCGTCTCGCTGGGTGTGCTGTCGCTGCCTTCGGCGGTGGCTACGCTGGGCTTGGTGCCGTGAGTATCCCAATCCCGTCCGATCGAGACCGTCGATGTATAATATTACGAGATTATGGACCGGTTGATTAACATATCTGCCTCTGTTCTAGTGGTGTGATCCTCATTGTCGGCCTGGGTCTGCTGGCCACTTATACCGGATACAATATTGGCCTCATGCGGGAGCGCTACCCTCACATCCAGAACCTCGCAGACGCCGGCGAGATCCTGGCGGGCCGCATTGGCCGTGAGGTCTTCGGAGCAGGCCAGTTCCTCTTCTGCCTCTTCGTCATGGGTAGCCATCTCTTGACCTTCCGCGTCATGATGAACACCGTCACCGGCCACGCCGCCTGCTCCATCATCTTCAGTTTGCTCGGCATGATCATCTCGCTCATTCTGTCCATTCCCCGTACGATGCGTGGTATGACCTGGATCTCCTTCTTCTCCTTCCTGTCTATCTTCAGCGCCGTTTTGATCACCATGATCTCCGTCAGCGTGGAGCAGCACCCTGGTCGCGTCATCGACGCCACCGTCGACCACAACCTGTACACCGCGTTCCAGGCCGTGTCGAACATTGTCTTCGCCTACTGCGCCCACGTTGCCTTCTTCGGCCTGATCGCCGAGATGGAGACCCCCAAGGACTTCAAGAAGTCCCTGTTCATGTTGCAGGGCTTCGAGATCTGCCTCTACCTGACTGCCGCCGTGGTCATCTACTACTATGTCGGCACGGACGTCAAATCCCCCGCGCTGCTCTCCGCCGGACATATCATGAAGAAGGTCGCCTTCGGCATCGCCATCCCTACCATTGTCGGCGCCGGCGTCGTCAACGGCCACATCGGCCTGAAGTATATCTATTTCCGCATCTGTGCGAAGTCCGATCTGCTCCACTCGCGCAGCTGGAAGTCCATCGGCCTGTGGCTCGGCCTGGGCGTATCCTGCTGGTTCGCCGCCTGGGTCATTGCCGAGGCCATCCCCGTGTTCAGTGACCTGAACAGTCTGATCAGTGCCCTTTTCGCGTCCTGGTACAGCTACGGTCTGTCTGGCGTCTACTGGCTGCACCTGAACGCGGGCCAGTGGTGGGCGTCGCCGCGTAAGATCGCGATGACTGTGCTCAACATGGCCATTGTCCTCGTAGGTTTCATACTATGCGGGCTGGGTCTGTATTCTTCTGGTACGGCTATCCACAATGATCACGGCAGCAGCAGCTTCAGCTGCACGGCTGACAACTGAGCTGTTCATTTTTGATGTATATTTTAATGTTTTCATGTATGATTTGCATACTTGCATATAGATAGCTTCGTTTTTCATTTCTATAGAACAGGAATTAGACCTACACAATACAGATTACTGGCTAATCAAATTGATCCTTTGGTAGATACAAACTGCTTAGATTGCCTGGTTGTAGAGTGGAGGATGCTGCTCTCTGAACCTAGCGGCCAACCATGGTATCTATCGCTCACATCGGACTCATGGCTTGAAATCTCTGGAGAAGATAAAAGCCCAAGATCGCCCTAGTGTCCTCGGTACGAATGGGACATGCTCGACCTTAAAAACTTCCGGTCGCCCTCTGATCATACACACGCTGGTATCTCGCCACGTAATAACAATATCATGTTTGGTTGGTGACGATAAAACTCTTACGTGCATCTTTTGTTAGGAATGGGCAGGACGGTACCTGTACCACTGGGAGTATTCCTAAATATTGAGGCGTGAATTTTAAGGTGATGGTCGATACTGATAGAGAAAACGCCGTCGACGGAGATGGGATTCTAGTGGGATCAATACTGTCAGGAAGATCCTATCTAATTGGTTGTTATTGGCTCATGCTGCTGTGATATTGTTCCACGGCACATAGGGCGCTCGAAACTGGCTTGTGGGTTTTATCATAGTAATATACAGCCTTAGAATATGTGAAACATGTCAGACTCAGAAACTTTCCTCCTGGAGTTGAAACGTAGGCAGCGGACAATGATGCAGTGAGGCTGAACGCTGGGGCCGCACGGACACAGGCCTACGCGCCCTTGGCTATTTCGACGAGCTGCATGTGCCCCTGTTCAAACTTAAAGTACTTCACATTGCCTTGCATTTAGTCTTCATAAATGGTGTCCCAATTGAATTAAGTTTACACTTGCGGAATTTTCGTATTCCCATTGAATTCTGGCTTGCACAAGCTTTTGAGTTGCTTACGGGTAAGCAGGCGTGATGAACCAAAAGCCTCATGAACAGCTGACAGTAAGCACTGTCCAGCCTTGGGATAATACCCAACCTCCAATATGTCCATCAGAGCGATTGGTTTTCGGGAAGTGTGTGAGGTAAACAGGCGCCACTTCAGCCGGAGCTAAGGTACTCAGCAATGGGTTGAATAAAGTCCAGAGGACATGGATAGCCAACCACTATGTACTGCCTAATTATTCCCCTACTTCCAGTCTCTTGTTCTCGAAGCACAAGGGCCTGGCGAGCCTAATCACTGGTCACTATTTGTCGCCGCCGAGAATTAGCCTGGTCTGTTGTATCAAGTCACCGGGGACGCAGAGTATATGACCGACGAACCCCTCCGACGGGTCAACTAGTATAGTCAATTTTTGAGCTCTTCTCAAACCTGTATCAGTTGGCCATTGTGAATGAAGAGCAAGCTATAATGCTGAAACAAAATGCCGACAATGAGCCCCCACATCGCGCTCTTATTTAGGTAACCGGTCAACGAGAACCAAGGCTGGGCACTGCAGGTTGTCGACAAGTTGGTAGAAAGGAGCATGGTAGCTGTGGCTAAATTTGAAAAGGCGAAATATATGCTGCCATTTCCAGCCTACCGGAGAGAGAAAGTAGGTCTTATGTTCACAATACTCCATTGAACCTTTTGAGATGAGAGAGCGATAGTAATGATACGCATAGAAGAGTTGAGGTTACAATATTATGAATGGGATTGGTACGGATATATGTCATTCGATCATTAAAAGTAATTCTCGCAATGCGCCCCATGAAGAAAAGGTCACCGCTTTCTAGTCCCGAAAAGCCAGAATAGGCACCCCAATGCCAATAGCATTTTGAATTTGGGTGGCCTCAGGAAAAACGCTGAAAGCAATCAATTTGCAACAGGTTCTTCAGCCGAAAGACCTGACTAGGACAACCACAAAGAAAGATAATAACGCGGTGAGAGCCTAACGTATGAGAAAGGACAGTCAATGATCAGGCCGACGAAGCTCGCAGAGGGAGATATCCATCCTCCATGTTGGCGAGCACATACTGGTTTTATCCTACTCCTGTCCATCGTCAAAACGTTTGCCACGAACGGAATAGAAATTCGTTTGCTTTATGTGGCTTGACTTGCCGGTTCTCTCATCAAAGAGGGAGAAGCCATAGTTCGCAGCGTTAGGGGGCGTGTATACTGTATATAAATCAATATCAAGTAACACTGTAAATTAAAATCGCACAGCGGGACCATGTTCAGTGGAGGCGTGCACTTACAATGCAGTGAAACGGCGAAGTTGTCTGGGTCCGGGTTGGAGATTCTGTGAAGACCAAGCTGGTTCAACGTGTCAGATTATGATGAAACTCCATTACTGAATATGATGACGAACCTTATCGGACATGTAGGTTACCTGGTTTTCACCATAGACGGTCTCTCGAGTGACTTGTGGCGGAGAAGTCTGGCCTTGATCAATCTTCTGCTTATTTGGCCAGGAATAGAGTGTCTCCTTGAGCTTCCCCTTGAGAATCTGTCATCAATTTTAGCATGTAGGTTCTCTAGAACAAGAAATGCTTGGGCTGACGGTACCTTCATCACACAGTGCGCATTGGCATGGTCGTGAATTGCACTACTCTTCCCGGGGCTCCAGACGAGAATCAGCTAGTTAGAGTCAACATCTGTAGTAAGCCAAGAAAGAGCCAGCTGAGCATGTTAAACATTTCTCATGCTCATGCCGATGGATAGCAGAACCAGAGAGAGGACCGACTGACCAAGTTGCTCTTGCCATTACCCTCATCAATCAAATTTCTCGTATAGCCCCTGCTGGGATCTCCTAAAGCATATTGCCCCCATTCCGCCTCACGCGAGACATATTTATCCATTAACAACTGGATGTTCATATGGTCAACATCATCAGAGTCAAGGCCAGAGCTGGGCCCGAGAGCGGCACTAAGGTCCTCCACAAGTTGCTCGAAGGCTGCAACGGTCTTTTCAGAGACGGTGGGCGAGTCAGATCCATTCTGAAGAAATGGCATGGCGACCACAATTGCTATCCTGGTGTCAGGCTGTGTTGACAATCGTTCCAACCATCCAGCTAGTAAAGAAGCTTTCCAACCGAAAAGGCCCGTTATCGGAGTTTGGCTCGGGTGCAGCGTGAAATGGGAACGATGCTGCTTTTGGACTCTCTTCCTCCTTCATACGGACTCAAACGTTGTAATCCGAGCGGGCCTGAGTCACCGTGTTACCTGAAGGTCATTCAAGTGCGATTGATCATGGAGCTTTGAAATGGCGACATATGAACAACCCTCCGGGACTTTATCTGGTTGCCACCGTTTGTTCCTGCCGACCCGACCGATCAGCGATAGAGCCATATAGTGGCCTGAGGCAGAAGTATTTTCACCTGAAAAGTCTCTCTGGCCATGACATAATTTACCGCCTGAGGCCAACTCCCCGCCCTGACTAAGAAGAGTGCCACAATTGAGATTCAAAGATTGTTTCTCCGCCTAACCATCGCTTTTCGCTGCGAGTTTGTCCTGCCGCACAGCGAGGGGAAACGAACTAAATCGAGCGTTCCCTGTATTTTGTCGACCTAAAACATCTTCCTTCCCTTCCGATACCTCTCTTCTCCAACCGCCAACATGTCGACCACGATTGATAAGGTTAGTGCGCCGACTTACTCGACCCGTTCAAAACCAAATCGCACTGCAGACAGGCGCTAACGAGGCCATGGCTGGTTATAGATCAAGGAGGTCGAGTCCGAGATGGCTCGGACTCAGAAGAACAAGAACACATCCTTCCACTTGGGTACAGATACCCCGCGAACAAAGATTGTTGCGACCATGGACGGACAGGGCTGACAATCGGTAAAGGACAATTGAAGGCAAAGCTTGCTAAGCTCAAGCGAGAGTTGTTGACCCCAACTGGAGGTGGTGGCGGTGGTGGTGGTGAGTTCTTCACAAGACAAAGTCCCTACAGATTCACGGATTAATCATTAATTTTGATGCTCTTTAGCCGGTTTCGATGTTGCGCGTACTGGTGTTGCCAGTGTGTAAGTCAAATCTCGACAACATGCCATCGGTATAAGGAATGTTATACTCACCATCAATGCAGTGGCTTCATTGGTTTCCCCTCCGTCGGCAAGAGTACTCTGATGAGCAAGCTGACTGGCCAGCACTCGGAAGGTATGTTGTTTGAAGAACAAGCCTTGTGCTGATCAATAGTTGACATATCTTCATAGCTGCCGCATACGAGTTCACGACCCTCACGACTGTGCCCGGACAAGTGATGTACAATGGTGCCAAGATTCAGATTCTCGATCTTCCTGGTATTATCCAGGGTGCGAAGGATGGCAAGGGTCGTGGTCGTCAGGTCATTGCAGTGGCAAAGACCTGCCACCTTATCTTTATCATTCTCGACGTAAACAAGCCCTTGGTCGACAAGCGAGTTATCGAGAACGAATTGGAGGGCTTCGGTATTCGAATCAATAAGTCGCCTCCCAACATTGTGTTCAGGAAGAAGGATAAAGGCGGTATCGCGATCACCAGCACTACTCCATTGACCAACATCTCTCCAGAGGTGAGTTTCTCGTTTTTTGCAGTCACGGGGGCCACGGCTGACTTTATTTGTAGGAAATCAAAGCTGTGATGAACGAGTACAAGATTTCGTCTGCTGACATTTCCATCCGATGTGATGCGACTATCGATGATCTGATTGATGTTTTGGAAGCCAAGAGCCGAGCCTATATCCCCGTCGTCTACGCACTCAACAAGATCGATGCTATCTCGATTGAGGAGCTGGATCTGCTTTACCGCATTCCCAATGCCTGCCCTATCAGTTCAGAGCACGGCTGGAACATTGACGAGCTGCTGGAGATGATGTGGGAGAAGCTCAGCCTGCGGAGAATCTATACCAAGCCCAAAGGCCGCGCACCCGACTACACAGCACCCGTGGTGCTTCGTGCTTCGGGCTGCACCGTGGAGGACTTCGTATGCATCTGCCTACCCGTCATATTGGAATAAGTCACGCTAATGAGATATAGTGTAATGCCATTCACCGAACGATCAAGGACCAGTTCAAGCACGCTATTGTGTATGGCCGCTCTGTCAAGCACCAGCCGCAGCGAGTCGGTCTTTCGCACGAGCTTGCTGATGAAGATATCGGTACGTTTCTGCTCTGCCATCTGACAATAACCCCCTCCCGGGGTGTAATATCACCGCTGACTGCTCCGACTATAGTGTCAATTGTGAAGCGATAAAGGATTCCATCGCAATCCTTGACCGTCATAGCCCGCGCGTGGAAGCGAAGTGTCAATTCCAATCGCACTGGGAGGTGGCCGGCGGCCTCAGCCAGAATGATGCCTGCCCATGTATATCCATGCTGACAGGTACGCGGAAGTTCTCGGCTTCAGCCCCCATCACACACCACGGAGACCCAATGCGGTTGGATGGCACGAGTTGCTCTCCGCACGGACAATCAAGATCATCAAATGGGGCCTCAACAGGTTCGCAGGACTTGTTGAGCGGAAGATTGATCACCGGGCTGTGAACAAATTCTGTTCGGGGCCGCGCATGCCCAGCTTGCGTATTGTGATTTTCGTTCTCCTGTCCCTTGGCACACTCGCGAGTGCCGTGCGACCTGAGTCCACGAGGGTGCTCGTCGAGTTGGAGAAGTGGCCGGTGAGTTTGCATATCGGCCTCAGGGGCAACACGAGGGGAGGAACTATTGGTATCTTTCGTTCTCTTTGATGGGTCTTGGCGGGTTCGAAGTTTCTTTTTCTGTCATGTTTCTTTTTGTTACTGTGTATGGTCTTTGAAGCGACCGGTCCATATTGTCATGATTACCCATTCTTTCTTGATTGCGCGGGCTGGTCACTTTGTTCGCTTCCTGGGCGTCCGAAACCGGCAGAAAAGAAAATGTTCTAGATCGAGGTCTTCCATGGCAAACCCAACCAGAGTTGCATAGGTACGGTGCATTGGGCTACCTGACAGGTCTTGCACCTCCCAGGAGTGGACTGTCAAAAGTCCACCGATGAAATAGTTCCCAACCTGCTTCTTGTTGCTCAACCGCCTTGCACTTCCATATCGAGCATGCAACCCACTGGGCAGAAAAAGCAAGCCACTCTGCCCCGATATGCGACATGCATAGATTGACTGACCTGGGGCGGCCAAGGGGCCAATAAAAACCCCGGCATATAGAAGGCCACGCTATTATATGAGCACTAGGGAAAGACAACCCATATCCTTATCGGTCTCGGATTCCTTTGCTCTCCACGGAGCGATGCACGCGTTCCGTGTCAGTCGGTACCGGTCCCAATTGGCGCCTTTTCACCTTGACACCTCGTTGTGTGCCGTGCCGTGCTGCGCACGACTATCCTTGCTAGTTGGATTTCCTGTCTTGCCACCGATTGTGCCTAGCAACAGCCAGCAGCCCCGACCTGGCGGTTCATTACTTTCTGAGGCTGGCGAGCCAGGGCATCCATAGCCAGCTACCCCCGCCCCTCCATCAGAAGTGCCCCTGTCAAGCCACCCCAATCTGGACCCGAGCCCACTTTCCCATTTCGCCGATCTGCCGCCGAGCCACGGTCTGGAGGGTCGATTCCAGTCAGCTCGGGTCAAAGCTCCAACCCCATCCACGGCCGATAGCTTCGAACGGAAGTGACCCCTCCTTCCCCCTCGAAAGGCAATTATGGTGTGCATTGCGTGCAGAAGCAGAAAGGGCCGCGACCGTCCCTCCGCGCAGTGCACTGACCTACAGCTAATAAAAGCAGTGGTCCTGACTGGCCCAGGGTCCGTGTTGATTTGACAACGGTAATGGTGACGATCTTCCTCAATTCGGGGGGATGCGTATACCCGCTGGCTCCGCAACTCAAGGCTAAATTCTCCGATGGGCATTCGGGGATCCGATAGGACAGCCGCGCAAGTTCTATGGCCGGCCCTGAGGGCCTGAGGGGGCGCAAAACAAAATTGATATGTCAACCCAGGAGGAGCACGTTTTCCTGCTGTCCGTGTCCTGCTACGGCCCAGCTCGGTGGATCGAGCGCGCCAAAAGTACCGGGAGGAGAGGGTCCGCCGTGCAGCACAGCAGTCGGTTCTCCATACGGTGTGCCCATACACCCTTTGTGACTCAGGCTCAGGTAGGGTCGGACGGGCTTTGCTCAAGCTTCCGTTCTCCCTGAGGGATCTGCGTTCACCTGCTGCAGGATTGACATGCTGCATAAAAGGAAGACCGGGAGAACCCTCGACGGGAACGAGGCATCTCGCGCCTGAGTTCGAGCGCAACAAGCAACGAACGCGCATGCCATGAGGGGAATCATCGGGAACGGTGAGAACCGCAACAAGCGGTGAAAAGACATGCAGTGCTCGGTTGCGTTCGCGACATTTATCTGATCCTCTCCACCCGAAAGCCCCGGCGACCTCTCGCTGTACGGGGGTACTGCGGTTTGGGTGCCACAACAGGCGAGAGGGGTGGAGGGACGACGACTCTGGGTCGAATCGTCTCATGGTCTAGTCCCCTTCTGTACTTATTGCGTATGGCATGGGTTGAATCATTATTACGGCGGAGACTCACGGAGAGAGCCTAGGTCGTGCGGTTAGTGCTGAGGAGGAGCTAGCGCAGTGGAGCCTCGCCCGCAAATCGCCGATCTCGATAGCCCAGAGACTCACGAGGAGACGGGTTCACGATCTGGTCCGTCCTCAGATGCTAACTCGAGCAGATCGGCAAGATATCCCAAATTGCTGCCTTGCCCGTGTAGATTCGCCTCGGGGACGTACCGTCGGGAGAGTGAGTAGTGTGTATGTCGGTAAATGTGTCTTCGCCCGTGGGAAGCAAAATCCTCAGTCTTATCGTCTAAAGCCCATCGAGGGCAGGTGGGCATCAGGTGACTGGCCTGGCAACGACCCCGGCGTTGGGGACAGGAACATCCCCAATTGCGCCTGGCCTTCTCGTGGAAGATCCCCATCCGCCACATCTCGTTGCATTGCATTGCATTTGGCGGGGCTGCAATGCTCTTCCCCGGAGTCGTCGGCAGGCACGGCTCAGTCAGGTTCATGTCCAGGGACATAGCTCGCACAAGCATCCGCTCCCACGGCGACGCTCGATTCCATGCCATTATGTCATGGTGAAAGCCTCCGCATGGCGAATTGCAATAGGGCTGGTTGGTCGGTTTGCCTCCTCTCTCTTCCCCATTGACTCCATTTGCCCTTGATCGACGCTCTTCCTGGGGTGGGCGATGACCATGGTACCATGCAGGATGTACTGCATGCACTTCGTCCCGGGTACATATTACACTATGTCAGTCGGGATTGCAAGGTCGGCGCAGGTGGACGGTGCAGTGCCGTTTGAAAAGTTCGTGTCGATCGGTACCTGATCTCGACCCAACCATCCCTGCTGGTTTTGACCCTGGCAACCCCTCCTATCCTCCTACAGTATCTACACCCGCGACCTTGTGTTCCCCGGTCAGTCCGTTCCTGAGTCTGAGCAGGGATTGTGAATCCCGTGAGACCACAGCCTTGATCGCACAATGCGTGCCCCCGGTCCAATAGCCAAATCACATCCCTTGATATTCCTACGTTTCCCCCGAGCGACGTGGAGCGAAGAACGAGGGAAGAAGCAATTATGCGAAGGCCAGCCATAGGACAAGCGCCGATTGCGATCCTGACCGGTCTAGACTTCTTTCTTCGCCTCCTCCGAAATGACCATCCGCGCATCCCGGTCACCATCCAGACGGAGCCACCCCAATGGCTTGCGCCAGAGATCAGCCGAGATTCTCCCTCGATTCATCGGCCGCCAACTGCCGTCCGCCGTCTAGCCCTGTTTTTCATCTTACAGAGACGTAGTGCCGGGGCGCTGTTCCCTCCGCAAAGATGGCGTCAGCCTACTACTCGCCGATCTGATGGGTCTCCAAACGGGAAGGCGCAGAGCTCAAACCCTTCCCGGACAGGCAACAATATTGAAGGGGGCTTTTTTTTTCCTTTTTTCCCCTGTCATGAACGATTTTGACTCGCGCACACTAGCAAGAAAACCGACGGCAGCGCACAGGATGATTGGTGTTGAGGCCGAATCAGTGACGCCCGTCAGCGACGGTTGATTCACGACCCTGGACCGTCCAACCTGTCCAACATGCCTGAATGGTCGCACTTACTAGGCGATTTGTCAGATTGGTGATTGTTTCATTGTCAACCAGACACTGCATCCCCATTTCCGCCGGGGAGGGGCGCGGCCCGAACGCGCCGAGCATGCCCCCGAGTCATTGACTTGGACCGATTTTACATTCGTACCCCTCGTGGTTCTGTCGAACGAGCGGGGTGGGTTGCACCTGTCACCGGTTGATATCGCGATAATAACTCTGAGCATGAAAAAATTGAGTCCTAGGTTTTATGTCACCGCGAGGATTTGGCAGCTGGTCTGGTGGATGCATGGCAGGCCGCATCTCAATCATGGAACTGAGCCTGCGCGATATGCGCGCTCTTACCCTAGTACTCCGTATAGAATCATCCCAACCTCCTCGAGTCGTTCAGTATTGTATCCTGAGAATCCCTGTCTGGGTAAGCACCTAAGCCCAGGCTTGTTGGGCCAGGGGCTGCTATGCTTGGAAACCCCCGCCTCCTCCTCCTTCTCCTCCTCCTCCTCCTCTTCTTCTTATCATTCTCCTTTTTCCTCTTCCTCGTGCCCGCCTCCTGTTTAACTTTTGGCATCGGTTCCCTGGGTGGCCTGGGAAGATCCGTGCAGAACGAAGATCAGACCGCTGTTGACATTCTTGTTTACTGAAGGTTTCCGGCCCGTCGAGGACCGCAGTGGGTCTCGCGCAGGGTGGAAGTGGAGCCCAAAACGAGGGCTGTGAGTTAGCGCCAAAGCAGCACGATTGCATCATTGGGGAGGTTTCCCCCTCCTCGCCAAGAGGCCTCTTCCTCCCTGTGATAGGGCCATCCGCGGCGAGCTTGTTCGGCCCTTGTATCAACACGGTATCGTCCGCAGGCGAATGGCCGCGGCGGATTCGCCCAGTTGGGAGGATCCATGCTACTCCTCATTTGCCTATTTGCCGTATCATCTTTCATGGATGTCTAATGCGTTCGGATCCTTGATCAACCCAGCCAACCAGACGCCAGAAACCCGCCAATTCTCAAATTTACGGCAAACCTATGAGGGAGATCGGCACGTCCTTCAGAGATCCATAATGACCCAATTCGGTAACAGTCCCTTTAGCCCTAGGCCTGTCGTCCGGTCCATGGTCGCTGGCCTACACCGTCTGGCTGATGGGCGAGGCGGAGCGTCCAATCTAGGGATGTGCTCCTCCCCCCTTTCGCCCCCAACCTCCCTGATTCTGCGCTGATGGGGTTCCGAGGAGGGGGGCATATCCGGCCCATCCAGTCAGGCGCGAGATCATGGCTTCGGTCTTCCTATTCGCAACCTTCTATACCTACTATTCCTCACTACGACGACCGCGGCGGTGCTCCGTGCCCCAGGGGACATCACATGGGCCTGGTCAGAATGTCGATGTCATGTTCTCTTTGGTCGCTTTGGTACTCTGACCGTTGAGACCCTCGCCCTAAAAGGGACGCAATGAAACAATAGTCGGATAAGGCGATAGTCATGCCCATGCGTCCCAGCACCGCCGCATTGCGCCCTTCCGATCTCCAGCGTACGGACCATGCCCGGTCCACTTGATCGACCCGGTCGACACAGCGGATGTCATGCGGGCTTTAGGTTCAGCGGTTTATCGATCCGCTATCTGGCCCCCAGCAAATCATCCCGGATCGTGGCTCTTCTGGCTCTTCGAGCGAACTTGGCCTCGTCCCCACGGATGATCTGCTTGGCCTCGATAGCCGTGGGCGCAAATGGGTGGAAAGCAGGACGCCCGACAACGGCCAGTCATGCTGAAGGATCCGACAGCCGGCGCGGATCCGAGCCATGGTAGGAGGACTGAATGGCTCAACGAAAGAGAACAATACGCCGAACCACGGACACGCCGATGGGAGGTGGAGAGGCCCCGTCGCCCGCGCCCGGAGGGATCGTAATCGGCGGTCTCCATGAGGTACTGTAAGGACTATGATTTAGTGACATAGTTACATTCCGAAGGTGAATACTGTAGATTGGGTACCCAATTGCCTTGGTCGTACAGTCTTTGCTCCCAGCTCGTATATCCCCCACGTCCAGAAATCGGTGCATTCGGGGGACCGGTCGTCCGGGCCATGAGCCAGAGGAAAAACAAAATATCCCTCACCATGGCCATCACCTCGAGCTGCCGCATAGAGTATCAACCACAGGACCAGCTTAAGGCCCCGACTTCCCGCGTTGGCCCTCGGAAAGGGCTCTTTCCATACGATACGCCGTCCTGGTAATACACAAACCAGCTGCGAAAAGGGCCAGACGAGATGCAACCCCGACAATATAATCGCACGCGGGACCAACCAGACGCCGTTCCACCCTCGACTAACAGGGGTATTTTTCTGATTTTTTCCCCTCTCATAGCGCCGAAAACCTGAGCACTAAATGATTATTTTCTTTTTATTTTCTTTTTGATTTCTTCTGGTTCGGATGGCTTTTTCGAGAGGACCGGCCAATCACCGGAGGCCATCCGCTGGTTTCCTGTCGGGGCAGAAGGTTATCATGGATTTCTCCGGACTTGTGCCCTTCTCGTGCCAGTTGCAATCGAGATTCAACTCGTTTCTATTAACCCACGCGATTTGGATCGCCGTGCGGTCTCGGTGGCCCTGGTTTTCCTTTTAACTCTGTCCTTTGCCGTACCCGCATACCGCGCGCTCCCTCGACTCTTTATCACCGGGGTTCATGCATATTTGTATACTTACCCACCACCACCACATTTTGCATTCGCGGTCCCTCTCTGACTATCGTCAGTGATCCCCGCTAGCACCACTATCTCCAGCACCCCATTTCTTATTCTTCGTGGAACATTCATCCTCCGCAGGACCGTCGTCTGTGCTTCTATACGGCTCGCGGTAGACCGTGTGTGCATGCGTGTGTGGCGGAACATGCATCATCTTTCATTGTCTCACCTCTAGAAAACTGTCGCATTGTTCCACCCTCGGACGCTTCCATTATTTCCTTTGATTCATCACTCGCTCTGACTCGTGCGGGGGCCTATCAGCATTCGCGCTGACTCGGCGTCAACGTACGGAATCGCCGTGATTGTCGCCGTCCATGGACTCCTCCTCATCCGCCATGGAAACAGAATCCCATGGGGTACCAGACAGCGAGTTTGCGCATTCTCCCTGGGTCGAGCTGGGCACCTTCACCTCCCCGCAGCACTCACCGCCGATCCCAGAATATAGCGGGTTTGACTACCACCAGTCGCCGCTAATGGTGGATGCGACCTACGGCATGTCAATACCGCCTCCCTACGCCCCGATGCCGCTCCCGATGCCGTCGCATTCCTGGCCCAGCATGCTCACCCATCATCAATCACCTTTCCACGAATCCGGCCTGCCCCCGGCCCCAGTCCCCACCTCTGTCTCCCCCTCTGCGCCTGCGCCTCCGGTTCGAAAGACATCTACTGGAGGGCCGACGCCGCGCAGGACGCTTACCGACGAAGATCGACGGCAGATGTGTCTATACCATGAAGAGAACAAGCAGGCCAAACAAACTGATATTGGAGGTAAGATTGGAAATATTGCGAGTGGGTCTTCCAACTGAACTATATACTGACTGGTGTACGGGACAGCACTATTTGGAGTGGAAAGAAGGTAATTTGCTCCGTTGATTATTAACCTTTTGAATGAGAGTAAACCCTAATGTTCAATGACAGCACTGTTTCCAAAGTCCTGCGCCAGAAAGAGAAATATCTGAACCCCGATGATGGAAGTCGGTCTCCCATCAAGCGGGCCAAGGGCCGAGTCCCAGATGTGGAGAAGGCGCTATCGAATTGGGCCAGAAAGAATCAACGCGAGGGCTTCCCAATAAGTGACGAAATGATCAAGCAGAGAGCCTTCGTTTTCGCAAGCACCTGCGTGTGCCCCGAGGGCAATGAGAAGGTGCTGACCTCGAGCTGGCTGGAGAAATTCAAGCAAAAGAACAGCAGCCTGTTGGGCGCAAAGCCGCGAAAGGGCTCTTCGGACCGGAACGGCGAGCGCAGCGAGTCGGACAGCCCGACTCGCACCAACACCGATTCTGCAAACGAGTCGATTATGCACAGCCCTAGCGGACGTTCGCCGGTGTCTCCGGCGAATGGATTTGGCTCACCCCGATCTCCTGCGCGCAGCCAAGAGGGTGTGAAGAGAGAGCCGGTCGATGAACTTCCCGAGCTGACAGGCGGGTACCAACACGGTCATTCGAAAAGCACCACCTCCCTGGATACGTCATCCTCCGTAGGAATGACCAGCCCTACATCCACGCTTGTCTCTGACAGCCCCTTCACCCCGACAAGTCAACAACGACTCCCAACTTCTGGCGTCAACACCAACCGTCCCCGCAGCCAGACCTTCCCCCTTGTCCCGATTGACCCCAGTCTCCTGTCCGCCGACGAGTCGCAGTGCACCAAGCAAGAGCAGCAAGAGCAGCAAGAGCATCAATACGGCGTGACCATCCTGCAATCACCTCTAGAAATGGGTGAAGACGAATCCCGTGTTGCGATCAAGGGGACTGACCCCTCAAAAATGATCAAGCGCAACCGCAGCAACCCGGAGATCAAGACCAAGTCTATGCAGCCGCCACCGGCAGTCTCCAAGTCTAGCACCATTTCACCTATCAGCGCCCCTAGCTCTCCGACACAGGATGAGGCAAGACGTGCGCTAGAGCTCGTCATGAACTATTTCCAGCATCAGCCTGCCGGTCTTGCTGCTCAGGAGTACGTGACTATCGGCAAGCTGATGGAGCGTCTTGAGCTGGCGAAGAGCCAGCAGAGCACCCTGCTGGGCGGGCTGACCAGGATTGATGAACATGATGATGTTCCCCGCGTCAACAAGAAGCGCAGCATTCGTAACATCGGGTGAATGAAGGTTCATGGATGTCTGGGATGATCAAGTTTGTTTTCGTTTTCCACTCCACTCCACCCCTTTTCTCTCTGCTCATCTCTTGATTGCCCACTTCTCTCTCTCTCTCTCTCTCTCTCTCTCTCTCTCTCTCATGACCGCCATTCTGTTCTCACCTTCCCATTTTTGTGGTTCCCCCCTCTCAACATTCTACGCCATTTTGTTCGTTCTGGCGGGCTTCTCGATTTGCTTTCTGCTTTTGCATCCTGTATGAACTGAATCCTTTCTGTTCAATGTTCTTTGATACCAGCGCCGACTTTCGGCTTTCTCGGCGATATAACCCAAAAAACCAACAGGTACCTATCACACCATACACACAACAGAGGGCGACCTCGATCTTGCTTTGACATGGGGTTTGGAATTATGATTTCTCTTTTTGGCACTGGTATACCACGCATACAACCCTGGGCCGACAGACTGTGTCCACTGCTTCATGGGCTTCATGGATGGGACTCGGCCCCTGGAATTGGGTTTCTATTTGTGGAGTTGACTCGCGCGCTTGTTCGGTTTTTGGATATTTCTCTGCTTGTTTCTCCCATTATTTTCCTCACCAGCACCCTAGTTCGTTTGGCTTTCGCAACCGCCCCCTCCTATATTCATCCACACCAGTTGAACTTGGTTCTGATTTTCTGCCCCTCCATGTTTCATTTACCACCGTGTCGTTGCAGTGGAAATTCCTTTCTTTTTCTTTCTAATTCTTTCTCTCTCTTAATGCTCTTCTTCCTTATTATTTCTTTGCCCAATATTCCTTTCTCTCTTAAACTGGACCGCTCACGCGGAAAAGAACATTATTCGCTGGGATCCTTCAGATATACGAACTTCCAGCTGGACCGTCCTTGTCAGATTTTCCCCCTGCCTTTGGTTCTGTCTTCTGCTTACTAGTTTTTTCTTATTTTTACTTTTTATTTACTTTCCTTGCACTTGCCTCACGTACGGGATCAGGAATGAGTATTGAGGACTCTTCCTAGTGTCCACGCGAGACCCTGATACATTACTTAGTTACTAGTTACTTATACCCCAACCCCCGAATGTTCCAACCTGTTTGTTCTACGATGGACCTCACTTCCAATCCGGGTGAATTTTAGAGGAGTCACCCCCGTAGAATTAAGCATGTCTCATTAAAGTATGTAGGGATGGATATGCCGGAGACCGAAAGCTACACAATATGCTGCAAGAACAGCAACTCTACTGCTTAGAAGCCTCCGGGAACGGAGGCAACCCCGCGATCCTCCATTAGGTCTTCGATGCTGCGCTCAGTCATCTCAGGGAGGAGTCTGGCCAAGATGGTCTCAATGATAGAGTAGACCAGGTGCTTGTTACAGTACTCGTCAGCGAGGAGATCCAATAGATCGGTCTCGATGGCCTCCAGGAAGTACAACTCCTCCGGGTCAACATCGGACTCGTCGTCCTGCTCGTCTGTACCCTGGGCAGCGGGAGCATTGCCAGTTCCGTTGATTGGCCCTGGAAGGGTAGAAGCGGAGGACGACAGTGCTGACGTCTGCGACGGCTTTACAGTTCCCTTGCCCTGTAATGAAGATCGTTGGCGGCCCCCACCACCCTCATCGACTGATGAGGGTGGGGACGGGAAGCTGATGGTGGAGGAGGGTGAGTTCCCAGTGGCGGCGCTGCAGGTACGATCACTGCTGGCTGGCGGCGGAACGCCAAAGAGGGTTCGTGCGACAGTGCGCGGGATCACAGCCAGAAGACTAGCTGCACATCGCCGCTTAATAGCGGCGATCTCCGAACTAGATAGGCCATTTGTTTGTTCTGGCCCGGTTGACACATCCGCGGAGACGTGTTGGACGTGTTGGACGTGTTGTACGTTATCGATAGCCGGTGTCGTTACAAGTGTTGGCGATGACGACGATAATAATGGGGTAGGCAGATGATCACCGCCACTACCAACTCCAACCCCAACACTGCTGCTGTCGCTATGGCCGGTATAATCTTTACCAACTGTGTCGCTCGCATCCACTCCAGCGGCCCAGACACCTTCCGAAAAAGGCGTTGAAGTGGAAATCGCACTGACGGCGAGGGGGAATTTCCCGCCGGGCGTCGGGGTCTGAACGGACAACTGCGGAGCCGGAGCCCGAGCTGTTCCAGTATTCACAGCCGGTGCAAGGGCAGCTGAGCGGGTATTGGTCGGGAAGAGGGCAGACCGTGTTGCGAGAAGAAGGTTGGGCAACAAAGTGGGGGGGAGGACGTACTCCTCGATGGTTTCTTGGAGGAATCTGTGGAGTCAGCAACGATCGCTTCAAAATCATGACATCGGGAGAGCCGAGAAAATGACGAGCAAAAAAAGCATAACCACCAAACGGACAAAGAAAAAAAAAAGGGTGAAATCCAAGAAAAATCAAAGTATCCTCGACAGTGGAGCCATTGGCGGCACGTTATTCCTGCCTTCGTACGGGTTCAGACGAGTCCCACTGTTGGAGACAAGAACTCAGGATCAACCCGCACTGCGCTAGGCACTAGGGCCGCTGCAAGGGAGCGAAGCGGGGAGGGAGGCGGAGCACAATCGGCTTCGGCGTGGGTTGTGAGGAGAAGCTTGGGCCAGTTATTGGTGCAACAGGGATGTCACTTCCCCAAAAGCCACAGCCCGAAAGAACCTTGAGAGACCGAGCAGCGAGTGACCAGTGAATCCCGGGAAAATGGCGAGGCGGGCTTGTCTCCTGCGCCGTCCTGGTCTTCGTCCTCATTCTGCCTACCCTCTCTTGCAATGCCCCGGTCCCAGCGGGTAACATCCCAGCAGCGTACCTGGCGCACAGAAAAGCGGGCTTCATGCGCCAACCTCGGCCGGGGTGCCAATTCGAAATCTCACTACCAGGAATTTCGCTGATTGGATCCTGAGTGGGAAAATCACTAGCCTCAGCGGATGAAGCAAATGCTACTGCCGCTGCTGCTCCTCAACTTGATGCGCGTCCCCAAAGCAGTAAAGTTATCCATCTGGCCACAGATGCCCGTCGATGAAGGGGATCGGCAGGCGATTCCTGCTCGTGCGCGCGATTCGCCCCTCTTTTCGTCGCGGTGGAGTTTGTGGAGTTTGAACTGGTTCGGCAGCCCATTAACTTTTTTCAGTTGCTATCTCCCTGTTGTTTTCACTGCTTGTTTGTTTTTGCTCTTTGGGGCGGCGAGTCTGAGCCACGGTGAACAGCGGCGGTCAATAGATGGGCAGCTGAGCGACAGACCCTTCGCAGCGTTGAGATCCGCACAGGAGCGGCACGGAAAGGGCCGGGCCCCGCCGCTATCGCCAGAAAAAATGGGACGGAGAAAAGAGCAGGGGTGGCCTTGCCTGCTCTTTTCCCAGCTCGTCGCCCCTACGATGTCCATTGCTCGCTTGGACCAAGTCAGGGCAGCCAATCTCGCGCCAGCATCGCCCAACCGTAACGCCAGCCCGTAATGACCGTACCATCGGTCAGCTAACGCCGTACGGTAACCGTATCGCCCATATTTCCCGTATTGCTCCCCGCTGACGCTAACGCTGTCAAGACCGTTGCCAGCTGCGGGATCAAGTGATCGATGCGGCATGCGAGCAAGGCGCTTCGCCCTCACACCATGGCTTGCACAAGTGACACTTGACCCTCGTAGATCGCAGTTCGGGAATCGCACCGTTGCTCCACTGTCGAGAGTTTGCGCGAGGGGGGCCCGAGCCCTGAGAGGCGTACACGAGGAAAAGAAGGGGAGAAATACTCCGACATGAGACAATCCACAACCAGAAACCATAAGAAACATAAACTCACCTGTCAAGGACCCCCTCTGCGTCGCCGAGCCTGCCTGGTCCTGCCAGAATCAGGTGTTTAACGAGGGCAAGCAGCCCGGAAAGCCACGGCATTCGTTGCGAAATGCCCAGTAGTTGCGACATCATCGAGCACACCCGGTAGTCGAGAACCGGGCGCTTACCTGTGACTCCGCCTGACGACGATGAATCCAGGCCCTCCCTCTTGGGAAGGGCTGGCGTTGCAGCATGAAATGACACACCGGCTCCGTGCGAGTATCCCTGTCCTGGATTCGATGCGACCCGGAACAGACCCGTCCCGATGAAACGCAAGGCAACGTAACCAAGATAGATACTCTGGAGAACAGTCCATATCCAGATGGTGGCACGCGATTGGGTGGCTGGCGGGGATTTGGCCGAATTGTCTTCGTGTGGGAGCAGACCAAATCTCGCTAGTCGACTTGCGGCCACATCATTGACGGGGCCTGTATGCCCCGAAGTTTTCTGGCTCACTATCGCCGTGACTTTCGTAATAGCCTCCCAGAAGAACCATCCTTCGCAGACCCGGCCGGCAACTTCTTTGCCCAAGATCAAATCCGATAGGATGTCGCTCACTAGCATGCGTAGGCTGCTGTTTTCCAGATCCTCCGTCGGCAGAAGAACAGCGAGAGTCCCACTGGCAAGTAATCTCCGATATACGGCTTCGTTTTCAGCTTGCGCGCTGATCGTATCAGGATCGGTAGGGTCTGGGACGGGTGATAGGGCAGGATGGGGGTTCAATTCGTGGTAAAGCGCACGATGCGACGTTGGAAGTCCTGATAGGTGTGACTGTTGCTTAGCCAGTCTGTAGGCTAGACGGGATGATCATTCAAGGGTCAGCAAATCCTTTGTCTTCTCATTTCCCCTTGCCAGGATTGCCGTCTCAGGAAACAGATATCCAAGAGAAATCGGGTCTTACAGAGTATATGCGCTTCCAGCAGGGCGGGAATCTCATCCAGGGCCAACTGTGCAACATCTACCCGTCGCATTCGCTGTTCCAGAGCGCGTGTGCAATGTGCAACGACTTGAAGGACTTCATTAACAAGGGCCTGGTCCGACGTGATCTTCGAGTACCACGAGTAGACGAAGTCTTTGATAATTATAGCAAGAAGGGCATAAAGCTGACGATCAACGGCATTAGAGCTCGTGAGGGGGGTAACAGCTCTTCCGGCGGCACTGGAGATGCTGCGCCGTGACCGCTGGTTTGGGGGCAGAGGACGCGTCGGATCAAAGCAACAGTAGCCTTGTCGCTTGTAGAGTCAACCGGATCTTCTCGGATAGATTGTCGCGGCATGCGCAGTCTAGAGGACGGTCGTGTCAAGGCCGGCTGAACTGAGAAAGGTTGCGCGGTGGACCGAGAGCTTGAGATGGTTGGTCCAGCCTTGAGATGGGAAACCGGCTGCAAACCGGGGCGTAGAGAGTCATTCATGGCATCTCAAGGGAACAGAGCCTTTCTGAGTCTAGTTGAAAGGATATCGCAGAGTATAAGGGCCTCACCCTTTCTGGATGGACGCAGCGCGCAACTGTTGCGGTGACGGCGGTGTTGATGATCTGGAGCTTCCCAATTAGGAATATAGGGCTTAGGGCTGCGATAACAGGCTTATCGCGATGCGGGGGGCAGGGAAACGTGGTTCTGTTGTCCGGCCGTCCTACTCCATCAACACACTCCCCTGGGCGATTGAACATGTTATCCCGTATTGATAGCGCGGAGCGCATACCACTTTGGTTGGATTGTGATCCAGGTTAGTTTTGCCCCGTCTTGCCCTAGATCTACCTGCGCTAACTCCTATTGTCAGGACACGATGTATGCCATTCCCGTCTATAACAATCGAAGACCGAGCCATATTAATTCTCCTGCTTAGGACGCATTTGCAATCTTGATCGCTGCTCATCACCCTTCTCTGAACCTCCTTGGAATAACAACCATCCATGGCAATGCCTCTCTGGAGGACACGACCTACAATGCTAGAAGTATCTTAGAAGCCATCGGAAGGCCCGAGGTCCCTGTCTACCCTGGAAGCCGGAAACCATTCTCACGTCCTCCATTACACGCTCCGGATATCCATGGTAAGTTAAAACATCATTTGTTGTTATAGGGACATGATCATGATAACATTTAAATCGACTTAATAGGTGAATCTGGCCTTGACGGCACCGATCTCCTGCCTAAACCTTCCATCCCTCCGGTTACAAACGAGAATCCGATCCTGGCTATGCGAAATGCGCTCTTGGCCCAGCCAAAGGGTACCGCATGGGTAGTTGCAACGGGGACACTGACTAATATTGCCCTACTATTCGCAACATTTCCAGAGGTTGCAGGGCATATCCAGGGGTTGAGCATCATGGGAGGCGCTATTGGTGGAGGCTTCACAGATGCTCCCATGAGCAGGTTGCCTGGAGAAGAGTCCCGTATCGGAAACATCACTCCTTGGGCCGAGTTCAATCTTTACGTACGTGATGTGTTTTCTTTGCGTTATCATTGGCCCGATAAGGCTCCAGCTCACGAAGGGTCATGATACACATAGTGTGATCCCGAGTCCTCCGAGGCCATCTTCAGCAACCCAGTTCTTGCCCCGAAGACCACGATTGTCGCGTTGGACCTAACCCACCAGGTTCTCGCATCTCAAGATGTGCAAACCCGCATTTTGCATGGCGGGAGCGACGCATCGAAGCCGCCGACTGTCATTCGCCAGATTTTGCATGCCCTGCTGACTTTCTTTGCGGCGACATACGAGAAAGTGTTTGGCTTGACGACTGGTCCCCCTCTACATGATCCACTTGCAGTAGCGGTTCTCCTGTCGACACTGAACCCATCTTTTGCTTCGAAGCACCCTGATCAGGCCCTCAAATTTGACGATAAGGATGGAGAACGATTTGCCCTCAGCATTGTGACCGACGGTTGTCATGGCAAGGATGTTTCAATAACCGGTCAACTGGGACGCTCGCTTGCTACTCCTGTTGATGGCCCAGGTGTAGCTGTTCCGAGAGGTGTTGATCTCGAGGCATTCTGGACCATCATTTTGGACTGTGTGCAGCTGGCTGACGACTGTAATGCGACTCGCTCATGATGTATACTTTCTTAGAGATAGATTTATTACATTGACTTTATTACCTGGTAGATTGAGTGGTCATTCCGTGCGACTGTGAATTGTGGCGTGAACTAATGCCTTGATTTTCCCTGGCGTTAGCCATATTAAACTTGCTTCGCTCTTCCCACGCCAGTGGCGCAAAGGCCTGGAGTGGCAGTGAAGAATAGAGTATGAAGAGGCAGGCAGTTGGCCACTCGAGGTAGTCTACGGCAATTCTCATTAGCATTGCTTCTTAACTAACTCCGAGGCCAGATATAGCCTCAACGAGCCTTCGTAGAACATCATCCTGACCGAGTAGACCCCATCATCAGGGTCAGCTCCTCCAATGGCTACCGACCCAAAGAGGTATATGAAAGATCAGGTCGTCACCTAGCACGAACGGGTCCTGAGAAATGTGGGTAGAAACACCCGATATGTGAAGAACTTGATAACCTCCTGTTGGAAAGAGATTATTTTGTTCACTCATCTAATTTGGTAGTATCTCTCACATGTCCGCGAGGCCACTCCCTGGCAAGCTAGTTGCCTACACCAGGGCCATGTACCTACTCCTTCTCCTGGAGCATCTCCGGGGCCGATAAATGCGGTGATTTTCTCGCTTGTGGATACTACACGGTATGTGGATATGATTATATGGTAAAGAGAGAGCCGCTTGGTCGTGGGTCGACCACCGGTTTCCCGCGTGAGACTTGATATAATTTTCTGGAATGGCAGCCCTCTAGATAAATTTATATGAAATATATTTTTTAAGGGGCCCATTCATTATTATTTTGTAGACAATTGTATGAATATCTAAAAACCGTTGATTAGAAATACGGACTTCGTTCACCGTGGTATTGAGCTTGTTTCGCAATGACAACAGTTCCAAAAAGTATTCTCCAGATTTATGAAGCCTGCTTGTAAGAACCTATCGTGTGGGTGTTCAAAGACCGGAGTAAAGTAGATGTCGAGCGGAAAAAAAGAAAAAAAAAAGTAAGCAATGTTCCCTCGAACCGGAATCGAGCCGGTGACCTTTCGGTTATATGATAATCCATTACAGCCGAACGTGATATCCAACTACACCATCGAGGGTTTGATTGCGAAAGATTCGCTAAAACTGGCTTGATAAATGTGCTTGAATAACTTCCTTCCTGCGATATGTACAACTCACAGCTGCAAGGCTTTTTCGATCAGGGACTGCGATAACTTCAAGGCTTCTTCTCTGTGGAGCAAATTTGACACGGCTTTCTGATATCGGTAAGCCATTTTTTCTTTCTTTTTGTTTTTCTTCAAAAGCAACAAGGTCAAAGTTCCAGGTATGAATCTTTGACAAACACCTGATGATGCAAGGGGGCTCTGCACCTGATCATCAAAGTGTCGCCAAAGGTGGTACATGGCCGCGTATTTAAGTATTATTTGGGCGCCAAATTTTCACCCATAACATGAAGTACGACAACATTTTGAGAAAGCAAAATAGCGAAGTCTGAACAAGTCATGAAGCTGGTGTGGGGAAAAGAACGGGTCAAAAAAAAAAAAAGAAGCAATGTTCCTTCGAACCGGAATCGAGCCGGTGACCTTTCGGTTATATGATAATCCATTACAGCCGAACGTGATATCCAACTACACCATCGAAGGTTTGATTGCGAAGAATGAGACCGTCATTGCCTCATATGTTACCAGGTCATATCATCTTCAGCCCGCAAATACAAATGAAGTCTACGCTCTTTCGACCCTACTCCTGCAGCTGCTCACGGCGGCACTGGGGCTGATTCAGAAGGTGCGTAGGGAACCGATCGCTTCCCGGTGCGCTAACAGTACTGGTATCTTTTTACGAAGTAAAATATCTACGTTAAACGAGCAGGGGTTTCAATTTCGGGCCAAAGGGTTTGTTCGCATTATATGTTTTTCTTTCGCAGCCAGCATTTAATAAATATACAACGCTATGTACAGTCCCAACACAGCACAATGTTTCGGACTTTTACCACTCCCAATAGAGCCATCGGATCCAAAGAAGTTCTTGGGTTGCCAGGACTCAGTAGTTGAGCCACACGGCGCACCGCCTCCTCGTCCACTTCAATACCCAAGCCAGGGGTGTTCAAAGCGTCAAGAACTCCATCCTCCACATCGAACGCTTTGGAGTTCTTGACGTAACTGGCGAAATCAGACTCACCGGCATCGGTACTGTAGTGAATACCGATATTCATATCCTGGATAACGAAATTGGGGGTGGCCCGATCAACCCGCAAACAAGCAGCTAATGCAATAGGACCCAGAGGGCAATGGGGGGCAATAGCAACATCATAAGTCTCAGCCATGGAAGCGATACGGCGGAGCTCAGAAATACCGCCACAGTGGCTGATATCGGGCCGGAGAACATCAACGCACCAGTGGTATCTTCCAGGAAGCGCTCCACATCCCAACGGCTAAAGAGACGCTCGCCCAGAGCAATCGGGCAAGAAACCTGATCAGAGAGCTGTCTAATACCCTCGGGGTGCTCAGACAGAAGGGGCTCCCCCAGGAAGAGAGGCTTATGTGCTCGAAGGCTTTGGCCAACTGCTTAACCATGGGCTTGTGAAGACGGCCGTGAAAATCAAGGGCAGCGTCCATGCCAAGGGCCTTGACGGCCTTCAGGTGCTCAATACTCGACTCCAGGAGACGTGGAGAATCAAGCCAGCTGATGTCCTCCGTGGCATTTGAATTCCTGCTCCTGATGACCCTTGGTTTGATTGGCGACTTCTCCCGGTCTGTCGCCGCCAATCCATGCGTAGACACAGAGCTTGTTGCGGACCTTGCCGCCCAGAAGCTGGTGTATGGGGACGCCAATGCGGTTGCCTTTCAGATCCCAGGGGGCAATATCAATGCCAATGCCGGAGATGGCGGACATGAAGACGGGGCCGCCACGATAGAACGCAAGGCGCCCGGATATCTGCCAGATGTGTTCGATGTTACTGGAAGTAGAAGGATGAGCTCAACTCTAGGATGGAGAGCATATCTCTCCATGTAATTCATTGCATGCGTGTACCCACTCTGCCTCGTAGCCCTCAAAGCGCTCGCACAGAGTATTGAGAGTTCCCTCCACGGCCTCAGTATGGCCCTCCAGGGTGCTTCCACCCCAGCCAAACTGGCCCTCTTCATCGGTGACCCTTGACGAACAGCCATCGAGGCAGGACCCTAAAATACTCAATGCTCTTGATCTCCACCATATTGCCGTGCTTCTTCGAAGATTCTCCACCGGGTAGATCTGCCAGGGTGTGCCTGGAGGGGCAATTGGGAGGCAAACTTCACATTTGAAGCAAGATGAGAGGCTCGACAGACTCAAGCCAAGCTAAGAATCGCAGTTGCTTCGTCAGAAATGGAGATGGGCAGGCGGATTGCCGAATGATTACGAGACGACCCAGGGACTCAGGGATCATCAGCCGAGACATGCTGTCACCGCTCCAAAGGGGCTCGGGGTAGACTCCGGGGGCCCTGGAGCTCGGTCGGGATTCGCCGTGGCATTCACAAGCCGCATCAAGCAGCTCGAGCGGTCGGGCTCAGTGTGTTGTGGATAGCCCGGCGAACGGAAACTGGGGGTTTCCTGCGGGAAAGAACAGATGGCTGCATCTTACGTAGAGAGCTGCGGGAGCACAGTGGATGCGTTTGATGCATGCTTTGTTGACATTCACATGAACAAAGAACTATGTAGCTAGTTAGAAATCTAGATCATCACCCAGTTTCATGCTTCACGTGTCGGCGGAAGGGAACCAACGGACGTCATGTTGTGCGCCGCTTCTCCACATTTTTGGTGGATAAGGCCGCCGACCCAAACTCCGTGGCTTTGGCCTTGTGCGACCTATTACTTCTCCCTGGATCCTCCCTCCTATCCTACGCGCCATCCAAGCACCAGCTACTGCTGGATTCCTAGTGTGTCCGTGACATACTCGCCGGCTGATCCACCCACAGACTCCCTTACGGCGGACTCTCGGCCCAGCGTCCCTCCGAGGAGATGCCGCCTCCCAACTCGGCATCAGTACGTCTCGGCCTTCTCCCCCTTGGCCTCTTCACTTTTCACTCCGATCCGGTCTTTGAACCGCAGGCTAATATCTGAACTCTCTAGCACGGCACCCCGGCTTTATCACCCACCACACCCGCGCCCGAGCCGTTGTCGCAGCGATCGTCGATCCCCGACTCCCCGGTCCCTGTGGAGAGCGATAACGCCCATGACGAGAATGTGAACTTTCTTCGATCCCGCTCCTTACTGTACAACCCGCTCCTGCCGTCACTCAGCCGACATCGACGTCGGCGATACCAGACCTCACATCCCCGACAAATGGAAGACGAGGACCGGATGGACCTAGAGGACCCCAACAACCTGCGTCTATCAGTCGAAATCAACCGTCGCATCCCCATCGTTCGCCGCCAGCGCGATGAACCCAGGAATATGCCGAACTACGAGGGTCGCCGCTCAAATTCACGCTCGCTTTATGGATGGGCGCCCGGGTCAGATGACGAGGACGAGGACCCCCGTCGCGAAGAATCAGAGGATGATCAGATCCAACCCTTCCTCCATGCCGTTTCAGATCGCGACGCCGCATCAAGTCGGAATCGATATCGCCGACATGAGTTGGCTGCTTCCCCGCCCCCGATTGTAGCCGGAGATGGCCCGGCCGAGGCCTCGGGTCGATGGCTGAACACACCAATCCCGATGGAATTATTGCAGTCGACAAGGCGACAACCGAGATTAGCGAGAACTCGAACACTGGAAAACTTTCTCATGGACCGGTATACAAGTCGTTCCAATGACGAGTTTGAGGATACCGAGCAGACAGGGGGCTCGTCTTCGACAAGAGCGTACCGTTACCGCCCCTCCAGCAGGGGCGACTCCCATCGGGTTCTCACCCACGGCGACTTGCGCGCCCGGGCTGCTGCACATCGGCAACTGCATTCGACGACCTCCGGAGACTCGCTTTTGAAAGATACCATCAACTATCTCGATCGTCTTCGATACTCAAATTCCTTTGAGGAGAGCATCAGCTCTGCGGCTGCGACGGGCTTCATCTCATTAGAAAGTTTCTCGTGGAAGGACAGTGACTTTATTTTGGACACCAACACGATTGTGCCGCCAGCCACCTGCTCCTGGTTGCGACCTGGAGCGGTTTTCTCCGGCTGCCAACGGGCCGCAACGGCAGGGTGTTCTGTGTTGTCCCAGCGGGTACCAAGCCCCCAGGCCCCCAGCGACCCGGTGATTGTCAATGGGAGCGATGGCACTCGTATCAGCGTGTACACAACCACCGGACGACGGTATCTTGCCAACGCCCGAGATGAAAACTGGCCCGTCAAAGTGACCATCCACAACATCAACTACACGGAAATGACCTTGTCCGGTACAATGGAGGCTCATAACATCCCGGACAAGACTTCCCCTACCCACGATGCACACATTGTGACGTTCCTGGAGGGCGAAATAATCGACTTCAACAGGCACACGCTTGAGACAAAGAACTTCAAGGCGGATGCGGAGATCGATAGCACATACTGGCGAGAACTGCAGCCGTTCAAGGATCTGCCCGATCTCGAGATTGCCAAGAATCTCGTGAGCAGAAAGTGGATTACCGAGGAATTGGTCAAAGGGTGGATCCTGATGCGCTGGAAGGGTCAGTTCGCATCCAGTGTAGTCCATTCCGCCTGTTCTTTACTGACATGATCTTAGAGCGATGCTTCATTACCCCGACAGACTCGCGTCAAGGTCTGACCATTTCTGGATTCTACTACATTTCCCTCCGCCGTGAAGATGGCCATATTGAGGGGCTTTATTATGACCCCGGCAGCTCGCCTTACCAGCAGCTGTCTCTGCATCCGGAGACGGCGAAAATGGTCCGTCCGTCGTACAATTTCCGGTAAACGGGACCGAACTGGTACACCGGTAGGCCTCCTTTCGGACGCTCGTTTCTGCCTTCTGCTTTGGCGGCATCAATACTTCCTCTCGGGATATAATCAATTGTAACTTTGGAGGGGTTGCAAGGCTTGTGCCTTGCTTCGGCGTTTTGGGGGAACCTTTGGGACGACACTACACATGATCAATTCATCATTGGCCTTTGTTAAATTATTTTGCATAGCTGGGAGGAGTTGCATTTGTCTATTCAGTCTACTGATGCTGTATATATCATGGAAAGCACCCGCGTGGATTTGTTATTCCTGGTCAAGTTACCTTTTATCTATGGGAAAAACGCGTTATTTTCCACACCGCCAGCATCTCTTCCAGATACCAGTGAACAAACTCCTTGTCCCAGTCAGCCATCTTCCTACAATTGGGCTTGGCCTGCATTATCTGCTCGCTTGCAGTTGCCTGCAGGGCGGCATAACTCGGGCACCCAATCCACAACGTAATGAGAACCACTATCTCCCACCAACCCACCCTGCTAGCAATCTGGGGATGCGGGGAGACGATTGGAGATGGCGAAGGCGATGCTTTTTTTGTCGCGGGGGGTTCACTCCACCACAACCTTCACTACATGGTTATGCGAAGCCAACCCGTCAGTGTGGATCATCGCCAGGCATCGGCTGCGCGGCGATCCGTCCCCGCGTGTACCTGCCCGATCCCGCAAAGCTCGCATCTTCAGATCTTTGCAGACGTTACATGTGGCCCTGTCGATCACTCCGTTAATTCCTGGGCGCTGTGCGGTCTTGTCATGCATTGCAGGCCATCCCTGTTGGAGAGCGGTGATGGTGTATAGCCCGGCATGTTTATTTATAAGCATCGCGCTCCCCCGGATTTGAGACATCAAGCGAAATATTTTCCTTCGTTCGAGACTCCGTGATGCATCTACACCGTCTTTCGTTCTTGGCGGCCGCGGTCAGCTTGGCGGTTCAGCCTGCTGTTGCAGTGCCCCACTCCCCAAGGGCTCAGGAAGGTACTTGCACGAAGACCACGGTTGCCATCCTGTAAGCGTTGAGTGTTTGCTGGTTCAGCTGGAAGGCATTGAGCTAATGCTATGAAGGGGTGGTGGAATGGCAGGCATTGCTGCCGCAGTAAGTATTCCTTGCCGTTGACTCGATGCTTATTGGGAGTTGCGTCCTGACAACGTCCAGCAAGCATTAACGAACGCTTCGGTACATGACTTCGCTATCCTCGAATACCGCGATACCATTGGTGGCCGTGCCTGGCACAAGACTTTTGGCAAAGACAAGGATGGGAAGCCGTATACCATTGAGATGGGAGCTAACTGGGTAGGAGACTTCCACGATGTAAAAGTACATTGTTAATCCATGCGGAACAGGTTCAAGGCCTTGGAAACCCTGGAGGTCCCCAAAATCCCATTTGGAGTTTGGTATGTTCCTAAACCAAACCTCCTTCCATGTTTATGGGCCGTACATGAATCTAATGCAATTTACAGGCCCAGAAGTATCATCTAAAGACCCACTACTCCAACTATGACAATATCTCAACCTACAACGAGCATGGCTACAAGGATTATAGTCATCTATTGGATGAATACGATACTGCATATGATATTGCCAATGCAAAGGCTGGGGAGATCCTCATCAACAACCTGCAAGATCAAAATGCCCAGTCAGGTCTTGCTTTGGCTGGGTGGAACCCGAAGAAGCACGACATGGAGGCCCAGGCTGTCGATTGGTGGAAATGGGGTAGGTTCGCTTTGAAAAACGCGATTTGGCTTCCTTGGCTAACTAAAGCTTTTTCTAGATTTTGAGGACAACTACACCCCGCTTGAAAGCTCTCTTGTATATGGCTGCGCTGGCGATAACCTCACCGTGAACGGGTTCAGCGACCACGACAATTTTGTCATCGACTCGCGCGGCTTTAACACAATCATCAAGGGAATGGCTTCTGAGTTTATGAAGGAGAATGACCCGCGTCTACACCTCAACACCGAGATCACCGAGATTGAGTATGGCAAGGACGGAGTCACCATCCACAATAAGGACGGCAGCTGTGTCAGCACTGCGTATGCCATCTGTACATTTTCACTGGGCGTTTTGCAGAATGACGCGGTGAAATTTACCCCTGATCTGCCCGAGTGGAAGCAAACTGCTATTCAAAAATTCACGATGGGAACCTACACCAAGATCTTCATGCAGTTCAACGAGACCTTCTGGCCGACCAACACCCAGTATTTCCTCTACGCCGACCCGGCCATGCGCGGCTGGTATCCTGTCTTCCAGTCTCTTTCTATGCCCGAGTTTTTTCCAGACAGCAACATTCTCTTCGTGACCGTGACCAACGAGCTCGCGTGGCGCGTCGAGCGACAGTCTGACGAACAAACAATGCAGGAAATCATGGCCGTCCTCCGCAAGATGTTCCCAGATCAAGAGATCCACGAGCCAACCGCTTTTCTCTATCCGCGCTGGAGCACTGAGCCCTGGTCGTACGGTAGCTACTCGAACTGGCCGCCATCGACCACCCTCGAGATGCACGAGAACTTGCGTGCCAACACGGACCGTCTCTGGTTCGCTGGCGAGGCGACGAGCCCGACATACTTTGGCTTCCTCCACGGTGCTTGGTTCGAGGGCCGAGACGCTGGTCAGAACATTGCTGCTATCCTGCAGCGCCGCTGTGTCAATGCCAACTCGCACAAACTGCGCGAGTGTGGCCCGCGGAGACACTGGGAGACCTTGCATGGAACCTCGCCACTGGCTGATTATAGTGCTCTGACGGGATGGATGGTGGACAGTTTCCTTGATACAAATACCGATTAGACTGATAGATGGGGGTTAGGTATGGGATAGCAGGGAGAACCTGGCGCCATATACCTGCAACACTTGTTCGATTCCATCGGTAGGAATCACAAACAGTGAGGCTCTAATGTAGCAAGGGAATGAGAGCAAGATTAGCCGCAAACGATCAATTCCAGATCCAAAATGTGACCACACCTCTCTGCGGCTATCTTAGGCTAATCGATATTCTGTATGTTCGTCCAAACACCCGCTGTATCCCCTCGCAGCACCATCAACTACTCACATCCGCTCAAACACGACCATTGTGCCTCTCTCGTAAGACGTCGGATCTCTCGCGTACACGCGGACGCCGAAATCCTCCCACACCTCCCGGAGGCGGCATAGGAGGGTCCGGAAGACCGCGGTCCTTTCGTTGCTGGAATCCAATAAGGGGGCATAGTTTCGGTACGTCGGCAGGAAGCCATTATCGTAGAATCCGAGGTGGCTCGTCACCTCACGCAGGGGCTCCTTTAGCTTCGGCTGCACTTGGTGAGGCAGCAACTCCCATGACATCGTTGTCACCCAGCTCCAGAGGTACACCCACGGATACAGGCAGGACGGGTATGTCCACATGCACTCGAGACTGATGGACTTAAACGAGCCTCGCTGGAACAGGTACTTGTAGATGTGAAAGCGAGACCACGGCTCCTGGCGCTCAAACAGGGTGGACGCGACGACCATATCCCCGGGCTTAGGGGTGCCGCTTAGGCCCTTGTCGTCTTCTAGCATCCCAAGCGTGATATGCTGGACATTGGGTAGGCTGGAGATCAGTTCGATGGGGGATTCGAACTGATTGGAGGGGGTGCCGTCAGGGGCGCTGCTTCCTGATGGGTCGCGGCCCAGGAAAAGCGCCTGCACCTTGTCGCGCACAGATTGCGGAATGTCGGCAATTGTGCGGGCGCTCCAGCGGTTTAGGCGCCACTGGTTGTTGTTGATGTAGTGCTTTGCCTCATGGTGAATCTGCGAGCAGACTCGCAGGAGCGCGGGGGTGATGATGCCGTGGAGACCTTCGGCTGCCAGGAGGTCGGAGGCTGCCGGCTCGTAATTCTTTTTGCGCAAAAACCCGGGGATGTCACGTCGGTAGGTGTCCATCCAGAGGCCGTGAGGAGTCGACAGTGCATGCCTGTAGACCATCCACCGTAGCTCCAGGGGAAGTGACAAGAAGGGAAAGATGTCGGGTTGGGACTGCCGGATAGAGTCCGACATGATACCGAGTCGACCCACGTTCTAGGGACGTGGAAATGACAGATGATAAGACCGAGCGGTTGGAAAATATACCAGACAGACAATAAGTGAAGGATCTGCACCACGAGGAAATACAGAAACAAGCGTATAAGAGGTGCGCACCAAGCGGTGAGAATGGGATCGAAGCGAGTGGGAATGCATGAAAAAGCCAAAACAAAATAAACACAAGACTTAGGACAAGAGCACCCGAAGTGGCTCAATATAAGAAAGAACAAACGCAAGAGGGGGTGACAAGAAAGCTTAGTGGAGAGGAGAAAGATCGTCTGATTGGTGTGACGAAACGAGGGTCTGTTGCCCTGACGGCACTTCAGAGGGCTCTGACAAGCCCTCTGACAAGCCCTCTGATGAGACCGTTGGTTCTTGTCTCAACTCGGCGATTTCACACTCCGCGTCGAAGCGGGCCCTACAATAGGGCGTCAGTGCTTGTACATGCTCACAGTTGAGAATCAACGAGATTTTGATCAGAAAAACTGAATTAAAGATTTGAAGAAGGGCGTTTGATCAAGCAGACGACCGGGAGACAGGTGAGGATTGGCAGGGCCAGGAGGTGGTTAGTTTCGCTGAAGACGGCTGGGGGCAGTACGAAGGAAATCACGTCTACACTGGTCCAGGTTGGGCCTGTTCCTGGAGGCAGTCAGGGCTAGGGCTGCCTGGTCTCGATCCGGGCAACAGTGAACCGAGGAGGTCAGCTCATCAGACTTGTTCATTGGGCACATGGAAGGAGATTGTCTCCACACCCCGTCTGTGCATTGGCGCGTAGCATCCATGTGGAGCTTGGCATGTTAATCCCCACAACACGTCAAAACATGCCCCGACGGATGCACAAGATCGTCACGGAAGATCGGCACAACTATACTGGTCTGTCGAGTATCAGGGCACGAAATAGAGGCCATACACCCTGAACGCTAACCTCTTGCTGCCTGCTCCGAAGCTCCATGGCATTCATAATGACAATAAGCCTCCAATGCTCGCCATTGGGGTGACAATGATGCATCGGATACAACGTCGGATGCAATGAGACCCGAGTCGAACCATGAAGGTCGTGGTAATTGTCGGCGAATAAGCCACTGTCCGTGGCGCCACCAAAGTCAAAGCGATCGGCTTGATCCGACCCGATGGCAGGACTCATCTTATCTGATCAGCCTCCCCTTCCCCATATATCCCCCGGATCACCCAGTTATCTCATGCTCATCTTGACAGTCAGCTTCATCGCGAGTGGAAATACAATGAGCTCGGATCCTGCACCAACAGTGGACACCATCACATCCGTGGGTCCCACGGATGTTGAGCTGGTCGTAATCCCAAGCCACGCTTGCAAACAGGACGATCCGTTCCTGGCCGCATTTGCTGAGCCTTTCGATGCGGAAAATCCCAAGCACTGGCGTACCGGTCGCAAGTGGGCCGTCACGGATGTGCTCTCCGCAACCGGGTTCAATCGCATAATGGTCTCGACCATCATGGCGCCGGCGCTATCTACAATCGCCAGGGAGTTTGACATGAACTCGGCAGAGTCAGCCATGACACTGTCTATCTACCTTTTGGCGACGGCATTCGGACCACTGGTTATTGGGCCGCTATCCGAGGTATATGGCCGCCAGCCGATTCTACATGCCTCGAATATCTGGTTCCTCACGTGGAATATTGCTTGTGGATTTGCTAGTAGTAAAGAGGTGCTGATTGCCTCGAGAATCTTGGCAGGCTTCGGAGCGAGTGCCATCTATGCATTGGCAAGCGGTGTTTTGGGAGAGGCCTGAGCAGCGGGGTCGCTCTCTTGGTGTCTACCTGCTGATTCCTCTGCTGGGAGCAGCCGTCGGTAAGTCCTCCCGAAAATGGAGGAAGCAGAGAAGAACCGAGTTGATGAAAAAGGTCAGGTCCAATCATTGGTGGCTTCATGGCTGACCGCACCACTTGGAGGTGGATGTTCTGGTCTACCTCGATCTTCCAGGCGGTCATGATCTTGGTGTCCTTCACTGCATTCCACGAGACATACGAGCCTCTAATCCTTCGCCACCGGGCGGGGCGCATTCGCCATGAGACGGGGGACTCTCGGTACTATACCACAGACGAGCGCCTTCATGCGAACAAGTCAGCGACGAGAATACTGGGAAGAGCTTTAGTCAGACCCCTGCGGCTACTCACCCTTCACCCAATAATTCAAATCGCATCGCTCATCTCTGCCTTCAATTATGGTATTTTGCATATCGTGCTATCGACTTTCTCCGACCTGTGAGCCAATCAATACCACCAGTCTATCGAGATCAGCGGCCTCCACTATATCGCTGTCGCACTTGGTGAAGTTGCAGGGAGCCAAATTTGCGCAAAGCACATGGACAGCCTCTACCAGCGATTCAAACCCCGCGCGGATGGTGAACACACACCGGAGGGTCGGATACTCTCCATTTTCCCAGGCGCCCTTCTGGGACCCCTGGGCCTATTCCTCTACGGCTGGGCTGCACAATACCGTCTACACCGGGCAATAATAGATATTGGTGCTTTCATCACAATGCTAGGTATGCAGATTACAGGCATGTCGCTTCAGGCATATGTCATAGAAGCCTATCAGGAGCACACTAGCAGCGCTGGAGCTGCCTCGCAGTTCTTGTGTAGCCTGACGGCATTCTTATTCCCGCTTTTTGCACCACGGATGTACGGGGTTCTCGGCTATGGATGGGGAAACAGCACAATTGCTTTCATAGGTCTGTTGGTTGGTTTGCCCGCGCCTTTGGTGATTTGGATGTACGGTCCGAAGCTTAGAGCGGGAGCGCGCACTAGCTATTGAGCAGGATATTGCTGAGAGAACTTGTGCAGCCTGTTCTTCAGAGAGATCACCAACATAGCGACCCTTGTGACACACTAAACGAACTGAAGTAAGTCTAAGCATCTCTGTCTGACTGTGGAATCCGCCCGGATTTCATTACCAGTCCCTTCTGGACGTGTCTTCCCATCTAGGTACTTTTTAGTAGTCACTTTTGAGTGCCTTCTGTACCTTAGGTATTCTATTATACCTCTACCACATTCCCTCGTGATATTCTCAACACATGCCTTCCGAGTTCATCGTGTTTGGTTACGCATCCTTTAGTTCCAAGCTGGTGGCCGAAGTACTACCATCCCCCCCATCTTGATGAGCTTGCCGGTCACGCGTGGGTTGGTAGGAGGGAAGAGGGACGTCTGGGTCTCCTGACGCAGCTTTATTAATCTAGTGTCACTGCCTACCATTTCTCTCTAGACTCTAGTCTTCCGTGGTATATTTATCACAGGTATAAGATTCTCTTCATTACTGCTGATGCGTGCGCCTTCATGGGTTCCTGTCTATTTTAGGTTACAAATTCATGAACTACTGTACTTGGAATACCACATCTACTCTCACCTGAGCCACTTGGAACCTCATATATTTGATGAAATAGTGAGATCGAGATAATGGTCCCAAATACCCTCTTCATATTCTACCCGAAGAGTTGCTTTTTCCCCGCAACCATGGCCCATAGACTCTGAAAGCCAAAGGGATTGGTATCATTATTGCAGCCAAGCATCCAAGCAAAGTACAAGCCCACTGAACACCCATGTTATGGAACATCTGTTTGGAAAATAAGGAAACCCAGCCGCAACAGATGAGCGAAGTATAATATTCGCTGCCACCGTTGATGCGGCTCTGTTGTAGCCATGCTTGTTAGATCTTTTGCAACATCCCATCATTCAATCAATACAGTAATTGTGGGGACTTACAGGGGTAGATAGGAGTCAACAAGATAGTTGAAGCATGGCAAGAAGACACACAAAACTCCAAAGCCAATAAAGGCTCCGGCAACCGTGGGTGCGGCCCAGTGGATCGCGGAAGTAAAGCCAGTCCAGCCGAACCTACAACAAAAGGATTGCATTAACTTAATCGCCCTTAATGCTCTCTGTGGAGTGCTCACCAGAAAAGGCCGACTGTAAACACCGGGGCTCCCAAGATAGTTGGACGGAGACGCCATTCTGGGATTGGCACGTTCTTATTTTCTACTAGTTTCTTCGTGTAGGCCGCATGCTGGGAGAGTATAAAGCCGCATGCAAGAACCTGGCCGATAATAAGACCAATAAAGGGAAGGCCACTGATCCCGGGTTTCATGTCGTAGATGGACTCGAAGACATAGGGATATGCTTCAAGAAGTGCGTAAACAATCCCATAAATGAAAGACATGTAGATTGAAACCAGGAGAATAATCGGTTCGGTCACCAGCATCCTCAGTGGCCGAGTGAAATACTTCTCCAAGAGCTCCCTTGGCTCTACTTCAACTCGTTCGTGTTTGGCATGGATTCCCCAGTTTTTTGTTTCATGGCGGATTTTGGCTGCCTTCTTGACGAGAAGACACGGTGCATATGTCTCTGGCAAAAACAGAACAGAAATAATACCATTAGTAAAACTTAGGAACGTCGGGATGTATAGTGTCCACCGCCAGCCGAGATAGCTTGAAGCAATGAAGCCCCCTGTGAACGGAGCACTAAATGGCCCGACAAAGACCGTCAAGGCATAGAGCGAAATTGCCGTGCCGCGGTACGTGTTATCATAGAGATCAGAGAGCACCGCCGGCACAACGGTGAGTTGGCTTGAGCCACACATGCCTGCGAAGAACCGACATATGTTGAGCGTCTGGATGTCTTTTGCGACCGCAGATGCGATGGTGAAGATACCACCGCCGAGCATGGCAATCGTGAGTGGCCATTTCCGTCCACGGAGCTCCGAGGCAGGTGCCCAGATCACTGGCCCAGCAGCAAATCCCAGCACGTATAGGGTAGTTCCCAGTGTACCGACTTCAGACCCGACACCGAACTCTCTGCTGGCGCTGTCGATCCCTGGGGCGAAGACGGCGCTGGTGAAGGACACTATGAACGTTCCACTGCAGACCAGGATGGAGATAAAAAGCCTTATTGGCGCATATAATCAGTAGATCCCTTGGTCGGAGGATTGGAAAAACAACATACTTCATAGAAAATTTCCAGTTGTAGGGGTGTGCTGGATCATCCATCCCGTCGAACTCGACAACATAATCCTGGGGATCAGGAAGCGGTGGTGGCAGAGGCCTACCCAAGCCCAAGCCTAGCTTTTCAGTCATTACAGTCGCTCTGAAATGCACCAAGTCAGTGGTTGAGCGGTGGAGCCGACTTGCTCCTATATTCGCGCCAAGTTGACGCGTGGGTAGCACCGGAGAGCAACCTGGCCTCTGCGCTGAAAAGAGAGAAGTTTTGTGAAGGCCTCAAGAATAAGTAGTTGAGCGGCCTGAAATGAAATGGAATGCAAATGCGTTTGACTCGAAAGCAATACCATAATTCTATATGGTGTATATAAATCGGGAGTGGGATCTCAGCCGGCATCTGCGGCATCTGCGGCATCTGCGGCATCTTGGGAGAGATACCCGAGGGTCCAGTGTCATCTCATATTACGAGGCTAGCAAAGCTCAGACCGTGTGTTTTGTCATCATGAGATATGAAAGCCTGTTGAACTAGGGAGGGTCCCCCCTGTGGTTTCTCCGGAAGTGGGATCTATCAGAACAAGAAATAACCGTATACTAAGACTGTGGCCCATGGAGCATTTTTGGTCTAGCGGTATTATACCCTAAATTTGTGCGACAGGATCATATACCTTGAGATGGCTGACATTCTCAGTGTCTGAGTGTTTAACATCTTGCTGGAAGCTAGCATAACCTTGAAATCACTCCAACGCCTTAATTCGGCCCACCGAAGAACGAGGAATCGATCATCTCCGCATTCAAAAACTGATCCAGATCGACCCTTTGAAGACCAGGCAAATCGGCAACAAGCGCCCCAAGCCATGAATATTCCTCAGAGCCGGGGTCGAGCTGTGGCGGCGATTCAACTGGCCTGTCCTGCTGATGAATGTTGAGCGCTTCGCCAAAGATCGCTATATCATCCTTTCTGCGCTGCTGATGCAACATGAGCAGCAAGCAGGCCGCGCTGTATGCCTCTCTCATCGTTTCAGTGTTGTACGTGGAAGCGACCAGGCTGAGCGTTTGCATTGCCTCCGGGAGCATTGTAAGAGACGAACGCGTGTCCATGACAAGAAGGACGCAGATGATGTGGAAAGGGACGTTGGCAACCTGATGCCATGGGGCGCAGTCTATGACCATACTTCGTGCGCATCCAAGTCCTTTCTTCAATAACTGTAAGACCTTGGCCGCGAGCTTGGAAGAAACATCCTGATTTTGGGTATGGATACGTCGAAGGATACAGAGAACAAGGTTACATTGAGCCAGGACCGATGGTGGCTGGGTATGGCTGCTGTCTAGGAGATTTGACAGGGTAGATGTGAGATCTGTCTCATCTTTTGACTTGCCCGGATCTAAGCTGACGGACACTGGGAGGAGCCCTAGAATCTCAGCTGTATAGTCACCGGGCTTTGGTGATGGAAGCGAGGGAAGAAGATTTTTCTGAAAAGAGACTCGGGAAAGACCAAGATCGAAGGATGTCCACACATTTAAGTGGTGTGCAATACCAACGAGCCGTCTCTGAATATCTGGATCGCACTGCACACTCGGCGGTAGGACTGAATGCGATTCTGGGTGGAGTCCCGAAGCCTCGACAAGATGCATTAAAGTGGAACTGGCGATCCATGTGGAATGTGGCGAGTCTGTCATTCGAAGGTAGACAGACCGCAGGGCCCATCCAGTTAGGAGGTCAATAGATGGAGGACCGGCGAGGTGTTGCATATCTAAGACGGTACGGGCTGTCTGAACAAGATAGAGCTCCGTAATCGTGGCGTGCCGTTGAGAGAACAAACATCCAAGAGCGGTCACACCAGCTAACGTGCTGTCGTATATTTCCGATCTTAGGGGAGATTGCCATCGCAGTGCCAATCGATCAAAAAAGAGGTTCTGATCGATAAACCCGTAGCATGGGTCCACTTTAGAGAAGTAAACCTGGGCCAGAGCTTTCATGTGCTCAAGCGACGTGATTTCCACGATCGGTAAAGCTGCAGTCGACGTTATTGGGGATGACACTCGTCTTGTGCCAATATTCCAACCGAAGAGATTGAGCTTGGGTGCTTTAGCGGGGTCGATTTTGAGGCCAAGCTTTCTTACGAACGCTGCCCCAGAGTTGGCCTCCAGGCGCCGGACTAGCCCGCAACGATCGGACTCGACGGTGCTAGGATCCGAGGCACTCTGCGGTGGAGACTGCGGCCTGGGCTGAGGATCCGTGGGAACCCTCGCTGCTCGAGACTTCCTATGGCGAGCTTCATAATAGCAGTCGTAGCCCCATTCGGTGCACGTAACGCATGGTTCGCCGCCATCACACTTTCGCTTGCGATTCTGACAGGGATTGCAAGCCAACCGGGCGCGCTTCCGCTTCAGAGTATGGGCTGTATCCATCTTGGCGTGGCTTTCAGGGAGAATGAGGTGCTGACGGCTTTGAAAGGGTGGAAGTGACTATTGCGGGTGTCGCAGCTACGGGCCGCACTTGCCTCCCGCAAGAACCATTGTGGTCGAGTGTCTTGCGGTCCGCGGGGGAAGTGGCGCGTCTCCACTACGCGCTGACGTCGCTGCAAACCGCCCGTGCCGTCCAATGACTCCATTTCGATGCCTCGGTCTGTCCAACATGACGGGCCTCGCTATTCATATGACACAGAGAATATAACCAGTCGGTTCACCCTTGTGGCTCTACAACTCCTGCAATTCTCCAAGCAGCACACCAGCCATGGCTGCCAAGCTATCTTCATGCTATGCATGGGCAACCAGGCCCTTCATAGTAGGCGCGCCGATGCGGATCATGTCCGGTCCAGCCCTCGCCGTCGCTATCTCACGAGCTGGCGGACTTGGATTCATTGGGCCGGGAGCCAAAACGCAGGACACCGCGGTCGATCTTGAGCAAGCATCGAAGCTAATGGAGCAAGCACGCGCCTCCTCATCCGTCTTTGACAAGTTGTCGCCAGCTAACTCTCTGTTACCTGTCGGTGTCGGCTATCAAATGTGGGCAGGCGACATCAACGTTGCAGTCGCTGCCATCGAGAAGTTCAAGCCGTGTGCTGTCTGGCTGTACGCTCCCAAGGAGAGTCTCGAGGAATTCGATGACTGGTCTCGCAGCATCAGACAAGTCTCTCCTGGCACCCAAATTTGGATTCAGATCGGCACCTTGAGAGAAGCAAAACAACTCCTCATAAGCTCTGAGAAACCTGATGCTGTCGTTGTCCAGGGCGCGGAATCCGGTGGCCATGGACGGGCCAAGGATGGACTGGGCATTATAACCTTGTTCCCCGAGGTTGCAGATGCGATGGAAAGCACTGACATCCCTCTGCTCGCAGCCGGGGGTATTGCTGACGGGCGCGGTGTGGCAGCGGCTCTGTGCCTGGGCGCATCGGGTGTTGTGATGGGGACTCGATTCCTGGCTGCGAACGAAGCACGAATTAGCAAGGGATATCAAAATGAGATTCTCCGCGCATCTGACGGGGCTGCCTCTACCACACGAACTCTGCTGTACAACCATCTTCGGGGCACATTTGGCTGGCCAGCTGAATACAGTCCTAGGACGATCATCAACAGGTCATTCATCGAATACCAGGCCGGTCGTGCCTTTGACGAGCTTAAAGCACTTCATGACGAGGCTGTGATTAAAGGCGACAGCGCCTGGGGACCAGAGGGCCGAGTTGCAACATATGCTGGGGCGTCTATTGGGCTGATTCACGAAATGGCAGATGCCGCAGATATCGTTCGTGAAGTGCAAAAAGATGCTGTGAGGCGACTTCAATCAGCAGTGGCTAGCTAAACAACGCACTATTTCCATCGTCTTAGTGCAAACATCCATTCACGTCAACCTACACATTTTTTCCTGCCGTCATTGGCTTTTCCGGAGCCCACATAGCCCCTGTTAATAAGTGCGCCTTGTCGCCGAAGCCCCGTTGACTTCGTGATGGACTGGCATCGCGAGCCTCTTGCTCGTTCTCGTAAAGTAAGCGCGTCGGCTGCATGATCGACGTCGAAACTTGGACAAACGACACCCGCACCCAACCAGCCGTTGGTTGGTTGGGCCTTATCGAGGGCCCGTTCCAATGACGCCCTGTTGTAGAACAGTTCCTACATGAAGGCCAAGTCTCATCACATCGTATTCGATGCACCTGGATGCGAAAGGCGGGAGTGTTAGCATGCAAGTTACTGAGTCAATGAAGGAAAAAAATGGTAGACTTCATACTTGCATGTCTGCCTGCCACTTCGGGATTTGGTGTACGTTCTCCTTGCCATATCAGAGATACCCCTTTCTATGATATTCTTCAAGATTTCTACCTACTGACTGGCGTGGTCGCTTTGCAACAAACTTACTCGGAAAGGCGAGATGTTAGATGAGTAAGCTCTGTCGATTGCCTTGAGACGGTCCTTGATATGAGAACTTATCCCAAAACAGAAGCCGAATACGATATATCCAATCAAAGCACGGGTTTTGCATTAGGTAGGATTTTTTGGATGGCGGATGCTCCTTGGCATGTCTTGAATGAGGACCAGATTAGGTAGGAGGTAGTCGAAATGACAAAATGATATAAATGTCGCGGAATTGTGACAACATTTCTTGTCAGGTAAGTTTGTCATTTTAAGCAAACTTTAATAGTAAATAAGGGAGTTCAGGCGGTCATACTGAAGAATAGATGTCAGCAGCTCTACGCGCATATAAGCCAATGGATCCTACCCTTATAACGGATTTTATCGGCAATCATCAGTCTTGTTTGTGGCGAGTTCCGGTTTCAAGTTTGATCTGAAGGGGACCACATACACAGGATATTTTAAAGAGAAAAGCTGAGCGAAGTCATGTCGTTGGGCTCCGTGAACAACACATCAGAACTGACGTACCGAAGGGTTAATGCGCTGAATGTGTGTGACACGTGTGAGCTCAGCACGACACTCTCTATTGACCAGCGAGGTATGGTCGCTGACAATGACACATCCATCGCTGAGGAATCCTGCTCCACGAACGCGTGGTCTCGGGCCACCTATGCCGACAATGTACTTGTGGGGTTTTTGATGGTACTCATTGGCTCTGATTGGGATGACGGCATCGAGTGCCCTGGTGCATTCCTCTGGCGCCTGATGATTGCTGGCCCTTTTCACTTTTCAGGGACTGGGCTTTGGCCGTCGAGCAGTTGAGCATGTTATTAATAACCTCCGGCCCGAGGTATGACTGAACTGTACACCAGCTACGGTGAAGGCCCTGGCAGCCTTGAAGGATTCTATCGGCGATTGGGATTCGTCCCGACTGGTGGCACTATTGGAGAGGATGAGATCGAAGTCGTCCTCAATTTCTAGCGATCTCCAACCGCTGAAATCGGGGTGCTTCGTAGACCAGGTCAGATACAAGATCCGCTTGGCTATATACGACAAATATTGAACTATTCTAGGTACCGATACGATCCATAGTCCTACGTGCAACAGCTCAAACGCTCTAGCTTTCAGTGGCGCCTAGCGGCTAGGCCGGAAAGTTCATGTCAGTTTGGATTCGAATGAACCATCGGGTTTTATGAATTGGCATCAGATGGCACTAGTGACAACGCCCATTCTTATGTTATGTATAGTAACATACTGATTTTGCACCTGTTCAACGAAAGGTTGTTCGGGTCTCAAATGATACGGTTGACACGCTATATGATGTTCATCCGTCATTATCGTGGATAAGAGTTGATTCTGGTACTCTGTACGGGGTATGTACTTTACTAGTGTAGTTGCTTTTTCGAGTCTGGTCTGTCTTTCGATGCAGGAAGGCGTTTAGCTAAAGCCCTCCTTTTGTGGTTAGATTTCATACCTCTTTTATGCCACCCGCTTGCCTATTTAGGACTCCAATACGACGTGGCCAGCCGGCAGAGTGAGTAATAGCGACCCCTAATACCGCAGGCGAATTTCGCGCACCAGCTCTCCTCCTCCTCACGCCTCCCATCACACCCCGATCGGCCAAACGAGGGCGCACCGAGGCCCCTAAAGCCAGTGCCCGCACCGCTGCCAGCCTGTTCCCATCCTTCCGGCTCCGGATCCCCCGTGCGGTGTTGCTCTACCAAGAAACAGACTCTCCGTCCTGACCACGCCTGGCGTCTTCTTTCGCATCCTTTCTATACAGAACGCGTGTCTCCGGGATCCGGGAGATAGCGCATACTTCCGGCACATTGACCTCAATCTCCATGACTCAGTTAACACTAGACGTAGTGTAAGCCAGCTGCAGATATCGGTCTTCGTAACCGTTGAGATGAGACCGCCGTCCGAGACCACTTGCCGCCTTCTGCGGGCGACTACCTTCTGCCGCCCCTCCCCGTTGTGTGGCCGCCCACTTCTGCTCCACGACGGCACTCCCTTACTTAAGGGATCTGCCGGTTCTTTCTCTCCTTCATCTGTCTGATTCATCGTTTCTTCAATCATGAGATCCCTCTCTCTTGCCAGATAGTGGTCGTCTTATTGAGTAAATGCCGGGTCATAGTAGAGTGTTTTGCCGCTCCGCTCCAGCCGCAAGACACAGTCACTCGTAAATTCACGTGAAAGTGAGACAGTACTGGGTATATGCTTGGCTTGCAATGGTGTCATCGGCCGCCTCACGGCGTACTTACAGTATCGTCCAGCCAGCCGATAGTGGAGAGATCGAATGATACCATGATACTAAACCTACCAGCGTATCCTACAGTGAGCCCTACTCATGACATGCAAAAGCAGGCGGACACAACTCGAGAAACTCGAGCTTTACAGCCATTTTCTGGAGGGTTTCATTGCTTGGTTCCACGGTTGCTATGATGCAGCCTGTGCGGCGTGATCGCTTCGATCTCGGATCCTTCATTGCCGCGAGACCTCGTATTTCTCGTGTCCTTGTTTCAGCGCCACATACAATGCGATGTTGCTATTTGATGGGTTGAGAAGCCTGCTCATGCACTCGGTGAGGTGAGCTGATGCCCATCTTAATTGCTAGTTTTATGCTCGCGATACTGGGTGAACGTCCAGACGAACCATAAATAGGAGACTGTTCTGCTCCTCTTCGAACACCGTCCAGACACTCTTCAAGCACATATATCATTAGCCTCCCGACCAACTAACAATCATGATTGTCCCCTTTTCTGTCGTCACGCTGCTCATGGCCGCATATGCCTTGGCCGCACCCTCGTCCGGCCTCGTCCGTCGGACTTGTGGCCTGGGTCCCTCATATATTGACATCCTCAACGTCACCGCGCCCAATCAGCCGTCATCTACGTACACCCAATTCACTCTCACCCGCGACGGTAACCCCGTCAGCAACACCCAAATCGTTGCCATGACCTTCGACCTCATCCCCCCCTCTGCCACGGGCTGCCGACTGCAGATTACCATCCCCCAGCTCACCCAACCGAATCAGATCGCATGGGGCTCTGCGACCCAGGCCGAGTTCTGGACCACTGACCCATGGTATCCCAACACTCCCCCGACGTGGAACAACCTACCGGCCAAGCGGGAAATGGTGGCTACCTTTGGGTTTCCGACATATGTGACGAACTCTGTGTTTCAGACCAACTTGGCGAGCAATGTCTGCACCGACCCGATGAGCTATCTCATTCTCTTGAGCAATTGGCAGACCCAGGCAGGAGGGGTGGATTTCTATAATTCGCTGGGTGGGAAACAGGGTTTGGAGGTGTTAGGGTTTGAGATGATCTTTGATTGTTGATTGATTCCGTAGACTGGTTGCGTGCAAACAATATACTTGTCATGGTATCTTCGACAGATATACGCAATGCCGAGGGAGGAAAAGATTTTAATGAGTACAAAGTTTGCATAACTCACACTCCTCTGGAAAATAGTTGTCCAGCTGGCTTCTCAGAACAGGGCGGTGGATCAGGTTCGCTATATTAAACATAAGGGCAGTTCTTCGTCAGAGCCTGCATTTACTGTAAAGCCACGCCACTGCCAAGACCGATACTGCGTCTGTCGATTACTTAGTCCGTTTTCCGTGCATTCAAGTCACTTGTCTTGGGACGAGCATAAGTACGATCAAAGTTGAGGATACCGCCTTGCAGGGACCTCCAATGAGGCTTCTGAATGGATCGCCTGCACACTTAAACGAAATAGGCTGCTTCTGACACATGCTCATCAGGCTCTCTGGCAGAATGAAGGCATCGTGAAAGGTCCGCCTCCAGCGCGATGATGTGTTCGATGTGGCTTCATGTTTACTTTATTGAAATCTATGTACTAACGAAAGGCCGAGTGGACTCAGCTGCGAGTCTGTAGGTACTGGTTGCCTCATTTCATGCTCTAATTATCCATGAAGTCATCTTACCATTAAAGACATCTACTACTTCATTCTACTTTATAACTAGGGATTCGCTGATGACATAAGAAATAAACGGCAAGAAAAATCCATATATCCGATTCCATCGCCGTTTTCCTATCGATCCTGCCGAAAATGTACCTTCCTTAACCCATCGTTATCCTCCTAAGCTCGTGTCATGATTCCAAGTTGATTGCCATCATTGCATAATAAACCCTCCTAGAATATTGCTGCCGCTTGGTTCGTAACAGCGGTAGGTAAGTTCAATAGTTGGGTCTAATGCCCTGCATCCGGAGAAGTTTCCGTGGTTAATGGAACCTTTAGGAAGGAGAATATATCCTCCCAGGCTTCCACTGACTGCGCTATGGTATCATGATCTGATCCTTCAATTGTTGTGGAGACGAAATCAATCGCCTCGATCCCAGCGGCCTGCCAACACTCTTCGAAATACTTCTGTCCCTGCTTGCCGACCAGAGCGTCCGTTGCAGCAAAATACGCACGGAGGGTAAATCTGTTGACCGCTAGAGCTTGCGCGCATTCCGCATAGTCTGAGCAGACCCCCCAGCTACTACCCCCATCTTTGCGGAGAACTTGCATAGCCTCGCTATTGGCGCCGACAGTGTTCTCGGTGTGCATAAAACGGATAGCAAGATGGGCGAGTTCCTTCTGCTCCAGGAGAGGTACGCCATAGTCACGTTCGACTCGTCGCCAGTTATCATTTAGAAACGAGAGGTCCTCGGCCGTTTCATGGGAATCACTGCTACCAGAAGGCGACATGTGACGAACGAGGGCTCCACTGGCCGATAGCACAGGGGCAGCTTGAGTTACAAAGAAGCGTGGAATTTTATTCCAGAATGCGAATGCTTTAGTTGGCACATACTGTGCTATTTGCATCACCTTCACGCGCGAGTATGTGGGGTCAACCCAAGGAGCTAAGAAAGTTGAAAGTAAGAATATGTAAAAGGTGAAGGGGGAGGTGAGGGCTTAGGTGTCAGAATCAATACCTATTACTGCCATGACCGGGTTGATGTAGTCACGACACTGTGCCCATGTATTGAGCAGATAAATAGTGCCAGCACTATGTGAGACAAGGCTCACGCGTGAAATTCCGAGATACGCCAGGAAAAGCGGCAGCATGTCGGTCCATGCGGCAACGCGTTCAGCGAGCGGGACGTCGGTTGAAGCGCCCATGCCCGGCCGATCAATAACGAGCAGGCGCACACCAGCACGTTCTGCGATTACATGCAACGGGATGCCGAGATAGCGTGAAGCGAACATACCCGGCATGAAAAGTATTGCGGGACCCTTTTCGCACCCAATGTCGGCGAAAGTGATGTTGAGCGGGCCATATGCGGTATCGACATTGATACGGCGGTGGAAGCAGCTCTTAGATATGTGATGGTATGGATCGGACATGATTATTATCGTATGAGAAGTGTCAGCAGCTCTCGCTATATCTCTGGTGAGCAATGTCTGAATATATGCTGGAGCCTGGGATGATGTGTCGAAACGGAGCGATAACTTACCGCTAGCAAGGGATACTGTACAGTAGGTCACATGGAGACCGCATTTCTTACAATTTGGTATGGAAAGTTGGATTGCTGATAAACACGAGTGTTAGAATCGGCGAGTATCGGCATACGGGCAACAGCGTGCCCGTAAGGGCCGTGCTTACAGTCATACCCATTCCCCCCGGTTGTCTTCCTCAATCAATCAATCTTTTTGTTACGTACAAGCATTGAAACCCGGTAGATACGAAAGGGGCTACTATTTATGCGCTATCCATATTTAGTATAGCAAGGCAAGCGATCAGGGTTTGAAAGAGTCTATCTATGTGTTCATAAGTATCGAACCCTAGCGACCTCTAACCCCCCCCTAATGTTAGAGATAAATACACATATACTATAGTTAACTATTATAAAGTCGGGACCAAAGATGTAATCACTTTTAATAACTACCCAGGCAAAAACCTAGATATTCTTCTTATCTAAGAGCTAGCGATCACTACCCACCGAACCTATATTAACCATAGCGCCCGGCGATTATATCAGCTAACTATCGAAAGCGACGCGAACCGTTTCCGCAAACTAAATCTATATTAATTGGATAGTGTCGACTTCATCCTATTGACAGATTCTTTATAACTATCCACATATCACAGCTATCAAGATCTGGTTAGCTAACTCGCAGATCCTACCGGTTCCGCTAGACGCGCCTGACAAGGCATCGGCACAAAGAGCACTATTAGAAGCAGCCACTACAAGTCCCTTTTTCTCTATTTTCCGTTCATACAGTCAGACACATGCCGCCCTTCTCGTGTAAGAGGTTTCTATGGACTTTTAGAACTATCGGCTTATGCGATAGCATAGGAGTATGTACTTCATGATGATCTGACAGGGTGTTGTTATTAAGATACAGTGAGGAGCTTTCGTCGAGTTCATCACGACAGAAAACAGCAATTTACAAAAACCCTCAAGCTTGCGCCAATGCATCACATTGAACCAAATATTTCCATCATCCACGCATCATCAAATCCAGTGATCGGCAAAATGTCACTGAGTGCAGGATTGGGTTGATTGAAATCGTTCTCAACCTCAGTAGAAGGTAAGCTCGGATACCAGACTTCCATAAGCTTTGGCTCCCATCCCTCTTTAATGCACCGAACCATCACTTGCCCCTTTTCAAAGATATTCCACTCCGGCTGATGAGGAACTGAAATATGGTCCGCACAATTCTTCATCATATTCGCCATTCGATCGAGATATTCAAGAATATTAGCAGTGTTCCGGACAAGAGTCTTGTCCCAGGCAGGATCCTCCAGAATGGAAAGTCTATACAAGCTCACAAGGGCCCGAGAAAATTGGAAGAAGATAGTAAAGGACACTGCCGTGTAGTTTTCAACGGGCACAGATAGCCAAAGATCCAACCAGGATTTGGCCGCCTGCAGAGATGTATAAAGACTTTCCAGTCTATGCAGTTCCGGGGAGTTAGGTGTAGAGGGTGCTTGAAGAGCGACATCATGAATAGTGAGTTCAGCATTGGTAAGATAAAGAAGAATAGATCCTGTCCCACCAGGTTAGCAAAGAACCGTCCAGGAAACAAAATTGAACATACTATCTTCTTGTAGATGTGCCGGAATTGTACTTTTCACTGCCTTTAGTTGAGACTGAAATGCCTTTGTATAGAAAGTTGCCGGAGAGTGGCTGTCACCGTCACGCTGTAGGTGATAGACTCTATCCATAACCAGATGGATCTTGACAAGTGAGACCAGACGTTCATCTTCGGGGCATTCCTTGGCATTCATCAGAATAGAGAGACTCTCCTCCAGATGTGGATTCCATCTCAAGGCATCTATTCTAGACAATGTTAGTGCAATGCTGTAGAGAAGGTCAGCCGGCGTTCTTTTAGACGCTAGAATAGGTAAAGAGATGCATATACCTTGATGTGATCAAAAAGCACCCCAACGCAGCTCTTCGCTCTTCCATGGTCCTGGTAGTAGGGATATGTTGCTTGACGCCAACAGCGCTTTTAAAGGCTTGCATGGTTGAGTATTCTGTAGGGACTGGTTTGTTGATTCCAAGGTCACAGACAAGCCCCATGACTACATGGGCATAGAAGTTGAGAAATGGCCGTCGAGCGTAGGTCGTCCTATAGGTGATTCGATATCGCTATTCAGTAGAAAGAACTTCGAAGTTTCAGTGAACCTTTCTTACTTACCATGAGATAAATGTCATAATCCCAAGAAGCATATCCATACTCGGTGAGCTATCGACAAGTAATTTCTGATGAATGGTTCCGGTGATTTTGGTGAAAACAGACTCTCTTTGGATGCTTCCCGGCATCAGCACTGCCATGATGCATAGCCAGAGAAAGGGCTTTTCTTGTCGCAGTTGTTGCGAGGTCATGTGCGAAGGAATGTGTACGAATGGGAGATATTTCATGTTCTCAGTACGGAAGTAGCTGAGAGTCTGTTCAGCCGTCTCTGGAGGAATTGGAAGTGTCGAGCAGAGATCCTCTACTGAACAGCTATTGGGCGCAGATACTGTTGCTGGCGGGGTTGGAATGCCCCCGGAAGGCAAGCTACACGATGAGGCACAAGTTTGGCTTTGAGAAGAAGCATTTTGACCAGTCGTGGGTAATGCGACGTCCCAATCTGCGGGGATACCGGTCGGTCCGCCGTTAGTCTGGAGCAACGATACAATGTTATCAAGTTTTGCTTCAAGCTGTGCTGTTCTAGAAGCAGATGAGCGAGCATTTCGCTTTCGCACCGTTGGCGACGGCCGGCAGTCCTTTTTCAGCCGCTGGCATCTACGTTCGGATCTATCAGCCACCAGGAATTTTCAGCCTCCACTGTGCTACTCACCTTTCGCAGCCATTCCCGGTCGCAAGAAGGATACATTTGCTTTTAGCACGGGAGCAGTTGATGCAAGCCCGGCCATATGGTGCAGGGGTTCCACTCTGGAGTTGGTTGGACTCCATTCCGATGTCCGACCGTTGGAGTTCGGGTAACAGATATGCCACGCAGGACTTCGCAGGGGGGATCTTGGGGGATCGAGCGCCACTAGGATTCACTAGAACATATAACCGCCGCCGATAAGAAAAAAAGAATGAAAAATAAGGAGAGCCCCAACGCTCAACGCGCTTCCGTTGCAATCGGGCGGGGTTGCGAAATCGAAATCCGTTCGGCGCGGTTGAGCGACAGAAGGCTGTGACTAAGCAGTGGCCCCCGTCTTTGGGATGGGATGCACAGACTTCGGCATCACTTTGACGGATCATGCCAATCAATAACAAGGATGGTGGTTTGCCGGAAAATTATTATAGAAATATTTATCTAAATGCTAGCTCACTAGATCTATGTGGAAATTGCATCCGTCCACGTTCATGCATTGACTGACAGCTGAGCTACAATTCGGCTTCTTTCCGTCTAACTCCCTGTCTGAAACAAGCGTGGGGCTGATCGGAATTCGGGGTTCGGGTTTGACCAAATCCCCGCGCAGTGACCCAAAATTACTATGAAGAGCAGTAGAGCCACGCCATACTGGGTCCTATGACTGCCCCCAAGGCTGCTTATCGGATTGTAGGTGCAATGAAAATACTAGTTTCGGTCAGCGAATTTTTCCCATATAAGCTAGATTAGCAGGGATTCTCTCAATGAGAAATTTTGTTCTGCCTTCTCTCATACCTTGTCACTGTGGGTTGCACTCATTTCCCCGTTGATCAAGCAGAATGAGTCAAATGCCTTCCACGGTAGTCGAGTCATCCGACTCTTCCATCAAACAGGAGTCAGTTGGTCAAGGACTATCTAAAGAGCTTGCGTTGGACTCGGCTTCATCAGGCGGCGCGCCAAGTAAGAACTCGGAAGTGCTAGGAGAGTCCATCAAGGCTCGGGAGCGAGAGTATATCACTGGTTTTAAGCTAGTGATGGTTCTTGTGGGTGTGACTTCAGTCATGTTCTTAGTACTACTCGATACTTCTATCATTGTCACTGTGGGTTGTCCGTTAAGTTCATTTCTTTTCCTCTTGTGTTTCTGACCCTTCTACTTCTAGGCCATCCCAGTGATTACAACCCAGTTCCATTCTCTGGAAGACTTGGGATGGTACGGTAGCTCATACCAGATTGCCAGGTATGCTATTTGGAAAAAAAATCAAAACTCACCATGGATCGATCAACCCGTCATAACACGCCATCTAGCGCTTGCTTACAACCCCTTGCGGGAACGGTCTATACTAATTTCCGCACAAAAGTAAGCCTCTTGGGGAGTATTCAACATCCGCCGACCCTAACACAGACCTAGTGGACCTTTTTGTCTTTCTTTTTTGTTTTCGAATTAGGCTCACTTTTCTGCGGCCTTGCGACGTCTTCGAAAATGTTAATTGTCGCTCGCGCAGTGGCTGGCCTTGGATCGGCCGGATTGATGAATGGTGGCTTGACTATTGTCTCTTCATCAGTCCCTTTTCACAAGTCTCCGCGTATGTATCCCGATACTATGGACTTTGGCTTTTTATTAATCAGTGCCACAGCTCTCATCGGAATGATGATGGGATGTAAGGGAGTCGAATTCTTCACTATTTTGTTGATATTGACATTCTTGTCTAGTTTGCCAACTCGGCGTCGTCCTTGGCCCTCTTCTAGGAGGAGCATTCACTGAATACACAACTTGGAGATGGTGTAAGTGTGACAAAGCCCACTTCTAAAAGTTCTCAATGACTAATCAGATTGAACTAACTGTCAGGCTTCTATATCAATCTTCCTATCGGTGCATTGGTTGCGTTTCTCCTCGCCTTTACTGATATCCCAGAACAGGCTGCTAAGCCGCCAATTAAAGCGGCATTCGACACTATAACGCGCAAGCTAGATCTCATTGGCTTTGCTCTTCTCGCGCCCGCGGCTATTCAGCTTCTCCTTGCACTTGAATATGGTCAAAATGAGTACCCATGGAACAGTGCAACTGTCATTGGACTTTTCTGCGGGGCCGGTGCTACTTTCATACTCTTTTTATTCTGGGAAAACTACCAAGGTGAAAAAGCCATGATTCCTCTTTCTATGGTTGCAAAGAGGAATGTCTGGTCAAGCTGCCTAGTGATCCTGTCAATCTCCGCCATTGCTCTTATTTCCTCTTACTACCTCCCTCTGTACTTCCAGGCCATCAAGAATGACTCTCCAATGATGAGCGGTGTCTACCTACTCCCGAGCATTTTGTCACAAGTAGCGATGGCCGTCATTTCAGGGGCTCTTAGTAAGTGCTCATCGATTTATATTATCTTTGAATGCACTAACGAATTCTCAGTTGGCAAGATGGGGTACTACCTTCCATGGGCTGTTGCTTGCGGGGTCTTATCATCAATTGGCAATGGTCTTTTATCGACACTGGCACAAAACACTTCCACGGGAAAATGGGTTGGATATCAGATCATTGCAGGAGCTGGACGCGGGGCTGGATTCCAAACGGTAAGATCTTCTTATGGGACATTTGGGCCTCTTGCTAAGCTTCCATTTATATAGCCTCTCATCGCAGTTCAGAACACTTTACCACCCAGTCAAATATCAGTCGGGATGTCAATCCTGATGTTTGCGCAAACACTCTCTGGTGCGATCTTTCTTACATTTGCAGATGTGATCTTTTCAACTGGGCTCAAGTCCACAATTCCAAAAGACGCTCCCAACGTCAACCCACAAGTCGTTATCGCTGCAGGTGCTACTGGCATACGAGACGTGGTATCTAATCAAGACCTCCCGGGAGTCTTGAAGGCTTATGCAAAGAGTGTGGATCATGGTTTCTACATGTCCGCTGCTCTCGGAGTATGTTGTCTGATTTTTGCATTCGGAATGGGCTGGGAGGATGTTCGAAAGAAGAAGCCTGCTGGAGAACAGGTCTGAGATTAAAGTTTGAGATGCTCTCTCCGCTCTTTGTTTGACCAAGTCACTCAATGTAAGCTGATTGACTAGAACAATATTTACATAATTTATTACCAAACTCTACAGTCTTTTCAATTCATGCTTTTTCCTTCCGAATTCGTGGACTGGTATGATGGCCTCCTGACTTTGATCCACTCTAGGACAGCGGATTTTTCAGGCTTTTTCAAGCACAGCGCTGCGCAAGAAGGGGATATCAACGCCGATCGCCCGACCTTCAGTATGGTTTATCTTGAAAACGACTCGGTCCAATGCTTCGCCCCCATAGTAGAGCCAAGCGGCCATCTGCCAAGAGGAGCATAAATTTGATAGCTTTCCTTGTCCGGGTAGGTCTGACATGGCAGCATTGTCGGAAGGGATAATGTCAAAATTAATGCGCCAGTCTTCGAACACCACATTGTCTTCGCCTTTAGCTTCATTCTCGATGGCGGTCGGGTAAAGTCGAAAGTCGGGATTGAAAATACCGGTCTGTGGAATCATTTCGTTCCAGAGTTTTAAGATTCCCTTGAGAATGTCAGACCCATTTCGTGTCAGAGAGTCTATCTTCAAGCCCGTTCTACCATCAATTTTGAGATCTATCGCAACAGTGGCATTGCTCTGGGTTGTAGCTGTCGAGCTGGTGGATGTCGAGATTTTGTAGTTGCCTGTATACATCTGTGCCTGTGCGCGAGTCTCTTGATCGGTAGCCGGAACTAGGGAAGATATGATAGCTTCATTCAGAATGGACGCGGTAGTGGCGTCCCGAGGGCCGGCCGTCATTACGACAAAGCCGACTCCATACTGATCCACCACGGAGATCTGTGAGACATAACCGTTCGCCCCACCACTCTTAGCGTATATATCCACCGTGTGTGGATTCTTGGGCACAAGATTGTCAGTGCGCTGGATTTCCCATGGTCGACCGACAAGGTTACTGGGTAAAGAAGTCATTGATTGTGGTTTCAGCCATTGCCGAGTCATGTCAGGATATGGGAAGATTGTATAATCCAAAATCCTTCCTATCAGAATTGACAGATCGCGCAAGGAAGAGTACAGTCCACCTCCCCTAGACCTTGTTAGAAGGTCCACAGTCTTGATTTTGAAAGCTTGATCACCTACGGGGAATTCAGCCCATAGTCAGCACCCCAGCCTTGGCTCATCTCGTCCAGAGGGGGTATAACTGCCCTGTCGCTGTCTCCGGGGGAAACACCCGTATTGGTGAGCCCCAGCGGGATAATAATGGTTTCATTTAGCAGTTCATCGTACGACTTCCCAGTCTTTTCGCCGAGTGCCATTGAGAAAAGCGTGAAAGCCAGCGTGGAATACACTGGCTGTGAATATGGTAGCCGAGCTGGGAGAGCGGAATTCATCATCTGGATAAGTTCTTTACCTAGGTCAGCTTAGTTCAAACCGCTCACAAGAAAACATACGCTGTTTATTGCAGGCATGGCTGAGTCCAGCAACGCCACAATCAGGATAGCTTTCATTGCCAACTAACGGAAAGCCCAGCTGCTCATATGTAGGCCGAAGAAAGTAAGATTCAAAGGAGGAAGCTAAAGAACATTAGTGACGGGCCGCAGTGTCTGAGGGTTTGTGGGTGTTCATACGTAAGTTCGATGGAATTCCTGCCAGATGGTCGGATAGAGCGGATAGAGTGATGCTGTTCCACTTGATTAGAGTTCCATTGCTATCGAGCCCCGAAAGGTATTTGGTGACTGGATCACTCAGATTAACATCCGATTGAAGTAAAAGGAGATCTGAAAAGACTTTCGATACAGATCCAATCAAATATTGCGAGTCTTCATTGAGGGTCTTTGTCCCATTCACATTGTTCTTGCCGAGATGGTGGTAGGACCATATTATGCTATCGTTGGCCTCTTCGTCAAAAGGAGACACAAGGGCAACGGAAAAGGATGTGTTGTGGACTTCAAACCCTGGTTTTATTTTGCCTTGTATCGCGGAGTTGAGAGCCTGAGTTAGGCTGGCGGTAGCATTTTGGATATGAAGGGACCGACCCAGATTCGTTGGACGGGGAAGTAGGGGACCATCAACGGGGCATCCCGTCCAGGAGGGTAAAGGGATGCGAGTAGAGCTGGTGTAGGTACCAAAGAATAGTAAACCAGCTAAGCTAGTTGCAAAGCTTGAACAGATCGAGAAATGCATGTTATCGGGGAATTTCTATAGCCAGATTCATTCTGGAATGTGCTTGCTCCGAAAAGAATTAGGAACTCAGTTAATTCAGCTTCTATCTTCGATTTTTATATGTAACATGATAGATTAAATGTGGGTCAACATAATTGTTCGAAAGATCGAAATATCATATCCTTGCAAATTTTCTTGGGGAGGCCATCCGTTTCCCTTTCTGGGACCTCGTCGTATTCGTCAAGGTTCTCGGGCAAGTCTTGGCTGACGATCGCTCTAGAAACAAGCGTCATTTAAACTCACCTCGTATTATCCAAGATCAGATTTACCGCCCAACTCCCACGACCTATTTCCTGAACCCCAACTTGAAACGCTAATCTACATCTGGCATGCATGTCGATCTGCAAACTGGTAGCGCGTGCTTCTCACGATGCGGCCCTGAAACTAAAAAGCGGAACGATACGCAGGTTAGATCATTATGTTCCCACTCCAACTATCTATGGTGTCCTTCTCAAGGTCCTGCAGTCAGTCTTTTCGTATAGCGATGACCATCGGGGCGAAAGTCCAGGTCATTCATCTCGATTGTCTGTAGGAGGTGAAGTCCTCTTAGCGATCGAAGTCTTGACAGCTGCACATACGTCGAGCAGAATTCCTTATGATGACCCTGACCTCGCTTTTTAGGGTTGACCTTCAGGTCGAGAATTACGGATGTGAGCGTCGACCCCCTGCACCTTGTAGTCGGTCAAGCAGAATTCGGGGCAGAGTGGCAGCTGTTTTATTTCCCCTAAACCGACTAGCCTTTTACCGTGGTTAACGGCCCGGGAAGGCGTAAGGATTGGCCCGCTGGCTGTTGCCGCCGCTGTAGCCTGAAAGCTTCCTAACTCTCGAAGTGACCGACAAAGCGGACTTGGTCAATTCTATTGTCTGGTAGTTGATGAACTTCTTGAACTTCTCGAAGTAACGACCAGTGCATTTTGTACGAAGTTTGCGGCCACTCAACCGCAGAGATTTAATGGTGTCAACCTGGAGATGCTTCATGATTTCCTTTATACACCCGGGCGGTAGAATGCTGCTTAGTGATATTGGGGTGCACTTGAATCCATTATTGTCATCGTTGTCCTAAAACGACAACTTCCGGTTTCTTTCATCCTAACGTCCACTCTCATCCATGCTCCTGGATTCTCTGTTTTAGAGATATACCATAAACTGACCTAGGTTCCCAAGTTGCTATCCATTCTGCGCAAATTCAATTCTCAAGTCCGAGTTAATGTTTGCATGAAGGCTGTCGTCGCCATATTCTAGGTCTGGAGAGGCAAATGAAGAGCAGAACTGGAAGTTGCTGGAGTAGCTATTCTCGTTCATTGAAAAGTGGATATAATCCAATGTGGCAGGGTCTTGGAATGCGATTGGCAAGCTGTCGTCAAACAAGTCGAAGATCGCACTGTCGAGCTGGAAGTGAGACGTTCCGGACCCTGGCCACGGTTTGTTCGACTGCTGTGCATTTTCGTCACACTGTGCTCCATGTCCGTTATGCACTATTTTATGAGTTCGGGAAGCACCGGGTGGAGTTGTTGCTATTTCCTCAGCGTTGGTACATCCGTTGTCTGCTCCATGTCTGGTTATCGAGGAATTATCTGCAGCCGTAACCATGGAGGGATTTGCTTCACTTCCTTGACGAAGGTGATCGTTGCTATTATTCAGATGCCTTGAATTCATGACCCCAGGTTTGTTCATAAGCTTCAATAACCGCTTTGCAAGCTGAAGCACCCTCTTCGTGCTCGTCCACAGTTTGCTCATAGCCTCTAAAGCATTGCAGCACACGAGGAGGTTGTCATATGCGGCTTTAGTATCACGTTGGTTGTCACGCAAAGCGCGGTAGATAACCGTAAGGGCCATTGACATTGCATAGGGCACGAGAGGAAGTGGAGGGAGATTCTGACCCTTCTTACAGGAGGTTAACTCGACGATACGATCAGCTGATGCCAGGCGTCGATTGTATTGAACGCTGCCCGGTCCGCTATACCGACAGGATAGCATGGCAGCCACATGATACCAAATCTCCAGGTACTCTATTGCCCTTAGTCTTAATCGCGAAATTAATTTTGAAAAAAAAGGAAGGGGGAGGAGAAATATACCTCTGTGCGATCTGTGGAAATGGTCATAATCAGTGTCCGACGTAAGCTCGGATAGAGATAGAAATTCCTGACACTGATCAACAGCAGCTTTACAGCTCGCTTTATAAACCCTGGTTGCAGTAACCATGAGATCCCCCAAATGCAGGGATACCTCCATGACCTGGGAGCGGTAGCTGTCTCTCATTAGGCCGATACGCTCAATTCCAATGTCAGTGTCGTCAATGAGGAAAGGTGCCGCTCCCGTAATAGGTTTGTTTACTCGGTCGAAGTTTCGCAGAGACCACCACAATAGGTCGTTCTGATCTTGTTCAAGACTCCCCAGAATTTGCACATGTAGAGATAATGACCACGCTTCACAAATGGCCTGTGATAGGTAGCTTGATGCACGGTCCATCCCAGCCAACCCATCAGTGTGTAGATGCATCAGTGCAAGAACTTGGACCTTGATGATCCTATCGGGCTCAAGCTCTGCTTTGATAGCTGCATTGAGGCCGGCTAGCAGCTTAGATGCAAACTCTAACGGCTCCATGAGCGGGCCATCAGCGTTCATACGCAGGAAAGGGACCGCCTGCATCATTTTGCAGGTCACAAGACACATTGCCTTCACTAGATATGGGGAAGACTGCTCGTTGCTATAATCGCGGAAGACACGTGCGCCGTCCATGATGGGTATGAGATCATCCAGGCCAGATATATAAATTGGCAAGAGAGCATCCGTGGTTGCCCGTGGTAGTTCAAGAAAGGCCCCAGCATCTTCGAGATATTTTCGATAGTGGTCAGAGAGCTTTGGTGGAGCAGCTCTTCTTTGCCTCTTGTACCAATGCAACTTCCGCTGTGGATTTTCCGTCTGTGATGAAAGTTTCACTGCCTCAAGGGATTGGATATGCGCTGCGTGTGAACTTGTTGGAGCAAGCGACCCCTGTTCAACTCCTGGAGCTGACTCCGGAGATACGGAAAGATCGTTCAATATGGACTCAGGGTTATATATGGTTACTCGACTTGGATCCATGCTTGACTCTCGGGTATTTGCTTCAGAGCGAGTCTCCACGGCTGCCCTTTCCACAGCTTCTGTTCTGCCATTCTTCTCAGCCTTGTCAAACTTTTCAATCTGATCAACCTTGTCAAGATGATAGCACCTCTTCTTGCGTGCACGACAGCTATGACAGGGTGCAGATCGATCAAATCAGCCCAGTCTCGATCTGAGGTGCTTCAGGAAAGCTTATCTTGGGCAGTCCGTTTCCTGCTCTGTGCCCCAGAGGACTTCCACACAAATTCCATTGGCCTCAGGGTTTTAGATAGATTCGTGAAGGAGCCGACCTTTTGAAAGGGGAAGTGCTCAAACAGGGAGATTTCGTGGTTTTCTCCCACCCAGAAACAGGATTTCATTGTGTTGTTACCCGAGCCCCGCCCCAATTTAGGAGAGCAAAGCCCGTACTGTTGCACCACCAGAGTCTGAGTCTATTGTGCGGGGTAACCTTAACAAGGCAATCAATGCCATGGCCATGGGGAGTATTCCGTGATTGGACGCTGTCGGTGACGATGATTGCGGGGAAATGCGAAAGTCTCTCTGTACTCCGTACAGGATGGGTCAAGCAGAAAAAGGCGTAGAGATTGCTGCTGGGGACAAGGTTATTTATCAAACAGAAAGGATACACCTGTATTTGTAGCTTGGACCTACTATCGTTTCTAGGATACCATCTACAGATAGGGACATGTACGCCCTTATAGTCTTCTGAATACATGTCTCGGTGAATGCTACAGTAGGTCTCATTACCATACCGAGCGGGTTCCGCCGGACTCCACATTATTCCATGTCGCCCTCTCAACCTTACCGTTTGGTATGGTAAATATATCTATGTAGCCAATTCGCCCGAAGTAAGCGCTGCACAGCTTCAACAGCTCTCGTCTCTCAATCAGATCAGTCTCGAAAATATAGTTTTAGCCAGGACACGGAATCCTCGATCTAACGTATTACTACGGACGATGTCCACTATTACTACTTGGTAAATTTACCGCGCAAGTCCTCTATTCAGACTCAGACTCACATCAATGCTCCAGTCCACGTTGAGTCGTACCAACTTTTTACCTTGTAAACTCGAAGGCTTGAGTGTTCCTAGGAACTTAACAGGTAAAGTTGTGTGGTGTCAAACCCAATGCCTAATTTCCGGGTCTAACCTTCCTACATAGTCGCACAGAATTGTGGTTCGTTAGATCGATCGAACAAGAGGCATAGACTACGTTTGTTTAGCTTTGAACTATGTGGAGAAAGCCCTCTACACCACGAAATCCGGGGTTAAATATAAGTTAAGTTCAGATGAAGGGTCTTCGTGGTGTAGTTTCACTTCCCGACCAGATTTTGGTTAGATTGCGCCAAGAGTTCTACATATGCAAGGCACATTCTTCTGATAAAGGGTTCACTTCTCCCGCACCTAGATCGGTTGAGTGTTTCTATCTAGGGTCACCTCCCTCTTTCCTCAAGTTATTCTCAGCCCGCTTAATTCACTTCAACAGCCACGGTTGGCACTGACGAACGCTCTTCTGTGGCTCTTCCTTGTGTAAGTCTCCGAGTCGAGATATCAGGACAGAAAATGGCCGCCATATTTTCCACAGATGATAAAGTTACTTCACAACATGTGGAAGAAGGCATACGACAGGATGATATTATGAACGACGGTGTCAAAGACTGGGGAAGGATCAAGGAGTATGCTAAATTAGCTACTGAGGATGAGCACAGCACGACATTCATACAGGCCGTAAGGCGGTACCCCAAAGCTGCCTTTTGGTCCGCAGTTGTTAGCCTGTGTATCATCATGGACGGATACGATACTGCGTTGATTAGTACTCTCTTTGGCTTTCCAGCTTTCCAGAAGAAATATGGACATGAGATCCACGACTCGGGCAAATACACACTGGACGCCCAGTGGCAAGTGGCCCTTGGGATGTCCAATCCCTTGGGTAATATCATTGGTGTCTTTCTCAATGGATACCTCACGGATCGGTTTGGACACAAGAAAGTCCTTCATGGCGCCTTACTGGCCCTCACCGGATTCATTTTCATTCAGGTTTTTGCCCCAGATGTTCGAGTTCTCTTTGTTGGTGAGCTGTTGGCTGGCATTCCGTGGGGCATGTTTTCCACCATGGCCCCTGCCTTTGCCTCTGAGGTGGCCCCTCTTGTCTTGCGCAGTTATCTTGAAACTTGGGTTGTGGTTTGCTGGGGAATCGGGCAGTTTTTCTCCTACGCGGTTCTCTTTAGTCTCAACCACTCTCAGAGCGACTGGGCCTATCGCATTCCTTTTGCCATCCAGTGGGCTTGGCCTGTAATCATTTTCCCAATCGCTCTTTTCTGTCCCGAATCTCCATGGTGGCTCGTTCGGAAGGGTCGCTACGATAAGGCCGAGTACTCCGTTATGAGGCTGACTTCGGCCCAAAGTCATGAGATCGCACAGGGGAATGCAAAACAGGCCGTGGCGCTCATGATTGAGACCAACCGACTCGAGCAGGATATGACCAGAGGCTCGTCGTACCTCGCCTGCTTTAAGGGGACCAATTTGCGACGAACTGAGGTTGCCTGTGCAACATGGGGCAGCCAGATTCTCACCGGGTTTGTAATTCAGTCCTACGCCACCTACTTTTTCCAGCAAGCTGGTTTAAGCTCGGATGATTCTTTCAAGATGACCCTCGGAATCGGAGCAATCCATCTCGCTTGCAATTTCAGCTCTTCTGCGCTGAGTGGCAATTATGGCCGAAGACCGCTTTTCTTGGGCGGCTGTGTCGTCCTCTCGCTACTCATGTTTCTTATTGGCCTTCTCGCCATTGGTCCTGGCAATTCTGCCTTCGGATTTGCTACGTCCGCCATCTACTTGGTCTGGTTTGGCGTCTGGTGCCTGTCAATCGGGCCATTGCCATACATTATCAATGGGGAAGTGTCCTCCACCAGATTACGTGCAAAGACGATCACTCTGGCCCGCGGTGTTTACCTCATCTTGAATATTATCAACTCCGTCGTCGCTCCGTATATTCTCAATCCACAGTGGGCCAACTGGAGAGGCAAAGCCGGTCTTCTTACCGGTGGTCTTACTGTGCTTTCGTTGACGTGGGCTTATTTCCGGCTTCCTGAAACTGGGGGTAGGACATATGAGGAACTGGATATTTTGTTCGCACAAGAACACCTTTCGGCAAGGGAGTTTTCCAAGGCCGTTATTCATCGAGACGGTGAGGTAATCAGAGTAACAGGTCGCGATGTGGAGAGCAACGGGAACGAAGATAATCGTTAGGAATATGTGCTTTTATTGGCAGTTGTGGCCGGTCATGGTACCTTATGGTCAAGAGGCGAACGATGCAATTCGAGCAATACGATTATCTCTTGTGCAAGGCTCATTTATTTTATGCGATTTCAGATAGTATCAGATGTATTCGTTTACCATCCTGCGTCGATATTACCATCAATTTAAACCGATAAGTAGAGATATTCGTGTCGCACTAGCCGATCATCCATTTATCTGTAGAGATCTGGCTGCTATCAGCCTCCACAGAAGTCGTGAGATCAAATTCCGTGTGGCTGTCGGCATGATCATCTTGCCAACAGTATACAGCTTTGGTCACACGCTGGTGAACTTTCCCGTTGCGGTCTACTGGCTGTTTCCAAATGAATTAAGCAATTCCGTGTTATCGGCCGCGTGCCGACCTGGATTTGGAAACTCTGCCTTGAGTTCCGCGCCAACCAACTAACGTCGGGAGGCCTCCACCTCTATTTCCGACATCGATTGGGAAAGGTTTGCCCCGCTCTTGCATGCGCATCAACATTTCCACAAACTTTGGACTCCATCAAACATGCAACCAAACCGCGCCGGATTTTACCCGTCCGTGGCTCTCGGCTTTCTTTACTAGGCAGCTCTCAGCTCTCGGACTCAAAAGGGGTACGGGAAGTAAATGACTAACCCTAGTTAGGGTCGGATTAGTTCCCGGCCTTAGTCTTGCTCTCCATGTATGGGGACTTGGTTATTGCACAGTTCGTCTGAGAGCAGATATATAAGCGACCTCAAGTCAGGCGCCATGGTGCCGTCATCCATCCTTTATCTTGACTTAGGCCTTGCTAGTGTCTACTCAAGACCCTGCCTTTCCCATTCTAACCATGACTGTTCCCGAACTTACACGCTATGCCATCGTAGGCACGGGTGTCCGATCTGCCTTCTACTATAGAAGCATCATCCAAGATTTCAACGACAATGCTAAGCTCGTTGGAGTTTGCGACACGAATCAGACTCGCATGGATGCTATCAATGACGATATTGTCGAGCTCGGCTCAACTCGCCTGCCGACATACAAGGCCGTCGACTTCGACAAGATGGTTGCAGACCAGAAACCAGACGTTGTCATTGTCACCACGATCGACCGTTTTCACCATGTCTATTGTATCCGTGCAATGGAGCTAGGCTGTGATGCTATCACTGAGAAGCCGATGACCATCGATGAGCAGAAGCTGCAGCTCATGATCGATGCAGAGAAACGGACAGGGAAGCGGGTCCGCGTTCTCTTCAACTATCGCTATGCGCCTCATCACACCAAGATCCGTGAGCTGATTGATTCTGGTGTCATTGGAGAGGTCTCAACCGTGCATATGGACTGGATCCTCGATTGCGCGCATGGATCAGACTTTATGCGCCGCTGGCACCGAAAGAAGGAGAACAGTGGAGGCATTCAAATGCACAAGTCAATCCATCACTTTGACTTAGTTCACTTCTGGCTGAACACCGAGCCGGAAACGGTCTACTGCGTTGGCGATCTTCGATTCTACGGAAAGGAGAACGCTCAGCGACGCGGAGAGAAGAATCTTGGAGAAAGATATCTCAACAACGAAGCTGCAAAGGATGATCCATTTGCCTTTGACATTAGTAAGAGCGACCGGCTGAAGAAGTTCTACTTAGAGGCCGAGCACGAAGACGGCTATATCCGCGACCGGAACTGTTTTGGCGAAGGAATCACCATCGAAGATAACCTCTCCATGGTGATCACGTACAAGAATCGAGCCGTCTTGACGTACAACACGTACGCGTATGCACCATGGGAGGGCTATCGCTGTGTCTTCAACGGAAGTAAAGGCCGGCTCGAGATTAACGTCGTTGAAGGTGGCTACTCCCCTGGAGGTGAACCTGTCCCCCAGTCCACCTCGTCCAAATATATTCAGGGCGGTGTTGAAAGGACTACCATCACCGTACACCCCTTGTTTGAAGATCCCTATGAGGTGCCAGTCGTGAAAGGAGAAGGTGGTCATGGAGGTGGTGACCCAGTCTTATTGCGGGATGTTCTCGTTGGCGATAAGGAGGACCAGTTCCACCGTGCTGCTTATATCCGGGATGGAGGCAACGCCGTTCTGGTAGGTGTTGGTGCTAATCATTCAATGAAGTCTGGAATGCCGGTCAAGGTGCAGGAGCTAGTCCGATGGTAGTGGTGCTGTGTGGTGCTCGCTATCACCAGAGAAAGAAGACGAGCCTTATAAGCTATGAGAGGAAAGGGCTGCAATTTGGTTGAAGCAATTCTACCTGATGTGAAGTCTTACGTCGGGAAAGTCTTTAGGATGGAAAGTTTTATGGATAGAAAGTGCTACTAGTGAAAAGGCGGGTGATTGCCTCTCCAGAGTTCATTTTCGTAGGCCTTCACTTCCTGGATGAAATAATGAGCACAATTTCACGGTCCCTTCAGATATTCGGATTACTTTAGATAAGATTGATCATCTAAAAGGAAGAGATTGATCTTGAACAGAAGAGGCTCACGATAGAGGCCGTAGTGATGGTGTCTCCGATACACATTGAACAGTGTGGGCAAAACCTCCACAAAGTTATTGTCTTTGATTTCGTTCCTACTTCGTTCGTCGTTGATGAGCTAATTTATGTATGAAGATGATAAAGACTCAGCGCAGTCTACACGCAACAAGTTCTCCGAGCTAGACGATTTTATATGGGTTCGGCGACGATTCCCACCAGCGCAAAAGTCAGATGCACCTGTTTCACATCGATCTCGGCCAGACTGTCCTTCCTTCCTAGATACTACATTGATGGACACCAATCGGTGCTTAGATGGCCTCATACGAGCCGTATTTGGACTGGTCACTCTCCAGAATCAGCGTCGGGATCTGCAACGAAATTAGCAGTGGGAGTGCAGCAAAGTCTCGCTTGCAGGTCGCGCAGGGTATACACTTTTACTGCGTTCCTTGTCTTCAGGGCACAAGCTCTTTTTTTTGCGAACGCGCACGTACATGCACGTTGAATAGTTCCCTTTCTCTCACTACATTCGTTCCAGGGTACCGGATCATCATAATGGCGGGAAACTGTTTATTACCCGTCAGATCTAGAAGCTGCCACCTCGGTGCCCCACGTCAACTTTCCCAGAGCTGACATTCTGTCGCTTTATGTTGGCAATTTTGGCTCTATCCTGAATTCTTATGTCACCAGAGACGTTGAGTACGAGAGCCCAATAGGACTTTAAGATACTTAACTTAATTTGAGTCATTGCAATTCAACGCGAATATGGATTGTAACAAACAATGGAACCTTAGTTATAGGTTGGCCATTCCCGGATTTTAAACAGTTGTTGCCGTTGCCGTTTGCATAGAGGGAACAACGGTTTATTTAAAATTCGAGTACAGATCTTGGCTTTCTCAGCCCATATTGAGCTGGGTATTAGTCTCTGGTACCACGAATAGGTGTCTGTCATTTGCTAGAGGACGGGCGTGGAGCGAACCATAAGTTCTCATCACGCTACAAGCCTCGATGCGTGTGGTATTTGTTCCGACCTAGTACGTGATCTAGGAGTTTTGGTCTTTTCGCAAGATTACCAGTTCAGATCAGTTGGCCAACAAATGTATTCAGATACTGTATTCTACCAAAAGAGTGACAAGGCCTTCCGGCAAGAGAATGGAAAAGCAGGCCACCCGGCCTTCCGTACGTCTTCCCCCTTCCTAGTATTCCTAGGGAGGCACCCTTCCTAATGCAAGTTAGTCATCTGGGAAAATGGGGGACGTATATCCTGAGTAGTAACTGGCGTACCATAGGCGTCCCTAGGAGATGCATTTCTTCAACTATTCACACAGGCCGTCGTTGCAGTTAAAGCCGACGCAACAAGCGATCCTGCTAGTGCAAGTGGAGCCAAGGGTTGGACAGTCTCGTTCCTATAGATACATATTATGTTAGCCACTGCTAGGAAGTGACCGGACCTTAAGGTGCCCTAGTTCACGACCGCGTACCTCGAAGACGTTTGAGAGATGATCAGGCTTTGCGGTAGGGACTGCCACAACAAGACCAGTAAGAGCAACAAAAATAGCAATATTGAAGAACTTCATGTTGGCCTGCTTCTAAGATGGAAGACGAGTGGAATGGTGTAATGATTTTGATTTATTGATCAAAGATTCGGGCGGCCTAGTCGTCGTTCTATATAGCCGTAGATCCTGTAGGAGGAAAGGAAAGAGGGAATTCGGAAATAAAAATAAAGTACCTGACCGCAGCCAAAGTGCCCATATCTTTCCATATTTTACCGACTGGTTACTACCGGTCTTGGCTGGGGACATGCGAACCCGGGCGATACCAAGAACTTACTGGGCATTTTTCAGATAGTGCTAGCTATATTAGGCAATCTCTTCCCAGGGATCAGTTTCGCTATTGACACACCCCGAGCACAGTGGCTGTATTATGGACCATGTCGATCGCTTTGGGGGCTGCCGATCGGTGGACACACGCTTTTGCACTACTTCCTTCGGTCTGATCGGCCGTAAGCCATCTGATCTCGCTGCGGGCAGCCTCGCATGCGCACTGGGCTAGACACCAGAAGGCGCAAATCCCCGCATAGCACCTGTAAGCATAGGAAGCTAGATCGGGAATAAGAATATTGATTGATTGACCAAGGCCGACGCTAGGCACAAGGTCGTTTTTGAAGATAGTCCGACCATCAAATACGGCAAGCTAGTCTCGACCATGGCTGTAGACGTCCTAGTGGCAAAGATGGGCGATTCTCGGGGTGTCAAGTACTCCAAGGACCAGTTCTACTCCAGCCCCAGCGTGATCGGCGTGGGCGTAAGTGGCGAGTGGCCAGAGCGAATTGGCTATAAGTGCCGGGTGGGTTGCAATTTGCTAGACCATATCCTGTACCTGCTCGTCAATAGACGTCGAGGAGATTCATCGTTTCCCAAGATAAACAAGCAAGCCTACGGAAGCGCACAAATCCATGCGGCATATCTACGCTTGGAAAGAGAAGTTGTCATCACATCATCGTGTATTTGTCCAGTAGATGAAGCACGCCTTAGGTGCCACAGCGCCACACCCGAGCAAACGGGTCTGGCGCAGACATCCGCCAACAGACACCGAGAATCCAAGAATACACAAAAAGTCCGACCACCGCAACAGCCAGACACATTTGACAATCCCCGTAATCCTCCGCAATCGCCCATCAACGAACACCCGCCGAGCGAACACCTGGCGAGGTCCCTCCCTCCTAGACCGGCAGCACGACTAACCCATTCCACAGTGGGATAGGACTAGGAGCGCATTTACTGCTCAGTCTGGAAGTAGTTGAGGAGGACGGAGCGCTCCTGGCTCTCCTCACCCCAGTCCTTAACAACGACGCAAGAGCAGTTAACGACCTTGCGGGCGTTGCCCTCGCGGTCAAGGGTGCCTATCACGCACGATTAGCACGAGCCCACCAATCGACTTTCATATCGCAACGTAAAACTTACAGAGACCGACCCACTCGCCGAGCATCTTGCCGTCGGGGACCTTGATCAGGGGGATCTTGTGCTCGGAGCACAGGGCGACGACCAGCTTCTTGTAGGCCTCCTCCTCGCAACCCTCGTTGAGGACACACATGTGGGCCTCGCGGCGGTCGAGGGCCTTGGCAGCCTCGCGCAGACCACGGGCAAGGCCGTCGTGGATCAGCGAGATGCGCAGGACACCCTTCAGAGCATCGAGGACGGACATCTGGCCGGAGCCGGCGTCAGCGGAAACCTCGACCTCATCGGCGGCGACGGGGGGGTTGGACTGGGTCTCTTCTCCGTCCGACTGTAGGGTAGGATGTTAGCTTTGTTCCGCCTTGGCTTTTTGCGTGTTTTGAGGGGTGGCAGTGATTAGGAACTGGCTTGAATACTGCCGCGACAATTATGCTTTCCTGTCTTCGAGATTGAATTCAGGTTGCGACGGTGAGGTACCGTGCACGGCGACGTCCAGCGACAGATGTATTCATTCCAGATCCTCAGATCGAGGGCGCCATTCGCCATTCGTGGTGGGAAAGTGTGCAGGTCGGGGCTCAGCGTACCATTTTGTTGTGCAGGTATTTTCGATTTAAATGTCGAATGTTCCTCGAAGAGTTAGATATGAGTGATGGATTTGGGTTGGAGCACTGAGAAATTTACGGTGGGGATTTCGACTCTTTCGGCTGTGTGTGCCCTATAATTATGTCATCATCACATGATTGGATCCGTTCGCGCCACTGTCCCGTTTCGGAACGATCACTACAAATCGTTGATGGTATTTACTTCAGTCGGACTGTCAGTCTTCAAGAATAGTCAAGTCTACAAGAATGATCTACCAACCGAGAAAAATACGTTGGAGCAAAGTGGGCGATTCACGACCAGGTTAAAGCTACCGAACAAAAGAAGATTCGTTACACGAACGCAAGAGGTATCATAATCGTACAATCAGAAGTCCGCCCTATACACCACCCACTGTAATTCTACCCATCGCACCGGCGCCTAATAGCGAAAGGCACTGCAAAGTCGCTGCAAAGAAAGAGAGGCACAGAGAAAGGCGAGAAAGCTAGAAGTATGTACCGGGTCGAGGATGGCTGGGGGGTAGCCGTTGAGAGCCACGGTGGCGTTCGTTTCAGTAGCGTAAGCACCCGCGGCGTGGCCGTTGGTATGATGGAAGGCGGCTGCAGAGGGTTCAGGATCGACGTGCATGCTGAGGAACTCGAGATCGAGACCATTGAGATGGGGGATGTGCGGGACGAGGTCCATGAAATCAGAAAGCTGGCAGTAGGTTAGCGGGATGCGTTCCAATGTAGTTAGAAACCTGGCAGAACTCACTCGGATCCAGAAGACATGCTCCATCTCGAAATACTTGGGTCGCGTCTCGCAATCCAGCTGCATAATGTCTCCGAACGATGCGTTGTGATACTTGGGATCGTCAGTGTAGACCAGCATCCGGCGAGTGCATCGCCAGAGGTTCATGCGTTGAGTTGCGGTTGCCTTGCGTTTCTCCCAGCTGGCATCTGTAGGAATGAAATGTTAGCCACACGAGGTCGAGAGACTCAAAATAGTATCGAATCTTACATTGAGAGAGTTGCAGGTCGTTGGTGGCCAGCAGGGGGGCGACCAAGTAGTTCGGGATCCATTTCTCGTCTGCCACATCACCAGAACAGCCGGGCTCGAGCTGTCGGGTGACCGCAGTCACCAGAGGCATGAAGTTCTTGAGCCAGGAGTGACTTCGCGCGCGGGGGTCATTGGAACCCACGAAATTGGCCGAAGCGCGCAGGCGACCCGGGAGCGCTTCACGGCGTCGTTGCTCCTGAGCCTCCTGGTCGCGGCGCAGCTTCATCACGCGAGCCCGCTCCTGCTCCAGCCGCTTCTGGCGTTCATCTTCAGCCTGCTTGGCCCGGCGCTGTTCGGCCTCCTTGCGCTTACGCTCATCTTCTTCGGCTTTCTCACGAGCAGCGCGCGCAGCTCGTTCCGCTTCTTCCTTAGCTAGACGAGCACGCTCGGCTTCTTCCTCATGACGCTTCTCATCTGCGGCACGCTTCTCATCTGCGGCACGCTTCTCATCTGCGGCACGCCTCTCATTTGCGGCACGCTTCTCATCTGCGGCACGCTTCTCATCTGCGGCACGCTTCTCATCTGCGGCACGCTTCTCATCCGCGGCACGCTTCTCATCTGCGGCACGCTTCTCATCTGCGGCACGCCTCTCATCTGCGGCACGCTTCTCATCCGCGGCACGCTCTTCCTCCGCCTTCTTTGCCACAGCTTGTCGACGCTTCTCTGCCTCCATTTCGGCCCGCTGGTTGTCGCTTGCAACCTCAGGAACGGAGTTGGGCTCGGCGGGCTCCGTCTTGACGTCTCCGTTTTTCTTGACCGAATCGGTGTCGACAGGTTTGTGGGAAGGAGTAGGGTGAGAGGTGTGGGAAGTTTGAATGGAGGGCTCGGGTTTCTTGGATGTCTCGATAGAGCTGCGCGGGGCAGCATCGGTGCCTTGGGAGGCTTCCTCTTTCGGCCGACGAGGTGGATGAGCTTTGTCTGAATCCGCATGTTCGGCTTTCCGGGATGACCCATTCGGCATACTCGATGTCTTCTCCTCAGCCAACACGCGCCGTTTCTTCTTCCGCGCTTCAGGCGACAGTCGATCGCTATCCGCGTCCCGCGATCGAGATCGTTCAGGGGAGGTATCGTTTCGAATGCGTTTAAGGGAGGATGTGGTATCGTGAGCGGGTTCACGGGACTTGGGGGCTTCTTCACGGCCGGACAGTGAATCAGACGAGAAGAGGCTGAGACGTCGATCACCTTCTTGAGGGCGGCGCCCAGCAATAAGACGTCGCTTTCGCACTTCGTCGATCCGGGTGACGCCGCTGGACTCGCTACCTCTCCGTGCCGAGGGGGCAGCCTTGGGCTTTTTGGACATTGGGCGACTTGAATCATGATCGGAGCTGACAAGCGCATTGTCATTCGCATCTCGAGAAGAAGAAGTCTTCGGGCGGCCGCTGGATGCTGCAGCCTTCTTCTCTTCACGTCGCTTCTCCTTCAGCACATCCACGTCCTTCGGCAAGCGTTGACGATTGGCGTTCGGGCTGCTGTCATTGAGCTTCTTCGTGCGAGCCACTGGAGAAGAAGAATCCCGGCGTGCGGTTCGTTTCTCGTCCTTATCCTTGCCGCGCGCACGGCGGGGTGATGAAAGATCCTTGCGGCCCTTGTGTGAGCCGGAGAAATTCTCATACGCCTTCTTGAGAATACCGTATTCTTCCTCCCAATTCTCGCCTTGACGAGAGCGGGAGAGTTCATAGTATGTTTTCTCTTCAAACAATCGTCGAGTTGGATCAAACCCAGGCTGGCCCAGGATGAGTTGGATGCTGTCCATGTTGCCTCGACCAATGGCAGCGAGCATGGGGGTGTTGTAGCCTGGCTTGTGGCCAGACCCACGGAGAGGGTTTGGGTCCGCATCTGCGTCGCCGATGGCGTACATGAGAGACAACACATCGAAGTGGCCACCCTTGGCTGCGGCAATCAACGAGGCGTTGTCGGCTTTCTGCAGAATATTCAAGATGCTCACCACACCCTGTTCGTCGCCCTTGGCGGCAAATTCGCGCAAATTCTCCGAGGTCGGCTGGGTCCACAACAGATCATTTCGGGTTGCTTCGCTCCGGCCGGTCTTGCGACGCCCTGTTGCGTTCGCCATCGGTGGGGGGCTTCGGGAGGGACTGGCCCCCGATGCTCGTCGCGACCGTGGAGCCTTGTTATCAGGTCCAACCTGCTCTTCGGACCGGCGGCCAGGGCGCATATTCGTTTTGGCATCCGCGAGCAACTTCCGAATCTCATCGTACTCATCATCCTTCAAGTCCGTCGGGACTAGCTCATAGGGTTCATCACCAGAAGCGTTCACCGTTCGAGGATTGGCACCTGCTTCAAGCAGGAGTTTCACGACATCCACATTCCCATTCTCGACCGCATCGATCAAAGGAGTGTCCTTGTCAATGTTTTTCGTGTTGATCTCACATCCCGCATCCAACAGGAACTTAACAATCTGTTCCTCGCCGTTGAGCGATGCGACCTGTAAGGGCGTGTTTCCCGCGTTGTCGGGGACATTCAGATCTTCGGGACGCTCGCGGTACCGCATGACCACCTGATCGTACTTCCTGTCTGCGCATGCTCGTGCGAGAGGAGTACGACCGCTCTTGTCACGCAATTTCTTGGGGCCCATTTGCTTCGCAGGCGATGCAGACGCGCCCATCCCCGACCCCAGCTTCCGCAAATGCGCACTGGGGTGCGGAGAGCCACTGGCGGATGAAGACGTGGATTGACGGTCCTCGGATGTTTGGCGTTGAAACCCGGTCAGGAGAGGTGTGGGCGCCTTCTTCTTCGAAGGAAGATGGGAACCGGACGCGGATCGGTGATGGGCAGGGCGACTGGGGGATACCGAACGGGTTTTGGAGGACGGGCGGGTGAAGCGAGTATGGTTGAGGTGTTTGAGGTCGCGTGCAGGGTGCGAGGTCGAGTCGCGGCGTCGCTCCCTCTTTTCATCCACACTGTCGCTGAAACTTCGTTTCCGATAATTGCGTGGTCTCTCGGGGCCATCATTGCCGCTCTCACATATTACATTCTGCGACACGGAGGGCGCGTCATCGAGCTTCTCCACCTTCACAACCGACGGGGGCGAGCCAGCTCTGTCCAGCGGGCTGCGCGACCGAGAGCGGCGCTCTCCTCGGTCGCCATCGATCCGAGCCTTCTTCCGCTGGGCCCCATCGACTCCGTCCATGCCCTGGCGATTCGGGTCATGCTGAATGTGTTTCCTTTTCTTCTCCGGGGATAAAGATTCTCGGCCAGACTGAATAATCGTTTCTGCCTCCGAATCCGCCCTGGGACTGGGCGGACCCTGTTCGTGATCCTCCTCATCCTTTGCATGCGATCCAGCGCGCTCTCGCCGTGGTGAAGCCGGTGTCGTCGCAGGTTCCGCGCCCGGAACAGGTGCAGGGGCTAGAGCTGACGACGATTCAGAAGCCGGAGCAGGCCTCTTGTCGGATGCAGAGGGCCCTGAAGCATGCGCGTCTGCATCCGTTCTCACCGCTGCGATAGTGTTGTTGGGGCCGACATTCAGGGCAGCGGGTAGGGAGACTGCGTCGACATCACTCATAGCGATAGCACTCGATGAGAGAGGATTCCGCTCGTCATTTTGGGAGGGACGCGACAGGTCTGGACGACCGGAGTTGGGTCGGCAACGCCAGCAGTGGTGCGCAGGCGCTGAACACGGCCACAAGCGAGTTGAGGACCAACGGGTCAAAGGAACGAAACGTAGATAAGAAACCGCGGCTTCGAAACGGAAGTTTTACCAAGGGAGGCGAGTGGTTGGGCGGTGGTTGAGGGTGGACGAGGTGGTGCTGGCCCTAGTTGAAACACGGGACGGGAAGATGAGATGGAGGAGGTCGAATATACTTAGAGTGGTCGAGGGTGTCGAGGGAGGCGGGAGGTGGAGGTGGTGGGTGGGAAGACGTTGAGGAGGCGGGGGGGAGGGAGGAGGGAAGAAGAGAAGAGGGAAGAGGGAAGAGAATTGGGGGAGGGAAGAGGAGAGGCAGAGGAATGGAGAGAGATCGGACGGGCTGGAGACCAGACTGGTGTGGCCACGGTGAATCATCGGCGGGCGCAATTCTTGTTAGGGGAATTCTTAGGGGGGACTTCACGACGGTAACTCGGTCGTGGGCGGGATTGGGGAGGGTGCGATGGCTATGACTATAGCCGTCGGTTCACGGTGTATGGCCATCCTGTGTTCGAGCTGTGAACCGTGACGCCTCTCCGAACACTTCTTTCCCTCGCGCAGCTGGTCTCCCCTATTTTCCACTCCCTGCGACCTGACCGGCCACCACACGCCCATTCCGGACGCAGCAAAACCAGCAAACTGAAGGCTCCACTTGTGTGGCGATCGCCCTCGATGCGGCCACTCAGCGACCACACCAAACAGGGTGGTCCCAGTCGTATTCGCTCGTGAATTCTACGGTCGCACCGTTGCCGCTGACTAACCGGTTCTAACCAATCTTTGCCAGTCTCCGCCCGTCTCTGCCTGCTGGACGGCAGCTTAGGAAGCTCCGATAAGACGCGCCAGAATCAGTGGTTCGGCTGAACGATACTTCGATACTTGAATACTTGGATACTTTGCACAGTATTCTGGCCCTTCCCCCGTAACTCTGTCCTCCATCCTCCCATCAATCCGGATTTGACGAAGAACGGGCAGATACGCCCAATCGCGGTCCAGCCATGGTCTTCGCGATAGGATAATCTTCTCGATAGCGTCTTTCTCGGGGGGCCCCCCTGCTACTCCACCACCCAGCCGGTAATTCACTGGGCCGTGCCACCCATCTCTTCTGCCTGCTTGGCCCCGCGAGCTGAAAGCTACATCATTATCAAGCTAGTGGCCATACCCAGGACGGACACATCTGCGCCCTAGGCAATCGCTAGCCATGGACCTCCTCGCGCACGGCGTTGATAGCGCCTTGGATGCCGCGCACATGGATGCCGTCGACGCCCTGCGCGCCTTCTTCCTCCTCGCCGCCGCCACGGTACGCCCGGCCATTGCGCTGCCATCACCCGCACCATGACAAGCTAACCCGCCCTCTTTTTGGCCCTGGCAGACCGTCTCGGTCAGTATCCCCTCGGCCCTGCGCGACCGCTTCCTCGTCTATGGCCCGCGCGCGACGTCGGGCGCCCGAGACCAGCCCTCAGCCGCGGGACTGCTCGATTTCCTCGCGACCTGGCAGGTGCCGCACGGCTACTTTGCCCAGTTCTACGTCGCATCCGTGGTGTCATCGGTGTTCTGGGCGGTCCAGCTGGGCTGGCGGGGGTGTGTGTTCGAGTCCATCGCGTCGCGGGTGAGCGCGGAGCATCTGCAGCAGTCCATGTCGCTCACCCAGGTGCTCATTTGCTGGCTGCTGCTCGCCATCCAGGGCTCGCGACGGCTGTGGGAGAGCGTCATCTTCCGAAAGCCCTCCTCGTCGCAGATGTGGTGTGTGCACTGGCTCCTCGGACTGGGATTCTACCTCGCCGCCGGAGTCGCCATCTGGATCGAGGGTTCAGGTATACAAACATCACCCCTGCGGAGACCGTCACAAGAACACAAGCCCTAACAGACCACCACCCTCCTCCAGGCGCAATCCGGTCCCGCTCCCTCACCCTCGCCGACCTCCAAATCACCAACGCACCCACCCTCCGCACCTTCATCTGTGTGCCTCTCTTTCTCATCGCCTCGGGCCTCCAGCACGACTGCCACCACTTCCTCTTCTCCTTGAAAAAATACACCCTTCCCGACCACCCACTCTTCCGCGGCATTGTGTGCCCGCACTACGGCGCCGAGTGCCTCATTTACCTGTCGCTCACGTATCTGGCCGCGCCGCCGGGCCAGATCGTCAACAAGACGATGCTGTGCTGCCTGGCCTTTGTGGCGGTGAACCTGGGGCTGACTGCGCAGAACACGAAGCAATGGTACATGCAGAAATTTGGCCGGGAAGCGGTGCAGGATCGGTGGCTGATGATTCCGTATATCTACTAAAAGCGCGCCGCTTGGACATGGGAATAGAAATGAGATCTTTGGACAGATCTAGAGCGTGGTCGGTGGTCGTTGGTCGGTGGTCGGTGGTATGATGGACCAAGATCTGGGGCACAATTGTATATGAAGTATCACCGCCCACCCAAAAACTTCAGCGTATGCCCCATCGTCGCAACCTTGCGTACGTCCCGGTATGTCAGGCTGGTCCTTGTCTGCCGCTCATACGATCCGCCCGCAAAGGCCTCCTTCTCTCCTAACAGCGCCCAATTACAAACCGTCTCCGCACCGAGATCCGCGTCCGCCTGCTTCTCCGCAATCCCATGGCGAAACTCCGTATACATCTGGCCCCGCGTAACCAGCAGGCTCCTCCGTTCCTGCAAGACTCTGAAGTTGGGGCTTCGCAGGTGCTGAGACTCTGGCTGGGTCTTCTCGTATAGATCCAACACGATGGGAGCGCCTAGGCTCACTGTCGCCACGAGCGGATAGTACGCCGGTCCATCTTCGTGCGGCATGATACCCTGGCCGGGGCGATACTCGTTAACCAGGACGTGATTGGGGGCGCCGTGGGGCGCCTCATTGAAGATCCCTAGCTCTTTGAAGCGGGGCGCGATGATGGGCACTGTGAGCCAGGCCGGTAGTGGGGTCGCGAGCAGGGTGTTGTTCTTGGTGAGCGATGAGGGCCACGTTTGCAGGCGCCGGTGGGCGAGCTGTGTCCAGCGCGGGAGGGGCGCTGATGCTACCTGGCAAGACGGTGAGCTTGTGTATTAAGTGGGGTATTGCCAGGGGAAGAGACGATGGCGAGGGCGATGTATGTCATGAGCAAATCGGCCATGCTACAGTAAATACACATCCACCATCTACACATCCTAGCTCCCACGGAATACATGAGGTTACATTGGAAGCAAAGAACTGGTCAATGCTCACCTTCTGTAACAGCAACTGCTCCTCCTCTTCGGAGATAAAATCTGAGATGTAGAATGCATCGTCTGGCAAACAGGTGATGCGAACAGCCTCCAGATCCCAGACCATGGATGTACACTGATCGACTCGAGCCGTGGGCTTCTCTCTGACTATCGCCCCGATCAGCCGTAGAGACCGATCAGATGCCAAGAGTGAATGTGAATGCACTGCTAAGCAGGAGTTCCTTCCAATGCAAAGCCCATCAAATGCACCTTGATTCCCACGTCACACGCCCCGTCGTGCCTCAGGCACCCGCCCCACACCAGAACCGCAGCAAACATTCAACGCCTCCGCGCTCGTCTGCTAGGACCAACACCCAATACACACGAAAGATCGAGGGAAAGTGGCGACAGCACTGCTGTCACCTTCTGAGTTCCGCACACCATGGCCCCTAAGAACAACGCCAAAGGCGCCGACAAGAAAGGCGGCAAAGGCAAGGGCAAAGACGCAGGCAACGATGACAAAGGCAAGGTGAAGGGCGCACAGTCAATCAACGTGCGACATATCCTGGTATGTTTCAATATCTGCCCATTGTTGGTAGCGGCGTAGGCCAGGTCCAGGTCCGGACTCGAACTCGGACTCGGACTCGGACTCGAACTGCCCCGGACCTCGCGATATACTCGAACCTGCGGTAGAAGAAAACAATTTCTCACCGTGGATGCGCAGTGCGAGAAACACGCCAAGAAAGAAGAGGCTCTCGAGAAGCTGCGGAATGGGACCAAGTTCGATGAGGTGGCGCGGGAGTTCTCGGAGGATAAGGCGCGGCAGGGTATGTATCTATGTTGCGTCCCGTCTCTTTTCTCTTTCAGTTTCGTTACATGCATGCTATGCGATGATCGTATCGAGACTGACCTATCTAGGAGGGTCTCTGGGGTGGAAGACCCGGGGGGATTTGGATCCGGCCTTTGAGAAGGTCGCCTTTGAGCTGGAGCCCAGCAGCACGGGGAAGCCTACGTATCAGGAGGTGAAGACGGGCTTTGGGTATCACATTATCATGGTCGAGGGGCGAAAATGATTGACCAACTTAGCGGTAGACGGAGCTGAGCTCTCCGATATGATGAATTGAGACTGGATACGACCTCCCTCCGCAGGGCAATGATCACTAGGTACGATGACCGAATGATGGTCTATCTCCGTGTTTTGTACACCCTACACCCCCCTGTCGGCACAGTGTGCCCCTTTGATTGTAGTATATAATTTATTAGTTTGAGTGGTATTCGACGCGACCCCAGAGGAGGACAGCTTTCTATCAACCGCGTAATTGAAAAATCCCAAAAGGAGAAATTTCTACTGCTCTTTCTTCGCAGCCTCGTTCTTCGCCCGCTCCTTTGCCTTCTTCTCCTGTCTCTGCACCACCGCCTCGGCACCAATACCGCCAAAGACCAGAACAATTCCCAGCCACTGCCCCGGCTTTAGCGAGTGGCCGAACCAGAACACACTGAGGAGCATTGTGAGCATCTTGCGAGTCACCGTGACAGTCACGAGAAGCAGTGACGAGAAGCGCGACAGGGTATAGAAGATAAACAGTTGACCCACCGCCCCGCACGCCGCAAAGCCAAGGACATGCTTCAGGGCCTCGGGGTGGCGCTGCAGAAACGAAATAGCAGAGAACAGCTCCGTCTGGGTGGACGGGGGAATCGGGAAGGGGAGCAGGTTGTGCAAAATCCCGCTTTGCGACAGATGCGGCATGACCAGCAGGTACGCAGCGGTCAGCGCGGTCGACAGCACGTTCTGCGCGACCATCATTTGCGGGCCGGTGAACTTGGTGTACAGTGTCGGGGAGGTGAAGACGTGGTCTTGCGTAGTATTCGTCAATCCGTCCAGGAGCAGATTAATCGACAGCAAGAAGATACCCCACATGGACGAGCCGGATTGCGTCGCTGCCGACGCTGCAACCTTCTTGCTCGTGCCGGGATGGTGCAGGGTGAAGGTCGCCACGCCGAGTGTCACGAGCAGGACGACGCCGTACTTGTAGAGCGGGTAGCGCTTGCGGAAGATGGCCAGGTGGAGGGCCATGACGGGGAGGAGCTTGCATGATTTCGCGAGGATGAACGTGAGGTAGTCGATGTGCGCGAGACTGGCGTAGCCAAAGGGCGAGGCCAACGAAGACGAGATGCTGACGAGGAGGAGAGGGAAGAGGATGCGGCGCGTCGGGAAGATCGAAGGGATGCTCTGGCCCTTCGGTGTGGAGAAAGAGAGGTACAGGAAGCCTGTGATGGCGGCAAAAAAGGACTGGATTGTGTTGAGGACGAGCGAGTACGTGAAACGCTCGGTGGGCGGTTCAGGTTCGGCAGCAGTTGCGGCGCGGAGGGGATAGGTCGTAGTGGTAATAGCTTCCTGCAGGACACCCCATGAGAGGCTAATTGACTGTTAGTTTCTGGTGTTGTGGCTGATCTGCTTGAGGTCTACTCACAACGCCGCGTAGATACCGAGCACGCAGATCAGAAGCTGCATCAAGCCAGGAGTGTCGGCGACTGTCTCCAGCGCGGCCGCATTCGCGGAGGCGCTTCCATTGGCGTCCGAAATCTCCGTCGCACGTCCATTATCATGTTTCAGCGCCGCTTCAGACTCGTCGGGAAGGGTGTGCATCAACTGCGACGAGGGATTGCGCTGGAGCGGCGTTGTTTGCTTTTGCCGGCCCATTGCGACAGGGTCGGACTCGGACCCGAAAACCGGACACAGGAATACGGGAAAGGATGAAACCAGCGGGCTGGTGCGAATGGAAAGGTGGTCACGCCGTGTCGGAAGATGGAAATGTTCTCCCTTAGACCCTGGCGCGGAGATTATAACAGGTAAAAAAGATGATGCCATGTGTTCTTAGCTTCGGCTTATCGATAGTGGGCGGATCGCCAGGGGGCCCCACCCGAGCCCTGAAGAATGGTCGACCTCAAAAAGTACGGAGTACATGGAGGGACACGCCGCAGATCTGTGTGTAACCTGTATAACCTCTCGAAAAATCAAGTCTGTCCATATTCTTGTTTTCGATCTAATTCCAGGTCCCGCCTTAATATAAGCTCCAAGCTTCAATTTGTACGGTGCTATGTAGCTATTGTTTGGTGTGAGGGAATCCGCGATGTAAGGGTTTCAATGAGAGAGAAAATGGAAGCTGTGGGTAAATCCATGCTCTCAGAAGACATGGATCTGAGTGCACTCCCTAATGATTCATAATTTGTAGCTTATTTGTAAAGGATTCCAAGGTTGAGATGAGGCTTGCATCCAGCGATTTGAACCGGGGCCTTTGAAAGCGGTGAAGGACCACCACGCTCTTCCAGTAGGCGGTGAGTTCCCGATTCCCATATAACCGCACGTTTTGCAGAAAAGTCCGGAGCAGCGAGTTATCCAAACAGAAGATCTAGGATACCCCAGCTCTCATACCGCATAACTCATAATGGTACCTCAACAAACGGAGTCCCCTTCTCTGGAGCTATCAGCGCTCACCAAGCTTATCGATTCTTCCTCTGCCTCCGGGCGGCCCCTCGCCGCAACCACGATCCAGATTCTCCACAATCTCCAGCATCAACATTTATGGACTTCCCTACAGATCCATGACATCTCGACCCCCTCCAACGCCACAGGTATGGGGAATATTGAGGGTTCAATCTCAACTGCATTCGATACTCCGCCAACCCTGATATCGGGTATTCCCCCACATCGCGTGTACACACACCCCGACGAGCAGCTCTTTATGCTAGAAAAGGGTATCCAGGAAGATGACCTCCAGCCAGAAAGGCTGTTCGTGATTCCCACTGCCCAGGGGCAACCATGGAGCCTGCGGCGTATGGCCGCGGTCTTTGATGCGTTGCCTAGTCTTGAGTCTTCGCAGCGCGAGCCAGTGATATCTACCGAGGCGACTGATACTGTGGATTCCGAAAAGGCAAAGAAGCTCGACGAATATTACGAGAGAAAGGGACACGCACGCGTCACCAAAGAGTGGGGCACCAAGCGAGTCCTTTTGGCAATGGTGAACAAGGGTATGGGTGGAGAAGGGACAGTGGTCTACTACATCGTGCAGGAGGGCGAAGTCAAGCCTCGGCAGAACTAAGCCATCTTCATATTCTTGTGCTGCACGGTCGATTCTACCCGAAAAGGAGGAAAGCTCGGCTCAGCGCGAAGGTATTCATGTTGCTCGAAAATATTCGCAGAGAAGAGAAGGTCTTCGGCATCCATATATACGCCAAGATGTTCCACAAAACATACAATCACAGGGTGCAACCGGGTATAGTGTTGTTTGCAAAGCAAGAGCAAAGAGCAAAGAGCACAGAATTATACAGTATGGGTTGTACAGACTGCTCCATCGGGAAGCCGGGGGAGAGGGGGGGGTGGGAGATGGTATACAACGTTTCAACCTAACAGGTTTTCCCGGTCGTTCTTCTGAACCTGCTCTTGCTCCTCGCGACAGCTCGAGCAGTACCGCTCATACCACTCCTTGATGCTGCCAGTATTTTCGGCGAAAATGCGTTCCGCCTGGGCAACTTGTGCGGCTGCGTCGCCCTCCGCGTGGTTGCCTCCTCCAAGAAGGATCTCGACCTGGCGACAGCGGCGCATTTCCTCGCGCAGCCATCGCTCCCACTCGGTTTGGATGACCTCCTTTTCGATGGTGTTGACCACGCGCAGGGCAACCAGAAGGTTGTGTCGGTACATTCCGAGGCGTTCACGAGTTTGCAGGAAGCGCTTGGTAGCGCTTTTGGCGACTGCGTCGCGGGGATTTGACGTACTAAGAGAGAGGGGGAGCTCGGCGTACCGCATGGCATGCTCATGAAAGGCGCTGAAGCATGTGCTGGTATTTCCGTTTTGGGGCCAGATGGTCGAGTTGGCGACTGCTTCGTCGATGTCTCGGATATAGATAGCCCTGCTCCTCACCAAATCTGGCTGCACACCTAGTTTGGTCATAATATTGCTGGCGTTCCGCTGGTGCCACCAATCCCAGCCATCTCGTGACGTGTAGAAACCGTTCATGAGAGCGCTGGTTGTCAGCAATAACAAGATGATCTTGTGCGCATTCAGGATCTTCAAAGACCAGCCGGCAAGGCCGAAGGATGACTGCATCAAAAATGACAATGCGCTTTCTAAGAAGGAGAGGATTGTTTCCATGAGGAGGTGCGGCATGTTGCGCTGGGTGCGCTTGCGCGACTCCAACTTCAGATTCACTCCAACGCCTGTGAACTGGGACACATTGCTCTGGCGGCCAACATGGCCGAAAATCGTGATGGCCTTCTTGGTACGACTGTGCGCACCCAGGCGACGCACTTGGTCCCTGACCAAGTCGATGAGATCCAAGGCATCCTGCTCCAAGTCGGCGCCCGCTCTCTTGTCAATAATATCTAGCGCACAGAAGTCAGCATTAAATTTTTCAGTTGGAAATTTGAGTATCGAATTACTTTTTAGTCCGTAGGGCGATTTTAACCATTCGACCTTGGTATAGATGGCAAGCTTGCTCTTGGATTTGGCCACGAAGGTTATCACGACCTTGCTCACCAGTCGGAATGAGCGACGGAGAGGGAGATGCCACGGGGTCCGCTTATCAGTAATCACGTAACAGAGGTGATCATTGAGTACATCGATGATTTGATAGTCCGAGATTGCGTTGTCGTGAGATCGTCCTGAACATGGATCAATTGTTGACTCTGGAAACTTTTCTATAGAGAGTAGGCTTACCAAAAATGTCAGTCGTCTCAATCTGATAATGGAAGTCTCGCCTGAGATGCCGTGCCTCTGTACTGGCCCATGGCCCTTGTTTGATGTCTTTCAGATTATTTAGTATGTTGGCATGCGTAAGAGTCTCTCATTACCCTCCAAAAGATACACATACCTCGAGCTTCTCGTTCATGAAGCAAAAGCTGCCACACTGCGCTCTTATCGCCAAATAGAATATGGAAGAGTGCCTTCGGACTAACGTCGAGAGTCTTCTCAGTCACCAGAACCAGGTCACCCTGAGGCACGTACTCCACAGGCTGGGTGGGAAGTCTGAATTTCGGAATATCTTTGCCGCGGCCAGCCATGCCGCCGTCGGTGCCAAGATCTTTGTCAATGTAGATTGGAATGTGTATGTCCTGGCCACGGCCATGTGCCGCGAGACTTCGATCGTTCTGTGTGTCAACTCCTGATGAGGCGTCTTCCCAGCTATCTGCACTAGAAGGCCGGATAGGAGATCCGGTGTCCATCTTGATTAGTTCTTTGAGAAGACCTTCTAGGGTCATTGGCTCGACGGCCATGGATGCCTGAATCAGGAAGTTCAGACGCTTCTGGAGCAGTCGGAGCGGTTCAAGAAAGGTTTTGATTGTGACTCGGCCCGGGACATCGCTGCCCAGGGGAGGGATTGTGTGAAGAAAGAGGAAGTCACAGTCTCGCCCAGACGCAGCAGTTACCTCTTTGATGCCGTGCAAGGAGGAGCTTGTGATCAAAACCAGGCCGAAGTGGTGGCTGTAGAAGTAGATGTTGTGGGTTGTCACATAGGCTCTGCCAGGGAACTCTTGTTGATCATTCGGGTTCCATGTTGCTCTAAAAACCAAAACCAATGCCTCCTCTCTTCTGACCTCCGGGAAGAGCAATCGGAATTGAGCATCCTGAATCTTCAACTGCTGCGGATAGATACTGGGGTACTCGGGTTCGGAAACTATGCCTATTGCAGCTCGTTGAATTTTGGACGCATCTCCATCGAGGCTCACTGTTTGTCTGTGACGCGGTCCGGATGGAAGCCGGGGGCTGCGGATGCACCTGGGGGATCGATTTGGGCAGCAATGGATTGCTTCTCAGATTCACTCATCACAGATGCCGGACGGCCCCCGGACGCAGTTTCTGGGTAGTCTCCATTGATATGGGGTTGCTCTCGCTGGAAGTTGTTGATAAAGCCCCAGTTCGAGCTACCCCACAGGTTTGCCATCATACCGCTAGGCATTCCACCCGTGCTGTCAACAAGTCCCAGCCCAATCCCTCGTTCACTGCTGACAACCACCGCAGCTTTGCTCATACTTGTAGGTGCGGGGGGGTTAGCAAGAGTAGCAGGGGCAAGGCTGCTTCCAGATTCCTCCAAACTGCTCAAGCTTCGACCTCGGTTCCCTTCGGCATCTTTGGCGTTAGCTGCTGCGGCACTACCGTAGGGAAGAATGTTATGGCTAGCAGAAATAAGACTGGCAATGCCACCTGCAGGGCCGGGAATGGACGGTGATGCTGGCGCAGCGTTGTTTGACTTGCGGTGAAGATCCCATTTCTGGATAATCCGTGACGTATGTTCCCTTGCGTGCTCACGCGCAGAAGTTTCAATGTCAAACCCAGTGAGTTTTCGGTTACTCACGTCCGTGCTGTTTCGCATGGCAAGCCCATCGCGATCCGGAACTGGAAGCGTCGAGCTCCGTTCAGAGTGAGACGGCTCATCACTTGGGTGCGGAGTGAGGGATTCGGATGGGTCGGCAGTGAATTCCGGTGCAGGAGGTTGGGAGATGGAGAAGGCAGGATCTTGAACAGTCACCTTCCCAGATATCGACAAATCCGTGCTGCTGGGGTTTTCTAATGCCTTCTGTTTGGCGGCTTCGAATGCGCCAATCCACTCCATTAGCTCCTTCTGGGTTTCGGCCTGGAGGATGATGCTATTGTTCTTTGTCTTCACTTGGAAGCAGAACCGTCGCTCCTCCTGAAATGCGGGACGAATGCTACACAATAGCACACCAATTCGTTCACTTTCCTCCACACCACCAGTACGTGAACCTTGCACGAGGCATCCAAAGATACCGTGTTTCAGGAAAGCCCAACGCTTCACCCAAACCGTACGGCTGGGTCGGCCTGACAACGTTCGCAAGTTGAGCCATCCTTGCTTCTCTGGCCTGGTGTCTTTGCCCATGTTGAGTGTCGACAGAGGGCGAGAGCCGAGGTACGGCACAGTGGAGATTGAATAGTCCTCGAGCTCACGAGGTGGCCTGGCCACCAGTTCTGCAGCCTCCTCAATTTGTTTCCTCGTTGTGAAAAGCTCTCGCTTGGCGGATCGATCACTCGCTTCCATCTCGTGGACCCAACCCTTAATTCGGTCCATCTCATGCGACCACTTCGAGAACGTCGAGCTGTTATTATCATGGAATAATCGGAACTCCCGCCATTGATCAAAGGAGATTCGGACCAGAAGTCGATCAAGTGCATTGCGGACCTGAGGAGCCTGCACGGAAAAGTCCATGGATGCTCTCAGGTATGCTTTGCGGGCCTCGTGGAGCTGGAACGCTTCCTCCCTCAAAGCAGAGGCTTCTTTCGACTTGGACTGCGAAGCATATCGGGCCTGTAAGTAGTCATACTGCTTTTGGGCATTTTCAAGGGCACGGCGGCTCTCCTAAACTAATGTCAGACCACCGCTTCTTATACGGGGTATTCGTAGGCTCTGGGTACGGCATTTACCTTGAAGAGCCGCAAATCCTCTTGGATGAAGACCCGGATAGGCTCGGCAATCAGCGACTCCATCTTCTTGGTCGCTGTCACCAATCCATTCCAAAGATCCTTTGATCCCTCCCCGCATCTCCTCATAGCCAACAAGGTGTAGTCATGATCGACGACGGCCTCCGAGACGACCAGGGGGCGGGTGGAATAGGAGAGAAAGCTGCTAACTACCCCCTCCAGAGCGACCAGCTCAGAGGAGAGCTTCGCTGCGGCTTTGGCGTACCCATCAAGCCATTTCTCAATGAACTCGAGTTGGTCACAGAAGTGGAGGGTAGTCGCTCGGAAGGTCGGGGAATCGAGGGCTGCTTCCTTGAGACCGACAGGTCTAATGAAATCAAATTCCATTAGCATTGAAAGCAAGCCAAGCATGTGTCCGAACTTACACCACGCTCAAGAGTTTCCCGACCTGGGGTAACGGGGTGTGCGATTGAGTCGACATTTAGCGCATGCCTCCAGCCATACACTTGGCGCGAACAGGGGGAGGAACACAACAGTGCAAAGCGTCGTCTAGATCCTTCTCAGAAGCTGAGAATCGCTACCAGAAGACGACGAGAATGTTGAGGGAGCCCGGAGAGCGCTGCCTACGTGCTGGTAAGCGACTTGAACCTCGCGGTCTCGCCGTGCGAGGATCTAATTGGCTACGTCAGTGAGACAGCGCGGAGTTGCGGCCTGAATACCCAGGCAGACGACCTGAAAAGGTTTCCTGGGCAGAAAGGCGGTATGAGATTTTTTCTTTCTGCCGGCCGCGGGTTTCTCTGCGGCGCAAGCTCGTACTTCAAATCGTGCGACAGCAATGGAGCCTCCATCAAAGAAGATGCGGACGCTATTGGACGACGACAGCTCCAGCGACTCAGGCGATGATGCCGGCGGTGTCTCCCTTGCCAGGGCGCCCGAGGTGGGCTTCAAGATCAACGAGGACTATGCCCGCCGATTCGAGCACAATAAGAAGAGAGAAGAGGTGCAGAAGTGTATGGATCAATCATAATCCTCGAAGATTTTTCTCGACAGTTGAGCCAAGTGATCGCTAACATTTATTTTGGTCTTCCAGTGGAACTCAAATACGGCAAAGCCTCCAGCCTAGGAAAGCACCGGGCCGGTGAGCCCTTCGACGATGAAGAGTCCTCCTCTGATGAGGAAGAAGACGATGATGGCGAGCTGGCCACCGAAGCTCTCGATGCCGAGATTATGGCCACTCTGAAGGCCATTCGCGAGAAGGATCCTCGCGTGTACGACGCAGAAGCCTCTTTCTACTCGAAGTTCGACGAAGACACTGAAGCCCCCAAGGAGAAGAAGGAGAAGTCAATGACGCTACGGGATTACCATCGCGAGAATCTTCTCAACGGAGTCAATGCTGCCGAGGAAGAAGAGCGGGAGACTCCCAAAACCTTCGCCCAGGAGCAGGCGGAGCTGAAGGAGGCACTCGTCAAGGAACTGCACGCAGCCGACTCGGACGACGAGATGGAGGATGCTGAGGACAACTTCCTGGTCCGCAAGGCTGGTGGAGCCGATGTTATCCCGGAAAAGGAGGTCAAGCTGGATATTGAGAACGCAGACAAGGACCCAGAGACCTTCCTTTCAAACTTCTTGTCCGCCCGAGCTTGGATTCCGGAGGCTAGTCGACGGGAGCTTCATCCTTTCGAATCGGACGATGATGAGGAAGTGGATCGGGCGGACGCTTTCGAGGAGGCCTACAACTTCCGTTTCGAAGATCCCAGCAAACTCAATGAGAAGATTGTTACCCACGCTCGTGACACCACCAACAGCCTCTCAGTGCGTCGCGAGGAGAAGAGCACGCGAAAGAAGCTACGAGATGCCGAGCGTCAACGCAAGGAGGATGAGAAGAAGCAGCGCGAGACTGAGAAGAACCGTTTGCGCAAGCTGAAGACCGAGGAGCTTCAAAAGAAGGTCGCGGAAATCAAGGAGGTGGCTGGTCTGCGAGCAGCAGAATTCACCGATGATGACTGGGCTCGTTTCCTTGACGACGCCTGGGACGACAAGGAGTGGGAAAAGGAGATGCAGAAGCGCTTCGGAGAGGGCTACTACGAGGAGCCCGAGAAGAATGACAAGAAGCATCCCAAGAAGCCTACTTGGGATGATGACATCGATATCAAAGACTTGATCCCAGACTACGAGGATGAAGGTGGCGCCAAGCCTTCCGTTGAGTCTGATGATGCGGCGGAGGAGGACGATGAAGAGATCTCCGGGTCTCAAAAGAAGAGCAAGGCCGAGCAGAGGCGCGAACAGAAGCGTGATGCTCGCAAGGATCGTCTCCGTATCGAAGAGGCGGTGGTCCGAAACCTCGACCTGGACATTACCCTGCTCCCCGGCGCCACCAAGAAGAACGCAACCCGCTTCCGCTACCGGGAGACTTCTCCCCAGAGCTTCGGCCTGACTGCTCGTGATATCCTGATGGCCGACGACACGCAACTCAACCAATTCGCCGGTCTGAAGAAGCTTGCTTCTTTCCGCGATGCGGAGAAGAAGGCTAAGGATGAGCGGAAGCTAGGTAAGAAGGCTCGTCTGCGCCAGTGGCGGAAGGACACCTTCGGTACTGAGGAAGGACCTGTGTTCCAATTCGGCACCGGCAAGGTGGACGAGAATGCTAAGCAGGAAGAGGGTGGTGATCAAGATATGGTTGATATTCGCGAGGGGGACGGTAGTGGCAGAAAGAAGCGGAAGCGATCCAAAAAGCACTGAGCGCAGGCGCGAAAAAAGCATTCCTTTGTCCATAGCTTTTCGTTGAAGCACTATCTGGGGCATGGAGTTATTTTCATGTATTTTCTCTTGAATTTGACGGCTTTGGCATAACGACAGCTGGGATGTTCCTTGTAATTGGAAATGACTTGGAATTTTTCAAGGTGGTGCTCATATAGGCTCCATGGATGCAGTGAGGTAAGTTTTGTGATGATGCTCTACAACGCTGCCGAAGATATATCTCCAGCCCAGGGACCTCCCCATCAACTTTCTGGCAGAAATGTAACGGATTTTCCAGCTAAGATACATATTACATGCCCCCTCACCCCTTTTTCTCCGTCTCACTCATTCCAAATAACTATTACTCCTGGAACAATCAAGTCCAATCAATTGATGAAGCTCGGAGGTCTTCCTGTCGCTGCAAGGACTTTGTTTCGGAGATCCAAAAACAAACAACCCACATTCGGCGATCCCAGACAATCGCTAACCACCAAATCGAATTGGTGGCGACGACTCACTTCTGGCATTTAACTATATTCAAATGGTCACTCCGAAACCCTCATTCTCCGTTCTCTCGAATAGGATTCAATGGCTGTAAAAGACCATCTCGGACCGTTTCCAATTGATGGTCGTTCAGGGTCGAGGTGCCCCAGCGGGAAAGTGGATCCGGGCTTATCATTGGCGTGTACCTGGCCTTGTCCAGGTACTTTGCCCATGCGGCTCTTCTCCACTCTTAACTTCGTACCCGTGACATCGACATAGAAAATGTCTCATGTGGGCACCGACCCAGGCATAGGTGATCCGTGAGGCACATGAGTTCGTTGGTGACGAGATATGCATTGGAAAAATCCTTAGTTACAGTCGGTCCGGGCAGGATCACAAAGACAGAAGACCTTGCCGGATGTGATTCTGCAGTACTCCACAGAGCTTAGCCTACGATATCCCAGGTCGGGCCCCATGCCGCTTGCTCATCATGAAGGATATATTCCTAAAGCCTAAATGGTTCCTGATGACTATATATTCGCCATCTTCCATTAGACGTCTGGCTCCATGATCGGGGTGAGGGAGTGGTGGCAAGCCCCAGTGAAAGCCGCGCCGCCGTTCGGATACTCGGGCCATGAAAAAGGAGGTTGCCCCGGTGGGTGTGGAGGCTGGCCCGGCATTGGACGGGGAAGATACGCCGTACCGAGTGTTACCAGCATCCAGCGCATGGACATCGCCGTTGCTCCGGACTACAGCTGACTCGGCTTGTGATAGTTCGCAATCGCCATCTATTTCGGGCCATCGTCGAGGGCCAAGGGGAAGTCGGGAGGCGAGAGGTCATTTTGTAGGCAATAGTAAGACCCTCAGACGATGGGTCGTCCCGGTTAAATCGAAGGAATGGCTCTTTGGCGCTCTCCACGACCCGCTGGCGTTCCAGGACAGAAATTTTCTGCGATCGGGAGATATCGGCAAGACCGCGACTCAATACGGCAGAATACACCCTCATTTCAAACAATACGCGCCCCTGCCCTGCCTGATTGGGCGCTAGCGGCCAACATTCGCTTCCACCCGCGTACAGGTATTTTTCTCCCCCTTCCGCCCCTTCTCTCTTCTCTTCTTCTTTTTCTTCCCTCCCATCCCTGGTGTCTGTTCTTCTTGACACTCCTCCCTCTCCTCTCTTTTTGTTGTTGCATCTATCTCTTGCACCAACCTTCACAATGGCTGCCGGTGACGTTACCCAGGCCGACAAGTCCTTCATGGGCATGCCCGTAAGTCGCTCACCTCCCGCCCCTGCTGAGCTGGCATCGACTCCGAGCGCGACAAATGAGTTTTCGATAGCATCCAGCTCATCCTGAATGCATCGAGCTCAGGGCGAGCTCTGAGCCGAGAGTCTACCAGTGGGCGCTGCTCGCTTTGAGCCCGTCTGCTTGAAACACATCGCGCTAACAAAAATTTTCACAGGGCTTCGTTGTCGACTTCATGAGTACGTGCTCACATCACCAGCCATCCAGCCTTGGACTGGATGCGCTTCGAAACTAATCACAAGGTGCTGGATGCTAACAGTTTTGCAGTGGGTGGTGTTTCCGCTGCTGTCTCCAAGACTGCTGCTGCCCCCATCGAGCGTGTCAAGCTCCTGATCCAGAACCAGGTTGGTCTATCACTCCATCCCCTTCCGACCGGCTCGGATCCAGCGAAAGGGAAAAGCCATTGAATCCAAGATGGTGGATGCGATCGACTGTCTCTTATCAATGGGATATGGCCGGTCCTTCGACCTGAAGAAAATTTTTTCCCTCTCGTGGTGGTCCGTTATGGCCGGAAACTGCCTTGTTTTGACGATCGGTCAATGGCTAATCTGGCGCCTTTTCTGTCAAATAGGATGAGATGCTCAAGGTCGGTCGTCTCGACCGCAAGTACAACGGCATTGTCGACTGCTTCAAGCGCACTGCCGCCCAGGAGGGTACTATGTCCCTCTGGCGTGGTAACACCGCCAACGTCATCCGTTACTTCCCCACCCAGGCCCTGAACTTCGCCTTCCGTGACACCTACAAGTCCATGTTCGCCTACAAGAAGGACCGTGATGGCTACACCAAGTGGATGATGGGTAACCTGGCCTCCGGTGGTATGGCCGGTGCCACTTCCCTCCTCTTCGTCTACTCCCTGGACTACGCCCGTACCCGTCTGGCCAACGACGCTAAGTCCGCTAAGGGTGGCGGTGACCGTCAGTTCAACGGTCTCGTGGACGTCTACCGCAAGACCCTCGCCTCCGACGGTATTGCCGGTCTCTACCGTGGCTTCGGTCCCTCCGTCCTCGGTATCGTTGTCTACCGTGGTCTGTACTTCGGCATGTACGACTCCATCAAGCCCGTTCTCCTGGTTGGTCCTCTTGAGGGCAACTTCCTCGCTTCCTTCCTGCTCGGCTGGACTGTTACCACTGCTGCTGGTGTTGCTTCCTACCCTCTGGACACTGTCCGTCGCCGCATGATGATGACCTCTGGTGAGGCCGTCAAGTACACCAGCTCCCTGGATGCTGCCCGCCAGATCGTCGCCAAGGAGGGCACCAAGTCCCTGTTCAAGGGTGCCGGTGCTAACATCCTCCGTGGTGTTGCCGGTGCTGGTGTCCTGTCTATCTACGACCAGGTCCAGCTGATCATGTTCGGCAAGAAGTTCAAATAGATGACTCGCCCCTCGCGATTCGTCTTTTGTCATTTGCCACCTTGTAGTTATACTGGAGTCGGGGATGCGAAACACAACCCCCTGTCTGGTGTAACTCCTGGGCATGGGGAAAGTGGGAGGTTGTGGGATTGCAAAAGATAGATGCGTCAAGAAATGGGTTCGGGGGGATCTTGAAGCATAGAATGGTGTGGTTCTTCCCTTTCTGTACCCGATGTACTTTACTGCCTGCAAACTCTTTTTCTTTTTCTTCAAATCTGTACTAGTCTTGACGTACTTTGGTTCGGGTAAAAGTCTTTTTTTCTTGTCGTCACCTCAGAGCCTGTCAATCAACGGAGGTTTTCGCTATGCAAAGGCCCCAAAACTTGTTGCCAGGCGAGTCCCCATAGACCTTCACGTAAAGACTATCGTAGGGTCCGCGAGGTTGTTTCTCTAATTCATGCCGTAGTTCTCATCTCTCAACAAGGCCACCCCTCATCAAAGACTTGTCCTATATAGTTTTGGCATTTTGCTACGTGGCGTAAATATCTACTCGTATGCACCGAGGACGACCAGCTCCACCAAACAACCTGCGATTCATCATCCCCTTGACCCTCCTTATTTGTACCGACCACATTCGCCCTGAAACACTCTCTCCCTCTTTTTCCTCCGTCCAACAAAAGAAGAAAGGAAATATAAACTCCACCACCCCTGAACCTCTCCACAATCAACCAACGCGGCAACCGCCCCACCACGGAAGGCGCATGACGTCTGGGGCTGGAAGCTCTCCTGGCAGCTCCCCTGCCTTTTCTTCTTGACGTCTCGCTCTGAAACATCGCATCACACATACCCCATCCACCATGTCGACTGCAGGCGGCATACCGACTTACACCTCCGCGCCTCTCCATTCCAACAATCCAGAAGAAGAAACACAGGCAGCCAAGGTGCAACCGCAACCCGCCACCGCAATCGAGGCTGAAACGACCACTGCCACGCAACCCCCAACCACATCTGCCACCGCTACTGCCCCCTCTTACGCTCCTATCTATGCGACCGCGCAGCCTGAAATCCCAATAGCCCAGCCCGGCGCCGCCCCGAGCTTGCCCGCCGCCACAGCAGCCGCATCGCACCTTCCAGGCACTCTCATGGCGACGCCGACTTCTACTCTCCCAACCACCACATCTACACAGTCCCCGCCACCTCCCCAGCCGGGCGCTGTGCCGGGACCCCCGGTTCCAAGCGCGCAGCCCTCTATCCCGCCTCCGCCCAAGGCTGGGCAAGCTGTTTCTCCCTCCGTGCCGTCCACCGCGCCGCAGCCGTCCGGCCCGTTCTCCCAGTCCTACGCCTACCATCGCTCCCCACATACCCATTCCGATATCCCCAATTCGACCTCGTCCCCCTACGCCTCTGTCTACCAGTCCCCCTCTGGCGGAGGGCCTTCTCGACCCGGGGGCCTGCCTTTGCATTACAACAGTGGTGCGGGCGGGGGTGCCAACAGCATCTTCCCTGACGATGACGAGCCTTCGATCTTCAATACCGCCAAGGGATGGATGCAGACTGCCGGTACCAAACTGGCGGAGGTCGAGGCGGAAGTGTGGAAGCGTATTAATAGCGCGCATGATGAGAAATGAGTGCTAGAAAACCCGGGATAGGATCTGGTCATCATGCCTGACATTGCCAAGATTGTGATTTTATGGGTGCTTTGTGCTTTGTGCTTTGTGCTTTATGCTTTGTGCTCTACTTTCTAGGCATGCTTCTTGGCTGTGATTTGCCTCTCATCTTCTCCGGTCGGTTTGTTGGGTCTGATGCGGTTCTCTTGGATATCGGGATACAGGGCTGGATATGGCTGGAATGGATTTATGATATATTCAACCGGCGTCCTGGCATTACTCAAAATCAATTTGAATTCTTTTGTGGACTCTCTATATTCATCCAATCGTGGCAGCATTCTATATACCTTGGACGGTACACGGTCATGGTCACGGTCACGGTCACTGTCATGAGTCCTCTATCACTATGATCATAATATCTGAGCTCTTCCGAGCCCAGTACACACTCCGTGACCCCACTCTAGTGGGACGAGGTAGGGAAAGGCCATTTCCATTTCTCTCATGACGCCGGCCAAAGAACTATGATGTGTGAGCCACATATCCGAAGAGCCTCATGTTTACTCTCGGAGCTTCCTCCATTGCCTACCCAACGAAAGGTATCAACAAAAGGTATACTACATGGTCCCTGTGGTTCAACTGGCCAGGATGTCAAGAGAAGAAGGATTTCATGGATTGAGAGAAGGTTGATCATTGTCGGAGTGAAGGACTGCACAGAACGTTCCATCGTGCCGCAGCCCACCAACCCAAATGATCGTGACTTACGCTCCCTACTGTACTGAACACTTCCCGACGAGACAAGAGGAAGCTGCCAAACACAAACGCGGTGGATTCTGGATTCACCAACTACCTAACATACAGCCCATGCAAGATACCCATGCAAGATGCATTCTGGCCTATATCTATATGTATATATAGATATGAATATAGATATGCTTGACCCCCGAAAACACAAGCCCCGACCCGGCGAGGCGTTAACCCGTGGCCTTTCAAGCCAGCGGATCCACCCTCGAGCGGAACGGATATTCCCTTCAGCCCATTACAACCAGAACCCCACCCAGCCCACATCCCGCAACCGCCAGACCCACACGACAACACTCCTCCAGACCCGAGGGACCATGCACCCCCAACTTCCCCCCAACGCGCCAAGAACCAAGCCAGCCCGATCCACAAACCCAACATACCCAGTGGAATCAGTAAAGATGACCGGGGCCATTGGGTTCGGAGACGACACAATCACCGGAGATGCAAGCCACGGGATATAGCGAGGGAGCCAGTGCAGTGCAGTGAAGACGACCGGCGCTCTCGGAAATCCGGTGGAAGCATAAATCCGGTAATCGGGGCGCAAGAGTGGAGAGAAACCCTCGATGAAATAGAAACAGACACAGGAACTCACTCCAGTCCAAGAACCAAGAAAATCGATGGATATTAGAAAAAAGAGTACACCAGAAGAGCGAGTCCCAAGAGTTATAGTGGAAGTCCCCGGACTCGGTGCGAAGGGGAAGGAAGAAGAACCAGAAAATAGCCATATTCCCTGCAAAACAGAAATCCCAAAGATAATCTGGCTAGCCCAGAGAAAGAGTGAAGATTCAGGCTTGACCCGTCGGGGCGATGGGGAAAGTAGCCAATCTGCCGCCGTGGGAAGTTGCCAGTGGCAAGCCGTCTCGTAACCAAAACCCAAAGAAACCAAGGAAGCAGAACGCCAGTCCGGGAATCGATCCCAGAACGGAGCGATTGCCAACGCCAAACAAAATATATAAAAGATCTCCCTATCGCTCCAGGAGTCCTGTTGCAAAAGCATGCCCAGGGAGCGGGCAGCTTGCTCTTTTCGTGACAGTGGCCCAAAAACAGCGGGGGCGTCAAGAGCGGTCCGGACCAGCCTTGACGACCTCATTATGGATGTAAATAAAAGTGTATCCCGAACGACGAAACCACGCAAATGATGTGGTCCAAAAAAAAAAAAAGAGAATACCCCGAGACGCCGGTCATGATGAATGTGAGAGAAAGCGCGAGCCAGCGTCTTTACATAGAGCCCAGACGAAGAAGAGCCTCTACTGCCGCGCGTTCCTGGGTATCGAAGTTGCGGGGCGCCAACTTGGCCGCAGTGGGTCCGTTGCCGAACGCCCCAGCAGGAAGAGGCTGGGCGCGAGCCGCAACGTTGCTGCTGCGCATGAAGCTGCCGCCGCCGATCGAGCGCGCGCGCAGGGCATCGGCCCCGATGCGCGCCCAATCCTCCTCATCGGTGACGTCGCCCTCGTTCCACTCGTCGTCCGGCAGGTCATCCGGCGCCTCAGAGGAAGAGCAGTACTCGCGGCCGTCGTCGCCGTCCAGCGACATCTTGTCGGCCTCGTGCTCGAGCATGTCCAGGTCCTCATGCGCGCCGTAGTCGTCCGTGTACGAGAACGCGGTCGAGTTCGCCATGCTCACGCCGTACTCGTTCCGCACCGCGGACCAGGTCGAGCCGCGCCGGCCCTCGATCTGCAGCCCGCGGTGTTGGAAGGAGCCGGCCAGGCTGGATGGAGGCGAGGACACGAACGAGCGTTCATGATCGCGCGGGGAGTCCCCGCGACGGCGCGCATCCCAGCGGCCCCAGCCGATCTTCTCGAAGATCACGTCGCCCTCCACGCCACCAGCGTCGTCGTTGCCGCGACCCTCGAGGGCAGCTACGACGAGCCGACGCGCCTTCGCGGGAGGGATGCGCGAGAACCCGGGCACCGAGGTGGTCAGGAAGCCCATGACATGGCGGATCGCGAGAGGGCCCTGGTGCAGCAGGATCTCAGGCAGGTGGTAGCGGGCCAGCATGGCTGGGGTGATGGTGCCGACGCTGTCGAGGTCCTCGTGCGCGGCCGACTCCGGGTGATGCTGGCTGTTGGCATGGTCGACGGCATCCTGCAGGTCGATGTCGGAGTCCAGCTGGGGCACGGTGGACAGCGGCGATCCCGGTGACAGGACGGGGCGATGCTTAAAGGCTTGTGGGGGGAGAGTGGGCGAAATGGAGTTGGGTGGCGTGGGGAGCATGGTCGGCTGGCCGGGTCGCGATGCAGCCTTGCCTGGTGCGCCGGCACGCGGCTGGGGGATATCGACAGAGGCGGTTTTGGTCTTGCCAGCAAGAGCCATCGCGATGCTGGAGTTGGTCTGAGAGGCAGCCATATTGGGTGGTTGGAGTTTGGAGAATCTGTCTGACGAGCAGCGCGTAAAGCATGAGTCAGACGGGGCGTTCCATACAAATGCGACCAGGCCGCGCCACGCGATTGGGGCAAGGGGGGTGACGGGTGGCGACTGGTGATGGCCATCGAAGACAAAAGAAAGGATACGCACCTCTTGTGGAAGAAGAAAGAGACGGGGGGGGATTTCAGAGGCGGGGTGTGTGTATGTTGGAAGAGAGCAGACACGTAGATACGCGGTGCTCGTACTTCGACGGTGCGGGTTCAGGTGCGCGATAAGGGGCACAGATCAACCACGCGGGCCGAGAAGAGTCCAGTGAAGACAGTTTTGGGGGAGGGGGCTCAGCGAGAATGGTCTGGGAGGTATATGTGAAAGGGAAAGAAGAGGAAGACTAGAGGGACTTGTGTGTGTGACGAGGGGGAGTATAAGGGCAGGTACTCCGCTACCATGACTGCTATCGGCGACTGGGCCCCTCGATGACTGTACTCCGTTCCCCTCCTCCCTCCCCCTCTCGCCTTGGACACGCAAAGTCTGGGACTCCGCAGACGCCGTCCAGGGCCAGCGCGTGGGCGGGTTGATTGGCGCCTCGTGGAGCCAGCAGCGCCGGGAGGTTCCGGGGTTAAGCTGGGCCGGGAGGAAAGTGTGGGATTGTGCACGCCTGCGATAGGCTGAGCACCGCCCACGGTCCATGCATCCTACTCCGTCATGTATCTACGTAGGCACTCCGTCGACTCTTATGCGTGCAGCACGCGGGTTACGATGAGGCCAGGCCATTTGGACCTTGGCCTTGACCGGATCCTCTGGGGGCAAATTCTAGCAAACCCTAGACAAGCCCTCGACAAACCCTAGTATACTAGTATACCGTCGTCTACTACATTACAGTAGCCGGACGGGTTCGTACCATCCACCATCCCTGAACCGATCCCCCGAGGGATTCTACTTCCCTCCACTCCCACTGGTGCCCCGCGGTAAGTCCGCTTCAGGTCCTATTAGTCCGACTAGTCCGACTAGCCGGGACCTACATCTACCTACATCAGAGAACATGCGACACAGGATAATGTCGGAGGACAGAGCACCGCCCTTGCCCGTAGTGCAAGTCCGGCTCCGTACCGCTGCAGATGTCCGAGATCGCAGTGGGAACTCGCTCTGGCTTATCGGGCGCTCAGAATAGCCCCGTGCTCGTGCACGCGCGCACTGTGCACTATGATCGGCCGACAGGGCGTAACCCTACCCGGAATTGTCGTGGGAATGGAGATCGGCTGGTTTGGGTCGAGTTGAGTTTCGACACGGATTAGCCCAGCTGCACGTGCTGCCCTCCTGACCAGCCCTTTGTGTACAACCTCAACTCTCGTCCTCGCTACACCCTCGCTAACTTGTGCATCCTCTTGTCCGCACACACCTGCTCTTCGCCACATCAATTTCGCCCCGCCCTCCCCCCCCCCCCACCCAATCGACCCCGTCGGGGTTTCCGCCCGTGGGAATCTGGGAAGCTGGACTCTCGGTCTGTGCACTGACGTCACAAAAGTACCGAAGACCTTGGCGTGTCCCTCTGTTCGCGTCCCAGAGAGGCGATGCATTCCAGCGCTGCCCGCGCTGCGCACCACTCCGCCCACCCGAACACGCCTGCCCGCTAACCGCCTCGACGTCCCACTCAACCCGACCGAGGCAGGCGAATTTGTCTCGCGCCAGCCTCGCTGCGAAATCCTTGTTCACTGGTAGGTGCCTGACCCGCCGGGCGACTGCTGTCTACTGCAGGACCTGCGGGCCAGTTCTCATCTCGTGGGAGAAGGCTACTCCTAAGCCTACCCTGCTGCGTTTTCGGCCTCCTACTGTAGGTACCGCGAATGAGGACTCTTTCCTCCCGCTCATGAGTACCCGCATTGTCCTGGCCCCGTGGGACCGCGTCTTCCAAGACGGCCCTGTGCGACGGGGCCCTTCTGGGTACTTGTTGAGCTGTACTCGTACACAGAAACCTTAGACCGAATCGCTCCCCAACACCCCAATCCCCTTCGGAACACTCCTAGTCATGGATGGCCGTGGGGAAACGTGGATCGCATGTCACGTTGGGGTCCATTGAGTCGCGATCATGACACGGTTTTGGTATCTTGACCCCGACCGTGTGGGGGCGTTATCTTAGCTAGCGTAGGGTTTGGCTAAACGATAGACCTGCGTAGAAATCCCACAAGTGTGGGAAGCGACAAATGAGAATTTGAACCCAAAGTATGGAGTACAGAAACTCGAGTAGCCGTGCGCTCTTTTGTCCAGAGTGTGATATCCCCGTCGTTTGGCGGCGTGGAGGGTGTTCAGCATGGCGGGATCCACCGCCGCATTTGGGCGTGGAAAAGTGTATAGGGACGTAACTGAAAGTCACCGATTGAATCGATTGTCTTATCTTTTTTGGGGGACCCGCCGAGTCACTAAGAAGAAGTCAACTGCTCACGGCGGCATTGGCGAATTGACCTCTGCGATGCAAGACTGCTATACTGCTGTCCCGCTATACGCCGGCATCGGCACGGGTGATCTTTGCATCCAACTTATTCAGGGCCGCCTGCCTTCCAACTTGCTTCAACCACACCCGCAAGGCAAACCCTCGCTCACTGAGATCCCGAGGATTGCCCGAGAGCAGAAAGACATACCCCTCCTCCCGGGAGTCTCGCCATTCAAGTACCGGGTCTCACACGAAACAGTCTGATCGTTGCTCACACGAAACAGTCTGATCGTTGCGACTGTGGTATGTCGCCAGGGTCTCCGCATCATCCACAGACGGCACAGTATAGACCACCCCCCCCCCGACAGCACCGCATGAGATCCCATCCATCAGGGGAATCCTGACCCCACAGCTTGCACCCAAAGCTGTTAAGATACGCCTGCAGCGCGGGTTCTGCCCCAGGATCTCGACTAGCATACATGAACTCATGAATCGTGTGGCCTAGAGAGACCTCCAGTCCGGGATCTATCAAGATGAGGACAAGCGTGATGTTATGATTTTACAATTTTATGATCGTTGGTTAAAGTTTCCTCTCGATTCGTGTCCATGTTCAGTGTGATGTCTTTCGTAATCACGAAGTATCCATATCATCCAACATAGGCAAAATGCAAACCAGTCTAGCATGTAGAGTCTTCTCCCATGTCGCCGGATGAATGATGGCATCATTGGCTGCGTCTTTGGTAAAGGGCTACTTTTCTGCGAGGTCAAGTAGATGGCTAAGAGGGACATGGGGATGTACTTTGCCAAGGACTTTTTGTTTGTATGTTCAAGTTTGGATACATAATAGCAATAATATCTCTTAAGGATTTCTTTTTGAAGAAAATGTACCGCAATGTTGTTACATGTCATTCTCAACACCATCTTGTTTTTGGCAATGGCAACGCGTGCAGTGGTGAGCCCGGGGATCTTGAATAGTGACATCTCGATTCTGATTTCATAATGACTGGTTGAGTGGGACCTTCAGTCTTCTTTCAGGTTGGAATAGACATCTGCTCAACATGTACCCCGCCATATAGAAAGTTCCAGTCCCCATGCTGGCTCGGGTGTGCTCCTTCTGGACGCAATACCTTTGCAAAAAGGCTTGAATAGCTGCAAGAGCCGTGGAGAGACTCTATGGGACATCGACTCTATGGGACGTCGACTCTGGATTCTCAAATACCCAAAACACTTTGAATTTCCATTTCCTTGTCCTGCAGAAGAGATATACCTGCAACCAGATGGGCTGGGCTGCTCCTGTTCACGGCATACACGTTCGTTATACATGTGAAGGTCCATATCAAGAAACCTTCTGCCGATGAGCGCTTGCCAGTGCTATGCACCACCCAGAATGACAGCAGGAATACCAATTTCATTTGGCAGGTCACAGTCAATTCGAGCAACCAGTACCTCACTTGGTAGAGTTTACTAAGGCATGGCGGGGTAAGCACGAACCTAGATCTAGCTTCCTGATTGATTTCTCTTTTGCTTCTGTGGTCTTCGATATGCCGAGTCAGCCGAGCGATAGACCTATTCACAGGCACACGAGGGAACGGGCGACAACGCATCTGGTCTCGACTACGGCTCCGAATGTATACAGGGTTCAAGTGTCACTGAAGATTAATTCTTCCTTAGCGTGTGGACGCCCTATCTCCCGAAATCAACATCCACATGCGGAGGGTAAATTGAAGCCAGTAATATTCTGGATTCCACGGCGGTGCCTTCCCTGGAGGTACCGGCAGTGATCCCACTTTTGATGGCGGCAATCTTGCTTTTAGAGGCGATGTAGCTATGGTCACCATCAATGACCGTCTGGGTACATTGGGCTTTTTAGCTCTGCAAGATGGCAGAACAAATGGGAACTACGGACTGGCATATTATTCGAGGCCGCAGGCGGACTCGCCCCGGGGATTGGTGAGATTCTCTGCTTGTCGGTCCCAGCGCCTTATTGCAGGCGGCAATTGAGCGGGAGAAGGTGGCATACGCGTGGAAGTGCTTGCATCCAACTGTCCTGGGGATAATTTTACCTTGGATTTTAGGCCGCTTAGACCTTCTCGTATGCCTTCCGCATATCGTGAGTTGTCTCAAAACTTTGGATTTGTGGGCATTTCTGAATTTATGACAGAACATGCACAACTTGACGGAAAGACATCCTCCTAACTCCCCACTTTGGACGATGCCGACGACAACCCCGAGAATTACAGTTCCAGACATGGCAATTGAAGACATACAGTTTATATGCTAGAGTGTTAAGTTTGTTGGGTATGCATCCTGCCACCGGTGGGGAATTAGTGGTGAGATCGATGGTTTGTTTAGAGGCCCAGCCTTATCCTGTTTAGACCCCACATATTGTCCCAAGACCTGTGAGGTATACCGCTATTGTGACCATCTCACTGAGCAAGATGGTCTCCGGACCTTTTTGGTCTATGAGAATCATCACGTTGAAAAGAGCGGCTTCCGATTCCTCTCAGTTGCCGTAACAATCACGTGAGACGTAAAAATCTGATCAAAGATTCTGCGTGTGAGTGGAAGCCTTCCAAATGAGATCAACCATTTTGGAAGCAACGAGACCCTGGAAAATACAGATTCAGCGGCGACTTTCTCTCTTTCAACTATAAAATACACACCGATATGCCGACCCACCGCAGCCCGGGACTTTTCCACGTGACTATCACATCCGATCTAATCGCATCCGAACGGCTTGTCCCGAGCCGGGCCTGTTACATTTTCGGAACTGCATCGCCGGGTCGTAGGTTGCCTTGAGCCACTTGTCAGGGTAGTCGCAGTAGTCTGTAGTGCATATCCGCCTGGAAGCTTCTATCACGAGCCGACGGCCGATGCGCGGCGGTAGCCACCCGACGCAAATCCCAGCCTGCTCGACCCGACGTCGTTACCATCATATATAGACCCTCCTTCTTTCCTTCCTGTCGCGCGACACGAATCTAGACGAATATCAGTGACACAAAAAAAGCAACATGACAAGCAACGGTCACGCCAACGGCGCTCCGTACTCGCCCGTGCTAGAGACGAGCAGGATTTTCTCCAAGCTTTGCGAACAGTCGGAGCGCCTCAATCTGCCACCGCAGGTGCAGGCCAACAAAGACCAGGTTTCATTTTCATCCAGTCATAATGAAATCTATTTTCCGATCCCCTTCAAAGAGAGCGAGACGCTGGCGGCATTGAAGGGTATTGAGGGCTCCGTGGCCGCCGCGCTTGCAGATCTGCGGTTCGGACAGCCTGCGCAGCCGCGCAGTGTTCAAGTTAGTCTGGAAGGCGCAACGGCATTCGGATGTCAGGCATACATGGCGAAAATCGACGGATTGTCCAAGCTAGATCCGAATGTCAAGTCTAAGCTGAAGAGTACGTCCAATTGATCAAAACCGGCCTGTTGAAAAAAGGCTGATAGTGCCCGTACTAACCTTCCTCCTAGATACCGATCTTCTGGCTGCTCAGTCGAACGGTTACCGTCGCATGTCCGCTAATCTGTATAAAACCAAGACTCCGGGCGAGTTCTACCATATCCACGGCTCTCTGGAGGCCACTACAACACTCAACATGATCGGTCTCGAGGGCCAGCGCCCAGATTTGACGGATTATGAAGAGATCATCAAGGTCATTGAAGCGAAGGTGCAGAAGTACACTGTTCCTGAGCTCGAGGTGATGAACAAGGAGAGGCGGCAGGCTGGTGTTCCAGCGCTCAAATATGAGGATTTTATCAAAACTCCCCACGTAGGTTTTAGAACCATCCCTGCAAAAAAAACGGCAGAAAGCTAACATGGGCTATAGGGGAAACTGAATGTCCACGAGCCGGCTTGGAAGGTGGACAAGCTGCCAGGGGATCTCCCTCCAACTCCACTCCCTGCCAGCAAGGCTGGCAGCAAGAGGATTCTAGAGGGCGTGAAAGTACTCGAACTGTGTCGTATCATTGCAGGCCCGACGGTGACCCGCATTCTGGCCGAGTATGGCGCCGACGTGCTGAAGATCACCAGCCCCAACCTGTCCGACGTTCCCTTTTTCCAGGTCGATGGCAACATGGGTAAGCACGCCGCCGACCTCGATCTCAAGACTGAGGCTGGACGCCAGGAGTTTGAGAAGCTCGTGGTTGACGCTGATATCATCGTGGACGGATATCGCCCCGGAGCTCTGGAGAAGCTCGGCTACGGCCCACAGGCTATGGCTGCGCTGGCCGAGAAGCGCGGCAAGGGTATTGTCTACGTGAACGAGAACTGCTTCGGCTACGAAGGCGAGTGGGCCGGACGAGCTGGGTGGCAACAGATTGCCGACTGCGTGAGTTGATACTTCAGGTCTTCCCAAAGGACACTGCTCCTAACAGCTAATAGGTCACCGGCGTCGCCTGGGCTCAGGGTCAATTCATGGGCCTCGACACCCCCATCGTTCCCCCCTTCCCCATATCTGACTATGGCACAGGCTGTATGGGCGCCATCGCCGCCCTCTCCGGCCTCTATCACCGCACCAAAACTGGCGGCTCCTACCACGGCAAGGCCTCTTTGATGCATTACGACCTCCTTCTCTTCGCCGTTGGCCAGTATCCTGCCGAGGTGCAGGAGAAGCTGCGCGCCGCCCAGCCTGCCGACTTCTTCAAGCTGCGCCACTGTGATAGCGTAGACCGCATCTCGTCGACTGTGCTCAAGGGTATGCAGACTCGCTTCCCACACTTGTATACGCCCGCTGGTGCTAGTTCGGAGGAGGACCGCCAGGCGTTGACGGAAAGTTGGTTCTCCAAGGCGTATAACACTGATATCGAGGTCGTGCGCCCCGTTGCTATTGTCCAGGGTGTAGATAACCGGTTTGTGCGGGCTAGCCGGCCCAATGGGACGGATCGGGCGAGTTGGGAGGATTTTAAGGAAGATGGGGAAGGAGATGTTAAGAAGTGTTAATTCTTCTGGCCATGTCTGGTTCATGCCCTACTTGGCAGCACACGGAAGTGGGATCGATTGCATTATACACATGTGGCATTTTTTGGAATCTTGGGAGCATATATCCAATCGATGAAATACGCTATGAGAACTCAAAATATTAATTTGTCTACGACGCATCCACCGTTAATATCTTGAGTGCGATGATGATGATGATGATATTTCTATTATAGTCTAATGCAGCTTCCCATCGTTTCGGGCGCTATGTAGACTTCTGAGACGACTAGATACAGGCGGTACATCCTCGCTTAGGAGACCGTAGAAGTTCGCGGTTGTATTATGCCCCACCTGCCGCGTAGACTTTGCATCGCCATGCATAGGCAGGTGACCCCTGAAGGGTCAGTAATATCTTGAGTGCCGAGGCTCTTTCGGCCACATCTATGGTCTCCGTCCTCATGCAGGTAGTAAGTGGGGGTCACGCAGCCGTCGGAAAACGCGGAAGACAGTAACCGTTGCTGAATAAAAGATTTGAATAACGGGATTTAAACCATTAGCTACAGAAATGAACGAGATCCGAACTATAGCAATAGATAGGATATGATTGCATAAATTTACAAGCAAATGAACAGGACAAGGGCTGATATTTCTCGAGCCGCTGGCACCGATAAGATCGGATGCAGCACCGCGTCATCGGACCGACGGCTCCCCTCGATGAATGAGAACAATTGATCGCAGATCAACAGGCGCAACTTTTGAGTCTTCTTTCGCTTGCTTTCGCTTGCAACAATTACTTCAATTCAAACCCGTTCCTTACTTTCTTCCTTTCAAATTCTCAACACCTAGTAGAATGTCCTACAGCATTGCCTACGACGCCGCCCTTGCGCCGGCCCGAGGACCGGCCATCGTCGCTTTCATGGAGGACTTCTATCGGACCAGCGATACCGAGTCCCTGCACGACAAATATGTGCAGAGCTTCACGGACGATGCGACGTTAATCATGGGTTCAAAGGAGGCAAAGGGGGCTACCGGTATGTTTCCCCCCCGGGACCTATGGGGGTTCCATGCATCTTATATATCTAGCTGCTAGCCTACGAAATGGCTAATTTGGATACCCACAGAAATTCTACCTCTGCGCCATGGACTTTGGGCGCACGTTGCCTCGCGCAAACACACGCCTACGCGAATCTTCTTCGGCGGCGAGAACGAGATTATGCTCTACGGCGGCGTGAACTACCGACTCAAGGCCGATCCGGAGAAGGATGTGTATGTGCCCTGGGCGGGGCGAGTAGTGTTTGCGCCGCAGCAGGAGGGGGAGGGCGTGAAGATGCAGTTCTATCAGGTCTATCTGGTATGTTTGCCCCAGCTGCTGACTGTTGGGTCCTGTGCTTGAGAACGACGGCGGAATTGGGTTGTGGTGTACTAATTGGTGATATAGGATGCTTCTGCGCAGTCGGGGAAGAAATAAATGGGTGCAATGGAGATCGAGGTGACTAGGAATGTAAATACCGTTGAATGCATGCACGACATACACGTGGCTTGGTTTAGACACGTAAGGTAGTAGACTCGCAAGTGGACGTGCGTCCTATAAGAAGTTCTCGGCAGAAGATATGCGCAAGAATGTCTACGTCTCGAACTACGTCTCTACAGCCCAAAATGAACGTTTTTAACGTGTTTAGTCAGACATGCTCTTTATTTCCACGAGACCGCGAGAGAAATCAGGAACAAAGACGCCGTGGGGTAGGTCGGGTCAATGAGGTGAGGGAGATCAAAAATATGTAAGGAAAAAGAAACTCGTCTCCAGCCGAGTCATTGCAACTCAACACGAAGAATACGAGCCGGATGCCTGTGTCTCGTCCTCTCGCTCTTGCTCTCGGGAATTTGCCTCCTCATGCAAATAAAAACCTCCGCTTCTCTCTGCTAGCCCCGTCTGGTCATCAAGGTAAAAAGGAAAAATGGAGAACAAACGTGAAAATCGCCGGGACCAAGCTCCGAAATTTTTTTTATTTGATCATTCCGGACTAAGCCAAAACGACCCCCCGAAAGCAAATTAAGCCCTTGCGATACGTTTACTCCTCGTCAGACTCCTCATCCTCGTCAACGGTGGTCTTGGCGATACGGTCAAGATCACGCTGGCCGGACTGGGTGATGCGGCGGCCACCCTTGTCCTCATCAACCTCAAGGACACCGATCTTCTCGAGGGCCTGGAGAGCCTTGCGGTCGACGGAGCCCGAGGCATCGACGTGGTGGGCGGGGCGGGCACCACGGTTCTTGGTCGAGCCGTGGACCTTGCGGAGACGGCCAACACCGACGGTCTTGCGCATGTAGATGTGGCGGGCGACGGCGGCAGCGCGGACGTAAAACCTTTATAACAGACAGAAATGTTAACAGAGTTGCTTTGATTGGCGGTGTTTGTTATTCGAGGAGTCGTACCAGTCAGCATCCTGGGGAGGGAGCTCGTTGGAGGCAGAGGTCTTGACGGTGTCAACCCAGCCGGGGATGGGGAGCTTTCCCTGACGCTTCAGGAAAGCCGAGTAGGCGGCAATGAACTTCTGAGCCTGTAAAGAAGGAAGATAGTCTGTTAGCATTGCTGTTCGTCGATCGAGTTTGAACCCCGTGTGGTCGGGCGCAGTGTGCAAAATTGTAGATGTGTCGGGTTCGTCTTCGGAGGCAGTTCCATCTCCTGTCGCAATGGTGCAGAATTCTCACTCTGCCGTTGAGCGCAGGGTCTTCGCAGCATGCGTTTCACCCCGGGTTCTTGAGTGGCAGACACGGGTCTGTCATATCAAGTCCACGAAGAATCACAGATCTTGATAATCCTCCCACGGCCAGCAGAATCTGCAGTCGCTGGAGCCAGAACTCCCAGAATACGCAGGCCGTGCCCGTGTTGCTCGTATACCCATTGCCTCTGCCGGTCCTGCCTCCTCAAGACGAACCAATCCAACCATCCACAATCATGCACACCAGTCGATGACCAGGCGAAACAAAGGCCATCAGAATCGAAGGCCACTTACGTCCACATCGCGAACGGTAACACCACCCATTTTTGCGGTCTCGAGGGGTCCGAAGAGGGCGTAGGGGGAAAGAGTCGGTTGGCGGAAGTCGAGGTGGGCAGGGTCGAAGTCCAAAATTTCGAGAGACACACAACTCGCCCCGTTTGGTCTGCGTGGTGGTCACGACTGTGTGCCGTGGGTTCGCTTAGCCTATTTGGGTTAGCCGTACCCTAAGCTCGGTCATGTGATCTTATACTGTTGAGGCCTGGAAGGCAAGGCGGTAAGGCAATAACGTTAATTGGCACCACTTCGACACCCAGTATTTAAGGCAGAGAGATAGTTAACTTAGTACAATATGGGTGGCCTGTGAGTGCCGTTGAAAGAGCCAGGGTCAGAATCAACATCAAAAGTAACGCAATGCTTCCATGATTCGTATCCTAATCGCACACATCTATCACTCATAGGAAAATAATAAAGTAATCGTTTCTCATAACCCCCCAAAAGACGCAAGCAAGAACAAACACTCGACGCGAAATGCCTTGCCTTCAAATCCAAACAACCCATCCCCACCCCCACCCAAGAAACGCCGTGATAAATAACAGATGAAAGAGATAGATATGTCAAATTACAAAGTGGGCGCCCTCTTCAACCCGACACAATACCGTACAAAGAGCGTATCAATGAAATGCCCATGCCGGATCCCAGGGGGCCGGCACCGATTGAACTCGTCAATCGCGTCCTGGACGCCATAGCCCAGCCGCTCGATGAGGTAGCAGACAATCAGGAACCCGGTGCGGTTGTACCCGTAGTGGCAGTGGACGCCGACCAAGGGTCGTGGCAAGGTGGTGTCCTCCTGCTTCTCCATCCGGTCGTCGATCTCCTTCTGGAGTCGATCGACCAAGGCGATGAAGTCGCGGGTCTCGTCGGGAGTTGGAGGAATCTTGGACACGGTCGGGTACTTGCAATAGTGGATGCCGCCCTTTTCCAGGGTTGCCGGGTTGTAGACTGGGTTTTCGTGGCTGATGTCGATAACAGCATGGATGCGGCCGTGATATTTCCGAGAAAAAAGCACTGGGTTGTGCTCTTCATCGACCTCGCGAAGCATCTTGAGCGCAGCAAAGGTGTTCGCGATCGGCTGGGAAACGGGCGCGACCTTTTTCCATTTGGCGAGGTTCTTTACGTCCCATTTTCCCGATGTGTTCATGTATTGGAGTTGCCAGCCCAGGCCGAGACGCTTGTCAATGTTCTGGGACAAGAAGTCCTGGATAATGCCTGCAAGGGTGCGGTAGGTTGCTCGATCGTAGAGTAGAGCATGGGAGGCTGGTGCGGGCAAGATAGCCGATTTCACTAGTCGCTTGCGATCAACACCAGCGTGGTCGGTTTGTACCATCAGCTTTTCACTATCGGCTGGCTGGATGCCAAACTTCTCCTCGTGCGCAAGACCAGTGGAGGTTACCGACACCTGGTCATGGACTCGCGAGGCATCGGGGATGATGCTGCTTCCGCTAGTATCAATGCTGGTATGAACGGATGCATCTCCAAAGAACTTGAGAAGCTTCTGGATCTCCACCGGCTTGGTCACAGAGTCTGCTTCTCCCGCGACTAAGAGGATCGGCATCTGAACGCCAGCCCAGACTTTCTCGCCAGGAATACCCCCGATGGGCTCACCCTTATTGTAAACCGGGAGCGTGCCCCATGCCATACGGCGCCAGACGGGCGTCCGGCTCTGCTTGTTGTAACGAACTTGAAGACCTCGCGTCTCTTCGTCTGCATCGTTGCCAACCATCCTCATTACACTCGTGCTCTGAATACCGCCGCGTCTGTCCCAGAGACGCCACAAGTCGAAGAGTGGGCCAGGGATATGCAACAGGCGGCGGAAGGTTGCGGCTTCTTCTGCCGATGGAGGCGATGCGCGGGGACAAATCGCGATCAGTCCCAAAATGTGCTCCTTCAGGCTCTTCCCAATTGGGGAGGCCGACGAAGCAAGCAGAGCAGAAAGAGAACATCCCAAGCTGTGGCCCACTAGGACCACACCCTGTCCACCATCCCGATCGCGGTGTCTCTCGATCGCCACCGCAATCAACTCGGCCAGCGCTTCCACGGTATATGCGTTCCACTCTGTGGGTGCGAACTTAGAAAGGCCACACCCTGGCAGATCAATGCCGAAGCATGATCCAACATTCGAAAGACTTGTAAGTAGATGATGGAATTGAGCAATAGACCCACCCAGCCCATGGATGAATACTAGCAGCGGAACAGGAGATGGCTTATTAGGAAGGCGGTTGAGGTTTGGGTGCGGGCAATAAAAGGTTCGAACGGCTGGATAGGTCGTAACAGAGGTAGTGTAGGAGGCATAGGAGGAGAATTTCCTGAGAAGACCAGGGTCTGTTTTGGAAGCTGCAATCGAGTCAGTGTCTACCGTGGCAGAAATACCGGCAGAGAAGATTATCTTACCATCGGAGGTCTGCTGCTGAGGTTGGGACGACCACGAGGTGGCCTTGCGATGAGGTTCAGTCCCATGATGCAACGAGCCGTTGCTATCGTAGTCCTCATCCTCGTAGTCATCCTCAGACGATGTAAGTGTCCTAGTCGAAGACCTGGTCGAGCGCTTGCGCAGCGACAACCGCGGCCGGGAAGAAGATTTCTTCTTCTCGGACGACCGACTGCGCCGGACGAACGAAAGCAACCCACAGCCGGCCATGGTGATCACGCAAGTTGTCAAGAACACTACTTGGCCCCAATTCACGTTCTCATTGCGGTAGAGGGAGCGAAGGCAGTGTGTGACGGAGGACAAAGAAGCCTGTTGGGCAGCGATGCGCGCCGAGTGATACAGGTGCAGGACGGCTGATAAGCCCAAGCGATTGAATGATTGGAAGGACAGGGACTCGTAGAGAGCGAAGATCGAGCCGGCGGCGCCATTGCTCCCCATGACTAGGGCGGCTTAAGTAGCTCTTAGCTCTTACTCTTGCAGACAAGCGCAAGAGTGAGTCCCCAGGGTTCTGGACCCCGGGAATGTCGAGAACTTGAGACCACGCGAGGGCGCAACGGGAGCTGCTTGGATGCGGTGGAGAGATCGCCCCGGGGAGGCGAACGCAACGACGCCAATGGGAGGCGCTCGATCGACAACGTTGGGAGGTGAAGGAAGGGAAGCCACGGAAGAAGGAAAAGCAATAGACTCGGCCACTCACATTCTCGGGCGGCGCAGCGTGGGGGAAACAACGTGACTCACAGGGCCCACTTAGGGGCTGCACATGACGAAATCGAGGGCTATCGCTGGTCTTGCACTTCTTCTTCTAGTTCTTCTAGAAGCTAATGCGTGAACTATTCAAGTGGGGAACCCTTTAGGTTCATTTTATGTTTTGTTTATTATTGTGCCAGAATTAGTGGATTCGAATCGTGAGAAAACACTCCCCCCTGACATGACCTCCTCACCCCCTACCTCCTATTCTCTCTCCTTTCCCCTTTACCCTCTAAAAAAGGTCCGTCATGGCTCCATGCGACGCATCGCCCACCAGCCGCGCGTACTTGGCCAGCACTCCCCGAGTAATCTGCGGCTCGGGTGGCGACCATTGGCGGCGCCGCTCCCGAAGCTCCTCATCTGATACATCCATAGACAGCTCGTTGGTTTCGGCACTGATGGTGATCACGTCCCCGTCGCGGACTAACCCAATTGGACCCCCCACGGCCGCCTCGGGCGTAATGTGTCCGACAATGAAGCCATGACTGGCCCCAGAGTAGCGGCCATCCGTGATGAGAGCAATATTCGTCAACTTCGCACCCATCAGGGCGGCACTGGCCTTAAGCTGTTCCGGCATGCCGGGCCCACCCTTGGGGCCCTCATAGCGGACAATCAGGACCAGATTCTCCCCACGTGGGATGCGGCCCTCGTCCAGGGCGTCGTTCAACTGTTTCTCCTTGTCGAACACCCGAGCCTTGCCAGTGAAGCTGAGTCCCTCCTTGCCTGTAATCTTGGCTACCGCTCCGCCGGGGGCGAGGTTACCGCGCAGGATCTGGATGTGGCCCGTTGCCTTGATGGGGTTGTCCAATGGGCGAATAAGAGCCTGGTCCTGCGGCAGTGACGGGAATGATTCCACGTTCTCGGCTAGCGTCTTGCCGGTGACGGTGGGGATCCCACCGTCCAGGAGACCCCCAGCGATCAGCAGCTTCTGGACGGATGGAATACCGCCAATTTCATAGAGATCCGCCATATAGTATTTGCCACTGGGGGATAGGTTGGCAATAAAGGGGATCTTGTTGCTAACCCGCTGGAAATCATCCAATGTAAGGTCCACACCCGCCGTGCGTGCCATAGCCAGGAAATGGAGCACACCGTTGGTGCTACCGCCCAGAGCCATGGTCATCACAAGCGCATTCTCAAAAGACCGCTTGGTCAACAGATCCCGTGGGCGGATATTCTTCTCCAGGCAGATCTTGATGGCATCAGCCACGCGGACACACTCGCGCATTTTAGACGGCGACGAAGCAGGGGTAGACGAGGACCCAGGCAGAGATAGGCCCATAGACTCGATGGCGGTGGCCATCGTGTTGGCCGTAAACATACCACCGCAGGCACCGGCACTGGGGCACGCGTGCTGCTCGAGGTCGTCCATAATTTCATCCTTTGTCTTGCTAGTATCACCACCATCATCGGGCTGGCGGAGTGTATCATATGCATAAGCGCCAGCCGCCTCAAAACAGGTCGAGATGTTGATGGGCTTCCGGAGATGTTTTGAGTAACCGATATTGATTGTACCGCCGTAGATCATGATCGAAGGGCGGTTGTGCCGGGCCATTCCCATCACAACACCGGGCATATTCTTGTCGCAGCCGGGAATCGCGATACAGGCATCGTGGTACTGGGCGCAGGTAACAGTCTCGACACTATCGGCGATAATCTCACGAGTCTGAAGCGAGAATCTCATGCCTTCGGGTACACACTTAGCTTCGTATTCGATCTGCTGCTCTCTTCGCCTAACATACCGTCGCTGCCCATTGTGATCGCATCCGAGACACCAATTGTATTATATTGCCAGCCGATCATGCCCTTCTCGACAATTGCTTTCTTGGCTGTCTTGCCGAGATCCAACAAGTGCATGTTGCACGGGTTGCCCTCCCACCAGACGGAAGCAATGCCCACATGCGGGCTTTTGGCCATTGCCTCCTTGTCCGGAACGCCGGCCGCGAAGAGCATAGCCTGTAGCAGTCAGCATTGAGCATAGCCATTAGTTGCAAAGGTTCCGATATACCCGCGCGCCAGGAAATTCATGGCCTCTGGTGATCGTCGACGAGTGCCGGTTGAGTGCGGGGGAGCCGTCCGGGTGTTTGGCATCAGTGGGCAGGCTGGGGAAGTTGATGTATTTCGGTTCGGCCAGCTTGCTGGGCTCAGTCAGCTGGGCAGGATCCATGATGAACTGAATTGAGGAGATATATAGAAGCTCAAGACCAGAATGGACGACGGTGGCTCAGGAAGCAAACATCCGCCTTTCCCCCGGGAACGCGACCCGCTCGCAGATAAGTCCGACTGCGGTGGACCCCGCGTTCGTCGGCCAGTCAGTGGGGCTGGATTGCTCATATTCTCCGGCTCGGTCTCGGCAGGCGCTCAGTTGCGGGGGGAACTGTGGACTCATTGAACATTGCTGGAACAAGAAATCGATCATTGTGAAAGAGTAATTTCGACAGGAGCCAGTCTCCTCAGGATTTCCTGTCTACGATCTATCGGCACCGGTAGTACCAGAAGCAGCCCAGAGAGAGGGGGAGACGAGGATGGAGAGCACAAAGCACCTCGGCAGTGATTGAAGATCTCCCGACGTTAAAAAAAGCAATATAGACCATCTAGACTCACATCTCTATGAACTAGAAAAGGCAAAGAAGACGTTCCTGCCATATACCATATGTGCCTCCCCAAAACCATGCTGCCTGGTACTTAGGAATGACCCTCACATTCCCTTGCAAAAGAACTGTCAAGACAAAAAAGGGCCAAGTCCTAGGCAAAATGATCACTAGACCAAAAATGCACTATAGACAACATTCTTAGTCTACACCGTCATCTATTGCTCTGACAAGAACTAACTCGATTAGGTGTAACGTCATAGCCAGACCTCGTGGCGATTCCTTTGTCCATACCCCTCAGCTTACATCCATCTCAACATCCATCCGAAACATCCCCGGGATCACGGCAAATATCCTGTTGGTACGCCCCTTGAACACGACAGCTTTTGCGCTCAGACAATCTATAAACTTAAAGGCATTATGACCGACATTACTATCGCCCAAGCGATCGGGACGCTGGGCTGCAGCTTTGCCGCTGGTAAAAACGCCCCTCTGCGATGAGTTCTATCTTAGGGGCACGGTGGTGCTGATAATTATGGATGCATTGAACAGGCGGCGTCATGACTATCTCCATTATGGGCATACCAAGCCTTGCCCTCCCTGCACGCCACCCACCTGGCGCAACGCTTCCGGCCGGCGAGAGGCCCGGGACGCCCGTTGCTCATCTAACGCACCAGTGGCTCGCGGTCTACGAGCGCGGAAAGCGCATCTATCCTGCAATATCGATAGTGGCCTCCCTGGCTAACGGGTACCTCGCCTGGGCACTGCGAGGAACACCGGCTCCAGCGTCCATCGGCCAGTCTTGGACGAGCCTATACGTCACAGCCGCCGTGGCAACGTTGGGCATACTGCCTTGGACAGTGGCGGTGATGAAGAGCACTAATGACCGACTGCGGGTGCATGCGACGCGCGACGATGCAGCGCTGGCAGAAGGCACGCAGGGGATGGTGTTTAGCACCACGGAGAAGGCTCGCCGAGCGAAGGAGGATGATGAAGTGCCTGGGCTGTTGTGGAAATGGGCCGAGCTGAATTTCTACCGATCATTGTTTCCATTAGTTGGGGCCGCCATTGGCTTCTGTGGAGCGGTCTGGATGAAATAGAGCTTTATGGGCATGAGGTGTTATGTACATGGTAGAAATAATAATGGGTGGGTATCGTGGGGAATATCTAATAACAGGGACTGCGATATTGTGATCTTGCGCAACAGCTGGGCCGGAGAGGTGTATAGACAATGCGTAGAAGGTAGACGCGAAGACCAAGAAGCGATAGCAGTATGCTTAAAACTTCTCCTGGTCTTCGGCAGAGCCATTTGCTGCAGTTGTAGTATGCTCATCCTCGGCGGGTTCCTTCTCTTCAGTGGACCACTGGCCGGAATGCTGCAAAGCTTCGTCAGCGGTAATTTCCTCTAGGGGACTGGACTTCCCAGGCTTTCCCTGAGTCTCGTCTGTCTCCTGAGTATCGCCGCGTGGCTCGTCGTCCATGACGAACCCGACAATCTTGCCAGTGCCGGGCTGTGATCGAGCCTCTTCTAGCACATCGCCATTCCATGGCTGGCATTTCTTCACAACCTCACCACATCGGAGACAGATCCAGCCTTGGCCTTCTTCCGCCTCCAGCTTTTGCACAATACAGACAAAGCAATAGATGCAGCCACAGGGAATTGTCTCATACGGATTAGTGATGTCGGTCTGTGCGGAGCCGGAGATTCCACCCGCTCCCGCGGAGGCTGCCAGAACATCGCTTTCCGTCGTCGCAGCGGGGTTCTGATCCCGATAACAGATTGCACACGTCCGTTCCGGAAGGAAGGCCAGTTCTCCCTGCTTCTCGGTCGCCTCCTCATCATCCCCGCTCGACTTAAGCGCGTTGACCATTTTCCGCCATGCGCGAGACACCCATCGCTTCCAGCGACTAATCCCAACGAGAGGAAGCAAGAACAGCAGGAATTCGGTGAATGCGTGCCAGACCAGCTGCCGGTTAAGGTATTCGAAAGAAACCTCCCGACTGGCCTGAGCAGATGGTGGTGTGAGGCGAATGCGGAGGATGCGATCGACGAGGGTTCGGTAGCGACCGTTCACCAGAAATACCAGGAATGAAACGAAGGCGGCGATGGAGTGTGTCGTGGAGACCAAATCCGTAATGCGTGAGAACATTCGGACGTCCTGTGATGGCTTCATGCAATTGTCAGCAAGGATATCAATCTTCCAGCAAGTAGAAAGCAGTAGAATACTTACCTCTTCATAGCCACCTTCCTGTCCAATCAACCAGCTCTCCCACTTGTCCCAGGCATAACGCCCACCGACAGTCAGTAAGCCGTACATTGCCTTCTGCCACTTTGTGGGAGAAGAGTGGACGGGGCCCTTGCTTCGGCTATCAGTGTATTGGAGACCCTGTAGGGCCGCTCCATATGACGCATTGTGGTCCCAAATCGAGAGTTTGAAGAGAATCGCCCGTAGCGCGAATTGGATCTCATGTGACCAGTCCTCTCGCATTTGAGGCTGTTATGATGTTAGCTTCTCACACAGACAGCAAGCAACAGTGCTTTAGAAGATACTCCTGCATACCCCAAAGTATTTCAGCGCATCCCCGACCTGACCTTTCATCAAGCCCAGCAGCTCCTCATCCAGCAACTCGGCATCGACCTGGCCGACACGAAATGCCGGGCGCGTCCCGTCTCGGCCTTTGACTGAATTCCATAGCATCCATCCGGCACCTGGGACACGATTCAGCGGGTAAGGCAGGCGCTGGACGGCGGCAGGGTCGATCGGAGATGCCCGTTGCTGTTCCGCACGGCGGGCACGCGCTTCCGCCTCGCGAAGGCGTCGGCGCTCGAGAACCCGCTCCTGTGCAGCGGCGAAGTTTGTCGAGCTCATCGTATGATCATGATGTGGCTATCCGGGGATAGAAAGGGAAACGATGGGGGAGCGGAGGAGAGGGTGGATGGTGGGCCCATGGGCGCTCGGCTTCCCCAGACGCGGAGCCGAGGTTAGATCCACGTGACCTCTCCATCTGGAGTAATCCACCGTCTTTGAGAGCTGGGAGAGTGGCACGGAAGGAGTGGGAAATACAAAACGATATTTGGAAATGTTTGTGTTCATCAGATCAGATCATACTTTGGGTAGTCCAACATTCTCCATGAACGTGGGCGACAGGATAACCGTTAACAAACCCCGCGGGTCCTCAACCCAATATACTTCTGAAGCATCTTCACACCGAGTCCTGGCAGGACCTTCACATCAGAGCAAGCGGGACAAAAGAGAAAAGTAGATCACACAAAGGTTTTCTCTCAAAGCAGAAAACTAAGAGTACTCGGATGAAGGATGCATACTCGACATTCGACCAACTGGCTCCAAAAGAACTCGCCGAACTGCCAGCACCGCGCCGATGCTTAAAAAACCCCAAGAATACATGGAGTCAAACGGCTGCCTATCCTGGATCAATGTCAGAAATTAAAAATCTTATAGGTTGCATCTCGTTGGAACCGTCTGTATATGTGCAGTCCTAGATTGAATTGAACAAGGGGCTGCTTGGGAAGGGAAGTTTCCGCCTGTCAGGGAATTTCATGATTTGGGGAGTCAAGGCCTGTGTGATTCGGGGTGATTATCACGATGGATGTATTTTCCAGTTCGCTACCCAAGAAGCCCATGGTAGAAATCATTAGTCTAGACCATAGTTCAGCGGGAGAGAGATTTTTGACAATACTTCTGCCTAGACTTGCAAGCCAAATTCAGGATTTGACTGCACCAGAAGACACGCAATTGGACTGCGTATCTCTCACATCCACTACAGGGCTCAGGACGTTCGCGAGTCCGACAAGCCATCGATATTGCCCTAGTTCGAGCTGCCAGAGCGATTCGATGGGACCAGTGAGGTATCCAGTGAATCACATACGCAATATAGTAGGATGCTGATTGGTCGCCGAACCAACTGTTCGTGGTGAGCATACAAGATACCGCTAGTAATCGGACGAGTCCGCAGGCTCTCCACCTCGGCAATCTCCTCCGAAAACGAAAGAAGGCTTCTGGAGGTGCCCCACGAATTAGCAGTCGAGTATTACTACTTCTTCCACGCGGTGCTTATCTGAGCCTTACGAGGATGAGACAGACGAGTACCAGCCGTCATGCACACGTGTGGGATGCTGCCATGACATGAATTAGAGCAAAGGATCAATCTTATAGCAAGTCTTGAAACTGGTGCCACCACCTCCACTCAATTGTTTTTCAAACTTTATTACCGATATACACTAGTTCATACATATTATATCCACTGCAAGTGACCTAGAACAAACGTAATGAGAGAAACAGAACAGATCAACGTGCTTATTTTGTCGCATTGTATGGCCCCTCTCCTGAATCCTCGGCTTCATTTCTCTTGACAATCTTGAGAAGCCTAGGGCCGTTCTCACCGTCTTCCACTTTGAGTCGAGTGTCTGCCCAGTCGGGATATTTCTATATATTTTTCAGCCTCAGAACCTCGAGGATGGAGGAAATAGTCAAGTAGTGAGTATTGATGAGCAACCCAAGTACTGGCTTAGGTTGTTTTCACTATTTTTGCTCGACAGCTCAACAAATTATGGACTGACCTTCGACCACGCAAAGAGTGTGAGTCTCTTTATCACCTGCGATGCGCTTACACAGCCGATGATGAAGGGAATAAGCTGTCCCGTTGTATTTATGGTATTAACGCTGTGGATGTTGTTCCAGTGGATCGTGTACTCAATACTAGTGATAAACCAGACGATGCTTAGGAACATATAGACGTTCCACAGCACACAGAGAGCTCGATGACGGAATCTATTGTTAGGCACATGATAAGAGACCTATCCCCACAGGATAGGTGTGCTATGACGGTCTCACTTACCTAGCCTTTTTCCAACCCGACATCAACCCCACACTATCCATAGGAAATGTAGTCTCCGTCTCATTCTTCGTCACTTTCCCTGTCCCGAGCGAGACACAGACCTTGATCACATCTGAGAAGCGGATTGCCTTATCCTTTGGCGTAGCTAAGAATCCCAGTACGTCCATGAGTGTTATGTGACTCAAAGGACCTAGTGGCAAGGGGAAATACAACACACCCAGAACGGGGATCCCTTGCTGTTCAAGTAATGGATTGATCCGGTCGAGCGCTGATTGAAAGGCCTGTTGTGGGATTGGGCTCAAGAGATAAAGAAAGTCGCGGTACAGAAACAGACATGTGTACCACCAAAGCTCTATCATTAGGTGTAAGAGGAGCAAAGTTGCCGGAAAGATGATAACGGCAATGACGATGGCAGCCACACGACAGAGGACAAAGACAGTGCCTTCTAATCGCTGCTTAGAGAAGAGAAATATGTAAGGAGGTCCGCAGCCCTGTCTAGGTGGTTGCTGCGCACCATTGCCCACAGAGTCAAACCAGAATGCCAGGTTATACGAGGCAACCAGAGCAGCTATGATCAATCTCCAAATTACCCCCGACCAAGAGAGACCAGGGGCCTTCCAGGTCGATAACCCCTTGAGAGAGATCTTAAGGGGCATGATAATCGGTGGAGATCCTACCCATAGCTCTCGTACCCACGACTTCCACGTGCGTGTTGTAAGCTTCTCTAATAAGCAAGACAGTCTAGCTTTTCGAGAACCCCAAATTGATTTGAGCACCGTCCTTATTGTTGTTTCCATTTTAGCAAGCCGGTCAGGGCTCATGAACCACAAACGTATGCCCAACGTGCTCAAAGTAGTGACAAAAGAGCCAAGCATGAATTGCAACATGAGGTATATCTCGATGAGCACTGCTCCCTGTTGCGCTGCGATGATAGTTGCCACCAGTATAGCGAAGACAAAAACTGAATTAATGTCGTAGGTAGTTTGCGCAGATTCTGGGTCTAAAAGCAGGCTGATCCATGTCGAGATCCACTGCAGATAAACTCCGATCCTAATACCGAGACCGTATAGGTCGGAATTGCCATCGAATGATGTGCAGGTATTCATTTTAACGGTAATATATCTAAGATACTGTTAGTTCAAATGGAAGTCCCTTTGTATGGGAGCTATGTTGCAAGGTCTGACCTTCAGTAACGCTGAGAAGAGAAGGAGGTAGAAGAGGCCAGTCGCCAGGTTGGGAGTACGACTGTAGAGCCGTATTGGAGTTTCCTGGAGAACACATATATTGTTGTGTACCTCACTTACTTTTGGTAAACACTGAGCTTACTATGAAGTCGTCGTTCGGACATGAGGTAAGTGACTTCCCCGCAAGCTCCTTTTGTTTGTTATGTTTGCACTTCTAATTATGGAATATTTTAGCCGACCTATAGAGTGAGGAGACATAATATCATGCATAATCGATAGTAGAATATAGTTGGTGACACTAGTTTCGAGACGCGCTGTAACATGCTCCTTAAACTCTCATTGACTTTGGGACATTGACCACGATGCGAGGATGAACCCCGTGCACAAGAGAGATTGCCCATTTTTATATATAATGCACACTGGGTGGGGGATTGGCGTCGAAGATTCATAATGCACTTGGTGGAAAGCCTGTTTCTAGCGCCAGTGATGGTTGATGTAGGACGTCGATGTAAACAGGGCGTCGATGGTGGGGCCAGCTTGCGCCCACGCTTTGGAACCTGCTTTCCAAGTTGCCCCGGCTAAGTGGGTCCCCGGTAAGCTAATCAGAGGGTCCTATTCACCACCGTGGGAATAGCTTCCACGATCATTCAGCAGTGCCTTCGCTCCACATAGTATACAACCGGCCTTCAACAGTCCTCCCACACTCTCCCGTACCAATCGCGGGGTACAGAACCAGGACCCTGGACAAGCAGTCATGAGCACTCATAAGCACTAAACTGCGCTACATTGTGGATACCTGCCAAGGCACTCCCATGGCTCAAGAGCGGCTGTAACCTTGCGGGCGAGGGCTCACGATGTTCCCATTACCGTTGATCTAATTGGCGGGTCGTGGTGACCGTACAACAAGGTAGTCTGTATAGTACCAGGCATCGCAAGATCACGTGCGTGGGGAAGCTTCCCCGTATGAACCGAACCTCTCGCATATCCCTTCCCTTTTTATTCTTCGGCGTGATTCTCTTTCACCTTCCAGCACCCTCTACCTTCGCTTCTGCCTCTGCTGGCTAGATTCATTGACACACAACGGTACACACTCGCTACAATGAAGGCTGTCATTGCCACAGTCCTAGCCGCAGCCACTCTGGTTCGTGCCCAGGTTGCGACTACCTCAGAGCCTTCAGTCTCCGATATCAACAAGGCGGCTGCCACCACTCTGCCCGAGTCTCCCACCTCCAACGTCCAGGGTGTCGCCTTCAGCCGCTTCTACCAGGTCTGGCTGGAAAACATTGACTACGAGGATGCGGCCGCGGACTCCAACATGCAGTGGCTGGCGAGCCAGGGTATCCTGCTGTAAGTGATCAGCATCTGTCGGCTACGATGGACTCATCGCTCAAATTTAATCCTAGGACCAATTTCTACGCGCTTACCCACCCGTCAGAGCCCAACTACTGTGCGGCTGCTGGTGGTGACACCTTTGGCATGGACAATGATAACTTCAACCAGATCCCTGCCAATGTCTCCACAGTGGCCGATCTGCTCGACACCAAGGGAATCTCGTGGAGCGAGTACCAGGAGCACAGTCCCTACCCGGGCTTCCAGGGCTTCAACTACTCCAATCAGAAGACCTTCGCCAACGACTACGTGCGCAAGCACAATCCCCTGGTTCTCTACGACTCCGTTGTTCAGAACGAAACCCGTGCCCGCCAGATCAAGAACTTCACTGAATTCGAGCATGATCTCTCTGACAAGAAACTTCCGCAGTGGGCTTTCATCACTCCGAACATGACCAATGATGCTCACGACACCAACATCACCTTTGCTGCCAAGTGGGAGCGCAGCTGGATGTCTTCGCTGCTGAAGAACGACTACTTCATGAACGACAGTCTCATTCTCTTGACCTTTGATGAGGACAAAACTTATAGCAAGACGAACCGTATCTTCAGGTATGTCCAAATTGTGAATTGGGGCAGCAGATAGCTACAATGGAAGCTGTTACAGAGCCACTCCCTTTTCCTCCTTATTGATCATTGGCTGACTGGGACAGTGTGCTCGTTGGTGGTGCCATTCCTGATAACCTTAAGGGTACCAAGGACGACACCTTCTACACCCATTATTCGTCAATTGCCTCTGTCAGCGCAAACTGGGGCCTGCCTTCTCTCGGCCGTGTAAGTAAAGCGAACACCTCAAAAAAGGAAGCAATTGACTAACTGAGGATTTAAGTGGGACTGTGGTGCCAACATATTCGAGATCGTTTCTAACAAGACTGGCTACGCCAATTACGACGTGAACATCACTAACCTGCGTCTGAACGAGACCTACCCCGGCCCCGAGTCGGCCGGCGAGCTCTCCAAGTACTCCCCTACCTGGCCCGTCCCCCTGACCGACGGCAAGTGCTCGGCAGGTAACGGTATCCTGGATATCGTCAAGAAGACCTACTCCGGCAAGACCGCCACCTACAACTACACCAGCCCCTACCCCTGGGACGCCAAGGCCGACTACAACACCAAGGTCACTATCACTCGCAAGTTGAACTCGACCCGCACCTCCTCGTCGGCTGCCGGCACCTCGACTACCGGCGCTGCTGCGGCTGTTAATGTCTCCGGTTTCACCGTTGTGACCGGTGCTCTGGTGGCTCTCTTCGCTTCTCTGCTCTAAGCGCTTGACGCTCTTTTTCTGCCACTTTTCGAAACGGGCTCTCAGGCTAGTGGTTGAATTATTCGATCACGATTACGCATTTATGAGCCTGCTTCAGTCGGCAAGAATAGTTTATCGTATTTCTTCCGAGATTAGAAGCGGAACTGGGGAGGGGTTTCCCATTCCGCCTTATGCCTTAATGTCCTATCAGCAATTTTGCAATGCAATTTACGAAATATTTGCATTACGTATGATTAGATTTCCTCTGCCATTCCTGAAGATCTTCTCCATGAGTAAAGACATGTTCGATGTGTACCATGGCGTATAGATCACCCTCCGCCCTCAGAAAAGCCCTTGAGAACCCTGCCCAGACTTGATCAGAATCGACTTGGTCTGAAGGAAGTTCTCAATGCTATACAGCATGCCCTCCCTTCCATTCCCACTCATCTTATAACCCCCAAAAGCAGCATCCTTTGCATTAGTCGGGCTAGTACAGTTCACACCCACAGTGCCCGCCTGCAGCGCCTTCGACATGCGCACCGCGCGATCCAAATCCTTTGTGAACACTGAGGCATATAGTCCGAACTCGGTATCATTCGCCTTCCACACAGCCTCCTCCTCCGTCTTGAACGTGTTGATCGCCACCACAGGTCCAAATACCTCCTCTCGCATCAGCCGCGAGTCCTCGGGAACCTTCTCGAAGATGGTCGGCTTTACGAAGAACCCGTCGTGCGCATCCCCACCCTGCGTCAGCGAGCCATCTTTCTCTCCTACGCCCAGATACTCCTGCACACGCTTGTACTGGGCGGCGTCAATCTGCGGTCCATGCGAAGTTGACGGGTCCAGGGGATCGCCCAGCTTGACAGCGGCGAACTTTTCGCGAAAGACCGCGATGAACTTGTCGTAGACACTTTCTTGCACATACACCCGGCTGTTTGCGACACAGACTTGTCCGCTGTTGAATTGAATGCTGAACTGGGTTTCCACTGCTGCTGCCTCGATGTCGGCGTCTTCGAAGACCACGGCTGGCGATTTGCCGCCTAGTTCCATGTGCACGTGCTTCATGTTAGACTTTGCGGCTGCAGCTTGGATTTTTTGGCCTGTCAGCGAGGATCCGGTGAAGCTGATGACGCGCACAGCCATGTGCTCAGCCAGAGCGGCGCCGGTCGGGGCACCGAAGCCGGCGATGATGTTGACGACGCCTGGGGGAAAGCCGGCTTTTTGGAAGAGCTTGGCGGCGAAGATTGACTGATATTGGCCGGGTTAGTACGTGTTTATCGTGATAGAATTACTGGAAACGGATACACTGACCGTCAATGGCGCCTTCTCACTGCTCTTCAGCACAACTGTATTCCCCGCTGCCAGCGCTGGCGCAATCTTCATGGTAAACATCACCAGCGGGAAGTTCCACGGAATTATCAGCCCTGCAACGCCAAACGGCTCCTTCACTGTCAAGCTCAACAACCCGGGCGTGTGTGTGCTCGCCGTGCCCTGCGCAGTCCACACGCCATCGGCGAAGTACCGGAACAGCCCCGACGACATTCCAGCATCGATGAACTGCGAAATGGGACGGCCGGTGCATAGCGTCTCGAGACGGGCTAGTTCGTCATTGGCCTCGGCGAAGAGCTCGGACATTTTGCGCAGGTATGGGGCGCGTCCGTCAACGCCGAGGTCGCGCCATGCTGGGAAGGCTGCGTCGGCGGCGGTGACGGCATCGTTTACATCGTCGATGGAGGCTTGGTGGACTGGGGCACTTTATTAGAAAGGGTGAGCTTATTGTATGGGGTTGCAGCAGATATACCATTTGCGATGACTTCCTTGGTGTAGGGGTACACGACCTCAAAAGTCTTTTTGTCTGAGGATTCGCGGAACTGGGACAGAGGGGTTAGTATGAACAGCTTATCCAATGCGGCGGTGATCTCATACCTCGTTGTTAATGAACAACCGAGTTTCAATCGGCTCCGATGGTCTAGCAGCCATGATGTTGATGGTATGGTATCTTGCGACTCTCTTACTTGGTTTTAAGTGTCGGTTGAAGGCAAAGACCTGGCCAAAAGATCCCGGAAATAGCGACCAAGCCAGATAATATAGCTGCTGGCCCGTCCGACACCATTTTTTTTTAGACATGGAGAACCCTGCATAACCAATCGCTGCCATTGGCGGCGCCTCTACCCATCTGCAACCCCTCAGTATATTGTTCTAGAACACGCGTCGCCCTACGGAGATTCTACGAATGGACCAATACTTGAGCAGACTTCCCTGGGCTGACAGGATCTGACCGGATGTAATCAGTGCTGGACGTAGACGTAGCGTCGTATTTCCTCTAATTAGACACCTTTGCGAGAATGTAGTCAGCTTGATTATGTACAGCCACGACAGGGTGGGATAGAAGTGGAGTAAGCGTTGGCTGGGAGCTGGATGAATACCGTAAATGATAGCTGCAAGGGGGATTTGAAAAAACTTTTTAGTGGATTTGTTGAATATGAGGCGTAAGCTTTGGCGGCGTAGCCTGCTTGGCGACGGTCGGCGATACGTACGGGCTTAGGTCGGAGTTAAAATATGCACGGCAGCTGTGCATTTGGCTATGTAAATAGAGTTCATTGTCTCGGAACTAGATATGCAATTCAAAACAAAGAAATGCGTGGATATTTCTGTTGGAAGGTTTGGCGAGATAATCTTGTGCTTTTGTCATAGCAGGCGTGTAGACGAAGATCAAATTTGTAGTAACACATTATTTACGGCGCAATACCCCGACGCTTCATGTCCTGCAGATTGAGAGTATCTGGGTCGCCGGGCCGGTTCTCTGAATCGATCTTGATCTTGTCTTCGGGGCCTCCTGGGCCCTGGAAGTGCTCTGCTTTAGGGAGTCTGCCAAAAGGAAGAACCACGTCAACGCTGTACAGGATAAGATGGAGAATACATCGATAATTGGATACTTACCTGCCACGGTCATCCCGAGTACCACCCTCATCCTCAGGAACCGTACGGTGATCACTGCCAGAGGCAGTTGAGCCAGGACCATACTTGACACCTCGGGATTCAGGGAATCGCTGGTCAACCATCTCGTCGACGCCGGACTCGAGAGCTGGACGTTTATCAGTATTGATTAGCCAAGATGCTTGGAATATGACTGAACATACTTGAATCACTCTTGCGACCAACACCTTGCTTGGCCTGGTAGGAGTTTAGGTCATTCTCGGAATTGTATGCCGCCTGGCGCAGGTCTTCGAAATGAACCATCTTGTTGAACGAGATAGGGGTCAGATCGAAAATTCGTATAGATTGCAAGCCCAAACGATTCTTGAGAAGTTTGGTGAATGAAGTACTGAAGAAAACTTTTATGGGACTTCTCGAAATTGTGAATAAATACCTTACTTCTACAACGTACATGAGGCTCGAGTATTAGCATCATTTTACATCATAGATATGTCACGTTAGCTTATGAAAGCACCGAAAAGGGAAGGCAGGGGCACGGCGCAAGCTTTATCTGCTCCCAGACACGTCTTAAAACAACGGTTGGCCGGTATGATCAGTCTGGGCCCTGATCGTGGATCGCATTCGATGACCGCAGTGACTTCATAGTCTCCACTCCCTTGTCAAGCCCTAATTGAACCTCCTGATCGGGGCGGCTTGAGGGTCCAGCCCTAGGGCTGGCGGGCGACCGGCGGAATAATAGTCCGCGACGGATGAGGGGACCATAGCTGGAGGGCGGTAGAGCTCGAGTACAGGTGGGATGGGATGCTTTTATTGACGACCGCCTTAAGCGTCACGATTTCGACCAGTGCATATATTCATGGTCGACCTGTGACATATTGAACTAGTGCTCTTCTTTCGTGCTATTTGACCCCACTGGCACAGACCTCCAGTCCCGTTTGCTGCGACCAACCGCCCAGCATTACACCATGGCCCCGCTGATCGAGGTGCCTGGCGAGGCAAATCCATTGACGCATCGTAATGTTGTTGATGCGTTGGTTCTGGCCGCCAGCTCAACGCAGCAGCAAGTCATAACTGGAACCAAACAGCTCGAGAATTGGGAGCGGCAGGGACTGTACCATGCCATGCTTCAGGTTTGTTTGAGACCCATTCACGTCAACACGATTGCTTGACAAGCTGATTCTTGGTACTTATAGGACGTCTTTCTTGACCATTCCCTTCCGACTGAAGTCCGATACCTCGCTATTATCCGACTGAAGCATGGCATCGATCGATATTGGCGCAAGACGGCCACCAAGTACGTTTCCGACACCGAGATGCTCCGCGACGTGTCCGAGAACATATACTAATGCTGGATGGAAAGTGCAATTTCCAAGGATGAGAAGGCGCAGATAAAAACCAGAGCCCTGGAGGCTGGCGTAGAGGAGCCCGCCCGTCCGCTTGCTCTCCAGAATGCGTTGATGGTTGCCAAGATCTTACGCTATGAATTTCCTCATGACTGGTAAGATAAATACGTCCTGTTCTTGTGATTTTGATGCTGACTTCAGAAAGGCCCGACGCGATTACCTCGGTTATCACCTTCCTTCGGTCGTCGCTCCAACCTGGTGCCAACCCGCTGCAGCTCCCCCGAACCCTCCTCATCCTTTTACAAATCATTAAAGAGCTGTCAACTGCCCGGATCCAGAGAACTCGCGTTCACCTGCAATCTGTCTCCCCGGAGGTATTCCAGGTATTGGGTAGCATCTATGTGGACAAGGTCAGTCAGTGGGTCGGTATCTTGGAACAGGGTGGCTCGGACGAAACAGGCTTGGTCGAACTTGTTGAACAGAGCCTGGTATCACTCAAGGTGCTCCGGCGCCTGATTATTGCTGGATTCGAACACCCGGGCCGCGATCTGGACGTGCAGAACTTCTGGGAGTTGACCAACACGCACTTTAGTCGATTTCTCTCGCTCCTGGATGGGTCAGTTCAGCTGCCCGAGCTGGTCCACACAGCTATCGAGAAGCACATTTTGCAATTATCCAAGCTGCATGTTGAGATGGCGAAGATGCACCCCGCATCCTTCGCACTATTCGACAACAGTATCACCTTGGTCAACTCATACTGGTCATTGGTTGTTAAGCTGAGCGAAAACTACGTCAGCCTCGGTGCGGATATTGAGACGGAAGGAAAGTCCCTATTCGAAAAGGCTGGCCTCCGAGCCTTGCTCCTTATTAGAGCATGCGCCCGAATGGCTTTCAATCCGGTGCAAACATTCAAATATCAGACTCCGCAAGACAAGGAGGAACGCAAGCGGGCTGTTGAGCGGATCAAGACGCAGCTGTTTACCGAGGACTTTGTGATCAACGTCATGGAGCTGCTTGTTACACAGTTCTTCAGGTTCCGGAACATTGATTTCCAGGAGTGGGAGGAAGACCCGGAATCATGGGAGAAGAAGGAGGAGCAGAGCACTGAGGCTTGGGAGTTCTCTATTCGCTCGTGCTCCGAAAAACTCTTCCTTGATCTTGTCATCCATTTCAAGGACCTACTTATTCCGCGTCTGCTGAACGTGTTCTATTCTTTTGCAAGTGAGTGTTGACTTCCACACACGTGGACGTCTCATGGTACTAATTAATCTATCATCTAGCTACGGAGAACCGCAATGTGGTACTAAAGGATTCCTTGTATTCTGCCATCGGGCTCGCGGCAGCTAGTCTTGAACAGCACTTGGACTTCAACAGTTTCCTCGAAAAAACCATGGTCCCCGAGGTCCAAATTCAGGACCATGAATATAGGCTCTTGAGAAGACGAATTGCCGTTGTTCTTGGCCAATGGATACCGGTGAAACCAGGCCAGCTGAACCGGGATGCGGTCTATCAAATCTTCCAGCACCTGCTCAACAAAGCCGACCCGCTGAATGACCTTGTTGTACGAATCACCGCAGGACGCCAACTCCGCAATGTTCTTGACCCCTGGGAGTTCACGCCGGAGGGGTTCATGCCTTATGCACAGTCGATCCTTGGAAGCCTCATGTCTCTTGTCCAGGAGGTTGAAGTAGCGGAAACAAAAATGGGATTGTTGGAGACTGTGCGCGTGGCCGTTGTCAAGATGGAGAACCATGTAAGCTTGTTTCAATCGCCAAGGATCCGCAGTATATCTAACAGGTTTCAGATTGGTGCCTTCTCCGACCAAATTCTTTCGTTGCTGCCACCGCTGTGGGAGGAGTCCGGAGAAGAACATCTCATGAAGCAGGCAATTCTTACCCTTCTATCGTCCTTGATCCATTCATTGAAGCAAGAGTCTGCGCGCTACCATGCGCTCATTCTTCCCTTGATCCAGAGCTCCGTTCACCCCGAGTCTGTGAGTTTTCCGAATCATTGATTGTGAATAGATCGCTGGGCCATACCTAATCTTGCTAGGATACCATCGTCTACCTCTTGGACGAGGCTTTGGAACTCTGGACCGCTATCATAATGCAAACCCCCAGCCCTGCATCACCTGAAATCCTCTCTCTACTCCCCTCCGTACTTCCAATTCTAGAACAAGGAACCGATGCCGCGCCCCAAGGCCTCCAAATCATCGAGTCCTATATTCTGCTGGCTCCACAGGCAGTGCTTAGTGACGAGATCCGACTCCCACTTCTGGCCGCCTTGGAAACTCTTCTCCCATTCACAACAAAACAGCGCACAGGCGTTGTCCCCCGCCTAGTCGACATGATGATCCGTGGCGCGGAAGCTGTTGATGGGGGAAGCGAGTCTAGCTACAGCGCCATCTCGCAATCTCTTCTTGACAGCTCACTCCTCCATTCTCTCCTCGAGGGCCTTTACACTGCTCACGAATCCAGTCAGACTACCGGCCCCAACCGGAAGACTTCATACGTTGTTGGCGTTGTTGAGACAGACTATTACTCTGTTCTTGCACGACTCGCTCTCGCAAATCCCACCATCTTCGCATCAGCTGTCGCTGCTGCGACAAACTCAAGTCAGGAGCAAACCCTTACCTGGCTTCTTACTGAATGGTTCCTCCACTACGACAACATCGGCAGCGTCAACCAGAAGAAGCTGCATGCTCTCGCCCTGACCCAGCTCCTAGCCCTGCCGGGTCACTCATCCGATCCATCCCAGCCCGCACCACCGCCCGCTTACATTCTCAATCACATACAGTCATACCTCACCATCTGGACGGATATCATCATTGAGCTCGCCGAAGGCGGCTCCGACCAAAATGCCGATTACCTGGTCTGCTGGAACGCACCCGCTGGCTCCGCGACGGCCCCACCCGAGGCGGAGGAGAATGAGGACCCCGAGACTCGCCGCCGCCGCGAATGGGACAATGCAGATGCAATCCATCGCTTCCCGATCCGTGCCTTCGTCCGCCACCGTCTGCATGAGGTGATTGTGGCCTGTGGTGGTGCTCAGCGGTTCCAGGAGGAATGGCTGGTGAGTGTCGATAGCGAGGTGGTGTCGGCATTCGGTGCGCTCGGTTTGATCTAATGCGGGAATGCCCAGCGAGGATCGTTCACTGCATTATCACTTCTACTTATCTTCTATTACGCATTTGCATCACATTCTACGCCCGTGGCTCGTTGGATAGCGGAGCACGCTAAAACGGGTTGTTTGCGTTTGTTCTGTTAGACCTTTCTAGCTTCATACCCCAATCTACATGAATTATGGATCAAAGTGCCAAATGTAGAGAGCTAGACGTGTAGAAGTGTGTATCTGCCCTCTCGACTAGTAGGATTCTGGGTGTAAACGTTACGCTTTGCTGGCATAGTGAGTGGTGAAATAGGTGACGCGTGGAATGCGCGACTGCGAAGTGGCCATGGCCCGACCCTGGGTCCTTCTGTTCTGAAAACCGATCGTATGTCTGCTGTTCCTTCACGCGGTTATTAGCTATGGTATCTTATCAATGCTACCCGCGGCATATCCAAGCCTGATGCATCTCGCCACCGTACACTTCCCATCTATTTCAGATACAAAAAGGAAATGATATCCACCCAGCGAGTCAGTCTTGCTGTCCAAATCAGGCTCTTAGGCTTTTGGAAGCGGCGCCATGGTCCTGCGGCCATTCAGGACATGCTTGAACTCTGCCTGGTCCGCAGCCTCTTGAGAGTAAGCATTGAGTCTATCCGGCACCAAAGCGAGTCGGCCAACGTCGCGCATCCGCTCAACGAACATAATCGAATGCGCATCGAGTGCAGATGGTTCCTGTAGACCAAACAGCCAAGGTCCACTGTCGGAGCCCTGGGGATTTTCAGGGAGAGTTTTGGCCAGCCGATCGAGGACGCCTTTGGTGCGATGCTCCACCTCCGTGACCGTCTCTGGTTTCAGGCCTCCGATCTTCGAACTTTGCACACTGCATGTCGAATTAGATACAGGACGAAGAACACCAGACTCACACGGCGGTAGGGGTTCACACTCACACTTCGCGTTTAAACTCTAGCGCCTTGCGATAGCGGCCCGAGATAGTAGGGTCTTCGAGGAGCTTCTCAACTGTAGCCGCAAGCCCGGCTGCAACGCCCGTACGGCCTGTAAAAGAGAGCGAAAAGAAATTCAGCCCGTGCAGTTCTTTCAGCAGGGCCGTGATCTCGTCTCGATGGCTTTTAGGAATCACGTTTGGGTATACGTTTGCAATGTAATGCGTAATCTCAAGGCTGTCTGGGACTGGGTTTCCCTTGCGATCATCTAGAACGGGGACCTTGACAAAATCGAGTGAGTCAGCGAGACCACTGTGACATCTTGCACAAACACAAACCTGGGCGTATTTATTGATGTCGCAGAGGAATTCCTCAGTCAAGTTTTCGCCCTTGAAGAGATCGACAGCCACTTCAGTTACATCCATGGCTGAGTGATCGTCTTTCGGTGGTCCTCTCAGGGCGAGAGTGTAGCGCACCATCATGGAGCAGATCGAGTAGATATTATGATAAAGGATGTATTCTTTTGCGCCCATGATTGAGAGACCGAGTCTTTCCTGGGAAGTAGGGTGAGGTTGATGATCCTGGATATTTTCGACGGCTTCCAATTGGCAGATAGAGAGGGAAACCTTGAATGGCTTTCCAATGGAATCTTGACTGAAATATGGGGGTTGGAGATGGTCCGATTGGTGTATTACAGACCCAACCAAGAAGAGGGGCAGCTGGGGACGCGAGCGGTGAATTTAGTAGAAACTGACGCAATGGGCAATTGCTGTATAGACTAGTATCAAAGATGTCCAATGGGATGATGTTGATCAGATTGATGATGATGTAGAAAATCAGAGGGATGGCCTGTTGAATGGCTATCCCCTGGCTGTACAGACGTATTCCTGTCCGTGCGGCCGATACTAGGCTGTTATAAAGCCTGAGTTTCTCTGTAAACTAGTATTATATATAAAAATATAAGAAACCTAGGTGCTTGATGAATAAGCCTGTTCTTAGTAACGTAATTCCCGGCTAACCTAGGGGCACCCAGCTGAGCGGTACCCTTGAAAAGTTGAATATGATCTATAATAGTATGACTAATTAATGGTCCCGCTTAAGTGCCGGAGCTGAACGGGACTATTAATTCTATATTATATAATCTATTTTTAGCGTAGAAAATTTTTATTTACCCCTTTTTAAGGCTTTTATAAGTATTTCTTACGCTCTACGCTTTATCATAGTAAATTACTTTCTTTTATCGTCTTATATACCTAACTTCTCTCTTAAATCTCTAGCTTAAGTAGCTATAGAGATTAATTAGATTCTTTATAATATTCTAGTTATATATTTATTATATACTAAACTTATACTAAATATATACTAAAACTATTTATTATAGCGGACTCGATTAAATTCTAAAACTTTTTTTTCTATAGAGATTATATTAATAAACTTAAACTATCTAATACTAGTTTAAGTTCTAAGGATAAAAAAGATATAAGTATCTTATATTCTATATCTATTCTAAATCTTAACGAAATAGATATATCTATAGATAGAACTATAGTAAGTAGTAGTAAGAAAGATACTATTATTATCTATAAAATTTAGGAATATCTTTTACTCCCGGAATATCCTAATATAGATAATAATAGTATTTTATATATTATCTATATCTTAGAAAATCTTTTTAAGGATAAGCTAAATAAATCGAAAGCTATTAATAAGGTATTTACTTAAATTATATCTTCTATAAGTTTTATATATATTTAATATATAGATAACTAACTAAAAAAATTTAATCTAGGTTTAATTCTCGACTAAATATCTTAAATCTATATAGAAAGTTAATATAAAATTTCTATAAAAGAATATTAAGAATAGAGAGTTAAGATTATAGTATTAATTATATCGATATATAAGAATTTAGTATTATTATTAAATTTATCTTAATTTTATAATCTTATTACTAAGGTATAATTAGATTAAACTAGAACTATTTCGTAAACTATAATCTCGGACTACTAATACTAAGCCTATATATAGGACTATTAGCTAAGAGATAAAATAATAAATAAGAGAGTAAATTAAAATATCTTCTAATCTTAATCTATATTTAACTTATATTTTATATAGATACTACTTTAGATTTCTCTATACTTAGAATATAGAGAGGCTATATTACTACTCGAAAGATATTTTTATATATAGAGGATAAAAGCTAAGAATATAGATATTAAATAGGGTAAATTTATATACTACTAATATATAAAATATATACTAACTTAAAATAGTTTATCTTTATTAGCTACCTAAATTTTATATCTAAATAGACCTAGTATTATTCTTAAGCTATTCTTAGAGGTATTATAAGAGTTAATCCTATATTTTTAAAACTTTTTTATAAAAAAGATAGAATATAAATAATAGATTATAATACTAGGAATTACTATTTTATTATATATTATTTAGCTAAATATTACTATTATAGTATATTAATATTTTTAATATATTTAATATATATTAGTATAATACTAATTATATATTAGATTTAATTTATACTAATAGTCTTAGTAAACTTACTAAACTTAAGTACTCTATAAAGATTAATATCTATATTCTATATTTATAGAGTTAGTTCTTATTCTTTATAGTTATACTATATAGATCTTATTCGTATTTCCTTTTATTACTAATAAAACTACTATATAATATTAGATAAGAAATTATCTAGGTAATTAATATATAAGATATCTTAGGACTTACTATATATAAGTTAATAGTTTTACCTATATTTATAAAAATCCTTTCTTAGTATAAAGACTCTATACTTCGCTATATCTATAAAAGCTTATATATTAAGGATAAAGTAACTACTTTAATTTATAAGTAGAAATTACTATATTATCTATAAGGTATAAATCTTGCTAGTGTATAGTATAAATACTAGTTCGATTAGACTAAAATAAATAAAGATCGATAGATTCGCGAAATCTATTTCTTTAATAAACTACGTAAGTATTATCTTATTATCTATTATATATATAAATAAGCTAAGCTTTTTTAAAATATATAATATCTTGAAATAGATCTTATTTTTAAGATAATCTAAGGAAAGACTAATATATTTATAATTTCTTTATTTAATAAATAAATAAGAAGTATTAGTCTATTTATAAGATATAGGGCCTACAATAGGTCTAACAATAGGGCCTACAATAGGTCTGATAATAAGGCCTACAATAGGTCCGATAATTAAAGAACTAAGGTTCTACTAAATCATTCATTACCCCTTCATACATAAAAATACCAAAAATACTATATAACTAATATAGCTAGCCGAAAACAGCTACTACTATATAACTAAATATAACTAAACGTATACAGCTAGCTAAATACAACCAATATCATACAATCTAATATAACTAGTATAATACTATATACTAGATTAATATCTAATATAACCTAGTAAGACTTAGCTATAAATATAGGTAAAAACCCCTAGCTAGAAATAATATAATAAAGCTTTCTCACTATCTTCTTTACTATTTTTCTATCTATTTTTACCTTCCTTCCTATTATATCCTCTAGCTTACTTAGAGGTTATAAGCCCGAGTTACTCTACTAAAATTTTCTAAAAATCTTTTTACCCTACCTCTTCTTCTATATCTTTTATATACTATCAAAATTATCAATATATTTTATATCTTACTATATATTATTAAGATCTTCGATATCTTAATATATATTATCAATATATCTTCTTTTAGAAAGATATTAATTAAAAAACTTACTAGTAGTAAGAACTATATCGAATAGTCTCTTTAGATAAAATTAGCCTTAATTAAAGATAATCTAGTTAATCTAATCTTAGAAGAGAAACTATTAACTACTAAAAATAACTAAAAAGCCTTAGTATATATTAAATTATTCTACGCTAAAGGACCTCTTCTATTTATTAAATACGAAGAAAATATATATAGGGCCTAGTAAACGCTAGAAATACTATATAATCCTAAGGGATTTATAACTAAATATCTAATATTTAAGGAGTTCTTTAATATATTATTAGTTAATTTTAATATAATAGAAGAATATCTTAATAAGGTCAAACTTCTATTAGATAATCTTATATTAAAAGATCTAATACTCCTAGAATAGGCTATAATTATATAGGTTCTAAATAGTCTTAATAAAGACTACTAAGGATTTATATAGAATATTATATAATCGCTTCGATAAGATCCGAAAGCCTATACTGTTAATACACTATTCGCTAGCCTAATCGATAAGGCTCGCGGAAAGATATCGAACGAGAAAATATATAATATATTAAATCGATTTAAAAAATAGATATAAATATTAAATAGCCGTTTCTGTAGTAAATATAAGAAAACGGGCTATCTTATTAATAATTATTAGTTCCTTTATACTAATAAATACCTAGCTAGGTAAAAGATAAAACTAAACGATTTAAATAGGTTAAATAGACTAAATAACTAGAATAAAATCATAAAAAATAATCGAAATATTAAAAATACCTAAAATAACTAGAAGAAATCTAACTATTTCGTAGCTATAATTAAATTAGAGATTTCTAGTTAGAAATCTAATAACACCGAAGATATTAATACTTTATCTTATATTAATAAAGATATTAATATTAATAAAGATATTAATATTAATAAAGATATTAATATTAATAAAGATATTAATATTAATAAAGATATTAATACTAATACCCTCTCGTATAACGATTAAATAAACCTTAACGATATTTATATTAATATAGGTAGTTTTAATCTAATAGACAATCTAATAGAGGTAAATACCCCTATATATTAAGAAGAAATATATACTAATATAGCTATATTAGATATAAAGTATAATAGATATAAGATTAAAGAAAGAGATATTTAAAACTCTATTAAAAAAGGCTACTATCTACTAAAAGTTGATTTAATTATCGATACTACTATTACTATCTATACTATATCTAAACTATAATATTTCTATAGCTATATAATTATAAATAAAATAGTTCTATAGGGAAAAGCTAAATCTATTAAAGTTAGATATATTAGTAATATTATAGTACAGACGAATACTAACTATATCTATATCATCTAAAATATCTTATATATACTAGAACTAGGTATTAATATACTTAGTATAAATTAACTAGATAATACTCTATCTTTATTTACTAAAGATAAAGTATATATATACTATACTAAAAATAACTAAAAGAAAATAACCTTTATAGGCTATAAGAAAGATAGCTTATATAAGACTACTATTAATATTATCTACCTAAAAGGAAAAGATCGATCTAAAGCTATCTTAGCTATAAGATCTAATAAGAAATCCTCTATAAAATTATAGTATAAATATTTAGGATATATTAGCCTAATACTATTAAAGAAAATACTAGACTAATTAAATATTAATATATTAGTAGATAATATATCTAACTATATTAATAATATATATAAAATCTACCTACTATCTAAATATAATAGATCTATTAATAAAAGATTAATAGATTAGA